AGTTAATTTACCTTTAATTTAGGTTTAACTTCTATTTAATAGCGTAGGCTAGCTATACCCTTACTAAAGGGGTAGCTAAGCGCTCGTTATTTCCAGAGCAATACTAAAACCTTATTAATCTTAGCAAAGCTAGAGTGGATCTATAATAGCGTATTATATTAATACTGCTTGTAGAATTCGCGAAGCGTAGGACTGCGTAGAAATGTGCCTATAACTAATTAGTAACTAGTTAGTAATTAGTTCTTATTTAAACTTACTTAGCTTAAGGTCCGGGTCTAGATTCTTGCAGATTAGATTAAGGATCTCGCTAGTAATTATCTATAGAGCTTTTGTTAGTGGCGGTGGTAGATAAGAATACGTTCCGCGAGAGTAGAAGATAGTATATAGGTATCTCTTAGGGAGAAGCGGGATAAAGGTCTGGAATATTATATTATAAATACTATAGTGCTAGATATTACCCTAACCCTAAGGATAGACGACACCTAGAATTAGTTAGTAATTAGATAATTACTAGTTAAGAAGTAAATCTTACCGTATAGTGGCCTTCTTGAATTCGCCGGTTTAATCACTCCGTATATTAGTGGTCTAGGCTAATAAGTAGAGGCTAGAAGCTTCTGTAGAAGTTCTATATTAAGTGATCTCTCTTTCGAAATAAGAGAAGTATAGAAGTGTTCCTAATAGTTCTTTTGTATTAAATTCGCGTAGCTAATATAATAGCTAGGCACTCTAGCTATATTCTAATAGCTAGTTAGTAACTAGTTAGAAACTAGTAGGGATAAGACTTACTTTATGTTGGGATAAAAGGGGAAAGCTACCACGAAGCAGATCGTGGCCCCTTAAGTCCGTGGGATCAACCTTAGTCCGGCTGGGTCAGTCAGTGCCAGACAAAGGTGGAAGGTCAAAGGTCGTAGGATAGACTATAAGCAGATATAGCCTAAACGAAGGCAGAACCACAGTCCTGTGGATCAAAGGAAGAAGGTAGAGATGACTTTTGGAAAGTGGAAAATGACTTCAGGAAAGTGAAAATGACTTCAGGAAAGTAGAACTGACTTCAGGAAAGTAGAACTGACTTGATTCTATCTGCTAGACAAGAAGGACGTATTTATAGGCTAGGATAGCCTAGAAATGACGTTTAGAATAACATACAAATGACGTACAAACACTAGGCAGCAACATAATGAAGGTGGCAAAGAAGGGAACCGAAGAGAAGCGAAAAGAATGATATCAAGGATCGACGGTCTAAGCCACCCTGAAGGCATCCCCGTAGGATCAGGCTATGCATGCCTAAAGGTGGACCATTTTACCCCTAAGGGAAAGTGGTCCGCCTATCCTTAAGGGGACCGAGGGTCGAAGTCTGTTCACCGGGGTCCGAAGACCATGGTCGAAGTCCGCGGGCAAGGCATGCCCGAAAGCACCCCCGAAGGAACGGACCATTCATGCCTGAAGGCGGACCGTTTACCCCTAAAGGAAAGTGGTCCCGCCTATCGTTCGGGGGAGGGCCGCGGACCAGAATCAGAAGTGGTCAAAACATCATTTTGATAGAAGAAAAATCTGGTCACGTGATCAATGCAATCTGGTCTTATATGTTGAATATAAGGATAGATCTTTCTATGTAGCATTGGTCTATATTCCAATACTTTATGATTATGCTAGCGGAATATAGGTCGATAACCTTGGCGAGCGGATTTATAAGCCACACCTCGAATAAATTTTTTTTTGGTTGCGTTATATAACCTATATAGAGATTTTTTATTAGTTTATAATTAGTTCAGAACTAGTTTAGAATTAATAAGCTTACCCAATACTAGCACGTTATAAGTCTCTATAGCCCTCTATAAGCGAGGACTCCGCTATCTCTCCGCGTATATTTGTGATCAGAGTCTATAGATCTTTATTAGCCTTTATATAGGCTAGATATAAGAGTCTAGGATTAAGAAACTCGTAGCACTTAACGCTATTACACTTAAAGCGTTTTCGCTCTGTTTAGTAGCCAAGGAATACGGAATATATAAATTCTCTCGACCTATACCTACCTATAGCGTATTATGTCTAATAACTAGTTAGTAAGTAGTTTATTAATAGTTAATAACTAGTTATTCACTGACAGATTTTATCACAGCTCGTAGCTTATCCGGTCTAGATTTCTCGATATTCACGATATAGGCAAACCCTTCCTTATAAGTTTCTGGATACTCTGGAAGTAAAGGCATATACTTAATAACGGCAGCTGATATAGGGTGGGTCAGATAAAAGGTTAATAGTGTTAGAATATGAACTGGCTATGAATAAATTAGTTTGAAACTAATTTGGATCTAGTTATTGTCAATATATATATTCACCTTATCCGGGTCAGGAATTACTACTTAGAATTCTTGCCAGTCTTCAAACTCATCGACATACTCGCTCGCTGATTCCGTATTAGGTTCAGGATCAATCTGTATAAGCTCAGTGAGGGTACGATCCTCATAGGCCCGCCAGGTCAAATCTATTACGCGTTCCATGGTAATTGGGATGATGATAGAAAGAGACTAATATTTTATGTGGGTAAATTACCGGGTTACTAGGGCATACCCTACAATATTACATACTTGCGATGAGCACGGGCCAAATCTGCCGAAAAAGTCACGTGACTCTTGCAGCGACCTCTGCACCCACTTGCGATCACCTGGTTCCTCCTGGGATCACAGTCCTGGCGGAACCTCGGGCAGATCTGGGATACGTCCAGGCGCTTTCGACTTAGACTAGAATATCTACCATCTCGGAGTGGCGCCGCTTGTATGTCGATATTCCTGCCACGTGAGTGACTTCTGGACATACCGTTTCGGCGAGCATGGGTTGCGGACTTGATCAGTAGTTGTATATATCCCGTTTCTCTCGCTTGGCAAGACGGAAACCCATCCGCAGTCCACCCGTTGCTAACATAGTGTGGCGAGAGTGATCAGGGGTATGGCCTAGATCCGCAACTAGGCGTGTTAGTTTGGAGGCCTCGTACTCTCCCCCATTTCCAGCGCAACGACAAATGTCGGAGTAAATGCAGCAGTGGAGCATCGGATATGAAGATATTCTGACTGATTTTACTGAGTTGTGTTATGTAATCACTGAGCCCCTTTCTAAATTGCCAGATCCAGGGGTTTCCTAGCTTCAGAGTTATAGAGAGATAATCAGAGTCATTACTGCTACTCCATTGTGTCACATGATCTTCCTGCGTGCTGCTTACTGATAACAAACGTGAACCTCCCGAAATATCAGCCAGCAGATACGGCTCACGCCGTTGCGGTTGTGATTGCTGGTGTGCCTTCCCTCGCGTGAACAGTGTGTCCTTGCGCCGATAGGCTTGTGGACCACGCTCTCTTCGCCTCTAATGCCGTTATCACTGGCCGAATCTAGGGCCGTAATTTACAGTCACCGTTAGCGTATATCGGCTTGTGGGTCCCGGCCCAGAGAGCCGCATGTGAAAGCCGCATGTCTACTGTGCGTGGCCCTCTTAGCCCCGTCCGAGATCTCCATTGCTTCGATGCAAGACGATCAAGGTCGAGGGCCTTCGCCAATTTTGGCGGGAAAGACTCCCTCTGGGTTCGCTCGACCCGGTACTGTGATTTTTCGTAAGAGCGTCCCAGCCTCCAACAAGGATGGCATGTCGCGCCCAATAACCTCCGTCGGGACATGACGAGGTACAAGCCTTGTCGACATTACTGCTACCTCACGCCGCCACTGTGCCATAACATTTCCAGTCTTTTTCCCTCTGACAAAGCGCATCTTCTGGGTACACCTGCACACCATTGCCAAGCCGATCATCTTAGGTGGAGGCTCGGGGTGGGGCTTATATTTGGAATTGTCGAAATTAGCGCCTACCAACCAGCCGCTTGACGCTATACACGCTAAGGTCAAATTTTCGCACCGACGTGCTTTGTCTTATTGGTAGAGCCATTGTTTGACCCTGGTGAACTGTTGACCCAATTCGACTTCGTGCATACTTAGCTCGATACTAGCCGTGGGATGTTAATAGCCACGTCTTGAAAAGAAGAGTCAAAATATTCGCCGGTAGAACCTTGGCTCCCGTTCCGTAGTATCCCGGTTCTTTCCTAGCGTGTGAGAGGGCCCTTGTCTCAGAGACTGGAAATGAGTGACCCGTCTTCCAACAATTCCATATGCCACGTAATATCGCTAAGAGGGGAGCCATCGCTAGCTAGACAGAAAACGGGGCTCCAGTGGGTGATTTTTCCTTCGGGCGTCTATATCTCTAAAAGGCTATTCGAGGTCAGCAAAATGAACGACGACGTCGTTCCTTAATAGGAGCCTCTTTCAGTCCTACACTTCTCGTTCTGCCGTTCATTCGCCGTCTCCTAAACAATTACATCCCACGCCCTTTCTTACCCAAAGATGGACTCAAGGAACGAACACCAAAGAGGACATTTCTTCCCATTCCAGGGCCATCCGTCAAAATATTCTATATGGTACACACTTCTTAATCACCATCAAATACCTCGTGACCAACGCACATGCAACGTTCCGTCGCATAGAACGGAAACGAGGGAAAAGTCAGTATGCGGTAGTCACATCTGGGTGCTAGCTGACATTTGTTTATAGTGACGGTGAAGAAACTTGCTCGAATCATCCGCCGGAACACAATTCGCCCCAGGATGGCTCTCCGACCAACCCGTGATATGGCTGCCTGATTATTACCTAGACCATCGGTCATAGTGAACGCCTGTCCAAAACAAAGATCATGTAGCGCGAATACAAGGAAAATCAAGAACATGACCAACGGTCGACCTATACACACATGAAGACTATCCATGCTTAGCAGGAAATCCACGTTCAACTTGACTCGATTACTGTCTTCCTATTACACGGTTCAGGATCTCCCCAAATTTCTGTGGAACGGTTCGTGGCTTTTCCGTCCGCCGTCGAAACATGTCTCTCCAACGCGTACGGACTGGTGGGATACCGTTAGGCCTTGCTCATTCTTTTCCTTTGTTTGGACTAGGACCTCACATAAATTACAGCCTTCCTGGTGAGATTTTCTCCATCAAGAACCGCTGCACCAACCGCAGAGACTCAGGTTCGGGGCCCTTCAGGCTAAACGTCGGAGGAGCGTCGGGGATGTCTAGCAAATGCCGTTGCCGTCGAAGTCGTGCCCGGCGGATAGCCGTGTGTCGGGCCGTAGAGAACCTCTGGGAGATGAGACGCCAGCGTCTGATACCTTTCTGCAGCTGATTCTATTTGCCTCGTAGTGACTCGGGACTCTCCGGCGGCCAAACTGCTTGTGGTACTCTTCAGACTTTTCCTCCCAAGACAGATGGAAGTGCTGAGACAGCCAGCGTGGCAGGTTGTCCTCCTCTGAGAAAGTCCAAGGTATATAGCTGGCTTTGGGCATCTTGGGAGATGTGAACGGGCGGTGGCTAGGAAAAAGAACAAAGAGTAGCAGGAGAGTGGTGGAACGCAGTGGGCAGGAAGAACGCAGAATACTGGGTGAAGACTAGGAAGATGTGGGATCTTAATTGATGCTTTTTGTATTTGACCATTCCCGTGTAGACAATTACTCGGCTACGCATGGCAAAAGGGTTGTCAAGAGGGTATCTGTGGATAAGGTCGATATTGCAAAGTTTAGCGAAAATTGGACATTTACACGCCCGGCCGGGATCCTGCCATCAGATGCACATGCCTCGACTCTCTGTTAATTTTCGCTGATGGCGATCTATTCCCTTTTGATTATCGCCAGTCAGGACAGTAGCATTGAGTCATGCCGCCACTGGTTCACCGATCGTCTCATACCCCGGTTATGTAGTGGGCCTAGCGGAGACAAGTTTGGCTGGGCATAAACGCGGCGACATCAGGGCAACGCTGTGAGCATTTCGTTTTGCACGAGAGCGATGTTCATGAATTGAGAGCTCACAAAGTTGCGGCGTACTTTATCCACCAGGGCCTCAATTACCCTCCACACGTGAACACATGGAATTTTTGGACACTTGCAACCTGTGAGTTATCTTGATGTCGAACGTGGGCGTGATATCGGCTGTGGTGATTCCACATAGGGGGACCCTTCTCTAGCTGCTGGGGCGGAACATGACAGATTTGTTTAGCCTCATTTGCCTCCTCGCGGTAGCTTCCTCGCCCGGGCGATAAAGAAAAGGGACGTGCTACGAAAAGAATTACAGGGGGGTTTCCTTTAACGAAATGCTCGGTCTGTTGTTCTACTCCTATGTCGGCTCGCGTCTAAAGCCATCCTCTCCACCCAGCAGTATATATCCCGCTTTTTCCAACCCGTCAAATGTGCAAGCTGGCCAGTTCTTCTTTCATCACCTCTTACCCACATGCCCTTGCCATTCATGGAGAACCGTTCGTTCATGGCGCCAACGTGTAGCTACGCACCCAGCGAAGCGCCCGTTCGATTTTCCAGCAACTGGCGCGACATATTCAAAAAGAAACCAACCACCATCTGGAGTGTTCCCGGTTCGGAGGCTGACTGCCCATACGATGTCGACGACCTAGCTTTTGACGGAGAAAACCATGAGCGTGTGGATGATGATCATGATGATCACGTTGAGCAGGCAGAAGAAGACGGTATGCCTATGGAAACCCACAGTGTCACTCAGTACAATACCGGGTCTATATACAACGACATGCCCGCGGCGCCTGAAGATAGCCTCGAGACCTTTCTCAAAAAGTGAGCTGTCTCCCTCCCAAGAATTGTCATTGAGACGACTAAGTTTCGGCAGCGTCCACCGTCACATACAGTGAGTTTAGTGTCCACTACTCACTCTGTTCTTTGCCTCTATTCAAACATTCTCACGGACGATATAGGAGCTTCACGGAGCAGTTCGAGAGGCAAAACACATACAACGAGGCGATACAACGGAAAATGGAAACCGTGGCCCAAGAGTATTGCCGGCTCAGGGCCTTAGAAGAAGCCGTTGATGCGATGCGGGAAGAGCTTAATTCGTTGTCCAGGGCCAAAAACGATCCGACTGTTCGGCGGAAAGTAGGACGTCCCGGGCGTGAAGCACAGTGAGGTCCCTAAGGCGGGTTTTTGGCAGATGTGAAATAAAATACAAATCTCAAAAATTAAAGCATCTAATAGCTGCCAAATCCCAGAGTGTAAGTAAATCGTAGGACTGATGATGCGGCCCTTCTTGACAGGCCTCGGATGAATCTCGTTGACAGCCACCCCTAGAGATGATCTCCGAACAAGGTTATTCTCGCTAGTTCCATAACGGAAACACGTTGGTCGCTCTGTGGGTCCCGAGCCCGTGACTAAGATCACCTGCGGGCAATCGAACAAGGCAGGATCCATCCCCTTTCCCTGACCTGATGATCAGCAGCTAGTACTGGCGAACGCTGTAATACCCTAGTCTGCTACACGAATACCGCGAACTGTACCCACCAAAGCTCCTCGGCCCGCCCATCAAGGGGCCAGACCACATTTTTTTCAGGTTTGTCGTCACGGGGTTCTCCAGGTGTGCTCAAATCACCTATAACACATGCTTCTCTGCTTGACACAGGTACCGGAGACAATGATGCTTGTGCCGTTTACGGAGCAGACTTGACGCTCATAAAGCGATCCCGATTTTGTACCTTTGTATTTTCTCAGCATCACCGGAAGAATGCACGGTGACTAGTTCGCTCCAGCTGCTCCTGACATCTCGCTAAGACACACTTAGCGTGGGTCTAGCGTGGGATCAAGGCATTAGTGTGGGTTAGTCTCCTGCCGTATTTGCTATGGTGAAGTCAATCCAAATCTCTCGACCATCGATTGTTGGCCAGCAGCAGCCTAGACTTTCCTTCTACCGTCCCGCACTATGAACCAGAAACGTTGGATTAATGTCGCTCTCTTCCCTTGAGCAGAACAGCTTTGGCGATTTCCCTCTGCGAAAGGATTCGGGTTTGATGTCATCGCGCTTTGCGGATGGTACAACGTAGGCTTAAATCCGCAAAAAACGACATCAGAAAGGTAGAATCGTTCAGATATGCCCTACCGTGATCGTCTGGAAATGATCGGGGAGAATCGCCTGTTAACGGTGAGATCGACAGAGCCTGCTGGATTTCGAACGTTGTTAATGATCTCTAAAAACCGCCAGCGATCAGAGCTTGGAATGTCACTCAAACGTTATTGGACCGGACCGATGATTTTCGATGTCCGCCACAAGCGGTAATTTCCAAATCTCTCGTCGATCAGGAACCGAACCTAGGCTTATCTTGGTATAAAGTCTAGCGAGCTATTCTGATAGGCTCACAAGCTAGGAACCGTTCCTTCTGTGGCCCACATAAGCGCCTGTCACGTAACAAAAACGTAAAGATTTGTCGCGCCCAGTCCCTTGGATTGTGGCCCCGACATTGGGCTGGCGGCTTGCATCCTGGGCTCTGACAAACCCAATTCGCCATTCGTGCCGTCCTGTGCCCCGCCATGGCAGCCGTTGCGCCTTGGCTGTCCATACAGGTGCGAGCGCAGGCATCAGTCACTCTCTAGCCGAGCCCGGACTATCACCGACTTGCCTCGTAAATTCTAACGACCGTGAGTCAATGAAGACAGGCTTCGAGTCGGACAGGGATCATGAAAGCCAGGTTCCATAACCAGCCTCTCTTCCTTGTGATCAAAATTGCCTCGGCCCAATAACTACGATGAAGTGACAGTTGCCGCCGGACCAACAGTCGCCCGAGCCAATCATCCTAACAGAAAAGGCCAACTTGACCAAGCTGAGGGTATTGAGAGAAGAGCGCAGGCTAACGTGCCGCTCTCCACCTACGTCATCTTAGGCGAACTCAATGGCCTGGCTGGACCATCGTACGGACCTCCGGGGTTTCCAGAGAGACTCTCATGATGCAATCTACCCATGTCAACACGCGATCGTCTATCATTCCACCATGAACTTCAACGGGGGTGTACGCAAGCATTGGCGGTCATCACAGACAGGCCCCTTACGAACTGGGCCGGCGTTGAATACCTTTGAATATAGGCCGGGCATAAGAAGCCTGCGATATGTTTAGAAGATACGAACAGCATAGTCGAGGAAATCGAATATCATATCACTACGCAATCAGTGAGTCGGCACCGATGTTACATTCAGCGATGAAGCTAGCAAGGGCCCTCCTGAACGAGAGACTAGTCAAGTGTCTAGCAGACCGTGCTTCATTGCCATAATGCTTGATTCATTCTAAATAGAACTTAGATGCAAGTTGCTTTTATAAGGGACAGTGACGTGTAATTCCGAAGGTCGCAGAGGAAGCTAAAAACGTATTGCAGCCACCAGGATCAATAAGCGGACTCGCTGCAGGTTCCAACTCATCGCCTTGTGCAGACACTTAGGCCGGAGGCACATTCAAGTAGTCGCAGAATTGAAGGCATTCTTCGTCGGCTGTGGGAAAAATAGAGCCTACGTTCTCTGGTAGGATCGGGTCGTGGAGAACTTTAAACTGTCCCTGCTGGCTCTGCCAAGTATCCTGGCCCTGCGCGACATTAGGACCGGGTAACGCAGAGAACAAGTGCAAGTTCTCAGATTCGTTCTTCGTCCCGATTCTACCGGCAAAAGACACCGCATCATCATGAAGCTCCCTCAACATTCTCTGCACCTCTTCACGAGGTACGTGGTCCCGGATCTCGAAGGTTGCATCGTCGAACTTCTGCTTCCACTGTCGGATGTCGGATCTAGCACTCTGGTTCTTCGCGGTGAGCTGCCGCACTTGTGCGGTCAGCCGAGCGTTCTCCGTACTGAGCCGTTGCGCTTCCCGCCGCTGTTAATTAAAGCGTGTCGTGAGCTGTTAGTTGGTCTCTTCCGCCTGCGAAATGACTTCTTTACAGGGTCTATGCACCACCTCGAAGTCATCATCCTGGATGGCCGGAGCAGCTTGAGCTCGTGACCCCCATGTCAGGTCAGTTCCACGACTCCCTAGAAATCTCGACAGATGCATACCAAGCCTTGCCGCGTCCGCGTTCCTTCTGTGGGCACCTGTGCAGAGGTCCTTCCGTTTCCTGCTGACCTCCGGACGGCTCTCGGTGTTGGCACCGCGGGGTTGCGCGAAGCAGTCGCGACCTTGGGCATGATCAACACCAGCGCGATAGACGAGGAGATCGATAATAACCACAATGAAAAATGTAAAAGTTGTAGAAGGGTGCTCTGGATAGGTTGAATCAAGCGGGTCGTACCTTATAACTCGCAAGCCACGGAATGAGCGAACGATTTACACGCACCGAATTGTCACGGGTGTTTCATGCTGGATCGCTCGTGGAAGCCTATTGAAGTCAGGAATGAATTTTTCGCACGACCTCATGTCGTTGGACTTGGGCCCGGCCATGTGGTTTCGCCCCGAAAGGTGCCTGAGAGCTATGCCAACGTTCAAAAATTTATAAACGTCTCTTACACAAGGCGTGCACACCTAAACGATGTTGAAGAACCCGGAGTTAGTTAAGTGGGTAAATAACTGCCTAGTAAGTAGGTGCTATTTTTGAACACTCAACCAGCTGGTTATTTCCCTCGCTTGCTTGATCGAGGCATATGAACTTTGAGAAAATAGCGACATTCGAGCCTTCAATCTGTGGAGCGATGCTTTCGAGAGTTGATCGGTTAACCGGATGGAGCAAAGGCAAAGCAGATCAAGAGAAAGACTTCCACTACACCGAAGTGGTGAGTCGCATAGGGGACCAATTGACGGGTATTCTTGATCAGCTCGAAGGCAGAAACTACGTTCACAGTTAAAAACTTCTCAACGCAAGTCTTGGTTGGTCGGGGAGGCATTCATTACTAGTGCTGACATGGTTGCCCTGTGTATTCGTCAAATTCGTTCTGCTATCGGCTCGGCCATTTTGAACAAGTTCCACACGCAGTCGGCGTGTGCATCGTTTTGTTCACAAAGACCATCGAAACGAACGTGTGAAAGATCCGCCGGTGAATTCGTGATTAATATAAAGCTGTCCTTTCGCACAGCGGCCACTAGGGCCGCATAGTATGACACGGCTCGCCTGTTTAAAAATATGTGCCTTAACCAAAGCGTCTTTACTTATATAATTGCCAACTCGTACTACAGCGAGTGTTCCCTCGCGAGGGAAAAATCAGAAAGGCAAGATCGTTGATAAATTGTATTTCTGTCGCGGTCCATGTCTTATATATGAACGTGGAATTCACAACAATTCGGACAGTTCTACGCCGACTGAACGTTTAGAAAGTATATTTGTTTAAACAGATACACAAACTCCGGTTCCTTACCTTTTCGCAATTTCTCTGAGGGCAGGTTATATAAACTCTGACTGAGTTCGCTCCACCAGACGTACAACCTGTGCAAACAATCCTAGAAGACATCATCCCATGTGGAAAATAAGATGCTGCACTTATATTGACCACCGTTGCTTGTGCGTGACCGAGGAATATCCGTTTATTTGCATTGAGTACTTGCCCAGCTGCATTGGTCGAATCCCTATCTCTACGGATAATAATATATTTTGACATGCTAGGTTCCTAAGGCTTTACCAGTAGGAAGGATAGCGATCTACAGAAACAACCATGACGAAGATCTCCCTCCGCCAAGTGCGATCAGTTCGACTTGTTGGTTGATTTGTACGACCTAAAATCACCTAGGGCTAGCACGATTGTGATCTGGTTAAGAGAGCGGAATGTCAGCTATAGTGCGCAAAATAGTGTTTATCTAATTTGTTCTTGGCTTCCACTTATGTCTGAATTCAAGCTGATAAACAAAATCTGCCTCCTGTAGTTTCAGCCGCCATTCCAATTCTAGGCCAGTTCCATGGGCTATTCCTGATACTCTCCTTCGACGGGCTTTCATCGATCAAAACTTTGTGCACAGGAACAATTTCGAACTGGAAAAGTTACGCAATGCGCGACGGCTTGAAGTAGTAGACGGAAGACTGTCGGTGGCGGGACGCATCACCCAGTTGACACGAATAACCATCAAAATGCAAGGACATCGAGAAATCCTGCCATGCTTCGTGACGAAGTTGAGCCACCAGCCAATCGTCCTTGGTATACCGTGGCTCTGGGGGGAAGATTGTTGTGGCCCCCACAAACTCCGCTTTCCTCTTCTTTCTTTACAATTGTCACTACTCCGTATTGTTCTATGAATTGCCAAGATCATCTCAGGATTGTATGTATTTTGAATCGATCTGATCTCCTTTGAACTTCTCACTGACTGAATGGTTAGGGTATCCCGTGTTCTGCTCTGCCATCGAGTCGGCCTTTAGTGCGGGTCGGTCGGCCGTTCAAGCTTCATGATGCGACAGTCTCGTGGAAGAAGAATACGTTAACGTTTCATCCCGACTCTTGCCCTCAGAGCTGTAGGATTGGACAACGGATCGAGATATGTGGAGTCTCCAAAGAAGATCAAACAACGAAGCCTACGAAAGCGACGGAGGGGACACCCGCGCTCGACATTTGCATGATCGGGGCCTCGACCTTCTTTTGCCTGACAGACAAAGCAAGGAAGAGCCACAAGGAGTTTACTATTTTTGCTGCTTCTCTGCAAGACATCGAAAAAGCCCTGGCCCCTAAGGAGAAGATTGAACCAAAAGAGAAGCTCCCGCCGGAATATCATGAATTCCTTGACGTGTTCTCCCAAAAGGAAGCTAGCAAACAGTTGAAGGAAGGCTCCGAGCCGCCATTCGGCCCTCTCTACGATATGTCCCGAGACGAGCTCCTCGTCTTACGAGAATACCTGGAAGAAAATTTAGGAAAAGGATTCATCCGAGCCTCACGATCACCAGCCGCGTCCCCGGTGTTGTTCGTTCGAAAACCTGGAGGCGGACTGCGATTCTGCGTCGACTACCGAGCCCTCAATGCACTCACAGTAAAGAATCGATACCCGATTCCACTGATCCGGGAGCCACTGGACCGGCTCTGCCGAGCTCAGTATTACATCAAACTGGATATCATTGCAGCTTTCAATCGTCTTCGCATTGCCAAGGGAGACGAATGGAAGACTGCTTTCCGGACGAGATACGGATTGTTCGAGTACCTTGTGATGCCCTTTGGGCTGACAAATGGCCCTGCTTCCTTTCAACACTACGTCAACGATGCTCTACGGGAATACCTTCACATTTTTTGCACCGCATACTTGGACGATATTTTGATCTACAGCAACTCATTGGGCGAACACAAGAAACACGTTAAGCAAGTCCTGCAACGTTTCAAAGAGCATGGATTACAGGCCGACATTGCGAAGTGCGAATTCCACGTACAGGAAGTGAAATATCTCGGCCTCATCGTGAGCACTGACGGGATTCGGATGGACCCTGCGAAAGTCTCCGCCGTGGCGGAGTGGCCGACCCCTCAGAATGTCAAGGATGTTCAGAGTTTCCTCGGATTTGCGAATTTCTACCGACGATTTATCCAGGGGTTTGCGAAGAAGGCCGGCGCACTCACCCGATTGACGAAGAAAGATACCCCATTCGTATGGGATGTGAGTTGCGAGACAGCATTCGAAGAATTAAAGAAAGCATTCACATCGGCACCGACTCTACGACACTTTGACCCCGAAAAGCCTAGCACGATCGAATGTGATTCATCGGACTATGTCAATGCAGGCTGCTTGTCACAGCCCGACGCAGACGGAACCCTGCACCCAGTTGCATTTTGCTCTCGTAAACTGACACCGGCGGAATGCAATTACGATATCTACGACAAGGAACTCATGGCTGTGGTACGATCTTTTGAAGAATGGCGAGCCGAACTGGAAGGCGCAGAGACTCCAGTACAAGTGATAAGCGATCACAAGAACCTGGAACATTTCATGACGACCAAGCGCCTCAGTCGGCGCCAGGCACGATGGAGCGAGTTCCTCTCGCGGTTCAACTTCAAACTCATCTACCGCCCAGGGGCCCGAGGTGGAAAACCGGACGCTTTGACGCGACGATCATCGGATACGCCACAGACCAATGAGGACGAAAGGCAACAGCATCAGAACCAGACGGTGATCAAGCCGCAAAACCTATCACCGGGGATGCATCCCCTATCTCTGAAGCAGAACATGTTGAGCGAAGGCCATGATGATACGCAACGACCCCTCGATGATTTGATCGCCGCTGCTTATACGAGAGATCCGATACCGGGAAAGATTAAGGAAGTTATGGAGGCACACGAACGGCAGCTACCGACAGAGCTGGCACGACTGAAGATCCCAATTCATGATATGGCAGAACGACACGGAAGGTTATACGTCAAAGATCGAATGTTTGTTCCCGACGACGATGAACTACGCCTACGACTCCTACGATCGTGCCATGACAACGCCGCCGCAGGGCACCCAGGAAGAGCCAAGACCTACGAGCTACTCTCACGACACTACTACTGGCCCAGAATGGGTCAAACTGTTCAACGATACGTACGCAATTGTCATATTGCAAGGTGGGAAGACATAGCAGTAGACTTCATTGTTGATCTGCCAAGGAGCAAGAACGAGACGACGGGCCAAATTTGCAAGAACATCATGGTCGTGACCGACCGGCTTTCGAAACAACGACATTTCATTGCATGTGGATCTACGGACGCGAAGCACACGGCACGGCTGTTCCTACACCACGTCTGGAAACACCACGGCCTGCCAACAACGATAGTGTCAGACCGAGGAACGCAGTTTACCTCTCGCCTTTGGCAGCGGCTCTGCCAGAGACTAGGGGTTTCCACAAAACCCTCCACGGCGTACCACCCCGAAACGGACGGACAATCGGAGAACTCCAACCAAGGCCTAGAACAGTACCTCCGGGCCTATGTCAATTATTCACAGGATGACTGGGTCAACTGGCTGCCACTTGCCGAATTCGCGATCAACAATCACAAGAGTGCAACCACCGGAGTTACCCCGTTCTATACAGTGTACGGGCAACACCCTCGAATGGGACATGAGCCACCCCAAAACACGCAAGCTACCCCCGAAGCAACAGATAGATGTTAAGGCCGCGGACGCTTTTGCCAACGAGATGGCAAGATTGACAGAGATCTTACGCACGGAGATGACCTTGGCTCAAGCACGACATGCCGAATATGCGAATGAGCATCGAACGACCGCACCGCACTTTCGTGAAGGAGACGAAGTGTGGTTGGAGACGAAGAATCTGAGTAAGGAGAGACCAGCGAGAAAACTCTCGGAAAAGTTCATAGGACCCTTCCGCATTGTGGAAGCCATGGGTCCAGTCACATATCGACTGGAGCTCCCTCCGGCATTGAGGATTCACGATGTATTCCACGCGAGTTTGCTCCGCCGGGCAGCCTCAGGTCCTCTCCCTAATCAGAACGCGTCAACGCAACCACGAGTCAAATTGAACAAGGATAACATGGAAGGGAAAGAATGTATGGTCGAGAAGATCCTGGATTCACGCATCACCAAGAACCGACACGGAAAAAGAAGACTGGAGTACTATGTCAAATGGAAAGGCCACCCTCCTTCGTGGCGACCTCAGTCAGATTTGGTTCCTGGCAGTGGTGAGCTCCTGTACGAATTTCACAGCCAGAACCCGGAGCGGCCTTCGCCAACTGAGCTATGGCGTCGCAGGAGCTCCTAGTTGTATAGGAGGGGGGTAATGTCACAGATATACATGAAGCATACACGATGAGCGGAGGAAGTATGGTGTGGCGGACCCACATAGCTTATCTGGGTTCCCCTGAACGCGAGGAAGCTCCTTTTCTTTTGCTTCCTCGCGCTACGTCTTGTATCTAGAGTCGACTATAGCTGTTCTTAATATTGATCTTTCATCTCGAGACGCTATCTACCTCTACGCATACGTGAGACCCTCACAGGTCGCCTGGATCTCCTGAGACGTTCGGTGGGCGTCTCATATGAGGTCGTACTTTTGACGTTTATAAGCTCCACTTGGTGTACCGCGGCAAATTTGTGGAAATACGAGGCCACACCCTGCAGCGTTTTGCCCTTGTCTATAAACAGTGGACAGCCGAGACCTGGTAAGCCTTTGATGAACAGGGTCAACCCGGGCGCACCGTTGTCTCGGTATAAACCACTGCAATTGCCTGGTGAAGATGGATCTCAGTAAATCGACTAAATCTACCGCATTAGCCGGAGCACAAGGCAGGAGATCACGTACCTTGTCTTCTTGCAAATCGAATTGGTTTGACAAGGTCTCTTGAACTTCGTCAATACATGACGGTGAAGTATTTTTGACTGTACCTGTTGATGTCATCTTATTCAAGCGCTTCATCAATGAGAAATCGAAGTTTCTCTCGTACTGCAGTAAACAGAAAACAAATTACCCACCTTGTTTGTTCTGCACTCTCGGACTTGGCAGTACGGATTGGCTGAATCTAACACTCCATTAGCTTTCAAGAATCTGCTTTGTGACGTACCTTCGTATGAAAGTGTCTCCCCAGCGCTCTCTGTATATGTGTATAGAACTCAAATTTGGTCCTACATAAATGTTAGTAATAACGCTAGGAAGGGATACTTCCCCAGACCACCCGAATATCCGGTTTCCACAAGTCAGAGACAATCTGAGTTTCGGGTTAGTTCGATAATATGCGCCCTATATACCGGTTAGCAACAAGGTTGGGAAAAGAATGATTGTGTTTGCACCTGTATGGTTAGTAGATCACGATGATTTCTACACAGCAGTAAGTCGCTCCAGTAGCAGCTGAGAAAGGGCATTTGACTTAGCTGGAGTAGTAAGGCGTGTGGGGCTCGAACTCGGACCTGAGCGAGTTTGTTAGTTTGTTCGGGGGGGTAGTTGACAAAATTGATGCACTCATCTTGTTATACGCCAGTGATGATCAAAGTAGCTTTCCTATACTTTGTCCTAGAAATAAAGATGGCCCCTAGAACGAACTGTCAGCTTTGGATGGAAAACTTACTAATGTTGGAGAGGTAATACCTAGAGTACGATTGGCCTCGCGTAGTCTCTGAAGATACCCCTGGGAGCCACGAGACTGTGCTGTTGAGTCTGAAGTCTATCTGGAACGGAAACTGGAGGGCATTATATCGACTTGTCCTGACAATGATCCGCACAATGGCATTTTGCGCTTTCATCGAGTGTCATCATCTAATCCTTGTTGACTATGTGTGAGATTGTCTTGAATAAAGTGCAACGAAAATATGTTCTATCAAAGCAGAGCATGAATGAACTGGATCATCTCGGTGAAACTGCATACAATGGCGGCTTGGAGGCACCCACTGTCCATAGGCCCGTGCCGCATCTACAAAGAACGACTTCGGGAAAATGAAACTCGGATCTACAGCATGTATGCCTTAACATCCTCGAAAGTTGCTTTTGGTCTATCTACATCAAATCTATGCGCTCTATCTTGAATGACTCTTTTCAAGACATGCGAGTTCTCGTTACAAAGACAACGCAGTGTCTATCACGCCATCTAAGAATTCTCTATATGCGCACCCCTCCAACCTCCTTGCCCTCGGGCACCTTGACAGAGTCCCGCTCAGCAGTACTGAGCTGAAGACCCTGGTTATCCCAGCCTTGTGTACCAATCATGTATAGGGTCTTCTGCTGCTCACGGTCGGGAGTAGGACCAGTCTTGCCACGGCGCTCGCGAGACTCTCCAGTCTCGATAAGAGTAGCATTGTCGCCGTCTAGTGGGTGGCCATCCAAGTCATGCTTGTGCTCTTCGTCGCTGAAAGTGAACGTGCGGTATTCGGTGTTCATCCAGCCGGTACCTGCGTAGATATGATTAGTTCCTGCAGCTCCAGAACGTGGCTCTAGCTTATATGACATACCCTGGAACTCGCTGCTATCTTCCCAATCCTCGGTGAAGTAGTGCAAGAATCCACCATGTGTTACCATGACGATCTCCTTCTCGGGTCGAGCCTTCAACCACCGGCGTGCAGCGCGTGCACGCTCCTTCAATGCTCCATTACGAGGCGCATAGCGACCTTCCTGGGGTTCGCAAAAGAGTATTAGCTAGATTTATTGCAGAGTGTCTCGCTGTCCCGACAAACCTTGTTGTTCCACCCTTCATGCACCAACCCCAAGTCCACGTTTTTTCCCGCGAATTCTTCCCGCAGAACTTCCGGGTCACTGCCGGTGTCACAAGGCACGTCGGAGGTTTCTTGAAGATCGGGCAGAGCAATAAGCTGCATGTCGGGGTGAGACTTGAACACAGGCTCAAAGCTTTCCAACGCTGTGTAAATGGTGCGACGCAGTGGCGACGCGGTCACCAAGTCAACATAGGCATGGCGGGGGAAAGATTCTTGGAGCTTGCGGCATTGCTCATGGCCAAGGTCTGTGAGGAGGGGATCAGGGATGACATGATTTTCGGTGCAGAGGTTGTGGACGCCCTGTGAAAAAGGGTATTAGCTCAATTGAAGCAGACTTTCACGGAAGTATTTGTAAGTCCGCGTGAAGATTGGCGCTAGGTTCTGTATAAAGCTCAGGGGTGCAATATGCGACGTACCTGGGCGTGCCGGACGCAGTGGATGATCGGGGCCATGTCGAATGTAATTACCGAACGACAAGGCAAGCTATGGGTTTGTTTAGCTGTTGTAGACAGCTGGCGATTGAAGCACCTTGGGAGCGCCTCTTATCGGAACGTGGGGCAGCGGGGGAAAATAGAGGCGCAGGCTCGACAAAGGCAGATGGCAGTTTGACTTACAATGATCGACAGTTCAAAGTAATTGCAAGGAGCTGTTACCAACCTTGATCTATGAAAGAGGTTGCAAGGCGAAGAGTCATCGGAGGTCAGCACTCCGCCATCTTTGGGCGTTGCCACAGTTGCTCAGATCGCTTCATGGCGAACCACACGCCGCAACTGGGGCCGATGCGAGTGGAATGCATTTGATTTGTCGGCCAACTTGGCATCTTGAAACTCCACATGCTCTGCGAAACATTCAACGGAAGGTCGGCCGGTACTTGCTCAGCTGTGCATAAAGCTCATAATATTTTAAAAGTCTAAAGATGGTTCCTCATTTTATTTCACACTTAAGCTCGACATACATATCAACTACAAGGTAAAATCAGAGCCTCAAGTGCTGCACAACGACATGCTGCTTTCCATTCCAGGCATTTATAGAACAAGAAAATGGCTATGTACATCCTTCGAGTGGTTCCTCGTAGTCCCGCGACTACGCAACGCCGAATCCTCGCGCGTTTTCAAGTGCCTTATCAAGCTTTTCAGCGAGGGCCTTTTTACAAGAGTACTCCGGTAACAAGAGACGACCGAAACACGTCAAACTTGTCGGAAGACGCTAAACATGAGATTAGCATGGAATACCAGAAACGAAAAGGAGTGACTACTTACCATATCTCCCACACCATTCTTTTGAATGACGAACATGATGCTGGGGATTCCATTGACTGGAATACGGTCACTGGCAGTGACAAATTCCAAAAGTTGTGCTTTCTTCTCTGGCGAGTACTGCTGGACAACGCTCCAGAAGTCCCGGATGACGCGGTGATCGGGCCCGAAGCCACCTTCATAGCGGGCATGGTTTTCAAGCTCCTTGATGTCGATTTCATGGAGACCCTCGACGACTGTCTTCAGCGCCTCCGGGGTGAATATAGACAGAGCCGACCGGTCAAGACAAGTTTGGAAGCCTCGAAGGAACGCTTCAAATTGCGGTCGAACTGACTTATCAGTGAGCCAAAAAATGTAATCCTTGACGAATTGTTGGCGATTATCGTTCGTCACAAGAGCGGCATCATCGCTTGGAGGAGTTGGAGACTGCATTGACAACGATTCGGGCATGGATGTTGTTGTCTCCTCAGTCGCTTCAGCTGTCGTAGATGAAGGAGGGCTCAACATTGCCGGTTCGGCAGAAGGCATCTTGGACAACGCTGTGGGATGACTGACGGGAACAGGCCATATTGCATCCCGACCAACCTTTTGCATATCAATCGTCTCGACCTGACCAAATGACTCAAAACTGAACTCATAGGTGCGCACAAAGATATCACCAACATCACCGTCCTTCCATTCAAGGAGTGAGCTGAGACCCTGAGCAAGTTCAGGCCAACCGTCCTTGATGTGGTCCAAGTGTTTCACCTTGAGGCCCAGTAGCTTTCGATAGAAGGCAACTGGGAAGTTAATTGGGAGGGTGAGACCGTTGTAAACAGCAATGGACATCAGCAAGCCAAGGAGTTCAAACTTGTACAGCGGCTCAAAAGAGCAGGGCCGGAACCAGGAGATACGGTGTCGGCTATCCATGGTGAACATGCCGTAAGCTGGATCAAGCGCTTCCGCCATGAGCACGCGGAAATATTCTTGTTGCACACCGCCATGATCCAAGCCTTCTTCACCCTCATCCATTCCCATCTGGACCTTGAGAGGGCGCATCAGCTCTCGTCTTTCTCGCCGCCAGAGCTGGTTCAGACTATCTGTCAGAACATTGTCACGTCTGACGGAAATAACGAGGTAGGTGGACATGGAAACTTTCATGCGAGCCAAGAGTGCAGCATCGTTTGTGATATGGATGTTGCCAAACGCAGTTTGAGTGACATGCCTGGTTGTGGTCATGGCGGCCTCAAAGTACTTGGTCATGGCGGAGTGATTGAGAGCGCGGAAGTATATAACCAGAGATGATGGCGGGAAAAGGAAGGGGTATGACAAGAGATGCATGGTACGGTTATTTGGAAGGTTGCCAACCCACGCAATGGGCATCTCAAGGGGGTCCAGCCGCTCAGCGAGAATTGGTGTTTGGAAATCTTCGGGGCTCAGCTCCAAGCGGTTTCGTTCTTTATACATCATGGCCATGATCTGTATGGCGCCACCAGAAGCACTGCTGCGTGCCATCTCCGGGTTACCATCCCATTCCCGCAAGAAGAGTGTTCGAAGCCACTCCAGAATCAAGTGGGCAGGTCCAGTTGTTTGTGATGAATGAGCATCAGTCGCGTGATGCTGAGAGTCGTAATGATCGGTGAGGTTATCAATGATACGGTCTAATACGCTGATTTTGCGTTGCTTTGGTAGATCAAGTGAGTAAACTTGCCGCGCTTTAGAGATTTCGTGATATGCAAGGCGTGCAGTAAGAGCCCGGACGAGACGATTGACCAATCGGAGACCCAATTCATGCTCAAGCCTATCAGTTGCGTCGACAGCTTGTTGGGCACGTTCCGGGGATAGCTTTTGCATGTCTGCCGACGAAGCAACAGTGCCTGCAGCACGCATTCGTGATATCCCTCGCCAGGTCTGCGAATCGAGGTCTGGCACAGAGCCAACTAGGACGAAGAAGGCAATCGTTGCAATGTAAGCAGCGTCGGCGTCCGACAGGTGCCCCTCGGGTGCGGACTCGGATAATCGTCGTACTGCTGGTGGGGGGAGCGGCAGAACTGGTCATGGTAGAACTGCGGGATGAACGACGCGAAGCTCTGGCCGAGGAAGTAAACTCAGCTGGGGGCAGGAATAGTTTATCGAGACCGGACCACAAGCTATGCAACGCAATGTCCCATGGGCAAATGGTGAACAGGCGCTGTAAAGAGCCTCGGAGATTCGGAACGTCCAGACGATTGTCTACTTGTGTCCCTGATAATCTAGTCGAGCCAGTTAAATCCTTACCAAATGATAGCAGCATTTGTTTGGCATTGCTGAAGACAAAGAAGACACTTTGTGCAACGAAGGGAAATACCTCACGTTGGCGAGGTGTGGCAAATCGCCAATCGGGGTTATCGAAACTTCCCATCGACTGAATCCTATCGAGCTCTTCTTTCCAGTGGTCTGCCTCATCATCGGACTCAATGATGATCCTCTCGAGGCCGTTGATAATCTCTGGAGTAAGATGAGTGACTGTCTGGGCCAGAGGGTCCTGGTCACGAGTGCTCCGAGAAGACCTGTGTTTGGTTTTGGGATCACTGGGAGAATCTATATCGACATGGGGCTTCGGCAGAGGAGGTTTGGGATGACTCGGAGACTCTTGGAGCAAAGGCTCATGCAGGATTTTCTCGCTGTCCCAAGAAACCCTCCTTTGGGCCTTGGACCTTTCTTTCGGGCGTGTATTGTCCAAGCTGTCGATTCTTCCACGATGCTTTTGCGGCCGATGTTTCAAAGCCGGGGGCGAAGGAAGACTCGCAAACTCATTGGACGTCATATGAGAACCCACGGATATTTGCTTATTCTTAAGCTCGGGTCGCTTCTTCTCGTCCAGGCTGTGCCATGAGGACTGTCGCCAGTTTTCCACCTCGCTGAGTGACAGCCGTTTGACATGCTGGTTTTGGAACTTGAGTTCGACAGCGGCTGGCTGGGTCCCGGCATTCCGTGAAGATGGCGTACGAGGTGGTACATTATGTGATTGAGAGAAAGTGGAATCGTCTTTGGTTGATTGCCGCTTCTCAGCCTCTTTTTCTCGGTGACCTCGTCGTTTGTCGGAGGTTGTATGTGTGCTATTGGGCTGTAACCCTGCATGCTTTGCTTTCGGCTGGAAGGTCTTGGGCGCTCGACGAAGTGGAAGCCACTCGACCATACGTAAGGATATCGTGTCGAAGAGGTTTTGGGTGAAGGATTTCGGGTCTTTGAGCGGTTGCTCAACCGTGTAGTCAAGGTCCTGCCAGTAGTAATTGTTTGTTGCAGTACCGGGATATGATTCCGGTCCATCTTCATGGCTCTCTAAAGCCAATCCATCTTCCTGCGAGGGGCATAATGTATTCTTGACCGCATCCTCGGGAACTTGACTCTGATCATCTTGCGGGAGCCTGCCCGACTCGGTAGTGGCAGCCGCCCCAGCTTGGGCCTGAAACGCACGGGATCGCTGATTTGAAATGCGGTGGTAATCATTAATGGTTAATTCAGAGGAATATCTCGGGTTGTTACGACATAGTCCACTCTCCGCGTCATCCAGACTGGCGAGATAACAGGCAAGAGTTCGGGCGCTAAGTTCCGTATAGCGGCGATATGGACCTTCGCTGACTCGTCGGCGACGGCTGGCACAGGTTGGAGTAAGACATCCGGGATCGTCACATCCATGCAGTAACTGGTTTTTGTATCTTTCCACCAAGGTCCGTCAGCTCGGGTCCGAAACGACACTTTGTTCGAGCCACCGCTCACCTTCGTACTAGTATATTAAAGCGCCGTCTGCGTTCATCTCGGTACCATGGAAGGACCTGTGATGGGTGCGATACCTCGACCGTGTTTTGTACGACGACTTCTGGTGCATTTGGGGGAATCTTGGACCGACAGAACTGGTGTCGCTCGGCGCTGCCGTGTCGCTTCGTGTCGTGGGATTCAAGTGAAGCTCCGCGGAGCCTTGTCATTGTGAGAAAACCCGTCGCATACCCCGATGAGACGAGAAAAGATGTGGAGATTGGGAGTCGGAAAAGAGCAATCGACCTTATGGCTGCGCAAGCAGATGCTCAGCTTACCTGATATCATCAGAGCGAACCGTGGCCTGAGGCAGGAAATCCGGGGACTCGGTGATCTTTTGATCCGAGTCACGTGTGGAGGCGGCATTCGGCCCAAAAAGGGTAAGCGGCGTCTTCTGTGCGATGGTTGATAAGGGTGGTTTACAAATCTGGTTCGGACGATTTCACATCCCTACATGAGTTTGATGTTGAACTGATGCTGCCAGAAATATATTTCAAAGGAAGTTCTTTCATTTTCTTCTAGCTTCTGAAAATTTTATCCCTCAGATATCGACTTGAAGCAAGCGAAGAATCCACCTTTGACAGATATTTCATCATACCCCGCCTGCGATAAATCTTCGATCCACACCCACTTTTTTTTCTGCTCAAGGGAAACTCTACCGTTACAACTTCTTGTGATATTTGAGAACAGGAAGTCATGTCGACAGCTACTCAGACTGCTGCTTCCGCGGCTAACCTTCCATACACTTGCAATACCTGCCTTGTTGCTTTCCACCGCAGCGATGCGCAAAGGGATCACATGCGCAAGGACTGGCAGTAAGTGGCCCCGCATACAGCGATTCAAAAGCAGCTGCTGATAACATCATTTAGCTTGTACAACATGAAACGCCGTATCGCTGCACTACCGCCGGTCTCCCTCGAAACTTTCAACGAAAAAGTTCTTGCCGCCAAAGCCACAACCAGCGAAGCTGCCGCGAAGGCCTCTTTTGAGAAGACCTGCCATGCTTGCCAGAAAACTTTTTTCAGCGAGAACTCCTACCAGAATCACGTCAAGAGCTCCAAGCACAAGCAACGTGAGGCGCGTTTGAGCAAAGAGGGCGATGCTGCGTCCGTCATGAGCTCCACATTCTCGCTTGGAGAGCCTGTCAAGTCTCACGACGAGGTCTCCCACGTCACCGATGGTCTTCAATCCGCTACCATTCAGGAAGACGAGGAGGCTGATGACGAGGACATGCACAAGGAAGAGTTCTCGACCGCTCGCTGTCTGTTCTGCCGTGTCGACGCGGCTGATGTTCACACTAATGTCGAGCACATGAAGAAGAAGCACGGAATGTTCATTCCCGAATGGGAGTACTTGGCTGATCTGGATGGTCTCATCAAATATCTTCACCGCAAGATTAACGAGAACTTTGAATGTCTTTACTGCCATGCCATTCGCAACAATGCCGCTGGATGCCGCGCTCACATGAATGACAAGGGCCATTGCATGATTGCTTTCGAGACTGAAGAGGAGCAGATTGAGATTGGACAATACTACGACTTCCGAAGCACTTATACTGACAACGAGGATGAGGGGATGGAGGACTCGCCTGACAAGAACGGTGGAGTTAAGGTCTCTGATGGAGATGACGAGGGTTGGGAGACAGACGCCTCTTCTGTCGACGAGGAGGAGGAGATTGACTCGAACCGCAAGCAACCTCTTGTCTACCAAGATGAATACGAACTTCATCTTCCTTCTGGCAAGAGCGTTGGCCACCGCTCGCTTGCTAAGTACTATCGTCAAAATCTGCACAGCCACCCTTCACCCGACGAGCGTGCCGCTCGCCAGCTTGCTATTGAGAACGGCGAGATTGAAGCCGATGAAGAGAAGCCTCGTGGCCGCAACCAACACCGTGCTCTTATCACTCGTGCCAACGGTGGTACGGGTATGATTGGCGCCACGGAAGAGCAGAAACAGACGGTTCTTACCTCCGAGCGACGCGAGAGAACTCGCGCTCTTCGCCACGAGAATCGCTATGTGGCCCGTGTCCAGCGAACCAACAACAACCAGAAGCACTTCCGCGATCCCCTTCTCCAATGATCGGTTCAACGCTTGGTCCATCTTTGCGAAATGTTGTTCTTTATCCTTTTCACAAAAATCTCCTTTCCGGCGCTTCTCTCAGTCGTCCATTAGCAATATGCGTGTCGACATCTTCAGCAAGCACATAAGGAAGAATTCACCAGCCACAATCCCAACACCCAATTTCCCCTTACCCGACTTGTCACTCGCGGGCTGCTAGAGACTCTCCGAAGTCGAATCCAGCATCGAGTTATTGGGTACTCTCTTTCGGTGTCGGGCCATTAACACCTTTGTCTCCAAGCGGAGTCATCCTTCTCGCTAGGTTGTACAAGGCCTCATTGACCCAACCACCAACCCTGCATATCAAGGCCACAAGCACACATGCTTTCCAATGTTTCATGATATAATCCTTCCACGGTGAAGCATGTGTGTATACGTCAGCATACTCATGGTTCTTGTGTCTTTTTTCGGGGCGTTTGCCATTTTTAAGTAGCATGAAAAGCATGATTATGATCACGAGTCAATTTTGAACTTTTACTTTCTCGCATTGTCCGTAGCGTGGGACTCAGCACTAGTCAGTCTCCAGATTCAGCGGTCTCAACGATGATCTGACTAAAACATCGATCAAATAAAATTCCATGCTCGAGTATATTAACTTTATGTAGTTCTATGAATCGCTGTGATAGATAAGGTCTACAAGAATTCATACCACTGCGGGTTAATTGGTGAGTAATCGCAACACGGTCTTTGTTGATCGCAATAGTATGATCTCACTCTCACTTATCCTTTACTAACCGTGACTGCATTTTCGTGACTGTGACTGCTTTTAGCATCTTAATGATTAAGACAAAGACTCTGTCGTGGTCCATTCAATCGGCAGAAGGATAGTATGCAAGTGAGAGACCTACCCAGCCTTGATAAATGTCGAAATCCGTCGCCGAGAATATCCGAGAAAGAAGTTCTAGCAAGAAAGAATGGGACTATGCCGGTGGTTCACCGAGTGCTTCCAGAGCCAACCTCTGGCGCAATGATTATAGGTACAGGGGCCTGCTACATGTTGCTAGTCTCCTAATGAGTCATTGGATTTGAACGGGCTTTCATAGCAACGTGGAGGGGCGGTATCAAGCATATCCATAGAAAACGTCAATTAAGCCAATAGGATAATCAGTCGCATCAAAAATAGACTTTGATGCCAGAAAAGGTACGTCCTAGATGGTATGTTAGGACTGAGATCTGCCCTTGTCTGGGTTGATCAACTTACTCCTCCGCTTACTGATGCTCTTACGCAGGCTCAAGAAGTTAAGCTAGTCAACTTCTCAGTATACGTCTTGTACGTTCACTGAAGTAGAGATAGTCTCAATTCATCACTTATTACCATTGTTCAATGCTTACTTCAACAGATTGTGGGGTCACTCGGTAAAGGCTTATACCTCCATCCAGTAGCCACTGGTCGCCACGGACGCCCTCCAAAGTTGAGTGTCTGTATTGCTCTGGCCTCATATGTCACGATAGCTGATATTCCAGCTTATTTGGTAAACATGATTCACAGGAAAATGAAACATGCAATTCAATCTTCGTTGTGCAAAGACCTTCCACACACTCTCCAGAAAGTTGTTGAGAAGGAATAATATGATCGGAGTATTAGCAATATCGAAGATTAAGTCACTTGGCCTGTAATTCTCAGTTGTTCTCAGATCCGCCAGATCTACAGAAAGAGCACGGATGTTTCTCTATCTATCCTCATGCCTCGGCAATCAAATGCAAGCTAGATCCAAGTGGGTCTTTCCGTGGCTCCGGCTTAACAAGATGCGGCTATTGGAAGCCAAAGCAAACCCAGCCCCTGACGAGATCTTGCATCACCGTGCAGTGAGTAAGAGACTCCAGGCACTTGCATGCCCGAAACGACATCCCCAAACAATCTATACCAGTTCCTCTACCATTTGCGACTTGGGACTGGTAAAGTAGGACTCAGAGACAAATTGTCGGTCTGTTACTGGACTCGTGTCCGATCCCCACTCTCGGTGCTTCTCCGCGGACCTTTGATCCTGAGCTTATCCTCTTTTCTTCACTAACGCTGTCTCCCGCCTCTCACTTGATCGTCAACTCTGTCTCGATCCGGCATCAAGACGCCAATGCGGATGATTCGCCAGCTTTACGCGATGCCCCTCGACTGAGAATCTTCTGCAGACCATGGTGGGGGTACCACACAGTACCGGCTGTGCTCTGTGTCGTGAAAGACACATCAAGGTAAGCGCGCTCTTGTGGGGTGGATCTTCCCATCCCGCTTTACAGGATCGTCGCTGACGCGGCATCGCAGTGCGATGAGGCGGTTCCTGAATGTACTCAATGCCAGCGATATGGTAAATCCTGCCCTGGATACCGTCGCACCTTCCGATTTCAAGATGAAGGGCCTAATCTGGAGAGGCGACATCGCTCGACGACGCGGAGGAAGCCCCGCCAGGTGTCCAGGGGACCATCGACCTCGCGAACAGCTAAATCGGCATCAGCGCCAGCGTCTACGCAGGCCAAACCTGTCAAAAGACCCGAACATTCGGATGCTGCTAGCGCAGCAGATATAGTTCGGGAGAATGCGATCGCGTTAATGCGACGTCACTCAACAGTCGCTCTGGACGAGAACTTATCGCCGTCACTAGTGCGCAAGTCATTTCAAGCGGCGCAACCACAATTATTCCTGGATTTCATCAGCGCATCGTTTCCAACGCTTTATTTCCACAATCGCTTTCGCGCCGGCAGTGACCCGGGGTTTGCCGAATTCATCGTTATGAACTTTGGCGCCGACGCCTATCTTGATTCTGCCATCTGCTGCTTAAGTTCTGTGTACCTGGCGCATCTAACACAGGACCCCGTTCTACTTCAAACGAGTCGACGACTGTATGGACTGTCCTTGAGTGAGGTAGTTCGCGCCCTTTCAAAACCCCAACACGCCATGTCGGATAATATGCTCTGTACGGCGATGATGCTGAGTGTTTATGAAATGTACGCCCAGACCAGTCCCGAAGCTTGGGTCGTGCACTCGGACGCCGTCAGGCGGCTTATGGTGAGTCGAGGCCCTCAAGCACATCGAACTGGATTTGGGCGATCATGTTGGATCGCTTTCCGGGGGTTTCATATTGCTACAGCCGTGTACCAGGGTAAACCCTGCTTTCTCGATGGCGAGGAGTGGCAAAGCTACTCCGAGTATATCATGTCTGAAGACTGCCAGAAACCAGGCGAGTGGTCTGCCTATGCAGTCATCTCCGACAAGGTCTTTATGGAGATTGCACGGTGTCCACGATACATCAGCGAAAGTCGCGAGCTTCTATCTAGCGAAACGGAGAGTCAGGAGGCTATCGAGGCACTCATTCAACGAATCTCAGATACCTCGAATCGGCTGAAAACGCTAACTGCCGAGTTAAGCGCTTCTATCAACGCTCACAGCCAACGTCAACAAGGCATCATTCGGCGGCCGGGGACCTTTGTTGGCCCTGTCCCTGAAATCTTCCCCGAGACCGGTCCCTCGTTGCTCCTGCGTGGATCAGAGAATATTCAAGCAACATTACGCCAAATATCTACTCGTCTACAAGATAGACTGCGATTTCAACTTCTAGTAGGAGACTTCTCGCCAGAATCGGCGGTCGAATCTCCCCGGAGTGATGGTAGCGTGGACTCGCTTCCTTCAAGTGCCTCTTCTGTGATATCCAGACTACCTTTTCGGATTTACTCCGAGATTGGCCGTGGGCCATCGCACACTTCAGATCGCAACGACCCTCGTGCTGTCATCTGGCTGGATCGCGTCGCTTCTTCTATGGGAGTCTTGGGAACCAAAGTCATTGCTGATGATCCCGTTATTTGTCATGATGAGTCTCCACGAGAGGTTTCTGGTTCTCGGCATTGACAAGGGGCACATGTGTAGTTCTCTCTTTGTATTAACAATATCCTATGATTGTCATGTCGAGCACACATGTGCAGTCACAATTGAATTGTCCAATTTCTAGCAGATCGATGTTTTCGACTGTATATACAACATGCCGCATTCTCATCAAAACTCCTAAGCCCAACCTTCGAAGTTCAGATAGCCTAATAATCCAAAGACTCCTCCAGGAGCTTCCGTAACTCACCCCTCTCGGCCTCAAGCTCACCACTCAGGTTCGGCGCTAGCATCAACACACGCTGCTGGGGAATAGTGCCCTCAACCAGGCCCTCAACATCGGAGCTCTTGAAGCCCAGATCCTTCAATCCACGAGGCTGGTCACCCAGCTCAACCAAGAATTGAGCAATGGCTTCGCCGAGGACCTCACCAGCACTCTCCCGCTTGACGTTGGAGATATCAACCCCGAATGCCTCAGCAGCGGCCAAGTGGCGGTCTGGGTTCGAAGCACCAGTGAAACGGAAGACAGCAGGCGCGGTAACAGCGACGGAAACACCGTGAGGAATAATAGGATGATCGACCTGGTATCCCTTGTGCTTGTAGCCTGGGTTCTGACTGGAGATGGGGTAGCTCATGCCGTGGCAGAGGTGAACACCAGCATTACCGAATCCGACACCGGCGAGTGTAGCAGCGAGTAGCATGTTCGACTGCGCCTCGTGGTCTTCGGGATCCCTGACTGCGCGAGGCAGATATTTGACCGTGCTACGGAGTGCCTCGAGCGAGAAAATATCCGAGATGGGGTTTGCGCCCTGATATGCGGGTCGGTTGATGGGGTTCGTAGGGCGGGGAGTACGCTCGTGGTAGGGAATTGCGGTCCAAGACTCGAGCGAGTGACATAGTACATCGAGACCGGAGGCAGCGTGGACCGCTGAGGGCATGGTACGGGTGTTGAGGGGGTCGCAGATGCCGAGGGTGGGCTTCAGGTTGCGGTGGGCAATGCCAGTTTTGGCTTTCTTGGAGACGAGGTCGAAGATGGCGGTGCCAGTTGTTTCGGAACCGGTCCTGCTGTCGTCGGCACTGCGACGAGAGGTAGGAGTTTCTTGTCTACAGGTCGACCCTTGCCTAACGGCGCATTGACGAAGTCGAGGAAGTCGGCTTCCGGGTAGCAGTTGTATAGGTTCATAAGCTTCGCTGTATCGATGACGGAGCCACCACCTTGGGAAATTGATTAGTTGGGCTGCCTAACACCCTTAAGTGAATTGATTTTACGTACCAACAGCGAGAAAAGCATCGGGCTTGTATGGCTTGGCGAACGCAATAGCCTCCATGATTCTTTGCAACCCATGTCAGTAATGTACATTGGAAACGGCGGGACGGTGCCACCTACGAACTGTCCTTCGGCTCCGTGCGGACCTTGTCGAAGATAGTGAATTCAATGCCTTCCCTGGTCAGACCCTCAACAGCCTGTTTCATAGCATCAAGTTTAGCGACGTTGGAATCGGTCACGATGCAGACACGCTTGGCGCCCATGTTCGCAAAATCCATGCCGACTTCCTTGGTGCAGCCGGGGCCGAAGCGGATGCTCGAGGCAGCCATCTCGAACGCATATTCTTTCTCACGCGCCGGGTCAACGGGTGTAGCCAAGTGACGCTTAACATGGGTCATGAGAGATGGTGTACTTGTATTATGGTAGCCCGGGTTGCGGTGGCAGGGACAACTAGGCGGGTGTGTAAATTGAACGGTGCGCAGGAGATTCAGGGCGCGATTAGCAGCTGAGGGAGCTACCCTAATTGCCGGAGCGACCATTGTGATGTGACTTGGGAATAATTTGGAGGGGAAGTCGAAGGATGGAGGTTACTTAAGAGCCGAGGCCAATGAGGGAGTTGGGGAAATGGAGAAATGCGGGGAGTCGGCCGATTCGGTGATCTGGCCGAGGTCCCCAACTACGTAGTTGCTCGATTCGGATTTGGGGATCATTGTGAGATAAGGGGGGTTATGCTCATCTAGATGATTTGATTAAACGCCTTTCTTGTAGCGATTAGATGATTTTATGTAGCTGTCGCGTGTCCTAACGTCCCCTTCCGGCCGAACAACCGAGGTTCAACGACTGACATCAAGGACACCATCTAGGAAAATGGTCAAGCTTGTAGTCAAAGTGAAAGAAACGGGGCATTGAAGCTGTCCGTGGGAGCAAACAAATTAAGCTATCTAAGCTAACCATCGAGTGTGCAAGTCATAGGTAGCTAACGTTTCCAAATCTAGCGTAACTGGTCAAGGCCCCCTAGTCAGGAAGCTACCCAGTTAAGTAACTACCCCTTTTAGGTAATCCCCCCAGTTAGGAACCTTTGCCCCACACTATGTAGTTTCCTGTTCCATGTTTCACCGTTTTAATCAACACAGCGTCAGAATTAGATCCCCTGACGCATCCCGCATTCGAACCATGCTTCCACTAGGTTGAACCCCATTTGGCCAGTAAATCTCAGGTTCCGATGGATTCAGGGTAACTGGGTGCCCCGCGAATGGATCTCCGAACACGTCGGACAGGTCGTACCAGACACTGTCATCGGCCAAATTGTATGCGAAAACCGTCATGGGCGAGCTCGTGTACAGACCATCGTGCACAGTGCTGATCTTGAGCGCAATGCCGCCGCGTTCTGGGTCATGGCGATAGGTCTCGAAGAAACTCCCATTTGGGAGAACTGTGGCTTGGGGCCGAAGGGTCGATCCTACAGACCAGATGTAGATTGGCACACTGCAGTGATTTTCAATCATGGCTCGTCCGAGGTTCCCGACGCTGTTAGATGTGGGTGTTTGAGTCGGGGTTGGAGTGGGAAGTGGAAGTGGCATAATGGGGTCCGACGACACTGGGAACGCACCCCAGGGTATGTCCGTTTCGTTGCCGCTATTCTCATTTGCTGGAACGGCGTAGGCCAGTGTGGCCAAAGAGGAGAAGGAAAGCAGCGTTGCGAATTTCATTGTGATAGAAATTTAGATTTGTGATATACGCTATGTTTCTCGAATAGAGAGCACGAGGGGGAAAAAAAAGGGAATATGGCTGCCCTTTTTAAATCAATGTATTGCCTCGCGTTAAGCAATTCTCTCTCTCCAGGTCCAACAGGATTGCTTGGCACGGGAGGTCCTCTCATCTTTAGTATGCTCGGAATGCAGCATCTCCACGGTGAGGGAGATTATTCCAAGCCATGGTAGTGCAGTGGTTGCTAGACGCCCCTGCATTGTGTATAGAAACTGTACGATGAATGGTTACCACAGTATCAGAAAGCGTCTGTCAAATGAGACGGGCCAATAAGTACAAAGGAACAGTCGGCAGAATGTTACATGGGCCACGACTCAAATGGACGACCTCGTGGGTGCGATGCGAGTTTAACTGTCAGTCTTGGTCCCTCGATTCCACGGCTGTCCCAAATGGAATGTGATCACTTGCTTTCTCGGGTGATTTGAGGCGACTCGGACCTTTTTCAAAACTTTGTACCTGCGTCCTACGTGAGGGAGGGTCTTGTCCTCTCTCCCGGCCCTCTTCACAAGTCGTTGAGACCTGTCCGTTCTGTGTTTGGTTTCTGTGTTCATCTGCGATGGAGACATGGAGTCTCCATTGGCCCTCTCCCAACATTTGCATGTTCCAGGCCCTGCAACACCATCGTTATCGCTGATAAGATTGTCAAGTGTCCGGTCCTCCCCATCCTGAAGCGAATGGCAGGTTCTCGTCTCCTTTTCCAACATGGGATGTTAAACTTTGACCGGCCTAGGTCTCGAGGAGCAACGCTGAATTGTCCAACGTGCGAAATACGAATGCACGGATCACTCGGACAATGGAAGCTGTCTCTTCAGACCCGATTCTTGTGCCTTGCATTGATGGAATGCACGATGGTGCCTGTGAGCATTCCGACTCAACCCCCGCGCAACAAAGCCCTAGAAGGGTCTGTCTAGGCCCTCGCTATTCAAAGCTGGGAGACGGCGGGGTCTATCTACAAGTGTGCATCATCTTACTGATTCATGAAGGAGATTGGTGCTGATTGATCTTTAAATAGTGGCAGCCTCTCACAATCAGCGCCCCAGAGCTTTTTTTTTACCTTGGCCAAGGATGGCGGGATCATCATTGCAGAGCGACACGGGCACACCTTTGGCGAGAAGCGCAGGCAACGGGTACCCTCTGATCTAACCTTATCGCAAATCCTCATGTTCACGAACACATCTCTTATCTTCAAAGATTTGAGGTATAAGGTGAGGAGGCAGTATGGAACGAATGGCAGTGCCCACACGTTCGTCGCAACACTCGGATAGCATCTAAAGTAGCAATGGCTTCGAATACACATACCGCAAGGATTTTATTGGATCCCAGGTTCAATTGGATGAGGTATTTACAACTTGAATTCACTTAGAACAAAATAAAAGTATATACAGGAACATGCCCTCAAAAAGGCCATATACATGGATCTCAAGTTGCATAACGTGATCAATGCAGCAAAGGACAAAGAATATACAAGAAACTGTCACAACAAGAAAAGTAATTCCGCACGGAACTGTCTTTGCTCAGCTCAGAAAGTGATAATCTCAGATGATCCGAGAACAGTGTTACCCTGACGAGCAACTACCTGGAGGAAGTCGGTGGGGGGGGCTGGTCACCTTGACAGCAGTTTCAAAGCCGGTGCGGTTCGCAGAGCTAAGCTGTTGGGTGGTCACCGACGTGTTGGAGGTAGCCGAGTACACAACCCAGTTGTCATACTCAGTAGCACCATTCCAGGACATGAAGACGGTGGCGCCCTCGACAGTGCGTTGGACAACAACTGAAGGTTTCCAGAAGGGGGTACCGACCCAAGGGAAGCGATAACCTCGGTATGAGGCAACGGCATTGTCCTCGCCAAACTGGGCGCTGAAGACGACCTTACCGTCACCATCGTACTCCTTGACCTTGGAGATGGAGCCGTAGTCCATAAAGACATGGCCGTCGGTCTCGGTGAGAAGCTGGTAGCTACCCTGGCTGACGGATTGGATGGGGTCGCTGGGGTCGCTGAGGGAGCGGAGACCGGTGACTGTCATGTTCTCGAGGTCAATGGAGAGGCTGACGCCGGTGGTGGGAGTTTCTTCGTCGTTGGGGGTGTTGGCGTTGTTGAAGAGGTTCAGGACGAGGCCAGAATCGGTCTCGTTGTAAACACGCATGTCATGCTGCCATGAGAAGCCAGCCTCGCCGACTTGTTGGAAATCACCGCCGTCTTCACCACTGACTTGCCACACGACCGTGCCGTTGCGGTACAGATAGTAGCCGGACCACATGTGGCGCAGAGAGACAAAGTAGCCATTATTGGTGGTGGTGATGGCATTGATGTGGTAGGCGTCGTAGGGTGCGTCTTGGGTGCCGACGTCCTTGCCGACCTTCTGGTGAGAGCTGGTCAGGGGAAATGGCGTCCTGGTGCTCGAGGGCACTCCAGGAGTTCAGAATCTCGTTGGTGTAGATGTCGATTTCGTAGAAATGGCTGTCGAGCATCCAGTCGGAGGAGTTGCCGCCGATGGAAGTCAGGTCTTGCTGAGTGAGGTTGTACGCGGTGACCAGCAGAGTGTTCTGCGGGGTGATGTGGCTCTCGTGCAGGTCAATATACGAGTCCTTGGTGGAGTTGTCTGGTGTGACAAAGGGCCCGGTCAGGGTGATGGTATGGATCTCTTGGTAGGTGTTGTCGAGTATGTGGACTGTGCCATACCCGTAACCCAGAGACAGCATGTCTCCGGCCCAAAAAGTGATCACGTCCGAGCCGTTCAGTGTCTGAACACGGAAATTGGCAGTGACCTCCTCTGGCCCCTCATAGACCAGGTTTCCGGCGTTATCGTAAATGAGCGCCGCCTGTCCAGCAGTCTGGACACCTCCACGGGGCCCAAGGAAAATATAGCCCGGGTCAGAGACCCCCGTCTGGTTGATTTCCAGAGTAGGCGGCTGGAAAGGCATAGAAGTATAGGTCGAATAGGGCCAAGCAACAGCGCCCATTGACAGCAGCAGAGTGCTGCTAGCCGTGCACCACCACGGAGCCATCACGAATTCGCAGTGATATTAGCGTGGATTGAACGGATAATAGGGCTCTAGATCGAGGCCACGAAAGAAGGAATAGTTCTAATAAAGGAATGACGACAGTGAGAACTGCGAAGGCTTGTGGAAGGTGTATTCTTCAAAGACTGTGAACCCCGAGCAGAACCCGTTTTAACCAGAAATCGTCTATTCGGCCGCTGGGAAAAACCCAAGCCCTGAAGATCATTACCGCCACCCAAAGGCGAGTGGGCTGTGATCTCTAACACCGCCCAACCAGAACGAGCGAAAGCACTGATCGGCCGCCCGATAAAAAGGCACACGCAACAGCCGACGTCCGGAACTTTGGATGAGCAGACTTGGCCTCCGTCATTGGGTGGGCACTCTTCACCTTTCATTATATCCCGAACCGTGGCCTCTTGTATCACATCGTTTCATCGAGTCCTTCGGAGCTAGAGATCATCGAGGCACTGAGCCAACCATGATCGAGAAATGGACTTCACCAGAAGACCAAGTCGATGATCGGCGCACCATTGAAAACTCGGCGAGTCTTCTCCCTGGGCTTTCAAGGCGGGACCCTCCCCGCGTAGGTGGCTGGCAAAATCATTTTCCGCCTAGGAACGACTATCCCCCGGTGGAGTTTGAAAGATGGATGCAAAGCAAGGCGAGTGGGTGTTCCAACAAGGTCGAACCGGTGGCACACACAGGGCGAAACTCGCCCCTGGAAATAGCGCGGAAGCGACCGGCTCTGACTATTCCGAAAGGAGTAATTCTTGAGACCCTGGAGCATTCTTTGGGATCGTTTGAGATAAAATTTGCACCGGTGATTGCCGACGGAGATCGTCACGGCACCAGATCAATCCTTCTCGGACTCCGAGACTGCCCTGTTAACCTATAGGCCGGTTTCGAAATTGTAGAATGGGACTAGGCCAGCGCATTAATCGGATGGCTTGTTCTTCAGGACCACTTATGGCGCCTTTTGGCAATGACAGTAAGCTGACAGGATTGGCCATACTTTTTGAATTCTGTACGATTGTCACATCAAGAGAAGTACGTCGATAGACTTGATCAAACCTATCTTAAAATATCGAAATGCTATCCCATAACAAAGCTATCAAGTATCCAGCGTACTTTCCGGCTGGGAATCTGACCTGACTATGCCTCATCCCGAGACCTAGTCTGGTCTGCGAAAACAAAGATTTCGCAAGTCAATGTTTATCCACAAGATACCTAACCTGAACTCGATATCCTGACAAGCTCGGCTAGCCGATAGCTATAATTTCCGGGTTGGATTCGATGACCGATGGCACAAGGTCAAGCCACACATTTGGACTTCGTACCGGCCGGCACAGTAATATTGTCTCAAGAGACTCAGCCGGTTGACTAAGCATCGCCCAACAGGAATGCCAGTAGGTTTGCACGCCTGTAAATGGGGTATGGGATGGGGGGATTACCGCGGTGTGTTACCATCGAGACTAATCCGCAGCAAACGAAATTTATGCGCCCATTAGTATCGATTTCAATAAACCGTGTGGCGAATGTGCAACAAGACAAATTTCCACCCCTTGGGACCTGAGGCTGTCCAAAAAGGTCTCTAGAACACGCTATAGCCCCGTCGGGGGGGGCCACAGATCGAAATTCCACATATTCCTAAACGATGAGATCGAAGGATAGGGGACATATGACGAGGAACTTGGCCATTGGATACATCTACCAGCCTTGATAGCGACCGTATCTTCTATGGAAACCGTCGGCACTCGGGCCGGGGCATGTACAATCGAGCTGCGGTCGCATTCGTCAATACCTGATCTAGAAAAGGTCCGGCCCACAGAAAAAGAAGAGAAGAAATGGGGCTAGGAGGGAATCTGAGGAATTCGAAAATCAAAGTCCACAATAAGATCGCTGAAATGCAAATGTGATTCTAGAATTGCGCGATCTAGGATATTCTTCACGGGCAAGAAGGGAACAATGTCATCGTGGCGATCCACGAATTATATGATATATGCTTGAGTCGAGAGGTCTCATCAAGACCCAAGCGGAGCCCAGCGCGCCCATCGTAAATCCGGGGTGTTCAGCCTCTGCGGGGTGAAACTCCACTTCACCAGTAGATAGATGCATGAGATATAGACGTATCACACATCGAGTACCTAAAAGGTCCAAGCACGCCATCATAAGGACCAGCACGGGGCCCCATCGCTTGGTGTCCAAGTATTCCAGCAGCCCAACATCCTAGCATTCAAGCATTCGAGCAGCTCTTCGAGGCCAAAGCCATCACAGGCCGGACAAACCCTAGGCCTGCACAATCACCCCACTCGAACGCATGCTTGATCCCTATTGCGCCCCTGGACTCTCGTCTTGGCGTCTTAGCTCCGAATCAACTCTCCACGCCACTTAGCTATACAGTCCCACCGCCATCAACATGCGATCTGTGCTCGGGTGCGAGCCGGTCGGCTCTCGCGTGGCTGGTTATGACTCTCTAATTTAAGGCCGTAATTCCAGTTGGACTTGTGGTGGTAGTAGAGATCTCCCTTTGGATGCTCTTAAGGAACTCGTGCCCGCTTTTGGCCGGTCTTTGTTTCCTACAAAATTCTAAGCTACGAGCGCGTACTACCCTGCTGTTTAGTGAGAAGTGAGAGAGTGTCTTAAGACGTTGTGGGATAGTTTGCTCTTTCACACTTCACTGATCTCAGCCACGGTCACTATGGGTCGCAAGCTGGGGCTCTTCAGAGCGGCCTATCTGGTGTCTGCCAGTTGTATGGGCTCCTTTGCATTTGCCTTTGACACGGGCATTATAAGTATGTTTGGTGAGCTCTGCTCGAGTTTCTAGACTAATTTATCTGTCCAGGCGGGGTTCTCGCTTTGGAATCCTTCGAGCGAGATTTCGGATACTCGCACTATACCAAAGCCCAGAAGACCACGGTCAACTCCAATGCCGTGTCCATCCTTCAAGGTGGCGCATTCTTCGGCTGCTTTCTGATCTCGCCGATCGCCAAATACCTCGGCCGCCGCTCGGGTCTGATTGTTAGCTCGCTCGTCTTCACTCTCGGGACTATTCTGCAGGTGATCAACTCTGGTACCCTGGGCACCTTCTATGCCGGCCGTGTGATTGCTGGCTTGGGGATTGGGTCGGCGACAGTATTGATCCCGATGTACTCCGCGGAGATGGCCCCCAAGGAGTTCCGCGGTCGTCTAGGTGCTTGCTTCCAGTTGTTCTTTGCGCTCGGGGTGATGATTGCCTACTGGGTGACGTATGCGGTAGGTAAGGACCAAGCAACTGGGACGAGCCAGTGGCAGACTGCACTAGGGTTGCAACTTCTCGGATCGACGCTGCTGCTAGTTGGTATGTGCACAGTCAAGGAGAGTGCTCGATGGCTCGCGGCCAAAGGGAGAATAGATAAAGCGCGGGAGTCACTCAAGTGGGTGCGTGGTGGTGAGGAAACAGAGGAGCTGCAGACAGAATTCGACGAGATTCTCGCTGGTATTGAAGAAGAGGCTCGCCTGAAGGAAAATCTCACATTCAAGGAGCTGTTCCTTCCGGTTAACCGCTACCGACTGTTCATCGCTGTCACAATCCAACTCAGCGCACAATTGACCGGGAACACATCGTTGGCCTACTATGCCACTCAAATTTTCGGGGCCGTTGGAGCAGGCAGCTCCGCGAAGCTGGTCACAGGCTTTTTCGGCGTCGTCAAGGTGACTGGTGTAGTTGTGTTTCAGTTATTCGTATTGGATCGCATCGGGCGGCGGATCCCATTCATGGTCGGTGCATTTTCCATGGGCTCATTCATGCTCATCATTGCAATCATTTTGGCCACGCATCCGGCCAACTCGAACAGCACGTCGGCCGGACCTACGTCCGCTGGCATTGCGTGTATCATCATGACTGATGCGGAAGCTTTCAGCTACAATATGTCCTGGGGTCCGCTGCCCTGGCTCTACGTGGGAGAAATCTTCTCCAGCCGTACTCGAGAGATTGGTGTTATGGTCGGTGCGGCGTCGCAGTGGTTGTTTAACTTCATGATGTCGCAGGTCACCCCACATGCAATCACAAATATCGGTTGGCGCATGTTCCTGATGTTCGCTATCTTCAACTACGCGATTATCGGATACTCGTGGCTGGTTCTGAAAGAAGTATGTCCATTTTGTTGTTCCTCTTGGTGGGTTGGCTAACTCTATTAGACTTCGAACCACTCGCTCGAGGAGATGCAGGAGGTCTTTGGTGGAGAAAAGATGCGCGAAAAACACATGGAGAGTGCGCTTCACGAGGAACACGCTCGGCCGGCGAAAGAAGACTTGAGGGGCGAGAGACCTTTTTAAATACGTAACTCCAAGCCATCGATGGCGACTATACTTTGGAAAACAGAAAATTTTATTTCCACATGAACCCCTTCAAAGTCAGTCTTGAGTGGCTTGTTGCCCCAGACTTTGGGCTCGGGAAAATAGCGGAGTTGCCTAGAGGCCAGAACCCCTAGCACTTAGCACCTTATCTTCCCCATAGAGGCAACGACATCTCTGCTTCTACTTTATTTCAGAGTCTATGGGAACCCGTGGAATCAGTGTTCACAATCTTTGAATGTGTCTTCTCAATGTTAGCACACCATGGACCATCGGTTGAGCCCTCAATACGAACCCAACCCCGCAACTACCGCCCTACTCTAGCGGGCGCCACGCACACCCTATCCTCCACAGGCACGGATCTTCCCGCGCCGTGAGTGGCGGGTATGCCGAGCCTGAAAGTCTCGAGCTTTGGGTGGCGTCACGGAGCGCGCGACAGAATCGGCACAGGCCACGGTCTGGCTAGCGCAGGTACTTGATTCAACTGAAGGCGCAACCAGCACACACTCTGCTGTAAGGTACGCTGCATCATATGACCGGCTGTATTACAACTTTAGCCCATGGCTCCAGTTGTCCCTCGTGTAGAATAACTCAACACCCCACTAGTCATCCACTTTCACTGGTGAGACGGGACAGGGGATTCTGGAAAGGTCTCTAGGGTAGCATTGGCACAGCTATCTCTGGGGCTCATGTAACGCAGGTCAAATAATAAGACTGGCCAAAAGAAAAAAATACGCGTAAGTTCAATCCTCGGCGTGGAACAGGGGGTCTTCCCCATGTCAGGGTTATAGGCCGACGAGCTAATGCGCCCTTTTTTTTGGGTGGGTTAAACCCAGTTTATCATCGTAAGGGGACCCGGCAGATTGCTTCTCTACACTTTGCTTCTTTCTCAACCCAACCTTGCCTGAAGTGACGGACTGAAAATAGGTGACTGTGTCGCACCCCGTGTTCATTGCAGCTGCTTTATAGCCTCCAGCCATTGAGAGAAAGCGACTCGGAGCTTTTCCTTCGTGAACGGCAAACTCATTCTTAACGCGTGTGCGACAATTGATTGAGACGGCTCTTTCCTTCACGGATATTGGCTGACTTTTTCCGCTCTCCTCTGAGCGTCGCTGGCTCATTATCCATTCGAAGTCACGACGGGCTTAGGCTGTCTGTCTGTCATGACTTAGCACCATGTCCGACACTGGAAGGCCCACCAACCCAGATGGCCTAGTTCTCGAAGCCTGGGGCCAGGGCTTTATGCTTGGCAGTCTGCTAATTATGGCGGCTGTCACCGTCTGCAACATGAAGAAGCATATTCTTCTTCACAAGCTCATTCTGGCCGAGGTAGTTCTCCGTCAATAGTGTAGTGGCTCGTGCTAACCCTATATTCAGCTAATTCTGGCCATGGCCAATGGCACATTCATCTTTCCACATGATCCGGTTTATGGCTGGTACCAATCCGTCACCGCCATAGGCCTCAACGTCTCCTGGGCTCTGCACAATGTCATTGCCTGGATTAAAAACAAGCCTTTTCTATCACGACGTCTTTCGATGATCTACATAATTACGGTCATGCTCTGCTGGCCGTACTGGATCGTCGAGATTTATGCAAATTTCACCTATTTCAACAATATCAACACAATCTTTCTAAAGACACGTCCCTTTGAGCCACTTTTCCGGTAAAGTCCATTCATCAGATCCCGTCATTGCTCCTTCGCTAATCGGATCTCAGAGATCCGTGGTGGGTCTTCACAACCGTCTCCCTCTTCTGGACGATCAAACGCGAATATAATTTCGGACTGTGGGAATTAGTCCAGATTAGCCCACGATTCGGAATCATGCTGCTTTCGATGTGCCTGTCTATTGCCTTTATCGTTGTTGACTTGCTCAGCGTCCTCAATGTCTTTACTGACTCGCTACCTACGGGAATTGAGCCCTTTTGGAAGGTACTTTCCCCCTTTGACTATGCCCGGCTTCCTAAACCCCATTTACCTTATCCTCTAAACAGAGGCGTCATGTTAACACGCTATCTTCAAGTTATCTTTCATCTTCAAATGTCTCTGCGACACGGTAATCCTCGATGACTTCAAAACCGCCCTCGACCATATGCGCAACTACTGGTTACGCAAGCAGGCCAACGGTGAGCTCTTACTGACGAGTCCCAACGGCCGCTCACCCCGGCGGGGAGTACCCATTGGCGATGATCTCGAGGCGGACGCTGGACCGATCGGTGCACATAGGCTTGTGCGTAGTAATAAATCATTCTCTGTGCCGAGGGTTGTGCTCAGGGAGGATGTATAATTTCCAAGAGTGTTTTTGGGAGCCTGAATTTCCTTTCTTGTCACTTACAAGCGTGGCGCTTGGTGCTTCTTGGGCTGTTGTACATAGGGTTGAATGGATACTTACATAGGCCGAAGGGTTTAATCCGTCGAGCGCATTAAGATTTTCGAAGTTGGCGATGAATGATAACTTGCTTCTTTTGATGAGCCAAGCTTTCAGAGTCTATTGGCTCCTTGATGTTGGATCATAGCTAGCTCCGTGCTCCATACATATGACGATCCCGCCACTGATCCCCACCTCCCAGGCTCGATAAGGGCACGTGTCTCCATTCAGAGAATACGACTAAAGGACTAGCTTGAATCCACCTTTTCATATCCATCCGATCGCATGGCTCTATTCAAGACTCCTTTCATAATTGGACCTGTAATCTTTACACAACTGCTATACATTTGAAAAGATATCTTAATATTCTGAGACGGCCTGCCTTTCCTATTGCATGGGCCATTCCAGATGTAGCCACCTACACGCGCTGCAACACCTGAGCTCCGAAGTACCGCATCGCGGTCACTAATTGAAAAGGATACCTACTTTGAATGATTGGACGCGCTAATGATTCGTTCTATGTTACTGTGAGACTATCCACATAGCCAGCTAATCGACACGCCGGGGCGCAAATGGCAAACGTAATATGTAGTACAGAAACGCACATGAACAACCACCTTTATCCCTTCTCAAGCTCCCATTTTCAACCAGTTTGGGGAAAACCAACTACACTGGGCTCAATCGACGTACCTAACATCCTTACCCATCAAGTCCACCATGGACTCACCCGTTGTTGCCTCCGGCCACGATGAAGTACATGCCAAGGTCCATTATCTGGCACCTCTCCTAGTGGTATGTTCTTTCTTCTTCTGTCTAGCAGGCGTTTAAAATCAATTGAAGCAGACCTGGACACAAATGCAGAGACAACTGCCGGGCCCGACGGATCCCCAGATCATCAAGATCAGAAAAGCCTCACATCTCATTTGCTAAGGAATAGTTCTCTAGCATTATTTGAGTTGTCTCACAATCACCTAGACGCTATGCTTCAAATAATTGCGGTCCAGACATCTCATCGGAGCAACTCCGTGTCGCGCTACCCAGTTAAGTCCATACCGCATCGAACAAGACGGAATCACCAAATAAGGCTCTTGCCGAGCCTCAAATAACCTGATTTTCATTTTCAGCATCAAATATAAAGGTCTACGGTATGAAAAACGGCATCTGAAAGCAAAGGAAGGTCCACCCACGGCCCTGTGGATCCAACAAAAGCCGGTGAATGGTGTTCCCAAAGATTCTCATGTCCCGCTCTCCGCCTTCTCTACGACTCTCTCCACACCTCATCTATAAATCCCAATTCCCTGCTCAATCCTTCCAACCCTCTTCCAACCCTTGCAAGAACCCCAAGTACATTCCATCATGACTCTCTCTACACCCAGCATGGATGTAAGTTATCATCCCAGTTCAACCCATAGGAACAAGAAGGAAGGAGTTCCTCATCTAACATACCCCGCACAGCCCGCCGTCCTCATCGCCGAAGAAAGCAGCCCCGCCCAGACCTTCACCACCTTCACAGCCTCGACCGCCTGGACACTCGGCACAGCGCTGCGCACCCGCATCCTCTCCCTCCCTGACTTCCAACGCAGACCTGCCTTGATCTCAATCGCCCTCGCCACGGCGCCCAGTGGCGGCGGTAGCCTGCACACGCTTTTCCAGTGCGTTACGGAGAGCGGCACGATCCCCGATAACGAGAACTGGGTCCGGCGTAAGCGGAACACGGTTCTGCGATGGGGCTTGTCTAGCTGGGCGATGCGGCAGAAGGTGATCTCGGGAGTCAAGACCTCGGCGGCTGATGTGGTTGAGGCGGCATTTGTGAAAAAGTATGCGCTGGCTAGTGGGAATGGGGGCGCGGTGGCGGATGAGTATGCTATTCATGGTGGGGGGGTATCCTATTCGCGTCAAGGGAGTGGAAGGTGTGGTTGCCGTGGTGGTTGTCAGTGGACTGAAGCAGGAGGATGATCATCAGGTTGTTGCCGAAACGATTCGAGAGGTTATTGCACAGGGGAACTAAAGTTGGTCTCGATCTACATGACCAAAGGTTCGTGGGGATAAATGCGAGGATGTAAGATGAATGAGGAATTCTACGAGGATGAAATGAAATGTAAAGGTATCGTGGTATTTGGAGAGTCGGATGTCAAATACCGGACTCTTGCAACGGGAACTCCGCCCCGCGCAGATTCAGGACTAGAAACACAAAAGCAAAGATAAAAACTCCATGGGTAATGCCTCAAAGATAATTTTACAGTTCGTCATGGTCCAGAGGCTCGTCGTCCTCGGGAGGAGCACCAGAGCCGTAGAGCTTGCTGGTGATGGGGTAGGCGACACTAGAGAGCTGCTCCTTCTGCTCCTCGAAGTCCTCGGCGGAGGCAGTAGCGGCGTTGTCCTCGAGCCAGTCAATGGCCTCCTTGACAGCGTCCAGGATAGTCTGCTTGTCATCCTCGTCGATCTGGCCACCAAGGCCATTCTCGTCATTGGCCTGGTTCTTCAGGCTGAAGGCGTAGTTCTCAAGGCCGTTACGGGCCTCGATCTTGTTCTTCATGGCCTTGTCCTCCTCGGCGTACTCCTCAGCCTCGGCAACCATGCGGTCAATCTCCTCCTGGGAGAGACGACCCTTGTCGTTGGTAATGGTGATGGACTCGGCCTTGCCAGTGCCCTTATCGCTGGCGCTGACCTTCAGAATACCGTTGGCATCCAGGTCGAAAGAGACCTCAATCTGGGGAACACCACGGGGAGCAGGGGGGGATGCCAGTCAGCTCGAATTTGCCAAGCTGGTTGTTGTCCTTGGTCATCGAGCGCTCACCCTCGAACACCTGAATCAGGACGGTGGGCTGGTTGTCAGCCGCAGTGGAGAAGATCTGCGACTTGCGGGTGGGAATGACAGTGTTACGGGGAATGAGCTTGGTCATCACACCGCCAGTGGTCTCGATACCCATGGTGAGGGGGTTGACATCCATGAGAACAAGGTCGATAGTACCTTCCTCGCCGGAGAGAATACCACCCTGGACGGCGGCACCAAAGGCAACGGCCTCATCGGGGTTGATACCCTTGCTGGCCTTCTTGCCACCGAAGAACTCCTCGAGAAGAGCCTGGACCTTGGGGATACGGGTGGAACCACCGACCAGGACGATGTCGTCAACCTCATCCTTCTTGACCTTGGCATCCTTGAGCACCTGCTCGACGGGCTTGAGGGTCTTCTTGAACAGATCCATGTTCAGCTCCTCGAACTTGGCACGGGTCAGGGTCTCGGAAAAGTCCTCGCCGTTGTGGAAGGCCTCAATCTCAATGCGAGTAGACATCTGGGAAGACAGGGTACGCTTGGCCTTCTCGACCTCGCGCTTGAGCTTACCCATGGCCTTGAGATCCTTGGACACATCGACGTTGTTCTTCTTGTTGTACTGCTTAACGAAGTAGTCCATGACGCGGTGGTCAAAGTCCTCACCACCAAGGTGGGTGTCACCAGCGGTAGCCAGAACCTCGAAGACACCGTTGTCGATGGAAAGAAGGGAGACATCGAAAGTACCACCACCAAGATCGTAGACAATGACCTGGCGCTCATCACCGGTCTTGTCAAGACCGTAGGCGATAGCGGCGGCGGTGGGCTCGTTGACGACACGGAGGACATTGAGACCAGCGATGATACCGGCGTCCTTGGTGGCCTGACGTTGAGCGTCGTTGAAGTAGGCGGGAACAGTAACAACAGCGTGGGTCACGCTCTTGCCGAGGTAAGACTCAGCAATCTCCTTCATCTTTCCGAGAATCATGGCGGAGACCTCCTCAGGGGTGAAGGTCTTGTTGGACTTGTTGACCTCGACCTTGACGTGAGGCTTGCCATCCTTGTTGACAACCTTGAAGGGGAAGTTCTTAGCGTCCTTCTGGGTGTCCTTGTCATCAAACTTGCGACCGATCAGGCGCCTAGAGAGACGATTTTGTTAGCATTCAGAATGATTCCGAGAAGACTGGCCGCGCTGGTAAACTTACTTGACGTCAAAGATAGTGCGGGTAGGGTTAGCGGCGTATTGGTTCTTGGCAGCGTCACCAACGAGGCGCTCCTCATCAGTGAAAGCAACGTAAGAGGGAGTAATACGGTTTCCTTGGTCGTTGACGAGAATCTCGACCTTGCCGTTCTGCATTACACCAACACAACTGCGAAGCACGTTAGTCAATTGCTTGAGTTGCCACAGATTGTAAAGATGCCACTCACGAGTAGGTAGTTCCCAGATCAATACCGATAACGGTGCCATAGTTCTCAACGGAGTCGTCCTGGGCCTGGGCAGTGGTGCCGAACAGGGCCAGAGGTGCAATCAAAACAAGGAGAAGGTAGAAGACGGTCGTCCAAGTGAAGGGCTTGGACGCGCCCTGGGGGCTCGCGAAGCGAGGCATGGCGAATATGTGAGAGACTCAAGGTTCAACAAAGAACTCTATTGGATAGCACCCGATGAAACGAAGCTGTCGGAGACCGAAAGCTTCAATGCGCGCAAGAAATGAAGCGCAGGGAGTAAACACGAATGTCGTACTCAGACCCTCGAATTTGGTGAACAGGCGGGAGGGGTAACCCGAAGAGAAGCGAATGGAGAAGAGAAAGAGAGAAGAGGCGAGCTCTTTGAATATGAAGGGCAGGAAACACGCAGCGGCCAGCATGGCCTTTTCCCAGTTCAGGTCACTTTTCGCGTCTTGATTGGCTGCCACCCGTTCGGCGGTGGCTGACTCAGGTCCGCCCATGTTTGGAGCCTCACCGCCTGCCTGAAACCGACTAGTGGCGATTAAACTATGTCCCGATCGGGCCTAATCGATGGATCCCATCCAGGACACGCCCCTGCTTTGTCCCAATCAGAACGCGCCTACCCCGTCGAAGTTGCTAGAAGCAGCTAAGCGTCGACCCTGGTTTGGCCCCGGTTACTCACGAAACAGTGCCACGTCGACTGAAGAATAGAGCCCAGTGGCCTGTATTGCATCTTCTGATGATGAATAGGTGAGCATCCTGGATTCGTATGACCGGCAGGCATACCGACTTGGAAGCGCGGAGTCGGGATCTACAGAGCCGCACTGCCCATTCATCAAAAGCATGCGTAAGGCACGGCATAGGCCCGGGGATGCAAGGGACGTCATATCGTCATGGAGCGTCGAGGGTAGCGTAGTTTATTGTAAAAGGTACTTTTCAAAATGTTCTATAGGAGATGCTTTATTCCAAGAGTCCGGCTGCCACAGTCGAACCCCCATGTCGCAAAACAATGCGGGTTGGTGCCTCTAGCGGCACAGCCTGATCCATCTCGACAACTACTCGTGCAACAGTGCCGGGAGCAACGATCTTTGGTCGTTTCTTGCTAGGCTCACCAGAAGCCTTGTCAAGAGATGCGACAAGCTTGCTGATGCGGCCAGGGACATGAAGACGGCCACGGTGTACGTCCACCATCATAGGCATCAAGTGCTCAAAAGCGAGGACCTTGGCAGTAAAAGTGGTGATGTTGGGAATAGGCGATGAAGCTCGGCAGATTACATCTCCAGAGCGCAGGTGAATGGGGTCGATATTGGCCAAATTCAGGACCACGTTCTGGCCAGCCACAGCCCAGTCGTTGAGTTCACCGTCCACTTCCACGCTGCGAACGAGGGCGGTCTCGCCACTGGGCATGGTAAGAATTTGATCGCCAATCTGTAGGCTGCCAGAGTCAAGACGACCAGAAATTGAGAGTGGGTTCTGCACACTGCCACGGAAGACATCGCCGATTGTCATGCGTAGTGGCTTCTCAAGAGCGTGTGTGTATCGCTCTGAAGTCTCCAGCTCCTCGATCAATGTTCTGCCCGTGTACCACGCAGCTTGGGGATTGTCGCTGCGCCGAGTAATGTTGTCTCCCAGCACACCTGAGCACGGGATAAAGGCAATATTCTTCTCGTGAAAGCCGGCTGTCGTCAGGAATGAGAAGATCTGTTGTTCGATTTCCTCAAAGCGATCTTTGTTCCACTGGACAGTGTCCATCTTGTTCACAGCCACAACAATCTTTTGCACGCCCATGCTGCGGACCAACAAGGCATGCTCCTTGGTCTGGCCCTTCAACCCAGACTCGAACTTGCCCGTGCTTGAGTCAATCACCAGCACGGCGAAATCAGCCTGACTAGCACCGGCAATCATGTTTGGAACAAAGTCTTTGTGTCCTGGTGCGTCAACAATTGTGAATGCAGTGGACTCCGTCTCAAACTTGTTGGTAGCAATGTCAATTGTGACGCCTCGTGCACGTTCCTCTGAGCCCTGGTCCAGCACCCATGCAAGAGCGAATGACCCCTTTCCAATCTTCTCAGCCTCTCTACGATATCTGTCCAAAGTTCGCTGGTCAATTGCTCCTTGATCCGCCAACAAACGCCCCATCAGAGTACTCTTTCCAGCGTCGACATGTCCTAAAATGCGGTCAGAAGATACTCACACAGCGATGAACTGGAAGAAACACCTACCGATAACAACAAAATTGGCAGACTTCTTCCTCTTTGATTTGTTGTACTCCGCTAGGACATCCAAGTTCTTGCTTTTAACAGAGACCTTCTCGTCCACGGAGAGGTCCTTCAAGCCACCAGCAAGATCGGCCGGGGTCTTATCACCGGCCGACTTGGATGCAGCGGATTTGGACTTCATTCCTGCACATTATTAGGCGGATGAATCTAGACCTTTCTGCGAATCACCAAACCTTTTGCTGTGTTTTGAGCATTCAGCACCATATCGTCGGGGCTGGGGCCTGCAAAGTCAAAAGGTTCAGCATGGTCTTGGCCGTAGATTCTGAGCAAATCCACGTTGCTCGATTGTATGTGGCTGGGCTGGGCCATGGTTGGTCCTGCTGCGTTGCCAACAATGGCACTCGCAAATCCAGAAGGCGAGGCACGCAAATGAAGCTGTGGTTGGTCTGGTTCCGACTCGGCCTCTGGTTCAGCTTTCTCAGGCAACGGGAGCTCTGGAATTTTCGTAGGTTCTGGTGTCGGTTGTTTCTGAGCTTGTGCTTGCGCCGAAACTTCTGGTTTGCCGAACCTGCGCACCCCACCCCCTGTTTCGGGCTTTGATGACTTGCTCGCAGCCAGTCTCTCTCTTAGCGACAGCTGAGTGCTTTGTGGCTCAGGCGGTGATGCTTCTGATTTCTCCGCCTGTAGTATGGAAGGCACATCCGGCGTAGGAGTAGGACTGGGGGTAGCCTTTTCGCCTTCTTTCTTCTTGCGTGCTGCAGCCAAGGCTGCAAGCTTGGAAACTTTGCCTCCAGCCTCTGGTGCACCACCTAGCAAGCCCAGTCGAGGATATAGGGGCTCTACCATAATGTCCATGTTGCGTTCGGCAGGTACATTGAGCCAAGGAGAGTCGCGAAAGAAGTCGGCAGCGGAGAAGTGTGCTGCAGGCGAAGAACTGGGCGCTGGAAAACCTGGCAATGGAAGACCTGTTAGAACATTGTCCAAACTTCCAAGAGGTGTCAGTTCTAGAGTCATGTGTGATTCATTGTAGGGCGCAGGATTGCCGAAGAAGCGTAGTACATACCTTTGGAAGATTTCAACAGTGTTGAAGCCACAGCCGGAACACAGGTCGTTTTGCCCAAGCCCAGCCACCAGTATACATTATGAAATGAACAGAATCGCTTTGCTTACCGTTCTTTTTTGGCACAGTCGCCGTCTGCCGCTTCTTGAGCTCCTTTTCCTTCTTGCCTGGACAGAGTAGGTAGGTAAGCTGCAGCCCACCCTTGACCTGGGGAGCAATTTTGGCCCAGATGTTCCTATGAAACGTACCTCTCAAGAAATTTGTCGACTTCTCAATGTCGTTGTAGTAGTGCCATAGCGCCTCCTGGATTTCTTCGGTCGTAGCGGTCACCGACGGTTGCCCCGCGCGGAGCTGTTGCAAGACAAGTGCAGTGCACTGTTTCAGAAATTCCTGCTCCTCGGGATCGGGTGATTCGTAGCCCTCGTCGTCATCGTAATCGTCGTCATCATAGCCGACATTCTTTACGCGATGTCTCGACATCGGGGAGTGGAGGGGTATCTCAGGTGGGAGATGGAGGGGTCACGACTCTGCGAAGGGAGGAGGTCACACTGCGGAAGGTGAAAGCCAACTTGCGAACGGTAGAAAAGAACGTGACGAGTCGTGGAGAAACAGAAGGCCAAGCAGTGAAGAGGGAAGGGGTGGAAAGAGAACACAGGAAGCTGGGAAGGGAACGATGCGATCCACGTCATTCCCCACCTAAAGCGTTCTGCAATATGCCAGTGCCCAAACCAGATCGGCTTTCAGAAGTTCCCTATTACTGGGTACTAAGTACAAGTCCAACGATGTCTACATTTACAGATTCATAAGGTTTTCTTTAAAGTTCTTATTGCATTCGCGAGTCAAATAAGCTTGGTTTTATGCAATCCCGAAGTTCGTGCCACATACCGTTGGGGTCATCCCCAAAGAGTAGAAAAGAGTTCTCCTCTTTCCTCATTCTAAAAAAGAAATGTGGATCTATCGCAAGGGACTTCCTCCGAAGAAGTCTCCCGCTCCTGGTCCAGAGAGAAGTGCCGTTGCTGGGTGTTAACGCAATCGATCGTCGAAAAGCCTGGCGAGGAGTAGACGGTGCACTGGTAGGAGCTGCACTGGTAGTGGCTACAGTAGCCGCTGCCGCAGCCGCTGCTACGGCGGCTGCGGTAGCGTCGGGGGTACTGGGGGTGTTGCGACCACTGTCCTGCATGGTGACAGCGGTGCCTGGTCGGGATAATACCACCGCAGTCGCATTCTTGGAGGGGGTCGGAAACCCAATTTGGAGCCTTCGCGGAAAATCTCCTCGAGCATCTGAGCCACAATTCCTGCGTCTTCGTATTCCTGAAACTTTTTCCAGAGACGCAGTGCCATCCGGGCGTCCTCGATAGAATCGTGTCCTTGGACTGTGTCGGGAATCGGCTCTTCCTGGATATACTCTTTGAAAACCGCCCAGGCGAGGTATCGGAGACTAAGACGGCGGTTCTTGCCGGGGTGGAAGAAGAGGTATTGTGTGTCAACGGTCTGAGACTTGGGAACTTGGATGTTGATCTTGCGGAAGTCGGACGCCAGACCATGGCCCACGAAGACACAACCAAGATTCAAAAGCAGCCATAATTTCTTGTAGGCTACTTTGAGAGGCACAAGATTATGCTCGCTTGTCCGTGGATCTAGATCACCGGGCTTGATACCAGAGTATTGTGTGACGTAGTCGACAATGGGTTCCCGAATGGTAATATAATCGTCAATGAAAGGGACACCCTCCGAAATACCCGAGCCGCGCAGCACGGAAACTCGAGCAAGTCCACTTCTATTAGGTCGTACGATCTCCTGAGATCCGTCCGCCTTGACGTCGATCTCGGCCTTTTCAAGGTCCACGAACTCGGTATCAAGTGCCAGGGGCGTTCCCGGCTGTGGCTTCTCCTCTTCGGTCAAGATGCGGCATGACTCAACCTGGTGACAACCATTCAAAGACCACTCACGGAATAGCAGGGTAGTGTCAAGAGCATTCTTCCAAGAGTCATCAACGGAGTGGCGAGCGTCTCTGACCTGGAATGCCAGAACGCAAGGTTGCTTCCAAGATTGTGTAAAGCGAAGCGCTTCATCCCGGTCTACCTCCGTGACCAAGAAGTCATTGAACAGATGCCATTGGCTCCGTTCTTGTGGCTCACGCTCTGAGATAGAAACGTTGACAAAGGAGACCAGATGAGCCTTCTGATGCTCTGGAACGTCAATCTCCGCCACCAGGCCAACAAGATCGTAGATCACAAGGTTGGGAGTATTATTCTGCATTCGAAGACGGAGATCGTCTCCTTCAAAGCACATGATCTGACCATTCTCGATAACGATGCCGACTGTGTCAGGGAGCCATCCGGGAACGGCCCACAATCGACGACAGATAGGGTTGGTCAATGCGGCGTTCAACACAAGAACGAGGGGCATCCGGTGAATAGTCTTCCGGATCATCACCTGTTGGTAACGTCGACAGTAATTGCACCATCCCCGATTCTGGGTCTCCCGCTCGATACTTGCGCGCAGTATGTTTGAGAATCGGAATGCCGGGTTGCGCCTGGCATGTTTCATGTCCAGGTTGGGGTATAGAAGCTCGTTGGCGAGTGAATTCCCTGGGCGCACAGTCTCATTTTGGCAGAACATGCACCGTATGGACTCCGATGCCATGGTCGCAAGGCGTTGGTCTAGCTCTTCGGAGCTAGGTTGAATCATACGGAAGTCTTGTGCGATTTGCGTTAAGAAGAAACGGTTGACAGCTTGAATCGCAGTTGAGAGGGATTTGTTAGGCAGATTCTCTTCCAAGAGACCAAGATTGGAAGCCTCGCGGAAACTACTGAAGGTCTTCAAAAGATTGGTCGCCTGACAGTTTTGGCCATTTGCCTTTTCCAGCATATCGAACAAGTAGCCCAATTCGCACAGGAGGCAGTGTTCAAAGATACAAGAGCCAGCTGCATGGGTGAGCGCCATGTTTCGAAACAGCGGGATGAACTTGAAGAGCTGGAGGAGGGAGTTTGTGAAGGAATTGGCGATATGGGTTTCAAGCCCCGAGAAGTTGGTCTTGTTATAGAATCTGCGAGCAGGTGAGCAAAATTCTGCCTCTCAAAGATGGGCCACATACCGGAAGTCGAAATCGTCGACACCGAAACGACTATACTTTATCTCAACGTTGCTATATTTAAGAAGAGGGTCATCATCGCTTTCGCCATTGATCTTGGCTCCCGCTAGAGCTTCAGCCGCATCTGTGACAGAGGTCACCAGGTTAGATTTGCTTTGTTCCCGAGCCTTTTCGCTCAGGAACTTGGGCGCCATGAGAGCCGGCTCTGCTGTGGCCAGTGCACGGGTATTTTCGATCTGATTGCGCCTTGTTTTTCTGGGGTTTGGGGCATGATGTCCCACCTCAGCCGGGCGCAGGTACGGGAGCAATGACTGGTCCAATTGAGGAGGGGGACTTCCCACCTCGAACATGAGATGGCTAGGCCATGCCGAGAAGAGACGCTCATGGTAATAAGGCATTCCAACCATGTTCATTGGAGTGTCTGGTGACCAGTCAATTGGTGGTGGTCGTGTAGGTACGTCAGCAAATTCAATCTCCTTGCTCATCTCATTGAAGTGAATCTTGCTTGGCGAACCCCATAAATGAATGGAGCATTCCGCGTCATTGATGGCCAGTGCCTCTCCTGAAGGTGAAATATCAAGGCCTAGCATCAAAGATACATTTGCTTGTCGCAAATTTATAGCATTAGGGTTCATCAAGTCCACTACTTGAAGCTGCCCGGTCTGCGAGGCCACAAAGCTTGTCGTATGAAGCTTAGGATGCATCCGAACATATGCCGCTCCGGCATGGAAAGGAATAGGTGGTAGTGGCGATAACGTCTTCAGGTCATACACATTTGCCAGTGGATCAACGATCGGAGAGCCGAGATGGCGGACGGAGAATCCGCAAGTGACGAGCAAATCATTCCGTGCATCCATGTCATTTACAGCGGTGCCATGGGCTTTCCAAGACTTGACGACACTAAAATCATTGAGACTGAGTGCGTTTACCGATCCCGTGTCTGTCGCTGCACAAAGATACCGGCTCTTTTTCATTAGCGTGTAACTGTATTCAGTAGGCAACTTGTCAACAATCGTGCCCTTATCGATATCCACAGTAAACATCACGCGCTGGCAACCTGCAACAAGAATACGATTGAGCTGCGCCGTGAAGCTCATGCAGCGAAGATCGACCATATCCTCGTCTGCGAGATGCCATTGTGTCAGGCCACGCCGCGTGATCATGTGTACACTTTTGGAAGACAATGATATCACGCCGCGATCATGAAAAATGATTTGTCGCACCACGCCCTCGGAAGCTGGATGGGCTCGCACAGAGGTATATCGTTGGAGGTCAGGCCCGTAGAATGAAGAAATTCGACCCTAAACAGAAAAGACGCAAATTAGTCTTGTCCAGAATTTGCCAATTCAGACTAATGCTTACATATTCATTCCCTATCCACAAAAGTTCCACCACATCATCAAATGCTATTGTCGTCGCAGGTGTAGGCATCGCGAGCGCACTCGGCGGTGGCACCGCTATGCGCGACAACTCATCCCAGTCGGCCTCCATGGCGGCCCTTTTCCGGGCGACGCCCAGACGATGCTCTTATCTGCAATAGATATGTCGTAGTATACGGTCGTTAAGGGACTGCGGCCTTCACCTATTGGGGGATTCACCGAAACCGGGCATCATCTGCGAGGTAAAGACGCGATTGCGGGGAAGCTGTCAAGGGGACTTGAGATATATCGTTGGGGCCGACAAGGGTATAGATGGACAAGTGATGAATAGGACGGGCTGTAGCCACTGCCTTCGGTCAGCCTCAATGCGAGCACGAAAGAGAGGCTCGCCCTGATCCGAAGTTGCTTGTTGTCGACCGCCTGAAGACCGTCGCGGGACTAAGGTGTCGAAATGGTCACGTGTTGGACACCGATAACGCTTAGCATGGATGTAAGGAGAATAAAGATCCGTGCATCATATTTCGCCCTGAAGGCTATATTAGCATGAGATTGTTGAAAGAACCAAAGGTAAGATGAAGAAGACAAGAAGACCAATAATTAGAATGACTTCCATGTGGCCCCATCAGTTCCTCAGCTCAATTTTGGGGAGTGTAGAGAAATATAAATTATCTCGAGAGAATGGCACTCGCTACATCCTCCAATTAAACGTCGCATGTGCCCACTAGATGATACCAAGCAAGCCAAAGTGCTCGTCAGAACAGAAGAAACTCTCCCACAACTATCGCTCTAAATTTCTTTATGTTCCTGAGTGTCTAGTAATCGGAAACATCGGCCAGGACTGTGAGGAGCCACATCCGGGACTGCAGGTGGCGTGTGTTACATATTAATGTGCAATGACATACCTTTTATCACTGCATGGAGGTACCCAGATATTGGAGCTCATGTAATAAGATGCGAGACAGAATCAATCGCCAAGCAGCCTTGGTTGCATTATCCCAAGCACTCGGCCCGTGGGTGCTTGAAAACAAGAAGATACCGCGGCCAAACTTGACCTGAAAGATTTAACTCGGATGAAAGACAACATGCCTGATGTTATTGATGAAAAACTGATTGAGTCTCGAATGTACGTTTTGGGAACAGAGAAACCGACTGGTACGACTACACGTATAAGTGATTTTACCAGACTGCGAAAAAAAAAGATGAGATACTGCAGAATGTATGGGAATATGTACCGACAAATGACGTGGACCAACAGTCAGCGATGGCTGAACGCACACAGAGCGGCCTAGCAAATGACAATGAAAAAAGGAAACAAAAGCCTCCTCGCGCGACGAAAGAGCCGCCACAAGCTTATTCACGCAAGCCCTAGTTCCTAGTCCTATCTGTAAAACGAAGCTGGGTTGGAGGGAGGCGCGTTACCCTGCGTAGGCTGGTACGCCTGATATTCTGCGCTACCAGGCGGTGCCGATGGTGCAGGATTGAAGGCGTTGTACTGAGCAGAAGGGGCGGCTCCGGGAATCGGAGGAGGGTGGTGTGCGGGAGGGGCCTGCTGCTGAGCGGTGGGAGAATTGGGGTAAGGGGCTTGTTGCTGCTGCTTTTGATACTGCTGCGGCATCCCAGGAGCAGATGGCATCTGGGGTGTCTCTTCGCTTGAGTAAGCGGAGGGCGAGTAGTCCTGCTGTGATTGTTGCTGCTGCTGGAATTGCTGGTGAGCTGTAGGTGGCACCTGGCCGGTGGGAGGGTACTGGGGACGCTGGTCCACGGGCGAGTCGTAGACGGATGTTCCTAGTTCTTGGGGATGATCGTATGTGAGACTGGGGACGGTGGTGCGTGGGCTGGTAAGGCTCAGCCTGAGATGGCGGCTGCTGTTGCAGTGGCGCGCCACCTGCAAATTGGGTGCGAGGATCAGGGGAATGAGATGCAGGTCGGTAGGGGATTGTCTGCTCTGCGCCATAGTAGGGGGTCTGCGACTGGGGAGGTTGCTCTGTATAAACAAATTAGCGAATTGTAGTTCTGAAATGGGTTCGTGTTCAACAAACCTTGAGGGCGAGGGCTAAAGTATCGTTGATCCGAAGGGGGGCCCGGAGGATATCCAGCAGGCGCAGCCGCACCGGGATATCCGTACTGAGGCTGTCCAGGTCGACCGTATTGAGGCTGCGCTGGGTGTGCCATTGACGCTTCGAGCAAAGACTCATAATCACGGCGGGCCTTAATGAACTTCTCGTTGAGCTGAGTGAACTCATCTGGGCAATAATTAGTATGTAGATTGAAAAGTAAAGAAGCAAATCTCACCTTTCTTTTGAGAGTACTTGCCAATCAGCTCAATCAGCTTTGGCCGAATAGCGAGGGTGGAGTGATAGAGGGTAGTGATTTCCTCATTTTCTTGAACATTGAGATCCGAACTCCGGGTACTCAATAGAGTCAGGAGCTTCTCAACGTTCTTGATCTGACTGAAGACATCTCCCTCCATCTGAGCCTCGCGCTGTAACTCCTCCACAGTCGGATCGGGAAGCTTCTCGACGTAGTTAAGAGGGAAGATACCGGTCTGGCCCCTCAAGGAACCCTTCCACCAATCCTTGTATACAGACTCCAAAACAGCAATGGTATCGCCTTTTCGGAACTGGAGCTCTCCAGGCTCGGATGGCTGGAAGTCGAAAAGGGCCCTGACTCGCGAAACAGTAGCCACAGAAGTGCCAGACAGAACAGGTTGAGCTCCAGCAGGCTCGGCTTGGCTTCCTGGAGTTGGGGTCGATGTAGATGCAAGGGCAGGTGCAGGCACAGCAGCCGCTGAGCCCGCTTGAGAAGGGATCGGCTTTCTTTCCTTGACCGATAGTGCCAGTGCCATCTGCAGTTCTTCTTCTTCCTTCTTGCGGTCGAAATCGGTAATCTGTTGCTTGACAGGTTTCGAGGGAGGTTGCAAGTTGGGGTCTGATAGGCGATGATGATCAGCAAAAGCTCCAAATCAATATTGAGGTAACAGCTGTGTATTCACTTGTAGTTTTCAGCTTCATGTATGCCTGCTCCATAATACCAAAGTCGGGATTAGAGGAGAACATTTCGGTCCATTCTTGCATACGCTCCAAGATCTTGGATTTCACTTGTTGATGCGTGTTCTAGCAAATTGTATTATCAGCAAACAATCCTGCTCTCACGGAGCTTTTGTGACGTTCGGGCAACATACTCGATCGGCCGCCAACCGAAGAAGCGCATCTGTAAAGCTTCTCGAGGCCAACTCGCGATGAATCTTTGGACCGCAATTTTGCGACAGAGCATTGCCAAGCTGAACCAGTTAGCGAGGAATCCCACATGGTGGAAGAATTTTGAAGCGGAGAAGAATCACGAACCTCCAAGGTATAAAGCTGTACGTTGGCATTCCTATGAGCCAACCTCTTGATCATGGCTGCAACCGCTTCTTTTGCGCTAAAAATTTCAGTCCAGTCAGCATTGGCCTTATCACAACCGAGCTCGATAAAAAGTATGGCCACATACCCAGATTCTTCGACAGAGACCTTGTCACAGACATCCTACACCACAGAACCAACCAAATCAGCTTCCTGGCTGTTGATTGCAAGAACGTGTCATGTGTTCAGAGAAACGCACCAGAATGTATTCCCAATTCTCGGAGGTCAGGTTCTCGTCAGTCGCCTTGGCTAAGAAATAAATTCCCACGTCAGTGATCGGGACCAAAGGGTGTCGAGATCAGGCACTCATCCGCAGCTCCGCTTGCGCAGCTGGCATGCCTCGCAGTGGACACAGGGGCCTAGGACCGTTGTTGAACTTACCGACAGCATCGTCAAACGCATTCTGCTGCGCACGAAACATGTCCAGTATGATACCTCTTGGAAGGTCTCGCAATTACGGTAATGCAAGAAATCAGGTTTGGGCACCACTTGTTGGACCTTCACGCGCGGATTTCGTTCTGGTGGCCACCAAGAAGCGCAACTGCAGATTGATATGCCGCGAGGCTAATCACAAGGTTTCCGTATCTTCGCGAATCTCACGGGTCACGACGGCGTGGTTCTTAGCGGTGCTGGTCGAGCACGAAATGCGGGGAGCTGATTGAGGTTCGTCGGTGGGCTGAGCTGGGAGGTCCGGGCACGCCGAGAGGAGAAGGTGATGGGCGATGGTAAAGGGTCAAACGATGCAGCGCTTCCTCAGACGTCTTGCAACTTTATGTTTGATTCGGCACAGAGGGTGTGTCAACTTCGCGGTGTTGTGTCGGAGCGGAAGTGGCCCTGAGTCAGCAGCGATGACGATAGTGGGAGAAGCTTGGCTCAGATATTCTTAGCTACAAATTTCGATATCGTATCTGCCTAAAATGGCAACTTCTGTCTTTACTTTTAGGCATTTGAAGGCAGGCTCTAGCACAGGGTTGTTTTTCCTTTGTCTCAGAAACCCGTACGATCCCATTTTATAGCCTGCTCTGATTTGAGGTCCTCATGTGGCTTGTCTTTTCTCCACTATGTACAGCCTCAGCTGACATAAGGGTACATTATAATTATGAAAAAAATGCTTTCAACAAATGGGTGAACGCAGGTAACGCTCCCGGTAGAGGGATGTACAATCCCAACAGACGAGCGTGAGCGCGCATTCTTAACCATGTGCGGTTGAAGATCTACTAGTAAAAATGGCAGATAGCAGAAAAGCTAGCTCATATCGCCCAAAATATAGAACATTCAAACAGCACGAGCGACTACTGACATGACTACAGCTAGGCTACATAGACAGCCCGAAGGCACACAAGCAAAGAGACAAATCAAGATAACAGGTCCTGAGGTCAGATCATTTTTCATCACGAAGGGATGGTTTCATCAAGGAAATAGTGGGTAACAAATCGGGTGCAGTAAATACGATTCCTGCGACATGATGCGAATTTCGGCATGCCGGGATCTAGAAGAAACATCGGTAGTGATAGGGTATCTGAGCAAGGGGACGAAAAGCAAAAATAATGGAAAGGCCGAAACAAAGAAAAAGGTGAAGCGGTTCATCTAGGCGCCGCCTTTTTGGGCCTTCTCCTGAGCCCGACTGAGGCGAGCAGCCTTGACCAGCGGAGCGAGGTGGTTAAGGGGGAGCACAAGCCCATGAATGGGTGCTGCCAGGCAGGTTAGTGGCTGGGTTCAAATAATGATGATACGGAAGACAAACCTTCAACAGGTCGTGAGCTGACGCTCGCTTCTCGGGGTCGACCTTAAGTGCCAGGTGGAGGAAGTCGCGGAAGACATGCGACAGGTTGTGTTCATCTTTGATGGTCGGAGTGCCGTTCGTAGCGATCAAATAAAGTGCTCGGAGCGGCGATTCTGTTAGATATGGCGGTTCACCCTCGATCATCTCAATGGCCATGATACCGAGACTCCAAATGTCGACCTTGCGGCCATACTCCTTGCGAGTGACTACCTCGGGTGCCATCCAGTAAGGAGTGCCGACCATGGTGTTCCGCTTGTTGTGGGAGTCGTTTATTTGCGCGCAGAAGCCAAAGTCGGCTGCATTGAATTAGCTTTGGCATTCAGTATCGTGACAGAAGAATTGAAACTTACTCAGCTTGATGTTGCCATCCAATGACAAAAGGATGTTATCGGATTTGATGTCACGGTGAATGACGCCCTTTGAATGCAAGTGCTGCAGGCCATTTAAGGTCTAGTTTGATAACTCTCAGAAGCCACTCACGTGAAGATGAAAACACAAAGAGAATCAAAACATACCTCTCGACAAACCGCGGCGATCTGCCCTTCACTCATTATGTTGAAAGTTACCACATCCGTGAGACTGCCGCCTTCCATGTACTCCATGACGACCCACAGGTCCAGGCCATGAAGGAAACTCTCGAGGAAGTTTACAATATTCTTGTGCTTGCTATCTTTCATCACAAGAATTTCGTTGATGATCAGATCCTTTTTAGGCTGGAGATCGAGGTTCATCTGCTTGATAGCCACACATCCGTTTGATCCCTTCTCATAGGCCGTGTACACACCACCGGAAGCGCCCTGACCGATCTTGTTGAGGTTGTAGTAGATCTGGGTAGGATCACCGGGATGACAAATGGACAGCAATCGCTGACGCACATCCATTAGATTGCTCTGGCGCTGGCGTTGACGAGGTCGAGCTGCTGGCGGAGTCCGCGAAGTCGGGGAAGGATCCGTCGATGGAGCACCCACATTTGTGGCGAGCGCAGGAAGTTGAGGTGGTGGCTGTTGCTGCTGACGTTGGCTAGTACTGCGATCCAACTGCTTCTGTGCTATCGCTTGCTGGGCAGCTGCCATGGCCTGCTCCTGTTGCTGCTGGTATTGAGTGGGGGAGGCGATCGGTCCCTTGGGCGCAGGGGTGCCGCTGCGAGAGCTAGATGGACTGCGTTTCGGCGACTGGGAAATTGGAATCGACTCGGGAATGGGCGGTGCGGGGAAAGAGAATGACTCCTGCACAGCTCGCTGCGGGGAGCCAGCATATTGCTGGGATACAGGAGGTTGGGGCGGCGGGCGGGCGGGCGTCATACCAGTGGGCGGCTTGGGAGGAGCGCGGTGCGGCACCAAACTGCCCAACAGAGGAGACATGGTAGGGGCAGGTGCGGGCGATGCGACAGGCGGCCCACGAGGTACCGGAGGCGGCGATCGTGGGTTTTCAAAGCTACCTTCATGATTCTGGGGAAACCGAGGACTGCCAGGCGGCGAGGGCGCGCGACCGTTGTTGTTGGCGGAGTACGCGTTATCGAACTTGTGCCACACTTCATCGTCGTCGCCTCGAGTGTTCTTTTCATAGAAGCGCATAATATCCATCATGGTCTGTGGGTGCTCCTCCTGTTCCTTCTTTGAAATTCCGTTCTCTTGCAGCAGACGCTGCCACTCTTTGGGGAGACCGGTGAATTGACCGGTCTGGTTGTCGTATCCAACGTGAGTGACATGAACCGGATTTTCGGGGGCTGAGATCTTCATGTTGCGAGGAGAGCCCAGCATGCTGTTGACGAAGCTGGAGAAGCTGGCCTTTTTGCTTCTCCCCGTCCGAGCTGGCGGGCCATTGTTGCCTTCGTCGGAGTATCTCTTAGATTGTGGAGGCCGTTCAGGCTCACGATGAGCAAATGGATCCATGCGGCTCGGTAGAGTGGTGAAACTGGCGGACTGTCGGAGAGGTGTGCGGCCACGCGGGTCGGGACTAGTGTGATGAGAGCGCAGCGGGGGTTGCTGGATATGGGTTTGAGGCTGGGTATCGGCGCTATTCTCATCGAGTGCACTGAGCATGCCCCGCGTTTCGTATGGGCCGTTTAATTCATCCGAACTTGGCTGATCATAGGAGAAGCGGTGGGAGCGTGTTCGAGAGCGCGAAGAGCTGTGACTGGTGTGACTGGGGAACTGTGTCGCCTCCTCGTAGCCGGGCGAGGGACCGCCACTGTGATCGAGCGAGGATGATGATGAGTCGTAGTGTGGGTTGGGAGCTGCGTTTGATCGCGATCGGGCGTGCTCGCGACTGCCACTGGGAGAGGACCGCGGATAGACCGGGGCAGAGGGATGACGTTTCAGAGAGCTGGTGCTTTGATGACCCCGAAGAATGCGCGAACTGAAGCTAGGGGGGATCCTTGTGCGGCTTGCTAGAGGGGCGACGGAATTTTAACGAGAAACCCTCTGAACTCATGGCAGGCAGGGACTTGTCTCTACACGAGACAAGATTGGAATTGGGCCGAGGAGGAGGGGTCAGGGAATGGAGAATTTTCTGCCTGCGTATTTTTTGGCGGCCGGGACCAGGGTTTGCCGCCCGTGATGCGCTCTGCAAGCCCAGTGATGACGATGCCTTTAGACCCAGGTACCCGATGGACGGTGTTCGTAGAGACTTCTGGAATGAACCGAAGGGGAGAGAGAAGGGGTGATGAGGATTCCAATCCGATTAGCACGTGGAGAGCGGAGTGAAAAAAGGAGTTGGTGGCTGGGCTTGACGATGACGCGGGGGCCCGTTGATGGTTGATGAGTATAGGGGATAGGGGAGGCTAGTCTTGATCCGAGGAAATGAAATGATGGGGGACGTGATCTAGCCCATTAATCTCTTTTTTCCCCGATCTAGACTTTCTCAGTGAAATGGGGGGTGCCACTTTTCGGGATGACTACGTGGGATAAGAATAGATTGGAGCAACCGATTATCTGTCATGTTGTGGTTTACCCGAGCCACAGGTAATCTGGTTTCCATGACCTTGTTTACAAACTATCCTACACTCTCTTCCATAAATCATTTCTGTGCCCTCGGCCTGGCTTGATTCCTGCACGTGAGTTTCAGCTCCGATTGCGATCCTCTGTCTATCGGCTTGGATGGTACTTCCCCCCTGAATGGCCTCGTAGCTCAAGTTGGCCAATATGGTGCTTGGGTCCCCTGTCCCTGGCGCACCTCGGAAACGCGCCAGTAAGGCCAAGGTCCGCACAGGCTGCTTTACCTGCAAGTTAGTTCGGGCCTCCGCTATACAATTTAAGTTCTAAACAGGGACGACCACTTTTATAGGACCCGACGGGTCAAGTGTGACGAAGCAAAACCAGCTTGCGCTCGGTATGTCGCCCTCCGTCCCTATTCTCCTTCTCCCTTGAAATAACACCTTTTGAGATGTACGAGTACGGGGCGAAAGTGCGATGGCTATCCCCTATCCAAGTCCTCCCTGGTACCCCGAGTGTTGGCCCCGGCACCCGGATCGGGATCGCGAATCGAGTCTCGCGCCCTCGAGTTCTTCTTCCACAAAACTGCGCCACAGCTGGCGGGGCTGTTCGCGGGGGAATTTTTCCAAGGCAGCGTATTGAAGGTGAGCCTGGTGGAGCCCGCCATCCGCCAGGCGATGGCGGCAATAGGTATTGTTCATGAACAGGCAGTCCTGGGCCGACCGTACAATCCGGGAGAACAGGAGAAGCCAAAAGCACAAGCTCGCCGAAAGCGTTCTGATCCCCTGAATGTCCCTATTCAGCTATACAATCGATCGATTCGCCGACGGTGTCAAGGTCGACATGGATGGCAACGTCTATGCTGGCTGCGGTGACGGCGTCAATGTCTGGTCGGCTGGTGGTGTCTTGCTCGGCAAAATCCTGATCGAGGGTGGTACTTCGAACTTCTCGTTTGGTAAGAACGGTACAATGTTCATTATGAACGAAAACAAGCTTTGGAGGTCGCGTTTGAACAAGAGTGTTCATGGAAACCTTTTCTAGAAGTAAACAATTGGTGGAATGTGGCGTGTTGCAAACGTGGATACGAGTGAGCTTCTTGTTCGATGATAAATATCGCAGAACATTGATGAATTTACCCCCAGCCTTCGTTGACTGCCACATGGGTTCGCCAAACAGATGCGACTTGAGATATATCACTAGAACAGACAATTCTTTGCACCATCAATTGTCTCATCTCCTCCCCTTTCTTTCCCCCGCACCATGTACTATAATCTGCGCTCCGGTCCTCACTCCACCTAACGAAGTAAGTCCGGCCCGGTCCAGCTTGATTGGCCTATCTTCGCTGATAACCTCAAGGCTTAAGACTCCTTCAAGTTACAGAGTTGTATCTTTTTATCTTTATCACACCTCCATTATCGGTTAGCGGCGGAAGGGCGCTGGTTTCCCCGAAGAAACCGCGAACAGGGGCGAGATAAGGTAATTCCTATCTCAAATATTGCCGCCAAGAAATCAACAAAACATAGATACAGATCAATGGTTCCATGAATCAACGTGTCTGTCGATCACGCCCATGGAACCATGTACACTACTTCTATCTTATATCGTTGTATGTTGAATATTACGATGAAACGGTGTGAGGGGACATGTCGACTCAACACAGTGATGTTTAGATTGTTCTTTCGGCTCTATGACCAGAGAATATTAAATTTTCGGAGACCAGTCCTGGGCGTAGGTTCCGGCTCTGGATTAAGCCGGTACTGTTCGATGAAAGGTCGAATGGGAATATCCTCCAGTGCAACAATCTTCGTTTTCATCCACCACTTGTAGGCAAAGTAGACAATCAAGATGAACGGCAAGTTGAAGTACGAAGAAATGAATGTCTCGGTGCTCCAATCTCCGTGGATGAAGGTGGAGTAGCCACCAGTGAAGAACAGAATGATGAACAGGATCAATGAGATCCAGCTTGCCCACGGTTGAAAAGGGGCTGCCCATGGAAGTTCTTCATGGCGACTGATTCCCTGTTTTTTGCAGCCGTATTGGAACCTGAGGTAAATAATAAGGATGCAGATCCAGTTCACCAGTGCTGCAATGGACACGATGACTTGCAGCCACGTGAAGACAGTGCTTGCAGAATTCGAGAGGGTCATGTAACCCAAAGCGATGAACACAGCATAGAGAATAACGGCCACGTAAGGGATTGTGAAGCGGTTCAGACGCTTGAAGATAGCAGGTGCGCGACCATTTACTGCCATACCATAGAGTACTCGAGAACCACCGAGCATGCTAGAGTTGCCTGACGACCAGGCTGAGGTAAGGACAACCGCGTTAATAATAGATGGCACGACCTTGATACCCGCATTGCGAGCGGCGATAACAAACGGCGACGCGGATGCCGTACCAGAAGATCCTAGAAGATCTGGATCTGCTGAAGATACAACAAGAGTGACCATGAATATTGTAAGAACGTAGAAGAGGACAATTCGGACAAAAATACGTTTTGCGGCCATGGGAATGGCTCGTCGAGGGTTCTTAGTCTCGGCAGCGGCAACGGTGATACCTTCAATGCCAGAGTATGCGTAGAGAGCGTTATTGAAGGCAGTCCAGAACCCAAGAAACTGGCCTAAACGGCCGGGGATGTTGAGATATTGTTGGAAGGGACCGTAAGGGCTCCTCCAAAATTCGAACCCAATAGAAGTGTTGTTGGGTCCTCCACCACAGGTTATGACTAGAGCCATAATATTGACTCCAACAATCAGCATGATCTTGAGCATAGAGAAACCAAACTCAAGCTCGCCGTAGATCCTCACAAAGAGCAGCGGTGATAGTCATCAGAAGACCGAAGATCGTGATCCAAACGGCATTGCTGACGGTAACCCAAAATTCCACGATTACAGCAGCGGCGACAATCTCAGCGGGAATTGCCACAATGTAGGAGTAAACCTGGTTCCATCCGTTCGCAAAGGCCAGAGCAGGGTCACAGAATAGCTCTGCATACCGGACTACACCACCGTTGAGCGGTACCAGAGCACCCATCTCTCCGACACCTAGGACAACGCTCGAAACCAGCAAACCAATGATGGAGTAGGCGAGGAAGGCCCCCAACGGACCCGCATTGACGATAGCTTTACCAGAACTGAGGAAAAGTCCAGTTCCAATGGTGCCGGCGAGAGCAATCATCTGGATGTGTCGTTGGTGGAGACCCTGTCGAACGGTATCCAGTTCTTCCAGCTGGCCCACAGCAGTGTCCACTTCCTGCAATTCGGTATCATATGATTGGATTTTCTTTTCCGTGAAGCTAATATTGTCCTCTTCAGACAACGATCTGGCACGAGAAACAGACATGATGGGCAACGTGGTAATGAAATTGTCCGGTGAGTTCGAGAGACTTCGAGAGGGTGTATCTCAGTTTTGTACTTTTCCAGCATGTCTGCGTAACCCTTACTCTTTGCCTACACGACTGCCTACCCCTCAATCAGGTGCCAATCAAGCGTATTTACTTATCGCGAGATTTTCCCCAAGTTAAGAGTAGGACTTCTGTCGTTGGTGGCGTTGATCATATCTAGGCAAGTGATAACGAGCTGGAGGCTATACATTCGTACGGAACATAGTTTCGAGCCATGATTGTGCTTTGCCCCTTGATATACAGGCGCAGAGGCCAATCAAAGGGGCGGTTCGGTATCAACACTCCCAATCAGGGAGCCCCTGTCTGTCGGAGAAGTAGTGCGTGGCCAGATAAAAGATTCCTGTGCGGGATTGAGTTCAATCTCAGAAGTCTGTCCTTAGACAATCTACATCCAATGGATATTCCAAATAGACGTTCTTACACCATAATGAGTGCACCAAAAGTGTTCTGGGCCACGCTCACCGCCAGCACCACCAGATGTAGCTTAGATGTCCGATCAGCTTGACACTGCCAATTGAACGTCGAAGTTGACAAATTCCTCCCAATAAAAGCGAAGATACGGCACTAGTGCTAATCAAGAACGTAGCGGGCAGTACGCGTACTGGCTATGCCAGGGTTTAGGGGCAAGGGCGAAAAGTGGGCATTGGCTGAAATGTGGCTCTTCCGCCCACTGCGATCACTCTCCGCCTCGTTTCCTGATAGGACTATCATTCCGAGTATTTAGTAGGATATCTGAAGGTAGTCGTCCAGCACCGATTTTACCATACGACCTTCTAAGCTAACTGGAGGAATTTAAGAAGAAGGGGAAAGGCGCCCTTCTTAATGCCCCCCAGCGATGCTTCGAAAGAAGTCCAAAAAGAGTCAAGGATTCAATGGGAATGCCCCTTCAGTTTCTCAACTCGAAGATTCATGAATAAGAATGCCTTTGGCGTAGAGAGCTTATTGCTCTTATAGCTTATTATAAGATCTTGACGACACCTGATCCTTAAGACACCTGATCATCTACAATTTTGCTATAGAGAGAACATTTCCTTGTGTTTGCCCCTAGTCGCTACCACAACTGAGTGTAATGCAGCCTGTGTAGCTTTGAGAGTCTAAGTTCAGTACTGCGGCTCGGTTCTTTTGGGTGGTCGGAGGTTGAGTGGTGTTCTTGCTTCCTAAAGATTTTATGGGGACCGTTTTAAACCTTAAGTCGTGTAACGGTGTATCCACGCATGCTTCACGAAGTAGCAGCCCTGTAATTCGAGGTAAATAGGGTCCGAATCTTGATTTAAATTCCAGCGTTCAACTTTTCAAGATCCCAAAGTTCTACAATTCCATGACTGACTTACCTATTTGTCGCCTTGGGTCAACATTCTGCAGATTTTCGTAAGAAAGCATTACGAAATCACAAGCCGATTTTGCACAATGACTAGCTACCATATTCTCTATTGAGGCAGGGTCCTACTGATCCTAGCCCTGTGCCACATGTGCAACCCAAAACCCACCATGTTTGTTTGCATGTGCGGGTGTCCCAAGGTTTCCAGTTCAGATCAAAAATTTGGCTTCTGCAGACAGTCAACGTCGAGGTTTAAATGCTGGCCATACTAGGCAAGCGCCTGGGCATTGGTCGGTACATTATCTATGTGTTGGCCCAAAAAACGTACATTGAATCATCCATCGTCCTCACGGCCGCTTGGATACTATTTACTCTTTCACTTTTTCTTTGATTCTTATTACCAGGCGTACCCTTGGATAGTTACGTGTCTCTAGTCGAGCTTTGAGCCAGCTCGAAGAAAAATTCATCAGGGTGACCGTTTCCATTGGTCCCAGCCAAGCCAAGCTTCTGTATAGCGCCTCTCCCGCGCTATGTCCAACGAAAATCAAGTTTTAAAACAAGCTTAAACGCGTGGAGTGCATCCCACAACATGGTACACACACCAAGCGCGGAGCAGCTCAGGTACGCGGATTGTTGTCTTACAACGCCGAGGAGATGTCTCAATAAGGCGGGAAATTCGCTCGAAGATTAACAACCTACGTCTACCTATGTCTACCTACGTGTTCAGCTGAGCCCAAACGCAACTATTGTTGATGATCAATAAGCGCAGTCCACGTGAATAGGGCTTGGATTTGGATTTGCTCATTTCAAAGTGGCCTGGTCCCTTGGCGGTGTCAGACAGGCAAGGCACTAGACACAGGCTCGAGTCTGAAGAGGCACGAACTTAGAGCTCGGCAAATTCTCAGCGAGGCGTTCTGCCGGGTACGCAAGCCACCCTCAGCAAGTTTCATGGAGAATCTTCTGTTCTTCCAAATTTTATCAAGATGAGGGGGTGATGATACCACGGCGATGGCGACATCTTGCGACATCCTCTCACGATGGAGTCCAAGTCATGGGTCGTGGAGAGCCGATCCGCTAAGGTGCAACGAGATGCTAGATGACGAGAGCCAAGGTCGGCTCGGACTCTTACCGTGAGCTTTGTATCTTGGAGAAGGCCTAAGTCGCGGTGAGAGCCGGGTTTTGCTGTCGGTCTCAGCTCTCGACGTGTGTTCTCCTGCAACTCCCCGTTGTTGGACAGGGTCTGCATCCTGATCGCTCGGATTTGCCTGCCCTTTGGAGCTGAGCTCTGTCCTTGATGTTGGGTTTCACAAACCCCTCTCTCGGCCTTGCTAGCGCCCTTGATCATAGTCATCCTTATTGAAAGGGTGATCGCAGCCTTGATTGCCCGTTTGACCGGGGAGCGCTCCCCACTATCGCGAATTTGATCCGCACCCATAAATGGTATTGGGTGTACCGGTTCAAGCTAACGGACCGGGCTTATCACCTGGCGATCTCATGAGCCTCCAGTTGAAGCTTACTGGGGCCGACCGAGTCCCACATGGGAGCAGATCATCCACCTCCCGGGACTTGCGGCGCCCTGTGCGATACCTGTGCGGGCCTAATGGGGCCCCAACACTAAATGCCCCCGCAACGCATATGACTTGAGATATAGAAACTCGGTTGCCTCGATTGGCATGGCAGCAAATGAAAAAAAATCAAAAATCAAAAATCAAAACTTTCAAGTCGGCGACCCGAAACAACAAAGAATTCAATAGTGCTAACGAAATCGATCTCCCTTGCCTGCCACGATAGAAAGGGAGAATGTGGGTCTCATGCAACCGCAACATGAGCACTACCAAGTTGCGAATCACGCACTCCTGAACCCCCTGTCGACCACACTATACTTTGCATAAACGAAATTGAACACGAATCTGTGTGGAGATGGTGGATGTGTTGTGGAGTGATAGCCTGGGTCTAGGGCGGACGTCTGCAGTTGCGGATGCGAGACCTCACAGAAGGGATAGTCGGGGCACTTACGGCTGATTGCCGGGATCTGGGGAGCAAGCGTCGGTAATCAAATTCCCTAACTGGGTCGAGGACCGCCACCCTCTAAGAATCTCCCTAGAGGCCCATTTTTCCTCCGGCTGTCCCCTTTGTGGCGTTCGAGCCACGTCGGAAGGCCCAACTACTGACATGTGCCTTACATTCATAGGATCCGATGCATACCATGGCCATACTGTGATTGGCATGGTGGGGTCCCAAGACCTTCGATCAAGGCGAAAGATGGACTCGGCAAAGCGACATCTGCATGACCTTCAAAAGACTCTAGGGGGACTGCCCGAGTCAATATAAATTGAGCGCATTCCTCCAGGTCGTATGAAAGAGCATCGCCATTAATCCTTCGACAACCCGGGCTTACTTTCGACCGCCACAATGCTTGCCCTTTTTTTCTTCTTCATTGCGTTGGCTTGTGCCTATCCCAACCGGGGCCCTTGTACCGGAGACTGCTGGACTCATGATCCTTCAATGATCCAGCGTAAGTCTGATGGAAAGTACTTCCGTTTCGCTACGGGAACAGGTGTCAATACCATGACTAGTTACTCGGTAAAGGGTCCTTGGACGGACGTCGGCTCCGCTTTGCCCAATGGCTCCAGCATTACGGTCTCCGGCGTGAGCAGCTCTGACATTTGGGTATGTTTGCCTCACTATATCTACCAAAATTCCACTAACATCAACCTACAGGCCCCTGATGTGCACTATCAGAACGACCAGTACTACATGTACTATGTCCTTTCTCAGATTGGGACCCAAAACTCTGAAATCGGCGTGGCCACCTCGAAGACTATGGAACCCGGCTCATGGACCGACCACGGCTCCGTCGGCATCCCGGCCAACAGCGAGTACAACCGCATTGACCCCAACTGGATCGAAATCGACGGCAAGAACTACCTCAACTTTGGTTCCTTCTGGCAGGATATCCATCAGATTGAGATGGAGACCCCTCTCAAGGTCGGCTCTTCCGCTGCTTACCAATTGTCCTACAATGCGACTCTCAACCACCGCGAAGAAGGCTCCTTTATGTTCAAGTACGGCGACTACTACTATCTCCTCTACTCCGATGGTATCGCTGGCCGATACACCGCTACCTACCCCGCTCAGGGCGAGGAGTACCACATCATGGTCTGCCGCTCTTCTACTGGAACTGGCGGCTTTGTTGACAAGGACGGCATTGCCTGCACCAACACTGGCGGGTCTCTTCTCCTGGCCAGCCATGGACAGGTCTACGGGCCCGGTGGACAGTAAGTCACTCCTGCAATTCAATCCTTTACACAAGTAACATCTAACAACCAATCAGGGGTGTTGTCGATGACAAGGATCTTGGGCTCGTGATGTACTACCACTATTACCCGCTTGCCACTAAGGAAGCCGGTGGTAAGGGTAACGCAGGCTACATGTACTCCTGGAACGAGCTTGGCTGGGAGAACGGCTGGCCCTACGTCAAGGCCACTTAGGCTTTCTCTGCACATATTTGCATTGCCTCATTACACATACCAGCTTAAGCTGCGAGGCTCTCATGATTTTAATTTCTGTCGATGGTCGGGATCCATACTTGGTTTAGAGCACTTGAATAGTGCACTTGTTCATTCGATACCCATGCCCCTTAATGCTCCATGGCTTTGTTTTGCCTGGCTGGACGCGTCACAGAGTATATTAATACTAATGTGGCCTGTGAGGCTTCTGCACATTCTAATTATATATGTCATGTCAATCAAATCTCATGACTTAAGATCGTTCCTTCCTTTCAACCTGCCTTCAAGTGCTTTTCGTAATGGATTTATAGACCATGCTGAGTACTCGAGTTTTGCTCTTGTGACTTTTACCGTCCCACATAGCGCAACTCAAGGGTCCTCAGTGGCAGGTAGGAAATGCTGGTGAACACGAGGGCCAGCTCATTGGCAATGTCACCGCCATCTGTTCCGATTTTTGCTGCGAGTGCGCCAACATAGTATGTCTCCACCATACCCACAATCCAGCCTGCGGCACCGCACAGGAAGGCCGTTAGTCCGGCATAACCAACAGGCATCTTGGAAGGGGTATTCCAGGCGTCCAAATCATAGTTCGCGAGATTTCCCTTTCGGAAATAATAATGCTCAATGAAGAGGATCACAAAGAATGAAGTGTTCCAGTACCCGAGCAGAGAGAGGAAATTCTCCAAGACATCGAGCAAGGAATTACGACCTGCGATTCCAAGAGCCAGAATACCGCCGAAGACAAGGAATGACCAAAGCACGCGCGGGACCTTGGCGAATGGGGCCGCGAACAGCTGGGCCGACAGTGCACCGGAGTAAATCGCAATACAGTTCACACCAACTGCGAGGGTAATGTTAGCGCCTGGGATACGTATGATGTATCGCAGAGATCACTTACTGCCAGATAAGACGAGCAGCACAAGCAAAAATTTGGCAAACCCGGTGGGGTAGATGATCGTTTTCAAGATCTCGCCAATGCCCGTGTCGTACGCTTCCGCCCACTCGGGGTTCGTGTCCAATGCCGAACTGATGCAGGCACCGAGCAGCATGCCGATACAAGTGGGGATTGTGATACCGAGAGTCGTGTATGTAAAGATCTTAACCTTGGACGTGTTGACGGGGTAATGGACGTAGAAATCGGATACGATGGAGCTCCACGAGGCGCTAGATCCATAGATGACACCGATAAGACTGAGCACGTTGCCTGATTTAGTCATTCCAGTCACCGTCGGGGCTTCGGAGAGGTTGGCGCGATGAGCGGCTTCGCCATAGATGATCATGAAAATGATGAAAAACATGATCCACGCGTATTTCTCATAGAGTAGTACACCGCGCAGTCCGACGAAGCTGAATAGGAGACTAACGCAGGCGATGATGACGACTCCCACGGCGACGGAGACATGACCATCAGACACGGCGTTGAGTGCCAATCCGCCCGTGATGCAGTTGACAGAAGCCCAGCCCAGCTGCTCAATTACATTGAGCAAGGCAATGATGGACGAAGGGTAGTAACCCAGCGAGTAGCGCGAGATGGCAACTTGGCGCAGACCCGTTCCAGGGCCCATAGTAGCGCACCAGCCCTAAAACTCGACCGTCAGTCTTCATTTCCCCCTTTGTGCACATCAACCTCCCCAGGAGAAAAAGGAAAGCGCACCGTCACCATAGCACCCAACAGCGTCGCGAAAATCACAATCGGGATCGTCTCCCCAAGTGACAAGCCAAATTGCCGGCCCAAGAACCCCGTACTGAAACAACTGATATTCATTGTCGCCGAAGCCCACATCAACGCCATCACCAGAGGACTAGGCGAGTTGCGATTCTCGGGATGCACGCGATCGAGACTGTGGGACTCAATCCCCAGTTTGCGGTCCAAGAGATCTTCATAATAGCGGATTTTGGCGAAGAAGCCTTGCGCGGGCTTGACTAATTCATGTTCCTGGTCGACAGCGGTCACAGCGAGCTGGAGCTCCTTTTCTATGTCGTGCTCGCTGTCGGAGGCCATTGAGGGAGCGTGGGACAGGTGCAAGAAGAAAAATCTCCGCACTCGCCCACAAGCTCTGGGGGTCTTGGATTTTAGTAGTGCGCATTATTCGGAGAATCTCTTCGCGGGTCGCGTGTGGGCCTGGCCGCTTATTGACGGTGGCCAATTTGGATTTTTTGGCACTTTCTTTGAACACGAATGCTGTTGTTGGAGAACGAGGTGAATTATAGTGATATTGTTTCATACTACAGAAACATAGACTAGCAACGTTCAGGTGACTGTTCTAGAGTGTCCTGTTACAGGTCAACATTTAGGAAAGAAGTATGGGGTTAAGCTTTAGCCTTGGCGGTCCGAGAAAAAAAAATATCTTTTCCTTATCAGGTGGGGTGGCTTATGTCGGATGTCTCCGAATCTTTGGGTTCTTCTTCTTTGCCTCAGGTTCTGCTTGTCATTGGATTGACTGGATCCAGACAGTATATTGTCATTCCACTGCGACTTGCCCTGGGGCGAATGATGCGTAGCTAGGGTTGATTCGCCTCTTTTTCCGAGGCCAACTTTTGCCCCCATGCACTCATCATGAACACACCATGTACATGACTGTGGTACGGGAATCCCAAGCATTGAAGGGTAGAACCCGGGTTAATGCTAGGTCGGTAGAGGTCTGGACTCAAAACCCTGTGCCAGTGATTGCTCTCGCTCTTACGGTCTGACAACGGTCGAGGCTGAGCCTACGGCTACGTCTTGGCTGCTGGGCACGCGGTGCGGCGTCGAAGCGCCTGGCAGCGATCTGGGACATCTCACGGAGATCATCCCGAGAATGTACTGCTTTCCCGGGCCATTGGCTCAAACATGACTGGCCGGTAGTGGTGGAGAGAGGAGATGTGTGTCGACTTGTGGCACCGTTTGGCCCGTAGGGATGTGGTGACATCTACTATTCAATTAAGAATACTAAAACGACAGCTCGTTTCACGAGGGCATTTTAGATAATTGCAGAGTTAGATAAGCGAGTAGAAAGTGATGAAGTTGGCGACGGTGTCGGCGTCGGAGAAAACTTCCCCGGAGCCTCGAGCTGGCCTTTTCGGTCACTTTGTGTACTTCGGGGGTTCTCGACCTCACCTTCCACCTTTCATCTCTCCTATTCCCCCCCTTTTCTCTTTCCCCTCACTCTTCTTCTTCTAAGAGCTCTGTTCATTCAGTGTCTCTTTTCCTTCTTCTGGGTACTCGTAATTCATCCGGGTTCTCACTAGACTGCTCTATCTCCGCTCCTCGGGATATTGCTCTCAAGGCCAAGTTTCAGTTGGGCATCACTAAACTCTCGAGTCTCAATTCGGAAAGGTAGTACTCAATCGGTACGTTCTTTCTCACTCCTGACCCATTCGTCTCCGGTCTCTTCCTCCATTCCCGTGGTTCTCCTCCGTCGCAATGCTAATTCGGACCGGGTTTGATTCGCAGTCTACCGCCGTACCGTTTCTCGTCGATCACTCCGGTCTCACTCTCTCGGTCAATTCATCACGCTCATCATGGCTGCTCAAGCTCCCGCTACCAATGGTGGCTCTCAGTCTCTGGCTGCCATGCTGGAGGCTCAGCACGAGGCTCACAAGCCCACTGTTGAAGAAGTGGTGGATGAAGAGGACCTGAAGCACCCCCCTCCGTCGTCTATTGTCAACTCAACGCCCGCCGCTGCCACTCCCATCGCCTCGGAAACGTCTACACCTGCCGAATCCGCAATTCCATCGCCCGTCCCGAAGGCCGCCGCAAAGAAAGCCCCCGCCTTCGACGTCCAGTCCGATGAGCTGTTCCCTGCCCTGGGCAGTGGACCAAAGCCTGCGACCCCCGCTGCTGCCACATGGGGAGGCAAGCCCTCTGCGGCCGCGGCTGTTGCCAATGGTCAGGCTGCGAAGCCCATGAACATGCCCCGGGTCATGTCTCTTCCTGGAAAGCACCTGGAACAGCTTCGCCTGGCTCCTTCCCAGATGCAGCCGCGCGGGCAGCTCAAGAAGCCCCTTCGGGACATCCTCCGGGACATCTCCCGGAGATCCAAGGCCAATGTCGACATGCGCGGTGGCCCCGGGGGATCCATCATCTTCGAAGGAAAGGGCTCTGTGGACTCTGTTCGCCAGGCTCTGAAAGAGGTCGCTCAGCAGGTCGGATCCAAGGTACGTGGAGATCAGTTTCCCTGAACCGTCTCGGGCTAATCTTCTGTCTTCCATAGCAATCTGTCAAGGTTCCCATTCCCACCTCTGCCCGCCCTCACATCATTGGCCGCCAAGGTGCCGTTGTTCAGGATATCCAGACTCGCACCGGTGCCCGTGTCCAAGTTCCCCGCGCCGACAATGACGCCCCCGCCGATGACGATGATGAGGACACCATTGATGTGCTGATTGAGGGTGATGCCGTGGCCGCGGAGATGGCGCGCCGGGAGATTGAGGCCATTGTCAAGGAGCGTGGTTCAAGCATGAGCTTGCGCTTGAAGACAATCCCCCCGGAGTTTTTCCCCTTCATTGCTGGTGCGCACGATGGTACTTTGCGCCAGATTGAAGAGCGCACAAAGGCGCAGATCAATGTGCCTCGCTACGATACATGGACTTCTCAGCCGCCTCCCCAGGAAGCACACCCGGGCCAGGTGCAGTTTGTCCCTGTTGCTGACAAGCACATTATCATTTCTGGAGAGCGGGCTGCCGCCCAGGAGGCACGCGCAGAGATTGAGCGCATGGCCGCTGAATTGCAGCGCAACCTGACTCTGCGCCAACTGGCCATTAACCGTGGCCAGCACCAATTCATCCTCGGCAATGAGGCTGATGCTCTTCACCTGTTCCTTGCTCAAACCGGATGTGCCATTGTTTTGCCTCCTGCTTCTGACGAGAGCGAATTCTTGACTATTACTGGCCCGTTGTCTCAGATCGAGAACGGCATCAACCACGCGATGGATCTTGCGACCAGCATGCAAATGGCCAGCATTGACTTGTCTCGCCAGCACCCTGCTGCCCCTGCTGGCCCCCACGCCCATGCGCGTGCCCTGACCCAGTACCTTCGCCGCCGCGAGGTCATCAAGCAGCTTGAGTCGGCTTACGATGCCCACATTGCTCTTCCCCAGACCCTCGACGGTCCTGTCAACTGGGAGGTTTACTCCCGTGACGGCAAGAACACTATCCGCGCCCGCTCCGATATCATGAACCTGGTGCAGGCTTTCCCTCCTTCCCGTCTGCGCCATGTCCCCGTCGATCCTTACTTCCACTCTCACCTGCGCAACCAGAGCGCCCGCCAGATCCAGAGTGACTATGGTGTCCACCTCCTGATTCCCGATGATGCTGAGTCCCCTGAAGTTGTCCTTGTCTACGAAGGCCCATCTGCTACTGCCTCCGATTTCGAGGTGCCAAGACAGCGCCCCTCTCCGGCGGAGGTTGCCGCGTTCGAGAAATCTTTACAGGAGGCTCAGGAGTACCTCCTGAACGCGCTTGGAAACCAGCAGGACATTGTCGGCAAATCGGTGTCGATCCCCGCCAAGTACCAGGAGAAAGCCCGGCGATTTATCATTCGTGAGCAGGAAGCCAAGGGTGAAGATAGCATCCCCGTGCGTGCCATCGTTGGTGAGCCTCGTGGCGGCTCGGTGGAGATCGCTCTTCGCGGGCCTTCTGATCTCGTTGCCGAGCTCGATGCGAAGCTGGCAGCTTTTGTTGTGGAGCAGGAGCAGGATGACTTGGAGCGCGGATACACCACCACCTTTGATTTCCCTCAGAAGTATGCCAACATCCTGATCGGCAAGCGTGGCGAGAACATCAACAAGCTGCGCGAAGAGTTCGATGTCGACATCAAGGTGGAGAACGGCAAGGTCGAGGTCAAGGGACCCAAAGCTAAGGCGGATGCTGCTCGCATGCGCATCATCAACATGGGCAAGAAGCTCGAGGACGAGAGCACTCACATCCTCAAGATTGCCCCGCAATATCACCGTGAACTGATTGGACAGCGCGGTAATCAGGTCAACCGTCTTCAAGATCGCTACAACGTTCGCGTTCAGTTCCCTCGCGCAGCTGCCGCTGCCAACGATGACCAGTCGGCCATCGAGACCGGCAGTGATGCCGGTGGTGCTCGTGCTGGTCGTCCCAGCAAGCTGCCGATGAGGTCTTAGTCAAGGGCCCCAGCAAGGGTGCTGACCAGGCTCGTGATGAGATTCTCAGCTTGTTGCAGTGGGTGATTGACCACTCTCATTCCGCCACCGTCTCTGTTGCCCAGAACCAGATTGCTTCACTGATTGGACAGCGTGGCCGTGAGATGGACAAGCTCCGTGCCGACACCGGTGCTCAGATCGATGTTCCCAGTGCCAATGATGCGCCGGACGCATCTGGTCGTGTCCAGATTCGTGTGAAGGGTACCAAGCAGCAGGTTGCCGAGGCCAAGAAGGTTCTGCAGCAGCGTGCTTCTGAGTTTGATGCCACTGTTACCAAGTCTATTGAGGTTGATAAGAAGTACCACAAGGCCCTTATTGGTGGTGGTGGTGAGTATAATCTGCACGTCCTACCTTCTTGCACTTCCCACTAACATCTACTAGGTGCCAACATCCGCAAGATTGTTACCGATGCCGGCGGCCCTAACGACGGCAGTGCTGCTCGTATGGTCCGCTTCCCCCGCCCCGATAGTACTGAGTCTACCATTCGCCTCGAGGGAGATGGGAAGATCGTCGATAGCATCATTGCCGCTATTGAGGAGTTCGTCAAGGAACGTGAGGACCAAGTGACCGAGGTTCTTGATGTCCCTACCGCCCAGCACCGCATGCTGATCGGTCGGGGAGGCGATACCCGTCGCGGCATTGAGTCCAAGTTCAGCGTCACCCTGGACATCCCTGAAACAGGGCTCTGGCCGTACTGATGTCAAGCTGAAGGGTCCTAGCAATGCCGTTGCTGAGGCCAAGGAGCACATTCAGGGCATGCTGAAGGAGCAACACGCCGAGACCATCGACGTTCCTAGCCACCTGCACCACGTTGTCGCGGACAATGGTATGATCTTCCGCCGTCTGCGCAACGACTACCAGGTCACCGTTGACCACGCTGGTCGCGCTGTGCCCGCCCGTGCGGCGGACTCGACCCGTGATGCTTCCAATGGCGCCATGCCCCTAATTACCGACGAGCCCGATATGGATGCTCACTCCTGGAACGTGGTTGACAACTCCGCTTCCGTAGATGCTGATGCCTCGCCCTTCCCTGGGTTCTTACCGGCTCCCCCGAAAATGTCGCCAAGGCCCGCGCTGTGATCGAGAAAGCCATCTCTTCGGCCACTCAGCAGTCCGCTACCGGATACTTGATCCTCCCCGACCCGAAGACCTACCGCTTCGTCGTTGGCCAGGGTGGCAGCCAGATCAACGCCATCCGCAAGAAGACCGGCTGCCGTATCAATGTGCCCAAGGATCAGGCTCGCGGCGAGGCCATTGAGATCCGGGGTAGCGCCACTGGCCTGGAAGAGGCCAAGGACATGATCTTGGAGGCTGTACAGAATGGCTTGAACGGCTCTGCGCGGTAATTCTTTTTTGTGATTTTCCAGTCCGTCGAGTTGAGCACATAACGACAGACGATATATGCGCTTGACATTTTGACACATACATCTGATCTCTGCTAGCGAGGGAGCAGGGGTCTTCTTGTTTATTTGAAAATTTCCACATTCTACATTACCAGTGTACTCAGTATATCTTATTTCTATTTCCAAAACAAGATTCTCTTCTCCATTCCACCGTTCCCTGTTGCAGCTTCGAAGTACGGGATGTCCACGTTGACAATCAGAAGAACCAGTAACAACATGATCAAAGTCAGATAGTTTAAGCAACGTTGCCACCCGCGTGGCTTCACTGTCCGTGCCAGTCAGAGACGACGAGTGATATTGTGTGCAGCCACTCCCATCATCTGTGTAAACAATGACATCATACCCTCTGCCACCGCGGACTTTTATATTACACCACCGCCCCCCTTTATCAGATACTTCAGAAACTTCTTGAGTCTATCACCTATCTTTTCTATAAGCAGATCTGATAAAGAGATCTCAAACCGCGAATCCCACCAAAACCTACAGTTTACCACTTCAAACACATACAATCCTAACACAATGCCAATCGGAAACGGCTCGTCCGACCAAGGCGCAACAGGCGCCGCCAAATGGGTCACTTCTACACTCGGAAACACCGTTGGCGGCGTCACACGCACTGTGGGCGGCGTGACGGGCGCTGCGACTCGCGGTATTGGCGAGACTATCAATAGCGCGACGGGCAGTGCGGGCAAGCCTCTTGGTGATGCATTGAGTTCTGGGGGCAACGGGCTTGAGGATGGGGCGAAGAGTGTGGCGAAGGGAGTGGAGGATGCTGGGCAGTGGAAATAGGGAACATGGCGGAGTAAATGGGTCCAGATGTTGATTTTCTTGCAAGGTTGTTTCTGGCAAGGACGGGTGGATGCGATTTATGATCGTACTTAACGAAGGGTTTAATATTCCACTATTTGCTTGATGCGTCATGTGTGTGTGATGCATGCGTTTCATTTCCAATTGCTTGTACTTTTAGGTCGACGGTATTGCCTAGAGCTTTGATCGGAACTCCGCTCGGATGGCCTCAAGTCGAGATGGTCCATCATAGATTTGTTGCTCCGCTATCCGGGTATTGATCTGGGGTATTCAAGTCAGCCCTTTTATCCATTGCAAGAATGAACGGTCGAAAACTTACATGCTGCATGCCGAGCTGCTCAATTCTTTCCACGCCCAGTAAGCGCATACAAGTCTTCGTCTCGTCGGCCAAGACTATGAGTCCAGTTAGTGAATCCGCATAGAGAATGAGACTAGGAATTTCTCTCACTTTGTAACGTTCTCTTCACACCATCTACACCACCAGCACTCAATCCCCAAAGTGCAGGTCGGCCGATTCCAACACCCCTCGCACCCAAACAAAGCGCCTTCACGACATCTGTGCCCCTCCTGATACCCCCATCAACCCAAACCTCAATCTTATCAAACACTTCTGGGCAATACTTTCTCATTTCAAGTAGGGTATGCACAGCTGGAGGCGAGGTATCAAGAGACCTACCCCCATGATTTGACAGGATAATCCCTTTAACCTGTGGCGCATGTAAAGAAGCAATATACGCATCCTCGTGCGTCTGCAACCCTTTCAACACAACAGGCAATTTCGTATGCTCCGCAATCCACTTCAGAGTCTCTTTCCAATTAAGCGTGGGATCGAGGCCCTGGAACACCGCCCTTTCATCTTTCTGCGAAACCTCCGGAGACTTGATCTCGGTGATTTCACTAATGACATTCCCACCGCGCAGATCATCTTCGCGCTTTCCCATGACCGGCGTGTCGAGAGTAAGAACCAGGAACTTGATCGCAGGTAGCTTGTTGATTCGCGCAATCATCTTTTCGCTTCTGCTACGCTCTTCTTGTACATACAGCTGCCAGCCGAAGGTCTGTTCAGACGACGCGCCCGCGACGATCTGCTCGGGCGTCATGCTTGCGCTGTTGGAGATGATCTGCATTGCGCCGAAGCTGCGACATGCCTCGGCAATTCCGGCTTCTCCACTCGGATGGCCTAGGCGGGCCATTGCCGCGGGGGAAATGTAGATGGGCATGGAGACCTGATTATCGAGTAGTTTGGTAGTGATGTCGCAGTTCGTACAATCAATGAAGACGCGCGGGCGTAATAGGATGGAGCGGAACACCTCGGTGTTGAAGCGCTTCGTGATCAGGTCATCCGCTGCGGAATAGTAGTAGGCCCAGGCCTTCTTGCTGATTTTGGCAGTGGCTGCTTTTTCGAATTCGTCCATGTTGAGGAAGTTTTGAACGGGAATCTCGTCGACGTTGCCCTGAGGTGAGGTTTGAGCTTCAGACTTGGGCATTGTTGATGGGTCGACTGTTCCTAGATATGCCTCGGGTTTGAGATTCTCTTCGAGAGTGCCGTCTGGGTGGACGGGGTCGAAGTCCTCGGTGGCATCTTTGCCTGCTAGTCTGAGAATGACCTTGGATCCACCTGGGTGGTCGGCGATGAAGTTGGTTACCTGTTGAAAGTTAGTTTCATGATATTTAAGGTCTCTTTTGCTGCAACTAGTCTGGCAAACTAGGGGGTGTCTCACATCGTAGACTTTACCATGAATAATGACCCAACAACTTCTAGCAGAGTTGTGTTCAGCCACTAATATAACGTTAGCTAGGTCTGTTCCAAGATGTCAAGTCTATATACAAGTGGTGGCAACGACACAGTGGTAAACATGACAGACCTTCTGCAGCATCGAAGACCTTCCTCATGATGAACAGATGTCGAAAACTGAGGATAGACCGCCGTGCGGATATTTGGATATCTCGTGGTCGATGGCCGGGAGACGCCGATATAGGAACCGGAAAAGGGGAAAAAGGGACCACCAATGGTAAGTGTAGGGTAGAGGATTCATCAGCAAGACGAGGCTCGGGATACTGCTGCCCCTTTGGGCTTTGGTGGGTCTGAAGTAGACTATAATCATCAGGGCCTCAGATAAGGCTTGCGGGGTATCGGATTCTCACCGACTTCGGCCACTATCACGACTCGTGTTCTCACCAACTGCCAAATGGCGCCGTCTAGCGCAAAGACAAGAAGAAATGTTCGCATAGATTCCTTATCGCCTAATCGCCAGATAGCGGCAAAAGGTAAGTTGTCTGCGCTACTCATAAGATCGAGCTAATAAACCGTAGATTGCCGCCAGTGCGTGACGCGTCGTATCAAATGTGATCGGTCTGTACCGCATTGTCAAAAGTGCTCTGTTCGTGGTCTTTTGTGTCCTGGTTTTCCCCTTGTGCATCTCAGATGGGTCCAGGGAGTGGCTAGCAGAGGGTATCTTACGGGCAAAAGCATACCACTTGTGGAACGCAATCCTTCTGTGCCTGACCAGGAACATGTCGTAGCCTCTGAGTCAAGCTCCGTATGGTCGCCTCAAATAGTTTCAATCCATAGTTTATCCCCGACGAGTGATTCAGAACTCGCAACTCAGCACCTTTCACAGTCTCTTTGCGACAAACTACTCCTCCACTTCCTCTCTAACGTTGCTTCCCGTCTAACATGGATTGATGGCCCAGCGAACCCATGGAGAAATCTCATTCTACCGTTTGCGAGGCGATCTGCCTCTCTCCGCTTGTCAATCCTGGGTCTGGCAGCGGCCCATCTGTCTGCCACATCCGCAGAATTCGAGCGATCCTCAATTCACCTGCGAGTGAACCAGCGTCTACGAAATGACATCCTCGGAACTCTTAGCAACAAAATGCATATTGAGCGCTCTGCAAATTTCATCTCCGTCGGTGGAGGCTTCCTTGACTTTTCATTAGTTGAGATGCTTGCTTCAATGCTGGTACTTTGTTATGGTGAATTACACATCCCGGGCTCGACAGATTGGAAGCTCCATCTCCGTGCATGCCACGCAATTATTGAAAGACATCATCTGCGAAGCATGCAGGAGCTCTCAGGGGATGTAATTGCCAAGTGGCTTATAAATGAAGTCATTGACCTTGAGATCTTTGGGAATTTGTCGGCTTTTACCATGGAGCTTGACCCCAGCAATATGATGGCCTGGCCTGAGGTGTTCGATGGCGACTTCTGGGACTTCACGTTGCTCATAAACGAGATAACAGTGGCTGAAAGGTCCCACTATACTTTCTCACATAGTAGCGATGGTCTTGTACAGACTGACATGAGATATTGGCACGCTAAGCTAGATACAGCCTGCATTCGAGCAACCATGCTGATTTCATCTTTTTCTGAAGATGAGCCGCTGGAACGGAACCGGTTTCGCGCTATCATAGAAGCACATTACCATGCCTGCCTTATCTACAATTACCAAGCTCTTGCATCTCAGGCTGAGGCGGCCGTGGCGATTCAATCATCTTCGAACGATCTCTGGAATATAATTGTGGCTGTGACCATGGAGCCGGGACCGACGTTTGCCCATGATATTTTCTTTCCCTCTTTTCATCGTTGGCACTGAGTGTCAACATGACAAGCAAAGACAATCACATATCGAGACAGTATTCCTACACTCTATTGCTACGACCGGTTTTTGGTGCAATCATGCTGCCTTGCGATTCCTTCGTCTTTTCTGGGACAGTTCACGCGATGGACCCCACAAAAGATGGATTCAATTTGCCAGAATCAATGAGCACAAAATTGGGTCTTTTTTTGTCTTTTAAAGCATTTGAAATACAAACTCAGCAAAGAATATGTGTATCATAACCATTTCCAATTTTCCGTCCAGATCATCACATGTCATAAGTCTCTTCATCTTCTACCCCAAACAGGACCCTCATCGGGTCTTGATAGTTCATGAAACCCACGCCCGGGTCGCAAACACCGTAGCCAAGTAGCCTTTGAGCCTGTGGTTTCAGGTTCCTCACTCGTTCTAATGGGACCATCAAGAACTGGTTCTCCGCAGGTCGTAGTGTAGGCTTGCAAAGGAATATGCCCACGGTCTCGCGACGTTCATCTCTACAGGCAGGTAAGATTGTTGGTCAGCAGTTCCTCAGTTGACACCCAACACCAGTGGAATCAAGCTGAACTTACTGCGTGATGTTGCCGCCACCGGCGTGATAAGTGTTGCCGAGGAAGATGAATGCATCACCGGGCTCCAACTCGGCAGGAACAGCCTCTTCGTTGTATGGCCGGCGGTCAGGACCCCACAAGTGAGAGCCTGGGATAGCAATCGTAGCACCATTCTCTTTTGTCGTTTTAGTCAATGCTGTAACACACCCGATCATGCAAGGCATCATTTCATTGGTGGGATGGTAATCACTGTGCGAAATCGTTAATAAAGGAGGTTTACTCTTAACCCTCAGGAAGGAGCTCATACTTATCATCACGGTGCAGAACCTGCTGTCTTCCACCAGGATTTACCCGAAACCCAACAGTGGAAGATATGATGGGCTTCCCAGTGCAAGTTACCTGTTGATCATCTCTCCAGTACTTGAAGGTAGACGACACCAATTTATTGGCAATCTCGATATAGAAGGGGTTACACGCCAGATCAACGCATGCGTCTGAGAGACCCAGAAGACCTGTCGCACGCTGAGTAGTTGAAGGGAAAAAACCAGACTTGTCTGGTATGTCGTTGTCAAAGTGTGGTTTCAAATCCCGTTTAATCTGCTCGGCTTCTTCCTGGAGAGGAGATTTTCAATGATGACTCCGCCATCACGGTTGATGACTTCAATAGCTCTGTCGGGTGTTACAGAGGGATCTGACGCGTTAAATCTGACGATAGTAGGTTTGTCGGTTGGAGCAATCATAACGGTAAGAAATTCTGGATGCTTCGCTTTTCTTGCGATTTTAAATTACAATATAAAGATGATGGTGATACATACCCAGAATCGGGGATACTGTTGGCTTTATAATTCACCTGAACCACCATTGATGTTGTCCACTCGACCTAGATCTCGAACCTCTAGTGATAGAAATGTATCTTGAGGATCCATCCCAGCTCTATCGACCAATACAAGTGAAGAAAATCTCAAATTACCCCGCTACCGTGACGAGAAAGTGTCACTTTTGAACCAAAATATTAAGATAAGGCTAATCCAAACCAGACAGGTCGCATGAGAAAGCTGACCAGGAGATTTCGGTGGCCAGATGCCGACAAATGTCATCTACACACTGGACGTTACATTGGTTCAATGGCCCCCGAACATCTAACCCTTTTCAGGCAGGTCCGGCGAAAAAAAGACACAGCAGGGTTGGCCACCTGTCTGACAATTGTGAAGCTAACCCGAACTGACAGCTCGGCGAAGAAAGTCCCTGCGGGGTCGAACCAGGGAGTAAGCTCGGAACTTTCCAGGCTCTAGGGCGCTTTTAGGTAGCGCCTCGCTACGCCCGATTCAAGAATATTTTCACTTGGCTTTTTTTTTCTTTTCGCCCCGTAGTTCTGGGAGGGGTACTCCCGCTGTCCCACAATATTGATATCGTGCCAACGAAGAGGTCCACTTGATTGTCGCAACCCCAACAGTGACCGGACCCATATCAAGCTTTTAAGGTTCGTGCATTGTGAATCATGGGTTGAATATACCTCGCTAACGGCCCCTAACGTGCGAAGATTTTATGCTCAGGCATTACGTTTAAAGATTACCTTAGAATTCCAGAGGCTGGACACGGGCGATCTTGCCTTGGTCTTGTCATCCTGTTACGTGATGGCTATTGGAAGCAAAAAGAAGTCACCCAGCACGGGTGAGGCTAAGGAAGCCGGTGGTCCACCTTATGAGGGTAGTGATGAAATTCCGGGGGAGCCAAGACAGGTGCCAGTGCTGCAGCGGAGACTCAAGAGCAGACACTTGCAAATGATTGCAATTGGTAAGCATAGACCGCAATCTGATACCATATCCGTCATTCACTTACTACCTCACAGGTGGCACGATTGGTACTGGTCTGTTCATTGGAAGCGGAACAGCTCTGGCGAATGCTGGTCCTGTTGGTGCCTTGATTGCGTATATTTTCATCGGCTCCATCGTTTTTTCGGTGATGACCTCTCTCGGAGAAGTAGCAACTTATCTTCCAGTCGCGGGAGCATTCACATCTTATGCAACGCGCCTGGTTGATCCCAGTCTCGGCTTTGCCATGGGTTGGATATATTGGTTTTCCTGGGCCATCACTTTTGCTCTTGAACTCACGGCCACGGGCCTTATCATTCAATACTGGGACTCTACTATCCAAATTTCGATATTCATCGGAGTATTCTGGGTGTTAATCACCGCACTCAACTTCCTGCCGGTCAACTTCTATGGCGAACTTGAGTTCTGGTTCTCAGCCATCAAGATTTTGACGGTCATCGGCTTCATGATATTTGCTATATGCGTCGATGCTGGCGTGGGTCAACAAAGATACCTTGGTTTTCACAATTGGGTGCACCCTGGTCCTTTTGCCGATTATCTGGTGACACCGGGTCCAACGGCCAAATTTACCGGCTTCTGGGCTGTTCTTATTCAAGCTGGCTTCTCATGCCAGGGAACTGAGCTGGTTGGTCTTGCTGCGGGTGAGAGTGAAAATCCACGAGAGACTGTTTCCCAAGGCGATTCGGACGACTTTCCTCCGTATCATTCTTTTCTATGTTCTCTCCGTGTTCTTCATTGGTCTCCTAGTGCCGTCTGATAATAAGGAACTCCTGACGGGCACAACAAATGCTGCAGCGTCACCATTTGTCATTGCGGCAAAACTAGCCGGCATCAAGGTTCTGCCTAGTCTCATCAATGCTGTCCTGTTGGTTGTGGTTCTATCTGCTGCCAATGCGAACGTCTACAGTGGTAGCAGGATGTTGATCGGGCTCGCACAAGAACGTTTTGCACCCGCGTTCTTCACCAAAACTAACAAAGGAGGCGTTCCTTATTATGGAGTAGCTGCCACCGCAGCATTTGGTCTCCTAGGATTCCTGAACGTGTCCAACTCTGGGTCCACTGTTTTCAACTGGCTGCTAAACATCACTACAGTTGCAGGCTTTATTCTCTGGGCGTCCCTCAATGTCTGTCACATCGCGTTTATGCGTGCATTGAAAGCTCGGAAGATGTCCAGAGACTTACTGCCTTACAAGGCGCCGTTCCAGCCTTTCCTTGCATATTATGGACTCTTTTTCAACATTCTCATCATGTTGACGCAAGGCTTTACCGCGTGGATTCCTTCATTCGATGTGGAGAGCTTTTTCATCGCTTATATCAGCCTTATCCTCTTCGCCATACTATACATTGGCCACAAGCTCGTGTTCCGAGACAGATTCGTCTCTCCCATGCAAGCCGACCTTGACACCGGACGACTTGAGATTGAGAGTGAATACTGGGAGATAAAGGTGCCTACTACATGGTATGGCAAAGTATGGATGTGGATTACCGGGTGATGAAGAAAACCCACTATAGATCGGATGCTGGGGGTTTGGTATGATGTACATCTTGTTCAATATTGGAAATGGACGCGTGTAAAGACAAGAGGTAAGAAATCATTTGGGTATCGTACAATAATAGTTGAGAATGTCACTGGTCCTTTCCCCATATTATTTGTGGCTTAGCCAAGTTTTCGTGCCTTCGTAGAGACCCAACCATACGCCAGAGCCTACCACCCCCATAAAGATGTTGATGCCACAGCCGCGGAAGAAACCGCGGAAGCCTTCTGTTGCGAAGATATTGCGCGCAGCATGCATGATTCGGCTCTTTTGCGGAAAACTTTGGTCAGAAGCGTCCAGGTTTACTCTAGTCTTCAACATGTCTGTGGGGGCAGTGAGCACTGTGGCTATGCCCCCTGCCATTGCACCACTGGCTGCAGCATTTGTGACACTGTTGATGACTTGATAGTGTTTCACGTCGATATCGCTGGTCCTGGATAGCAATGTTCGCTGGAAAGTCACCGATTGAGAGATGTGGTTTTTCAAGATTTCATAGATGGGCATTTGAATAGCAGTGAAGGGCAAATGATGTGCTAGGAGTGCGAAGTATCCGCTCCATAGTTGCCTGACACTCTTGAATTTCTTGAACGCTTGGATCGAAGCCGACCGAACACTAGCCCTTTTATGGCCCTGAGTTGTGGATGTTGGGGCCTTTAAAGATGTTGATTGGATCATTTGCGCATTATTTTTCAGCGCCTCGGCTGGAGCCAAGAAAACACAGGCAACGGCCTCGGCGACAGAGGCTGCGCAAAGGTCGGATATTACTCCATATGAGCTTGTTTGATGAGGGGTCGATATTGGACCCATGCTGGCTAGTCTTGATTGGACATTCTCATAGGTGATAAAGAATGCCCCGGCTAGAGCGAGTTAGTTGAGATGCACATTGCGTTTCGATTTCCTAAATTTGGTTCTAAGACCTACCGCCAGGGAACGAGGAGACAAGCACGCTACCAAACCCTTGATAGAGACCTCGAAAGATCTTTGGATGGCTAAGGACGCTTTTTCTTGTGCTTCGTGCATAGTTGATGTATTCTCGAGATTGAAGGCGTGTTTTGATAGTGTCTAAAGAGTGGATCATGAAGTCCAAGGAAAGTGTAGTAGCCGCGCTGGCCTTTTTTCTTGTTAGACTAAGTGTCAGCGTGATTTTTGCTTGGGAAGGGTGCTGTTTTAACTACCAAAAAGATGACCAGGGGATCAGCAGCCATAGCCTTGGGGTACTGCAAGTTTAATGTCACATGAAAGGAGGTAATGGGCCCCGTGCCGATCAAATTGAAGGTATTGAGAACGAAAAGATGACTGGCGAAGGAGAGTGCTTGCTAGAATTCGAAGTTCGAAATCCCCAAACCAATTCAGACGCTTGAAACATCCCAGGTCGAGTTTGTTGCTCGCGAAGGGGCTGACGGACTCCGCGGGATCCGACTGTTGCCACTTTTCCTAGGCACTTTGGTTCGAGCGGTTTTCAATCAACTAATCAATACACGAGCTGCATTATCTACGTGTCTAAACCCTTATCTATACCTCATCTATGATATCTATAGTCTATACATACAATCCATTTCCCGGAAAGCCCGCCCATTCTTTTTAAGATTGGGGAGCATGCCTCCGTTCCATGTGCAACCCCAAAGTCATAAACGCGCCAAAGCTGCCCACAGTCATGAAAACAGGTCCCCAAAATGCAGGAACAAATTGCCCAATCATCAAATACCGCCTCATAGACCAGTATCGGAAGAAGCCATATCCAAGACACCAGACGCCAAGCAACTGACAAAGTCGTGTCGCCGAAAAGGCATCCGACACCATTCTAGGACCCATAGTTTGCAGTTGAGAATGCTTTGGACCGGGGACTTGCTTCGCATCTTTGACCGCAGTTTTCTCCTCGTGCAGGGCAGGCGCGCCCGCATGCTGGGGCACCATGAGCGCAGAGCCCAGCTTCGAGGTGAGGAGTTTGTCGATGGCATCTAAGCGGTCGAGGGCAAGCGCCATAGCCGCAAACCCGAGGCCTGCTCGGGTCCATGATAGAAATGTGCGCTCGTTGGCGTGGTGGTCGCGCTGCTGCGAGCCGGTGTTGGCGACGCGCGCGGGTATGAGTCGGCGCAAGGCGGACGCCATCTTGATGATGCCTAGGTAGAGAACAGTGAAAAGTTATGCGGTAGTACAAATCAGTACAGCATTGACTTCATGTAGAGATGCCTGCAGGCAAGATAGATAGTTCAAAAGCCAACTGCCGTGAACAGACGGAAGCACATGTGGATCAATTTGCATCATTGGTCGCGTTGATGCCCGTATGCCCGTAAACTTACGATGGACGGCGACTTGATAAACTTGGCACTTATTCCCATGGATAATGATGTACATCGCCGATCGAATTGCTCAACTGTCTGACATACATCTCCATATTTCCCGTCCGCTAGCGCCACCCAATTGAGGTTCCAGCGGAGTCCAACTGAGCCATGCCGTTTCATCGCCGAGGAAGTATTCGCCGTGGGTGATTATCATTGGCTATACCAGACCCACAGGCCTACACCATCGCCTTACTCCTCTCTACTTGTTTTCTATAAAATCGAAGCTTCTATGACTTGCATCTCATCTCGCTCGTCGAACATCCTTCCCTTGAACTTTTGTGCTGGTGTTGGGAGTCAATCAGACCACCTGCTCGAGTCTATGAGGACGATTCGGACGAGAAAGCCTCGCTCGGGCGAGAAACGGGTCACTCGGGCGAGAGAGGATGGCATCATCGCCGGGATACACGTATCGTTACTCTAGTGCGTTCTAATGAATACAGACTGAGAGATTGTTCAGTCAGGCTTATATTAAGAAACGCCGATTGCGACAGAAAACTTGCATCTACCACATCGTCATGGTCGGCGATGCGATTCGCACGGTCCATGGAACGAATCATCATCATCTTCTGTGATCTCAATGCGCATAGTCAGTTGATATTATCGAGTTCTTACGGATGACAGATACTAAAGACGATGCCATGAACCAGCCGAAGGAATTGTGCATGACTGAGATATTTGCCAAACGCGCATGGGAATTCCAACTCTCCTAAGGCTTGAACTGAACATACAAACCCAAAATTGACATTAATTTTGGAAGTCTTTGATACTCAACAATACTCAACTTCCATTTGAACACGCTATGAACAATAATGAACAATAACAGAACTCAGCATTTCATTCTCCCAGCCTAGGATATCATCCGAAATCAAGACATCACTCTACCATTCCACTCCAACTTTCAAAGGCAATCTGAGCATCCGGAAGCCCTCCTCAACCTTGGGCAGCCTCCCAGCCCGAATATTCATCTGCAGTGACTGATGCAACAACCTCGGCGCTTTCAGCATCCTATCACGCTCATCTCGCATTTGCACAAACTCTTCTTCCGAGACCTTGGCCCCAAGATGCTTGTTCAATTTCTTCTGATCACGAACACTCATCCAAGGAACAGGCTCTCGTCCGTCAGACGGGTAGTCATGGCCGGGCCAGATCTTGACATCGTCAGGTAATTCTAGCAATCTACGGCCTGATCGAAAGAGCTGTGTCGCGTCGCCGCCTGGAAAGTCGCAGCGAGCTGTACCGATCTCTGCGTGAAAGATGGAGTCACCGCAGAATACATTCTCTGGGATGTATTAGTCTTTGAGAAGGGCTTGAGTGTTCGGGAACGATACTTGCCTCCGATTTGGTAGCCCAGGTGATCGGGTGTATGACCTGGTAGGTGGATTGCTTTGGCCGTCAAATTACCGATGGAGAATGTTTCGTCGTCGTCAAATAGTTTGTCAAACACGTGGTTGTATTCGTCCCTTGCAAGCCCGTAGCGTTTACCGAACAGATTTTGGACCTGCTTGATGCGCTTGCCGATGCTAATTGGTGGCTTATGGTCCTGTATTTGAGCTAGTCGGCTTTGAAGATATGAGGATGATGTGAGGTGGTCGGCGTGGGCGTGTGTTTCGAGGATCTTCTCGATCTTGTAGCCTTTTTCTTGGACAAGAGAGAGTAATTCATCCGCAGAATGGGTTGTGATGGCCTGTGTGACGGGGTCATAGTTCAAAACAGGATCTATGATTACTGCGGTGGATGTTGACGGGTCTGCAACGATGTATTGCCATGTTCCGGTCACATCTTCGAAGACGTGATGGATGGTTGGTTCGGTGGTGGCAGTGCTCGTGGTGTATGGCGCATGGCATCGATGTGGTGTCTGGTGGCTTACGGTAATGGCTTTTCGTGAATGAGTGTAAGCGCCCACGATTGCCCTGCTCTGTAGGCCTCTTCTCGACGATGCTTTGATAGAGGTGGCGTTCGGCATAGGACTGAAGCCAACTGAAGGGATGGCCGCTAGTTTAAGCCAAGGCGCGCGACCTGCAAATTGCAGGCCATGGGAGATGGACTTCACAGACTTCACAGACTTCATGATAACGAGGTCCTCTGTTTATGTGCAATAAGGAAATGGGAGGTTCCCCGATGCATATTTCATTCATATATTAAGGTTGAAGTACGAAGGGGATGGGTCGGGCTCCATCAAACTCCCCCTTGGTCGCCGATTGCCACCGAGTCGGCGACTGCAAATGTCTCCGGGACATTCGGAGACATCAGTGAGAACGCCTGTTGGTCAAAAGCAATCAGTTGATGTGCCCAGCATCATAAGAAAAAAAAGGTTATGTCGAGTGGACCCGTAAACGCCATGTATTGTGTAAAGTTACGGGCGGTCGATCACGGCCGAGACAAGATTCTTCCAAGCACGACATCGTTCCTTTTTAAAAGCTCTTGTCGCTCCTTGTCAATTCCTCCGCATAAAGAATAAAAGACCCACTCATAATGTTCAGCCGCAACGCGACGAAGGCTGCCCGCGCGGCGCCCAGCATCCGCAAATTTGCGACTGAGGCGCCCGTTGCTTCCGCACGCAACCACAAGGTCGTTGTGGTCGGCGGCGGTTCTGCCGGTCTGGCAATCAGCCACCAGCTGCTTCACTCCGGCAAGTTCTCACAGGATGATATCGCTGTTGTCGACCCCGCCGAGTTCCACCATTATCAACCGGGCTGGACCTTGGTGGGCGGTGGTCTCAAGACCAAGGAGGAGCTCCGACGCCCTATGAAGAGCTTGATTGACCCCAAGCTCAAGCACTACGCTGAGAGCGTGGCGTCTTTTGCTCCCGAGAAAAACACTGTTCAACTTGGCAACGGCGACAGCGTGAGCTACGAGCAGCTGATCGTGGCCCCCGGTCTTGCCCTGAACTGGGGAAACATTAAGGGTTTGCAGGAGGCTCTGGCCGATAAGAGTACCCCGTCTCTTCAATCTACGGCTACGACACCGTCAGCAAGGTGTTCGGCACCATCCAAAAGCTGGATAAGGGTAACGCATACTTCACCCAACCTGCAGGCGCTATCAAGTGCGCCGGCGCACCGCAAAAGATTATGTGGTTGGCTCTGGACCACTGGAAGCGCGCAGGGCGCTACGACCCCAGCAACCCAGCCAACTCGGACATCAAGATCAACTTTGCGACTGGTACACCAGTCATGTTCGGTGTGCCCAAGTACAACAAGGCATTGACCGCCATGCAGCAGGAGCGCGGCGTGAACGCTCTCTTCCAGCACGATCTGGTCTCCATCGATGGCGACAAGGCCACCTTCGCTCTCCCCGACGGCCAATCCGCGACCAAGCAGTTTGATCTGCTGCACGTGGTGCCCAAGATGGGCGCCCCCGCGTTCGTCAAGAACAGTGTTCTCGCCAACGAGTCTGGCTTTGTCGATGTCGATGACGGAACCACCCAGCACAAGAAGTACGCAAATGTCTGGTCCGCCGGTGATGCGTCCAGTCTGCCTACCTCCAAGACGGCCGCTGCCGTGACCGCTCAGGCTCCCGTGGTCGTGCGCAACCTTCTGCAAGCGATGGAGGGCAAGAAGCCCGATGCCGTGTACGACGGATACACCTCGTGCCCCCTGCTGACCGAGTACGGCAAGGTCCTTTTGGCCGAATTCAAATACGGTGGGGTGCCCAAAGAGACATTTGGCAACTGGTTCGGCATCGACCAGGCCGTACCCCGTCGCTCCTTCTATTACCTGAAGAAAGACTTTTTCCCCTGGGTATACTACAACTCAATGGTGAAGGGCGAATGGGCTGGACCCAAGGGCTGGACAAACTAGAAATAAGAATTAGAATACCTCATGTACCACCTCATGTACTACTGCACGGAGTTTGGGAATAGACAATGACTTTCGGGTATCAAGCCCTTAGCGTTATCAGATCAGGATTCCATTATGTTCTGTGAGGAGAGGTCCCAAGAACCCCTCACGAGAGACTACGTAGAGATAAGCCAGTCAAGATCGGTCTATTAATATAAGCGTAGAAACAGAACGAAGCACCTCTTATCTCTTCTCCCATGGACGCTAGCGGAGACCGCACCGCCTTTGCCTGAGGGGCAGCGCCCAAAAGAGCAATAATTTCCGCTTGGGAGGGCGGAAAACAATACTCAATGCAAGATATGCTAACCTGACCACCGAGTGCCTTCCGAGCCATACCTGATGCGAAGAGTGTCCGCGGGGATAAACAAACGTGGATCCGTCCCGAAAATGAGAAGAAAAAAAACAAACAGTACACAATGAAACATTCAACATGAAGAGATTCCCATAAAGCCCGAACTACAGACGATTCTTAATCCCCGTGGACAACTTTCTCCAAATGTCCCCTCAAGGATCTTCCCATGGAACGTATCAGTCTCCAACGGTCGCCTCTTTTACTCTGCGAAGATCCCCACCTGCTCACACGCCTCCTTACTCGGTCTCCATTTACTGCTGGTTCTGCTGAGCCTGAAGGTAGTTGTAGGCACCGTAGGCGATGGCACCGCCAATAAGGATAAGAGCGTAGAGACCGACACCAAAGCTGCCGGCATCAGAAGAGGACGAGGAAGAGGAAGATTTGGCGTGGGAATGGGGCTTGGGGTCACCGGGCTAAGAATTGTCAGTACGAAGAATTCACAGAATGCTACAGCCGTAGCGATAGGAATAGAGCAGGGAATGCGTACCATGCGCTTCAAATTGCCGACGAAGAGACCGTCGAGAATTTCACGTGCCTCATCGGAGTGGCCAACATCCTCGAAAGCCTCGGTGCCGTCCTGGCCACCAACGTCGAGAAGAACTTCTTCACCACCACTGTAGAGTAATTGTTAGCCTTTCGTTACGTTCGTGGTTTACTGTGGCGCGGGGCTGAGTGGGGAGGGACGTTGAGGCCAAGCTGGCCGGTAGATTTCACAATAGGGGCAGTGAGAAGCGATAGGATGACGCGATAGGGAGAAACCCTGTCGCAAGTCTCTCGCCCGGAGTAGTGAGATAGTTGGGAGGAGAAGGGAGCGAAGAAAAGTAGGAGCAACGTACGGGTGCTCGTCGATGAAGCTGGAGCAATTGTAGACCTTGTCGTGGATGACCATGTACAGGTCCTTCTTGGTGTTGTGGGCGGTGACCTCCGCGAGGGTGAACTCCTTAGCATGAGACATGGTGGATCGTGAAAAGATCTAGGAGCGATGGCATAGGTTAGCAGGTTTCCTAGGCCTTTTTCTTCTCGAATGGAGGAAGAAGGGTCCGACGGTGACTCTGTATCTCCGTCGGAGACAAGAGATAAAGTGAAAACACGAGCGTAAAATGGAGGGAAATGGAAGTGCACTTGGGCAACAGTCGAGGGGAACTCACGTAAAGAGGGCTAGAAAGACAAGAAGAGCAGAGATATGGATAAAGACAAGTTTAAAGGAGGAAAGTGATGAAGACCGAGAAAGTTCCTGGAACGTGCACTGGGCGGTCTCCGCGGTGGGCCAGGCACATACTACATCTTCACCCGTATTTCTCACCCGACGTGATTTTTTTTACCTTGGATAATGGGGCCATAGCCGGGGTTACGCAACTAATGAGGGGGGGCGAATTCTACCTAGGGATATGCCCATCTGAACCCCGGTTTGACCGCCGTGAGGAATCGAGCCATTCCGACTTTCTTGGGCCTGGACGAATCAGAGGCTGCTTATTAGAGCCTCGGCGCATATGAATGTTTGTGAATGTTGGGGTTAAGGGGACTATCGAATTAGTTTAGGATTCTACGAGAAATTAGAGGTTATGATTGTGTGACGTGGGTGAGTTTCGGGACCAGGCTAACTCCCATTATCCCTAGGGTTTCGCGAGAAGTGCCATATGCAAGTGCCAATATGCGATACCCGAGGGTGAATTGGCCCGGTGGCTCTTTTCGGGAAACGTGTGCGGGATCCGCCCAAGATCCGCGCCTCCGCCACTGCGGAATTAATGTTAATCCATCGGACCCAACTGCTTTATTGAGTGGAGTGTCTTCATAAAGCCATTGTGAATATCCTAACTCAAAAGTGCGCCTGTTCAAGTAACTTCATTTTTCAATAGATGTTCTATTCAAACCGTCGATCTCAAATTACTTCCTGGGCATCTGCGTAGGACTATCAGTGCGTCAATTACAACATCCAGGACACCTGGCTCAATCCATTCTGCTTATTTAGCCGTGGATCTTTTGTCGTGGACCTGTCACCCATGGGCGTATCTCTTGATGCCCCCGAGCCACTTCGGCGCATCGAGCTAATTCATCTCCAAGCCGCCCTGGTTGCACCCGTGGACACATGCATGCATTGGCTAATCCTTATATCCGTGGACTTGCAAAAGTTTTTTTCCATATAAAGCCTACCCTATAAATTGCGGCGTGGAACCGTACCATTCAAACTTTGACATCGGGATACTCCCCTCATTGATTGAGATTAATGTATGTACCAAGTGCCAGGGCGCCGATCTATTCAATCGTAGAAGTCGTGAGATGCATGAAGGCCAAGCGCAACGATGACAACGCGCAAAAGAAAGGCACAAAAAAAGGCTCATTTCGCTGGAACTCGCTCATAAAACACAATGTAAGCCTGCTCATTCTGGAGTCTATCCTTTGGGCGTAGGTCTCGTGGATTGAAATCCGTAGCCCGTTCGTCATCGAACTTCCGCCAGCATTGTCGCGCTGCGTCACGCACAAGCGAGATGTAATGACCGCTGCCCATAGACGACCCGAGATGCCGTAGTACTGCGAATGCGTCATATGTGAAGGGTGCTCTAGTCGAGTCGGCGTTGGGAGCGCTCGGGTCCGGTGGTGCTGGATTCGGGTTCGATATCACGAAATCGTCCATTCGAAGGCCATGCAGCGGGAACTCAATCGGGGTATGGATCTTCCGTGCACTCTGGGTCTTGGAAGCAGAGAAACGTTTGAAATGCACCACAAGGATCTTCGGTGCGCGCGTGATATGTATCTGTTTGGTTGCCATGCGCTTGCATTTGCAATGTGGGCACTTCCACACCTCATCACCGCTCAACATTTCCTCTTTGCAGTAGCTGCGAAGACATTGATAGATATCCCCAGCGCCGGTAGGCGGTATCTCAACGCTGATACTGTAAAAGGCTTCGTATGTTGTTGATGTCTGCTGACAGGTCGTGCACTTTAATCGGCTGGCATGTTGACCGGCGAAAAGGTTGGAAATGAAAGACTCCTCTCGATGGCAGTATCGGTTCCATTCGATCTGTGACACCTTCGCCACAGGCATTCGTTCTCGCTGCATTTCTTCGGAAAAAGTCAATGGTCGTAATGGGGTACGCTGCCAATTGATGTTGAGATCCTCGTGTAAACAGTCCACGGTGAAATCAAAGAATTCCTTGGCATCTTGCTGGCGATCAATGGCCCACTCCCGGTTCAATCGACCGCAAAAATTGCGGAAGGAAGATGGCATAATGACTTCCACGTCATTTTTCCAAAGTGACCTTATCAGGTTGGCATAGAGGCCAGGCATGACACCTTGTGATCCTTTCCAATTCTTCTGAATATAGTAGCGAAAGCGATTGTCCATAAAAAACTTGCTCATCTCGACGGTAGCGCTAAGGCACTGTATGGTCGAGTTCATGTAGCAAGTCACTCCAAAATTTGTGAGACCGGTGCGCGGAAGCTTCACGCGACTGAGGAACGAGCTTTGAGTGTACAAGGCTGTGCGATTTGCCGAATTCTGGCGCTCCATATGAGGCTGCGTTTGCCGCCCATCCGAAACACCGCTATAACTCGGACGAGGCACCGCCGGAGGCGGTCGTGAAGGGGCGATTGGGAGAGGATGGGCTGCGTAATTTGGTACCGGTGGTAATGGCTGAGCATCTGGGTGCATCATGGACTGCTGAACATGATGCGGCTCGGGGAATCGTCGTAGGAAATCTTCATATGTATGGACGAATGGAGCTGTCGTCTCCTCCTGGGGCTCTTCGGTGAGCTCCTCGTCTTCCATATAAGTGCTAGTGTCAATCTCTTCGTTCTTTGATCTTTCCAGCCACTCCGACAATTCTTTCGAGTTGAGGGGGGTGAATTCGCGCAAGCGTCTCTTGCGCACCTCCAGGCTAGAATTGGCGCTCGCCATGGTCGGAACCCGGCCCAGGGGACGGCCGGGTCGGAGCAGAGGCTTCTTGGTCTGGAGGGATCCCATTATAGCAGCAGTTGTAGAAGTAGCCAGCGACTGCTGCCCCACAAGATCAATCCAAGCATCCAAACCACCCAAGAGAAGGGCCGGAGGACGCCCGGCTCTGAGGGGTTTGTATTCGTTGAACTCATAAAGCGTATCATGGAGGAATCTTAGATGCGGGGCGGACGTTCCTGACGGTGGACCTGCCAGATAGCTGACCGAGGCCGTACTTTGGTCGTAATAGACAACTAGATCGAACTCATTTCGCCTCTCAAACAAGGCCTGCTCATGCTCTGGGGACACCACTAAGCGCTCTTCAAGCTCCTCAGCAGAAACATTCTCTTTAAGTGCCACCGGTTCAACACAGATGATAGACATCCCATAAATGTGGCCGCTGTCATAGAGATTTCGGGAACGCACGTCTATCAGCAAAACACTGTATTTTCGCATGTAATCCATGAGGTCAGTGGGCGTGACAGTAGAGTTGAACGGCAAATTAGGCGAATTGCTCCTGGTCTCTCGGACATGGACGCCGCTTGGTGTTCGCGATCTGTAAGAATCATCATCAAATCCACGGTTTGGACTGCCGCGGGGGGAATTTGCAAATGTGAGTAACGCTGGTTCAACGATCGTGCGCTTTCAGATGACGTTCTTGGCGGGTTCGAAGGAGGCTGCGAGGGCACTGTATAGATAGGACTATATGTAGGATCCGGGGCACGTGGGAGAGATGTTGTGAGAGGCAGCTTCGGAGGAACAGTCGGCGTGCCCATACTACGAGGTCCCAACGGGCGTCTGGTCGGTGATGCAAAGGGTGAGCCATAGTTTTCTGTGGGAACATTCGAGGGGTAGATGGACGCATGACCAGCAGGCACAGATGGAGCATAGCCAGGTGAGTTTCTGGAAGTTGACGAAGATTCACAAGGTTGGGAAGTTTTAAGCTTTGCAAAACGTTGCGCCAGTATATCTTCAGCGGGACTGGAGAATCTCTTCGAATCGAGTCTGAAACCTTGGTTAATACATATCTGCAACTTGGTCTGGAGAGACATTTATGAACCATAAGAACAGTCCAGGTCTCCAAAGAACTTACTTGGGAGGTTCAGTTGATTGCTGGAACTGCGTCGGGCTGGGCATTCGTAGAGACTTGTTTCCAGATCGATTCTCACGACCCCTTGGAACAGCCGAGGCGCGAGTAGGAGATCCAAAGAGACCTGTCGGTGCCACGTTGCTCTCCAGATTATCCTCGATGATTTGCTGCTTGATTGAATCCATTGTTGCTTGCTTCCTTCGGACTGCCTGCATCAAATCCGCAAACTCCTTGTGCCATCCAGGGCGTTCAGTGATGGTCGTCTTGTATTGCGAATGGTGGGGGATGATGTTGATCGTGATCTCGGAGGCTCGCAAGTACTGGATATAGGCGCGGTCGATTTCCCTTTCATCAAGGTCCTTGGCCCGTTCAATTGCCTCGGAGGCTGTTCTCAGGAGGACGTCAAGCTGCGCCACAGATGAGCGATGGTTCCCGTAGCCTGGAAATCTGACTTACCGGAGTGTTCTCGTTGATACTTAGTAGAGCCGCTTCGTCCTGCAAGTCCTTGATATTTGGAAAACGCGGTAGTGGCCGGGCGCCATTCTGATAAGAGGCCGGTCTGCTGACCTGGCCCTTGGAATGCATGTTGCCCCCCACCGAGTAAGGACGGGTGTCCTTCCACGGCGGTATGTCTGGTGGAGGAAGTAGTGCTGCCGCATCAGGGAGCATGGTTGAGGCGGCAAAGAAGAGCTTCAGCGCATGACTTTGGGACTGGAAGGCTCCAGCGTTTACAGAACAACGTAGAGCAATCCAGGAACCGGAGCGGGTCTGGGGTAACCAAAGTGACAATACAACTTTCACCGCCCACGCCTATGACGCCAGCCCAGCTTAGTCACTGCGGGCTGCCTGGAGCTTCCACCCTTACCGTAGAGCCTCGTCTTTCCCGTGCGCTTCTCTACACTTTGGATACCTTTGCGCGCATTTAGTGTCGCTACCGTCCTCTAGAATGGCAGGCTGGTTCTCTTCTGCATCCCCGCTCGATGAGCAGATCGAGCGGGCGACCTCCTCCTCCCTGTAAGTTGTCACCTTATCGCAACCTAATGCCTGCATGATGTTTGTCGCCTGTGGAGGTCGATCACATCAGGATAGCAAATTCTAATCAATTCACAGGGAGGACATTGCTCTCAACCTCGAGATATCCGATATGATCCGTTCGAAGAGCGTTCAACCCAAGGAGGCCATGAAGGCCCTGAAACGCCGACTGGAGAACAGGAACCCCAACATCCAGCTGGCCACTCTAAAGGTCGGTGTCCGAAAGACCCCCGAGCGTTACGCGCTGAATCATTACTGACATGCCGCTTCCTTTAGTTGACCGATACCTGTGTCAAGAATGGTGGCACCCATTTCCTCGCCGAGATCGCCTCCCGTGAATTCATGGATAATCTAGTGTCGTTGCTGAAGGCCGAGGGTGCTCCCTTGAATCCGGAGGTTCAACAGAAAGTTTTGGAACTTATACAAAACTGGGCCATGGCCGCTCAGGGTCGAATGGACCTGACGTACGTTGGGGAGACATATCGCAAACTGCAAGGCGAAGGATTTCAATTCCCTCCAAAGACCGAGATGAGCGGTAGTATGCTGGAGAGCAATGCGGTAAGCTCATTTTAGTGGAATATCTGTGGTAATGACGAGATAAGCTGACTATCAGTTCAGCCGCCGGAATGGATTGACTCCGATGTCTGCATGCGATGCAGGACGGCCTTTAGCTTTATGAATCGGAAACACCACTGCCGAAATTGCGGCAATGTTTTCGACGCTCAATGCTCCAGCAAGACCATTCCGTTGCCACACCTCGGAATACTTCAGCCTGTTCGAGTCGACGATGGATGCTATACAAAATTGACCTCTAAATCATTCACGCCATCGGGAGTCTCAGATCGAACCGCATTTAAGAACCAATCCATCAGTAAATCCAACGCGATGGAGCCTCGCGCCGCAAAAGTGGATAATAGCTTTGATGATGATCTTCGTCGGGCGCTGCAAATGAGCCTTGAGGAGGCGGAAGGCCGAGGTCCCTCTGGATTCGTGCCTCAGACAGGAAACGCCCCTGCGCCGGTACAGGAAGCCCCAGCGCCGTCAAACGTAGAGGAAGAAGACGCCGACCTCAAGGCTGCAATTGAAGCATCGCTGCGAGATATGGAGCAGCATAAGCAGATCCATGCTGCGGAGTTGAAGAATAACGCTCAGCCAACCTCGGCGATGCCTGATTCGTCCAGCGTTTCAACTCCGTTGCCAAAGAACCCTTACGAGCTCAGCCCGGTCGAAACCGAAAACATCCATTTGTTCTCCACTCTCGTCGACAGATTACAGCACCAGCCACCGGGAACAATTCTTAGGGAACCGCAGATTCAGGAGCTCTATGAAAGCATAGGCGCACTTCGGCCTAAACTTGCCCGCAGTTATGGCGAGACCATGAGTAAACATGGTAATGTCGATGTCGTGTCTGCTATTACGCTAGAAACTAACTCTCCTAGATACATTGCTTGACTTGCATGCCAAGTTATCTACAGTTGTCCGCTATTACGATAGAATGCTTGAGGAACGTCTTTCGAGCGCCTATTCCCAGCAAAATCTGGGCTACGGAGGGTCTAACTACTATGGCATGCCCTTGCAAGTCCCCGATATGAAGTCGGGCGCGGAAAACTTTTACTATGGAAATGCCGCCGAAGCTGCAGCCCAACCAAATGCTATGTATGCGCCACAGCCGGTACAAAGCAATGGTTACGAGGCGCCCGTGTACCCAGCACAAGCGCAGCGTGGACCCCTAACAGAGTCGCACAACAACGCTGCTTGGAGTGAAAATTCATATCCTTCGCTAGGGTCGCCTCAGCCAACAAACAAAGCGGTGCCCAGTCATGCTACCCCAGCTTCCGCGCAATATTATACCCCTCAACCGGATCAAGACCCTGCCCAGCAACAATTTTCCGAGCCTCCATACCAACCGTCACCGATCATGCGACGGGACTCGCAATATCAGCCCAGCGCGCCCCCGAGTGCGCCAGAGGCACACTCACCCGAGTATGTGCAATCACCGACGTACTCGACTGTTCTCCCAACCGGTCCCACAGCTTATCAGCAGCCCAGCGGGCCGCCGCCTCAATCTTACTATCACCAGCCCAGTACAGTACCCTCATACCCGCAGGTGCCGACCGACCAACCGGGGGCGTACCCGGAGGCCCAGCAGCAACCCCCCGCGTTGCATCAACAACCTGCACGGCCGGTGGAGGAGAGCCTAATTGAGCTGTAAAGCGAACTTGCATATTGCTTGACGGCGTTGTCCTTTCTTCCTTGTTTACTATGAACTTGATGATACCTGAGAACCAAAGTTTCCATACATTAAATTGTCATATTGATCTGGTAGTGACTCGAGTCGACACAGGCGGTCACTCAATTAGGTGTGAGGTAGATGCCGCCGACATTTGCATTAATAGAATAGTGATTAATGAGCACCTGAAATACTCAATGGTAGTCAATCAACAATTGACTCATCGTAACATTTTAATGGGGAGAAAACGGTAATACAAGTCCGTGTTATTGCCTGGACGATCGACAGTTCTCAGAGCGGGATCTAGAACTCCCCACGCTCCACACATGGCGTAGTACCCTATCCGTACCGTAATTTTACCCGTTTCCCCGTCGCCGAAGACAGCGAGTTCACCTCCCGAGGCTTCTTCCCTACACCCCAGTCCCAAGCTACTCGTATCGCTGCCACGGTCCCTCGAGCGAGGCGGTGTACACGCCTTTTGCAACTATTGCGACCCCGTTGCTTTTTCATCTGCGCGCACGTCTGATCTGTCGTGATACCTCATCTCCTCATCTACCTCGACCAATCCCTGTCGATGCCCTGTGCAAGTCAACTGATTACCCGCCTGTGGCTCTTGTGAGCTTAGCCGCCATGCCGAATAACACCTCCTCCCCAGTCAAGCGCCCCGGTCTCGGCCGTCGCGCTGTCTCCTCGCATGCGGTCGTCACGCAGGCGAACTCCAACCTTGACCTGTCAGAGTCTCACAACTCCAAAGCCCCCGTCCAAAAAGCCCACCGCGCCCATGTCGTCGGTGGTGGCCGCAATCATCACCGGAACCCCTCGACCGGTAAGAATTTCAATAAATTGCAGCGCTTCCAGCTAGGACCCGAGCCCACCGGCCGCCACCACCAGCGCAAGAAGTCTGCACCGGCTACACCGGTCGCCAGTCCCAAAGGTACCGCACACGTGCGATGGGAGACTGGAACCGTTGATGACCATCCGAAGAACGATTCTATGAAGAGGAACAACTCTACACCCATTTTGCGACGCAATAGTTCCGCGGTTGGGAAGAAGGCCTTGGTCACCGATCGTCCGGTCTTGAGCGCCGGCAAGAAGAAGTCCGTCGGCTTTGAGCTGGGTGATGATGAGACCGATGAAGCTGAGTGGGAAGATACCACACAGTCGCCTGAGAGCACAAGACGCAACTCGGTCGTGCCATCCAACCACAGCGCGGAGAATCCTGCAGTCCTCGTCGATCCGCTCACCTTCGTGAAGCGTCCGTACCCACAAGTGCCTCGAGCTACGAGTCTTCCTGATTCGGTGATCAATAAGTTTGTACGCAGAGACCTCGAAGAGGAGGGAGACGAAGAGGACGACTCAGACGTGACGCCCGGGCCAGAACAGCCCGGTGAGCAGGGCGACATTGCCAGCCGCCTCCTCAGCCCCTCACACTCCGCCAAAGCGCCCCCTGCAATGTCTTCCATATCCGCCATGGGCGAGCATAAGCCGGCCATTCCAGACTCTGCAACGCTTAGTGCCTCTTTTAAGCTGGCCGCCGTCCCGGATGCGGCTCGGCGTACCTTTTCTACCTCAAACCTTGGGCTCGCCAGCATGCCTGGTAGCCACACCCACGCCACTTCCTCGTCCATGGAAGGGGGTGTCTCGCGGTTCATAGTAAACAACAAGGCCGGCCAGGCCTCTTCAAGAACCGATTCGGACCCGAACACACCCTCCTCCTTCCTACCTCATTATCACCCACAAACTCCTCCCTCTCCCGGTCGCGTTGCTGGCAAGTCTACAGCCTCCCCGGCACGTCCTCGCGGCGGCGCTGATCTGCCATCACGAACCCAGCAGAAGTTGTGGCTTCAACGCACGGCTACCCTCAATAACTCCCCTCCCGATAGCCATGGACCCTCGGCTACCGCGTCGCCATCTGCCATGGATTCAGGCTACATGCCTACTGGACATAAGCGCTCAGCCTCTGGGGTATTCGATGCCAATCGAGGCATGAATGGCGCCAGTCGTGCAAGCGGGTCAGGGTTCGACAGCGAGACACGACACATTCGCAAGGCATACGAGAAGATGTCACTCGAATTGATGGTCGTGCGGCGTTTTCAGTCCCCGACGGGCGACAGCTTCACCCGGCTTCGCTCTATAGCTCGAGCATCCAAGTCCCTCGCAGCCCGGGCGGAACAAAGTGCCTTGGGCAAGCCTGTCAAGTCAGCCCCCTCCTTGACCCTGCTGCAGCACGGAAGGCGCCCAAGCCGATTGGGCTCAAGCTCCGAGTTGCCTGATCCTCATTCCTCGACTTCGGAGGATCCAGGGACCCAGAGCGAATCCACCGACACCCACGCAGTCAAGTCGGCCCACCCCTCCGCCCGCATCCTTTCTACCTCTGACGAAGCTGCGCATAATCTCCAAGGCGACAATGACCCTGAAGAATACCCGGCTGTGAACGGCATTGACATGATGATCCGTCGCATGTGGGAGAGTCGCGAGGTTGCGTCTTCGGGCTGAAGCCCCCCTAAGTCTGCTCCTTTACGTTGATGACACTTTTGCAATTCCCTGGCGCTGGTATTTGAAGCCTTTGAAACTTTTTAACATAACGTTCTACCCCACCGTGGACATAGCTTTTCCTTCCAAGTCAATAGCGTTGCATGCCAATGTAATCCAGGTTGATCTTGGCATCCGGCAGGGTCGTCTTCCGGGCAATCGCGCATGGCGTGACCCACTGGATCAGTAATGCCTAATTTCCTTCTTCATGATTTGATCTCAGGATATACTCCAGCTGTCTGTCTATCTTCACATCTTCCAAGGCAAAAACAGAATCATGGAGCTCCTCGTGCCGTTAGTCATCGGCCAGATTCTTCGTATCACCGGCTATGTTGCTGCAACTGCCCTCATCGCGGTGGTGTTCAACTTGATTCACCAGCAATTCTTCTATCAACGCAATGAACCGCCCCTGGTTTTTCACTGGTTTCCTTTTCTCGGGAATACTATCGCCTATGGCATGGATCCATACAAGTTCTTCTTTACGTGTCGTGAGAAAGTAAGTCAATGGACCCGACTTTGATAACCGTATGCTGGCCAAGTTGACACGGATCTAGCACGGTGACATCTTCACATTTATCTTGCTCGGCAAGAAAATTACCGTCTATCTCGGAACAGAAGGAAATGAATTCATCTTGAATGGGAAACTCAGGGATGTTAACGCCGAAGAGGTCTATGGCAAATTGACAACGCCTGTCTTCGGATCCGACGTTGTCTACGACTGTCCAAACTCCAAGCTCATGGAGCAAAAGAAAGTAAGTAACACCTTCATTGCCATACTCATCTCTGGGCCTTCCTAAAATCATCATGCTAATGAATTTAATCAACTCAGTTTATCAAATTCGGCCTCTGTCAAGAAGCCTTGGAATCCTACGTCCCCTTAATCGAGGAAGAAGTGAAACAATACATCAAATCCTCAGGCAAATTCAAGGGCCACACCGGCACAATCGATCTAGCGACCGTCATGTCCGAAATAACAATCTTCACAGCCGGTCGCACCCTCCAAGGCCCCGAAGTTCGCGCAAAATTGACGACTGAATTTGCGGACCTCTACCACGACCTAGACCTAGGCTTTTCTCCCATCAATTTCATGCTCCCCTGGGCCCCGCTCCCCCACAACCGCAAGCGCGATGTCGCGCACGCACGCATGCGCGAAATCTACCACCAGATCATCCGTGAGCGTCGCGCCACGGGCGAGAAAGAAAGCCAAAAAGACATGATCTGGAACCTCATGCGCTGCGTCTACCGTAACGGCCACACAATTCCAGATAAAGAGATTGCTCATATGATGATCACGCTACTTATGGCAGGACAACACTCTTCGTCGGCGATCAGTTGCTGGATCATGTTACGGCTTGCATCCGAGCCGGAGATGACGGAAAAGTTGTACGCTGAGCAGGTGCATGCCTTAGGGAAACATCTGCCGCCCTTGGAGTTTGGCCATTTGGAGAAACTCCCTCTACATGCATTCGTTATTAAGGAGACGTTGCGGATCCATTTCCTCTATTCATACGCTGATGCGCAAGGTGAAGAATCCGCTTTCGGTTTCGGGGACAAACTATGTTATTCCGACCAGTCATACGCTTCTTTCATCACCTGGTGTCACTGCGCGTGATGAACGGTTCTTCAAGAATGCTATGACTTGGGATCCGCATCGGTGGGAGTCATGCTTTGAGGATGATGGAGGTGAGGGCGATACGGTGGATTATGGGTATGGCACTGTGTCGAAAGGGACAAGAAGTCCGTACTTGCCGTTCGGAGCGGGCCGGCATAGGTGTATTTGGGGAGAAGTTTGCGTATTTGAATCTGACGGTCATTGTTGCGACTCTTGTGAGAGAGTTCCGGTTCTTCAATCCTGAAGGTCGGGCTGGTGTCCCCGAGACGGATTATTCGGTATGTTCAATGTTGTCGCTGTTTGGCACGGTTGTGATTTTGGCTAACATGTACTACAGTCGCTATTTTCTCGTCCGGTGCAACCGGCTGCGGTGCGGTGGGAACGTCGTGGGGAGTGATGATATTCTTTTTCTGTGTAAATGCTCTGCTTCGTTGAGATTGGAATGGGGAACATTGACGCTAATCTGAACCTAGGAAATGTAATGGAGTTGACATGGTGTTATTGACACCTAATAGGGAACGATTATCTAAGTTGAGGAAACAGAATCTATTAATTCAAGTTCTCAAATCCCAAAATGCCATCCTGTCCACGGAAAGTCTAAGTCATCGGAGATCGCATATTATATAATAATGCCAACAAAGTCAGGATTATGAACAAACACAAAAGAAATGTGACTCAAAAGTAATGGTTAATATAAGGCAAATATAGAAAATGAATGTACAAGGAGGAAGGCATAGAGTATGCCGTCTTAGGCCTTTTCTTTCCCTTTGCCGCGATTTTCATTTCCACGACGAGGGCCCTTGTTGGCACCGCCATTGGGAGTCTGATTGTGCGTATATCGCGGCTGTGATGGGGGGATTCGCACTCTTCTTGGGTGTGGAAGGTGCTAGAGTTGGACCTGGAGATGGTATGGACATTTTCTGGGCCTGAGAACCAGCCCCATCAGCGGCATTCTTTTTGCCTCCGCGCTTACGGGGCGTCCCGGAAGTACCAGAAGACTTGCCACCTCGTTCAACCTTGCCGTTGGGCTGTTGCGTGGATTCCAGGTCAAGAAGGCCCTGCACGCGCCTGCTCTCTTGATCCCACCATGCTTGGAACTCTTGCTCGGCTTGAATCTCTTGTAGGTTATGCTTGGCCGTGGCCGCCTCGCGAATAACGTCTTTCTCGATCTGTTGTTGCTGCAGGATGGTTGCGAGAGAAAGAGAGCCACTGGACGGGGAGTGGAAACCCGATGGGTAGGGCTCTGGACGTGGGATATGACGAACAGACTGGATGGCAGTTTGTGGTGACGCCTTTGGAAGAGTTTGTTGAGCTGGTGTTGGAGGCCCAGGGGAGGGACGCTTCGAGAAGGAAGATGGTCGCATGCTGATAGAGACACTGCGGCCGTGGGACTGTGTCGGGGTGGCCATTGGCTTCGGCGGAGGTGTCCCTGCCACGGTTTGGCGCATAGTCATCGATAGCTTGTGTGCATTTTTCGATGGCTCAGGTGAGCTGAGTCTACTTAGTCCCGGGAGAGGATCTTTCACGAGCTTTGAAGGTGTAGCCGGAGGTGGCAGCGCCCAAGGGTTCTTTACAGCCTCTTTCGCCTTCTCTTCGGCAGCAAGCTTGTCTTGCATTTGCTGCTGTTGCATCTTCCTCCGCTCTTTTTGGGACATTTTGAAGTTACCGCTGATCTCACGTCGTCCTTCCATGCCTAATGTAAGGTTTGATACCCGGGACTGAGAGGTTTCACCCATGATGTCTTTGAGGTCCTTCTTATTGTTTGAAATGACCGGCGAGGCCCACGGTGCTGAGGAATCTGGCGGCGATGCCATGCCACGCTTCAGATGCATAGCAATCTCGCGAGATTGAGTAGGAGACTGGGTAAGCTGCATATCTCGTGGCGAAGACATCTGCTCATCCAAAAATCCACGCTCTCCAAGGGACTCAGCTTCCGCTATGCTTGCTCCCAATGCTGGAGAATCGGGATAAGACCGACTTTCCGGAGTCCCTCCGAATTTCATTCCACGCATCACAGCCTTGCCCTTGATGTCACCAGGCGAAAATGCGGTTTCCTCATCCATTTGGAACATCAGGTCACCCGTCGATTGTTTTGGTTTTAATGTAGGACTGGGAAGGAGGCTTCCAGAGTCCCGGGAAATGCTACCCTTGCCCTTGCGCACTGGCGTGGTCGCTACACTAGGCTGTCTTGGTCGCACATCGTAGGATTCAACTTGACTCAGACGAGACTGCAAAGCCATTGCATCGATCCGACGTCGCTTGTCCATCTCCAAGGAAGTGACAATCTCAGGGTACTTCTCGAACACGTACTCCTCTGAATTACGTCCACGAGAAATAGGGAAGCATGCTAGCTGATTCTCATGGCAGACGGCGTCAAGTTCGCTGAGGAGGTTCTCATCGAGCCCTTCCAACAATCTGTTTGTAAGCATGTCTTCGAGATTGAGACAAATGTATTCCAAGGAGGCGTCCTTGAACTCGCGGACGTAGACAGGAGCGATGGAATTAAGAAGATACGAGATGTTGCGTGTGTTGACAAAACGACCAAGCATCTTTTGGCAGATCTGAGAGAGTCTGTCGATCATCAACTCATTGGCGACGTACATGACATCAAGAAGCAGGTCAATCAAGTCGTCGAGATTTTTCGACCGTACCTGATCAAACATTTGCTCTTCCGTATCGGCGTACAAGTAGCGCAAGACGAATTCGAAAGTCGATCGATCAATATGTTTGAGATCAATGTGCACTCTCTCCGAGGGAGACTTTCGCCGGTGCGCAAGCCACCTGCCAGCCGAACGCCCATTGAACAAGGCATCGAAGAAAGGACAGCGCTGGCACACCACCTGGCTGTGAACCTTGACAGAATCGCCCTTAAGTTGAACCACAACATCAGCATCATCAAAGAAGAAAGGATGCTTGATAGCATGTGCCATGTCAGTCTTCAGGCTTGGCTGCGGCTCCACCATCAAGCGAGCTGCGCGTTCCAGCGTCGGCAGACCGAGCTGAGTGGCCACTCGCATAACCTCCGTTCGCACTTGGCGGTAACGGGCGCCTTTCTGAGAAGAAGTGCTCGCTTTGTGCCAGACATCAATGATACTGTCCGTGTAAAGGAAGAAAACGACATTCATGACAGTCAGGAAATCAACACCTAGCAAACGAATTTGAATATGCCCGTCTTTGCCATATTCGATATCGAGGACATCAGGCACGGAAGCATAATATGACTTCCGGAAATCGTGCAGCGCCTTGCGAAGAACAGGGCTGCGACCGCTCAAGAGAAATTCGTGTGCTGGAATTCGTGCATCCGAGAGTGAGCTAGTCACCCAGATAGTGCCTTCCGAACGTATGGAGAGAAATTTATCTTCCATTTCAGATGAGGTTAAAATGTCACGTTTGATGGCCATCGCAGAAGACAACGCAACAGGGTCTTCGGTATCATCCGCTGCGACTATCATATCCACATCATCCGGTTCGGGTGTCATGAAAGGCGAAAGCGGCAGTAAGTCATCCCAGAGTGTACTTGGGTCGATGTGAATCTGCTCTCGGGTTACATCACAGTCACGTTGAGCGACAGCATACGCCCCGAACGCATTGCTGCGCACGGCCACGGCCCTAGACAGACCCGGGATGCGGGCAAATTTGAATTCTTTGGAGGTGCCTTCTTTGTTTTTGCTCCGTTTTTCTTTTCTCCAGGCCGAGCCTGAGGTCGTGCAGATGATGATGGATCCATCTTGTCCGACATCAACGTCACTGGCAGCCATATGGGATTTCTTGACGGACCAGGCCCGTATAGGAGTAGCTAAAGAGTTGCGTATTTTGGCCGGGTTTGTTGTGGATGTCAATGCTGAGGGCTCATCAGGCTTGTTCGCTTGGACAGTGAAAACGTCACCAGAGCTTGACAAGGCGCAAATGGTGTTACCACCGCATGCCAGTTTAACCACTCGGTTCACCGAGCCACCGTATCGTGTTGCCATGAAACTGTCCCTGATAAACTTGGAGGTAGACTCTAATGGCAGAGAGAGCTTAGAATAGCCATACTGCGAAAAGACCCAAACTTCGTGATTGTGAAGAAGCACAGCAGTAGCGCGGTCAATAGCTGAGACCATTTGGATTGGACTCTTGAACAGAGAGGCACCAACTCGTCGAGGTGTTGTCTGCACTTCAAGGGAACGTGCATCGGAGTCAACTAATCCCAGTTGACCTTCATTCTTGCCGAAAGTGTAGAGACCTGAATCGGTGAAGACAACTGAGTGTATCGAGGACGCCGCCGCTCCGAGAATGATTTCCTTCTTGAATGGGTTGAAGATCTGACGCGGGGTACTCTGGATGGGGACATCATTTTTATTGCTTGTCCTGGGCAGGCCGTAACCGAGTTGCCCGAACTTATTGCTTCCCCAACTGAATATCTCACCGTGATCGGTAATGGCCAAGCTGTGATCTTGGCCCAGGGCGACAAGTATGACCTTCTTGCCAGCCAGGCCACCAGTCTCGATGCAGACGAACGTGAATCGGGTCGATTCATCGCCAGTTCCCAAACGGCCGCCGGGTCCAAACCCGCACATAAATAAGTTAGCCTCAGGATCATCTGTGAGGATGGCAGTGTGTAGCTTTGACATGACCACGTTTTGATATTTTATCGGCCTGTTCTTGATCAAAGTCGGCAGGTCTTTTGAGTTGCTGTGATCAAGAGTATCCTCAAGACCAAGGCGCTCCATTTTCTCCTCATATTCGCGGTAGAATCGTTGTAGCAGATGATCTGGACGCTTCAGAGTAACCCTTTCAGGAAACTGGCGATCGTCTTGATCTCCAAGCCCGAGGTTCAAGTTCTTATTGCTGCCCAAGGTAAAGACCTCATCGGCGGAGAAATCATTTCGCGACTTGAGGACGCTCCGAGTCACATATGCATCGTCCTCGCCCTCGTCTCCATAATGAGACGCAGCATTTGAACCAGCATCACTGTCTGCCACATCCGGGACCAATGAGTCAGGCCATCCCGCCGTGGGAGTTATTTGTTTGATATCTCGAGATGTGATAGTCGCACCATAGATGTCGAATGGGCTGTAGCCTTCACGGTCCTTAATCTTGATCAAGCTACCACTTGGATGCCCGGTGTTTCCTACTTTGCCGAAGTCTGTCACGTCACGCATATCACGCGCCATAAGCGCCTGAGCGATTGTGGCATTTCCCGCGTAGAGGGCCCGATGCAGAGCCGTCCAGCCGCTCTCCCAGTCCTGCGCATAGATATCTAAGAATGGAATCTCCAGCAGTGTGCGCGCAAAGCTGGCGGCCGTGGGTTTTGGAGACGATGCAACGTGATGAAGGAGCGTTCTACCATAGTGATCTCGGGCATTGACATCGGCGCGAGATAATGCAAGATTACCCTTCTGGAAAGCCGGTCGCTCGGGAAAGGAAGTCCCGGGTGATTGTCCGTATGGTTTCTTCGATTTCGGGGGATTGGGAGACGAGGCGATCATCGACCCGGGGCTTCCAACCTTGGCCGATAGACTTGATGCCGCTGCGCCAGCAGCTGCGGCGCCTCCGGGCGCTCCTCCAGCTCGCGGTCCGGCGAATGTTGCGTTCGCCAGAAAGCGGTGGAAGCTCTCCACATCATCTTGAATGAAAAACTCCCAAAGCTTGCTACTCATGTGCCCGAAGTGGTCCGATCTCAGAATCTCTTATCAGGCCTAAGCTGGAGCGTCGCCGTCACCACGAAGTTGACCGCGACGGAAGAGCTGGCTGATGAGAGGATTCTGGATTCAAAAGAAGAAAAGAGTCGATTCGAAGACGACCGACGCGATCTCAAGGCAATTTCACCAGAAGTCTTTGCAACGTGCGGTGACACAAAATCGATTGTGGGTTTTGGATCGAGGTGGGTTCGCGCGAGGTGGCGATGAGCCGGGGCGTATCTGGCAGGATCGGAGGGCGTCTCAGAGAGGAGGAAATTCGCGGAAGGGGTCGGGACTGAATGAGTGAAAGCAGGATGAACGCAATGAGACTTGAACTCTTCGCAAGTCTCTTGCACCGTCATCGCCGTGAAACGTGGGAACAAGGTGGTACCGACCAATGATAGCGCGCACGTCCCTCCATGTTCCCCGAGAGGCGCGGATCATCCGTTGCCCTGAGAGCCCCGTCGAGGCCCGTGGGGGAGCGATAGGTGAAAATGGATCATGGCTTGCAACGGACATGACATGCTTCGATTCAGTACCCCTCTTTCCTCCCCGCACTTTGTCCTATACATTCGCACTCTCACTTAGGGCGACCTTACACACGACGTCGAGACCATCGTGGATTACCATGGGACTATATATCTCTGGAAGGACATAGATACAGACGGGGCGAACGCGCGCTTCACCCATCATTTCGGCCTTGATCCAAATTAAAGTCAATTGAATTAGGCCCCTTCAGATCTATGCATATCTACTCCACCGCCTAGCTGGTTAAGCTTGACGCGGCACACAAAACGCGTTGCTCGGCCTGGCTATCGTATATCAACGCCTAGGCAAAGTCTCGAAGTCTAACTCTCTAGATCTGAGAAGCAAAAGTACAAGTTCAGTACCGAACACTAGACCGGGAAACCTGGACTTCATTCACTTTGTCAGGTGCCTCTGAGGCCAGACCTGAACCATGGTGTTCGAATCTAGCTGCGTGTCTGGTCGGGTCCTCCCAACTCGCCTCTCAAGTCAGTCTTCAGAAAGTCGTGATTGACGATCTCACTCTTCCTGGCTCCTAATTCATTCACATCCCAATTGGTAGGCATATACTTTCCGCTCAACAATCGTGTTTGTGGTGAAGCCAAGTACCCAGCAGTGCCAGCTGCCAGCTCAACTATAAGGTGTAAAATTCAAATACATCAGCAAAGAACTAAGGATGTTGATAAATGAAGCGAGATGGACGGCTGAGTCCAGAGCTCCTACCGGTGTCCTCGCAGAAATGAAGCACTTCAGGACGATCTGCGATTTCGGTCTTTGTCATGCCCGGGTGGTAGTCCATCGAGAAAAGACGCTCGGATATGCCACCGCGATAGCTTCTGACAGTCTATCGAAAGCTAGTTTGCTGATCAGGTGGCTCAAGCCAGTCGGCCCTTACAGTGAGCATGTCCCAGGTGTTGACGTTGACGAGAATTGCTGCTCTTCTGAGCCGACCATCAGGAGGAATGCTCTGCTCGTGAATTAGCTTCCTTTGACATTGACCTCATGGAGAGACCGTTGTTACTACATTGCTCTTCTGAAGTGAAACATGAAATCTTACGAAGTCTGCCCACCACTCCTTCGGCGTGTTATTTCCTATTTTTCTCCGTAGATGACCACCAGCCGGCGCCGTTGACTAGAATATCGACAACTCCAATTCGAGCACAAATAACCTCCTGTAAACTGTTAAAGTCACATTCCGATGAGGTGTCTGTTGGAATGACCAAGACTTCAAGGTTAGGGTTGATTCCAAGCAATTCTTGCTTAGTCGATTTGAATTTCTCAGCGTTGCGACCCGCGATGACAGTCCACTTCGCATTTGCTAAAGCAAATGCGATAGTAATGGCTTTTTAGTAAGGGAAAATAGTCGTGAGACTGGAACCCAGCTTCACAGCGGAGGTAGACTGACCTTGCCTATAACCTGGCTCGGCCCGGGGATTATCACGAATTTTCCTTGCCATGACAGCTGTGGTAATCTCGGATATATCGTTGGGTATTGGTCTCGATGTACCAATTCTGTGGAACGATGTGTCGTGAATAAGTGATCAGACGGTAATGAATGAGAAGGAATTGCGGACATTCTGTATGAAGTTGCTGGCATGGTTGAACGCAATTGTTCCGCACAGAAAGTTGGAGTATGATGAAACAGCAATTCGACTTTCAAGGTAGAGAAGGGGCCTCTTAAAGAAAAGCTTTCAGCATTATGGATGGTGCAATTCCGGCAGAGAAAGCGGACAATCGTTCCTAACGCTGACTTAGAAATAGCCTTCGAAACGGCATCTGGGATAACGTGCAGTTATACAATGTTCCTAAGTTCGGCGGTTTCCATGAGCGTCAACAATCTCCTGTCATTTTCGAACACATTGCGGAGGTCGAGCAATTCAGCCGGGTATGTTGAATTTGGTCACTTGCATCTTGTCACGTTATTGAAACTGAGGTGAGCTGAACTGTCACGCCGAGATAGTGGAGAAGCTCCTCCGCGCCTTCGCCATTCTTCTCGAGCTTCCAGATGAGGACCAACTTGTCAAAGACCACCAGTACGACGTGTAGGGTGTGGGTCATCTCCTCTACATGCACTACGCAGCTCGTAGTGCCGACGAAAAACAGACAGTCGTTGAGCTGTATAGCCCCGGTCACTCCAACCTGGGGACTGTGACTTTGCTTTTCGGGCAAGCTGTAGCTGCGCTTCAGTTACTGGACTCAGAGGGAGAATGGTAAGTGGGTGCAGCCCCAGGATGGAACTATCACGATCAACACCCGCGACGCCTGGGCAGATTTCACAGGTGGCTTCACTAAATCTAGCGTTCATCGCGTGCATGCTCCACCAGCTGATCAAACCCATGTTGACCGGTTGGGGGTGCTTTATGTTGCCTGGGAGTATAACCGTGGAAGCCACAGCGTTCTTTGCTAGAATCCATTCAAAGGCCCAATAACCACGTGGTCCTTGATCGTCTCCAGAACAGTGCACTGCTTGACTGATTGGGCTTGATGCAGAATGTGTTTACCGATTTAGATCAGCATCTGTCAACCGAGGAATGGTTAAAGGTTCGCCACACCCAACAACAGCGCCGTGATAAGAATTTCAAGGTGTCGAAGCAGGGCAAAGATACTTATGGACCGAAGGATCTCGAGATATCCCGGGGCTGAAGGCTCGAATTTACAACTAGACAATGATTATTTAACGAGGTAAATGTATGGCATCGGTCCGATTTCTGATACTCCTAGGAACACTGATCATGAATTCTTGGGTGAGTTCAAGATCGCTCACTCCTTCATTTCCTGGTTTTCTCCCGCATAAAGCAAGAGGAAAGAAACGAACGGTAGATCGATTCGATCCAAAATTGCATGGAAACCATGTGAAATCCTTGAGAATAACTCAGTATGCTTTTTTCTTCCCACCAAGCCAACTTAAAGACGGGGTGCTTCCCCCTTGAGCTTCTTCCCCGCTTCAAGATCCTGTTGGCTCCGAGGAATTCCCGATTTGGGCATCTGAAAGCGCCCTTGATTCCTTCTCACATGCGAGATTTCTGGAATTCAGGAGCTGCAGAAATGCCTACAACACAACTGAGTTCCCATGACAAGAGAAATAAGCACTAGAGTCAAATCGAGTCGTTAGAAAGCAAGATTGGAGAACGGCATCTTCCGAGAAGAAATATCCAAGCGCATAGACCCCACCACTCAGCATCAACCGCAACCCACACATTCGGCGCCAACCCAGAATGCCCAGGTGCCCAGCCCTATCGCAGTATATTTTATTTTCCGTGTTCCGGGCTCGGTAGCATAAATGCTACCCTGCTGATCAAAATGATCACAACCCCAGGCGTTTCTCCACTGTGCGGGGGCTAGCTTCAATCCTTCGACGGCTTTCCCTAGTTTCCTTCACGAGTCCAGCTCCCCAGGCACAATGTTTGATATGACACGCGATGCCTTCTCAACTACATGGAGCAATTCTCGATGTGACACAATTGCTTTCCGGCTGGCATTTGTGCTGAAGTGGATTCCACTTCACGCGGGATCCACTTTCTGCATAGTCCGAAGGCCCGGAAGAAGAAAGGAAAAAAAGAGGGTCATGAGCGTGCCTAGCTAAATGCTGATCTACACTCGAAATGAATAGACTACCTCGGTAGCAGAGCCATCAATTATCACATTCATTGAGTCTGACGGTGAGTATTTATATCCTTTTCCCTCCGATGGTTTTGACATTATGTGCACCGACTGAAGCCGCGATCACCGATCTATACAGCTGAGGATGATTTCGCCCGCCGGTGCTTCGGTGCGCCACATCATGATGGCCTTTGTGGGCCTCATGGTGGCAGTCATATCTGCTTTGCCATCTGGTCGATATGCTAGAGGCCTTCCCTTGGCCCCTGCGGATGATCCGTTCTATCAACCCCCGGCTGGCTTTGAGTCGGAGGCGCCAGGGACCATTCTGAAGCAGCGGGATGTCACTGTTGCCTTCTTGGGCCTGATCCCAGATCCAGTGACTGCCTACCAATTGCTATATCGGACTACCGCGATCAATGGCTCTGCCATTGCTACGGTGACCACGATCTTCAAGCCTACCAATCCGAAGAACGATCGATTCATTTCTTTCCAAACAGCCTATGATAGCTCAGCGAGCATCTGCGACCCTAGCTATAATTACCAGTTTGGGGCTGCGCAGACTGATATTATTTCATCCGCCGAGCAGTTGATCCTGCAAATTTACCTGCTTCTGGGATACATTGTTGCCTCGCCGGACTATGAAGGTCCTGATGCGGCTTTCGGCCCGGGTCGTTTGGCTGGAATGGGAACCCTGGATAACATGCGTGCTGTTTCCAATTTCGATGCTCTGGGTCTGAGTAGCACTAGCCCCATGATTGTTGGCATAGGCTATTCTGGCGGTGCCCTCGCTACAGGATGGACGGCCTCTTTGCAGCCCACCTATGCCCCTGAGCTGGAGATCAAAGGTTGGGTTCAGGGCGGCACCCCCTCCAACTTGACCGGCACATTGCTTGAGCTCGATGGTGGACTCTTCAGCGGGTTCAGCACTGCTGCTGTGGTCGGATTGTCTGCGCCCAGCGCGTATGGCGCCGAATTGAGCACTCTGTTCAGTTCTATACTGACGACGGAAGGCGCCTCCAAGATCAAATTCGCCAGCGAGAATTGCGCGGTGCCGGACCTGCTTAACTTTGCTGGACAGTCGCTGTTTTCTACAAGTATCCAGAGTCTGGGCCCCGGGCTGCTGTACGACCCAACGATTCAGTCCGTACTGAAAATGAACACCATGGGCGTCAACAAGGACGAAACTCCCACCGCACCTGTGTTTGTTTACCACGCCTCGCAAGACGAAATCATTCCCTACTCAAACGCATCAGTCATGGTCGACGCGTGGTGCAATGACGGCGCGAACGTGAAGTTTACCACGTTCGCCGCTGGTGGTCACGCGACCACCGAAGTCATCGCAGTGGCAGATGCTGTGAACTTTGTCGAAGCTGCCTTTGCCGGTACCACGACGCGCGGATGTACCAAGAACACGGAACTTGCCAGTTTCCTGAACCCGATCGCACTGGGCTTGGACCTAGAGCCTCTTCTGGTGAAGCTGATCGACGTGCTTCTCACGCTTGGTCAGGAAGACCAGAACGTAAAGCAGGACCTTGACGTTCTGCAGGAGACGGTGACTTGGTAGAGATGTAACCTTGGTTCGAACCTTGAATGATCGACGGAAGCTGAGATCTCGAATCTCCACATATGGACTGGTAATGATGAGATCTCATCCTCCCATGGGATGTTCGCGGGATATTATATTGTCAATTAATTGAAAATGATGTGAATCAGTAAACGATTTACATAATCCGCATTCTTCACAATCAGCTGATCATTGACTTGTTAGACTATGATTCCTATTTCGTGATTGCTTGCGTCATGTCTCCGCGGCTCTGCACGCGGGTCCGAGTGCGCCCGACCTTATCTACCTTCACAGCGGCACTTGGCAGGGTTGATCCTGTGAACCCCAGGCTGCCGTACTTTGTTCTTCACGCGTTCAGAAATAAGATCATAGGCAACACTCTGAGGTGTTATCGAACATCGAAGCTGAACATAGCGTTTTCCAGAGATAAACGCTTGGTTGTCCCTCACCTGGCCGTGATCATCTGCTTCTTATCTCCAAAGCCTAAGGGCGCATGTAGAAGTACCCAAGCCGTTACGAGGTCAGAGCTGCAGCTAGCTTTGCTTTTTGTCGTAGGATTAGTAGAATTTGGGCGATGTCTGAGACCAGATTGAAAGGAATGTTAGATAAAAGATTCGGTATCATTGATCAGCTGTGGTGGCGCCAGGCTGATTTTCGCACTCGAGACCTGTCGAGTCACCAGATGTGCGTCACAGACCGTTTCTCCTCCCCTTTCTACTTTCTATCCACGTTCTCCCCCCCTTTCTCCCATATATTTGGGTCCGTCATGTCTTTTTTGATCCCATAGGTTGCACAACGTGAAATACGCTGTGAACCCTTGACTTCCCCCGTGGATGCGGAGAAGCTCCTAGGCTCCCAAGGTCCACCGCGTTAACGATGCGCTTGTCCTTGCAATTGTCTTAATTAGCACTTCACTTCCCCGTCCACACCGGCCATTCCCACCTTTACATCCTTGAATCCTTCTACCTCGCACTTGTTAGCATGGCCGTCTGCACCAGATCCACTGCCGCGCTGGACTCCTGATAACAGAACGCCCGCTGATAGCACTCGCCCCCGGACCCGTTGGTCGGAGTGAGTGCTCTTGCCTTAAAATCGTTCAGCTCCATGCGGGCCGCTGACCTGACAGTCCCCTACCATGCATCAGCACCCACGATCACCTGCGGTGCCTTCATCGGCACCCAGGCTCCCATCCATCCCGCCCGCTCGGGACGATCTGAAAGAGCACGACTCCGTGCCACCTTCGCCTTCTACAGATATGAGAACAAATTCCGCTCGGGGCCTAGGCATCGATGCCAGTGCCGACACCAACGGACAGACGAGAGAAGCAGCACTGCGGAAAGAGGCCATCACCAAGTTGAATCAGATCATCTCGGTAAGGTTGCGGCGGGCTCGACATTGGCCGTAAGTGGCAAGTACTGACTGCTTCCTTGGTTTCTTCCAGAATTACCATACGAAGGCCGCTTTGATAATCTTGCATTCACGCGTAGAGCTGCCGGCAAGCTTCAATAAGGGCTCTGATAGCCCGAGAATTAACCGCTGGGTACGACGATCCCGTCCCGTCTCGCTACCCCACCCCCAGGATAAAGCGCTGACTTTGACCTCGTCCTGCTAGTTTAACGTCGAAGTGGAAGATACAGATGCTCTACGGGAGCCGCTTTGGACTTGGAGGTCATGCAACGCCACGGAGAAGCGACCGCCACCCCTCATCATCGAAACGTTCCTTGACGGCAAGGGCCTTACGAATAACCAGAGCTTGGTGATTCTGGACGAGAATGGTAAACGATGGGATGTACAGGAGACACTTGCGGCATCAAGAGGTGCCCGTGCATCTCAAGGACGCCAGTCGGACTCTAATGAAATCATCTTGGAACGATGGAGAATCGAGTTAGGCGAGTCCTCCAGCGGGTTGCCGTCAGATCTAAGCTCCATCTTGCCGACTGTGTATAAGAAAAGCATTGTCCTTTTCCGCTCCTTATTCACCTATTCTAAATTCCTACCTGCGTGGAAGTTCTCTAGGCGCAATACGAAGGTTCGTCGGAGCCCGGCACTACAGCTCAGATATCGTGTTATAGATGGGAGCACTATACGCAGTGACTTGGCGGGTGATCGGTTGACGACGCCGTTACATGAGGGGTCTGAGAAAGTGGTCGACACGTACAGTTTTGGCGTGACAGAATCTCCTGCGGGGCCCTTCACGGTATCGGTTACGTTTCGAACGAATTGCGATTTCCGGGTTGATGATTCGGAAGCGCTACTGAGCTCGCGTTTCATGGGCGCCGACGACGCAATCTTCCGGCCCTCATTACCGTCAGAGGAAGTCAGTCGCCAGGGGCCTGAAGTTGGGTCAGTACCGGTAGAGAGAAGGACGATGGAGAACCCAGACTGCTCGCGTGCATACGGAAGTCTGTCGACCTTTCACCAAGTCGGGCCGGCTACTGGCGCTAGTCCAATATCTGCGTTGCGAGCAGCGCGCGATTCTGGTGTTGGGTCATCATCTCCATCGGATTCACCGAAGAAGTTGATGCCCGCAGCGAAAATAGCACCCACGGGACGTGCTGCTCAACTTGCAAGTGAAAGTGGCAGTCCCAACTTTGCTCGTCGGCCTTCCGTCTCTTTTCAACCTTTCAAAGCACCTCCTCTCTCTGCATCACCTGCTCTCGTCGATACTCCCTTGGGCGTGTCTCCTCGTACTACATCTGCGCGTCTTTCTATTGGAACGTCTGCAGACTCGAGGTTTATGCCGCCTCCCTCCGTTGCAGCTGCCGCTCGTCGATCTCTTGCTCTTGCCTCTGACCAGACCTCACCTTCTTCGACTTCTGCGTCTCCCAAACCTGCGCCCCTTTCACGCTATAGTAGCTCATTCAGCCATCGTCGAGGCCGACCATCATCGGGAGGCAATCCTCGAACGGAAGATGACAACTCCAGCGGCAAAGCCAGTGCTGCATCGTCCAATGTCCAGCCCGGCTCTGGCCTTCTTGCTGAAGCCACTGGGACTAGCGCGGAATCGATGCACGCAGACGATGAAAACATCTCAGAGTTCCTGAAGATGCTTGATACGAGTAAGGATCTGATGACTCGTTCCGCCACCAATGTCTCGCTCGAAGAAAGTGCTCGTAACGCGACTGCTCCTGCAGCTGCTCTGGCTCGCTTCCGAGGCCTGGTAGGGCCGCACGCCGCCCTCTCAGATTCTTTGACATCCTCCATGCACATACATCGATCTTCTACTTCCTCCAGCAAGCAGCTTTCAGGTGTCCCACCGATGGTTGCGGGTACCTCTATATCTACTGCCTCTTCTCCTGGGAAGCCTATTTCACCTCATACGCCCCATACGCCTGCCATCCGATCCCGTCTCAGCTCCAATAGTGTTGCTGATGATATTGTCGTTGACCACGAACGCCAGCGGGCTGCAGAAATCGAGCACAATTCTGCACTTGATGAGCATCCCAGCCTCGAAGCCACCCAGCACGCCTCTACTGCAGCTGCCATTGACATTCCAACTTCTCCGCGAATCTTCGATCCCAGCTATCGCCGCTCAAGCTCCGCCGCTCAGCACAGATGTCATACGGCTAGCGATGATGACGAGATCTTCCCCTTCGGTATGCGCAGTATGAGCGTCGGAACCTCAGCTCCCTCTACCCATCGGCACACAGCAGGAGACTGAGTTCGCTCCTGAGAACCATTCCAATCACCAGTCAACCTCTATCGACGCCACTGCTGCCGCCACAAGTAACGCAGGCGCCTACCGTGACGCTTCCTCATCTCGTGGCGTTTGTCCTACGGCTACATCCACCTCGTCCACTACCAATGTCTATCAGCCTCGGTTCGCTAGCTCGCGCGGTCGTGGTTTCTCCGGTGGTCCTCAATCGCTTAGTTCTGGCTCCAGCAGCCTGGCCCGAGGCGCAAATATCCCACCTCATCTCATCGAGCGCGATGCCGACCGCGACGGCAACGCCAGCGGTAGCAACAGCGGCAATTCCACTATCGAGATCCGGCGCGGACCTGGCAACCGGCCTAGCACCAGCCGAGCCCCGCCATCTCAGATCGAAGACGACGAGCCCCTGCTGTTCGCAATGAGCGATTTCGGTGCCTCCCGGCGCAGCCTGGAAGAGAATCGAGGCAATCACGGTGGCAGTGACTCGGCTGCTGGATCCCGTCGTGGCAGCGGCCGTCGCGGAGCTGGACTCCCTGGCTTCCATCCCTGGTCCTAGCGACCACATCTTTTCCTTTGCCATTGCCATATATTTCCAATCTCCCCATTTCCCAGGCGCAATCTAAATACCCATTTCTCTTTCTTTCCTTCTAAGTTTGTCACAGACCTCTCTCATTTCTTGTTCTATTTCTGTCTCCTTTTCAAAAAAGGCTCTCTTTCTTTGGGGTTGGCGAATGCCATAGACTTAACCCTCGATTTGGTTCCCTCCTTCTTGTGCATAGAATGGGATTGTTCTTTTCATCGTCTTTCTCGTTCGCCCTTTTGGCTGCTCCCAGAGGCATTATGATTTCAAGCCACTTGCTATTTATCCAACATCCTGCATGATCGATATGATTTGGTGTTTTCTTGCGAGCTCATTTTTGGTTTGAATAACGTTGGTTTTGGTCTCTCATTTCATGATATGTTCTTGCGGTCGACTTGAGGCCTCCCTTCGGATTGTGCTGTTTTGGATAAGGATAACTGGTTAGAGTTGATGAGTTTGAATCCTGGAGCAGACGAAAATACTACAATATTGGACATCTATCCTTCTCGTGTTGCTTAGATGCATTGTGGAGATTTCAAACAAAAAAGGGTGAATGGAAACATCAAAGACTTTTATCCAATTCCGGTTCAAGGTATCTAACAATTGAGTGCTCTATGCTGAAAACAATCCTGTCATGCAACGTGTTCAAACTAAATGTACATTCACCCACGCGCCAGCCGGGCAAAGTTCGAGCTCTTCTTCCAAGGTCAGCCTATACAAGGATGTTGAAGGCATTTCCAATAGCGACATGGCAACCACAGGGCGAGCGGAAGTCTGCGCATCGTGTCGCACTAGAAGGGCGCGTCTGATCTGGCTCGTAAACAGGTCGAGCCGGTTGAATTCTGCTCAACTAAGTAAAAAGGATTCGATAATGATGGCCTAAGAAAAAGGCTGGGGCGGACCAACACTTCACATCCCACGGAAAGTGTTGTTGGAAGCGCTGCGTCGCGCCTTGGACTTGAACTCGGTCTTATCGTAACGAACTTCGGGCTGGCTGCGCTTCGCCTTGCCGGCGGGCATGAAGCTCACCTCTCTCTCGCCGACGGGACCGCTTGTTCGTGTAGTCCGTTGCTTGGTCTTCATGTTCTGGGCGCGCGATCCGAATGAACGATCGCGGGTCGAGTGGGTGCGTGTCGAGGAAGACACCTCCATGCGAGGCGGGGGACGCTTCGTGCGCTTGTAATCAGAAGAAGAGATCTTGTTTGAAGGCTTCTCTCTGACGGGTCTAGGGGCCTGGGGTTCTCTGTCCGATCCCGAATCGTCATCGCTGGAGCCGGGCACGTCGTCGATAGCCTCTTGCTCGACAGCTGTCAAGCCACGCTCCTTCCGTGAAGAAGACTCGGGTACAGTGCTGGGGTTAAGAAGCTGGAATTCGAAAGACTTCTCGTCGATCGCGAAGTCCTGATCCTCGAACAGAGCCTTGAAACGGCTGTCAGCCAGGACACCCTTGTTCTTAGGCTCGGTAGTGGCTGCGGCATCAACGATATCCTCGTCACCACCACGCTCCAGCACACGCTTGGCTCTGCGGCGCTCGTTCTTCTCCTCGGCGTTCATCAACTTCTCGGCCAATCTCTTGTTAACTTTGACGGCGGCCTTCTTCTTGCCGCGAATACGGCTCTCACGCTCCTTGTCAATCTTCTCCTTCACACGCTTGGCGCGCTCCTCCTCCCAAATGTACGGGTTAGTGATCAATCTCGCCTCCTCGTACAAGCGCTGAGCCACGAAGTAACCGTGCATGTATGGTCGCAAGAGGTTGGTACGGCCAATAAGGTGCTCGAGATTCAAAGTGCGCAGCTGAGGAACAGTCAAGAACTTGTAGTTATCGTAAACAGCGCCGGCCTGAGCGCTGGTGAAGGCGTTCGGATCATTGGGGTCCTCGGCCATCTCCTCGACCAAGTTATCCAGGAACGAGCACCACTTGGGCGCGGGTCCAAGTTGCGGAATGAAGAACGAGTGCTGCTGGCGTCCTTCGTTGGCAGTCAGGAGCATTCCACTGTCCTTGCACCAAGCCACCGAGTTGATATCCACAGCAGGTTCGACGGAAGTCCATGGAGTACCGTCGCGAGGGTCCCAAAGCTTGATGATACGCTTATCGGCAGACATAATCTTGGGGTCCATGGTCGCTTCACGTGTTGCGGACGAAGGCTGGAGGAACTTGAGGGTGTGAATAGGGAAACCGTATCCCTGATCCTTCTTTAGAAGAGGGACCGGGGATCGAAGATCGTAGAGGTGAATCAGACCATTCGAGGAGCCGGTACCGAGAGTCAAACCAGAGCGGTTGAACTCCAAAGCGGTGATGCCGTTGCGCGCCTCATCTGGTCCCGCTTGTGTCGGAGGAAGCAAGACACCTGCGCGGCCCTTGGCTCTGGTATCCCACAGCTCCACTGTGCCAGCTGATGTACCGAAAGCCAACAAGTTGTGACTTTCCTCCGCGATAGCACCTGTGTTGACCGAGCCAGTGTGAATACCGCCTTGCAAAGTACCGCCTCCAGCAGATGTGAAATCATCACCACCAACATCCACCTCAAAGCTGCGCATATACCTACCCATCTCTAAGTTCAATCTGAACACTTCACCCATACCATCCTGGTTGACACCGACTGAAGGTATCAGCGCCTCGGTCGATTGTCGATCGTACACAAGGTCACGGCCGTATCGCGGGAGACGAGTAGTGTAATGGCATCCTGACGGGGTGTGGAATTCGAGAGAGCGATCGGACTGCAGGTGAAGAGATTTTGAGTAGTCGGAGGATAGAAGAAGGAAGGTGGTATTGAGAGCGACAGTATGGCGGGCCCATGACAAAGAAAGTTGTGGAAGGTAGTGCGTGTGAATCTGCGGCTTGTACGTTCCTGGGAATCAGCATGTTAGTTGCGCCCCGACAGCTGTATGATGCTATATGACCAGGAGACCTACCTGTGCTCATCACCCATTCCCCGTCTTCACTGACTCGAACACACTGGCTGGCCTCCTCGAACTCGAAATCCTGCAGCAATTCAACACGGTTCGCATACTCGGGATCATCTTTCAAGCTGCGCTTTCGGCGTCGGGCAAGCCATTCAGGTAATGGCCGGGCAGTGTTAGAGCCCGAGATGGTGTAGACGGGCACCTCGGACTGGTTTGACAACTTCATGATATCTGCTTGTATGTATGAAGTCTCTCCAAGTGTCAAGCTGCGATAAGGCAAAGAAAAAAAAAGATAGAGCGATAGGGACCACGTGACAGGTCCGGTGCGGATCCCAGTGATTGGCCCGAGCGTCCTTCGAACTTCCCCCGGACTCGCGATCTCGCGATTCGTTCACACCTGTTCAGCCATTGCTGGACTTTCGGTGCCTGTTTCACCGGCTGCTAAGTCTGTACATGCTGTGAGCGTGCGGTCATGTGGAGTCTTCCCCTTGGAAATGACTCCCCGAATAACCTCGTCAGCCCTTTATTTATGACTCCCGGGCCTGTCCGTAACTGGTAAACCATGGACTTTCCCGGAGGTGCGACGACCAACGTATATCTGGTTGTAAGTGCGTGCATATGCTCCCTCGAAGAAGCGAACTGATCATGAATCTTAGGACGGCTTCTCCACGATCTACTGGAGAATCTACACGGAAGAGCCCACCACTGTCAACCCAGCGGTAGAGGGCCCCGCAAATGGCTATACGATCTTAAAACATCTTGGTCGTCTGAAGAATTTAGAAGCCAGGCTACGGAATCTGAACTGTCTGGCATCATGTCCGAGACGCCTAGGATTATGGGTGTTTTCCCCGACTCCGAACTTTGAGAGTTTGAACTCCCTGTATGTGAAGGAAGGGGATTCAACAACAACGAAGATCCTAGTGGATACAACAAATTTGAAAGGTATACATCTAATGCACAGAATTTTATCATGGCGCGTTGACTTTACTTATACGTGCCATAGTCTCCGCATCGGGCAATATTACGTCCCAGAATCTGATACGAGGCCTTTCATCAGAGTCCCAAGATCCGAATGGATCTCAATCAGCCGGAACGCAAAGACCTCAACAAGGCCAACCATCATCAAGACGATCTGACGGCTATAGCAGCTCAGTAGCTATATATGCCTCTTTCATCTCGGCTGTCACTGGGGCGATTAGCATCCACCTGATCCGACGATATGGTGCTCTCCCGCTTGGATCTCGCACATTGTTCACCCCTGTAGAACAGGTTGGATATGAGAGCCCGCGAATAGACAGCGAGAGCGTACTTTCAACATCTTATTTAACAACTCTGAATGTTCAATTAACTACAGCTGGAACTGTGACAATCGCCCCGCTGACAGTTTTCCAACAGGGTATCGCCCGACTATGCAGCCCAAGTGACGATATCTCAAATGTCTTGAGAGTGCAGCAGGGATCTGATCTCTGGCTTTGTCCCAACGGAGCTATTGCTAGACTTGTCACGGCCAATTTGGAATCCCCGACGGTGCCTTCACCGGATTACTCGAATCCTGGGGACTTTTCAACAAAGCGAAGACAGTGGAAGCTGGATGTTGTCCAGTGGCTGACGAATTTTGGATTGCAGATCGAGTCCATCGAAGAGGAACCATGGGTGGAAGTCGAGGTTTGGGAGCCCTTTTTTGCAAGGCTTGCTGGTGAAGTTTGGCGTCAAACCGAAGAAACTCAATCTGCGCTACCTCTCAAACGGATGCTTTGGCCCGCAAGGTTTTGCTTTCGACGATGCGGCCAACCAATCCAGTCTTCCTGGCTCCAGGATTCCTTGGACGATCCACTCGAATTCCTTGGGCAATGGTCTCCAGATGCCGATTCTCTCAAACCAAAACAGAACACGCAGAGCAAACCCACATTAGAGGAACCTCCAGTTAAAGACCACGAAATGTCATCTCCCAGGGTTGACAATGTGGAAGTCATCGAAAGCCTCTCCCGAATGTCTCAATATTACGACTTGCAAACAACGAACTTGGTGTATCCAACTCCACCTGAAGGTGCTACTGCGATGGGAATAAATCACACGAACCAATCCGATGCTTTTCCGGATGATGTCGACTTTTTGTCACCAGCTGCGGCACACGACAAACACACCTCTAACACCGAACACCCGGCTAACAACCCAATTGGTACTGGCAAGTACGATGCCAGCGATGATGACGACCTTTTTGGAGAAATGAATGAGCGAGACTTCGGGTCCAAAGGAATAACTGATGCTGATTTCAGTTTTTTTGATGAACCTGATCTCGAGGGTATGGGTGATGAGCCTTCTGTTGATCACCCGAAAGAGACACTTCAGGCACAAGTGAAGTCAAAGGGTCTTGAAGAGGGGGAAATGGAAGACATTATAGTTCCAGAAAGCGCTCCATCGGAAATAATCGAATCAGCCCAACCCACCGAAAAGGAACATGCTCTTGAACCAGTGCAAGATACCGAACCCGGACTGGCAGACTCACCAATGGCATCCGCTTCCTCGGCCCAATCATCCCCGCGTCCCGAAAGCCAACCCATCAGTCCCCCGTTAAGTCCAGTGGAAATCAAGAAAATCCTGTTTTCCGGACAACAGCCGGATCACCAGAAGCAGTCCAAAGATTCTCATCTTCTTCAGGGGCACTATCACCCCATTGCATTTGAAAAGAAGATCGGAGACTGGGACCAGAAATACGGGGCAGCAGGCAAGTTTTGGTTCTCTACTGGTGTCAAACCAGACACTTTGGACAAAAACCTCGACGCTATCCCCACCGTTGGCATTCCTCACCGTGCTCGAGCTTCAGTGAGCCAAGTGAAAGCAAATGGCACAAATGAATCACCATCAATTCCCGAAGAGCGTTCCCGGTCTTCGTCGGTCTCAAGCAGTGCCAGTAGCCCATGCATCGATGAAATGCCAATGCAGCATGCCCCGACTCCGCTGGCTCTTCCAACCTTGAAAAGAAAGCGCGTCTCTTCCGAGACCGATATCCAATCCGTTGCGTCAACAGCCAAATCAAGTAATATGCCTGAGGTGAACCTGGGATCCAAAGCTGAGAATTCGACTTTTCTGGGAAACTTTCTTGCCAACTTCTCCGACTGGACACTCACTGGTTATTTCTCTGCGTTGCAAATCCAACAATTGCCCGTTCTTCTCCGCCGGGAGGATCAAATGCCAATTGCTCAGCTCCTAGTCGACCAAATAACACAATCATCTCTGGACCATGTTCTAGATGGCAATGTCGGACTATTTGGTCTTGAAAGTGACAACCTGACTTTGCGAACGTGCATGGAAGATGCAGTCTTTTTGGGTGAGATGGCCAAGTTGGATCTCAAAGGGTATGCAACCCTGCAAGACGAAACGGCCGCGGAATCGCATCAGCCGTCCAAGGAATCAGCACGAACCCCCATCTCAAAGGTCGCGGCTCCACATCTTCGAGTTCGACGTGGGAAGGAATTTTTGGAAACTCTTCCGCCCGCTATCTCATTTTGGGAGACTTTCGGTCTTGAACCTGCTCGTGGGCCGAAGGATATCACGGCTTACTGTATTCATCCGAAATCCGCTTCAAAGAGTGCAGATTCGTTTCTATATCGGTTCGGTCTTACATATCAAAGCTGCAACTTTGGTAACCATTCACGGGGCGAAAAGTCGATGGCATTTGAAGACGGAATGAGGGCATGGGACACCGAATCCAGCTACTCTTCTATGATGCAGTCTTTGAAAGGGCTGTGTGAGGAACTAGGTATGTTGCGCTTTCCAAGTTCTTTTGATATTGTCTAACCTCGAAACCCGACTTCAGGCGCTGATTTATCGCAATCCTCACCTTCCTCCAATAATTGTGTCGTTTACATTGTCAATCCGTTCCCTCACGCGGCTGCATTGGCGGACATTTGCACGGCTTTCTGGCACCTTTTCCAACAATTGGTGGCTAACGCCGACCTTCGACAGTCCCGACAGGTCAACGACGTTGTTTTGCAAATCATCCCGATGAATTTCATCACATCTGGGAAATCAATGGTTGTTCCGACTCAAACAGAGTACTTGGAACTCGCTCTAGAGGTATACGGCCGATGCCGACCAAAGGAAGCAGATCTGAGTCCTGTAGTATGTGCGCCGGCGATACTCCTTGCCGAACCCTTGCCCGAAGCTCTCCATTTCCGCCTTGCGTCCGAGAAAGGTTCACCGTTACAAGATGGGCGTAGTCTTCATATTGCGTGCTCAAAAAGCGCAGATCAACGTTGGATGTCGGTGGCATGGTCTGATGGAACTGGGTCTATCCAAACAACCATGTCTTATTGTCTCCGGTATCGAAGCAAAGGCGCCGCCAGAACAGTTGCTGAAGTGCGCAATGAGATCTGGGCCACGACAAAGCACATTATGGAGAAGTTCCAGGCCCGCTGGAGGGTTGTGCTGGTGAATACCGAACCAATGGATCAAGACGATATTGAAGGTAAGATTTCGAGCCTATTGAAACTTCCAATCCCCATATCTCACAATTCTCTAGGATGGAGCGTTCTGGCCGATCAAGTGAACAAGATGAGACCAGGATCACTGGAGTTAACCATGATCACCGTCATCACCACTCCTGAACTCACCCTCGAAGCACCCGCTTCAGCTATGACAACAGCCGTCCTGAATCCCCAACTCTCATCTACCCCCGTCTCAACACCAAACCCGAGTGCCAGCATTGCCTCGCCCGAGCAATCTGGCAATGCGCCAACTCCCAGCGCCACCTATAACGCCCCCACTCCCACCGAACCTTCCATCGAACCCGACTCAGACGTCGTTCTCGCCGACATCAGCGATGAATCGTGGGTAGTCATCCTCTCTCATCGCCTCAATAGCTCACCTCATCTCACCGAGTTTCGCCCCGCGCTGGCTAGCGGGTATCTCCTCCGCCGCAAAGGCACCACCGACGGCGAGGGTGTCTTCTCCATGACTGTCAACCTCGTATATTCCCAGCGACCATCTTCATCTCACGCAGCTACCTTGAAGGAAACTTTGGGCATGTATCGCGATCTAGCATCTCTTGCCCGAGCGAAGGGCATGCGCAGTGTGCAGAACAACACACTGCCTTGGCATATAGCGACGGCTTTGAGGGCCCAAGAGCTTTTAAGCTACGTTTTCTAATTTGGAGCAAACAATTCCATCATCTATCCAGTCTGATGTTATCTTAATGGCGTCCTGTGTTTTGAAGAAGATTTCAACAGGCTTTGGTGCATTGTGTGTTTTATTTGGGTAAGAGCGATACCATTGGCGGCACGGATTTAGTCTTTGTGGAAGCGAGTGGCATATTTTTCTGCATTTTCAGCTGTTCACCTCATTGCGACGCTTATCAACAAGCATCCAACACTTCACTATTTTTCTTCACAGCCCTATTTCTATCAAGTTGAGAAGTTCCCCAGGCTCTCCATTGTGAGATGAACAACATCATCATTGTCCAGCTGTGTCATACCGAGTAGAGGCAGCCGCTGAGCAATATGTATCTGCCTTGTCATCCACATGCGCCAGTAGAGCTTATGCAAACCATCTGGGCACCATTGCGCTTGTCACGTTATTTAATGAATGACGAAAGCTAGATGAATAGAAAGAATTATCCCGATAAGGTTGCTCACACAAGAGCATTCAAGTTAAATTCACTGCACCGGTCATGTATCATATGTTAAGCAGACCATTACCATCACAGTCATTGGAAAGTACATTCATGAAAAAAAAACCCCCCATTTCCAACCAACTCCTCAGGCGTAAAAAGATAACTGGCCAAAATCATGTGCTCAAAGTTGTACCAAAAAAAAAAAAGAAAAAACGCGCGGGGTCTCAAAGCAATCGTGTCAGGATCATCAAGATAGCAGAAACATCCTATCGGGTATCATGTGTCTTATATTTTCGTCCGTTCCGCAAGGATATATCCAGGTAGTCGTATAGTAGGGGTATTAGGACAGCAGCATTGTCGCTGATCGGGTGCGGTCACCCCCCGCCAGCGCTCTCTTCATCGATTTCTTTTTCTTTGTTGGAGAAGAATGAGACGTGGTTCTGAACAGCGTAGATCGCAAATCCTGCGATTGCGAGAATGATGAAGAGTACGATAATGATAATCGCGATGGTGATGTTGCGCTGGACCATCTTGGCGGGGTCGGAGGTCGGGTAGGACTTGGTCAGCTCGTAAGGATTAGAGCTCCAGGGCTCCAGATACAGGCGATGAAGGTGACTATATGGATAGTATAGGTCGCAATACTCGTCTCCGAGAATTATGAGTAGAACTGGAAGGAGAACTCGTGGACGACAGATGGAATTCCGGTCTGCTGCGATGGCACTTGGGCTGGATTGTATACTTTGCGAGTATACAGCGCAATAGGCACGGGCGCAAATCAGTTCAGCCCGATCGTGCTTTTTTCTTTTTTCTTTGGAAGCTCAAAGATAAATGAGCCGCACAAAGAGGGGAGTGTGAAAGGAAATTGCATCAGCTGGAATGCTGACGAGGGGGGGATTATAAACAAACCGCATCCCAGCCATGTGCTTTTTTGCGATCGGTGGCTGGGGATGCAGGCGCTAACCTCATTCCCAGCTTCACCTTCGATCCTAGACACCTGCATCGACCAATCGATCTGTCATATGTGGCAGAGAGGCTATTTGAGGTTGATTATAGGATCAGGGGGGCTTTCTTGACAAGCCACATGGATCATGTCCATGGTCATCGATGCAGGCTGCCCAGCCGTGCTTGAAAGCAACGTGAGCTGGTAAACTGTATTACTTTATGGAGCAGAGCAATAAAGCAATAGGGGTCTGAAGGAAGGACCAGACTAAGTAGCTGGTTTATCTTTGCCATTGTTTCTAAGAAATTCAAATGACTATCGTATATTATTGTGACGGGAGGCGCAATGATATTGCGGACGCTTTTGGAAGGCTGGTGGCGGGCCTGATAGCTGAGGTGTCAACAACATCCTGCTGGGCAGCCACGAAAACCTAAAGAAGCGGTCTGATCTGGTCTCGGAGGTATGGCTTTGCTTTTGGAGTTATATACTACGAGCTATATCCCAGCGGACATTATTTAGCTTGAGGCATGCCGATGCATCCCAATCAGTCGGTGCAGTTCGCCCCTAGGAGATTCCACGATCGATCGGGATTTTTCGATGCCGCTAGTACTTGATCATTTGCTCTATAGCTCAAGCTAAAAAACAGGAACATTCAATCTTCTCAATTTGTAACGTATTGAGCACGCTCTGTGTTTGGAGGACAAGTAAATAAATGAATAATACTCTACGAGAATGTGAATCTCTCGCCAGTCGCTGTAGCAGCTTCACAAAGCTCCTCACGGAACCTGGGAAGCACACAAGGGCTACAATAATCCGCCCCAGCTCGTGGACAGGTCCATTCTTGGGCATACATCTACCTTTCTCGCGTCAGATGATGACCATACCCCTATTATCACTCACAAATACGTCTGGAAAGGGCAATCCGAGGGGCACAGCTTGAGTTTGCGAGCTGTGGACCTCTTAGTCCTTGCGGATCGATAAAGGAAAATGACCAATTTTAGCGGATCGCTCTCGATTGCACAAAGCTCTCGGTAGAGGTGACTGGGCCCTTGAGATCATGGTACAAGCACAGGCTGTTATGTACCAGATCTAGGGCAGAGTAGTGAATTACAATCGATGATCAACATGCCCCTGGGCTGACATCCGAGCCGTCAAAACCCCGTGCGCCTGACGGCAGCTCGGATCCGCGCGGACGGCACACAGGCTGGAGTGATCGACATGACTGCGCGACAAATAACGACATTTCGGAGCAGTATCTTGGTTAGTACGTGTTTTTGCTGGGTGGTGAGTGTTTGCGCGGAGCATCCCCCAGGGAAACCTCTTTTTCCGGGACTGCTTTTTTTCCATCATTTGTTTCAGGCTAAGGCTGGTGGCATGGACTCATCTTGGTGGCTGCTGCAGTGTAGATCTCATTTGAGGCACATGGCATTTTTTCGATAGAAGCCTTTTGTTGTCCCACTGACAGCCACAAATTCGGCGCTATTGACGCTATTGCCAGCCACCAGGCTGAAAGGGGGTCCTGAGACGGTGTTGATAGGGTGCGCTAGTCTGCAGCGGCGGTAGTGTAAAGCATTTTAAATTTGAGAAACAAAATGGAGCCCGAGCTAGGCTAAGGGTATTTTACCCGCGTTAGATCCAGGGGAAAGCGGCGTTTGTTCGGCGAATTCTCACGAGAATCTTTCGCGTCTACTTCAACGCCCGTGCCCAGTTGAATCTTGTGTAAGTAGAGGATCCAGCCCGGAGTACTCTGTTTCACATTAATCGGATTGAGAAACGTGAGAGTTGGGTACAAAGCAAGAACGACAAAAATCATAATGCCAAAGTCTGGCAACGGTCTCAGTACTTTCTTAGCGCGCAACTCATACTCGACTTAGGGCGAACTGGTTCCATGGTTGCATTACCTGTCTCCGCTAGATGTCAACCCGCTTCAAACAACGACTCTGTGCGCTGTTGAAAACCAAGGATTGCCTCTGATCCCCACTACGCTAGTGGACTGCACTCGTCAAGTCTCTGAACTGAGTGGGCTCTGACGGGCTCCGCACGGCAACGGGGCCCGCGTGGCATCTCGCATGGGTGGATCGAACGGGTGAGGCAATGCATGCCCCTCATGGTTCATTCCTAGCAACCGGGTCTTGAAGCTCCACGTTCAGCCAGGTACCGCCGTCTCTGAGCGGCCCAAGGAGTCTGCACCATGATAGGTTCTCTGATGGCCGATCGCCGTGGACGGGCAGCATCCGCCAGACTGTCAAACTCTGCCAGGGTCCTCACCGGCGTAGTTTGCATGAGAAACGGGGCATTCGCACGCTGCTGCGCGCATTGACCGAGCCTCGGGGTGTATGTTCGAGCCATCATTTGTCATGTAGACCTCCTGAATTGCCAATAGTCCTGTCCTTGTCCCTAAGCTTATATCCTCTAGCTCCTCGAGGGCTGACCGGCCTTGTGCAAAGCTAGTGCTAGTCCTATACTGTCTTCTTCGATCGGGAACCTGGGCGTCATTGCAAGCCACGGATCTCCCTGTCTTTCCTGTTTCTGGTAACTGAAGAGGGGCACACCCCACACTAGCCCTTTTCCTCTGCACCGCGCAATGGAGTATTAAATGCAGTTGGCCCTGGCTGGATCTTATCTTCCATTCGGACTTTCTAACTATTCTGTTGTCTAGTCTGGATCATCGATCCTTGGCTGCACAGACCGTCACTCTTTTGTCCTCCATCATACTTCGCAATGACTACACTATCGACCTCAAGGGGCCTGGGGGCTCTGGCCGTCAGTGCGGTCTTCACGTCCTTGGCGACAATGGTAGTCCTCATTCGTGTCTATACGAGAGCGTTCATGGTGAAGCAGATGGGAGCGGATGACTATGCCATTTTAGCCTCCTTGGTATTCTCATGGGTCTTCTTTGGACTGTTTGTGGGAGGTCAGTGGATTCGATCCGATTCTGGATGATGAGCCCTAACTCCTAGCAGAGGTGTACCATGACATGGGACAACGCTTCAAGCTTATCCCAGAGGATGTCTATGTAACGCAAATGATTGTGAGTACCGGCACATCCTGACCATCAAGCACCCTGTCACTATCACGATGAAGAGTCACGATTGACCTTTTCTGTTCTATAGTGTTTCTGGGCCTCAGTCCCAATCTACCAGTGTAGTCTCTTTAGCACCAAGATCTCCATTCTCCTTCAATACCGACGAGTGTTCTCCACCACCCCGCGCATGCGTCTAGCCTGCGCTATTTTTCCTCGGATTCATCGTCGTCTATGGAACATGGTCAGTCATCAGTGCCTGGGCCAATTGCGTTCCTCTCGCCAAGTTCTGGGACCCAACAGTGCCGGGCTTCTGTTTCGACAAGAAAGCCTTATGGTTCTCGAACTCCGCCATTCACATTCTCACCGATTTGTTGATTTTGACATTCCCCATGCCCGTCCTCAAGTCCCTCCAGCTCCCTAGAAAACAAAAGTTGGCCTTGATGGGTGTCTTTGCTCTGGGCGGATTGTGAGTATCCTCCACCAATTCCAACAAGACATCGACTAATAAGTATAGTGTTGTGATCACCACCATTCTTCGTCTTCACAGTCTACTCGTTATTGCCAACTCCGATGATCCAACCTGTATGCACGCATCTATATCCTCATGAAGAAAATAAGACACAAGGTCTAACACTATTTGGAACAGACGACAACACCGGCGCCGCCGCCTGGTCCGCCGTTGAATGTAATGTCGCCATCATCTGCGCGTCCCTCCCTAGCACCCGCGCATTCCTCTCTCAACTACTCCCCCATATCTTCTCCACCGGCAGCAATGGCTACCGCAGCAAGACCCGACCCTCCCGCACCGGGCGCAGTGCACTCACCGGCAACACCGGCAATGGAAACACTCAAGTCATGGCATCCGTCATTGGCGGTCGAGAGCCCGGGCGAGACGGCTACGACTTGGATGACCTATCCCTCGATGGCTCAATCCATAGCTTCGAAAAGGAGCAAAAGAGTAAAGATGAGACCTTTGCCGGTATCAAGGTGACTACGCTCGTGACGCAAGAGTCGAATGTCACGACTCTTGGGAGTCATAAGACGGAAAGTGCCAGTGAGCTTGTTTGAGATGATTTCTATTAGATGTTCTTTTTCTATTTTCATATTGTTATGATTCGTGATGTCGGTGGTTATATCCTATTTGTCTTTGTTTTTTGGGTCTTTACGTCTTTCTTTTTACCCTTTGGCCATGGGTTTTCTTTGACTGTTTTTCTTTACTTGTGTTCATCATACCTGGGTCGGATTATGTATAGGGGAGCCCGTTGGGAGGTTAATTTTCTAACCATGTTCTTGCCTGCTTGCGCAGGCACACTTTTTCAACCAGCGGCGGATTTCGCTGTTCTAATGGCTTTATACTTTTGTGTTGAGGCTACAAGCTGTACCTTCACACGTACATATGAATAAATATGAAAATATTGGAAAGACTGTTTGTGGATTCAGATCTCATGGACTATTATGATGGCTACAGACGCGCTCGAACCCAGTTTCACCATGTCTCCTTGATCTGATAGATATCTTTTCCGCTGCATTTACCCGTTATATGGAATGCATTTCCAAGAGAAACAAAATCAGAACAAATTAGCGTAATAACAAAGTAAAGCAAAGCAATATCAACAGGAATTGGAGGTGCTCAAGGGGTTTAAAAGAACCGCATTCAGTTCAACATCAAAAATACTTGGACCATCTGTAACTATGCCTATCTATTCACAAATCTATTGACACAGGAGATGTGGTGCAAATTGTGATTACGAAATCAATTTGCTATGGAAATAGTATACCGTCTATTCCCAAACGTTAGAAAAGAGGTCATCAGAACCACCAAACCCGCCAGCCGGCTTGGTTGAGCTAGTTGTAGTAGTGCTCGACGAAACGGGAGCAGCACTAGTCCATCCTCCAAAGTCCTCATCAGCTGCCACAGTAGGAGTGGACTTGGCAGGAGGGGCCGGAGCACCCCAACCATTTCCAATGTCGTTGGGAGTCAGAGTATCGGGAATCTTCATCATCGATGCTGGTGCTGGCGCGGCGTGGGCAGGAGCAGGAGCGGGGTCGGGAGTGTTCCAAGCATTACCACCCCAAGGGTCCATTGCTGACATGGTGGCGGCGGCCGCGCTTGCAGCAGGCATTTGGGGTTTGGCAGGTGCGGCGGGCTTGGGCTGAAACGAGGGGCTGGAAAGGTTGAATGCAGAGCTCATTGCGTGCTGTGGGGAAGTCACAGTAGACTTAGGTGGTGAGACTGGTGCAGGAGGCGGGGAAGAGATACTCGGGGAAGAGAGACCGAAGAGGTCATTAGAGAGGGTGTTGGAGATGGATACAGATGGAGGTTTTGGCTTCGGCTGAGAGGGAGGAGAGGCAAAGCCACCAAAACCGCCAAAGTCCTGGTTATGCGAAGAGATGGTTGTGTTTCGCGACTGGGACTTATGGGCAGAGAGTGAAGGAGACGTCAGGCTATCAAATAGATCACCACCCGCAGAACCGGAAGGAGAGGTGACCCTGGGAGCTACTGGGGTCGATTTGGCAGCGCCGAAGTTGGTCAGATTGGCAAAAGGAGAAGGTTTCGGAGCCTGCTGAGCCGGGGGTGGCGATGTGGTTGATGGAAATGTGAGGCCACTAAAGGCGTCAGTCAGACCACCCATATTTGAGGACGCTGAAGGTGCCATAGGAGAGGCCATATCGCCGAAGGAGTTGTCCCGTCTATGCTGGACAGGGGCAGCCTGGGGCTGGGGCTTCGAGTACAAGGATAAGATCGATTGTTTCAGATCCGGGCGAGACATGCCAGTTGGCGCAGCGGGTGTAGATGCGGTGCTGGACGGACGGCTACCGGTAGAGGGTTGGGCACTGCCAAAGAAGTCGAGACCGAGCAAAGAGTCGCCCGACTTGTGCGTCTTCGGCTGTGCGGTCTGTGTCTGTCTTACAGGAGCGCGATGTGCCGGGTCGGTCGTGCCAGGGCGAGCGGGGGGAGCAATGGGGTCATCACTAAACAGATCAATTGGAACTCGTTGTTGGCGAGCGGGTTGGGGAGGAGGGGCCATTCGCTGCGAGACGGAACGTTCAATCTTTGCCTTTTCTTGAACAACAGCAAGCGGCTGGAAGATTAGCATGTGCTGTTCAACACCATTTCGCAGTTCAGTCCGAAACACTCACAACGTCATCGTCACCATCATCGAGGGTCGAGGGATCAGGGATGTCACCGTCCATCACCCAGCGCTTGGTTTCGTACTTTGTTCGGATGAAGTTCTCGATCTTACTACAGGCATGCGACGTCAGTGAGCTGCCCTCTCATGTAGTAAGGTCGCAAAGCACTCACGCTTCCGAGGGAACATGGCCGGGCGCCAGTTTCGCTTCCCAGTATCTGTATGGCATTAGAACATAAACCTACACTAACAATTGCGCGCGACTGACTTGTTGGCTCTTGCATTGCCCCATTTCACCACACTCTGGAGTTGTTCATCGGTCCACGCATCAAGATCAACCGACTTAACTCGACTGATGTGTGTGCCCATTCCTCGATGAATACCAGAACAACGGATGCATATGAAGATACCCAAGTTCCAAGACGCCCATCGCGGATCTAATCAAGAGGAATGTTAATATACAATGTGACCTGAAGCCATGGTACCAGGCCTGCGTGAGCGGCATCGGAGGGGGTTCACTGACGCTTGTTGCGCTTGCAATCGGCACATATCTTGTTGGTCTCCAGTTTCAGCAGACTCTTGATAGTCTGCTGGTTCTGGGCAGCCTGGCCCGGCGTAGCGCGTCGAGACATAATAGCGGACGTGTATGTGGTAAGAAAGGAGAAGAGAAACTATGGCAACCTCCCGCATGCGCAGGTGGCGGTCGGCAGTGCGGCCTTAGGCGCACATACGGTTAGCGGGACATGCCAGTCACGCAGTTTGATACACTGCCCCTTCGATTTACTTTTCGTCTGCAATTTATGAAATAGCCTACTTACATGCAAGAACTACACTCGAAAAAGGGTAGAATATCGGTTTATGCAACGTGGTTGGATCCTGACTACGCGCTTGGCCCCCGAGGTACTTGCCCAGTGCACATCCGCACTAACCGGCTTCGATTTCTAGAACACTTTAAATCTGAGTTATTACTACATCCATTCAAGCTTTCGCCTTTTCCGCCGGCTTTCCAGAAGCACCTTGGTCCTCGGTGAAACGTAGACTGACGCTGTTCACACAATGACGCTCATCAGTGGGGGTTGGATATCCTTCACCCTCGAAGACATGGCCGAGATGACCTCCACAGTTACTGCAGACGATCTCAGTTCGCTTCATGCCAAAGGTAGTGTCCACATGTCTCTTTACGGCGCCGGGAATTGAATCAAAGTAAGCGGGCCAGCCACAACCGGACTTGAACTTCTGTTCGGCTGTATAAAGCGGGGCGTCACACCCGGCGCAGTTATACACGCCCTTGGTCGGATGGTGTTGATCGTACTCGCCGGTGCCGGGGCGTTCAGTGCCCTTCTCACGAAGGATGCGGAACTGCTCTAGGTTAATGGGTAAGCAAGATACTTGGCTCAAGTCAAGGGAAAACAATAGACGGACCGGGATTCAATACCGCTCGCCACTGATCTTCACTGCGCTGATCGGGGTAAGACATGCTGCCGCTTGACTCCTCAGGCTTGTGAGAGCTAAAGAACGCGCCAAAGAACGGGATAGTCGGGGCTGCTCTCAGCACCTTAGCTCCAGGCGTGGAACGGTTGTTCTTGCCAGCAAAGGTTGAATGGGAGCGGGAGATGGTAGCTGGCTGGACAAAGGCGCGTGGCCTCAGGGATGCTTTCAGAGTTCGTACTGCTTGAGATCGCATAGGGATGACTTGTAGTGCTTGTGGGCAGTTGTTGTTACGAGGAAGTGGGCGCGATTGATGTCAGGGTGCTTTACGTCATCATACGGGACATCGGCGATCTAGATCAATACGACTGCATTCGAAGGACTCGAGAATGCCTGATCTCTCATCTACAAGCTAACATTGAATTTAGTCATAAAAAATGGATTAGGAAAAGGGTATCAAAAAATGTCCAGTTGAAGTTTCCCTTCAGGGAAAGCTGAACGGAACTCCTATGCTGGGTATCGTACAAATAAGAAGACTACCAAAAAGGTAGGCCCAGATATGATACAAAGCGGAACAAATGCAAGGCCACACAATGAGAATGAAAGCCCAATACACGATAGGAAGATTGCGGTTAACGGGCACGGGCAGCGCCCGTGACCAACAAAAACCCTCGGTCAATCTCCACTCGCCAGCCTTCCTGAATGAGCATCCTGCTAACTGCTGGTCCGAGACGAGATGTGCCGTCGTGGCTGTGGTTGCCGACACCAGTGATGATCTTATAACCACCGTGTACATGTTTACCACCCCCACGAACATACTTAGCATCGCCAAGATTGTCCCACCAATTTTGGACTCGCTCGCGAGCAATGCGAACCGCATTGGCAACTGTGATGCCGTGAAGATCTAAATCGTACTTAGAAGATTGGCTGTCCACAAGGCGATCAGACGCAAGCGAGAGTTGGGCTCTTCCACGCTTGAAATTTTCTTCTGCGGATTCTCGGTAGACTGCCGTCGCAGCAGAAAAGAGGTGATTCGACTTGGAACGGCGATAGCTTTCGCGTGCTTGATTGTAGGCGGTGGAGCCTGCCGCAAAATGGGCGTTCGCTGCCGCTGTTGCCTGCGCATAATCAGAACCATCCGCGACGACCTCACTGCGTCGACTCCCCGAACCAGAGGCGCCGACATTGTCTTCCTCACTAAGGTCGATGGGTGCTGCAGTGAACTTGATAATGTTCGACACATCAGACAATGAAGGCCTCCGAGCCAGCACCGTTGCAAAGTCAGCCGCCGCCGAGGGCATGTTATTTGTGACTCTTAAAAGCCCGATCAGAGTGGTGTTTTGGAGATTGGGGAATGCTCCGGCGAGCTCGGCCACTTGTGTGAGCATGACAGGATCATCATCAATCTCGTGCACGTCCTTTGGACAGTTGGCAAGAGCAATCGATCTGATGGTGGGAAATAAAGACCCTCCGTTAGCGTGGTAAATGGATGACACCTTTTCTTTGGGGATATTCGGAGTGCGCGAAGAGATGAACTCGATGTCTGCCTTGCCAATCTCCCACTTATTTTGAGGAAGGGAACCATTGCAAGAATGACCGGGTCCCTGTCGCAGCTTCTGGTTTTTGCTCCGCTTTTTCTTGCCCCCTTTGACATAGCCGATGTCACCGCTACCTTCCAGGAAACCATCTATTCCTTTTGGTACAGCGATTTTCGCGTCATCATCGGCTACTTGAGACTCGTCGAAAAAGGCCAAATTGAGCAAAACATCCATGCATTTGGTGGGATCCCCACCGCTCTTCTTCAGACTTTGTGTGATATCAAGAAGAGATATCGTGGGAAACATTTGCACGAGTGACTCAATTGTTTCCTCGTCCGACCCGCTTGAGAATTGCAGGGAGCCATCTGTCCCCACCGTGTACGCACCCTGAGATTTGCTCTGAGAAGAGGATCTTCCGTCATTCTCACTTGAAATCAAGTTGGATGTATGACTTGACGTATCCGTTCGGGTGTGTGAAGTATTTTGCCCATTAGGGTATGTGTGATGCGAGGAGTCAAAGTCGCCTACTCCAGTATCATTATTTTCATGGTTGAATGTTCCTGTCGGATCAAATGGAAGATCTTCTTGCTCTAGAGCAGATTCTTTGATGGAAGCAAGGATTTGACTAAGTTCCTCGACAGCTGCCGGGTCTGTTAGGTCGAAATCAGACGCCAGGGCCGCAAATAACGCAGAGTCCACTGGGGGACAGTATAGCGTTTGAAGCTCCTGTGTATGATTAGACATCAGAATTTGTTGTTATCGCAACATCATCGAGTCACGTACGCTTAACGTGTCTCCACTAGAAGGATTCATTGTCCAAGGTGGGGTGTCAAAGCTAGGCGGAGGAGATGGCGGGGTGTGAATGACATGCCAGTTCGCATCTATTATGAGCCATGGAAACGAGCCTGCTTGAGGTTTCCCAATCTTGGAGAAGCAAAGTTCACCCACGATAAGCTTCGCGAGACCAAACTGGATTTGCGTGTCTGATCTGCGGTTGTGAAGATGACATAACGAGGAGTTCCATGTTTCCGTATAAGGTTCTATTTCTGCCGGATAAATATACCGCCTTTATGCATCTCTCCACCCCTATGCTCATACTGTCTTCTTACTTGCCCGATATGATAGACCGCCTTCATAAATCACCCAAACATCCCAAAGCGTACTTGGCGATGAAAGAACTTGTCTGTGTTGGTAAGAATGCCTCTTATGATGACATTGGTAGCAAAGTTAAACTTTTTTGAGCTTCTCAATACGACTTCGTAACTTTGTAGACAGGATACCTTGGATGTCGCCGCATTCTTATCTTGGGGCAGTTGATCGACGCAACGACGACCTCGGCTGGGCAGGCGCATCCACATTCTGACACCAGAAGGTTGTGCTAGGCCAGGCAGGTAGGTATTTGCTTTCTTTTTTGGGAGTGTCAATATTGCTGTCATATAATGCGCACAAAATGGCCCCAATGTGGCAGAGTACCCCGAGACCATGAGCAGTCTGAGATGGACCTCAGAGGTGACCAATTGTGGATGGCCCAGCAATTCTTACTATAATCTGCCCGCTCTTTTGTAACGCTATTCTTCGACTAGAAATGTCATGATGAATTAACGTGTCGATGACAGTCACAGGTGCCGTATAATTCAAGTTGCGTTGTGAAAAGTAACAATGAATGGGATGGAGGACTGCCCGAGGTCACCATTCTGTCTGTAGAAAAGAGCGTTTTGCATCAAGCTTCTTGTTTGAGGTAGGCCAAATGGGAATATTCCCGTGGTCGCACTCATAAAGGGAAATCCGTTCAAAGCGCAACTTCTCGCACGAGGAAATATTTCGAAAACGAAGCTTCCATGAGTCCAAGAGTCCAAATATGATGCATTACAGCGAGCCTGGCTCTTTATTGCTTCATTGAACCTCTTCCATGATCTCTGTCTCTCTTTCTGTCTCTTCTTTTGTTTCTCTCCACAGGCCAAAGCCAACCTATCATTTGGCTTTGCACGGCTCCATTCTGTTCATCAAGCATGTATATCCAGATAGCCTCAAGTCAGGGCTTGTGAAGTATGTCAAGCTTTCCAGTTTCAAGGGACATGTAGCTTCCAATCAGTCCGATAAATAAAAGCTGCAGGTGCGTCAAGCAAGTGAGCAACATCCCCAATCCTCACGCACATCTCCCCGACTGTCCTACAAGCTCATGACAAAGACATGAAAGCCACGAAGCTCACCTGACCGACTGTGAAGAAAAGAGCTTGGTTGATACTGAGTCCGATTTAACACCGTATCCATGTTGGATTTTGATCATAAGACTCGTCATGAATTGCATGTTTCTATTATTGGAACTCCATAAGTGGCTCAAAGTCGAACGGTGCAGACTACCGTCAATTTTAGCCATTAGCCCAACAATCGCATGAAATGTCTTCTCATATAGCTCTATCCGACACACTGGATCCTCGGAGGACACAGGAAACGCGTCTAAGCCGAAAGAGGACCTTGTCACAAAAAGGAACGATCACGACAGGAGTGCGAAGTACAGCCTAGAACGACTGAACTATTTCGATTCCTCCCGCTCAAGGCCCAATCAGGATAATTCCGGTGTCCTGCTCCGGTGTCTTGTCAACGTTGTGCGATTTGAAATTGAAAGCAAAGAAAGTCCAATTCAAGGCAGCCGTATTACCAAAATGTACCGAAATAAATCTAGGATGAATATACAGCTTCGCGACATTGTCTACTATCGAGAATATGGTAAGCTCACAACGCCATTCCCGTGTTGCGTGAGTGAAATTGTCAGGGTAGAAAGCAGTGTCGGGCTCGGCCCTTAGCCTTGTCCCACCTTTATCCATGACTGCAATCCGAGAGCAGGTACAAGAAATCCAGCTGTTCCGATGTGCTAAGACCTTACATATTCCTTGTCCGACTGCCGATCGTGGTGATCAACTTACGATGAAACAGCGAGTTCTCCTCGAGGGTGCTAAATTAGGTCTTTCTACCCTGCCTGCTACTTGAGGCTACAATCCATGAATCGCAAGCACACAAGATTCGTACGCCAGTCCCAAGTTCATCTAAAATATCGCCTGAGCACATATGTGAGTCACAGCTCTCTATTCAGCGAGTCCAGGACTGAGTGACTGTTTTCCTCCACGGATGGACTCCCGGATGATCAATTCTCCTGCTAAATGGGCTTCAGCGGTCATCCCAGGGCGATAGTCCTGGGCCAATGACCATCACGATATGATCGTGATTGTGCAACGGAATCCTCTCGCCAGAAGTACGGACAGGAACTGAACAAGAACTCTGACGCGCGGCCGGGCGAAATGGCGTAGGCTGTGCAGCACAAGTTCGGCGGTGATTCAAATTCAGGCTGAAGTACATTCTTTACAAGCTCCGGCACTTACATTTCCTGCATTCAAGATTGCTCACCACAATAAATCGTGGAATGTTTCCGGGACTCTGAATGATATGGCCCTTGCTTGAGGGCTCCCTGTACTCCGTTGAAGCTGGACCCATGAGACATGACGCATCAAGGACTCACGAGTACCCTGGCCCTGAAGAGGAAGATTAGCATCCAAGCTCAGGGAGAGCTTGAAAGTTGGTGGCTGAATCTTGGGTCTTTGAACAAATATAAAATATTATCGTCTTTCCTCGACGCTCCTCTTTCTTCCTACCACCCTCGCAACTTCCCTCTGGTTCATCATCATCTTCCCTACATTCAGGTCTAAGAGGGTTCCTTCACATTGTAACAAAGGATCACGCCCGTCAATTCACCATGCGTGTTGCCGCCGTAACTTCCCTAGTGGCCTTCGCTGTTTCGGCTGCAGGTACAGTTTGAGGAATGAAGCAAAAGAGGACGGATCTAATACTTCACTAGGTATCGTGATCACCTCGCCTAAGATTGGCGAGAAGGTCGATTTCTCCGAGCCGGTTACCATCAAGTGGCAGCGAGTTTCGTTAGTCTCATCAATGCCTTGCTTCTTGACAAGGATATCGAGGGCGTTAACGGGGACTATTTAGGACCGACCCGACCACCGTCGACATTGTTCTAGTCAACGAGGATGTTTACCCACCTGTGACGGAAACCGTTGCTTCCGGGATCGATACTGACAAGGGCTCCTATACGATGAAAGCCCACAGCAAAGATGTATCCGATACAGACACTGGGTGCGTTGTTATCTTACTTTAATACGTAAATATCAATCACTGACAGACACAGTGCTGGCTATCAAGTCAACTTTCTCTCGCCTTCAGGCGGCATTTTGGCTCAGTCACAACAATTCAAAGTGACTGACCCAAAGGCCGAAGCTTCTAGTTCTGGTAAGAAAGCCAGTACTGCTAGTGAAATGTCTACTGCGAGCATGCTATCTTCCACTTTGGCATCGACGACTACCACTTCTGCTACTTCGGCTTCTGCTTCTTATACTTCTTCCTCGACTGCTTCTTCTTCTCCGATGACTACTCACTCTTCCACCAGTGCGTCTTCCCATACCACCTCTTCTTCTTCTAATACTGCATCTTCTACTTCCTCTCGCACTTCGTCTTCTATGACGACGTCTACTAGTGCGTCTTCAATCACCCATTCATCTTTTACCCCAACTTCCACCCCGACTTCTAGGTCTACCAGTTCGTCTACCCTTTCCCCTTCATTTTTGCGTTCTGTCACTGCCACTACAAGCACTCAAATGAGCACCATTTCTTCTCCTTCGTACTCAAGCTCGCGCACTTCTCCTTCAAAACCCCATATTTCCATGTCCCATTCATCTCGCACCTCTACTCCTGGTGAGTAAATGGTGCCAAGTGGCTTCCAGCCTTCTCTTTGCGATTGACTACCGATCTCAGTATCCACTTCAAGCTGACCCGACTTCTCTGTAGGATCATCCATGACTTCGTCCAGCAGCATGTCCACGAAGATTCAAACTACCGATACGACCACCACTACCAAACATATGAAGAGCACCATGACCTCCAGTGCGACTGCCACCTCAACCTCCAATGCAGCAGGGCTTACCCTACCCCCAAACCAGGCTGGCAGTCTACTTTTGGGTCTCTTCGCGCTAGTACTCTAGATCAACTCCAGCTGCACCAGCAAGCTCGGGGTAATTTACTGCGAAGACTAAAAATATGCGGGCAAAGAAATTGTAGTGTCTAGGACTTTCTTCCCAAGATACTCTGCTGGGGCAAAAGGATATACTTGATTCGGGACTTGCTTCTCTTAAGATTGGATTTAATTTTGGGCTTGACTCTGGAGCGTTGAAATCAAATAATATTGTGCATGTTTTAATGAATTTGTTTACATTTCACCCAATCGGCTTTAAGAAGTTGGACCTCGGCTGTCGATCAATATTCTCCGCAATGAAATCATCCGATACTGGTTCATATCTCCACAGTCGCGAGCTCTCCTCTTAAACATTGTTACCATTCCACCTCCCACATACATACTGAGACACAATTTCCCATCATGCCAGTCTGCAACCTCTTTCTGTTACAGCTTGCCAAATCAACAGACGCGCACTCCTTTCTCCAACAACTCAAACAAACACCCAACCTCCAGGTCATTGTCGCATCGCGCCCACGCCATGTTGTCATCCACCCCAACATCCTCGACAATGAGATCCTGACCAAAACACCCTGGGATCTCCTAGTCCTCCTCCAATCCAGCAATCCAACCCCGTTCAGCCACCTCAGTCAACACATAACAAAGACCTACAAACTTCCAACCGGAATCCCTTCAAAACTCCTGTCCGACTACTCTACCCGCTCCGAGTCCCTCAAATCTCAAGCCTCATCAGTTCCCCTGACAGGCTCTCTGGACAAAATTCTACACTCTGGAAGCAAATCCACATCCCAAAACCTAGAAGTTTCCCCCTCGCTCTTGGAGTTCATGACCCGGCTTGAGAAAACACACAAGGGGCCCGTGACCATGCTGAATCTACTTCATTTCCACCATCCAGATGGGAAGAAGAGCTATTACCAGTACGGACAAGCTTTCATTCCCGTTGCAGGAAAGAGAGGAGGCAATGCGAAGTTGGTGGGTAATGTGGTACCTGCCCCTGCCGGTCACGAGGATCATTCGCGAGGTGATAGGAAGAAGACGGAGGAGTGGTGGAATGAGATCTCGATCGTACATTACCCTTCTATCCGACATTTCTGTGATATGCTTGCTGGGGAGGATTATCAGGCTATTAATGAAAAGTATCGGTTGTCGGTGAGTGCTTGCCTCTTTTTGTGGGTGTTGGATACGTGGCTAACAAGGTAGGCACTCCATGATACTTTCTTACTCTGCACGACCGAGTTCGATGTCGAGGGACATGAGAACTCGAAGCTGTGAAGGATCAGGTTTTTGGTCATTTCATCCAAATTCGACCCTGCAGTTATGCGGGCGGTCTTATATTGTAGATACTAAGGAAGGCATGATGCTTCGTTTTTGTACTTAGTTGAAGTAAGTTGGGTATCTGAAAATAGGGCAATGTAAAATTCCACCCATAAACGCTGAGAAATCCAAGCAGCAAAAGCATGAGAAGCTTGAATTGGATCGTGCATGACAATGCTGCTTCAATGGCATTTCAGTGGCGGTAATCATGCGTGAATAACGCTGTCGCTGGGTCGGTCCCAGGTGCGGATGTGACCTGAGCAGAGACGTCAGTAAAGCTGAATTAGATAACAAACGGGCAATTTCGATGCATACCTTCAAGCGAGGATGTCATAATACAATCATTCTGGAAGCCGAGCCAGCAGATTGGATCTTCGCCGACAATTCTGGACTGGACTCACGGTTAGCTTCAAATTACTTGCCCAACCAAGTCCACACAGACTCACCATGATCGGCGGCAACAACGCAGTCCGCGATCGGGGCTCAACTGGGTGGTTCTCCACGTGGTCTATATCCCCATCGATGAACTTATCAGTTCGATCTGAGTCGGATCTAAACCTGGTGCCACCGCTATCGGTCCGGTTGCGATGCATGGACAGTGAGCCAGGCCCAACGATACTACTTCGGTGCTGCCGGGTTGAGTTTTGGTGATGCTGCGCCAGTGGGTCAGAAAAGGGTCCAAGGGAGTGAAAATCAAGGTGAGCACGAACCGCGCGTGGTCGGTGGAGCATGCCCACGCTGAAATCCCACAGCAGCAACCGACAATCGTCGCCGACACTGCCGAACCGATAAGTCTTCTGGTCGCAGCGCCATGGGTCGAAAGCTACTGCTGAGACCCAAGAGTTGTGGCCCTGGCATCTTGCGACGATTTTGCGCTCTGGGAATGACCAGATTGTGAGGAGGTCATCTTGGCCACCTGTGACGATGTACTTTCCGTCTGGGGACCAGCAAACACAAATTAGGCCTCCGTAGTAGCTGCGGAAGATATCGAGCACCCTGTACATGTTAGATCTAAATTCCAAATTCGACGAGACAGTCAACATACTCTTCTTTCAGATAGTCCATCAGACGAAGAGATCCATCCTCCAAGACAACGGCTAGATGCCTCTGATCCGGAGAGAATGAAAATTGTGAGATCTTCTGATTGGCGAGCTTCCATAGAGAAAGGGGGTTCGACTTTTGGTTTCTCGAATCCACGGATTTCAAGATTTCAAGAGGTAGCCGACTTTGGTCTTTCTCGGGGTGTGCCAGAGTTTCAGGGGAAAACAAGGCGTCCTCCTTCTCCTTATCATAGACCACCAGAACACCATTGGCATGAGACGCAAGGAAGAGATTCTCAGACCCGGGCAACCATTTAATGTGGGTCACTGGAGAATTGTTGATCACTCCATTCTTATTGATACGAGCATATTTCTGCGACATAGGCTCATACCAGATGATATCGCCGGCAGAAGAGCCCATCACAATGTCCAAATGGGACGAAGTCTTGGTCATTTCGTTGATGTCGTGGCACAGCATGTGGGCTTTGGTAAAAAGAACTTTGGTGAGGTGTTCCTCTTTTTGTGCTGAGGAAAGATCAAGCCACTGGAATGCTCGGTTGATGTTGGCAAAGGCTAAAACACCGTTTTGGTCGCGGTCATTCAGTCGCTTTGTGGAGGTCTCGTGGGTGATGACTCGAGAAACAAATGAGGAACTGCTCTTGATAATGTTGTTTTTAGGCTTTCGTCTTTTCTGCGCATCCTTTTCCTTAGCTGGCGGAGCGGGCGGTGCAAGTGCTGGATTTCCATCACCAAATTGAGGGGCAACAACAGCAGCCTTCAAGAAGGTGGGAGGTTTCTTGCGAGGATCGAGGCTGACCAAAGACAGCTTGACTCCGCAGGTCGGAGGCGATGGAACTGTTGCAAGAGGGTTCGGATTCACTATTGGAGCTTCGGATGGATGAGGTGGAGGTGTTGCCAGGAGAAGGTCGTCTTTGAGTGTATAGGTTCCTGCAGCGACGTCTCGAGTTAGCACGTCGAAGTCAACCGTTGACGCAAGAAACAGGGCTAGTAAAGCACCGCGCATATCACGTTGCCGCACACACCTTCTCCGACCTGTAATGGACATCCACCTTCGGGATGGGTGATGGTGTTGTTGGTTTCGACGACTGGAACCGCCATACCATTTGCCGCACCCGCCTGATAAGCGACGGGGATGGTATAGCGGGGCGGGGGAGGTGGTAAGACGCTGTGTTCCGTTAGTAAAGCTAGCAAATCTTTGGGTGGGTTCATCTCATGATTGCCTCCGAGACCGACAATGGTTGCAGCTCGAATGTCTTGGGGCAGGAGACAAATGACGCTATGAACAAAAATGCTTGCCTCCATGGAAATCCTCCAGCAAGCTAGTGCAGCTAAAAAGAGTATAAGAAGACTTACAACATGATTCCTAGGCAGTTCCAGGGTTTGAGTCCTGGTCAAAGTTCAGATCGGGGCCAAAGGTGTGGCACCAAGGCAAAGCGGGCAGCTCTTTCGCGGTCAGAGGGCTGTTGTCGGTGTGAGATGCGAGCTGCTTTGGTCGCGACTGCAGTAGCTGTATGCTAGTATAAGGCTCCGACTGGCTTGAAGCTGACCCTGACGGGGGTGTGAGGACACGACTGCGGCGAAGTCAGAGCGCGAACGTCATGCACCACGAGGGATATGGCTGAACAATGTCCGACGATTCAAAGGAGAAGAAGGTGTGACAAGTATGTACAATAATACAACACAACAAGCGATGTCCGAGCAAAGAGGAGCAAAGAATGAAAGATCAGCTATGTCCGGGGTAAAGTCGAGCGGAGTCGCAAGTCTCGTGCCTGGCGGGGCTCCGGTTTAACTACGGTTAAGCCGGGCTTGGCACATGCGAACTATGAACTATGAATTATGAACACAAGTACATTGGGGTATTATTCTAATCTATTCTACATTTCACGGTCCACTACCACTCACTCGACGCCATATCATCACTGCTGCTGCTCCGGCGCAAACCACCGCTCCGAAAGCAATGCCCCACGCCATCCATTTTCCTTCAACATCTTCCTCACTCCGTGGGAATGCCGTGCTAGGCTCCATAGCAGCTTCGGCAATATGTACAAAAACTTCTTGGATAGATGTCCAGGTCACACTGACATGCAGAGGAGGGCTAGGCATGTTCAGCATAGCGGTGTAATCGTGGGGCTGGTACTCAGCTCGCTGAGTCGTCCGATCTAGATCGGCTTTGAGAGCAATAAACACGCTGGGAATTTCTTCCAAGTAGGGATGTTTGGCACGCAATGCAGGAATATAAGCAAAGGAGTCGGGGTCTGAAGAATCGTATGTGTATGCAATCACATCGCACTGGTCAAGCAATTTCGCCTGGTTATCGAGAATTGCCGGTTCCAATTCTCCCAGCTCGTCCATTATCAAGTAGCATTGTTTCCCGCCAGGAAGCTCGACCGTATTCACAGCGGTGCGAGGCTGAATTGTAGGGTGATATGTCGTGCTGAACCCGCGCGACAGAAGTGCGTCAAGCAAGGCCGACTTTCCAGATCCGGGGGCTCCAAGAACATGGCACTGAACAACATTGCGTCCCACGCGGCCGGGGCGTCTGCGCTTCTTGCGAGGTCTTGTAATCTTCAAAGCTGCTGTGATGGATGGGTTGCTTCGATCGGAGGACTCGAAGCCGAGGTATGCCAAGTACTCCAAAGTTGTCTTGGGAGACATAAAAGTCGTCATACTCCATTGAGCAAGCCAGCCTTGGAGAGTAACATGTCCGGCTTCATTGCGAACGGTAGAGGAAGGGAAGGAGCCGTCAGCCCAAGACGCTGGAAGGCCTGGAGTCGGTGCAAACAAAGACTCCAGCTCTGCGTCATTCAAACCCCCGTCATTATCTTTGTCGGAAAGTAGGAACAAGTTCACGAAGAAACGGTACCCTTCAGGGGAGAGCTCGGCTGAGGCAAAGGGAGGAACTTCAAATCTTGGGTGCAAAAATGTCTCTTGCAGAGAGAGATTGTCAGTATACTGGAAGGACCGTAGAATAATCCAGACAGTCTCGTGGCGCCCCTTTTCCGCGTAAAGCTTGTTCAAATGGATGAAGCCTCGGCAGTCAATCCCAGACTCGGTGACAGATTCCGGGTAGGTTTTCTGAATGGTCTCTTTGATGTGTGCAAGATCAACCTCACTTAGCGACTTCCCGAAGCAGCGAGTTTGGAAATCCCCGATCTCCTTATCCGACAAATATCCATCCCGATCCTTGTCACTCAGGTAAAAGATGCGTTGTAACGCTGCGACGGCAGCCGGCTTCAGGAGAGCCTCCTTGGAATCGAAGAGAGGCGCAATAGGGTGGGTGACGGCCTTTTGACAGACGAAGAATGCCTCGTTCACATTACGGTGCTCTCTGGCGCTTGTGCGAATGCAAGAGTCTATTTCCTTGAACTCCGACATCAACGGCAGCATCTCCTCTTCAATCACCTGCGCCTCGCTGTGTTCAGCCGCCAGGTCTGACTTATTAGCACACAGCACGACTGGTACATTGACACCGAGCGATCGGAAGTACGGCAACCAGAATAGGGCGACGCGCTCATAGCTGTAGTGGTCGGAGTATACCAGGAGAATCACATTAGATTTTCGGATCTCGCGCGCGAGGTTGTTCCGTTCCTGCGGCAGGGCGGAGGTATCGACGACGGTTGTAGTGGTGACATTCTCGGGTGTTCCAATCGTCGGGGAATGGTGATTTGAGGGAGGACGGGCTGAATCTTGTTCGTGACGAAGACACCTTTGACCAGCGAGGTGATGAGGCTGGACTTGCCTGTGCCTTCGTCGCCACAGACGCAGATCCTGACTAACTGATATGAGTGGAAATCGAAGGACAATACCATTGTATCTTACCTGTTGCCATCTGCTGACGCGATCTCAAGTGTGACTGGACTAGAGACAGAGCATGGCTGGGAACCCGGGGAGAGGTATTTGGGGGACAATACCCGGGGTCGCCTCGATAAGCGCCGGAGCACTGACTAATCCCGCGCTAGCGCCGAGGCAAGGCTGGACCTTAAAAAAGAGATTCGAAGTGTCAGTTCTAAAGGCAGAGTTCGACGCATGCCACTCCAAATTACCAGTTTTCACGCCTCCGGTCGTGTTTCTGATATACAACCCTCATCGGGATAGATATAATAGATGCACTATCTCATGTGTACAAGCCTAAGTCAAACAAGCTGTCCGATCGTATATGTTGTCTATCAAGATCACATCTATTGAGCACTCCATTTGGGGTCTTCATGGACAATAATTCGTTTCTTTGGGAGGTCATCATGTTGCATATCTGGCCTGACATCAATATTGAAAGTAATGTATGGCACACAAGATATACACCACGGAAAATATGCATTCAAGTGACCGCAATTAATCGTAAATCAAATCAGCATTTTCACCGAGACCATACCGTGAAAGGAGGGTATCTCACCGTGGTGCCCCTCGCCTGGCTCAGTCTATTGTTCTTGACGATCACTGTCCCCGCGTTGATGACATTAGAACCTTGGGAAGGGGAGGCTGTGCTGCGCCACAACGCCCCTCAGGATTTGGAAACCATTGGAAGTTTTGACTGGATTCGACAGACTTCGTAAATAGGAGTAAGATCGTACGTTGCATGTTGGCCCAATTGTACCCTGAACTAGCACTCGGTCTTTGCCCGCGAAAGACGAACTGTCCCTCGTCAGCCGTCATTCGGCCCACACCCGCCCCATCTACTGACGAACTTTCGATTGTCTAACATTGCACTGAGAGCCTCTTCCTCGACTTCCCATCCATTCCTCCCCCCCCTCGATACCCGCCAAGATGCCTCTCGGGATTCACAACCCACTGCCTTCGTCTCTGGCTAGTACGTATATCCCTGTCCTAACCCTTCGTGCTTCCCCGCAATCGCTTGCGGCATGTCCGGCTAATCGACCCTCGCGTGGACAGGTGAATGCAAGAAGGCGGCCAAGATTCTGACCTCGTTCGTGGATCCCAGGCAGGCTTTCGGCCCGGACAAGGTCATTCCGCCAGAGATTCTGGCTGGCGCAAAGGTAAGATTTTCCACCGTCGCGGGATAACGTGCGTCTCGCTGAGCGCTGATATCCTCCAGGGCCTTGCCATTCTCACAGTTCTGAAAGCTGGATTTATCGGATCCGGCCGATTCGGATCCGGCATTGTCGTCGCACGTCTCGCAGATGGCTCCTGGTCGGCCCCTTCGGCTATCGCGACCGCCGGTGCCGGTGTTGGAGGACAGATTGGGTTCGAGTTGACCGACTTCGTTTTTATTCTCAATGATGCAGCTGCTGTTCGCACATTCTCACAAGTCGGAACCCTGACACTTGGTGGTAACGTATCGCTCGCCGCAGGACCGGTTGGACGAAATGCCGAGGCTGCCGGTGCCGCCAGCATGAAAGGTGTCGCGGCCGTATTCTCATACTCCAAGACCAAGGGTCTTTTCGCCGGTGTCAGTTTGGAGGGTAGCATGCTCGTCGAGCGCAGAGATGCGAATGAGAAGATGTACCAGAGCCGTGTGAGCGCCAGTCAGTTGCTCACTGGGTCTGTTCGACCACCGCCTTCTACCGATGCTCTGATGCGCGTTCTCAACTCGCGTGCTTTCCATGGCGGCCAAGGCCGCGGCCAGGGTGACTCTATGTACAATGATATGCCTATATACGATGAACGCCATGACGATGTGGTCTGGGAAGGACGGCGAGGTGAAGCCATGGGCCAGAACACACGACGCAGCCGCGCCAACACATACGACGATGAATATGAATATCGTGACAAGCCACGCCGCGCAAACACGTGGGCCGACGACGTCTATGACCGACCTGCCGGGGGCATGGGACGGTCTTCGACAACTCGCTCCCCTCCTGATTATGGTGATACTTACGGTCGCAGCCGCAGCAACACTGCGCCATTCGAGGAGGATTATTCGTACTCCGAACGCAAACCTTCTCGCCCGAGCGCTCCCAAGCCGGTCTTTGGGCAAAAGACGGGCCAAGGTGCTGAACTTCGGGCAGATCAAGCGATCGCATTGTTCACGTTTGATGCAGACCAGGATGGTGACCTAGGCTTTAAGAAGGGTGAGATCATCACGATTCTGAAGCGCACAGAGAAGGCGGAGGATTGGTGGACAGGCCGTATCGGTGATCGCGTCGGCATCTTCCCTAGGTAAGGGCCCTCAAGGTCGCCAAGCTGAGGCAAGACTAACTTCAGTGCAGCAACTACGTCGACGCCTCCTAAACTCGTGTGTAGCACCCGATCTCTCATGCAAACATGACGGGCTTGATTCATTGGCTTGAACATATTTGGGCGTTGGAAGAATGCCTCCTCTCCATTATCTTCACTTGATTTTTCTCGCTTTCCTTCTTTCCAGCGCTGGAGTTTCTTATTCTTATGTTTAATTTCTGGGGTATTGCAGCTTGCTGATATCCGGCGCCAATGACGTTGACATTATATTCGCCTTAGCACGCATGCAGTTCTAGATTTGTGCGCGCAGGTTCTCGCGATTACCAATGGAACTAGGGAAATGAATATCTTTTTTTCCCCTCTCTCTTCGGGAACTGTATCTGCCTAAGAATCAGCTGGCACTAGCTGAGAGCGTGACCATCTCATCTGCCCATGGCTGACGCCAATGCGTGCACAGCAGATCACCTTTTCCTCGAGCCCGTACAGTGACACTGCGTCTGACAAAATCACGGCGAAGCACGGAACACGGCCCCTGTCCAGGACCCTGGCTCGACCCTGGTGAAGTTCGGAAGATGGGATGAGAGGAAAGGGAGGGTATAGATGTGTCTCTGCACGGGGGCAAGCAGCACGAGGGAGGCGCGTCTTAGCCCATGCCACAACTGAAAAATATAAGCGGAGTCGGAACGGTCGTACTTTACAGTCGGGGTTAGAATTCGAGAGATGAATCAGGGAAAAAGTAGGTAAGTGAGTCGTACTCGTAGTACTTCCCACTCGTCGTCGATCAGGCCCAGCTTAACGGGCTGGTGGATCCCTCCCCAATTCGTGGGCACGAAAAAAGTGTTGATCGCGATCGATCGAAAGTCAGGTGTTGCCTTCTCCGCCTTTGGACCTTGAGAGGTGCTCATTCACGTTCACGTTCACATTCGCGTTTACATTCTCAACTATTAGTTCTCTGTTTTTTTTTTCTCTCGTACTTTCCGTCCTATAGATGACGCCTCGCACACGGTAGCTACGGGTTCGCTCTCTCTCGATTTCTTTACCTCCCCCGCCTCCATGATCGGTCGTCTTTTCCCCGTGGTACATTGACCGAGCCCTCCCTCTTCCCCTCCTCCCTCCAAGACCGCTTCCGTCCTCCAGGGTATCGAGGGGCTTGGTTCCTGTATAGCTGGTTCCCATGCAGGTGCGTTTGATTCCCGAACTTTCTTCTCCCTTGCTGTGTGGCTGTTACTGCTTTTGGGGGGGATTACGATCCACCCCTCTCAGCACGAGGCCCCTCCTCTCCAAGAACACCCCGTTGTGGGGGATAAGGCTTATTGAAAGTGTTCATGGCATTTCCAACCTCCATGTTCTCTGTACTGACTCTTCTTCATTCTCCCAGGCTTCCCCGAGTGCCCCTGAGGGTAGCGGAGGACACGCGACGCGAAGAGGCCATTCCCCCCATTTGTCCATTAGCGATCCTAGCCACCATGTCACAGAAGCTATCGGACACATGTATGACGATGACTACGATCGCAATGATCCCAGGCGTCTCAGCTATATATCGACGCCTCTCGGCGAGTCAATAACGACTATCCCGCGCAACGCCGCTGGCTCCGATAATTCTTCCCCGTCCACACTGTCTCCAAACTCGCCGGTCGAAAGACAACCAAGGCAGGCAAATACGCAATTACGGCCGCCTCTCGCGACACACCGGTCCTACGACCGAGAGAGTAACCCCGGATCTGCAGACGGTACTCGATCGCCCTCGGAAACTGCTACCTCGTCTTTTCCTCTCAATGATATTGACTACGAGTCCGACCCTGCCGCGGTAGTCCAGGAATTGAATAACCTTGCAGCTATTCGACGTATGTCTATGCACGAAGCGGCGACGGGCGATCCTGACCTTCCGGCGTTTGGAAATAACAATTTTTCGATCCCCTCCTTACCCCCCTCTCCCTCAGCCGACGAAAATGATGCTTCCCGTTTGTTTTGGGTTCCGGCGAGTCTACATCCGGAGTTGGCGCCGAAAGAATTCAGATCCTTTCTCGAAAGCAAGGCCGATCTCATAAAACGCAAATCGGGCGATTACTCTTCTTTGGGACCTGAACGTCAGGGATCAAGCAGCAGTCTGCGTCGAAAACGGTCAATGCTTTCCAGACAGATCGATGACTCGTCCGGTTTTCAAGATGGGGCTGACCGACTAGAACGTCAACGGTCACAGTCAAGCAGCAAGCGGGACGGCATGTTGAGCCCCAATTTGCAACAACTTGAAACCTTAGTCGACGATTCGAAACCGACGACTAAGGAGTCTTCCTTAGTGCGCGGGATGCAAAACCTGGGAATTTCTCCGGGCGAAGATAAGCCGATTCTCCCAGCTGCGCCTCTAGGCCACAGTCTACGACGATCAACTCGAACACAATACAAGAAGGGAAGCTTGAAAAAGGGCGAGAAGGTGCCCTATTCGAAAAGAGTCGGGAGAGGCCTCTCGGAATCTGCTGGATCAGCATCGCCTTCTGTCGCTTCTTCTTCCGAGGATCAGCAGGCCCTTGGTCTTGGCCGTGTATCTAACGACTCCTCTTCGCCAACATCTCAAGTTGCCCAAACGCCATCCGCTTCGTCCCGCAGCACGGCCTTCGCCGCGGATTCTACCACCAGCTCCACATTTGATTCAATCATTGATAGCTCAGAAGCAGAAGAAGAACCAACTCCTTCAGGGGCGCAGTCCGATGTCGCTTCATCTGATGGTGTGAATGCGAATGCCGGTGCTTATGCACGGCAATGGCAATCTCGCATTAGCGCAAACGGCCGATCCACCACGAACATCCCTCAGTCCGAACAACAAATCCCCGCTATTGTTGAATCGCCTCCTAGTGAGCCTAACCGCAGTGCAACGTCTTATAGCAGCCGAGCATCCGAGCGGGATACGCCATCTTTGTACTCGCCAAAAACCACACCTCAACAGCAGCCGCAGCAGCAGCAGGATTCGACCCCCAGCAAGCGGACCTTGATGAGCGGGAGCAGGCAGTCTGAAAAAGAGAGCGCATCATCACTAGATAATCTCGCCAATCACCCCCAGATGATACCTGGAAACAGTACTCGCACGGACAACCTCTCCTTCATCCCGACTATGCCCGAGGAGCGCAAACAGGAGGAACGCAAGTCAGAAGGCAAGAAGTCCAAGAAAGAGTCGGATGGCAGTCGCAAATCCAGCTGGCACTGGCTGTTGGGAAGTGAAGAGAAGGATAAAAAGAAGCACAAAGATGGCGAATCCAAGAGTTCGAAGTCCAAGCTTGTTGACAAAGTGCACAGCAGTCCGCGTGCGGATGTGTTGCAATCATCCCTGGACAATACGCCCAAGGGCCGGGAGAGCATCATTTTGGACCGTCTCGACCCCAAATTAGAGGAAGAGAGACGAAAGGATGGTGTACGACGCGCGTCGGGAGATTCGAAGAAGGAAAAGGATGGAATTTTCTCATCGATTTTCGGTGGTGGCAGAAAGAAGCACAGCTCAGAAGGCCATCACAGGAAGAACTCATCTCGCAACCTGTCTCCCGAGCCACCTATACGAGAGCTTCACGCAGACGTCGATTATCCTTGGACACGCTTCTCTATTCTGGAAGAACGCGCAATTTACCGCATGGCCCACATCAAGCTTGCCAATCCCCGTCGCGCACTTTACTCGCAGGTCTTGCTGAGCAACTTCATGTACTCATATCTGGAAAAGGTGCAACAGATGCACCCGCATATGATGGTGGCTTCCTCTGGATCTCAGAGGCAGTCCAAATCGCGGGAGCAGCAGCAGCAACAACAGCAACCAGACGAGTACCTCCAATACCAGCGATATCAAGAAGTAAGTGACACGCCGCTGTCGGAGTAGAACCTTCTTACTAATGTCATTCTTAAAAGGCACAAGAGCAACAACAATACGCGGATAGCGCCTATGATGACCCATCTATGTACGACTACGACGACGATCCACACGATCACTACCAGCAGTCTCACGGGAGGAGTAACAAGCACGGCTACGAGAACGGCCATGCTTACGGCTCGGGCCACTACCAGTACGGACACTCGTCTTTTGGCGACGACGTCCAGCTGGATGACGACGATGACGATGATATGTGGTGAACCCGGAGTGCGGCGTTTTCACTCAGTCTTTTCGCTTTTTGCATAGCCCTTTCTGTTTTCTCAAATTTTCTGCCTCATCGGAAATACCCATGCCTTTGTCAGTCCTGCTTCCTTCTAGACTGCCTGTACACAAGTCTTGTTTCTCGTGTTCCTCAACATGGCCTCTGACACATCTGCCGAAGGGCCATGGGTTCGTATCCTTCCATATGCGCTGGGGCCTGGATTAGAAACACCAAGCACAGAAACCCAGGATGTGACACTCTCCTCTTGCCTCATTAGCCCATCGTGGCCCTCGGTCTGGCTCTGCGCCTCCTGTCCTGTGCATTGCCATCTAGTTTGTTTACCCACAGGGTCTGATTTCTATCTTCGCATAGCGTCTGGGGTTTATTTTCATGTCTGCCTTTGCGCTTGGTTTCAACTGAGCTCATATAATTCGGACCTTTGTTTTCTTCCTTCAAAACTCTCACCACTCTTCACATGAGCTGAGTGAGAGTTCTCTATAGTGTTACTCAACATCCGGATCCAGGCTGACTGCCTGTTGATCTATATTTTGAATCATGTCATCACAATTCATAACTTCGTAATTATTCACATGTCATATCGACATCGTTTCCCGCATCTCATGGAGATACTCTTCCTTTCCCAACCGCGTTCCAAGACGCAAATGTTCTGCCGTCCAGTGCAGTTCTTTAATCAGAAAATTCGGGTCCCGCTTCCTCAAATCCGAGCCATAGTCGTTTATTGCAACCAAAAGCCTGGCCCTTAGTAGTGGATCCGTCGTAGCAGCCCAAGCAGCACTACAACCTAGAATAAGATACCCCGCCCCAACCGGCCGCCAGATCACCGAACGATCCACAAGCGCAAGAACCTCTTCCGCAAAATAATTCGCGTCAAAAAGGCTCCCGCCATCATGAGCCCCTAGTCCACCAAGGACACAGTTGAAGAATAGTGAAATCGTCAGCCCTAGTCCGTACGTGCGTTCGTAGTGCGCGTACATGATTGAGCGAACCAAAGGCTGCTCACGCGCCGGGATCTGAGTAATGTCGAGCTCGGTAATGATGTTCTCACTCGCCCGTAGTTGGAGTGAGCTCAAAGTTGTCTTGCAGTTCTGATAGATGGCCCATACTTCATCGCGTACGGATGTCGTGTCGTAACCGGTTCGCAATGCTTCTTTGCTGCGGCGTATTAAATCGGGTGCTTGGGATAGATACTCCAACATCTGGCCCTCAAGGGTATGTGAGTCGAGATCATTTTTCACTAGAAGAGTCCATTCTTCAGGCGTAAGCTTGATTCGATTGTTGAAAAGACCTTCAAATAACTGGTGATGTCGTCAGCAATCAAAGAATACAATTTCCCCCCCTTCCCAGCGGCAAATCTTGAATTACTCACCACTGTCCCACGCATCGAAAGAAATAATTTCTTCTCAAAATCATCCCTTGGTCCAAAATGCTTCCTCGCCTTTAGGATCGCTGCTGCGCCTTCCGCATGTCCAGACCAGCCCTGAGTCGACGGACCCAGAAAAGCCTGACAGATTAATAAGATCATAACCGCACAAAGCGTGCTAGAAGACTGCGCATAGGCCTTGTCATCTAGATACACGCGAATTGTGCGCAGAGCTTGAGAGTATTTAGCTAATGCGTTCGTCGATGCTTCGCGGTGGGTACAAAAGTCTCTATGGGCAGTAGATACGGCGTCCACAGCGCGGTCTAGCGCCTCATTAGAGCCTAGACGGCGGGGCACTTCTTCTAGGAATGTGCCGAAGCTCCACCACATATTGTAGCGGAGATCTGTGGAGCGTTTGATTGTTCGGATGAAAGCCGTTGTTAGGTTTGTCAGTTCGTTGGAAGGGCCTGGGAAGGGCGATCCTGATGGGACATGCATGTAGATGTGCTGGATTGGTTTTGCAATGACGTTTTGCCGAGCAGATCTTGGTTCGGATTTGGCATTTGCTCTTGGTAGTTCGGGTGTAAAAAACCGCTTTTCTTCTTGGAATTTGAAGCGTTGCTTGCCTGAGCCTATGCATTTCACATTGAGGCGGGCGCAGCGCGAACAGGTGGGTTGTTGTTCGTCACACTGGGATGGTTGGTATACTTCAATTTCAGTGGCACTGCATGTCTACGTAAATGCACTTTACCTTTTTCTTTTGCTTGCGACAGGCATCACAGGCCCGGCCGGTTGGTACACCGGGCATATCCGAGAGGCTCGATAGTGGGGAAACGTGGAGAACGTATGGAAGATCCAAATTGCACAGATGCCAAATGCAAACGTCTAGCTCAGGGTCACAACGCTATCAACTGTTGAGGATGAGTCTACTCGAAGGTCGGGGCTGAATGAGCGGCGCCATGTCACAGAGTCTAACCGTTTCGGGTTGCATGTCCCGCCCATAGTTTCGTATCTCCGTGCTACTTTATTGGTGCGAGGACTACAAGGATGGATGAGTGCCCACTTCGGGGGGTCTAAGGGTCCATTGTGACCTATGTTTCTATCGCCGTGATGTTTTGGGGGCACAAGGGGCTTAGCTCGCAAGTTCATGCGCCTCAATTGATCTCTAACCTTCTTTGGGTCTATACAGCGCAGACTTGCCATGGCTTCTCCCGATCAAGGAGTATTTAAGTCTGCCTCCAGTACTCGTAAATTAGAGTGTTCCATATCAATCTACATTCTATTTGGTCAGAATGGCTAATAGGGCGACAGAGGCGTCTAGTCTCTATCTATACCAACCAAGCCATATCCTGCCGGCTGTCTTCGCCGCACTAGTCGGTATCTCACTGGTGATTCATGGTTATCAAAATTTGTATACTATACAATATCCTTCAAAGATCTCTCGACTGACTGTTCCGGTAGCCGCTATCGGTTCTGGCGCGTAACATTCTTCCTCTTTTGGGGAGGCACTCTCTTCACCACAGGCTGGATTCTCCGCTGCATCTCAAGTTACTACCCCGCCAACCTCAACCTCTACATCGCCCAATCCGTCTTCATCTATCTGGCTCCACCAGTCTATTCCGCCGCCGCTTATAACCTCGTTGGCCGCTTGATGAATTATCTTCCAATGCACGCCGTCCTTAACCCTAACCGTGTCCTCATCTTCTTCGTATACGTCGGTGCCGCGGTAGAGAGCATCACTGTCGCAGGCGCAGCCAAAAACGCCGCTGCTGGAACTGATCTTGCCGAATACAAGAACGGCGGCGTCCTCATAGCAGCCGGTCTCGTTCTACAAGCCGTGGTAGAATGCCTTGTTGTTGCAATCGTCACAACAGTACACCATCGTGCCTCGCATGCAGGAATAATCCCTCTTAATGTGAGCACGCTCTGCTACACTCTATACGGAACATCAACATTTGTGCTCCTGCGCTGTATATTCCGTGCCGTGGAGGCGTTCGAGATACTCGACAACCTTGGATGCACAGACAAGTGCAGTGCTGTTCTCAGTCAAGAATGGTACCTATATGCATTTGAGCTGGGTCCAATGTTGATCTTCACATTCTGGATGAACCTGCTGCATCCTGGCCGTTTCTTACCTCGGGACAAGACTCGGTATCTGGGGCTGGATGGCCGCATTGAGCGATTTGGACCGGGCTGGCTTGATCATAGAAGTCATTGGGAAACATTTATGGATCCTTTGGATATAAGTGGCGTGATCAAGGGACAGGCTTCCCATGAGAAGTTTTGGCTGAGACCAGAGGAATGGCCTACTTGCACCGATGGAAGCTTCGCGGAGGGGACAGCTTCAAACCGAACTACGACGGCTCAAGTGAAGCAGCATACTCTTCTGGCCGAAACCCATGCAGTTTGATGATCTGGACTGGGTTGGTGGGGCCGTGTGGCATACTGGGCTGTGGACTTGATGTTATCGACTGTAGCTTATAGAGCGACATTGGTTTTGCTTGGCTTTGCCAGGGTTAATCTTCCTGTCATGCTGCTTATAGACAATACAGTGGGATCCTCGCGAAATTCCGATTTAATATTGACCATTGTCCTCTATATTCTTTCGATATCTTGTTAACTGAACTTGCGTTGACAGGCGTTCGGGAACAAGGGAAGACCCACTTCGGTGCCCGCGCCGCTCCCGATCTCAAAAAGGCTCGACAAATTTATGTTTCGGACAGACCCCGTGTAAAGAACAGTTTACGGCTGGTGCTGAAATTAAATTAGAGAAAACGACTCACTGCAGAGGCTTCATCCCTCTTATCGTGCCTACTCAAGGAAGCAGAATGGCCTCCACCGAGGATGAGCGACCTGCCAAACGCACGCGCCAAGCTTGCGAGACTTGTCGGTACGATCGGCTTTGAGGGTCTATGCAATTTGTGATAATATTTCAAGGCTGATCCAGTTCCCAGGCGTAAGAAGACAAGATGTCCCGGGGAGAAACCTATCTGCTCTTTTTTGCAAGCGACTGGGCCAGAACTGCTTCTACACGGGTAGCACTGATGCCGTCGACGAGGGCTCGGAGTTCGCAAAACATATGGTTAGTGAGCCTCTGAATCCATCATCAAGAGGAATTAAGTTAAATTCGCTCCCAGGAAGACCGTGTCTCAAGGATCGAGAGCAAATTAGAACAGTTGATTGAGTACATAGCGTACGTACTCCACCGATTGACCTGCCCTTCACATCTGACTGATCCCTTTCAGTGCCGGCCGGCGACAACCACAGCCCACTGGCCCATCCCCTATGGTCAGTATTCATGAGGGCGAACAACCTTTACCACATCCAGAACTGTCTTCTAGGAGACATGAACCCATGTAAGCCACTTTTTTTGGGCCATTTGCGGATGGAGAAACTAACGTTCGTGAAAGGCAACATCCATTCTCGTCCGATTTGTCTTCCATTGAGTTGTATCGGATCTTCTGCAACTTTCAACCCCTTCCGCTCTTCCCAAGGGAAGAATCCTCTGTATCATTAGCCGGCAGAGATCCAGAACTCGTTCTTGCCATGGAGGCCCTTGGTGCTCGCTTTCTCGGCAGGGGCGTCAAGGACAGCCAAACAAATGAGCAGATCACGTTCAAAACAAAAACGGCTTGTCAACTAGTGATGGCACGAATAGCAGAAAGGAAATGTAGAGTTATCCACGATTCAAACACTATGTCTGCTAAGCATGTTGGAATTCACAGGTAAGCTTCGACACATGCCAAGAGGATACTAGGCTAACAGCATTGAACATAGCTGGAAACCTTGTCCGAGCAGGCTTCTATGCTAAAAATGCAAAGTTCTTCATGCAGAATATCCGAGTCGGTGACCTAGAGTCTCTGAAGCATCTGGATTCAGAGCGCGATGAGCGCAAGTTGTGCCAAGCCAGTGTCATGATACTTCAGCACCTCCAAGGATTCCTGCCTTCTAAGGATCACGACGACAGATTTTGTGGAACTAAAAACAAAACTCCATGGCTCGAATCATCGATATCTCAGGAATGATCCTCTAAGAGGAGATAACAACTCCAAACTAGACATCGACATCAAGGCTGCCAACATGCACACGAGTGAGTTGTGGGCTCTAGCATGCAACTATGCCATGAATCATACCGGTGACGACACCAATCCTCCGTGGCATCCACAATCGGACTATGCAATAATCACGTACTGGCATACTGAGCATGAAAGCTGTATGCCACTGAGATTCCGTCTTCATGCGAGTCGATTCTCAGACCACTCGCCAGCCGAGCTACAGACAAACCGTGACTATTGGGGCCCCTGGTTATTTTTCCAGGTCGTATGGCATGCGATCCCAGCCCTTTTGAACCACCCTTTTCTTCTTTCTATGCGACTTCGGAACTTCAGAAGGACCATGCCCCAGTCATTCCTTCGCAACTCGTTCGAGCAGCTTACCTTTCATTCGGGCTGGATTGTGCATTTCCTCGAACTTGTGGAATCGAAGAACTTTGAAGTTTCCGATCCAACTTTGGGTCACTGCGTGACTATAGTTGCTACCATCTACCTTCAACACAGCTTTGCGGAAGATCAAGACTTTGGCAAACAGGCGCAGACAGGATTCGAAAAATGTCTTCGTTTCCTGCGAACAATGGCCAATCGGTGGCCCCATATTGAACGCCAGGTAATGCCAAATATAAAAATACCCTTGTACGAGTATATACAAGCTGACCATCACTATATAGGTCCAACATTTAGAACAACTTCGAGGTAGTATTTCTCCGGGTGGTCTCATGACAGACGCGAGTACACCTAAAACAGTATCCAATCATCGCCAAAAATGGTCCGTCAATCTACAACTCCTTCGAAAAATTCTGGTCTACTCGCAAGCCAGCAAGTCTTCGAATCCCGCTGGCGATATTTTCGGGCCCCAACTGGTCAAGGATAACATCGCAAGCGGCGCGTCATTCGCTGGTGATATTGCTGATCCCGGGTTTTCCCTGATTGGATCTGAGGGGTATATCAGGACATGAAACAGTTGCTTCGGAATGTGTGACCTATCCACCAGAGCAGACAGAGCATTCAACTCAGCTGCAGCAAGAATTGGGTCAAGCGGCACCTGTGATAGAATTCCCGCATTTCTCGGGTGACTCGAATCTGGACTTTACAGGCGGGGAGACGCTATTCCTGCAGCTCCAGGACTATGAGAAAGCATTCGGGGATTGGTTGAGCATGTCTGCATGATAACTCAACCAGACATGTAACCAGAAGAGAAAAAGGTATCGATTGTCCTTTAGTCCGATCACGGCCCGGTTCCGTCTTCTCCGGGCGCCAAGAAAACGGCATAGATCCGGGTTTGCCTTCCTCTCCACGTCCGACCTTTCTCAAATTATTGTGCCTGCTTTATCAATCCAAAGAGTCTGGCATATTCTCTCGGATTGTCATTCCAAGATGCCTTCAACAAGTGATTCGATTCTGATCGTGGGTGCCGGTGTTTTCGGCCTATCCACTGCGTTGGAGCTCAAGCAGCGCGGATACACGAACATCACCGTGCTGGATAGATACGCCCCTCCGGCAGTGGATGGAAGCAGCGTTGATATCTCACGCATTATCAGAATCGACTATGCCGATCCTGTCTACTGCAAGATGGCACGTGAGGCCTATGCAGGTTGGACAACAGAGTACAACGACCACTACTTCGAATCCGGATTTGCTCTCTTATCAGAGACTCCTCAGAATGACTGGATCGCAAAGTCCAAGGCCACAGTTATAGCTAATGGAGGCACTGTGGAAGATCTCAAGGATGCTACACAGCTGCTGAAGTCGTACCCGAACATCCAGTCCGACTTATCTGGTATGAACGGGTATCTTAACCGCAGAGGCGGATGGGCGGACGCCGCCGGCAGCATCCAGAAGTTGGCTTCACGATGCACTGTCGAAGGTGTTTCAATCGTGACTGGGCCTCGCGGAAGTGTCATCTCCCTGCGCAAGAAAGGTTCGCGCGTTGTGGGTGTCAATGTGGCGAGTGGAGACTCTATCCTCGCTTCCCAGGTGATTCTGAGCACTGGCGCTTGGACAAATCGGCTTTTGAACATTGCGCACGCTGCTTCGTCTTCAGGTCAGCCAGTTGGGTTCATCCAGTTGACTCCGGAGGAAGCTCGGTCTTTGGAAAACACACCCGTCATGATCAATATGACTGATGGCGTGTTCATCTTCCCTCCTTCGCCGGGAAGTAACATTCTTAAGCTTGCGCGACATGGCTATGGCTATGCCAATGAAGTCACTGTTCACAATGACGGAACTCGAACTATCTCAACCCCGAAATTCGACACCAGCAACGCAGAGACCGGCTATCTTCCCGATGACGCTGACGAGGACCTGCGCAAGGGTCTGCGACGATTCTGTCCTCGCTTCGCGGACCGACCATGGTCGTTTCGCCGGCTTTGCTGGTACACAGATACCCCCAAGGGCGACTTCATTATCGATAACCACCCGACAATGGATGGCTTGTTCGTGGCTACTGGTGGCGCGGGACAGTGAGTACCTACCCATTTTTGATCTAATAAGTACTGCAGACTGATTTGAGCAGCGGGTTCAAATTCCTCCCTGTGCTAGGAAAATATATTGTGGACTGCTTTGAGAACAAAGCTTCTGAAGAATTACGCAAGAAGTGGCGACTAGAGCCTGTTCCTAGTGGTACCAGTGGTTCTCTAATGAAGGGCGATGGAAGCCGAGCGGGGCCCCCTTTGAGAAGACTCACCCAGCTGGAGAAGGCTAAGCTCTAGAATGGTCATTGTGAATTTTCTTGACGATGTTCTGAGTTGGTCTCAAAGTAAGCCACATTCTGCACTCCTGTTGGGGGGAGCCCCATACTGCCACGTTGGGAGCCACACCAGAATATGGGAAGGCACTGTTCATGCATAATTATAGACAACAGTTGACCTTCTCAAACTGTACAAACTTCACCTCATGTCACGCGATACGAGCGGTCATCTTGGAATAGTTACATTCGAACCTGATGAGGTAGAAACTCTAGGGAAAAGATGTGAAAGATGTATTCAAGTAAATCGTTATCCTAGTGGGCAGCAACCCGATCTCGCTTCTGAACCTTCACCAGCAAAGGTCGCGCTAGATCACTGATTCCCACACTTATCAATTCTGGAATCTGTCCGACAAATCCATTGTTCTTCGCAAGAGCCCTTTCATTCTCATCCGCCAGCTCAAATTCAAATTCACTTAACAGCGTGCTCATCAACTTGTAAATGTTGGTCATAGCTACAGTCTTGCCGATACACTGTCGACCACCAAGGCCAAAATGCATCAACAACTTAGACTTGCCCGCAATTTCAATACCTTCCCATCGGGATGGATCGAAAATGTTATGATCAGATCCCCAGATCTCTGGGTTGTGGTGGAAGGCATGGTTGCAGACAGCAATAGAAGTCTGTTCGTTTCCCACATAAGCGAAGAGCGCATATTGAAGAGGGCCCAGAACTTACCGCGTAGGGAATATGGTTCCCAGCAATATCAATCCCTTGAGGCATCAAGACTTTGCGCGCCAAAGGCATCGTGAACACTGGAGTGATGCGGAAATTTTCCTTCATGCAGTTTCGCAAGTACGGAAGGGATGTTTCCACCATTGAAACCGGATAGGCGCTTTCATGGGGCTGAAGAATTGGAAGCTTTTCGTCAATCTCTGACACGCATTGTGCCATGAGGTTTGGGTGGTGAAGTAAGTGATAGAAAAGTAATGCCGTTGTTGCGCTGGTAGTATGAGTCCCCGCAATGCTGTTTAGGGATGTTAGTAAAGGTGACCTAATAAGAGAAGAGATCTGAAGAAGTGCGTCATACATGAAGCCAAATGCCTCGGTTTCGAGATCAGTCCGAGACAGAGACTCTCCCGTGTCAGGGTGTTTCGCCAGGATCAAATTAGTGAGGATATCCTTCCTGTCCGTGGAGCCACTGCTTGATGCATCTGTTGATCTGATGGAGTTCAACCGAGCATTGACACATTGAGAAGCAAGATTCGCACAAGCTTTTCGGCCCTCGAACAGTGCTTGCAGGCCTTTGTGTGGGATCAGCGGGAGCCATCTCTTCAGTCGCGCAGTCATCATCGGCCAAGCACCGGTGACTGCTGCCAACAAACTGTGCTCGATGACTGGTGGAACGCGAGTTTCGTCATTAGACTCCTGCACGCCGAATGTTTGGCTGAACGCTAGTTCCCCCAGTGTATCGATGACATAGTAGTGCAGGGCTTTCTTTAAATCAAATGCTTTTTGGGTCGCTGCATGCGATGCTATTATTTCCACGAAGAATTTTGATATTTGCATCCAAGTGCTTTTCCATTTCTTTGACGTAGCTCATCGAGAAACTGTGAGACATGTGACGCCGCCGGATGGAATGAATCTAGACTTCGGATCAGTTCTTGGACGAAAGAGACTTGGCGGGCCAAGTGCATACATTTTCGTCGCGCATTCCAAATACATTCGGATGTGCCGCTCCGTATGCATCGTAAAACTCCGTTTTGGGCATGTAACGAGCCCCGCTCTGGTAGATCGATTTGATGGCTTCTTCGCTGGTTATGCTCAATTTGTCGGGGCCGTAGCGCACAACAGAGCCATGTTTCTCGTGCAAGTCAGTGAGCGTGTATGGTTGCTTTAAAGTCATGAACTGGTGCACCTGCCACAGGTCGGTGAGCGAGGCGAGAAAAGGGCCGGGGTACTTGGCGAGAGGATGAAGCCATCTTTGATAGATCACGTATCCTGAAAAGTACAGGACAATCAAAACTAAAGCAAGCTCATAAAGGTGATCCAAGAGTTGAAGAGCTGCCATTATATAAATTGCTAAGGCTTGTTCGCAGGTTGTCGGCTATTCAATAATACGCGAGATTCACAAACATTTGTTCGGGTTGGCCGGTCGTCCGGCAGTGCTTATATATTCAAGAAAAGTAGCTACAAGACCCTTGAAGGATGCAGCCACATGGCAAGTCCCCACACAATTGATGGGGATCATAATAGTCAAATGCCACATAGTCAAGTGCAAATATGAGCGGTCGGATTCGTCAAATGCGAGTATGCATCTGGACATAGCCACTGGAATAGCTTCCCCGCACTTGGGTAATGTGGGGAGCCAGACTGACAGCCCCCACATTCTCGCAAATCGCCTGTAGATGTTGGCAGAAGCGCTAAGTTGCTTCAGCTCAGACTCCCTTATCAGAAGCCATGCATTTTGGGCTCTTGCCTGTTGCGATATTCTCGTGGGAATTCTCATCGTTCGATATTCTCTACCGTGTTGCGATCCCGAACCGTAAACATCTACTTACTCCCACCACGAAACCATTCTAAGTCAATTGAAGTCATCATTGTTACCTTGAACCGGAGGATTCGGCATTTGGACAAATGAGAGGTTCAAACATTGATAGGCGTTTGTGTTTGTTGACTTGTAAATTTCAGATGTTATGTTGAACTGGGTCCTGGCTGCCTTGTAGACTAGGCCACAAATCGTGAACCCCGCCAAAAGTCAACGGCGTCGAGTATCGGGATTTTCTGTTTCTGTCTTTATTTTTAGACTCGCCAAAATGGGCTCGCAACGCAGAATTCTTGCGCAAAGGATTCCCTGCACGCAATGCGACAAAACATTTTCCAAGACGGAACATCTAAATCGGCATCGACTTGTCCGTATGCAACCCTCGGAGGATCATGCTTGTTCATGGACCCAATTGAGCACGAGCTCTAATCATACAACAGACACGGGTGAGCGCCCGTATAAGTGCTCTATTTGTTTCAAACAATATGCTCGAAGGTGAGTCAGCAAATTTGCGATACGAATACATCGTTAAGTGGACAGAGATGTTCTCCTTCGCCATCGCCGGAATCATCCTTCCGATGATGGTCCCAGCCGTGATGTAGGCAAACTCTTAGAAACTTTACCTTCAAAATTCGGCGTTTGATAAATTCACAGGAATTTTCATTTCCCTCGACCGACCCATTCAAGGAATTGTCCCTCGGTGAAGCACATGGCACTGGCATGGACGGGCGTGATGAAGTTTTGACACCACCAGCAAGAGAGCAAGATCCTTTCGGTATAACTCCACGTCTACTGAGTGAGAGCCACCAGTTGTCTGCAACTAAAGAAGTCCAGGGCTGTGACTCCCCACACGACTTGACTGGAGATGATCCGAGCAACGAGTTCTTGAACTTGCTGTTCAACTCCTCCTACGAGTCTTTAAACCCTCTGAACTCGTTGGTTAACCAACTTATTATACGTCCTAACGACCGAGCAGGCTTTCAAAGTCCGCAATTGCATTCGATCTTCAGCAATGGATCAATATCACACGTAGATGTTGCGAACCAACGTGCTATGGGGGCGCGGAGTCTCTGGCCGGGAGGAACACTGAGAAAGAATAGACCTGATTTCTGGCATGAGATCGCATTTGGCTCATCTGGAAACATCTATGACACCTTTCATTCCGTTCTAGGGCTAGACGCAAGCAACCAGACACTTACCGACGATTCTAGTCCAGAAGTCACTCTTACCAATGACTGCAAACGACGACTCGGAGAATTAAAGAAAGACACTTTTGTCTGTGAATGCAATCAAGTCTTCGAAAATGGGTCTGTTTGTGGACGTCGATATGGCTGTATTGACACAACGGAAGTTTTTGACCAGGGTTTCTATCTTTACACTCACAAGTACCAACCAGCCTACCCCATTCTTCACCTTGCCACGTTTAGCCCCGATAACACATCTGCACTCTTACTTTTTGTCATATGTATGATTGGAGTTTCGTTTCTGAAAACGGAAGAAGCTGCAGCTTTTGTGCAAAATTCTTACCCCGTATGAAAGGTCCCTAAATTGACCGAAGCTCATCTACTGACAGGTTTTGAACAGGCAATCATCAGACAAGTCTATAGTAAAGTAGTATTTCCATCTTTATACTCACAGAAACCCGTCGAAATCCTTGGCGATCTGGTGCTGGCCCACCACACGCTCTTTTTGTTCATCTCAACGGGGGTAAGGATCTTCTCATGATTATTCTACTCAACTAATTTTCTTTTTCACAGGGGAATCTTTGCCTGGAAGAATCGAAAGGTCTCTATATGCATACACTCACAGTAAGCGGATCCTCAGGTACTCGATGATCAGAAGGGTAGATGTCAATGGTTTTCCTTCAGGCCGCACAACAACACGGCTTTTTCAGCTTAAAGCTTGAGGAACCTCAAAATGCTCTTTCCCCACAAAACATGTCAGAAAATGCTCGGTGGCGCGCGTGGAGCCGAGTTGAATCAACCAAATGGTGCAGACTCTCATTCAAATCTATCCATCGCGGCCGATTAACCACTTGTACTAGTCTGATCATAGGTCTCCTTCTACACGACGCCTGGCTATCTGAGCTTTTCTCAATGAGTCCTATCATACAGGCTCACACTCTGACCATCAATCTTCCGCCGTCGAACAACCTATATGAAGCCCCAGACTGTCATGCGTGGTCACAGCTCTTGACCAACACTTTAAACAACGATAACATCCTCGAGCTCTTACCACACACCTTCAGTCTACCGGACTTAGACGGCCCTATGCATACTTTTTCCATGTATGGCCTCCTATGTTCTGTTCTGCTTCGTGTCAATGCAGATATGTGTCGGCTTGTCTCCAACTCCGATATAGTTCCAGCAAGTCAGCATCGACATGTACCTTGGAGAATTTTTCAGATCGACCAACGAGCAAGTATCGCGGTCCCTCTACTTACCAGTTTAATCAAATTTTATGATGAAACTCTCCGCAGGTCGAACCCTAATTGCATTGTCATTTGGCACAGCGTGTGCATCCTTTTGACAGTCGATACCAATATCCTCGCGCGCGCTGCCGGTCGAGAAGGACCAGAACAAATGTCACAGGCTCGCATTGACCTCTCTACCTGGGTGGATACGACTGCCGCGCGGCGGGCATGTCTTCATGCAGCCCAAACATTCAGGACTTTGTTGCACCGAAAACCTGCCGATGGAACAGCCTTTCAGTCGGTTCGAACTTTGTTCATGTCGGCACTTGTTCTTGGGATGTACATTTTGCTGGGCCCTGATCATCCAAGACCAGGTCGTTCCGATAGCAGTCATTTTGATCTCGCTAGCACGGAGCTTGACTGGCAAGCGATTGGCAATACGGGATTTTACGATCCTATCTCAAGGCCATTAGCCAAGTCAGTGGAGCAAGAAGATCCCGGAATCAAATTCATTCGTGACGGTGGGCCAATCATCATCGATGGGATCGTTTATGAGCGAGGGTCTCGACATGCGCAGCGCATCATTCTGGAGTTTGCCAGTCTTTTGGATGAAGTGGGGACACATTGGATGGCGGACTATGCGCGACTACTGTATATAATTCACGACACCATGGTGGAACCAACCGTTACATCATGATCACACGTAGAGAACCTCAAAATATTATCAATGAAGAATGACGAATCTAGAAATCTCGAAATCATCAGCAGCATGGAATGCCAATCACATGACCTGTCAGTGATCGGCTCCGCGGTCCTTGTCTAAGCCTCCGCCGCCCTTTCGCAGGCCCTCGCTTTCTGAACGCTCAACCCCTTTTACACGCCCCCAGAATTCTCTCTGTCGAGAAAGCCGCCCTTTTTTTAAAATGAGCGACGCCTATGAACGCGAGCAGTAGGTCCCGGTCCCCTCTGGAGCTCACTCGGCCGCCCCAGACAGCTCCTGAAACCTCGTCCATTCGCCTCACCCGACCAACATGCCACGGAACATCTGTCGCTGACTCCGCAAGCTAGGCAGAATAATGCACTCCTCAACTCTCTTTCATCCAAAGTTTCCGCCCTTCGAGACGTGACGATCAACATCCACGACAACGCGCGGGATCAAGATACGCTCGACCATACGGTACGTCCATCATGGCATCACCTTTGCGGAGATAGTGCTCGAGAAAAATGTCGTAATTACCCGCTTGAACATGCGGCTGACAGCATTGCCCCCTACAGAATGATGTCTTTTCCTCTTTCGGCACGAATCTGAAGGGTAGCGCATCTCGACTCACAAGGATGGCCAAGCAAGGTGATACCGTCGCTGTGCTCAAAGTGGCGGGTATTTGCATCGGCGCCGGGATCTTGCTGTATATCATCCTGGGATGGATCTTCTGAACGGTGATATTTCTCATTATATGGCCCGCCTGATGGCTGCCTCGTTCCGAGTTCCTGCCTACGCTCCTGCCGATGAAGATGCTCTTGCTGGTTCAAGGTGCATCTCGATATTCCATTCTTTGCCATTTCCTCCTCTGCACCCGACTGCTGCTCATGATTTCTTCATAAACTATTGCTCTGAGACCTGGCATCCCATTGATACATGGTTGCGATTTCGGCACAAGCGGCGCCTGTTCGGGAAGGTCTATTCACCAGCCTCTGTTACCATTTATCCGGTCTGATGCTTGACGCAATGTGCAAATTACTTTTTAATGGGGATGTTCCATTGCAGCGGGCGAATTGACTTGGGCTTATATCGCATTATCGGGGGGTTTTCTGTGTTATTCAACTTGCCACAACTAGTGAACATAATTTCCCGCCCATCCAGTTCCTGGGCGCTTTAGCGACTTCCTCAATAATAGTACGCATATGCTCTGAACAGTTTCATCGTTCATGGTCAATTCAAGCACTCGTACTCCACTTTTCAACTCTGTAGCTTCGGCAATCTCCGAGCGACACTGCAGGTCTAGGCTGTGAGACTGCCAAGACCAGAAGACATTCTAGAACATCTCACACAAGCTTGGTAAACCTCTTGGTCGATTTAATCAATATTACAACCATGTGGGTAGTCCAAGACTTTGTCTGGGCAATGCACGGTACTCTAAGCTCATCTAATCCCTCTCGTTCCACCAACCCCAGAATTCCGTTTTCGGCGACCATACCATTACACCCGTGGTCAATCCAGCCACGTCCCATTAAAAGAGATAGTATGACGATTCCACGTTCTCATGTTCCCGATGCGGGTAGCTTTTGGAAATTTTAGCCGGTGGACCTGAGCGCCCTGTACATTGTGGATTAAAGCCGCCGAGATGGCTCCGGCACGCGAGCAGAGCAGCACAACTCTTTCACCCACGTCAGCCCCCTAAACTGTTCAATTCTGGTAACCCGCACCTGAACAGAAAGTTGAATACAAGTAGGGCCATTTTGGTCCGATCGTGACATTCAAGGTGGTTCGGACACGAATTGCTCCCAATGTGGCAAAAACGGTATCACTGGGTCCTGGCAAGCATTGTAGCCTTGGGGCTTGTGCTGACCGTGTACCATACCCAACGACCACAAGAAAACGAGGTCGGCGATGAAGGTATATCTATTTTCAAGGGCAATTTGCCACCTGTTCCCGATTACGAGGATGGTCACGTCGCCCACGAAGAGGCATATACCGCGCCGAAGACTACGCATACATTGGCGAACGAGGCGACGGAAGCCACAACACAACCCGCCGCTGCAAAGTGGGATCCAGCCTGGGAAGATAAGAAGAAATGGCCCCAATGGTCAAAACCAAATACGACCTCACCCGTCCCGACTTCAGTGAAATCGATCTCAAACTCATCCTCGACAAACTCGACGTCTATATCGCACCAGGGAATAGATCAGTATGTTCGCTCAATTCTCGACTTCGAAGATGACGATACATTCAAGCGTCTTCCCTGTCCCTCCCGGGCTGGAAGCAGGTACAGTCACTTGCGCGAAATAGCGGATACAAGCGGCCAAGTGCGATATTTCTTCGCGCTGAATATGGGCGAGTCGGCGCGCGTCATCTCACGAATGATGAGTTCCATCGTCGAGGCAATGCGGTTCCTGGGTCCGAAACACTGTGCTGTATCGATTGTCGTTGAGAAGTCGGATGACGGGACGACTGAGATATTGGGCGAGCTTAAGCCACGGGTTGAGGCGATTGGGGCGCGATTCTACTTGATTGAGGTTACATCTATTCCGCGCAATTCGACAGGGATTTCAAAAGAGAAGCATATTGCAGAATCGAGGAATAAAGTGCTTGAACCGCTGAAGATTGTTGGGGCGCAAGGTGTTATAGACGACTTGGCGGGGATGTATTCGCCAGAGGCGTTGATTGTCTTTGTGGATCAGATTGCGCTTTGTCCGGAGGACATTCTGGAGCTCATTTTTCAGCATGTCAACCAGGGGGCGAGTATGGCTTGTCCGTTTGTGTGGACGGAGAACGGAACGCAGTTTGGGGATCTCTTGGTGTCGAGGTCACTGGCGGGTGATACGTTCTTTGAGATTCCGCATGATGGATCGTTGGCGTATAGTCAGGATCTTTTCTGGAATGATGAGGTTTCACAACGTCATTTCAATAGGGCTCGGCCTTTCCAGGTGTTTTCCTGCTGGGGAGGAATGGTCACATTGAACGCAGCGTCCTTTGCTGAGAAAACGTTCTGGTTCCAGAGCAGCAGGCCGGGGGAGTGTCAGATGGCGTCCTCCATGCTACTGGCGAGGGACATGTGGCGTCGTGGCCGTGCAAAGATTCTAGCGGTTCCATCAATCAATGTCGCTCGATTTGATGAAGAGGCGGTTGGTGCTAAGGCTTTGCGGGGATATGTGAGCGATCATGTCGACTTATTGCAGCCGAGGCTGGACCAGGCCGAGTACATCTCATGGCAGACACAGCCACCAGGAATGATCAAGTGTCTGCCTGATCTGAAACATCCCAAATGGATCGCACCGACATGATTGATTCTCTTCCTTTTTGCATCATGCGATGGCGCTATTTGAACCTTCTGTATAGTACTGACCCATGTTCATATTCCCCTGACGATTAATAATAATATCTCTTATTCTAATCAACTTCATAGATCACAACATGGAGAAAAGATCGGGAAGTCCGAGGGTAGAACGCAGCATCAATCGGGCGCAAGAAGACTCATCTGCCTTAGCATCGCGAACCCTCATAGGGCTCCGAGTGTCACAGGTCGATCATCGGAAAAGCGCCAAGATCACCCTTCCTCGGCAGCTTTTCGGAGACGCAAAGTATGGTTTCTCTGCGGTAGTCAGGGGCAAAGAGCACTAGCTACGATGGAGGCGCCGATGTTTGCCAGTCAAGTCTCAAGACAAACCCCCTTTGTGAACACCCACTGTGGGGCACGATCGCATTGCTCTCCGCGTGGCCCTTCCTAGCTCAGCAATTGGTAACGACTCTCACTGACCGCATCATCGCTATCTTTGCGCTGGCGCTGCACTGATAAGGAGTCACATACCCCTAGAGCTTTCAGCCGCTGCGCCAACCCTGCTTTTTGTTCTTGAGATAGCATGGTCCAGATAATTGGAGATGTGACCTTGTCAGGCGTTCAGGGCAGAGACCCGGCTACCCTGCGTTGTGTATCTACACAGATCAGTATACATCAAAGCTACTCTCCATTAGCACAGTCCGGTCGTGGCCCGCCATTTTGCATTCATTGACTCGGATGATGTGATGGGATCCTTTATGGATGGAGAATCTGGTTCTGAGGCCCAATTTTCACCGGTTGCTGGATGTAGCCGTATACTGTGGGCTAGAAGAAAGCCCGATTTGGCCCAAAAGAGACAAAAAAAACGGCGGAAAAGTACAATACAATAAAGAAATAAGAAAGTGGCAAAATCAAGAGGAAAAATTAAAAATTAAAAATTAAAAAATAAAAAAAAATTAAAATTAAAATAGAAATGAAACCACTGTGATCTACTTGTGGGTCAAGGGAGGAAAACCCTGAGGACCTTGGAACACCCGACCACAGCATTCTTGCACAATGACAGGTTCACGGTCCTTTTGGCTTTTTCGAATTTATCCGAGTCTATGAGCTATCATCCGCCATCGCAGGTGTCATAATGGCATATTCCCCAAGGCGACTAGATGGTTTTTCACGTGGTCGGATGGGATCGAAAACTTTCAAAAGCAGGATTGCCTGCATGAGGCATAATTCAGAATTCGAAACCGCCAAGCATTCGAACTTTTCCAGATCAACAGGAGAAGACGCGCAAGTCGGGCAGAGAAAACCGGGACGCGGTCGGGATTCCGGTGTAGCGGAAATGCCCGAGCAGGCAGAGCACAGGCATCCCGACAGGGACCCGTGGTCGGCAACCAGGCCGAGACAATATCCTCCACGAGAACGCCTATTCTGTGGTGGCATCCAATCCTAGGTCCTGATATCGTTCCCTGCTCCTCTCAGCTACAGTGTGTGTGCGCACGCCACCGCCGCGGTCGGGTCCATTCTGTCCTAGACAGTTCGAAAGAGACCCATAGGAGGCCCGACACCTTATCTACATAGTTTAAGAGGTCTAGGAAATCGTCATCGAGAGGAATACGACTTAACTAGTGTAACCGGTGAGCAGTTTGACCCTCGGTGGGACTCATAGGCGGATCGCCTGCTGCAAAGACTGGACCCGCTGCAACCGCGACAGGGACTGTGCATTTAGCTCCGACTTCTGCAGAGATTGGGAGATCATTTCTGGACATTTCCGGTGAATCAGGTCGGACTGCTTTCAGGGAAAATCGGTAGATTGCATTCCAGCCTGGTTGCAGGTCCACATGCTTTCTCCAGACACATTCCCGCGTGTGACAGCGACCATGCCCCGAAAGCCACTTGCGGAAGAGCTGTATGTTGCACAGCTCGCATGAGTGTCTCCGAGCAAGCACAGGTCACGGCACATGCAGGGCTGGAAATGGAGGCATGCCCCTGAATCCTGTAGCAGCAGAAGCGATCAGCGCGGGCCTAGGCCTGAGCCCTCTTATAGAGGTATGCACAAGGAAGCTTTAGTCGACAGCCCAGTTCATGGAGGGGCAGGTTTCGGGTCCAGGGGTTCCATACAGGCTGAATTAAGTGGAGTGCACTTCTGAAAGCCACAGTCAGAACACATAACCACTGTCTCGTGTATGATGATGCAGCAGACGATCCAAAATTGGATCGATCTGATTCCACTGCGGGAAAAGGGCGATCCCGAGGTATGGCGTGATGCAAATGGGTAAAGGAATGTCCCCCGAGCAACCGAGGGAGGGGCGAGTCACTGAGATGGGGTGATGAGTATAGTGCTATTACGGCAGAATCATGAAACACAAAACACAAAGTACTGTACTAGATATCGGTGGGGTTTGGGTACGTGATTGAAGATAGTAATGAAAGTGTGTGACATCTTCATATGATCGTGAGATACCCTTTCGCTGACGTAAATCCATCGTGCCAGATCAATTGTCCTCGGCACTCAGCCCTTCGCACTTTTTCTATTAAAAGATTGGGATATCCCAGGGGATCCGATTCTATTTGTTTTTCCATATTCCATTCCGATCCCTTATCTAGGCTCTCAAGGCTTAGTCAACTCGCATCATCTCCGGGCGCTCATCGCCACCCAAATCCTTTGCCGTTTCCGGCACATCTCCACCGCTGTGGAGCCGTCTGGTCGGACCGGATTTCGATTCTGGACACTCGCCGGTCGATCACCAAGAATTTACGCAAAAACCGTCTGTCTCATAGCTGGTCAACTTTTTCCCGATTTTTCCGATTCTCTCCTTCTCTCACCTACACAACGTCCTTCCTGGATTTTCTTACGGCTGCCCGATCGCAGCTGCGGGCAAATTCTCAATGGCTCTCAGCTTCTTGAGTGGTGGCGGAAGTGCCAGTAACGCCAAGTACTTCGACATTCGGTGAGTGGGGTGCATGTGCGGCTTTGAAGATCAGGGACTGACATTCCAGACTAAACGATGAGTACATCGTATTTCGCGGCAACGAACATGAGGCTGCCAGCGCCCACTTGAAGGGTACGGTCTTGCTCTGCCTGTCCGAGCCCCTCGCTATCAAGCACATTCGCCTACAGTTGACAGGCATGTCGCGCGTCTGGTACGTCATTCTACAGCAACTGCGCAGTCCGGATCTCAAACTAATGAGGCCCACAGCTGGCACCTTCCATCTAGTTCATCCGCCGGTGGTCGCAAGTCCTGGCGCGAGCGAGTCTTCTACGACCAGACATGGCGATTCCGTGAGCCCGCCAAGGGCAAGACGGAGGTCTTGGCGGCTGGCAATTATGAGTACCCTTTCGACGTCGTTTTGGAAGGCTCCATGCCTGAGAGCGTGGAGGGTTTGTCCGAGACCTGGGTGATGTACAGATTCAAGGCCGAGATCGGACGGAAGTACGCCAAGGATATCGTCGCTCGGAAGCCTCTGCGCATCATCCGAACCCTTGATCCTAGCGCATTGGAGCTCGCACATGCGATGGTACGTTTCACCGGAATATTGTGGTGCCAGGTCACACTAACTCTCATCTAGTCGGTGGACAACATTTGGCCGAATAAGATCGAGTACTCCATCAGCACCCCCACGAAGGCAGTCATGTTCGGCACTGCCATTCGCGTTGATTTCAAACTAGTCCCGCTTCTCAAGGGTCTGCGCATAGGACAGACTACGTCACAGCTCATCGAAAGCCACGATTTGACCCTTAACCCGGAAGATCCCGACTCCATTCGGAACACCTACAAGATTACCCGGACGATCTTAACCGACGAGCACGAGGTCGATGAGGATAACGTCGAGATTATCGATGAGGCGGCCGAAGGATACCATTTCACGCGCTATCTCGACATGCCGCAAACCCTGACTCGCTGCCTCCAGGACGTGGACACCAAAGGCATTAAAATCCGCCACAAGCTGAAGTTCCGCATTCAACTCCACAACCCCGACGGCCACATCAGTGAGGTGAGTCAGAGATATTTTGCCGGGGTAGATATGGGGTTCTTGCTAATTGGTCTATCTAGCTCCGCGCGACGCTTCCAGTCTCGGTCTTTATCTCCCCGAACATTGCCATTGACGAGAACAACAATCTCCGTGAGCAAACACAGCAGACGAATCGTCGGACTGCCGATGAGTTTGCCACCAACCAGGCACCTCCCCTCTATGGAGAGCATACCGTCGACCAGCTATATAGCGAGGTCGACCCCGAATGGTTACCGCACTCCGGGACCGAGCAGTGGCGGACCCGGTACTCCATTCGGCGCGCTCAGCCGTAACATATCTGCTGAGAACCTGCCTTCGATGGCTGCCCTTACGAACACCGATATCTCTGCCGCTGCTCTCCACAGTCGTTTGAACAGTCTCAGCGCAAACCGTCTCCAGCCGGCCACACTTGGGGAGATACCCAACTCTCCCCCAGAAAACCACGCCAACTCGCGTGGATTGAATGTCCACTTCGGTGACTACTTTGGGCCGTCCTCCGGGTCAGGCACACACAGTCCCGCCAGTCCAGAGCTCTCCCGCAGACCTTCTGACGACGGGACCCATTCCCGATCCAATCGGGCATGACAACGCCCTTCCACCCTCAGTACGCCGAAGTTGAGACGCTCAGCCGAGTCCCTAGCTACTCGACCGCAGTACGTGCAGCCGTGGGTCCATGCGACTCGGGCCTTCCCGACTACAACGCAGTGATGGCTAGCAGTCTGCCCTCCACGCCGGTACTCCAGTCCCCGCAACAAGCCTACCTACGCAGTGGCCGCAACAGTGGCCGGACCAGCGGAGTCTCCACTCCTTTTGAGGTGCATAATCGTCCGGGACACCTGCACTCTCGCGCCCATGCTGACGACGCTGAAACCAGGTTGCGACTAGTGCAAGCGCGCGCTAGAGCTTGAGGTGCTTAAGCATCAATACCCTCGATTCAATTTTTTACGCACACGGCATCCTCTACTTAATACCACCTTCAACATACAAAAGCCTCGTGGGCTCAGTGCTGGCCACTATCACCCATCTGCACCATCCTCTCTACATCTATTCTCTTTAGGAAGTTCGCTTCCTGTCACGTCTGCATTTCACGACGGTCATACACCAGTCCTTTCTCGGCGTTCGATTTATCATAGATAGGACAAGGATATCTTTATAGACATGATCATTTGCTTTTACGGAAATATGAAACAGCTGAAATGGAGAACCAGCCTCCACGGCACGAGTCACGCATGGATAACCTAACTTTGTTCAACCTGTATCCTCATCAATATCCTCATCAATATGACGGATTCATAGTGAAAGACCCACAAAAGTGGATGTTCCAAGTCTGGCAAGGCCTGATATCACCCTAAGCATAAAGGCATTGTATCGGAATTCGTGATGCTACAAGATAAGAGATCCGCATCAGTTGACTCCACAGTGGCGGAGGCATGCACCCGGGGTAGCGGTAACATCACTGTACCTTTTAAAGCGTCAGCGCTACGGCTTCCATGAAGTGGCTGTCCTTCCAATGATCTCAGGCTTCAGTAGCTCTCAAGGTTGTGTGCAGAGACAAAAATTTGAATTGGATGTCAGTTGGGTTACCGATGCGCCACAGACGCGGGCAGTGACCTCATCGGCGCAATGTGGATGATCGACTTAGAAGAATGCGAGCTCATCCCACCTTCCCACCTTCCCACCTTCGATTCCCACCATCGACCCACTCATCGTCTTCTCTCGAAGCGCTTTTGATCACAACTAGTCCGTCATAAGTCTAGCGCTTGCCCGCCTATCCGGATTCTCGAACACAGCCACGAAAGTGCCACAGTCCCAGATCCGCGATCCCTCGTTTCTCTCCCTCAAATAGTCGACCTGATCCTCTAAGCCATTGAGGTTAGACCTTCACGTATCGCCTTCCCTCATCCTCTACGAGTCCGAGCCCGACTCGAACGTTCTTTCACCGGCCCCCCTTTTTTTCCCCCATAATTCGCCATGGCCTCTCCGACGAGCCCCGTGGATGTCAAGCTACCCCATCGGTCGGCCACCGTGAGCAGTGGCTTCACTCGCCGAACCTCTATGAGCGACGACGAGGCTATTCCTCAGACCGACAGTAGTGAGGTGTGTTCAGGGTCATTCGTTGTTTCCGCGGGCCACTGAGCTGCGACGGAACCCCGCGGTGGGAACAATCGGCTAACGATGGGCTCTTTCATTCAATGCAGACTACGAATCTACTCATTGAGCGTCTGCGTGCTTGGAAGCACATGTGCGGCAACCTCGAGGACTATGTCAACGCTTGTGCCAAGGTGGCTAAGTCTCAGTCCAAGGACCATGAGAAGATCCTCAAGGTGAGTGCCTCATTGTGCCCATGTCTTGACAATCGGCGTGCTAACTAACCACTTTTCATAGACTGTCAGCGAGCCTCTGAAGGAGAGCCACCATTTCAGTTCCAGTGAAGGTGGTATCACCAGCCTCTTCGAGAGCATGCGCAACAACTCCCAGGTACGCTCGCCCCGGCGGCATGCTAATGAAATATACGGTCCCTAATGTTCGCCCAGGGCATGGTAAACATGTATCTCGACACCGAGAAGAACCTCAAGGGCACTGTGATTCCCATTCTGGAGCGTCTCCACAAGGAGATCAAGAACAAGTCCAAGGAGCTCAAGACGGGTGCTGCCAAGGGCGCCAAGGCCGTGGAGAAGGCCCGCCAAACGACCCAGAAGCACATCGAGCTTCTGGGCCAGAACGCCGCCTCGTATGATGCCTCTGCATACAATAAGATTGAGCAGCACCACGACCCCTATATCATCAAGCGAGGCATCAACCACCGCCTCAACAAGCAGGTCACCGAAGAGAACAACCACCGCAATGACATCCTGGCCGTGCAGGAGTCGTTCCAGCAATTTGAAGCTCATGTCCTCCAGACTGCCCAGGGTGCCCTGGACCAGTTCTTCCAATTCATGGGCGGCCAGCTCGACCGCCAGCGTACTATGTACGCCGATGTCTTGGGAGCTGCTCAGCGCATTCCCCGGATTTCGAGTGGGTCAACTTCTGTGTCCGCAACGACGCTACCCTAGTCAACCCAGACTCGCCGCCACGCACGTTATCCAGCATTACGTTCCCTAACATGGATCACAAGTCCACTCGGCCCCTGATCGAGGGCTCCTTGGAGCGCCGCTCTCGCGCTATGATTAAGGGCTACAGCACCGGCTACTACGTCGTCACCCCAGCCAAGTATCTTCACGAATTTAAGAGCGACGACGACTTCCAGAAGGACCCTACCCCAGAGCTGTCCTTGTACTTGCCCGACTGTATCGTTGGGGCCATCGACGGCGTCAAGTTCAACGTCAAGGGCAAGGACGTCTCCAGCGGCAAGGTCGGTAACGCCTTCCATACCAATACTGAGCTTAGCTTCAAGGCTCACACGCCTAATGACGCTGAAAAATGGTGGTCCGTCATCAAGGACGCCACGCGCCAGTCTGCCCCGACTGTGTCCACCAACGTGGACGCTGCCGCAGCTGCGACGTCCGCCGCTCCATCGCGCAATGTTTCCGCCAACTACCCTCCTCCAGTTTATGCCGAGAATGGCGAGGAGAGGGCTAGACAGACCGCTGCCCCAGTTGCAACGACCACAGCTACCTCTCCCAGTGCCGAGGTAAAGAATCCAGTCAAGGAAGCTGCTCCCTCCCCCGGTATCACCCGTACCAACACGACCTCCAGCCACTTCCACACATCCCCTGGCGGGTCTGCCTTTGGCGAGAAGCCCTGAACTCCGGTGATGTGATGAGAGCCTGCTGGTTGTTTCAATCGATCTATTATTTTCTTTCCGCGGATCCGCCTCTGCATATTTTCGGATTTCCGTGACGCATTGACGCCCTGTTTTTTGACATCCCTCGTTCTCGTTCCTTTCTGTTCGTGCTCATAATCAGCGTGCCCTCGTAAAATAATCTACTTGTGGCGCGTGGGTGTATAATTTCCCACATATACTACGATTCTGAACAAGTTTTCTCTCTTTACCTCGATCTGGATGCCGACCATACGTTCCAGGTATCGATTTCCATTGCATTATTGAATTTTCATGTGGAGTTGAGCCGCTATTCCAACCGCCACGAAGCGCATATTGAGATACCAAATATTGTAAGACTATCTAGTCTGCTTGACGATCGCTGAAATAAATCCACAATTTGTCATGAGCTCATATAAGATGATACACTAAAGCAAGACCCATCGATCCCCCAATGTCGTGTGGTTTTCACATCAGGCCACACCGGCCAAAGCTACCATGAAATCTCAAAAGTCCTCCGGGCTCTCCAAATCACTTAATTTTTGCCCAAGGAATCTCCCCAACGCCGCACACTTCGATTCCAGCGCAAGCAAAACAGCTGGCTCGGCTGATAAATTCAAACTCTTCAACCTCTCCAAATCCGCACTCCGATCAATCTCATGTTGGGCATCAAGCCCATTCGCCGAGCTTGGGTTCTGATTCGTCGGCGTGCGTAGACCGTCTCCCGACCCATCTGACATGGCGCCATTCCCATTCCCATTCCCATTTGCGTCGTCACGCTCGTCGCGATTCGCTGTGGTTTTGGAGGGACCCACGGCTGCGAGCAGCACTCTGTCCGCGATACGGGTTACTACTGCGACTGAGTCGTCGAGTTCGAAGACTATGGAGCCTACGTCGCCTAGGGACATTGATTGAGCGGTCACGTAGGAGGAGGGTGGCTTGCTGGATTTACACCAGTAAGGTTGCCGCTTGAGGCGGTTTTGGCGTAGCATGTGTAGGCGGCGCCGTACGTTGCGCTGAGGTTGCGGAGTTGGCGGGAGGTCAAGGTGGAGCCGTAGGCGAAGACTGCGCCGTTGGTTGCGAATACGCTATGTAAGGGTTCACGTTAGTGAGTTTTTAGATGGAAAGTGGGGGTAAAGTAAGGAGGGGATGTACAGGATGGTTGTGATCTCTGGCGGAGAGAGGTTGTCCTCTAGAAGGTCACCCAGCGCCTCTGAGTCCAGCATTTTGATATCAGGGAGTCCCGGAATCATGATGTCGGGTTCGTATTGTGGGGCAGGAGTAGGTAATTGTAGTTGAATGGTCGGGATTTCCTTGGATTGTTTGCAATGCGCTTCTACGGACCAGTCCTTGGGTGGAGTCCACGAGCAATCCTCCGGAAAGAAGAAGCAATTGTCACTGTAATCCGCGTCGTTCTCGTCGTATTCGATCGGCTCGTCGGAGGAGTCCAAAAGGTTCTGAGCGCACTGCACGCGACAGCGAGCCCAATATGGAATGAAGTCGGGGTCGGTTTTCGGGAGGCTAGGAGCAGACACAGGGTCGGGCCTTGCAAAGTAATCGTGGTCGGCTACTGGAAAGTGTTGGAATTCAGCCATTTTCAAACCCATGGCCGCGTATGCATGCGCACGCGAGGACCAGCGTCTATTTCAGTCCAATGCAAGCTTGACAGGGAGCACGAGGGCAGATTGATCATAGCGGGCTCTAGGCCAGAAGGGGGATAGGGAGCGAGCAGCGTTGACTCAGAGATGACTCGGTCTGAATGACAAGTCACGATAATTCCAGCCGCGCCCGGTGGCACAGCGCGAGGTCGGAGCGGAAGGGGTTTATATGGGTAGGACGCGCAGTCATGAGATGCACGAGGCTCTCGCGACGCCACGACCATCGTGCAGAACCGGGGGCAGGCAACGTGATGCCATTCACGCTTGTGATTGGGGAGAAGCAGGCAGAATTGGAGGGGTTAATTTTCTGGAGATGGGGCGCAGGCGGAAGTACATAGTGTGCTAAGCGCGGAAGTGGAAATATTGGAAAACGAGAAAAAGGCCAACACGAAGCCGGGGAAAGGGGAAGAGAGACCAATGGCCCGAAGGTGATCGACCGAGGGTGGCGGGGACGTGCGGAGTGCAGCAAGGAAAGGCGACACGAACCTTGTGGCGATCGTAGAGGGTGATGTGTAGAAGATGAATGGCGTTTTCCAAGTTGGAGATGGGAGGGAAGCGATAGGAGAGACCGAGGATGCGGGGGCTAATGGTCTAGTCTAGCGTTAGGTGGTGCTACGTAGGTGACCACTCTTAACCCGAACTATACGGCTCATACGACAAGACTTGGCACGTCCTTACTTCGTGTCGACCTCAATAGGACCATCTTCTTCTATGGGGCACACTGTGAGAGATCATAGAAATAAACCAAATCTCATGGCTCCAAGTCCGAGCAAGCTACGGGAGTCCTCCGTCATCGGCCCCACCTCCCCCTCACACGAACCTTCCCCTCTTCACAACATGTTCAATTCCTCGCGATTCCTGTCTGCAAAAGTCTTCACTTCGTTTTCAAATTCTGGTATGGTCCCCCGGGATTTCTGGTAGCTGGCAATTACTAACTGCAATTAGTGCGAACCTACACCATGGCGACCGACACTTCTGCGTACAAGCTCAACCGTTAGTAATCCATCTCCAACCCTGCATTCCGACACTGACCATGTCCCAGATACGATGCTGCGGGTCAAGGACCCCAAGCGATCGGTTGAGTTCTATGAATTCCTTGGCCTGAGTCAGGTCAACAAGCTGGACTTCCCCGAGTGGAAGTTCACCAACTACTTCCTCGCTTACAATGGCCCGGCCTCTCTTCAGGGAGACCGTCATTGGACTGACCGTAACGCCGTCCTGGAGCTCACTCACAACCACGGCACCGAGAATGATCCCAACTATAGCGTGGCCAATGGCAACACCGAGCCCCACCGCGGTTTCGGTCACCTAGCCATCGCCGTGGACAACATCGAAGCCGCCTGCAAGCGCATCGAAGACGCCGGCTATCCTTTCCAGAAGAAACTGACCGAGGGCCGAATGCGCCATATCGCCTTCGCAAAGGATCCCGATGGATACTGGGTGGAGATCATTAAGCGTAACGACGAGGCCCTGTCTACCACCACCGACCCGAGCACCTATCGCCTAAACCACACCATGCTGCGCGTCAAGGACGCCGAGGCCAGTCTGAAGTTCTACCAAGAGAAGATGGGCATGACCCTGGTCCGTACTATTGAGAACCCGGACAACAAATTTAACTTGTACTTCCTGGGATATCCCGCCGCCAACCCCGAGGTTAAGGACGGTGCTTCAAACAGTGTCGCGGAATGGGAGGGTCTGTTGGAGCTGACTTGGAACTACGGAACCGAGAAGCAGGAGGGCCCTGTCTACCACAACGGTAACACCGAGCCTCAGGGATTCGGTCACATCTGTGAGTTCCACCGTACCACTGGGTTTGATCCGACTCGTTAACCAATGGCCTGGCAGGTGTTTCGGTCGACGACCTCCAAGCAGCCTGTGAGCGCTTCGAGTCACTCAAAGTCGACTTCAAGAAGCGTCTGACAGATGGTCGAATGCACAATGTGGCGTTCATTTTGGATCCTGATGGATATTGGATCGAGGTGATCCAGAACGAGCGGATCAAGCGCACCTCTAACTGGTAGAGAGCATTCTTAGATGGTAACCAGCAATCTAAACCTGACCTTGGCAACCGTGCCAGGATTGTCCAGTCTTGGGGACTATCGTTGAGCATTACTCGGAATTGTACTCGTACTTTCTATGCGCGAGTGTTCTGCATGAGTGTAAAATGGAGCAGTCGGCTTGTTACGAATCGTCTCATAGGCCCTCTGGGTCGTTGGTGGACCCTGTTTCCCCCGCCCCCAAACGAACAGTTTAAGCTTGCCCATCTCTTGTTTTCACCCGGTCTTCTTTCGGATTTTTTGTTCTTCTTATTCGTATATATTGAACAATGAATGCGACTGCTCAGACTTGCCCAGGATGACTTGACACGCCGACTCCGCCTTTCCGGTTGCGCCTGCGATCCAGCTCCGACCGTAACCCCCGCGGCAGCCCCCCACGCTTTTAAACCAGGTCGTCCATTCTTCTCAAGCTCTCGGGCAGGGCTCCCGAACAATGTCGTCCGAGCCCGAGAAGCCGAAAAGGGCCCCTCGCAAACACGTTACGACGGCCTGCGTGCCGTGTCGTGAAAGCAAGATCAGAGTATGTACTTCCTCCTGCGGGGATCGGCGCCAGCATCTAATCGGCTACAGTGCGACGGCTCGACCCCATATTGTCAAAATTGTCAGCGAAAGGGCAAAGATTGCAAATATCAGCATGGGGATGACAAAAGGAAGTGAGTTAGGTTCTTGGCTTTTCAAGCATGCATTCGATCTTTTGCTCGTACAGGAAATTGCTTCCCTGATGTAACGAAGGCAAGATGAAACGCCTGTTCGGCTGACACGCATCCCAGAGTATCCCTCCGAGCTGCCACAGAACTGTTCTCTGCAAGAATTGACCAGCTTGTTCAATTCATTCGTGAACAGGGACTAGAGCCTCCGCCCATGAAAGCAGATGATGAGGCTGGCATGAACAGGGTACTAGACACCCTGCAGATTGCGCGCGGCGTCGCTACAAGCACAAGTGGCGTCCCCACTGTTTTGGAAGTAGAAGACAAGAAACAGAATGGAGCGTCAAGAACAAGTCCAAGTCAAAGCCCCCCGGGTACAACATCAAATGGACAACCACAACCCCCACAGGTAGTCGAGGTAGCAACCCCCGGCTCATCTTCTTCGCAGGGATTTGTTTCTGGTCAGCAAATGCCCGCGGTGGAACCGTGGAATCCATTTGGAATGGTGCGGGGAGCGTCTGACAATCAAAACTTCGTCCATTGGGGCTTCACTCTTCCCACCGCAGAAAGTCTGGACACTATTTACGCCAATTTTAATGGTGCGGAGCCAGGAAACCCAGTAAATACGGGCTTCAGCCCAAATAGCTTACATTTTGGCATGGATATGGCTCAGCAGCCCAGCGTTCTACTAGGTCAGATGCCGGTCGACCATCCAACTCATGAATCTGACAGCGAAGATGAGAACGAGGCTGAGAACGACGTCATTGAACAGTTGTCTAATCGAATCGGTACATTGCAGATCGCTGGAGACGGTCACTTGCGGTTCTATGGCGCGACTTCCAACCTCAACTTGGTGGATGTTTCCGCAACGCAACAGAGACAGAGGCCTGATGCGCGGACTGTTCGGCATGATGGTCAAGACATTTTGAATCATCTTCGGGTTGGCCAGCCCGTAGACAAGGAACTGGAAGATCATCTCGTCGAGCTTTACTTCACGTGGCAGAACCCGAGCGTTTATGTTGTTGACAAGGAGATGTACATGACTGCGCGGTCAAACTGGCGCAACGAATACGACGATACCCCATTCTACTCCGAAGTCCTCACCAATGCCATGTAGGTCTCTGTTGAATCGTTCAATTCAGTCTGAAATGCTAATATCTTGCAGGTGCGCCATTGGAAGTGCGTTTGAGGCAAGATACCATCCTACGTTCATCACATTTCCCAAGTCCTTGGCCGAATTCTTCTCAGACAGAGCCAAGGCCCTCTTGGAGATCGAGCTCGACTCCCCATGCGTTGCTACTGTTCAAGCCCTTGTCCTCATGAGCTGTCATGAGGGCGCGTCAAATCGCGATGCCCGTGGCTGGCTTTACAGCGGGATGTCTATGCGACTTGCTTTTGATCTGGGCCTGCATCTTGATATGACACCTTATGTCAACCAGGGCGACATGAGCCCCCACGAGGCCGATGTTCGGCGAGCTGCCTTCTGGGGGAGCTATGTCGCAGACCACTTTTGGGGCTTCTATCTGGGTCGTCCATTCCGTATGAACGCGGGGGATATCTCCGTGGCAAAACCTGCTTCCACCCTTGGTACCGAAACGGAAGAGACATGGCATCCATATGGACTTCAAGCTCCTTCTGATGCCCTCATCAACGGACTGCGGAACTCATCCGAGCTCGTTTGCAGACAATTTGTCGTGCTTTGGGAGATGATTTCTCCGGTTGGTCATATTCTGTTCGTATGCCCTGCCTTTGTCCATGGGTTTTCGCTAATGCCATTTCAGATACGGATGCTCCAATATTTCTCGGCATGACTTGCAAAGGCTCACTTCTCAGGTTACTGAAGATCTCTTTGCCTGGAAGGCCAACCTGCCATCAAGTCTGGAAATCGATCTGGTAGATGACACGACACCAAGACTTCCTCATCTCTTGATGCTACAGTAGGTCTACCGTGAGATTATCAAGAATCATATATGCTGACAGTGTCTCAGCATGCAATACCACCAGATCATCATTTTCTTCCACCGACCATGGGTATCCAAGAGCTACATCCAACCACGCAGCCCTCGCCAAGGACGAGGATACCACCATGCACGACGCATGTGCATCGAGTCTGCCACTGCAGTGGCACGTCTTCTCCACATCTACGAGAAACACTATTCATTTCGACGAATGAGCAATCAGGTCGTGGCCATCATCTTCAGTGCAGCCCTGATGCTTCTTTTTGTCACTGTATCAAGCTCTCCGTTGACGCACTCGCAGCCGGACGACACGAACCAACCCCATCCACGTAACGCGGAGATGGTTGCGTATCTCAACTTGTGCTTCCGCGCTCTTGATGAACTCGGTCAGTCATTTGAGAATGCTAAACGCACGCGCGATTACCTAGTCACCCTCCAGCGACGGTGGCAAGCACACATGCGCCGATCTGGCCCGGGCGCCAAACGACAAATCAGCAGCGCCAACCTCCCAGCTCTATCCCAGCAAAGGTCATATTCACAGCAAACCCGGAGTACGCATGGATCAGATGCCCGCAAGAAGACTCGCATAGCTGAGAATGACACACCTCGTCCACAGCATGACTCCTTCAACATGATGAGGTCACCCGCCATCAACAACTTCCAACCTAAGCCTGTTTCATCACAACAGGATCAGCCGCCTTACCCGCAACACCAATTCCCCACGCCTTCAGCTGAAACAGGTGATCTTGACTGGATTCGCAACCCCAACCTCGACCTATTGTCCGAGACTAATGGCGGCAGAGGAAATACAAATTCCAGGGAGATGTTCACACCCCAATTTCCCGAAGATACAGGCGTACTCCCAGACCTGGGTGACATAAATGGGTGGTGGGACTCCACAAATACGAATACCGGACTTGGAGGGCCATCTTTATAAATCTGTCGGCCCGGAATCCATGGACATTGGCTGTATGGAATAGACGTACATAGAGCACCTGGATATTCCCGTGCCTAATTATAGACATTGTACCTCGTACCCATTCTCACAATCAAATAATGGAAATTATGCAAGGATTTCTAATCCTCCTCTATTGACCCATCAAAAACGCTCTTGAACCAAGCCCCAGCCTCTCTCTCCAGACTACCAGCAACCCGCGCTAAAGTCACCTTCTTCTCTCCAAACCCCTTTTCCCGACCCCAAAAACACGCTCTTCGCATAAGAGATACCATCTCCTCACCTTGCTTCGCAAGAATGGTATGGCCTTTCAACTCCTGTTCAATCGACTCACCAAGCCCACCCCGTAGAAACACCCTCACCCAAGGCAATGTAACTTGCAACCTCCCAATCCCATGCTCAGACCCGGCCCAAGTCTTCTTACTAATCCCATAATCCAATCCATACGGCGGCCAGCGCGATACCGCCTTCCGACGGCGTACGACCGGAGCAGAAGGATTACACGGATCCTCCGCGTCGACATCCGGATAGACATCTCGATCCCAGACGGACCCATCTAAGACATCGAGCTGCTCGGCAGAAGTGAATTTGCGAGACTGCTTCAGCGTTGGCACGGGATACTCTGGACCAATTAGATACCGGGGAAATGAACGCGGCGTGTCTCGACCCGCAGAGCGAAGGAAGAGAATCGGAGATGCGAATGCATCGAAGCATCGCTCCGGTGAAGAGAAGAACCTTTCACGGGCTTGAATAAGTGGGACCAAATCTGCAGGTGCAGCAGAACCTGATATTTTCTTTTTGGGTGCTTTCTTCGTAGTATGGTGGCGCTCTGTGCTTATCTCAGTTCCTGGGTCTTCGATCGCGCAGTAGTCGTCTCAGACTGGGCCAGTCGCATACGGGCTCGTATGCTGCGACTGCTTCGACGGATTGCGCTTCTGTGAGGGCTAGCATGAGGGCTAAGGAGCCGCCGATATGAGAGCCGAAGACTGTGAGATGTGCTGGATTGAGATTGTTTTGGATCCAGTCGAACCCGGCGAGTGCGTCGTGGACTGGCGTTGGGTATTTATAAAAGTCTCCTTGGACGTTGGGGGTAGAATCTGAATCTTCGGGGGTTGGAGGTTGCACTTGCTCTGAGAAGGTCTTTTCAGGCAGGGCATTTTTGCCCTTTGGTCTGCCGAGGCGGTAGTTTATTGTGACTACCGTTGCGGAGGCCGCGGAGGCTAGGAGATGTTGTGGTGAGGACTCTTTTGAGTCTACATCGAACGAATCCGCTTTTTTGTGTGATTCAAAAGACGCCGCATCATCTTGAGCAGAACTCGCGTCGAACCCTTGGAATAAGGGTCCCGGTGGCAGGTAAAGAATCACATTTGGCCCTGAAGATGCACTCGTGGCGTGTGAATATGACGCGACCGGTCGCGTGACTCTAGCATCTCGTCAGTATAATCATGAATATACAGGGAATCAAGCCAAGCTCATACCTTAATTCCACCTCTCCATTGTGGCCGATAGGGAGCGCGAATGTTTCATCGACATAGCCAGTCGGTACAGCGTAGAATCGGACTGCGCAACAATGAACTATGGAAAATCCCTTGTTCCATGATCTCCTGGAAATTTGGAAAGCCAAACGGCTTGAGTGGTGTATCAAGGGGCGCATAGCACCATTGGAGATGAGAATTGTTGGTTGAAGATCGCGGGAGTCGAGACGGGGGTTTTCTTGGAAGTAGAAACCACCACCAAAGACCACCGATAAATGTATGAACCACTAACAATACTGGACTTACTCAATCGACTAATCCCAATGATCTGAAAAAAAAAAAGTAGAAATGCAAGAAAGAAGAAACGGTACTCTTCTCAAGATCTATTTCAATTAAAAATTGATTGTGTAAAGAAAATTCGCTGACGGTAAGAAATGGGTTTAGACGTGTTTTGAAAATCCGAACTATGGTGACAAACAGCATAATTGCATAATACAGTCAACTCTCGACACAGCCACCTTTTCATCTTTAACACATTTGGCACCGGCTCAATGGCAAAGCTTGAGAATCAAAAGGCGAGGGTCTTTCTTAAATGTGAGTGCCCCAAAACATCTTCTCAATGGTTGCCGACACAGCAGGATCATCCCGATCCAGAGCAGCCTCCATTTCATTCTCGGGAACAGGGTGTGCCACCTCTAAGCTGAGCTTGGAATCCTTGGAGTAGACTCGCAGCCCAACCACGCAGACGGCGTTCCAAGGATCGTCCGCAGGTCCTTCCAAGTCAAGGAATTTATGTGGCTGCTTATTGTCTGCCTCGTCCGCCGGCATATCAAGGTCGCTGTCGAACTCGAACCCTTCCAGCCACTCCAGGTCATTGCTGTCCAAGGTCTCATTGGCAAGACGCGCGTTGAGGCTCGGGCGCGGTGACTCCGTTCGCTGTCTTCTAGACCCGCTGGCGTGTCGTGCATGAAGACCGTTGAACTGGATGGTTGGGACTGACCCGTTCATCGTCGGGCGTCGTTCACTACCGTCTCTAGAAATACTCGCGATATCAGTGGGTGACTCTGTGGGCCCCTCGCTCAAGATTTGCTTAGGCATTGAAGTCCGCTCGGCGCCGTGGGGCCCCTGGCCAAGACGGCGGGTTTCCTGTCGTTGTTGTCGTGCATCCATTTTGCGATTCCAGATCCATTCCTTCTGCAACCTCCTCTTTGTCTCATCACGGATCTTTCTGCGCTCAGCAGCCTTTCTTCTTTCGTTCTCATATCGCTCTTGGTCGGTCTCGGCCACCAACCCCTTGGCATGCGCAAGGTCGTACGACAGCCCGACCTGCACGAGTTTCTCCCGCCGGCTTGAGGCAAGACGACGGACAATCTCTTCGGTCGACTCAACCGCTTCGTCCCGAAAGGCAGTAACTTTCATCAATACATGATAACGACCGGGGTCAAGATCGATTTCGGCATTCACTGATCGACCCATCAAATGGCTACTATGGCTCCGCACGAAGTAATCTTCTTCACCTTCTTTCTGGACACGGAACTTGAGAACGAAGCTATATTCGCCTGCCAACCCCTTGAAGTATCGAGTATCAAGCTGGGATAGCACGATGACCACTGGACCGGCCTGGGTCACATTCATGATGAACTTGGCACTGTGATAGTCGGCAGACCAGGGCACATTCAAGGTCGTCCATTGCTGAGTTATGATCCATTCGGGTCCGAAGAGACGGGTCCGGTCGAAATGCTGATATTTCCGTAAGAGATCCGCATAGGAGATCCAGAAGAAGCCGTCATTGCCAAACTTGTGACCGAGGAGCTTCATCCACTCCGCTGTCCACTGCTCGGAGCCATCGCCCCATGCACCGTGCCACTCCTTCTTGCCCCAGGGGTTCCTCAACCGAAGCAGGCGATGTCCTTGGATCTCACGGGCCTCCATGATGGAGTATGAGTGATTCTCCGTGATTCCTTTTCGATCTCGGGGAGGTCCATTATACATGGGGTCCAGCCAGTTCGAGAAGAGTCCTGTGCCACAACCGAACAGGAACTCCTCATTGACTTTCATGAGCTCCTCCTTCCAGAAGCGGTCTTTGTCCAGGATGTTACTCGATAGCACCTCAGATGTGACACCTCCTGTCAGGTCCTCGATGGCCTCTCCGACGAAACCACCCTCAATGGCCGAATAGTCACCATGGGCTTTGGCGAATGCCTTTTCCAGCAATGGCAGCCAGGTCTCATTTGGGTCCACACACTGTGCAAAGTAGAGGGCCCGCGAACCAGTTTGCCAGACCCGACGATACTCTTCTTCGCTGTCGGTGCGGTTGATGTCATCCCAGGTTTGGCGCTCATCAACCGACTCGTCATAATCTGCCGCACGCAGATAAAGCTTGTCATCGACAATATATTGCTGCCATTCGCCATCTAGTCCCGTTATGAGCACCATGGCGTCACTATTGGCATTTTTATTGACTTACCACGATAGAAAACAAAGCCATAGATGCCGACCGTCTCATTCCGAGCAACACACATCTTTTCGATCAAACCCTTCTTATTCCCCATCGTACACAAGGCGGCCATGAGCCAGCAGTCCCCATCACAACCCTGACGCACATCTGACGCCGTCGGTCCATTCACGAAGAATTGTGGGTTCTCGAAGATTTCCTGCGATCAAGTCAGAGTTTTGAACATCACCAGCATCAGCGCATGTCAACTTACTGTGACTCGTTTCACACCACGCGGCCTCATTTCCTCATTGACCTTGTCAAGGCCATCCAAACAGTGCCGCCGACCTGACTTGAGATCCAGCTCAATATCAAAGTGAGGATCAGTGTACTTCTGGTTTACTCGCTCACATTGCTTGACAATGCGGTCCACGGACTTCTGACATTCCTGCTTGGCTTGTTCATACGATTTCACAGCCTGCTGGCCCTGGACGACGCCATTTGGCACGCGCTTGGCCCGTGTACGAGCATACGGGTTATCCGGCAGCACGGTATACACCTTGCCAGGGTATTTAGTATTGAACTGCTCCCAGAACTGCTTGACAGATTCCTGGGGCGCTTGGCAACGCGGGCGATGCGGAGGTCGACTGTTCGAGCGCGAGGACGGAGTGCGGGTGGGATTACCATACCCCATATCATCGTAGTCCTCCATGGTAAGCGTGATGAACAAGTTCTCGGTTCGAAGAGGTGTTAATCCCACAGCACTCCAGACACGGAAATTGCAATTGATAAAGTAATGATCACATAAGATGAAGATTGAAAGAAGGCAGTGCAGCCATTAATGCCACTTCGACAACTCTTTCCCCGCTACGTTACCGCTGCACGGCCTCAGCCACGGCCAGTCCGGCCGGACCAAGACGAGAACTGCCCATCAGCGCGCATAGGATTTGCGGACGACACCATAAGGCTGCAGGGGCGTGCGTTAAACTCGAAGTGGGCCGCGATAGGAACACGCGCAATGGCCGCGGCACGGCCCCCAACTTCCCGTTTCTGTTCAGCAGGGCCAATATGGCCCCCAACTGCGCGCAGAAATCATGGAAGTATGCCTGGCGTATGCACGATGACTACCAGCTCGGACTAGCTTTCCAATTATAATCCGTTGCGATGTTAACGCCAGGGTTTGGCTTGTGGAGTGGGGGCGCCTTTCAGCTCTGATACGAGGTTCATGTCCGCTTGGGTGGCTGATTGGATATGATAACCCCGAAGCTGAGTGATTCATCTGGCGTTGCATACTTCGGGTGCATCCCATGAACATGCAGGCTGAAGTAGCGTATATGGAGGCTGAAAAGCAGTCATGGTGCCCTGGCAATGATCTATACTCCTGCACTTTTTAGCTTAAACCATTTCCCTAGGGGGTAGCATGGGGCTGATGGTCCGAAAGGGGTATGTACGCCTTGCATTTGACTGAAAGCACTTGTATCAAAGTAAGCCTGCCCTCCTAATCACTCCCCCATGAACGCCAAATACATAGAAGAGAAGAAAAACGGAACAAAAAAGAACGCGTATCCCCCGGGGCATCAACTTCGTGTGCAGTCCTCTGATGTGAATGAATAAGGTTACACGGTAAATAATCTGCATCGAAATCCGCTTAGTGGTAACCGTTTCGCGCGCCGCTGGTGCGGCCCGAATAATAAGAGCTGCCGTTGCGGAAGTAGGGGTGCATGCAGGCCTGCTTCGCTGAGAGTCGGTGCGCTGGGTCGTACTCGAGCAGGGCCTCCAGGAGCTCGAGGCCAGCTTGCTCGAGACCAGGAACAATGGCAACATCGGGGCGTTTCCACTTGGGGAATGTCGCTTTGTAGTCAGGGAAGGATGTGACACCAGGCCAAATTTCTTCGTCGGGAGTGCCAAGAACACTGCAGCGATAGAACGTCAGCGGATGAATCTATCAAAAACATAGATGGACACTCACCGGAAGATCTTGAAGATTTCGTCGATCTCCGAATCGCCGGGGAACAGAGGCTTGCGGGTGCACATCTCGGCGAAGATGGCACCGACGGACCACATATCGACACCGGTGGAGTACTGGCGGCCTCCAAGCAGAATTTCGGGGGAGCGGTACCAGAGTGTAACAACCTAGGATTAAATGTATCAGTGACAAGCTCTTTAGGTTTCCGAGTTTGGTGCTTACCTCGTGGGTGTAAGTGCGCAGGGGGACACCGAAGGCTCGGGCCAGACCAAAATCGGCAAGCTTCAGGTTACCCTCGCGATCAATGAGCAAGTTCTGAGGCTTCAAATCACGATGCAAGATACGGTGACTGTGACAGTACCGGATGCCCTCAACCAGCTGTGCCATGAACTTCTTCACCATGGCGTCGCCTAAGCCGAGGCTTGCCATTGATGTGGACCCATCGGGGAGAGCTTTGCCACGGCCACCCTCGCTGACCGGCAGGGCCTCCATGTATTTCTTTAAATCGAGATCGAGAAATTCAAAGACGAGATAGAGCTTGTGACCATCGGCGTGGACAATATTCAGCAATTGAACAATGTTGGGGTCCTGCATTTCTTTGAGAAGCGAGATCTCGCGGATGGCGGTACTGGGAACGCCCTCATCTTCGGCTTCCAGGCGAATCTTCTTAAGAGCGACAATTCGGTTTGGATGGGTCAACTCGCGGGCCTTGTAGACGACACCGTACGTGCCTAGAGACGAGAGACGCGTGAGCCAAGTTCCGACAAGACAATATCATTAACCGCGTCAACAACACGTACCTTCACCGATTTTCTCGATTTTTTGGTAATTATCCATGGCGGCGGAGACTTCTGATTCAACTTTACTGATGGTCATGTTAGAAAAGTGAGACTGGCGGAGAAAATGGGGGCGAATGCGGGTTGGACGGATTATGTGGAATGAGGAAGAAGCAAGGAGGGACACGAGGGGGAAGGAATCAATGAGACTAACATGCTATCGGAAGTCGATCTCTGAGACCACTGAGCTAGTCAAGCGAGGTCTCGACACCCGAAGAGGTGGAATTTTGTCGGATTGAAGATATTCACCGAGCAGGATCGTTGCAGTAGTGGGGAGAAAAAACAAACAACCCCCGCGCTGAGGCGGTGAGCGCGTACTTTGAGTGTCCGTCGCCGATCTTTTTGAAGTCCGCATCGCCATGGCCCAAATCAAAGGCCTCAATGCCCACGACCGCCCTCCGGAGGCTGTCCGGCTTTGTTTCAAGAAATACTCGAAACTTTCTCTGTCAGAGATCAACAATGATCCCGGCATCCTCGATCTACAGAGGGTGGATCCGGACAACCTACCGCCTAGCCTGAGCATCTCGCAGTATATGTCCAGCCAAGAGCTTCGGCTGGCATTCGATGATTTCATTCGCGGCGGACATGCTTCCGGTCAAGACCATGCTCCCTTGGCGGAAGACTTGCCAGTCTATACTCACCACTCGGTATCCGGTCAGCCTCGACAGTTCTCCAAACTGACATTCGCAGCTCAAAGAACCCTTCCTAACCTTCCACAGGTCTCTTGATGGTACCCTCCATATTCCCTCCCACCATCCAGACAGAACTACTGTCACGCTTGCTGCACCGAGACCTTTCCAACCCGGAACATAAAACCAATTTGCACCTGCATTACGAAGTCACGTACCCAGAAGGAACAGACAGCACTGCTACCAGAAAGTCGTTCTTCGCAGACGATCCTACGCGCACACTGCAGCCAAAGGATCCGTCAGTTCACAAGCCCCTCGATATCCAGAGTGTGCTCGAGAAGAAGCTCCGCTGGGTCACATTGGGTGGCCAATACAACTGGACCGACAAGGTTTATCCTCCGGAAGCCCCGCCGCCATTCCCATCAGACGTCGCAAAGCTACTCAAGGCTGCATTCCCCGAAACTGAGGCGCAAGCTGCTATCCTGAATCTGTATTCGGCTGGCGACACCCTGAGTGCGCATCGAGACGTAAGTGAGGATTGCGATGTGGGCTTGATCAGCATCAGCTTCGGGTGCGATGGGTTGTTTCTCGTTAGCCACGATGACGGCAATGGGGCGGAGGTTATTCGGCTTCGGTCAGGCGATGCCGTGTACATGAATGGAACGTCTCGATTTGCCTGGCATGGGGTTCCTAAGATTTTGCCCTCTACCTGCCCAAGCTGGCTGGCGGACTGGCCGTCTACTGGACACAATGCGCCGAATGCTCTTATTGATCCTTATGACATGTGGAAAGGCTGGATGTCTGGCAAACGGATCAATCTCAATGTGCGCCAGATGACTGTGTCACATGCCCGTGAAATGACGAAGTCCATGTCTATCCAATTTGTAAACGAGGCAAGCGATGCATACAGCCGCCACTACTTCCTCTGGGATCTAGTATTGTTGGGGTATCTCAACTTTTGTGCTAATTGATCACTGCACCCCTGAGCTGAACAATTCGGAGAAGATTGGTGTCAACAGTCTTTCTTTGAGATGTTTCTGACACCTACTTGGACAGGTACCTCTTGAATGGCACATCGACTTGAATCTCACCCCATCATTTGGCATATGGGCTTGTCGAACAAGTTACAGGTCAGCCTTGCTTTCTGTCAAAAGTCCGAAACTCCCTGACCTGCCAGTGTAATCACAGACCAAAAACAGTGCACGTTGTTCTGAATGATACATTGGAGAGTTGTGTCGCCCGAGAAGATTGCCTCGGATGTTGAGATCCGACGTGACATTATCTAGGATCTACATAGATGGGGTCTAACGAATACGAGATAAAAGACTGTTGTACTTGTGAGGCGGTTGGGCTGAGTCTGCGCGGGGATAAAGCCCTTCTCCAACCGACCCCAACACCCCCGCTCAGCACGATAAGCGTAGTTCGATTTAAACCGAGTGTACTGCACAAGAGTTATTATTTATCATCTCATTCCACTCATGACTGATTCCAACTGGTCTGCTCGAGGTGAGGCTAAGCGCCAATCCATTCTTAATGCGATTCCCGAGATCTGGCGACTGAAGGGTCCTATTCCCTCGGCGGTCGAACAGCGTGATGTCACGGGAACCTATATTCAACAATTCCTCAGCAAACGTGAAATCGAAATCACCGAGTCTGATGCGGTTGACATCGCCGCTGAAACGACGTCAGGACGCTGGTCGGCTGTCGAAGTAACCCAGGCCTTCTGCCATCGCGCCGCAATCGCTCATCAACTGGTCCGTCTCTCGTAACAGACCTCGCCGTCTCATGCTAAGAAAGTGAACAGGTTAGTTGTCTACATGAGATTTTCTTTGATGCAGCAATCGAAGACGCAAAGAAGCTCGATGCCTATTTCGCAGAGCACAAAGCGCCTGTCGGGCCACTGCACGGTCTTCCCATTAGTTTGAAAGACCAATTCCATGTAAAAGGTGTCGAAACTACCATGGGGTACATAGGCTGGATCGGCACTTTCCAAGGCCGGCACGATGATCCACGCCGAGCTACAAAGGAAAGCGAGTTGGTAAGGGAACTGCGCAACCTCGGTGCCGTACTCTATTGCAAGACCAGTGTCCCAACAACGCTGATGGCGGGTGAAACCGTCAACAACATCATCGGCTACACATGGAACCCCAAAAACAGACTTCTGTCTTGTGGCGGTAGTTCCGGCGGCGAGGGAGCGTTGATCGCGTTGCGAGGGTCGCCCGCCGGCTTTGGGACTGACATTGGTGGCAGTGTGCGCATTCCAGCTGGATTCAATTTCTTGTATGGACTACGCCCTTCTTCGGGCAGAGTCCCCTATGAGAGTACTGCCAATTCGGCGGATGGACAAGGTACTATCTTGTCGGTTATTGGACCACTTGCGCCGACTGCGCGATCTTTGACGTTGTTGTTCAAGGCTGTTCTCAGTCAACAGCCGTGGCTGCATGATCCGCTTGCAGTGGAGATCCCATGGAGGGACTCTATCGTTGAGGATACGCGCAAGTTGATAAATGGGGCTACAGGCGGTACTTCGTCTCTGGCCTTTGGGATGATGCCTTTCAATGGTATAGCTCAAATCCACCCGCCCATTGCGAGAGGCATGAAACTTGTTGAGCAGACTTTGAAGCGACTTGGACATAAGATCATACCGTGGAATCCCCCGTCCCATGAGAGGGCTCATGATATAGCTGTATGTGCTCCTTGACTCCATGTAAAAGGTGCCCATAAGGACCTTTTTAACATTTACCAGGCCAGAACATTCGACATGGATGGCGGTGCAGACTTCAAACATCACTTCAGTCTCTCCGGGGAGAAGCAGGCGAAACAAGTCATAGTCCAACAAAACGGGCGGCAGATGGACGCGTCAGAGATTGCTGCTCTCAATATCACCAAGCGTGAATACCAGAAAGAATACATGGACTACTGGAATAGCACAGCAGCTCTCACTGGCACTGGGCGTCCTGTGGATGGATTGTTCTGTCCATTGGCACCTCACGCAGCAGTCATACCCGAGCACTACGAGCATGTGGGCTATACAGTGTTTGTCAATGTGCTAGACTATACCAGCATCTCTATTCCGGTGACGTTCGCGGACAAGACGGTAGATGTGCGGGGAAAAGACGAGTCTTTGTCTGCTGACTATATCAACTGGAACTGTGAGTCTTTGCTTGTCCTTCTCGGAATACTATCACTAACGTACTCTCAGATGATGCGGATACTTATGATGGAGCGCCTGTTGGTATTCAACTTGTAGGAAGAAGACTGCAGGAGGAGAAGATGCTCACCATTGCGGAGTACATTGGGCAAGAGATTGCTCGCGACATTTGACAAATTCGATCTGCAGGCGAGGATCAATATGTTGATCAAATGGATTGAGTGTTCTTAGCTTCTGTGCTTCAGGACTTTTGTTCTGGGGAGATTCTCTAGCACCCAAGTCCCTTGGAAACCCTAGATTTAGCTCCAACATCTCTTTTTCCGCACCAATTTGAAGTCGCGCTGCTTCTCTATCAAAATAAACTTTCTAACTGAGGGCGTATCAGCTGCGTTTCTTTTGTTGTTTTCATCGTTTTCCAAGGAGCTTTGCATGTCATGAACATATTCTCTTAGTTGTATAAAAGTACAGACAGAGTAAGTTTGGATTTTCAAGGTTTGAATTATTATATCGTAACGTTGATTATACATCTTGTTCAAAGCTCGTGTCTCGTTGATTCAGATGCATGACAATTCCCATGGATTCATGGGATTTTATTTCACAGGAAAAAGGTCGCTATGCACGTATATATGGTGAGGTGAATTTGAGCGCTAATATATTGCCCTACCCAGCTCATCAGCAAGTTTAATCTCAATTTCATTGTTACAGAGGCATTGGGATTACCTGCACATGTATTGTGCTAGCCTCGAGAAGAAGACGGGGGCGTGTGATTGGAAGGCGCAGCCAGGTTGGAGAGAATCGGGGTGGAAGAGTGCCAGGTACCAGGTCTGCTGGCCGGTGGCTCGGCGGACGGTGCATTTGGACCGTCTGATCCATTCATCAGCCTTGGGCGTTTATTTTGATGGCTCGGACCGCTGCCACCTGGTGGACTGCGGGGATCGGCATGAGAGAAAGGAGAAGCGTAATTTGTGGACGAAGCTGGGGTTGATGTGTTTGCGGGATCAGGACTCATCGCGACAGCAGCTTGCAAAGGGCGTAAACGATTAGGGTGAGATGAAGTATCCTCGCCTGGCCGTGGAGGAGGAGCGTCAGGGCTCTGGCGGCGACCGTTGTCCGATTCCATGAAGCCGCCTGCATTCATACCATAGCCCACCCCGATGCGGCCCATGCCCTTGTCATGCATAATAACTCGCTTCCACTTGGCAACCACGTTATCGTAGTCCCATCGCGCCGAGTCGGGGCTGATGTGACTCCCTTTTGCGTCAAGTTCTCGGGTTATAACTCGGGCAGAGGGAGCGTGTCTGGTGGGAACAAAGCGAATTCACGAGGCCATTGGCAAGCCCCAAGACGCTCAACCTGGGCACGCAATTGATTTGCTTCCTGTTGGACCCTCGCAAGCTGCTCGTCAGAAGACTTGCGTTTCTCAGCTTCGCGGGAAAAGGCACGCATAATTTCCAGCGACCATGCCTCACGACGGGCCTCAAGAGGCAGTGTACTCCAATGGTTAAACGCCAGATCCAGGTGCCTAAAACTGATTTCCTCATGCTGCTGAGCCGTACGGTAGACCATTCCATTATCCATGCCGCCGCCTGGGCATCTTGAGTGGGAGGTGGAATCCGCGGCGAGCTGATCGGACTGCCATTGTGCGATCTTGGAGCGAAGTGCTTGCCGGACTATATCGAGGTGTTCCGCGCCCGGTGCTTGGATCGGAAATGATGTAGGAGAAGAGAATGGGTGGGCCGCGAATAGGCTCGGAGGGGGAGGGAGGAGATGAAGACATAGAGAAGGGAATGTCTGAGCTTGAAGATCGAAGTCGAAGGGAGATGGCCGAGGTCGGAAGCCCGAAGCAGCACTGACAAAACATTAGCTTAATTCGATGGGGTAAAAGAGTCAATAATGCATACGTTGCGGCCTTGATATTGTCTAGCACCTCGCGTAATGCCAGCTCCAGCGCCTTCATTGTATCCGGATTGTTCGCTGTCGCACCACGACTTGCGTAGTCCGGCAGCTGCAGCGATCCCGTCCGAGCGGGTGTCGGCACAGCCCGAGGTCCATCTCAGGGCACGACTCGGATTGGGGATGTCGTTGATGACACCAGTTGCGTGCCAGGTGGGTGTATTGAACATCATACGCACGGGAGCTTCCCGTGACTTCGTGCTCGATTCCCCCGCTGGATAAGGCTCCGTGGAGCTCTTACTCAGATCGTGATCGGGGCTTCCATCACGCTTGCCAGAGGTCGTGCGAGCCTGTCGACGTGTGATCCCACTACGGATGCGCCGAATCTCCTCAACATCGTGAACGCCGTCGGGCTTCTTTTTGAAAAGGAACTGGTCAAGGTGGCGGCCGAGGGATGAGGATGTAAACGACTGGTTGCAGTATTGGCATTTGCGATCCTTGGCCGTCTGATTATTCGTCGACTTCGTGGCCGAGTTTTGGCTCTCGTCACCGCGCGACTCCTCGGGGGTCTCTCTGGGAGTTTCTTCCTTCATGTCGGCGCGAGTGCGAGGGTACGATAATAGGGTGGGGTTGTGTGGATATGGGAGAGACCGCCAATTCAAGCGAAGATCAGCATGACTTCAAGCAATCGAGCATGCGCATTGTGTATTCGGAGAAAGAGGTCGGGGGCGTTGGTTGAAGAGAGGAGGCGCCAAGCTTTTCCGGCGCGGAGCTAAGGTCTTTACGAGAGCGGTGCAACCCTACAGTTCTATATCTCATTGCTCGCTTTCGATCCAAAACAATTTATTCCCGAAAGTTGTTTTCTAAAAAGATAAATATATAAAATAGCAATATGACATAGCTCTAGTGAAATCAAGCCCCACTACTCTTGCCACTCTTGGTCCTGCGTTCGCTGAGCCACCGCTTGAAATTTCGAACACCGTGGAGGTATAGCCATGAGAAGAAAAACACCATTAGAAAGTTGAAGATAACAAAGGCCCAAAAGATACCCTATGTAACTTTTAGCACCACGCGATAAATGATTTGTTAAATGATTTGTAATAAGAACTCACATAATTTCTCCATTTGTGGGAATAAAAAACGTTGAAACTGGCAGCCTTCATCTTGTTAGCCTCGGGTTGCCTGATGGGTGATTCATAAATACTTACGAATTGGTCACCTTCAGAATATTGGCAATATGCACACATCCCGTTTGCTGCATCACGAACATAACCTCCTGCTTCTCGTGCATAAGCACCTGCATATTCTTGGCAAGTCATGCCGGAAGGCGGACTAAAATGGGCTTCTTCGCGCTCCACACATTGCACGGGCACGTTGTGAGTGGCAACACCCAGGAATCCCTCGAGCAAATAATGGAAAGGCGTGAGCCAATACATCCAAGATTGCCAGAAATGAGGTAGAGCTGCATAGGGAACGACAACACCGCAAAAGGCGACGACAAAGGTGAAGAACGAGGGGACTAGCAAAGACGCAAATAGCTCATTCGGGGCAAAGGCTGCAATAAATTGGCCAAAGCCAACATAATAGCACTCAAACAACATGAGAAGCATCCATGTATAGCCCGCGCTGAACGAGTCGCGAGGAAACCAGATGCCCCAATACCTAGTTCTTGTTAGATATTCGAAACTTCACAGAAACAATGTCACTTACCAGCAATTAAAGTACACAGATCCTGCAACAATTGAGTATGGAAGCTCCGGCAAAATTGTGCTTATTACGAATGCAATCCAGGAGTAGATTTTGGAGCTGGATTCGCGCGACTCGTAGATCCCTCGAAAATGAAGGTATCGTGGCTGTAGCTGCTGAATAAGAGGGGGCGAGATAGTGAGGGTCATAAAGATGGAAAAGAGTCTCGACTGCATGTCAATATAGCTGTTTCCAAGATGCCAGAACGTGAAAGTATTGAAAAGGCCGGTGAAAATATGAAGCATCATTTTGCCCTGGAACAAAGTATTAGCGAGCACGATCGCCAGATTTATGGAGATTATATGAAATGCCATACCAGAATATAATCAGGGAGTCTCCAATATGCCACGAATGCTCTTCTAGTCACTGCCACAATCTGGGTATAGAGAGGCATCGCGTATTCCCGATCATCTTTGATCTTGTCGTCGTCTTGCATCTGACGGCGGGAGCTGATAATGTTCTCTAGCTCTTCTGTCAGCTTCTTAGATTCTGTCGAGTTGGCCCATACATCGCCCCAGTCTTGGCCCTTATAATCCGGGTTGCCAGCGCCGATGACCTCGAGCATGTACTGTAGATGTGTCAGAGAAACCCTAGGTATAGATCAAGAGTCGATGGTAAGCACATACCTCCGCCGGGTTGGCATCAGGTGGGCACTTTTTTCCTCCGTTACGCTTAAAGTAGTCAATCAAGGTCTTTGAATCGTGCCCAAGAGCCCCGTTGTATACCACCCGACCACCACTTTTCAGTAGAAGAAGCTCATCAAATTGCTCGAAGAGCACAGCCGAAGGTTGGTGGATGGTGCAAAGCACGGCCTGCCCTGCATCTGCCAATCTCCGAAGGAAACGGACGATATTGAAAGCTGCGAGCGAGTCAAGACCTGAGGTTGGCTCATCCAGAAACAGAAGTAGTTCTGGTTTGCTGGCAAGCTCCACTGCAATAGTGAGTCGCTTTCTCTGCTCTTGATTCAACCCAGATCCCTGAGATCCGACCGTCGCGCCAGCAATAGGCCGCATTTCGAGTAGGTCGATAATCTTCTCGCAATAATCGTATTTCTCTTGCAATGGCACTTCTTTAGGCTGACGTAAGAGGGCTGAGAAACGGAAAGACTCTCGCACAGTTGCAGTCGGTTCATGAATGTCCATTTGTTCGGCAAACCCGGTCGCTCTTTGAAAACTCTTTGGAAGCGGTCTATCATTGTGAGATGAGCGAAGCTACTGGCTTTCGGAGATATCACTTACTTTCCATCGACCAAGAAACTGCCAGTGACGACGCCGAAGTTGATTCTCTGCGCCAAGGCATTGAGGAGTGTCGTTTTTCTTGGATCCGGTTAGCATTGTTTCTTTCTCACTTTAACCAGCCTCGCCACTTACCCTGCACCAGATGCACCCATCAACGCTGTAAGCCGACCGGGCTTGACATAGCCGTGAACGTCTTGCAGCAACTTCAATTGACCACCTTTATAGGGGATTGTATAATTCACGTTCTGCCATGTGAAAATCGATGTATTCTTGGCAATGTCCTGGACTTTCTCTTTTGCCTCTTCATCCTGCATTTCGGGCGTTGCACCATCCTTTGTCGTTGACTCTTCATCCACTGATCGCCTGGTATTCTCGATTGCATCTTCGACTGCCTTCGGTGCTTCACCTCTCTTGAAAACAGTCACAGAGCTTCCGCCCTTGTTAGGCTTTTGAATCTCCATTCCAAGCATTGTCAGAGCGACGAAGAACAGAAACCATCCAATGATGATGCCGAAGTTGCGCCACAAGTGCGAGCGAGAATAAGTGTAGGCGGTTTTGATATAATCAGCCCCATTGACAGTTAGCTGATCGGGAGTGCTTCCTTGAATAGCGCAGGTCTGATGACCTAGGGATGCGTTTGGACCCGCAGGAACAATGTACGGTGGCTCGCATATGATATCGAGATTGTAAAACTCGTTAGCCATCAATGATTCGAAAGCGTACTGTACGGGATTGATCCAAATGAGCCATTTGAGCCACGGGTGCATTTTCCACGGCGGGATGAGGTATCCTGATTGTTTATGTTAGTCGATCCTACATGGGGTTCCCCAATATACGCACCCGTGTATACAACAAGTGCTTGGATTGCGACTCCAGTAAGACGAGTGGCTAGATACGAGTCAGCGTAATACCGAAGTTTTTCATGCAGATGAGTTTACCTATGTCCAATGATGCACATAACGCCCCGAGAGATCGGAAGAATGAGTACATGGTCATGGTGAGGATGAAAATGAAGAGCAGGTTGATGAAAAATTGTGAAGGTGTTCGTGCAAGATTGGCCATGCTGCAAAACGGGGTTAGCTATGTATGGGCAATGGGAATGAGGTTGATCGTACAAATAGACTATCACGTCAAAGAGCACAACTTGGATAAATACCAACGGCACATCCACCACAACCTGCGCTAAGGCATACGCTGATGGACGATAGAAAGAACTGGCTCTGTTAGTGCGTTTCTCTGCGAATACAGCAAGTCGAGGGGAAACGTACAAGCTCTTGTGTTTCAAGAGAATTGGTCGACTATGAAATGCCGACGTAAGCTCTGCTAAAGCAAGCAAAGCATTGAACAGCAGAATGAAGAACATGACACCTCCCCTTGTGAAGACCCCAGAGCTAGAGAAGAATTAGTTTGGACGTCTTCAGAGCCCTGACTTTTGACTGACCTTGTATTGGGGAGGTCGTAGAACAGACTTCCCACGATCAAAGCTTGAAAAATAATGACTCCCCACTTCCCAGCCAGCGCCGCTCTGTCTCCAAACATCACGAGAAATTGTCGATGAGTAAGGATCATAACCTGCTTCCAAAAGGAGACAGTGTAATTCTTCTTCTTGATGTTCTGCCTGGCGGCCTCCTTTTCGTGCTCCTCTTCTTGTATCTCTTGCTCAAACCTTTCCACATCGGTGAGGGACGCCTTGAAAGCATCGCTGTGACGATATGCAGCTTGAAACTCATCGGCGGTACGGGGAATTCGGTCTTCCCAGCCAGGTTTCACTCGTCTTGCATGTGGATCGCTGACAGACGTTAAGAAATCAGGGGTTGTCCATCGCTGCGGACATTCGAAACCGAGTCGTTCAAAGTATGCCTTGGCGTCTTCGGAGCGACCGAAAAATGCGCATTTTCCATCTTCAATCAGGATGACTTTATCAAACAGATTGAACAAATTCTCGGAAGCTTGGTAAAGAGCGACTAAGGTTGAGACGTGTGCAGTATTGGTCAAACTTCTCAGGCTCTGGACATACTCGAGTGCTGTACTCGCGTCCAGACCCTTTGTCGAGTTGTCCCAACATTGTGTGCTAGCCTTGGTGATCATCGCCTCTCCGATCGATACTCGCTTTTTCTCTCTGGAAACATCTGAATTAACACCAATTTGAAGCTCCAAGCTTTGGTATATGTGATTCTACTTACCCTCCGGAAACTCCTCGGATGAGCTCGTTGCCAACTTTAGTTCCTAAAGCATGCTCGATCCAGAAAAGCTTGGCGATCGCTGAAAGAAACGTCTGCTGGTAATCTTTTCGACTCTCGCCTGGAATTCGTGAAGATTTATCTGGAGTTCGCGTCTTGAGAGCGAAAAGCAAGGTGTCGCGCACACTCAAAGTAGCGTAGTGAAGATCATCCTCAGGATTATATGACACTTTTCCAATTTAGTTGATAAACATCACTGAAATCGGGCAACACTTACCTTCTGATTTATAGCTCTTTGCCATAGTGGACGAGTCAGTTCCGCCATACCTCACATCGCCGTCGATGCTCTCATAACCAAATCGCTGATTGCCAACCACCTTCAGAAAGGTTGAACAGCCAGATCCAGGGCGACCCAATACAAGAAGCATTTCTCCCGGTCGGACGCAACCAGTAAAGTCATTCAGAATCGTGCGAATATTGGCCTTCCCAGCTCCAGTAGTTTTTCTTCCCCGGGTCAATAAATTTCTGATCAACCTTGGAATACCAAGAAAGATATCGCCATTGGTCGGCTGGAGAGCTGCTCCTAGGCCGACACCTTTGACCGTCAAGTTCTTCCAGACTACTCCGGCATGTCTTGTCTTTTCTTCCTCGGAATTGGCTTTTCGCTCTTCACCAAACATCCGAGAAATCAACCGTTCGATCTGTGCCCATTCTTCATCCTCATGGCCGGACGCGTAACTGCGTCGGCGAGTCAACGTTCGTGCAAGACTTCCATCAGTCAGTCGAGCGTCTTCCGTGTCTCCATTAGACTGGTTTGTTGGTGCACTGCGAATCGGAGCAAAATCTTTCTCTTGGCCGGACTCAGACGATGTATCGATACTTGCAGGAGCAGATTCGGTTGAAGCGCGCCTTTCTTTTCCCGACCCCAGGGTCGTACCACTTTCGGGACGATCCTGACTCATAATGACCTTTGAAGACAAACTTATTCGATCAAGGTAAATATGATGGCAGTATGCCACTGATAAAGGGCTTAGAGACAAACAAGATCGCACCGTGGGGACATATTAATTGTGCTAAATCAGACTCAATGTACCACGTTGATTACCAACCGCCGATCTAAAAAATTCAGCTGATGTTCAGGGGATGGGCAGTAGTTACGTCAAGCATCATAGCAGCAAGATTGTGGTACTCGGCGTCGGAGCTTAAGGCTCCCGGGCAGCTTTTCCAAAAGCCGACTACATCCAAGCAGGGGTCCTGTTTATGGCCCAATGATGTGACGAGGGTTGCATGAGCACATTCCGATTATGGGAGCTGCACGTCTCGATCTGGATGGTTGTACCATGCGCATTACACCCCGGATTTCGAAGTTCCCGGACCGCGGAGGTTATAGGCCCGATCATGAAGTCATCGATCTCCCGATCTTTGATGGGTATCTTTGATCGGTCTAGGCCCTTGCAATTGCTTGCTGAATATCCCTGGCCTTAGCTTTCAAGTTAAGCGACCGGTTAATATCTCCGGAATTTCGATCTATCAGTACGGCCACTTGAACCCTTGTTAGTATAGTTCCTGCTAAACACCTTCCTCTACCTTCACGCTTACACACACTGACTCACCTCCTTTCGAGCGATTATAAAGTCGACATGGCGCTAATACTGTTCGGGGTTGCGTGTCCTCAGGTGAAACCAGGACAGAATAGATGCGTGTTCACCTTGGCATGTTGCTCAGGAAACATGTCCTTTAGACATTTTAAGACATATTTTGCCACCATTCAATCCACCCGACCTTACACAAGTGATGAAAAAATAAAACAAACCGTCGGCTTCGATCTTGAGATGGTGCACGTTTGAAGCAAACGCATCCAACTGCGTGCAGCACAAGAATGAGTTTGTTTGAGCGTATCCTCATATTATCGTCACTAGTGCATCATAACAGAATCGAGCCTTTGGAGATCGAATAAATCACCATTTTGCCAATGATCAGCTCTGACTGATATTAAGATCTAGCTAGATTGGCTCGGAGATGACCAAGGACAGGAACGCAAGGGGACTAGACACTATTGTACGGAATATTGTCTCAACATGACAACTTTGAATGGCCACCGCCTTCTTACTGCCCAGCTTGGATACCGAGAGGGCGACTTGCCTCGCGTTGTGAGGGTCGCATAATCAACTACTCAGGAAGTTTTGGTCAGCCTTACTTGAAGCCGATAGAGGGATGATCTACTACGATGATGTTACGGGAGATCGCACCCGTATCAGTCGACTTCTGTTGCTTGCCAAAGAGGCAGGCACGATGTCGTTTAGCGTATTCCTTGGCAACAAATCTTTCGCTTCTAAATTCCCATCTTAGATGCTCCCAATCGCGGGTAGAATTCCTTGCAAACATTCGACCACATTTCCATCTCGGATCTCGAGTATCCGGCTTTAATTCTGACAGCATGCGAGCAAAAAATTGCGTTACGGAACAGACTTTTTTTCGATCTTGCAGAAATCAGAACTTGGCGAAAATGACCTGGGACCCTCAGAGGGGACACAACCCTCCAAAGCAGAGCATCTTGCTCTTGTCGGAGGGATAGCAAAAAGAATTACGGAGCACGACAGTCAAACAGAGAGGTTGAGCTATTCCAATTGCGAGGAAGCAAAGATACATTCCGCAGACTGCTGATGGGCCTATAGGTCGTGACGTGTGCGAAGCTGCAGCTCATAGCAGAGCCGATACAATACTTGACCTCGGTGATATTCGCTTTGACTGGAATTGCGCTTTTCTTGTAAGACTGAAACACAACACAAATTGAATCAATGACTTCTATGAAAAGCACTTCTCATCTCAGGTTCAGCAAGTTAAATTTGCTCGTTAGAAATGGGCATCGTGGAAGAAGACTGCGCCTACCCCCACATGTATTTGCTCTTGTTATACCTATCAACTCACATTCACTTATACTTTTAGAAATCAATTCCTCCTCATGAGCTTGACTGGGAGCAACATGAAACCATACCTCTGTACCGATTGTCTTTTTTTATGCCTTCAAGGCATGGGCATGATGGAGCCCCGGAGGTCTAGAGTAGGACTTAGTTAAGTTAATAGCATTCTAGCGGTAAGCTTCTCCTTTGACAAGTCACTTTATTATATGATTTCAAACCTTCATACCTTCGCAGCTAATGCTCAAACTCAATCTACGAGTCCTAAGATGAAGGTAGAATCGCGGAGATTTCCCTTACACTAAAGGTAATGATCTGAATAATACCTAGCCGATCCCACTTTGAAATGCTTGTAGTGAGCTAGTAGAAACACTTATTTTTTGGTGTGCTTGCAGAACTTGAGAAACGAGTAATTGTACACGTGTGAAGGGCCGAGGCTAAGTGCGCTATTGTTTGGCGGGAAATGGTGGGTACGGCTCCCAAAGTGGTTAGGGTGAATTGATAAGGACTTACTTGTAAAGAAAACCCAACTTGAACGTGCCGCAACTAGCGCTGCAGTACTGGAAAAGCTGGCATATTCTGCGACTATCACGATGGTCTCAACCCAGAGCAAGCCCCATTCAGCTGCCAGTCGAACTTATTTACTTCTATATAACACTATCGGTGCAGTGCTTTGGCTACACATCTTATCTAGCACAGCCGCGACATTGATCAGTTCTCCAAATATTTCAGCCGTGTACACATCGCTCGAAGCATGGACTCGATGTGCCCAAAGCTTAGCTGTAGCTGAGATACTGCATGCCGCAACAGGTATCGCCCTCATCCACAGCTATTCTTTCAAAGCTGATATATGATCTTTCCGTCGTGGATTGCAGGAATCATCCGCGCCCCTGTATTTACCACTTTTACGCAAGTGTTTGCCCGCTCCGTCCAGGTCTGGGCCATCAATTATGCATTTCCTGATGTCACAGCGACCTCGTTGGCCTATCCGGCTATGCTTTTTGCCTGGGCAACAGCTGATGCGATCCGGTATCTGTACTTTGTTATCGTGTTGGCGGAATATCCCGTTCCACGGCCTTTGAAATGGTTGAGGTAAGGCCCTCTCTCTCCCTTTTGATTGATATTTTCTTGGCCAGGATGGTATCTCCATCTTCTATTCCTTCTTTGGCCCAGTCCGCGTCAAAAGTTTTCTTTGAAGACCAAGAAACATCAAGGTTGATACTATTAGATACTCTCTTTTCATAATCTTGTACCCTGTTGGCATCAGCAGCGAATGGTGGTTGATGTATCAGGCGACCACAGTCACGGCATACAAAGCTGTCGCTGCCATCTTTTACTTCTTCCTAGGTCTTTACGTACCTGGTTGGTGACAAATCCTTTCTTTTGATACATTCTAAGGTTGAGCCTAACATGCTTCAGGCTCGATGATGATGTATTCATACATGCTAAAGCAGAGATCCAAGGTTTTGGCTCATAAATAAAACCTTAGCTATCTCTGCATCGACAGCACACAAAAAGGCGAGCACTGCCATTCCGGAATAGCAATCCCTTCAAGAGGTTCTTCCATACTTTGGAAAAGTAACTATAGTAGTTGGTGCGACGGTTTTTTAAAGTGGCGACATCGCGCAATGACTCGATTGGCGTGGAAACGGGGCTATAATTTTATGCTGCTGGATAAGCAGATCGAGAATTTCCTTTGAAAAGATGTCATTTTCTTTCGGCGCGAGGTTCAGTGTCCAATACCATGCGCTTGGGTGGCATGGTGAGAATATATGTATATTGCCTAATTGGCCGATGTTATTCCAAAGCCTTAGTCGGTTTCTCAGGTGACAAGCACATGGCCTACAAATTGAGATCATCAAAGTTCGAAAGTTGGTCAACGTTGGGGGTAAAATAGGGTGAATTCTTTTCATAGGCCTTGGTTTTGAGCAAAATTGAAGATGACATGATTATGAATAGCAGTGGCTGGTGTTAGACCCAGGATTTCAGGTCGTAGGAGGTGTGCAAAGTCCGTCTCACTCTATCCGAGCATAGCTCTTTCGGAAAATCTTGCAGGTCAACCTTCGCATTACGATCATCCTAGTATCACAGCCAAGAATGTGGTAATACTGGGCCTTGTAAGACCAAAAAGCTAACCTGGAAACCAAGGAAAGCTTGTCAGCTTGTTTCACGCCCGGTTAATCCGGCATCCCGATTGCATTAGTGTCCTGCGGGTGAGATTGTGACGTTTCTCTTCCAACCACTCATGGGCATTCGGATGTCAGGCTGCATGAAAGTCGTGGGGCTTCCGACTGACTGTAATTACGCCCTACGCCACAGCCGATGGATTCATTCAGCTAGGGTGATTTGTGGTCGGTCTTGCCCTACTAGATGTCTCCAATTTGATGGATAATCGGCCGGGAAGCCGAACAACTTGAACCCGCAACCTATACGCCTCGTCAAACTCCGAAGCCTTCACGCCATTAGGGAACATCATCCGCGTTTCAATACGGCACCGGACCTTGGGCTGCGGAGTCTGAACATATAAGTAGCTGGTGCAAGCAAACTATCATCAGTCATTGCATTCAGCATCACATCTCAGAATTGAAACAGAAATTCATCTCAAGACAAAGCCAAGGGAGCATCACGCGTCATCTCAATAAACCTCCCGCATTTATTCAATCTAGATTCATCACTTCATTCAAATTTTTGTTCGACAGGGGTCAACCGGCACGGGTTTCGAAAAGAAGCGAATCGTTGTCGTGGGTGGTGGCCTTGGTGGCATGGCTTTCATGAACGCCGCCTTGTTCGCCGGCCTGAAGAACGTCCAGTGCTATGAGCAAGCTCATCAATTCGGTGAGGTCGGTGCTGGCGTGGATATCTCCGCCAATGCCAACCGCATCCTCGATGCGTTCGGTCTTCAAGAGGCTTTGATCAGCCGCTCTTCGCCTCAGCTGCCTCATTATATGCAGTATCATAATTACCAGACTGGCGAATATCTCGCTCATATTGAAGAGTTTTCGAAGCCGCACGCACGCCTGATTCACCGCGCTCATCTCCTGGATTCCCTTAAGGAGCCTGTGCCAGAGGATCGCCTTCACTTGCAGAAACGTCTCGCATCTCTCGATCGTAACACCAGCCCTGATGCCGCACCGTACACCCTTCACTTCGAGGACGGTACCACTGTCGACGCTGATATCGTAATCGGTTGCGATGGTATCAAGAGCAGGGTTCGCCGCGAGCTAGGCTTTGGTGACTCCCCCAACTATTCTGGCCAGGTTGTCTACCGTGGTTTCGTCGAGTATAAGGATCTACCTGAAGAGACCTCCAAGCTCCTTCGCAATGTCGTCAACTTTCGTGGCCCGAAGCGCCATGTTCTGTGCCTGCCTATTGGCAACCCAATTACAAAGACTGACCGTATCGGTGTCATTGGATTCATGTCTGAATCGCTTGAATCCTGGAACAGCGAGAACTGGATGGCTCGCGCGGAGATTGAAACACTCCACGAGCATGTGAAAGACTGGTGCCCACAGGTCCAAGATATGATCAAGGCGTTGCACAAAGGCTCGCCTGATGGCCGTATGATGAAGCAAGCACTATATGTTCGCGACCCAATCGCCAAGTGGTTTGAGATTGCAGAGGGCCAGAGCAACGCAGGTATTGCTCTTCTTGGTGACGCAGTTCACTCCACTCTTCCTCATCAAGGCATGTCCATATCTACTATCTAATGCAGCTCATGCAAATATTGACTCGTATCATTATTAGGTCAGGGAGTCTGCATGGCGATCGAGTCCGGTATCGCTCTGGCTACCATCCTCGCCCACTGGAAGAATGATGACCTGCACGCTGCATTCCAATTCTACCAAGACTTGCGCAAAGCTCGCACTGATCGGGTCACAAGGACCAGTTTCGAGGCTGGCAAACTGGCCAGTTCCGATGACCCTGATCATTTCAGCGAGACTTTCAACCAGGACGCGCTGATGGAGCGTATGAAGTGGATTATGAAGTACAATGTTCGGGAAGACCTGAAATCAAAGGGTGCCGAGTACATGGACTTCCACGATTCCCGAGTCTAACGGCTTCTCTGCTCCAGTGCTCAGATCTTCAGCTTCTATGCTTTGTGAGCAGGAAATCAGGTTGGAGAGCTCCTGAGCTTTAACATCTCCGGAGAAATATGTGTAATTCGTTGTAATTATCGTGATGAACTTCCTGTTGGGGTATCTCTGCTTTTGGTCTCTAGATGAGTGATTTATGTTTTTACTTCAAGTGTGTTAGATATTATATAGAGTTTCGCGCTGCCCTCTCTCTCATGTTTGAGTCAAACGTTCCTGGGCTTGATGTAGCTTTTCTTCGGTCAAACAAATCTAGTCCTTGTGTAATTTTCAGATGTCTTCTTTTCCTTCTCTCTCCTCGATTTCTTGAATCATAACATGAGCCCATACCATCCACAGCTTCGCTGAAAGCAAGCAACATCCCAACTCTGAAACCCGAGCTGGGTAAGATGTTGGAGGTAACCACGGTACAAAGCGTAAAATTGCACACGGACTGATAGCGTGTCAAGCTTCCCGTCCATTCGAGGTTTCTGAAACTCACATGGTTTACGAAGTCAGCCCAAAGTGAATATTGGAAAGATATGCAAACGGAATCTCTAATACGTCTATATATGTATTGATCTTGATATCACCTGGGGAAGAATAATCTAGTCGGTCCGTCCGTGAAATAAGCTCTCATAGCATCATTGACAGATACCTGAACGCCCTGCACGAAAGGCTTTTTCCTTTTGAGTTATTCCTGTTTCTTGGGCGCATTGAGAGACTCAATGACTCGTGCTGCTGGGCCGATAGGCCAAGCGAACTCCTTAGTAGGGTCTTCAAGGACTTTACCAGTCGTAACCATGTCCACAATTGCGACCGCGACATAGCCCCCAATAGCGGTAAAAATGTGCCACCTATTTGAGTTTGTCAGTGTTTGGCTTTACAGATGTGGTAGAAGCCACAGAAGACGCATACCAGCCATGCAGCTCAGTCAGGAATGCAAGTGGGAGACCAATCGCCTGTCGAGTTTGGGTCAACATCCCACAGGCCCAAACGTCAATCAGCCAAACAAAGTAACCAAAGGCGAAGCAAGCTATTGTTGTTAGCAAATCTGTTGCTTCACACACTTTGAACAGAACGGGGGGGATTCAGATAGAATGGACAACATACAGCAACCAAAGAATGAGATTCTGCGGAGACTTCCCCGGATTGCAGGATCAGGCACTTGTTGAGGAATGATTTTCAAGGTCCGCGTGGCAATCAGGTACACTGACAAGCCGAAAGCACCTGCATGGATAATGAACTCATCCATGACCATATGGGCCACCATCACAATAGTGAACAGAGTAAGAAGCACGGCTCCGATTATCCTGGCCTTTTGTGGACTAGCTTGAAAGATCAGGATGCGATAAAGAAGCGGGGTTGTGAGAAGATGCATCGACAATTCATCCGCTAATGATACCTGGGAGTAAGAGAGAGCCAAACAAGGGAGACGAAAGGGAAAATTGGGGAGCACCTACACATCTGCGTGTGATATTTGAGAGTCATGTGGTAGCCGCCAGAGCAGACGCCGACTCCAATCAACCCGAAATACGACATTAATCGAAGGCCACCCGATTGCTGCTTTTGAGCAAGCTGCCTGAGACCGTAGACCCCATAAATGACTGCGAAATTTTGTTAGTGACTCAGGTACGGATTACACGAAGCCTTTTGCACTCACTGAAGATGAAGCTGCTGAGTGTGTTGATAAATTCCGCAATGAATCGTGTCACGACATAATCCTGTCAAGTCAGCTTTGGACTCCTGGGAGACCCAACCGGAGAGGTGAAGTACCTCTTCGCAGAAGCTAGAACGATATTATTAGTCACTGTTGCAGGACCTGAGCGAGATCGCAACCTACTTTAAATAGGATGTTTGAGGGCCCCAGAAGGGAACCACAATGGAAGGGTCCATTGTATCGAAAGGTATCAAAGGCTCTTTCTCTGTCTAGCGTGTAATCTCAGCTACTCAGGACGAGAGCTTAATTCTTTCCCAGGAGATTGAATTCCCGGAAGACGCGGATCAAAATAATGCGCCCTTGAAGACTGCGTGGCAGCTGATTGTCGGTGAGTGCCGGCAAAAAGAGGTCCGTGCGTATTCTGCCGTGGATCAGGAACCTTTTGATATATGTGACTCCTCGTCGGATCGGTGGTCTTGGAAGTTCCCATAAATTACTTGCTTGTTTCCGCGCTTAAACGCTTAATTCAACTTTTCAACTCTCTATTCTTTGCGTCAGGAGACTGAACAAGACAATCCCTGGAGGAGCGACCTTTTGCGTGTGCCCCACCAGCTTGCGGATCCCCCCGCCGTTGACCCCCAAGTGACAATGACGTTGTGAAACCGCGGTCGTGGAGCTGCTCATTTTTATAAAGCCTCGCGTTAAGAAAATGCATATATCCTCGCACTCAACCCTGTGAACTCAGTCACGGCCGTTCCCATGCAAGAGTATTGTGATCTCCAAGAGTACTGCCGTAAGCGACAACCAGCCAATATGGTGTAATGCACCACCCAGCAATTAGTATAGCGTCGAAGTTTCGAGAATAGCTTGGTTTACACTTCTCGGAAAGCTTAATGACCAAGATCCTCGAGCAGCCGCGAGAAGGTTGAAAAAGATCCATAGAGTCAATCCCAGCAAAGCCACTGTCGTCATTGGCTCCACACACGGGTTTGGCGTATTGTAGGCGACCATCTTCTCATGACCTACCTTTTGCGATTGGCCCGTATGTACGACATATGTTTCTTTCATCTTTTATAGTTGTAGGGGCATGAGCAGCGAAAAGTGGTGTGGTCCGGCGTTTCTTCTCGATACCATTGCCGTTAAAACTTCGCAGAAGTTTGAAATGATTTATCAGAAAGCATATAGAATCGTGTGTTTTGTGAGAAGCTAGAGACTTTTTAGTTCCAGATCATGCAAAAGAATCAAGTAAAAGATTCTTCGCAGAAGTTCGGATACCGTATTGCACCAATGCCTACAGACTTCCACTCCGGCCATTGATCACGCCGTTCTAGGAATGATGGTTGTACGGCATCCAAGCTCCAGTGGTGCGCTGGAATTAAAAGCCTTATCCATGCCACACTATGTTCCCCTAATGTTCCGTGTCTTTGAGATACTTGATCAAATCGGGTATACTGTCCAAGGCAGAACAATCCTATACTCAGCCATCCAAACACAATCATTTCAAGGTATTGAAGAGGAAGAGACGAGGTACATACCAGTCTTCAAGCTGACTTTGTATGCCCGAACGGTGTCATCATGACACTGAATCCCTGGTTGAATGCAAGCTGTTGATTGGATCTCCGGTAAGCCCTCGAATCCGGAGTAACCAATTCCTCAATTGCCTGGAGAGTGATTCCCTTTATTTGCCGAATTACTGCACTTTACAACACTTGAAGGATTGTGTGGAATACCTGCAGTGCTTTATGGGACAGAAGTAGCCATGGCAAAGAACCTCTTGATCAAACCACTTCACATTGATGAGGACCTACCAGATAGCTAGAGTGCGTTCCACGTTGCTGATAATTGTGTCAGCGAAAAAAAAATCATCTTTCTCGCATCTCTCAAGTTAAGAGCTTCTGTTGGAATACCCACATATCGTAACAGATTGAAATCTTTACCTTGTGACTAGAAAAGAAGAGGACTTCAAGGTAGTATTCTGTACATTAAAATCGGTGACGGAGTGATGGCCATGATACGTGTGATATTTCTTTAGAACCGAGGGCGTAGTGGGTAATTATCTACAGCAAAAAGGAGATTGAGTCTTGCAGACACGTGTGCCATGCTCAAGCTCGGACCTGGTTCAAGACCTCAAGCGATAAATGCTTGGACCCTTTCCTTGTTCAGGATCTCTCCTTCCACCAATCGCCCCGTCTCAGTGACCTCTCCATCGACCTGCTGATACCGTACCAGAGTGGGAATATTCTTGGTGCTCCAAGTTGTTCGGTACACATTCTGAGGATTGTTCCATCTTGAGAATAATTTATAAGCTTCTTGCGCCACAGAAAATGTGTAGTCATACACTATAGCACAGCACAATGAAGGCTTAGACACACGATATTCATTGTAAACTTACTCAGGCTTCTGTCCAACTTCGATAAGTGATAGAGTCGGTGCGTCACTTCCGGCAAATGCCTCATTAATATGAGGCAAGGCAGCCCGAACATCCGGGCACCACGCTTGCTTGGTGATAGGGTCCGGTGATGAGATGAAGGCAATGAAAAGTTTCGAGTCTGGGCCAGCAGGTAAAGCCAGCTCCTTAGGCGAGTTTGGCAGCGTGGGATTCATAGTGATTGGCATGTTCGCGGTCTTGTTGTGAAAGTCTCGAGTTTATGCCGAGATTTTTGGCGCGATGATAGACACCAATAATTTTCAAATATGACCGAATGTTGATTCTAAATGCGGAATTCTTGAGGCAGTTTTAGTTGCTCAAGATGAGGATATTGTGGCTTTTCGTTGATCCCGTGACTAAGCGGGTCGCACTCTTTAGGGAAGGCGATTCGAGCCGCCTCTATCCAAAGACTGGGACTTTTTAACACGAAGTACTCTGGACCGATTCGGCTCACTTCTCGTTGCGAATGCATATAAGATCAGTAGACAGTGCGACGCCTCAATCATCTACAGTCGAAGCCGTGCTCAATTGCGACAAGAATCCTGGTGGCTGAGGAGACCATCAAGGTTGTCATAGTCAATGTTTTAAGTGACAGTATGATACTATCCATTACTATGAAAATTCTCTGGTCGGGCTTTCACCAGGCTTTCCGTGTTTCATTTCGTCGGGTCGATTGACCATGATGGTCAAGGTATTGGCCGTTCTGAATCGAGACCCTTGTATAAAAAGAAGACATGAGTCGATCGACCGCAATATTCGGTCGATATTCGGTGAGAAATTCTATAGGAAGGGCAATTTCCACGTACCTACGAATGTTGCCTGCACCACCAATACCGAACCCCACATACCTCACACCCTGCTCTCCTGAGCTTCGTGAATCAAGTATAGCAGCAGATGATAGCTCTCTTCTACACTCAGCTCTCGGTAGCAATCCGTGTTGGTCCTCGTTGCCCTCTTCTTTCTCAAGCCAAGAATTCCGAATCTTGAACCAGAAATGATGCATCCAGAGGCTGGGCATGCTGACACTATACGAAATACTAATGGAGACTCGATATTTGTCAGTTCCGAGTATTGCTCAGCTCATACCACGAAATAGGTCTCATCTTGCTTCGACTGGTTATACCACTCACCTTGTCCTTGGATTTTCCTTGGTGAGTGTGAAAGCGCGATAAATGAGAATTGGAAATTTCGAAGCAAGCTCACGTGTGTCTCACGATTCATACGTTCGCATCTGCTTCGACCTTTTTTTCCTGGTCTTTATAACTTTCAAGCTACTGCTCGGCTGACATGAGAGGTTTTATTTGCTCACCATCATATCTTATGATTCGCCTCTTTCAAGCGCTGTCTAACGAATTGGTACACTGCTACTTAGCTTCGGTCATCGCGACTGAAATCTATCACCAAACCAGACTAAAAGATTCATGGGGAAGCGGGGAAGCCAATACATTCGCAGAAGAGAAAGATAAGGCAATGAAGCCTGATTGCTCTGTTGTATACAGGGCGTCAGTGGCGTCGAGACAGCGAATGACGAAACTACTGATACCGGGATTGCCCTTATCGCGTTGAAAATTATGCCTGGATCCTCGGTCTGTTCAAGAAGGCCAGCCAATGCTAACTCAAAAACTGGGGATTTAAGCTTTTGACAAGCTCCTTGGGGCAAACCTATCTTAGTGGGGCGGGAACGCCATATGATGGAAATACGCCTGGAATATCACATTGACAAATCAATGGTCTGTATATGTTTATCGTCAAATCGCTTTTCGTATAATGGTTCTGACTAGCCAGGCTTCGATTCTCATATCTTTCCCTACGCACAGGCCGCTTCTCACATCTGACCAACCACGCAGTCTGTTCCTATCTTTGCGCGATATCTCAGGCTCGGTAATGAAAGATCTGAATGCCATGAAAAGCTATAAGATCGGACAATTAGAAGGCCTTTATTGCTGTGCAGATTGTTTCCATTAACGGTCATTCTCATTCACTTTATTTCTGAGACTAATTTGAGAGGAACTTGAAATCAATCTGAAATTTTGCGCATTTTTCAATCGTGATCGAGATAACTCATTGCGTCGCTGACACCAACATCTTGAGTCAAAACTCGTCGAAAACAAGTTCAAATTGTCCATTACCTACCAATGTCTAATACAACGTTGACCGATCCCGCTCCCGAGTGAGTTTTAAGCCTGGGGGGTTTTTGGCCCTTGATCGGCTCTTAAGTGCTTATACTTGATTCTTATAGGTGGCTCAACAAGGGTGATCAAGCCTGGCAACTAACAGCTGGTACACTCGTTGCTCTTCAATCGATACCAGGCCTCGCAATGCTATATGCAGGTTTTGTCAAGAAGTGAGCGATGTCAGCCTTCCTCTAAGTGGATTTTTGTATGAAGCTAACAATATCGAACCACTTCAGGAAATGGGCCATTAATTCCGCATTTATGGTATGAGCCCTCGTGAACAACACCTAACCAGCAGTTTCTCATCCACCTCACTGGCAGGTTTTCTACGCCTTTGCGGCAACACTCATTTGTTGGGTTATTTGGGCATACAAAATGGCTTTCGGCGAGCAGTGGGGCAAGTTCCCTCTGGTCGGTACTCCAGGGCCCGTTCTGACAATGAAACAAAATTTGGCCCAAGCAACCTTGCCCACTGCTGGTCTCTCGCCCAATTTCAATTTATCAACGATGATATATTTTCAATTCGTTTTTGCCGCTATCACCGTAATAATTCTGGGAGGTTCCCTGTTAGGGAGAATGAACCTCTTGGCATGGATGGTGTTTGTCCCCCTTTGGATCACCTTGAGTTATACCGTTGGAGCCTTCAGGTCAGTTGTCAAGCAAGCTATGTGACTTTTTGAACTGTGCTAACTGAGACCGCTCTAGTATCTGGGCTGGTGGATTTCTCACTAAGCTGGGCGTTTTAGATTATTCAGGTGGATACGTCATTCATTTGAGCTCCGGCACTGCTGGTGAGTAGGATTACAGCCACGACAAAACGACGATCTCTAACGTTAGGGGTTGTGGTAGGATTTACTGCTGCGTTTTGGGTGGGACCGCGCCTACAGCGGGACAAGGATTCCTTCTACCCGAATAATGTTTTACTCATGCTGGTTGGGGCCGGTATCCTTTGGGTCTGCTGGAATGGATTCAACGGAGGTGATCCGTACGCTGCGAGCCCCGATGCCGGCGTTGCTGTTCTCAATACAAACATCTGCACCGCCATGAGCCTCCTTGTCTGGACTATCCTCGACTGGATTTTCTTCAAGAAACCTTCAGTCATTGGAGCTGTGCAAGGTGAAATTACTGGTCTTGTTGCAATTACACCTGCCGCTGGCTTAGTCACTGGTTGGGGTGCTATTGTAATTGGAGCTTGCTCAGGATCGATACCTTGGATCTCGATGAATAGCTTTGGGAGAATGAAATGGATGAAGAAAGTGGACGACGTTAGTAAGTGGTCTCAATAGAGACAAGCCTTCTCGTCTTCTCCTGTTTACCAAACTAATTCTCTATAGTGGGAGTCTTTCATACCCACCTGGTTGCTGGCTTCCTCGGGGGTTTTCTTACAGGTATTTTCGCGACAATCGACGGCTGTGCAGCGTTTGGTGTTACAAATCTTGGTGGCGCGATAGAGGGTAATGGTAAGCAGGTCTGGGTGCAGATTGTGGGCGCTTTGTTCATTATTGGTCTGAACCTATTTATGACCACGGTCATCTGCCTTTTCATTCAATACGTGCTACGAATCCCTTTGCGCTTGAATGAGAGGCAGCTACTTGTTGGAGATGATGCCGTTCATGGTGAAGAGGCCTATGCTTTGTTCTTTGAGGGTGAGAGGAGCCACATCAGTCTTCAGACGACTACCTTCGGGAGCGATCATGTCATAGAGGGCCAGGGAGAAGGCAGCTCTCCTGGAACTGAGTCTGCAGGCGCGGCCAAAGAAAGAACGCCAGCTTGAGCGAAGTCCAGCGTTGTTCGGTACGGCAAGTCGCGGGTCGCTTTAAGAACCTAATACTATAATCCAGTTTATGTTATGTTCAATAATGTTTAATTTATGTTATGTTCAATAATGTTTAATTTATCTCAATTTTTTTCTGTCAGAACTTACTATCTTGAATCAAATATGTCTCAGCTGGCAGGTGGCAGGCGGCAGGCAGCTTCTGGACAAGTCGGACAGCTTTAACTCAATGACAAGATGAAGATCATAACAAACGTCGATAATCAGACTATAAGGCCACACTAGCGTTTTGATTTAAGCGTACCATATTATCTGATCAATCCGGAATGATGCATCATCGCAGAGTTTTCACTGCGTCTGTAAGCAGATTCACTATTCGAGCTCTTCCACCCACGGCAGCCGCGCGAAGAGTGAAGGTGAGCATGGCGGCAGCTTTACATTTTGGATCTTCGTCTACATTTGCGGCACTGCGGCACATTTGCCCATTTGGGTCTTCTTCACGTCAATTGTGAGAATTTGCTACTCCCACTAGACGAAACCACCTGGCAGAACGCCTTATTCTGAATAGCATTCTCCGTACAGAAGGACCGTGATGCCTTCAGCCAGGAAACAAATAAAGACGCTGGGGTTTACCTGACTCACGTCAAATTTACTTTATTTTGGATTGTAACTCCGGTCATGACACCACTGGAGATGTCGTCAAACCGACTAGTCACGGCTGACAAGTGATGCATTATACCAAAGCTAATGAGACTGAAGTATTTTATCATCTGGAGATCTAATAGCCTTACTTGAGCATCTGGTTGCATCTTCAGCCTCTTCAATGGCAGCCCTCGTAACTTCAGACCAACCTGCTGACGAAAATATCTTCAGGATAGCTCTTGAGACATGAAACCGTGATTGCTTACTCGACATACCCCATACCTACTTCAAGTGCGCAACATCCATCTACTGGGAAGGTCTTGGTTCCCCTTCAGTGGAGAGGAATTCTCTTGGAATAAGTATTCCACAACCTTCATCAACACAACTTGGCACATACTAGACGTGGCTTTTTGGTTGCTCTAGATCTTTTAATCTGACCTAGACGCCAGCTCAATGTACCACACCTTCGAATTGTATTACTTCGTGCAAGCTACTCAATTCCCCCTTCGTGAGCACCGCCACAAAGGCCGGTCAGAATTTCCTGGGACCCTTAGTGATCAGCAAGTGGACCATCGTGTTTTCTCAAGCGGTTTGATAATGATACGGAAGCGTTCCAGAGAATAGCGCGGCACGAGTTCACGGGCTCAGAGTCGTACTATGAATGGGATTGAAACCTGCCTTCGTCGCGGATAGTTCTTAGAATGAAGATACTGGGAGCAGATTGACCGACTGACTCCAGAGTCTCCAGTCAAAGGTAAATGGCAATCGTGTTAACTGAATGACATGAACATCCTTATCTTTTACCTGGCTTCACTTATTCGAAAAAGATCTTCTCACGGAAGTAACATGGATTAGCGATAGTGCGATGAGCTATGCACACTAAAGCACGACTGGTCGAATGCTACCGTTTTAAAGCAGCGGGGCCCCCGGATAGCGTCGGCTATTCGAGGCTAGTGATCTTCACCCGCCTCAATCCCCAAAGTGCACCTCTAGACATCCACAATTCATGCCAAATTACCCACTGGAATACCCTTTGCTAATCCCGATCTCCTGATTCATCCGCTCTGCATTTGTGCCGAGACGCGCGGTTAAAGATGGACGGGGCCAGACCAGCCCGCCCGGACCGGCCTTATCAGCGCACCTACAAGGCATGCATCCCATGTCGGCAACGCAAGGCCAAATGTGATCTGGGGACCGATTCTGACGGGCTACCGATCGGCCCACCCTGCGCGAGATGTCGCAGGGAGATGAGGGAGTGCGTCTTTCCTGAGAAACGCGCCTGGGAGCGATCCCGCAAGCGTGGTATGCTAAGGTTATCGAATGTTCTCCTTCGGATTTCTAATTGTCTCCTAGGGAGGTCCGACGACGAAGACGTTGAAATTCCCATGCAAGCTGAGCAGTTGGCTTCGGATGGGTCGATGGATAGTCGGAAGAGGCAGCATGTCCAAAATCATCATCCTACGCAATACCAGGAAACAAGCCCTTTTCAGCAGGGCTGGGGGTTTGGGGGGCATCAAGCCTCTCCGCAAAATGATCACAGCTCCCAGGTTGGCATGAGTCCGGTGCCTGTTGCAGAAGGAAATGTGCATACAAATCCATCCCCGAGCGATGCATATTCAGACCACAGGCACCGCTCCAATTCTAATCTGGCAAGCTCCATGATGCGAACTGTGGTAGCAAGTGGAAATGACGCACTTAATATCCTCTTTGAGGCGGCAACTGCTCAGGATGGTGCCTCTCCGACGGATGAAAGTCCTCTGACGGAAGCAGGACCCCGGTCGGGCGACATGAATGTTAAAGACCGTGTTACCCCCAGAACTTTGGAAAGCCCGGCGGCTTTTGAATCTGTCCCAAGGGCTATTCGCCCAATTGAAATGTCCAACCCTCTGCAAGCTACTTTGAATGTCTGGGATGCATGTCGGTTTGTCAAAATGGGATGGTTCACAGCCAGAGAGGCTGTCACGTTCGTTGACTTGTAAGTCACTTATCGCAGGGTTCTCGTTTTGGTTCAAGAGCGTTAACAGAAGTCAGATTCTTCAAGAATATGTCATGTCTGTCCCCTATCCTGACAGACTTTTATGCCAACCATCAGAATCATTACTGGCTAATTAGTCGTGAGCCAGTGCTATGTAGTACCATCCTCATGATTTCTTCTCGCTATCACGTCCTTCCTGGTGCTGGCGGCGAGTCAAGAAATTTCTTTATTCACCACCGACTTTGGCAACATTGCCAGCAATTGACAATGCGACTTATTTTTCGGACAAGAAAAGTCTACCAAGTCAAAAGTCCGGAGCCTTGGGACTGTTGAGGCACTCTTACTCATGGCTGAGTGGCACCCTCGCTCGCTGCATTTTCCGCCCGAAACGGACGGTTGGGATGACGATTTAATCTCAACCGGTCCGAAGCCTTCAGATCATGATGATGCCAATAGTGAGTCAGCTAATCGCTGGCTGGAAGATATGATTGAACCGTCAAGAAGATCGGATCAGATGTCATGGATGCTACTCGGGTGTGGCCTCTCTCTTGCGCATGAGCTGGGCATCTTCGAAACAGAGGATGGGGATTCGCCGGGGACGAGAAGCAATGGAAAGAGCAAATGACGCTTCGCAGGCAACGAGTACAGCGTTTGCTATACGTTTACGTCAACCAGCTTGCATGGCGCATTGGTTGCATGTCACCGATTCCTCAATCGCTGAACCATGCCGTACTTGGCGGGCGGAAACCTCGCGGACTAAGCCAACCAGGGAGCACCTGGCTAATATTTATGGATTCGTGGATCGAATTGACCAAATTGGCCCAATCAGTCACTGATATGTTCTTCCCCTCTGCCAAGTTCGCTCGTCAACAGCTGCATAGTGGCCGTTACATTGGACTGCTTGATCATTTCCGGCCACTGCTCAATCAATGGAAGGACAGGTATTTGCAGCCGCACGTCCTCGATCCCCTCTTCTATAATGATCTGTTTATCGAATATCACTTCGTTCGTGTGTATACCCACTCTGTGGGAATGCAAGCTGTGGTCGAGCGTGCGATTGCAGATGCTGATCCCAACAACTTGGATGAGATGCGGCCAACAACGATCGACACCACCGACTACGAATACATTCAAGAAGTAATTGACGGCTGTTGTCAGATTCTGCGAAAGGTTACTCATCTTGCAGAAGGGGGCGCCCTGCGATTCTCGCCTGTCCGTATAGTGCTTCGCATTACCAGTGCTTCGATCTTTTTAATGAAGGCGCTGAGTTTGGGCACGCGACAATCTACTCTCCGTGAATCGCTTGAAGTGCTAGAGAAAAGCATTGCTGCACTTAAGTCCAATGCATTGGATGATGTCCATCTCAGCACTCGCTACGCTACGCTCTTGGACATGCACGTCTCGCGTCTGCGACGCAATCTGCTGGCGTCTTGCAAGAATGTCAAGAACAGTCAAGGAGCCACACGACGGTCATCTATGGGACCGCCAGCTTGGCCGGAGAACGGTGATCGCTCAAATCATATTAACACCCCTGTGTCTCAGGATTTAACATCCGAGCTGAGCTTTATCCCAACCTTCAACGACATGGGCGACGACTGGCTTTCTTTACCCTTTGATCCTTCTATGGCACCGTTCGGTATGAATAACGGAGGTCAATTCCCGATGTATGAGGGAGGCGCACTTGATTTTATCTGGAATTTGCCGTCATAGTGTAAAAACATGTGTTGAAGTGTACACATAGTTCGCCCCGTAAATACCGAGATACCCCCGTTTTCGCATCGCAAGTGGCCAAACTTAGGATAGAAATTTTCTGACGACACGGGGACACGATGTGGCCCGGGTTTTTCTCTTGCCTCCCCCGGACGAGGAAGCTTAATCCTTGACCTGTCAAAGGATCGGACCCAAGATTCATTCCTGAAGCTCCCGATTTCCCGGTGGCGACCGATGGTCACGTGCCGTCACGTTCCCCCGATGAAAAAGTCGTCGACCCGCTCTCTTATCTGGTTAAGGTTGACCACGCTCATCACTTCGGCCATCCACTGCCATCAACTAGTCCTTCCTGCGCCTATCTTCCTTCGCTCCACAATCCGACATTTGGTGATCGCGACACCATCGCCTCCCGACCTCCGACTCTCGGCCCTTGCCCCCTTCTGACACGAATCTAACATTTCCTTCTACCGCAACACATAATGGATCACTCGAGAGATCCCTGTCCCTGGGTCGCGCTTAGCGACTTCGGTGGTGCCTTCTGTATGGGTGTATGTCTCAATTAACACGTTTCCGCTCGTTCCTAAGTTCAAGCGACTGATTATCGTGCTTTAGGCTATTGGTGGTGCCGTTTGGCACGGCGTCAAGGGTTTCCGTAACAGCCCCTACGGTGAGCGCCGGATAGGTGCCCTTACTGCCATCAAGGCCCGCGCTCCTGTTCTCGGTGGAAACTTTGGTGTTTGGGGTGGACTGTTTTCGACTTTTGACTGTGCTATTAAGGGCATCCGCAAGAAGGAGGACCCGTACAATGCTAGTAAGTGGTTCATCGGTTTCCTCTCAATAATCGACAGTCCTGACTGACCGTTTTAGTCATTGCTGGTTTCTTTACTGGTGGTGCTCTCGCTGTCCGTGGTGGTGTCAAGGCTGCCCGTAACTCCGCCATCATGTGTGCCGTCTTCCTTGCCGTCATCGAGGGTGTTGGTATCGGTTTCCAGCGTATGATGGCCGACAACACCAAGCTTGAGGTACGATATCCACGAACTCAACCCTTCGAAAACATGGACTAACTATTACTCCAATTTCAGCTCCCTCCTCCTCCCCCTCTGAGCAGAAGGCTCTAGCTTAAATTCCTCCTACTCAACATTTCCGCGATCGAATCATCCCATGGTGGCCGACCAACCACCTCGATCTCTGTTTTTATAACACATCCCCACATTGAGTCTCTCTTCTCAGGTGTTCGGTCTGGGTCCTCATTCTTAAACGACATGGCATAGAGGGTCTTGTTTTATTTTGCGACGCTTTTGATACCGCCTCCCACGGGCCTTTGTTTTCGAATCATTGTATTTTTGTGAAGACGGCGGGTTCATTCTATGGCTGGTTTCCATAACCAGCATGTTTCTTTTTTTGTGGCCGGATGGCCCTACAAAAGAACTTCTCTGCTCATTTTGCAAAAAAAAAAAAGCGTTCGGAAAGGGACGTGGTGGATTCTTGTACATTAACGCATGGCTAACAGGCATAATACGCATTTTCTTGATCAAATTCTCAGATTTCACCCATCAAAATAACTCTCTATGTGACGTGCCGCTCACCTCACGAACTTCCAGGTCCGACTTACCCGACAGGACCGAGCTAATGCACAGAGGAGCAATCGCTGACTCCGCACCTACTTCCCCGCACCGGCCTCTAGGGCTCTCCCATCGACCATCTCTTAACATCAATAATGGCATCGGACCAAGCAACCTTCAAGCCCGCATTGATCCTGCATGGCGGCGCAGGGAATTTAAACCGTGCAACCCTCCCGCCAGATCTCTACGCAGCCTACCATACCTCCCTTCAATCCTACCTCCGCTCGACCCAATCTCTTCTTATTAACGGCAGCTCGGCCCTCGATGCCGCCGTCCACGCTGTCTCCCTTATGGAAGACGATGAGCTCTTCAATTGCGGACGCGGTAGCGTCTTCACCACAGCCGGCACAATCGAGATGGAAGCTTCCGTGATGGTGACTTCGGTACAAGAACCCGACGAGTCTAGAGAGGGTTCGGTGAAACGCGGCGCAGGCGTGATGGGCGTAAGGAATGTGCGCCACCCCATTGAACTTGCGCGCGAGTCTCTGCTTCGCACCGGTCGTACGGTCGATGGTCAACCGAGGAGTGATGGAGGCAGCATGCACTCGCAGCTTGCCGGGCCTCATGTGGAGACGCTTGCTCGTGACTGGGGGCTTGAATTCAAACCTGATGAGTGGTTTTTTACGCAGCGTCGGTGGAATGAGCATATGCGTGGGTTGAGAGGTGAAGCCGAACCTATCTCCATGAGCCAGGGAACTGTGGGTTGTGTTTGTTTGGATCAATGGGGAAATCTGGCTGTTGCGACTAGTACAGGCGGATTAACAAACAAGCTTCCTGGTCGCATTGGCGACACCCCGACCCTAGGTGCTGGCTTCTGGGCCGAGGCTTGGGATGAGATGGTATTGGATAGTGCTTCAGCCGCGTCTCCTCGATACCCCGCTTCGGTTGGGGAAATTATCAAAGAAGCCAAAGGCTGGTTGGCTGATTGCCTACCTTCGTGCCTCAGGGGAGACTTTCCCTCCAGCGTATACACCTCTTCCAACCCACGTGCAGGCTGATCATTCGGGTACTATCTTCGAGAAAGAATTGCTGTACCAGGTGCCTCCCAGCAAGCCCCAACAGGTGAGACGTGCCATTGCTGTCTCGGGAACTGGAAATGGTGATTCGTTCCTCCGCGTTGCTGCCGCTCGCACAGCTGCCGCAATGCTACGGTTTTCTGGACCGGGCCGATATTTGACCCTCGCCGATGCTGTAACTGCCGTGGCTGGTTCTGGTGGTGAACTGCAGCGCTCAGCTGGACAACGCTGGAAGGTGACTGGCGAAGGCGAAGGAGGTATGATCGGAATCGAAGCTGAGTCTGCGCCGATTGCTCTCTGCTCTCGCAAGCAGCTAAGTCGCGGAAGAGTTGTTTCTGATTTCAATTCTGGGGGTATGTGGCGAGCCTACATCGAGGAAGATGATGATGGGAAAGAAAAGGAAGTGATCATGGTCTTCCGCGAAGATTATAAGTAGATTCCTACGTACACTAGTTGTCAGGCCTCAGGTGCTTTGCATTCTGGGGGTGTGGAAGCTGAACCCTCGAGAATACATATCGGGGTACATATAGACATCGGCACTTCCCATATCAAATACTGTCAACATATACAACACACAATACGATTCCAGGCCCCCGAAATATATTATTGGCGTAACGATACTCATGTATTGGGTTTACCGTGTAGCCGGTGAAGATCAAATTGGCTTCAATGATTCAATTTGGAGGCCTCAAGTGGTCGGTGTTAATTATTTTTCTTCTCTGAGATCTCAAAACGCAAGATCCCCTTCTTCCCCAACCCCCAAAACCAGTCCCATAGAGCAATATGATTAAAGGAGGGATTGATTGCTTCTGCAAGGTATTGACCTAGAAGACAAGATATTGAAATATAAAAACGAACAAAAAGATGTCTCCGATAGGGGGAATCGAACCCCCGGCTGCCGTGTGAGAGACGGCGATGTTAGCCACTACACCATATCGGACCGCTATGATGACAGTCATGAAAGTTGGCATTATCTTGATTCTTCCAATTTAGCGCCACCGGTTCTTGTGTATGTTCGTTCGTGCGTGGCTGTACATAGTCCCCTCCCCCTTCCACCCAACAGCCTACATTTTCTTTTTTGCCTTCCTTCTAGGCCTCACAGGCGAGGCAACTCTGCTATTGGTCCGGACCTTGAAGCTCCTTCCTCCACCTCCGCCGCTCGTACTCTCCACGAATGAATGACCTGTATATCCCGACAAAAGGTTGATCTATGTGTGATCCTGATTACGACCTGCGCTCCTTTGCCCTCACTTCGGCAATGAACCAACTTTCGGGAATCAAATAGCACTTGCTGTTGGCCTGTTCATGATGACATTTCTCTAATGTTGTCGACCTTGAACCACTTCCGATGTTCGAAGTCAGCGGCCATAGGAAGTTCTACTTCATACCATTCCATGGGATTGTTCTCTGTATGTCAAGTCCATCTCTTTTGTTGGATCATTTCACTAACAAGACTATACTTCAGTGCTCTGGCCAGCTTTAGAGTCCAAAAGCAACCCCAACTGGGGCCTACGCGTATATGCCCGAATCCTTCAACCCAGAAATTACTAGTCCAAGATCTTCGACCCACTACAGGTTTCACCCGGGCTCTCTGCATAGTTACTGGGCATACTGTTAAGGAGCGAGAGAAGGTATGACCTGGGAATTCATTACTTGAATAAGAGCGAATATATAAATTGGTCTTGACTTAACATCCTGGCCGTAGCATGATTGGCATTCCGATCTCAAAAGTAAATTAACTATTGCAAGATGTTTGTGTGCCATGGCCCGCCGTTGTTGAGCTGGGGCATCAGGGACTCATTCATCACATGTTCATTTTACCATCCAGATACGATGAGAAATGCGAGGTCAATCTCAGTTGGAACTAATGCAAAATTACCTTCGCCTAGTCATATTTGGGATAATATGGTAAGCCTCGCCTATCGTGAAAACTATGCCAAGGAGCCAGCTGATGTTGCTGTGTCTTGCAAGACCCTCCATGAAAGCTCTGGAGACGCTGGGTAGCAGGTCCCCCGTCGTAAGGTAAAAAAAAGATGTAGAACTGTACCGGAGTGGCAGCTCCCAACAGATAAGCTAAGGTTTATAATTCCCAGAGATTCGTGCTAATACTCCAGCTATCCGAGTCCTATCCAGGAGTAGTTCGCTTGACAGCAGGGACTCGGGAGCGTAAATAGGAAAATTATTTCGATTCAGCGAAATGATCTGGTATCATGTGAGCAACCTCGTAGGAACTCCAGCAAACCCACCTGTAGTAAATATTACCTCCTCTGCTATACCAGCCGAATGCTTGGCTCATTCAGCCAACTAACGCCCATCACAACATATTTGAAAAAGCAAACTTGAACAGGGGATATAATCAGGGCCGGACCCTGGCTCCTCGGAATAGAATCTGTCTCAACTAGGGCATCCTGTTTTCCATCTTGCCTTCCATCTTTTGAATCAGCTTCCACAGTATGCAAAGCTTGAGGGCTATTAGTTTGATTCTGAGACTGGGTCACAAAGAGCATACCTCAATTTGCTGCATCAGAGAAGCGATGCCGACTAAACACACACTAATAAACAGGATTGTGGAGGCCAAATCAGAGTCCATTTTGACGGTGAAGGTAGGGCAGAGAGGAACGGAATGTCGCAGTTGGAGCCCCAAGACAGAAGCAGATATGTGTATTTGAGCGAACAGAAGATAACGAGGAGGTTGAACAGATATAGAAGAGAGGTCCGGAAGTTTTAATTATTAAGGGCACCAATATGAACCAACAGTGACGGATAGTCTAATGGATAGGACTTTGGGACCGTTGCCCAATTTGTCTTAGTCTCACAAGAACGTATCATAAAGAGAGCGGAGTGCCCGCGGACTCAGCCATTGTAAATTAATAGACCCCTTTTACTTGAGTTTCCCACTCAGTCCTTTAGTTCGTCGCTTCAACACATCTTTTGCGTAATAAATTAGTACGTCGTATTATTTTCTTTAACGATTATGATCTCTTCTACCGCTTGGTGGATGAAGTGGTTTTCATTAATTCTTATGCCTTTGAGCTTATTGTGACTTGGTTCGCAATGACGTAAAGCTGAAAAACTGAGCGGTTTACCTTAGTCTTGATTAATTATTTATATGCGACACCCACTTGACGTTTGAACTGATTAATGCCAAGCAAGTTGTCTTCCGGTAAGCGTGGAGGGCGTATTTGACTTCGGGCCGCGTTACGCTGCAAGAGAAGGGACTTTCAACTCCATTAGAGGGAGTCTGGCTGAAACGCTATCCAAGACGAGAACCTGAGTCCCACAATATGGCTGGTTGATCATAATAAGAAGTTTGACTTGCCTACATGCCACTCAGCGAACTTGAGAACTTTGGACTCTAAAAGAGAGGCCGTGTTCAGAAGATATTCGAGATGCTATGCAAGGCGAGCGAGGCACGAAAAGTGAAGCATGAACAGATAAGGTATAATGCAAAGCGGTATTGAAGCTAATCAGATCATGAAAGAATTGCGCTCTGAACTTACAGAATAGTCAGTCAAGCTCTGCTTAGCCCTTTCATCTACAATTGGCACTATACACAAGAGATCGGCGTCACTAGCTGCTGGGACTCAACCGGCTCCAGTCGCCAAACCAGAGAAGATGGCGTGGCATTAAAGACAATGTGCCTCAAGTTTTGTCGAAACCAGCTAAAATATTGGTTTCGAGGCATCTAAGTGCTTCTAGGCTGGAGAATAATCCAAGTTGGCAGATATTTCCATCAGCCCATGGCAGACAATTTGGAAAGAGGGGAGCAAAACAAGCAATCTAGCAGACGACAATCTGCCAATTATGAAAATTGCCTTCCCACCCTTTGCTGGGCCTTCTATCGCCCGGTGGATCACGGAGTCGCAAAATATTGCGGAAAGATGTGCAAGGGCGTCGAGTCATGGTGAGCATTCATTCAATACATATCTTGAAGGCGTGTGAAGGCAATGATTTGGGGGAGGAGGAAGCCCAGGACTGATAATTATGACACGCACACGTCTACCGGTATCATAGATCTGTCATAGATCAGCAATTCATTCATACTTTTGTGGTCTCGTGTCCGCTACAACACGTGGACCAACTAGGCCAAAAGGGTCCGATCAGGCTTTTGACTACTTAGAAGTTTGTTCTAGCAGTTTCTATACCACATTTACCACATTTTGTTAATACATAGCCATGTTTCCGGGTTAGCCTGAGCTTGAGATACTGTAAGAATCGCGGATTATTTCTTATTGGAAGGCTCTCAGTGCGTTGAGGTATTTCACGTGTGGGCCGCCACCAACCAAGCTTCTCGCATATAGATACTTCAGGTAAAAGCTCCTTTTTGGCTGTGGGAATCACCGGCGTCGAAGCGTATTCATGTGTAGATTTGATCTTCCGTGGCAGTTTCAACTTAATCAATCGATCGATTCTAGGTTCCTTGTATCATGATTCGCCCTTGAGCAAGGCTATGGGGTCTAGAATTGCAGTGTGCTCCATCTCGGAAATGAACATACAAAAGCCTGTGTTAAGATATCTTCGGCCGGGTCACCTTCATATCGTCTCCAATGCTCACGTTTACATTGTTCGGCTTACAAAACGTCCCCACCGAGTTTTGTGATATCTTCCACTTTTCAATCGAACTTGACCTGTGGCAATTCAACATTTTTCAGGAGTGATAATTCCAAGTGCCCTCAAATGTCCCATGATTCGCCTGGCAGATTTTAAGGGTCAATTTGACCGCGTTCTGCGAGGGGACTTAAACCGAACTTGGATTTTTTGTTTCCTTTTGATAATTTGTTCGGATACTTCTTGGTCGGTTCACCCACCCCGGTTCGGAGCATGCAGTGAAGATGAACCATGCTCAGAATAGTTTGACCACGCGCCATCAAGCCCAGATGAAAGTATGCTTGACTATGAACCATGTCAATGACTGAAGTATGTCACCTCGGATCTTTTTCTGTCTTCGGTTGATGAACGGGTAATGGCGGTCATGGTTCAATGATAAAACATTGAAGGGATGCTCCGGAATTGTTTGATTCGGTATCGAGAGTTGTTATTTTGACTTAACTTCACTGGGCATGCACGCAGTCGAGTATCAAGTTACGACATCAGTTCGTGTGACGCATGAATGTCTTGTGGCCTGAGAGAGGCCTGAGGGGGAACGTGATCTGGAAGGAGCCGTAGGTCTAACCCGATTCGGGATAGAAGTGGGTTTGTTTCGTAGATGCTCGTTTCCCTCTTTCTCTCTTCTTCTTCTTCTCCAGTTTAGTTGCTTCTGTTAATGATACACGAATTCTTCTTCGTCTTGGTCGGTAACAGTTCGTACCCGATTACACATGCTTGCTGAATGATACATATACCCCATAAGACCATTTAGAGTTCTGCGTTGATCATGATTCCAATTGATACCTTGATGTACGTGATTTTAGCCTTCTATGCTTGGAACTTATTTCCAACCGAGGACATTATGCCGAAGTAGTTGGCTGGAGTTGAGAAAAAATCACACTGGCAAGTTTGAGATCAGAGCTACATTTGCATGTTTAATACATTTTGCCAATGTTCCTCCCAATTTTCATACAATGGGACGATAGCTCAGTTGGGAGAGCGTGCGATTGAAGCTACTTCGATCTTCGCAAGGTCGCTGGTTCGATCCCGGCTCGTCCCATTTTTTTTAGTTGCTTTAACCATCGGATTGATGCTACACGAACCCCCCGAACCTACTTTTCCATAGCTTCTGGACACAGGAAAATTCTAATTATCCTCTAGACTTATTTATTGAAGACGATATGTCTTATCTACATAATTAACCTCTTTTTGTGGATATTTTAGATAGCTAGGACTGGCTAGCTCGTTCAATTTGGAACACGCAAGGTCAGGTATGCAAAATGTAGCATCGATCTTTACCCAATGGGACGATAGCTCAGTTGGGAGAGCGTGCGATTGAAGTTTACTTCGATCTTCGCAAGGTCGCTGGTTCGATCCCGGCTCGTCCCATCTTTTTTGCCGTCAAAGCAACGGAACTATAACACGAACTGAAATCTAGTCTTTTTTTGCCCCTCTAGAAAAAATCGGGTGTTCTTCCCGTATACAAGCTACGCGCTACTGATTTCATGACTGAGATCTAAAAGATGTTTTTATATCTTACTTACATACGATATGGTCCTTTTGGATATTGCCGGTCAGAGCAGTGGAAGAGACGGGGATATGTCTCAAGCCTTCTCAGATATAATATGGTCCTGACAAAATTGCCAGAGATAATCTAATGGTATCACAGTCCTCATTAGTCCCTCTACAACATGTACGACAAAGAGCGTAATCATTTAGTCTCATATGGGATAAGGTTGACTGTATGGGACAACATTGACCGGGGCACCTGGAACGCATCGAATTGTATAACTTGCTTGCGGACCCCGTTTCATCTCCCTATTCTGTGATTGAGCTGAGAGCTGTGAAATAAGGATTAATATCGTCTCCAAGACGATAAAATCGGGGTAGTTGAAGACTTTACTGACCAGATTCAGTCCCTGTATGAGCACCACTTTCCACGAACTGTCCTGGAGTCTCTGGTTCGACCTCCGTTACTTGCCCCTCAACGTTCGTACTCATGACCGATATTATTATCGGCCTCCAAATGGTCATAATCTTCACTTTGCTGCTCTTCAACTTGACTTTAAGGTGTCGCAGATGGTCTGAAGAGGCACATCCGGAGTCACAGCAGTCATGTCAGCAATGGCTCAGTCTGAAGTTCTTGATACGGTCATCTTGGGCTCCCGCAGGCGAACATCAACTCCGGCCATCAGAGCCTCAGGTTCTGTGCCGCAATTTGAGCGACCGAGTACAAACCCTGGTTCAACTTTTTGATGCCAAGATCAAAGTGAGGACGCACAATATTCTTTACCTAAAATGCAGGCTTCCGGAAGATCGTTATGTTTAGCCCAGACGTAGGCATCTGCGCCGTGAAAAAGATTTGGAGAAATCTGACGCCCACGAGCAGGACTTTGCGCTGGAACTCATTGCAAATCTCCAAGGTGCGGGCCTCGTCGATAAGCTCCTTGGTTCAACCCACAATTTTATCGATATATTCAACGATATATTCAAGGTTATTTTTCCCAATAAGTAGTCCCGAAGCTAAGTCTTGTTAATTATAGTGACTGATAATTTCACAAAAACTCCTTCACGACGTACGGTCCAGACCAACGAGTCTCCAATTTACGCCCCTGCACATTGTCCAATACTGCCCTACATAACAAGAGCAGATCTCCTATGGCTATAATTCGGCGATTTGCTACTCTGTGATTTATCGGGAACGTCCGTGATATACCTCCGACAATCTTGGTGACACATCGGATCCCAACAGCTCCAAGTTTCGAATGTATAGCCCGGAACAGCTTGCATAGCAATACACTCATATCGCCCGTTTACAAGAGGTTCGGATATTTTGGTGCCTCCTTCTCTGGACCTCAAAAACAAAGTATGTCAGAAGGGAAGATAGAAAGCTCAGACGAAACCATCACTGGTTTAATATGTCAGATATTAACATTGATAGCTGGCCAGAACGCCTATTTAGAACCAGGTCGAGCTTCCTGCACCACCACCACCACAAAGACTCAGAAAAGCCTTCAGAGCAGTCCGCTCAGATTGAATCGCACGAAGGTGATAGAGTAGTAAGTGACTCTTCTCGTTTACCAGATTTAGAAAGATACTCCTGGGTGCATAGACCCGTATGTGCCGTCGACAAGATTGAGACTTGATTCACATGAAAGAGACTGTTATTCAGAGAACAAAATTAGAACCTCGTATTACATAATGGGACGATAGCTCAGTTGGGAGAGCGTGCGATTGAAGTTTACTTCGATCTTCGCAAGGTCGCTGGTTCGATCCCGGCTCGTCCCATTTTTTTAGGATCTTACTCTTTTTTTAGTGTATTTGTTCACACGCCTCGATCTCAACGATTTTGAGCTGCTTCTCATATTCATTCTTCTCCGACAGTAAAAGTGAGCAGGAATTTAAGTCTTTTTACACGATGTTAAAAATGTCTTTGCCTACCCCGCTCTTGATACAGGTTGTATAAGGTAGCTGCGTGGGCCCTAGGAAAATTCAATAAAGAACCCACAATTCTTTTTATCATCTTGAAAATATGATCAAATTTGACATTATAGTGGCATTGGGAAAGTCGAAGAAAGTTAAGGTGTATGGAATGAAATATGAGGCACCAAAGATATTCCTGGGACGATAGCTCAGTTGGGAGAGCGTGCGACTGAAGTTTACTTCGGTCTTCGCAAGGTCGCTGGTTCGATCCCGGCTCGTCCCATTTTTTTTCTTTTGTGTCCTGATGACGAAAAACATGTAGATCTGTTTGAATTTCTTAGACCTATTTACTGTCAATGTGAAGTTTTTTATTTTCTTCAGAAATACAATTCATTTCAAGGTAGCCTCTTCTAAGGCTCCTCAACATCAACGTATCTCTATACTTCATTGGGTCCGTAATTTGTGACTTGTCGGTATTGTGGGTCTTTTGGCCATGTCAGACACGATTTTCTAAGATTTTGCTTTGCAATACATCTTATTCGTCTTTATAGTTCAGACTCATGCATTGCATTAGTGATACATAAGTTTAGCCAGTGATCTCAGCTATTCAAACCGATCAATGAATATGTATAGAAAGAGGCCAAGTGATCTATCTGCTTTTGGCTTCACCAGCATTTGCCTTCTGACAAATGGTGGCGGAACCGACCTTGGAAGGACTGAGTATCAGCTTTTGTGTTGATTCTCTTTATCTCATTTGAAATCTCATTTGTCTTCTACTAATATGATACCTCCCAAGAAATTCTGCCTCCCATTTTGCAAACAGAATTGTATACGTTTATGAAGAATTACCATAGCTGGAAACATAACTCAACCCCTGAGCTTTTACAAGTTAAGAAAGGGAAAATTAAGTAAGAGAGAGGAAGCCTCTAGTGACTACTCCTTTAACAGACGGCGCTTCTTTGGGCGGCAATCTACGAATAGCTTCTCCTGGAAGTATTCTTTAACGAACTAGGCTGTTTGTGACAAGCGAAAAAAAAATGGGACGAGCCGGGATCGAACCAGCGACCTTGCGAAGACCGAAGTAAACTTCAATCGCACGCTCTCCCAACTGAGCTATCGTCCCATTATGTAATACAGGGTCTCGAAGTTAGCTAGACAGCAATCAACTTGATTGATTGAAAGAAAATAAAAATTTGTTTGCTTTATCTTTCTCAAGAAATTGAACAGACACAAAAAAAATGGGACGAGCCGGGATCGAACCAGCGACCTTGCGAAGATTGAAGCAAACTTCAATCGCACGCTCTCCCAACTGAGCTATCGTCCCATTGGGTGAAAACCTCGGTAGATTCTGGCAACAAGATCCAAAGAGCCGTCCGAGAGTGATTGCATACTTACGCACCAGAGAGTCTCGAGGCAGTACCTTTGAGTTCTTGAAATATACCTTTTTTCTCTTTCCTGAGAGCTTGCCTAAGCTTATTCTCTTCGAACCGTTTCGGAAATGCTGGCCAGAAGGCATCTAGAGCCTGGCATGCTGTCGTCTCTCTAAGTCTTCTTTGGTATTCTGTCGGTCAAATTTGCCGCGGACAAAATGAAGTTCGAAGAAATTGGGCTTGAGTTCTACTTGATGGTGAAAACCAGCAAATTGCGTAGCCATCAAGAGCGCCGAATCCTGTGGTCTCGCATAGGTCTCCGAACCCGGGGTATTGAAAGCTGATCTCAGCACGTTGTTGAAGATCGCATCGATAGGCAGTCACCTCAAAGGCCCGAGCCGTAAAATTAGCATTCAGAAAAGGAGAAAGAATAGACTGAGATGTCCCTCACTCCAATCTCCAGCCATAGCTCAATTTCAAGAAGAGAGGGTCAGACTTTTAGCTCGATCACAAGCTCTGCGCTTGATGCATGTCTTCCAAAATGGTACAAAGGTCTTTCCAACAATGATTTGAATAATCAGGATCCGGTACCCCACATTCATCGAGTACGGGGTTCAGGTACGGCGGAAAGCAACGGCGCAGGGTGCAACGGAACTGGTTCCGCGCCAAGGATCATTAACCCGGCCATCGCGAAGGCAAGACGAGCGTATGATACATTAAATGTAGCATGAAAAGCTATGCTCAAGCTTATGATTAACTTATCCTAACTATCTTTCCCAGTCATACTACCGACAAGACTATTATCATCAAGCTTCAAGATGACCGACTCCGTAACCCTCTACACATACTTCCGCTCCTCTTGTTCAGCACGTCTCCGTATCGCATTATATCTGAAAGGAATTCCATTCACCTCAGTATTCGTCAACCTTCTCAAAGATGAACAATCTTCATCCGCCCACCGCGAAATAAACCCTTCCGGCACGGTCCCAGCCCTTGTGATCCAGCGCGCCTCCGCGACACCAGTGACAATCACCCAGTCATTGGCAGCTCTCGAATACCTTGACGAGGCATTCCCAAACCACGGACCTGCTCTTCTCCCGTCAGACCTGGAAACTCGAGCCCTCATCCGGACTCTCTGTGAAATTATTGGGTGTGACATCCAGCCCGTGACAAACCTGAGAATTTTCAAGCGGGTTGCTCTGCTCGGGGCGGACCGGGCTGCTTGGTCGAAGGAGCTGATCGAGGATGGTCTACGTGCGTATGAGAGTATTGTTACCCGCTCGGCTGGGAAGTTTAGCGTCGGGGATCGGATTACCATGGCGGATATTTGCCTAATTCCTGCCGTGTGGGGCGCTGAGAGGGTGGGTGTTGACTTAGCGATGTTTCCGGTGACTTATCGAATTGCGCAGAACCTGGAGAGGGAGGAGGCGGTCCAGAAGGGTCACTGGCAGACGCAGCCTGATACACCTGAGGAGCTTCGGGCGAAGGTGTAGATTTGCAACGTTGTGTAAAGCTAGTGGGTTTACTTTGTTTTTTGCTTTCAATGCTTGGTTGTACCGGCCATTTCTTGCCGGGTTATACGTGTCATTGCAACTATCTTAGGACTATGGAACGTGTGGAATAGCAATTTCATCATATCGAATCATCTCATTATTTTCCGCCATCTACAGCGCAACGGGCGGGAGAATAGTGCCAACGCAGTCACCAAATCCAACGTAGGCGCCTTCAGTGCCGGCCTTGCCGCGTAGGATAATGGTGTCACCGTCCTCGAGGAACATGCGCTCTGAGCCATCGGCGAGCTTCAGAGGGGTCTTGCCGTTGGTCTGCTCGAGCAGACTGCCTTGGGTTTTGGGCTCAGTCCCGGAGATGGTACCAGAGCCGAGGAGGTCACCGGTTCGCAGGTTGCAACCAGTGATCGTGTGATGAGCGACCATCTGAGGGAAGGAGTAGAGAAGGTTGCGGGAGTTGCTGTTGGAGATGATAGTAGGTTGGCCACCCTTATTGGTGATCTCGACCTCGAGTGGAATCTCGTAGGAGGTGTCGGCGCGCTTCTCACGGAGATAGGGAAGGAGGGATTCGCGATTGCCGGGCTCCAGACCTTGAGCACGGAAGGGCTCGAGGGCATCGATCAGTACGACCCAGGGAGTGATCGTAGTACCGAAGTTTTTGGCGTTGAACGGGCCGAGAGGAACGTACTCCCAAGCCTGGATATCGCGAGCGGACCAATCGTTCATGAGGACCAGGCCAAAGATGTGATCCTCAGCCTCATCAATAGAGACGGGCTTGCCCAAGTCGTTGGGAGTGCTGATGAAAGCAGCCAGTTCTAACTCGATGTCAAGGCGCTTGCAAGGAGAGAATGTTGGCACCTTGGGGTCGGCGGCGGGGTTGGCCAAGATTTGACCCTGAGGACGGTGCAGAGGAGTACCGGAAGGCACAACGGAAGAAGCGCGACCGTGATAGGCGACAGGGAGGTGCTTGTAATTGGGCTGCAGAGCGTTGTCGGGCCCGCGGAAGAGAACACCGATGTTGTAGGCGTGGTTCAAACCGGCATAGAAATCCGTGTAATCACCAATCTGCATCGGAACGTGGTTTGTGACCTGGGACAGTGGTACCAGAGCTGTCTTCTGAAGATCGGCATTGTCCTTCAGAAGCTGGGGATATTGGGTGTCGGCACGGAAGACATTCTGCAGGTACTCGCGGACCTGGCGATGCACGGGACGGCCCAGCGCAGCGAAAGCATTCAAAGTCGGCTGGTTAAAAACACCCAAGTGCTGCTGGATCGCAGGCAGTTGAGAGAAGCCGCCCGATGAGGCGAAGGCGTGTAAGTTCAAAGCATAGTCACCGATGGCAATGGCGGCTACGCGCGATGAAGAAGCGGAGATGATGCCAAAAGGAATATTGGCGAGCGAGAACGGCGAGTTTTTAGGAATTTGGAGCCAGGACGCCATGATGAAGAGGTGATTGAAATTGTGAAGAATCCAGAATCTCCAGCTTAATTGGATTTGCAACTTAACTATGAACTCTCTGCCCGCGAACTTTCCGTTCGGCGGAATTGAGCCGCCCCCCGCATGAACGCGGGCGCGGAAACGGGTTGCCCTCGTCGAAGCGGGGATAAACGCGGATATCGTGCGCAGTTCCACGGTGACGTTAGACTCAAACATGGAGCTGGACTCACAGCTCGGATCGGGTTCAGTTCTACTGCCGAACGCAAATTACAAAATCTTCAAGCTCCTCCGTTCTAGTCACATCACAACCGCCATCATGCCCGTCACCAACTTCTCTCACCCAGACCCATACAAATACCAGATCGGCTTCGACTCGTATCACGAGTGAGTACCCGAACAACCGTAGTAATCTGTAATTAGACTAACTTGGCCCAGGACCGAGGCTATCGAAGGTGCTCTACCCATAGGCCAGAACTCACCGCAAAAGGTGCCCTATGGTCTCTACGCCGAGAAGCTCTCAGGAACTGCCTTTACAGCTCCTCGACATGAAAATAAGCAGACCTGGGTATATCGTGTGCTGCCCGCAGCGGCCCACGAGAACTTCAAGGCAGAGGATGCCGACTCCTACCATACGACTATGACCACCGAGACCCATAAACTGCACCATATCCCCAACCAGCTCCGATGGAACCCATTCGATCTTGACGAGAAGGTGGACTGGGTCCACGGTCTGCATTTGATTGCCGGTTCGGGTGATCCGACCATGAAAACAGGCCTGGGTATCATGCTTTACGCCGCTGGAAAGGACATGGGCAAGGAGGCCTTCTACTCTGCCGATGGCGACTTCCTGATTGTTCCCCAGCACGGTGTCCTGGACATCCAGACAGAGCTCGGCCGCATTATCCTGCGCCCAAACGAGATCTGTGTGATCCCACGCGGTGTCCGGTAGGAACCACTATATTTCAGAGGCAAGGATTCATACTAACGGAGAACCAGCTACCGCGTGACTCTCCCAGACGGCCCTGTCCGAGGCTATATCTGCGAACTCTACCAAGGTCACTTCCAGCTCCCCGAGCTTGGCCCTATCGGCTCCAACTGTCTCGCCAATGCGCGCGACTTCCAAGCTCCCGTTGCATCCTTTGACGACGAAGAAGAACCCACGGAGTACAAATTGTTCAGCAAGTTCAACAACACACTCTTTTCGGCGCGCCAGATGCACACTCCCTTTGACGTCGTCGCCTGGCATGGTAACTACTACCCATACAAGTACGACCTAGGCCGATTTAATACCATTGGATCCATCTCGTTCGATCACCCCGATCCCTCGATCTTTACTGTTCTGACTGGTCCCTCCGATCACGTTGGTACTGCCATCGCTGACTTCGTCATTTTCCCGCCTCGCTGGTTGGTCGCTGAGAACACTTTCCGGCCTCCGTGGTACCACCGTAACACCATGTCTGAGTTTATGGGTCTGATCAGTGGCAACTATGATGCGAAGACAGGAGGTGGATTCCAGCCAGCCGGTGCTAGTCTACACAACGTGATGAGTGCACACGGTCCGGACTCGGCTGCATTTGAGGGAGCCAGCAACGCCGAGCTGAAGCCCGCCAAGGTCGGAGATGGAAGCATGGCATTCATGTTTGAGAGGTATGTTTATGGCTCCAAGGATTGTCTTGGTCTTCTTGCTAATACCTGCGCAGTTCTCTTATGGTTGGTGTTTCCGAATGGGGCCTGAAGACTTGTGAAAAAGTCCAGGAGGAGTACAATAACCACAGCTGGACGCCACTGAAACGTCACTTTGTTAACCCCAACAAGACGAATTAGGTCTGTCGGAGGTTGAGAGGAAATCTCACGGAATTTATACGTATTTAGCCATTATTGAAAAGCATTTTTTGTTGACGAAATCCGAGTTGATGGAAATAAATAACATCACATAGTTTGAAGAAACTTGATTATAATAATCGACCTTGGAGGCTGAAATTGACGAGGACGGCCCGAGTACTCTTTTTCCTGCAGAGCTACTCACATTGAGAGTTGGAAGGCCCTCCACATGAATCTGAGGAGGATAGGTATAAGACCAAGATGAAAAGATGTTCGATGAAAAAGAAAGCATTCCATTACTTGGCCCGATTCAACAGACTTAGGATGCGATCGCCAGTATATTCGACGGACACAATACTTTCAGCTGTACTTATCAGTCATCTTTACGGTAGCAGCTACCATTTGGACAATAGTCAAACTTATAGAACGCTCACTATGCAATTATTGGCTCTTAATCAAGATATATTTCCATCACACAAAGGTTCAACGCTCGACTTCCTTTCTCATCGCCTCCTTCACGATCGCTCCACACATCTTCGCATACGGATTCGTCTGCACAGCGAGCTGCTGCGCGACCTTATTACCATATCTACCACCAAGGAAGAAATCATGACTCGCCATCTCCTCGAGACGATCTGCACTGAGTCCACGCAGACTCTCTGGACCACCAACGTCATCTGTTCCGGCCCGCTCCTTCTTCACACGCGCGGACTTCAATAACAAGTATCCACGATGAGTATGCGCGTCTGATAGTAGGCGCGCTTGGACTGAGGACAATGGATCTGCAGGGGAATCGGGGGTGGCGAGAGAGATGGCCTGGCCTAGGTCTGCGAATATTTGAGAAGATAGAGAAGCGGCTTCTGGAGCGAATAATGCATCGTCGGCATTGATTTCGAAGCCGTAGGGGTGGTTGATGGTGTGTTTAAGGCGTTCGTTGTATTCGATGTCTACCAGGATACGCAGTGCCTGGGCGCGGTTTGTGTATGTGGATGGGTAGGTTGGATAATTGCTAATGAGAGAGTCTAGCTCGTCTAGAGCTGATTGGACATTCTCTCGACTTGGTGTTTCGTTGGTTTGCAGCTTGCGAACTATATCTGTCTCGCGGCGCTTGAGCGTCTCGAGGTCTCCGCGAGAGACGTTCACTTTTGCGGGCCATGAAGGAAGCAGAGGGTCAACGGTGATGCCGGACGATGGAGAAGACTCGGCATCGAATAGTGCTTGGAGAACGGCGGCATCGTTAGATGTTAAGCATGGCCGTGCTGGTTCGACAGAAGTCATTGTTGGCAGCTGAGTGGTATGTTTTCGGGACCTTTGAGATTGAGGTGCTCGACGGCGCACAAGGATATGTGTAGCCTGTTAAGATATGAGGGCGATATCCTTCTGAGTCTTGAGTCTGAGAATAAGGTGAGTGATGAGCACAGCCGATAATATCAAAGAGCGGACCCAGCCCGGCTGTTGGCGGAAAACCTCGGATACCTCAGGATGCGGAGCCAACCGCATAGAATCGCGGCTTCAAAGTCAGGATGACGAGTAAAGCGCAAAATTATCCGTCCTCGGCAGTTTCAAAGATGTTGTGTGAATGGCTCATTTTTATAAATCATATGCTGTGGCGTCTCTTATATGAACCATCATCCTGGGTCATCCTTGACACCTTTTTCTACAAAACACAACTTCAAACTTCAGAAGTCTGCAAATTTGGAAAAGACAAGAACAAAGGTCGAATTAAACACATTCTGTACCAACATGGCGCCTTCAGCAATCTCCACCACACCTCCGCCGTCAACCACGGGGGCATCTTCGCTCGCTAGCTACCGCGGCTACGATCATGTCCACTGGTACGTCGGCAACGCAAAGCAAGCCGCAAGCTACTATATCACTCGCATGGGATTCAAGCGCATCGCATATCGTGGTCTCGAGACTGGCAGCCGTCACATCTGTTCGCACGTCATTCGCAACGGCGACATTACTTTCATCCTGACCTCGCCTCTGCGGTCTCAGAGCCAGGATCAGATCGGCCGCTTCACCCCGAAGAGCAAGCTGAGCTGCGTGAAATTCACTGTCACCTCGAGAAGCACGGTGATGCGGTAAAGGATGTCTCCTTCGAGGTAGACAATGTTGAGGCTGTTTTCAACGCTGCGGTGAAGAACGGCGGCAAGGCCGTGTCTGAGCCGAAAATTCTGAAGGACAAAGATGGTCATGTCAAGGTCGCAACCATCCAGACCTATGGTGAAACTACCCACACCCTGATTGAGCGTGGCCAGTACCGCGGTGCCTTTTTGCCTGGCTATCGTCTTGAGACTGGTACTGAGGATCCGATCACAAAATTCCTGCCTCCTGTTGAGTTGAAGTTCATTGATCACTGCGTTGGCAACCAGGATTGGAATGAGATGGACAAGATTTGCGAATAGTGAGTGTTTTCGCGGCCGTGGGGATGATTGTTACTCATACGTTTCTAGCTATGAGAAGGCACTTGGCTTCCATCGCTTCTGGTCTGTCGATGATAGCCAGATTTGCACGTAAGTCAACACCCCGAGAACTCCAAAGACAAAACCTGACACAATTCGTTATAGTGAATTCTCAGCTCTGAAAAGTATTGTCATGGCTTCACCTAACGAGGTTGTCAAGATGCCAATCAACGAGCCCGCCAAGGGCAAGAAGCAGTCCCAGATTGAAGAGTACGTAGACTTCTACGATGGCGCCGGTGTTCAGCACATTGCTCTCCAGACCGACGATATCATCCGCGATATCACCAACTTGAAAGCTCGTGGAGTGGAATTTATCAAGGTCCCGGAGACATATTACACCGACATGAAGGCACGCCTGAAGCAGTCCAGCTTAGTTCTGAAGGAAGACTTTGAGACTATCAAGAGTTTAGATATCTTGATTGACTTTGACGAGGGTGGCTATCTTCTCCAGCTGTTCACAAAGGTATGTCAAATTATGAATCTCTTTGGAGCCAATCTCTGAACTTCCGCTAATAAACGGCATAGCACATGATGGATCGCCCCACTGTCTTCATTGAGATTATCCAGCGACACAATTTCGATGGCTTCGGTGCTGGTAACTTCAAGTCTCTGTTCGAGGCCATTGAAAGAGAGCAGGAGCTGCGTGGCAATCTCGTTTGATGGAATATCTGCTTGACAAAATGATACCTTGTATTTGCATTTGTATTAGCGATTTTCACTGCACATTTATCTATGACAAATACGATCATACCGGTTTCAACTTCATTCCTATTCGTACAGCACAAAAGAGCTTTCATAGGCATACCATAGCGTCAGACAGTCAAGTCTAGCTTGTCGAATCATTGTGGTGATAACAATACGTAAATCGAGACAAAGAACGAAGAGAAATCTGTCAAATGAGCACCTTTCCCTTTCCACGCCAATTTTTGTGACTGCGAAGAAAGCTCTTCTGAAGCATAGGAACCAAATGATATCATTTCGCGTTGCTTGTCAGGACTCTCAAGGTTAGGCACTGATGATAGTACTCTGATTGAGATTCTCGCCGTTGATTCAATCCTTACGCATAAGCAAACTTTCGCAATTGAATCTTGTCAACCAGCATCACACGGTGAAAAGATCATCAATGATATAGACAAAGATTTTTAATGAACCCATAAGTTGATCATGATTTTTGACAATGGCTTTGCCAGATGCTAAACACAGCTTTCGAGGTCCCTATCGACCCAAAAATCATGCGATGCAAGTATGCTAATGCTCAAATATGCCCATTTACAGCTACAAGACCGAACATGCTCTACTTCTTCTTCGAGCTTGATCCGCCAGGAGGATTTCCTCCCCTTCGCTTGTACTTCCGAGGATCTATTCACCATCAGTATCGCTATATGACAGCCTGTGAAAGACGTTCTTACCTTTGCGGCTCATAAGAGCTCGATTACGAGTTCCCTTTCCACCTTCCCAGAATCCGCTACCAGCCTTGCCTACGAGAACCGCCTTGCAGATACCGCAGTTCTCTGGTCTGTAGATTTGCTCGCGAGAACAGAAACCACTTATTTTGATCGTCAGAATCAACCTATTGACTCCATGAGGGATGAACATACCAGATCATGCGATTAGCGTGCTCGTTCGGATGGTCGGTTTCAGCATCATGACATCTAAGATGAATTGTTAATTTCAACAACAGAGACAAAATGTCAGAGCAATACACACTTATCACACGGGAAGACCTTCGCACAACAGCTGAACCTGAACCAACGGTGACTCTTTGAATAATGCTGGCAGCGACCACGACGGGGTAGCTCTTGGCCTGCAACGATGCCGAGGACTTCTTTGGTCTTTAAGGGGTTAGACTTATTCAGAGACGCTCTGTGGTGGAACTGACCTTCTTCTTCAAAGGAAGAGCACGGGAGGTGACTGAGTTCCGTTGATAAGTATGTTGACGAGGTGTATTCCGTAGAGGTGGCACTTACTACCTGTGGTGCTCACGACCAAAAACTTCACTTCGGGTAGTTTGAAGACTTGACATTCAATTAGTCTGGAACGATGTTTGGGAAGTTGTGTGAAACCTACCCATCTTGCGGTGGCAGTGACGGCAAATCGCCATGGCGCTTTCTCCGCGAACGGCAGATACTCCAGGCATGGGATGGACGGTCGAACACTCGGAACATGTTGGAAGGAAATTACTATTCAAAGTCAGTTAGTCTCTTTAAATTGTTCCCGAAATAAATGCTCACCTAGGAATAAGATCCACAATGGTACAACCCTCCAAGTCCAGATATCCAGCTCGGTTAGCATGTGAATGCATCATCTGTCTCCGGAAGCCTGCAAAGAAAAGCATTAGTCAAGATTTCAGAGATTGGAGCAGTTGTTGAGACCCACCAATGCTCATCGAATTAGCACACTTCCGGCACGATTCGATCTTAGGCGACGCTTTCGGATCCTGAATCTGGGGAACATTCTTGATATCCACAGTCTGCTTACACCGCTCACACTTGACTGTGATAGCTAGATGAACAAGTTCCAGCAGCTCGATTCCATAAAGCTCCATGAATGGGAATGAAAGCGCGACACCTCGACCCGGCGCGTCATCTGCAGCTGCAGGAACGGGAGCACCGCCTTCACTCGTGTCCTCGCCTTCTTCCTCCTCTGAGTACTCATCGTCGTAACTCGATTCATCTGTGACTTCACTGTCACTATTTGAATCCTGGACAGACCACTCTGGCGGTCGAGGGATGACATGCAAATGGGGCCTGTCTCCATCTTTTTCAAGAAGTACACCATCTGACGGCTCCAGCGCAGATGATTCCACATCAGATTGAACGTGCTGATGTTCGTGTTGGGAGTATTCAGCTACTTCAGGCAAAGGCGTCTTGGCGAAGACGTGAATATTACTAGCCAAGTAATTGATTTGCGAGACCAAATTCATTTGAGAGTGCTTTCCAACCCATTCAGTGAATCCAGTTTCCACAGATCTTGCCTCGGGGCTGTCATTTGCTAGGATCTCAACTGAACTTAGCTCCAATGGGTAAAGATGAGGGACCAGCAGCTTCACAGTCTTGATCGTCTGGAGCGATCTGGGCAGATGGTCCATCTTATTGGGTTGAATCGGGACGATCCAAGATGTATCCGTGCGTTTCTGGAACATGGGCAGTCGTCCAAGGCGAGCTTCTAGCTGCTTTGTCTCCATTGACCTTCGCTTCTCCGCTTGACTCTTTTCTGCGGCGCTATAGGTTTTCCTCGCCACTGGTGCTTTTGACACCGGGGCTGGAACTGGCGTCACTTTCACAGCAGCATTTTCCGTAGACCGGGGCAGTTCACGCTGACTCGCGAGGGTCAATTGAGGCTTCTGCTCCCTTGGAGCAGGCGCTTCACCAACATTCGCAACGAATTTCAGTTTTGGCCCTCTTTCGAGAGTAATCAGCAGGCGTTCAAGCTGCTTATCCAGACTGTTCATCCAGCCAAGCAGGGTCCCTTGACCCTTCGTCCTAATCGTATAATCAACAATATCATCGAAACCGCGACTGACATTCACCCGATACGCCGCTTCCATCTCGGGATTCGTAACAGAAAGCGTGGGCCGTCCTGTACCCGGGTACGAGGCAGGCACATGAAGGACGCATTGCAATTTGTCCAATTCGAACGGAAAGTCTGGGTCAGATGGCGCCAATCCGAATGACAGAGTCACTCCCTTCTCATCTGCCATCTCCTCCGGACGGAAGCGGCGTCTCAACTGATTGATCTGGAACTCTCTCGGGTCTTTTTGCTCTATCTTTGAGACGGGCCGTTGAGGCTGAGCGCCATTCGAAGGCGCCGGTCCGCTGATACTCAGATTTTGCACACCAGCCGCTAGACGAGGGCCTAGATGTTGAGCACTGTCAGACGATGGCTGTGGCGCCGACTGCTGATTAGGCTGTTTCACTTTTTGCTCAGTAGCGGAGGCGTCATGGATGTATGGACACTCCGCGCCAGCACGGCAGCCTATTCTGGTGTCAGTTTCGGAGTGCAATATTCAACGTCCCTCTATACAGGGGTCCGAGTAAACAACCCAGTCTCCAGGGCCCCAGCAGAGAAACATGACATCCTTCCATATTGATGGGAATCAAGCCATCTGAAGGGAAGCGTGCACGAAAATCCAAAGGGGGAGTTCTCGCAATACACCACAAAAGCAGCCAAGATCACCACTCCAAAACCTGAAACCGCATGAACTCAACGCAAGAACATACCTTTTTTGGTCGCAAAATAACGACATTTGCCCCGTTTCCTCGCTGATTGGCGAGGGGCTGGCACATGCGTGGATTCAACGCCATGCGGCAAAGCTGGGGCTGCCAACTCATCATTTGAAGTCGGCTGCTCAGTCCCTGTCCGAGAGTTCTCTCCATAAGCGTGTGATCAAAAAGGTTGCGGGCCGTTGTGCCTCTTCTGGAGAACACAAGCCAGTCTCTGGGCGGCAAAGGCTCCGGGCAGGGTCAGGACCCGGGGAACTCAGATACGAGAGCAGTGGGGGAGCCCGTAGAACATATTTCCCAGAAAAGCGTCCTCGACCTTTGCGACCAATAAAGAAGGGAAAGACTTACGTTGGATCTGGGAGTCCAGACCCGGACTGTCCACTGATCCGTTCGCCATGAGTCGAGGGCAAAAAGAGACGGTCGAAATGTGACGTTTTCTGCCAACGCAGAGATCGGGTGACCAAAGGATCGACAGGACCAGATCTGCTGCTGGAAAAGCCGCGATGGAAATCCGGGAAGCCGGGTTGGGTTAGACTACTCCAGGGATTCCAAGATCCAACCTGAGTGAAGCAGGTCTGGTATACAAATAGAGAGAAAGTTGGAATGCCAAGCCTTTGGAGTCGTGATTCAATCTGACTCATTCCTTAATCTACCATCTTCCACGCACATCTACCAAGCTACGAAAATGAACGAGATGAATCATGGTTGACTCAAGGTTGTGCATATCTGACAGTCCTGAATCTCTCAGGGCTTGTCAAAGTAACCCCACGTCAAATTCTCAACGGTTCTCTATCCTGCATCTCTCCGCTCGGCTCTTAGGTCATGATGACCCCACTCTGTAAAGCTTTCCATATGCACACAACACCGCTCGGGAGACTTTCCTCCTGGAACATGAACCGCCCTGTAAGAAGACCTGCAGCTAACGCAGTCTAATGCGGGAAATGCCACACAGGCGGTCAAGCGGAGAAGAGGGGTCGGCTTCCAGGACTCCGTATGCGCTAGGACCAGGACATGCTAAAAAGCCCCGCGTCACATTATACTAAGCAGCAGGCAAAACGTATTCAAAGACCTGAGGAGCTATGCAGTCGGTATGTTCATGCAGGGACAATGCTGCCAAGGTCTCAACACCAGACCGAGCCATATTTCTTGTGCTCTCGAGAGAATGTGGTCTGCAAATATCTTTCACTATCTTGAATGCAACTATAGAAATGTCTTTGACTCCAGCGGGAGAGCACCGCGAGTCGTTCCACGGGCATCGTCGAATAATTACGCGCAACGGACACGGAAAATGTCACCAACAGGCTTCCTACCCGCGTAGATCCAAGGTTCACCGCGAAACAACAACAGGATGTTATATCAAGTCGCCGCACCAGGACAAGACATTGCGCCCTCTCTTCCTCAACCTCGAGGTCACACACACCTTCTACCCGGCTCGAAAGTGTACCCTGTCCGTGGCGTTGATAGACTCTACTATTTGCATCAGGCGTTCCCTCCCGTAAAGAAAGAAAATCCCGACATTCTCCACGGTCGCAAATCTCGTCAAACACCTTCCTGTGCCCTAGAGATATCACATCATTGAAAAATAGTCTTCAAATATACAGCCCTATCCACAAGATTAAAACTCACGGCGTACGCCATATACAAACGCCGCACCGGGGCGGTAACTAGCTCCACAGTGTAATACGTCGGACGAACGGTACATTACAAGTACGGAAAAACGTACGTCCAGATTCGGCAATGCACTAAACTAGATGCAGAGATTAGGTTCACTGCAGACCGGATCGGCCTTCTGGAAAGCTTCTGGAAGCCTTGTGATGCTTCAACGGCAATTGCCCCCCGAAATGACCGCTTCTGGAAAGATAGGATGCGGAAAAGATTGATTCCGGTCAAAACTCTCATGTTCACTCATTCTAGCTTCCTTCCAATCATGAATCTCAGTAACAAAAACGAGTCACATGAATCTGGACTTTTCTCCGCTCCGAAACCCGCTCAGGCATGTATTGTGATTCGTCGGAGGACAGCGCTCCTTAACTCCCACACACGTGAGACGGAGACCCACGGAGGAGAGATGTGGCGGAACCAATCATGTTCTTTAATATGCACCTTCGGGTCAAGCCCTTAAGAATACTTGGACGCAACCCTTTCCCACTTTCCTTTTTTTTTTAGCCCTAGCCTAGGGGATTTGTAGAATTCGGGATTGGGCCGCAAGTGCCGAGTTGGGCATGGCTTTTCGGCATTCCAGACCCCTCATGGTTTCGGGGAAGCCGGGATTAATGTCCTCAGGAAGGAGTTGAGCTGCGTGTATAACTATTTTGGTGCTTGGACCATGGTGGTCCATGGCGGTATCGAATTGCTTTGGTTCACCGTTATGACGTCGAAATTGTGTACGTTGCGACCGATAAGCTCACCGATGAAGATGTTGTCTTGAAGGACCAAGGCATAGCGCATGGAGAAGCAGGGTTTTCGCGAGGTTCCTCCGAGCGTGCGCGAACAGGCCTGAGCTTGGATCAAGTCTAGGGCTGATAGACCAAGATTGGAAGGCGAAAGAGCCCTGGTTGGCCGATCAGGGCAGATAGTGGAGGATTGGAATTCCACATCCAGACAAAGCAACCCGCAGCGCTACAGAGAAACGCAAGGGTATCTTTGACAGATTGAGAGTCAAGATTTGATGCGTGTTTCCAGGACACTACAGGTCAGTTCAAGCATTTGACTATACTGTTGAGCTGCTCCAATTGCTTCAAGCGCAAATGCAAACAAGGGTCCCCAACACCCGGCATCAAAGATTCCATGATCTCTCCATCGGCATGCCGAATCTCTACAGGGCCCCCCAGTTGATCTCCCCAGCCAACAGGAAACCAGCCTCAGGATTCCCAAAGTCCACTTTCCGAGCGTCCCGACATTCGTATTCGTCACATGGAACATCCTCATTTCGTGGGGGTTGCCACACCCCTCCCAATGGAGTATTCCGTAGAGCGCTTGGCCCGAGATCCAGTTATAAAAGAACGTGTCATCCGGGGAGACGGACCAGTCAATTAAAAACGTCCTAAGGTCTTGACGCGAATTCCTGACACCCTGGTTGAGCAGTCAGCCCCACCGTGATCTCCACCAGCTTTGAATCGCTCAACTGAAATCGAACACCATAACGTCTCAAGTCGGGGCAAGTCATCTCAAAACGGTTAGGAAGAGTTGAGCAAGTCTGGAGGTGGCTGAACTTGAAGGGCCGAGAGAGCCGGAGACCGGTAGACTTATATTAGACGCGCTGCCGCAGTCACTTGACCATGTCACCGGAGAATACTAAATGCAATGCTCGCTTTAATTTTTTTCAAGCCTCCTTTCTCATTCGAGCGAATCACCCATGTTCGCGTCTGCAAGTGCCCTGGGTCTCAAGTCTCTAGGCGCAAAAGCTTTTGATAAGCCCCACGAGAGTCGGGCACAGTCGGGGAGACGGCCAGTCAGAGACTACCTTCTGGAGAAAAGGTTGAAGCAGTCGGGCGTTTTAGGAGGGCAAGACGTGGGGTTGTAACATGGAATTTGCAAACTTCGGGCTCGACTCGCCCAAAAAAGGAGGATCCACCTATGTAATGTTCGGCTTCCGGGGGGAAAGGGAATTAGGGCATGTACTGGATTCAATGGCACCTAATCGGGATGCAATAATACGACAATAGATCGATCTCCTTAATAAGCGATGCATCACCTCTGGTGTCATGTGCTCTCCATCCACATGACCGTCGCCTGACCTCGATCTCATTTATTCCTGCTCTCTAACCCAGTCTCTAGTACCGAATCGTCTGTTATACCCAGCCTGATGAATTGGCATTATCGATATGTCTGAAATTCAGGCTACCACCCCCCAAACTCAAGGCTCTTTATTCCCAATCATAAAAAATTTTACATACTGTCATGATGAGGCAACCCGGGCTACACTCCCTCCCCCTTCGGGGAAGTCTAGACCGCGCCTCTCACAACATCCCCGGTGGCCAGGACTCTACAGTTCTACAGCACATGTGCCTAGACAATCCTAGAACCATGAGCCATGAAGCAGGCTCTACCCCAGTACCTAAGGACTGAGCGCTTATCTCGTCGAGTCGCAGTGGAGCCGCCACTACCACCATCCCCCGGAGCCCCGGGAGCTTGGGCGCAGAGCTAAGGTCAAGCACCATGTCATGGACGGCATGTGAAGCGGACAGTGCGACGCGACCTTCTAGGGCCTGGATCCGGATCTGAGAAATCGGGTCAATCTCGATCTCTCCCGTACTTTTGCTGACATTTTACTATTTTCAATCCTGCGCCTCCTGTTCCTCTTCATCCTTTTTTGCGACCACCTGACACCCCCTTCCGCTCTGGAAGATCTTCAAAATCCATGCTGTTGGGACCGGGCGCGCTGCTCAATACCCATCTAGCCTAGTGGTACTTTTCGTCCGTTCGTCCTTCGATTTTGAGGATTGATAGGGCGAAACGCCTTACTCAAAGTCTTTATCATAATTTCCCAATCCACCCTAACTAGATAAATATATGACCCACGATCCAATATTGCGGGATTAGATGGGGTCTTCTCTTCCCCCTTCCCCGTACCCCAGCCTCGATGTATAGAAGAGACCCTCGCCTGTAACGTCGAAGCCATCAAGGAACTGCCGTCTACCATACATTTATGTATCACCCCCCCTTCTGACGTGTCAGCGCCACCAAAGCCGCCCCCGCCCCAACAACAGCCTAGATTTCCACCTGATACTTCTCTGGCGTCGGTATCGCAGGGATGCGCGCTTGGCAAACCTTTTACAGACCTTGAGGACGCCCGTGCTAAGGTAGATATGTTCTGCAGGAGAAAGCTATGGCGTTTTTCCCCTCCATCTACGCATCCAGACCGCCAATTCACCACCGCATAGCCCCAGCCATCGAGGCAGGGATGATCTACTTTTACATCTGAAATAATACGAGGTGCATGAAGGCTTCATTTTTTGAGATGTTGATTTCCAAGTTTTTTTCGTATTTTCTTATTATTCCGCTCGAGGCGTAAGTAGCGTAGCGTACAGGAGCAAGCGCCCGATGGCGTTCAAACAAGACAGGATGTGCCATGGTATCTGGTATCGAAAGCGAAAAGAAAGAAAAAACAGGTTGATAAAATGCTAGCACGTTTTCTGCGAGCCAAGTGGACGGGCAGTGGCCAGTAGCGCTGATGATGGATGGCTTTTGTTTTTGGTGGGAAGTTCGTGGTCATGAAAATTGGGACTGGTGAGAACCTCTTGCAAGATGTCGATTGATTCCGTATTTTCATCCCGAAAGGGGAGTGGGTAGGAGAAAGAAAGAAACAAGAGAAAGAGGATGAGATGTTGAAGCTGTACATAGAATATTAAGGGATAAACACTCCTAGGTGGCCCGGAAAGATCCAAGAATATCACCCAGTGAATGCTGTTTCGAGAAAACACCCTGAGAACCGGCCCCTGGAGCCGATGAAAACCCAATCAAATCAAGCCCTAGTTGCGCCTGGATGCAATGCATGGTATGATCGTAATCGTTGCGTATCGAAAAAGAAAGTTGAAACGCTGTCGCGAGACATCAAGAAGGAAGTGGGAGGTGTTGTTTACCATCCCTTGACGTGGTACTCCCATGGACCGTAGTCCGTGGCGTAGTTGGTCCATGACCCGTTCTTGGAAAGATCCTTATCCCGAGCCTGGCTGCCAGCATTGGCGTCTCCTGACCCGGAAGGCCCAGAAGGCCCCGCCCCCGGAGCCCGGTGCGGTCCCTTAGGGTACTCCTGGAGGTTTTTCATATCGTGGGCAGTGTGACGTCGCTTCAAGAAGGCATTGGCGGTGGCGCTCTTCTGCTGGCGTTCCCAAAGGAGATGTCGGCGGAGCGACTCGGTCAACTCGGTCGCAAGCATGTTGCGTCGGGTGGTACGCGGCGAATGAGCCACCGACTGGGGTGGGGGCGACTTCATGGTGATGGGTTTTGATCGAGGCACACCCGGGCCACGCATGGTGAGGTTTTCGTCCTCTCCTTTCTCAGAAGGCGAAGCAGGAATGGAAGGTCCATTGGGTGATGTCAAACGGGACCGTTGCAGCGCAGGACTGGACCGGAACGCGTTTCCATTCATTTTAGTCGGTTGGTGCATCATCATGGTGAGAAGAGATCGCCGAGACACCAAATTGGGCCGGGAATCGACCCGCTGGAACATCTCCGGTCGCTCATCAACACTTGATTTTCCGCTCTCTGTCACCGAGTCCTCCCAATCAGAATCTTCGTCATCTTCGATGGCACTTTCGGAGACCTCGTCATCGGTCTCGATAGCATCCTCATCGGCAACGAGGGGGCTTTTGGGGGGTCGAATGGTTTGAACATGGTCACTGAAGGAGGCAACCTTCTTGGACGAGCTCGGATTACTGCCATTTGGCCGAAGAGACCCTCCACCAGTTGTAATATCTTGGGGCACCTTCGCGTTGATGCGCTCTTCAAATGAGCTCTCGTCATCGTCCCCAGAAGATCCACCTAGTGTAAACATGCCTCCTTTTTTCTTAAGTGGGGAGGGTTTCACTTGAGGAGCTTCGCGAGAGGGGCTCGTTTCGACAGCCAGTCTGGGTTGCGACCGGAAGGAAGAGGAAATGAGAGAAGGCGAGAACCCACGGACGACACTGGGCGACTTGATCAATTCCGGTCGGGAAGGCAACACTCCAGAAGATGAGACACTGGTATCAGATGCGTTGACTTGAGCGGAGTCGCTGTCGTTTCCTTCGGGGGCGGTGGTCGAGCAGGATTCCGTCGATTTCCGGGGGTGGCATACCGGGCGAGGGAAGGTAGGGACCTGTCTGGCAGTCGAAACAGTCGAGACGGAGAGGAGGAGTGGGAGTAGGGAGTAGATGTGCGGGGAGTGATGTCGACAACGGGAGCAGTGGGCTCGACCATGGGAGCCAAAGGCTCCAGGTTCTTCTTCTCTTTGATGTTAAGAACCATACGCTCGAGATCCAAAGAGGTGATGTGCTTCTCCTTTCCACGACCTAGACTAGCCAGAGAGTCCTCACGGACCACGGCGGGCCGGGAATCCGAGAATTGGGGACGCTTGATGTGAGCTTCGATGCGTTCAGCTTGGTCGGACGCGGCCGACTCGACACTGGCGGAGAGCTCCGGCAAATCACCGGCCTCTGAGCGTAATTTGGGAAGAACAGAAGCCATGTTCGACTTCTCAGGCTCAACACAGAATGTCTCGCGAGTCCACAGACGCCAGCTCAAGTTCTCGAGCCGACGGCCCTGGTCCATGTAGTCGGCACATTTCGAGAATACTGCAAATCGCATTAGCCCGGGGGTACTTTTTGAAGAATACGGTGAAGCCAAACGTACCCATCCACATGCCATGAAGACTTTGTGCATTAGCAGTATCCACCTTGTGAATATTATCTGCGTCCACCGTCAAAACCGGTGTTGTCAAGGGCATGATAGCGGCGCCACAACTACGATTGTGGTCGTCGGTGCTGATTGAATTAGAAATGATGATGTTCCGGGGTCGCCGTCTTCCCCGAGAGTGGTCGTACGGCGGTTGGAAACCGAAGGGAAAAGTTCTCAAGGAATCGGTGGATTGTGGGAAGGTCTAATAATTCCGGGTCTGGAAGTGTGATGCAGCGAGTCGATCAATCCTATAGGCAGTATCTCAGTTGAAATCGATTTCTTGTTGCCGGGGGAGGCAACTGGTAGCGATTGAGGCGAGAGCGGGAAGACCGAAAAACGAGAGGCCGGCTTTGGGTTGAGAATTCGTCAAATCTCCGTCAGGGCGCCACCGAAATCGGATGCGGAGAGATGGATTTGGTGAAGTATCCACACAAAGCGCGCTTGAGGCCGGATTGACGCGTCTCCTAAGGGCCAGGGTATTGAGTAGGGTGAGAAGGGTGAGAGTGTAGGAAGAAGAAGGAGTTGGGGAAGTGCAGGTCGGAACGATAATAAGAATGACGGGGGCGGCGGGTGGAGTGGAGTGGAAAAGAGAGGGGGAAAGTAATGATAAAAAAAGGGAAAAGAACGATTTTTTTTTTTAAGGAAAGATGGAAAAGATGGAAAAATGGAAAAAAAAAAATTAAAAATTAAAAAAAATTGAATAATTAAAAAAATCCAGTACGTATCGTTACAATACCGGAATTAAATAAATAAAAATTGAGTCAAAGGCTGAGGCGACGGCCGGTGAAGAAAATTCGGACGCATCACGGGGCCTTAGGATACATCCACGGTACCCGCGCCGTACATGTGGGAACCGGACGCTCCCCGGTACTCGGCAAGTATTTTTGTAACTTCAGACCCGCGGAACGTGGTATTTATATTCTTGTACCGGTCTGTTTCCGGACGTGGTTTGCCCTGCTCTGCTCAGTCTTAAGATTGTAGAACTGGCGACCTGCAAAAAAACAGGAAAGATGACCTGAGAGGGAGGTCAACAAGTCCGACTCGACATCCACCTGATAGCCACTTCATCTGGCCCGGGGACTCGAACGCCACTGGGCAAAAATACAAATGAGGCCTTCGCCACAGGTAATCTACAAAAGAGCCTACTGACTGATGGACTGTCGCACCGCCAACCATTGGCCGTCTAATCGGCTCGCAGTCCGGCTGACTTGCTTACTGTACCGAAGATCTCGAAGAATTGTACCATAGTCCACCCCTCCGTCGAGCTATTTCCGTCACGGACGAGAAGGATGGGGTATACCGCATTCGCGCCAGATCCCCCCCCATCAGCCAGTTTCGGTGTTGGGACCGGCTTATCCTGGACTAAAGGGCAACTCAAAAGCCGAATACAATATCCGAAATTGTCCGCATCAGTCACTAGTTGAAGCTTGGGTCTGGAGTCAAATAAAGGAAAAGTCCGGGGGAACACCTCGCCGCGAGCAGCGATCGCCAGAAAGGGATAAACGATTGATTCCCAGGCCGCATGCCGGGGAAACGCGATGGGACTTCCGTAATCCTCGTCCTCACCCTCGCTTGGCTATCTATTCACAAAGGCATTAATATGAACAAAAGAGAAAAGAAAGAAAACAGAGTCGATGCTATGCAGCTTCAACCACGATCTGCCCAATTCCACTCTGCATTTCGCAGTTTTAGAATTTCCCTTCCAACAAGCATTAGGCGGGTTGGACAAGTACACTTCCCAATCCTTTACCGCCCTTTTCGTCTTAATCTTCGGAGAAGGCCCCATCCTGGCCCCATCCTCGTTTGGAATTGACATCTAACAGGACACGAAATTAGCAGTGTGTCACAGTCGTAGTCATGAGTCTGCCAGCTGGCAAAGGAGATTAAATCAGGAGAGAAAGAGAGGGGCACATAATAGGATGTACCAGGATCAGGAAGACCCAACTGGCGGAGTGCTCACGGGGTCTCGGGGGCGCGTGGCTCTTCAAGCTCTCCCTTGCCTCCGGTCCGGACTGGCGGAAAGATTTGAACTCCTCGCTCAACCCGAGGGATTGGGAATGAGCGATCGACCTCGAACACTCCTGTTGCACAAAGACGCACGTTTCATTCATCATGTGATAAGTAGCTACCTCTGTATCACCTGCTTCGCTGTCTCCTCGTTGATCATCTGGGTTCCAATGGTTCAACTGTCCTGAATTGCGGGGAAACCAAGTCCTACAGTATTCTCCATCTCCACTCCACTGCCGACCCATTGTTCTGTCGGGTCGCTTGATATTAACATTGGCCTCTCGTGGGGTCAAATGGCCGTGACGGAAAAGGGCTTGTCCTAAGGCTTGGACCGGGAGAAGTATCTTGAGGTATATTTCTGTTGTCCACCGATCCTGATCAAGATCTCCTCATTCGTCCGAGACAGCTCACCGTAGAAGGTCTTTCCCTGTCTAATGTATGACACGACTCGAAATTATTACCTACAGCATGCAGAGCATTTCCCACACGTACAGCCTAGGATTGGTCTTTGCTGACCCCGGGACCCCAGTTGCCCTTCTTCTTACCAGCCCCCGCATCTCTGATCTCGTCAGGTCATCATGGCCCCTGACACGGTGACAGGTTCGGAATGGCGGCTCCGTCAACTCAGCATTCGTCGTGTCTTACGGCCTCCACTCGGGTGGTACCGAGGTGGCAACCTGAAGCTGCAGATACTCGATGTTGATTCCCACTGGGGATCCACTCGGTAGCCTCGAAGGCTGCCAATAATGCCCCCAAGTTGCATCAATCACCCTACGTCGGGGACGGTCCGGGTACCTGTGGTCAGATTCTACGAGGTCCAGGGTCAAGGCCATGGTCGCGCTGATCTGCAATATCAACGGCTTCTATCGAAGTTAAGATGCCGAGGCTCTACGGGAAAGGAAAACTTTGAATGCCGAGGCGTTCTGCGCCCATCTCGAGTCATACGTAGAATGTATGAGGCATTGCAGACAGGGCCGCCCCCAAACGCCGTCGGTAGTGCGTAGGCCGAGGCGTGGATCAGAAGATGTGGGCAGGGACGCCTGACTGTGAGAAGTCGCGCGCTGGGGATCTCGAGTCACGCACCCCCCGAATTGTACCGAATTTATGGTATCAGGTACCGCCCGGACTTGAGTACAGAAGCAAAGCCGACACGGGATGAGAAAGCGAACTGTGGCGAGGTCACGCGGCCACATCACATGATATTCGATGCCGCGGGCCTGTGACGATTACGTACCGGTGTCTGTTCTGGAGTTTTTATTTAGGATACACATCATGTAATGAAGAGCCTGAACGGGAAAGGGGCGGTGTCGTTGACCCGGTATGTTTGACGATGGCGCTTACCGTGGCCTAACGTGGACTGGGGCTACCATGTCAGGTGCCGACCAATTTGATATTCCTCAGAACGCACATTGCAGGGGCAACATCGGTCGCAACCATGATTCTCTATATATGTAAATATATATGCACCTGGACAGGTATTGTCTCTACATATTTGATTGAGGCCATCTATGAATATGTATCGTCCATAGACGTTAGGTGTCAATCCATGCATGGTTCCTATACTCGCTGGGCAAGATGTATTTCATACCCTTACATTCTAGTGTCGACTTTAGATTCCGTACAAAATGATGACGAGGTGGCATAGTGTGTCCTAACAAATCAATGATCAGAACGGTTACCTAGTGAGTATGACAAGACCCAGGGCTCATCGTTAGAAGTCTTAAATCACCAACCGCACTTCAATCAACGGGTGTGACGAAGCAGAGTTCAGGGCGGCAATTCCGCCGCAACCCCATACCAGTTATTTGGACACAAAGTTGACCACTGATGTCAAAGATCATAACGAGTGACAGCAGAGCCTGCGTAGCTATTCTTTGCATCGCACCGAGAGAGCGACATCAAATCACATTCCAGAAGGTAGCCGCCCTAGACGGCCTGAGTTCCCCATTCAACTGGCCATGTGCCCTAGCAAAACAAAATAGTGGTGAGGATCGAGAACTAGGGAGAGGTTGTCCTGCACGATAGAGCCTCTGTCATGAAAGACCCGGGTCCCAAAATTCGTAGCTTTGTATACGCAAGGGATGTTTGTCCGGGAAGATGAAAGTGGAATCCGTACATAGTTTCTAGACCCACGGAATCAGGTGAGCCGTTGATTTCGGTACATCTTGGCTGATCTTGAAGTCAATCTTGGAAGCTTTCGTGCCAATGAGCTGTGAAGCTGACTGCGATCGGGAATAGCTTGTCGTCATCAGCCGTTTCTTGCCAACCGTAAATTGGTTCTGGGCGTTCGGCACCGCCATTTTCCGGGTTGATCTACGAGGGGCCATGTGCATGTGATATTATTCAAGGGGGGAATCTGGGGCGGCTGTCGTTGCGTACCTGGTCCGTGGAATTGGCTGAAATTGTGAGATAGAATGTTCCGGACCCTGCAGTGCCGGCGGAAGCACGACTCACATTTCCGTGACGATCATTCTCAAGTTTACCTCTCTCCTTGTGGTACAATACCCATGGGAGGATTGGTAGGTCTTCATTTTCCGGAAGAGAACGACAGGAGTGCTCTTCAAACTAACGTAACCACCGTAGCCCTGGCTCACGGTGGCTATAGTATCGCTATCCCTGGCGCCAACGAGAAATGACTCTCCTGCTATTTCAGTCCAACACCGTCGGCCCATCTAGGCCTTCACAATTGTGCCTCTCTTTATAGCTCACGTACTCCTTTCGCCGGCTCAGGATAACAAAGAGCATCCGTGCTGTACACATCTTCCAGAGCTTTGATCGTGAGTGTGAGACCTCTGAAGACCTGTAGTCCGATCCCCGATGACCTCCCTTGTTTGAGATGGGGGTTGTAGCTATCCGAGCTAATCGAGGGTCCCTTCCGCCCTGCAGACCAGGTATTCGGGTATTTGGAACCCTGGCATGCCTTCGTGGCCATTCTCCGACGTTTTGACCACAATCTGGCTAGACCAGACTGCCCTTCGTACTTTGCCCAAGGACTTCCATTTACTAATTTTGAATGCTTTCGCAGCCACCTCGTCACCACTATTTGACAATAAGGCGAGGCAAATCTCTTCTGGGGATTATAACAATCGACCTATCGAGTCATGTAACTTTACAGGCCGGTACTTCCGTAAAATGAATCCATGGATCTGCTCATGCGCGAGTAATTCGGTTCCCTCGTGGTTTCATTTGCCTGATCCCGAGCTCCCTCTGGTCCGAGATATTGCCATGGCCAACTTGGACCCAAGCCACATTCTGATTTGATGTACATACCTTAAGTCGAAACCCAAACAATCACCGACTTGGATGAAAGGATAGGTTTCACTAGTTTCCAAGGCTCGTGAATCCATTGCTTTTACCGAATGAAGAGACAGTAAACGGGCGCGAACCGAAGAGGAAAAAGAAATTGAAAATCAGAGAAAGCAGCGAATAATAATCCTTACTAGCGATCGCACGACCAAGACGGGCCAAATGCAGGAAGGTCCAGATGGGGGCGGCTATCTTCTGACAAGTCGCGTTGCTAATTCCCGACTGAGACAGATGCAGCGACTGCATTCAAAGACATTGCAAACCGCGCGCGATTCGGTTCTCGGTGTGATCGTGGCTGATTGGGCTGGCCCTTGTGTGATTAGCCCCTGTTTGTCGATCGTGACAGGGCCGTGGGCGGTCATGGGGACTGTCCTGGCCCTAGATCTGAGACCCTCCAGGCACCCCCTTCCCCCCCTGGGCAAGTATGTACTCGGGAACTGGTTGGGGAAGCGGCTACACGGCCCCCGAACGCCACGAACGCTTGCCTGTTGACATACCGATTCGGATGACATTTAAGACTGCCCTGAAAGCCCTTTGGCTTGCGCAGGGCCATTTGGTATGTGCAAGTGTCTTCAGATGGGCGACCTTCGGTGTCCGGGGCTCTGGGTGGCTTGGCTTTGATGTTTTCCCACCAACCGTAGCGCTAGATTTGTCTCGTCTGTGTGTCTGGCTTGATCATCTATGGCCTATGGCATTTCCATCTTCATCCTATTCCCAAACTAGGTACCCTGGTCTACGAGAGCGGCACAAGGCAAAGTCCAGTACATGTAAGTTGTAAAGATCCCTGCGCTAACTGCGGGAGCCACTTTGGTGGTAAAGAGCTCTTTGTATGCGCCTTTCCCGATCAGAAGCGCATATTGAATGTGCTCGAGTTACAGCACGGACAGCTCAAAAACATCTGTTCATAGTTGTGTTTGTCAACAGGCCCACAGTCCGGGGATAAAAGGTATAAGGCAAAGAACTACCGACACTTGTGGCCCGCGCCCGACCAGGCCAACACAACCTTGGACCTTTCTAGCCCGAGACTAGACGTCAGCCATTTCCTCCTGAGTCAAAGAGATTTCAAGTCGGCGCTTGTATTATTTAATAGCTACTGATTAGTTTGAAAATTTTGTAAAAACCAGTATTGCCGGGGAATCAACTTACAGAACCCCTGAACAGCGATCTTCAGCCACCAGGCTGATGGCAAGGCAACTGGACAGATCGACGTGACAGCGGCGAGCGACAGGCAGAGGATCATGATTGACAATTCTGACAGCGATCACTTGGGCTGTGATGTGTTTACGGTTGACAGGTTCGTCACAGTCGTGTGACAACCCCAACCCCCAAATATCCCGAAGAAGCGGTATAGACGAACCATGAGTCTATGACTTGGACACTATGCGGCCAGATCACCTCTCCATACGATATGATGGCCTGCTCATGATACAAGCAAAGAAACCACCTTCCGAATTTACCAAACCGATCTCCGCCACGTCAATCGCCCTTGTCCGTGTGAACCTCCACTGAGGCTAATGACTGAAGGGACCCTTGAAATACCAGCGTATCAATTTCAGCGGGAACATGATATTCTCCACTCGGGAGAGTCGTCTAATTCTGTCTCACTTTCGCATTTTACACGACATCGGGTCATCTGAACGCAGCTTGTGTCGCCCGGCAAAAATCGGCCAGCGCGGCTAATGTCGACTACCGGTAAATCTAAGTGTAACAGAATTGAGAAAGTGATTACCTTTGAAATGTATACTGCAGCCATATTGCCTGAATGTAGACGCCCCAGATTAGCAAACACTCAAACCCCACCTCCCTCCAACTGGGCCAGATCTTCCCCATTGCAATTTCGCTCCATCAACGGAAAAGGGGAAAAAAAGGGGAAGCTCAGCAGATCAGAATAGCACCCAGAATAGCCATTTACCGGGCAGTGCGTGTCACACTGCATTGAATAATTTGCATCCCACCCTATGCCGGAACTCGGAAGACCCCTCAGCGCTGCGAAGTCGATATCGATGTTGATGCTTCCTCTTGATAGCGCCCGACGCCCTGCAAGCCTTTCCAACCTGACCTGCCACGGCTGACAGATTTCCTGAATTTGATCCACTGTTGCCGACACTACCATTACTATGTCCGAATTAGATGCAGCTGCGATGGCAACACTGCCTACAAGGTGTGCTTTTTTGGCTTCGACACGACTCGTTTGGTACTCTGGCTTGGTGTATCTCCATCTCGGAATGGAATTGCTGAGGTGGCTGATATGGCTACTTCCCAATGCAGTCCTCTATCTTGAGGTATGAGAAAGGTATGCTGCTGTTCTTTGCAGATGCATAGTGGAGGTGGATTGGTGTCTACAATCTAGACTCGATCTGTGGGGTAAGTAAACCCAAGATGTATGTGGCCAGAATTCGTATTTCAAATGGACAAGCAGTACATGTGTATTGGTCAGTGTATGGCACTATTTCTCCGAAATAGACATAGTTCCACAGGAATGCCTTATTGCTCACATTTCATAGCAAATCGACAAGACAAAGAAAAAGTACACAATGTTTAGGCTAAAGGCTGTCTCGGCAATAGTCGAGCCGCGATGGATCGCTGAGATCCGTGGTCCACAAGTTGCGGGGAACTAGGGTCTCACTTCCACGCGTTGTGAAACCATGGCGGACTAGTCCAGATCTGTATCCCCGTAACATCCACTTCCTGATACTAGTGAACTGGGAGAAAAGGAAACAGAGCTCTTTCAAAAATCTTGGCGGAAAGAACATGGCAAGATAAGGTCCTGGAAAGGCAGGAGCCTTGAGAAACATGGCGAAAACCACTCACCCCTGGCTCAAAGTGATATTGCGATTCGGCCGTACTGGTCAACAGACAGTTGATGGTTATACCAGTTGTACTGTATTCCAAGATTTCCTATAGGTCAGATATCTCTTAGGATAGACTCATTTCTAAGCAGAGGTCGTGCAAAAAGATCAAGCTTCTAAAACTGGTACGCGTACTGTGTCAGACACCGGCAAACTCGCCTCTGTATTCCATTGTAGATGTTCCATCGTGGATAAAATACGGAAGCCGCCTGTTGCTACCTCATTAGGAACCCTATGCGGAAGAAGGTGGTACACATTACCTCATGGTCGTTCTTCCTGAACAGCAGGATCACCATACTCCCTCAGGCGAAAAGCAGGTACCCCTGACACATGTTCAGGGTATCGAAACGAAAATGTCTAGACTGAAGTGTGGCTGGATTCGCAGGTGGATAGACAGGTGCCCTCGTCTTCGAGTGACACGGGGTTGACTCCATCGGGAGGGTAGTCATTTGGCCTAGCGGAGATCCGAGGTAATGAATGGCAGATGAAGCCGAGCTCGGGTGTTGTGGTTTGATTTCATGTTCCTCGGCATCATGAGTGACCTTTAGGAAGGTAGGTGCACCCTGGTGCACGGGGCCTCACGAAAACCGTTACCGTGAAATGATCGAGCGCTATGCCTCGTGTAGGGGCTGTGTGCAGATAGTTTCGGGTGTACAGGTTTTCTATGTTGAGAGTCGCACACTGTTCGGCAACACTGCCGTGGAATGGTGGGGATAGGCTGACAAGGACATTTGCAATTACTAGAAGGCGTATACAGTTTCAAAGCTGGGAGGAGTCCGTTATGGGCACAAGTGCTGAAGTGAAGAGGATAGAAGGGAGTCACCCGCTTTGCCTGGATCTACACAAATGCTCGGCACACTGGTGCCTCTCATCCACAAGGATTGCGGTATAGGAATTGGATGGAGGACACTCGGATGAGAATCATAAATCCTTTTCTCATTCCAACTCCAAGAGTTCTATGTATGTAGGGACCATGTTTTACATAAGAGTCCGACAAAAGCATCATTTTCAGCTGACGCACTAAAGGATTTCACTTCAGTGACGCCTCCAGGGCATTAGGACTATGTGCGGGGAACCTAGAATTCAGCGTTGTCGTCACCAGAGATAATGACGTTGTTGATCTAGTTGGTTGTTAGTTCGGTGCGATCAAGGCCAACGATGGAGTAAACAGACCTTAAGGACCATGCGGCAAAGCTGAGTGGCGAGCAGAAGCTGCTGGCGCTTGCCGATCAGAGGGTCAATGGCAAAGTGCTCCCTCATGTCGTTGCTTCCGGTGCTCATGCAGTCGACACCAAGGCGGGTGTTCTTCTCCTTGATCTGGCGCGACTTGATGGATGCCAGAGTCTCGATGGGGCTCAGGCCAGAGTTCTGGGCCAGAGCCATGGGAATGGCATCCAGAGCGTCGGCGAAGGCGCGCATGGCGTACTGCTCAATACCGGGGCTCTATAGAATTCAAAAGGTATTAGTCTGGCTCCCAACATGTCCGAAGATGAGAACCAACGCACCTTGACAGCGGCATCCTCCACGGCCAGAGAGCAAGCAATCTCGGCGGCACCACCACCGTAGACAACACGGTTGTCGCGAACCAGGTTACGGACCACACACAAAGCATCGTGTAGTGACCGCTTGGCCTCGTCAATGATCTATGTTCGATATTAGCGACAGTCCGTCACACACACTCAAAAGATCCAGCATACCATCTTGTTGCTACCACGGATGAAAACAGTGACAGCCCGGCTGTTGGCACACTCCTCAATGACCAACATCTTCTCTCTTGTAGTACCAAAAGTCATCTCACGGACACGGCCGGCGGTACCCAACTTATCAGCAGTCAGGTCCTCGAACCGCGGCACGATACGACCATTTGTGGCAATAGCAATCAGCTCAATCTCGGGACCCCCGACCCAGCGGACAGCGGGCAACTTGTTTTGAAGAAGAAGGTGGTTGGCCTCATCGTCGAAGCCCCACTGGCAGATAACCAGGTTGGCCCCGGAATCCTTGAGCTGCTGGACCATCTCAGCGAACTTGGTCTGCTCATACTCCTGGAGCTTCTTGAACTCCTCGACCGAAGTAATATCGAGCTTGTGCTTGGTCTTCGGCTTGGGGGGTTCGAAGGGACAGGTCAGGATGGCCAGCTTGGCATCCACGACCTCATCGGGCATCTGAGGGTGAGAGAAGTCCTTGTCGATAATAACACCCTTCACGAGCAGGGAGTCCTCGAGGGCACCGCCCAGCTTGCCATCGACCTTGATCAGCTCAAAGTCAACGTCCTTGCGCTCCAGGTCCGCAACCGAGAGCACAGCATCCACGGCAATCTTGGCGAACTGGTCGTGAGACTTGGAAACACTATGAGAATGTTAGAGAAAGCAGGGTCATGGGTCCGGACTGGCTGGTTCATACATCTTGCTGCCCAAGCTAGTCTTGGCAACTTTGAGGAGGTTGGAAGTGTCGTCCTTTGAGAAGGGGATCTCGTCACTAATCTTGTCAAGCTCTGCGACAGCGATATCGCAGGCCTGGTCGTATCCGTCGGCTATCCGAATGGGGTGAATGCCCTTGTCAATCAACTCCGCAGCTTGTTCCAGCATGGCCGCAGCCAAGACCACCACACCCGTTGTGCCGTCACCGATTTCCTCATCCTGCGACTTCGAGAGCTCGACAAGCAATTTGGCGACGTTGTTGGTGATTTCCATCTAATGTCATACCGCATGTTAGCTTCCCCCAATTCCATGGTGAATCGATTGGGAGTTGATAGGGGTCGGGTCGAACCTGGCCGAGAATGGTTGCGCCATCGTTGGTAACGGTGATATCGCCGTCGGGGGAGATCAGGATCTTGTCCAGACCACGGGGACCCTAATAAACGCATTAGATACCATCTCTTCGCTGAAATGGGACGGCCCATACCAGAGAGGACTTCACAATGCTGGCCACCGTCTTGGCAGCAACAATGTGCGACTTGACAGCCTCAGTTCCATGCTGTCTCTTTTTCCTGCCTTGACTATTGAAAGCAAATTCACCTGGTCAGCTCCACATGTCAAATCTCCGAAGGAGTGCAATTGGTGTGCCGGGGCGGATAGGAGGATATATCGGTGAACGTACTCGCGAACAACAATAAACGGACGACCGTTCTCGTCCTTCAACATTTGAGCTATCCGTGAGTGTCAGTGACTGCGTATCGGCATCAGGAATCTGGAGCTGTCGAACGCTATTTACCTTGAGAAAGGTCAAGCTCTGTACAATAACCGAGTCATAGTCAGCAACAGCACCGGGGGTAAATGAGGGGCATCTGGGGAAGAGGGACTCGTACGCATCGCCATCTTGACGGTGGACTGCCACCAGGCAGGAAGTGTGAAGTGATAAAAGAGACTGGAAGTGAAGAAAGGAAGAAAACAGCACCCTGGTCTCTTTCCTGCGAACGTAGAGGGGGTGAAAGCTATCGGAGCCGTCGAAGCACATCAAATTAAATTCTGGCCGCCCAAAGCGGTATAGCGCTACCCTTCCGCCTTCCTCAGCTTCCACGCGCATCTCCGACTTGCCCCAGCCTCCGTGATTGCGACTTTCTACAGTACACTCTTACTCGAGGCCTTTGCCTCTCCGCCGCCAATCTGCTCTCACGATTGATCAGTATCGTTTCTCCAAATCGCTCCAATATGCCGCGTGAGTGATACGCGCGTTGTTGATCTGTCGCGTGGATCGAACTATATTCTGACTTCCTGGACTGACCCTTGACTAGCTCCCGTGTCAGATGAGATGTCTGACGAGGAAATTCGTGATATACCTTTCAAGAATGGCGCCAACCCTGAAGACCCTGTCGAAGAGTACCAAGACGAGGAGGATGAAGAAGAAGATGACGAAGAGGGCGTGTAAGTTGAGCTCGGCGCATTCCCAATACATCGGTTTATCTGACTCAGTTCAATAGCTACGTCGTCGAAGCAATCAAAGAACATGAATTCCTACCAAACGTATGTTCGCCCAGCGCCTCTCATTACACCGGTTTCGCTAATTCATCCTCATCATCAACAGGGCAAGCTTCACCTTTTCGTGAAATGGAAAGGATACGATGAGCTCGCGGATCATACCTGGGAGCCGGAAGAGAACCTAAAGTGAGTTACAAAATCATCTATTGCGTTTGACTTTGCGTCGCGCGTCTTCTGACGTACGCTTCCAGGGATGGAGCCGAGGAGGTCCTTACAGAATACTTTAAGAGCATTGGTGGTCGACCCGAGAAGCCAGCAGCAAAAGCTGGGCCAGGACGGAAGCGGAAGTCCATGGGAGAAACTAAGACCTCCTCCACGCCCCCTTCCACCGAGCCTAAGAAGCGAAGACGGTCCTCAAAAGCCCAAGATCCAGCCCCTGAGGCCGAGCCCGAGGCCAACGTGGACGAGATTGAAGAGGAAAGCACCTGGGTCCCTAAGGGTAAAAACTGGGATAAGGAGATTGAAAGCGTGGATACAATCATCCGCGATCAGGAGAATGGAGGGCTTTACGCATACCTTATTTGGAACAATGGCAAGCGGTCAAAAGTATCAATCGAGAGCTGCTACGAAAAGTGCCCGCGAAAGGTCTCTTTTTCATTCAAATCAAACCTATCCGACAGCCATACTGATTTCTTCTTTAGATGCTCTTGTTCTACGAAAGTCATTTGCAAGTCCATGGAATCCGCCGAAGCGCATTTGCAAACGCTAACAGTTTCGCAGGGTGTTCAAGGAGGGCTAAAAGTCTGCAATCCCACCTGCTCGTATGGTGCAGAGCGAAGGCCATAGCGTCATGGTCCCTTTGGGGAGGGGAAATCTCTGAATACCATATTTTCGCGAAGGAGGTTATAGGAGCCCTTGCCTTTAATCTACTTTGCTGCGGCTGATTTCTTGTTGTGCATTAAACGGACGTCTGTATTATAGGCGTTTTAACGATTCCGTATCTCCGCAAGACCTATATCTTGCATATTGGGTGTACTTTTGTCTCTTTGCCACCAACTCCCTGTGAAATAATGTCTGTTTGTTTAGGGTAATATCATGCGCTGATTACCGTACATCTAAAGAAGGCCCCTCTCCCTGGCCATGCGCAGATATTCCCACCTGGTATTAAGTGACTTCTCCCCATGCTTGGTCATCACTCGTTGAACGTCTCGTGCATCTCCAGCTTCCAAACATCTGTCGTCTTCGGCAGTCCATACCCCAGGCATATTATCAGGGATCGCCGATTCTGGACCCCAATCTTCCAGCACCTTGCTGGCAAGGTCTTGATCCATAGTTGCAGAGCGCAAAACCGCGATGATTGTCTCCTCATCGGCTCTTCCTCGCGCCAAGTGCATATTAATCCAGCCGTCGACATCTGGAACGTCTTCTTCCTCACTTTCCTCACTGTCGTCCGGCTCTGGGCTTGAAGGTAAGAATGGTAGCTCGAGGAAGTTCGGATCTGTTTGATCCGGGGAGTTGCCTGATGATTGTTGCGCTGAGTTGGGCATTGATTGCGTCTGTGGTGACGATTGTGTGAAGTGAGGGGTAGGAGAAGAATGCTGGGTGTGAGGAATGACTTGTGAAGGTGTTGCTAGATGTGAGGTTCTTGAGGATGAATGGAGCTGATCGCCAGTTGACCTTCGCACCACAGAGTCAGGGGACTTGGAAATCTCGGGTCTGATTCGTTTCGTTGGTGAAGATGCTGCTGCTTCTGCCGGGGAACCAGGGGAGAGAGGACTTGATTGATGTTTTCGTTTTGAATTCGGTATGATTGGTGATGTTAAATTGGGTGATGGCCTCGACTGTGCAGTTGTCAAAGGAAGCTGCGGTATATGATTTCTTGCGGACTCTAGTCCAACCCCATGAAGCAAGTCAGGCCTGGGAACTCCACCCCCTGGGCGAGGATTCCCACGCAATTTTCTCAAATATCGCCCACGCCACGATTGCCAGGGATGTTGCGGGAACTAAACATATCGTTCAGTAAAATGGGGTCTGTAGAGTCGGGTCGGTGGTACTGACCCTTTCAGCCAAATCCTGGTAAATCTTAGTGCCGCTAAGCGAATCTTGCGTGCTTTCAAATTGCTGGACCCAGTCGTAAAGAATTCGGTCGTCTGCTAAATTGAAATCCGTTCTAGTGCCTTTTCTGGGAATATGTGTTGCGCCCATTGGCCGGGGCGCAGAAGGCTTGACTTTGTATGCATCAAGAGCTTTGCCCTTAGGGACGTGCCCGTCCGTTATTGAGTCGTCAATATATTTGTAGGAGAGACTGAAACAATCGTTAGCTTGACAAATGCCATGAACATCTGCTGAAGACCATACCCTTCCCGAGGGTTGTTCTCGCTCCCAGGCTTCAATATCCTGACGACGTCGGGGCCTTTGTCTACCATTACCACCTCACCACCATTTGCCTGTCTACTTGTCAGTCTCAAGAATGACTCGACAGTTTGCTTTCATGCAGGAACACACACTTTGATCTTCTTTGTGTAATCCTCTCGGCGCGGGATATTTTGGGATAACCAGAATTGCATTTTTGTCGGAAGACCATCTTCCTGTTTGGCAAAAATGGGTATCTTGTTGTGGTCAGACGGTAGAGCACACATGGCTGATTGAACATGAAGATAGCCTGCCAATAACAGGCTGGGATTTGCGAAGTTCAATGGCACAACAGGCTCGCCTTGTTGATGCGCTATCACGTGTCAACCGGTCCCACGGCACTTCCGACGCTGGCTCGCAAATGAAATGGCTATGCAGAGAAGCCGTCAAATATTGTGATCTTATGCTCATACAAGCGAAATGCAGGGGTAGTGAAGTCATTGTCTGATCGAATTTCCAAGGTTCAAGGAGTCGCGTTCCCGAATGGGATAACGACACGTGACCGTCTCACTGACGGGTCGCGACGAGACGCTGGCCGCATCACCAACTTCAAGGGCGGGCAGTGTGAGGTTCGAGAGAATGGGACTTAGAAAAAGTATCTAGATCTCTTGGCTTCATGTATCCGGATGTTAATAGCGATACACAGTCAGCAGAGGTCTCACTCCACCCATCACAACAATGGGGGCTCTCCGCACTGTCGTCCTGGTCATCTTGGGCATCTCATCGCTAACATTCGTCGCTCTTTTTGGGCGGCTTCCTGTCTTTAGGTAAGGCTTAGCTGATAAACGGTATGAAACAGGGCTGATTGAAGGATAGGAAGACCCCGGTTGCTTTTCTTCACCGGCTACTGTGGGTATACATTCCGAATGGAATCGTATTTATCGACGCGCACCTCCTTGGTGGGCGACTGATTTGGGTTTGGGACCGTTCTGGCCGCTATGTCTTGCACGAGAACCATCCTCTGGTTCTGGTAAGTGTCATCTATCTTCTCTTCTGCGGCGACTTTTTCTGACCTGCGAGCCAGATCTTTTTCCTGGGGTTGCTTGGCATAGGCGAGTTCTTCTTTCTGCCGACGGCTTGGCCTCGACTGTCAAAACTCGACAGATTTTTGGTCTCAGGGGTGGTAATTCTGCCATACGTTTTCATATACAAGTGCGTGGTGACCAAGTCTTTTATCACGCTGCAGAACCACGAAGAGGAGATGAAACGGTATCCCTATGACTGTGCCATCTTCTACCCGGGACATCATTGTCGCTCTTGCCTCTTTCTCAAGCCCGCGCGCAGTAAGCACTGCAATATATGCCAAGCGTGTGTGTCTCGTCACGATCATCATTGTGTCTGGTTGATGAATTGCATCGGCGCCAACAACTATGTTTATTTCCTGTCGCTGCTGCTCTCACTTACGACCCTATTGACCTACGGCACCTTGCTTGGCTATACACTGTTGAGCCAGACCCTGGAGCAAATCATCCCACCGGAGTATCAGGCAGCTATGAAAGGCTGGACGATGTATTTCAAAATCTGGGCCATTGTCATTACGGCGGATTCTAAAGTCGGCACTGTTACTCTGCTCATGTTAATGACTGCTCCATTGGCAGCGGCTTTCTTGGTTTATCATACCTATCTCATCTGGGCAGGAATGACAACAAATGAGACCTCAAAGTGGTCAGGTTGGAAAAGCGATGTGGAAGATGAATTTGCTTTCAAAGCCGAACGGAGTCAGATCCCTGGGGCGCCCCGAAACCCGGATCTCGCAGAACATCCGTGGCCGATAGACAAGAATCAGATTCTCGGCTATATCTTGGAACAGGACTCCAATGATATTTATTATCCAGGCTCCGATCACAGAGTACCTGACTCTTACAGGAATCTTCCGAATTCTCCATGGAAACATACCTCCATGGCCGGGATCCTGAATATCTACGATTTGGGATTCTGGAACAATTTAAAGGATTCTGTTGGACTATCGGTACGACGACAAAAATGGTGAACACTCTTGTTCGGTATCATTATATGTCACCGTTTTCTCATATATTCATGTATGTTGGTTGACTAGAGAGCGGGGTGTGCATAGAATATTTGCCGCTCAGATATGACTTTCGAATAAGTATGTAAAATCCAGTTAAGCTATCTCTGGAAATAAATTCTTGAATCCCTTATCCTTAGAGAGAAGAAGAATGTCTCCGTGCCAAAACACACTGAACACTCCATAGGTTCCAAATGTCTACTCTGATCCTATTTGTGTATACAAAAGGCGGTGGACAGAGCGGTGAAATATAGAACCAGGAGAACCACAATTTTTGTCCGCCGCCAAATCCAAATTTCATCCCACCGTGGAGTGAGTTTCTGCTCAGCATTTGTTTCGGCGATTGCTTCATTTGTAAAATGGCGGACCCAAAGCCATTATGTACTCCTGCTGAGCTCATGCTCAAGGTCGTTCTGGCCGGGACCCTCAGCCACTATGAGACCCGCGGCCTGATCGATGACAAACGTCTGGAGCACATGCTGGCTGCTGGAAAGCAAATTCTCTATAAGACACACCAAGAAAGTGAGGTTCGGTAAGTATGGTAGCGCTGAATTGAATCTTGTACTTGATCTGATCTTATGCGTTGCTAGACACAACCTAGGCATGTCACCAGATATATGGCAAGGCCTCACCGATGTCCTCACCAAAGCGATCCCGGTCCTTGAATCGCAGTCGTTTGCGTGGAAGAGTCCGGCAGCGACATATGAGCACTCTTCCTCGAATCTTATCGCATACAACTATTTCTCGCTAGTGAAAGATATCGAGCGCCTCAACGACCTGTGCACGATTGCGCGGAACCTGCTCGCAACAACGAAGAAGGCGCAAAACCTGGCTGCTGAGAAGGGCTTCGACCAGCGAATTCTTGCATTGATTGATACGTGTGTGCGGGTCACAGCAAGAGGATTTGATGGCGAGACGAATGCGCGGAACGAAGAACGCTGGCAGAAAGTCGTCAACCTCTATAAACGACTCCTCATCACATGTCTGCAGTACCTTCATAACTTTATCATGCACAATGAGCAGCGAAAAATGGTCCTCTGGCTCGACCTATTTGGTTACCATTCGACAGCTGATACAAACATCATCAAGCCTAAAGAGCCATTGGACCAAACCGCCCGGTCAGAGGGCGTTGCGCCCATTGTCAAGGTCGGAGAGCGTGTCATCAACCCACCCATCCGGGCTCTCTATGATCAGACCGCGGAAGATCTTCTGCTGGAGACCATCGCTAAATTCCCGCGGGAACCTTCGACGATCAAAGAAGAAGCTGCGATGCTGCTTCTAGCAAACATCAAAGATCATATGGAGAAAATCCTTGGTAAAGACTTGACGGATATCCAGGAAATGGGCAGGGACCCGGAGCAGATACAATACATTCGTCGTGCCTTGACGACGATCCTGGGTGCCAAAGTTGATGGATGGTCCGATCTTCAAGACCGTGCGCGAGAACTCCCGCCTGCCCTCCCAGAAGCAGAGAAGCATGAGCCCACTAAGAAGAAAACAATTCTCACCATTGACCGTAGCATGACTGCCGGCTTCCCCCGTCTGTGCTGGGCTGACCTTCCTGACGTAATGGATTATGCCGTGGACGCACCTGTGACCGGGGAGGACACGAGTATGCCCCGATCAGCTCATTCTGCCGCCGAGACTCTGCAGGAGGCCAAGGATGGATTGATGCGCCGTCTACAAGAGTCGTCTCAGGTCGGTGATGCCGATGCCGATTATGACACCGGTGATGCAGGAACGGTGGGTGACGAGGATTCACATAGTCTTGAAGGACATGCAGATGGAAGCATTGAAGGAGATGATGACGAATATGGTGAAGATGTCGACCGAGATGATGATGGCGGCGACATGGACGACGAGGAGGATGATGATGACTACCGGGGTCGCCCCGGCGATCAACAGCGTGGGCTGCTTACCGATATTCCCCTTGTGTTGGGCCCGGCAGAGATTGAAGCATTGCCGATGATCGTTCAAGCAGGTATAGTCGACAGCTTCGGGCTCAAGGGTGGCGAGCGCAATGGCTCCAGGAACATGCAAGCCCTACGGTGCCACATCCTTTTGACGCAGGAGACTGGCCGCAACCTTCTGCGCGAGCTGCTAATATTCATTGCGGCCTGGGATCTCCCTGATGACGAGCTATACTTCAAGATGATGGTCCAGATCATGGAAGCTGTTCTCAAGAATGGCCTGATGTCGCATGCTTATACCGACTTTGGCCAACCTAAGGACATCATCTCTCCAGCTCAGGCAGTAGTGATCAAGATTCTGACCCACATATTCCGCGCCAAATACTCCCCGGCTTCTGTGACGGGCTCTTCTCAAGCCAGTGTTCCACGAATTCCGGCACCGCTCAGCCGTGTGGATATACTCACAGTCCGATACATCTTTACCGTGTTCCGTGATAACATCATCCCGGAGACCTGTGCATTGATCTACTTGCAAGGCCAAATCCGCGCTGAGCGCGCCTTGCCTGAAGACTTCCCGCTCAATCTGTGGGATATGGAAAGGGTTTACGAGGGAGTTTATCAGTTCTTGGAATTCTTCGCTGTGCTTACCGAGAATAACGACTGGAAGAACCTGCTGGTCAAGTGGGAGATTGTCTACGACCTGGTTACTCTGATCAAGGAACTGGAAGCCAATATCCCCAAGGGCCAATTCAACCAGCTCTCTTTCGGTTCTGTTCCTCCACCCCCACCTCCACCGCGCAGCACTTCACCCGATGATAGCTCCAAGCCTTCTTCTCCCGTCCCTGTGGCTGTTGAGCGACCCTACGACCCAAGTGATCCCGATCCTCTCGACCACGGTGCTGACAGCGTGGATTCCCGCCCGGAGTCTCCGCCGATCACTGAAGATCCATCTGAATTCGAGTGGCGAAACCTCAAAAAGTTAGTTGTTCTGGTACTTTCATCGCTAGTGTGGAAGTCTTTTGAGGTCCAAGAGCAGATCCGTGGATACGGTGGTCTTGAGGCCATTCTTCGCTGCACTAACTTTGATGCTCATAATCCTTACATCAAAGAGCATGCTGTCATGTGCCTCAAGTTCTTGTTAGAAGGGAACAAAGTCAACCAGGACTTGATTGAAGAACTTCAACCCAAGGAAGTTGCTAGGGATGAAAGCGGTATTTTGGAGAAGAGTGGCTACGAGGCAATGATTGACCAGGCTGGCAAACTCGCTATTCGGCCCAAGGAGTCGCAATAGTCAGTGGCGCAGCGTTATCACTTGATCTCAGAACCTTGCCACCAAATTTTTGTCGTGATATAATAAAGGCAGAGATGTATGAAGAAATGTCTCATATACCAGATCCATTAAAGGTCTTGATTATTGAAAGGCTAGGTCTTTCTTTCGGTTGATATTCTACTCCTTAAACGCAGGTCCACATCTTCGTCAGCTCTTCATAAATGCCGCGACTTGTTTCATCGCCATTGTAAATGCAGTCATCTCAAAACCATCCACTTTCAACTCCGAACCAAGCAACTATCATACAGTATGTAGTTCAACCGTACATGCCATCCCATTCCTCCTCTTCATCATCTTCCGCAAGCTTCTTCAAAGCCTCCTTCTTCTCGCGCTGTTGCTTCGCGAAGTCAAACCGGTCCATCGGGCAAGTGCCACGCAGACGGAGCCAAGGCTTCACACATTCAAGATCGAACAAATGGGTCGGATGGCAAGGTAGCTGAACGACTAACGGGTATTCATCTTCCAAAAAGGGATTGTTGCAGATCGGACAAACTTGGGAAGAGTTGAGAGCTGATTTGGGGACGCGCTCGAGTGCTGTTCACCCCAGAAAAAGTTGACCATTAGTAAACCCATCATATAAGAACTGCGCGGGCGTTCCAAGGAGATCTTACTATCACAAAATTCCTCGCTGACACCTTCCACTTCTCTTGGTGGCATGTCTGCGTCACTGAGCAGGGTTTGGATCATCCGAGTCAACAAGTCCTCTGTATTCTGGCCGCCTTGCTCACCCTCTCGCTCTGGCATATCGGCTGCATCGCGGCGCATGACTTCAAATGCCTCGGCGAGCGAATAGAAGGCTGCGCTGACATCGCCTGGTACTGGAACGGCATGCGGGCGGTGGTCGGGAGCTGGGGTGATCTCGGAGAGGGTCGCGAAGAAGGTGGACAGGTCAGGGCGACGGCGACGTGGGGGTTGAGTAGCCGCCGAGGGGTCGGTGGTGTTGTGTTCGACTAGATTGGGCTGCTTGTCAATATAATTGCATTTTGGAATGGGGGTCGAAAGGGTGCGCACTCTCGTAGGTTGACATTGTGGTGGGTGCTTCTTCAGGTCGAGGGGAGGGCAAAGAATAGGGGGGAGAGGAAGGCGAGGAGAGCCCGCTTGACGGTCTGTGAAACGTCGTTTGTCCACGTAACACTCGACTTGACTTGGAAGATCAGGATGGGTTTGGCGAGAGGATGATAGGGTAAATGACGCGAGTCCGAGGCAGCAAAGCGATAACGCGGCGCGGGGGATGCGATAAACGGGGACCTGATTTACCGTGACAGGCACCGCCAATGCATCAACTTGCCCCGGCATAATTGAGATAATTCCCGAGTCTAGCTACGCATCTTAATTTGGTCAGACTGAAAATGTGCTTTGGAATCAAACTCTGGAACTAAGATTACCTACATCTTGAACTCGCATGCATGGCGACTTGAGAATTGGAGAGGTTCGCCTGGATCGAGACTAGTGCTCGATGAGACGATTTGACAACTATGTTCGAGCATATGGGATAGATATTGATTCAAACTGACTCAGTCATGCCCACTCCAATGTAAGGAGATGTTTATGAGTCATGTTAATGATGAGACAACCGATACTGTCTCGTCTCGATTCGTTCATGAGCATTAATTACATAGGTCACTATACGTACCATATGTCCCCTGCAAGGTGGGGCTTCCTATTCCTAGGTGCCGCCGCTTTAATGAGGGCGCTCAGAATCAGACTCACTGAGTAGATTTGAGTCCGGGCTCAGACTCACTGAGCAGCACAGAGCGAGTCACGTGAGATACTAGTAAGGCTCTGAGCACCCCTGAGTGATCAGTGACTGCTCAGTGATTGCTCAGTGATTACTTAAGAGACTGATCAGAAGGGGTCTCTATTGAGCACCCAGCCCACACCCTGCCCATACCAAATTGGCACTCGGCCCCACAACAGTGCTTAAGTGAATTACTTTTTTGATGGCCTACTCAGCTCTAGCTTCTTGAGGTGTTCTGTTCCGTTCCCAACCCCGGCTCACCTAGAACAGACGTAAGAGCGATATGACGCCGAAATAAAGACTTGTGCTTGTTATATAGCGCCATAATATAGGTATCTTTTACTTGTATAGAACCTTAGGTATAAATTGAAGCTGTAGTTTTCTCTACTAGTCATTACTTGTCACGGGATACCCTATCAATTGAAGCGGTGTAATTGAGAGTACTTACCCGCTTCGAAAAAAGAAGATCCTATCCTATGACGCTCAGGCCTCGTATCAGCTACGCAACCTACTCGATTCCTACACGTGACGAAAGGTTGAATGAATTTGCTCGAATTATCTGAATTTCTTGAAGTTTCTTAAAGAATCAGTCTCTGTATAACATAAGTGATTGAATCTACACCCCTCTACCATTCTTCCTCTTGCCTAGTGAACAAGTACTAGCTTATAGCTTAGTCTATCCATTACATCTATCTTATTCTTAAAATACGAAATATGACTATTAGCTAACTTATAAATCTGTATAGAAGTTAAATAGTGATCGTGAATAAATAATTGTTATAGATCTGCGGATGCTGAATTTTAAGGTCGAGTTACTGTTTATAGGTCGGTTAGAATAATCGATTTGAGAGAAGTATTTACTCCACATTAAACCTAAAGATTACTTTAAAACCTCCGGGCGAAGAAAGATCTTTTACCTAAAAATCAATGTGAGTACAGAAAATCAGGCCGTTGAGAGAGAGAAACCTAGCATATCTGTCCTAGTTTAGAGTTATCATTTGACGAGGCTGAAAAATATTCCTGATACTTTGGGTATTTACTCTAGACTCAGCGACTTCGATTGGTCGGTCAATTTATGATATATGTTACGAACCAAGACGAGAAAGAATTCGTGTATCATTAACAGAGCAACTGAACTGGAGAGAGGAAGAAGAGAGAAAGAGGGGAACCAGCAACTACGAAACAAAACCACTTTATCCTAAATCGGGTTAGCCCAACGGCTCCTTCCTGATCACGTTCGCCCTCATTCCTCAAGAAAATTAAGCGTCACAGTATACCGAGACAATCAATACCAATAGAGGAAGAGAACAAAGCCATTATACACAATAAGATAACGTATAAACGCAAGCAATGGAATTCCAATGAGGAAAAGAAGAACCATTGGAGGTGGGAGATGATCTTCGTTGCCCACAGCATGAAACCGTGGAACTTCTCAACGCAGCCCCTATCTGGCACTTTGTATGGGCGCGAATATATGACTAATTCTGACAGAACATTGTATTTCCAACTCCGAGTCTCCACCTCCTGCTGTATTCTATCATTTCCCCAATTTGGCTTAGTGGACGTCTCTTACCTCTCTATGAGGTCTACGCTTTGCATTTCAGTTTTGCACTGATTACTTTCACATCAACAACTCTCGTTTCCTTCACTCTCATTCAAACACTAGCTTTACTAGGCTTTCATTCACCAATACGTCTTCATCCATCGTTGCAAAGCTCATTAAGTTAGCATGAACACTCCCGAAACTGCCGAGTTCCTGTGCGGCCTCGACGGCACGGACGTCACTCTCGATCCACCACCCGAGCCACCTCTCTACCTACCCCGCCAGACCTAGGTAATCGAGAAGAAGCTCTCTGAACGATCTCAATCGATGACGCAGCAAGACGTTGCCGATGGCCTTGGACTTCCGTTCGCAGCTGCTAAGTTTCTCTGCCATCCTAAGGGAAATCCTAGCAAGCAGGCCTTTATGCGGATTTATCTTCAAATTCCAGTCATTGGCACTCAATACCAGAGCCCTCAGATTCGACGAAGCAGGCTGCTAAGCCGCAACCGCACGTTAAGTTGATGACCTTGAAAATGCTCAAGAAATATAAATGCGATGTTGTCCCTGACCTCCTTGCTTACCAAGAGGGAAAGCAAGGCGAAGATAGTATCGTTCCGGGAGGTTATATTACTTATTTGGTCTGGGATAAAGTCCCCGGGGAGCCTCTAAGCGCAGAAGAATTCTGGGAGCTAGATATTAAGTCGCGCCAAGCGATCCGCGATAAATTTCGTGAAGCCTTCCCGTGAGTCTACAGAACTCTCTGCCAGGCGTGCTCTCGATTGACATGAAAATTAGAAAGCTGAAGAAGTACGGTTACCTACCGTGTATGTCAACCATGTCGAAGATCATCTATGACAAGGACACCGGGAATATGTACGCTCTACCCGTTGTTGAGCGGCGAACACTATAAGCTGACGGAAATTAGGCATTTCTCAGGCTTTTCACGCGCGGGTCGTACTAATACAAACGAAGAGTGGCATGACAAGTACTACGTTCTGTTTCGTTTGGCCAAGCTATCTCCGAAGACGACGGACTGGGCCACGATACCACAGGATGGACTTAGTGAACAGCGAAGTCACACTCAAATAGACCCCTAGAGGAAAATATCCGTCGAGAGTCCTTCTATTATTCGCATGAATCTTCAAATCCGTATGGAAGAATTACAATAATCATAATAACAGAGGATTCAAAAGTCACATATGTATCGAAATGAATAAGTGTGAAGATCGTAAATTGGGCATCGAGGACAGCTTCGTCAATGTAGTATACCATTCTCATGGGCTTCCACTCGAATTGCACATAGCCGTTGAACGATTCATAGCGAAGGCGATGTAGATCCTACGTCGCAACATTTATTGTAGGAGACTAAAATACATCTTAACGGGCAACTGCGGCGATTGTAGCAATTGTTAACTGAGGATTTTTGAGAAAGAACGACACAAAGCTCGCAAAACACAGCACCTGCTCAACGTGCTTTTGTTTGTTCCCCCACTATCGCTGTCAACTTCACCAACCAGGACTGAAAACCGATTTCTACGCTTCTCAAATCTGTAAATTACACTCCAGGATCCTTGAGCTCAGTTCTTGATGTTTTGAAATGACTCTCCATTCTGTCTACAGACTCAGACAATATGCCGACAAAGCAAGCCCGCGTGAGGAAGGTGGCTTCTCAAGCCCTTCCTCCGTTCCCCCTTGGCCCAAATCACACCAAATTTAACGCCCTCCACGATATCGAGTTTGTGGCGAGCTCCGTCATTGGTCCAATTTTCTCCGATTTGTCGAAACATATGTCTAAGGTCAGAGGATGGAGCAATAAGGTCATTAAGTACACCTATGGATCAGGCGACCCTGAGGCTGAATCACACCTCATTGGCGATGAGACAGGCCTTCAGGGTGTTTTCAATCATTCGGTGGGATTTATGGTTGGAAAAATCCTTAAGGCCCAATCAATCGATCTAAAGTTTGCGGATTTCAAGTGCCTTGGAAACCACTATGCCAACACGCCTGATAGCATTTTGATGACCAAGAATGCTCAGCCAAAGATTGTTGGGGAGCTAAAGGTCCCTTGGGTGCACGAACACGAGATGAGCGAGGCGTATGAAGAAGAAACTATGCTTCGCCATTTGCTTGCCCAGCCGATCAAATTTATGAAGGATCTGAATTGTATGTATGGCTTCATGAGCAACTACTGTGAGACGATATTCCTTCGGCAGGAGTTCATTACAGGCAGATGGGTCGTCGATTACTCTACAGTCATTCAGGCATCTACCTTCTATGTCAAGACGGACCTGGACGATCTCCAGGCTACACCAATTGTGTCATTCAGGCAATGTTTCCTTGCTGTTGCGGCTCTAGCACAGGCGCAGGGGCCAGTCTACAATACAACACCAAATTCAGAATGGGTTGTGCAAATGAAATGACATAGCGACTACAATTCTCCAAGTCCCACTCTGCGCCTCCGGAATCAGCGCCATTTTCAGCCTCCGAGAAATTATTTCTCGGAGGGATCTGGGTTTCCCCTTTTTGCCAAGGGTCGGAGCCCCCGGAAGTTCCTTTCTTTTGCTTCCTCGCGCTACGTCTTGTATCTAGAGTCGATTATAGCTGTTCTTAATATTGATCCTTCATCTCGAGGTGCTACCCACCTCTACGCATACGTTAAGACCCACATAACGAGGAGAAGTGTTCCCAGGGGTAGAAAGCGAGTCAACCTGTGCCCAAAGCAAGATTCTCGGTTTCCGAGTAAACACCTCTATTTGCCCTAGCATTCATACAACTCTCCATTAGAAGTTCATACGACCGGAAGGCGAAGTATTTCCAGGAGCGTAAAGCGAGAAATTTAATACTGATTAGCAGGTCAGGTACCAGGCACCGCCGTGGCGCAATTAACTGCGGCAAGTTTATCAAGTTTAACAGGACGAATGGTCAAATTAATGATGCCCGTGCTTTTTTGATAGGAACTGTGGGGGCAATCTAGAAAGTGAGGATAGCACGTGAATTGGATTAGCGTGTTGCATTTTATTGAGGGTCGCTCACCCATCACTCAGGTTGTGGTCAGTGAGCAAATCAGATCGCTTAGATCGGGATCAATGAGGTGGATCAGACTGCTCAGCTGAGGATTGGGGAGCTTATGTAACGCTCACTGATCAGATCAGGGCGCTCAGGGCCGTGCTCAATTCTACTCAGGGATCAAAAAGCGGCGAAGGGTGAGCACTAAAACGGAAAGGGAAGGCCAAGAAGCGGCATAGGAAATCCGGTACGTAGGTAAAAGCGATGGAAGATATGTAAGGCACAATCGCCTGCGAACAGAATGCTTGCTAGTTCGAGAAAATTGAGCATATCAAACAGATGCCAATCCGGGTCCATCCTGATCACCCTCTCTTACTTTCAGCTCTCCCCAAACCAGGGAACCTTTGCAAGATAAAACAGGCCTCCGACCACGCAGGATCCTCGGGATAAAGCCGGCTGCGAAGATATGACCAAGTCAATCTTTGAACGATAGCCAGTCTCTCTGGGCATTCATCATCCGCCGCCTCCGCAGTATCATAGCCAGAAACCCCACCCAGTCCATGTCTCCCGCCAGTGATGGTAAGAAGTGATTTCGGTCCTTTGCTGCTGTAGTAGGCATCTGCGTGGTATTCAGGACCCCGAGTGCTTAGATGCGATTCATCATCGCTATCCCCGATGACCACAAGAGCAGGCGTGGTCATTTCCTCATGGCTATGGTATTTAAGGAATGAGTCTTGAACAATCGAACGTAGACCCTCTCCGCCACGACCATCGCCAGGAGCGGCAAGTAATATACCGGCTTTCACGCGATGATCAATGAGATCAATTTCGTCGCCATTTTCAGGATCTATTAATCGGGCTCCGAGTAGCATGCTGACCGTGTGTCCCCCCCATTGAGTGTCCCACCGCGACAACACGAGTGTGATCGAGGCGTCCTTGGATTTGAGGCAAGGCAATCTCGATAGAGTAGAGCTCGTCTAGGATGAGTTTCATGTCATCTACCCGTGAGCGCCAGAAGAATGGTGCATCGGAGCTCGTCTCGAAGTCAAGGTTCAGGGATTTGGAACTCAAGTGTGTTGGTTGAATGACGACGAACCCATGGGATGCATAGAAATTGGCGAGAGGTGCATAGCCGTTCAATGAGGACAAATAATATGATGTCCCCTGTCCATGCGAGAGGAGGATAATTGGTAACTGGTGGCCAGAAGTAGGGGCCGTAACGCGGAGATGTAAATCGACAAAGCGATCGGGTGTAGGTAGAACGATGGGACTGACGGAGACCACGGGAGTCGCATTACTAATGGGGATCTTGCTGGCATCACCTATCAGGGCATGGTCTTGTAAATTAGGGAGACGCGGTCGCGTGCTTTGATGGGTTGTCATGATATCGCGAACCTGTGGAAAAGCAATTAATCTCTGAAGGGCCTTGATATTGAGTCAATATGCCCGGAAAACGTATCAGCGGGCAAAAGTTTGGAGCATCTATAATCAATCTTCCCTGATAGGGAGATCATGCAGAAGTAGTCGACTATCAGAAGGAATTGAATTTCATCACTGACGGCCTCGACCGGCGTTCGTGGGGGTTTGTCGTTTGGCCGGGTTTAAGAGAAGCTCCAAACCCCGAGCGGGGAGAAAGACCTGCTTCCCCTTTTCGAAGACGGCAAAACCCTGCTTAGCTTGGCAGTTGCTAGGGATCTCCGCTTCCTCTTGATAATGACCTCGATATTAGACTCACTCAAGATGACACTGAGGTTGCCATTCTGCCTCTCGGTGACCGAGTCCAAAATCCTTGAGACTGGATGTTCACGAGGTCTCTGATCGACTATAATTCAGGACCAATTGCACCAAGAGCCTAGCGCTAGGCATTTCTACTCATTTGAGTGTCAATTTATCATTCTTATATCCGATATAAATTAACATGTTGTACCCGAAATTGTCGATCAAACAACTCGGAACGAGATGAACGATGCATCGGTGAACTGCTCTGGCATAGTGTAGGTGATGTTGTAAAAGATAAAATCATTCACTGACTGATCAGTATTATAGACAATGGTGTAATCGGCCAGAGCGTTCGTCGTGACTTTCAGTTTCATGCCAGGAAGGCCCTCCAACCCCGTGACGTTGAAGCCGTGGCTTACCGTAAGACCGCTGAACAAGAAGTTGAAAGATACTGCACCATCTGCCGATGTTGCATTCGGATAGGAGATATGCAGTGCATGTGGAGAAGCCACTGCATGGATTGACGACTCGGTCACCCAATGCGTAACGCATCCAATCTGATTGTCGTCGGTCGCCCACTGGATGACTGCAGGGTTGAATGCTCTGGTACTTTTCGCAGCTCCCCCAACAACGTCCTGTGCGAGGGTCTCGGCACCAATAGTCACGTTGTCAGACATCCATGTTGTGATGTTCCGCGGGTAAGTGTCAAACGGCGGGGAATAAGCCTGGGCCGTATGGATGTGTTCACCAGGGAATTCAACCAGGTTCTTCTTAGACTGTGCTGACAAGTACTTGAGCATTTCAGGCATAGCCAGAGCGAAGAGGGGATAGAAGGCGAACTCATCTTGGTGATACATTCCCGAGGTCTGCTTGGGAAACGGTGCATACTCCTTTCCCACAGCGCCCCAGATTACGGGTGCCACCAGAGATGTATAAGCCATCATGTTGTAACCATAGGTGCGATCCCAGGGGCCAGCCAAGTTCTTCAAGTTTGCCTTATAGAGCTGGGCGAGTTCATCCCAGCTCGCCGTCAATATCTCCGGAACGTACTTTTGCAACAAACTGCCGTCAGAGGCATACTGGCTCCACAAAGCCAAAGCCCACATGGCCACTCCGCTATACGTCGGGGAGTTGAACTCAGATAGGGTATGATACATGTTCCACAGGTCGTACAGCTCCTGGGCAAATTTCTCACCGGACTCGGTCAGGTTTCTATCACCAACGCGAGTGCCGACCCAATTTTGAAGAATTGTGCGCATCACCCAAGGATTGGAGTAGCACGGGTACAAGTTGTCGCCGTCAACACCACCGACGCGATAAAGATCCCCCTTTGCTGCAATATGCAGGGATTTCTCAACCTTGGCGACAGTTTCAGCAGGCAGGAGGTGGTCATAGTCGTTCAACGCAACGAGCCAGGCACAGCCCACGAAGTCGCGAATGTTAGGGTCCCACTGAAATGACACAATCAGTATTTCCACATAGCTTTCAGCAGTCGAGATCCCATACCGAACTATACGGACCCTCATCGGGATACTCTGTCGTTCCTGGCTGCGGCGCTGACGGGGATTGCGTGTAGTCCCCGTACCACTGGTCCGCGGGATCGAGATACTGCCCCGAAATGACATTGTCAAAGATCCTCACAGCCCGTGCCACGTCCCCCGTGTTCGTTTCTAGCTAACAGCTGCGTTGCATACCAGGCAGTATGTCGAGTGTCATAGCGACCGGGATTGCTTGCTGCTGCGACCAAGTAGCCTGCAGCCTCATCCCAGAAGCCATCGTTCCACTCAATGGCCATATTGAACATGTGGTCAGCATATGTGGAGCTGCTTGACTGTGCTCGCTGACTGTGAAATGGCACTGCGGATGCAAAGCCAGCCAGATGACCGGCCATAAGCCCTATCACAGCAAAAGAAGTTTTCATTGTCGATAGTTTCAGCCGAAACATCTAAATTGGGCGTGAGATCAATGGCTGTCAATGCAAATAGCTTCACGTAGCCCAAGACGTCTAGAAAGCTTCTTGGCGGAAGTTCAAGCTTGCAGCTTAGTACTTATCCCGCATTTTGATCGTACAGCTATCAATATCCCCGAAGTATGGCCGCTAGATTGGATGCTAATATGGATAGCATTCTCCGGAGTGTTTGCCGATTTTGCCGGAGGCTGAGAAGGTACTCTTCACAATGAGAAGATGTAACTATCAAAAGTATCTTGAATTCAATAAAATTGCGGTCATCTCAAGCTATCGGCACGGGACATATCTCCCAGCAACGGAAGCAGAGCTTCGAGTGGTAGAGTATTGCTTATCGATGGAGAGCCGTTTTCACCAGGTTCGCCGGGTTCGCCGGTCGTCCCCTCACAGGAGATAGCTGGCAGTAAGCTAGCCACTCCACTAAAGATACGCCGATGTGAAGATGGTCCTTACCGGGGTTCTGCCGTGATCGCAGATCTCTTGGATCTTCCACCTACCCGATCCTTGCTATCATCGGTGCAGTGGAACCCCCGCGCCTAAGCACGCAAAACGTCATGGGTGCGGGGAAAGAAAAGCTCATGATTGATGAAATGCTAGCATCGTTACTGTGTTGGAAATCGGAAATGTTTCGAAGTATATTCGAGGCGTTGACTTTAATTTCATCTCGATAAAGCTGAATGGGAAGTTGATTTGAAATTATCGGGAGTCATCAAACGTGGATTAATAATAGACTGTTGATGGCGCCGTCATGGAATCACCCCCAGCATTCATTTCTTAACGGATCATCACTCAGTCGAGAAGCAACAGTAGGCACAATGACTTCGATTATAGCAGGGACAGTTCCTTGGCATGATGGCGAAGAGAGGATGCACCGATTGATGCGAGTTCCTGATATGGACAACCCCGCTGTGCCATATCTCAGCGCCAACGGAGGCTATTTCTTGACACAGGCTCCCCTGATTGCAGTGGGAACAGTGGACTCCCAAGGGCGGCCCTGGACTTCAATATGGGGCGGCAAAAAAGGGTTTCGCTGGGCCCATTGCCGAATCCACAATCGGGCTCAAGACAGCGGTGGACAGCACATACGACCCTGTAGTCAAAGCATTACTCGGCAGCCAGGCCATCGATGAAAGAGGGAGCTCCAAGGCAATCGCCTGGAAACATGGTCTCCGGACTCGCGATTGATCTAGAGCATCGACGACGATGGAAGCTTTTTGGTAGAATGGTAGCGGGATCTCTGGACGAGGAACTGGGACAAGTACAGTTGGCTGTCCACATCGACGAGAGCCTCGGAAATTGCCCCAAATACCTGAACAAAAAGCACGTCGTGCCTGTGCGCCCAAGTCCAACCTTGAAATCCGACTCACCACAGCTTCCAGCAACAGCGATAGAGCTGCTGTCCCGCGCGGACACCATCTTCGTATCCTCGAGGCATGGCACATCAGATATGGATACAAATATTCGCGGCGGACCTCCTGGATTCGTTCGACTGGAGTCTAACAATGGCCATGCAGTTCTTATTTATCCAGAATACTCAGGGAATCGACTGTATCAGACTCTCGGAAACCTGCAGACAACGCCTTTAGCCGGTTACGTGGTTCCAGACTTTGAGACTGGAGATGTCCTGTATCTCACAGGACGCGCTGAAGTGTTGGTTGGACAAGATGCTGCGGCCGTTCTTTCACGATCAAATCTTGCAGTCCGCGTCACTGTCGCAGCGGCATTCTTCGTGGACAAGGGACTGGCCTTTCGAGGCCACCCCGGTGAACCATCCCCATATAATCCTGCCGTGCGATACCTCTCGACAGAGAAGAGTTTTCCGAACGAGGTAGAGAAAGGCGCAGAGACGTCTGCGACGCTGATCAAGAAGGAAACAATAACACCCAAAATTTCCCGATTCAGGTTTCGCTACAACAGTCCCAAGCCAATCTCCTGGACTCCCGGTCAATATGCGACACTATCCTTCCAGGACGAGTTAGACATGGGCTACAGCCATATGCGTGACGATGATCCAGCAAGCCTAAACGATGACTTCGTCCGCACATTCACTGTATCCTCATATCCAGACCGTGGCCTTGCCAGCAATGAATTTGAGATGACGATCCGTCGCCACGGAAATGTCACCAACCATCTCTTCCGCACGAACGAGCGAGCGGGCCTCGAAGTCCCACTGAAAGGATTTGGTGGCAATTTCCACATCGCGACCCACACTGGGTCCATCGTACCATTCGTTGCGGGGGGCATAGGAATCACACCCCTGCTTGCCCAGCTCCCGGATCTCGATATTGCTCAGTTGCGCCTGTTCTGGTCGGTTTCAATCACTGATATAGGCTTGGTAGACGATACGTTTCATCGGTGGCCCGAGCTACCACGATCCACAGTTATCTTTGTCACGAGTCTGGACCCAAATAGCCATCCAACCAAGTTGGACACGCTTCATCTATCTGGGGCACGGGTTGTGCGACGCAGAATGCAAGCGGGAGATTTGGACCCGTTGCTGTCTGAAACGTGGTATCTGTGCGCCGGCAATGCATTGAAGCAGATGGTGGTGGGGTGGCTCGAAGAAAAGCACGTAATTTATGAAGATTTCAACTATTAAAAATGCAGCTAGCTCATGAGTTAGCTCATCTCGATTGTTGGAGTGTGTTAATACTTGAAAATAAAAGTGACCCCAGCAACGCCACGCAACGATAAAAATAGGCGTGACGCAGGCCTTAACGTGTCAAGTGGAGCGCCGATCTTGTTTACATCAAAAAACCATCGCAGGGGCAGCCTTCTCCCTCCACAATTCACTGACAACTACACAATGCGCTCCAAATCAGTGAAGCCCTCTGCATATCCGGCCCTGCCATTTCATGGTATCCGAGTCCTCATCTTTCTCTCTTCTCTCGTGACCGCCATCATTCTCGCCGTGTTTATCTACCATCTCCACGCCGACGGATACAAACTACCCTTTGCCTTCTTGATCGTGAGCCCACCTCCCCCCCCAACCCCGATATCATTTTCCAAGTGCTAAATAAAAGTAACCAACCCAGCTCCTTATCGCCTCCCTTCTCTCCTTGCTAAATGTCATCTTCACATCCCTCGTCAACTGCGCCTGCGGGCTCTCCACCAAACTCTCCATCATGCTCAACACGCTCCTCCTCCTCATATGGCTTCTCGCCCTCGCCCTCCTAAGCTACAACATGGCCCACACGATCCTCACCTCCTGTAGCACAACCTACTGGGGTAACAAGACCGGCATCTCCATCTGCCGCAGCTACAAAGCCCTCTTCAGCTTCACCGTGACCGGCACCGCTTCCACGCTCGCCGCGCTTTGGCTCGATGTCATTGTCCGCCGCCGCGCAAATCGTCTCGGCGCCTACGACCCCATGGGCAGTATGGCGGCGGTCGGCGAGGATCCAGCGGATATTAAAATGGCGGATCGCAATTGGTCGGGTTCGGCTGTGGCGTACGATGCTGTTCCGCCGCCGATGTCGGGTGCGCAGGGTAGGCCGTATGATCATTCATTGGAGTATGGGCATGCGGGGGATGCCGCGCAGTATTACGATTCGGCGCCGGCGAGAAGTCGGCGAGGAGAACCGAGGGTGAAGTTTGGTTCGGAGAACGCTGGGTACCCGGCGCAGACTCATCAGACTGGATATGATTCTGGCATGTATCGTTGATTTGAGCGTTGGAGAATATGATTTTTGATGATTTATTTGGATCTTCGTTCTGGATGTGCTACATAGCGGTTGCAGTTCTCATGATCATTTATGGGTTTGTTTACGATTTACTGTTTAGTGTGTGCGTGCTGTTTTGGGTTCCCGAGGTTGAAAATGGAGTATGAGACATGCGGCGTTGTGGAAACTTATGATTTGGGAATAGATCGATGGTTGATCGGGATGGATTTCTCTAATGACTCCTCGATCTACTTGCACTCTAGAACAGAAAAAGCTGAGAAGTAAATGACCATCCAATAGCAGACAAGAATAGAAGACAGCATTATGACGCTCGATATTGACAAGATGGCGGGAGGATGTGGTATTTTTTGAAGCAAGAACCAAAGTCCAAGACTGGCATTTACATGATAACTTCGTTGGCGACGTCCTAGATTGAAATCGGATTAGTTGAGGATGAAGTTGAAGACGCAATGGTACATACCCGTTTGAGCTCCTTGTAGGGGAGGCAGACACAATTCTGAACGCGAACCTCATCGCCAACGCCGCACTCCTTACCCAGAATCGTAATGCTCTGAACCTTGACACCCTGTTTGATGATGCTGGTGGAGTGGCTGGTGATGGGGATCGGAGTACCCTCCACACGGGCCCAGGCACCTACTCGACTGCTCCAGCCGATGATGGAGTGCATGACACAGGCATCGTGGCGGATCTCTACATCCTCGAGGACGATTGAATCCTTGATACGAACACCCGCTCCAACGACGGCACGGGGGCCAATGGAAACATTGGGGCCCAGCTTGGCAGTGGGATCGACCTGAGCAGTAGGGTGGATATAAACCGGGGGAACGATCGTGGCGGAGGGTGCCATGAGCTCATCAGACTCGGCCTGGAAGGCCTTCTGGAGGTAAAGGGCGTTGGCAGGTACAGCTGAGCCAGCGGTCTTGATCTGGCGCCAGAAGTCCTTCGTCTCGTGGACGAAGAATCGGTTGCTGTCAGCCAGGTCGGAGAGAATGTCCTGCTCGAGGCGGAGAACTTCGCTCTTCTCGGCATCCTCGTCATCGCCGGTCGCGACGAAGGAGGACTCGAGGTTATCGGAAGAGGGGTAGGAAAGCATGCGTGGGCGGATAGTACGGCGCTTGATGGCGCTGCGAATGGCGGGGAAGATGCACTCGGTAGCGAACAGGTACACGCCGCAGTTGATCAGGTTAGAAATATGCGATTCGGGCTTCTCGACGTAGTGAAGCACGCGCTTGGTGTGCGAGTCCGACACAATGCATCCGAAGTTGGTAGCAGCGTCATTGTCGACGCGAGTTCCCAGAATCACCGCCTCTGCGTCCTTCTCCTCGAACAGACGCAGCATCTCGCCCAGAGGGAACGAGCAGCAGACGTCTGCGTTCAGCACAAAGCAGCGCTCAGGCTTACCCTTGAGGATCGCATCACGGAAGTGGTACAGGCCACCTGCGGTGCCCAACGCTGTGTATTCTCGCAGGTATTGAATGCGGAACTGGGGAAACTCCTTTGCGGCATCCTTGATGAAATCCCGCAGAACAGTCTCGTCATAGTATCCGACCAAAAGAACTTCGCGCACGTCGGGGACCTTGGCGAGAGCCTTGAGGCAGTGGTGGATAATAGGGTGGCCGGCGACTTCAAACAGGGGCTAAAAGTGGGGGTCCCAAGTTAGATGCACGTTGTCGCAAGGGATCCGTGGGTATTAATCGCTCAGAGAATACACACCTTGGGCACATCAAGCGACAATGGACGGAATCGAGTGCCTCGCGAGGGACCTCCCACCTGTTGACCGGTCAGTTTGTGTACAAATACAGCAGGGCGATCATTGCGTCAATCACCAAGATCACAGCCTTGGTGGAGGCCTGGTTGGGGTTTCCCGGCACTGGGACCTGGAGCATAATGAATTGAGAGAGTCGTAAGAAAGAGGGACCTTGAAGTTCAAGTGGCAGAAGAGAAACACAAAAGGTGGCCGAATCCAGCGTCTCGAGCTCCGAGCGCCAAGACTGACGCTTGCGGGTGGGGGTCGCTCACCTGACACAAATCATGAACTATACATTCACTATTTACGAAAATAGTGTGGAGACCTTCGGGATGTCCTACTGAAATTGATTTTGGATAACTATAATTCGATACGATCCGAAGCCCCTAGGCGAACCAACCTTACTATCATGTGAATAGTACCTCAATCGCGAGGCGGGAGCTCTGGAGGGGTAAAGAGGTCTTTCAAACCTCCCCAGCTCTCTTCGCTATACTCTTCCTGCACTTTCTGACACGTCTTCAATCCCCAATCTGTGACACCAACCATATAACAACTCTCAAACATAAAAGCCATGCTTCCAGCCCCGACCTTGACTGGAACGAGTTCTTGGTTGCTAGCCTTGTCAAATGCCTCCGCATCTGGCCCATGGCTACTCATGCAGTTGTGAAGACTTGCCCCAGCAGCTTGGAACCCACCCGAACCAGCCCCCTTCGCAATATAAGATCCCTCAATGAGACCCATAAACTCGCTCATGCAGTTTCGGTGGTACGATGGTGGCCGAAAAGTGTCCTCGCCGACTAACCATCGAGGAGGGAAGATAACAAAGTCAGCAATGGCTGTACCGGGGTGAGCATTTGAGTTGGCCGTAAGGACAGTATTTAGCGAAGGATCTGGGTGGTCGTATGAGATGGTTCCGATAGTATTGAATCAACCCAAGTCGTACTTGTACGGGTAGTATCTCCCCTCCCAAGCCACGACATCAAATGGAGTATGACCCTGTTTACTAGTAAACAACTGCCCACAAAACTTGTTCACCACCGTCCAGGTTGTCTTTGAGTCGTGCGTATATGCCGCAACGGGAATCTGGAAGTCGCGGGCGTTGGCCAGGCAGTTCGACCCAATGGGGCCGAGTTCGGGTAGTTGGAAGTGTCCATTGAAAAGTTCAAGGATGTATCCGCGGATAGGGTCGTCGTTGACAAGTTTGACACGATACCTGATTCCGCGTGGAATCACGCAAATCTCGTTGGGGCGTACCAGAAGCCGGCCCATCTCAGTCTCGATATCCAGCGCGCCGGTTTGGGGTACAATGAGCATATCACCATCAGAATCGTACATTGCAGTTTTCTCGTTCATGGATTTTGTGGCACCGTAGATATAGTAGGCCACGCCGTTCTTCAAAGCTGGGTCGCCCGATCCTGCGACCATGTGAAGACCTTCGATCCAATCCACATCCGCGTGGATGTCAAATGGATCCCATCGCATTTGATTGGGTATTTGGTTGAATTCGGTTTTGAGTCTGTTCCCCGATGGAATTGGCTCAAAGGATGAATGAGCAGCAGATGGAATGATGCGGTAAACCCATGTTTGCTGGTTCTCCCACCGAGGTGCTGTGAATGCGGTGCCTGATATCTTTTTCGGCGTAGAGACCGTATGGGCACTTCTGGGGAGAGTTTTGCCCAATTGGGAGTGCTCCTTTGATTGCTTCTGTTCTATCTTATTGTAAGTAATTTGACGATCTGGGAGATATGACGTCACTTACTCTAGATTTGCTGCGAACCCCGTTTGATACTCGTATCTCTCGGGAATGGGGAATTTGGTGACCGGCATTGTCTCCTGCTACTCTTGGGACGTGAGAACTTGATATGAAAGTGTGTATAGTTGAACATCAATCTAAAATCTGATAGTGCTTAAGTATTTTGAATAATTCACCGATAGTTTATTCAGCCCCCAATTACAACCGGGGGAAATATGGCGGATCATCCGCCGGATGTGCCCTTTTGACGATCATCGGATGAACCGATGCGGGACTACGTAGAACTTCATATCCAGGTGGAGGCATTGCTTAGAAATGTTATTTCGTTGTATAATATAGAATAGAGCTGTTATTAGTATTTCTGTACTGTTTTCAGGTGTTCGACAAATACCATAACCTCAACTCCTTCAATCGATCAAAATGAGTACTGCAAGCTGGCTCGAAATTCCTTCGGGATCCCACTTCTCACTGGCAAATATCCCATTCGGTATCATCACAACGCCTGCCTCAGCTGAGCCTCACGCTGCAATCGCCATTGGAGACCACGTTCTTGATCTATATACCTTCGCGGTTAACAGCGGCTTTGCAGCCCTACAGAATTTCACCCCGGAGCACGCGAAGCTTTTCTCCCAGCCAACATTGAATGATTTTGCTGCTACTGGACAAGGATTCCATCGTTACATTAGAGGATATCTCCAAAATGTCTTCGCACTCAACACGACCGTCCCTCAGGTTCTCAAGGACAGCAATACTGCGAGAGAGGCTGCATTGTTCCACAAAAAGGATGTCAAAGTCTATATTCCCATGAAGATTGCGGGATACACAGATTTCTTCGCTGGAAGAAACCACGCCTACAACTGCGGCTGTATCTTCCGAGACCCCCAAAAGGCGCTTCAGCCAAACTACCTCCACCTCCCCGTTGGCTACAGCTCGAGGGCATCCTCTGTTGTGGTATCTGGAACACCCATTAGACGGCCTCTGGGCCAATATTTGGCAAACAAAATGGATACTGCGTCCCAGTTTGGGCCATGCAGGAGACTTGATATCGAGCTCGAACTGGGAGCACTTTTGTGCAGAGGCAACGAAATGGGAGAGCCAATTCCAGTTGATAAAGCCGAAGAGTACATCTTCGGCTTTGTTATTTTGAACGACTGGTCAGCCAGGGACATCCAGGCCTGGGAAGCCGTGCCTTTGGGTCCCTTTAACGCGAAGAATTTTGCGTCCAGCATCAGCCCCTGGGTTATCTTGAAAGATGCCATCGAGGGATTCCATGCTAAAGGTATCCCCAATGAAACCCAGCTGCATCCATATCTGCAAGAATCACGCCTGAATAATGTCTATGACATCAACCTGGAAGTGGAAATCAAAAGTAAGTCTCCAGCGCTTGAACTAGTATAGCAATCGACTGACGGGTAGTTCCAAGCTGCCGATGGGAAGGTTGCAACTTTTGCGCGCACCAACGGCAAGAACCTTGTTTTCTCATTTGCGCAAATGTTGGCACATCACACAATTGGTGGCTGTCCCATGCAAGTAGGTGATCTTATTGGATCAGGCACTATCAGTGGCACCGAGCCTGGAAGTCTTGGTTCATTCCTCGAAGCTTCTGCTGGGGGTACTCGTACCTTTGAGCTTGAAAATGGCATTCAACGAACGTTTCTACAGGATGGAGATACTATCTCCATCCGGGCTTGGTGTGGCAAGGATGGCTCCCCGCTGGTGGGGTTCGGAGAGTGTGAAGGAACGATCAAGCCAGCCCCAACGCTGTAGAGCTATGTGTTATTGACGTGCATACGAAGAATACACTTTCAGGTCTTTGATGTTATGAAGATGTTCCAATGTCTTTTAGAATTAGATAATGTCATTCTTTGAGAAAGATCGCTGCAATTTCACAGGACAATCATCGCGTGTAATGTGCCTTAGTTATATCTCCCAACAGCGTCCACACATATGTAAAATGTCAATCTACAGTTAAATCATATCGTACATCCTGTCTTCCAATCTTGATTTATTTTCTCTGTTTCTATGGTGCCTAATCCATAGGAATGCCACTATTGAAGATAGATACCAAGAGCTATGACGCACTCACTGTTACCGACCAAGACGAAGAAGAATTCGTGTATCATTAATAGGGCAACTAAACTAAAGAAGAAGAAGAAGAGAGAAAAAGAGAAACAAATATCTACGAAATAAAACCACTTCTATCCTAAATTAGGTTAGACCTATAGCGCCTTCCAGATTATATCCCCCTTAGGCCTAAAGGTAGTCATGCGTCACACTCACCTCACAAACATAAGCTGTCAAAACTATAATCAGGCCGAAAAGCGAAGAAGAAAGTTATCAACTATCGATGTCATCTCTGGAAGACCGAACTAAGCACACAAAATACTGAAGTCAATCAATTTTGTCGTCCTCGTCGGGTACTTCGTCGGATGTGCCGCCGGGTGTGCCGCCGGGTGTGCCGGTTGAGCACTCGGTAAATTAAACACCATTCGATCGTCAGCTCCATGATGTCTACATGTCTTTCCATCAATTACTAGTGGAAATTGAAACAGGTAGTACTTAAAACAGCAAAAGCAACCATCTGGAATCAATACAATGAGTTCCGAAGAAATTGAATCATGGATATCTTCAACCCTATTTCCCCTTCCGGTGATCTTGTACTTCCACCACAGTTGAGCCGACTTTTAGGCTCAACCTGGATCACCTTAGTCCTCTGTGCACTAGTCGTGTTATTGGTGCTTTATCACCTTGACACCACCGATGTGCCATATATTCGCGGTCTCGCCTCAGCTCCTGGGGTACCTATATTCGGAAACCTTATCCAATTAGGCGTCGAACACCCCAAGCGCCTCGCCGAGCTTGCTAAGAAACATGGACCGGTCTACCAGATCAGACTAGGAAATCGAGTACGTTGGCCCTCCCCAAATATCATTATCCTTATACTGATTTCTGTCGAGCGATTCGTTGTGGCAAACAGCTTTGAGACTGTGAAGGAACTCTGGATCAAGAACCAGTCCAATCTCATATCTCGACCTAAGCTACATACATTTCACAATGTGTTGTCAGGATCCGAGGCCTTTACCATTGGTACTTCACCGTGGGACGACTCCTGCAAGCGTCGCAGAAAGGCCGCCGCGACAGCAGTGAACCGACCATCCGTTGCTTCATATATGCCTTTGATTGATCTAGAGTCGCTCGTGAGCATTAGGGAACTTGTCAACCAGGTTCGTGGAAAGAAGGACCAGGTTGACCTGAACCCATATGCTCTGTTCCAGCGTCTTGCGCTGAACCTTAGCCTGACGCTTGGCTATGGCTTCCGTATTGATGGAGACTCTGGAGACGAGTTGTTGACTGAAATTGTGAATGTTGAGCGCGGTATTAGTACTCTTCGCAGTACAAGTAACAATTGGCAAGACTTTGTCCCCATGCTGAGGATTCTTCCTAAAGGAAATGATATAGCTGCGGATTTGCGGGTTCGCCGTGATAAATATCTCGAGTTTCTTCTGAAGAGGCTTAAGGATCACATAGCCCAGGGAACTGACAAGCCTTGTATCACTGGAAACATTATCAAGGATCCAGAATACAAACTAGACCATGGTAAGATGGAAGTTTTTGGGGGACTGAAGTGCTAAAAAACATCACGCTGACTGAATTATCAGCGGAAATCAAGTCAATTTGCCTAACAATGATTGCTGGTGGCCTTGATACAACTCCAGCGTGCATTCAATTTGGTACTGCCATGCTATCTGGCCCCCAAGGCCCAGAATTGCAGAAGAAGCTGCTGGATGAAATCAAAACAGTGTATCCGCACAACGATGCGTGGCAGAAATGTCTTGTGGAAGAGAAACTCGAGTATATGTCCGCATTCTGCAAAGAAGTTCTCCGATTCTGGACAGTTATTCCCATGTCTCTTCCACGCGTCAGTGTCAAGGATATGGATTACAAAGGCTCGTTAATACCCGCTGGCACAACTTTCCTGATGGTACGCACAATAACTTCGTCCATACCAAAAGCTATAAGCTTGAATATCCGCTGACTCGAACCTAGAATGCCTGGGCGGCCGACTACGACACCGACCATTACGAATCACCTCAAACATTCGCCCCTGAACGCTTCATCGACATGGCCGAGGGATCGGGAACTCTACATTTCGCATTTGGAGCCGGCTCCCGGATGTGTACAGGCTCGCACTTGGCGATGCGGGAGATGTATGTCACGTTCGCGCGTCTAGTAATCGCCCTTGAGGTTCTCCCTGCAAAGGATCCATCTCGAAGGCCCATTTTGTCAGGCCCACTCGAGGCTAATGCCAACCCCTCGGGATTGTCTATTGAGCCTAAGGACTTCGATCTTGGTTTCAAAATTAGAGACGAGAAATTACTGGACTCATGGATTGAGCAGTCTGAAAAGGCTACAATGCATCTACTTGCCTGAGAGGTTGAGATAATGAGTTTTCAATTTGGGTCAATGGAGACCAAACGGACTACTTAGGTAGAGATAGTAGAATGGTTTTAAGAGAAGCTCTGAGACTTTGTAAAATGAGGATTGATTTTAAGGGCTCACCTTCAAGTACGTAGTTATCAAAGGAATGTAACTTGAGAATCCTATGCTTTATAACATCCCAGGCAAACTTAAAGTCCCCGTAAAAGCCCGGTTGGAGCTTCAACCGTCCCCGAACCTCAACGCTTTGGGGGCCGGTAGAAAAAGTGTGGGGCGAGTATGTGGGGCCCCGCACTTCTCCAACCCCCCCCCCCCTTCTCTCTTGTTCTACCTAATTCCCTTCGCACTTTACTGCCTATAAGACAAATCAAGCAACATGCACGGACACGTGAGACCGAAGCGATTGAGAGCCCTCCAGGCATGCGAGCTATGCCGCGCGAGAAAGAACCGTTGCGATGAGGAGCAACCTTGCTCCTACTGCGTTGGTGAGTCGCAAATCATGAGCATCCGCTTCATTTCTTGGTACCATTAGCCAACCATAGCAGGCAGAACGTGACCTTGAGTGTGTGTATTCCAGGACAAGTCGCGTGAGAAAACGGACCAAGCCGTATGTCTTTGACCCCCACCGAGATTTCAAATCCAGCGCATTACTGACATCAATGGGTCAAGATCTGTGGAGCCAAATCAAAACACAGCCAGTGAGGTCAATCAAAGTTCCGAATCTATAATGGACAATGTCCAGATCCCCTCGGATACCAGGCCTTGGGTGGTAAATGTGATTCCTTTCGACGAGACTGGAGTATCGTCCACACCTGATCCAGTGACCAGTGGTATCACCAGAGCTCGGGGAGGGGCCCAATTACCACTCGTTTTGTCATCCGCTCAGCCACAGGTGAGACGTAGTCTCTCAGCATCCCAGCACTCAGCGACCCCATTTACCGAGATTGTGGATACAAATTTGCACACAAAAAGCCTCGAGTTTTATGGCGCGTCTTCTTCCGTGGCATTCCTCCGACACGTCGATGATATATCAGGCAATGACACTAGCGAGCAACTAGTGGGGAGAACAGAGCCTTCATTAGCTTCTATGCTACACAACACTAATGTTCAGCCATATTCAACGCCAAGTATCGTGGCGGGAATTAGCAATGACAGCAACGATCGATTTTACTTTTCGAGTGGGCAGAAAGTTTCTAGACGCCTACTTTAGCAATATTCACTGCATTCAGCCTATTTTCGACGAAGAGGAGTTTTTGACTCGCTGTGAAGATTTATGGTTTGGCAAGCTTGAGAGGCAGCCTGTTTCTTTTGTTGCCCTCTATTACGCAACCTTGAGCCTAGGAAGCCTTGTGATGGTTTGGGATGAAAGGGAGATATACGGCGAAGATCGTTTCTCATGGAGCCGAAAGCTTTTCAATCAGGCTCTTGGGGTTGTAACGCAGCTGGGATCGGGGACAGATTTGGAGATGGTTCAGTGCTACTATATGATGGTACATAGGTTAAGATCTTCTTTATTGGTACCAAATTACTAACTGCAGTCCACATTCAGGGAAAAGTGTGTCAACACGAGCTAAATCCACATGGTATTCATGACACTCAATATGTTATCCTTTTCTGAGCTAATGGCAAGTCATAGTGGCATATTTGTATTCTGGACAAGCTACTAGAACTGCTTTGGCAACTGGGCTGAACCGCTTACCTTATGGAAAGCCTTCTGACCCCAGGTCGTCTACTACAGCAGCAAAGACGTGGTGGTAAGTTTTGAACCAAAAAGCTTTTTTCCGTTCCGGGCTGACTTAATTAGGGCTGTTTATTGGCTTGATATGTAAGTTGTTGCAATAGCTCAACAGAAGCAATATCAAACTGACACGCAACAGACAGACGAGCTTTGCACTTGGCAGACCAGACAGTTTAGGCCCCGATGAGTATCACACCCAGGATATTCCGGGAACTTCGGGGTCTTTCGAGGGAGACCATGCTACCAGCAGTCTTCATGTGCTACAGGTTGTTCCATGCATGGTTAAACTGGCAAGTATCATGCGAAAAGTCAGCCTTAGGCTGTACAGTCTACCATGTCCCTTGCGGGAAGAACTCTCTCGGGCAACAGAGTTGGACGCGCAGCTGGACTACTGGTTCCAATCAATTCCTTGCCATTTGAAGCCGGAAAATACGACTGCCCATGCATCACCTTTAAAGCGCACAACAGCAAGCTTTGTCAAGAAGCAATCGGTCGTATTGATGACACGTACGAACAATCCAGTCCCCTGCATCCCGAGAGACTCTTGCTAACTCCACATCTAGGCTACTACAATCTTCGGATGATAATATTTGGCAAGTCCTTAACAGTAACCAAGGGGACTGAGGCGGAAATGGCGACAATCCGCGAATGTCAACAGAAATGCATTGAATCTGCGAATCAAGCAATCGATCTTGTTTATGATACATTTCGAAACTCCGACTTCTTCCAAACCTGGTACGTTAATCTTCCGCCGTTTTTTTTTACTTCGAGCAGTTGCTAAGTAATAATCTCTTTCTAATAGGTGGTATAATTCAACGTATATATTGTTCGCAGTTAGTGTTCTCCTCACTGGGATTTTTCGCGGCTTTTCACAGGACAAAAAAGCACTCGATACGCTTTTCAAAAAGGTTGATCGTGCAATTGCTATTCTGGATGTTCTGAGCGAGTGTGTCGTGACTAGAAATGCGACCATTATCATCAAAAGAACGCTTGCTCGGGCAAAGAAAGTATCAAAATGAGAGCCTCACGTGCAGCAAAGGTCCTCCATTATACAGGCCCAAAATGACCAACAAGGTTCCACAAGTGATGGGTTTATCTCCGATCACGCATCTGATTTGCTCCAACTGGATGATGCTGACATTGATTGGGCAAATCTTGAATTACCCATGGATGATAGCCAGCAGGCTCTGTTTTGGGTTGAATGGGGACATCTTCTGAATGACTTGGGTGCATAGAAACCTCAAATTTGGGACTTTGAAAGTCTTCAAATAGCCCTCTACCTTCTAACCTCTAGTCGAGAAGAGCGCTGCTTGTCTAAGTCCATTTTATTGAAGTTAAAAATAAATATGATTCTCTTGCAACTCCAGCTCACAAGAACTCTATGTAATATGGTTGGAGATACTAGAGACAAATGCAATCTGGAAGGATCTGACCAAGAGAGCAAGAAAAGGAGAGTAAGGCAACAAAGACTAAACTTACATATCCGGACGGCTCGGACAATTACTGCTCGGGGTAGTCGAAGACTGTTCAGCTTCCGCCGGTTGTCCCGCCGGCTCGAATCCTCAGGCCTTCCCCACAAGTATCAACGCCACAATATGGGGTCCACATATGAATTCAGATCACGATACATAAAGCAAGGTCCAGGGTTGAGGTCAACTTCAATCATGTCCTTCTGAATCCAGGGGGTTTGCTTTACTATTCAGTCAGTTCAGAAATGGATAACACGCAAGAGAAATCAGCTTGTTTCGACTCGCAAAGTGATCACATCGAAGATGCCCAAACCGCGGAACCACAGGTGAAAGATTTGGATGATCCTCACAATTGGCCTCAATGGAAGGTATCAGGTCCTCGAGTAAGTTGTATAGGTTCAGATGGCTGATACCATTCAATACAGAAAGAGATCAACTTCGCCCTTTTGACCTTCCACTCATTGATGACGAATTTTGTGGGAGCTGGTATCATTCCAGCCTATACCATCTTTGCCGAGGAGTTCGGTGTCACTGTATCTGAAGTCAGCTATTTTACATCAATTCATGTCAGTATCTGGAGACTCCATTCCATATCCCATCGCTAATCTAGAAGCAGATCCTTTTTACTGGTCTTTTCCCCTTTGTCCTAGTCCCATTCTCAAACAGGTATGGCCGTCGACCGGTCTGGCTTGCATCCACGCTTCTTGCTGCAGCATTCAACATTGGCTGCGCGAAGAGTACCGACTATACCACTATGCTGGTATGCCGTATCTTTTGCTCGATATTTCTTAGCTCGCCCCTCGCTTTAGGAGCTCTGGTGATTGTAGAGAGCTTCCACGAGGACAAGCGCAGCATTCGAATGGGAGTCTGGGCGTGAGTTACCTTTTATTTTCTGTCTTGTTCCGCTGTGCATATATCAAAGCTAATCTCGCTGGCCCTAGTGTAATGATTACCCTCGGACCTCCTCTTGGACCACTTCTGATGGCCTTTGTGACAGAGAGAGCAGGCTGGCAATGGATCTACTGGATCTTCGCCATAATTAGTGGAGTTCAATTTGTCTTACAGGTGTTCCTCGGCTCCGAGACACGATATGTGAAAGACTCCGGAACAAGCAGCAAATCCAAGGGCATCCGGGAATCATTCGCAGTCCGCCGGATCGACCTAAGTCCCTTCACATGGGCCGAATTTTATCGTCCAATCAAGCATATCAAATGCATAAGCATGCTGGTTCCCATCTATGCCCACAGCATGATTTTCAACATCGTCGCGGGGATGCTCACGGTAGAAATCCCACAGCTTTTCGCCGAACGGTTCAATTTCGGAGCCGAGCAGATTGGCTTGCAATTCATCGGAATTATTACAGGTACAGTTCTCGCCGAGTTTTTCAATGCAGCAGTGCTGTGTACTATGCGGCGACGTGCGGCACGGCGGCATGATAAGATGCCCAGGCCAGTGAACTTCCTGCTTGTCAGTTACCTTGGATTTGTATGTGTTATTGCGGGTTTAGTTGCGTTCTGCATATGCATGGGAAATACGAAACCTCTACACTACAATGTCACTCCCATTATTGGGATTGGGGTTGCAGGATTTGGAAACCAGGTCGTGGCGACGTTTTTGGTCAATTGTGAGTTCTCTCTCTGTAAATGCGGATGAGCACGACACTGATATGTAATTGCACAGATGTAATCCAGGTGCATACGGAAAATACTTCTTCGGTGTCCATTTTGCTGGGTTTCCTCCGTCAAACATGGTCTTTCATTGGGCCGTTTTGGTTCCCGTCCATGTTTGAAAATCTTGGAATGCATGGATCTGCTGGGTTGCTTGTTGGGATAGTAGTTATGAGCATATTGCCGTTGATGTGGCAGCATTGGAGGACGCACCGACAGTAGATGTTATCCTCGATCAAATCGTTATGGCCGAGCAGAATCTATGTGAAGCTGTTAGATGCAGAAGCGTGGCTTCAGAGTTGATCACTCGATCCCAGCCAATCTCATCGTCAGCATGAGTGACGAAAAAAGCTCTGAGTTCTTCATCCATCAGAGTGAGACTTGCATGATGCAGTGGCAACGCGTCACGGAGACTTTCCATTTCCAATTCCTTGACTTCAGTAAAACTATCGGTTTCATAGATAACTTCGAGTTCTTCGTCCTCAAGATCCTCTGCATGACTTCTACGCGAGTCGAAATCAGAAGCCACCGCAAGAGCGCGAGACTGATGCTGGAGATCGAACGAAAATGCAAAACAGCGAGATGCTCCAAATTCGACGAAACCCGCACCATCGCCAAAAGTCAATAGCACCGGTTTGATTTCGAACCCATGCCATCAAGCGTTCTTCGGCGGATCTGCCCACCAATTGCGGTTTTATATCAGCTGTTAGATATCCAGGACTGACTAGAGCGCGTGGAATCCATGCTGACTGGAAAGCCTCGTTGGAACCGTCGTCTTCGCCCGCCGTCTGACTTATCGTCTTGGAGGAACTGTTTAGCCTTTTCTAAAAGTAAGAACATTACTTTCTGTCCTAGGCCTTTCCGACGTAGTTCAAGTGCTGTAACATGAAGCTTTTTAACTAGGAAAAGAGGGCTATGATCAAGCTCGTTCCCCTATACGCCAGTTCCTCTTTGCACTGGATGGCCCTTGTACTTGGTCTTGACTGCTCTATATCGATCAAAGACTTTGAAGGCCATATCGCACGTTTCCTCGCTGGGCTTTTCCATCCTTTCCCAGAATTCAGAGCGTATGTCCTCTCGATGAATACACCGGGCTAGAGCGTTGGCGACAGTGGCACCATCGCAAGTGCATTCGGCGACAAAGTTTTTTATTTACTTGAAATCGCCCATTTCCTCATCTGTAAAAAAGAGCCGAATCTTCAGAGTTCGTGCCGTGTTATTGGAGATGGTGTACTCGTGCTCTTCAATGTCCTGTTCGCGATCCATACATTCGCTCTCATCTTCCTCCACCATTCTTCTTCCTCGGAGTTATCGAATCCGTTGTATTCAAAGTCATCTTCTGTCAATTTATTGTCTGAAGTCTATTTCCCCGGCTTACGTAATGGTCAGGTAACGCTCAGTGAGCGAGTTCACCGATTATGTAATCAGGGGCGTGCTCAGTACTACTCAGTGAGCAAAAAGCGGCAAGGACTGAGCACTAAAACGGAAAAGGAACGCCAAGAAGTGGCAGAGGAAATCAAGTACCTAGGTTTAGAATGATCTTGTAGGTTGCCGTTTTAAAAGTAGATGTGGGTTTTCAAGTTTCCTGTATTCCTACATTTCTTTCTTCGAGTTTTCTCGTGATTTTCCTCATCCATCAAACGATCTCATGTTACTCCCAACAAATTGCCCATCAATGCTAAGACAAACCCTCGTCTTCGATTCTCCACTCAACTCTTCAGGTCCCCTCGAGAAGCCGTTACTCGGCGTGGCTACCCCCTGAACTTCGTTACTCCGCTTCTACAACTTCCAAGATTTCCTCAGTGAAGGTGCCAATGTCAGAGCTCTCGTCTTTACTCTGGTGGACTGCGGCGAGCCACTCTTGAGCTTGGGTGAGCTTGACTCTTTCCTTGGTCAATACATTCCGACGGGCCTGCCGCTCAGGATCTTCCGCCATCAACTCCATACAACGTTCGAAGGCTACTGATCGTTAGTAATCGGCAAATTTGCATTTCTGGGCGGACCAGTGACTCACAATTGGCGTTCAATTCGGTGTTGATGACCTCGATCAATTCATTCTGACATTTGTCGAATATGTTGAGGTAAGCACGCTGGCAGATGACGTCCAGGAAGCGCGAGCTGGCGATCTGGTAGTATCCGCGGGAACTCTATAGCAGAGGGTTAAATATTTTGAGTTCCGAAGATGAAGAGCAATCACTTACAGCCATCATATCCAGTTCTTGTGAGAATTGGTCAGGCCCGAGGTCGTCAGGGGCCTTGCTGAGCTTTGGGCCATCTTCCGTGGCATGGGCATGCACCTGAAGCCAAGCCTTACCCCGGGAGGCTTGGCGGGTTCTGGATAGTGCTGCCAGTGCCTCCAGAGAAGCTTCCTTGTGCTGAGCCTGGGCCATGGTGAACGGATTGTCATTTTCGATGCAGCAATGAGTATCCACATCCAGAAGGTAATTGGCGCGCAGTCGTAAAAGATAAGTCGTGATAATCCGGTGCAGCTCTCGATAGAGCCCGGTCTGGCGATACTGGGCAATCACGTCGTCCAGAGAATTAATCAAGACCTGTTGGACAATACCATGGGTAGCAATAACAAAAGCATTTGCGAGTACATTCCAGTTCTTGACACTTTCCTTGTTCAGCTTTTCAATTGCACTGGGGTCAATCTGGTTGGGAATCCCAGCGCGGTGGGACTCTTCCTTGATTAACCGGATTCCATCCAGCGTGAATTTAATGAACGGCCCCGTCCACTCCCTAAAACACGCAGTTTTGTAGATCTTTCCAACGCAATCCTTTGCCTGAGTCGAACCACTTGGAGCATTGACGATTTGCGCCTTCCGATCAGGTGTTTTTACTTCAAGGCCATTCGCTTTTCTCTTTCGAGCAGGAGAGCCCGAGGCAATGACCATCTCGGCGTCGGGATCGTACTTCTCGCTCATGCAGATGTTGTCACTGTCGGTACACGTGCGCAGCGTCGGGCGTGTAATTTCTAGGGCCGTCTGAAAGTCTTTTACCAGATCGCACCATTTTCTTCCGAAGCTAGTCCCACCCTCGAATATCCATCGAAGCTTGAGACCTAGAGTGATCGTCTTCTCCATTAGAACCCGCTGCACATCCTCGGAAGGAGAGTCTGGGAGAGTGTCCAGCTCAGCATCAATGCGATTTCCTTTCTCGTCAATTTGGCGAATGATGGAAGGCAGGGATTTCTGAATTTGCTCCATGAGCGTAGCTGACAGAGCGACTTGGAGGCGGCGGGTTCCGAAACGGTGATGATAATCAGCCATTTTCACGGACCAGAAAGGATCCGCAAAAAAGGCGTCCTCTTCAGTGAGTGCATCGTCGTGCAGTATTTCTGGATCGGTATTGTTTCTGACCACGAAGTATCCATGGCCTAAACCATACACCTTCCCTTCCAAAATTTCTTTGTACTGCGTGAACGACTCGAAAGAAGCCAGTCTGTCTGGTTTCGTCAACACCCCGAGTGTTCTCTCCTTTGCTCCCTTGATTCTTCCAATCAGGCGTGCCGCATTCGAATTTCCAGCATCATCTGTCATGGACAAAGTGAGGAGAACGATGCAGTGTTCCTCAGAAATGTAATGCTTGACAAGGTTCTCGACAAGAAGCACCAAGTAATTCTCGGCTTCGTGCTCGGCCTGGCTGATGACCCCTGGGAGGTCATAAAAGGACAAGGCTGGAAATTTGGGCCCAGAAATGTCGAGACGAACAACATTTGGGGAGAACTTGACTTCAATGGTCTCCTCGGTAAGTGCATTTTTTCCCGGAACATAATGGTGAAAGTCCGCACCGGGGTTCAAAATTGCGAGCTGTGCCCACCAAATTGCGTCTTGAATTTTGCTTTTGTCTGTCAACGTGATGAAAAGCTCATCTTCTTGGTCAATTACTTGAAGCCAAGGACCGAGGGGCTCGCTCTTCTTTAACATAGCCCTGAACTTCCTGTTGGCATCGTACCAATATCGAAAAGAAAGAAAAATGGTGCATTTCCATGATTCTTCGGGCTCACATTCGGAAAGGTTGATTTCCATAGGACACCGAGTGCAGGTGCCAGCACTTCGGGGCACCTTGATCTCGGAAAGCCCCTCGATGAGGGAACTCTTACCGGTGCTTTGGTCGCCAACCACGCAGATCTTTGGCAAGGTGATTTTACTGTCTTCGATGCCCAAATGACTCAAATCTTGAATTTTTTTGACAAGAGTCTTCATGTCCAAGGCGAGGACATCGAGACTCGATGAGGTAGGGACTGCTTCACTTCCCACGGGGTGGAGCAGATGAGGAGGAGTCTCCATGGCCAAGGGAGCGAGAGTGGCCGGAGTCTCAAGCTCTGTGTCTGTGTAAGCATACTCGCAAGGGCGATGAAGAGATCTGACGACGGACCTTCTGACTTGGGCCGTAGAGATGGGAGATGGGAACGCATATTGGGAACTTCTCAACACTGCAGCGCTGGCGTCACAGCCTAGGATGAACAACAATAGAAATCACTTGACAGCGAGCTGGGTTCAATGAGATTTGGGATTGATTGAGATAGAACCTCATACGGTAGATGTGTTGAAGGAAGAGCAAGAGTCGACGGAAATGAAAAGATTGAAGTACTTGAGGATGGTGGGTGATGAATGATAGGGAAGAGTGAAGAGAACTGAAGATTTGTGAAGGATGGTGAAAGAACAATGGAAAATTGCAAATGTGGGTGAGAGTGGAAATCAAAATGGGAATGGGAAAGGAATTGAGAACAAAAGTAGTGACGAGGATGCAAGTTACAGATGGTCGAACAGGATCAAGGAGATTTACCATCGATCTCACTTAGACCTCTTCTCAGCTTGTGTTTCAGCGGTGCCTAAGCGTCTTCTTGACCTCCTTCTCCTCCAAGTCTATGATGCTGATGGCAAGATCGAGCAATTTTTGCCCGATTATTTAGACCGGTCTACCGACCCCCGGTTTAGAAAAGAACTCGAACCTGAGGCGATCGAATCTCTATCTCTTGAAAGCTCCCTGGTAGCAGAATCGAATTTCGCAAGCTGCTTTTATCTATAAGCATGCCTGGAAATTCGTTTGAAGGGTTCATTCACTGTATGAACCAGCATCTCTTTCTCGTCCTTGTCCACCTCCATCTGCCTTGTCCTGCGCTTACTCTCGCTTCTATTCTGCTTCCCCATCTCATTCTCTGCTCTTGCTGTACTTTTATACACGCCTTTGGTGCATCTACATCTATCTCTGCAAACCACGCCATCCGTATCGCTACGATGAGAGCTCTGAGACCTTTTTCTGGCAGATCTCCGACCAAAGACCATCTTGAACAGGGTGAACTCAACAAGCACAGCTCTTTGTTGCGCGTAGAGATCGAGAGGAGCTCTCAGTCGGATATTGTCGCTGATACCTCGGATACGCCGTATGTCAATTGGAGATTATCTTTGCTCGCACGGGGCACTCTGGAGACGACATTAACGCTTGCGGGGTAACCAATCGCCCCCATCGAGATGGCAATACGCGCCCCTTCATTGGAAACCGTGGACGAGTCTGGTAGTTTTGTGAGGAGCGAGGTGAACCAGACGCCTCTTACCTTCTTGTTGGCATGATCATTATCAACAGGTTTCGTTCAGGACATTGAAACGAACCACCGGTCGGCCCGAACTCCGAGCTTCGGATAACAAATTCGAAAGAATCGCGCTACCTGGATCATAGAGGCCATATCGAAGCTTCAAAAGGGCGATTACGATGATAAATTTGGCATTCCGCGCTTCATAGATGATACTTTGGCTTTCGCCGACTATCCCACCGAGCACGGTATGGGGGCTAAGTCCCTCCCTTTCGTGGTTGAATCTTGCTTCTCTCACCCGGGAGCGAAGTGTGCAATGCTCAACTATACCCAACGGCCCTAAGCTGAATATTACACTTTTACCACAAATCACCTGAAGCTGACCGTCCACTGCGCTTTTGATTGTACATGCATGTTTCGGCCTTCAGGTGTTCAAAGCAAAAAACGGAGATCTTTATCCTACGTGCAATTCGACAAAAACCAATAGTCCCAAATGATGGATTGACCGGATGTTGACCTAGACCAAAGCTAATACATTGGTAACGTTGGTCGCATGCCAGCGATGGACGTATAGATATAGATGCGACGGCAGCGGCGGGGTAGAGCCCCACAGTCGTGCCCTAAGCCCTAACTCCAAATTGGGTAATCCTGAAGTATGACCAAATTTTTGTGAAGTAGATGGAATTGCAAATGCAATGAAAGTGTACTTATAGTTTGAAATAACCCAACACCAGTAATGAATGCGCACACGATCAACAACTCCCAAAAACATTGGAATGAGTCACCGACAGCTGCCATAAGGTAGTCGTGACCGCCCAATCAAACAGCCCCGCTGTCACTCCCGCCCAAAATTTCGCGCGCCCCTCCATCTTCATCCCACATCCACTTCGATCCCTCTGTAACAACCATCATGTCGGATCCCAACGCTGTCAAAGAGGCCGAGGTCTCCATGGCCAACCTCTTGCTCGACGAGGTCACCGGCGAGAAGGTGTCCAAGTCCGAATTGAAGAGACGCCAGAAGCTCCGCGAGAAGGAGGCCAAGAAGAAGGAGAAGGAGGCCGCTGCTCCCCCCAAGGCCGAGAAGAAGACTTCCGCCGAAGATGACGAGGCTAACCTTACTCCCAACGTGAGCATAATTGGCGGATCTACGCGATTATCAGGCTAATTTCTAATTCCGTTCTACAGCAATACTTCGAAATCCGAACCAAGAAGGTCCAGAAGTTGCGCGAGACCAGATCCCCCAACCCTTACCCCCACAAGTTCCAGGTCACCAATGATCTGCGCGAGTTCCTCAAGGAGCACGAGGGCCTCCAGAAGGGCGAGCAGAAGCCCGACATCCCTGTCCGCATCGCTGGGCGTATCTTCACTAAGCGTTCCTCCGGCGGCAAACTGATCTTCTACGATCTTCGCGCCGAGGGTGTCAAGGTCCAGGTTATGTGCCAGGCTCAGAATGCCACCGGCAGCGTCCCCTTTGAGGAGCAGCACGAGCACTTGCGCCGTGGTGACATCATTGGAATCGTCGGTTTCCCCGGCCGTACAGCCCCCAAGAACCGCCCTGACGGTGAGCTGTCGATCTTCGCTACCGAAGTTGTTCTCTTATCTCCCTGCCTGCACGCCATTCCCTCCGAGCACTATGGTTTCCAGGACAAGGAGCAGCGTTTCCGCCAGCGCTACTTGGATCTGATCATGAACGACCGCTCTCGCAATATCTTGCGCACTCGTTCCAAGGTTGTCACGTATATACGCAACTACTTCGATCAGCGTGATTTCACTGAGGTGGAAACCCCTATGATGAATGCCATTGCCGGTGGTGCTACTGCCAAGCCATTCGTCACTCACCACAACGAACTTGACATGAAGCTGTTCATGCGTATCGCCCCCGAGCTTTACCTCAAGATGCTCATCGTCGGCGGCATGGAGAGGGTCTACGAGATTGGCAAGCAGTTCCGAAATGAAGGCATTGATCTCACGCACAACCCGGAATTCACCACATGTGAATTCTACCAGGCGTATGCCGACATGTACGACTTGATGGACTTGACTGAAGACCTTGTCTCCGGCCTTGTCAAGCACGTGACTGGTGGATATGAAACTACCTTCCACAGCCAGGACGGCCAAGCCCACACTGTCAACTGGAAGGCCCCTTGGAGGCGAATTGAGATGATCCCCGCTCTGGAGGAGGCCACCGGCGAGAAGTTCCCGCCTGGCACCGAGCTCCACACCCAGGAGACCAACGAGTTCCTCAAGAAGATCCTCAAAAAGATGAATGTGGAGTGCGCACCTCCCCTGACCAACGCCCGCATCCTTGACAAGCTGGTCGGTGAGTTTATTGAAGATACCTGCCAGAACCCCAGCTTCATCATGGGCCACCCCCAGATGATGTCGCCTTTGGCCAAGGCCCACCGTGATCACCCTGGTCTCTGCGAGCGTTTCGAGGCTTTTGTCATGGGCAAGGAGATTTGCAACAGTTACACCGAGTTGAACGATCCCTTTGATCAGCGCATGCGCTTCGAAGAGCAGGCCAACCAGAAGAGCCAAGGTGACGACGAAGCTCAGTTAATCGACGAGACCTTCTGCCAGTCTCTCGAGTACGGTCTCCCCCTACCGGTGGTTGGGGTATGGGTATTGACCGTCTGGTCATGTTCCTGACAGACAACTACTCCATCAAGGAGGTTCTGGCTTTCCCCATGATGAAGGATGACAAGACCGCTGAGCAGCACAAGTCTGCTGCCGAGATTGCCGGTATTGAGCCTTCTCCTGAGGAGGGAATTCGTATGTTGTTGCTTTCCGCTAACTTACATGAGCCGATTGAACTAACGTTAAATTTGCAGCCCACAAATAATTGACATAAATTATTTTCTGGGATGGATGCTCGATGATCTCATATCCCAATTCGGAAGTTGATGTATTTTCGATTTGTGATAACTGTACTGGTTGTGCATGTGGTTTCGATGAATTGTATGAGAAATGCATTATATAAAAATGACCAGTCAAAAACTCAACCTTTGAGAACTCAACGTAACTTGAAGTTCGCTCCAGATCTAATCAACACCTTCCGTAATATACAGCAGAGCTTAGTGCCGCAGATGTCAACAGCCAATGGTACGGTGTATGTCAATCAAGCCCAGTTTGACAAAGGGTGGAAGATGCACGAATGCTGATTGATGAACAGTGAGTTCCAGGCATCGATGATGATAACAAAAGTCGCTATAAGCACTGGCAACGATGTCTTGTGAGTGTGGGTCAATAGTGAGCGATTTATACATCAGGGCCTGTTAGCTTTCACCGCAGATTTCTTCAGGAGATCTCCGTTATTAACATCAGATGGTCGAGATTCAAATGTTCTATAAAAAAGGCACCTCATCCTTCATGTACCCTCTCGCAATCACTTTCCTTTCTCACCATCCAGTCCCATCTACTTTCAACACCTTCCAACATTCACAACCCTGAAGGCAACTTTCATCATGAATTCTTACCCGCCTCGCCTTTCTGCTACACCTGACCCGCAGCCTGAAAGTCCATCGTCTTATGGTGGAAGCGACCAACGCGATGATCGAAGTGTTCTACATGACAATCCCCAAGATAATCTACCTCGAGTCCCCCAACCTCCTCATCTTCGTCTACTTCCTATCGAACCGAGCGTCACCATGGGACACGATGAAATGGTTGGCCTTGATCTCTATGTAAGGTGTTGACATTTGTACTGACCATCACTTTGATTTAGGTAAACGAACCCTTGGCTTTGAGAAAACTCCATTTGATCTCGAGTGAAAGATCCAACAATGAATCCAGCTAACATTATCTTTGATAGGCCTTACGAATGCTGCCTCCGCTTCCTGGACTGGTCTTCAGATCCATGGTCCCCCAGAAAAGACCGCACAACGGCCATGATGGTACAGATGACGGTAAGTACAGGGTCAGCAGAAGAGCAGTTCTAGAATCGAAACTACTCTAAGAACTTGACTAAGATCCTCTGGTGTCTAGAAGTCGAGATCAGAGACACAGAGCCACCAGCTACAGATCGCAACGCACGTTGTGTCGTATTCAACGAGGCGTCTCCCACACCAGGCGGTTCTTCAGGCGGTTCTTCGCCGCAGTCTTCCAAAAAGCCTCCGCCCAAGAAACCCTCCCGCAGCAAGACTCCGGCAAAGCGCCGTGCAAACGGAGCAACCTCGATTGCAAATAGCACCAACAGGTCCCTTCCGCCTCACCCTCGCCCTCACCAACAAGAGCGCAAAGCAATCATGGTTCAATTTGAAGAAGTGAAAGCACACACTGCTAAGTGTGATGACTGTGATCATCGAAATACCAATGGCATGAGTCGATGCAAGCTCTGCGGCTGGCAATGCTGCCGCAAGTGCCAGGCAATTCGTGGCGGGGATAAAACCCACGAAACCGTCCGGGGCCCGCATGTCCCAATCGCAGAGAACCTTGAAGCTCAAGCTAGCCCTAGCCTTGTTGGAACGGTAAGTCGACTCGCAAATGCTGGTCGCGCATCAAGCGTATTTGCTGATGTTGGACGTGTACCTCTCGCGGCTCATATGGTTGCTGATCGTACACCCGCTGCCGCTGAACAGGATGCTGTCAGTGCATTGATGCGTATGGGTTCCCCGCCCCCGACACAGAGCATTGGCCGATTCAATGCCGAGAGCCCCGTTCCGCCGTCTACTTCTCGCTCTGTTCGTAACGACGACGACGACGACTACAACCGCATCTTGGAGGACTTATCGGATGTCGAGACTGTGGGTGGCGATTCCACCATTACTTGGGACTCTGACCTGGATGAGAATAATGAGCAACTTGAGCCGATCCTGGAGCCCCTAGGTTTGTGTCGCCGCAACCCACCCCGTGCCTCGCGTCCTGATGATATGCGCGACTAAGCCCACGAGAGCTGTCCCTCTGGTAGGCTTGGTTGTTTTGAAATTGCCGTTATTGAGTTTGAAAGGGAACGAGCATTGGGCGTTTGGGGAAATGCTGGGGTCAAATGCAGTGGAGTCGAGTCGAATAGGAAGTCTATCTGAGATCTCACATCGATTCAAAATGAATATCAATATCATTTTTTGTCTAATACATTGTGTATATGAAGCGATATTATTTATACAGACGGGGTCGCTCCAATCGACAAGTCAGAAGGAGGAATGGAGATGGTATCAGAACACCAAGACGGATGAATGAAGCATTTCGTCTTGGTCCACATATTCGTACACTCAGTTGAAGAGTTTTAGGCAACTCGCTTAATGCCAGAGGCAGCTGCGGAAGACACCTGTTGTCCTCGGGCCTTCGCGGCCATCTGCAGCAGCTTCGCAGTGCGAGACGGATGCCAGACACGGCTGCCTAGAACCATGACCCAGGTGAGAAGGAAGAGACTGCCAGCCTGGTGGGCAGAAGCCAAATGAATGGGGACCAGGTAGAGCAAAGTGCAGATGCCAAGGGTGACCTGCATGCAGGCAAAGCCCACGACGCCGTGAACCCCCTTCCGAGCAGGTGCCGGCAGAAGACGCTTCATAGTAGGCGACTTCAAGGTGTAGGCCATCAAGGCCATGACGGAGGTGAAGGTGGTCGTGGCGAGAATACGATGGTCAAGCTGGACAAGGGAAGGGTTCTCGAGCATGTTGCGCCACCAGAGGTCAGATCGGTCCTCGTGGCGGGAGTAGCGAGGATCCCACAATTCATTGCTAGGCGGCGCCAGTCCGTTGCCCATGTAAGGGAATTCGTTGTAGATGAGACCAGCATCAAGACCAGCAACAAGACCACCAGACATAACAGTAATGAAGACCAAAGCGGCCAAAGCGGCGACAGAGCGGCGGAAGATTGCCAGACGTGGGTCCCGGAGTGCGTCAAGCTGCTTCAGACCAGATACAGGGTCCTTCATTAGACGGTGAGAGCGGAGAATAGCAAGACCATTCCACAGCATGGCGACATAGCAAGTGAAAGCAGTCCCGAGGTGAGCCGTGAGTCGGTACTGGCTGACCCGAGGATGGCTACCTGGCGCAAACAGATCATCCTTCAGACCGGACTTGACCATCCACCAACCAATGACGCCTTGGAAACCAATCAAACCAGCAATGCCACCGAGACGCAAGGCCATAGGCCCGGAGACCTTCTTGCGCGCGACGAAGTAGACAGCAGGCAGAACGAAAGACAAGCCGATGAACCGGCCCCAGAGACGGTGGATCCACTCCATATAGTAGATCGACTTGAATTCAGACAGGTTCATATGCGGGTTCAACAATTTGAACTCGGGGATGCGCGGTACTTCGCGAACTCGGACTCCCAATCTTCGGCGTTCATAGGCGGCAAGGAACCAGTGACAGGCTTCCATTCAGTGATACTCAATCTGCGCAATAAGTTGTCCAGTCAGCTTCCGATCCTCATCTAATGAGAAGCTCTATGTACGAACCCTGATTCAGTTAAACGGGTCAATCCACCGAAGACGACAATGCCAAAGACGCTTGCAGCACTACCAAGTAGCCAGTACGCAACAGACTTATTGCTGATCTCCGGGAAGCTAGCTGACTTGGCTTTAGTGGCACCCTCATGAACTGCACTTGTAAAGGAAGGGGCGGCGGCTGTTCGTCTTATACTGGAGGTGAAGAATTGGCGGTTTTTATCTGAGAAGAGAGAGGATCGGATCTTGTTCGGCTGGGGAGAGGGCATCGCGGCGAATTGGCGGACGGATTTGGCAGCGTAGCCTTGGTTTCGAAGACAATGTCGGCAAGTGAAGACATCTCTAGAAAGGCGGGGTGCAAGACCCCGCCATGCAGGCAGGGACGTCCCCAGGGAAGCCATGGTGAGAGAGTGATGGTTGAAGGAGGGAAAAAGTGAAGTCGGAATTTCGGGAGATCATGAGGTGTCACCGGATATGACCAATCAGCGGCGAGTATTTGCTAATTGAATAGTAGACATTGACAGTGCAACTTGTTTAGATCTGGCAATATGAATACTGCTTTGGTCTCATTGTCGAAGTGAGCTATGATCTATATGAACTCTTATTCGACAACTCAAGCATCAATGGAAGGCCTGATCATGAATGCCTGAGGCAACAACAGCTCTTTCGTTCGCAGCTCTCGGCCTCGCGAATTGGATCTGCGCAACGCCACTAACTCCCCATCAAACTCTCGCCATGTCGTACGCCGTCGAATCGAAGAAGCGCAAATTCCACCGAGTACTAGAGTCGATTTCTAAACCGCTTTCTTCGGAGACTACCGCGAAACTGTCGGCATCGAAGTCCGCGCCGGCCGCCGCAGCGCGGACTCACCTCCCCGGTGATCTTTCTATCAAGAAGGTCCGACTGAGCAGTAACGACAGTTCCGACGTTGCATCAATTCGAAACTCCATTTTTAAGACTTCACTTCCATCCGCACGAGTCTCATCAACCTCTTCCTCCAGTCGCCCGACTTTCGTTCCTTGGGACCGCGAACGGTTCTTGGAGCGGCTTGAGACCTTTCGCCGGGTCGATCGGTGGACACCAAAGCCAGCACCGATAAATGAAGTACAATGGGCGAAGTGCGGATGGATCTGTACAGATGTTATGCGCGTGAGTTGCGTCAGTGGTTGCGGCGGCTCCGTCGTGGTCAAAGTACCTGATGAGATCGACGAGCTTGATGGGTATGATGTCGAAAAGGTCCAGGAGCGAAAGCAAGTCCGTACGTCATTATAGCACCCGTAGATACGAGCTGCGTTAGACTTCGGAGCTAATTGGCATATTGATAGGGATGAAACTTGTGGAGGAATACGAGAAGCTCTTAAAGGAAGCGCATGGCGAGAACTGCCCATGGCGCAACAAGAGCTGTGATGGTAAGACACAAACCTACTGCATATTTCATTAAGATCCTGACGTTGATTTAGCAACCATTCAACATCTGCCATTGGCGAACCCAGACATCGCCATCGCCGGTCTTCGGGAACGCTACGTAGGCATCGCGAAATTGGGCGATAAATTACCGGCTGACGACATCATACAAGCCCCCGAAGGCTTCGACATCGAAGCGTTAATAAAAATATTGCCTGAGGATTGGTCTACAGAATCTCAAAATTCCTCGGATACACACACAGCTGAAGAAAACAATGCTGCTGATCAAGAAGAAGTTTCACAGCCGTCGACCCCAACACCAGCAGGGGCAATTTCAAAGCCTGCTATCCCTTCAACACAGCATATCAATCGAGCAGCATTAGCACTGGCCTTCTTTGGTTGGAACGCAGTAGCGGACGCAGCTGCTGGCCTAGTTAGCTGCAAGGCATGTTTCCGTCGTCTAGGTCTCTGGATGTACAAACCGAAGGAAAATGGGGATGTCACTGTCTACTCGTCATTGGAGGTGGCTAGCGAGCATATGGAATACTGTCCCTGGATAGATCGCTTCGCTCAAAGCGGAACAGGCCGGGCCGGTGAGAAGCCAGAAGAGTTACGCAGTGGCTGGGAGGCTGTGTCGGAAGCTCTCAGGGTGAAGCACCGCCGGCGCATTCGGTCCACGGCATTGGAATCGCCGCGTACTGAAAGAAGTACCTCCCCTGCGCAGACATTTGGCGGTGAAGAGGACGATGAGAAGAAGAAGAAGGCCGATCGTGAATGGTGGGCAAAAATCCGGCGGATGCGGCAGGTCTTGACGCCCAGGACTCCGCGTCACAAGTCTACTAACCCTTAGTGATATCCAATTTCCTATCTACAATCTCAAATGATTTATGTTTCATAGCGGGCAGTGTTTGTTGGTGGCGTTTTGTGGAAGGACGTTCATATTCAATTCCAAGTACTCAATATCAACTTGAGAAATCCCCAAATACACAGCGCTTGAGAATTTCAGCATATTGATGTCGAATAACTCGTGTATGCCGGCATCTAGAGGTTGACGTAACTTTCCTTCGGGACTCTCCCTGTAATGTCCACTTAGTCGTTTACTTGACCGTTCTTTTGTCGTCTATTTAAAAGAATGAATTTCGGGCACAAGGTGCCATTGAGTCACGCAAATACACGAGAGAGATACCTTGCGATCTCTACTAAGGGCTGACGTGTTATCAATATCCATGAAGATTAGCAGAAAAAAGTGCAATTTGATTACACTTTTTTGGATGCATGCAAATGAACCAGCCTCACTAGTCTCACCCCTACCGAGGTATCATCGCCTATGTGGTCCCCCTGGCACTCCTCGGGCACAAATCGCAACGTACACATGAGGCTTAAGACCAGCGCGCGAAGATTAGATTGGGAAATCTTCAGGTACCTTGCTCTCTTTCTTTCCCCCCTCCCACTCCTCTCTCCTCTTGCCTCGCAGTTACTGTTCTCCCATATCATCAGCTTCCAATTGTTCTTGTAGCTTGAGACAAGCCACTTGAAGCGCCAGCAATGAAGTCCTAAACTCATTGACTTTCTTCTTGATCTGCCAGCTTTCGAAAATCTCGGATGATTGCATCAGAGAGGCCTGCAGTTTGTTGATATCGCGATCCATTCTCTTGACAAACGCCGAGAGGTCACCCAGGTTCATAAGCTCAAGATCACCCATCTCATACTTCCGGATGGACTGCAGGGTCTCATTGTCGAGATATCGGTGCATGGAATGACTTGGATTGATTGAGTCGTACAGCTTGGCCTCGCGCTTGTTCTGGACTGTGGAGCTATCATGAGGGCTGCGGGAGCGACGTCTCTCTGGGCGCAGGAACATGTCATCATATTTTTCTATGCGTGCGGCACTATGAGGGAGTCTCTCAAGACCCAGGCGACTCCTGCTGCGATATGATGGACCAGAGGCGCCAGGCTTAGCCTGTCGGGCTACGGCATCCTCAGCGAAAGGATTGGCAATCGTAGCTGCTTCATCGGTATCAGCAATAATATTGGAAGCATTAGGCAGAGTTTCGAAGAATTCCTCTGAAGCAGGTGTGCAAAGACGTTCTGCCGGACGTCCTGCTTTTTTGAATGAAGCGCTTTTCATTGATGGCTGCTCATGGAATTCGTTGTCATTTTTCGGACCAGCTCCTTCTCCGCCTGCTTCGTTCTTCTTGTTGGGCTTGCTCTGTCTCTTCCCGGACGGTTTTCCGGATGATTCGCGCGCTTTATTGTACTCATAGCACTGCATCACATTCTCCCAGCGAGAGAGAAGATTTGAATTCATCACCCAGTCTTCATGCAACAGTTCTCCATCGGGCTTCTTTGTGAAAATGACATGATAGTATGGCTGCTTTATACGTCCTTGGGAGGTGAAATACTTGTAGTATCTCTTGCGAATGCAGGGAGCCTGCATTATAAGAACTCTGATCTGATCATCGGTGAGTTCGGCCTTCTCATCAGGGAAGTCGAATGGTAGCTTCTCAAATTTATCCCGGGAGTGCCGAATCGCTTTCGGTTTCAGCTTCTTTTCGGTCTCGCCGGACTTGGGCGTAGGGAAAGGGCTACCGAGGCCAACACGAGAGACTGTCTTGGCCTCTGCGAAACCATTGTTGGACCTTTCAGTCAGCTCCTTCTTCTTTGCCACTTTGGGGTTGACGGGTATGGTGACTGAGATAAAATCGTTGTCTCCGGGAAGATGTAGCTAAGATAGTGGGACGCTCCGCTTCTTCTCCAGTCGGGGTAATTCGCATCACGCTGGAAGCCCCCTGCACGTCTTTGGTGTTATCTTCAGACTCCATGTCATCAGGATATGTATGTTGTCGAAAACTAGTAGCTGCAGTGTATGATGTTAGTGGGATTGTGACTCTTCCCTGAGCAAGAAAGACTGGGTGGTGAGATTGTGTAGGTGATGAGGCAAGCATTAAAATTCATTTGTGGTCAAGGAAGTGGTGAGTCAGGTTCGTGCTTACCTTTCGAAATGATCTTGAAGTAGTTGGGATGGGAAAATGGTGGACGGGTGATGAAATGGGCAAGTGAGAAGTCAGGATGGTAGTGAAGCAGCTATGTGATCATAATTCTTCGCAACGAATGATGAGAAAGAGTGATGGAAGAAATCAAGCATTCGTCAAGGGCAAGAGAATATTGGGTGAGGAATGTAATGAGAGAGAAAACTGAACCAAGTACACACAGAGACCGCAAGTTTCAATATAGTACGAGTCCTCGAGAGGTTGGCTCACTGTAGCACGGGTGGATATATGACAAGAAGAAAGCACATTATCCAAGAATTTCACTGCTTCCACGGCTACCAGCAATCGAAAACGTTTTCTTTGGCCGCGGAAGGGAAGGTTCCATAGCCGTCGTGACTAGGGAGGAGAGAAAGGTCGGGAGAGCAGGAAACGGAAGACAGCACCGTCTGCTATTTGTCCACAGACAAGAATGTTGGGAAGGCTTAGTTCTAGAAGACTAGATGATCTGTCGTTTCTGTTTAAATCGTTCGCTCACTCAATTGACGTAGATAATGCGGATGCCACTTGCTTGAAGCAAACATTGGGGGTAAGAATTTCAATATGATGACCAGTGAGTGAAGAATATCCGAACAGCCAGATATGTTGAGTGGATCTCGAGATGTTTAACATCGTCCTAAAGTTCATTTCATGGAGAAGCCATCTCACAATTGTTTACTGACTTCTGTTAACTGATTAGTCGCAATATTGGAAAGGCCCCGGAGAAGACTATGTAGAGCACAACAAGATACTGCAAATCGGCCTATGCCCCCTCGTGCTCTGGAATGTTGGAAATGAGTTACTTTGCAAGTCCATTTGCGCTATGTTTAGCTAGACACTCCTCGCCCCCTTTCGATGCTACTCTTCGAGCGACTCTTGAAAACACGAATGTACAAGTTGAGTACAATAGTCGCACTTGATTGGCCTGCACCGGAAACGACCCACACCCGAGCTCCCTTCACTCGAGTCCGAGATCTTCACTTTTTACACAACTTGACCTCTCCCCTCCCGACTCTGCACCTTCTTTTGATATATTAACAAGTCAATCACCTTTGGTTAACCTCTAATACATTCTACCACCAAGTGGAAATTTCACTCGTACCGATGGAACCCACATCCGGCTCGGGGGCCCCCAAGCCACCTGCCCCCAAGTCAGCCGGCGAAGGAGAAAGGAACGGCGCATCTTCTTACCTCCAGACCGATCGTCGAACAAAATGGGCACCATGGTGACCAGAGCCGTGCATCGAATGAAGACTCAAGATTCGGACCCGCCTCGAAGCGCAGGCGAATGCAAGAACGACACCAGCCGCGGAGGCGCGATGCACCCTCAACAATGTTCTCGCGTCGCGACAGATCTCGCAGTCCGAGGAATGGCACTCCGCACGAAGACTCTCGACGGTCTCGCTCTCCGATCCATCGCCGCTCGCCGACCCCAGAAGAACCTCGGCAACGCAAACGACCTGGCGGTGGATCTCGCATGGGCGCGAGCAGGGGCGCAGATGTCTTGCGCAGACAAGAGGAGCGTGAGCGCGAGCAAGAAATGGATGCCTTGCGCCAATCTACACAACGAGGTGGGCTGGACTACGTTCGGAATCATTACAATGCCGTTCCGCAGCGCGGTCGTGAATGGCGGAAAACGGACAGCAAGATCAAGGGGCTGCGCAGCTTCAACAATTGGGTGAAAAGTACTCTGATTCAGAAATTTTCTCCTTCGGAGGAATTTGTGGCTCAGCACAACGATAGCAAGGACTGGGCTGAAGACAGCATGGGCCCGCCTATGTCGGAAGTAAAGCCATTGCTTGTCTTGGATATGGGCTGCGGCAAGGGCGGTGATCTGGGCAAGTGGGCGCAGACTCCCCAGCCGGTGGAACTCTATGTCGGACTTGACCCGGCCAATGTCTCTATTGAACAGGCGCGGGATCGGTACAGTCAGATGCTACGTCAGCGAGGTCGTCGGCCTCAATTCCATGGCGAATTCTTCACGAAGGATTGCTTCGGAGAGTTCCTTGGCGATGTCCCGATCGTCCAGCAAGTCGGCATTGACCCCAATGCTGGTCCGGGTGGCTCCATGATGGCCTCGAGATGGGGCGGCGGTGGCTTCGACGTTGTTACATCCATGTTCGCCATTCACTACGCATTTGAGACGGAAGAGAAGGCGCGTCAGATGCTTAGCAATGTTGCCGGCTGTTTGAAGAAGGGCGGCCGGTTCATTGCTGTATGCCCGAACTCCGACGTGATTGCCAGCAAGGTCAGCGCATGGCACAAGCAGCGCAAAGAGCGCGAGGCTGCCAAGGCTGCCGAGACTGAAGCCCCTGAGGATGGTGAGGTTGAGGAGGATGACCGTACTGAATGGGGTAACGAAATCTACCGAGTTCGATTCCCTGGCAAGACCCCCGAGGACGGGATTTTCCGCCCGCCTTTTGGATGGAAATACACGTACTTCATGCAGGAGGCTGTCGAGGAGGTCCCTGAATTTGTTGTGCCTTGGGAGGCTTTCCGAGCGTGAGTCATTCTTCCTGTCTTTCCTCGCATCCAATCGCTAATTTCGACTCTAGCCTGACCGAAGACTACAACCTGGAACTCCAGTATCGCAAGCCGTTCCTGGACATCTGGGAGGAAGAGAAGGACGACCGTGAATTGGGACCTCTCAGTGAACGTATGGGCGTTCGCAACCGCGCGACAGGGGAATTGAATATGACCGAAGAAGAGAAGGATGCCGTTAGTAAGTGTTTTGCGACTCGATACATACTTCCATTGCTCATCTTCCCCCAGGCTTCTATCATGCTTTCTGCTTTTACAAAGTTTAAGCCGACTATCGCTAATGGCTCCATAAACTGTACATTTATATACTCACTGTTCGCTCAGTTCAAAGTTCTCGCTCCAGAATCATACACAAGAGGAATTAATTCCAGACATGATGCATCAACTGCGCCTGTAGATGCGATAAGCTTATCAGTCCACTGTAGCCTAATCAGGACTAGCGCAGTCGCGACGCGTTCTGGATTTGGAGTGCGGCGTTGTCGGGCATACCAGTTCTTCATTTCGGCTCGCCTCTGTCTCACATATTTTTTTTCGGCAATACAGGAAGTGCATCTGGAGGCTTCCTCCTCGACATTTGCTGTCGTCTTCCAGCTCTCACCATGCCCTCCACAATCCCGCCACGCAACCGAACACTCAGTCGGCCCACCCCGCGGGCAGCAGAGATCCCCGATCTACCAGAATATGAGCCTCCAGAGGCCCCCCTCACGGCAGAAAGCCATCGTCAATTATTAATGCTTATGGAATCGCAACTCTCCCGACAACTCAAGACCCACCTGCAACACGCGGCCGAGAAACTTACCGACTCTGCAGGTGACGTGAATGAAAAGTTAAGCGACGCGCGGGTACGATACGAGCGGGCGAAAGAAAAGCGACGCGGTGCCACGGACAGTGAGAAGGTGGATATTGAACAAGATAACGAGAACGAAGAGTACCAGCGGTTAGCGGAGATGGAGAGAAAAGTCGATGATGTGACGGGCGCATGGAAGAGAAAATGCGCTCGATCATTGATTCAGAAACCCGGCTTCAGGGACTGAAAGATGCGATGGAGACTCTGAATCAAGAAGTGACTGAGGCTCAGCGTGCTGCACTCGGGGTTCGACAGACGCGTGGTCAGCGACGGCGTCAAAGAGAAGCTGCGAGCGATGATGAGGATGCCGAGGATGAGGATGATGGAGATTACGAGGGTACGCCAGAGCGAGAAACGAGGGAAGCGAACGCGCAGAATCCGCCCAGTCATCGATTGTGCAATGCACTGGACGAGGGAACAGAAAAGTGGAACAGTCAATCGTTAACGGCACGGTACGTTCCGTGCTTCTCACTCAAGTTTCGAAGATTCATGGACTAATTTGGAGGGTTGGATGCAGGTATGCGGGTAACAATAACTATATTGGTTTCTACCGCATTGTACACGACTCGAAATTCCCAGGGGACGAAGTACCACCCCCCCCGAACGCATCTACATGGTTTTCACATCTGGAAGACCCCAACGCGAACGCAGACACCGCAGGTAGTCCTTCAAATCGCCGCACGCGCAACCGGCGTGAACCCTCACCTGCAGACTCAGATGACATCGCTATCGAGAGGGAGCGCATTTCATTGAAGTGCCCCCTCACACTCCAACCATTCCGAGACCCCGTTACGAGCACGAAATGTCCCCATAGCTTCGAGCGCGAAGCCATTCAGGATATGATCTCTCGCAGCAGCTTGCAAATTCCACCTCCGCCAGGGCGAGCTGGGCGCCGCATCCGGGCAGTCAAATGCCCGGTGTGTTCCGTTCCACTCTGCAATGATGACCTCAGATCAGACCCTGTTCTACTTCGTAAGGTGCGCCGTGCGGAGGAGTTATTGGCGCGCCAGGCGGATGACGAGCTGGAGGGATCGCAGTCTCAGCAGGATCACCTTGGCCCAGTGACGCTGGCAAGCGACGCAATTGATGCGGACGAGATGGACGTGGACGTCGATGTGGACGAGGACGAGGAGGTGGATGAGGATATGAAGGTGCGGGTAAAGTCGGAGCCTATTCCCACGCAGAACAATGGTGATACGGACGAGTCATCAGAAGAGTCCGAGTCGGAGTAGACCGAGTGGACGAGTGGAGCCAGATCCACGATACCCACGTTATCCACGTTATCCCCGCGATAAGGTGTTTGGGGAGCCGAGGAAGCCACATGGGGGAGGTTTGCGAGATCAATGGAGCATTCCACACTTACACCCTTGACATACTCCCTCAGCTAGCTCTTCTATACTACATTAATGATAATGGCAAGGACCAGGATCTAGCTTCACTGCCACTGCAGGTCAGAACTGAAAAGCCCCGTGTGGGAGACTAACTCGATCGAGTTACCTCCACCTCCCCCACACAATTCAATTCGCCCCCTATTTCCTATCCATCGTGTTGGTCTTAGCCACATGCAACCGCAAGGCCAGGGTAACACTCTCGTACAAATGAGCTAGTCATGGAAATACCACTTTGTGTATCACTGGACGGAAAGGCGGTTCAGTGCAACCTGACTATCATCGCTTCAAATCGTTGGAATTTCCCCCGCAAAATGCATGAATAGCCGAACTAACGTGCTAATCCCAATTTTGTTCTGGCGCACAGTGAATGTCACCCTGCCTCGTGGTCGTTTCATTTTTTTTTCCTTCTTTCTTCTCTATAGAAACTGAGAGCTTGCCTCGCGTAACTTCACTTTAAAGCTGCTTGTCTCCTGTTTTTTTTTTTATATCTTCTCTTCCCCACACTTTTCTCCAGATCGACACTTTCCCATTCCTGATTCTCTTCTACGTTCTCATCTCTGCTCATTCACCATGGCCGGGATCGAGACCGATCCCGAGATGAAGACGGCTCGTGTGGCTACTGAAGCTACGGTTGCCCCAACCGAGTTCCAGACGTACGATGTCCCCCGCCCGGCTGGATGGATGTACAAGCGATTGGGCGCTCTCGGCTGGTATGCCTCGCCGAAGTTCCAGCTCGGCATGGTCGCCTTTGTCTGTTTCATGTGCCCCGGCATGTTCAATGCTCTGGGTGGGTTGGGTGGCGGTGGTAAATCTGACCCCAGTCTAGCTGATGACATGGTAAGTTTTTTTTTGAAATCTGGAATGTGACGCTCGCTCTTGTTTCATGCTAATTCCGTGACGACAGAACACTGCTCTGTACAGTACCTTTGCTGTAGTCGGCTTCTTCGCTGGTACCTTTGTGAACCGTCTGGGTGTTCGCCTTGCGCTCTCCTTTGGTGGTATTGGTTATTGTATCTACTCCATCAGTCTCCTCGTTTCCGTTCACAAATATGTCCCTGGCTTCAACATCTTCGCTGGTGCCCTTCTCGGTGTCTGTGCGGGTCTTTTATGGGGTGCTCAGGGTACCATCATGATGTCCTATCCCGCTGAGCAGCAGAAGGGTCGATATTTCGCCTGGTTCTGGTGTATTTTCAACATTGGCGCTTGCATGGGCAGTTTGGTAGGCATCTCTCTCTTTCGCTTTCGTATTCGCGACTAACAAATCATCTAGATTCCTCTTGGTGAGAACATTCATGTCAAGACCAACAAGAACGTCAGCGACGGTACCTACATTGCCTTCATCGTGCTCATGTTCTTCGGTGCCTGTCTGGCCCTCTTCATTTGCGACGCCGATAAAGTCATCCGTCCCGACGGTTCCAAAGTCATCTTAATGAAAAACCCCAGCTGGAAGACTGAGTTCGTCGGTCTATGGCAAACCATTAGCTCCGAGCCTTGGATTCTTCTTCTATTCCCCATGTTCTTCGCCTCCAATTGGTTCTACACCTACCAGCAGAATGGCATCAACGCTGCTCACTTTGACACTCGTACTAAGGCGCTGAATGGATTCCTCTACTGGTTCGCCCAGATCATTGCCGCGGCTCTGATCGGCCCACTCTTGGATATCGAGGGTGTGCGCCGTAGAATCCGCGCTCGCGTTGGCCTGGGTGTCGTGTTCCTCCTCACTATGGCTATTTGGGGTGGTGGTTATGCTTGGCAAAAGGGATACACTCGTGAAAGTGTCGCTGCCAAGGATTTCACCCCGACTGACTGGACCACCCCGGGCTATGTGGGACCTATGTTTTTGTACTTCTTCTATGGCATGTACGATGCCGTCTGGCAGGGCTTCGTCTACTGGTATGTTACTTATCCTTCACTCTAGTACAACACAGGGCTAATATAAAAACAGGCTGATGGGTGCCCTGGGCAACTCCGGTCGTAAGCTTGCCAATCTGGCAGGCTTCTACAAGGGTCTTCAGTCCGCCGGGTCCGCCGTCATGTGGAGTCTCGACAAGAACGAACTATCCTACATGTCCGAACTCGCTTCCAATTGGGGTCTCCTCTGTGGTGCACTTCTGATCGCCGCCCCAGTCGTCTGGATGAAGATCCAGGACAGCGTCCCTATCGAAGAGGATTTGCGCGGCACAGACGAGACTCTTGAGGACGTCCTTCCCCCTGGTGCTATTGAGCACAAGCGCGCTGGTGGAGACGCCATCTAAATTGGCATTTTTTTTTCTCCATTCTTTCTTAACCGCGGGAAATGGGGTCTCCAGCTCGAGTATTCCCCTGTTTAACATGATAATGCGAGATGCGCAAACGGATCCTTTTGCGGCACTCTTTGTTACGGCTTTCTTAATCGCAAACTACAAACTCTTAGCCAAGTCACTTCAGTGTCTAATGCAATAAAAGTTATTGTATTAAAAGTAAATTTCCATCAGGCGTAATTGAGATGTCTTGGGATTCTTCAGTTAGTTCACGACGGCGGAAAACACTGTAGTCTCACATTACCGTGGCATTGGGCTCGTTCCAGACACGATACAAGGATGATTGAAGAGGAAGAATGTCTCGACAGGCTTATGAGATTCACGTGGCAAATTCCGCAAAAAAACATATGATGTATTCTCTAGACTAGTCCTACTGAATCAAGAGCAGAGAGTATCAAAAATGACTTGGAATGTACGAAGTAATGCATATTCCAAAAGACACAGAGAGAAACTCGCAGCAAGCAGAAGAAGACAAGGGTGGGGGTATTCGCCTGTCAAGGAAAGTAAGAAACTTGAAAACAGAATTAGAAAATTGGATTCCCGAGGCCCCTTCCTGTGGGGAAGACCGGTATGTCTCGCGGTTCGGCACGTTGATTCTCCCGAGGATGATAGGGAATGGTCGACAATGCCCATCTGCGTCTTTCTCCGGTGATGTGTAAATGCCAAGACGACTAGGTATGGAGCTGCGTGAGTAAGCACTTAGCCTGCGCAGCGGACAAGGATGCGAGTCGTATCCAGATGAAGAACCATAAGAATGAGGTGATAGAAATTCCCAGAATTATACTTGGAGGTTCGGATCATACCCAGATACCCGTTGCGTATTCTCGGATACCCTTTCCTTGCCCGCATGTCGAAGCCTATCGGGACCATAAATGAATGGAGACAACACGTTCAAACTCGCATCCGTGCACACATTCCTTCCATCCCTCGAAATAAGAGCCTCTACTTGGTTATGAGGTTCAAGTAATCAGCAACGATGAGCGTTACCATCCTGCGAATCACGTTAGTTTCAGGTGGAATGAAGAAAAGCAAAAGGGCTAAAAGGCGAGAGGGAGACTCACGCATGAGGAGCGATCCGAACATAATACGTTCCAAAGCCACGATAGAAGCGCATCCATCCCTCTTCTGCGACGACCTTGCGTGCACAGTCCAAAACACCCTTATACGGCACCTGGCCAGTCTTGGGATCCTTCGACTGTTTCTGCAGACGCGTCTTGATGAAATCAAATGGCAATGAGAGGAAACTCGCGAAGAATCCTGCAATCGCACTCGCCGCGAACGTCTGACTTTGCGGGGACAGGTTTGTGTGCTGCTTCAGCTGTGTCTTACTCTCCGCGAAGAACGTCAACTGGCCCATATTCAGCGCCATGGCGCGAATGACCGTTGGCAAGGCTCCCGCCCAGAGTGCCGCGACGCCTTCCGCGCGCGGGATGCGAACGAGAGCGTCAAACACGGATCTGTAGTTTGCGCGAGCTTCGGGAGCTTTCAGGCCGTCGGATTGCATCCGTACGAGGGCCAGGTCGGCCGGGTTTCCAATCATGGCGGCGATACCGCCTGCGGAGAGGCCGGCTGCGGCGCGCTCGGCGAAGGTGACTTTTCGGTCGGCGGCTTCAGCGCGGGCGTTGAGGGTTTTGATGAAGGTGTCGAAGAAGCCGAGACGGGCGGTCGTGTAAACTGCTTGGCGGAGCAGACCGGCTGAGAGGCCGGTGTATAGATCGAGGGCTTTGCCGGAAGCGATGATCTCGCGGGTGATCCCGATGGCTGATGGGCGAGGACCTGTCTTTGCACCTTCGCCGGCGAGTTGAAGGCGGACTTTGACCATGTCGACGGGTTGGATGACGACTGTTGCCGTCATGCCAGCCAGGCCGCCGTTTAGGAAGGGGAGGGCGAGGCGCATGTATGGGCTGTGAAGGATAGTTTGAGGATTCTCGATCGCGGCTTTCGAGGCCTGTTTGGCTGAGACTGCGGCATTGCTGGCGCTTTCTTTCACAGAGTTTGAGGCCATGGTTGGTTTGGTCTGGAGGAGTATGAGGTAGTGTTCGGTGGGAGAGATGAAGAACCGTTAGATTTACCGAGACTTGACTTGACTTTGAATGTCTTGAATGACTCAAAATGGTACGCGTGTTCTCCTGAAACTCTCTGTGGGAGTGACTTTCGATCGAGTGCGAACCGCGGAACCGGATTACGTTCACGTTCAGATGGTACTCGGGAAGGCAGTCACGTCAGATGTTGGGGGGGGGGGCAAGAAGTATGAGGAGTACAAGAATACAAGTCTAGTACAGGGAAGACCAGGAGAGGACTTCCAGGTTGGGGCCTACGCTAGTTCTATATGGAAGTTTCCCCCTCGTCAAAGAGTACTGAGTCCTACCGCGAACAACCGAGGGTGACTTCCGGGGTCATGGCCCTAGGCCCCTTTCGACCCGACCAGTTTACTGTTCCCCGAGGTGGAGACGATCTAGGAGCAGTCTCGATGAGCTTGCGTCTCGAGTCTCAAGCGACTTGCGAATATCGCTGACCCCACCGAGTGGGCCAATGATGCCGATCATGGGTACGAAAACGCGGGGGAAGCTTGTCGTGAACGGGGTTTATTCATTTCTCCTCTAATTGCCTCTTGACCTGTTCATTCGGAATCTTTTGATTCTCTTGAGATGTTATGGAAATTTTTTATATTCGATCTCTGAAATCTACCCTGCCCGTTCTGTGGACGTTGAGATCCATGACTAGTTCACGAGCTAGAATCGGAACCCCACAATCCCCGCGCTAGCCTCTTTCGGGTCCACGAGAACAGTCCGGGAAGCTCATTGTGGTTCTGTCCACACGTTCGGGTTTCCCTCGGATACACTCAAGCTGATCTTTATCTATTCCGGGTTGACTACAACGGGGCTCCTTCCATAAGCACACATCCCATACATCTGGTTATAAACACTACGAAATCAAATAATCGGCCAAGTAGACCACGCCTACCTGCTCTTCCTCAATAATATTCTTCCGCCGCAATCCCAGGCCTATCAAGCCCCACGACAAGAGTGGGTCCAGCACTGACGATATCGACATTTATATGCAGTAACAGCCTCCGACCCCGCCATGTCCAATGGCATCCCCGGGAACTCCAATGGCGGCATATCATTGGGGATGCGCGGGGGCCCGTTTTGTTGAGACGTGGGCTCTATCCCGTCTGGAATCCTCCGATCTCTATCTTCCAACCTGTCTCTTTTCCGCCGATGACCGGCGCTTTGCGACCGGATACCATCCCGGCATGACAGCATGGCAACTTTGTTGCGGCAACGCTCTACCCGAGCTAATGGTGATAGTGGCCACATCCTCGTGGCGCTGAAAGGTCGGAGGACTGCAGTCCGTGGACTCCGTCATGGGGGGGGATACAGCATCGCTGCAGCGATACGCTGGGCTACATATCGGGAGTGGCTCAATTGCAGACACGGCCACGGTCCACAGAAATCCAAAAAGCGAGGGTTTACCGGCTGGACCAATTGGTACGCCCGAAGATAACGGTTTCCTAGACTCCGTCGAAATGCACTGGCCGTACAAACTGTCCTAGTCCCATACAGAGTCGATCAGGTACTCTGCTTACGCCGAGACAACACTACGGCTATCTCCGACGCCCATGTGCATAGTCATCCCCAACAAAGATCCGCCTCAAATTTAACATTCCCACTATACCAATCCAGCTGTCCCTACAGTATCCACCTCCAAGATATCCTCACTCCACCCCTGTCAACCCAATGACCTAGATCCGAGATGTCCATCATCAAAAGCTAATAGAATCCACTCCGACTCAACAATTGCCCCGTCAACCCTCGGGCTAGATTCTCCTCCGCGGAAAGACTCTTCGGCAACCGGGGCCTCGTATTCCTGCAACCCGACAGGATCCCGGCATGCAGAGTCGGGAGCGGGTGTATTCCGTCGGCAAAGTGGAGCGGATGTCTTGACGGGAGGTGGAGACCATTTCGGCAATCAACATGGTACATGGGGGTTTTGTGGGGGTAAGTGTAGTTTATCATGCATTCGGTAGAAAATTATCATACCTTCACATCAAATCTTCTACAGTCAGTGAAAAGAGATCTTCCTCCCACGGACACATCATCTGGCCAGTTTCTCGAAACGTAGCTAGGGCCGACCGAAGTCACACCCAACTCAGCTATAGACACCGTGGCTCTCCCTAGGAATAAGGGACACTTTAACGATCAACCCGGATAACAGGCTCCAAATGCCCCTCACTCCACCCAGCCTTTCTCAAGATCTTACATAGAATCTCCTTCTTCCCCAAAAGCATACTGCCCTCCATTCTCAAACTCAAGCTCCTCAAGCTCATTCTTCACACGCGTGTATTCTTCGCATAACTCTCGATCACCCAGGGAAACCCTCTTGACACCAAAGAAGATTCCTCAAGGCCAAACACCCGTCAACTATGAGATAGGTATTCAATCGTAATTTCCCATTTCTGCCAGCCTCATGAGCCGCGTCGAATCTTCCATATCCTGGCTTTGAAAAAGCGACGCGTTCTAGAACATCCATTTCACCGTGATCGGTGAATTGCGCGTGCGTGAGGGCATTGCGTGCTTATGGGATAGAAGAAGGGTGGATTTCAATGTCGATGTCGAGGAGTCTTTCACTTCGTAGAATTTTAGAGGCCATAAGAGATTCTAGGGTTCGAATTTTGTTCTTATGTTGAGTGGAATGCAGGAATTGAGCAGGCGCCTACACAATGGGAGAGGTCTATCGGGTAATGGTCAGATATTTGTAAGAGTAGCTTCACGTTTGGAACAGATCGTACTTTGGCCACGACTGTTGGAGTTGGATGAAAGCTAAACACTAAGAAGAGCCAAGGTGATAAAACGAGGACGCGACCTAGACAGAATTTCGAATCCCTTGTGATGATGGAGGTTATCTAGATCTTTTCGTGGGAACTGACGGTCATTATAAAAACCCCGATAAAATGCCAGGGAGCTGGGGTGATATGAGGGGTCGTCCAAGTCAAACAAGGACTAGGATTGTCGTATGTAGATGCGATAAGTACGAGCGCAGGGGTCAGGAACTCATTCGTGGATGTGAATGGGGCACTCTATGTTTGACCTTTGGCCTCAATTAACTACAATCGAAGTCATACTTTCGCAGGTGAACCTGTATCATTCTTTCTTGACACATTTTACTTGTCTCACCGTAAAACTTCATCAAACATTGCCGGAAAGAAAATGATTAAGAGGGCGAAATGTAGTAGATACTTCTTAACGCACGAAAAACATGTCTCTGTATATACTTTCGGCCAGAGTGAGGCACCCATAATACAGCCAACGTCGATCGGTGCCAATATGCTTTCAGCTCATGAAGTGGGTAGATTTAATTGACTTTTACAGATCATGGTATATGGAAGGTACAGCATCTAGATGACCTCCAGCGGCTGTTGACAGTTTTTCCGGGTCACATTGCAAGACAGTCTCAAGTCCCCCAGGGGTCAAATTGTTGAACGTCCTACTAAAGACCTTCAAGAACATACTCAGTCGTCACCTTCACGTGACAATGACAATAATTCTAGCGAAGAAAAAATTACGAATAATCTTGTACGCATATACGGGAAGAGAAGATCGAACAAGTCATGAATATCTGATTTCATTTTGTTTATCGTGAGGGGATATCTAGAGAGTATCTCCGATAGAGCCAATCGTCAACATGTCCGTAATGGGCAAGATACATAGTGTGAAGAAAAGGAAAAGTAAAGGGAAAAAGAAACAACCCAAATCGGGAGACCGGGGTAACAAGACCCCGCACGCTCGTCCCGATACAAGTGGCGGGGATAAATGTCCAATTTAAAGATCATCACAGCAAAAGCAAACGCAGCACGCCATGCAAATGACTCAAGTGAAAGCACAAAACAAGAATGCCGATTTTAAGAACATCCGATCCCTTACTTGGTCTTGGGAGCGGCAGCTAGGACCTCGGGGGTGGCCTCATCGGAGTACTTCTTGAAGTTCTCGTTGAAGAGGTTGCCGAGCTTGTTGACCTCATCCTCGAAGGAGGTGGAGGCGGTCCAGCTCTTCTTGGGGTTAAGGAGCTCGTCGGGGACACCGGGGCATGTCTTGGGGACGGGCAGGTTGAAGACGTCGTAGGTCTCGTACTCGGCGTGGGCGAGCTCGCCGCTGTGGATGGCGTCCAGGATGGCACGGGTGTACTTGAGGGGGCAGCGCTTGCCGCCGGTAGTGGCACCGGCACCAACCCAGCCGGTGTTGAGCAACCAGGCATTGGCCTTGTGCTCCTTGATCTTCTCGGCGAGCATAGAGGCGTACTTCATGGGGTGCAGAGCCAAGAAAGGTTGGGCGAAGCAGGAAGAGAAGGTAGCCTGGGGCTCGGTGACACCGTCTTCGGTACCGGCCATCTTGGAGGTGTAACCGGAGATGAAGTGGAACATGGTCTGCTCGGGGGTGAGCTTGGAGATCGGGGGCAGAACACCGCGGGCATCACAGGTCAACAGGATGATGTTGGAGGGGTGGTTGTCGGAAATACAGGGGATCTTAGCGTTCTCGATGTACTCGATGGGATAGGCGCAGCGGGTGTTCTCGGTCAAAGTGGTGTCATCGTAGTCGACAACACGGCTGATGGGGTCGAAGACGACGTTCTCGAGGACGGAACCAAACTTGATGGCGTTGAAAATATCAGGCTCCTTCTCGGCGGAGAGACCGATGCACTTGGCATAGCAGCCACCCTCGATGTTGAAGACACCGGTGTCGGTCCAGCAGTGCTCGTCATCACCGATAAGCTTGCGCTTGGGGTCAGCAGACAGAGTAGTCTTGCCGGTACCGGACAGACCGAAGAAGACGGTGACATCGCCCTTCTCACCCTCGTTGGCGGAGGAGTGGAGGGTCAGCACGTTGTGCTTGATGGGCATCTCGTAGAAGAGGACAGTGAAGACACCCTTCTTCATCTCACCGGCATACTCAGTACCGAGAATAACCATCTCCTTGTCGGCGAAGTTAATGGCGACGGAGGTGGCAGAGGTCATACCCTCAGTGAAGCGGTTGGCGGGGAAAGAACCGGCATTGTAGATAACATAGTCGGGGTGGAAGTGCTCGAGCTCCTCACGAGTCGGGCGGATAAGCATGTTACGCATGAAGAGAGCATGGTAGGCACGGGCACAGACAACACGAACACTGATACGGTAGCGCTCATCCCAACCGGCGTAACCATCGATAACGTAGATGCGGTTACGGGTGTTCAGGTAGTCGACAGCACGCTCACGGTTAATGCGCCACACCTGATAGGTTCGTTAGTGATGACGTCATGTGAATGGACAGCCGAGGCAGCGGGGAAAGCCGTGATGAAAGCCGAAGGAAGGGGGAAAGATAAAACAATGCAGGGAAAGAATGCGTCAGAGAAGGCAAAGCAGATCAGGAAAGAATCGAAGTCGGTTGCACCAATTGCCCGAAAAAGCTTGACACCCCGGTTGCATATGCAAGGGATCCCAGGGTGGAGCTGCGCATCGGGCCATCTGCAAGGGCAACTCGACCAACGTAGACTAGCCACAAATGCACGGCAAATATCACGCATAGATAACGAGAGACAAGATGGAACTTACATCAGCAGTCATGGGCTTGTTAACGGGTCCCCACCAAATGTTGTGTTCTGATGACTCCTCCTTGACGATACGCTTGTCTGACGGAGAACGACCAGTCTTCGCGCCGGAGTAAGCGCTCAAAGCACCGCTTGAGGTCATGGCGGTACCAGTCTCATATACGAGGGCATCTTCATAGAGGGCCGAGACGGCGGGGTTGGCAATCTACGAGGATAGTTAGTGATGAATCGTCACAAGAGAGACACGAGACCACGAGCAAGTCTCGTATGCCAGAGGGATCTTACAATGGCGACACGGTCATAGTCAATGTGAGCGGTCTCATGGAGCTCCTCCTCGAGCTCAGTGTGACCCTTGCCAGGCCTAGAGGGGGAAAGTGTGGTTAGCGACGATGAGGTGGGAAGGAACAAGAGAAGAGGACGTACTGGACACCACCAGGGTGCAGGGCAGTACGGTTCACAGATGTGGCAACCATGTTTCTGAGTGAAGTAGAGTGATAATTGTTATTGCGTTGTTTCGCGATTTGCTGTTGAATGAAATCTGCTTTCAAAGGACCAGGAGAGTCGGGGCGAGCGGGGGGGTATATAATCCTTTCCAGCAGGGGACATCGTGACGGTAGATTTGGTATGAAGGAGGTTCTCGTCCTGTTTTTCTCCACAGTTCCACGGGTGATGTCGGGGCAGAGGGCCGAGCTGAAGCGGACACGCGGTTGGTGATGGATGAAGCGTTGCCGTGGGTTGCAAATGCCTGTGGGCGGAGTCCGAATTGACCCGAAACGGATGTGGACACGAACTGTACCCGGAGCGACGAGGGTCCGGGTTTGGAGCCTGGCGAGGGGCAGAAACGTCGTTGATACAGATCGTGTATTATTGACCTTGATATAGAGGTTCTGGACCAGCCGAATTATGATATTCTCGATTGTAAGTTGCGATAGTTAAAAGAAATCGCGAGACTAGTATGACGACTCCGCCAGCTTTATCCTTTCCCCCGCAAACCCTGTAGAAAGTGATTGTCTTGTGAATCACCATTCTCAGTATAATTCAAAGTCAAACGACTCACGGACGACAGGAATGACGCGAAAATGACTTCACCAGTGAGGCCTTTTTTGCAGTATAAAACTTGGTCCAAACTGTTTTAGTTCCGCCTCAAATCGCGGGGGAGCTGACATAATCGTAGATCCTCGGTTTAGCTGGCTTTCTTGCCGGTTTTGGTTATTTCCATTCTCTCCATCGGCTTCCCTAGCCCCGAAATCAATTCGGAATGATCCATTTGACCGTATGAATTGGAAATTTTTTGCCCGATGACGACTAGCCGGCTGAGAAGGTCGGAACGACAGGACAGGATCTACTCCAATAACGGCGATTAGCCAGCCGAGGATGATGCACACGCGAAATGGTTCGCGGCGGTCTCGGCCAATCACATGCCCCACATTATGAGGTTCCAAGAATGATCGGGTGGGCAGAAGATATTCCCGCTGGGTCTCTTTGGGTCCTTCGCGCCTTGTCTGGACTTTTACGCAAATAGGATCGTCCTCTTTTTCCCGGTGGTACCTGACCAACGCCGAACTCCATTCAGGACCCATGCATGCCGCAGGGTATGTGTTACGATACTATTATCGGTTTCGGACCAGCATTGAGGCATTTCGAGGATTCCACAGACATTAGACCGCCCATTCGGAATTCCCAGTGATTTTCGTTCGACTTGTCCCGCTTTGCCACGGCCCGGTCTAGCATGTGTCTATTGAAGACCGGCTTCATCATCACGACCCCAGATCCTCTATTCTCGGGTGGCTAGCGGCGGATCCCGACTCGGGTACGGCCTCGGGAAGGCGAGAAGGGGCTTGTCTATTTTCAGGATCCTGCCTCCTTTGTGAATCCATTCCATGTTGCGCGATTTGTTTCAAGCGGGTTACGTAGCCAATATTGATTCTAAAGCCCCTGCCATTCAGCTGATCATCGCCGTTCCATTGCGCGTGACTGGCGTATAGTTGCTGGGTGATGAGTCTGGAACTATGTAGGCTTTGTATTTCCCTCAGCCCAAATGGAGTAAGGGTGGAGAAGGGTTCACCCCCTGTCTCTCCACAAAAGACGGGATGGTGTATTGTACAGGGATCACATACTTTGAGAGTCTGATAGAAGACCTTTCGGGATTTCCCCTTATCTCGACCACTGGGGGCACCCCGGTATTGTGCCTCTCCGGGTCAACGTTCATCAACATGGGTGTTTTGGGTCTTCATCTATCGCCAATCACGGTGAAACTCTGCTTCCTAATTCACCCGTGATAGAGATTCTAGTCTCTGTCTCGAGGCCGAGACCTATCAGAAGGCGGTCTGCCCGACCAGCGCGCGTTTTGAAACGGCCTGGGCCGTAGCGCGGAAAAGGGGATGGAAGGTCGCTCTGCCTCCTAAATTCCCCGATCCAACATGCAGGACGTCATCTTCCTGACCAGTCCCGAATCTTTTACCGATCTCACAACTCGCTGGCAAATGCCCCGAGCCACCTACACCTATTCCCGTTCCCTTGGCGTCTTGGCCATCTGGGGAAGCTGTCGCGTGGTCTTCGGATGCGGGGTTTAGCGTGGGCGGTTGATCTGTTTGCACTCGGCTCGGTTGTATGCTCTCATCGTCTACCTTGTTACGGTCTGCTGCGTCTCGATTACCTGCTTCCAATACCGAAGTTGTCCGACGGTACTCCGTTTTTCGACTGGCTCGGCAATCCCTGCTTGGGTGCTTAGAATTGGGGAACTCAGCCCCTGAGGTGCTATTTATGGATCTATTGTGCCCCTCCGCTTTGGGACCCGATGCTTAGTTCACTGTTGACTTCTAGCTAAGGTCTTCTGATCGTTTTCATGAAACAGCTGCTGGCCTTGTGATCGTTTTTCCTGCCCTACTGGCCCCTTTTCAACGGCCCACTGTCCTTTGCCGAAATGCATTAATTAGCGATATCGGAGCTTTTTGATATTTCTAAGCGACCCGCATGATCAAGGTAAGGCCGAGGACGGAATCTTATTTTGATCATGTGCAATCGTTGTCCTATGCGAAGAGCTTCTGGCATCTACGACTTATTAATGATAACATAAGAAGTGTCACACATGCAGGTACCTCTTGGTAGAAACCAAGCGAGCCATTAGGTCCAAGGATGTGTCATGCAGCCTGGTTTCATAAGGCCTGTATAAATCACACCTAAGCGTGTTATTATCCTTGGTTCTCCCTAGTTACGTGTCCCCGTCCATGATTCAACGTACACAGGTCCTGCGCCCGTCCATGACTCATGTTCTGTTCACCATATACCATTATCATAGCTTCAAATACCAACATGGAGCTACTCACGTCACCGTTCAACTTACTTATATTTAACTAATATATACGCACCACACAACTTCAAAAAAAGCAAACCCCTCGGCATCATGAGAAATCCATGCTGACAAACCAGCATTACTTGAGCGCAGAGGACCTTGTGTTGGGACTATGGTAATAATATCCTAGAAATGGAATTGGGATAATATGCTTCAATACAAAGCTAACATTTGTTGAAATCTCGGCTGTAACGCTCTTGCAGTCTGTCTCCAACATCAGACAATGTGATGTTCAATTCGGGACCCCTCAGCAAGGCCTGAATAATACCGACATGGTCGAGTCTGCGCACACGTTTCCATATCCTTTGAGAATAAAATCGACAATTATCTGAAGGTCATCACAAGCAGCATTCCATCAAGGTTGTATTCACATAAACGAATATACAATTTGGAAAAAAGTGTGCACGTGAAGGCACCCCTGCAGCCGATCTTACATGATCCCAGTATATACACATCACCATAAAACGATTCCATCCTGAGTAGCTCCTTCCTCCTTCCACTTCTCAAGCAACGCTTTCACACCGTCGGTCGCAGACTTGGCATAGCCTGGGCCAGGAGGGGTCGCATTGGGGTCGGGCTTCTTAGCGGGATCACCCGCGATCCAAACCACCGGATCCACATTACTTCCAGCACAAGCCTCGTAGAACTGCTCAATGTCTTCGAGGGAATAACCCCGACCGAAGATCACTGCGCGTGGAGGTGTGCTGTAATCATGAGTGCCAACGCCGTTGTTATCGGAAGACTGGGGATCACGTCCTGCCAGGAGCTCGGGAATTTCTTTTAAGGCAGCTTCATTGGTTTGAATGAAATGGACCACTTATATATTGTAAGATGGCTTCGGGTTACGGATATCTGATCATTGAGCTGGCACGCACCTTCGTAGTCGGGTTTCAGGAAATTCGACACACCCCCTCCTATAGCTGCGTTCTTGCCACACAGAACAACAGGTAGGGGCTTTGGTAGTGTTGACATGGCTCTGCTTAGGAAACCTGGTCGTTGGAGAGCTCTATGCAGTGGCGAAGGTCGAAACATGAGGTCGAAGTTTCGCGAGGTGCTCCCGCGATACCCCGCAAATTATGCTCAGCCTTGCTTATTGATACGAAGAATTAGCTGGTGCGGGCACACCCGGTGTTGACTTTCAGGCGTGCTAACTTTCAGATCTTGAGTCGATGTTAGTGTTATAGATGTTAACGTATGTGGAATGTGGTGAACGAAGTGGGCTCTAAGCTTTAAGTGATATCCGCCTTTATCCCACCGACACAATTTGTCAGATATCTATTGCTTAGAAGCAGGTGCGCAAAACTTCCTCACATCCTTACATCACCATCCCTGATACAATTTGCTTATTTTCAAATAAATGAGAGTCGCCGAAATCGACTTCGATCACAGGAATGCACCTGCGGAATCCTCTGGCGCTGACCACTTCCATACGTCATCCGGGACTCTCGCCCTTGTATAAACCCAACAAGAAATATCTTCAAGCAAACATGCGAATAGTATCTCAAGCTCAGCAATGGCATCATATCCAGGACCAACCGCCCGCGATGTCCTTTTCAAAGAGGCCCGCAAATACCGCAGTCTGAACTCCATCATCTCATGGCTGGACCGCTACATAGCGTTCCCATTACCGCCGCGTCCCTCATTGATTCTCACAATCCCATGCAAAACCAGCAAAGTACCAGGCGAAATCCAGCTCTACTTCTTCACTGCCCCGGTAGAGTCAACCGACGGGAGAGCAGATGTTCTATCCGCAAAACGACCCGTTCTCGTGAATTTCCACGGCGGCGGGTTTTCCATCGGCCATCCCTTGGATGATTCGCGATGGTTCGCAGCCGTGCTGCACGCTCATCCAGGCGCGGTGGTAGTGAGCGTGGGCTACCGACTTGCCCCCGAGTATCCTTTCCCCGTCGGAATCGAAGATGGAACCGATGCGATTCTTTGGCTTTGGGAGAACGCCGTCAAATATAACCTCGACCCGGACCGATTCGCAATCAGTGGGTTTAGCGCCGGCGGGAATCTAACATTCACCGTTCCGCTCAGGTTACATGAAGAGCTGGAGAAGCGACAAGTTGCGAAAACAGTGCGCTTGGCTGGTATCGTGGCGTTTTACCCACCGGTCGACTGGACGAAAACGCGCGATGAGAGAGATGCTACGAACCCTATCGCGGCTCAAAAGTCTATGGTCCCCCAGTCTGCTTTGAAGTTCTTTGATGCTTCGTACTTGGCTCAGGAGAATTTGCCTCGGAAGCCTGGTACGGATGAGATTGATACCGCGGATCCATATCTTTCTCCGGGATTGACTCCCCCGTATCTTTTACTGGCGGCATTTCCACCGATGGTTGCAATCTACACATGCGGCTGGGATCAGTTGCTCGTGGAAGGGAACAAATTTCGAGAGAGGCTGCAGAGGTTCGTCGATGAAGGGGCGATGACTCATGTCGGGGGAATGGAGATTGAAGGGGTGATTCATGGGTTTGATAAGAGACCTTGTTTCTTCACAGGAAATCCGAAGAGGGATCTGATGTATGGGGATGCTTTGAAGCAATTGGAAGTCATGTGGGAGGTTAAGGATCTATCTCAGGGATCTAGTTTGTCAGAACATTCTAGTCATTCATAGTCGACCGCAATTCTCCGAGTTTGTTTCCATCCGTTGCTTTTGGTACTTGTGCACCGAGCATTGCAGGGTGTGGATAATTCAGATTATACAGTATAATATTGTCGCGTCTAGTTCATCCTATAGTTAGTCGGGAGCCTCCTCGCAAAATATCAAGACCATGACTAACCCTTAGTATGAATCTCCAACCCAGTCCACAGTCCAACTAAGCGCAAAGAACGCTCATCAGACCTGCTCAGAGCTTCAAAAGTCGTCGCACAACGAAACCCAAACTGCGATACCCGACGCCGACATCCAAAGCGGGGCGTGCCCCTCTAGGCGGGGTAAACAGTCACTTAATTTTCATTTCTCACGCTGACCATCTCTCTCCTTTTCACTCGCCTACTCTGTTGATAATCCTACGCTACTAATCAACTACAGTTCCAAGGTATGTTCCCTGCGCATACACTCCACGTCGAACACCTACCAGATCTCCCCGTGGAACCCACGATCTCTGACCCGGCGATAGATCCACAACCAAACGATCACTATGTCCGGACACCCCAGTTGCCCTAAGTGCAGTGCCCCCGTCACTGGCGGCAAGAGCTGCGGTTCATGTGGAGCGGTTCGTGATCTTTGATTCTATCAAGGTACTCAGGCTAACGGTATCTAGACTTGTCCTGTCTAAACGAGGCTTCCCCGTTACGCTATAAGCACTGGGAGCGAAAGATGGCGAGGAGTCAGGATGAATGTTAGAAAGCTGGGTTGATGAGATATCGGACTGATATCCAAAGGAGAGTTATGATGAAGCGGCGTGCTGGCGACCAAGGGTCCCGACAATTGATAGTTTCTTTTAAATTACACTTTGTTTGCAAACACATTTGCACACACATCCCATGTAGGCGGATTTTGGAAAAGGTAGACACATAAGATTTGATATATACGAGAATAGCCCGAAAAGAGGCAGTCACACATCTTTAGTACCAAGAAGAAGTCACACATTCATGCAACCCGGATATAAAGGCAAAGCCCCAGGCGGGCAAGAGATGTCCTCTTGCAACAAATGGGTTGTAGAGAAACCCAGTTCCTCTTCGAATCAGCTTTAGAGAGCTGGATCTTCGCTCACATTCAGGATAATACGCCGGCTGCTTATGCGGTCTTGCGCCACTGGGACCAGACACCGATAAGCGAGCTGACGGTACCGGCGATACCGACCAGGCCATCATCGAGGGCGACGAGACCCAGGGCCGAGACCGGGGCGGTCAGGTCGCACAGGTCAGAGAGAAGCTGTATCCGGGCGGCAGCGCGCTCCCTGTGAAACATATTAGCATTCAATAGAGCTCTCGTGAGTGAGTAGGAGGCAAAACGTACTTCTCGATCTTCTTAGCCTCAACAACACCCTCGCCCTCCTTACGGTCGACGGTCTTCTCCTTCTCCTGCAGACGGAAGAGGGTATAGAGACCGGCAAGAGCACTGCAGAGCAGACCGGCACCCCAGGCGCGGTAGGCGCTCTCTTGCAGACGTTTAGCGGACTCCAGCTTGCGGAAGCCGATGGCGTCGACCACGGTGACCGCGTCGAGGGTCAGGTAGCCGGCGTAACCGAGCTGGCGACCGACAGCCAGATAGCGGAGGACGGGGTCGACGATGCTCTTGTTATCGAGGGCGACGGAAGCGGCCTTGAGGTGCTCAAGGAACTTGCCGATACGCATGATCTTGCGCGTGGTGCCGAACTGCTTCTTGACGGCATTGTAAGGGTCGATTTCGGACTGAGGGCGGTTGGTGCGGTACAGGTACCAAGCATAGAAGCGGGAGAAGTATTGCAGTGTGCGGAGGAGCTTGTCGCGACCGACTGGATGGAAATTCGGGTTAGCTTAGCTGAGGATCTGGGTAGGGGGTGGTTGGGTTTGTTGGGCATCGGCCAGTGGCTGTCGGACTTTTGTGTACGGGTCGCAGCGGCCTTGGGTGTCTGGTTTCAATATAGAGAGATGGCACGTACCAGTAGTCGCGACGAAGCGCAGCCAGTGCGCCAGAGCTGGATGATAGACGAGGGCGTCGGCGACCATGGTGACGTTCAATTCCCGATCACGAGAGCTTCGATCTGTCGGCGGAGTGCGAGACCCGAAGATAGAGCAATCCAAAGAGGGATGGGAAAGAGATGAGTAAATAGAGAAGTGAAATGCAACTAAAGCAGACGATGGCAGACGCCAAAGGTTTGAGAGTCGGTAATTGACCGGCGTATGGAGCCGCGGATAGCAGACCTCGGCTGATGCGGAGATTCCCCAGGCCCGTTTTGTTCCCGTGTCGTCACGGATTCCGTCTCGTGCCCTTTCATGTGAAATGCTTGTTTTTTTACTCTATCCATTTGACTGTCTCCTAATGGTTTCTGGAAATCAAGATTGAATTAAAGGGGACTCTCCATGTTCCCGAGAAACTTTCCGATATATTTTCGTCTACAAGCAAATCGCACTACTGACCCCGGATCGGGCCACACTTTCGCGGGGTGCGATAAGAGAACAAATGCCTGCACTATTAATATCATGGCATGCTACTATCATAGGCTATCTTACACGTAGCAAAAGTATCAGATCATGCAGAAATGCTGTGGCCTAGTCAGACCTCTGGCAGATTAGCACTAGAAATGCTCTCTTCAGAGTTGCAACTGTTCACTGGGGCTGGCATTTGGTTTGAAAGTGTCGCATAGGCTCACGCAGTGCAAAGTCAACATCATTTCTCGGGTCGTTGCAAGGTCTCATCAATCGTCATTTGGCTGGAAAATGCCATGAGTTAGCGCATGGGGAGTCGTATACATTAGATGTAGGGTAGAGGCCGCCGATATGGCGCAGATAAATTAATGAAGCGAGTGGAGCTCCGAGTCCTGCGGCAAAAGGGAAGCAAATGGGATCAAAGGGCCTGTCAATTTACTCTTGGTCAGCGCGGATGGCTTGGCCCGCCTTGCCCATGGTTGAGATGTCGTAGCCATTCTCGGCCAAAAATGCACGAAACTTGGAATCTTCCTTGATGATTGTATCCTGGAGAGTGTGAGTAGGATCTTTCATCCTGTTGACATCAAGATGAAAGACTTACCTGGTTGATCTGCGGAAGTAGGAAGTAGGCCAAAAAGGCACTGAAGATGCACAGAGCACTTGATACGAAGAAGGGATCCTGGCCAGCGCGAACCGCATTTGGGGCATTCTTAATAATGATTGGGAAGACGTAGGTGCCAACGAAAGCTCCAATCTTGCCAATAGCCGCAGCGTATGAGTAGTACTGGCCACGAATTGCGGTAGCGCTGGTCTTGGCTGCACACAGACCGATGTTGTCGCCGGGGCCGAATTCGCCGAGCGCAAGGAAGATACTACTCGAGTCAGGTACGAGGCATGCCCATCGAACTGCGATGTAACTGACCCGTAAACGACTACAAAAGCAGCCACGTTCTTTGCCGTCGCAAGATAGGCGTAGCATCCAGACATGATGAAACCGACAATTCCCTGGAGAAGGACACCAATGGCGAGGGTGTTTCGAGGGCCCATCCAGTCGCTTGCAAAGGCCCCGAGAGCAGAACCCGGGATGTAGAAAAGGTAGGTCAGGGTGGTCCAGCCAAAAGTCTTCCACAAAGGCGCATCGCTACCGATGATGATGTCTAGCCACTTGGAGGAGTAGAGCCCAAACGAATAAGAGGAAAAGTCGTAAATAAACCAGATCAAAGAGACCGTCGCCTATATTACATTAGCTCGGATTGTTCGAAGGGGAAGTCGTAAAGGGGAATGCCGTACCAGACGCATCCAATAGAACCTGCAGGATGTTAGCAATCTGCCTGCGAAGCGGGAGATCGTCAACCAACTCACTTGATGATTAGCCACAGCGGGAATTTGTGCATGCGCTGGCGATCGAATTCCTCGGGCTCATTCATCTTGCCCCGTAGATAAATCAGACTCAAAGGAGGGATGACCCCCAGGCCTAGAGCCACACGCCAGGCAGCACGCAAATGATCCTCAGTAAAGATCAGAACCAGAATCATAGGCACAAGAGCGGAAACGACGAAGCCGAAATCGATCTGGAAATTGGTGAACATGATGAACCATCGATTACGGTGGCCCTCCTTGAGCTCGCCAGTGTTCTCGGCACATGCGACGGATCCAGCAGGATACTCGCCTCCAATGCCAACGCCAATGAAGAAACGATAAGCCGTGAGGGCAGCAAGCATGCCATAGGTGCTACCGTGGTAGCCATAGGAGCCAGCACAGAGAGCCGCGAAGAGAGTCAGGATGACGGTCGAAATCATTAGAGACCACTTGCGAGACCAATGGTCACTAGTGTATCCAAAGACCAGCATACCGACAACTGTACCAGCGAAAGCAATAGAAGAGACATTTTGACTGGCAGAGGAGTTGGCATAGGCCGTGGGGTAAATCTTGCTCAGCATGGTGTTCACCTGGCCAATAACCTTTCCAGGTTGTTAGTATCACCGATCCACAAAATAGTATGAAATTCGAGGCACATGGCTGTGGCCCCGTTGCAGGTGAAAAGATCAACAAGGAACACATACTCCATTCAAGTAGCCGTCCGAGAAGAGACCAGCACCACAAGCAATGGTGGGCCAGCTGCGTTCCCATCGGCCCTTCGAGGGGTCCTCCAGCGGCGGGACATCGAGGGAAGCCCTGTCGAGTGGGTCAGGACCCTTATCCTCGTATGAGGTGGGTTCCACTTTGGTAGTCATTGCAACGGATCTCATGTAGTAGCGGGCGTCGATGAGGACCTCCAGCTTGGGCATTCAGCGAACGAAAGTATGAAAATCAGAGCGAGGGATCTCACCTGGATGCGCGAGAGTTTGCAATTGTGATGGCCAAGGTAGACGCAGGAGTCAGGACGTTGTACCACTCGACGTAGTGCAGATCACTAGTACGCAGGACTGAGACGAGAAGACGAAGCCTGTCGGAAGACAGAACAGTAAACGAGAGCAAGGAAAGAAGTCCATTAAGTAGGATGTGACAAACTTTGTCTGAGAGACGCAGGCTAAGTGCACTCATTTCCTAGCCTGGCATAGCACCTGTCCATGGTACACGCGAGATACCACCCAGACAAGCCTAGGTTACCTAGAAGCGCGGGTCCCCAGGTACCAGTCAGGTACTGGGGAGTGGGGCCTTGCCTCCGATATCAAGCTAAGCATCCCTTGTTCACGTCTAGGGCCAATGATATCATGTTTTTATATCACCACGCCACAGGATTACGACCGAATGACCTCGGGATCATCTGTGTTCTGGGAAAAGAATAGCAGACCTGGGTGGTTTAGACGACCCGGGCGTCTGCGAAGCCATGATCTGAGATCGGGAGGAAGATGTGCAAGCCAAGACGTGAATCGGATCGGTTGTCTCTGGACGCAGCGAACCATTCACCTGCGAACCTCCAGGAAAGGCTGTCCGGCTGCACGTGCAGGACTAGCGATGGGCCGAAACTCTTTTGACCTCAGAAGGCAACTCGTAGCAGCCTTGGGTGGGGCCCAAGTCTCAGGCGTTGCTGATGAAGTTACATTGGCCCACTCGATCACTTTCTAGTTCGTTCATGAATGGACCACGGTCAGGGTGATCATCCGGGGCTGGCGCTCTCTGTCGGCTCGTTGGTTCGTTCTGCCCATGCAACTGATACAATATGGCACATGGCTCATGCTTACCACTCGGTCTTCTCCGAAAAAGTTAAGGCCATTCGAATTACTATTCAGGATGCTTTTTTTCACGCGAAACCCTGGTGTTAGGCAAGATCTTTCGACATAGGAGCGACTGGGTTCGAGAGATAGTGAAGACGAGGTTCATATTCGGGGCATCACTTCCTCGCTATAGTTTTATATTTCAGTTCAACACTGTGTCCATCTATGCTTCAATAGTATTTCAATTGGTTCTCAACATCTTTTCCGATCGTAAGTAGGGTGCATTGTGATAGCCTTCCGTGACACTTTATCCTGCGTAGAGAGAGAGAGAGAGAGAGAGAGAGAGAGGAAGAAAAAGAGCACGCGAGCACGGGAGCATCAGTCAACATGCAACCATGCTATTTTTAAATAAAGTCTGGTGAATACTAGATAATCAGTTCGATTTTATTGACCGTACCGTGGTGAGGATTCTCGAGATCCAAGTCAAATGGTTATGTGCAGAACAGATTTCCGCGATAATAATGCTGGGCCAGGGTTCGGGCCGGAGAAACATTCCGCCAGCTGAGCTCGGAGCCAGCTACGTGACGCACCGACGCTCTAGGAATCATCATCAATACATCCACCTCTCCCCCAACCCCTTCATCTTGACCGTTCCGAATTTATCAGCCCCATAATCTCGCAACCATGGGGTCTGATCCGCAGTACATCAAGTACCCCAATCTCATTCTCGCCCAACATGTCTTCAATCTCTCCAACCCTGCATGCGCCCCGTCGACCCGACAGTCGTCATTGAAAAAGCTTCAAGATGTCATCTCCGAGAACAAGATGGCCCCTTTCTACCGCCATCTTGCCCACCCAGTCGAGGGCATCTTGAACAGCTCGGGTGAAGGCGTGACACAACACCCTCATGGAGCAGGGACTTCCAAGCCTCTCATCATCTCCAACATGCTCGCGAAGAAGTCCGGGCAACAGATCAATTTCCCCTGGGATGAGAACCTATACCAATCGTTGTTGGAGGATAACAAGAAGGAGCTGGAGACCTTCCAGAAGGAGGAGGATGATGCGGAGGAAGCTGCGGGTGAGACCGAGGTGCAGGCCGCACGGGGGAAGCGCGCTGAGTTCTGGGCTCGCGTGGGAGACAAGGTAAGATATATGATTCGATGATGCATGATTGATAGCTGACACAGCTCGCTCATTAGGACAAAGCCATCGAGTCGCACGAAGCCCTTCTTGAGAAGACAGGGTTTCTCGGTACCAAGATTGACTTGGTCTTAGCCATGATCCGCATCGGTCTCTTCTTTGGTGATCGACTATTTGTGAAGAAGACCATTGAGCGCGCAGAGACACTAGTGGACAGCGGTGGGGACTGGGACCGGAGGAATCGCCTCAAGGCATACAAGGGAATGCACCTTCTCACAATTCGCTCCTACAGCATCGCCGCACCTCTCCTTCTAGACAGCCTGTCTACGTTCACAAGTTACGAGCTGTGCAGCTACTCTTCACTGGTTATCTATTCTGTACTTGCGGGATCCCTATCCCTTAAGCGAGTGGACTTTAAGGACAAGGTGGTGGATGCCCCGGAGATCAAGGCCATCCTTGGTTCCGGAGAGGATCAGTTGGCTGCGCTGAGTGGAGAGGTGTCCTCCGGCCCCGGTGTTCGGGAGGAGGAAATGAAGGACGCGACAGTGTCCAAGACCACCCCGACTGGCGCCACCACTGCCGTTAACCTCACTTCCTTCGCCGCTGGCACCGCGCACGCTGAGAATGAAGTTCCCGTGGACTTCTCACCGCTAGCCAACCTGGTCACCAGCTTGTATAATGGCAACTACCGCTCCTTCTTTGTGGCTCTTGCCGCTGTAGAGGACCAGTTCCTGAACCAGGATCGGTACTTGTATGAGCACCGGGCTTGGTTCGTCCGCGAAATGCGTCTCCGTGCCTACCAGCAGCTCCTCCAGAGCTACCGAGTGGTTGGGTTGACCACCATGGCCAACGACTTTGGTGTGACTGTTGACTATCTCGACCGGTATGTGATACTTTTTTTCACCCACAGTAACCCAAAAGTTCCTTGACTAACTTGCAAACAATTCCAGGGATCTGGCCAAATTCATCTCCAGCAACCGGATTGCATGCACTATTGACCGCGTCAACGGCATCATTGAGACAAACCGCCCGGATGACAAGAATAAGCAGTACTCAGATGTGGTGAAGCATGGTGATGCCCTAATCACCAAGCTCCAGAAGTACGGACAGGCAGTTCGTCTTCGTGGTAGTGAGCGGAGTTAATTGACGTGTATGAGAAGCGGTGATACCACCGACCATGACTCTATCTAGCATACAATCTATATTTCTAGACATACTGCGTGTAACGATGAATAGTGGAGTCCTGGAACCCGAGTAATTTAACACGATCATACCTCCCCTTAATCAGATTCCCCCGCATGTCGGGCGGCTCCGGGGTGGCAACGGGCGCCTTGCCGGAGTCCACCCGTCGGCAAACGGGCTTCCCGAGGCAAAGATCGACTGATCCGCCCCTGCGTCATCAGATCTGTAATTGCTGTCCCTCAGTTTGATATCTTCCTCTATAGCTCCTATCTCGATGTAGTTATCTCTCGTCCGATACACCTGCATTACTTTGGTTCAGGTACCGATGTGGGGAAAACCATGATGACTCACGTGGTTTCACCGCCCGACGGACCAATCTTTTTTTTTGGTCCCCGAGCCCCAGTCATCACCCTGATCCGATCTTCAGATCTGAGCAAGGAACGACCCCGCATAACGGATCAATAAAAAGATGTCCTGGCAATTTAAGCTCGCATCCAGCATGCGGGCGTCTCCGTTGCGGGCATGTGTGACCCGGCCGAATGGACTCCTACTCCGCCCGACTGCGCGAATTGCGGGGGGCCTCTCTGTCTCAGGTACGTGGAATGAGGTGCGCGCTATATATGGATTGGTCCCCTCCCCTGGCCTGATCTTACATGATTATATGGTATTCCCCTGAGGCTCCACACTTGACCCCTCATCCAAAAGTGACCTCTCTACGGCTGCCATTGATTTTGAACATTCCAAACTAACAATCGCTTGGGTCGATACAGCGCCCATCATGACTCAGACCAAGCGCTCCAATTCCAACAAGTGTCTCAATGTCAACAACATCAATCCTCACATTCTCGCCGCCAAGTATGCCGTGCGCGGTGAGCTGGCTGTGAAGGCCGAGGAGTACCGTCAGCGTCTGACCGACGGCGACAAGGCCCTGCCGTTCGACAGCGTCATCTTTGCCAACATCGGAAACCCCCAGCAACTCGACCAGAAGCCCATCACCTTCTTCCGTCAGGTCCTCAGTCTTGTCGAGAACCCGTTGTTACTGGAGAACTCCGATGCCCTCAAGACCTCCTTCGGATACAACCAGGATGTGATCGACCGGGCGAAGACCCTCCTGGCCAACGTGCAAAGTGTGGGTGCTTACAGTCACAGTCAGGGTGCGCCGGGCATCCGGGACAGCGTTGCCAAGTTCATTGAAAAGCGTGATGGATTCCCCGCCAACTCGCAGGACCTCTTCCTGACCGCTGGTGCCTCTTCCGGTGTTAACACGTTGTTGAGTGTTATCTGCAACAGCCCCAAGGCCGGTGTCTTGGTTCCCATCCCCCAATACCCTCTGTATACCGCTACTCTGGCTCTTTTGAACGCGCAGTGCGTCCCTTACTACTTGGAAGAGCAGAAGGCTTGGGGGTACCGACGTTAACGCCATGTACCAATCTATCAAGGACGCCAAGGCCGCTGGCACTGACCTCCGCGCTGTCGTAGTGATCAACCCCGGCAACCTACGGGTGCCTCCCTCAGCCCCGACGATATCAAGCAGGTCATTGATGTCGCCGCCGAGGAGCACCTTGTCGTTATCGCCGACGAAGTCTACCAGACCAACGTCTTTGAAGGCGAGTTCGTTTCCTTCAAGAAGCGTCTCCGCCAGCTGCAGCAGGAGCACCCTGGAAAGTACGACGATGTGGAACTGGTTTCCATGCACAGTATCTCCAAGGGCATGGTCGGTGAGTGCGGCCACCGCGGCGGCTACTTCGAGCTCGTCGGATTTGATCCTCTGGTGCAGGAGCAGATCTACAAGCTCGTCAGCATTGGATTGTGCCCGCCGGTCGTGTCGCAGTGCTTGCTCGAGACCATGGTCAACCCTCCCCGCGAGGGTGAACCCAGCTACGAGCTCTACCAGAAGGAGTACAATGGTATTCGCGACAGTCTGCGCAAGCGCGCCTTTGCTCTGTACGATGCCTTCCAGCGCATGGAGGGCGTCGAGTGCCAGGAGCCCCAGGGTTCCATGTACCTCTTCCCTACAATCAAGCTGCCCAACGGAGCCGTCGAGGCCGCTAAGGCCGAGGGTCGCCCCGCCGACGAGTTCTACTGTCTGCGTCTCCTCGAGGCGACCGGTGTCTGCGTCGTCCCCGGCTCTGGATTCGGTCAAAAGGAGAACACCCTCCACTTCCGTACAACCTTTTTGGCTCCCGGCACCGAGTGGGTTGAGCGCATCGTGAAATTCCACGCCGACTTTGTGCAGAAGTACCGGTGATTTCTCCATCGAGAGGAATAGCAAGACATTGTTTTGGCTTCCTTTTTCTTTCTCACGCCATTTGCGCTTCATCACGTCTCTTCGCTCGTGGACTTGGACCCGAGTTACTTTTAAATTTGATACCATATAGACGACATGTATCCGGTGTTGGACTTTCCAGATCATGTATACATGCCAGCTGTATTCACCGGCCAAGTACAAAAGGAAAGAATGCATCCTGCTTCGTGCAGCTCAAAAATATAGAAATTCACCACATAATTCAAAATGCCATTCCTTTCCACCTTCACAAAGTGATCGAGAACATACTCTCAAGGGCCTTTCAGACTTGATTCTTCAATCCTTTTTCCAAGATATCACTGCACCTCTTTTAAGGTCTCCGTTAGTCTCTTTTGTCCTTTCAAGGTGGCATCTTCGTGATTTTGTGTACGTCCGAGGGCATCAGCCAAAACCGCCCAAATAGAATAATTTATACTATATTGTTGGCCTAGTTATAAACCTTACATTGCCTCGAAGACCCGAAAGCAACCCCTTTAAAGCAGTTATAGGACTAGCATATTGCTTCCGCTCCGCGATTGAGAGCGTCAACCTTCCGATACCATTGCAGAATGAGCTGCTTTTCTACCTGTACAATCTTTCAGGAGACCCGAAGCGATTCGATCATTTCCATTGCCAATTGTCACAAATTCTACGAACCATATCTTCTGAAATCTTCTCACAAAGATCATGACAGCTCTGAACCATTTCATGTCTGGGTGCCAAGCCCTAGTCATGAATCTATTCAGCTTACCCACAACAAAATGGAAATTAAAGCAGACTTGAACGAGTTTATCTAGATACGATACCAGTGATACCAGTGATATGTAATACATTGGAAACCACCCACTGAGCAAGGTGCAATGGACCCCCCCCCAAATCGAACTCGAGATGTACCTTCCAAAGTGACACCTGGACACCTGAATTCCTGAGATGCCGACCCATCCGAGTATCAACGTACTGTAATGCACTTGGGAATGAAAAAAAAAACACCATGGCTCAGCCTGAAGTGGATACAACGTCTGGAAACCTCAATCTCCCTTGCCTCGGCGTCGTAATCGCAACTTTCCAAGACACCACGTCAGGAGTACCACAGTCTTTGCCGGTCAAGATAACAAGGACTCAATCAATAGAATTTTGGCAAACCTCCCACCTGTCAAAATCATGCCTAGTAAATGTGAACATAATCAACTCATGAAGATAATAAGATGAAGTATCAACCTTATCAACCTAATAAGCTAAGCCCTACCACAACCAAACTCTACAACCACAGTCCCTTCCGTCTAAACTATGATCCACCGCAGATCCCCCCAGCCCATCGCCACATTGACGAACCAGAACAGGGTTACCCCCTGTTGAAGCTCCCATCAGACACGGACCGTGCCCAGCTAAGCATTAGCCAAGGCCTGCACCCGAGGCTTGTATCGCGAGTGCATGGAATGCATCGAAGTCATGTACGTCACGGTACCACGATCTGATCGACAAAAGGCCCTGGTTGGGGGGGGGGAGGCTGCCGCTTCTGAGGTGCCAGAACTCAGCTGGAATGTAGTAGCTGGGAGCTGGCGAGGGCCAGTGTTTTACCGTTGGACACTCTCGATAAACGTCTCACCGCTACTTCGACAATACGTGGATAGGGGAACAGATCAAGTGACATGGGGTCAGCACGTCATTTTACTTTGAATGTAACAGTCTGGATTTCGGTATGTCCGGGTTTAATTTCGCAGGATCATGAATAGAAAAGGAAAAAAAAGGAAATTTACCGTGTTTCGTGCAATCGGAGAGAGAACAAAGTGATTCAGCAGATCTGATGATCCATACGGGGGGGTTGCACGATCGGCTTGCCTAGGGTTTAGTGTGAGAAGTTGGGGAATTTGCGTCGATCTGAAGCCAGTCGGGCCTGTTCACCGCTATATTGTGAACTCTCATTGCGTCGCGCATTCCTGTTTCTTGGGCTCGGATGTTCTTGCCGATGTTTCTCAAGTCTCAAGTCTCGTGTCTGAGTGTAAAAGTGAATCATGGGGTGCAGCTGGCAGATTCGGTCTTTGCTTCAGCGAAAGTGTGGAGCTGCGTATGAAAATGGAGGATTCTACGCGACTGGGGATGTATCATGGAACTAGGTTCTGGGTGGCATCTTTTCTCGTCAGGTATTAGGTCAGATGTTCTGGGTGACACGGTGGATTACATTTTTTCACATTATACATGTTATAAAAGCAGGGTCTATACTGGAAAACAAGCAAACACAGTGTAGGGTCCCGGGTAGGTTGCACCTGGGAAAATATACATGTGTGTACTCCAAATCGCAGAATCCCTCTAGATTTGCATGCTAGCGTGAAGAGATCTAGACTGGCTGAAAAAAAAAAGACAGCATAAGAACAATCAGGCATTTATCATCATCTCTCATCAAGGTCATAAAGACGGTGTGGAGGTGGTGGTAAGGTGCCGCAAGGTAGCGGAGACCCCAAGAGAATTAAAAGGACAAGGAATGGCAAAACAGTGGTTTGGTGCCCCCGTATACTAGGGTGCCCACGACTGGCGAAAGTAGTTCTCGTCCAGGGGCGGAGTGGAGCCAGAGTCGAAGAGGCTGGCCGGCCAGATGGGTACCGAATCCTGCGGCTGGGACATGGCATACAAGTCCTGCGCGGGGACCGGTTTGGAATCAAGTCCCATGCTGGCCTGCAGTTGATGCTCGAGCGCGGCCGTGGACTCGTTGGCGGATTTAAGGAAATCATCGATGTTGATCGACTCGAGGTCGTTCGATGACAGCAGTTGCGCCTGGGGAAGACCGACCAAGGAAGAGGCGGAGCTGGCCCGGAGGTGATCCATGTCAGAAGCTTCGCTCACACTGTGAAGGTCGTGATGGTCGTTACCCGCGGGTCCAAGACCAGGCAAGGGGCCAAATTCATCAGCCTCGGAAATGTCGCCAGAGGAGGACGGCGGCGGCAGACCCGAGGGATACGAGTTGTAGTCGAAACTGGCGTAGGACGGAGTTTGCGTGCTGGTGGACGCGGGTACGTCGGAGTACAACGGGAAACTCGACCAATCGACCGACGGTGCACCCATGCCAGCAGAGCCAAGGGGCACATCGGAATCGGGAGACGCAAAGTAGTTTTCTTGATACTGGTCTGAGAATGCCATGCACCTGATCGGCGAGTTGGACGAGGTGGCCGGGTAGTTGGTATAGGATGAGACATCAAGGGGCGGGGGCACGCTAGTAATGATTTGCTCCAAAGGAAACTTGTCCATGGGGGCAGGAACTGGGGTCGGGTTCGAGGCGTCCGTCGGGTTCTTATCCATTGCGGTGGGCGGGAGAGAAGGAGCCGTGAAGTTATCCAGGAAGGATTGGTCGAAAGAGTTCGAGTTCACATCGTCAGTACCGGCAGCGGGCGTACTGTCGGGGGACCCCTGTTGCGAGGTCTGCTGCGAATGGGGGCACGGGTCCATGAGGCTGAGAGGTTCCTGGGCAAAGGCCGACTGCGTCAGGGGAAGATGGTCGACAGAGCGGCGGGGCAGGTCGGAGGGGTGGTGAATAGTATGTGATCGTGGGATTGTGTAGGGCAATCCGCACTTGTGGGCCATGTCATTATGCTTGTGAGCGGGTTTGTGGTGACCGTCACGGAAAATGGTCAAAGTCGACTCGGACTTGGTCGACGTCAGATGAGGTTTCCGCGGATGTTCAGCAGGGACCGACGGCTGAGTCAAAGGCAGACCGGTCTCAGGAACGGGATCAAGGTGTTCCTTCTTGTGCGCACACGTACAGCGCTGACCATGACTGCAGCCACAGCGGTGGAGAGAGTCTTCTGTAACGTAGATCAGAAATGGGGAACCGAGAAACCAGCGCTTAACATGCTATGCTCACTCAGATCTCGCTTGTCACCGTGGCAGTCGTCGGATTTCTTTTTCTTGTCGCCGCACTCGCATTTGACGTGGGTTGTTCGGGACTTGCGTAGACCGCGGCAGTGAGTACATTGAGAGACTGGGCGGCCTTTTTTGTTGATATGGGTCAAAGGGCGGTCTGTGGCAGGAGTTAGAATTGGACGAGTTGCGACACTCCCGAATCCGACATGAACATACCGCTGTGGTGACAGCTGCTAACCCGGTGACCCCGGACGCAAGCTTCACAAGCCCACTTCTCACCATCGATAAGCATCGCGTGTGGTTACTGTAAGAGACACATGCGATGAATCGCGAAGTGGTAAATGGGAGGAATGTAAAAAAAAAGGTTTCAAGGAGAAGGTCACAAAGGGACCACAAAACAGTGCCGTCAAGGCGAGGGTACTTCGGGCGCCTTCGTCGAGAGGGGGCAACCGAGGAACAGAAAGAACAAAAATAGGGTATCTTAGGGCGAAAAGTCCCAATGCGGAAGTTCAAAGAACGCCGAACCAGCAGTATACAACTCGCAGGGGAGTATAGAGATTCGCAGTTGAGGCGAAGGGTATAAGGCGATGTTGGAAGAGGATAGGAGGAGGACAAGAATGGGGGACCAAGCCTACGCACCGTTTGGCGCCGGTCGTGAGACAGGACACCAAGTACCGGTAGTGGCGGCCAAGAGAAAGCGCGATCGATATAGAGAGTTGACGAACACCCTATGCAGTGGAGAGAGGGAAAAGAAGGAAGCAAAGTGGTTATTAACGGAAGGGGATTTTCACTGCATTTATGGTCTCTGTTGTCGCCCGTAGCAGAGGGACAAGGTACAACTTTACAAAACCGTTACCACTCAGGACCCTGTAAGACTCTGTTTCGGTTTTTACAAAGTTTTCCAAAGGTTCTCCGATCGTTCCTTCGATCCTCGCATCGTACTTCGCATCGTACTAAATGATCCGCTATTTGTATCCCTGTCGGCTGGAATTTAATGCTTTGCTTTGCGACCTGGTTTGCAACCCGCATTTCCCTTGAAATCGAGTGTATCCACCAGAGAGCGGTCGAGGGACATGGCGGTTCCACCAAGAACCGCCCTCTTGTACGGTGCTTAGGGTTTTAATTTTACTGTTATCCTTCGCACAGTGATCCTCTCCGTCAAGGCGCCAGATTATCAAAGGTCGGTCTATACTTCAACCGCCAAACACGCCCAGGATGCAAAGTACATAGATGAGACGGGACGAGATGGAACGTGCAAGGCGGCCAAGACCTGCTTTACGTGGCAATTCGTTCCCGCGGAGTGGTAGGCACCGTCCACCCCATACTGAAGGTACCTACGAGTACTAGGTTGCCAAGGCTTGTAGCAAGTAGCAAGTACGAAGCAGCAAGTGGCACGTCGGAAGTAGCACACAGCATGGAGATTCACCACATTTGCAGGCACAAAGGCAGAGTTCAAGAGCGTTGGAAGGCCCAGCGGAGCCCCCGAGCACGGTCACCTCGTACGAACTCGAACCCCACTAGAATGGATCTCGCTAGCGAAATCTGGGGCCGCACATCCCAAGCCTTGACACCTGGCCATTCCTGCTCCCTTCTAACTTTGCTTGGGTGTTCTAAGGGACAAGAACCAGAATTTGAATTTGAATTTGAATTTGAATTTGAATTTTTTTATTTGGTGGGAGGAGGGGGCTTTCCCCTTCCCTTCCCCTGCTAGCCCCCCGAGAAAATCAGGTACCAGTCTTCGAAGTTTCCACGATCCCTGCAGGATGTACTTCTATAGGGCCGGCGATCATGGCGCAAGTTATGAATCGAAGTAATCTCTTGGCAAAAAGTGACAGCAATGGCTGAAAGTCCGAGCACGAGGGTTCGAAGGGACAGAATCATAAACCTTTGGGCGAAGAGAAAGAAATAACCGGTATGGTACAACGTACGGGGGCTATGTACGGGCTGCACGCTGCACGGCAGGTCATGGCGCTGGCGCTGCACCAAGTGGAATGGCGTCACAGTGCTTCGAGCGGGCTGCAGAGGGTTTGGCGCCGGGTGGGCCCTGATCTGCGCCTGAACACAATGCCAATCATAACCCAGCTGGCTGTGAATTCCGATTACCTGACTGATACGCGATGGTCCGAGTCCAATCGCCTGGGTGATCCCGTCCCCAAACGTGTCCACCGGGTGATTGCGAGTATGCAAGAAAACGGATCGGAACACGAACTCCCTCTGGGACTCAAGTGGCATTCTTTCAATCAGGCTTATTGTGATGAACCAATTTTTCCCGTAAAATTGGGAGGTAACATCACTGCCACTTAGCCGGTCACGTCGAAATACATCCTTTCGGTTTCTACGCCCTGACAACATAGGTCCATCCAAATTCGTGACAATCAGTCGGACCAGACCGTCGAATCTCTGCCGCCGGAAATTTCTTGGACCCCTTGGACAACCCTCAACCTGTGGGGTATCTGTAAGTAGTCACCGCAGAAGTTGGATTAAGGCAAATCCCTTGTGCCTTGGTATGCAGCCCGGATCTAGGGAAATAGACACGGCCACTTGCAATAATATCTACGAGTGGTCTTGACCTGAAGCATGCCTTGCACAAATTTCATCATGTCCTGACGCCATTCCTAGCTGGAATGGCCGCCGAACCAAAACGCTACAGGCGTAAGAAATTTGACCAATGTTCGAGGACACCCAGGTATATTTAGTAGCAAATGTAAAGAACCCTAGAAACTTGGCAAAAGAGCATGAACTATTTATAAGGGCCCAGCCACATATGAGCCCAGCAAATATTTTGCTGCAGTCTTGTGCGGAAACCAATCGCTGCACAAGTTAGAGAACTGACTAGTTTGGCTTTGGCAGTGTGCTCTTGAGTGATACTGCGTGACAGTGAGGTAAGCCCAACCCCGGATGCGTCGGAGGCACCAGATTGAACACAATCAGACTCCAGTGTATATAGGATCCCAAAGATAGAGACATAGGAAGGCTTATCCGGTTCTCTGGAGTTCAACGGTCGCCGGACAAACCACCGCCCCGACCAAGGCAGGAAATAGTATTAATCCGCTGGCGCAGAAATGAAAGGCCGCCCTCCGCGCGACCATCCGATGAACTATACAATTTGGCGAAAAAATAACAATCATGGTAGAAGCTTGAACCAATTGTCAAATCTCCAATATGTCGGTGTTGCTCGATGCGGCGGCGCTAGCCCCTGTGAATTATTCTGCCCGCGAAATTTTTAGCCTGTAAAGAAAAACCCTGCCTCTGGGTACTTCGCGTCCTCCACCTCTCCACCATCTTCCGGAAGCTCGCTTTCTATCCAACCCATCACTTTCCCTCTGCTTTTGGGTAGTTATTCGCGAGATGAACTCCCGCGAACAGTCCGATATGCCTCCGGCGCCCTCTTACCCTTCCCCCAACGGCGCGCAGATGGCCCAGGGTGCCATGCCGTACTACAGCGGCCGCCAGCTTACCACCGACGAACTCCTCTCCGCAGAACTGTCGCGCGAAACCTCTGGTCCAGGCCTTGGTGATGGGTCCAGCAATGGTGTCCACCATGGCCAGTCGATGGTCATGGGTTCAGGAAATGGTGGCGATATGGGCCGTTCATCAGAGGATCAACACCAACACCAACACATGCTCCAGTTCCCTCCCAGCCAGCAGGTGGGCGTTGATCCGAACCATGATCTTAGCTACGGTGAACAAAGCGCGCGTAAACGTTCGAAAATTTCAAGGGCTTGCGACGAGTGCCGGCGCAAGAAGGTATGATAACAACATCACAAAACGTCGTGACGCGTGGGTCCCAAACTAATGGCGCGCCCATTTTGACATAGGTGCGATGCGATGCAAGTGCGGAAACTGGTATTGAAACATGCTCAAATTGCCGCCGCCTCGGTGCTGTCTGCCAGTTTAGTCGCGTGCCTATGAAGCGCGGTCCCAGCAAAGGGTAGGGAGACTCGACCTCATGAAGACATAGCCATGCTGACAGGTCTCCAGTTATATCAAGGAACTTGCTGAACGTCTTCACACCCTCGAAAGTCAGATGCAACCTGGCATCGGCGTCCAACCCGATGTGCCGTACCAGTCAATGAACGAGGTCAATCTGCCCAGAGGCTATCAAGATTTCGCATCGCCTGTCGATACTGGCTCCGCCAATCGCAAACGAACATACTCAGTCTTTGAGGGCCTTCCAAGCTCTTCATTCGCCCAGCCAAATTTCAATGCCCGCGCCTCGCAGAACGCTTTTGATGCACCAGAAGCCACGGCTGATCCCTACAACCCGACAGTTGCTAGTGGTGGTGCGCCGAAGCCTGGTAACCTGTTCTGGAATACTGGTAATGAGCAGGATTTGCCAAGTGGTCTTGAGATGACAGATATGCCCAGACATGAGGGCGAAGATGACATGACACCCGTCAACCTCGATGAGGGAGCTCTTGATGCGTACGTTCTATACCCGCTCCTACTTCCGCCAAGTCGTTGACCTAACATCGTCCAGCTACTACCAGAAAGTTCACACTCTCATGCCCATCCTCCCCCACACTAGGGAGCGAACCCTGGAGCTTCTTCATCAATGTAATCGCGAAGTACAAGAAACCTTTTGTTATGCGCTCTACACAGTCACTCGCACTGATTTGTCCCGCGTTTCGGGAAACTTTGAAAAAGTCACCTCGTTCGACAACGCTCAGGATCTTGTCCTGTACTACACTAAGCAGCCTTTGATCGTCAACTCCACAGCTGTCAACTTGATCTGGCTGCAGACACTGCTCTTGATGATCATTGATGCCGACACTCGCGGCCCGGACAACTTTGTCCTCAAAGATGGCATTCCGAAACATACCTTAGTTCAGGCCGCCAGCAAGCTGGGCTACGACCTGGCTAAGAACCAAGGCCAATTGAAGAATAAGCGAGCCACGGACCCTGATGTTGACTCGGATGCCAACCTCACTCGACGCAACTGGGTGTCGTTGATTATCTTGAGCAGGTGGTACGCCATCAGTGTTGCTGATGGCACGGTATCTACCGGACAGGAGATCGGTGGTCGCGAGGATGAGCGGGTTGTCGGCCAGATTACCACTGGCATCGCTTCGTACACGACATTCCTCTCTGAGATGGTTACCCTGGCCACTGTCGAGCACAACGTCTGCCAGACCAACAGTGGACTAGGCCGAATGGTTGGAGCAAATCTGGTTGCATCTCTTGAGCGCCTGGGAGAGATGGAAGACGTGTTCAAGGTCCACGAGTTGCCTGAGAACACGAACACTCGTTCGCTTTTCGAGAGCCTCCAGGCCCAACTCTACTGGACCGTCCGCTTGCTCATCAAGCGCCACGTTTTCGTCTACAGTCCGTACGAGATCATCTACTGCGCCCAGGAAGTTATCAACGAAATGCAGAAGGCCGCCTTACAGAACCGCCCCGCCACTCCGTTCGACCTGCACAGCTTAGCATTGGCCTCAATGACTCTTCTTGAAGCCACTGTTCTTCCCGAACACGCAAACGACTGCTGGACCTCCCTCGAGAAGGTTGAAGAAATCCTCGACCACCGCGCAAAGCCTGCTCTCGAGTCCGTCGAGTTTGGCAACATCTTCGGTACCCCAGGCTGGGACGCGAAGATCCGTGTCTTCCTCGAATGGCGCCGCGTCAAATCCCAGGAAAGCCAGCTACACGAGTCTGTCGGGGGCAAGCCTGGCTCCTCTCAGCCTCCATTAATGGGCCCCAACGAGCAACGCTCTCTTCAGCACCTTGCCGATCTCGCTGTTGGCGCCGAAGGCTCTGTCAGCCAGAATGCCTCGTCTACTCCACCGCCTGGTCTGTCTGGTGATCAGGGCGAAACCTCGCCCAATCTCGCACCGCAACTGGCGCAGTCTCAGGGCGGAGCTGGTCGCGTTGTTGTTGACTTCACGATGCTCACGAAGGAAGGATATCTGAATGTATTCTCGGGCCTGATCTACCGGCGCCGCTAGATCTCTCGCTCATGAGACGGGATTACTGTTTACCACCGAAACAACCCCCTGCTGGCGTCTTTAACCCTGCGACTCTAGTATATCCTATCTTGTTTGCTTTGCGCTTCCGCTTTTCGCTTTGGATGGTTGATTCCTGCCAAATGTCTCTTTTAATACACCTCTGACCTTTTCGTGGCTTGTCTCAGTGTCTTGGAGTACGGTTTTTCTATGTTGCTTGATAATAATCACTTGTATCTTACTGCTCAGCGCAAAAAATACCAGACCGAAGCTTGTCATTCATAGTATAATCATATCTCGAGGCACGCAATCATATCATAGTAGTTATAGTAGCCTGCGTGCTAGTCAATATAGCGTAGAGTTTCTTCCCCATTCTTCCCACGCGGGTATAAATGTCGATTGTGTCGAATTCTCTCTCCATTCAAAGCCTAGCAATGGTTGGCAATAGTCACTCGAATCCCCTCTTCTGGCCGAATGCAAAGCGTCTCCACGTCCCCTCAACGTCCTGGCATAAAGTAAGGAACTTGTCGTCATCGAGTAACTCGCACATCCAGTTCTCCAGGAAGGCAATTCGCTCTGCGCTTGGGGAAGCAATGTACTGCTCGAGCTGGTTCTCGATGGAGGTGTTTCCGTAAGTAGGGACATATTCCTGTGTCTGAACTAGCTGGGTATCGGCATGTTCGGGAGATTCCCCTCGGACCATTGTACGATGAATATCTTGGCGCGGTGCAGCGGATGGCTGGAGCTCTGGTGACCCTCGTGTTTGAGGTTGTTGGGTTGAGGGAAAGGGTTGAGATTGAGCCTCGGGTTGCGAGTCTGGGACATACGAGTCGTGTCGTGAAGGGGCTTTCGTCTTGTTCAATGGATCCGCTCCCTGGTACCGGAGTGCATTGGCTTCCCGCTCGGTTGATGATTCGAGTACGAGGTGCTCAAAAGTCCGCTCGCTGGCACTGGCAGCTCTAGATTTTCTCTTGCCTGACTTGGCAAAAGGAAGTTCCCGCCGTGGTGGAAGCATCCGGTTGAGTTGACTTTCGTCGTGGTAGGCTGGAGTGCTGGCAGGCCGGCTGCTTGCTTTTCCCTGCTCGAGATTCTGAGACTCAGGAGCGATATGCCTGGCTTTTTGCTGCACGGATGTGGTGTCAGAGGTCTGACTAGAACTTATGTGTACTCCTTGCTCATATCCGAGGACCGGATACATAGAACCGGGCCCATTGCTATCGGGAGTCATTGCATTGTTCGCATTGCTCAATGTGGTGGTCGACAATTGGACGGAGGGCACTGATGTCCAAGAACTAGTTGAAGGTGGTCTCTGCAGTGTCTGAGTTGATGCACTCCCTTCCGCCAACGGGCAATTAATCTCGCTTAGAATCGCAAGCGCCGAGTAGTAATCTCGATCTTGGGTGAATTTGAGTTGGAAACGGCGGACCTGTTTATGCCTGTCAGAACGGGAATTGACTTAAATGTGCCTTCTCAAATGGATTTACGTGAGTTTGGCTTTGCGCGTATTTCACTGCCAGACAAGGGGACTTGACCACCACGGCGAAGGGTGGTTTCGAGGGTGAATGCGCTTGAGAGATAGAGAGTCGAACAAAATGTTCCAAATCAAGTTGCTCCTGGAATCTTCTCAGCTCTAGATTTCATTCGACGAGTTAATGGAGAACACACCAGAATCCCTTGGTTGTTTACGACTCGCAGGATCAATCTTGATGGTGTCGATGGGCCCCGGAGAACTTGTCCAAAAGACAAACAAGACCTCCGTTGCCATTGACATGAATCCAGGACAATGGTCCGCTGTGGTCGATGGAGGTGGTCGTATGGGAGAATTTGGCCAGAGGGAGCCGGGCCACTTGGGAGGCAATCTGAGGTTGGGGGACGAGAGGCATGTTGAACCTCCAGAGCTTATTCAATAGTACGACAAGCCGTTTTCAATCCAGCTGAAGCGACTTATACAGCCATCGATACCTTGGACTCCAGTGAACACAAGATGCACAGACAGACAATGATGTGGGTGGGAGGTCACCTGTTCCCCATCACTTAGAGACTCCCATAATTCACCCGCAATGCGAATTCGTTCAAGCCCATTCTTTATACAGCAATAAAATACCGGGAGAGATGTACAGCTACGCATATGCATGATGACAGTTACTTGCGTCCAGATATTTCCTAATGACTCGTCGGCTGTTAATCAGATCATGTTGTGTCGAGCTTCTTTTCCTGTCAATAGCGTAGTGTCCATTGCCTATCAAGTGAGCAGCTTGAATATAATTCACAAAGTACTAGATCCAAAAGAAATCCAGGATATTCCAGGTCAAGCTGTTCACACGTCGCCGAACACGTTCTCAACACATGTTGGTATAGTTCACATCACACCCGAAAAGGGATAGCGCATCGATCCTCGGCAACGGAACAACCGTCGACCGAAAACGCGCCTTAGAGAAAGCGCGGACTTTTGGCTGATCAGTTCCGTTGATCGCAAGTCCAGCTTCTCCAACTGCCCTCCAGGGCCACAAACAAGGCATTGAAGGCTATCCACCACCTGAACCCAGTCGCCTGAGGTTGCACTACCTGCGCTAGTCTACGCCTCCCATCGAAGTCAAACACGTATCCACCACTTCGTGTTCTTCTTGGCTGCGCATCCCAGCCTTAGTCTCGAACGCGCCGACAGCTTCACCTTTGTCGCCAACAACTACAGCTGGTGGACGTGATACAAGGACCGTTTTGGCTGACGTTTTCTGTCGTTCCCTTTGTCGACCACTTTAGAGGACGAGACCTCCCTCTTCCGCGACCTACCCCCGGCGCCGCTCGATTCACTTGCGGGACGCCACTTCAACGGCGTTGACCCCTCGTTAAAAACCTCCTTAGTGAAGTGCTATATTGAGGCAGGAACGCAAGTGTCTACCGGTGTCACGTCTGAACCAGCCATTCCAAATTCGCTGGTCAAGGGAGATTTTGCGCTGCAGATCATATCGCTGTGAATATTGTCGCCAGCTGGACCTAGTTGTTGCTTGTAGTGGCATGATGTCTGGCTCTACGCCTCAAAGAACATCTCTCCGACGTAAGAGCCTCTTCCAGAATGTCAAAGTCAACCGTGCTAATACAAAAGCAGAGGGCTTGCGCCAGGCGCCCAAAGTCAACCAACCATTCATCCCCGACACAGCCCCTTCTCGCCGCTCGCACCATCAAAGCTTCACGTCTCCGCCTCCCTCCATGTCCCCTCATATGAGCCTCAACCCGGCGGCCAACCTCCACAGTGCAAGCTTCGCGGTCGAAAGCTGGGATGGAAAAGGCCAGACACAATTGCCAATGTCAACCCGAGAGGTGCCGACACCAGGAAATCGACCCACCCTTTTTGCCAATCTCTATGACCGGAATAAGACTGCCAGACAGCCTGACTTTTACGACCCTTACTTTCCTTTGAAGTTTCTTGAAGTCCCGCGCAGTGAGTAGCGCCTGCGATATTCCACTCAAATCGAAATGCTAATGACATATTCTGTAGCGGACCACATTTACAAACGTGCACACTATGGCCTCCAGTCAGGCATTCCAGATGAAGTCGATTTTGCGCTATACCATCTCGTCCAGATTTCCAATCAGCGGTGGGATAAGTTCAAGTTTGAGGGCTTTCCGTTGCTTGCCGAAACCCTGATGATGAAGGCGCTGGACGTCACATACCTTTGCACTGGCGTGCGATGGGAATTCGAATATGACCCCAGAAATCTATCCGACCGGGTCAACGTGTTGAATTCGCTTCACGGTACACGGGATGTCCTCGAGAGAATCCGGAAGATCCCAACGAACCTTCCAAGTGACACCCTGGAAACTTACGAATTTAACCACCAAATTCGAAACATCAAGGAGGCGACTCTGGTGCTGAGGAATATGGTGTTGCTCAAGGAAAATGCTTTTTACGTCTCGCGCTACGCAAGTGGTTTGCTCCGAGACTTTTTGGTCATCCTTATGAACACACCAAACCAGCCTCGCTTCAATGAGATTAAGAACGATGCTCTCGATATTGCGGAGGAAGTGACCAAGTTCATGAGAACCGATTCCAAAGATCCGCTCTGGGTCTCCCTGGTCAACTGTTTGGATTCCACAGATCGCGCCCATATTGTGCGGGCACTCTGGGCTTTGACGCATTTCTCCACCGAGCTCCAGGATGAAGATGGCACACGGGCCATGGAAAGCCTGTCGAAATCTACTTTACAACAGTTGTATTACCACACACTACTGGACCTCGACAAGGACATCCTGAGCGGGGCGCTGGATGTATGGTACCAATACACGCTCAGCCATGACAACATCGAGACTCTCATGGATGTAATCAATTTCCCCATCGTCTTTGTTCCTCGCATGATCGCACTCTTGACTTATGAGGCCCGGCCCACCAAGCACGAAACTGTTCTCCAAGAAGAGAAGATTGCTCCGGCGCCTTCCGATATTCCTCGAGTGCCCCCGGAGCTTTTGGAGAAACTGATGGAACTTTCAGAACCGGAGCGGAGCTCACAGTGGCTTCGCTGCTGCTTCGTCGAGGATGCGGATTGTGAGATCACTCAGATTGCTCTGTGGCAAGCCTATCAAAGTCGATTTGCGGACCAGCGTGTCCCTGGAGGTGGAGTGCTCCCTGCAGCGGAGTTCATCAAGAACGTCAGCAATACCTTCACCAATGCTCAAGCTCAGGTGATCAACGGCCCGGGAACTGCTACGAAGTTCATCATCAAGGGCATCCGGCCTCTCGAGACTGCCTATACCTTTGATGGCTTCCCCTACTGCTATTGCAAATGGGCGGATAACTCCAAGCCATCGAAGATGTGCCTGCGCGCCTTCACATCTCCAAACGACCTTCGCAGCCACGTTTTCACCGACCATATGCACCTGGAACCCTCAGAGACACCGGGCGAGTTTAAGACGGAAGCTGCCGAAACTCCCATTCATACCTGTCAATGGAGCAACTGCACGCGATTCCGGGCTTCTGGGCCTAGTTCCAATACTGCCATGGTCGCTGGTCATGTCTCCTCCCACCTTCCTGAAAACCGACCTGCGGACGCACCTCCGCCCAGCACCAAGCGTGCTGTTCTCCAAGAGCGCATCGTCCGCAAATGGTACTACATGGATACCCCCATCAACGAGAAGCACGAGCCCATCGGTGTGGCCTACAAGGCTGCTCTGGTCCTGCGCAACATCGCACGTGGCCTCCCCAAACGCACCGCGCCTAAGCATGGCGGTCTGTCATGGAAGAAGGCATGCTTCGTGAGTCAACGTCCCAAGATCGTGGAGGTCTGGGACCGAAACCGTGCACTACGGAAGGAGTTGACCGAGTTGATCATGGTCATCGAGAAGGAAGACGATTACTGATCCCTTCGTGATCCTTCAACGTTCAATTCTATTCGTTTTTCTTTGAGCATCGGTGTTGTACAACTAATACCCTGCTGTTCAATCTCGCCTCTTATCTTGTCTTTGATCTCGGACCTGAGACAGCCAATCTAAGAGTCTCGATTGACGGCCATTGTCATCTGTAATTGCTGGTGCGCACCAGCCTGTACGCCAAAAGTACTGCGGAGTTCTTCCGGGATTCGGGGGTCGGCGAGTATTATCTTTCTGGCGTCTCATGGTGAAGGTAGAGAGAGAGAAATGGACCCCCTTCATTGTTGCACCCTGTCATTGTCGGTTCTGGGCTTTACCTGTGGCGTGCTGTTCTGCTTTCGTTCTGTTTTATGTCTCCTCCACGATGTATGTGTACCATAGGTTTGGAGTAGTGGGAGATGAAAGGGTTTCAGCCCGAAAATTTAGTTTCAACTCTTTCATAGCTAGTTATAGAAATCTGTGAAGCCTTTTTTTTCAAGTTCCTTTCCTCTCATTCCCCCCCCCCCGGTCTTTGCATCCGCTTTGAAAAACTAGGCTCTATTGCCTTTTCGCCTCTGTGGCTAAATCCACCAGCACTAGCATCGCATCCTCTGCGCGTCCGACTGGGACGTAGATGTGGTCATGGAAGAATCCACTGACCACGTTCGTGCTGATCTGATGATCCTTCAGGCGGTTCGTGATGGCCGCTATCAGTCCGATCGCCTCGAGGCTAGAGTGGACGGTGAGAGAGATCTTCTTGCATGGAAAAACGGCTTCTCTGTAGCCGTGTGACAAGGCCAGTTCTTCCGTTGTCACAATGGTGGTACCCTCGGCCTCCTGGGCGATGAGTTGAGGTTGGAGAGTGGCCAGTGGTAGCGAGGTGACTGGCTCGATTGTGTTGATGAAGACATAGGTGGTGGGGTCTAAAGTTGGTTCCATCGTCGCTAGCAGGACGGATAGATCTGTTCCGCCGGCAGCCATTGTAGGATGTTGGGAAGTGACTAATGGTGATAATATTCGGAGATGGTAGATGATCTCCGACTTTATTTGAAAAAAGTGGCAGGTGGGGGGAGCCGAGTCGCACTCAGTGTCATCCACAGGGCGCAGATCTATGGGTCTTCCCAAGTTGAGGAAACTTCATCTTTTCTCAGGCCATCTGAGAAGCTACATCGATGGATGGAATGACTCATTTCCAAAATGTCCGGTCTCAGATCGCCTTCCACGCCAATCTACCGCTTTCATTGGAGCTTTTTTCACCAGCGGCCGACAGGGACGAGGAGAGCCAAAATTTTACATCAACCCCCGAATCGAGTCGCCAAGTTGACTTTGTCGGTATAGGCTCTTCCAAGAGCAATGGCTCCTGCAAGCTGTGTCGTTTCATCTGGTCCATCGGAACACTCCCCAGATATGATGAGCTAGATATGTCTCCATTTGGAGCGAGCAGACTGGTTTGACCTCAGACTGACGTGCAAGCGGCGTATACCAAGACAGTCGAATTGTGCAAAGGTCTCCGAACTTCTTCATTTATGGAATAGCGGCACGATAACGAAGGACACATCCAAAAGTCCAGGAGGAATAGAATAATCACATAGAAGAACTTGGAAAAAACAAGCTGCAAATTTTACATAGCTCAAATTCCCGACCTGATCTCTACCAATCTCCCGTGGGCATGCCAACGAGAGGAACATGCTGTCCATGGAAACCAAAGCCAACAACTCCCTTGACTTCAGCCCTGCCCAACTCAACCAGATTACGAGCATCGAGACAGAGCAAGTAACTATAACCCTGCAAGCCATCAAGCACAACACTAAGAAGGACACCGTCATCCTCACTCTCTCCTTTCGGGTTTGCAACGAAGATTGGCTCCCCAGGGGAGTGGCCATGGCGGACCCACCGGGTCGTCTCCTGTGTCTCGCAGTCGAATTTCATAATGCCATCTGTAAGGGTGGCCTCGCCACCGAAGGTCGTGGCGTATACATATCGATACTTCTTCGTCACAAAGGCTGGATTCATTGTAGGCAGCTCAGGAGAACATGCTTTGCAAGCAGACCATTCCACCATTGCATGTAGAGTCTCCGAGCTAGGCACAGAAGGTAGAGCCGGCAGACGGAAGCGTGTGATGGTTGACCGCAACCCTTCGCCTCTGCCTGCGGCAAACTGTTTAGCACTAGGGAGCGACGACTTGAGGTTCTCGTAGTAGAGAAACTTGAGGAATTCGGTGTTGTCCATGCGCACAAGATCGGCGACAATATCCGTCTTGGTTGGATCTTCCTTTGACGGTTCCTCCCATGCGTTGATGGTATGGAAGCAGAAGAAGGCAGGACTCTCGTAGGTGGCAACGAGTCCCTTTTCAGTTCTGCGATCGATCACATACCATGTCGCCGGCTTGGATGGGTCCGTAGGCATGATGGAGTCCATGAAGGAGCCACTGACTAGCTCCAACGGGTTGACGTGGGAGTTCCACACGCAAAGGAGCACGTAATTCTCAGTTATAAGCAGCGAGTGCAGGTAAGCAGGAATGCCTGTGAACGTGGCCAGGATCGTAGTCTCTCCAGTCGAAGCAGAGACACCAAATACACGATATGTCGACTCTTCCCCGAGAGTGAGATTGAAGTTGTACATATCGCCCGTCACAGGATCGGAGCGGGCATGCGAAGCTGCTAGTGGACCCGCCAGATCTGGATGCAAAGATTGCTGGCTTGCAAGACCAATTGGCTCTAGGGTCTCCGGGTCAAGCTTCTGGAATGCGTTATAGTCCGTCTTCGCATACAGGGTCCGGATGCCATTGGCCCAGCGGTCCTTTGATTCATTCGGATCATGATCGAGACCAGGCATGTTGACTGAAAGAGTAACGCCAATATTCGCAGAGTCAGGAGCAAGAGGCGGGACGTATTCAGTCTGAACTTTGTTGAAAACCGACTTGCAGGGATCTCGTTTCTGGCCAAAACCAAATTTGCCCATTTCCCCGTTGCGCGAACATGCTCAATCAGGGCGTCAGTTCCAAATCGGGAATTGTAGATAACGCGAGTCGAGTCTGCCGATGAAAGAATCTGGAAACGGTGTGTTTGGCTAAATCCATCGAACCAGTGCGACAACTGGAAGAGTCGACCTTCTTGGGTTTCGACCTGGCTTTTGCCTGGTCCTGTACGATAAAGCGTGCCAGCAGCATATGCCGGAATCTCACCGCGTACAGCAAGCTCAACCGGGGTGCGTTCTTCGTATTCTGGATCGAACTACAGCGTTGTTAGATGAACTCCGGCATGCACGCGAGAGACAAGAGCGTACCCCTATATCGTTTGGCCAGTGGTTCCACGGCTCTTCGGTACCAGAGCCGCTCGCGACAGCATCATTAGATTCAGAGGTCAGAGAAGACATTGTCTTGGTGCAATTTAATCAGTGTAAGATACTTGAACTTGGACTGTTTGAAACTTGGGTTGACAAAAGTTGGCTTTTGGCTCTTTTTATACTTCCACCCCCTTTTCTGAGATCTCACTAGACTCGTGGAGTTTCCCGCCCATCTTCTCAGTACCTGCTTGTTGATCTGTGCAGTTGCTGCGACTCCCATCAATGTGGGGGAATCGCGACGGAGCAGGTGACGGAAGAGCGGATAGTCGGTGATTCTCATCTCTCCTTCCTCACATCATCTTCAGAGGTTTCACCCACATCACCTTCACTGACGAACTGGATACCACATTCGGACGTGATCGTCAACCCCTCCCCCAAGGTCGTTGGATGCGAAGCGGGGAATACCCGACCCCGACCCCGACCCCGACGCCGAGGACTGGCGGGATTCACCCGCCTTGCTCTCTTGAACTCGGCTCTCTCGCCTCTGCGCGATTCTAATTCGACCCGCCATATCCATCTCAGGCGAATCACAGCTGCGGATTTTCAATCTTGGACCAACTTCGCTTCGCTCTCGCCTGCCTTTTCTCAAAACGGTCTAGCAGCCCATATGGAAGTTTCACCGCCGACCCAGTGGAGGTGCGACCAGTGCGCGTCCACCTTTAGCCGGCTGGATCATCTGAATCGTCATTTATTGACCCGTATGCATTTTGTAAATTGACAGAGAGTTGCGACCTGACACTCTGCAGATAGCGAACAGAAAAGCCAAGTTTGTCACTTTTGTGGCGCTCTTTTCAGCCGAGGGTGGGTACTCTACGCCCCTTAGGAACTCACTGTATATATGCTGCGTATCTAGTGGTATGAAAGCTCTGACACGGATTTTTTAGCGATGTCCTCCGGCGACATTGGAAATCATGCAAGATTCGGCTAGAAAAAGGACAGGAAATGCCCGAGATTCATCGCGGAGGAAAACACAAGCGCGCGTGCGATAACTGCGCAAGCATTAGAAAAGCATGCAATGGGCAAAACCCCTGCTCCGCATGCATTCGTCGCGAACGGCAGTGTACCTATCAACGGCTTTACAAAGAACCCAATGCTGGAGGCTCTCCCTCCGATGCAGATACAGTGACAAATGCCGAAACTCAAAGGATTTTCCCTGCTGAAATGGAAGACGACGCCCCCAATGAGCAGGAAACATGGGATCTAGGTCTCCAAAACTTTTATCCGTCAAGTACTCCAATTGGAAGAATCGTCTACTCGCGTAATCGATACGGAACATGAAGGCATGCTCAGACCGGTGCACGCCGCGAGAATGACAAATTCGACGCCTCACAAATAATCTTACACTGGGCATGCAAGCCACCATTTATCAAAACGGACGATATGTTTCATATACAATGATATGGTTTTGAATAGTCACTCCGAATAAGTTCCATAATCGATGGCGATTGCTTCAACACTCAAGAGTCTAACAGCAATGGCTTTTGTAAAGAAGCCTTGGCAGGGTTTAGACTTTCAAATATCTCGGAGAGCTCTTCCAGTGTATGGTTCTTAGTCTCTACAGAGAAAATGTATGTCACGCTCGCCTCGAACAAATCCCAAACAATGAACACAATGTAGGTGTGCCAACCAATATTCTTGAAAGCCAGCGGGAAGCAAAACTAGTTGAGGGATTGAACCCATGTGCAATTGAGAATGTCAGACCACCGCCCTTTGCCTCTCGTCTCGGAGGAAAGAGCCTCGACCGGGTAATGCGCCTGTAGCGGAGCGGAGTCATGCCAAAATTATAGTAAAAGCCAAAGACGAAGATGAACGCAATACCAGCTGAGGCAGCCGGTTCCGCTTTGGTATTTGCGTAGATACCAGATCCGATCGTGATACATGCGAAACAAACCCAACAAGCCACAGCTGTCCAGATGTTGGTTGGTCGACGGCCCATTCTCTTGATCTGACTGGCACCAATGCATGAAGCAACCGTCGAGACCACAGTGTTGCCAAGGTTGACATTCAGCACTTCTTCAGACGCGATGATACCAGTAGTGATCAACATTGCTGGCAGCTATTATGTGACAACTGCGTTCCCTAAGCATTGATACCAAATCCCGGTAATCAAAGCGTTGATAAATCGCCATCCTCCTAACTTGGTTCTGTAGAAGTCGCCACAGTCCCACCAGCGCTTACCTGAGCCGCAAAGGGCGCTAAATTCGCGGTATTCCTGCAATTGGAGCTGGACAAGTAGATGATCGGGGTTGCCTTCTCCATGATAGTACGCTAGGAACTCCAATGCTTTTGCTCCCTGGCTATGTGAGAAGAGCCAGCGCGTTGACCCAGGAAAGAAGAGTACAGATAGCAACACAATTCCCAAATCATTTGACCATGGAATCTGCCACGCTGTGTTGTCAGCATATCTAGCTAATCCTCCCGTGACACCCGAAGCGATCAGCGATCCGACGGCATACGTGCAATTGTAGGGAAGCCATGATAATGCCTCGGTATGCAGGCGGACAGACCTCTGCACACCATATAGAGCTAGTTGATCGAATGATGTTGACTCCGAAGCCGAGGAAGAATTGACCGGCTACTAACGTTTTTGGGACGCCCTGTGAGAGATCAGAGACGAAAGTAATGGCGACAATGATCGGGCAGCCATTAAAGGTACCCCATTTGCGGCCACGGGTGTCGCAGGCTGGTCACTCAGTCAACATTTTCCCAAGAGACGTCTTCACAGGAGGCGCTAGAAGCGACCTATACATCTCACACTATCAATACGGTCTCCGCTAACCCTGCTACCTTCACAGTCGCCCAGAGTTCACTTCAGTCCGCTGCTGACCTCTCGATTACATTGGAAACTTCTATGCCACCTCAATACACGATGAGTTCCTCCGAAGCCATTTCAGTTGCATCCAGCGTTTACTCTGGTGTTGCAACTACGAGTTGTCCTGGTGCACTGTTCACATGGTCGGCCAATTCTCAAAATGAGCCACAAGTCCACATATCTCATGTGTATTTGGGGGATGTTCGCTGTGTCTTTCATTCTTTGCAAAGGACATTCGATCCTTTGATCATGTACAAATATTGTCTCATCGATAGCGGCATTTGTGTCGGACTTGTGTCTCTAATTATTGATCGTGTAACTACTTGTAGTATGTTTCAGCCATGGTTCAATTCATGGTGTTTTGTTGAAATCGCTTTTCAAGATCTTCGATCTAGTATAGTTCTTGCAGCATCTCTTCTGTTAGAAGAGGGTTGTTGAGACCATCTTCGTAACAGCCCACCTTGGCTCAAGTCTTCATTTTCACTGGCAACGGCGAATACCGCTGTAACGGTGCCTGTTTCTTTTGCCGGTTCGAGCTGCCAACTAGTTGGAAATGATATAACAGCACTAGCGTAGCCGTCTGAACTAATCCGTCACTCCATTTTCTGGCCAAACTTAAACACGAACAGAATCAATGTAGTTGTATCAACATAGCTATGAGGCGTATGGAAAATAGCAAAAAACTAGAGAAAAGTAAAAAACATACAACAGCAGGGATTCGCTGGTGGTCACCCACCCAACTACTAACCTGCCGGCGTGTGGCTTAAGTACGGCTGAGCGGACGGGAAGCCCTGTTCTCCACACCCTATGGTCGTATGTATTTGGAACTTGACTAGAGCAGACTATATACTTTGGAGTTTCCTGAGAGTAACTCATTGACCGCCGCTTTAGCGTGGCGCGACCCAGGGTGACAAGGGTGAGTGTGATATACAGGAGACGGGGTGAGAGCCGGGTGACTAATCACCTTGGGGCGCACGAACAGCGCATTGACCCTCTAGACATTATTGGTCCACCGCGATCTTTATGGAACCACGGTCTCTTGGCATCTGCAAATACCATCGAATTTCAGCGCAGGATCGGCCTAATCAGCGGCGAGGCTGACTTCCACGTTGCCTTGGGCCAAGTGCTCCACCGAATAGTTAGGCATCGAGACACATCAATCATCACGTGGCCATCACCCTTGGGGCAACGTCCCTTTTGCAACATAACCGTTGAATGACCCTAACTACAGCTATCCCACAGCCCAATGATCAGCATTTAGCTATGTGCATATCGTAGGTCTTTGTTCAAATTCTGGCCCAAATATTTAAGAAATCCGGCTTTTGTCTGAGGTAAATCGCGTTATAGCCCGACGAGGCAATACATTATCTATATAGAATCTCCGTGAAAAGAAGTAGAAGAGATTAGGTCCGCCCTTAGGCGTAACGTTACCGAAAAGGTAAAACTACTGGGGGGTGTTCTCACTCTATACAGAATCTCTTAGCGGGTGGTGACAAAACAGAGCCTCTCACTGAAAGAGCCTCCCGTTGACAAACCCGCCCTACGAAGAAGTCATGTGGGGAGCACAATCCATGTGGTAGCATAATCTACATGGCAGCTTAATCTATGTGGCAGCATATACATATGGTGGTACAATAGGACGGCCCGAACGGCCACGTGGATAGTTCATATAGAGCCAGATCGCAGCCATAGTTATATACTGTCATTCTCACCACCAAGTAGCACCTCGCAATCCCGTTCCGCTGTTGCACCACGCCAACATTATCTGATATTCTGTCGAGGAGAACAATATTTAACATTAGAAATATACATTAATGTAATTTTTCCTTAAAATAACTGACAGGAAGCGCAGTATTAATATCAAGTCGTGATTTAGTTTCTGTTTTCTTATCTATAGAATTACAAAGTTATGGATTATCTATTATATGCTATGTGTTGAAATTCTGACTCTTCTACTTCAGCTAGGTTAGCTTACTTTTCACGGGGTGGATTATCAAGTTATTTTGTTTTATTAGGCATTGCATTAATATATAACTAGTGTAGTGGGAGAACTGGTGACATAATAGCATATGTGTGGCCTCAGGCATGATCTAATGTCTGCAGTGCATAGTGCATCTTCAAGACAGATTCGGAGATAGACAAGTCATCTACCCAATTCATTCAGGTTCACCCCATTTTCTTCTATTCATGATGCAGCATTAAGGTGATTCCGTACTGCCGCATCAGGGCATCAGTACGGCCTCATCCAGACCGTCCCCTACACCGGGCAGGCAGTGTGTGTGTTTGTTGTCCAGTCTGCATCGCCAGACAGCCATCGAGCCGTTCCCATTTCAATAGATTTATAGGTGATGTATATGTAGCTTTTATATTATGAATAATCTAGCTGGTGCAGAAATTGAACAGCAAATACAACTACACATCTACCTGTAGGATTCTTATCTAAAATATCAGCTGCTCCATTCCACTTCTGACCACCTGATGTTTATGATAGTATACCGACAATAGTAACAACTTTTGTTGCTATTATAGCACCCTATCAATATTTACTCTGTTATTATATATATAACAACTCAGTAGAATAATAGGAGAACAATCCATTACTAGCACAAGGAAATGAACCTCGTAACGAAGTAGACTCACGACAACAGCGTGGAATGTTGAATTCCATAGTCAAGATCACGCAGCGGACCCTTGAACGTCGGGCTACTTATTCGCCTTCAAGCTGCTAACGACATCTTCCGCTCCTTGGATGGCAAAGCAAATTGCAGTCAAAGTGGGATTAGAGCCGTTCGAACCGGGGATAACATTCAGCCCTCCCAGGTAGAGATTGTTGAAATCCCAGACCTTACTGTTCAAATCACAGCATGAAACCTCTTTCTCCTTCCCAGCCGCCGTGGTGCCACAAACGTGCAGTGCCAGGCCAGGGGCCAGGAACTGGGGCTCGGAGCCGGGGAGATAGCCACCCAAGCTACCAGCTACTTTTTCCATGTCTTGCATCATTCTATGGGAGTTCTCGCGGTCCTCTTCACCGAGTGTGAATTTGAATGTAGGCTGCGGCATGCCGTAGCCATCCTGGATATCATCTTCAAACGTCACGCAGTTGTCCCAGCTGGGCTTCACCATTCCGAAAAATCGCAGATCAACAATGGTTCGCTTGTCAATCGCTGGGGGCGCTGCGCCATAGGAGAACGCGTCACGGTGGATTTGAGTGTGCCAGGGATAGCACTCCGACAGGGGAAGGGTAACCTGAGGGTCTAAGTCGTTAAACGGAAACGGTAACGGATCCTCATAACCTTGCGCTATGGTCTCTTCCTTGTGCTGGTCCACTTTCGGCTTCCACTTTGCCCTGAGTTTTTCCCATGCTTCCTTCTTTTGAGGATCGTTCGGGTATGGATTGTGGTTATCGTCGGCCACTGCGTTGATCCAGGATTTGTTCAAGACGATCTGGCAAAAGCACATGGTTTGCTCGGTCAGATTGTGTCCCTAGCGCCGCACTATCAGTCAGCATCATATTATACATTGGTGACAATACGGGGGTCACTCCACCAAAGCTGGAAGCCGGAGGTAAGTAGGCGTCTCTTTAGACATCTTTTCTTTCGGCTTGAACCCTGACTTATATAGTAACTGTGGCGTGAGTATCGATCCACCGCAGATGATGTATTTGTTGGCCCGGACGTATTGTTCCTTGTTCGTGCGGAAGTGGAGTAACTGGGCACACTTGACCGCTCCCTCTTTGTCCTTTGTATCCTCAAAGTGAAGTCTATCGCAAATGCACTGCGACCATAGAGTAAAGAGGTGCTCTCCATCATCGTCCTTTTTATCTTTAATTGGGTCAAGGATAGTGGAGGACGACGACCAGATAATAAAATCCTTGTTTTTTTTGGTTTCTCTGGGCTGCCAGAGGAAGCGGAGCCGGGTTTCGTGCATTGTACTCGTCCTTTAGGATCTGGAGGACCAGTTCTTGGCGAATTGAATCCTCTAAAACATCTGTGCGCGTTCCAATGAGGTCTTTCGCACGCTTATACAGTGCGGTCCATTCGTCGTCTGTGAAGATGGTCGAGCGTTCCAGCCCTTTAAGTTGTTCGGGGGTCGCACAGGTCCAACTAAATTAGATTGATCAGTGGCAATCTCGGGTGATAGGGTATCTCTACGCGATCGGAAAACACAGCGGGGCAACTGGAGCTAAACCAGCAAGAGCCAGGGGGGATCAAAACTTACTGGGTGGACATGCCGCCCACATTGCGTGCCACGGCGTTCGCGTCAAGGTTCACCGTTGGATCCTGTTTGGGATTCTGCCCATTGTATATTTGGTTTTCCCTTTTCCACATCAGCCTATGCGCAATAGCCAAGAGGTGTGATCACGGTGGAATGCATACGCTGACCAACAAATCGGGGGTAAAGTAGGAACGGTCGACTTTTTTGTTGGGACTGAAGTGAGATGCAAACTTCCCTGGAGAGGTAGGTTTCAAATGTCAGCTTGGGCACTCCGTCGGGTTTTTGCTGTTGCCTACGTGAATGATGCTGATCCGGAGACGGTTAGCTACATTCCATGACGCCAGACTGTCTGACCGCACTCACTTGACAAAAGCATCAATGTCTTTCTGGAAGGCTACAGCGTTCTTCTTGTGCTCCCCAGCGTGTTCGCTCTCTCTTTTACAATGTCAGCAAGTCCGTACTCAGGAACTGTTCCTTCTGAGACTCACTGTGCACCAGCCTCGACCATCAGTACCTTGTAACCCGCCTCGACTAGAAGCCTGGCGTAGGTGGCACCAATGGGGCCCGAGCCCACGACTAAGTTCCGTTAGCGCGGAGTCCCTGAGATATGTGGCAGTTTGCCCTGGCCATGTTGAAAGGCAGATGGGAGTCTTACTCAGAGCATCATAATCATACTTATCCATTTCGGTACTGGAGAGAACAGCTGCAGGTTACTAGATCTCGTAAACAAGAGCAGAATGTCTTGTCCTCTTTCGCATATCAACCTCGGCTTGTTCTTTTACGGGGTTTATATGTGCGAATACCTAGTTGCCGAGAAATATCTGAGTGATATGGAGCAATTTCGGTGATGTCAAGACTTCTAAAGACCTCAGCTTAAACCCACTGTCGACTGGCGCAGTCGTGCCGGAAGCAGAATGGCAACATGTCGGTGGTTATGGTCGAACCATGCGGGGTGCGTGGATCCCATATCCCTTGACGTGTAATGATGATAAGGCAGAGGTAACATCATGACTTTTTTACCGGTGACCTACGTGCTGGTCTTCTGATTCGAGAAGATATTGCAGTTACTGGATGCAGCTCACGCCCTACGACTGACCGAAAGGCAATTAGTGTCACGGAGAGGTGCAAAGCTACCTGGGTTAAGAGCTATCCGAAATCCTGGGTGCGGAAGAGTGGGTCCAAATCTAAGTTAAGGTTGGTTTCCGCCTTCCCCGCCCCGTAACGACGGATAGGTGGACGATACAGCCGGGGATTTTGAGTTTGCAGGTGCATACTTTAGTGGATTTTGAGTACTGTTAATATAGACTCGCACCACAGATGTAGAACGGATCGAGTTGGTAGTCTTCCCTTGTGGGCCTTCTGCCGATAATGCGGCTTGCAGCGTTGGCGTCAAAGTGACTTCTACGGTCCTAATATGAATCATTTATCCATGGGAAGTTTGTTTTCTGCTGTTTAGTATCAGTTAGTTTTACATTCTAGACTTCATCGGATGATGGCCCACCCAGGTCATCTCAATGTCAGTCATCATAATGCCGCTCTCGGGAGTCCCAGAAGTAACACAAAGGAGACAGTTTCTTGGAAACATGTGAGTTTAGAGAATGACCATTCATCTTCTCAGAGTGAAGATCTGGATCCCTTAGCCAGGCTAACATGACTCCTCCTTAGCAGAAGGGGGTTCAAAGGACCTGAAAAGGTCTCACGGTCTAGGAACGGTCACAATCACTCGCGGGCCGATGTAATAGTGTAGATTGGGATAACTCACGTCATAGCCACATCTTCGTAGGAGTTGAGTCCAAGGCCACCCTACATAGTATTTTGGAGCCTTTTCCGAAGTCAAAGATATGCAATATGGAGGTTGCTTATGGACAGATAGCACCCACAGTCCCGATTTAACCCCCTGTCCCGCTTTAAATCGCCCCATTTAACCCGATGCTTCCTCGGAGTTTTCGCGGTCTAAACTAGATCTTGTTGCATTTGACGCTCATTTTTCGTTATGGGAGATCGTGGTGCCCGTACTCAATACAACGGGGTGCAACGAGATCTCGTTCCATTCTGGATCCTTAAGGGAAATTGCCTAATCTGAAGGCATTTAGAAGTCACGATGACGTATTCCAACTTTCTACGAAATATAGTTTAATGATATTACGTCTGTTGTAAGAATGTGGTACCAAGGGCCAAATAGCCGCTTGGCCATTCCGTAGCCTTTAGCAGCTTGTGTAACATTCTCCAGTGCTCTTCTAGGTGATGCCGTATACGCAACCAGTCATGTTGACGCAAGTACCAAGTCTTTGAAGAAGCATCTCTAATAGGAGGCGTCGCAACTTTAGGTAAAATAGACGCTCCATACAGAGAGCTCTGTTGGGCAATCCTACAAAGTTACTCGTACAAAATCACTTGTACAGTCACTTGCTCGATGCCAATCCTCGGGTCAACAAATAGAATCAGGTCAAACAATACTGCTTCCTATTAATAGCCGCCGGCGACTAAGCCACTTTGTCCATCGTTTACGACTAGGCTGTTACCTTTTTTGGTTCTAAAAGCTAAATTGACTGCATCCACTGTACTACTAGTAGAAGGCTTTGCTGGTTGCGGATTAGCGCCCATTAGTGCCCATAATTCCCCAGTAATTCCCCAGATATCTGCAACCGCATCCACGGTGCCTTCGGTGCATCAAGGTTTAGAGGCTCAAAGGTGTACTGCCAGCACCTGAAGTTGTCAATGCTGACATATTACTTGATGAAAGGTTTCAACAGGTTTAGACACCGAGGCGAAGTGGCCTCGGCTGATGTATGAAGAGTCGTTCTACGCAGAATATACAATAACCATAGTTAATGTTGTGCTGAACATTTGCGCATGCAACCAAGGATGTCATAGCGCTGTCAATCCACCGACTCTGCGAACAAGTGAGGTGTTATTCAGGAAACATCAAGCCTTTTTCCCTCCGGCGATCATGCTGGGTAAATCCATCAATGAGCGAACGATGTCCTGTTATATTAGTGGATGCTGTCTGGGACCTCATCATTTGTTAAGTCGATCCGACGGCTTCCTCCATATTACGGGTAGAAGTTTCTGCCCGTCGTCACGAGCGAGCGACGCAGTTACTTCCCGGAGCAAGGCCTGGTATGGGGAGGTCCTCAATATTTGGACCACCAGCCACTAGGATTTGCGGCCTCGATTACCCCCATGCTTTCCGCGATACCATCGTGAGCGTTGCAAAGGAAGTTTCACCCTTGCGTCACCTGGTTTGTCAAGCTTTCTCTTTACAGGGGCAGGTTTCGCACACGACTTTGGCACTCAACTCCAGCAATGCCGAGAAAACCATTTCTGGCAACAGTGAAGAAAGTCGAATGACTAGTACAGCGTTGGATGTGGAGTCGAAACTGTAATATTTGCGTAATTAAACTTTATTTCAATCTCTTGGGCACGAATTGATAGCTAGAGAGGTCTGGAACGAGGTAATTCAGACAATCAGAACATGACGTTTCGACCCCAATGAAATGCAAAATCCGCCGGTTGCGTAATGTATTCTGACACATATGTTGCACTCTGGTCTATTTCGGCGTTGATTAGCTTCTTGAATAGAGTCATCTGCCATCGGTAAATGCCTACGGTTGCTTTGACAACGTATATATTGAACCTAGTAGGAAAACTCAGGTTCAGATCTCTCTTTCGCGGAAATTGAAGGTTACCTGCATCTACTTCTTTGCTCTCTTAAGACCTCACCTGGCAGACCCAAAATGGCCACTCATACCGCCCCAAAATTCACAAAGGCAACCATCCAGAAGCAACGTAAAGACGGCTACTGGGTGTGTGCATTTCAATTCTCGAAGGAGGACAAAGTCCCAGGGCTTATTGCGTGAGATATCCTGCTCAAGTAGTTAGCAACCGACACCAGCTGATTGCCAATGGTGCGCACAGGTCCGGACTGAACAGCGGAAAAGTCGAGTTTTTGGATAACGCTCTGAATGTGAAATCAGATACTAGATGTATGCCTCAATTCCCAGGGAGCTCGCAACGACGCCGCTGACAAGCTTCTTAGCCGTGGAGGATGATGATAGTAAGCGACTAACACTTCCCGTGAGATTCAATACAGCCGAATAGTAACCATAGACCATCTGGCAGCCTGGGACGTGTACCCAGTGGCTCACCTGTCTACGCCTGTTGCTGTGGTGGGCATGGATATCACACAAAACGGCCTCATGGATGTTGTTGTTTGTCATGATTTTGGAAACACTATGATTGAAAGCGACGAGAAAGGTGGACATATCAGCTGGTTCGAGAATCCCGGCCGCGCGAACCTCAAGGACAAAACCTGGAAGCAACATCATATTGGTCGATGGCCGGTAATGCACCGTCTCCAGACTGGTTACTTCACTCAAAGGTAATAACTTCCTCGCATCTGCATACCGTCATGTATAGAACATGCAAAGGGCACTGCTAAGTCGCTTGTAGGTCCTTTCCCGAACTGATCGCGGCCCCGGTGCTTCATGGACGCGAAGATAAGGTAACCAAAATCCACACGTGTATGGCGTTTTGACAGTACATTTATAGTGGTTAACCTGGTTTTTACTTCCCCATAGACTACTCCTATCCCAATCATTCGATTCCAAATTCCTGAGAAGCCGTCTGCGGTGTAAGTTGCACTCGGGTCGAAGGCTCCGACGTCATAGGTTAACATTTGATTTTCTTTCGTCCAGGAGCGAGTGGCAACGCGATATAGTGGATGATCAGCATTTTACTGTCGTTCATGAGATAGTCGCCAAACGGTTAGTGAGCGGTCCAAATCCTTCAATATAAACTGGATCGAGTGAGTATCCACTGACTGCAAGGGAATAAAAACCACAGGCTGGATGGCCCGTCAGGCTTGGATTCCCTCCTTGTTTCCTCCAGAGAAGGCGTGACTAGGCTATACCACGACGAAGGTCGTTGGAAACGAGAGCTTATTGGAATAGGTGAACCGAAGACACCAGGGCAGACAGACAATTCTATCAGTCCCGGCTCAGGAGATCACTGGGGAACTGGTAGTGCCGACATTGGTAAAATCGGTAGTGACGCTTTTTCCTACGTCGCCACGATCGACCCATTTCATTCGACTAAGGTGTGTGTCTACACCAAAGACAAACACCCAATCTACGGGAAAAAGTGGAAGCGCCATGTCCTGAGATGATTATGGAACGCCAACCCAGCAACAGCACTGGGGAGATGGTCCAGGTCACTACGTAACATGTGCCGATATTGACGGTATGTTGTCATGGTTATCTAATTGAAATGGGTGCTGGGAACGCTGACCGAAAAGGTGATGGTATTGACGAATTCCTTGTCTCTATGTTTGGGCCGCTGGATCGCACGGATGATGGGACGCTCACGGGTGTAAGTGTCATTCCGCGTGGGAAGGTACAACAGTGCTAAGGGGGATGTGACTTTCCGTAGGACGAGGAGCAGAAAGGGGAAAATCCCAATAAGGCATGCCATCTGCTATCCCATTAAAGACTCATTGAAACCTATTACTGACACCTCCACAGGGTATACTTTGCTACAAACCCATCGATCTGGAAAATGGCGTCTTCGCCAAATGGCATATCACAAAGGAATCATCTGGAAGACATGCTGTAGGGTACGTAAATACGTCTCTTTTTACCGGGACAGCGCGAGGGACTGACAATTCTACTTCCCTCTCCCAGGAACTTTTGCGGGAATGGTAAAAACGATATAGCCTCCATCAGCTACAACGTGAAAGATTACTATCAGGAAAAGGACCCGGAGGTCACCCTATACAAAAATGAGGCTGATCGGCAGCCGGCTAAGGCGCGGATCATTGGGACGGTATGGGGAGGTGAAGGGATGGTTTACATTCCGGACCCTATTAACATCTGCGGCGAACCTGCCTCAAAGGAACTAATCAAAGTCGCAAATTTCCAGATCAGCGTCGAGGTGTATCCTCCCAATAGCAAAGTGTCTGTAGGAGACAAGCAAGGCATTAAAGTCCTCTACGGAAGCTTGGCGGACACGGACGATGAACTGAAGGCCCTGGGAGGCGAACCGTTCCCGAAGAAGGAGTCCTTGATCAAATCCGGAGATTGCCTTTCCGTGAATCAGAACACTGGCGCTATAATTCTCCGCTTGGTGCCCCTCAGCAGTGGGGATGAAAAATGGACAAAGGCAGAAGACGTTCCGGTTCAGAACACATTCGTACTGAGCGACGTCGGATTAGAGGCGCCGAAGCTGGAGTTTATCAAGGTCGAGAAACTCTGGTGGGGAGGCGACTTCAAGGGAGACGAATTCTACAACCTGACAGGATTCCATTTCCGCTTCCTGGAAAGTAAACAAAATATTGCACATATGCAATTCTGGACTGCCGGTATGCCACTCTGTTACCCTGGGAGGAAATGGGAATGCTGACCAGGTTATTCCAGGACCCAATGTGGATTGTCGTCTGCATGACCACAGCGACAAAGCCTTCAAAGAGCTCCACACGTGCTTGTACCAAGGATCTGTGGAAAACGGTAACCCAGAACATTTTGGCGGCATGTGGGCTCCCAAGCAGGGAGACTGTTATAAGTCCCTTGATGAGGTAAAGAAGCTCCAACAGGAAGGCAAATTAGAACATTGCCCACTGGCGCGACTCGAGGAGCATGGCCGTATCTGGCACACCGATCACTATGGCCAAACAATCTACCGAAAAAATAAGACGGTGTCGTATCCAGGTCACGCTTGGATAGCTGGTCTCGGGCCCAATATCGATGTGTGGATGGCCCTAGAGTTCGATGCAAGGCTAGAGCTGTGAGCGATCTGTCGGAATTGGATTTTATGGCCCCCGGTCCCATGTAGGACTTTTCTTTTCCTTCCCCCGGCCTCTTTTTTTTCTGATGTTTGCTGGTACTTCGACTATCTCCCCGGTCAGGAGGCGATGTACTCATTACTGTGTATGTACTAATTCACTAATGCTATTTCGCTGACGTTTTCAATATCTAATCATTTTGTGCAACACAAGACTCCTTAACGTTCTTCACTTTGAAATATGCGTTGACCATTGAGATTCTGGAGGCGATGGGGTCTGTATCGGTAAGTAAGAGTACGGAAGGATTAAAAGTATGCCTTATGGGCGGTGCCGTGCGGCAGAAAAAGTAGGGTAACGTGACCGTTCCTATCTGTTAAGGCCTCGAGGCACTGAGGCCTAACGGGCTTACGTGAGGTGACTGGGTCAGTCACGTGAGTCGAGTGGCGTACTCATTACAGTGTAAGAGCATGATTGCCTAAGAATAATTATAATAATAATCTAATTACGAAGAAAAGGAATCGAACCTTCGATAAAAATTGCAAACGAATACATAGAAAAACTCCCTGAATCCGTATAATTTATATAGAGATGAGTAAGTCACGTTTCCTACATATTTATCCTATTTGTGGACCCCGCGGGTCACCCTCTACGGGTCGGGCACCTCTATGTCGACCCTCAGGGTCGACATTGGACCCTCACCCACCCGGGGTTGGGTGGAGGGTCCGCAAGGTCACCCGCGGGTGAGTGCCAGGTCTAATTCTCGCCCTGTTCTCACCCCTCTCACTCCAGTCTCCAGACTTCTCACCTATATCACCCACACTCACCCTAGGGGAGCTTGCATCGATATTTTAGAAGCAAAGGGCTCTTTGAGAATTGGCCATGCAGAACTTATGGCTTAAGTACGGCTGAGCGGACGGGAAGCCCTGTTCTCAACACCTTATGGTCGTATGTGCTTGAGGAAGTGACAATGAAAATTATATACTCCAGAATAAAACAGCATTCAGTAGAGAGCAAGGTGTGTACGCAAAGCAAAGTGAGCACAGGATACCACCCGACAGAATTGAAGAACCCATGAAGATACTCAAATACCTCAGGCATGATGTGGTATCCGGGCAATACCGATCAATTGAAGTAACTCAACTCGGTCATCGGGCATCGGGCGAAGGATCCGGTCGACAGCCATAGCGACCAGGACTCGGTGCTTACCTCACGAGAGTCCGCGGCGCGCTACAAGAAGTCAGATATCTTTCTTTGAAATTATTTCTTTCAGTTCGGTCGAGTGGATTTCAGTCCGTGAAAAAAGTGTTCCCTGCACTTACTCGCCAAGTCACCACATGGACGTCCGTACCATCCGCTCATACTCCGACGACGCCAAATTGGCCGTCAATGCCTCAAACAAGGCCTGTATTCCAGTGATTGGATCGGAACGAGACAGAGTTCGGGCGGAGTGTAGTACAGACTATTTGTTGTTGATACTTTTGGGTTATGGTTGGGTTATGGAAAATACAGGATTGGATATATTTGCACTATTGTTTAATGATCCAAGTCATCAGTCTAAAATCCACAGAGAAAAAAAAATGACCAATACCACACCAAAGGTGCAAGAGAGAAAGAAGAAAGACCGCCCAAGTAGCCTCCAGGCTTCAAATCATATAATTCACGTTGTCATACACATCACCGATGAAGCTCTCATAGTTATGCCACGCGATGTTATCATCCGAGGCGGGCAGTCCAGTGGTGGTAAAGTCCATTCCATCCCAAACATTGGGATAAGGTTCTAGCATATCGAGGGTAATGGTAAGTTGGGGCTGTGAGACCGTCGGGGTAGCTGACTGGCCAGCAGCCAAAGTCGAGTCTATGCTCATTGTATAGCTCGCCGATCCAGGCGGAGCATTCAAATCTTGCGACGAGAGTTGCGCCGTCAATTCTTCTGACGTGAGTGGCCCGGTCATTGATTGAGCGACGGAGGTCATGGGTATCATGTGAGGTGCGTGGTACGGGGCCTCGGTTGGAGATTGGCTTCCGAGCATTTCCCGCTTGTGATTTCGAGCTTGGTTCATCAATTTCTCGAGTGGTTTCCAGAGCATGCCATGCTGGGAGTCTGCAACGCCTAGGCTTGATCGGTGGAACACTTGCTCGACGACAGGCCAGTACTTGGTCATTGTTTGTGGATCTTTACAAACGCACAACTCGGCGAGGGCGACTGCGAGGCCGTGCCATGGGACCCATAAAGAGCCGAACCACATCCATGGTGCCGTAGCAGGGTCACTATATGACTCGTGTAGTTTCTGCAGATTATCCGCGGCGAGTCGAAGGAGACTATCTCCAGGAACTTGGGAGGAATGAAGCTAGTGCTTCTTTGCAACGGACGCAGACAGCCCAATTGTAGAAAACCGTTAATGGTAGCTGCTGTTCGTCTGGCGTATAATTGAAATGCGAACAGATCGGGTCTGCATCCTTTCAAAAGTGCGCTTGCCTTGTCTTGAAAGTCCTTCAAGATCCGTTTCCTAAGGGCCATGGTTTTCTTGCCGGGTTCAATGAAATCTCTAAATGCAAGCATTCTCGCGACAGACTGCGCTGCAGCAAGGATCAAAGAATGAGTCATGTCGGTGAAGGTTCCTTCGGGGTGTTCCTGAATGGGCGTTTCCATGCCGAAGAAAATATCTTCGTCATTGATATTGGCCGGTGGATGTGCGTCTAGCCATGCAGACTGCATCATCGGTTCAGAGGCTCTGTCCAGAGAAGCTGCTAAGTCGAGAAGACCTATAGCCTGCCAGAGACGGCGCCGCATCTGCCTGTCAAACGAGCTGACGTAGAATGGTGGATCACCCAAATGAAGACATAATGCTTGGCCGACTCGTAGTGCCATGGACATCATGGTCCAGACGCGTCGACTTTGATCTTGAGATCGGGCTGCGAGCTGCTGCTTGGTAAGTTCCGAGGGACGTCATTGTAGAGTTCGGAGGGACACTTGAACGTACCAGGGACAAGACGTAAGCCTGCAAAATAGTCAAATCATTCGTGGTCACAAAGTCAGACTTCACCAAGGCAGCCTCGGTTTCCCTTTGAAGTTCGGTCGAGACGGTCTTCTTGTCCACGCCGAAGATCACTTGGCACTGCCCATCGTCAATTGTACATACAGCCGCGTAATAAATCGCATACGCCAGGGTCAATGGCGCTTGGTGATCTGGCTCATAATCCAGATACGGCTCATCATCGATGAGGTATGCTCGCACTGATGGGCGGTGCAGAATCTTAAAGACTGGGTCCACATTGCGCAAAAATATTTCACATAGACATCGCCGTGTCTGAGGAGCAATAGTGATCCCTCGAAGCAATTGTGGGGACTTGGGACTGTCTGAGCTCTCAGAGCCTAAGAACGAAGTCCCACCAAAGCCAGGTGGATTCTGAGTCTCAAGCTCTTCGTTTTCCCAGCTATCAAGAACATGGCGGAGTTCACTTGTCTGTCATCATGAATAAGTTGAAAGTCTCACATACATTCGCGTTGAAGCAAGCGGATACATCAGAAATTTTGAGTGCTTACCGTCTGCATCATACTCTCCCAAAAGGAGCTACCAATGTAGGCAGCCTCTGGGCGCGGCCGATGGGGCAAACTCGATGCCGTGGACGGGTGAGAGCTTTCGTTCCGCCAGCTCTCGACATCTTCCATCTTGGGCTGCAAACTACTCTCGGACCGCTCCACATCCGTGCTGCCAATCGGTAGAGCCGACTGAGGCTCCCCCGGGGGGAGCCTGGCCGTCGGGGGCGTACTTCCGTAAGAGATCTTCAAGCTTCGCAACGCGATCGGCAAGCTCTCTATCAGTGTGGGCCACCCGCTCGGGCTGCCTCCTCGTTCTGCCCCGCGGTAGACGGGCCCGCTCAACGGGTACACATTGAAAGCCGAGCCGCACGCAGCTCGTACAGGGGCTCAGCTTATCGCATTTCACCTTGCGTTGGCGGCAAGCTTCGCAGCTGAGCCGTACACGCGGCGCGGAAGATCTAGATTGAGGCGCCCGTTCAGGCTGAGCTGCCGGGTCCGCCCGATCCTCCATGCTCGTGCAATCAACGATGCAAGATGGACAGATAAGAATGTACTGTGCAATAGAAAGGGTTGTTCTTTATCAGGTATACAGGGACATGGAGTTCGTGACGGGTGATCAAGTGGGATCGTAGTTAATGGAACCCAGCACTTGAGAGCTTTGAGGTTGTTTAGGCTTGGCGGCTTGCCCCCACGAAAGTCTGGACTGTGTGCCGCATTCTCATGTCTCTACCCACTAATCGGTACTTGTATCCCCACATCCCCCTTTTTTTAATTAGAGGCTATTTGGTATTTCTGTGAGATTGATCCTGAACTCCGTTCGCCTGAATTTTGGCCCTATCATTTTTTGGAGTTTGAAATACCCTCACGCTTTCACCACAAATCCATAAATATTGCTAGATGCATTGATATCCCCAATTCCCATCACCGTCCGATAGACATTCTTGCAACTTCCCTGTGTGGTGAAGAACTGGACGGTACTAGCCCCATTTGTTCCTGTCCAGCTAATTTGCGCGCCCCGGGGAATATCCACAGGTGTGCAGGATTGAGGTTTGGTCCCAGACCAATGTTGAGACCCAGCTTGGAGTGTCCATACAGCGGCGGCCAAGTCCACGGCCAAAAGGGTCATAAGAGGGGCAGCAACGGTAGATAGCTTCATGTTGGATTGACAAGATACCTAGTAGTTCTTTGGGTCAGTCAATGTTCACGTATTGCCAATGGGAATGGTTTCAAGCAAGGTTTCGACGCGAGAGCTTGGGACTTGCAGCAACATCTGGTTGGATCGGAGCATTGCCTTGAAACCTTCCTAGGTTCTCAAATGTTGAGGTATCAGCATATTGGCTTACTTCAATTAGGCTGCGACAATACAAGATTCGTGAGTTACCAATTGCCAAGGTAAATGTTCGCATGTAGCGTTACGGGAACTATTTCTTCTGGGCCATAATGCAATCGTCTTATATCTCGAGTAAGTCCTGAACCCGAACAGATTGATGTCATGACCGGGTCTAAGTGGCAATAAATACGAACCATCAATGAACTGGCCGTTTCGGAACAGTCGGGTCGGGTGATTGAAAAGCTATACGGATGACAAAGATTAATCTTGATTGAGGAGCATCTTAAGCGGGCCCAGCCCCGATCGACGGGACTAAATGGCGATCATCGGGCCTCTCCACATTTACGTCGCTACAATATTGAGCATTAAAATATTTTTGCAAAAAGTTATTGAATTAAGAGGTTTAAGATCGTGTCCAGGTAAAAACCGATCAACCAAGGATCTTCAGACCTCCCTTGGTTTTTCCCGACTTCTTCACTCCGTCATGCTTGACCTTGCCGCCAGGCTGGCCTCGAGCGCCGCCTCCATGCTTCTTAAGCGTCTTGGCGTTCGACACCGGCTTGACCTCGGTGGTAGCTCTGCGCAGTAAAATCGGGTGAGAACCGATGTACTTGCCTTGCATTTCTCGAGCGGCAGCAAAGTAATCATCACCGTCGCTAAAGCTGACAAACCCGAAGCCCTTGCTCTTCTGCGTGCGCTTCTCCCGAATCACACGAGCCTTTTGTACAGAGGTGTAGCGTGCGAATGCTTTCAGTAAAGAATCGTCGGTTACTTCACCTGCGAGGTTGCCCACGAAAAGCCGAAAATGAGCGGGGTCCCATTCTAAAAGAGTGGAGTCGGTCCAGGCTTGACCGCCACCGACTCGCTGGACAGTCTTTTGTGTTTCACTTTGGGGGATGGGGGTGCTGGCGGCGGTTGGAGTACCTGTACCCGTTGTTGTGCCCGTGTTGCTGGCCTTTTTGCCTGTCTCATCGTTCGGGTTGGCGTAAGCACTCTGCCACTGAGCAATTTGTGCCTCGGTTTCTGGGTCTACTCCATTGCGCCCTCGTGCTGCAGATGGCGTTGAGCCAAATGGATTTTGAATATGTGGGACCGCCGGGGAGACATTTTCACTGTACTGGGCTCCGTAGTAGGAAGGTCCACTTTGGTAGGATGGCTGTTGGTAATTTCCGTAGATGGTTGCAGGTGCTGCAGGGGTTGCAGGTCCCGCATAACCGGCAGAATAAGAGGGGGGCGCAGAGACCGTAGGGTTGCTTACGCGCGGCTGACTTGATGCTACGGAGCGCGGCGCAAATGCGGTGAAGGCATTGTAGCCCGGTTGACGCGCGTTGCCATGACCAACGGGCTGGGCGGCATTATTGGACGGCGGTGGGCGAGGAGGAAGCGAAGATGGCGTCTGTTTGAGACCTGGAGGAGGTGGATAGGGCATGATGAACGGGACGTCGAACAGAGAGGACGATTGAGCTGTGCAGAGGTGCAGAGATGCAGACACAACGTACCTTCAGGACCTGACTGACGCCTCAGTCAATCCACCAGACGTCAAACCTGAAGTCCCGAATAGCTGCGCGGGATGTATGGGTCGGACAAGTATGCGCTACCGGGGCAAGGTGATGGTAATCTGAGTCGAGCCTGATGTCTGTGACTGTATGACTATCGCGGCTCCACCGAAGAAAATCGGCCCTGCGCAGTTGGCGCATCTGCGTGTCCGTACTGATCAGTTAGCGTGATGCAATACGATGTAATGACTAATCAGTGACCCCCACTCTAGTTCGAAAGGAGCCTAGTACGTCCTCAGCCGGTTGTGGGCGGACATCGGCAAGTGAAGAAGTTTCTCCGTTGAATCTACGCCAGAACAGTTCACCGATGGATACTTGGGATGGTCGTGATCCGGATTTTGGATTGCATGAACTGAATCGAGATTGACCCGTATGAGTAAACTTAGAGGGAGCTATACCTGAGCCCGGATGAAGCCGTCCCGATGAAATCATCATGAGTTTACCCCTCCATGCCCCGCGCCAGCTTGCTATTGTCTCCTCAGCCCGGGTGTATAGCCTATATAGGACGGGGAGTATAGATGAGTATAGAGAACTTTGGAAGTCGTGGGAATCATAGAACTCGACGGAATTTGTGGACTCGGATACTGATCTGCCCCTGCCCCTCAACCACAGAAAAAAAAAGCCCCGAAAGCAGAAGCCGGGTGGGATGACCGGACGACAGTCCTCCTGTACCGTGTACTTGGCAGTACACCGAACACAGCACGGAGCTCGGGGTACAGGGTACATCCACTTGGCTGGAATAGCGCGTCCCACCATCCCACCTTACCTTGCTCGGTCAAACCCAAGTAGGATTATGACGGAAGAGTTGCTCCGTCAGCCGGTGACATCTTCTACCTTCCCCTCCATAAGTCTTTCTCCTTTCCTTCTCAACTCCCACTAGATACCCCCATCTTCCCTTTCTTTCCCAATCCTTCACATCCATATCAATCATGGCTGACCAGGCTGTGTAAGTTGCTATCCTTCTCTCGGAACATACTACCCCTCCCTCCCCCACCAACTCTGCATCATCCCCCAACGGTCTCGGGTTCCCGGGCAACAGGCTCGCGAGCTTTCATTGTTGTTGGATACTGTACAAGCATCAATTCAGCATGTTCTGAATGATGCTGGCGTCTATATCCAGGCACTATGGTCTCGTGAGCTTGGTCCGGAGCTTCAACCGCTTGGTCCGGAGCTTCAACCCGATTTCCTCTGCTCTTGGAGCTTGCTTTCTGAGCCTTGCTTTTGCAACGACCCAGCCCTGACATGAGAATTTGGTCGCTGACTCTAGTGCCCGTCTCGCCGGCATTAATGTCGGCGCACCGGCGCACCCTGCTCCTAGTGCTGATTTCGGCCTCATCGGTCTGGCCGTTATGGGCCAGAATCTGATCCTGAACGTTGCTGACCACGGCTTCACCGTCTGCGCCTTCAACCGTACCACCTCCAAGGTTGACCGCTTCCTCGAGAACGAGGCCAAGGGTAAGTTCTTCGCCAATGCCATCCTACCAGCGTCTGTCGTGTCCCATTTGCTAAGATATTACCCCCAGGCAAGTCCATCGTCGGTGCCCACTCCATCCAGGAGTTCTGCTCCAAGCTCAAGCGCCCCCGTCGCATTATGCTGCTCGTCATGGCCGGCAAGCCCGTTGATGACTTCATCGAGTCCCTCCTCCCCTTCCTCGAGAAGGGTGATATCATCATTGACGGTGGTAACTCCCACTTCCCCGACTCCAACCGCCGTACCCGCTACCTTTCCGAGAAGGGCATCAGCTTCGTCGGCAGCGGTGTTTCCGGTGGTGAGGAGGGTGCCCGCTACGGCCCCTCCCTCATGCCCGGTGGTAACGAGGCCGCCTGGCCCCACATTAAGGACATCTTCCAGAGCATTGCCGCCAAGAGCGACGGTGAGGCCTGCTGTGACTGGGTCGGTGACGAAGGTGCTGGCCACTACGTCAAGATGGTTCACAACGGTATTGAGTACGGTGATATGCAGCTGATTTGCGAGGTAAGCTTTGCCATGACTGGTGCCCCCTCCAAAAAAAAAAATACAAAAAGATCGCGAGCTAACCACCCTAGAACAGGCCTACGATATCCTCAAGCGTGGTCTCGGCATGTCCTGCAAGGAGATTGGTGATGTCTTCGCCAAGTGGAACAAGGGTGTCCTTGACTCTTTCCTCATTGAGATCACCCGCGATGTTCTCTACTACAACGACAACGATGGCACTCCCCTCGTTGAGAAGATCCTTGACAAGGCTGGCCAGAAGGGTACCGGCAAGTGGACTGCTATTAACGCACTTGACCTTGGCATGCCCGTTACTCTGATCGGCGAGGCTGTCTTCTCTCGCTGCCTGTCTGCGCTCAAGGATGAGCGTGGCCGTGCCAGCACCATCCTCCCCGGCCTGATCCCCAAGTTCGAGGGTGACAAGGCTGCCTTCATTGATGACCTTGAGCAGGCTCTGTACGCCTCCAAGATTATCTCCTATGCCCAGGGCTTCATGCTCATTCAGAACGCCGCCAAGGAGTACGGCTGGAAGCTCAACAAGCCTTCCATCGCCCTCATGTGGCGTGGTGGCTGCATCATCCGCTCTGTCTTCCTGAAGGACATCACCAACGCTTACCGCAACAACCCCGACCTTGAGAACCTGCTCTTCGATGAGTTCTTCACCAAGGCCATCACCAACGCTCAATCTGGCTGGAGGAACGTTGTCTCCAAGTCCGCTGTGTGGGGTATCCCTCTGCCCGCCTTCTCCACTGCTCTCAGCTTCTACGACGGCTACCGTACCAAGGACCTGCCCGCCAACCTGCTGCAGGCCCAGCGTGACTACTTCGGTGCCCACACCTTCCGCATCAAGCCCGAGCATGCCAACGAGAACTTCCCTGAGGGCAAGGACATCCACGTTAACTGGACTGGCCGTGGCGGTGACGTCTCTGCCTCCACCTACGTGGCATAAATGTCTCGGAATAGAAGGGAAAAAAATTGGGTTCAATGTATTTAGATGTCACATGAATGGAACTTAACGACACAAGCGTTTTCACAAAAGATGAAATATTCGGCACAGTTTTTAAATTCGTACAGAATGCGTATACAAAGTTCCTTTACATCTTATTGTATCACAACTTGTATTTGTGCTGAGGCGGCCGTCTCCAGTGTCACTTGAGGCCGACACAACCTGGGCGGAAACACCTGCCCACCTTGACCACGTTCCCATTCATTCGCATTACGACGGGTCTAATCCTGCCTTACTTTATTGTTTTCATCGCGACTCTTGGAGGAAGCTGATCAATATATCAAAGGAGAAGTCCTCAACGATGTTCTCATTGTTACAGCAACCTGCAGCTTCCCACTCATCGTCGAAACGCAAGCCTATGGCCAATGTCAGTCAACTTGTAACACAAACTCGATGGAGGCACCCGAAGGGACACAGATGCCATTAGGGTGGCGTAAGTCTAAATCATGGGATGCATCTTTGCAGGCAAATAGAAGACATTCATCGTCTGAAGGCAAGTGTTATAATTACATGAAAGAAGAGCCGGGATCGGACATTGACCGATTAGTTCGGGATGTGTAGCGATCAGTGAGCATATCAATTATCCGAGGAAATTCATTGAACTCTGCTTCATTTCACCTCAGTATATCGGTTCAGGCGTCAGCTAATATTTTAGTTAGATTTAGAGGCCGTCTACGGGTCGAGTCTCCATGCATACTGAGATTACAACCGACCTCATACTGTCTCCACATTATCCACTCCACACCGCGGCCCGCAGTCGCCCACTTTGGCATACATTGTGAGCAGCGAGAGCTTCTTCTCAAGGACAGTAAAGCTAAGCCAAATCAGGATGGAAGGTTGAGTCTGCTGAGGGTAGAGACGATTCCAGACCAAGCCGCTAGGTCTTCAAAGATTTTAAAATTCTAAAATTGAAACTGGGTTCTCGATCTCAGACTTGAGCCGTGAAAAAGACCTGTCCCTGATGTGCATTCCTTGAGTTACTGAACTTGTCCGCAGATAGCTAAAAGTATTCATCCCTGGTGTAGAGTAAGGTTCTCAAATAGTTTTCTCACCTCCTTCAAGCTTCTTCATTGAGCTTCTTAGTTGCCACTGGTCGGGATCTTGGCATTCTTTCTTAGTATAAAAAAGCCAAATAATATGTATGACGGAAGTCAACAGGCGCAAGTCATCACTTTAGGGTTCCACAATTGATGTCTGGAAGGCCGTGTTTGGCCTATTCCGCAAATATATTGTCCTCCTAATAAAGATCGACCGCCTGGCCGAAAATCGTGAGGTAATAAAGGCTAGGCCCCAAGAAGCCTAAGATCGCTAGCCCCAGGGGCATACTTTAGTATCGCCCCTCGGTGCTAGCAACTAATCAAAATGGTCAACTAATTGTGGGGTGAGAATCAACAGAGTCACGATCTCGGATTTTCATTATTCCGGTCCGCCAGGCATTGGGGAGTGCCTTCCCTTCGGACGACCGTACAGATCGGATGATAAAGCGAGCGTCTGGTGGATAGGTCAATTGACTCTGCCTTCCAATGTCCTTGAGGTAGACCCGTGCACCCGATACATCACAGTTCTCGAACCCGGAATCGTGGACGTGGGAATCACACCGCCAGCGAAGATCACCGCATGGCGGAGAACAAACGCCAGAGCGCGGGAGCGAAAGCATCACAATCGGGCAGCGCAACAGGCCCCAAAATGGCCTCTGGAATGGTGCCCTTGGAGGCTGCTTTGAGCGGTGCGATCGGTGCTCGGTGAGTCCCCAGTGATCAATTTACCCCTCCAAGCTCTCAAGAAGATACCACAACGCTAACACGCTCAACAGCGTCCGCATCACGACCGCGGCGCCAGCTACCGCGACTATCGAGGGCATGCTCTTCACTGCATGCCCCATCACGAACCTCGTAGCTATCAACACTTCCCCTTCGCCCTTGTCCGGTGACGCCAAACAGGCGCAGAGCGGGGATTACCATGTCATTCCCATTTCGCGCATTCAGAACTTCCAGCTCCTCGCCCTGCCATCCGCCTCCTCCGAGTCCCCTCATTCACCGATGCTCTGCCCTCCATCCAGGCTCTCGATGCCCGTGCCCTGAAGCAGCGCGAGGTCAAGGCGGTAGGCGAGGCTCTTGACCGTGAGGCGCGCCGTGGAAAGGGCGTCACTAGTGAGGCCCAGGATATCTTCGACGCCTTTAGTCGCACCATGCCTGCTCACTGGCATGGGCAGAACATCGTTGTGGCCGAGACCGTAACTATCGCCCCTCCTTACCGTGTTGACGACTGTCGCCCACTTGTCGAGGGCGACACCGCGGCTCTAGACCGTGTCCGCAAGGTGGTAAGTACTCTCTGCATCCCTGGTGGATTTTAGATTCAAATACACAAGAAGAACAGATACTAATGGTAGATGTTTAGCTCGCGATGGAACGCAAGAAGATCGAGTTCCGCAATGCTAGTGCTACCATTGGATCGACTAGCACTTTCGCTCGCAATGCGGGCGACCAGCGCAAGGGTGGTTAGAAACCACAACCTCACGCCTGCCTTTTATACGGGCTTGATTGACAATTGAATCATTTTTTATCTGGTCTTTTTTTTTTGAGCGTTTTCGGATGACGAGATATGTCATCGACGTTCGATACACTTCATGAAAATACCCAGGGTGACGAGACTTGTGGGTTCAATGGAACCGGTATTGTATGGACTGATCTGATGGGTCTGATTAGTGGACGCTCGGATGTGGTTGCATGAGCAGTCATGCTCTCGGGATGTGTGGATGAATCCAAGGCATGTGGACTGTACCACACACGGTTCGGGTTATTTCTTTCCTCGGCAGATACGCTGAAGATGTCATGGCATAGCATAATAACCTGTTGCTAAACTATTCAAATTCTCGACAAATGCTTTCCTTCCCTTTCCTTCCCCTTGCAGTCATGTTCAGTGCTCGAAGATCATTCGAGTTCGTGTAATCTGCTCATGTGTGCTGCATTTGCTTCACGCTTCCGTATTAAAGACTAGAGATTATGAACAACTATCTATCGCACCAAAATGCACGAGATCTCATACCCGCAAGGATTCAAGTATGAAATGCAAAGGCATATCGTCACGATTCGCCTCTCCCTGGAAGAACGTGACAAACTCTTCCCACAAACCCTTCCAAGCCCGACATCGCCACAGTTCCATTCCCAGGCGCGCCAGCAACTGAAACCCCATTCCCACTCGGCGCAATCGCCATAGACACCCCCCGGCATAACCAAGACCTGTGACCCAAGTTCCACCCACTCCACTGAAGTAACAAGCGCAAAGGTAATCCTCACATCCTCCTTACTTGCCTCCTTAGTTCCTGGATCAACACACGCAGCTTCAGAAACAACCTTGCTGATATCCGTAGCCGATGCACGGCGGCGTACGGAGCCACAAGGCCCATTACTCGAAACCTTCTCCCGACCTGGCGACGGCCCATCGCCATCGAAGCTGAAGAATTCAGGCTCCGAGGGTGATGGTGGTGAGCTGAGGCTCGGTATCTGTCTCTGCGAGCGCCATACTGACTACCCTTACCGTGGCGCGGATGTTGGCCATGTAAACAATTGCGTTTCCGCCGAGGAGCAATGGGGGCGAGTTCGGCGCTGAAAATTCGGCAGCTGGAAAAGTCGCTGTGAAAGCCGTATGAAAAGGCATCGGTAATGTTGGCGGAAGTGATGAAGTGAGCTTCTTGGGTGGGAGCAAGTTGAAGTCTGTTAGGACCATGCCCTTTCGTATCCGGCTTAATCGTGGGAGACGTCCGTCATCTGGAGAGGTGAGGAGCTCGATTCCAATTGTTCCCACTTGGTCTTCTTTTAGACGGCGGACGGGGAGTCGAAGATCGCGAACACTAACGACGCGGACACGTTGCCATTTGGCTTGTATTGTGGCGCCGTCTTTGCCGGGTAGACTGAGGGATGCTGGGAATTCGCTGGATGGACCTGGTCCACTGCTGCGTGACAAGAGGCTGAGGGGGACAGTTTCGTTGCTGTCTGAAGTGTCTACAAGGACAGGCCCAATCAACATTTGGTCGCCGATCGATATACAGCCGTGTCGTACCAAACCGCACAAAACCATTCCCCGGCTTTCTTGGTTGTTCTTGTCGGCCGACGACACGGAGTATACCTTGGAGGGCGGTATGGCAAAGACTTCATCCACATCGAACATATTGCCGGGCTGTTTGTGAGCGCGTAGAAGCGTTTGAGGAAGCCGAAGGACTCTCTGGGGTGGCTGAGCGGGAATAGGCAGGTAACGAAGGAAAGCGTGGAGTTTCCCAATGCCTGAGCCGTCGACGGCACTAGTCAGGACGATTGGAACCGTCTGGTGCCATTTATCATCTGCCGCCGCGATGATTTTCTGTATTTCTTTGCCGTCAAGTGCGCTAATGTGTTGCAAGTCTAGTGCTTTGTCTCCGGCAGGGGATGCCGGCAACATTACAGGCTTGCGTTCAGCCGCCTTCAGAGCAGAAAGTACTTTCGTGAGATTCTCCCGTAATCCAGTGCGAGACGCAATGTCCAATTTGGTGATTACGATCAGAACCGGGACTTCTAATTTCAGACAGAGGTCCAAGTACGCCAGACATAGGTCAATCTCGGCAACATGATCTATGCCAGCCTCTGTCTCTGGGAGGTTATCGTCGCAGTTGGCTGGAATGCAGAGCATCACATAATGTGGAGCCCAGCTAACCAGGCCACGCAAGGTAGATTTCATGTAGCGGATCGAGCCTGGAAGATCGGATACAAAGGCCAGACGAACCCCAGTAGACGCAGCGTGGATATCGTCCCATGCTGCAATATTTCCAGATGCGTAGTTGACCACTTTTGGCGGCATGTCCTCGGCATAACCAATGAGTTCTTGGGCGACAGAGCTGGTAATACCCGACGAGATCTCGTGGCGATGCTTAAGAAGGCTGAGCCGACTCTTGCCTCTCCCATTGTCCAGTGATGATGATGTCAAGGTGCCCAGCAGGGATGATTTCCCTGCAGTACTGGGGCCTGCAATAGAGATGCGAACCTGCTCAGTGTGGGAGTAGTCCTCTTCCACAACTGGTTCCGTACCAACATCCTCCGAAGAGCCGTCGAGGGAGCTCTGGCGTGTCCGTGCGGGGGACATATTATAATAATCCAAGTCCGGCGAGACCAAAGCTTCCGCAACCCATAAGTTCTCGGTATTGTTCTTGTTTGGGTCTGGCGGTGCAGATGGAGAGTCTTCCGCCCATTCACATTTTCCAACAAGAACTCGGCGAAGAATTTCAACCTTACATCCGAGACTCGCCGCCATTGCTTGCAGGTTGGTGACACTCTCGTCAAGCTCATCTTGAGTCAAACCCACAAAAGTGCCATCGTCAGCGACGCCAATTTCATAGAGTGCACCTTGACTTTCCTCAAGACCGGGTAGTAATCGAGCTGGTTTCGAAGGCACGCCTAATCTCGGAGTTGCCTCTGGCAAGACGGGAATGACCAAGTTTGCCGTGGTAGACGAGTGGAATGGGGATGACTGCTGCAGGCGCCACAGCAGCTGGGTTGTTAACCCTTGCAGCCGCTGCTGGCGGCTCTGGGATGACTTGGCCTGCATCGGCTTTGGAGTTGCATCCAGGGACGGCGAAGGCGAAGGCGAGCTCGACGAGGGTAAGTGGCCTACACGGGAACGATACGAGCCCGCGACTACATGTCCAGTGGACATGGACAGATAAGGACGTCGCGGCCGGAGGAGCAAGTGTAACTTGTACTCCGTTGGACCCTCTTGGGGCTCCGGCTCTAGTTTGGTAATTCCATAATCAGAGAGAAAGTCCGCATCGGTATGTTCCAGTTTAATACTGGACCGGGCGCGAATCGCGAGTCCTCGTCCATTGACTGGCTTTGCCTGGGGAGTGGATGAACCCGAGGTCGACCACGGGGACGAGACCCGCGGCGGGTCCGGGTCGTAAGTGAAGATGGATGCCATGGCCGCGGCCGAGGGGGGATTCTACAAGCTCAGGCGGGTAATGGATGTATAGGAGGCAAGTGTAACAAGGTGTTAGAATTGCACAATACAATAGAAGTCGGCATTTCCTCGTAAATGGGATATTGAAGAAGCTACGTTTTGCCCGATCTTCGCGACTTTTGAGTCACCCGACCGTTGCCTCAGGCACCACGTGGGCCTCTCTTGTCCATCGAGCCTTGGTTTTGGTTTTTGTGTCTGTTCACACGGGAAAATGAAATGTACAATGAAATTAAAATCCTGAGCCAGCCATTTATTCGACCAAGGGATCCTGCCCTGGTCCTTTACACTTACCCTGAGCAACATGGATGTTGCGTGCCGTCGTACGAGTAAATACTGCTCCACAGACGGGGCATTCTGCCTTAGCGACAACGCCGGACTTTTCGCGCTGATGCCGTAGGAGATTACTGAATGTAGAGAACTCGCGACCATTGCAGCCATGCTCCCAGCACTGGGGTCGAGGTCGTGAGCTGACCACGCGGACCGGCTGATCTGAATCTGTAACGGGAGGCAATGGATCGGAAGTGGCAAAGATGGGCTCTGTGGGTATTGGCGAACTATGCGGGCTCAAAGATGTCTGGTGTGATGACCTGTCTCATTTGTGAGGATATGGACTTTCTTCTTCTGACTTGTTGACTCACGGGATTGGTGGCGTTTCAAGGAGATAATAACCTGGTTGGCTTATCATATAAGGCGGGCTGGGCGAAGTTGTTATTACGGGATGCCGAGATGGTGAGAATAGTTATCTCAGAACTCACGATGCCATGAGTGGTTGGTCAGGTAAAGGGATTGCTGGGTGGAGAGGGAAAGGGCGAGCCATCAATGCTTGTGGACTAGGAACAAGGTGATTATTAGTTTTTCGTATGGTTGTGTTAGATGGCATATCAATTACCTCCGTGATTGACTATGTCGACCGCTATTGGGCGCTCCAGGAAGATATGATGGCGGTGGCTGTGAACCGTGATACCCAGGCATTGGCCCGCTTGGATTTCCGCTATAGCCAGCTGAGAACTCCGCAGAGTGATAGGATTGAGAAGGAGGGAACTGGGGGTTCATATTCCCTGGTGGTGTATGGTTTGGCTGATAGGGGCGATTGCTCCAGGCATATTCTAATATCTGTTAGTCGATGCTACTCTCCCTACGAGGGTAGACTCTTACGGTGCGAATGAGGCTGCATCGGACCGGTAAGATATCCGCCTGCTGCGACTGACATAAGGCCGGGGTACAATGCGTTTTCAAGTGGTCTGGTATGGGCAAAAAGACAACCACAATCAGTATTTATGATTTTCTCTGATTGAACCATTAAAGAACACAAGGACTCTGACTTACTGTTCCTCGTTTTGTGTCAAGCACTCTCCGCAGTTGACTCTGTCGGGGATCGACTGCACGGTTTCAGTGTGTGATTGCGCTGAATCCAGAATAGAACCAGCAAGTCTGGAACTGCAGTTCAGAGATGTGGCTGAAGTTTGCGAATGGAGGGGTATTTGGACTGGGATTGCTGGATGAGAAGCGCTTTCCAGGGTCGGACGAGGGTCATCCAGTACCCACGCGGGAACTGGCGTTGGAAAAGCGCCTTGTTGGTAGCCCGGCGCCTGCCCTGACTCAAGCAGAGAAGAGAGATAGTTGGCTTCTGGAAGCGAGGCTGAGCTCTCGGACTGATCGGCTGGGTCCCTGCGAATGAACGGAGGATCCTGTGAGCTTGAGTCGCGGGACATGGGGATTTGATCTAGGTCATTGGACCTAGCATGGGATTACACTCGCGCACGCAGATGGGACCGAGGGGCCAGAGATCATAGGGGGAGGGGTTTCCGAAGCGAAAAGCAACATACAGTGCGTTCTTCGCAAGTCCTTGCTGGCAAATGTAAAGTTTTGTTGGTCGTCCACACTAGTTAAGCTGGGCGACGGGCACAGGGAGGTTTAAAAATGGTTTAAAAAAGATTGTTCGAATCGATGGCAGAACGACGCAGCAAATGGTCCCCGCGCTGATTGAACTGGGGCCGAATTGGGTACCGTCACCGATCCACAGGGCCAAAAGAGGGCTTCTAGAACTTCCATTACCAATGGTATGGTTCGCAAATCCTCGCGGGTGGGCTAGGGTGTTCAGGTGAAACGCCCTTGGGGTGATGAATCCCACCCATTGGCCCATTTGGAACAATTGGTCTACGGCGGTACCGTAATCATTGCCTGTGTTTTAGAGCGCGTGTAAAAGAGGGCGTAAGACCTAGAGTCTTCGAGCAGTGGGCCGAAATCGGGGGGTTGGAAAGGGAGGAAGTGGACTTTCTGGGACTCCACAAATGACACCGGAACCCGCGTCACTAGAGCAAAGCCTATATTGGAGAAAAGCTCGGGTGAGATTCGGGTCTGGGGCCAAGACGTGTTAATGATCCTGGGTATAAAAGGGGAGCCCTAGTTCGGAGCCAGTGTGGGTTCCTAGCCCCAAAAAGTAAATGGTGCCCCGAGGTCTAGTTGGGGGCCAATGACGGGTTTGTGTATGGCTGAGAACTAGTCCAGTAAACTTAATTGGCTTCGACTTAGGCCGCCTCTTGATACGCCAAACAAAAAATAATAAAAGAAAAAAAAGAAAAGTCTGACGGGGGCTGTTCGTTCCGATACTTTTCCATCTGACTATTTCATTTTGGCCCCCACGAACGCGCCGTTAGCAGATTGTAATTCCCGATCATCAGACGGTACACTAAGTCCGGTAATAGCTGTAACTAAGATTCGCCTTGGAACACTTGCTGGTGTCCACTATATCAAATTGAACTGGACCTGCAGGACAACGTCGATCCGATGTACGGAGACCAAATGACGGTGACCAGGGCTCAGTTGCTGCCTTCACCAATCGAGCATGGAAAGTTATCCGTGTATCAGGTTCAAATTGCCAGCTTTGGAATACTCGCACTAAGGATGAGATGAGTGATTTAGCCACGAGGCTCCCGACACCTTGGGCAAAGCTCATGAATGTCTCGAATTATGTGACGCCAGGGGTGGATCCTAAGCCCATGGAATGCCAAGCTCGTGACGGGAGAGGCCGATCTTGTCTAGGGAAAATGAAGGCCGGCCCGGAGAGCATAATCTTTCGCTGCCATAGACTTCAAAGGATTTGTTTTGGCAGGTACCAGTCTGGTGCGTCCGACTGCTGGCCATAGATCGACGTATCCACCAGGTAGGATCCGCATCTCTTCACCCTGTGCTCCGCTGATATCCTTCTGCAATGGAAATCTTGTCTCGGCGATTCCGTTCCTAAAGCGCTAGAGAACGGTTGCTCCCGGTTCATGCGCTATAGTAAATCAGCGCGCGGGGTGCTGGGCGGAGGACGGCGGCTTGCTCCAAACCCTGACTCGATCCTTGCATAAGCCACGTTTGGAACATTCGCATGTGAGCCACTCGTCTTCTACGGGCTCTCGTGGATCTTCACAGTCTCATTATTTTTGAGTCAAAAGAAAACTACCTCCTCGATTTTCAAACCCCAGCACAAGTTGTCTTAGATGATCGAGTACTCCTTATTTCGTAGGGAGGACCATGAGACACTCGGCTGTAACTTTACTAAAGAGAGTGGGGCCCGACTCCATATTATATCAGAGCCGGCGTCGAATCATGTCCCATCATAGCTTCATTTCAAAATACCGAGCCTAACTTCGAAATGTTTTAAGGCATTGGGGACTAGCCTAATAAACTCGATTGGGGATGGCGGGTCGCCTACCGTTCTTAATAGGAATCCGATGGGCAACTCCCGACCCCGGAAACCCAGATCCGGAGACTGATACCGACCTCTCTTTCAATAGCCGCTAACCAGAATCAACTTAGGGCAATTACATATCGCCGAAGTATATGCGGGTATCAGAGAGGATAGTGATAGTGGGAAATTGCAGAAATTCCGAAAGTAAGGTGCTCCGAACGGTTCACAATTGCACGTGCGATACAGTGTAGTACTTAAAATATTGGATTCCGGATATGCAAAGTGATCAGAAGCCTTGACATGACAGGAGATGATGTTTCCCAGCACGTCCGTGCGCATTGTGTCACGTGATGTAGCTGGACACGGTCACGTGAGCACGCCAACTCTGCACTGTAATCCAACGGCATCATCGTCCGCGTCTGCCACCAGAAATTCCCCACCAAACCTGCTAGTTGCTGGGTCCTGTTATCGAATACCCCTCGTATATCTGCTGCTCAGACAGATAACGATCAACATGAAGCTCGTACGGTACGTCTCCATTGTCTCGGAATGCGGGAGAATCCTCTGCGACGCGCGGGCATCTTGGATCTGGAAATATCTTTTAGAGCCGTGCGCTGACATGCTTTTTAGGTTTTTGATGAAATGCGCCAACGAGACGGTGACCATTGAGCTCAAGAATGGTAAACGACCCGAACAATAAGCCTCCAGGGCTAACCTCTCAATCCCAAGCCGTATTGCGGCCACGGGGCTCGTGGCATTGTGAATCGAGAGCTAATTGACTGAATTTTGCAGGCACTATTCTCCATGGCACCATCACATCCGTTTCTCCTCAAATGAACACCTCTCTCCGGACGGTTAAAATGACCCCCAAGGGCCGTGACCCTATCTCCCTCGACACCATCAACATTCGCGGCTCTACCATCCGCTACTACATCCTTCCCGACAGTTTGCCGCTAGACACCCTGCTTGTGGATGACACCCCCAAGCCCAAGAACAAGGCCCGTAAGGAGACAGACCGCGGCCGTGGCCGTGGTGGTCCTCGGGGTGGCAGGGGTCGTGGTGGTCCCCGTGGTGGCCGCGGGCGGGGGCGTGGATTCTAAGCTTTTTTTTCACTATCTATTTCGGTATATCTGAGAGTGCAGACCGGCGTTTTTCTCTGCTTCGAAATCTGGTTTCCTTTTTCAACTTTGCATCATCATGGGATGTCTTATTACCCCGGGGCTTCTTTCAATTCTGGAGGATGAAAGGAAAAAGCTATCTACTTGTTTTTCTTCGGTGCTCGGTCTGTGCTCGCGGTTCTTTCAAGTCGATGCAGTTTGCCGCATTGCCAAAGTGCCGCTGTTTCTACCACGGTTATGATGAGGATACCTCACGCCCGACACTGGGCCGCATCACAACAAGTCGTGAAGAGAGGCTCATCATCGGGCCATATCTGTAGCTCGTCCAAACTGCGGGCCGCGTAACCATAATTCTCAAGAAAATCTACATTCCACGAAAGCCGCTGTTGCTTCTCATCCTTCTTCAAATCTAGAACATGGCCCAATTTGCCCATTGAACTTCTTTATACTACGACACATTTACCCGATCTTGTGACCGGGACACAGATGGATCTGCAGTTTGCCCTAACTAATTGGCGAAATAATATGTTGAGCCATTCGGGGCTATTGAATGAAGACTATTGACGGAGCTTAAGATTCAATGTTTGAAGTTCTCCATCTTTTCCCTGACTAACCTTATTGTGCGCGTTGGAAATATATCATGAAAGGCGACGCATCAAGGTTGCTCTTTATGCGCCGTGTAAGTGTTTAGGGCAATGCACTATACCATATTCAACCATTCATATGCGTGTAATTGAAATACAACAGACCACAAGTCTCATCGGCATTGCGGAATGGTCAGTTCAGGTAAGCCGAGTGACTCCACTCGTGTCTCGATTCATCATCGAGCTTTGGGCAAGTCTCTGTCCCCAGGTGGAAACCTTGATCGAGCACGGTCACTACCCCAGTCCAAGACGCAGGAATTGACATTCACGCAAGTGTTGACCGCGTAATGGGAAGTCCCGGTGGACAGATCTGCGAAATGCGTAATTGTTGGCAAGGAGATCCGCTGCTCACGGTCGTGACAGCTTCTCGCCCCCAAATGGCACATCCGGCATGTCAAGGATCCAGGAATCCACCCCCCAAGGACGTTGTCCGAGTCTAGGACCTTTTCGTTTCCAGGCAACAATCACAAGAGTGTTGTACTGATCCTGTGTCGTGCCCCTAAGATTGGTCATTTCAATATTCATTTTCCGTCTAGGTTATTTCACTAGTCCGTTGACCCCAATTCATTTGGAGGGAATGTTCCCGGGTTGAAGAATCATGCTTCGGAGGCCAACGGGTGCAAATCCGACGCATAATCAGCGTAAGGGGCTAAGAAACTCAGATACTAGCGAGTGATTGATGGCTTTTGCAGGCGTGACTTGTGGCGTTGGGCGAAAATTATAGAGCGCATTCGGGTTTCTTCGTGGAGTATACTTCCTGGTTCGCTCCTTTGGCGATAATGGTATTTGAGGAAATCGTGCTGTAACATCATTGTCCTAGAATATGCCAAAAGAAAGGCAATAACTGCAAAGCGAGTAAAGGCGCTCCGCATGGATCTTGGCTCGCTATCGTCTGAATCGCTCCACCAGCAGTGCTAACAAATACAAACATACAAGCACGCATACATATACATATACATATACATACATATACGTACATATACGTACACATTTGCAAAATGAGACTCCAATGAGTCTGGGCTGGCAAAGCCACATTACATGCTCATGTTTCCTGAGTTCTGTGCCCGGAACTTCGGGTTTCGGGGCAAGTAAGCACGGAGCCGGAGACTAGGAGAGACTCCGGGCTGACAACCGTGGAATGGTGCGAGCGATCAACTAAAGTTCAGTGTATACATTCCATGACATCATGAACTTACGCTAGCAATCCAGGGCATGTAAACCGATAATGTCCCCTCGTTCGCAGCTTTCCACGTCTAGATTGTATTTTCCCCGTATTATGTGAGAGAGCGGGTCTCGGTCCGCGCCATTAATATTACCGCCCCTCGTATTTGTATCAACAAGGGGTGTTGTCGTTGTCGGATTAAGCCGAAGGATTCTTCCAAACGTGGAAGAACGAACGATTCAGGGGACAGGCCCTGCAGAACAGGGTTGTGGGCCTGATAGGCTGCCCGAAATTAATGTGTACCCATCACCATGTGTCCCGATGGATTTGTTCCCATGGATTATAGATTAATTGTGGCTGTGTATGAACGCTCGTCGCGCATCACTTCTCTTCTCGGTGAACCGCTTGGGCCGATGTCTTTTTTTCGACAGATTGGTTCAGACGATCTTTGATAGTGAACACAGTGCATGTAATATAAAACAAAGTTTTGGCAGTTAACATTCCACGTGGGACGCCAATGCTATGCGGTTTGACTTTGGCTGGGCTCAGCCCTTCAGGGGGCGATCTTGTCGCCATATGCGAACAATGACCAACTTCTCCCACCCAGCCTGCTTACCACTAGAACCAGCAATCTCAGCACACCATCCACCCTGATTTCGAACACGATCCATCACTTCGTCGGGCCGATTCTGCTTGCAAAGTAGCACATACGCGACTCCTCGGGGTGACAGGATATCTGGAATATCATCTAATAACCGATTCGTGGTCTCCATACCATCAGCGCCTCCGGCGTACGTCAGCGACAAAAAGTACGAATCATTCTCGAACTTCGCGGAGCGCGACATAGCTTTTGCTGTGACGGGGTCGTTTTCCTCCGCGGAGGGGAGACGGGGTAATTCCTCAGAGGGGACATATGGTGGGTTGAAAAGAAGAACGTCGACGCTATTGGGGCGCAACGCGGAGCAGAGATCGGAAGTTATAGATGATGCGTGAACAGCGTGCAGTCTTGAATCGGCAGGGTTTTCTTGCACTCCTTGCTGTTCTTTGATGGCTGTTGAGACTGTCTCTCGGGTTGCAATGCAGGCATTGCGGTTCACGTCGGTCCCTAGCGTGAGAATATCTCGACGTCCAAATATCTCTTGCGATTGAGCTGCAGTAAAAGCTAGCACCACTCCGGAGCCTGTGCCCGCTTCGACCACGAGAGGCATTGGGTTGGCTTTTTGAAATCTCTCAGTGAGCCATTTTGACTCTGATGGCGAGGATAGTGTGTCCAGAAAGAGGTATGAGTCTTCTGCTGGCTCGTAGATGGTGTCGAATGACACGTGCGATGTATCCGGTGTTGGCAACATTGTGAATATAACTTTAGATTCGATATAATGCTCTCTCGGTGGTGGTCGATGCTGATGAAGATTCGCCGCGGGGCAGCCAGGCAATTTTCGAAAATCCGCCCGCACCGAATGCAAAGGCACGAGGACAAGATTCAGCTCGTATATGAGATCCTAGTAAATTGCTTCTTAGATCACATAAATATTGATAGAGAGGACCAAATTGCCGGTGATAGTCCAGAAAAAATGTTCGCAGCGGCAGCGATGATTCGCCCGGACGAGCTCGCCGCCTTCCGACGCCAAAACGAAATCTCCAACTTCCCCAGGAAATTATGTCATTTCGTCAACCTTTTTGAATTTCGCAACTCACGATGCGTCTCGCCCGCCGCCTCCTTATGGCCACGCCGGCCTCAATCGGCTCCAAATCGAGTCTCTCCGAGGCTCTCGCTCTTCTCCCACCGTTGCAGCTGTACCGCCGCATCCTCCGCGTCCACCGCAAGCTTGACCCGCAAATGCGTGTGCTCGGCGATTCATACGTGAGAAAAGAGTTCCGGGCGCACCGGACCGCAGAGAACCCGTTGCACATCGTACGTTCCCTTTCCCCCATGGATACGCCGAAGAGAATGGAGGGAAGGATTGGGGTGTTCAAGGTGGTGCTGCAGGGTCGGGACTGACGGGTATCGGCAGATCGGATTCTTGACAGAGTGGCAGCTCTACGCGCAAAAGTTGGAAGGTGATAATTGGGCCGGTGACAAGCTGGACGAGGCCAAGTTGAACAAGATGAGCGGTAGGATAGTTCCCGTCGAAGCTTGTTGCGGTTTGCTAACCTGGCCTTCCTGCAGATCAACAGATCGGACAGCTCTATGAGCTAATGCAGGCTATCCGGCACGAGGGCGAGGGTGAGGGCGAAGGTGGAGGTGAGAAGCAATGAGCTTTAGCCCTACCGGGGTGAGGCGTTTGAATTGGGTGGTGTCTACGGCAGTACCAAGATGCGGGCATCCCTTGGTACTTGCGCGAGACCTCTGTACATATAGGTTTTGCAACGAATAGAAAGCGTGTAGCATCACAAATTCATTTCCACGTCAGCTCTAATTTGGTCGATATCCATGTCGTACAATTCCAACTTGAGCATGCTGGCTGCCGTTTCAACCCGAGAACCCGAACTTGCCGTAAAATATCAGTAAACTGGAATTGGATATCATCATGACATGTGACAATCAGACTTAATTATGGTCTACCCGCTCAAATCGTATCAGACCAAGCAATTGGGCACCAGAAGTCCCCGTGTAGCTATTTCATAAGTAAGTGAGATAGTCGGCGATATTTAACCTTGGTCTAGTTGGACGTCTTCCTAGACTCTTTGCCTCTCATCCAGGCCTAAAAAATGATCTTGATATATTCTTTGTCCTTGATCCATGGTATTCTATACATGGTTAGTGGTTACTTTTGCTTGAGCTTACTACCCAATCCTAAAAGATTGAAAATTACAATCCCTATTTGGTTCCCAGTTACTTCATGCCCGGCGTTTCGTACATTCTACAGCTAATCCACATTGCTCTAGCTGCTCATGAACGCCATCGCCTTTGACCCTTTATCAGCCCTCAATAGTACCCATGGCTTGTCATTCATCTTCAACACAAGCTTCGGAGTAATAGACGAAAGTTACGTCGATCGTCTGGAGCTCCGAGCAGCCAAGCGTGCCCTTCTCAACCTCCAAAGCAACGGCACACCAACGCCCGTCCCCGATCCAAGCGGGTCAGTTGCAGCTGAAGCGCTTGACCAGGAGCTAAATACAGCCCGAATAGGCGCATTGAGCCTGAGGATCCAATTGTACGGCCAAGACGGGCAAGCATTGAACAATCTTCTCAAGAAAGAGACCGCCAATGCAACCCAGTTCCTGACAGCCTGTGCCAACAACTCCAACGGAACGTTCAGAGACGGACATGTTAAGATCATCGTATCAGGCAAATTGACTTCCGCTATGATTATGCCGTTCCTCGCGCCATTACTCAGCGGTGCTGGCATTGCAGCCCCTTCGCCCACAATCCAGGAGATCATCGAGGGCTTCTTTTTCCCCTCCCACCCGGAGCATTACCAATTATATCTCGGAAGTATAACTGGCATTACGGAAACAATTGGTGGAATTCCGACACGATTCTATCTGGATGTCCTCCCTCAGCCTCCAGACTTTGTCATGCAGTACCGCGATCTGTCCTACACGGTGGGCATCGCCGGGCGCGGCCATCTGGATAACGGTAAGAACACTACAATCTCATGGACACTGCAGCAATTCAAGCAGGCCAATGATGGGATCGATATCAGTTTGCGTGTCTGGTACCCGATCGCCTGTCCTGATAACTATGTACATGACCATCTAGAGCACCTATGCATCGAGTACAGGAACGCGCTGCATCTGATCGCCGCGCTGCTTGGAATCAACTAGAGTAATGAATCGAGCACAAGCCCGAGTATTGAAAAGAAGGGCCTAGTACTTATCCAGAACCGAACAGAATCCTTTCGTTGAGATAATTCTAGATGTGCATGTAGTATGAAGGGCGCCGGTGGGGACGTTACATAAGTCTGCTATAAAACCCCGAACTCGGGCCACATTAATTTGGAGATAAGTGATTGAAATCACCGATCCAGTGACTCAAGTGTTTCAATTGAGTCTTGAATCATCTTGCACACTCTCGTTCACACGCCTTTTTTTTTATATATATATCACCGATCTATCTAAATCACTCAAAATGCCTGCCATGCTAGAAGATCCCTCTTCCTACAACCCCCCACCCCAAGCCCATGTCCAAGCCGCGGGCTCTCTAATAGCCCGACACACAACACTACCAAAAGCCAATGGGGCCGGGATCACTCTTTACCCGATCACAGGTGGTCCGTCCAGCGTGCCAAAGGACCTGATCAAATTCCTGCATGCGGAGTTCAGCGCGGAGATCGAGCGCGGGTCCACGTATCCCATGGAACAGCCAATGGAATTAGAGCAATTTGCCCAGTACTGGTTCGGTACATTCTGTGTACTGGCTGTTCTGGATGAGGCAAGTGTTGAGGGATTGCAGGAGGGGAGGGACTGGGCGAGGGTTTGTTTGGGGACTTTCTATATCAAGCCTAATTATCCCGGTGAGTTTTTCATTCAGGGTTTTCTGTTGAAAGAGGATAAGGTAATGGTGCTAACAGTACGAGGCCGCTGCTCGCACATTTGCAATGCAGGCTTCATCACCACCGCTGCTTCGCGTGGCAAGGGCGTCGGACAGGCGATGGGCGAGGCCTACCTGGAATTTGCGCCGAAGCTGGTAAGATTTAGTCCCATGCTAATACGAAGCTCACTGACTTATGCAAATGTATTAGGGATACAAGTACTCTGTCTTCAACCTGGTCTTCGCCAACAACCCAGCTTCGATCCGTATCTGGGAGAAATTGGGCTTCAATGTGATCGGACGAGTGCCCAAGGCAGCTCGCCTTGCGAACAGCGAGGAATTGGTTGATGCTCTGATTTTCGGACGGGAGCTGGGTCAGTAGACTAGAATATCTGCAAATTTGAACCACTGGAGAGTAAAGACTGCTCTTGAAGCGATAGAATGTATATAACATCCAAACGAATTGATGAATCACCCAATCTTAAACACCACACCAGACCACATTCTAGTAAATCAGGATCTATTGTCAAAAGGGGAAGAAACAGTAACAACAAGAGATGATATTCACATCGGTCAAGTACTCGAAGAGAAAAAAAAAAAAGAACAAACAACCGAAGACATGACCCAACGCTTAAACCATACCATGCAACAATGGGATATCACGCTTAACCTGACCCGCAATATTCATGTTGCACCCTTCACCTCCGACTTTTGCCAAGAAGGCTGGGGCGCAATGCACAAGTAAATAAAACATAAGACAAGGGTAGAAGAGAAAATGGTAGGGATATAGGGTATTGGAGAGGATGAGGTGGAGGTGCGAGTAGCTTAGGCTCTCCATCGCGGTTTTGTGTCAACAGGCTGGGCGGCGGGTTTATCGTGTCGCTTGGGCAGGGGAGAAGACTGGCTCGTTTGTTTGTTGAGTGACCTAGAGCAGTGCCAGGGCGCGCTGATTTGGTCGGGCTCTCGGATGATTCGTGAGCCCGTGAGACGCTACGACTAAATGATGGCATTCCGGCGAAGCTTTGGCGGCTGCGAGGGGCATCGGCCAAGCCTGAGGGTCGCCGAAGGCGACTGTAAGGGGGCGGATCAAGCAGGGAGGAGCGGGCGAGCGTAGGGGAGGAGATGTTCCGCGCGGGACTCCGTGATGATGAAGCCAGTCGATTCGATAACCGACTGAGGGAACGTCCTGGCCCTGCTCCCGGTGCAGGAGAGGCGGTGGATTCTCTTCTAAATGGATTGGGGAGAGTCGATGATGGCCGGGGCGTACGCGCTGGAGCGGATGACTTTCGGAGAGTGTAATTGCTTGAGTCGTCGCTCAATTTCGTACTGTTGGTCCATCGAGGGCGGTTTGAGATGGCAGAGGTGGGTTGAGGAGTGCGAGATATTCTGCGAGAAGCTGGTGTCGGAGTGATAGAGGAGCTGGCGTAAGAGGGTGTGGGAGATGCCAGTCCGGACGGTATTGGGATAGAAGACTTGCGTCCAGTCAGAGTCGCCGCCGCCTGCGGTATTCCACGTCGAACCTTGGACATGGTTGATCGTGCTGACGCACTGCCCACGGAGCTCTCACGATGGCTTGAGCCACCCATTGGCGTTTTCCACCCATTTCCACCCATGACTACCGACGACGCAGGCGAGCTGCCGGGTGTGTCGATCACACTGCCCGTCGCCGGGCTGTCCATTGTGACAATGCTCGATATAGAATCTCGCAATTGCTGCCCCCTGATGATCTGCACATCTTCTAAAGACGTATCCATCACCCGAAGGCTGGCTTTGAGTGCATCCGTTCGAGATGTCATGTCTGACAAGAGTCGCAAGATCTCGCCATTCACTGTCAAGCGATCATTGACTCCTTTCTGTATAATCGCAATCACACGTTCGATGGCGGGTACATAGTGCATCTTCTTCGCCTCGTAATTTTCTATTCGTTTGGTCAAGCTCGATGGATTAGTCACCTGCGAGTTGCTCTCCAAGGCTTCTTGCAACTTCGCGATGCTGCGCTCAACCGATTCAAACATCTTCTGTGCTTGGCTGCCCGCGTTGCGGAACACTATAATCCACTTGTCCTCCCCCAATTCCTTCTTCAAAGCCGTCGCGTCTGCCTCAAGTACCTTGTAACTCTTCTCTAGACGTTCTCGCCGCTCATCAAGTTCCTCACATGCACTCGGAAAAACGTCCTCGGCCCGTGACTGAAACATTGATAGTCGCATAGGCAAGAAGTCCAAAGATGCACGCAACGGTTGCATGCGTGCAAATAAAGCCATCAGATTAGAGTAACTCGTGTCGTCCTGCGGAGTCTTGATGACAGGCGTACCAGCCGCCGCTGCCAACATAGGACCCATACTCAATCGGCTAGCAGGCGACCGGCCCTTGGTCGGGGATTCCTCCACAATTGTCTCGAGTTCATTGATATCAAGGCCCCCGGCAGGCTCAGCTGGGTCCATGAGACTCTGGTGACGTTTCTCTTCCATTTCGAAGATCATTCCACTTAAGTTGTCAATTTCCATGCCCACGTCGCCTAAGACATTGGACCAAAGCTCTTCCCATTCCATTGCGAGTTCCACAAGTCGTTTCACGCCTTTCAGCTTGTTCTCTATGCCTGTCCATTTCGTAGTGATGATCTCCATCTGGCTGATCACGGTCCTCAAGCTGTCTGCGTCGACCTTAGCGATGTCCTCTCTTAATTGCACGTTCTCGATCGATGTCATGTAGACGTTGACAAGTGTAGCGAACTGAACAATGGCCTTGTCTACTCCTTCAAGACCTTCTCGGCCACCTGCTGCTGCCCACTCCACGTCATCCTCGGCATCCAAACCACTGAGAACGTTTGCAGCTCTTGAGATCCATATTTGAATTTGATCAGCATGACCATTCAAGACACGAACTGCTGCAGGAGCTGTCGCAATGTTCGAAATGCTCGCCTCAAGTACTTCGGCTTGCGGGAGGGGAATGGAGGTCAGTTGGTAGAGCTGGTTGCTGAAAGATGCACGCGAGAAAGAGTATATTGAATCCGCACGCTGCGTCCCTTTCGGATTGGAATATGACTGCGAATTGGAAGAAGAGTGTATAGAAGCTGGTGGAGAATCTTTAGGTGGGGGGACCGGAGGTGCATCATCCGACTCCTCCTCATGCCGTTTTGTGTCGTCGACATATTTCTCGAAATCGGTTCTCGTATCTTCCGTCTTCTCGTTCAGCACAATCTCTTCGGTTGGCTCTGCATTAGCGCGCGGCGGCGCTGGGGAAGATTCCACAACAGACATCGATGTCGGCGGAGAGTTACTCTGTGCGTCTAGGACAGGCGCAGGCAGTGGTACGGCCAGAAATGGGGGCTCTTGGTCGTCAGCGACGGCGTTGGCGTATTCTAACCCTGAACCTGACCTGAGGGCCTCTGAAATTTCCCGTAGAAGATCGTGGCTGGGTAGTTCGAGTGTGTGGGATGCGCTGCGGTGTGGTGTCTGCGTTGTCGGTGGAGATGTGTACGTTGTTCCGTTCCACGCTTGACCCCTCCGCTCAACCTTGATCGACAGATCCTGGTGTAAACTGTCCAGCTCCTTGATATGGGATTCCGGGATCCGGCCGACTGTAGGGTTGCGAGGCGCACTGGTCACCTTGCTGCCGGGTTCGAGCAACTTGACCCTCGCCGCGAGGGCGGGCGAAAGGCGGCGGAGGAAGATATTACCGTTATTCTTTTCCGCACTGCTAGGCTCTTGACCTTCGTCTTCGTGGGCGCTGTGCTTGCTGCTTCCAAGACTCCAAAGGGAGGACTTGGATTTCAAGCGGCGGAGAGGGGATGGTCCGTGTTCATTTGGGGAGCCGGCGGGGGAGGAGATGCGGACAAGGCCGACGCGCTGGAGGAGGGCGGTGCGATGTCAGTCGCTGAGGAACTTGGGCCGCCGACTGTGGCATGCATGGATAAGACCCAGGGTGGTTGAAAGAACGGGGTGGTTCAGGTAGGGATGGCTAAGGAATGTTCGTTTCGGTTTGGCGAAAAGGGTTGAAATGAGCTCGGATGGGTTGTCACAGATAGACTCAGGAGTTGAATAGCTACATGACCGGATATCAACAAGAAAAAAAAGAAAGGAAAACGGGTATCAACAAATATCAACGATCATTTGGGCAGCGAACGTAAGACACGAGGGATGAAGTGGCTACATGGAAAGGTACCCTGGCACACAGGTACCGCCGTGCCTGCCTGCTTGACTATGGGGCACCAGGTACCCGCGCCTCCCCCTCTGTAATTCAAGGGATCGTCACCCTGCGGGTCCAAGATCCTTGTTTAAATACAACACACCCTAGCTCATCTGCTGCATTTGACTATTTCCTTCAATATGGATATTCTTCCGATTTCTATCAGCTCAGACTAGATTGTTCAGTCACAATGGCCAAGAGCGTTCGCATCGATCCACGATCCACGATCCACGAACTGTCGAAGTTCGGCTCTACATTTCAAAGGGGAGTGATCAGCGGCTATGTGCCCTAGCGTCAATGCTTCGGGGCTGCACGGAAAAGTGGACGAGTTTCCCGTTGATATGACTTTGAATTAGGCGTATGCTCGGCTATGCATGTACATTGTAACCATAACCGCCAAGTCGCCCGAAAATGATGGAAAATGTAAAAGAGTATCACAATATGCAGAAATATTCCGTCAAGGGCCATTAATCGGGCCAAAACCAAGACCCGGTGCGGAGACGGGCAGGATGTTCGGAGACATTTCAGGGGTATCTATAGCCAAGGGCCCGCAGCAGAAAGGAGAACCAAAAAAGCATGAAAACAAAGACCGAGAAGATGCGAATGATGACAGTGAACCTCAGATCAGACCGGCACTCGGTGGTCGACCTGGGTTGGCTGCTTGCCAGTCTCGCACCAGCTCCTCGCGTACCGTCTTGCACCAGGCCATTAAGGCTGTGTCGAATAGCTCCCAGGCCGTTTCGCTACTACCATGTACCACATCCATGACGTCGACTTTGAGTCGAAGCTCCCATCGCAATTCAGCGGCTTTGATCCAGAAACGGAGGTTATCTGCCTGTCGATACGGTTTCGCAACGTCTGCGTGGTATGCCTTGATCTCGCCAAACGGACGCTTGGACTTTTTCACGGCAATGTTGTGCAACTGCACCAGAATACGGCCATCCCTGAAACGTGCGAGAAATGCTGTTGGGAGGGAGTCGCTGGGCGTGTCTTCGACCGGCGTCCACTCTGGCAAAGTATTGCCATCCGGGAACAAACTCCGAAGGAATGATTCCTCGCGTGCTCGCTCGCGTCCGGTCCAGTCCCCTGGGCCCAGTCCCAGTTCTCACGCTCCTGAGCCTCTAGGTCTTCCAATGCCTTCTCGCGAACAAGCATGATGCGAACACCGGAAATCCATCCCTTGATCACATCGCGTTCCTCATCCCGAAGTCCTGTGGCAAAGTGTCTGGCAGCCCAGCGCTTCAGAACATCGAGCACATGGAAAAGATCCTTGCGAATCTCACGCTCGCTTTTGATTGAAGCCAAGTGCTCCGGATGTTCATGGGTGGTGTAATAGATCTTGGCTGCTCGGATGGCCAATGTCACGTCATCTAGAATGCACATTCCTTGGGCTTCCTCCTTGTTCTGCGGAGTCGGCACGTTCCGCGATCCATCATCTTCCATATTCTCCGAGATATCACTCGGAGAAAGACTGGTGCGAACAGGCTCACGGGGCGAAGGTTCTGCGCCATTCTCAATTGCCTCGATAATGGCCTCCGCCTTGTCCAATGCCATTTGTAAATCTCGTCGAAGAGTGATCAGATCTGGCGGAGGTGGAATGTGATGTGTCTTGATACTGTAAGTGCTAACTGTGGGAGGTAGCATTACCTCCCCTTCTTCATCCTCCAAATAATCAGCCTCTGCCGACTCTGACATATCCGTCGGACTGTCCACAAGGTCATCGATATGCTGCTCGTTAGGCGTAATGAGCACCCGGGGAACATTGTCCTTATTCTTCTTTTTGAACTCTTTTCCACGGCCTGACTTCCCATCCAGCAGGCCCGTCCTCGCAAAATAATATTGTAAATGGGCGATACTGCCCAGGCTCATGACACTGTCTCGATGGCGAGCTGATTCGGCGAATTCCGCGCCGAAAGCGCGGATATATCCATGGCGGCGGGACGAAGTCGAGACCGAAGACCGTGCATCGGCCGAGGTCGCTGAAGATGCGGAGTGGGATGAGACGGAGGAGAAGGTTCGATCTGGCGAAGAATACGAAGAGATGGCTGGTGTGGCAGGCACGGAGGGGGAAGGCGACCCCGAACGAACGGGAGGAGACAGATCGTTGTCCATAATTTGCGGCTCCATGGCGTTCCGAGACTGGTGTCGCAGCACTTGTTTAAAGGTTCAATGGGGGATGGTTCGATCGGAATCGGAATGTGTACAATTTGTACAAGATCGGAAGACAGGAATGCGGAAGTTTTTTTAAACCACCCGGTACCGTAATCGACAAGAGAAAAGCCAGGCGAGACCGTTGGTCGCACGGCCAACGGTGGGACAAAGACCACGAGGTTTAAATGAAGTCGTTGATCAACGGCCGAGAAACTTCTTTGGGTCAAAAGGGGCGGACCGAACGGGGAAAGGGGCGGGTCACACACGCTATCTGCAACGGCCCTAATTCTCATATGGATGTGCTAGCTGTGATCGAAGCCCTCGGCGGTGCCATTAGATTCCATAGTTGAATATCGATGTCTTTAATGATACTTCTTCGCCTGCAATAGATAATGTCAAGCTCGACAATCTTTGCCGATGTGATTCAATTGCCATGTCGGGTTAGCTTTGCCCCACGTTCCGCGTCCCAAACCACAGAGTCCTTTGGGCCGCGCTGGCCTATAAATATGTACAGATGAGATGAGATGCGATGTTCTACCGCCGACGCCATGAAGGTGAAAAGAAAAGACAACGAAAGGATAATAATACAATCTTTCAGAAAATCTCACTCCTCTCCCATCCAGTTCCTCGGAGATTATCAATGCCTTTGCTGGGATGTTCCTTAGTCGGATCCCGGTACTCGGACTGGTAGGGATTAGGATCCAACGCCTGCTTCAAGTTGCCGAGCGTATGATTGACCTCGCGATGCTTAGCCTCGTCTGCACGAATGTACATGAGAAGATCCCGCATGGTGCGCGATCCCTCCGGCATCTGCCAGTACTGAACTGCAATCTCAGGTGCTTGAAGGGTCTCCCACTCGGGGAGCTTGCCGCCCTCAAGCTCTTGAATGGCGCGGGTGTAGGTAATGACGGCCTCTTCTTCGAGGTAGCCGACAAAACGGTGGCAGATGCGAGGTGAAATGAGGTAGGATAGGAAGAAGCCATTGAAGAAAACACCTTGAGCGCCCAGCACCATCAGACGCATAAACCAGCCTGGCTCGGCAAGTTTGAGGAAGGTCAGGAGGTGCATGCGCTCGTTGAAAGCCTCTTCTAAGAGGGTTTCGATCCTACAAATGATGTCAGATCTACCGGTTCTCTTTTCATTGCTCCAAGGGCTGCAGGTACATACCATCCGTTATCGCGCTTCATCTTGCGAAGACTGCGCAAGTGGCGAAGCATACCGCCGACCATACCCGGCACGCCCGCCACGCTTTCTAAGAAGACAAAACGGGCCAACCATTTCTTTTCCGTCATCTTAAATCTCTCTGGCGTATGCTCGCCCGGCTCGGTGTGGCGATAACCGGTTGCGAAGTCCATGCCCCATCGAAAGATTCGAACGGTACCGAGAGCGACCCAGTCCGACCAATTTGCCGCCTCACGGTGTGCGATCTGAATGCTCTTCATTTCTGACTCGGTGTAACTGGACACAAGTTAACAAGACCACTAGCCAAGGATGAGCCGATGCAGCTTACACTGGATGAGCCCATGCCGATGAGACTTCTTTCACGCCTGGCTCTTTAGGAGGAGGGAAAAACTCTTTGATCTGGTTCTGAGGTGTTGACGAGATGGGGCGCTTTGATGTGCAGGTGAAAAGTGCCGGATTCTTGTTTGCTCGACCTGAGCCGTTGATGCCCTTGACGGCGACGCCCGAGTAGGCTCGAACAGCCAGGTGAATATATGGGGCGGGTCGAGCAGCAATCCGTAAAGGTGCTGTGGATGATATTGATAACAAGCTCATGATGTAAGCTGGAAGTGTAATCAGCTTATTCAAAGTCACTTGTGTCAGGTGAATGTTGGAAGCGGTTGGGAGAAGGAAGTCTGAATAGACAGCAACCCGAGGGTCCGTTTTATAGCAGGTCGGACCCAGCCCATGATTTTCGTCTCCCTTCAAATCCCGATCAAAGCCAGGCGAAGGCAAAAGATCTTGAAAAAAATAAAACAGAAAAATCTCGATTTCTCGAAATCAGATTCCCATACTTGGACATGTACCTGAATGATGACCTTCCCGGTCTTCTATTGGTCTGACAGTAATTTACAGTGTGTAGAGGACTCCACTTCGCCGCATCCCCGTTTAGCGGCTCCGATGCAATTACATCGGAGCCGATGGTCAGTCGATGATCATTATCGGGACTGAGTGAGAACAAGAAGCAGCTCTACAAACCTACCCATTATCCTCAGAGTTTGTCCTGTGTTTTGCCCTGTCCTGAACCCGTCATCGCATTACCGTCATTTCGCACTCCCGCTGAACAGGTGACTTCGGGCGTAGCCGGGTTGAATGTAAGCAAAGCCCGCTTCGGTGACTTGAGTCATCGCCCCCGGGAATTTATCGGCCTCAAATTCACTCACGGGATCTATATACTTCACCGGGGCACTGGTTAAAATTTTTTAATTTTCTTTTCTTCAACAAAGGCCCTGTGTCTGTTGCTCAAAATTCACCGGTTGGATGTCTGCATTGTGTCCTTATCTTCATAGTCAATTTGAATTGTATGATCTTGATCATTGCATAGTCACAAGGCTGATCATCCTGACTGTGCCTGCTGTTGCTTTTTTCTTTCCTTCGCCTCCGCATCGGCCTGCTTCCACGATCCCTCATAATGATGCGTGACAAGAGGATCTCCCTGATCCTTGGGGAATCCATTCTGAGCCGCAGCAAAGGAGACCCCTGGCATAATCAGAACATCACCAATCAGCTTTGGGTGCTTAATCCCTGCAAAGTCACGATCATCGACTTCTCTACTCAGCAATTTCTTCAGTCCATCCAGGATTGAAATGGTCATGATCTTGGGTCCAGTGACATTAACAACATCGGAAAGCATCTCCAGTGTTATTCCCGAGATGGAAACTTGGTTGTCGTTAGCGATCTTCTTCAATGTATTGACCACCGAGTCGACGATGACTTGGAGATTGCGCGATGATGGCTGTGCCGAGAAGACCCAGTTGCAGAACTGGGACGCGACTTCTGTTCCGGGTCCTCGCGTCTCGAGGTCGAATTCTAGTCCGACGATCATATCAATGTGTTGGTCTGTGTACTCCGCTGGTACCCACTCCGCGGAGGGTTTCTCAGATGAGACATCCAGATCGCTCCAGTATCCGCCCTCGGCGAGAACGACCAGGTAACGGAAGAGATCCGCCCGTAAGATTGGGATTGAGAGGCCTTCGTAGACTTGAACGATATCGGGCCGCGTTTGCTGGTAATATGCTCGAACGAATGCTTCGGCCGATTGATCAGTCAGCAGCTCATGGCGGAAAGAGGGATTCTTGTCGGTCCAGCTGTTGATGTATGCTCGCTGCGATTCCGAGATGTAATCATTCTTGGCCGAGTGCCACCCTTATCTGGAATCCCGTTGATTGCGGTATTCGTGATAGAGTGGTGGCTTTTGAGGTCGCTGCCTAAAGGACCCTTTGAAGGGATGTGGGGTGATGAGCCCGCGCTACCGGTCGCAGGTGTGTGTAATGAGGTCTTGGAACTGGGTGGCAACGTATGTAACGGTTTCCAGCCCAGATAGAAGGAGTAAGCGAGTATGAGGGAAATCAAAAGACCAACGACTACGCGCACCGAGCGCGAAGTCCGCAAGTTAGAGACCGTGAACATCGTGGGGGGCCCGAAGGGGGCAAGTCAATCAAATGCCGAAGGTGAGTGGGAACTGAATACAACGAGGAATATCACGATGGGATTGCTGATGATTATATGGGAAAGGGGGCAGCGAATCCTTCCAAGATAGGAGACTGGTAAGCGCTTCGGACCGGCCGAAGAAGATCAGTGGAGTTTGAAATCCAAACAGGTCCACGACGCAGTACTGTACTAAGCCCCTGGTGTTGTTGGAGGATCTCTAGACCCCGGTGGATTCGCTACATTCGGCGTGCGCTCAGCACGGTACTTGATTTGTTAGAACCTCGCGGGTATCTAGGCTCGTTGATTGGAGCTCAGATCCATGGACCCTATCTAGATTGCTGGCTTCTGCCAGCTTGAGCCCCTTCGAACTTCGCCTCCTGAAAATATTCCGAATTAATTGATCCTATGCTTGCCAAAAGGTATGCCTTTGCCCTCGTTTCTTCCTACTAAGATTCCCGATTCCATTACTTTGATCTTGTGATCTTGTCGCACCCAGTTTCGCAATGTTGTGCAGCTCGGCTTTCTTTGATCTTCCGACAAAAGACCAGACAGATGCGGGGCAAATCGCCAAAGAGATTGATCCTTACTCTACCGACAGTGCATAGGCTCAGGAACGATCGAGTATGACTTCATGCATCCGGAAAGGCTATTCTGAGTCGAATTTGTCCAGCCCAACCATGAATAGATCCCTTCAATTACATCTGGTGGCTATGCGCATAGCTACACGTCAATGGGTCTCTGCAGCCGTGGTCGCTTTGAGGTAATATCGCCTGACATGATTGATGTCTGCAGGGAAACCAGCCCCAGGGCGGAGGCGGGGGCTGCTTGAAGGCGCGTATAGCGCGGATCAGCATTGAGCCACACTACTTGCTAGCCGTAGATGACGAAGAAGCACGTCTACGTTACAAGCCTCGAGCCTTAAATAGGTTTGCAGTGTGAGTGCGGCTCGGCATAGACTTAAGGACAGGACAAAAGTAGCAGGGCCAGACGAAGATATCTGGGGGTGAATAGGACAAGTTCAAAGTTCACAAGAGAATAAATAAGGACATTGCGATTGTTTTAAAGGAGTACAAACCTCAATTATTCCGTCCAACTATTGAGAAGGGGAGATTCAGGACTCCGGTTGGAACACAGATTCGCCCGTTCTCAGTACCACGAAAGAGTCCTCACGCTCATGGGAATCAACCTCCCTCTTCTCGACCTTGACCACGTGAGACATTCGCGGTCCTTTGTCAATTTCCTGCAAGAATTTCTTCAGAGCTTCTTGGTCACCTTGAACCTCGCCCTCGACCTGTGCCGTTCGTCAATGACTGTTACGTGGACTCCATGTACAGACAAAACAAGCCGACTTACCCTTCCGCAGGTAGTGTTCCGGCACCATCCCTTCAAATTCTGTCTGACTGCAGCTTTCTGCGTGAAATCTCTAAAAATAGTCAAGGTTGGCTCTGTTCAATCCTTCGTTGAACTTGATATGACATCATTGGTCGGTTCAAGAATGAGCTCTTACCGGAAGCCGACACCTACAGACCTGTGTTAGTGGCAGAGAGCTCGATGGACGCTCAAGACATGATTCTGCTTTGAGATGGCTTTGGTCGTGGCATCTTACCTTGCACTGTGCCGGAAACTCTGAACCAGATCTAGAAGAGGTCAGCCATCCGAGATGTGGGGTAATATACAGCGTCTCGACTCGGGGGAAGATCCATGCGAATAGGGCCTCGTATGCAATAACCGCGCCCAAGTCGTTATGCAAAAACTTACACGTTCAACTGACATGCTGTAGTGTTTAGAGAATCAAGGTTGAGGGTGTTTGGAAGTGTAATCCAAGGTTGGTCGACATGAGTTCGCCACATTGAGTGGCGGATGCATTGCTGAGCTAATCCTTGTTTACGTCTTCCCAAATGTCTCCAGAAGAGAATGTCTTGAGAGAATGTCATACAGACTTACTATATAGATTATAGTCTACAAGAGTGCATCCGATAGCCCTGTTTCACCGCCAGATATGCATTCTCAAATTGCTCAGTTGGCCGCGCTCAAGAGCCATACCTGGTAAAATTGTCCCGATTCTCATCAGACATTGAGTCCTATACCCAAAGGCTTGAAAGTTCAACCAATCAAGTGGTTGTGTAGTGTAATGGTCATCACTGCGGATTCTGATTCCGCCGATCCCGGTTCGATCCCGGGCACGACCTTTCAAGCTTTCATTTTTTGTGGATGTTGAATTTTCGGTATCGGCTCCACTTCTCTATCAATCGAGAGGATCCACTTTCTTTGAAACAAAATGAAGTCATATAGCTACTCGATGGAAGTTCCGTTATTGTTTTTCGATGTCTTAGCTTGAGATATAAAAGGGCAAGATTTACTTGTTGACGTCGGAGTATGGCAAGCAAGGCCGTGATACCGCTGCTGTAATTTGACACTCAAAAAGGCGTTGAAAATGCAATTAATCATTGATATCAAGTAACTAGGTGACTTATCAAAGATATATAATAGACGATTTAAATCATTCATCCACATCGCGAGGGTCGTGCTCCTTCCAATATTTTTCATACTCCTCCGCTGTTTGACCTGGCACAGTCTCGTAGCGAGTGAGCGGTGCCAAAGGAATTCCCAACTGCTCATATTTGTCCAGACGCTTCCTGGTAACCTCTCTAGTCTTGTTGACACTGTAGATCTTGATACGGTGAGCCGAAGACGTGACATGAAGACCCCAATTCCAGGCTGCGCGGACATTCAGCGGTTGTGTGTTAAGAGAGTTGTCCCAGCATCGACAGACAATCTCAATCCAACCTTCCACATCGCACGGCAGATCGTACTCCCAAGTGCGCCAGGTCCATTTGCCTTTCTTCGACAAGTTCTCGGGTGGCACTGAATACCATGAGAAACCTCCATCGGCCGAAAGCTCAACGCGCTCGGGCCAGCGTCCACCACCGGAATAAGCCCATCCCTTGCAGCGGATCTTACCCGAATGGATGATAGCTTGCTTGGTCCACGGTGACATGATCGCAGAGCTAACGGGCATCTCTTGAATCTGAATGCCGTCGGTCGGACGCTGGTTGTACTTGCCAATCTGCTGGTTGAAGTACAGGTATTCTCTCGCCTGAACGGGTGCGCGCGAAGGGTTCTCGATGGCCTTGATCCGGTAAAGCCACTTGACGCTGCGAGCACCGATGTATCCAAGAACGACGACTCGGAGAGGGTATCCGTGGATCTTGGGCAAAGGCTCGCCATTCATCTCCCAAGCCAGAATGACCTCGTTGGCTTTGACCTTGGACCAAGGGACGCTGACAACATAGTTCCCAACTTCCAGATCCTTGACGTAGGTGTCCACGCCGTACAACTCAAGGTGCTTTGCCGGCTTGAGCAGACCACCGCAGTCTTTGATCACCTTTTTCAAACTGATGCCGACGTATCGCGCGGTGCCAATGGCACCCTCGGCCCAGGGAGCCTGGGGAACTTCGTCGCCTTGACCACCATAGAGAGCAATCTGTTCAATACGACGGGTTCCAGAGCACTGCATGGTCACAGTCTTTTCCATGCGAGGGAACCTGTTCTCGTCCATGAGGTCATCCAAATTATATTTCTTTGGGTGCGCGACGAGTCCATCAAGAGACAATTCAAACTTGTCCTTCTCAATATAAGGGATACCGCCGTGGTTCCGCACGAAATGGAGAGGGTTTGGCGTGATTGCCTTGGAAGTCACCAGGCGCTTGGGAGGTTCTCCGTTGTAAGGGAACTGAAGAAGATGCAGCATATCGGGATGCTTCTCACGCAGCACCGTCCGCCAAGAGTCATCGGCAACAGTGGTCATCCCTCCCCCGATGGCTGCATGCCAGGCCTTGAAATCATCACCGGAAAGCACAGGGTTGGTTGGAGGAATAGGTCCAAACATGAAGTCGGGGCAGCCCGGGAAAGTCTGAGAGGTCAGGATCTTATGGGCCTTGGACTTCTTCTCAGGGTAGTTCTCCCACTCGACATACCTACAAGTAGAAACAACAGTCTTTTAGTTTCAGGGCCATAAGAATAAAGTTTTCCTGGGAAGGAATCAAATACCCTTTCCAGCCTGGTCGCTCACGAGCGAACAGTTTGTCGCGATCGCCGACTGAGCGAATCGCATCTTCATCCTTCATCAACTTGGTCGGGTTAGGTGGATACAGGTTAATAGTATCGCTGCCACTCTGATCGAGGATAGGTAGCTTGTGGCCGGCCATACCCTGTTCAATTATCCACTCATCCGGACGATTGGTTGTGTCCATCTCCATGCTGGTCTCCATGGTGTTTGAAGTGTCAAAAGATAGAGGGAGTAAGTCAAATTAAAAAAGGTCGAATGAGTCGACAGGCCGCTCAATTGGTAGGTGGATCGATGATGGCAAAAGAGAAAACACACAGGCTGTTATTCGCTTCTTATAGACTTTATCCCCCGGAGAACAAATATGGCCGGAGTAGTCGGATGCGGGTGATCGTCCATGGCACATTCCTCGAAGCTATCTCCCTTGTTTCCTGGTTCCACCGATACTGTGCCGTCGAGGAGCTTTCAGCCGGGGATCAATCAAATCAGGACGGGATTTGACCGGATCAAGACGCGATCTGATCCTTGTCTGAGTAACAACGCAATGTTGATATGACTTCACGACTTTGCGGGGCCCACTTGACCGAGTGGCGGTCTGAGCTATCAATTCTAACGGTCCTAATGCAAACTAAGAATAGAAAGAGCTCAATCACAATTGCCACGAGGGGGGTTAGCTGATAAGCTGGAAAGGTCCGTGAAAAGACAAGGACGACACTGCCGCTATCATGTTGGCGTTATGATGATGCGCCCAGCTTGTGCTGTTCGGCAATGTGTTCCGGCGCCGGAGCGGTGGTACCATGTACCAATGACTTCAAGCAGCATGCTACCATTCCAATGCAGAGAATAAGAGAACAATCGCGGCAGAACTAAAGTCAAAGTGGACCGCGCCTAGTCGATAGTCCCCCCCATGCTGCGTTCAGGATGACACCACGTCTGTGCTTTAAAGTTGGACCCTTTAGGAATGTAGGGGGCAAATTCCCCGACATTCCACTCGGTGGCGTACCCTTGACCCTCTATGCCCTCGATTGGCTGTTTGTTGTTCCTGATAAGGATTAGTATTGCGGCATTGGGCTAAGCCGGAATGCACGACGTGCTGACTTGCTTTTGGTCTTTGAAGATCAACCAGCCCCTCAGTGGGATGTAGGCTAGTCCTCTGTCAGATCAAAGCCTCGTGCGCTCACGCTTCGGAGACATGGAAAACATGATAAATTTAGTATCTATTGGGGTTTGGAAAATACCCGAGAGCTTTCATTGACTTTGGAACCTCCCGTTCGTCTCCACGTCTATCAGTAACCTTGGTACTCATGCCCTCTTCCAAGTTTCCCACTTCAAATCAGCCCTTCGTTGAATTCGATGGCTTCATAACGAGGACTAATTTGAAAGATTCAAATGAGGCAAGTCGTGCTCTTGGTCCAAGAGGCGTCTGATCCCGTGGATGAGCTTCGCGGCGCAACTGGAAGACCTACTTAACGTTCTCGGTCTAACAAACACTTCTGTCTCAATTTCCAATCATTGCTGCAGATAATCTGCAGCTAACCCCTGCAGCTAATCCGCCAATCTCGATGCCTACTGGCCCGAGCGACGGTGGGGGTGAATGCAGCGCTCGAACTTTACAACACACGTTTCAGGGAAAGCCAGCTTGACACCAGTGAGTGAACTATGGGATGGTTCTTTCCACCATTGGCTGTTAGCCACATCAACCGAACCTCTAAGGTAGCCGTCATGGGCTCCAATAGACCGGACTTGTTCTTGTTCGTAGATGTAATCTGGAATTGCAGTTCCAGGCGTGGGAACACGCCCGTGTATGCAGGACTTGGACCGCGTAAAGTCAGAAAGTCTCCGCGATCATCACCCTTTTAGCCAAACCTTGACCACCAAATACGCCAGGAATTGTCATACATTATGGAACCCCGCATCCCCAATCATGGTGTTGATAAGCCGTACTTCCTCCCAGCAGATGGGCTTGATTTGACCCTCTCTTCCGTGCAAACTACTTTCAATTGGGATCAAATTGTGATCGAACTCAATCATCATGACAATTCACAGCGCACTGATTGCGTTGCTAGCGCTATCCCTAGCGGATATAGGCAATGCAGAGAGAGTACTCGGCGCTTATATCTTCCAGCGCCATGGAGACCGTACAGCCAAAGCTCTCGCACCAACCAAGTTGACTGACCTAGGCTATACTGAAGAGTACATGAGCGGTGGCTTCTTCAACAACCGATATATCTCTTCTAGCTCGGCATTCTACATCGAGGGAATCAGTACAAAGATTGTGAACCTGTCCCAAGTCACAGCCAGTGCACCACAAGACAGTGTTATCCAAAACTCAGGCCAGGCCTTTCTGCAAGGTCTCTATCCGCCAGTCGGTACAGCCGCAAATGAGACCCTTCGTAATGGGTCAACGATCCAGTCTCCCCTGAACGGCTACCAATTAATCCCAATGTCAGACGTTCAGTCTGGTAGTAGTGCCGAGGACAGCACATGGCTCCAGAGCACATCATCTTGCGCCAAAGCCGAAGTGAGCAGCAACAACTATCTGTATTCAACCGCGTACAAGGACTTGTTCAATTCCACGGAAAATTTGTACCAGTCGCTCGCTCCATACGTTAGCGGGGCTATCCCTACGAGTCAGTTGAGCTTCAAAAACGCATACACCATCTGGGACCTTCTCAACGTGGCCTCTATCCACAATGGAACTAGTACAGCGCTTCCATCAAGTCAGGAGATGAAAGAGCTTTTGGTTTTAGCCAATACACACGAGTACAACCTCGCATACAGCAGCAATGAGACCATCCGTGCTGTGGCAGGTATGACCCTGGCTGGTGAAGTCGTCTCTGCGCTGAACAAGACATTAAGTTCCGGTGGTAAATCCAAGCTGAATGTTCAGTTCGGTGCTTACTCGACTTTCTTGTCGTATTTCGGTCTTGCAGGACTCGCTGCAGAGAATGTCGAGTTCACGGGCATGCCTGATTATTCTTCGTCAATGGTATGGGAGCTCGTGACCAATGCCTCTGGAACCGGTATGCCTCCCCAGTCCGACATCAGTGTGCGCTTCTTGTTCCACAATGGCACAAGTATCGCGGGATCCACCCAGCTGCAGGCCTATCCACTATTTAAACTGACCACACCCACCATTCCCTGGACACAATTTGTCCAAAGCACAAACCAATTTGCGATCTCCACTCAGTCGCAATGGTGTCAATCCTGCGGGAATACTACCGGTATCTGCAGCTCTAGTGCAAATGAGAGCACAGGTGGCTCCTCGTCTTCTTCTTCTTCTTCTTCTTCCTCCTCCGGGGGAATGAGTCTTGGGGTTGCTGGTGTCATTGGTGCCATGGTGACTCTGGGCGTTCTGGCAGGACTTACAGCTCTCATTATGCTCGTATTCGGTCTACGGCTTGTACGGAAAAGCACACTTGCGGCTTTCTCCAGAGGCTCTGGCTCGGACGCCTCTACGACGGAGCAGGCTCTGAAGAGATCGTCGCTTTGATTGCGACTTGGTGGCTTGCTTGCAAGCTTTGCTCATTGCATGACTCGATTATATATGCGTCTTACTTTTAGTTCGATATTTGCCCCGGAGGCTGAGTGAAATGCCAAAACATCGGAAGGAATGTCGATCCAAACGTTTTTATTCCGTAAAAGAACATGCGCCCAGGACAAAACTAGACTTGATGGACCCTATAGCGGAAGTGTATAAATAGATGCGATCTTGGCGGGCGGTGGCAGAGTTGGCGATCAGCTTGCCTCGGCCCCTAATCGTATCGGATCCTCTGTAAACACCTCCATCTCTCCTCACGCGCCATGTCATTGCGGTAAAATGCCATCCCCTCTTTACTGGTTACGGCGAATTTACTCGCTTGATACCCTCGACACTCGCTTCACGACCTCAGCAACTACCCCTGCCAGTACGAACACGCGACCTCCCTCCGCTAAAGATGCCCGCGCCCACGCCATTGCCCAAAATGCCCCAGCATCACTCTGGCGCACGCCCGAGTTCTTCATCTATTACATCTTTTTTATTACTCTCGTTCCTCTGATGTTCAAAACCGTCATCAACGCCTCCAAGGGTGGGTGGTCTGGGCACAAAACATTGAAGCACCGAATACTGATCGAGGATCTGACAACCAGACGACCACCCCATCTACCCTACGTATTCGCACCTTCTGTCGCCGGGATGGATTCCTGGCCGCCTAGTCGTGAGTTCCTGGCTTTGAAATTGCGCCGAGAAGCGCCATTAGCTAAACCCGCTTCGATAACTAGGACAACTCGGACGCGCAATATGCCAGCTTCCGCGACAACATTCCCTACCTGGCCCTCCTTCTCATTGCCCATCCGGTGGCTCGTCGCATATACCAATCGTTCACGAGTCGTAAAGATGCGGTACCCAAATCTTCTAAGCCCTCCGTGGTCGCCGCCGGGAACGCACACCTCGAGCAGCGAATGCGCTTCGACTTTGGATTTGGCCTGATCTTCATCACAGCCCTCCATGGCGCTTCGGCCCTCAAGATCCTTGCGATCCTGTTCCTCAATTACAAAATTGCCAAGAGTCTTCCCCGAGACTACGTCCCCGCCGCGACGTATACCTTCAACATCTGCATATTGTTCGCCAACGAACTGCTCGGTGGGTACCCGCTCGAACGCATTGCCTTTTTCTTCGCACCAGGCTCAGGAACACCGGGAGAGAAGGAATCTATGCTGGTCCAATGGGCACAGTCGTTGGATAACCTCGGAGGAATCATGCCGCGATGGGAGGTCCTCTTCAAAGTCACCGTGTTGCGGCTGATCAGTTTCAACATGGACTACCACTGGAGTGCTGACCACCTTGCGACGAGCCCAATTGAAGTATGCTTCCCCCTTCCGCTTGAAGTGCTTGTCTTGTCTCGACTCCTAGCTGACTGAAATTGATAAGAAGAAACAACTCGACCCCGCGGCCCTTTCAGATAGAGATCGTGTTAAGATCCCCGTTGAACCTGCTGCATATAACATGCGAAACTACATCGCCTACGTGCTCTATTCACCACTTTACTTGGCGGGCCCCATCTTGACTTTCAATGACTACGTCTCGCAACAGAGACACACTGCGCCGTCATTGACTCGCACCCGTACTATTCTCTACGGAGTTCGATTCCTCCTCACCCTACTCTGCATGGAGTTGATTCTCCACTACATCTACGCAGTGGCTATCTCGAAAGCTTCGCCAGATTGGTCACAATTCACATCCGGTCAGCTAAGCATGCTTGCCTACTTCAACCTACACATCATCTGGCTGAAGCTCCTCATTCCCTGGCGCTTCTTCCGTTTCTGGGCCCTTATCGACGGTATTGACCCGCCGGAGAACATGGTCCGCTGCATGTCAAACAACTACTCCGCCCTCGCATTCTGGCGCGGTTGGCACCGTTCCTACAACCGATGGATTGTCCGTTACGTCTACGTACCGTTGGGCGGAGCTGGACGGCGCTCCGCGGCAGGCAAGCCGGGGCCTGCACCATCGGGCTTCTGGGTCAAGTTCCAACAGATCCGCAACTTCATGCTTGTCTTCACCTTTGTTGCGCTTTGGCATGATATCAATCTGCGCCTACTTATGTGGGGTTGGCTCGTGACACTCTTTGTTCTTCCAGAGGTCCTTGGTGGTATGCTCTTCCCCGCCCATCGCTGGCGTTCTCACCCAACCGCATATCGCGTCCTGAGCGGTATCGGCTCCGTGGGCAATGTGCTCATGATGATGATTGCAAACCTAGTTGGATTCGCACTCGGTCTAGACGGGCTGAAGGACCTCCTTGCGAGTCTGACGGGCTCATATGCTGGCGTTGCATATATGATTTCGTGCTGTATTGCTCTTTTTGTTGGTGTTCAAGTCATGTTTGAGATCCGAGAGGAGGAACTGCGTATGGGAATCAACTTGAAATGTTGAAATCATTTCCTTCCCAAAGGGTGAAATGTGCGCTTTACGGTCTTTCTTTAGTTACCTCACATCAAAAATTCATCAATATACTATAATTTACGCCGGAATGATCTCAAAGGATCCAAAAGATCTCCACTCTGCGTTTGCCTCGAGTCATACTATATTAACTCGGCTTCATTCTACTTGATTGAGTCTGTCTCGAAGAGCTCAATGAGGGGGTTGTTGCCTTTGATCTTCTATGGCTAGTGAAGTGTCTTTCATCTCTATGAGAAAGCAAAGAAAGAAAACTACCGCCAAGAAGTAGTGGCCACACAAAAGGCTGTGGACAGCATTCCGAGACTTTGTCATTGTTTGATGCACAAAGAGGCTGCTACAATCAATTCTATACCCAGCAGTCAATGGCCTCGTGAAATGCTTATAAGAACGACCAAGTCCCAGCTTTCCAAAAAAAAAAATCAATCATTGTCACAACCAGCAGCCATCACAGCAACAGCCAAATAGGACTCTCTTGCTTTGAACATTGCCCTGTCGCTTTCACTTTCTTCATAAACCACCCCCTAGAACTGTCCCTGGAAACATCACAGATCAAAATGTCACACATCGACCGAGACTTCGTCGACATCTACTGGATCAACTGCAAAAGATCCACCAACGGCACTACCCACCGAATGATCGGTCTATTCAACCCCGGTGCAGATCGAGGCGCCTGGTATCACTGCCAAGGATGCCCCGGTGCACGCCAGCCTACCTATCAGTATGAAAAGAGACTCGACAGCTGGTCATTCGAGAGCACGCAGCTAATATCTCGCATTCCAACAATAGTGGTCAATCAAGTCTTACAGCAAGCCGAAGCCATCCCACCTCAGAATTGTGGCACCTGGGCCATGTACTTGATTTTCAGACTCGAGCGAGAGGGGTTAGTTCCTGCCGGGAATTATGATAACTTGCAGAAGAGGTATGGGTATCTTCATCGGGATGAAGATTTTGGTCCGGGTACTATGAGCTCAACTCCCTGTGGTCGTCGGTCTCAACGAACTCCGATGCCTCAGCAGATTTGGGAGGAGGGGCATCATAAATCTCAGGTTTCTTATGATTCCAAGGTAGAGAAGTGGCTTCGACAGATTTAGAGGGAATTCTGGCACCACTGAATGCGTTTCATTACTTGGATTACCTTGAATGGCGATATCGCAGAGTAGCTCGGTTAGGAGGTTCTCTATGTTTAGATGTTTATTTGGACGTTTTGAGAACGTTATTCAGTATGTTCTTTCAGCATTATTCATTTTTGTATTTGACTCCTGTATTTTAGAATGACACTAGTCTTACTTTAAACTTTTGCACTCCGTCATTTCAGATCAAGGTGATGCTTAGCAACTACTTCTGGTCCTAAGGAGGCGAACACATACATAGACTTCAATTGTCTATCTTCACGGATTCTCTGTCTGGCTTCAAAGTAGAAAACAAGCGAGACAGTATCGATATTTGAATTAAGTATTGTACAAATTTAGCCATTAGAGTCATACAGTCGTAAAGAAGAGAACAAAGCCGAAGCTAGTCTCAGTAGTATACAAGCGAGCATTCGTCCCAGCTCTAGAAGAACGCTCCACACCGAGAGTCCTCATGCACTCGATAACAATCAAGTCCACACGTCCGCAGATGACAGCTCTTGCACCGAATCTTGCCCCAGTATCCACACATGCAACAGAACGCTCGCGGTGGCCGTGCGGACATTGGTGGTCCCGTGCGCGAAGCGTTGTAGGAAGAGGTGGTTCGGCAAGGAGCCGCTGCATGATTCGTTCAGATGGCATTGTTGGTGCGAATGAGCGTAGCAGGGGATCGTTATCATATTCCGTCTTGATGAGTTTCGGCTTTGGTTCATCATCAGCGTTCTCGGCTTCGGCGTCTGTCGTTTCGATTTGGGAGGGCGCCGGTGTGGGTGTTGAGGCAGCATTCACTGTAGCAGCTGTGCGCTTCTTCGATGCCGGCGTCGAGGCCGGTGTTGAACTTCGTCTCGCTACAGCTACGGCTGCAGCTCTGCTCTTGGCTGTCGCCGCGGCCATGTTGCCACTGCCCAGTGCTGCACTAACCCCACCTCCTCCAGCGGCGATTGCGGCCTCCTCATCGTCAAGGTGATTTCGGAATGTCTTTTGGGATTGAAGGATGCGGCGCACGTTCGAGGTTGTCTTTGCTCGCGTGCCGCGCGAACCAGCCTCCTTCGCTTGCTTGACGGGAATGGATATTTGTACGTCGCGTTGGTTTTCACGGTCCAGCTCAGCTAGGTGGCGGACGATGGCATTCGCTCGTCGCGAAGAGATGTCGCCGCCTTTGCCGGCATCGCGGATGCCGCGTTTGCGGCCGAGTGTCGGGGCCATGGCGGCTTTGGAGGGGTCGAAGCCCCGGTCGGCCACATAGGTCCAACCAGGCTGGGCGGCTGCCCCGGAGTCCGGGAGGAGTTCGACGCGGAACATGGCTGGATCGGATGTGTAGAGATGGCCGAGGATGGAATGCAAAAGTTGTTGATAAGTGACGGTGTTTGTTCTGTTTGCATCGATTGGGAGCTCTCAAAGTTAAGTAGACTGGGCATCATATGATTTCAGGAACAAGGAGAATATCACATTTTTTTTTTGAAATACATGTTCTGAAGCCTGAGTCCATAGTGAAATCGCCTTAATAGATTGCAGTAGTCAAATGATGCCAAGTTCAGACTGGTTTGCCAGCAAAGAAAAGGTCCCTAACACCTCCAAATGAAAGAATAAGTACAATAACGTAAGAGATGACATCGTAGTAGAATTTATTTCTTCTGCAGGCCGTTGACCTTGCTCTCCAGCTCGGTGATGTATGACTGGAGCTTCATGGTAGCTGTTTGAAGGGCCTATTCGTATACAATGATCCCGCCCCGGAAAGTCCGGAGAGAGAACATCCTGCAATTAGCTTCCAAGAAATGAGATGCGAGGTACAGAGTGATCGAGAGACATACACCAATGTCATCAGACAGCATCTCATTGGCGACACGGTAGTCACCGAGGATATAATAGTAGACTGACGCGCCGGCAACAACGGCGCCAGTGAGGAAGCCGAAGACACTGCAGAGAGTTAGATTCCGTTTGTATAGATCGGTCATGCACAGCAAATCAAAGCGCAAGGCACCGCAAGAAGATCGGTACATACCCTCCTCTAAAAGCCCCTACAGGCTTGCGGGCAGGTAGAGCTGCGGACTCCCAGCGGGGACGGGAGACCGAGAAAGGCCGGGCGACCACGCGGCGCGGTAAGAAGAGCTTTGGACGTGCAATCATTGTGATGGGAGATCTGGGATAATCAGGAACGACGTCCAAATCGGAAATCAGCGAAGGTCTTACAATCTTGTAGATGCGCGGTGGCGGGGAGTGAATCGGGGAAAGTGACGTTGCTAGACGCGGAGGTCCGGGGTTCCGGGCGCGGCGTGGGCCTCGCTTTTCTATACCGCGATCCTGACTCGCCAGTCCACAACAATCCAAGTATAGTCCTAAACACTTATCCGCGATGTGATTCTCCTCGGATCGTGGAGTCTTATGATCCGCGGAAGATCGATACGAGTCAGCGTGGACAGTGAAAAGATGATGAATTGATATTAAGACTACATATGCTTCCACTGGAACTCGCTGCATGGCTTCAATTTGCCATCGTGCTCTCATTGAAGAGATCCGCGAGCAGGTCATCCCGGCACACGCCCAGATCCACACTTTCCATTCCATAGGTGCTCTCAAACGCGTAGATACTCAAACGGTCAAAGAATGGTCGCAGGACCCGCTCAACAATTTCGTCCTTGGCCGTTTCGCGGATTCGGTCGGAGGTGAGCCACGGCCGTTTGAGGGCGCCGCGTGATGCAGGCTCGGCTTGCTCGTGTGTCACGGCCGGCGAGAGAACGCCGCGTGGCCCGAAGCTTTGAGAGATTTCGTCGGCAAGAGCAATAGGTTCCCAACGGTCGGGCGGGTAGACTGCGTCGATGGTATCGGTAACAAAGAGCCATTCCAAGAGTTGGAAGTCGTCCGGGGCGATCACTAACAATGTGTCGAGCAGCTTGCACGCCTGAAGCAATGAATAAGGGCTGTAAAGCTCGGACTGAGAACCTCGCGGAACAGCCGATATAGCTTCCTGCAGCTCCATGTTGATCAAGGGCCAGAATGACGCCATGGTGGAGGAAGAAGTAGTGAGGGCGAGGGCGCGCAGAACCATGAAGATCTCGGCACGCGTCGCGGAAGATGGCGATGAAGAGCTCGTAGCGGCTAGGAGGTCCTCCAGCTTTTGAAGTAGACCTGGTAGCTCGCCCACAAAGTAGTCCTCGTTGGCGGGAAAGAAGAAGCAGGGCGATGCGGCGAAGGTTAAGTTGGGCCTTGCGATCGGCTTCCAGCCGCGCTGCGGAAGCTCCAACACCGAACATGATTCCAGCTGCACTTGGCGGCGGAAGTCGACCCAACAACTCAGCCAGACGCTCCTTGTCGGCGAGAACCCACTGCCGTAGAAGATCCATCCAAGTGGCCCTGACCATTTCCACTTGTAGGCCGAAGAAGCGCGGATCATGGAATGCATCTGCAATGTCTTTCTTCCACACCTTGGCTGCTGCGGGCACCTTGGCCATCTGCTGTAGTAGAACCATGACGTTGCGGTTGAGGTTATTGGGAAACAGACGGGAGCGAATGAGAGGACCGATCACGTTGGTTGACACGCCGCCGATTGCGGTATTGATGCGGTCTGAATCACCCAGAGTGGTGATAAATGATGGCATGGAGACTGCAAGAATGCTCAGCATGTCGTCGGGTCCGGTGTGTGAGACTGCTGTCTGATCGAAGTCTACAGACGATCTCGCCATGAGGCCGCTGTCCTGATTGAGGCCAAGTGGCTTGCTAGTGAAGACGGCTGTCAAGAGTCGGAGAAGCACTTCCTGCAGGTGGCGTGGTCAGTCAGAAACAAAGTGAACTTAGTCTACGAAGAAGTTGACTTACCCCCAGTTCCTTGCGCATCCGTCGGTCCTCTCCAAACGTGGTATTCTCCAATTTTGCACCCAAGATGGCCGCAAATTCGATGAGTCGCGGAAGGATCTGTCGATGAGGGAAAGGGTTGCTCAGAACGTCACGAAGGAAAGTTGTGCAATCGGACCAGATCTCATCCAAAACGTCATCGTCCAAAGAGCGTGCATAGGCAACCAAGAAGCTGGCAAGCTCAGATTCAGAAAGGCTGGATGTCAATGAAGACTTGCGATTGTTCTCCAGTGCGCTTGGGTTGGTACGCGTGTAAATGGCGTTGAAAACGGCTGGAATGGCATTCTTTGGACGTGATCCATCGAGAGTATGCAAGAGACTGAAGATGAGTGTTGCAGTCTCCATGTCAGACTTAGTCCACATCTCAACTAGCGTTTCGAGGCATTCAAGTGCTTCAGCAGTGAAGAAATGCTCCAATATCCGTCGTGATCTGTTTCGCATGCGTAGCGATGTATATTGGAACGATGCCATTGACTCGGAATCCGGAGAAACTCCACTCTTATCTCCAGCACCCCATGCCCAAATAGAGAAGCAAAGGCGAACCGCGTCCTGGAAGCAGAGCAGAACAGTCAAGCGGTCATTGGCAGTGTTAGATCGACCCTGATTGCTATCTGAGTGAAAGACTCCTGAGACCATATTTCCAAAGAAGCCCTGAGGTTGATCCGGACTCTTGACCGCAGGTACATTAGACTCTTCCACTAGAAGGCGTTCGTGGGCATTGGCGATACAAGTTTCGAGACCCGTCAATAAAGCAATAGTGACATGTTCAGACCGATCCTGAGGCCAATCTTCTGTTTGCTGGAATGCGAGCTGAAGTCTTCCAAAAGATGCTCTGATCTCTCTACAAAAGCACTCAACAAGCATTAGAAGGATCTGGAAAATTTGGCCGGAGTAGAGAGGAAGAGCCTCACAAAGGAGTCCAATCCACTTGTCGACGATGTCTCGAGATCGAGCTGAGCTTATTCCCTTCAAAAGACAATCTAGAAGCCGCTCGGGTGGACGAGGAATCTGAGCCATTGAAGACTTCCTCTCTGGCTTGTCGCTGTTAAAGGACAGTATTGAAGGACTTTTCAAGCGTTCACGAGAGCCAGCTCTTTGATGTTTGGGCCGAGGAGGCGGTGGTGGCACATACGCCTGAGCGAACCGCACCTTAAGAGCGGCGAGTAATGCATCGATTAGTGCACCTTGTACCGCAACGCTGCCACCGTCAGATGCAATTAGAAGACGTTCTACTAAGAACTCATCAAGTCCAGATTCGACAAGATCCTCCGCGCCCGGACCTAGGAGAAGCTGTCGCATGAGATGCAGTGCATCTTTCTGTAGTCTCTCTCCCTCAGTGCTGACTGGTGGAGGGGTGAAGGTTGAGGATTGATCGCTGATGATTCTAAGAGACGCTTCGAAGAAGGTTGCATGAAGACTCTTCCCGCTCGAGTTATCTGCTTCTCGGGTCAGTCGCAGAATATCTCTCGTGTAGAAAGAACTAGAATCCTACCGTCAGGCTTGACTGTTTCAGGGCGGTTCTCAGCGTGGCTCACGGTGTGAGACAAAAAAATGATCCACCCGTTGTGCGAAAGAATAGAGATGATGTTAGAAGCCGTTCGCAACAAGTAATAGCACTCCTTGTAATCTTCCGGAGAGATAGAATGGTTATCGTGGATTGCTTCACCGTGGAGGTCACGCTCCAAGAGTTCTTCGAGTTTAGAAATGATGACATGGAAGATCCTGGAATACAAGATGAGCCTTTATGCATGACGCCCCTCGGGGTTTCCTTACTTGTGAATTGTCGGCAGGTCTTGAAGCCACTGCTGGACGCTCTGAGAGACATCGCCAGGCCCTTGGGACAAAAGATCCAAGACAATAAACAGTGGACGTTCAATCATAGTACACTGATAGGAGAACAATGATCCTCCGACGTCTATGACTTGCTTCGGGGGCTGTTCATGCGCCCCGTGGTGACTGTGATTCCACAGAACATAGAACTTCTCTGCCTTCTCATCCGAGGATAGATGATACGCCCCCGCAGCCCCAGTGCTTACCATCAAAGAAGTAATCGAAGCCTCGACAAGATGGTCGACCCAAGAGATTGAGTGCAGCAGCCACAGACACCGCACAGCCTCCACATGGAACTTTGGGCTTGATGGCGACAAATACTGCCACAACTGTTCGACCAGGTTGGGAATGAGATCACACGCATCCTCATAGCTTACATAGAAGCCGGGGGTATGGATGAAAAACAAATTTGTTACAGAAGAAGCGATCGTGGATATGACGGCGAAAGCCGCAGTCGTCCGGTTGATATCCTTGGTAGCTAGCTTTTGCGAAATTGCTGCATAGAGTTTTCTGTCGCGAAGGACGCGCGACTTCGGAAGCCTTTGCAATAATGTCACAAGAGTATTCAGCTTTTCATTGAGAGAAGCGGTGCCATCATCGCCCTTAAGGGCTCCAATGCAAAGATCATGGGCCTCCCGGATGATCATCTCACCGATCTGCTTGGGGGCAAATGGTAGGGGTGGAAGATCAAGACTGTTTTTGCTGATCTCATAAAACTGATGCACTTTCTTCATTATATCGGCATTCCTGGCCTTGTTATCAGCGGACGATTTCTCCTGGCCCGTCTTTCTTGAAAAGACTCTTTCTGTGAGCAATGGTGTCAGTGATTTTAGCACGGCGTTCAATGCGTTAGACACAGCCTGCTTGTTGAACTGAATGTCCAGTGAAGTAACTTCGCTCATTTTGACAAGCACTGAAAGGGTCAAGAGAGGAACATGAAGATGTATCATATCCTCTTCTCGCACGTTGAAGTTTTCAAGGATAAATCGTGCAAGATCCAAGTTGCGCATGACTTGATCACATTCATGTTCCGCATTCTTGGAACGGAAGTCAATTAGGTGCAAGAGCTCGGAGAAGATGACACTGCTTTCGACGCCATCGAAAAATGCACTTGCACTGCGGAATACTTCCTCGAAGTGGCCCTTGGGTGCAACTTTCTCGAATTCCTGGACGCTATGCATGGTAGGGAGGAAAACGGCTGGGACGATGTATCCGCCGATCTCCCAGCGATCCATCAGAGAGAGTGAGATCCGGAAGGGCTTCGTCCGTTCAGAAGGGGATCTAGAAGCTTGCTTGATCATTTTGAGAAGACCGTTGACCAATGGCTGTAAGCCAACGCGACTGAAATACTGAGATTGGGAAAGTTCCCCTCCATCAATAGACGACGAACGAGCAGTTTCCGATGAGAATTTTCGACCATCAATCGACGAACGCTCATTAGCTGGCTCTGGTCCAAGGAACCATGACCAAAGGCGGCGGTTCAAGCTCATATCACGCCGGGCAACCACGCCCACAGCAGATATTATCAATGTTTCAAGATCTCCGTCTGCAAGTCGAGTCTGTAAAATCGGAGAACTCAGAGGAAGATGGGTCACGAGTAGATCGAGGAAATTGCGCTGAACAAGAAGCTGCTCATCAGACAGGCCTGATGCGAAACAGCGAATCAAGAGGCCCGGCTCAGGAAGAATTACTGAATCGGCTGCAGCAAGCATCTGCGGCGGTATGTCCTTAATATCTCCGGCATCGGCCACACTTGGTCGACGATCTGCGATTCCTAGCTTTGGAAGGTAGCGGTTCAAATATGCCAGAACGCCGAGTCGTCGGCTGGAGTTCGTGATTGAAGCCAGGAAAAGACATTGCCAAAAGTATTGCCCAGAAGCGCCTGCATCAGCTGTCCTCTGTGTCTCGAGGTGTCCGGAGACATCGCGCAGCTTGTTGAGAATTCGTAGCGTCAGTTCAAAGTCGTCGCTTGTCTCCTCTTCCAGGCCAGGAAGCAGGGCCAGAATAATTGCTTTCAAAGCAGGGCGGATAGCCCACGGCTCAAGGTCAACAATGTATCCTTCCACCAAAGACAGGAAAAGCGGTCGAACAGAGAGCGAGGCGAAGGTCAGGGTGGGTGCAAGGCCAGGTAGATACAGCGGAAGGTCATGCGACAATCCCTCGAGCTAGTCTGAGTTTAGTCAAGTGTCTGTGGCCTGTGTATCCATATTCCGTACCTTAATTAGGCCAAATATGTACGTATAGACCTCAAGCGCCTTTTGGTGGACGCCCGACGGCAACGACGGGTTCAGGCATTGAGCAAGCCGCTTCGAAACCAGCAGCTTATGTGGGACGACTGGCTGATCGGGGGATGTGTTTGGAGTGCCTGAGCAGAGTCAATAAGTGAAACATCAATCAGATTCACTTGGGCCAGCCGACCTTTAGTAGGCGACTGAGGAAGGAGATGTAGTCGGCCCATTCTTGGAGGGCGTTGTCGAACAACGACAAGGCTCGCTCGACGCTTGACGCATAGCGGCGGTAGGTCTTGTCTTTCTTTAGAGACCCTAGAAGTGAGATTCAAGGTCAGACAAGGGTTGCGATAGCGATGAATTGCGCACAGAACGGACCTTCCTTGCCCTGGAGGCGCGGGCGCGTAAAGGAGCTCTCGGAGCTTGCGGGGGAGTCCGACCTCGGAAAGGCACTAGGATCAAGGCTCATGGTGCCAATGTCGTACGTCAAATTGATTCAAAGGCCGCAAGCTGCACTCCTTCATTATTAGGACATTGAGTCAGAGCCCTGGTGAAAAGGGCGGAGAGAAGTGACTTGAAGTACGAAAGGGCCACGCAGGCGGCCACATATCGATGTTTTGTCCGCCTTGGGAAGCTCCCGCCGATCGACGTCAGCGCTTCAACTCAACAACTCCCCAGGGCGAGTACCGAGAACCCGTCCTTGGCCCACGATATCTTTACTGAATGATGCGCGTGAGATAAGCTAATGCCCCGCGCCCAGCGACTGCGTTCAGAAGCGCACGCCTATAGCGGGGATGACTACACAGCAGCCCGACCAAAGCGACAGTCGGGATGAACATGTCGACAGCCCCTCGGTGGCTCCGTCGGAAATCAGCCCACCGCAAACGAAAAATAGGGATCGCAGTCCCATTTCAGAGGGTGTTCAACCTCCTCTACCCCCACGGCCAAACACATTGAACCTATTGAACGATGAAACGGCTTCTCGGGCCAGTCTACAAGCCGAGGCTACAACAGCTGTTTCTCGGGCAGAGATTGGTACTCAGACACCGGACACTGGAAGTGCTCACTCCACTTTAGCTGTCCGTGGCTTGTCGCGTGGCCTCAGAGCGAGAGCAAGCCTGAGCCACCTGGCTAGTCCAAAGGGAAGTGAAGCCGGAGACTCAGCGAGTATTCGGAGCTCGATTCAGAACGGCGATGTAGGAGATGTCGAGGCTTTGTTCAAGGATTTTGACACAGCAGTGCCCGGGGAGCATTCAGACACCGCGAGCTTGCTCCATTTCCCTGAATTTCCGGCCGATGATGTCGACGACGACGATTTCCTGAGCGAATTTGAGCCCGTCGGGGAACTGAACGAAGAAGCCGGCAATGAAGGTAGGTTTTTTTTTAAACATACCCGCGAACTTTGTCCCGGAATAGAGCTAAACAGGTGTAGATTTGCTTCTTCGTCGATGGAAGGCGAAGAAAAAGCACTACCTCATTCTCTCCGCGGCCGGCAAGCCAATCTGGACTCGCCATGGTGATGGTGGACTGATATCTACGTATGTTGGTATCATCCAGACTATCATCTCCTTCTATGAAGACGCGGGTGATCGACTACGCAGTTTTTCTGCAGCAGACTCCAAGTTTGTTATTTTGACTCGCGGGCCCCTCTACTTCGTGGCCATCAGCCGGATGATGGAAAGTGACAATCAGCTCCGCCTTCAACTTGAAGCCCTGTACATGCAAATTCTGTCCACTCTGACCCTACCCTCTCTTACACACCTCTTCTCCCTTCGACCATCCACCGACCTGAAACGACCACTTCAGGGATCAGAGACACTTCTGTCCTCATTAGCAGACAGTTTCACACGTGGGTCACCGTCCACCCTGCTCTCAGCTTTGGAGTGCCTCAGGATTCGCAAAGTACACCGCCAGTCCATTAACAATGCGCTTTTGAAAACCAAAGCCAGCACTCTGCTTTACGGTTTGGTTGTCGCTGGCGGACGGCTAGTCAGTGTGGTTCGCCCTAAGAAACACTCACTTCATCCAGGCGATCTACAGCTTTTATTCAACATGATTTTCGAAGCCGACGGCGTCAAGGCCGGAGGAGGAGAAAGTTGGATTCCTGTCTGCCTTCCCGGTTTCAATAGTAGCGGCTACCTATACATGTATGTCAGCTTCCTTGATCTCCGAGATAATGTCGACAAAAATGAGGCCATCTCCAAAGATGAGTCCGTCGCCATCGTTTTGATAAGCCCGGATAAAGAAAGCTTCTTCGCGATGCAAGGAACGCGCAACTCCCTTGTCGAGGTTAGTACAATTCTGTATTTCCGTCTTAGTGGCTAAAGCTAATAATCAAACAGCAAATGGAGAAAAATGGTAGTCTCAAAGTGATCAGAGCCGCCATCAATCAAGGACGACCAGCCACCACTGACATTGTCCCTGGGTCTGTTCTACACCATTTCTTATATAAATCGCGTGCAAACGTGCAGTTTACCATGTCGGCGTACGCCCCTGAATTTATATCAATCTCTCGACGACGAAAATTGATGTCAATATACAACAACCTTCATGAGAGTATCCACGTCAAGAACACCAGCGTCAAGGTGCACCACTGCGTCTCACGATCAGCAAGCTCGTTTGCTTGGGTGACCCCGGTGTTCGAATTTTACTGCGTTGCCGAACCCAACGCGAATAGAAACGCGCTGGTACAAAGCGCGACCAAGATTGCCCAGTGGGTACATCAAGAAGAAGAGAGACTTTTCATCATTGGCGGAGGTGTATGTACTCTTCCGTGTTGCATCGACCTCATGTACACGCTGATCATGATCTACAGGTTTTTTAACGTGCAGGAAATTTTACACACATTAGGGAAGAGATGGCATTTTTGTACATATTTGCCAACAAATTATACCCAATCCGTTCTCTGTACATTGTCACTTTCAATATTGACCTGAACTAAGTCTTCGGGAGCTTAGACTGAAGTTCCTAATGCATTGCAAAATGGTAGAGATGTGTATGAGTCTAGTCAATAGAATCATCGCGAAGGTTGAACAACTGGCGTATGAGCTCTCCCGACTTGCTCCGCAAAGCATCATGGTACATGGTGTTGGTGATGAACTGCTTTGTGCCTTTGATCTTGGCAGCAGTGTCGCATGAGAAATCGAAAGGCACATACATGTCATCAATGTAAATAGCAGCATAGACTGGCACTTCGTTCTTGGCCAGCTGGGCTTCATCATAAAGGGCAGGCCAGTCACTGGTAGTAGCGAGGATCTCGGCGGTCTCTCGGATTTCCTTGAGCTCCGAGTACGATTCAAACATGTCCTTAAAGACCTGGACATTATCGGAATTTGTTAGACCTGAGCAAATTCACCATCGATGGGGCACTGACCATCTCTCCGGTAAAATAAACCTCGGGCTCAGTCCCATTGAGCTGGAACCGCGGATTCTCGGCACGGAGCCTGTCTGCCGACCAAAGTGAGGGCTTACTGTTTTCCTTGTCATCGAAAGACCTAAGAAGATGAAGAGCGGTTTTTCTTACCCTTGGCAGTAGATCACCTCGTGCAGAATGGCATAGAGAACATTTTTGTCCATTCCACCATTGCTGTCGATCAGGGCAAGGGTGGGAACAGTCAAAGAGCCGAATATCTCTAAGTCGCTCCATGTTCGAAGAACAATTTCTAAAACTTTGAGTCAGATTGCGCCGGGCCTTGCCATTTCAAGAATAGCTTACCATGCAAACTTTCGACACCGCCTGTTCACGATTAGACTCAATGTATCTATAGGTACAAAGGAGACTCTTACCGTGGAAGCCGAGAATAATGCCAAGTTGCTGGAAACGAGCGGGAGTGAGAAATCCAGATGCCAAGGAGATCTTGTTTTCAGTCAGGTACTGCATGATCTTCTTGACTCGCTCGACATCCTCGGGAAACTTGGCGTAATATGCCTGATTCCTCTCGATAACCTTCTCTATCTGCGTGTTAATGTGTTGCTGTCCTGCTTATCGATAATAGTGGACTTACCGTAGGTTCGCTTATAGACAGGATCTGGGTGGTTGACCATTGGGGGCAACCCACCACAGTAGAAAGCTTCCTTCAAACCCTCAGGGCTGAATTGACACCAAAAATTAGCAAGAGATTCCATAGCTGTAGCAGCTTATCTTCTTTCCACACACACACAATTTGGACAAATAAGTGGTAATGCAAAAGCCACCGAAGCTTTGCCCGATAATGCTCCATTTGCGCTGATCCTCGGGATAATCTTCAGTCAAACATTTACGAACAGCTTCACAGTCATAAATAATGCTGTCTGCGCGGAAATGCTTCAGGTATTCTGCCTGCTTAATGGCGTCTCCGTGGCGAGCTAGGGTTCCAGCAGTAATGGTTGAGCTCATACCAGTGCCGCGCTGGTCCAAAAAGAGAACCTGTTCTATTCTGTTAGATCAGACCGAAACTTCCATCCAAGCAATACAACTTTAGTAGATAAGGCTGTGGGTGGGGCACGCACTTGGTAGCCCTTACTGAGCGCAGGCTCAATCCAACCGAAATTCTGCGGTGCAGCACAACCAAAGCCCGGTCCACCTTGGAGGTAGACCAGCCATGGAAGCTTGGCCTCGTCCTTGGTGGCTTCCACGGGTTTATTTAGGCGAGATACACTGCGGGCAAACAGTCTCAGTGTCCCGTCATTTGGCTTGCTGTAGTCGATTGGAACATCGAAGAACAGCTCGGCCACCCGAAGTTTCCCTGGAAGCTCATTAGCCCAATTCCGCCGGATGACATCCGATCGGCACATACCGGGAACGTTGTGGAATCGTCTATCAATGAGTTTCGCAGCCATTGCGGAGAATGTTGGGGTCCGGAGAGTTGCGTCGTGGCGGAGAGACGGCACTAAACCTCCCCAGCCACACCGCACCAAGGCCCCTGGGCCTTTCAAGGTACCGTTACCGCTGTTCCTGGCTCGTATACTAGGAATATATGACTCCTATGACTTCAATCGTCTCTAGCACCACTCAATTACTTAATTTCCAATTCTGGTGTTTTGTCCGTCTTACAAGATAAGCTCCAAATTGGTATCCACCCTGGCCTTTTTGGACAAGTCCAACCGAAAGGATCCCTTAGCCTTTCGATCTGGGAGTCATCGCATTGCAAACTCCGAGCTCTGTGAAATCCCGATCGGTGTATAAATTAGCTGGGGCCTATCTGAGATACGCCTCCATTCAAATTCGGAATGCCCGAGAAGCTATTGCAAAATCTATGGAAGGTGGCCCAAGGCAAATGGGAATCGGGCGTCCTTCCTAGCGCCGAGAGCTTGGCCAGAGCCCGAGCGTCTCTACCTGATAGTCTTTCCAATGCAGGTGTCAGTCTCGATTCTGTTCAGAAACATATCCTAGATGATATAGTCCCCGCCTTCAATGGAGGAAGCATCAGCCCCAACTATTATGGATTCATCACAGGCGGGGTCACGCCGGCAGCGCTCTTCGCTGACAATGTCGTGTCTGCCTACGACCAAAATGTACAAGTTCATCTTTCGAACCATTCCATCGTCACTGATGTCGAGTTCCATACGCTTGGTCTGCTAGCAGACCTTTTTCGACTGAACCGTTCCTCATGGCATAACGGGACTTTCACGACCGGCGCTACGGCGAGTAACATTCTCGGTCTTGCCCTTGGGCGCGAGTTTATTCTCCAAAAAGCCGCCGAAAGGAAAGGAAGCCCGGTATACAGTGTTGGAGAAGAGGGCCTATTCGAGGTATTACATGCTCTCAGTCTTTCAGGCGTTCAAGTGCTGTCAACGCTCCCTCATTCTTCTCTTGTCAAGGCTGCAGGTGTTCTCGGCATTGGGCGCGCCAATGTTCGAAACATTTGTCGTGCTGATAATGCACTTCATTTTGACATTGACCAGTTGGAGAAAGAGCTTGCACGGACGGACAAAGTCAGCATCGTCGCTGTATCCTGCGGAGAAGTCAACACTGGCCGATTCGCTACATCTGGTATGCAGCAATTGGCTGAGATTCGTCGGTTATGTGACAAGTATGGCGCTTGGATCCATGCTGACGGTGCATTTGGAATCTTCGGTCGAGTCTTAGATGACAACCCGGAATTCGCAACTGTCAAGAGGGGAGGAGATGGCATAGAATTGGTAGACTCGATTACCGGCGATGGCCACAAGCTCCTGAATGTACCTTATGACTGTGGCTTCTTCTTTTGCCGACACCCTGACCTGGCTTTCCGGGTCTTCCAAAACACGAATGCGGCCTACCTTACTGCAGCGGCATCCGATGGGCCCTCCATCCCATCTCCTCTGAATATCGGAATTGAGAATTCTCGGCGATTCAGGGCATTACCCGTGTACGCGTCTCTCCTTTCATATGGCAAAGATGGTTACCGAGAAATGCTGGAACGTCAAATCCGACTTGCCCGCGCCATCTACGATTGGGTCTTTGAACACCAGGAGTACATTCCGCTGCCACAGACAAATTCCAAGACCGAGCTGTTAGACCAAACATTCATGAGTGTCTTGTTTCGGGCCAAGGAAGATGCTTTGAACAATGAGTTGGCGAAGAAGATCAATGACACCGGCAGAATGTTCGTTTCAGGGACAAGCTGGGATGGGGCCCCTGCTTGTCGGATTGCCATTTCCAATTGGCGAGTTGATGTCGAGCGAGATTTCAACTTGGTGACAGGTGTGCTGGCCAAGGTTTCTCAGAGCTAGTGTCTGCAAGACTTTTTGTGAATATGTACTTAATCATCTAATCGTTCATATTGAAGGGAATTCAAGATAATACAAAAGAGACCTTTTTTCCACTGTAAATCACCGACGACGACCAGCTCCTCCAGCATTTTCGGCACGGTCAGCGAGAGTGACGACCTCGCCAATGCCAGCCGCTTCTTGTTCATCCTCTAGCGCCATGATCTCTTCACGGCTATCCCACCACTTCTCTTCTGCGATGTCAAAGGCGAATTTACGCAGCTCTTTGATGGTCTTGCCCTCAATCTTACCCTTCATAGTCTGAGTTTCGATACCAAGCTTCTGCCATTCTTCCGATGTTCGGTTAAAGAATTCACGGAGACTCTCGAAGGGACGAGGAAGAGGGCGGCTGTCTTCAGGTGCATCTGACTCTTGCTCCTCGACGTCGAGCTGCTCCATGCCCTGTGTCACTGATGGCACAGTCACGTCTGTGGGAGCAGGTGAGCCTGTGTCGAGAGACATGGCATCGCCATCGTCTTCTTCCATGTCCTCGTCGTCATCTTCATCATCATCCATCTCCTCATCACTGTCCTCGGCTTCCTCCAAGAGGTTCCAGTTTACGGGCTCTCTGTAGAAGATCTCCTTGACTCCGTCAAGCTTGACCAGATCAATGGAGTACATGTCATCGAAGGTGAATTCACGCTCGCCCTTCTCAAAGGTACCGCCGTAGATGAAAAGTGTATCATCTTGCACTGCAAGCTGAGCGTTGAATCTCCGGTGCGGCATTTCAAAGCGAACAATCGCTTGCTTACTGGACTCGACAGGCTCCTCGGTCTTGGGTGTACTTGATTGCATGAAGTCATCATCGTCATCATCATGGCGGATGCCACCCTTCTCTTCCAAGGCCTTCAGGTTAGCCAGGAGCTCTTCCTCGGTCGCCTTGCTTCTGTCACGGCCCTTCGCGGCCTGATTCGCCTGTTGCTTCTTACCAGGTGCGCGAGGGCGGCGCAAGCTCATCGGGAAGAACCGGTTGCGATCAGTGGTCCAAGCGAGCAGCGTATCAAAGAATTCGCTCTCAATACCCTCCTCAGTCAGCTCGACGTCATGGACACCGCCAAACATGATACCACGACCCTTGTGGTAGGCCATTGTGACACCGGCGCGAGCAGGACTGGGCGTGTTGGCAGGCTTCTTTCGCCGCTCCCATCGAATAGTAGGGCCAGTTGAAGCTGCCACGGACTCTGATTCAGGAGGAGTGATTCTCAAGAACCAGGTGTCCTGGTGGACCATCGGGCGGAGCGCCATCTTTTGGGGACCGCCCTTGCCCTGCTTACCTGTGCCAGTAGTGGTCTTCACGCGAGAGTAGCCACCGTAGATAACGGCACCAGTGTCGTGAGGTAAGAGTGAAAATGATGAGCGAGGATCAGGTTTCTGCGCTGCTGCTGACAGAACGGGGTTGAACCAGATAAATTTGTTGCAGTCATAGATCCACAGGTCCTGCAGATACTTGGTCTGCTGAGATGTGTCTTGAAATCCACCAAAGAGGATGATGTAGTTCTTAAAAAGTGTCAGTAATGGTAGTTTAGAGGAAAGCAATACATTTACCTTGTAGTAGGTCATCCGGTGACCACTTCTAGCCGGAGGCGTTTTCCCCTTCGTTTCAAGACGGGTCCATTCTCTGGTAGTAGTATCCAGGTGCCAGAAGTCATTATAGTGATAGAAGGTACCCTGTTTCGGCGAAGAGAACTCTCCTACTTCATGTTAGACTCGACCCGGAGAAGCTCGAAGCTCAAATCTCCTTAAATGGTGGTCTCACCTCCAAAAAGATACACACCACCGGTGTTTCCTCCACGACACCAAGCATGACCACTTCGTGGCAAAGGGCTATTTGGACTTGTGACTTCTCTCCATTCGTCACGGTCAATTAGATACACGAACAGATTGTTGAAGAATGTTGCATGTGTGCCGTCAAAGTACTCTCCGCCGAAAAGCAGCAATTCATTCCGGTTGGACGGCGATGCTATGAAGGTAGGAGATGATCTTGGAGACGGAGGCTCGGAAGGCACTTCGGTAACCTTCAAGAACTTGGCCTGCTCCTCAGCGTACTGAGCGAGGATAGCATCAAGATCTGCATCCTCGACGTCGCTATCGGCGTCCTTGCCCTTGGCCTTGGACTTTTTCTCAGATTTAGCGGACTTTTTAGAAGCCTTTGCCGCGACCCGGGCCTTGTGCTCGGCGGACTTTTTGTCCTTTTTGCCCATAGTTGAATTAATGTGTCAAGGCGAATTTTTCACGAAGCTTCAACAACCTCCGCGGGGCATAAAAAGGTTGTCCCCACATAGATATGCGCCCTTTAAATGTGGTATTCTTGCTCCCCAGGTTTACACAGAGTATATAGCATTGAGAATAGAGCTACGTACGGGTCTTCAGATCAAAATTCATCTTTTCTCTCAATAATTAACTTTACGAACAACCATGTTATTATTTGAAAGATCAACAGTTGATTCAACGTTGTCGCCCAATCCGCTTATCAGAGGCTTTGACCGCTCACGTGCAAGACGCGTCGATTGCCTCGCGACGACGCGGCAATTCGACAATACGACAACGAGAAGGCCATGAGTGCCATACGCCCCCATGACGAAGAATAATCTTGCTTCGCATCTGAAATGGCTTTTGAATCAAGGCCCTTCTCTCTACCCGACCTTGACCACCGATACCCCTCTGGTCGAACGCGACAACTGTGTGTCTCAACAACCAACTCCGCCCTCCGACGAAAGTGACGAACCAGATGAGATATTTGAGCATTGCAATGATGTAACGGATGAGAACATGGCAAGACTTATGCTTGCACCGCAATCGGCGAGCAAGCCTCGTATGCTCAGCCACCCCGACAAGTCAATCGAGAGGACGCTTTCGACATCGAAGAAGCTCCCGTCTTCGAAAAGTGTGGTCCAAGGTACAAGAACTGGCGATTTGGCCGAGAGTTCCATAGCTGATGCGGATGTTGGAGAAACAGAATCTTGTTATGAGCCAACTTCATCTTCGAAGTCCATTCGACCCAAAGCAACCCCACTTTGCTCAGACCCAAAGATCGAGACTTCCCCGTTCGATACCATTGATTCGATCGATCTGACCGGAGATTTCAATCAAATGCCATCTTCAACGATGGCCAAGTTAGGACTGCCGCGTCGACTATGGACCGAGGAGGATGAAATCCGAGATCGACCCAACGAGAAACGTGGGAAGAAACGAACGAGCGAAGAATTTACATCTGATCTCTTTGCACCGTCAAATTACGCTGCTAAAATGCGGACGCCCTCAAAAGATAGCCGGCCCTCAGTGTCGACTACTGCAGAGTCTCTTTCTGCGAGGAGTGAAGTCAGCCGAAAGAGCCCCTCTCAATCAATGGCGCTTGCCCAGCCGAGCTCTACCAAAACCCCAACGAGTAGTCTCAAGCAGGTCATTTCCGACTCAGATGAAGAAGATGACCCATTTGACGTGAGCTGGCTGGCCAATGACGGGGTTGAGGACATGGTTCTAGATGCCGACCCAGGATTATATCCACGTCTACCGCAAATTAGCCCCGCCGAGAGTGAAAAGAAGAAAAAGACGAAAATCGAGAAGTCCACTTCCAGAAGCTCACCATCGAAGACTGTTGTGGACACTATAACTACTCGCAAGGAGTTCCAGCCTCCGCAGCCATCACCGGAACTGAAACCACCCAGCTCTCAGAAAAAGGCATCTCCGAATGTTTTGCATTTTCTTAGTTTATCGGCCGGCACTTTGCAACTTCTAACGTCAAAGTTGAAGGCAACTCTACAAAAGAACGCGGAGATTGTTTACGAACAAGCGATGGAAGGTCGGCCGGCCCCCGATCTGATTGCCGAGAACAAGGACCTCGTTTCCCAAATTCAAGCCATCATGACCTTGCAAGGATATCGAGATACCCACAGAGACTGTGTCTCTCGCAAAGAGAACCTCAAAAGGAGTCTGATGCAAGCTATCTCCCAAGGCTTGGACCCAACAACGATGCCGAATGAACTTGCACGAAGTCGCGCAGTTGAGGCGGAGCTGGAAGAGGTCGAATCAAAGATTTGTGAACTATTACCTCGGGCCAAGCTGTTGGATGTTGGCCACGAGCCAGTGTCGGAAACTCATAGCTCTCCAAGGAATTCTACTCGAGCAATCCTGCCTTCAGAAGGGCAAGAGGCTTTCTCCTCTTCACGAGCATCACCGCCAGCATCGACAAGGCCAGCCCAAAGAGTAGAAATCACCCGAGAATCGCTGTCTTCAACGAGTCCCAAGAGACACAAACAAGGCTCTGTCATGGCTTACAATGATGAAAGTCATATCTCTCGAAATATGGGCTCTCCGCCCCCGCCAATGAACTTCGAGGATTTTGACTGGAATGCCAGTGATGATGAGATGCTTGAGGTAGCCGGAAGCTTTGACAATGGGCCCCTCGTGTCTGTCAGCGAACAGCCTAGCCAAACCCGCAAGGTTTTCGCCGAGACCTCCGGAAACTCTTCGCGCATGCCCCGCCAAAGAAATCACCGGCTCGCAGCAACTTTTGGTCCAACCATCCATGGTCCCATGAAGTAAGAACTGTTCTCAAGGATCGTTTCCATCTTCGTGGGTTCAGACCAAATCAACTCGAGGCCATTGACGCTACCCTTGGCGGGAAAGACACCTTCATCTTGATGCCAACCGGCGGAGGAAAATCATTGTGTTATCAGTTGCCTTCAATTGTGAACAGCGGCCGTACACGCGGTGTAACCCTCGTGATCTCTCCCTTGCTGAGCTTGATGCAAGACCAGGTCGATCATCTGCGGAAGCTAAACATCAAAGCCTTTTTGATGAACGGTGAAACAGAGCAAGCCCAACGCTCATGGATCCTCGGTCAATTATCCAGTCATGGCGGTGAAGGTTTGGAATTGCTATACATCACGCCGGAGATGATCAACAAAAATCAAACTCTGGTCCGAGCTCTCGAAAAGCTCCATCACCGCAACCAATTGGCACGTCTGGTTATTGACGAGGCACACTGTGTCAGTCAATGGGGCCATGACTTCCGACCAGATTATAAGGAGCTGGGAGAAGTTCGAGCCAAACTTCCTGGTGTGCCACTCATGGCTTTGACAGCTACGGCTACAGAGAATGTGAAAGTAGATGTCATGCACAATCTCAAAATGAGCGGATGTGAGGTTTTTTTGCAGAGCTTTAATCGTCCCAACTTGACCTACGAAGTTCGACCCAAGGGCAAAAATGACGAGGTGCTCGCTAGCATTGCCGAAACGATCAACAGCACTTATAAAAATCAGTGTGGAATTATTTACTGTCTCTCTCGCAAAACATGTGAGAAGGTTGCGGAGGACCTTCAGAAGAAGTACAACCTCAAGGCAAAACATTACCATGCAGGTATGAATCCCAGTGACAAGGCCAAGACGCAGAGTTCTTGGCAGATGGGTCGGTGCCATGTCATTGTTGCCACAATCGCATTTGGAATGGGGATTGACAAGCCCGATGTGCGCTTTGTTTTCCATCACAGCATCCCGAAGAGTCTGGAGGGCTACTATCAGGAGACTGGACGTGCGGGTCGAGATGGCAAGCGATCTGGCTGCTACCTCTTCTATGGATACAAGGATACCGCCACTCTCAAACGCATGATTGATGCTGGCGAGGGCAGTTGGGAACAAAAAGCCCGACAAAAGGCTATGCTTCGCAACGTGGTGCAATTTTGTGAAAACCGCAGTGACTGTCGACGAGTACAAGTACTTGCTTATTTCAATGAATACTTCCGGCGAGAGGATTGTGGCAATGCCTGTGACAATTGCAAATCTGATCTAGTGTTCGAGGAACACGACTTTACTCATCATGCATCCTCCGCCATCAAGATTGTGCGACATTTCCAGTATGACCTGAAAGAGAAGGTGACTGTCCTTTATTGCGCTGACCTCCTGCGTGGAGATCTGAAAAGAGCCAAATCGCCGTCCCACAAGCAGATACCTTGGTACGGCGATGGGTCTGATCTTGATCGAGGAGAAGCAGAGCGTCTTTTCTACCGGCTACTGGGAGAGGACGCGCTTGGCGAAGATAATGTCATCAACGGCAAGGATTTTGCTGTCCAGTATATCCTGCTCGGTCGCCGTGCGACGGAGTATGAAACTGGTCAGCGAAAGATGAAGCTGCAAGTTCGCGTGTCCCCGAATGGCAAGACCAAGGCAGCACGTCCAGCACAGAAGTCAAGACGGGGCAGTCAAGGGTATCCTCAATCTACGATGGTCTCTTCTCCTATTCAGTCTGCCAACGATCGCCGCCAGGCGCGTTCCCGGCAACGAAGTGCTCGTGTTGATCATTCCTCGGCCGATGAAGATAGCGAAGGATTTGAGCCAGTTCGAGTGGTTGGAAAGCAACGACGTGACAATGCGCGGGAAATCGGTCCCCCGATTACTAGTGATCAAAAGATGGATCAACTTGACCATCTTCACCGCGCTGTCGTAGAGGACTTTGAGGTCACTGCTAAGCGATACCTTCAAGATGTAAGACTTTCAAGGTCTGACTTGCCTACTTGATTTCTGACCATGTTGCTAGATTGTTGTTGAGAAGGGACTTCGCTACCAGCCATTCCCCGATTCCATTCTGCGCGAGATGGCCATCGGGTTCCCCAAAAGTGAGTCGATTAATGCCCTAGAAGTCAACGCGAAGTCAGACTAATGCTCGTACAGATCTTTCAGAGCTTGCTGCAATTCCGAACATCGATCAAGACAAGGTCCAACGATATGGTCGCCAGATGTTGAGGCTAGTCGATAATGCGAAACGACGCTATGCCGAATTGACCCAAGACGCGCAAGATGCCGATGCGAATGGAATTGTGCCAGATCCCAACCATCACAATGTCATCAATCTCAGCAGCAGCGATGAGTACAGTGATGATGATGACCTATTCGTGGATCAAGCTTCCAACCTCGATTATTCCATGGAAGATGTTCCTCCCAACGAAGACATCACTAGCCGCTATTTCCCTCCTCCACTATCGCCGGGCTTTGACCCTGGAGACGCCATGGAGTCAGGCGCTACTGCCTCAGGCTCCAAGGCACTCTCCAAGCGTCCATACACTAAACGTCCACGGGGCAAGAAAGGTGCTTCTAGTAGTGGTGCCTGGAAAGCGAAGGGCCCCAGAGCAAAATCTAAGGCCAGTGACCGTGCCCCAAGTCGTCCTGTTGCGCCGAAGAAGAACGTCAAGGCGAAGACCCCCAAATCCACGATTGGAATGATGCCCATCTGACTTTGCTTTCTGTTTTTCTTTTTATTGATCTCGATTGGGCGTTCGTTGTGCACATGAAGCATCTATAGGCGTTCTACTATTCCCCAGGGTTGTGTCGGCCTGTTGTCATACATTTGATGGCATGGATTGTTAGTTCATTAGTAAATTAGAATTCTTAAAGAATACCATTCCCTGGCTCGAAACATCAAAATCGTATCACATTATGTTCTAGTTACCCAACGATCGACCAAAGTCAATCAGCCGTAATCGTCGTGCATCTCGCGGGTGGAACTGGGCGACCTTGGACCTGACAAGGAATCTTGAAGCAGCCGAGTCGCGTTTCAGATCCACATAGGAGTTTCCGGCCTCCAGCAGTGCATCCAATAGCTCGTGCACCTCGGTGGCAGCAGCTTCTCGCTGAGTCATTTGATTCAAGCTATCATCATTGCGCTGCAAAAACCGATCAATCCGTTGCTGCGAGCTACTCTCGGGCCCGGCTGGTTGCTTTGGCTTTTTCGGCTTTCCATGAGCTGTGTAGCCCGCCTTCAACGTAGCGTCAGATACCTCGAGGGCATCACCAACAGTTGGACCACCTAGGTCCTCGGCAGCAAGCATCGGAGCCAGCCTCTCATCGATGAAACTGTCAAGTGAAACCTTCAGAGCTGCAGAGGCACGATCCAGTTCCTTGTTCTTCCTTTTCTGCTCCTTGACCAGGTCTTGGGCTAGCTGGGTCGGCGTTTGCTTTTGCTTGCGCCCATTAGTGCTGCGGATATGCTGTATGCGTTCCCGGAGTCCGTGTGCGATTGCGCGTGAGTCTCGCAGATTTGCCTCTTCAACTCGGAGGCGCTCCCGATCTGTTGATATTTTTTCTGCGGTGACTGTCACGGATACCTTGCTCTCTTTAATGAGCTGAGAGGTATCCGCGACTGCTACGAGCGAAGGCAGGATTGAACCTCTAGGCGGAAGATCATCTTCTGCTTTGAGCAATGAATCGTATGCTTTTTTGGCGCGTCGCGCTTGCGCCACTCGGACCCAAGGATCGTTTAAGTTGTCCAACAGACCATGGGAGCGAATTTCCCGAAGCTTGGAATAGATGTTAGTTACGAAGTTCAGATCCAAATGATTGAGTTGGTCGGATAACTTACCTTCTTCAATTCATCTTCTTGGCGCCGAACCTGCTCCTGAAGCTCACGCAGAGTTTCATCCAGCCGATGTGTATAAGCTTGTAAGTTGGTTGCTCTTAGCGGCTCTCCGGCGGCCTCCGTCTCCGCTGCTTGGCGGTTCTGAACAAATTTTTGAATCCTCTGGACGGTATCCTCGGATACTTCCATCCTTACCGCTCGACCTTTCAGATATACAAAGATCTCCGTCAGATACAAAGGGTCGCAAGGGAACACGAAACCATCCCCAAACACCCGCGTCGCGTTGATAACACGTGACTCGCCAGATTTGGTTTAGCGCTTTGCAACTTCCCCATCACATCAACCTCGACCTCGACCTCGACCTCACCTTTGACCTCCTGCTTACCGCAACTACCCTTTCCCCTGTCCACCCCAGCGTTTCATTTTGCGAGGTTCCCCCCCCCCATTGCGATTAATCTCCTTCAGCTTGGAGATAGCACTGGTTCCGGTTCCTTCTTGCCTGGTTTCCTAGTTTCGACCCTCTCCTTACCCATCGCAATTCCGACACCTTCATCTCCCTTCACCTTTCCCGCGACGTCCCCGACAAATTCCCCAGGTTTCCCTTGCTTTTCTTCGAGGAGCACTATAGCATTCACCCTGATCTGCACATTTCGTCGGCACTTTCTCCATCCTTCAGCCTTTCCAAGCACCAGATTCCCTCTCCCGGTCGCCAAGCACCAGCACGTTTTCGTGGGAACCTCTGGTGTACATAGACGATCTATAAGAAAGAAAGCAAGTTTCGTTCTTGACAATTCGACCTTTTCACGTAAGTGAAGGCAGAACAGCATACATCAACCATGTCGGCTTCTCCCTCGAACACCCAAACGGCCAAGCGCCCTCTCGAGGATCCATCATCTCCCTCGGCCCCCAACGACCAGCCCGATGCTAAGCGCCCGGCTCTCGACAAGGTAGTGAAGAATGATGCCGAGGCTGAGGCCGAGACCAACGTGAACAACCAGATCCCCTCCGTGGAGGACGCCAAGGACACCCAGGGCGACACCGTCGTCACCGATGCGCCCAACGGCAAGGCCCACGACGAGACCCAGCCCATCCAATCGACTGCTTCCCACGGCGACCGCGCCGGATCGCAGTCCGATTCGCACGCGCCTCAAGACGAATCCAGCTGGATTCACATCCGAGCCGTGATCTCCAGCCCCGAGGCTGCGACCGTGATCGGAAAGGGAGGTGAGAACGTTTCCCAGATCCGCCGTGCATCTGGCGCCAAGTGCACTGTTAGCGACTACACCCGGGGTGCTGTTGAGCGGATTTTGACCGTGAGCGGACCTCAGGACGCGGTGGCTAAAGCATTCGGCCTCATCATCCGTACCCTGAATAACGAACCCCTCGAGGCCGCTTCCACTGCCCAGTCCAAGACGTACCCTCTGCGCTTGCTAATCCCTCACATTCTCATTGGTTCTATTATCGGCAAGGGCGGGAGCCGCATCCGTGAGATTCAAGAGGCTTCCGGCGCACGTCTCAATGCCTCGGACGCCTGCCTCCCGTTGTCGACTGAGCGATCCCTCGTCATCCTGGGTGTCGCTGATGCGGTCCACATTGCGACTTACTACGTTGCAGTTACCCTGGGTGAGCAACTGACCGAGCGGTTTGGCGGCCCTGCGGCGTCTGCATATGCCACTCGCAGTGGTGGCCCTGCTGGCGCTGTTCCTGGTGGTATGCAGGTTGTGCCCTACGTTCCTCAGCCCGCTGGTGGCCAGTACGGACACCCAGAGAGCTTCACGAAGCGTGGCCCTCATCCCAACCGCGCTCAGGCCGGTCCATACGGTGTTCCCTACATTGGCGGTCCTACTCCCGGCCCCGTCAATCAGCCCCCTATGCCTTACGCTGCACCGCACACCCCCTATGCCGCCCCTGCTCCTCACCAGGCCGGCCCCTATGGCCCTGGCCCCGGTCCCCAACCTACGCCCGCCCGTGGCGGTCCCCCTACTGCCCCGGCTGCGGGTGGCGCCATGCCTGGCCAGCCACTGACCCAGCAGATTTACATCCCCAACGATATGGTTGGTGCCATCATCGGTAAAGGTGGTGCTAAGATCAATGAGATCCGACACCTGAGCGGCAGTGTCATTAAGATCAACGAGCCCCAGGAAAATAGCAACGAGCGCCTGGTGACCATCACTGGTACCCAAGAGTGCAACCAGATGGCTCTGTACATGCTGTACTCACGACTTGGTCTGTATCTACCATCACATCTACCTCGAAGCCTTTGCTAACACGTCTACAGAGAGTGAAAAGCACCGCGTCTAAGGCTGACGCCTTTCTTTTTCTCGGGAGCCCCAGTGGGCGTCGTTCCCCAAAAGTCTACGGTGGTTTACGATGATCTTGTTCTCCTTGTTCTTTGATTTCACGGTGTCTCATTTTTCTTTTCTTGCTGTAACTTATTCAAGGCGTGTGATTGAGCCCTGGCCTAATAACCAATCCCACAATTTCATGGACCCCGTTGCCCCATCCCCAACCCAAGTAGCCTTGATCTCTCCTGTTCCACAGACATCACCCCAGTTTTTCCAGTTTTTCCAGTTCACACAGCAGGATGAACTGCATGAAGCACCAAGTCTGATCACCCTAGCACACCTCAAATCTTCTGGAAACTGACATGCTTCATCTCCAACCCAGGAATAGGTGTTAACATCTTCTGCCGAAGCGGTTGAATACTCCTGACAAACTGATCCGTGTCTTTCGCATCCTTGTGCGCTTGCACGCTCGCCCATCCAATGATCAGGAGCCTGATCTCCGCCTGCCCGCTTGGACTTTTCGTGTGCTGAATCGTCCCAGGCCGGTCGACATGGCCCATTGCCCATGATTGCGGCGCTTTGTCCTGGCCGAGCTCTTCGGTCATGGCTTTGCGGAAGTTGAGCAAATCTGTGTTCAGCCCCTTGGTCTCGGCCACGGTCATGTTGCTAGGGAATGGCAGTGCCGCTAGCTCTGTGATCGGATTCGCAGTAAGAGTGTCTGTACCACTGATGGGAGGTTGCAGTGTGGTGTAGAGCGTCGATGGTGGTTGTGAACTTGCTGCGAGGAAGGGCTCTAGTTTCCCAGTTGTTGTTGACCCACGCGGGTCTGTCCAGTCTAATTTGTTAGCTTCTTAGACCACCATGGTCGTATACGAAGACTCACTAATGACCCAGACAATTGTGTCTAGATCCTCAACAGTGCGGCCCCATGCAGAGCTCGAGTGGCCGCTCTGTTGTTTGGTGACGTTGAAAACTTGACGAAGTGCTTGGCCCTCTTCGCTATTGGGATCCTCGGGCCTCACGCTGCGCTTTACCTTGAAGTAGACGAATTCACTAACGATTTGCGACATGGTTGTGTTGGATGAAAGATGAGGTCGTGCACAGAAGCTGCGAAAGGGTAGTTAAGCTTGATGTCGCGCAAATGATGTCAGAGTCCGGTCTCCATTCAAGTCGGTTCAACAGAGAATATAGTCAAGCTATGTACAATCTTCAAATAGGAAGTTCCCCTTCAGCTCTTGTCAGCTAAATTCAATTATTCAACGCCAGGGTAGGTAAACATGTCCGAATCCCATTGTGCTCCAAATCCACCTCTCGTTCAAAGTAGAAAAAAGCAAAGAAAGATATCTCCAATCTACCAGTCCACGCTGCGAACCTTGTTTTGTTTCTTCTCGATTGCACCCTTCAGATTCGCGACTAGTTGCTTCCGGCGAGCAGACTTGTTTTTCCATTGTGCAACGTCTTCTTGAATACTCATTGACCCGACGAGCTCCACGCTGCGGAGACGGCTGTGCTTTGCGGATCCGTTGACACTGGCTCGGAAGTTGACTCCGCGGGATGCAGACTCGGGTGTGTGGTAGGCGCTACCATCAATGGAACCGCGCGAGCCAGGAGTAGCAGGACAGAGGCCATTATTCTTCCGTGGCGTGGCGAAGGGAGATCCTTCATGGCTGACAGAAGCGGAAGAGCCATTGAGATCGATACCGAGCTTCCGCATCTGAGCTTCGAGGACATCAATATCACTGCTCTTACCCTCGGCCATGCTCATCATTGTGGCAATAGTCGAGGACACAGCTTCAACAGTAGGGCGTTTGCGGCCGCTGCCTGAGCCGTCAGGGCGAGGGATGTCAGCAATCTTGGCTCGCAGGAGGGAGACACCCTGCTCGAGATCGGCCATCTTAGCCTGGATTTGCGTGAATGCAGTCCGCAAGTCGTGCTGGAGGGCGGCCTGCTCGGCAGACAGAGGTGCCGTCAGGATGGAGCCGGTATCAGTGTGTGCGTCGAGTGTTTTGCGAATGCTGGCACATTGACCACGTAGCGTAACAATGTCTTTGGTAAGCATGTCACGGCATTGCTCTAGCTTCTCCTCCACTCCTTGTACGCGCTGTTCGTCCAGAGATTGGTTGAGACAGGTTATGATATAGTCCAACTTATCAATATCTTCCAAACAAACCTTTTCATCCATAATATCGGCAGGCTGATCGCTTTTCAGCACATCCACCCAGTCATCCGCGTCAGAAGTCTCGGCAGTTTGCTGGTAGAGGAGGAACGATTCCAATGACCGAGCATTGATACCCAATGTATCAATCATGGAGTTAATATCCCGGTAGAGACGTTCAATCATACCAGCAATGCCAGGCTTGGCTGTCTCACCCATATAGTTTTGGTGAGGCAAGAATGGGTCAAGAGTGGACACTGGCTCGACCGGACGAGCAAGGTCAGCACGAAGTCTTTCATCCTCGTCGTCATCCGAAAGAGACAGAGCTTCTTCCTCTTCCTGTCGCTGGGCGAGAGCCTGGGCGCGAGCATGATCCTGGCGAGCAGTATCACTAGGCTTTCGCAGCTGTCCTGCCCGCTGGGCCATCTGGGTCAGAGAAGCCTTGCGCGAAGTCAAAGCACTTCCTGCTGCAGGGCGGCTATGATTCTGAGAGAACAAAGCATTCTTCTGAGAGTGGACACGCGTAGGGCTAGGCGAGCGGAAGGGTTCACGACCGGTTCGTGCAGAAGGTCCAGGAGGAGGGAGAAGTGGCTGTTTGGGAATTTCACCAAACAGTTGTCGTGGAGGTTGATCCTGCTTGGGCGCGAGCTTGGAGATCCCACTGAATAGTCCTCCGGTAGAGCTCTTGTCAGATAAGCCGCCGAACGAGCTTTCGGCGGAAGGCTTCGGACTCGGGATTTTGATCTCATTGGTCTCATCATGAGTGATTTCTTCACCACTGTCAGAGAAATCGGACTCATCTATTTCTTCCTCAGAATCCGCATCGGAACCGTCTGGGACTGGAACAGCCTCTTCCTCATCTTCACTCACGGGTTCAGACTTAATCTTAGTGGCAGTGAAATCCGGAGGGAGAGGTGCCTCTTCGGGTACGGGAGGCGGGCTTTTCTCCTTCTTGGGTTTTGTCACAAAGTCTGGAGGAAGAGGAGCGTCGTCCATCTTAGGAATGGTCTTCTTTTGTGTCAGGAAGTCAGGAGGGAGTGGAGCATCGCTCTCCCTGACCGAAGACTTCTTCATAGAAATGAAGTCAGGGGGGAAGGGGTGCGTCATCCACGGAGCTCTTAGACACGTTGGAAGAAGCTGAGGTATCCCCAGCAGCATAAGGATCCCTACTTGTGGAATCCGGTGGCAATGGGGCTTCGAGGGAAGAAAATTTCGGCGTTGTCACAGACCCTTCCCCATCTCCTCTCTTTGGAGTCTCTGTCTTGTCCGAGGGTGCAGACAAAGAGCTGGTGACTTGGTTCTGAGAGGAGGTTTGACTAGTGGTGGTTGTGTTGTTACCGAACATCGAGAAGCTGGATTTTTTCGTCTCGGTCTGCTTCTTCTCGCCAAAAGAAAAGCTTGTCTCCTTTTGCTGTCCGAAGGGATTGTTTCGGGCAGCGGGCGAGGGTTGACCGAAGAGAGAGGTCGGAGGACCGGCCGGCTTGCTGGGCGCTCCAAACAATGATTTTGACTCGGTCTCCGCAGGCTGATCTGGTTTGCTAGGGGCACCGAAAAGTGACTTGGGCTCAGTCTTCGCCGGCGGCTCCAACTTGCTGGGCGCGCCAAACAGGGACTTGGCCTCTGACTTTGCTGGTTGCTGCTCCATTTTGCTTGGAGCACCGAAAATCGAAGGAGCGTCTGTCTTCGCAGGCTGCTCCAATGTACTGGGCGCGCCGAACAACGACTTGGGCGACTCCTCCTGTGCAGGCTGCTCGGGCATACTGGCATCCTCTGCATCATCCATAGATTCTGCTTGGGGACTCGTCTTATTAGATGACGAGACCATATCATCAAACGCGTTGCCAAAGGAGAAGGCACCCGAGGACGGCTTGTCAGACTTGGGTCCATCATTAGCAGCTGTACCATCACCCTTGAAGGACGAGCCGAGAACAAAGCCACTCGACCCGGAACCAGCTCCAAACGGGTTCTTGACCTCGGCAGGCTTGGGGGTAAAGGCCGAATCGGTCTGGGACGGAGCTCCGAAGGGGGACGCTGCCGCGGGCTTTGAAAACGCACTCTCACCAGTCGAAGGCTTTGTGAAGGGCGACTCGCCAGGCTTCGTGGATGCAAAGCCAGCGAAACCACCTCCGCCTGAGAATGAGCTAAAACCACCGCCAGTGGAGCCGGTACCAGTCCCTAATAGGCTCTTTCCCGGTGTACCAAATGGAGATGCCGCTGCGCCAAAGCCTGATTTACCGAATGTAGGCTGTCCAGGCGTGCTCGCGGTTCCAAAGGCTGGTCCCGGTTGAGAGGAGCACCAAACGCAGGCCCTGGGGTTGAGGGTTGCCCGAAGGCCGGAGCAGAAGTACCGCCCACGGGAGAGGGGCTTCCAAAGGAAGGGCCAGATGGCTTTCCAAACGCTGTGGCACCCATGGTTGAGCCTCCCATGCTAGAAGGGCTGCCGAAAGCGGGAGCTCCAGATTGCTTGCCGAAGCCAGATGCACCGAATGACGGCGTGCCGAAGGATGACTGACCAAACGCGGGCTGTTGTTGCGCAGGAGTAGGAGGGGTTGGGTTAGACTGCTGGGGCTGGGAAGATGCCTGCGGGCCTGAGCCCGCGGTGACGAGGCCAGAGTAGGCAACCTGCTGGTGGATTGCGTCGTTATAAATCAACCACCATGCTGACAAGATTCCTTCATTGTTGAGGAGGAATATGCCTGGCAAAGGGGTAGAGGTCTCGTTGATGTCTGCGCCTTGAATGGGCATGATGACATTTGAGCTGGACGAGAGATCAGGTGCAAAGCCGATAACAGAGGTTTCGCCGCCGTCGTCCAGCAATGGAACTGATGCTCGTTTTGTGTCGTCGCTGAAATCAACAACCGCAAATTGGTTCGCCAGAGAAGGATCATCACTCGCTAGCGATTGCTCGGAGCGGACGATGATACTGAGATCAGGAGACCTTGTTGATGAGAGAATCAAGGCATCCTTTAAATGGGGTTTGTAATCTCGCAGCCGTGCGACGAATTGATACGCCGCCGTGTTTCTCATCTGAAATCCCATTGTGGGACAAACTTCGGGCAACTTCTGAATCAAAAAGGGCGCCTGTTTGCGTCTGGTGAGAATATAGTAGGATGACATGTCCTCTTCTGCTGGATTTGGGGTGTAGGCCATAAAAAAGAGGTCGTTTTCCAACCATACGACAGAGGAGACTGTAGTCGTTAGCACAATCGCTTAGTGGGAGGACAGTAACCAAAAACTCACCATGGCATTCACCCTCCAGATCAGAGGGCCGGGGAACTTGATCCTTTGGCGTACCATCTGGTGTCATCTGGGCTGCCGTTCCATCAGCCAGTCCAGCAATGACCTGCTTTCCCTTCGTACTCCATGCAACGCAACTGACGCTATTCTTCAGAATAGGCCCGTTGGGCCCGTTCACCAATGAGCCCGCCCTCAGATCAGCCATCAAGAGTTCACCATTAACAGTGACCATGGCAACATAGGTAGAGTTGGGATCCGGGTTGGGCACCAGAGCGCGAGAGAGACGCCATTTGTTGGAATCGATATGGTGGGTTGCGCATTTCCTGTGGCGAGGTCTGATGTTTGAAAAACCGAAATTTGAGAACCATTCTCTGTGGCCAGAATCAATGCCTCGTCGCTGGCTGTAAATGCCACATGGGTAGGGCGCGCAGGGAGAGGAATCTTTGCTTGCGGTTCGAACGGCTTCGTCTTCACTTTGTCTTTGCCAGCAGGCGCCTCAATGGCTTGTCGGGCTGAATCGGTATTGGCGACTACAAGGCAATCGGGACCAGCGCCAACAATGACACCTTTGGTCTGCGCGACAGCCAGGAGGGAAGAGGTTGGAGAAGGAAGCGCGTCGTTAGGCCATGGGGTAGGAAGTAGTCGAATGTTGGCATCGCCGCTGAGGCCCTTGAAACCAACTTTCTGTAGAAGGTGTTAGTGACAAAAGCTCTAGAAGCTCACAGAAGCTCTGGCGGGGCGACGTACATCAGTGTAGACCTCAGGGAGCTCCGGGCCCAGCTCCGCTGGCGCGCTCCCACCCGCGGGGTTGGAAGCTCCGAAGCTATTAAAGGCCATTTTGAAGCGTTCAAAGTCTGCGGAAATGGAACGAGAATGAGCGCTTAGAGGCGAACCGGTCCTAGACGCATTGAGTGACGGAGAGCTCGGAGGTGTTGAAGACAAGGAGCGGCGTTGGAGTGTTTGCGGACTCCGGTTGAAGAGGTGAAGGGTACGCGCAAAAATGATGGGAAGATCTCTCCGCGTACAGAGCAGAGGGAGGTGCGAAGAGAGTGATCCTAGGCAGGACCTTTGACGTTGAGAAAGTGAAGGCGAAGGACCCGAAAATGTTCGCAGGACAAAAACACCGCGTAATGCCTGACGGCTCAGGCAGCTCCAGGCTGCGGGAGCTTCGTCACTTAACACAGCTCGGGTTCCAGCTTGCATTTCCTCCCCATCTCACCCACGTCAACTTCCCCTCTCCACGTCCATCAGTTGCGAGTCTATCTATCACCCCGGTCAGATCTCAGTTCTCACAACGGTCGTGTACACATCCCCGAGTTGTCACAATGCCGGGCTTCGACTTCTCCAACTACAACCGCAACGCGGCTCTTCACGCCAAAGGGGTTCCCCTTCCCAAAGCCACTAGCACCGGTACAACAATTGTCGGATGCATTTATGATAACGGAGTTGTGGTATGTTGCCATTGATGCAGATACCCCAAAACCACCGCGCGACAGGGAAGCTGACTAGACCGTGATCGCAGATTGCAGCAGATACCAGAGCTACCAGCGGCCCTATAGTAGCAGACAAGGTATAATTCCAATGACCCTGGTCCCCTTTCCATGAGACCACTGGAAACTGACCGGTACCCGCGATAGAACTGCGAGAAACTACACTACATCGCCCCCAAAATCTGGTGTGCCGGTGCTGGTACCGCCGCCGACACTGAGTTCACCACCGCCCTCATCAGTTCCAATGTCGAGCTACACTCGCTATCGACAGGCCGTGACCCCCGAGTGATCACCTGCATGACGATGCTGAAGCAGCACCTCTTCCGCTACCAGGGTCACATTGGTGCCTACCTGGTGGTTGCAGGTGTCGATCCGACCGGAGTTGGCCTGTACACCGTTCACGCACACGGTTCGACGGACAAGCTGCCTTACGTGACAATGGGATCTGGCTCGCTGGCGGCTATGTCTGTGTTCGAGTCGATGTGGCAGCCAGACCTGGACAAGGAGGGAGCTATCAAGCTCTGCGCCGAGGCGATTAAGGCCGGTATCTTCAACGATTTGGGGTCCGGTAGCAACGTTGACGTGTGTGTCATTGAGAAGGACAAGCCCACTCAGCTGCTCCGCAATTACGAGAAGCCCAACGAGCGTGGTCAGAAGGAGCGCAACTACAGATTCCCTCGCGGCACTACCGCTTGGCTAAACCAGAAGATCATCAGCAAGGACGATATGAAGAAATATGTCACCATCCAGACTTTGTCTGGGGATGACAACCTTGCTGCTGGTGAGAAGATGGAAGTTGATGCTTAGGATGGGTTTCTGGTTGGGTGGCGTAGGCTAGTGTTTGTTAATGAGTCGACTCAATATTAGTCCTTCTCAACCTCTTCCCGGAATGTCTTTTGAATGTCTTCTCTAGACAAATTTAGATTCTAATGTATCATTCCAATACTTCTTTACATACACCCGGAAAGGCACGACGTGACCGCTTGCTCACTAATATATCCATTGTGCTTTGGTTATGCTATAGATATGCACTACCCCGATGGGGAAGTGCGGGTATCTTGTTGCTACTAAGTATGTACAGATGTTCTTCGATTCCTGGAGTCGTTCGAGCGTCTCCACCTTCATGCTCTTTCTTGATCCGAAGATGTTTATTCACGGCTGGCCATGGTAGGACCGCCCAATTTGAGGCCCGGCGGTCAGTTCCTTCACAACGGCACGCCCTTCGAACTTCTCCATGATCCAAAGAATATACTCATACCGCGTAGCCGAAACACGAAGCCCCTGACGTCGGAAACGCACAACGCCAGCATGGTACATAGCACGCACCAGAGACGGATACACAGGACCGCCGTGTTTGCGCAGATAGTCGTAGAGCCAGTGGATCAGATGGAATGATCGAGAGGGATTCAGCTGTGTGGAGCAGGACAGTGCGACGGCAAGTTGGTGGATCAAATCGACCGCGATGTAAGGATCTGGGCATTGGCTGTCTCTAGGGCCAGGGTGGTAACGCACGAGGGCCATGTCGTCCGGATGTGGGATGGGGACCCAGGCTTTGTTTAGACATATCTTGAACGGAATGTGGTTGTCGAGTAGTCTAAGAATTGACCAAACGCTCTTTGGATCTCCCTCTCTGGCGAGGCGGAGGCACTCTTGCATCATGGCTGGGCTAGTGAGGTCCACGCGGCGAAGCATGCGGTCGAATGTACCATAGAAAAGAGCCCGGATTCCATTGTATTCGGCTGGTTTTGTCCAAACTTCTGCCAGGGTAGTCTGGGAGGTCTCTAGTCGCTCGAGGGTTCTGCGGGTGAATTTTGTAGTCAACTTTCTCAGCTTGAGATCGACTGCTAGCTGGAGAAGATTGTTGTGTGGAATGCCGAGGCTCTGGACCCCGCGCATGAGGTCTGCGAGGAAGGATCCTTCTGTGTTCCGTACTGTCGTCTCAAAGAGGCCAAACAATAAGTAAATGGGTCGATCCGTCAATCTGGCATCTTGATTATACATAGGTGCTAGTGCTCGACTCAAGCTTCGTAGCGCCCACAAACGTAGAATGATCTGATGCTGGATCGATAAGCCCACATCGGAGGTGACGTGGTCTTGCGGGGTATCTCAGCGTAGGCAAGAGGCAGATCCAACCAAATCCGCGAGCTTGCAATAGCCTCGATACTTGATAAGCTTGTTAAAAATTCGCGCCATCGCTCAAGCTGCTGGTTTCGGCCCTTGCCTTCCCGCACGGCGAGAGTCAAGAGCTGGGTCACGTTAATAACACACTTGGCCGCACAGTCAGCATCGAGCTGGCTCAGAAGTCGATCGGGCGAAGAAATCTTGGGCAAGGGAGAGGCAGTGTCGTGTCCGGGCTGTCCACGGCCTTCAACCACGCCATGACCATTGCCGAGGGCCAGTAGTCATCCGAGCTGGCGCTATGAGTCGCGACGATGATTTCTTCCGCAAAACGAAAGCCCCGAATACTCAGGAGCTGTTGTAACCAGGTATCTGTCACTTCCTTTTCAAGGTCGTGGTAGCCGAGAATGTTACACCGTCCAATGGCTGTCCACATAGCTCGGTAGTGCTTCAGCAACGCTTTCTGGTCCCACGAACCCAGGGTCTTATTACGTTCGACGATGATGTTTGGAAGAGTTTTGATGATCAAGCATATTTCTTCCGTAGGAACCAAGCCCAGTTCCAGTGCACGAGTTACTGCATAGAGCACGGCAGTACGGTTGGATCGGGTTGATTTCTTTTTGGCGAACAATTCCACAGCGGCAAGGTAGTTTCCGGATCCTCGAGTATTTAAGAAAGGGTCGTCGAGAAATCGGATAGCCTGTGTCAAGTCTGTTGTTGATCGCGTGAGGAGCTTTTTGAATATTTGCTGGCTGTATTCTGGTTCTCGTTGTAGGTCGATTTTCAGATACCGTGCAAAGTCTCGGGCATCTTCCATTCCCCAGTCATTTTTGTTGAGGAATTCCATCCAAACCTCATCCTTGGTTTTCGGTTCCGCGTCTGGGGTTACACAAGGGTTGTCAGAGACATGCGAGTCAATCGGTTCGGGGTTGTGATCGTAGAACGGTAGGGGAACCTCATGCGAGGCAATTGCGTAACTGCGAAGGTCTTTGGGAATAATTAACCATTGTCCACGCCATTAGCGTCACTTTCACACTCACCCTGGGTTTCGAGTTGCGCTCTCTGCCATGGATGATCGGTCCACTTCATGTGCTCCCTCCCATTACGACCAAACAGGCACGCGATATCTTCGACTCCCCCAATACCGGCTAGAGCGGTATTTCTTCTCTTCGCAAGACGCCTTCGCGCCTCCAAGGGACCAGGCACACAGCTTCCATGGCGGCGCTGGCCGTTCGCGAAATGTCGGAAGGTCGTTGCGAGCAGGTCGTCACTGATCCACAGATGGTCGGAAGTAGATGAAGCAGGTGGCTTCATAGCATGCCGGTAGGCATGCCTACTAAAAGACATCAATTCAAAAGATGGCGCATGCGAGCCAATTGCCAAATTCAGTCGTGATGAACGAGCGTCGTCTTTCAGTCGCAGCTTCGGCTCGGAGGCTTGGCGTTGTATGACTAATCACATTGGCCAGCCAATCTGTGAACCGGAAATACCGCAGGCACGATGTAGACGTTCTTGGATCTTTTCTGTAATGTTTATTATGGTCGAGAGCTATGTACTTCTTCTAGCCAGTATCTATAGCCCTATGCAAATCATCAAGCGGCGTGGTTTTCTCAGAAGAGTCGCTATCTGGGTCACTTAGGACCCAACCTGGGTTGAATCCAAGATGGAACCAGAAAACAAGAACAAAAAGATGCAACCGTACTCCGATGCAATACCATGCCAGGTCTCGTCTTATGACAATGGTATCTCATGCTGATCATGCCCACCAAGGCATGATCGAAACGTGTCTAGTGGATCGTAAAGAGGGTCGTCAAAGGAGATTGGGACAAGCACGCCCCTCCTCATCATTTCAAGAGGCTTGTTCCCCAGGTCGAGGCTTCCTTCCGGTCACCACGTAGAAGTCCATGTATGCGTGAACACTCTTGTCCTGGATAGCTTTCCGCACATCGACAAGGAAGACTTCGATCTCGGCCTTCGACCAGCCCAGAGCGAGGAACGGCTTATATGACCAACCGGATAAGGCTTCTAGCCAGTTGCTCTCACTCCACTGCCCAATGGTCTTTTGTTGCTCATCTGTAGGCCAGGTATTTGTCGGTATCTTGAAGATTTGCTGCTCGACATCCACGAAGCCAACCTCCTTCATCCACCGCTCTATCTTTGGCGCGATACGGAAATACCTTGAAGGCTCCATTCCTTGGCTGAGACCGCATGTTGAGATCGTACCAGTCGTGCAGAGCGAATTTGCTGTACCCGTCTGGATTTTCCGGAGGCATAGTACCATCGTCGCATTGTGGTTTGGGATCTAATTCGTGGCATTCAATGTATGCACCTGGTTTGAGGTGTTTGAAGGTCTGTCGTAGTAATCGTTTAAAGGAAGGCATGGCGCCGGTCATGTTGCCAATATGGACGAAGTCAAAATAGTCGGCGTCCCAGAGCCATTCGTCTTCCGTGGCGTCGTCGACCAGGAAATGGACGTTCTCGGGGACCTCTGTCGGCTGGACTGGGGAGAGGTCTGTTCCAGTAATGGCAGCATTGGGAAAGAGGGATGCTATAACGTCGAGGGCAATGAGCTATCAAGTTCCGATTTCGAGTTATGCATTACGCGCAACTTGAGATGAGCAAACATACCCATTTCAATAGGCCATATCCCGGAACCAGTGCCGATGTCGAGTATTTGTTTTGGGTCATTGAGCGGAACATTGTACAGCTTCTCTTTCATGCACATTTTGAACATGTGATGTTGCATGTCTAGACGATCAAGCTCTTGCTCGTCATTTGGATAAGGGTAGGCTGGCAAAGAGGTCAGATGCAGTCAACGAGACATGGGACGCGCGGAAATTCAAGGCGACTGACCTCCTTCATGATACCTGTGATACCGTCTTCCGTTTTCCATAGGATAGTCCGTTACACTGTCAGTCAGAGACTGCGTGTCACTGTCATCACTCCGTTAGCACGAGTCCATTGGATGATAGGAGCGAGACAAAGGTAGAATTTTGCATTTGCAGATGATCGTACCATTCACTCCTTGGTTCCTGCATCGTATACGTTAGCACCGGCCACAATGTTCATGTGGTAGGTGATGAGCAATCTTTAGGCTCTAGTGAGAGTAGCAGAAAAATGGACCTGAGGAGCAGAGAGACGCGATGTGGAAAGCGCCGGGCAGGGACGTACAGAAGATTTGGGACCCATGATGATTGCCTCGGGTCAGTGTAGTCGACCAAGTCAGGCTGGATACGCAGACCAACCCTAATGATGGTGCGACGGGGTCGTCGCGGAACCAAAGCGGTTTAAAGCAAGCCGGACAGAACGTTACTGTGGGTGATTGTGGGCAGATGGTGGGGACTATGTGGCTTCTCAATCACCCGGGATCGTGGCCCCGGTATAGTGCAAGTTGGCGGAGCTAAGTCACGAGTATGCCAGCAAAATTGGCGATCCTCCCATGTTCCACTCCGGAGGGTTGAAAAAAGAACACAAAACAGCGAAAGGATGAAGAAACGCAGATCTCAGATTGGAGAGAATTGAGGGGGAAAGTTATTTGTCAGAGCCTGGTGGAGAGCCCGACAGCTTGGGTTAGGTTATAATTTGGCAGAGCGGGAAGACGATCCGGACAACTATAAATTAATCCAGAGCCGACATAGGATCGACCAAGTGTCTCAGAAGACAAGACCCGCAAGAGAGGGGCGGAGGTATAAGTGGAGATTAGTATATGGGGTACAAAGTTGGACAATTGCGGACTCTCTAGTGGACATGGGATGTCAGAGGGGTCTGGGTATAGGTTTGGCGGGGACATGAAAAAGACGCCTCGGGCAGCGGTGGGTACCCATGAAATCCCAGGGAAACCTAAGCCTGGAGGGAAATTCGCGAGCTAGGGGGGATGATGGAACAGGGGTGACTGTCCGATATCTATCCCAGCTCCCTTTGATTTTGCATGAAACCAGAGATCGCAAAGAAAAAAACAAGAAAAGAAAAAAAAATAAAAAATAAAATGATAGGTTTCGAATACAGAGGGTAAAAGTTCACGCTTTTGGGCGGGAGCTGAAATACGTGACAGGCAAATCAGACCCGCACATCCCCAACCTTTCCCTGTTTTGTGTTGCTCGAGCGCGAGATGATAAGATGATCGGGGACTTGGTGAAGCCACCTCTCACACGGTAGCTAAATCGAACCCAGGCTACTGGGCCATCGGAGACTCGGAGATTCCTTGGAAACAGGAGTTCATTCTCATCGGTTGGAGTGGTGGACCCTGCGCAATGGAGGTTCGCGTCCTACAGCACGCATTTCGCAAATCTTCGGCCCAAAGACCTTGAAATTGCCCAATTGTAGAGTGTGCCACACTGCTGGGAATTAGCAACCGACCTAGCCACGGGCCACCTTCTCAACCCTTTGTCCTGGATCTCTTCCCACGTTCACATGTGCAGAACCCTGCAGGGGCAGTCGGAAATTCCCGGTTCTTTATGTCTTCTCTCTTCAGTTTTTATTTTCTTTTTATCTGTGTTTCATGTTTTCTAGTTTCTTTTCGGGGCTTTGTTCATCCTCATGGGTGAAGCGTTCCAAAGCAAGGAACATCGAATTACGTAGGTGTAGCCGGAGCAAAAGAAACATAATCACATGGTTCGTCTACTATGCTCGATTGAGTTGAAGCTCGAGTTGATCACATCCTCGGATCAACCACTAAGCGGAAATCATTGGACCCGAAGGTTTGGGTGAGGAGGCACAGATGTGGAGCTGTCAGAAAACTCAGGGAAAGAAAAGGAAAAACAACATGAAAAAACTAAGGTGAGTGCAAGATGCTAGGATCATACATGACAGGCCTCGGAGCTTGCTCCCGGCACAAGTCGCATGGTTCCTGGGTTCTGACGCGCGGGACAAAAACTACCAAGCCATCACTCTTCGGGTCTAGTTGCCCGAGCTCTGCATAGGAAGCTATTCGGGCATAGGCCGAATATGCTAGACTCCTGCCAGATCGAGCTTTAGTGATGTTCAAGATTGATCTGTCAGAAATCGCTATATGGGAGTTGAGAATCTGTTAGTCTGGCCTTCCCCTCTCTCTTCCCACTGCCCATCCTGAGTGGGGTGTTTCGAATATGCTTCTCTAGTTGATTTGCTCTGCCCAGGTGGGCACACGGCTTGGAAAATCAATCGTGAACCACAGTGATCATTTCATTAGTGACACTTGCTGGGGAAGGGGCCACCAAATTACGCCCAGCTCGATATAAATTACGGAGGGGCTCGGGTTTTCCTTCTACGGCCAGGATCTCGTACATACAGCGCAGAGCAAACAGAATGCCCCGGCGATCCGGGTCGCCCTGTAAGGCCCATGCGTGCCCTGCAAGCCTCCGCCCGAGTGTGCTGTTACGTCAATTATTTTCCCCCTTCACCTCCCCATAAAAAAGGCTTGGAGGAGATGATTACTGTAGAAGAATTTGGCGTATCAAATCACCGATCATTTCGAATCGCGAGTGTATTGTGCGAAATGTCGATCCAACTTCAAGGCGCGCGTGCATCGATCGGCAGTCACAGGTAACGCGTCCCACAAGTCACAGTAATATGGGTCTTGGGTCGTACCGTGTACAGTAGTATCGAGTCACTCGGCGATCCCCGAGTCCAGGGTTGTATTTTCCTGTGCATAGGCATATCGGAGAAGATGGCTAGCACGAGAAAAAGCAACGGTGCATGCGCCGATCCATAAATAACGCCTCCGGCCACAGTGCCGGGATTTTATTTAGTCGAGATGGACCCGACTGCCGGGAATGATTTGGGTTCCAACGGGTCGGTAACGCCGCAGGGGCCAGTTTTCGAGATTTCGAAGATGCTCGGGTCATTTTGTTCTTTGTCACGTATGTCCTACCCCGATTTGTCTTGGACCCTCGATGATCTTGGATCGCGACCGAGGGGTTCTGGGGTGGAGACAGTTTTTTCTTCTTTGGTAGAGAGCTCGCGGGAGCCAAGCCCGCGTGCTCACGGTGGTAGCGATGATGGACCGGACTTGAGCTCTGGACCAAGCTTGGCAGTCGGCAAGGAGTGGAGTTTCCACTTGCCCACACAGGGGAGAATGGAAATGGGAGCTCCACGGCCACCTATCAAGAGAGCTCTACCACAGACCAGGATCGCACATGATGCTACACAAGCGTAAGAGCCTGGTTATCAGACAATACCTTGCGGTCCCATGGTTGAAAAGGAAACAATGGTTCGCGAAAAGATCCAGTCATCCTAGGAACGGAGCATTTACTATGAACCGCAGCAAAGCTTAGTCACACTCCTTCGTCTGCACTATCAATCTGCCTGGTACAGTACTTCCGAGCAAATCCCGAGATATTGGTCATTCGGCCGGAGCATTTAGCCTTAAGTCACATCATTCATTGGGCCCGCAGAAAGGCTACGTGGCCCGCAGGGCAATTAAACTCGCAGATTAGACCGCTCAAGAGTGACAAATCCCTTGGTTACGCCACAAACATACCTGCCATTGGGCACAGCTTAAACTACCATTGTACTGGGTGGAAAATATACCCGGGTAAAAATAGTAGGCCAGATTGAACGAACTGGACGGAGAGCCAGACTGCGGGGTGAAAACCAGGGATCGCCTAGGCCCACACACGCGGAACATCTGAGGTCTCGGCTACCATTCCAACCTGATGGAACGATTCGAACAGTTTTGCCCTGGATGATTAACTGCTTTGGTAAATAATACATGTAGTCTGCATTTAGCATTTAGTGTGCGCCTGTCTATTCTCCTTCTGCCCCGGCGGAAAGCTCATGGCCAATGAGCAGCCTCAATACGCGGGAATGGATGAATGACACGGCGCGCGCGCTGTGAACTGCACGAGACAAGAAAATATCTTCCATGTAAATCAAGCGCCCGAGCCACAGTCTGAAAATTATGCGGTCTGGCCAATGCTAGAAGTCTTTTGACTGGAGATGGGAACTCCTAGATGAGCCCCGCTGTTCGAATGAACGGGGTGATACCGACCAGCTCTGCTCGCATTTTCGTGATTGATATCAATCTCGTCGGGATGGTGAGCGTAATGGGGGTTATTCGTCAATCTTGGTGCAAATCCTTCCAAGTTTGGCTTGAGCACCGAGGGCTTGGCGTCGATGGCTCCATTTTGAAGCTCTTTGGAGCTCATAGGGTTGTTCAATCAAGACATCCTCTGTTAGTGTTTGATATTCAAGAAGCCCATCCATGTTCCTTCCGAGACCGACGGACGCTTAATTTAATAATTAGCTGCTGGGTGTCGTCAATGATTGGCGAGCTAATTCACGGGTTACATGCTGACGACGAACCATTCGACCTATCCAATTCGATGGGGCGATTTTAGATATCATTCAACACAGCCTGTTATTGAAGCAATAGCGAGATAGTCTTATGCGCCAAATTGAAGCAAGCGGTATAAGAAATATTGAAACATCACTAGCCACGCGATGAAATCGCAGCAAAGAGTATTTTTCGGAGTTGTGTTGCCCAGTCAAGGGGCAGGCGCAGACAAAATGGCTTCCACCGAGGCAACATATCCCTCCATTGGCTGGACCTTGTCGGTTCTGTAGATTGCTAGTATCGGCATAGGCTATATGCATCGGAGCTAAAGTGAGATCATACCTAGTTTGAATGCGAATGTCCGTCTGGACTCTGGCTATTCCCTGCTGGTGGATAAGAGTGTGTGCGAATCCAATCAATTCGGTAACTTCGCTCCATGTCCCTTCTGTTGGTATTCACAAAAGTGAGTTCTTCAAATCACGTTTATCGTCTCAACATATGGGATGTCGGCGGGGTCAGGGTGAATCAATTGTGATGAGGTTTAAGTCTGTCCTCGAGATGACGGCGTACCTAGTGTTGTGCCCGTGGCATGCATCACGTATTTGAGGCCTGACTGCTGCATGAGACGCTGGATATCTGCGATCTGCTGAGAGAACGATGCATTCTGTGAGCCAATCTGTAATGAAAATGCTTTGCTCAGTAACTCGAGATGTTTGTTTTTGCTTGTTCGGGGCTTCTTTACTGGGATAAGAGAAAAGTCGGCTGTGCACCGCGAAGGTGTTGCCAGGGCTGAAGGTGCGAACGCCATTGTTAAAGATCCTATCTTTCCTGTTTCAATTCAAATTGAACTTGGACGAGATGGATAAGTCAAGGGAGGGCTCTTTCGCTTTGATGAGGGATTCGATTGTTCGTCGTGAAGGGGTAATCGTGACGTAGTTTTGAGTGTAGGAATGATGAGCTACGTGATCAGGAAAGCCAAATTTCGCATTGTCCTGGTACATCCTCAATCATTCTTTAGTTTCTAGCTAAGATGTTTCTTCGCGTCTAATAGATCGTCTCGTCGATGCTCCTGCCCCGTCTCTGGGCTGGCTCACTCCCAGAGACATAAATATCCTCAAAGAGAACATCCCACCTTGGTTCAGGCTCGGGCATTTGCTCAGCCGCCTGTATCTCGCGGCTCACCAGTCCTCGTATTTCCTTTTCTTCTGCCTTTGCCTCATCCTCTGTCATGATGTGCCAGTCTATCAGCTTCGACTTCAGGCTCGTGATGGGGTCATTTGATCGCTCATCCTGCAATTCCTCGCGGGAACGATAGGCGGTTCCGGGGTCCGACATTGAGTGTCCAGAGTACCGGTAGGTTTCGTACTCATAAATGAGCGGCCCATTCCCTGCCTTGATCCACTCTCGGCCATGTCTGACAGCAGCCAGAACCGCCAAAACGTCCATCCCATCAACTTTGAGCCCAGAAATATACTGCCCACGCTTATAGTATTCCGTTGAGGCGGAAGCACGCTCAACTGATGTCCCCATCCCAAATTTGTTGTCTGGAATTATTGTTAGTGTCCTGTTTATGTCGTCAAACAGGTTGCTTACTCTCGCAGCCAAACATGACAGGCAGGCTCCACAGCTTCGCCATGTTAAATGCCTCGTGGACTTGGCCTTGATTGGCTGCTCCATCGCCATATAGATTGACCGTGATATTACCTGTGTTGTCATACTGCTGGGCCAATGCGATACCAGTTCCGAGTGGCACACTTGAGCCCACAATACCGTTGCCGCCGAAGAAGCTCTTAGCGTACATGTGCATCGAGCCGCCTTTTCCATGCGCGATACCGTCGCTCCGACCGAGAAGCTCGCCAATGATTGATCTTATCGTAGCACCGCGCATTAAAGTGTTACCGTGAGAGCGGTACGCGGTAATGCGTTTGTCTTCCTTGGTAAGAGCATGCTCGATTCCGACTGCGACAGCCTCTTGTCCATCGACAAGTGGCAGAATCCACGAATCTTTCTTTCCTTGTACAACCCATCTGCGGCGAGTTCCATCCGTCTGTGCACGCATGAGCTTTATTTTCACCAATTCACGACGCTTAAAGAAACCTTATTGTTGTCATGTCACGAAAAAGCTGTTTGAGTTGCCCTTTTGTAGTCTTTACCGAGTATGGTGGCGGGTCGAAATGGTATGTCTCGAAACTCGCATCCGCGATCGGCACCATGAAAGGTTTGTCATCCTCCTGAAGAGATCGTCAGACCAGTTGTGTATTGTGCCTGTGGACAATTACCGATGGGACGTCTAGCACCGGCCGATGGGCGACTTGCGCGAAGCTACGCGTGCTAGCATGTAGTGGGCCAGGAAGAGCATGAAGTCGCAGAAAGCGGGACCTTAATGGTGGTAAGGGGCAATTATATGGTCTCATATTTTATAAGGTAGATGAGAATCGAATGAGTCAGTGTGAGAGATGAGATTTGTTGCGAACAATGCCAATGCTGGCTATTATCAGACCAGCGCAAGCATTACATGACGCAACTGTGAATTCATGGCTGGAACGACAACTTCCGTCGCAGAACCACATTACTGAGAAATTTCCTCATTACATTGAAGTCGTTCCATTGAGACCTCTACTTAAGCTATATGAAATCTTTGGGGCTTGACATCAGTTCAATTTTCCATTATTCCTATCTGGGCGACCCCAGATGTATATTTCGCTGACGGGTCACCATAATGTGATTGTTCTAGCATTTCATTAAGCCGCAACACGACAAAAGATAACAAGATGGGTAGAATACAGGAAGCAGGGCCTATAAAAGCTGCACACCTCATTTTAATCATTATGTTTTCACATGATGTTCTAAAAATCTTTGACAAGGACTGTTGTATTCAATGTTGACAAGGTCGGAAAATCTATTATTCCGCTATGACGCAGCGCACTCTTGCACTCTCACTTGCGTAAGCTATGAGACTCGAGACTTGTTAAGCCTTACATTCTCGAGGGCGGAACCTTGAACCTGCCGTGAACAGGATTTAAGCTCTAGTGATGATTTCTTGCGCCTGAACCTTCGTTATTTAAGCCAAGAAACAACTCCTTCATGCAACTCAACAGGTTAGCCACGCATGGTGCGCCAGTCTCAGGCCCGTCCCACCCGGGGCAGGGCTTCTCGGGCTCGTCAGCCAAAGCGTGAGACAGCGCCAAAAAATTCGGTTCCATATGTGTACCAGGAGATGCTGGAAGAGGCTGAAGCAAGAGATCCAGAGCAGTTCCATTCCGATCGGCCGATCAAGAGACGAAGGGTTGGCGACTCACGGGCTTTTGCTGTTCATTCGCCTGAGCCGGCACAAACCGGCACAGTCACGGACGTAGGCAAAGGCGAAGAATCGCAGGCACGACAGTTGCAAACAGTCTACGATCTCTCGGAATCGGGCGAATCTGACATCGAATGGGAAGATGTGGATACTCAGCAGCAAATACCTGCACCATCTAGTGCAGCGGCAGTCTCACAAGGATCAAACGAGACACTCCAAATTACCCTGGAACAAGAGCCAGAGAAGCAAAAAAAGCCTGCACAAAGAAGAAAACCAGTGACCGCAGCTGAGAAGAAGATCCGGATGGATGTTCACAAAGTCCATCTTCTTTGTCTTCTGGCTCATGTCAACTTAAGAAACCGGTGGTGCAATGACGAGTTGGTGCAGGTACGTGTTGTTGTAGTTAATAATCTATTCTCAGCGTTCTAATTTCGATTTAGAGTCACCTGAAACGTATGTTGCCCAAGAGAGTTATTGCACTTTTGAACCCAGACGAGGATAAGCCACCGTATTCACGGTCTACGACCTTCATCGATGGTCTCAATGAAGCTGGTGAAATCTTCAGCCGACGATTTCGCGTCAACAAATTAGGTTTGAGGCGTTCCCACTGGGCCGAAGACCAAGATAAACTTAAGCAAAGACTGGTACGTCTCTCTGACAACTTTGCGAGTATGAGAACTGTCGCTAACATACCCGTAGGAGGCGCTTATGTCAGATATCGAAGTCTTTCAATCCAAAGAAGACTTTCGATCCCAAGCAAAGACCATGCAAGGCTCTCGAGACTTCGGTGCGCAGTTGTTCTGTGCCTTGCTGCGATCAGTTGCAGTGGAGGCAAGACTTGTATGCTCGCTTCAACCGTTGCCATTCTCCGGCACTGTCAAGGATATGACACCATCCAAAAAAAGCCCTCATTATATTATTGTCTCCTCCGATGACCATGAAACGTCGACAGATGAACGCCAGAAGTCGGGCGGAGATTCACCAACACCCTCGAGAGCGAGGCGGCTTGGACGACCTGAATTTATCTCACGGCCTGGCCACACTTCTGATCGCTTGGGCTCTAATCTTAGCTCCCGCGAATCTTCATACCCAGTTTTCTGGGTAGAAGCATTCAACGAAGCTGTGCAAAAATGGTTACCGATTGACCCAATTGTTACCAAGTCTCTCGCAAAGCCCTCCAAATTTGAACCACCCGCAAGTGATCCGTACAACAGCATGAGCTATGTGGTTGCCTTCGAAGATGACGCTTCCGCACGAGACGTGACTCGGCGTTATACAAAGGCGTTCAATGCAAAGACACGCAAGCTTAGAGTTGAATCGACGCGAAACGGGGAGAAATGGTGGCACACTGCACTTCAAGCATATGAGAAGCCTTTCCTTGAGGATCGAGACGAGCTTGAAATCAGCGAATTGACTTCCAAGTCTGCGGCAGAGCCAATGCCACGCAATATCCAGGACTTCAAAGACCATCCAGTCTATGCACTGGAGAGGCATTTGCATCGGAACGAGGTGATCTTTCCCAAACGAGTTATCGGACATGTCGGTTTGAGCAAAACAACTTCAAAAAGCGATAATTTAGATCCCGTCTACCGTCGATCTGACGTGCACGTCGTGCGCAGCGCTGATAAGTGGTATCGACTAGGACGGGATGTCAAAGTTGGAGAACATCCCCTCAAGCATGTTCGTGCGACACGACCCAAGAGCGGAATCGACAGCGACGATGAAGATAACGAGCCGGAGCAGACTGCTCTTTACGCCGAGTATCAAACGGAGATTTACCAACCACCTCCAGTGGTTCAAGGACGTATTCCCAAAAATGCCTATGGCAATCTGGATATCTACGTTCCAAGCATGGTACCCCCAGGGGGAGTACACGTTCGAAAACCAGAGGCGGCTCGAGCTGCACGAATCCTGGGGATTGATTACGCAGACGCTGTAACAGGTTTCGATTTCAAAGGACGTCGTGGAACCGCTGTCATTGAGGGCATTGTCATCGCCTGTGAATACAAAGAAGCTCTAGAAGAAGTTATGAGGGGAATGGCTGATGAAAGGCATCGAGCTGCACTTGAAGCGCGAAGTGCGGAGGCACTCCGCGTTTGGCGACTTTTCCTTGTCAAGCTTCGGATCGCTGAACGAGTGAAGGAATACATCGGCTCGGACGAGGAAAGATATGATGCATCCACCTCGGAGACGAGTGTGAACGATCTGGAAGAATCCGGAGGAGGCTTCTTTTCAGAGCCTAGTCAACCCACGTACAGCACGTTAAAGGAAACTGACACGGATGATTATCATCTCGGAGGAGGTTTTCTACCAGATGACTCCGCCTTGGATGGAGCTAACGCAGTCGATGCCGGCAATGAAGATGACACTCTTGGGAGAGAAATTCTGCCTGACAGATTTGTTGACGGAGGTCCAGCCGTCAACCCATCGACAACAAACGAGGATCAAGAAGACAGATTCTCCGGAGAAGATTTAATGCTCGATGACTCGGCGAATGTCGAATTCGTCTCCCAAACCCATATTGTTCCCCAGCCTGTGATCCCACCAAGGTCCAAGAAAGGAAGAGCTTCAACAACCCCCCGCTACGAATTGATCGTAGTTCCGAGGAATTCCGCCACAGGCCCCGACCAACAGTCAAATTTACCAAAATGTGCAACCACCAAAGGATTAGAAGGGTCGTCTGAACAAGCTCCGATCACGGTTGATTCATCGACGAATGGTGGATCCAAGTCTGCCAGTGTGGTGGAATCTATATCCAGACCACCCTCTCCGCAAGCAGAACCTCACAAATCTGAGCAATTACATGACACTGAGAGTGAGATCGAGAAAGGGTCCTTACTGTCTGAGGACCCTGATGATGAGGATGCAGTCCCCGATTGGCTCATTTGATGATAGTCAGGTTCAGGGGCGCCATTCTTGTAAACTGTCAAGTACATAGCGAAAGACTAAACAACGCAAGCAACTGCTGAGCTCCCATACACCCGCTTGATAGGGACTTCCCAAGAAATACAAGAGAAAATACTGGCCATGTGCGTCGATAAATCAGTAATCTCATTGGGAAAATCACACGAAGACACGTGATCGCGTAGATTGAAACGCGTCGACGCGGTGTGCCTGAGGCAACAAACGTCAGAACGTCATGGACCGGAACGACCACCGAAGCCACCAAGCTGTCTCTGATTAAATCTCTATGTCTAGTTGACCGGAGCTGCGATGAACCCCCCAGATACTTCCGGTCGATTGTCAAATACACCCTGCGGGAAATATCGAACTTCGCGACGACACAGTCCTCCGGGGACGTCAACAAGCTCGAAGAGCAGCACATTCAAGAGGCCAGCATCTCCTAGCGTTTCAGCACCTGCGAGGCCATGGAAAAGAAGCTCGGTTCCAAGCTCACGAGCGCAATCAACGCTCACCCAGATCGACTTCGTGACTCAGAGTGCACATTCCGACGATGACCAGCTCGAATATCTCGACGAGACTCAACCACGCGAAGGGACCAGTGCAACTAATCCACAAGACCGAATGGATGGTGATTCAGAAGAAAGTAACGGCGATGGTGCATCTTTGCGCCCCACAAAATTCGAACCCACTAAAAATCACCTTTCGCGACGAAGGAAAAGCGTCGGAGTCACTCCTCGGGCATCCGAGCGGAGCCAAAGCATACGAAAAAATTTGACACCGAAAATGAGTTTCAGTGAGAAGCGTAGACAGAAATCTACAGAGAAGCCACCTGCGAAGCGCGATAAGACTCTCACGCAAATGGACTTCGTGCGACGCTACATCACAATAGACGATGACGACGACGTGAATATGGGATACATACAGCCGGAACAAAAAGGAATGCCTCCAGATTATGCGCAGCAAGCCCCTTCGATTGAAAACCAGCCGATTCATCCGAAATCATCTGCATCTGCGAAGCGCAATCGCAGACACCTCGAACCGGAGCTGGATCTTTCCACGGGCGAGCCACTCTCTGGGGGTCTTGGTGATAATCAAGACTCGAACCCGGGGCACGATGTCGAAAATGCACCAAAAGATAATGCGCCTGTCACGCCTCAGAAACCCCGAAGACTTGAGATTCCGTCCTCACAGTCGCCAGAAAGTCCAGGGCTGGCTATAATAACATCCTCTCAATTCCGCAGTGCAACCCGATCTCCACTGAGGCAAAAAACCTGGAACCTGGCATGCCATTCGGAAAGAATCATCAAAGAGGAATATTCCGACCCGCAAAGGATTCTCGAGGATTCTCAAGATCACGGAGGCGAATCACTGGCAAAAACATCACCTCAACCGTCGCCTAAGTTGCTTGATTCCTTGAAGCATCACTCGTCACCAGTTATGCAGAATAGAGCTTTCTATGCACCTTCGACTGAATTGGATTCCCAAGCAGGGCTGCCTGGTGGCCTTGAGATCAAAGTAGAGCGGGCACATAAAGAAAGAACAGTGGTTTACGAGACCGATGCGGACACTGATGACAGCGAATCAGAAAATAACATGAACAATGATCGCGCAACACCATCTCCAGCTCATGGGCCACATGTCAAAACGCCAACCTCTGCTCGGCACAGCCCAGAGCCATCAAGCGACGACTCTGAAGAAATACCTCTACCAGATGTCAACCCGTCGACAGACCCGAACGATGGACCGCCGTCCGAAGCACCGATGTTCGAGGCACCTTTGTCAGATGCCTCTATTTTCTACCAAAGGATGCAGCCAGCAACACAATTTCCATTCGAACCTATTCCTACCCTAAATACCCAAAAGCTGTCCGAGCTGTTTCCGAATTTTGGGAGCACTCAACACGCTAAACCGTCAGCCGCGGGGTCTTCTCAGAAAGTTCGGGGTCCCTTTTTTGCAGAGTCAAACGCAAAGTCAAGAGGCCGACCAGACCGAGCTTGTGCCGGAGTCATCTCCTGTTCATGAGCAAGATGAGAATGACGTTGACTCCGGTGCCATCTTTCAACGACCTCAAGGCCCGGAGTCGGTGGTCCAGGTCGAGTCCTCTCAACCAGTCGATCGAGGCAATCACAGACTGGCAGGAGTCTTGTCACGCAGCCAACTTCTCACGTCGAGTGTTATGGAAAGTGTTCCGCTACCTCATTTTTGGATGGGTAGTCAGGACAGCGTGGGTGAGCCATATAATTTGCCGGATCGGTGAATCGGCCAGACATTATGAGTTATGATTACATTTAGCGCCCTGGTATAAGCTTATTCCCCTACAATCTCATGGTTATATGTTGAATCTATATCTGGTCTTCTGATTCCATAAAAAGGCACTGGTGAGGTATAGCTCCCAAGCGTGCCCAAATCGGCATTTCCGCCGTGAACATCCTGAGTACTATAAAGTCTTTTGAAAAGCGGTCACATCTTCAGCCACCCTGGAATACCGATTAAAAAAATAAAAGCGCAGTTTAGAGTCCTTTCCAGAGGGTCGAGCGACCTTTATCGGGAACCGTTCACGTCGATCAGTAGCTGAGGCTGAGCACGGGGAGCGGGGCGGTCGGCCCGTGAACGAACGCGGAGGTGCAACCTGAATCGGGGCTTCGACACCACGTCTCTCCAACAACACACCATGGATATTGCGTACGACCACATCCAAGAGGAGATCCTCACACCCCGGGAGAACACTTCTTCCGATCCCAACAACGCTCAGCAATCAAACATCGACCTCAACACCGAATTTCAAGAAACCTTTCGCGCTTTCTCCGCCAGCCCGTGGGGCGCCCGGATCGGAGGCCTTTGGGATAATGTGCGCAAGCAGGGAGAGACCTACTACGAGGGCGCCCGTCAGGAATACGCCGCCGCGAGCGAGGAAGCTGTGAAGGGGTTCTCAGATCTGCGGGATAGCATTGTCGATCGGACCAAGGGGCTTTCCATCAACACCGTAGCTTTGACTGGCAGCGGTGAAGGACAGAAAGACGAGGCGGCTACACCTACCACCTCGACGAATGAGGGATCCAAAGGTCAAGCCGAGGCTGGCCCCAGCGGAGAGGGCTTCATTTCGCGGTTCAAGGCCGAGGCCGCGCGACGACTAAAGGAAATTGAGAAGGCGGAGGAAGCGGCAGACGAGGCGATCATGCGATTCGGGCTAAACATTGGCCAGAAGCTGCGTGAGGCTGTGAGCATTGTGCCTCCCGAGACGAACGATTCCGGCAAGCTTCTTTTCGAGAGCAAAGATGCCGATGGCAAGCGCGTCATCCATGCCACTCGATTCGAAGCTCAACTGCATGTCATCCACTCAAACTTGGAAAGCTTCACCAAGGACCCTGTGAGCGATAAGTTCTTGGAGTTCAAGAAAGAATTCAATGTCGAGAGCAAAACCGACGAGATTGCTTCCGACCTCGAGAAGTACCCTGAGTTGCGGCTCGCCATGGAGAAGGTTGTTCCTGAGACTGTGGAGTATGCGGAGTTCTGGACTCGGTACTATTTCCTCCGCTTGGTCATTGAGACCGAAGAGAAGAAGCGCAAGGAGCTTTTGAAGGGTATGGATATACCTTTCTTACTCGCTGGAACGATCATTGCTAACATTTCCCTTTACTTACAGGTGCCAACGCCGAAGACGAGGAAGAAGTCGGCTGGGATGACGATTCTGACTCTGAACACGAGTCCCCCTCCACTCCTCAAGTCCGCCACGAAAACCAGAAACTCGCCGCCGAAAATGCTACCCTGAAAGCCGAGCCTCGCCGATCGAACGACCAACAGTCCCAGGCCGATAGCGAGTCAAGCTACGACGTTGTGAGCGGTGCTGCCAGCCGGACCCCTGGCAGTCCCAAGGAGAAGAGTCCGATCACTGAATCCAAGGCGGATGACAGTGACGAGGACTGGGAGTAAAGTGTTCTCCTCCCAACCCAAGGACCTTTGGAAAGATACCCGTTTTTAGGTCAAAAAGGGCCAACTGACTTGCTTACTTCGCGGGAGTTTGGTGTGACTTGGTTCATTGGCGCAGTTGGGACTGTTTGTCCGTCTTATTCCCAATTCCGTTTCTCCTATCTTGCCTTCAGCGATTGATGTCCCCCTCTGCCTTTTACCTGTCTGATCGATTGTGATAGACATGCACATTTCTCGCTTTATTTACATATCCCTTGGCATTGATACACTTTTCTGCGTATCATCTTTGCAGCTGCTCCTCGGGTACTTCAACTTGATATACCCGTAGCTTTTAACGAAACCGAAGGTGATGCTTTATGCATGAGACTTCGTCTCTCTTCAAAATTCTGAACGTAAAAACTCAAACTCTAGATTCATGACATTTCGCTAGTTATACAAGATCATCATCGTCATCATCATCATCATCATCATCATGGGGCTGTGTGCATGTTATTCCGTAATCCCAGAACCAGCACCTCCATCTCTCAAAGCACCGCCCTTCCTAGCAAGCGGCGAACTCTGGCCCAGTTCTGAATCATCTGAATACGCAGGCGTCATGCCCCGTAACCCACTCGGGCCTCTCCTCCCAGGCGAGCCTCGACGCTGTGGAGTTTCCGGTGTGCTTTCCCGCGATCGAAGTTGGAATCCACGCGACATGCCTCCGGGTGAGTATGGCTCTTCGCCTTCTCGTGGATACCCAGAGGGACTACCTGCTTCCCAACCGTATTGATAATCTTCACCACGGTGCTTGACGGGGCTTTCATCGTAAGGATCCCATCCGACGCGGCGGCGTGCTTCGTGGCGGAGGCGTTGGCGGTGTTGTTCGTCGCCACCGGCGCCGGTGGTAGATGATTCCTCCAAGAAAAAGTTCAGAAGTTCATCGCTGATGGAGAGGTGGGATTGTTGTTGGAATTGCTGGAGAGATGTTAGTCGCAGGAGAGTTTCGAGGAGAGAAAGTGATGTGCGGATATTTTCGAATAGCGGGTTGGTGACAGTTGTGGTGGCTGCAGGTTGTGCGGAAGAGGTAGGTCCGAACGGCGATGGATATTGGGTATAGCTTCTGTCTTTGAGAGATAGTTTGGCCATCTTGTCGACCGTGTTTTCTGTTGTCGAGTTGTCTACTTCAGACTCGGTATCAGAGGTTTCATCCTCGTTGTAGACTTCAAATGCGATCCATTCTGGATCGAGACCAGGAGGAAGTCGCCATTCCTCGGGAATGGAGTCTTCGTGTAGGGAGCCGAAGCTCTGGTGAGCTGAGCCGTCACCGCCATGCAATTGTGCGTCAAGTAACGCCTGCTCTTCGTCTTGCTCTGGACCTTCCTCTTCCGGGTCGGGTGCGAAGTCGTCTTCAGAATCTTCACGTTCCATCATACGACGAGGGGGAGAGCATTCAAGTCTCTCTTGAGAAGTAGCACAGGGTTGTTTGTTTCTCCCTCTGTACTGATATTCAGGATCCTGCCTGTGTCTGCGTAGAAGATCTTTGAGATTTGGTGGATTGGAAGAATCTCACGTATACCAGCGCTTGCGACACCTTCGCAGGCTTGGGGCTGTGGTTCGCCCTCTTCAAAGGAGTGAACTCTTCCGTCATCAAAGTCCTCGATGATGAGAACTTGATAGGCATACTCATCAGTGCCCGCAGGTCCGGGAAGCTCTGCTGACTTGGATCGATCGTCAGAGTAGTATAACTTCATTGGGACCCGCCGAAGCTTCAAGCGTGCTTTGTGCATAACCTCTTTCCATGTGGCCTCACGAACAGACTCCTGGTCATGAGGGCGTACGTGGCCTGCAAATAACATGTACATCGAAAGGGTGAATGTCGGTCCTATCTGAACGGCGTGAGAATCCGACATTGAATATTGAGTATCGCCAGCAGTCAAAAAAGTGCTCGCTTGGAGAAGACGAGATGGTGACACGGTCGATGGCAAATTGGTAGATAGCTTGGCACCAGAGGTAGTGATGGCCAAGTTCATCAGAGGCACTGCATCCTCGATCCGAGTCAGAAGCCTCTTGATGTCTTTGATGATGGTCTTGACTTGGGCATCTATGACCGCCTGGTCTCGGGATGATTTGGGGCCCTTGCGTGAGACTTCTTCGGATGAAGCGGCTTTAGCTAATCGCTGCCCAAGGGCCTGAATTTCCCATCGAAGGGATTTTGTGAGAGTAACGGCTGATTCAAGTGACGTATTGCCTCGCGCAGCGCTAGATATTTGTTAGAATCTATAGAGATGATTATAATTGAGGTTTGAGTACTCACATCAATTCAATCATGTCAATTGATGGAGAAATGACCTATTTTCAAAGTTAGCCAGAGGTGTAGTTAAGTCCTCGAGATCAAGGGTCTGTGCTGACCTGAATCTTGCTTTCCAAGCGCTGCTGTAAAGAGAGAAGCTCATCACGATCTTCGCTGTCTACATTCTGAGCGACAAGGTCAGCTTGGTGTGCGTGTACTTCGCGTTGGGCCTTCAACAATGCGTACTTTGAGCAAACGCGAGGACTGGCGTATAGCGTAGCTTGCGGTAATTGCAATGCCCGAGCTGGGTCAAAAGCCTTAGCCAAAATTTACATTCTCCAGAGCTAATTGCCTTACCGAATGGCATAATTCATTGCCTGCTGCGTCAGCTGTCCGTAATGTTAGCAATTGATCGCATCCAATTCTGTAATGACGCAATGAACATACGCGCGTCAAAAACACCTCCATCTTGTCGAATGATATTCTCCGAAGAGAGTGGCTGGGCTGAGATCTGCCCCTGAGCAATAAAGAGTGTAATGGAGGGGCGCTTATCGATAGTGAAGGTCCTGCCCAACGTTAAGTTAGTGACTGTGTTTACCATGGAAGTTTCCATCTCATTCAATATTCACCGCCTTACTGACCACCTTGCACTTCCACCAAAATCAAGTCTCTAGTCACTGAAAGTCTCGAGTAAATAAAATTCAAAACCATGACATAGTCCTTGATATACGAAGACACAGAGAGCACCTTAAGCACGGAATCATCAACAAACTCATTCCTCTCAATTGGATCGAAGCATTTCCACAGTGCTTTTAGATACATAGGTTTCTTTCAGTAACTTCATGTTGACCCAAGAAGACATCATTTTAAGCATCTCTGCAAATATCTCAATTTATCCGTACTTTATGGTCAATTGATGGCCAATGAGATTCCAAACGATCAGAACATGATACATGATCCATAATAGAAGACTTTCTGCCGGCCGAAAAAGTCATGGTCTCTATCGGCTATCGTACAACGGAGATGAGCATTCGAGCCCAACGCGTGGGCCGGAAATTCTGGACATATTGGGAGATCAGTAATTTGCCACTTCCTGAGTAATAAGAAGAGCTCAGCGAGTATAACAATTCAGGCCGTAAAATCAAATAAAGTAAGAAGCAAAAGCCGCGTCTCTATCAATTTGCATACAGTCCACGTGACATCCTCATCGCGGGGGTGCTGAGTCACCTGCGCAAAATCAAAAAACGCTGGCCCCTCATTGTTTGACTTACACCCCCGACTCTCGTGTCGCCCGCGCTATCTCGTTGATTGCGCCTCGGATTCCCTCCACGATGTCGAACCAAACTCCTGAATCATGGGAGGACGAACTCTCGAGACAGACCGAGGGTGTTAACCTGAACCAGGGTCGCCCTCAAGGCCAGATTCCCACCTTCACGCCTGGTGCAGCGAGCTTCCAGCCTGGTGCCGCGTCCTTCACTCCTGGAGCTTCCTCCTTCGTACCTGGACAGCAGTACCAGCAGTACGGTGGCTACCCTTATGCCCAGTACGGCCAACAGCAGGGCTATGGCCACCCCCAGCAGCAACAGCAGGCCTATGGTCAGTACGGCGCATACAACCAGCAACCCGGCAACTACAACCAGTATGGCGCATACAACCAGCAGCCCGGTGGCTTCCAGCAGCAGCCTCGTCAGAATGCACCCGTTGCTCCCCAACAGCCTGCCCCTGCTTCCGACGCCCCACCCAAGGCTAAGGTCCTGTCCATCGGAGCGTCCTCCTCTACCACTGCCCCCAAGACCAAGGTCCTTTCGATTGGGGCTTCCTCCTCCACCACCTCTACACCTAAGACCAAGGTCCTATCCATTGGTAACCCCGCCCCCGCGAAGGCTTCAGATGAGACCAGCAAGGGTGATTCCATGGGTACCGCGGCCGCCGAAGCGGGTGCCAAGGTGACCGCTGCTAAGGCCATCGACAAGACCACGGACTCCAAGGCTGTGGCTTCTGGCCAGTCTTCGCCTACTCCGTCCGGTCGGTCCAGCCCTACTGGTCGCTCCAGTCCCGCTCGCACTGGTGTCGAGGCCGCTAAAGCTGCCCGTGCTGCCGATGCAGTCGCCAAGGCACAGCAGGCCGATGTCGATGATGCCACCTTGAAGGAAATCTATGGTGAGAAGCGTGAGCACGTGAACGTTGTCTTCATCGGTCACGTTGATGCTGGAAAGTCCACCCTGGGTGGGTCTCTGTTGTATTGCACCGGCATGGTGGATGACCGTACGATGGAAAAATACAAGAGAGAGGCCAAGGAAGCCGGTCGTGAGACCTGGTATATGTCTTGGGCTCTGGATCTTACCAACGAGGAGCGAGCCAAGGGAAAGACCGTCGTAAGTACTCACTGTCTGCTTGCTCAAATCCAGCAAAGGACATGGAATTGCATTGCTTGACTATTTGAATTGATAGCTGATTATTTCTAAAGGAAGTAGGAAGAGCACACTTCAGTGTCCAAATCCCTCACCCTGATGGTGCTATCGAGCGTCAATTCTCGATTCTGGATGCTCCTGGACACAAGTCCTATGTTCCCCACATGATTGGTGGTGCCTCCCAGGCCGACCTTGGCTGCCTTGTCATCTCTGCCCGTAAGGGTGAGTACGAAACTGGTTTCGAGAAGGGTGGCCAGACCCGTGAACACGCTCTGCTTGCCCGAAACAGCGGTGTCCAGAAGCTGGTCATTGTTGTCAATAAGATGGATGATCCCACTGTTGAGTGGAGCAAGGCGCGTTTCGATGAGTGCACAATCAAGGTCATCAAATTTTTGGAAGCTCTTGGCTACAAGAAGGATGACATCCTTTGCATGCCCATCTCCGCGCAACGTACACTGGGCATCAAGGACCGTGTCCCGCAGGATGTCTGCCCCTGGTACAACGGCCCCTCTCTGCTTGAGTATTTGACCGATTTCAAGCTCCCTGAGCGTAAGATCAACGCTCCATTCATGATGCCTATCAGCTCCAAGTACCGTGACATGGGTACGATGTGTGAGGGACGTATTGAATCCGGTGTAATCAAGAAGAACGGCAACTATATCATGATGCCCAACAAGACCGAGGTTTCGGTTGCTGCTCTCTACGGTGAGACCGAAGATGAGATTGCGACCGCCACTTGCGGTGACCAGGTTCGCTTGCGTCTGCGTGGTGTCGAAGAAGAGGATTTCCTTCCCGGCTTCGTGCTCTGCTCGCCAAAGCGCCCCGTTCACTGTGTGAGCGCTTTCGAGGCCAAGATCCGTATTCTGGATCTGCAGAGCATTCTTACCGCCGGTTTCAACTGTGTGATGCACGTTCACTCTGCTGTTGAGGAAGTTACTTTCGCTCAGCTTCTCCACAAACTTGAACCCGGTACTGGTCGCAAGAGCAAGCGCCCTCCGGCGTTCGTCAACAAGGGTCAGACCATCATTGCCCGTCTTGAGGTCACTAGCACCGCTGGAGCTGTCTGTGTCGAAGAGTTCACCTTCAATGAATCCATGGGACGATTCACCTTGCGCGATAAGGTATGTACATCGTCTTGAGCTCTAGAAATCTGGGGTGAAGTACTAACGATTCACAGGGACAAACCATTGCCATTGGTATGATCACTAAACTCTGCCTCCCGGAGAACGAGGCTTAAATAACTACCGGGACGCATAATGGAATAAACGATGCAAAATGAAAGCCTAAAAGATATCCCATGCTGCTGATGGTCATTTCTCAGCCCATCGCTAAAAATTCGGGTGGGGATTGAGTGGAACCTCTAGACAAGAGGGTAGATAGATGGGTAAACTGTGGCTTAGCGATGATACGCCACAGCTCACCTCAACTGATGATGATGAATTTTGTACGCTGTCCATCCTTGCTCTCTCGTAGAGGCTTCTTCCGCTGCTGCGTAAATTTTTGTAGTTGATTCTTCTGGTTTCATACGTTTCAAACATGTGTCGCAGTCTGCCCGTATGAAAAGACCCCTTGAAGTTGAGAAGGACCGAGTCAACAAAACGAGCCTTGGAACCAAGTTCCTTTAGCCGGACAACTTTCTTGTTTCCTTCAATTCAAGATCACTTCGTCTATGTATGTTAAAAAAGGTATCATATTGATGTATTCACTTAGCCCCAGAATAAAGCCAAAAAAGCCCCAACTTCCCAGACAGCCAGGCACCTGTGCAAGATTCACCTCTTCTTCTTAACCATGGTGAATCCATCATCATCAATCTCAGGCTCAGCCTTCTCCCTCGGCGCACGCACCAAAGCAGGGGCATCGCCCATCTCAACGTCATCCTCCTCGTCACTCTCCTCATCAGTCTCCTGATCCTCGTCCTGAGCATCAACCTTCTTAAACATGGCTGCAGAAGCAGACTTCTCCTGGCTCTTGCGCTGGTACACCTCCCACATTGCCTGGATTTCAGCGAAGTTATCGCGATCTGTATGTTGCTTCATCTCCATGATCTCAGTCGCCACGATCGCAGCGCTCTCGTCGTCAATGACAACGTCGAACTCGTCGTTCATGACCTGAATCAAGACGTCCTCTAGATCCTCGGCATCAGTCTCCGGCCGGTCGCTCAGCATCTCGGAGATGGCACCGCAGAGCCAAGCGCGCTTGTCATTGGAGGTAGGGCCACCCCAGTTTGACTGCACGGCGAGTGTGAGCGCGGGCCAGTTGTTCAAAGCGAGCGTGATACCAAGGTCGAGAAAGGAGGCGCGGTCATTAGCCGGCGGGGCGAGTGTTGATTGTACGCTCATTTTGGATTCTGTGGTTGGGAAAGACACGATGTCTTTTCTCCTTTAATGGGGTTGAAAGTCGGCGGTGCGGTGCCCAACTGATACCCCGCAGATTTGGTGGGGAGGAGACTGAATGTGGTTTGTTTTCAATGTCAGGGGAAGCCAAGCAGGGCTTAGATGTGGAAGTTCAGATCAGAGTGTAAAAAAATCCCATCAAGTCCCAGAATGAATGTCTTAGGGGTGTTGAGAGAAGATTGAAGGTGTGGGATAGTGTTCTATCGCGGACTCTCGAGCATCCAAAATTTTTTTGAAGCTGCGATTAGATATCGATAAGCTCGGTCATGTGACCCAATGCATCTGCCAAATGCGGGAAGCGGTCACCTTATCATGGAAATTGGGAAGGAATTCGGATATTATATAATCCATCTATAGACAATTCATGACAGGAGGATGAACATGCAGATGTGACAAACATATAAGGCACAGCAAAGGATGCGACAATTGAGGCCTTTGTTCACCCTCCAATGACCCTCAATAGAACGATTCGAGACGATATCAATTACTTAATACGAAAGACTAACGTTGATCAATGGTGCTAAATATACGAGAGTCGTGTAGAAATCCATAAGAAGAGTCACTTAGTGTTGATATTGATCACGGCCGAGGACTCCAGGTCGTCCTAAGTCAGTTCATGAAATTGAGGCATCCAATCGCGGTCATCGTCGGTTCCGGTTTAATGCGAGCAGTAGCAAGCTTCTGTAATAGATAAATGTAGCCTTTGACGTGAATGATGGTCCAAGAGTAGTTCAATTGATTTACTGAGGCTGCAATGTGTGAAGCTCTCTTCACTCAGACTGAACACACTTGACTGCTCATACATCCTTTTTGTGACCGTGAAGGCCATGCGTAGCTACCAATCGAAGGATGCATTGACTGGTCCAATAAGTTTTCTTAGGAACTCTCAACAGGCGAACCTACGGCAGATCTATCAATGGCGGTTCGTGAAGGTCAAAGCAATGTAAGTCATTCAGAACGGCTCTAAATTCATAGGATACTTCGATGGAAAAGTGTAATCAATCGATGGAAGGAGGAACTACATGTTCTACTAGGTCTCTTGAGGAGTCTCTTTACCATTTTGCAAAGACGCATTACACCAGGCAATTTTGGGTTCATGTGCGATGATGCCTGCGTGACTCAACATTACAGCTGATCTAATTTGATCTCGCCATATATTCAATGCAGCTGAATTGTCACGTCATGCACCAGATGGAACATATCAGAGCTCATGCAAGTATCCGCAATAAGCGGATCATAATACTTGGATAAAAAATATTTCGACAAGGGGAAGATCGACCACGCTAAGCTATCTTTTCATGAATTCACGTTTTTTATGCACCCAGATTTTCTTGAGTTGAACAAAAGTAGATTACTATGAACCAATTACACTATCCAGAAAGCTCACCCTTGATGGTGCCACAGTTGCCGTTGAACAGTTGTACATAGCTTTGACCATCGGCAAGGTATGCCGTGCCATAAGTAGAACCCACTGAGCATGCTGTCGAGTGGATCAAATAGCAATATGCGACCGCTGATGTAGAGTAGTAATAGCTCATTGCGCAGGTAGAGCTTTCGAGACAGGAAGCGCAGCAGTCATACCCAGAATCAGTGTCGCCGACAGTAAGAGTTTCACCGGGAATATGAGTGAACTCAAGCGCGTAAACATATTTTCCCGCAAAAGAGCCAAATTCCGAAGAAAGCGGGCTGCCAGCGATATTGTTGGTCGCACATGCTGCGTAAGCGGAAGTCGTAGTAACAGCGCCGGTGACGGTCGTGGTTGCTGTGACAATGCTCGTTTCGGCGGGAGCTGAAGATGTCTCGGTAATAGTAGAGGTGGTGCTGTAGCTCAATGTGGTGGATACATCCGAAGGAACAATCACTGAGCTAGTAGTGATAGTGTTGGTGATAATCACCGTTGAGGTCGACGCCGCGGCGGTCATAGTAAGAGGAGATCCCGTCACTGTTGAGACTGTTGTCGTCTTGAGGATAATCTTCTCGTGGCAGACTACTTCTTCGGGATACTCGTAATCATCTAGCCCAGGAGAGCAGTCCTCCTCCACTAAAGATCGCTTATTTGCCGTACCGGTAGGTAGGGTATCAGCAATGGGAATAAAGCCTGGCGAGGTAGCGATTGTCGAGGTTTGTGTAATCGTCGTCGACACGGTCGCGAAGACCGTCAAGGTACTTGGATCGGGCGTGATAGTCACTGTCGCCGTGTCAAATTCAGTGGAAGTAGTTGAGAAGGTATCGGTGATAGCGTCTGTTGTAGAAGTGACAGTAGACGTCTCGTACTCCGTCCCGGTGACTGTCAGCACCGGGGTAAACGTCACAGTGTCCCGAGTTGTACTTAAGACCACCACTGGGCTCGGGTCATGAATGCGACGAGTGATAGTCGTTGTAGGCACTGATGCCAACGAGTTTGTGCCTAGCTTTGTCCGGCAGCTCACTACAGGTGTGTGAGCTTGGCTACTTGCCGCCAATGAGCTCGACCCGAGGGAGTTGGCAGAGACATGACCGGATAGAAGACCGACTGCGAGGGCGAAGCTGAGAGCTACCATGATGGGTAATTGGAGAATAGAATTAATTCAATGAAGTATGTAAAATTGTAGACGCGGTGCATCTTCCCCTAAATACTCCCGCCGGGTATTTTGACCCTAGCACCTCAACCTACTAAGGAACCCACGACCTGGATCCACCGGGCGTCAATAGTACGATGAAAAAGAGGGATCTAGGAACAAAAAGCCAATCGCCTTGACGAGATCATGATCCACATCCGCATATTCGCTCGGGATGGCCGTGGATGTGAGTCTATCTTCCGCAATTTGAGCATGCTCGCTTATATTATCCTGCTGGATCGCATGTTCAGATTTTCCTCTTTCTGACATCTAGCCCCTGAGTTATTCTTTTACACAATTGAGAGACTAGTTAAATATTAGAGCCTTTTCTTTTCATGAGAAGCTTCTTAGCTTCAAAATTCAAAATACAAAGCAGCATATGCCGCGGAATACTTTTATTGCCCGCACGGGGCCTTGTTAGATTTCTGTTACACGATCAAAGTTGTGGTCTCCATTGGAAAGTATGGTTCCATTCCAAATTCAGCTCCACACTACAGTGGATGGAGGCTGTGTAACTAGCAGTTATTCGCAGTGTGGTGCTCTAAGACGGCGCGTTTGACTATGCATTGAGTGACATTTTCCCTGCCCTACCTTCTTTATCTTCTATTGTCAATTCTATAACGTCAAGGAACGAATAACATTGATGATATTTCTGCCAATCTGGCCTTTGAGATTCGCGATTTCTCCCTTGTTTCTGCAAGAATGGACCTATACCCTTCTTATAAGTTTCGTCGTCCATGCGTGTCACACATGAATGGCTCAACAACATCACTGGATTCGCGGAATTCTTTATTGACCCGACCGTTTCACATCCGTGCATGTCCTCAAGTGCAACTGATGAGCTACAGCAATTACTATTTGGAAATTAATATGCTAATCATGCCAAAGCTGTCACGCATTAGAATCGATAGGTAGAATACAATACTTTGGCGGCCCCGGAAAATGACTAGAAGGCATATTCTTCAAACCTGAAGTTCCAGAGGGTCCTCGCCGAGTCATCAAAACCATATCCCTTGGAACTAGTAGCTCCGATATGCTGCAGTAGGGGCGGGATCACCGCCCAGCGTGTCCAACCCTCGCGATCTGCTATCTTCTCCACCATCATGTCTACCAGCCAATCGGTCGTCAAGTCTGTCCGCTCAAGAAATTGAGGTATGATGGAACGAGGAAAAACGAGGCCTTGTGAGCAGCATCCGTATTTGTTCATTTCATGGACGCCAGGGGACATGGGCCACATGGTGTGTCGTCCCGCCATGAAATGGAGCGCAATGGTTGCGGGGATAAAAATGCACGATGTGATCCAAATGGCGCTAATTGATATAGTCTTCAGCTCGTTCCTGAGTACTTTTCTGGCGGCTACCATCATCCCTGTAAGTAATGCCCAGATCGTAAACGACCAGGCTAAATATCTCGGCCACTCTTCTGAATTCCATCCAAGGAGGTCATCGACATAAAAGAGTCGCATATATATCCAATTCTTATTTGCGGTCCGGTGCTTGACAATATCAAGAGCCTGTAAGGCGGATGGGAGCCAGCCCTTCACCGCCAAAGTATCATCCTCAATCATCGCCACGTACTCAGCGCCTGTATCGTAGCAATCCTTCATCAAGTATGTATAGTCGTAAATCGTCTTATTTCGATACCAACCATCTTCCTCCCATTGTTTTATGCGTTCAAAGTTGGGATCGTCTTGTCGGTATGTCAGTACGCGGTCGGGCAACGTTTCAATCCACTTTTCTGAATAGATTGGATGTTTCGATGCCTCCGTGTTGCCGATGAGAAGATTGAGAAAAATGCTGCTCCTCTCCGACTCATTAAGATCGGCCAGAAGAGACGCCACTGTCAAGCCCACGTATTGCTCTCCCCTCCGAGGGACAGTTGCTATTCCAACACATATCAAAGGAGGCCAAGTCTCAGGCAATGTTGGTTTACTAAGTTCGCTAGCATCTTTGAGAAACCTTTCTGCCTCTGCAATTCTGGTGGATGAATATCGCCGCTCGTAGGCACGGAGGGGGTCAAAGAAATAAGATGTGGGATCTCGATAGCTGGCGTAATGATAGTAGCGGATGGAGAGAAGGTAAAGGAAGCAGAAGGTGCAAAACAAAAGGCCTGTGGTCGAGAGAGAGAATCTGCCGAAGCGAAAGCGACGCGAGGGATCAGCCATCCCACTTCCATTCGTTTGGGTGAAACGCATGTACGGGAGGGGAACGTTGGCTGTCGCTTCGGTCCCTGACTGATCGCGTATCTTGCTGACTAATGGAGTTGCCAAACTCCGGGCAACTTTTACCGCCCAACTATTAACGTCCCCGTCAACTTTTTCTGGGTCCCCGCCAGCTGGGTGCCCACTATTAAATCTCTTCGACCAACCGTAAAGAGTTTCTAACCGCCTTTGCCTGTGCTCCACATGCATGACCCTGAATAGGTTCCCGGCTAGATCAGAGCCACACATGGGGACTCCCGCACGATGACAGACCTAGGCAAAGATACAAATTGCATACGCTAGGGTGTCTCAGGATTATATTTGGAAGCACTATAGCGCGCCAGTAGTTGCGTTGGTTGGTCGACCATGTGGATAGCTATTGCAACCTCCTAAAGCTCTGACAATTGGGCGGTAACTTATCTGCTGTCCCTTCTAGCACGGAGTCTATAATTTGCACGCAAGGCGCTTCAGATTGGGGCTCGAAAATGGAGTGTTACTCGCCCAGTTTGATTTTCCAATCATTATTTGCACCATCGTGCGTTGTGTGCTCACTTCCAATTTACACAAAGAATTGTTTCTGGAGTGATCCTGGTTCTCACTTTTTATCGACCGTCAACAAGGATGTGGATACGCGATGTGTTCAAAAAACAAAGTGCCGATGCTCGCCTTCCCAGCAGGCTCAAGGATGGAACAGAAGAGCCCGAGAAAGTCATCATCACAGAATCGATACCCGTAGCACTTCGACGCTGCATGTGCCACTTCGTCACTATCCTGGTCACAATCGCTATAATAACGCTGGACCTCAATGGTCTATACCTAGGAGCCGATCTAATGTCGCCGGTGAAGTCGGAGACCATAAACCTCATGTTCCTTCAATTGGCCGCCAAAGCCCATGAGATCATGATTGTGGCTAGTCTTGGCCTGATTGTCTTCCATTTTGTCCGAGAAGAATTGCTTTTTGGAGATGGACTTCCCCCTCGGACTGATAGGTTCAGGCCTGACTTTCAATAATCTCGAATTTTTCTTCAGCAAAGGGTTCTATGGCACTTTAACATACATAGGTGGTCATGGCAATAAACCCAGAAAAATCATGTTTGTCACGGTCATAGTGGCGGCTGGGCTCATAGCTGCACTTGCTGGACCCGCCAGTGCTGTGCTACTTGTACCCAAGTCCCAAGGTTGGGCAGCTGGGGGCACTCAGTTCTACCTCAATGGATCCGCGGGCGATTTCTGGCCGGATGACTTATCGGGAGATATGTCCGAGCTTGGGCTGTTGTGCAACCGCAATGACTCTATTCATCTAGGAGTTTGTCCGGCAGGTGGTTTTCAATCCCTTTGGAATCACTGGGGGACTGTGAACTCCACCAATTTTCGCGCGGAGAGACTTCGTTCATATGCAAAGGATCTCTCCGGCTCGAACTTCTACTGGCTAGTGACCAGTCCCTCGTCTCAAATCCCCCCTCTCTATGCGCTCGGAAATAGTAGAGATAGCGAAGCTGGTGCAACAACGCTCACACAACCACATGCAGCAACTACGGTAATCTTGCAAAGGCTAGCGACCGACTGGTGGAAGGTTTTGACCGCCCAAAGAGGCATGTCTTCTGATCAAGTTGATGATCGCATTGTTTCTGCCAAGTTCAGGAATGGGATCAGCGTTGTCAGATGCGCAAACCCGCAAGAGTTGCTGGCCTCAGACAACACGGTGAACTTCCCATCCCTCAATGGTCGATTCAACTTCGCCCAAAGTTTACCACTTGCTTTGCAAAGTTTGAATCAAACTGCTGTCAATCATCTGCGTTTCCACTGGGTCCATCTTCCAGCAAAATTTGGTGCAGCAAGTATCGGAGGGGTGTTTGAGACACCGTGGAACTCTGAACAGACCTCCAGAGCAGTGGTCGGCTGTACGGTTCAAGCTGGATGGGTCCCAGCAACTGTATTCATCAACGAATACAATTTCTGGACCGGATGGTATCCATGGGACATTCAATACGACGATCGTACGCCTGCGTGGTCCGCCACAGACCAGGCCGCCACTAATGGTCGAATATCTCTAGGCGATGACTGGCTCAGACTCCTGACGCCCTCGACTGCCCCGCCCGACATCGCCTCCTGGCAAGCATCTACGATTGAAAGTATATTCCTCAATGCTGGCTTGGGCTCTTCTCCTGATACAATCATCGCGGACTGGCTCTTTCAAAATCCCGGAAGCCTAGACAAGCTTGCGCTCATCGAAGCCATTCTTTGCAGCGTAATTGTGGATGGTCTCAGCCGCACCGGAAGTTATCGGGTATTCAATACTTCAGGACCACAGTCTCAATGGCCGCTAGCGAATTACAATCTATTGCCTGACTTTGAGAACCGAATCTTGGGGAATGAGCTTGCTTTGGACATCCCTGACGTTAGTCCCGAAAGTCTCACAAAGATCGAAGCAAGCATGCAGATAAGCGGATTTTCATTCAAACGGTCTCTGGCAGCTTATCTTGCAATTGCAGTCCTCTTGGCCCACCTTCTCATGGCTACCGCCCATATCATATATATCGTTTGTAAAAGACGCACATCAAGCAGCTGGGGCACGGTTGCCGAGATAATCACACTCTCGAAGAACTCTCAACCATCATTCGATGTCTTGGCGAACACTAGCGGCGGCATCGACAGCCGCAGAACCTTTTTGCAAATGGCGAAGATCCGAGTAAGGCAAATCCCTGGCTTGCCAAATCACGACCATGTAGAGCTTTTGTTCGAGAATTCCACCTCCCTGCATCACCAACGGAATGCCTCCAACCATGAGCTGGACGAGCTACGCAATAACTGGTCACGCCACTCTGTGACATGGCCTCAGAATACAACGAAAATCACAGCAGGCACTGATGTGGATGTTGGAGTGTGTCGAACTCCGAAGAGAAGTTGTTGCACCAGGCACATGCAACGGACATGGTACGGCCTAATCGACCATATGGGTGATTATTTCACGAATTGATATAGTAATAGCGCATTATGAAGACGTTTGAAGTTTGGAAGAATCGTTTTTAGAGGAACAGATATTTATTATTGTTGGTAGTATTTTCACACAACTATAAATGGGAGATTTGTGACCCGCCCTGGTGTCTGGCGCGCTTTTCTCACTGATACCCTAAAGAATTACTCAACATACACCGAATGAGGTTGTAACTGTGTCCCATTGAAGGTATTACCAATTTTGCTCATGAAGGTACGGAATTTTATTTTCCCTGGATCTTGCGAGACCAATCACGCCTCGGGTGTTCTCACACCTGGAAGCCTTCTCAGGCTGACAGTCCACGGAGAACTCTCATACGGTCAATCACTGAATTCAAATAAGATTCTTCGGAATCTCTAAAGCGGAAGGTGCTTCTCTTTAGATTTGGCCCAGCTATCCTTGGAGCCAATACGATGCTATTTGGATGTTTATCTCAACGAAAAGCTAATTGAACCACAGCAGCATGTTGAATACCGCTTTGTCGTGGACACAAAATGTACCGGGTAAAACTTTGCATATGAAAAAGCTTCACCTCCCTTAGTCCCTGCCAAGAGAAAAAATAAAGATAAAAATAAAAGTACTTAAGTCTACGCGTCAATGCGAAGCATGTTGATTTTGTTAGCACTGCGTACAGTCCACTTCCTAAGGTTTGCTCGGCTTGAGACCATGCATGCGATGACAGCCGGAGCACTGTTGTCCCAATTTTCCCCCCAGCTGGCATCGAGAAGGCAGTTGCCACCAATATAAATAGCTACTGATAAGAAAGGTCCAATGCCTGGGATCAGGTCTGCAAAAACTGCGATGGCTTGGATTGCAAAGTTGGCAATCTGTTCCCAAATTGAACGATCGGCAGGAACATATTGCATATTCAGACCGAACTCCACCTTGTCAATGGTGGTGTAATTGATCGCCTCGTTCATGCTGCATTCCCAGTTGTACCCTTCCTTCTTGGTAGAATCCTTAACATTGATGTCTTCCGCGCCGAACGCTAACACTAGGTTCTGCTTGTAGACGTCCAAGGGGCTCGGCATGCCATCCTTGTCTTCTGACTCTGGCCGGCGATACGCCGATGGAATGGCGAGTAGTGTCTGGAGGCTCTTGACGTCGAATCCCAGGGTCACTTGGGAATGGAAATCAAGGCCCCATTCGGTTGTTGTGTCAAATTGCAGTGTCCCGCCGATCAGGGCATCCGGGGCATGATCCGGTGAGGTCATTACCACCGAGAGGGGGCAGATATAGTCGCCTTTCGCCAAAGAGATAAGAGCTTTCCTCTTTCTTTGCATATTTGATCATGTTAATAACATCTACATCCTGTTGGGCCCAGTTACATTTATTCTCGAATGGGTTGGGCACTGGCTTGGTCACTGGCTCGGACAAGGGCTGTACGTGAAGATCGAAGCTTATATTGTCCCTGATCGCGTCGATGATATGCTCGAATTCGCTCTTTTTGGCGGGGTCGCCTTTGATGTCCGCAAAATCTAATCGGGCATGGTCGTGAGTTCTCGTCAAGCCGTTCTTGCTCGCAAAGTCTTTCATTTTCTGGATATTTGCTTCTTGTTCCTTCGTTGCTGGTACCTTGTCACCAGCAGCCAGCCACGACTCCATCATCTTCTTGCATTTCTGGGTCTGCGCATCATTGCTTTTGAAAAAGTCAGAGTCGTCACTTTTACCTCGAATGTCGGCGCTGTAGGTTGGAGTCCCTCTCAGGTAGGGGTGGAGGTACAAGCCCTTCAACTCCTCGGACTGGCCGTCAACCGTACCATACTTTGCCGCGTCGTCTTTGCCGATCGAAATTAAGGTCTGGTCAGGGCCAAGCGCCGGGCGAGTCTTTTCAATCTGATATTTCATCTCTTCATGGTAGATAGAGGGCGCTTTATTCAGGCTGTATGGTCGCGCGAAGGGAATTTCCAGGTTGCGATTTTTGAAGTCGAGACGGACGTACGTGCAGAGGTCTCTGTAGGGCGGAGGGCCAGCGGGCATCGAGGAAAGTAGATGCCTCGGATAGCGAAGGTCATATCTATCCAAAAGTAGCGCTCGTCGCCACGGGGCATTGGAATGGGCAGCAGTCCCGCCTCGGTTGGCTTCTTGTGCTTGGACCAGTCGGCACAGATTCGGCGAGCTCGACTGATATGCTGCGCATCGCGACCGTACATGACTGTCTATTGGTAGTACGGAAAGCCATCGTTTTGCTCATTATAGCGCGGATGGGTCCATCCCTTTGGGCGCAACCCGAGGTCACAGTGATTGAGCCCTATTTCGACGATAAATGACTGCTGAATTGCTCGGCATCTCGGGGATTGAAATCGTGTGTCGTCAAACTGCTAAGGCTGAGATAGGCCACGCCTTTAGGTGCTGCAGACATAGTGTAGTTGCCAAGGGGGAATTGAGAGAACAGAGTCGAAGATATGGTTTTTTTCAAGTCCGCAAAGAACGAAGCTTCAACGAACAATGTTCCTTTCATCGCTTTATATAGGACGCGAAGCTGAACAGCGGCCATCCCCTCCGTCCGTTTCCAGAAGCCTCCAATGTTTATGCAGCTTCACAACTGCTGTGTAACATTTTCTCCAGTACCGCAGTTCCTGTTCGGGTAGTGGATCGTCATGATACGATGCATTTCAGCTCGGCCACATCAGCAAGTGATCTGCGCTCTACAGCAGCTACATGGAAGCCTTGATGGATGGCTAGTTGGCTGGCTGAGTATAAATCGCCGTAGCCAGACGTGCAGATAATCGGCAGCAAGACTCTGCGTCATTGTACAAGAATTGAGCATTGAGGGAATTCGTGTGTGCGCATCAGTTAATACCTGATGCAGTGCCTTACTTACCCCAAAATGGCGCTCGGGCTAATTTAATCCAAAAATGAGATGATAATACACTGCGACTCACCGACTACGTCACACATGATCGAAGCCAGTGAATATAGCGAGCGTTGCATCATGAATATTCACGGAAATCGTCCCTGGTTCAAGAGAATAAGAATTCCACTGATTCGCGTTCTCGGGCAAAACATTACGGCATTTCCAACGAGCTCATCTCGCATGAACATTATTTTAATAGACGAGGTTGCACAAAGACGATGCGATGCGCTATCTATGTGACATGTTCTAATCTCGAACGAGAGATGTGGTCCTGGGGCGATCCTTTGCCTCGTTCGGTTAGTCAACAAAGGTGGATTTACAGAGGACCAAGCAACAGAATGCCAACCTCATAGAAATCTTTGCATCATATGGTAGACGCACTTATTGTCTATAAGGGAATTATGGCAGACCATTTATCGATGCGCAAAGTAAACCGCAAGTCGAGCTGTCTAGATTCATATTGCTCTACCCATTACCTGAGAACGTCCTGCGTGACTCAAGACCTCAAAAGTAGGGAAAGAAACTTTGAATACTTTCGCGGAAAACAAGGTCCTGGAAACTTTCCTTCAGTCAGGGATGGGCGTTCGATAGTGGTCTGACATGGAGCAGACCTGAATGCGATTTGGTTCATGGGCCATGCATTGCAGTATGACTTCGCGGTGCATACAGGTATGCAGTAAGAAACACGCGGTTTGACCTTGCGATGCGATCCGGCATCCAAGATCCCTCTGGATAACTAATCATGTGGCAATGAGCCAATTAGTCTATATCGCAGACATCTCTGCCTACCACGCAGGAAATGACTTTTTATCGGATGCCTGGCAGCTGAGAAAACCAACAAAACAACATAGAAAATTACTTCAAGGCTGGGTGCTTCGTAACCATATCTGACCTGGAACTCCAGCGTGGGTCTATATTCCCGATTCTCGCCGATTTTGACCGCCGAAATTGGAGGCTCCAAATTGCAGATCCGTCTCAGGATCTTCTATATAGTCTCTACTTACTGTAGTCAGCCTGAAGATGCGATTCTTCGGCAAGGGTGAAATGATGTGTTTCCTCGATAATTTGATACGAACTCGACGGGAACTGCAAGAGGCACATCGTTCAAATTCGCAGTCGGCAAGACTGCATGGCTTCGATAAAATTCAGAAACGATAGACTTGTGTTACATATGGGAGCTAGGAAAGGAATTTGGACTAGTCATCGGAGGACAGAGGAGCTCAAAATTATCGGCTTCTCTCCGATTAACACGTGGAGGAGAACAGCGAAGATGCGAGTCAATCGAGAGGCAAGGAGTAGCGTAGCTGCGTAGCTGAGGACCCTGGTAATGCGGATTGACTGAAATATTCTCTCACCTGCGCGGTACAGGGTAGAGGGGCGAAGGTAAAGGGGGACTAACCAAAGGCTACATATGACCACGCACGGGCACGCTCAGCGACTGGTAGCGGGAGTCAAATAATAATCGATTACGATGGAAAACGAGATAAAGTTAAGCACAGTATGTGATATCGTGTAAATAGAGGGGACGTTGAATAATGGCTAAGAACACGACCGCGAAGCTTGGCCTCGGTCCCCAGGGTACATAGAAAATCATGAAACTGGCCAGGTCTCATGTACAGCAAACACTTCACCCATAGATAGAAATAATCCAGTTCAAGAATCCGAAACTCCGATTCAGAAACTCTACCGAAGCATAGTAGTAACCAGCTTGCGCATACTCTTCTCAACATGCGACATGACAAAACTTGCCAGCTCCTTATGCATAACTGGTCTCTCCTCTTCGTCGAGATCTCCCCACGTATCTTCGAGTGCACCTGCATTACAAGCGATATCAAGATAAAGAGAGCGGTCCTCTTCCTCGTCACCGATACACACAAGAAAATTGCCTAGCTTGAGGAGTATGGAGTTCAGGATCAAACGACACATACGTCCGTTGCCGTCGATGAAAGGATGAATATTGACAAAGATATGTGTATACTTGGATGCAATGGCGATAGGGTCAATTGTGCCTTTGCTGATGGCTTTATTGAGGTCTGAATCGAGTTCGCGGATCATGGCCTTCATTTTGTTGGGCACCATGATGTGATGAGGGAATTGGTGCAGGCCAGCGCAGACTTCATCCGTACGATAGACACCACTGTATTCTTTCCAGGGTGTGTTTCCGGCGTCAACTTTGTAGGTGAGGATTTGATGGGTTTGAAGAATGATCTCTTCGCTGAGATCTTGGTCATGGACGCAAAGTTGACTAATGATGTAGGAGGCAGCCTTGGCATGTTGCACAATTTCGCGGCGACTCTTTAAAATCGCTAGGGTGTTTGCTGGGAGGTTTTTGCGTAGAAGATTCCCTTTCAACTCTAAGAATTCTTCTTCGGTTTCTCCAATGTCTTCTGGTATTTCCTCGCCGCGGAAGATTGCCATGCAGAGCTTGAGTGTGATGTCGTAACCATTTCCAACGCGCTCGATCATGTTAGAACCATAGACCATATCAGCAAGGCAATGTAGGATGTGATCTTCGAGGGCAGTCTCTTGGTCGGATGTGAGCTGGTTTTGAAGGACCGTAGAGAGTTGATTTCCGAGTGTGATGATCTCGGGAAAGATGGTGTCAGGGTCAAAGTCGTTTGCGCCAATATTGTAGTCGTAGGAATCATCCATCGCAACTTTGAATTGAGCTTGAACACCATGCAGACTGCGAGGAGAGACAGTTCCGCTGCCAGTGTGAAGAGTTGACCGCATGTATTGGCGTAAGGTCTTGGCAAGGTACAAGCTGGTAGATGGTATGTTTATTTGTGGAGAGGGAGAAGTGGGTTCGATCTGAAGACCTTCGAAGACTTGGGAGAGACTTGTGCATTTGCGCTTCGAGTGCTCGGTTGGAGAAGGCATTTTGATGTTCAGTAAATCGAAGTAAGATGGAAAGACTCCTCGTGAAAGAAGTGGAAATATAGAGAGAAGAAAGTATAAGTTTGCGAATGAGTAATTGAGGGAAGCAGAGAGATGAGATTGTTGAAGAAGAGAGAAGTGGGAAGCGAGAAGTGAGGTGGAAGTATATGTAGTCGAGTCAACATCCCCGGATTGACGTTTCGAAATAGGCTTAGTCCCTTACGACAGCCAGCCCAAACAGGACTAGTAACAAATCGCCGCTTGATTCGTTACGTGCAAAAATCTCCCTGAAAGAAATCATACCGCTGTACTCGACTTCTAACGATGGAAAAAGTGGTGAATGCGAAAATTGCCGATTTCTTTATGCAGGTATTTGAAGGCTTAGCTCCGGAACCGTAGCAGATTTTGGTAGAAACACTAAGACCGGTCGGAGATGACGGTCAAGCTGCTTTTTTATTTTCCTATGCGCCGCCATTTATCTCAAAAGCCTTGCAAATGACAGAGCGCACCGAGCATGAGGTACGCACCTTGAGTGCGCTGATGCGGCTTCTCGCAAGACTCTTCGACAATCGAAATATCCACCGTCATCGGCAAGAATCTATGATCTGGGACATAAAACTCACAGGAAACTATATGGAGCGATGAATTCAGCAAGAACCCGTGTCTTCTTGATGGCATCCCTATTCCTCTTCATATTTGACTCTTTATACACGTCAATTAGTTCCAATTTGATCTTTTCTCTACATCATACGTAAGTTATCATCATGGATAAGCTATAATGACACCCGAGCTTCTCTAGCCAGTCTCACGACAAACAGGAATAGTAGCAGGGGCATCTTCACCTTGTTGATGAAGTCGCTGGGACCGTTGTGTGCCTATCTCTCTTCATTAACTTGTCCTTTTGAACGACGGCTGTCCATTTTGGATTGCTACAATAAGCGTGCGCCAACCTAAGCCACTCCTCCTCTGCACTTGTCTTCGGTGCCACTCCACTAAATAGGGACCCAGTCAACTTCTCCTGTGACTTAGATTGCATACCACAGACTTCGTGTGTAGCTCCGTTCCTGTCCATCTCTCCCAGACTCGTTTGCGGCTTCCAAATGCTCCAGTGTCCTATCTTTGCGTTATAACGACTTAAGTCCCAGAGCCATTCTCATAGGAGCACTGAAGCCACTCAGTAAGGGGAATTGAGAGTGATATATTTTACCAGGATCACGGTCCGCATCGTCTTGTCGCAGTTCTCCAGAAGTAAAATCGATGCGATGGCGAGGAGCGAGCCAAAGCCAACCAAAATTTTGAAAACTTGGTCGCTGGCCAGATAATTGCACTCCTCTGGGCCGGTATTAGTCTCTCGAGTAATCTCCTCGGAGCAATGGGCAAAACTGAGGGTCCCTTCAGGAGTCGAATCACAACATCCCCTTGAGGAATCACTACCTCTGACGGCCGGTTCGCCAACCGTTGTGTCCAATAAGATGCAATTCCTACCAGAGTCGAAGCAGAGGACATCGCTATCGTAGCAGGGGCTGCTACCCGATCTCGAATCAGAATTCCCAGCCAGACGCCCCAAGTGTCAAGAAGAAAGAGATCATCGTAATGATGTTGAACGGCGACCAAATGCGGAGAGGGACGTTAGCCTGACGCTCAGGGCATTGATTCTTTGCTTCCACAGTGCTAAACGTCGAATCTGTGGATAGGATATCCCACCACATACATTCCCGTCCTGTATCTGGCCAAGGCATAGCGTGTATACTTAAGTTGTTAAAGTTTCATACTCTCAGTTGAGTGAAGTCCGCGAAATAAATTAGTTCGTGGACAAGCATGCCAGAATACGCCCCACAACCACGGACGGCACGCACGAGGACCGATTGCCTAAACTGTAATTGTTAAATTCAAAAATACCAACAATTAATATCCGATATGGTGTAGTGGCTAACATCGCCGTCTCTCACACGGCAGCCGGGGGTTCGATTCCCCCTATCGGAGTTATTCTAATTTTTGTCATCTTGTGTGAGCGTAGATTTTTGAGTCGAAGAGAGTTAACCCAGAGAACAGACAGCATTTGTACCTGGTGATGTGATAGAATCCCAATCCAGCGCTGTCGTAAGGAAAATCATGCAAGTCTCAATTACAACGTCCAAACGAACCTAAGTCGAAACTAGACCTCACAACCGCCAGCTGCCAGCCACCTTCAGAGGGTCCCTTGTGGGCCCACATTTTGCGGGCAGAGGGCGATTCCTTATCTCCCCTTCCTTACCTAGTCCTCCATCCTCTAAGAGTCTTCCTTAAGTAGTCTTTATCCGCCTTGATTTATTTAGAACAATTGTCGGCCGGTGAGGGGAAGGCGCTGCCACAACGGCGTCGTTTCCCTTTATTCGTCCGATAATGGTCTCTCATCCGAGTTGAACTTTCCCAGTCGGATAATAACCGAATCAAACCAAATAGACTGCAAAGGCCTAGCGCGGTCTATTTAGATAAATATCACCCTCGATTCAAACCCGAATATAACCCGTCCACCCAAGGGTCAGAGGTTCCAATTTCTGATTTCTGTTCTTACAGATAGCAAAGATTGGAAGCTCTGACGTTTTCTACTTAATGTATCGGACGAGGCTGCGTGTATCTGTAGATAGAAAGTGCTTGACATTGTATGCTTTGGAATAGAGTGATGAAAAAAAAGGGAGGAGGAGAATGGAAAAGATCTAATGGGGTAAAGAGGGGTTAAGAGGGTAAGACAGTCTGTTCAACAACCATTAGACGAAAAACGAATAAAGGCAGTACGGGATCTCCTCGTCTGAGGCTTGCATCTATACTATAGCCACTCAAAAGAATGCCAAAATTCAACATCACTCCACTATCACCAGCATCCCTCCATGCAACGGCACAAACGCTTTTTGAATCGTGGAAACGTTTACCCCCAGATGTCGTAATCCCATTAACACCTCTCAACACTTTGGCCAGCTGTCAGGAACGGCTCGAATGCATGTTATCACAACCAGATATCTACGAGGTCATGGTCGCTAATGCACCTAGCTTCAAGTACTCAGGTAAATCTGAGAACGAGTCTTCCACTGAAGATGTGGTAGTGGGCTTTTTTTCAATCAACAAAAAGGAGAAGGCACTAGATCAGCTTTTTGTCCGCCCTGACGCACAGAGTCAAGGACTCGGTGGGTTTCTACTTGATCTGGTTAAAACCAGGCTCCCAAAGGAGGACGGAGGCTTCTGGCTGAGAACCGCTGAGGGAAATTTGCCAGCTTGCATTTTCTATGAGAAAAAGGGCCTGCACTTCACCAGAAGCGAACCACACCCAATTTGGGGCCATCCGAGCTGTATTTATACTTGGCGATAAAACTTACGGAATGAATGGTCCAGGCAAGTCAATTATGAAACAAAAAATGAGATAAAAAGGCTACTTATTTGTTCTTTAATAGATAATCTTGGCTTTTATTCAATTTTCATTTTGTTTCCATGCTGTAATGCTGTACGTGTGACTGTTTCGAATGCAAGGTCAATATTGGCTTTTCAATGAAATGTAGGTTTCCTTGCAATTATAAAGACTTTGACCTGGAAGCCAATAGATTATAGGCAATCTCGGAGAGAAAGATTATGTCGGGAGCGATGTCGGTGTCCTCAACAAATCGAAATCAAAAGATGCATTCTTCATTCCACTAATACAATGAACCTTTTAGGCGTACGTTCTCCCGAAATCTAAGAACAACGGGACGCTCCAAGTGCTTGTCAAGCACTGTGGAGAGCGATCCAGTGATTTCAGATCCTGCTCGCGGTACTCCTGACATGTCTGCACATAGATTATTTCAAATTATCAACACCAGGTTTCGCAGCTTTAGTTGCATCCGCATTCAACGCGTTGAGGTTGCTCAGGGAACCGATGATCGTGTCCAAATTCTTCGTTTGGATGATCGGAGATATATCAGTAAATCTGGATTGAAGTATTTTCAGCGGAACCCCTTCCCTGATGCGGTGCTTTTCAAAGTCCTTGAGGCGGACCGCATACGAAGCCTAGCCGGTCGACATGACTTGAGCAATCAGCGCATCATGCGCTAGACTTTCGGGCATCCTCTATGTGATGCTCTTCACTTCTTTCTTTCTCGTCGTAAACGACACGAGATAATCGTCGTTGCTTTGTATGTTCCATCATTTGCTTCGCAAATGGGGATCTTTCACGAATTGCTGGACCATGGCGGTAAAAGTAGTATATAGGTACTGTGACGAGTAAAGAGATGCATGCGAGAATTGTCGAAGCGTATTCATACGGGTAAGTGTCCCCAATATTTTCAAACATGGGCGTGGAATACATAGCCGCAATTCCCGCAAGAAAATCACGAGCGAAATCGTTACCGGCTGTGGCAGATGCTGCATACTCGCCGTAAGCAGCAACTGTATAGTCAATAGAAGATTGATATATGGAATACTTGCAACAGGTTAGTAGAAGAAGATTCACCACTTGGACATGGACCTACATTGGCAATGCCAATGACCAGCGTGAAAATCATTGGGGCAATCCAGTGAACCCGTGGAGGTCCAAGACTCGTCCATGCGAACCCAAACAGACCGATGGGTAGACATGGAATCACTATTCCAATCATGAGAAATTGAATATTTATCAGCGCAACAAAAGAAGTTGAGCGAATATAGCTTACCATAAAGTAGCCACCACAAGCGTGCTTCTGGAGACACGGACTCGGAACCATACTTTCGTCGCCTTTGCCTGAACATGTGAATAGATGGAAGAAACGAAAGGTAAGCGATAAAGTATCCAATAAGAAGACTGAAGGTTTTAATAACCATGTGTCAGACGACAAGTATTTCTTGCGAGCCGCTGCATAGCAGAGGCAGTCGAAAAACTTACGGAATAAAAGCGAGGCTGATCTGAATTGTTCCGAAGCCCCATTGCTTGTAGATTGGCTGGAATCCCTGAAGAAAAGTGAAGATCAAGGAATCGCTGAAGCCACTCAGCAACGAAAGCCACATCACAATGGGCTCGGTGAGTAACATTTGGAATGGTCGCTTCCACCAAACCCAGATTTCGCGCGGAGATAGAGCGTAACCGTGGATCTCATGTGGTCCCCATATGTTGACCGTTCCTGGACCAGCCTTTCGTCTTTTCTTTGCTACTCTATCCAGTAGAATGGTAGCTCGTGTTTCTGGCACCAGAAGAAAGTGCATTATCTGAACGGCCCCTCCGGCAATGAGTTGTACCCAAAAGATCCATCTCAAGGGCTGTCGCGCTTCCACGAAGCCACCTACCACCGCGCCCACAACCGATCCACCCACCGAAGACAGTACAAGAAAGGCGACAGCATATTCTTGGTCGTCAGGTTCCCACATATCTGCAATGACTCCGAGTGTCACCGAGCCACCAGCGGTACTGAGGCCGCCAAGGAGGCGCACCACAACGTAAGTTGCGAAATTGGGAGCAAAAGCACAAGGAAATTGCCATATGTTGACAAGGAGGAGACTGAGCTGCTGTGTCGGCCATCTTCCCAGCTCTTCACTCCATGGTGCCCAGAGCTCACAACCGAAAGCATAAGCGCAGAGGAAAGTCAGTTGTGGGATTCGTGCAACTTGCTCGCTGACATTATGCTCTTGAGAGATCGCCTGAACACCGTTGGCATAGAGGCTCGCATTCAGATTCATTGAGATTTGAATGCAAAACATCACACACAAGATCTGCCACTTTCTCCACACTGGAAAGCTGTAGCCCAGTTCGTCATAGGCTGCTGCTTCCGTCAATTCCTTCTTTCCACCATTCTTCGAGATTTCATCAGCTCCATGGTGGCCGCTCGCATCTTGACTGTCATTTAGTCGAGAGGTCAATTCTGGATCCGAAGAAGAATTGTGACGATCGTCTTCGGAATGCTGATTAGTTGCTGCGCTAGTATCGTTCATGTTGATCTTGACTGTGCTGTCATACAGATCCTTACTGACGAGAATGAACCTGGGGCTTCATAGCTTGAAATCGAATATAAGATGGCCAAAACAAGCAAAATGCATGACGAAGCGGTGGTATAGACCCACGGGATGATGTGTGGCCAGCTACAACATTGGTTGCCACCATGCCGGGGCGAACCGAGAATCGATGCAATCAATGGGTTCTTTAACGCGGGGAAAGGTGCCAGCGAATGGCTCCGCATGCCACAGAACTCGTTCAGCCCGGTGGCTGCCTTCCCGAATAAGCATGAGTCAGTAAAGGAAATGATTTCGGCATGGAACATACTGTTATCTAAGCACTAAAGGTGTCATTGGCATTTCTGGGTCGAGTAGTCTTCGTTATGACAGCCCGGTGCGAGTCACCTGACCCAAACCGCAATAGACAGACCAGGAATGGAATTTGACCTACGAAGTCACTTTGGGCTCTATTCTATCTTGCGAGTGATATTACTACATTGATGAGAGAGTATTTTGAATATCATGAGACGCTGAAGATTGTTGGAAGCTGCGTAGCACGTGTTACACGGCTGGATATCTCTTTGATCTCAAGCGCTTTAGAATCGCCTTACTAATTCATCACAGGTATGAACTTATTCCATTATCCAACAGAAACATGTAACAAGACCATAAGATTTATGGAAGAGTATGGAGACCACCTATTGAAGGTAAGTATAGGCCATGATTTGTTGTTTCCGTCGAGGAAACCTTCTGGTATATAACCGTATGTGATACTACGATCGAAGTCGTGCATTCGACTCAGAAGAAAGACTTTACTATATTTGACAGGCAGAAAAGGAGAGATGACTCAATTACGGCACAATGGTCAGTTTACCACCCCTCTAGTGGAGTGAATATAGCCAAAACACCATCCTTTGGCGAGACAGTCGCACCCTCCCTGACCTCCAACTTCTTGTCAGGATACCTTAACTCCATATGGAACCTCCCAACCGTGGTAGCAAGCAAACAAGCGAGTTCCGCTTTTGCGAAACCCTGACCAATACAGCTGCGTGGGCCATGCAGGAAAGTCAAGAAAGCATAATTACTAATCGCGCCACCGGTATTGGCCATCCCAGGACCCATGAATCGATCTGGGTTGAATTTGTCTGCATCCGGTCCCCACAGCTCTTCCATGTGATTGAGGATCTCAGGTGAGATGACGAGTATTGTGTCTTTAGGGATGACTTTGCCGACGAGCGTTGTTTCCTTGACTGCTGTACGAACGGTGGAGGGGACTGATAGATGGAAGCGAAGAACTTCGTTACAGACTGCGTGGAGGTAGGGTAGATTGTCGAGTGTGGCGGCGTCGATGGTTGAATTTTCCTCGGAGACGGATGGGAGATTGGCGCGGATCTCTTCGCGCAGACGAGTCTGGACTTCTGGGTTCTTGCAGAGTGCGTATACAGCCCACTGCATCGCCGTCGCAGTAGTTTCATGGCCGGCGCCCAGAAAGGTCATCAACTGGTCGACAAGGTTCTCTTCATTAAATGTGCCGCTCTTCATAGCAACGGAGATGATATCAACTCCTGCCGTGGCGTTGGGGTCTTTCATCTTTGCCTTTTTTTCACGGATCATCTGGCGGGCGACATTGCGAACAACTTCACCGCCCTCGTATATATCTCTGTTGCGCTTTGTGGGTAGCTTCGTGATCACTTCCACGTTGCCAAGCAGCATTGCAACGACAAACAAGATTTTGGTGGTTAGGCCCGGGCTGACGAAGATTCGCTTGTATGATTTGCTCAACGTGTTGCCCGGGTCTCGAAGTGAATCGAAATCATGATCCATGCCAGCCACACCAATGATGTCGAGCGTGGCTCGGCTGGCCCAGTCGCGGACCTGAATGGTGTTGTCTGCGGTGGAGTCTCTGCTTTCGATGTCCTGCTGGATTCGCCGCACCATTTCCGCGCTCTTGGCCCAGAAGACAGGGTACAAGTCTTTGATATGGCGGTAAGCAAATGCCGGCATAAGGTTCTTGCGTTGAAGCTGAGATAATCTGTCAGTCAAGATGGAGGGTGATGTAAAGGGTGTGTGACTACCTTATGTTCGTCACCCTCAGCTAGAAGGATACCATCGCCGACGACCCGGCGCAGACTTTGTCGAACCGTCAATGGCTTCTCAAAGTCATAATTTTTGGTGACCAGTAATTCGCTCAAGGCCTTGGGGCTCGTCAACAGGATCCGCTCGAGGTTGCCAACAATGTAGAATCGGATGAGACCCTCATTGGGCATGGTGCGAATCCATCTTCGCATGTGCTCGTATGGAGTTTCAAAAAAATACGACGTAGTGTTTCCAGTGAGCCAATGTCGTTTCTAGAGATTTCAGCTCTGAGCTATAAAAACACGCCTTCGGATGATGCGGGTTGACTGACTGATGGAGTGGGAATGTGCTTAGCTGGCGTGAACAGCGCAGGATAAAGGAAGAGCTGATATATTAACTTGGATGCGGTGACGATCACCATCAGGATCATCATCGTTGCAACCCGGGAATTCCATATGGCATATTCCGGTTTAAAATAGACGCCGACAGCGACACCGAGATAGAGCACCCCGAAGTTCTCACTGATGCGACCCATGATGGAAACCCGGTAATGCGTATTGACCCGATGGAAAACCCTCTCCTATGAGCTGTTCAACTCCGAAACAGATCGAGCAATCCGTAGTTCTGGTAAAAGTTGAAGGCGGAAGAACACCTGTCGTGACACAAGCCAGGAAAGCGGGATGCGCTCTAAGGCTGCCACGGTCGACCGGTTGAACAAAAATACGGGCAGAATTGGACGAAAGTAATACGCGAGATATGGAATCAATCTGATTTTCCCCGGTGCATGATGCCGGGGTACATATAGGCACCGATGATACAGAACCGAATTTCACCACTAGATCCCTGGACGGGATCGGAGGAAGCGAAACCCGACGTCGCAAACGATACCCGATTGAGATGATGATCGTGGGTCGTGGACGGTGGATGGTGGGTCTGTTCTCACGAACGAGATTTCCTTTTTCAAGAGTCCAGTTATGCTACGTGCAGTTGCATTTGCATTTACATTTACATTTCCAGTTACCTGTTCACGTCCCGATTATTCAGCCTGGGAACGACCGTCTCCTTACTACATGCGGTAACCTCGAAGTTGGCTACTTTGATCAACTCAAGCGCCAAAGATCCGCTTGAATTCCCCCTGAGTATGATTCCACACTTGCTGCGCCATTCCTTGTTCCCGCAGCCCACGTAAGAGCCCAACCACTCTGGCAACACTCTCACCATCCCAGTGAATGCTGTAAACCCCGCTACCTGACTCGCCATCGGTTCCATCTGCCACACCAACCCCGCCCGGTACTCCCACCTGGTCGCCCGTTCGAGGCGGATATTTGTCGCTGGTCGCAAAGAACAGGTGCCGCTCTCCGGACTCTTGAATAGGTATATACAGAAATAGTCCAACCACCGGCATAATCCACGAAACAATTCGCACCAGCAGGGTATTTGCGTCTCTCCCAATGCCTGTCTTCACGGTGCCGGGGTAGTCATGGACAAAGCTAACTTCGGGCGCTTGCTTGGCGAGCTCTTCAAGCATCAAGTCTGTCATCGACACGACCTGCCCGCGCAATGAGAAGATCGACATGCGTCGGGCTTGGAAATCGTTGGGGTCAATCGGGCCATCATGTCCTCCAGCCAAGACCGTCACCACTCGCCGGAGCCCAGTGGCTTGTCGCAATAGTGGCAGGAGATTGATAGTGAATCTCACTCTGGCGTAATATCCTACAGCCAGCGTAATGTGTAAACCCTCACTCGTATCTAGAACCATCCCATATCAGCACTTTGGATCACCAAACTGGGCGTAGATGTCGATACGTACCGACACCCGTCATGGCAACGCCACAACTAAGGAAGAGTAGGTTGATAGCGTTCTCCTTGCTTTTGATTTCTTGACAAACATCCTCGACGTTTCGCATCAAACTGAGATCTGCTTCCATGAATGTAAACTCGCCATTTGGGTTCAAGTCCCTACACTCGGTGGCGATCCTGTCACCTGCTTCTTGCGAGCGACCCACGAAGTAGACGCGGGGCTGAAGAGCCTGACGTGCGAATTCTAGCAGTGCAGCCTCACCGATGCCGTTGGTTCCGCCGACGAAGACGGCGACAAGGCCCGGTGGAAGCGCGGTGGCGATCTGGGCATTGGATGCTTGGACTTCCGAAAGAATAACCATTGCGGATGAACTCGTTTCACAGCCACCGTGTCTTCGAGGGCGGACAATTATTTATATACACGCACAGGGTATTTATAGTGATTCGAATCGTCAGGAAGCTTGACATGGGCGGATGAAATGTCGGATGAAGCTCGCGGACGAGCCGAGCACACACCCTTATGTCACCATCTCTACAGCGAAGATTGAACGGAACTTCTCTCTTTATTTTTTCCTAGAAAAGTTAAGAATTGAAGAGATCAGCCGAAGAAAATGTCTATCAATTCATTTAACGATTCTCGTTGATGCATACCGCAGACTACAACTTCTGCTGCTTCGTCAAATAGACTCCACCACCACGACTCGAGAAGCCCCATCGGATCTGGTTAGCCATGCCAATCTCAACATCCAGTTCCTCCGCCCAGGTCCAGACGAGTCCCGGGTTCTTCTGGAAACCACGACCGACAAGCACAAAGTCTAGGCCATTGTTCTCCAAAAGGCAATTGGCCAGATGGCCCGAATTGATCATACCAACCGAGCCAACCTTGAGGCGATCCCCAACGGCCTCTTTCACTTTAATAGCAAACGGCGCCTGGAAAGCCGCCTTGGCGTGGATATGCTGCTTGTGGTGATTACCTCCGCTGCTGATATCCAAGACATCGACGTTACCGCTATCAGCCAACGCCTTGGCGAAACGGACCGTATCTTCCATGCGCCAGCTGGGCTCATCGGGCATGACCTCCTCCAGCCAATCGGTAGCTGAAACACGCAGGAAGATGGGGATGTCATCCGGAACATTCTCGCGAGTCAACTTGGCGACCTCCATAGACAACCGAATGCGATTCTCGAAGCTGCCGCCATATTGATCCGTGCGCTTGTTTGTAGCGGGCGATAGGAAGCTCATAAGCAGATAGCCGTGGGCGTTATGGATTTCAATGAAATCCACACCGGCCTTGAGAGCGCGCTTGATAGCGGCCACCCAATCCTTCTTGAATTCTTCGATCTCGGCAAGCGTCATGGCCTTGGGAGTGGGGAATTTCTCCTGGAATGGAATGTCCGAGGGGCCCTTCACATTGTCGGGCCATCCGCCCACTTCCTCGGTGGCAGTGTCGGCTGCGCTCAACCAGGGAGCCACAGTGCTGGCCTTGCGGCCCGCATGGCCCAGCTGGACGCCGATGAGTTGGCTCTGGCTGTGCACGAACTCGACCACACGGCGGAGAGGTTCGATCTGCGAGTCTTTCCAGAGACCATGATCTTGGGGTGTAATGCGGCCATTGGCTTGCACTGCTGTGGCCTCCACCATCAGGAAACCTGGACCACGCTGGGCAATTCCGCCCAGGTGAGCCATGTGCCAATCAGTCATGTGCCCATCGTCGGCGCTGTATTGGCAGAGTGGGGAAAGCTAGAGATGATTGGCGTTTAGCAACTGATCACGATAAGGTACCTCGAGGTGCTGATGGAGACTCACCCCAATGCGATTGTGGAAGGTCTTGCCCCGCACAGTGAAAGGCTGGAAGAGTTTAGGAGGCTGCGATCCATCAGACTGCGGGATCGCGGCTGATCCGGCAGCGGGCTCCTGGGCGGGCGTGTAGTAAGAGATGCCCGGGGCGGCCTTGTTTTCAATAATGGGGCGTGTCATGATTGCAGCTGATAAAGGGTTACGAAGATCCAACGAGGGACTACGAGAAGCAATTTATAGGTGCCAACTGTCAAGACCCTGATCACTATACCTCCCAACCTTACCCCACCAGCTTATAAATGCAGAAGCTCACGCAATAAGGCTCCCGCACTTCCGATCCACGTCATGGACCAAACATTATTTCTCCTTCAAATTGCAAATATTTTAGATTTCAAGCTTTCTGCCTTTTTCCCGACCAGCAAAATGACGGGATATTGAGATCATGACGCCGGAAGTCATCTCGCATTGCTGAATCACTGCCACCCATGGAATCAATGGCGGCGGCTTCACCGACCCCAGGTTGAAGACCCCACTCTTGCAGTACGGCAATCCCATTGATCGACACACCTGTCTCTCTAGGTAGCGTCAGACACCTGCTGGGCGGTCACCACAAATACAGTCGACACCCAAGCTTCCAATGCCGTTGTAGAAAGCTGGGAAGATAGAGAGCTATAGCCAGCGCTAGGGACTGGTCGGTGCGTGATGGGGATGCCCCGTAACATTCGTCTGGCTCGAAAGTGGATCAGGGAGGGGTCAACCCTTGGGGACCCCGTTTATACCTTTCAATTGGTGTAGGGTTCACGACTCCCCGACATTGACAGGCGCCAGACTTGACAGAGTCAGCTTTGCGACAGCGATAAGGGCCAATCAATAGTCCGGAATCGCCAGAGGGGGATGTGCATCAGCCCTAAACGAGTTCGTGCCTGGCGTGCCGCTCGGAACTCCACCGGTCATGGTTCTTCCTCCTGGCGTGTTTCATTTCCCTCCCCCCCTTCCAATCGTGCTCGTTTGCTTCACCTCGCGCACATCGACGCTCTCTTGCTTTGTCTATCTTGGATAAGTCCGTTCTTTCACGTCAGCTTGACCGCTGACATTCTCTCTCCGTAATCCTCTGGAATCCCACCTCCCCCTTTCTTGGCGTTCAGAAGACGAGATCTGCCTTTTGCGCGCTTGGCGATCACGATCCACTGTGTCGCTTGCATATTCCGGCCTTTGGATCTGTGCATGAATACCCTTCTGAAACATTGGCGCGTTGTTCATTGCCCGCCGACATTGAGTCCTCAACTTCGCGCCAGCCTCCCCCTCGCCTGTCGCAGTAATGCGCCGCTGCGATTAAGACACTTGCCACTCCTTCTCGGCCTTTTTCGACCATTGCAATCTCTTCCCACACCTGACTCGCCATCCTGATCGTGACTTCGCCCGGCTGGCCCGAGGAAGTCCACCAAATCTTCGGGTAATCACCACACTCATTCTACGCTCGATCCTTTCCTGGCAGGCCCAGATCCATACACATTATGGGGTGCTCGGGCGATCGTGAAAAAGGCAATGCTGTTACTATGGAGGAGCAATGGGACTACGTGGTAGGTCGACTTGTTGCGACATATGATTTGATACTGATACTGGCCGCTTCAGAACCTCAACGATTTCAAGTCCGACTCGTGCTGGGCAGGCTTCTCGTACTTCTTCCTCTGGGTGTTCCTCATTGTCTCATTCGCTGTCTATGGTGTCGACACGTTCACTGCAGTCAACTTGCTGGCTTTCTCTCGTTGGTCCGGCCGTGTGGAACCCGCCATCCCTTTTAGAATCTCTCGATGGATTTTTGCCGCTTGCATTCTCACCTCGTTCGCCCTCCTTATTTACCGATGGATTCTCGCTATTCGGGCCATCCGTTCCGGCAGTATCACTCGGAGCTATCTGGACCCTCTGGCGGTGCGCGTGCAGAGTTTCCGGGTATTCACCAAGGAGGGTAACGGATGGAAACGGTTCCTTGTTTTCGCGGAATTGACAAAGAGTAAAAAGGGCGCCGAATATGTGGCTCTGTACACATACTTCTCCTTCCAATTCTGGATGAACACCATCTTTGCGGATGGTCCCCGTCAGGTTATCAATGCCATCACTCTCTACTCTGTGATGAAGCTAGACCTGCTCCCAGGCGGTGCAAACACAACATCGGACAATGATACCTCACCGATCTTGCAGTTCTTTAATAACGTCAAAATTCTCGCCGAAGAGAACAACCTGCAGGCCGTGGTCTTGTTCGGTATGCTTTTCACCTTGATCATCTGGGTTCTTTCTGTTTTGAAGCTTGCATCAGCTGTTATTCTCTACTTGGTCTTCCTCTTCCACCATATTCCAGAGGAAGACGGGACACTCAAGGCATACTGCCGCCGCAAAATTAGCACCCGACTCAAGCGCATCGTACAGCGTAAGGTCAACAAAGCATTGGCCAAAGGCTTCCAGTTACAAGATCGCGCTCCAACTCAACCGACCTTCGCAAGCCGAGATACAAAACCAACATTGCCTGACTTGAAGAAGGGCCCTATCGTGACAACTTTGTCACGAAGCACCACCGAGACCACCTTGCCACCCTATACCAGGACGAACTCCAATGCCACGGAGACGAATCCAACTCTGCCTAATCTCGAGTTCGATAGCAAGCCACCGCTCACTCGAACGGCAACCCAGTCATCCGCAATGTCCGAGTCTGCTTCCCTCACTGGCAACGCCGCTGGGATGGGATACAGTCCTCTTGACCGTCAAGCTTCCCCGCTTCCACCTGTACCACCTCTACCCACCTACGTGCCTCCTGCGAGAACAGGTACAGCGATGTCACGATCGACGCTTGGCCCTGCATCTGGCCCGACATCATTGAATAATGACTCTTCGCGTGGTACCCCTGTATCTGGATATCGCAACCTGACTGACTCGGAAGCGCAACCGTATCGCACATTCACACCCGCGAATGACCCCTACGCCCGTTCAGGCACGCCAGGAGACCCTGTCTCTACTCACCGCGGACCCTCGCATACACCTGCTGCCAACCCCTATGCACGACCAAATATGCCCGCAGCTCCTCCCGCTGATGATTATTTCGGCCGTTCCCATACACGTGCCACTGATCCGTATGCCCAGTCGGACATACCTGAACCGCCTATCATTGATTATGGTCGCTCCCACACACCTCTTGCCGAGGCTTATGACCAATACAACACCCATGGCGCTCCCGTTACTGGCAGCAGTTACTACGACCGCTCACATAGTCCCGATCTTGATCCCTACTCAAGGTCTCACACGCCTGGCGCTGCTGTCGTCGATGAATACTACGACCACGAACATGCAGCTGCTGCCGATTCCTACGGCCGATCAAAAACACCCGATGGGTTTTATGGACACTCTGATGCTCCTACTCAATACAATCCTCATAGCGTCCAGGACAACATCTATGGTGCGGAGATTGCCCAAGGTATTGACACATATGATCACGGCCATGATCAGTACAGAGAGCAGCCCGGGGCCCACGCCAAGCAGTCCTCTTCCCAGCCTGCAAAACCGCCTCAAGACGGATATAGGTCCTACACTCCTGCCAGTACTGGAACGCAACCACCGCCAATTGGCCCTCCTGGGCAGTCTTTTACACCAGTCAGCTATGGCGGCACACCTGTTCCGCAACCCGGCGCTCAAGTGCAGCCATCTCCGAGGACATTCGCCACTATGAGCCCGGAAAGCCCAGTTGGGTCGCAGAACAGCGGCTACGCAGCATTTAACCCCCGAATGGTCCCCCGGACACCACAGCCTCGCATGCAGAGACCGGCTCCACCAAATGGCTATCAGCCCTTCAACCGTGCAAACACTGCCTCGCCGTCCACCATGCATCGAAATGGCCCACCAGCAGGACATTCATTCAATCGTGCGAACACCCACCAATACTAAACCAGTCTTCTCTCACGAGTATTCCCTTATGAAAAAATGCAGACCAGCTGGATCTACTGCATCTGATGACCGGATATCCACTAATTACCGTTCATGACCAACGAGCAAGCCTCTTGGACCGTTGTACATACCCCATCACCTTGATTCCCAATCGCGCGCCTTCAATATTCCCTTGCTATGAAAGAATTGAATTTGAACTACTTTGTGCAATATCTGTAAGTTGTAAATAAACATTCATCTCAACGAAAGGGCAGTCCCGAGCCAAATGGTAAACAGTAGAGTTCCTGACCCCTTGATGCCTAAGGCCACTGATAACGACGAGTTGCCAGATAACCCGCCTTATCTCCCCCAGCTATCCCAACTTCACCGCTTGCATCTCCGACGCATCTCGACCTCGTGCGTGTTTACTTGCAATGCACATCGGTTGAATCTCAATCAACCTCCCGGCTCTAAACTGTCACGATCCTACGCAAGCGTCAAAATTCGTTCCTCACGTCCGCAACGGGAGCTTGTCGGTCCTGTCCGATCCCGTCCCAGCTCGGATGATGCAAACGCCGCTGGCCAACTTCTGGATGGATTAAAACCCCCGAGTCATCTATACACAACGAGTCTAGACCCTTACACTGGGGAAGCTACCTGGGAAGTCGGGCAGGATGGCACTCGAAGCGGAAAATGGCAAACCCATGTCAGGCCAGGAACTAAAGCTTCCAGGGAATGGGAAAGTGAGGTCTGCAGATAATTGTGATTCCAGCTCTTCAATTCACGAAGATATCGATGTCGCTCCAACTTTCACACCTGGAACGGACGCCAGCGAGAGTGCTATGACTGGAGACGGGCACTCGGCCGGAGCACCACCTCAGGAGTTCAACAGCGCCACATGGCAACAAGCTACAAATGGCAGCTACCAAATGGGACAACCTTTGGCAACCTCGGAGCAGGGTTTGGGCATTCTTCTTGAGCACACTCAAGATCAAACGCATCAAAATCCTCGGACGTCGGTCGTGGATGTATTCGAGGGACATAGGGCCAAGGCTGCATTGGCGGAAATCGCTGAAGATATTGCCAAACAACCAGCAGGTGATAAAGAAAAAGTGTTAAAACTCTCTCCGGAGAAGATTCAAGAACTCACATCGTCGTCTGAATCTATTCCGTACCGTGCAGTGGCACCGGAAAACAATACGGGAAGGAGGGTGGTGTCGGATAATGTACATTCTACCAGTTCGCACACGCGGCCGGAGGCCAAGGATTCTATTTTGCAATCACTTAGCGAAACACCCCTCCTGGCAGAAAAGGTACGGTCCATCAAGGATCTTGATCTTGATGCATCTGCACCCGCAAGCCCAGCTGCTGCACGAAACGTCAGCAATGCGCCTGTGCGGAATCGCCCATATCCATCCCGAGCATTATCCACCCCTGGTCTGTCGCGTCGCCCAGCCAGCGCTTCGCCCAACAATGAACGACTGGCCCAGACATGGGCGTCACGCTCCAAGCAAGATCGACCTGGAGCGGAGAGAGACCTGAAAGATTTGAAAAGTCAACTTGCCGCATCTCCGCAGATTGTCGAAACGCCTCTGACCTCTCCTATGCTTCCTGCCATTCCACTACCTCCTGTATCCATACCGACTTACCTCCAACTCGAGCTTGCATCTGGCCGCCCTTCACCACTATACATCCATCGCTCCTCGACGACGGATTTTCCCTATGAATCATCCAGCGCAAAAATTGAAAGACTGCTTAATGTCTTGTTTCTCCCCTGGTCCCTAGAGCAGGTTCTCTGCTTTGGTACTCTTGCATGTCTTGACTCATGGCTTTATTCATTCACAATCCTTCCACTTCGCTTTGCCAAAGCTGTGTATATGCTTTTTGAATCCTGGGTGATGAATCTGGATGCTGAGATGAAGTTCGTGTGGAAATTTGTCGTTAATGGTGTTGGCCGTGTCTGGCGAAGGAGACAACAACCAACCGAGAACCATAGTGAAAGGCGGGAGAGTGAGCCCGATGCTACTCCACGAATCCCGAATGGATCGTCTTCTGTAAGTGACGGTACATCAATTGATCGAGAGGCAAGGCATCGACACTCGGAACCCACCAAGCGGAGACATCGGGCCTCAGAGTCTCGCCGGCGTCATCATCGAAGGAAGAAATCGATGCCCTCGGCCTTACTTCCAGATGACAAAGCGGACATCCTAACAGGTCTGCTCATGATTGCAACCTGTTGGGCGTTGATGTACTTCGATGCTAGTAGGATGTATCACTGGATTCGCGGACAAGCAGCCATCAAGCTATATGTCATATACAATGTGCTGGAAGTGAGTGATCGGCTGTTAGCAGCTCTTGGTCAGGATGTTCTTGAGTGCCTTTTCTCCCGAGAAGCCCTCGAACGTCGTCCTGACGGACGCAGCAAGATCTTTCGTCCGTTCTGGTTGTTCTTGTTGGCCTTGGGATATACCGTGGCGCATGCGACGTCACTCTTCTACCAGGTCATGACGCTAAATGTGGCTGTCAACTCATACTCCAACGCTCTCATTACGCTGCTGCTATCCAATCAGTTTGTCGAGATCAAGTCGACCGTTTTTAGGAAATTTGAGAAGGAAAACTTATTCCAACTCACCTGCGCTGATGTCGTGGAAAGGTTCCAGCTGTGGCTGATGCTCACTATCATTGCTTCGCGCAACATCGTCGAAACAGGCGCTTTTAATTTCATTGGAGACCTCGGGCTGGGATCCAGCTTCTCTAGCCAGTCCTCGACCATCACAAATAGCACGCCTCTTTCCACGCCTCCACGAACTGCGTCATCCATCTTGCCTCAGTCTTTCACTTTCTTCCCGTCATCTATTCTGTCGTCTTTCAACAATGTCAACTCCTTCGTCCCGACCTTGGCCCAAGTCCTAGGTCCCTTCCTCGTGGTCCTGGGCTCCGAGATGTTCGTCGATTGGTTGAAACACGCTTACATCAACAAGTTCAACAATTACCGCCCTGCTCTATACGGCCGCTATCTCGATGTACTCGCCAAGGACTACTACACGAACGCTTTCGGTGACCAAAACCTCACGCGTCGCCTAGGTCTTCCCGTCATCCCCCTCTCTTGCCTATTCTTCCGGGTCTCAGTGCAGACTTACCAAATGTTCCTGGCCTCTCTTGTCCCCCATCATCCATCCTCTACTGCAAGGGGATCTACTTCCCTGTCTTCCATCCAAAGCCACTACGCACCCCTCCCTCTTCCATCAACACCACCGTTAACTCTCCGCACTATCCTTCCTGCCTCAGCAGCACACATCAATTTCTTCTTCCGAACCCTCCTGGAAAACGCCATTCCATCACCTGCCCAATCCGTGACGATCTTCACTGTTGTCCTCCTGATAACCGGTTTCATTGTCCTGCTCATCCTGAAACTCATTTTGGGAATGGTCCTTCTTGCCTTTGCGCGCTCCCGCTATAAGGCTATGAAGTCAACTGAGACTGAACCGCGCACGGAGCCGCGCAAGTCTTCCCATTCATCATCACACCCACAGCCGTCTAGCGAAACACCAGCGCCGCGCAAAGACGAGTTCATCGTCGACGGAGCCCGTCGCGCTGGGGGATGGGGTATGGTTGAGGTTGGCGACGAAAAGAGAAGATGGATCTATGCGGATGATCCTGAAGGATTGAGGCGTGTGAAGGAGAAGGAAGAAAAAGATAAAAATAAAGATAAGGACTTGAAGATTGATCATGTACAGCGGTATGAGATGGTTGCAAAGAAGATATGGTGAGTGTAATCCTTAGGCTTTGCATCCTTCCAGATCAATATGAGATGTTTCAACTTGTACTTTACACATGGTATCTGTGATGCCTCATACATAGAACAGAATGACTATTAGAATAAGACGTTCCCTTTACGTGTTCATAGATAACAAGATGCTTTGGAAAAGTGGGAAAGTAGATGAGAAGTTGACTAGGGTCATTAACAAGCTAGCTATCACGATGCAAAGGCGAAAGACCAAGTTCGACAAAGTGCCCGAGATTCCACAATTAGTCCTTCGGGGCTGAAGCGGAGTCAATTTCCCCTCTTATCTCCACCGCCGTTTGTCCAAACCCGACCATCTGCATGACCGCTATGTCTGCAGCAACTTGAGATTCTCCCAAAATGGATGGTCGTACTCAAAGAAAACGCACTTTCAGAATCCGAACAAAGTTTGGTAGTGCTCGGCAGTGGAGGAGTCGCAAGAACAGACCATGCGATACCTGTCGAAAGAGAAAGACGGCGTGCATCATTGAAACAACTCCTCCATGTATGGAATGACGGACATGTCTAAAGATGACATGGCTGATGGTACATTAGGTAGATTTTGTCTGGCCAGGGGATTGCCATGTCGCTCAACTGACGATGAGTCGCATCGACCACCGTCTGGACAAGAGGACGCCGAAGTAGGTCGTGCCAACCAAGAATTCCCCACGAGCACAAGCACACCATCGGCGAGTGGGGAAAATGGCGGATCTTCTTTGTGTCCAGACGATTCGAGATCACCACAGGCCGGATCATTGCCCACAGAAACGCCACTACCCCTGAGACAATATAACGCCCAACCGCCGTTATCATGGTCCAGTCAGGGGCCATTGTCGCTAGAGATGTTTCCAGAAGGGAATAGGGTCGACTCTGAAGTCCCGCTTCTTTATACACTGGAAGACAACGAGAATCGGACTGCTCACAGCATGGGGCTTTCTGCCGAGCAAGATACTAACCTCTTAGCTTCATTCAAATCAGTCATCATGAACGAGAAAGACGGCGTCAGCGCAGACATGATCCAAGTCAGCCCCGGCAATGAAGATCAGAATATACCCCCAATACATTTCAACGTACTTCACGACGAATTCCAACCGGCCGATGATATCGCCAAGGCGCGGGCATCGGAGTCCATCGAAGCGATGGTCTCTCCACATGGCCTTACACTTGTTCGGCTTTTTTTCAGACACGTCCACCCAGTATATTGTGTTGTATCCAAAACCCGATTTCTGCGTGCATATGCGTCAAATAAACTACAAATACCTGCCTCTTTACGTGGGGCTGTTTATGGTCTAGGTTCGATGTTTTGGAAGCATGAACCCCAACAATCCGGGTCATTGCAGTTTGACCTGCATGATTTGTTCCAAGAAGCTCATTCATCGCTTCAAAGAGAATTCCATGCCCCTAATCTTTGGAAACTCCAAGCTTGCCTCTTGCTGTTGTATGAAAGACCCGCTGACAATGCGACAATTGAAACACCTTGTACATGGGTCTTCTCAGCTCACACTGTGGCATGTTCTCAGATGATCGGCTTGCATCGAGACCCTGCCTTATGGCAAATTGCCCCATGGGAAAAAAGTCTTCGCAGGAGGTTATGGTGGTCAACTTATGTCGCTGATATTTGGTCCTCTATCTGCCATGGAAACCCACCCCTCATCCATCATGACTCATTCACAACGACTGCACCTGATATTGATGACCTAGCATTTGATGAAGACGTCCCAGAGAAGATGCGATATATGGTTGATGATTCATGTAGTGATGTGGACATCTCCACCAGCGCGCGGTTCTTACAGATGGTCAATCTTAGTCGAATATTGCATGAATTGGTTGATTCATTCTAGTACACTTCCCACATTTTCCCTTGGGGGCCTTGACACTAACAAGAAATGTTAGTACTGACGTCAGCTACAAAAAAGCAATGTCAAATGCTTTGGACCGGGAGAAAGACTTGCTAAATATCAAGAAAAAGCTGGAGGATTGGGTCTTGATGATCCCTCAGTGTGTGACAATGCGGCAGTCACAGAGCTTCCTAGCCTCCAGAAACAACGGTACGCATCAAGCACGATGAATTTTTACCTGTTTCAATTTACACTATTGACATGAATAGCGCCTTTGCATCTATCTTTCTTCGCTATACAGGCCCTCGTCTATCGGGCGTTGATGAGCCCCGCCAAGACATCCGCCAAACTAGATCCCACTTCTTCGCTACGCCGCTATTTTGACCAGGCTGTGACTGAATTTCAAGCTTTCACGATCTTTATGGATGAAATAGACATGCCATGCCTGCATGCCTTTTGGGGTGGTCGTAAGTCGGCTTTCAATCCTCGCACATGATGAAAAACTTACAAAGATCTCGATCAGATGCGCGTTCGCAATTGACCCTATGTGGAAACTTCTTAATATATCTCTTTCTTCTGGCTTCGACGCCTGAGCAGGTTCATGCTGCATTTGAACTTCTAGGGAAATTCCATGAATCGCTCCAAAGACTGCGACAGTGGGCAGATGACGATGCATCGCTCGCGCTTGTTCGACCTGTTGCCTTGAGAATTGACTCTTTTTTCATTCACGCGGCACGTATCATGAGGACCGGAATGGGGCCACGATCTCATGTAGGGCCACTTTAATAAATTATACCATTCAAAGAAATCTTCATTCCGGAAGTCTGAGTCTCGAGCAAGCAAATCACATTTTCATCAAGATTCTTGCTGTTGCAACTAGCAGGACATGTTCAAACATATTATGATCTCTCAAAAAGCCTCACATCCACCCGGAAAAGTGACACGGCCAATTCAATACGTTGCGTTCATGCGCATTGAAATATAATCCTTGCTAGTGATCGGGTCATATTTCTTGGGACGATCCGGTCCGTGACAACCCGGTAGACAATCAATAAGCCTTTCTCGATCCGGGCTGATGAAATATGGAATTGAATATCGAGGTCGAGTCATCCGACCGCTGAAACTATTGCCAGAGGTGGCCAGCGGCGGAGCACGGACGCGATGAAGAGTCGATTTTAGTTCATCATTACTCCAGCGCATCAAAAGATCCCCAATGTTGACGACCGCCGTTCCAGAAATGTATGGCGCAGGGTTGAACGTGCCCTTCTCATGGATATCCTCAACTTCCAGGCCACCGACCTCATCTTGAAATAGAATGGTCATTGTGCCAAAATCAGAGTGGGCTGCGATTCTTTCCGCCTTTCCGAGTCTCAGTAGCTCCTCTTCCACCGGCGGATAATGGAGTAGACGACATTGATTAGTTTTATCCCGATGATAATCGAGAAAGAAGTTCTCATCTAAACCCATCCCAATAGCGATTGTTTTCAACATAAGCTGCTCAATGGTGTAGCACGCCTCGAAGAATTTGGTAAAGAAATCGCGGAATCCAGGAAGAACTTCATCGGGGACCCAGATGTTTGGCATGCGCTCGTCATTCTCATTACCAATCTCGAATGACTCCTTGACGTCCGGCACTTTGCGTTTCTCGGCAATGCCTTCCTCGTCATAGATCATTTGCACGACTTTCTCACGGCCGATTCCTGAGTACCCTCGGTGGTACCAGCCGACCGGAGGATGTGGTGCTTTATCCTTTTCGCTTTGGGGTAGAGCAAAGAATTTCTGGCTCTATGATCAGATTCAAATGTCAGTTGGTGTTCCTATCACATATAGCACAGGCTGGAAGGAAACATACCCAGCTGAATGCTTCATCTATGAGCTCCTGCGGAACTCCATGGTTTTTAATGTAGGCAAAGCCGATGTGTTTGAAAGCCTCGTAAACATCTTTTGCAACCTGGGCTGCTTCCTCGGGTGTACCCGTCCGAGCCGGCTCCAGGTCGATGACCGGAATACTGAGTGTATCAACACCTGATGCGATCATCTTGCATGGAACAACCATATCGGTGGTGATGCTCAGCTAGGGTCCGTTGGAATGATTCATGTCGGCTCTTTTATGTGGAGACAGGGACAATATCCGTCTCCGCATTCCCAGAAGACAGATAATCGTCGCATTTCAGATTGGCCGAGGCCTTGTCGTTGACCTTCTTGATGCGGGTTGGCGTTATCGAGCTTTTGCCTATCGCGATCGGCGAACTTCTTTGCGTTGGCCAACATTGTACCCCGCAACGCATGGTCTCCGATAGACGGTTCTTCGTCCGTGAGAAGTAAAAACTTATGATAATATAATCAGCACTTCATCGGATGGATTTCCTGATCGCGGACCCTTCCCTGCGACAGGATCTTTGAGAGCATCGTTAGTGCACAATCGCGCCATGGGCAGCATTACCGAGCAGAAATACCGTATTGGAGTTGATGTGGGAGGTGTGTCTGAATGTGGCCTTTTATACAAAGTTGACGCTAAATTATCAATCATCAGGCACAAACACCGATGCAGTTCTCATCTCCCTTGACCCTGTCTCCATCATCGCTTCGCACAAAGCACCTACCACTCCGGATGTCACGACGGGTATCACCAATGCTGTTCGCAAAGTCATCGAATCTTCGACCGTATCACTTGCGTCGATTGGCTGTGTGATCGTCGGCACTACTCATTTTGTGAATGCGGTTGTTCAGCGTTCACTGTCTTTGCGCCGCGTAGCCGTTATTCGACTATGTGGTGGTTCTCAGGAAGGCTTTGGCCGTGGGATTCCGCCCTTCGTCGACTTCCCTGCCGATCTGCGCGCTTGCATCGAGACCTCTCAGATCTATCATTGTAGTGGTGGATATCAGATTTCCGGCGACGAAATCAGTCCGTTGGACCGTGAAGAACTGAGACGTGTGGCTGGAAATTTGGCAAAAAGCAATGTTTCCAATGTGGTAATCTCAGGGATGTATGCTCCATTGAACCACTTGCAAGAGACAACTGCTCGAGATATCTTGCTGGAAAGTATGATCAAGAGTGGCGGAACCGATTTCAAGCCTCGGATCACTCTGTCTCATGAGGTATCAGGTCTGGGATTCCTGGCTCGTGAGAATGCAGCAATCCTGAATGCTACACTACGTCCTCTTGCCGAAAAAACCATCTACGGGTTCCAAAAATCCATGGAAGACATTTTTCGGGGTCAACCTTACACGCTTTACCTGACCCAGAACGATGGTAGTGTTCTGGGAATCTCAGAAGCTGTGGAGTTACCTATTCGCACCTTCAACTCCGGTCCAACAAACTCCATTCGCGGAGGTGAATTTCTTTGGCGTGCTGCGGCGGAGGAAAAAGGGCAGCAATACGTTGAGCGTACCGAGCCTCTCGCGGTGATTGATATCGGTGGGACGACATCCGATAGTGGACTCTTACTGCCAAATGGAATCCCACAAATGAGCTCTATCATGAGCCTCGTTGGTGGGGTCCGTACCAACTTTGCTCTCCCTGCAGTTGAAAGTATTGGGCTAGGTGGAGGCTCTATCATCCGCAGCCTAGATAATGGAGAGCTCTCCGTTGGTCCAGACAGCGTCGCTTTAGAGCTTCTTGAGAAGGCGAAACTTTTCGGTGGTGACTATCTCACATCAACGGATATCGTTGCTGCATCTGAAATATATTCACCGACGGGAAATAATCCATTCAAGGGATTGGGAGATACCAAGCACCTCGCGGACGTCACCCCGGAGTTAGTGAAGAAGGCCCAGGCTGTCATGCGACGACAAATTGAAGAGCTCGTTGATAGGACAAAGATCCAGAAGGGTGATGTCGACGTTTTGATCGTCGGCGGTGGCGCTCCCATCATCAAGACAGACGAGCCGCTTTCAGGGGTGCGCATAGCGCGAACTGTCAAGGGGGGGAGGTTGCGAATGCCGTCGGCGCTGCCATCTCACGGGTCTCAGGCATCGTTGATACCGTTGTGGATACTTCGAATCAAACAATTAAACAGGCTCAAGAAGCAGTTTCAAAGATTGCCGTTGAGAAGGCGATTGCAAATGGTGCCAAGCCAGAAACGGTCCAAATTGTCGAAGTGACCATGTTGCCAATTCAATACGTCGAAGCAAAGGCTCGAATTCTTGTTAGGGCTGTTGGAGAGCTCGATATCATTTCACAACGACATACTACTCGTGCGGGGATTACGCCCGATCCGCAGGTGGTCAATGACACAAAGGAGATTCGGGAAAATCTTCTTATTCACCGGCCGTACCGGAAGTTGATATTCGCGAGTATCGCCCAGAGGTCAGGAACAAACAATGGATTGTCTCCGCCATAGATCTGGAATTTATCGCCGCGGGGTGCAAGATACTTGGTTGTGGAGGTGGTGGCGATCCATACCAAGAATACCTCAAGGCAAAAGCCATCATTCAACTTCACCCAGGTACAATCAAGGTAGTTTCACCAGACTTCTTACCCGATGACTCCTTGGTCGGATGGACTGGTTGTATGGGCAGTCCGGAAGTGAGCATGGAGAGGCTCGAAAACGACGAATGCCTCAAGGCACACGAGGAACTTATGCGTGTCATTAAAAGCCCACCAGTGTCTGGCTTTCTATCTCTGGAGATTGGTGGAGGAAACGGTGTCGTCAATCTCAGTGTTTCAGCCCATTTCGGAGTGCCCTGCATTGATGCCGATTTCATGGGTCGCGCGTATCCAACGACTTGGCAAACCACGCCAAATGTCTATGGATCTCCAACCGGCGATGCTCTGGTACCTGCAACAATCGCGAGTGGTGATGGCTCATTCATCACCATGACCAAGTCTCGCACAGACCGAGGTGTCGATAAGATTCTGCGAGCTGCATGCGTGGAGATGGGTTGCCGCGCAGGTAAATCCCTGGCGCCGAAGACCGCCAAAGCAGTCAGAGAGCAGGCCGTCACCAATACGGTCTCTTTAGCTTGGTGGATCGGGCGAGCGGTGGCTCTAGAGAAAAATATCGCGGAAAAGGCCCAACGCATCGTCGATGAGGTCGGTGGCTCTGAGACTGCAGTCATTCTCGGCCAGGGGAAAATCACCGGCGTCGAGCGAGTTCTCAAGACTGGCCATACCTACGGTGTGTTGGAGGTCGATGGAACTCTGACCGCTGGGACAAAGGCCACCATCAAGGTCCCATTCAAGAACGAAAACGCCTTTGTTGAAGCGGTTGCGGAAGGCGAATCGAAAATTTTGGCGTCTGTGCCTGATCTGATTGCCGTCATTGATGCTGAGACTGGCGCGGGCCTGGGGACCCCCGAGTACAAGTATGGACTTAAAGTCGTCATTATTGCTATTGCTGCATCCCCCCGGTGGACTGAAACCGCAAGGGGGATGGAGCTGGGAGGGCCTGGTTCTATGGGATTCGAAGAGGTCAAATATGTTCCGATTGGAAAGTACAGCAAACCTCGAAGCATCATTGAGGTCTTTGGTTGAGATAGATAGATGAACGATTTTGTAGCCACAGTTGATTGCCTTCAAATAGAACTTCTGATAACACCGCATTCTCTCATTCGTATTCCTAGAATGCATTGAATCATACCCAAGATATCATTCGAGATCAAACCACTCTAGCGACAGGGATCTTTTTCTCTTCATCCCTGGACGGGGCCTTGACTTCTCCACTCGTCTTAGCCACACCCCAGATGACCTCCTCCTCTTCCAGGAAAGGGCCCTCCTGCCCCAGTCCAGTCGGAGGAAAGAAATAGTTCAGCACCCAGAAAATCAGGAAGCCGATTGCAAGTCCGACTAAGAACGTCAAGTTGTACAGACGAACCCACCCTGTCCATTGACCTCCGGAATAGGAATTCACAGTGCCAACCATCCCAGCTAGAGTGGAACATTAGGTTAAAATGTAGAATCAAGGGGAGTCATAAAGAACGACATACGCAAAAGTGGCCACATTCCTGCGAAAAAGGCAACAAATGCCCTCCAATTCACTCCATTCGAGAACCAATAGATAGAGGAGTCGTCACCAGTATATAAATCCCCGAGCTTCAGCTTGTAGCGTCTGACGAGGTGATAGTCTGCTAGCATGATTCCACTATTCCATTGTGTGAGCGCTGATCTCCCCGCCGGATACTTGAAATCGACTTACGTTGCCGGGGCCATGAAGACTCCAAATCCACTCAACACAGACAGAAACTTGTCTGCTGTCGAAATAAGTTGCCACGGCCTATTTACGGTTAGTACAAGTTACTTGTATCACGTTGAACTATTGAATGAACTCATACTGCGTTGCAATGCCGATACAGGCCATTATGTATCCACCACGCCGAATATTGATGTATTTCGGCCACAGACCAGCCAGGTCCATACCACAGGAGACCGAGTTGAGTACAACCGAGATCTAGATAAAGTCAGCTGCTTTCACTGGTTCCGAGAAACATGAACCCCTACCGAAAACTGCGAGAACACCATGCCGATACTGGCAAAGAAAACCGCTGCGCGCACCCCGGGACTCGAATGATAAAATTCTTGGATATCAGCTAACAGATAAATGGGATTCCATTCAATATCACCCCCCATGATGTCACGAGATGTACTAGTGACAATGATACCAATCGTAGCTGTCGCTGCAATAGTCACCGGAGAGGCAATCAGTTGCGATAGAGTCGGGGCAAATCTTCGATTGGCATAACGAGTCCAATCTGATTGACCCAGGGTTCCGGATCCCCACGATCCGAGAATGGCTGTTATACCGAACATGAAAGCCCATCCGACATTTGGTGTGCTTGCAGGCTCACGAAACATACTTCCCGGACCGTGGGCTTGAGATACGCCCCTACCTTTTTGTTAAAACAAACCAGCAGATTCGCGGGGAAGGGAACTCACCATATTAATAGTCCAAAACACGATCCACAGAAAAACGTGAAACAAACCACGAATGGAATTTGTAATTTCTCAGGGCGGATCAGGAGGCCAGGGATAAAAGCACACATCCATATCAGAAGCCCAATGAAGTCTTTGGTTTGAAGATGTGAGCTGGCAGAAAAGTAGTTTGGCATATGAGCGAAACCTTTACAAGTCAATGATAGCTCCATGTCAAAGAGTGCAAGATGCTCATACCGGGAATGATAGCGCCGATCATAACTCTCGTGGCTTGACCCCCCCAGAATGCCTGCATGCCAAACCACATGCAAGAGACAAAGGACCGTAGAATGACCGGAACTATTGCTCGTGTGATTAGCATATATTCAGCGGCACTGTTATTGGATGACAAACAGTATGATCCTCGCATTTCCCAGGAAAATCGGCTAGACACAGTGAATCCGATGTGGTGGTTCTCGCCCATCCATCCACAGGCAACTGCAAGGAGGCCAGCAAGAATGCCCCCAACCACCTATGCCATTAGCACCAGTTGAAGAGATAGGCAGCATAACGACTAACCACGACCCCAATAGCCTGCTGCGGACTTAGTCCAAAGGCCAGTAGTGTACTACCGGTCGACCAAGCGGAGATGCAGGACCCTGAAACAGTCCAGTACCCTAATGGATCCATTAGTGGGTCATCGCGACGATCCAGGGCAATTACATTACCGAAGTAAGACCAAACGCCATAGGTTCGGCGGTCTGGTGGGATGGGAATCAGATCACGGTTACACCAAGTGGTGTTCTCATATTGAGCATCTTCGTCAACGGGGCTGTTGGCATTGTGAGCGAAGATTCCATGTATGAAAAGGGGGCCACACTCACCATTGAAGCCTATGCTTGATTTCCGGCCACGACCAACCCATTCTGTACTCAAACGTGGAAGAGGACTATGGTTCACACAAGTTGGTCTGTAAGTTGGCATTTTACATGTTTGCAGCTTATCATGGCTTGACTCACAGACCTTCGACCATTGGCTTGTGTCCCCTCACGCATGTTTTTAAGTTGGCCGATCATATTTGGCCGATCAACCCCGCAATCTGACAATCTGAAGGGTCGGGGAATACTTACCCTATACTTGAACCATGGAGATACCCGAAACGTTGCTGAACGGGCTGTGTTACTTGTATCTTTCTTTTTTTGGGATCTTTGAACAGAATTCCAAATGGAGCAAAAATGTATCTAGGATGACCTACCTCAAGATTTCTTGAACAAGGCTATTAAAAAAGAAAAGAAAACAAAAACGGGAGTGTTCTGAACCCCCTGAGATTGTTTTCTATGTGGGGCTAGGGGTTTACAATGAGATCTATGGGGGAGACACGACTGATACGAAAATTGGAATGGACACGACAAATCGTTTCATGATCGGCGAATCGTCAAGATGTAAAGTACGACATCACCATCACCGATTATTCCAAAGTCTCGACCCCAATTCTTGATTTCTTATCAACCAGCAATCACCGTTCCTTTGCCAGAGAAAATTGCAGCCAAAGATTATCACCATGACGATGTCCGAACTTACCTTTCACACCTTTCAGCTGAATAATGGCGCCTCCATGCCAGCCATTGGGCTCGGGACATGGCAATCGAAGAATAACGAGACACGTGAAGCTGTAAAGTACGCACTGCAACATGGGTATCGCCACATCGACACGGCTCTGAACTACGGCAATGAGAGGGAAGTCGGCGAGGGTATACGCGCTTCTGGTGTGCCAAGGGAACAAATCTGGGTGACAACAAAGCTGGACAACCACTGGCATCATCGCGTATCGGAAGGGCTTGATGCTTCTCTGCAGGCCCTTGGCCTCGACTATGTTGATTTGTATCTGATTCATTTTCCGTGCTCGACAGATCCCGAAGACAGATCAAAGCATCTGCCGGATTGGGATTTCGTGAAGACATGGTAAGACTCTCTCCCCGCCTCTCCGTCCAGGCGTATATCGAGCCATGAAATGCTCATCGGAACAGGCAAGAAATGCAGAAGCTTCTTGCTACGGAGAAAGTGCGAACGATCGGTGTTTCCAATTTCCAGATCTCACATCTGGAGAGACTCTTGAATGACCCGTCGTGTCAAGTGATTCCGGCTGTCAATCAAATCGAGGTATTTGACTCCGTATATGCCTGTACATGATCGATCGGTGCTGATTCTGTGTGACTATATTCACAGATGCATCCGCACAATCCATCGTGAGTTGACAGTGCAGAATTGAGCGGGATTTTTCCGGTGCTAAATCAATATAGTCCCAAGTTGCTAAAGTATTGCAATATGAAAGGCATTCATTGCACTGCATACTCTTGCTTGGGTGGCAACACGACATCTGCCATAAACGCTCACACTAGTCTAATTGAAGATCTCGTGGTGCTAAAGATTGCAGAAAGAAAAAAGAAAACGCCTGCTCAAGTTTTGTGAGCGATCCTGTTGCAGTAAGCAGGAAGTATGCTAATGTATGCAGGTTGATGTGGGGTTTACAACGCGGGTCCAGCATCATCCCGAAGAGTGTGACCCCACCAAGAATCGATTCCAACTTCCAAATGGATGACTGGAGCTTGTCGAAAGACGAGATTGTCGCTATTAACGGGATCCAGACACGGGCTAAAGTTGTTGGTGATGGTTGGATGCCCATTCGCGTCTTTTTGGGAGACGATGAATAAGAACATAGAAATCGCTTGACTGACAAAAGCCCGCCACAGCTGGTTGGAAGGAGGAGTCTGCCCATGCAAAAGAATTTACATGGATCGAAATATCTTCTCTATTCTAAAATGTATTCACATGCGATCGTCAAATGTACGCGTTTCAATGTCGTCTTAGATGGTAAAATGACCCATCGGGTGAGAGGGGCGAGGATATGCAGTTAGAAGTAACCGGGGAACAACCAGTCGAGCTTCTTCTTGGCCTCGGGGCTCCACTGGGTCTGAGCGGTACTGACACCGAACTTGATACCGCCAGCCAAGTGCTTGGCCTGTACAAGATCGGTGTGCTCATCGGCAGCGAGGGCATCGAGGACAGCCGTAACGAAACGACGAGCGTTGTCGGCATTGGCCTTCATGTTGCCCATGACCATCTCGACGGTGACATCGGCAGAGCTGTGCCAGCAGTCGTAGTCGGTGGACATGCAGATCATCTGGTAGGCGATCTCGGCCTCGCGGGCCAGCTTAGCCTCGGGCAGGACGGACATATTGATCACGCTGCCACCCCAGGCACGGTACATGTTGCTCTCAGCGCGGGTGGAGAACTGGGGACCCTCTGTATCAAGGTTAGTTCTATTTCCTGAATGCGTGATTTTCCCCCAAAGGAGGTGAGCACATACCCATGCAGACAATGGTGCCCCGATCATGCAGAACCACACCATCGCCCTCTAGGCTGTGTCCGCACTTGCGAACAACCTCGGCGATTCCCTCATCAAAGGGATCACCGAAAGGAACGTGGGCGACAACGCCGCCCTCGAAGTAGGTCCACGGACGAACACCCTTGGTGCGGTCAATGATCTGGTCGGGGATGACAAAGTCACGGGGCTTGATTTCCTCCTGGAGACTGCCGACGGCGGAAAAGGCAATGATGCTACGAACACCAATGGAGCGCAGGGCGGCGATGTTGGCACGGGCAGGGACCTCATGGGGGGCGATCTGGTGGTGAGCGCCGTGGCGGCTCAGGAACGCGACGGCAACGGTCTTGGAATTGTGCTTGCACTGGTGGTGCAAGATGGTAATGGGGAGGACGGTTCGCCCCAGGGAGTCGAGATAGACAGGGAGGCAACCTGGGTGAATCCAGGCAGCTCGCGCAGTCCAGTGCCGCCAATGACAGCGATAGGGACAGGGCCTGATGCGATATGCGAGTGTCAGCAAGATAGCGGGGGGGAGGGGTCGTGGGCTCAACGGGCTCCACGGGCTCGGGATAGACGCACCCTCGTAGGTGTTGGGAAGAGCAGTCATTCTCCTAGCCAGTTGTTTTGCAGACTCAATGCGACGAAAAGGCTTGGATATTGAGGAGAGTTGACGAAGCCAGGGCATCTCTTTGCGACAAATTTTAGCGCCCCGCTTCCCTTGGGTTGCCCCACGTGGTTCCAAGGCTCCGCAGGCCGCCCACCGCTTTGGCCTCCGATGTATACGATCCAGGGGATTTCAATCATGATCGTGTTTGTTTCCATTTGAGAATCAAGGATTCTAACTTAGGCCCTAAGTCCAGAACAAGTATCATTACCATTGTGGTTTCTGCTGAGTGAATATTTCGAGGCTTTGCATCCCCACAACTAAAATGTAGAGTCAGACAAATCTGCAGATGGCCCAGGGGACAGACAACATTGGGAATGAACAAGTTAGAAACTGACAGAACAACTAATACATATCACTTTACAGGCAAGAAGCTCTCTTCACGTTAGCTCAAGCTTAACTTCCAATCTATTGAAATTGTGTCTTTTGGTCCCATTCACGGGTGCTGCTACGATCGTTGATGAACACGTCATACCATTCTCCTGACATCTTTGGAAATATAATTCTTACATACCCATGTTGTCAATATTTTCCGTACATCAGGATATTATGTTCGCTCGGGAATACTATCTGTATTTTCCTGCAAGGGCGATAATGAAGAGACAAAATCTTCTTTCTCTTTCATATACCAGCTTTGTTCCAGGAAGTTTGCCAGATGACCCGAGAAATCGGACCCCATATCCTTCTGGACAGTATATGCATATAGACTCCAGAAGAACTTATCGCGGCGTTTGAAGTCAAGATACACCTTGGAAATTTGACTGACTCCAAACACAGTGACATGACCACCCCATGCCTTCATACTGTCTTGTAAGCAGAAGGGAAGGGCTCGTGCAATTTCATCCGCGTAGAATTCCGAAAGTACATATTCCCCTGCTGCATTAGGCGACGACTGAGATTGACCAATTAAAGCTTGAAGTATAGATAGTGCTGCCCAGAAAAGAACGTGCATCCTGGCATTGTCGGGTGATGAGAACCGATAAGGAGGGCCGAATAAGTGGTCTGTCTTGGGCAGTTTGGTAACCAGGTCGCTAGAAGAACAATGGATGGGCCCGCCACCGATGTCGTTCACTCTCGTCGTGTACCAGGACAGAAACTTTGTCCTGTGCGCAAGACAAGCGATAAGAGGTTCTTGGCCATCAGAGCCATGATATTTGGAGTCATTTTCTGCATCAATCATGGCTATAAGGGGCGCAATGTCCGACATTAGATTGAGTAATTCATCAACGGGAAGGACGAGGTGGTCTTTCATGCCCTGGATGGATGGTGCTTGATCTTGATCAAAAGTTATCTTTTCCTTGGATTGCAAAGGAGACAAGGCTTGCAACTATGCCACACTGAATATTAGTAAAGTAATTCACGGCGGGACTAGAATATTCAGAGAACGAACTACATACCATTCGCATCCTGTTAAAGCCCAAATATACGTTCTCTATAAGAGGATTCCTACTAGCGTGAAGTGAAAAATGTTTCAGGATCCCGTTAGTAACTGTCATCTGGTTGAGCCAAACTTCAAGACCAGAAGGACAATAGGTTGACTGGGTGAGTTGAATATCAGCCTGTGATCCCGGGGCCCTCGAAAATGATCCACAATAATGCACTCACAATAAGGCAGTGAAAGATAGCAGCCGTATAGACCACCTCGTCACTACACGTTTTCCGCTTTATTGCATGTGACATGTGTCGTATCGCACTGTTATATAGCTGCAGTCCGTGATGAAACATGCTTTGGTCCTGTTGGCGACTGAGAACGAGACATGCCTGCGCTGCCAGAGCCTTTTCAACCATCGGGGGCTTGTTCGCGAGCGCAGAAATACCCGAAATGATATCATACGACGGATCAATGCCGGTAGTGCCTTTGATGTCGACGGGAAAGTAGGCGTTCATGTAGGACGCGAAAAGCTGTTCCCGTTTCGATGGACCACTGTCAAGCGCTGTATGTTGAAGTGTCAATGGTTTTGCACGTGTGGAATAAATAGTCCTCGTCGCTCGGTCATCATTGTCCGAGGTCTCCAATGGCTTTGCGCCATTCCCAATTTGAAGTTGGGTGTCTTGGAGTAGTTTCGAGTTTTTAGGCCTCCCATTCTTTGTCGAAATAATTTCTTGGTGAAAAAAAAACACGGAATCTCTCATAGCCCGGACATTGAACGCCATGTTTTATACAACGTTCACACTCGGGTTCTTGCTTGTCGCACTAAATTCTGGCATCAGTTTTGAGAATATAAGGGGAGGGCTACAGAGCCGACCTTGATCTTGCGCTTTCTACATGTAAGACAGCCCGTTGACTGCCACGCATTACCGCCCATACTCTTCCGGGCGCGGTGTCGAGCTCGGCTGATGGGCGGGGTCGGCTAAGGGGTGAAAAGTGCAGAAGGCAGAGATATGTTACGCGAGCTTGGGACGCTGGTGATCCAGCCCCCACCGTGGTCCACCAGCTATACCCGACCGCCAATTATCATGCGCAATTCTCTTTACAGTAGGGGTGCAGTCTGACGAAACCTCTCCAAGGGTGTGTTATATTCAATATTCAGCAGGGCTGAAATGATACTTTGACCACGAGTGTAAATTGAGAAAGATTGGAACTCGCCGTAGCTTTGCCTCATCTAACTTCACAGATCGGTCGCGTGGTCGCGTGCGTGGAATGCGAGAGATGATACCTAGCATATCATCAGGTCCAATTCCAGCGAGCTGCGATGTAGTGTTGAATCAAAGTAAATGTAAATGTAAATGTGCCAAATTACTCCAATCCGTGGCATTCGCTCAAATCATACGAGTAGGATTCGGCCATTCGAACAGGTAAGTTGACAGATCCATCCACGATACCCACCAAAGGGGTTTGAATATGGTTCGAACCGCCAAAAATCCACACCGCCCGCGGCCGTGCTGAACCCCAAGTGAGCCACCCGGTCCTTTTGAGATCCACCTCGGCGGCGTTCGAAACCTGCCCCGGGATCTATGTTGGCCGATTCTTTCGATGTTTCCAGGGTCATACCCGACTGTCTGTCTTTTTTTTTTCTTCATTTCCCCTAGATCACTCACATCGTAATACACAAACAGTACCCATGAGTGTATGGAGTTGAAGTCAAAAATGAACTTCTAATCGTAGCAGAGGTCTACTGCTAGTATTACTCACAGCTGGTGTCGATTGTGGCCTGAGGCAGGAACATTGAATTCTGACTCAGCACTGTTTTCCAGTTTTCCCTTAATTGGGCCGGGCCGGGTATCCTGGAAGAGCCTCACGTTGCCCAGCCTTTAACACTTGTTTCAAGACAAAAGAGCATTGCGTTTCACAATAATCTAGAAACGGCCAGGGACTACTGCGGAAGGTTTGACTCAGATAGATCGTCGGGTCCAAAGCGGAGTTCGCCCTGCGATCAGGGCATGTGAGATCCGTTCGACTTGAAGCAAGATGTCCCTGTCCAATCGCCCTGGAATTGGTGCAATCTACTCTTTCGTGGAATTGGTCCGCAACACACTGAACTTCGATTCTCTTGTTTTTGTGAATGCTGGACTGGTTGTGGTCGGTTTAGTCGCTTCATTTCGTTCCGCCGGGCATGTATTACATCACTACGCCGAAAAGATATGCTTGTCAACGGTACATGTGAGGGCAGAAGACCCTCTATACGAAGATGTCGTCCGCTGGATGAATGATCATGCCTTTCGTCGGCGCAATTTCCTCTCGGTGCTGGCACAGACCACCAATAACTCCGACAGCGACAAAGCTTTAGTACGATCGCCACCGAGACCATTGGATTCAGATAGACTGGTTAGCTACCGAGAGGCAGAAGACAACTCTTCCATCGAGCTGAAGCCTTTTCACGGGTCCCGGTTCTTTCGCTTCAGACGCACATGGATGTTATTCAGCCACTCAGCAAGCAGTCCTGATAGCAGCATTCGACCTCCACAGATGGATAGTAATCCCCCACTGAAACTGCAATGTATCAGTTTTTCACTTTCTCCGATCAAGAAGTTCCTGGAAGAATGCCGTGCCTACAGTCGCAAAGTCTCCGTGTCGAGCATCACAGTCTATCGTACCCGACCTAACTCCCGGGACGTCATTCGTTGGAGTTCAGTCGCTTCACGACCATCGAGAGATATCTCCACTGTCATCCTCGACAAGCAGAAAAAGCAGAGTATCCTCCGGGATATCAACGAATACCTTCATCCACACACAAGACAATGGTATGCCAACCATGGCATTCCCTACCGTCGTGGATATCTGTTCTCCGGGCCTCCGGGTACAGGCAAGACGAGTCTTGCATCCGCGATTGCCGGTGTATTCGGTCTGGATATTTATGTGCTGAGCTTGCTAGACCCTACAATGACAGAGTCACAATTCATTCGGCTATTTTCCGAAGTGCCCACGCGGTGCGTGGTGCTCTTGGAAGATGTTGACGTTGCAGGATTAAACAGGGGAGAACTGAGTCCTTGCGAAGATAACACGCAGCCCCTTTCCTCGAAGACGCCATCATCCAACACCACTGTTTCTTTATCCGGGCTCTTGAACGCAATCGACGGCGTCTCGTCGCACGAAGGTCGTATCTTGATCATGACAACAAATCTACCGCAGAATTTGGATCGTGCGCTCATTCGGCCCGGTCGTGTGGACATGCATATTAGATTTGAGCTTCCATCTCACGAGGAGCTGCGAGACCTCTTCTTGAGCATTTACAGCGACGTTTATCAGAATGCTGTCGTCCCTATCGGAGACAAGAAGAGGGAAACCGGGAGATTGCATGACCTTGCAGTGCGCTTTGCGGGGTGTCTTCCAGAGAGACAATTCAGTATTGCAGATGTGCAGGGGTACCTGCTGCGATATAAAAGACAACCGGAAGAGGCGTGTGGCAATGTCAGGGCCTGGGTCGAGGAGATGAAATATGGAGACTCAGGCTCGTGAGTGTGCACTACCTTCGCATGTCAGGAGAGCACTCAACTCAACCGCAACTATCCACACTATGTTGATTAGCCCATTGACTTAACAGAGAATCTCCACTTGTACTATATTTGGGACATGTACAATAGGCGTTGAATATACGAAAACTAATTTTATTGTACCATCAATCATTTCATTCAAAATTCAATCGATTTAGACAGCTTCCACGCACAGTGACGAGCCCCCTCTTTTCCCGTTCAGGGTCTTCGCTGGGAATACTCATGTTTGTACTAGCAGTTCGCACCGAACTAGACTATCTGAGCCTCGGTCAATTTGGTCGATAGAATCATTCCATCCTCATATTTGGGGTACTCCCACCCATCGATAACTAGCAGGTTCAGCGAATGCAAAGACCATCCTCGGGCACATGCTTCTGAATCCGACCACACCCATGTGCTTGCATGGTTGGGATTTGCGGTGGATGAATGCTTAATCACTGTGTTGCAAAGGCAGTGCTAGGTACTGGTTTTCATGGCGGCCCTCCATAGAGAACTTGGAGGCCCGGCCGGCGTAGAGGAAGAGGAAGAAGTATGAAATAAAATACTGGATGAACAAGGTGATAGAGAGTAGGTAAAAGTAGGTGGAGAATCGTACGGATGATGGGTGTTAAGTAGATGTCTTAGGTGATACATATATAGGAATTCAGTTCTTTGTTCAACAAATCAAACAGAGGCAAATTGTGCCTCTTGGGGGAAAAAACGCCGAGGGTAAAATGCAATAGACGCCATGATGTCGTAAGGCATGCAGTATGATCAAGGTGAATGGGTCAAACTCTTTCCCTAGTTGGCGTTGCTGGGGTAGGCAACGGTGTAGGTGGGAACAAACTCCTCCTTGATTGAGCGCAAGCTGACGAAGCGCGACAGCAGGTTGGCACTGCCCGCCTTGTCGTTGGTGCCACTGGCGCGAGCACCACCGAAGGGCTGCTGGCCGACAACGGCACCAGTGCTCTTGCAGTTGATGTAGAAGTTACCAGCAGCGTTGCGGAGGTGCTCGTCGGCAATCTGGACGGCCTCGCGGTCCTGAGCGAAGACAGAACCGGTCAGGCCATAGGTGCCGGTGGTATCAATCTTCTCGCAGATCTTGACAAAGTCAGCCTCAGTCGCGTCGTTGTAGGAGTGAATCACGAGGATGGGACCGAAGAGCTCGCGTGACAGAAGAGGGTGGTCGGGGTTGGAGGTGCGGTAGACGGTAGGCTTAATGTACCATCCCTTGGAGGAGTCGTAAGAGCCACCAGCGAGCAGCTCAAGCTCGGGGTCGTTCTTAGCGGCATCAATGACTCCAGCGAGCTTGTTGAAAGAGCCCTCGTGGATCACGGGGCCGCAGAAGTTGGTGAACTCAGAAGGCTCACCCATCTGGAGCTTCTCCACCTCGGCAGCTACTCCCTGAGCAAACTCATCGGCGATGGAAGACGCGACGTAGGCGCGGGAAGTGGCACTGCACTTCTGACCCTGGAACTCGAAGGCGCCACGAACGGTCTGAACGACGGCGTTACGGACATCGGCAGACTTGTGGACCAGGTGGAAGTTCTTGCCACCAGTCTCGCCCACGATGCGAGGGTAGCTGCGGTACTTGCCATCGGCGACACCCTGGGAGATCTTGCCATAGAGGCTACGGAAGACGTCAGTGCTGCCAGTGAAGTGCAAAGCAGCGAATTCCTTGTGAGCCAGAACAGCGCTGGTAACCTCCTCGGCCTCACCGGGCACGAACTGGATGACATCCTTGGGAAGACCGGCCTCGAGAAGAATCTGGTGCACAAGCCAGTTGGAGGCAATGGCCGAGGGTGAAGGCTTCCAGATAACGACGTTACCCATCAAAGCTGGAGCGCCAGCCAGGTTACCACCGATGGCTGTGAAGTTGAAGGGGCTGATGGCGAAGACGAAGCCCTCAAGAGGGCGGTACTCGAGGCGGCTAGTAAATTGTTAGCAGTCTAGTCCCCTTTGAAGGAAATACGAGAGTGTACATACTTCCAGACACCAGGAGAGTGGTGAACGGGCTGCTGAGAGTAGACCTCCTCGGCGTATTTAACACCGAAGCGGAAGAAGTCGACCAGCTCAGCTGCAGAGTCAATCTCCGCCTGCCAGGCATTCTTACCCTGGCCGTGCATGGTCAGAGCCATAATATCATAGCGGTACTTGGTCGCGATCAGATCGGCGGCCTTCAGGAAGATGCTGGCGCGCTCGGCGAAGGGAGTGGCGGCCCAGGACTTGCGGGCAGCCAAAGCAGAGGCGATGGCGTCCTCGACATCAGACTTGGACGCATTGGAGTAGGTAGCGACAGCGGCGTGCGAGGCGGGGTTGCTCTGTGTGAGAGTCTGGGAGCTTTTAATCTCCTTGCCCGCCACGACCAAAGGGACGTTCAATGGAGCCTGCTGCTTGTACTTGGCGAGCGCCTCCTCCAAACCTTTGCGGCTAGCAGTACCGGGCGCGTAGTGCTGGTTCGGTTCGTTGTTGATCTGGGGCACCTTGAAGTTGGCATAAGTGCCCATAGCACGCGAAGTCGAGCTCGGGATGCGGGATGCAAACCGCGAGAGCGGCTGCGCTCTGGCGCGCAGGAAGGTCGACTGCATTCTGACGATGAAGCTGAAAGAACACACGGGATTCCTAATCGCTTTTCCAGAGGTCGGAGTGAATTAAAGAACGAAACAAAATTCGGAGGTCGACGCGGGGTACCTCGATATGATGAAATGACCGGCTATCACCGGCGGTAGCCCCGAAGTTGAACGCGTGAAGCTGTTCAAAGGTACCGAGTACTAGCAGCACGAGCCGGTGATCAATCAGCGTAGGCCGGCAAGAGTGCCGGGTGGGTCTACCGGCCCGGGTGGATCCACTCTGGGGCCCCAAGGTCGCTGTACCCTGTACTCTCTCTTCCATATCTGCCTCTCTGTCTCCGAATCTAGATAGGATATACACTGTAGAGATAGCGAGATTATGACTAAAGCTAGAGTAATGTACATTGCAGAACTCAAGAGTGGTGTCGGAAGCGAAGAAAACAGTGGATCATATGGAATCCACCGATTTCAGATCTAGATCTGGCCCCGCCGTGTATCTAAGGCAAGCTTTTTGAAGTCCACTTAGTTCACCCTGTACGTTGTACGTTCAATGAAGGCCGTCAAAAAGGTTGATGCTCTAATGAGGGTCTAAGGTATCGTATATAACTATCTATCTTTTAGGTAATCTAAGCAATCCACCACCAGACACGCTCGAGCCAGTTACGAGGCAATGGCTCCACCTCAGTTTCACTCATTCGGTCAATCGCCTCCTTGCCAGAGATCACATCGAGGTCAGCCACCGGAACCATCCAAGGAGTCCGGTACCAGATCTTGTGGCCAAAGTACAGCGCAAAGAAAATGGCAAAGACGATGTAAGAGACCAGGAAACCTGAGGCTGTGAACGAGCCCGGGAAGAAAACAGCGTAGCCGTTGGTAATGGCAAGTAGTGAAACAACCACCAAGGCGTAGTAGGCACCCCAAGGCTGGAAGGGCGTCTTAAATGGCCGTGACTCTAGAAGCCCGTTGAAAGCCAGAGCTTTGCGGAAACGCTGAGGCATGGTTAGTGGGATGTAAGTGCAGACAGGGACAATATGGGATCGTACCAGGTATGCAATGGCTACAAGAACCCAAGAGACGAAACCGCCAACCGTTGTGATGTTGGTGAACCAGTAGAAGACGTTGGCACCCGAGCTCGATAGATTCAAGAATGCCAACAGGCCAATTGACCAGGTGATCAACACCGCCGGGTAAGGTACTCCATTCTTATTGCAGTGGGTGAAGATCTTAGGTGCTTGGCCAGCGCATGCAAGGGAATATAGGGTTCGCGAGCCAGCGTAGACCCAGGAATTACCAGACGACCAGGCGGAGAGGAGAATTGCCGCGTTGATAACGTGGTTCAGTCCTTTGATGCCAGCATTCTGAATACCAATGACGAAAGGACTAGCACCGGCGCCAGATGCTCCGCTAGCGACACCGGAAAGAAGCTTCGGATCGTTGTATGCAACAGTGACCCCAATCACCAAGCTTCCAAGGACATAGAAAGCAAAAAGACGGTAGATGAATCGGTTGGTTGCCTTAGGAATGTTGCGACGAGGGGAAACCGCCTCTCCCGCAGCGGTGGTGATCAGCTCAGGTGAGAAGATGAAGGAGAATCCAGATTTGATCAAGGCGGTCCAGAAAGCTAGGAAGCGACCTGTGTTGACGTTCGACACCAGGTATGGTTCGACGAAGGCGCCCGGAGTTTCCCAGTAGCGGAAGCCAAGTCGATCGTGGTTGGGACCTCCTCCAAAGAAGAGTACGATACCGAGAATAATGAGGCCGATGATGGCGATAATCTTTAACGATGCGAACCAAAACTCGGCTTCACCGTACCACGACACAGCGACGATATTAAGGAAGAGGATGACTGTGAAAGAAGCCGGCGTTAGCATGGACTCTCTGCTTATGTTGTGGGGGTTTGTCTCACCAAGAAGGACGATTGCGATCCATACACCGACACTGACTGAAGTTGGCCAGTATTGGATTACAAGTCCGGCTGCCGTGACTTCAGATGCTGTTAACATTGAGAACGAATACCAGTAATTATATCCTGAGTTTCGTTAGCATTCATTTTCACGTAGATAGACTGCGAACATACCAACAGCGAACCCCAAACTGGGCTCAGTGAATCGATTGATGAAGTAGGGCACGGACACGCCGCGTACGGGAAGGTAGGTGGTCATTTCACCCAGCATGTTCATAACGAAATAAACCACCGACGACATCACGATATAGCCCATCAGTAGAGGAGCTATGGTAAGTATGTCAGCTACTATGTCTCCAATATCACTCATTTCTGGAGGCTTCTTACCTGGACCGACCAGAGACAATGTTGCTCCACTTCCAACAAACAGTCCAGTGCCGATACAACCACCAAGAGCTAGGAATTGAATATGACGTGAGCTCAAACCACGATGTGTCTCTGTGCTAGGCCCTTCCACTTCGCCCGAGAGTGCTTTGGGGTCATCATAGGACGGATCGATTTCGCCCGCCTCAACGGCCTTTGGCGACTTTTCCATTATGAGTATGGCCAAGATGTCCGGGTTTCTCTTGCAGCAGTTGCAATTAACAGCGGGATCGTTTAGAAAAGAAAACCAAAGAACAAAAGCCTGCAATAATTTCAAAGGGCTATGGAAAAACGAAAAAACTCTACTAATGCGCGAAGCAGGGATTAATAAAGCCCTTGCTCAAGCCGTGCCCCAGGTCAAGTTTTTGGACAAGTTGCGGGGAAGCGACACTATCCGCTATTTGGAGAGTCAATTTCTACTCGAAGCACCATCCCATTGGTCGGTCGCGATTATCGGGCGCATTTGACTTCCCAAAGTGTAAAAAAAATCTAGAAAAACGCCCCTAGTGGAGACACCGGTGGGCAATTTCGGCCATAGGCGGCCCTTATCAGCCACTGTGTGAAATGGTATCTCTGGATTCGGAAGACATCGTATCTGCGGCCGATAGAGTTATCTGTGTGTGATGCTGTTGTCAAATAGGAATTGTTCCTGGTCGTAGACGTCTTGGCTATGCGCCCGTTTAGGCTCTTGAGGCTCTTTCTAGCCGCGATCGTTAATGCTTAATTCTGGAACGGAATTTTGATTGGATGGCCCATCGCAGCGTTTCGCGGTTTATAGACGATGGGGAATATCTGGGGTTGGACGTGGATCTGGGAGAAGGAGGGGTTTGGGGGGCCCCATAACTTTGTAGGTAGTCAAATGTATGGGGAACGACAATTACGATTGAGTAATAGAAACTGGCGTTTGACTGTAGCGCCGGTAGCCGGGAAACGCGTGAGCACGTGACGGAGTCGAAGCTGCAGAAAGCACCGGGCCGGTCACTTACTTATCGGTGGCCCGTGCTACCCCAGTCCGCCATCAAACCGGGCCGTGGTGATCGATTCGCCATCCCTGGTTTGCCGTTCTTGCTGACTCGATCGTGGGCTCGACTAAGTAAAGCTCGGGATGGTAGGTCTGCTGATTAATTACGCAATGAGCTAACCAGGTTCGTGTCTATGGTTCAATCACGAATGATCTTTTCTGCTAGGATCCTGGATAAGTCTCGGTCAAATCGGGTTGTGGGGTAATCCAGTCCGTAGCCCGGGATGGCCTGCATCGAGAGCAATTCTATGAATAATACCGGTCTTCAAAACACTGACCGGTCTCGTAAGACTCCATCCGCACCGAAATCAAAATTGGGTATGCTTTTGCCGGTTGGCCGTGGATTAAGCTCACATTCACCGTACCGGTGAAACGCGCTTGCCACCGGCCCTTGTTCCTTACGAACTGTACATAATCCCCTCTTGATAGTACAAAGTTGCCTCGCTTCAACCTTGGGTCTTCTATCTTTCCTACCAAGCAGAAGTCTTCTGGAGCTCCCCTCAAGCGGCTCTTGCCATTTATACATTTCCTATTCCCCTCTCCTTCATCGACGCCTCATCTCTGCAACTCCAGATAAGCACCACAACACTTACATCAATGAAGGCCGCTCGCTCAGTGCGGGTGCCCCGCATTCAGAGTACCAGCACTGCTGGCAAGCGACTCGTGAGCCGTACTGGCACCTCGAACTCATCTGTGGCTGCCAGCAACGTCTTCCAGTCGCTATCGCCATCTGCCACCGCGCCGACGCCACGGAAAGCGCTCACAGCTCCCCTGTCCAAATTGCCGCTGTCCACTGTTCTACGCTCTTTGATGATCCTTTCTGTCTCGTCCTCTCCCCTGCTTCTCAAGCCTTGCATTTATACTCTTTCCGTCCTGGCCCACCCTCGCTCGGCCTTGTTCGATGTCTCCAAAAACCCGATATTGAACTTCCTTGTGAAGCACACCATTTACAAGCAGTTCAATGCGGGTGAGAACAAGACCGAGGTTCAGCAGTCAATCAACAACATCAAGAGCCTTGGGTGCCGTGGTGTTCTCCTGGGCTATGCCCGTGAGGTCCTGGTTGGAGAGAACCAGGAAGCTGAGCTTGATGCCAAGGCAGCTCAAGCTGAGGTTCAAACCTGGTTTGATGGTACTATGAAGACTGTTGATATGGCACAGGAGGGAGACTTTGTCGCACTCAAGTAAGTCGATCTTTGGTTCTGTTCTCGCATCAGGATACTAACCCACTTTAGGTTCACTGGTATGGGAACCGACGCTCTTCGCCACCTCCAGAACGAGGCCATGCCCTCTGAATTCATGGACTCGTCAATTCAGAAGGTCTGTGATCTGGCTATCTCTCGTGGTGTTCGTCTGCTCGTCGATGCCGAGGAACAGGCTGTGCAGCCTGGCATCGAGGCTTGGATCATGAAGTACCAGAAATATTGCAATTCCCAAACCCCCGGCCGCGCCATCTTCTACGGCACATACCAGGCATATCTCCGCTCTACCCCTATCACTCTCAACCGCCATCTTGAGATGGCCCGCCGCGACGGATATACTCTCGGCGTGAAGCTTGTTCGTGGCGCATACATGAAGACCGAGCCCCGTCAGCTGATCTGGGCCGAGAAGGAGGATACCGACAAGTGCTATGACGAGATCGTCGAGGCTCTTCTGACCCGACGATACAACTCCATGCTGCAGGCTCCCAATAAGGATGCCACCGAGCTGCCTCCCGTCAACGTGATTATCGCCACACACAACCGCGAGTCTGTGCGCAAGGCTCATGCCATTCGTGTGCAACAGTCCCTCAAAGGCGAGGACTTCGGTGTCGACCTCAGTTACGCCCAGCTCCAGGGTATGGCTGATGAAGTTAGCTGCGAACTGCTCCAAGGATTTGAGAGTGCCGAGGCTAGCGTTGGTGCTACTCCCATGGCTGCTCCCAATGTCTTCAAGCTTTTGACTTGGGGCTCCGTCCAGGAATGCATGGGTTTCCTCCTCCGTCGGGCTGTCGAAAACACCGAGGCCGTCGGACGGACGAAGGACTCTCAGATCGCCATGATTGCTGAACTGAAGCGTCGTTGCCTGAAGGTCTTTGGTCGCAACTAGATCTCAGTCATTTTCCGCGTTGATTGAAGCTTTCACGCTTGCTTTTTTGAAGGCTTAGATACCACTTTTTGTTTCATGTGCGGGAGCCCAGTCGGTTTGTTAGTGGGGTTCTTGCTTGCATTTGTGCGCACTTGGGATGCATCCATAGAGGTCGTTAACGTATAATGAGTCACGGTAGCTGCAAATAATGATAAAATCAAAGATTTCACAGAAATCCTGGCTTTCTGCCTTATCGACATCAAGTATGGGAATCACTAACCCATTGCGGGGATATCGATCGTATCGGGCAATACATGGCCCGCAGGTGCGCAAGTCGCCGACCTTCGGGGCTGCCCCCGCCAACTCGCGGGGATCGGTTGGCTTTGCCGAGTTTGTCTTCTCGATTAATAGACTTAGATATTTCATACCAACACATCTACTTGGATCCGTACATCGTCACGGACCTGCTCAATCCAATTTATTGTATCTAATCCCGAATACCAACATGCATATCTTGTCCGAGCCCGACGTGGCAAAGGTCTTCCGGTGCTTGAACCAGGAGAAATGCCACGACTTCGTCGATGACCTAGGCAAAGCACTAGTTGCCATATCCGCAGAATCAAAGCCCAATGTTCCAGAATCGGAGAAGTTGATTCATCAGCCACTTCGCACCGTTTTCAGCACGAGGGCTCACAACTCGTGCATCTTCATGCCCGTGTCTGACACCGTGAGCACCGGGGTTAAAGTTGTCACCGTCGCCAGTGGCGGTATACGGGGTGTGATCAATGTCTTCTCGCCAGACGGCCGGTTACAGGGACTTCTTGCAGCGGCAGAAGTTACAGCCTTCCGTACGGCACTTGCCTCTATGGCACTATTTGTCCGTTGCGCCTCTCTCTGCAAAGAGAATATCCTCGTCCTTGGATCCGGTCGGCAGGCAGAATGGCATGCCCGACTAGCTCTTCTCCTCTATCCAAAACAGATTCGCCAAATGACTTTCGTCAACCGCGGCCGTCAACGACTTGACGACCTGGAACGCGACGTACTGGGAGATTTGCGTCAACGGTATCGCGATATCAAATTCTCCACTTTTGCAAAAGAAGGCACAGCAGATTACGAGGTGAGGCTCCTCAAGGCTCTACAAGCCTGCAACGTCATCTTCAGCTGCACGCCATCGAGTGAACCCAATTTCCCCTACTCTGCGCTGGAATCAGTACCCAAACAGCGCTTCATCTCACTCATTGGATCGTACAAGCCTCATATGCACGAAATAGATACCGAGACATTGCTCTCTGGTGGAGGCAGAATTTACGTTGACTCGAAATCGGCATGTATGGAGGAGTCGGGTGAGCTGAAGACAGCACAGGTTACGGAAGACCAGTTGACTGAGATGGGTGATCTCCTGGGAGAGCTTAGTCCTGGGCAGGCGCTTGATATTCCGAATGGGTGTAATGTCATTTACAAGTGTGTTGGTATGGGTCTAATGGATCTTGTCGTTGGAAAGAAGGTGCTCGATGTGGGGAAGGAACTGGGACTTGGGACTCATGTGGATGGATTCTAGACTACATTGAGAAATTGAGCTGAATGAAACTCGTTCGTCGAGGTGCCACTGGAATCATGATATAATCCTCCCCCCTTTTTGGGAACCCATGCATGCTAGTCAGTCTTCTATACCAGGCACGCGACGCCGAATATCATCCCTGCTCGGAGTCACCCTCGCTGAGCGATTACGTAGCACGATAACCAGATGATTCGAGCCCCATCGAATCTGTCAATGATGCTGAGAATCCCCTTGAAAAGCAATGAACTTAGATCGGTGAACAGCTGTTCCTACATGAAGCCCTTGACCGCCGTTTGCTTATCTGGTGTCCCTCGTACTTCGGGTCGCAGATGGGTTTGGTGGCCCACTTTCGGGACTGGATTATATTCCAAGTGTAATACATCTGTAGAGACGGACACAAATGATGAAAACAGGAATAACTGGGGTGCAGACCCAGAGTACCTCATATTTATGTGTCATAGAAAAGGAATGCCAGTCTCGTGAGGGTGATGCACGAGCCGGAATGGCGGAGCGGAGCGTTTTAAAGGCAGACTTTGCCAGAATGCGGGGCCGCGATCCGTGGTTTCTCACTTTATCAACCGCGATAAACGAAGTGTTCTCCAATTTGTCTTCCGACAATCTTCTCTCGCCCCGATTACACGAACTGACCCCGATCCCCGTCCGCCCCTGCCCCTCCCCTGTGCGGCCTCAGCCTCGGGCCTAGTCCCTTCTCCACAGATAATGCTCCCCCGAATTCGTTGACGGCAATGGACGACCTGGCTTCAACCCCCACGCAGCAGAAGCGCCCACGCGTAGCCGAGGAGAACCGGAAACGAGCTGTTCGAGCGTATGTTGCCCTTGCTTCACATCACCGTCGCAGCTGGTGGATCTATCGCTAACGTCACGGGTCTCGTGCAGATGCGACGGCTGTCGCAGAGTCAAAGAGAAATGCGAAGGAGGTGTACCGTGTCGCCGATGTCTTCGTTATCGCCGACAATGCAACTTCACACATATCGACCCCAATGAGAGGACTCGATCGACGTCCGTCTCGTATGTGCGATCTTATGTTCACTGCGTTGACCGGACGAGGCTGACGGGTCATTCATAGGTTGTTGGACAAAGCGGCATCGCTCAATCGACATGAAATTGCCGAAGCAGAGCGTGTACACTGCATGGAGCGGCTTCTTTCATATTATGTTCCCGGCATCACTTTCGATATCCAATCCCTTCGCCAGGCTGTAGAAGATTTGAAGAATAAACACCGTGAATCTGAGTCGGACGCTATTTCGACCAAGGCGGATGCCAATGAGCTTGAAGATCTGGCGATTGACGACGAAGACTTCATGATCAAGGCTCTTCCAAATAACACAACCCGTAAGAGCATGCATTGGTGCGCTCTTGCCATCTCGATTTACTGACAATTGACCCCAGAATATTCGGGAGAGTTTTCCTATCTGAACTTTTCCATGAAGATTCGGAAGAAAATTGACGAATGGATGAAAACTGCAGCACCAGATGTGAGTTCAAACATCCTGCCCCACACTATCCACGTGGTCTATTGACTCATTCGATGCAGGCATCTACAGAGGTTGAGCCGTTCGAAGAAAGGTGGCGATCCACACAACTCCAGTCAGGGTCATCTTTGGTGTCAGCGTCAATCACATGTCTACCGCCACGCTACGTAGCCGACTTCCTCGTGCAGATCTTTTTCAAATATGCACAAACCAATAACTTCTACGTGGAGGAAGACTGGCTCCGTGACAAACTAAACATCTGCTACACAAATCCGTCTAGTCTATCAACCGATGATTCAGGCGCTGTCTGTTCGATTCTGATGGTTCTAGCCGTTGGTACACAATTTGCACATATGGAATCATCGACGCCAGTCAATATTCCACCATCTGATGCTAATCAAGACCACCATTTTTCGGAAGACGAGGTTGGCTTAACGTTCTATCAGTTTGCGTCGAAATTATTACCGGACATTATTGCTACAGCTTCTGTGAGGAGTGTTCAAGCTTGCTTACTGATTGGAACGTACTTGCTTCCGTTGGATACATCTGGGCTGTGCTACACCTACTTCGGTCTAGCACTCAAGCTTGCAATCCAGAACGGTATGCATCGTCGCTATCACGGAGAAGGTCTCTCCCCCCGAATGCTCGAGACAAGGAACCGTGTCTTTTGGACGGCTTATACCATTGAGAAGCGCATTAGCATTCTCCATGGCAGGCCGTCATCATTATCTGATGCTGATGTTGACGCTGCGTTCCCTGTTGACTTCCCTGGAATCATGCCCGCTTCACAACAGTCAAACCACACCAACATGGTAGCATTGATTACTTTGACGCTGAAGCTTGGGCAAGCCTCTAATGAGATCTCCCTGCTCCGAACGGCCCGGAAAGGTCAACAACAGGATTGTCTTGAGCGATTACTCAATATCCGAAAACACTTGATTGATTGGTGGTCTACCTTGCCCGAAGAAACAAATTGTCGAGACCTCAACCCTAGCGGACCGTTGTTCCGATCCAATGTCCACTTGAAACTCGACTATTGCTTAACTCGAATCTTCATCGGCCGTCCATTTTTGTTCAGCAGTTTGAAAGGGCTCTATCAGACACCTGTTACACCTTTCAAGGGCCCTTCTGGTGTTTCTAAGAACCGCGCCACTCTTGTAACGGACTGCGTCGAGGCAGCCCTTGAGATCATTGACCTCTGTCGCCTTCTGCGAGATGAGGCCGGTCTTGCCCGGGCCTCGTTCACCGAATTCAGTTCATGTCGTGCTGCTCTTCTCGTTATTTTAGCGCAAGGATTGACCAAGCGCACTGAACGACTCGGAGCAGCCCTCGAACAAGGCATTTCACTAATCAAAATCATGTCCATGGGCGTCGGTTCTGCGCGTTCCGCTGTCAGCGTCATTGAAGCACTTGAACGAGCCATTCGTCGACTCGAGGTATGGAGTGAGAGTCAACAGGCCCAAAGCAACGGAAGCAATTCGGAGTCTGCATATGATCGCTTCAAGAACTGGGAAATGCTGTGGAAGACTGGTCCCATCTCACCATCCACGTTAGCCTGGAAGCAACAAGAAGCATTCGAGAATGAATCTGCCATGCAGCCACGTGCGCCCTCCCAAGGCCCTGGTGGTTTGTCTGCGGCTGATGCCGTTGTCCACGGCATGTCTGTCACACCTCCGAACATTCCGTTGCCCACCACGAACGGCTCTGAGCCCACCCTTGGCGCACCTGAGGAGACACTAGAAGGTGACGTTCCTTCTGTTTCTGACAATTTCTCCATATCGCATCAGTCTCTTTCGCAGATGCCGCATTTCGGGTTCGATCACTTCGTCTCAAACTTCCCGCAGGAGCTTGGCGAGTTCACTGCCATTCCTTGCTTTGAGCCTGATGCTCAGGGTAATCCGGGTATGGTTGGCGCAGATCTCAAACCTCCTGGAAGTGCGGATTCGCATTGGTTGCAATTTATGAATGAGTAATTGTCTTGTCCGTGTGTGACGAGTGTTGCTTTAGCCGGTCGTTTCTTTGTTGTCCTTGTCTAATCTTTGATATACCATACCCCCGCGAGGTTGTTTTTGTCTATGTTAATTACATTGGAAGGTGGTCTCTGCTTATTTGTCTTCAGTACGTGAGAATGGCAACTTGGCAATGACATATCGTCGTCATGAATTTCTTTTGAGCGCCGTAATGCAAATCACTGAGGAGGTATATGCTAATAGTATCGCTAATCGAAAGTAACCTTCTTTCCTTGAAATTTCGCCATAGATGCCTGCTCCTTGAGCTTCTTCTTTGCTTCCCAAGACGGATGCAAAGGGCCCTGGTCGTCCTTCGAAGGCGGCTTGGGCCTGCTGCTCTGGGCCGGGCCTGAGCCTGACTGCTGGCCTCCGGCATTATGGACATTATGCGGTCGATCCGAGAGGCCTCGATCCTGGAAGCCTCCTCGTCCACCGAATCTGCCTCCCCTGCCACCATCTGTCGCTCCCTTTCGAGTGTCCCACCCGCTGTCTCTGCTCTTCTTCTGCTTCTTCAACTCCTGCTGTACATGGTTCGCTCCCGCACCGTATTTTTTCTCCCAAAGGGCACGACGGGCTTGCTGGCCCATGCGGTTCTTGCGCTTCGGTGCAGCTGCTGCCTCCTCTCCTTCACTGGCCTCCTCGGAGCCGGACCAGTAGCCACCCATCATGAGAGATGGAAGGAATGTTGTACTTTGCACTGGGGCATCGAGGCCCTTAGTTGCCTTGGTCTTCTTCGGAGGTGGGGAACCTGCAGCTGAAAAGGCGGGAGATGGCGATCGGGAGACCGAGTCGGAGATGTCGTCTGCAAGAGCCCTGCTCTTTGCGGGCAGATCTTCGTCGGAATCTTCTTCGCCTTCAGAGTCTGAGCCCGGCCCTAGTCGCGCATCGAAGTCTGCAAATTCATCGCTCCCTGACTCTTCATCCCCAGAGATATCCATATCATGCGACACGGGTTCGCCATTCCGTGTACTTGATCGAAGAGGCTGCGCTTCTTCCTCGGATCCAGATATCGACTCTAACGCCTCTGCCTTCTTTCGTGCTGATTTCTCCTTCGACTCCGCATCCTTCTTGGTCTCGGCCTTGCCCTGCTTTCCAGCCGGTGCCTCGTCCACTCCTAACAATTTCCGAATCTCGCTTATGATGGTAGGAACAACATTCTTCACAGGGGTGGATTTGAACAGGCGCGCGAGGATATTGGCCTCGGCGGTACTCTTGGGGCCGTTTGTGGGGATATTCCTAGATTCTTCAAATTCCTTGAATGCTGGGCACTCCGCAATGCGCTTTGTCTTGGACAGTTGTTTGAACAGGTATTTCGTGGCGGTAACGTTGTAGTCCAGGGCCTAGAAGAGTCGCAATCTCATTAGTATTCCACGGTTCTGAAGCTCGGATGTTGAAGTAGGCGCGCATACCTTCAACGCATTCACTTCCTCGGCTAGCTTCGACAATGCTGCAGAGTTGTTCTCCGACTTGGCAGTTTTCTCTCGTCGGCTGAGTTTCTGTCTTTCAAATCCTCTTGCGGTCTTCAGGCCCTTCGATATCATTTGCACGCCGTGGTCGAATTTGACTCCGAGGCGCACTGCCTTCATCGACAGTTTGCGATCGTCGGAGCCGTTGAGCTCGGAGAGCTTGCGCTTTGGCATTCTGGTGGTTGGATTCTCAGTCTTGCTTCAATCAGATATATGGCTACCTGAGTCCGATATCGCAAGGCGAGAAAGACTATTGCGAGTTGGATGATGGTTCGGAGGTGCTTGGATGTTTGATGGGGTACCACCTCTTTTTTTTTTCCGCGGATCAATTGCCAAGAGTCTCCGCCTCGCTGTCCGATCCCACCAAAGTCTAGGACCATTTAGCGGCTCAGTATGTAGCTCGCGCAAAATGATGTTGAGCTGATTAATCGATTTTAAAAAAAAAAACTGAGAGTACCGCAGGGCTTACATCTTGCCAGGCGATCTTAAACTTGTAATGACATTGGAATGAGGCAGGTGCGAAACATTATGCTGATACATATATTTCTCTAGGAAGTATATATCTGAGGGGCAGCACCGTAGCGGATACACATTTCTTCTTTGAATGGGCCGTACACGATAGCTCTTGCGCGGACATCTTGTCAAGCATTTGGAAATCATTCTTAAGGTCGTTTTACATGTGCGCAATGCCCTCAGCCTCCAGGGCTGGCTGAACAAAATTACGAGAATGCATAATGTGAAGGTTTGGAGGGCGAAGAACACCATCGATTAACGATATGTACATACAGACATGGCAAAGAAAAGTGATACGCGTACAGACTCTTTCTATTTCTTTTCCTCCTCCTTGGGCTCCGGCTTGGGGGTAGGGAGCTTGAACTGTAGTCGAATATATCAGCGTTTGTTCTGTAAATGATTGTAGAAGTATAGCTTACCGAGTCGGGTGTACGGTTCGTACCAGCACCAACGGGCTCCCATGATGTAGAGCCGCTCTCGAAGTTGCGGAAAGCTTGGGTAAGCTCAAGGGGCTCAATGACAATGCGCTTCTTCTCCTCATCATAACGCAGCTCGGTGTAACCGGTCAAGGGGAAGTCCTTGCGGAGCGGGTGGCCGTCAAAGCCGTAGTCGGTCATGATACGGCGCAGATCAGGGTGGCCGGAGAAGAAAACACCGAACATATCGTAGACCTCGCGCTCGTACCACAGAGCACCCTCGAACAGACCAGTCACACTAGGAACCGGGGTGGCCTCGTCGGCGTAGGTCTTGACACGGATGCGAGAGTTGTAGCGGACACTGAGAAGGTTGTACACGACCTCGAAACGCTGGTCACGGGTGGGGAAGTCAACAGCAGTGATATCGGAGATCTGGGTGAACTCGGCAGCCGTGTGGTACTTGAGGAAGCTCATGAGGGGAACGACACCGGCGGGGGCAGTGTAGACTGTGAGCTCATCCTTCCAGACAGTGAACTGCTGGACGTATTTAGGCAGACAGGACATGATGTATTGTCCATACGTGTGCAAACTGTCGGCCTTGTCGGCGTACTTGTCGGCCGGGTTGATGACGGGGGCACGGAGAGGTCCGGAAGCTGCAGAACGAGAACCGAGTTAGTTCAAAGTACAACAATGCCAATTGAATGTCAATTTTCACGTACGAGGCCGTTGCGCCTGGCGCATGTTTTCCGGCTCTGGGGACGCCGGGTGTGTAGAGGCCTTCGCAGCGAACTGCAGGGCAGATGAGGAAAAGGCGCGAGGGGCCGTAGACTTCGCAGCCGAAGCCACGGAGCGTCCAGAGCTCAAGCGCATCAAAGAGCGAGCGGATGCCATTTCGAGAGGAGGAGCAATGGCTTGCAAGAGGAGGGACAGGCAAGGCAAGTAAGGTGGATTGTGAGGACGGAGGTTGGCTGAACCTGCGAGTCACGTGGTGCTGACATAACTTGAGCAGGCGCTAAACTTAATATGGTAATGCCAGCAAAATGAAGCCGCGCTTCAATTTCCTTCCTTTCTTCTCCCTCGCCGTTCATATCGCCCGCTCATCTCGCCCCTCCCTCTCCTTCCTTTTCCTCTTTAATTCCTGCTTTCTCCTTTGTGCTGGCTCCGGAGTCTCGTCTTCCTATTTTCCATTTTGCTCTCGACACCACGGCTGGCGTTGAATATTCACAGTCGCCTGTTTCCATTACCCCAATTTCAGCGCGACCATGTCTAGTCGCCAACAGATCGACTCCGTCATCGACGACGATGATGAATTCTGGTATGTGATGGATTCTTGGATAGTTTTGCGATGTGCATGCTCACTCTCTCAAAGCCCCCTATGTATCGAAGAGTTCGATCTTTCAGACAAGAACTTCAGACCCTGTCCCTGTGGATATCAGGTATGCCCTTGCCTAACCTTGTGAGATCTGCTGCCGCACATGATGCTCATATCTACTTTTAGATTTGCCAATTCTGCTACAATAACATCAAAACCCACAGCGAAGAGGGCCGATGCCCGAACTGCCGCCGCCCTTACGATGACAGTACAATTCAATACAAGATTCCTGATGCGGAGGAGTGAGTCACAGTCTCCCTTTGCTTGATGCCACCATTTTGCGCGAACTTACTACTGACCTGGGTTGGCGATCTAGATTTAAGGCTGATTTGGCACTGAAACACCGCAAAGCCGCCGCAGCGAAGAAGAAGGAAGCCGAAAAGCGCGAAATCGAAGCTTCTAGCCGCAAGAATTTGGCAGGCGTTCGAGTAGTCCAGAAGAACCTGGTCTACGTCATCGGCCTCAACCCCACCATCCGCGACGAGAACCAACTCCTTCAAACTCTGCGTGGGAAGGAGTATTTCGGACAATATGGCGATATCGAGAAGATTGTGGTCAGCAAAGCTAAACCCGGTGGCAACCCCCACCAGGGCATTGGTGTTTATGTCACGTTTTCTCGAAAGGCCGATGCTGCAACATGTATCAATGCAGTGGATGGTTCCGCTAATGGCGACAGGATTCTACGGGCCCAGTACGGAACGACTAAGTACTGCTCATCCTTCCTTCGCAACGAGCAGTGCAATAACCGCAACTGCACGTTCCTGCACGAGACCGGGGAGGATAGTGAGAGCTATAGCCGCTCGGATCTCTCATCCATGAACACATTATCTAGCCAGCGCCAGAACGTCCCTCAGGTCCCGCAGCCGCGTCCTGTTCAGCCGCTATCTCATCCAATGCGCCGCCAACCGTCTAAGGATGACTCGATTAGTGGACGTCAATCTATTCCCGATGGACCTGCACTTCCTTCATCGGCAAGCTGGGCGAATAGGGATGCTTCTATCAAGGCTAGAAGACCCAGTTTATCTGGCAGCCAGGCCTCTCAGAGCCCTCGTCCCGCTTCTGTTAACGTTGCAATAGTAACAGAAGAATCGAAGCGCACAGAGAAGCCGTCCCCTATCACCCAAGAAGCCCAGCGTGTCACCTCACAGTCTGATACCAGGTCGCCTTCGAGCCAAACAAGACCCCGCGAAGCCAAGCCCGAGCCGGCTTCTCCCTTCGATAGCCTCATCAAAGAGCTCATGTCCCCCGAATTTCGATTTGTTTTCTCTGCATCTGAGCTTCCCGCGGACGAGCTCAAAGCGATTGAGAATTACCCTTCCTTCATCGATCCATACGGGGGTGTGAAGCGCCGGGCGATGCGCGAGAAGGCCGAACAGGACCGCCTCAAGCGTGAGCAGGAGCTTCTTCAAACTGCTTCAGCAGAGGAGGAAAGTCGGGAAGCTGGCAGCTTGCAGCTTGGTGGGGAGCCGGAGGAAGGTAGTCAACCACGCGGTCGCCCCACACGTGAATTGCACGGCGCCATTCAGCCCCCTTCCCAGCAGGGTACAGCAGAAAATTCAACTGTTGGCTCTCCAGTCTCCGCCACGAGCCACCAATTCCAGGGCTTGAATTTGGCTGGCCGTAGCTTGACCCCGCTTCAACAGCAGCAATTGATGCTCCTCAAGTCCGCTGGCAATCAGCAAGCTGGATTGTCCGACCCGCTGAGCTCCGCTGCTTTGGACCAGGCCGCTCAAGTGCGCCAAGGGCTTATGCAAAGCCAAATGGCACAGTTCAATGCGCTTCAGGCCCAAAGCCGCCAAGGTGCTTCCCGATTCTCCTTCGCAAACGAGGTTGGTTCGAAGAATATGACCAACGCTCGCATGTTGAGCCAGATGCAATCTGGTACCCCAAACCCGCTCTCTGCGCCCAGCCCCCAGCATGCCGTGGGCGGCGGCTTCTACGCAAGTGGTGCTCAAGGCCCGCCTCCCGGTTTGAAGACTGCTGGAACACCTCCCATTAGTGGTGGCGGAATGTTCGCTCAGGGCCACGGTTTCACAAACAACAATGTTGGCCTGGGTTCGACCATGAGTAAACAAGATGCGACTCCCGAATTAATGCGTGAATTACTTCGTGGGCGAAGTGCTACGAATATTGGCGGTATACAGGGCCAGGAGGCCGCAAAGCGTGAGTTCATGTTCCCTTTCCTTCAACAGCACCAAACCCCACCTCCCCTGACTCCCGTCAATGGCCTTCTCAGCTCTTTCTATGGGTCCCAGGCAGGCTCAGCGCCTGACTCTGGTGGCTCACAGAAGCAGAAGAAGAAGGGGAAGAAGCAGAGACACGCTAACACTTCCTCCGGTGGAGGTGGTGTAGTAGATCTCGCGGACCCGAGCATTTTGCAGGCGAGGATGCACCAGGTCGGTGTCAATGCTACTGCTGGGCAGGCGTTGTACGGGAGCCAGAGCCAAGGTGGGTACAATCCCTCCATGATGTACGGCGGTGGTGGCTTCAACCGCTGGTGAACGACTTTTCTCGTATGGACCCACTTGCATTTTCCCTTTTGCATTTCTTTCTCTTGTTTGTTTTTTTCATGAAAATGATGCTCAACCACATGGTTTGATGGGTCTGCCTCTTTCGATATGATATCATTTCCTTTCTGCTGTTATCTTGTGCGAATTCGGGGCTGCTTTTTGTCTTTTATGCAAACAGACAGGCCGCTCTGGATCAGTTCGATGGGCCGGCGTGCCCTTGGCGTACTCTGATGGTCTTTTCCTGCATGTTTTCCTGGCTTTCCTGGTTTCCGGTGTTGTGCATTTTGTTGGACATACTTGCATGTCGTCTGGGTCACCCGTTTCATTTGGCGGCTGTTTGCCCTCTTTATTTTTTCCTATTTTGCATTCGGATCTTCGTTCGATCATCTGCAGCGTCTTGAAGACCGCGATGGATCTATGGATCAATGTACGTTAAGGCCTCCCTACCCTGATTTCCCAACCTGGACAGGGTTTTATTTGAGAACCAGTTGTCTCACTGCCATTTACATAGACCCGTTGCCCTACAATGTACCTGGCCCATGCGAGTCAGTGCCCGTCGTGTAATTATTTGTTTTGGCGCCTCTTGTATTTTGATAGTCCCGCACGCTTCGTCGTTCCCCGGTTGAGATCCATTGACATCGCCAACCCACCTCTCTTCGCTGCTACGAACCAAATGCTAACTTTGGGTCGATAGTAACTGATGAATTTCCTCCGCTCGGCGGATCATCGAAAGACGCTGGACCCGTTGATCCATTTGGTTTCCTCAAGTCCCAGCTCCCTAGCGAGTCGGCTGGCCGTGTTGGAACCCCGACCCTGCCTCCTGGTCTTCCTCTACCTCATGCGCATCCGGCCTCTGCAGCTTTCCAAGAACATATGAGCTCATCAAAGCCGGCATCCCCAGCCCCCATCGTGCCACCAGGATTGAGTGGCAATTTGTCGCGAGTTGGAACTCCCTCGAAGCAAAATCAGACATCTGAATCTCGAGCCATGACTCCTGAGAGGCATAGTCGGAATGCTTCCACATCTGCTCGTATACAGGATGCCTCCCAGATTTCTCTTGGATCTCCGATCGCGAAATCCGCTCACAAAACGCGGCTTCATGCTAAGGGCGACCTGCGTCTTGTGACGGATGAGAAAGAACCCTTTTCACAAGTCGATCAAGGTCTGCTCATTGGCACAAAGGAAAGCCCTGCCAGTGTAAGCGTGCCATCGGCTACCCAGGAAGCTGCTTCCACCAAGTCTGAGCGTGGTTCCTCAGGCACCTTTGCCTCCGCTGCAGGTTCAACTTCTGCGATAGGCTCAAGGCCTAATACACCATTGACCACTGCCTCGGGAATTCCTGAGTCGTCCGCTACTCGTCAGCCGCGTATTCTACGAGTCGTTGAGACTCCGAAGCCCGCCCCTCCTCCCCCAGTCGGCACTGCACCATCCGTTGCGGCCTCGACCACCACCGCCGACAAGTCTCGGTCTCAGGAGACAGAGTTTGTCATCAAACAGTCGACCGGATACTCCGGGTGACTACGGATCTGAAGCTGACTTCTTCCCTTCGACATCGGCATCCCGTGCCAACTCTCCCCCTGCTTCGTCTCGGATCGGCTCCGCTCCGGTGCGCTCCATCACCAAGAGCCAGGCTAAGAAGGAGAGACGGCAGAAGGCGAAGGAAGCCGAGGCCAAAAATGTTGAGACTGTGCCTGTTCCCCAAGAGCTCGTCCAAGCTCCAATCATGGGCAGAAAGCGAAAGACCAAAAAGGCTACTTCTACCCCCACCGACTCCGCTGACGGACCCGCGGCCAGCGTTGCTGAAAGTGCGAGTCCTATCAAAGCCTCCGTCGGACCTCCGAAGAAAGACGAGTCCAAGCCCGAGCCTCCTAAAAAGGTCAAGGAGAAGGAGCAACCCGTGCCGGAGATCAAGCAGGCGCGTACAGAAGCCCCATCAGCTCCGCCAAAGCCACATGTTGAAGAAGCCTGGCATTCCCACAATACCGTGCAACAAGCTACCAAAGATGCGGAGGAGTCTGGCCGTTCTATCAAAGATATTTTATTGGAAAGAACGAAGCCTCTTCACGAGATACTTGCTCAAATGCATAGATCCGGATCGTTGGATCTCAACAAGAGTCTGCTATTCAATCCCGTCGGCCTCGGCCAGCGTACAGATATGAAGTGCACAGCCGATGATTATGACCAATTGAAGAAACCCCTTGAATTGACTGAGGAGCACCGCAAAGCTTTGCGTCGCGGTGAGCCAGTTCACATTGGCAATGGCCAGCTGAAGAATCGTTGCTTGATTACTCCCCGAGGCTCCGTGCTTCGTCACCTGGAACCCGAAGAAGAGGCGCGTTATCTTCAGTTGGAGAAGCAGCAGGATGGATTCACCGACCCATTCGTGGTTGGCGATGACTCTAGCAATATCAATGGAGGTCTCGAGGCCCTTTTCGCGACTCCCGAGAAATACAATATTCGCTGGGTGGATGAACCGGCCCGCCTGGGCGCTACTTCTCCCACCACTGCCCTGACCGCTGCCCTAGGCGCTGCAGAGAACGTTGTTCCCCCAAATGTTTTGTCCGCCATGGAAGCCGACAGCACCCGGAATCACGATTGGGCTATCGCCCACTCTGCCGAGCTTCTGCAGACTACTACCGATGCTGTGCGTTCCTTTGCTGCTGCCACGGCCAAGCAAATCCTTGGTACTGCCGGTATTCCCTGCGCCAACCCCAGCCTCGAAGATGTCTCTGCTATGACCAACGAAGAGCTTAAGGAACTCTCTGGTCGATCGCAGAAGGACCTGGAGAGCACCCGCAAGGAGATCGACTCGCTAGACAAGAAGTTTGCGGCCCTGCTCCGCCGGAACAAGAAGGTCCAGCAACAGGCGCTAGCGATTGTTGACTCGTCGAGTTGATCTGTGCCCGTATAATGGAGCACGAAATCTCGGTCCAGCCGCCGAGTAGATCATCAGGAGGGATATCTCGTAGTGATTGATCTATCCAGTGCCCTCCTCGGTCTCATTCTTTTATTTTGGCTCGCCGTCACCTGTATGATTACCCAGTGAAAATGCACGATTTCTCTTCACAATTTGCCAAACTTGTAGAATATTAAGCCCGGTGAGGGACGTCTGTATAACTTGATTCCTTTGTAAATGCTAGAATTTGCCCATGAGTCGCTCTGAGTCCGTCTCCACTGTCTCAGAGGTCTGCCCAAATACTCGCATCAAACAAACGTACACGGGGAACAAAGAAGCAAATGAAACATCCGACATACCCTCCCCAAGTTGTGCACAAAAACTTCAGAGCGCCGTGGAAAGCATTTGCCAGATGACAGAAAATCGAGTGCTTCTGCCTCTCACTCGCCATCAACTCTGAAAAGGACAATCTATCTACAGCGGGAATCCTTGTGGTGTTGATGTGATCCGCCAACCTTCCGATGCGCACTCATGGCCTTGTGGAACCGGTGATATAACTAAGTAACCCTGCCGATTGACATTATATGGACGCAACGATGTATCGAGCGTGCATTGCGTGGTCAAGTCTTGCTGTCCATGGGTACGACGATTCTCTCACCTCGCGCCACACGTCGAGCAGATTCGGCGAACTGGGCTCGGCGCTTACTCCCGTACCTTGTAATAGAGGTTCAAAACCCCCTAAGCTCGGATGATCTGAATCATCGTAGGGGAATAGCATATCTCGAAGAAGAGACGGGAGATATATTGATGAAAGAGTTATCGCATTACGCTCATATTAAACTAAGAAGAACGTCAAGATCAAGTAGAAGATTAACGATTCTCGAAAAAAGCCTAGAGAAGTATTTGTATCTTCCTTCCTCTCCATGTCCATCATCCTCTTGATCTTCTCCCACTCTATTGCCTTTCTCCTCGAAATGTCCTTCATGTCCTGTATCTCCTCCTTTTCTCCATCTCCTTCGTGTCCTTTATCTCCTCCTTCCACTTCAATTCGATTCTCTTCAGCTCTACCTTCATTTCCTGAATCTTACCAATTACCTTGATTTTCTGGTATTTACCAGTCCTTTCCATCTCTAACATCCTCTCCAATTCCACATCCCACTCCGTCACCAACCTCTCCATTTTATTCTTGATTTCCTTGATATATTTCATCACTTCCATCTTCTTGATCCATTCCATAGTGTACTCGCTGGGTTCCCAAGCAAGAATTGATGTGTTTCTGCATGAGCTGCGTCTCCTCTGGTTCTAAGGGGTGAAGTCTTTTACGCCATATATCGCAAATATTGCCCTCTTCATATGGAGCCCTTCCAAAGAATCGCCGATCTATTTTTTTCCAGTATATCGCGTCAAAGGCAAATTTGTTCCTTGTAGCATACATTATCCAAAAGTCTCCGCTTTGCCAACTGTCCTGCATCCGACCAGACAGCCGTTGACCTTCTAGTAGCCGTTTGTTTCGGATTGCCTCGTCTTCGCTTTTCCGCATCGCCTCAAGAAAGGCTTGAAGCGGTTTTTTCATATTCCGTACACCAGTTCTCAAGCTCTCTAGGCCAATCTTCCGGCTTTCTAAGAAGCAGCCACCAAGGCGGCGGTAAAGCAAATTCGGCTGGGGCGGTATGTGTAAATTCCCAATCTATAACTCCAACGATGCTCTCGGCTCCATCAACTAGCACATTCTCTGGTCGAAAATCGTCACATCAAACATGAAATGGGCCTCTATCACGGAAATTCCATTGCTTCCTTTGTTCCTGGTCACGGGCAAGCTTCCGGAAGAGAAATCTGGCCACAAACTTGCGCTGAAAGTCATCCGCCAAGACATCCACCGGTACATCCTCCAAGACATCCGCTTCGTTCCTTTGACTTATGAGATGTTCAATGTGTAGCTCCGCCAGGGCTTCGAAGTACGATGATGCTTTATCGTAAGTGGTGGTCGGTAGCTTCGATCGGGGTAGCGTTCCCAGTTGCACAATCTCATTCATTGAATAAGACAGAGGACGATGCAAAACTTCCCACGTCGAATCGTCACTCTTATCAAGGCATCCTATCCGGCTGAAAGAAAACGTAGACAGCGAAAGTATGATGTTGGCTATTTTTCCATAGAGAGCTTCTAGCCTGACGGGCTGAAGATCTGGATTGAGTACAGGCCTTTGCCCTCGTTGACGCCCTGGCTTTTCAAGGAGGTCACCCATACTGCCTTCATGGGGAATATGATTCATAATGATGAAAGGACCCAGTTTCGAGGGACTTTTTTGTCTCTCCCCAGTGAAAGACGAAAGGCACCAGGGTTGCGATTCGTTCTGGAGCTTCTTCTAAAAGAAATCGCATGACCGAGACCTCATTGCGCATTTTTTCTTCAGGAAACATGATTGCACCGGGCACTGGGAACCGTATAATAGCGCCGCAATTATTGGTGAACTCCATCTTGAAGCAGGAATCAAAGCCGCCCGTGTGGAGAAATTCAAAGGAAGCACATTCAAGCTCGCTGAATTCTTCGGAAAGAATGACTCCAATGTCGCTATACATGTCCCCCATCAGTACGCAGAAGTTTTGGCCAGTCCTCCCAGATCTGGGAGCTGATTGCCCAAGCAACATCGTCGTAAGGCTTACATGCGCTCATCTTGGGAAGGCCGACTGGAGAAGTGATCGGGAAGAACAAAACACTAGCTGAGTTGCCAGTTCGATGCACTGTTTTGTGAGAGCCGACTGAAACATAAGACGCACTGTACCGGAACAGGCTGTTCGAGGGACACAATCACATAACAGCCACAGAAATACTCTGCCGGATTATCAGTAGTCCCGAGGCAATGTTACTAGGAACACGGATTCATGTACAAAGTAATTCAAAGCTGAGAGTCCTTGAGAAAAATCCTTTCTCAGTATTGTCTTGGTATGGCAGACCCATCTTCAGATAACTTGCCGGGTGGACTTCCTTTCGGGCGCCGCCACAGGGCCAGTATATTCTTCCAGTTGGGTGCTCGTCCCTTTGAAAAAGGTCGGCATATCGGGGCCTGGTTGTATCCGAATAACTACAGTTGATGCGTCAGAAATAGACCACTATCATTCCATTCACGGGCCGTGTGATAGTTTCTGTTGTAGCGCGCAATTTGAGCTTCCATCTCACGCCGCTTCATTTCATCCTCATCAACAGCTACTCTGTATATTCCCAAATACTTGGCAGAGAGCAGAGCCTCCCCCGTACTGCCTGTCGTAGCTTTAAGTCACTGTCAGCTGAAATTTATTCATCATGTTCATTAGGGCTATTGGGTTAGGTAGGTGACAGTAATCTCTGAATCTCTATATCTATTCCAAGCCCTTCAACCCGTCTTTGTATGGCTGCAGATCATACTCATCTGGATATGTTTCAATGATCCGCTTGAGTTCCTTCATCTGCTCTTGTGCTTCCTCTGTGATCTCCTCGTATACATCGGTGAAAGCTTCCCGAATCGGCGGCTTCTTCAGACGCTCCGCTTCTTTGAACTCCTTCAGCACAGCCTGGCGCATAGAGTCACGTGTCTCCTTCTCCATGTCTTCATTCCAGATCCCCTTGTTCTCAAGCCACTTACGTAGTCGGATGATAGGGTTATCACGGCGCTTCCAGTCCTCTACCTCGACGCGTGCGCGGTAAGCGAAACTGTCATCGCTAGTGCTGTGGTGCGATACACGGTAGCTCATCGCTTCGATGAGGACTGGTTGGCAACCGTCACTGAGTGCCCGTTTTCTCGCTTCGGTCATAGCTTCGTACATGGCGAATACGTCGTTGCCATCAACTCGGATCGTGTCCATTCCGTATCCAACACCACGGCTAGCAATACCGTCGCCACGGTACTGTTCTATTGTTGGCGTAGAAATGGCATATCCATTGTTGCGAACGACAAAAATGACAGGACAGGACCGTGTAGCGGCAATATTAAGTCCTGCGTGAAAGTCACCTTCGCTAGCTGCGCCCTCACCGAGGTAGCAGGCCACTACCCGAGGGGCTTGGTTACGGTTCTGAAGGTCTTTCAATTTCATAGCATATGCAGCTCCTGAGGCTTGAGGAATCTGGGTGGCCAGGGGAGAGGAGACGGTGATCTAGGTATTTGACTTAGTTAATTGTATTTTGCTTGGTGGCCATGACACTCACGATACGAGGATATTTTTGACCATAATGAACGGGCATATTTCTCCCCTTGCCATTGTCATTACAATTGGCAAAGAGCTGGCTCATGAAGTCCTTGAGGGTAAATCCACGTTGCTGATAAACACCAGCCTCACGATATTGTGAGAAAGCCACATCATCCGCGGTCAAAGCGGCCGCGGAGCCGATGGATATACCCTCTTCACCTTGTGAAACCTGTGAATGTTGAATGTGTTAATCCATGTGTCTCTGCAAACAAAGGTGGACCATACCATGTAGAAACTAATACGACCCTGGCGATGTGCATCGAACATGATCGTATCCATGATGCTCACTATGACCGATCAGCAAGCCTGTTCATTGCGAATTGACGATGATAATACCTTGCAGCATATTCTTGTACCAAGTCAGAATCTCTTCATCTGAGACATTAGGAGGACTCTTCGATTTATCGACCATCTCGCCATCTGAATTCATCACTCGATAAGTAGGAATAGCGGGCAGGTCTTTGGCTGTGACGAAAGACATGTCGGATGTGAACTCGCTGTTGACGGCTCCTGGAAAAACAACTCTATAATGCCGTGAGCCATGCCCCTTGTAAGAAAGATGAAGGCAAGAGGACGCAGCCAGCTCTCACTTACCGATCCGAACCAGGTCTTTGTGAAACAGTGCTGCCCCATCGAGCGGGCGACGCGAACACGGGCATGAGAGATCGCGGCATACGCGCCGCTAATAGTGGACGCCGAAGAAGAATCTTGAATGACATTTTCGCTATGAGCAAAACAGCATGTTGAGAACAAGAACTAGGGAAGTATTCAAGAGTGAATCTGGGGCAAAATGCGGAGGAGCTCGGTTGGCGTCGGCCTTCACGTCCCTCCCCTCACCGCCCCGCTTCCAACCGAGTCTATCTATGCTCTTCTGTATATTCCAAATCAGACACAGATTTTCAGACTTTCCTTTACACAATGTGCGAGAGATACTATTTTGCCACCTCAAATCTCTGTGAGACATACAGGGCACTCACTTTTACAGGGTTTGGCTATGGTCTCGAGTTCTCTCTGTATTACATCGGAATTCAAATGATTGGCAACGATAAGAGAGTGCAGATGTTCCCACGCTAAACACGAGGTAGCAGGACGCGTGAGCAATCGGTCGACGCAGTTGGGATGCAGATGGGGCTTCATCCAACGGAGTTGCCAGTGCCTCCGACGGTGTGTGCCATGATCTCCGCCGGAGCGGGGGATGGACACAAGATAAGAGTATACCATCAGCGTACAAGATCGTATTTAGACACGTAGCTCACCAGAGATGAATTCAAGTAAATGAGACCAATTTATGCAATATGCCGATTGCACCTCTGATGGTCGACTACTTGGCCTCACCATGGATCCTAGCCACTGTTCCAGTCTGGCTGGTTCTGTACTACTTAATTCCATACTTCACAACCTATAGCATTTTAGCCCGCGTTCCGGGCCCCTTCGTCGCCAATTTCAGCAATTTATGGGTCGCTTTAGGTGCTCGGCGAGGCAAGAAGTTCGAGATTGTTGATCGGGCTCATCGCAAATACGGCAAAGTGGTTCGCATTGGTTTCAACCATGTCTCCATCGCCGACGAGCGAGGGCTCAACATCGTCTATGGCCACGGGAACGGTTTCTTGAAAGAGTATGCGATTCATCCCGCCCATCTATTCCCTCTCTAATAGCCCATAGTCATTACTATGAAGCATTTATCGCGAAGACCCCCGGCATGTTCAACGTCCGCGACCGTGCTGAACATACCCGTAAGCGCAAAATCATCGCCCATGCTTTCTCGCCTCGATCTGTTGCCGAATTTGAGCCTCATATGACAGCAAATTTGGAGCGATGGGTGAAACAGCTGGACTTAATTGCTGCAAAAGCGCCTCCCAAGAAGAAGTATGGCGAGTTCAACGCTATGCCCTGGTTCAGCTACATCGCTTTCGATATCATCGGTGACCTGGCATTCGGATCCCCATTCGGTATGGTGGATAAGGGCAAGGATGAGGCCGAGAGCCAACTTGTACCGGGTGGTCCTATTAGAAAAGCTCCCGCTGTTGACGTGCTGAACCGTCGAGGCGAGATCTCTTCTACCCTCGGTCTTCTCCCAACCCTCCGTCCCATTGCTCGATATTTACCCGATCCCTTCTTCTCCAAGGGTGTTGCTGCTGTGGCGAACTTAACAGGTATTACAATTGCCGCTGTCGCGACACGACTGGACGCCACTGAACGTGGCGTCGATAACAAGCGTAACGATATTCTCGGTCGCTTGATTCAGGCTCGTGACTCCAAAGGAGAACCTATGGGCCGCGAAGAGCTCATAGCAGAGGCTCTGACCCAGCTGATTGCCGGCTCAGACACGATTTCTAACACTGCCTGCGCCTGTTTCTACTGGATTCTCGCCGGTGAGCGCGCTAACCCCGGAAAAATCGTTGCTCGGCTTCAGAAGGAGCTGGACGATTCCATTGGCGCTACCTCTCAGATAGCCGCATACTTTCAAGTCCGTGATCTACCCTTCTTGCGTCGCTGCATCGACGAAGCCATGCGTCTTCACTCCACGTCAGCAATTGGACTCCCTCGTCTCGTTGCCCCTGGTGCCGGTGTCACATTTGACGGATACTACTTTCCTCCTGGAACAGTTCTCTCCGTTCCTTCATATACTATCCATCACATGGAAGAGATTTGGGGACCAGATGTGGATGAATTCAAACCCGATCGCTGGCTCAACCTGACGCCGCGACAAAAGTCCGCGTTCAATCCATTCTCGTACGGACCACGAGCGTGTGTTGGTCAGAATGTGGCTGTGATGGAACTTCAGTTAATAATTGGCACGCTATTCCACCGTTATGAATTTGAATTGTATCAGAAGGAGATAGAGTCATACGAGGGTTTCTCAAAGAAACCGAAGTAATGTTTTGCTGGGATTCGATTGAGGAACACAACTTGAACATTTCAGATGTCGAAAAGTCTCGCGATCTTGGTGTGTTCGATACAGAGTGAAATTCGAATATTATAAATTGTGTGAATTATGATTGATGGGCATGCTTTTTTTTCTTTTTTTGCAATATCAAGTGCTGAGTAATGGCTTTTACTTTTCTCGTTCTTTCTGACTTTCAGACTACATTCCCGAAAAACATCTCTTCAAGTGACGAGGACTCCTGTTCAAAGGTCAAATTTCCCTCCTCCAATGGCTTCAATGCTTCATCATTCATCAAATTACCATGGAGGTTGTTATCGGTCACAGTTGAAGCAAGAGACTCCTGCCCGCCAGCTCCGAGAAGATGTTGTCGGACGATGTTCAACGACCATCGACCGACAGGTTCCGCCTTGCCGCCATGTTGTATATGTGAGATAGCATTCTCCATGAGGAGTACCGTTCTGTTCACGTCAGGGATACGAGACACAAACTCAGCCAAAGTGACCATGGCGAAAGAGCACAGGTGGGTTTGTTATAAGCGGGGTGGATGTAAGTGGTGAGGTCGGACATTGACAGGAAAAATATCAAAAGTTGATGAGACTGAAAAATGGCTTCTTCAATGAAGGGAAGTTTCTGGGTTATCTTGTCTAGGACCTTTGATGCGGAAGTCAGGGTGTAATTTAGATGTTGTAATGTTCGACGCGCAAGGATGAGATAGGTGCATGAGTATGCGAAACGCAATGGCTCAGATGAATCAAGCTCTATACGATGCCTTTTAATTTCAAGATCTTAGAATACCATCGTGTGGAATGACTCACTGTAAATGTGATCATGAGTTTTGCGCAGCTTGTCAATTTCGGGCCATGTTGCACTTTTTTTCTGAATTACATTGGAGCTTGTGAGATCCCAAAGTGTGTGATAAAGCTCCACTCCTGCAAGCACCAACTCATCCCGAAAGTTGTATGATGGAAACTCGAGTATTTTGGCACATTGATCCAAGTACTGCTTTGCGATCACAGGTGGACGTCCAGCGCCGACCGAGAATCTAGTCAACAATAAGCCCGTTCCAACTGGATGAAAAGCCGCGATCGGCCTCTCCATCTGCAAGATGTACTGCAATTGGCAAAGGCATATCAAGTTCCATGTGCGCATCAATTTTCTTGATTGATTTGCTTAATTGGAAGTATGCGCGCATAAAAGCTGATCAAAGCGTGTCGTCATAACAACCTGCATAGCAGTCATACCACTGAGTAACCAAGAATTTCCATGGTCGTGATCTCGAGTCGGTCTTAGATCCCACATTGAGAAAATAAGCATCGCTTGAATTGTGTCGAGCGAAGCAGACGATGCTAGATGTGCCCGGCCCAACAGACTATGAACATGCCGATATAACACGCGGTGTAAGTCAGACCCGTGTAAAGTCGGAACACTGTGAAACCCTGCGAGGATACAAGTCCCTAGAAGAAGAGAAGACTTGTAATAGATATCGACGGGCTCTGTACTCATGAAAAGCCAACGACTGGATAGCTTGGAAAACCTGCGAAGCGGATCGTGTTAGGTTGGAATAGATAATAATCGAAAAGAATGAGTGGGCACCCATCAAGAAGCACCGAAGCAAGCTCTTCGGGAACAATACTACTGACGATGCTATCTTCGGATATATCCAGTGTTGTGGATGGTTGTTGTGGCAATGCCATATTTTCTCTGATTTCTTGAATGAGACTCATGGGCGCATCCCGAGCAGTCTGTTCCGCAACAGGAGGCGACTGTATCTCTAGAATCAGGGGTATTGATACGACTATGGGACTAAGATGCACTCACCTTGACCTCTATCTTCTCTTTCTCTTGGTTGCGACTGGCACCGTGAACGGGTATTGAAGCCTGGATTTGCATAAGCGCGGCTTCAACCGCAGTGAGTCTATAGGATCAGACGAGCTAGCATTTACTGAGTAGAGCGACTTTGAACAGCATACCTATCGTTGCAGTCACATTGATGACTCCCTGCGGGGTCACTTTCGAGTTGTACTGGAGATCGCTGGCTTCGAGCTACGCCGCGAAATGAACAAACGAGCCTTCACATAGTCAGAAAGCTACTAGCGGCCAGGAATGAGCATCGTTACCGGAGAACCTCGCAGCGATGACATTGATCGAACCCCGGGCGAATTTCACATCGTGTTTTTAAGCGTCGGCAAGCTTCACATGATCGCACTTTGTTAAATTTCGAAGATTGGGCAGCTCTTGGCCGGGCCTTTCTATTTCGCATGGCGTTGGAATTCAATATGGGTGAAGGCATGGCGAGGATAGTCCGGGATTAGACGGCAGGTCCGAAAGAGAACCGCTGTTTATCCCCCGATTTGCCTCCTCTCTCCACTTTTGAGTAGTTCTGTGTCGACGCTGCCGGTGGATGGGCCTAGACAACCATGTGAACCTAACTAGAGCTATGTACAGTAGGATCATAATCTTGGCCAATGAACATCATTTGCAGGGTCGTCTTACATCGTGATATTCTGTAATGATGATTGGCTTTCAATCACCACCAAGACCCCCCCCCACCTTTGACAACGGTGATAGCGATAGTTTTTCTGGGATCTATAGAGCCAAGGATTGGTCACGATACTTGTAAACTGAAGTGACCCAGAATCTCATCGTGTCTGATCGCTGCATTGCAAATCAGACAGATCTAATCGGAAAATAATTGAAGTTGTGACCACGCGCCTGAGTTTCAGAAAGAGATGTGGCTTTTTATAGGTCACACAGGCTTTGCTCAAGGGCTGGCTCTGTGCTCTCTGATCTGAGAAGGATTATATGGCGAAGATCAGCTCACCATCACCCAGCTCACTATTGTATAGCTACCATTGGAACAAGCAGGCTTGGTCCATTGCAAAGACTGCCTTCACAGTGCATTGCTTCGACCGGTTCCGGAAACACAATTCCACCGGATTCCATAATGTACGGGCATATCATACCTCTAAGACTAGCCTACTCAATCTGTAAACGACCGCCGTTAGCTATCCTGAGGATACTCTCACTTCCGTTCTAGTTTGAGCACATGTCGAAAAACAGGTGGTTCCGGGGCCCCGACGTCACTCCGAGAATCGGATCCACCACGCACCAAGGTTAAACCGATGACATCGCTACCCGACGTGCCTCACTATCATTGGCACTCAATCCTGGTCATAAACTCCACTTACCATCAATCTTTGTTGGCCAGACGGGTTTTATGACATAGCCCGTCCCTGGGGGTTCCTGAAAGTCTTGAAAAGGTTTTCCTGATCAATCTGGATACATTGTCTTTGTTCAATCTCACATTCACTCGATACAGCTGCTCTTCACAAACTACTACAATGATTCAGTCCGAAAATGTCCAGGATGTGTTGAACACAGACATCAGAACCCCCATTCCTGATGCGATTGTGTCGAAGATTATTTCTCGGCCTCCCTTTGTCAATGTCCCTGGAGTATCCAATATCCGAGACTTGAGCTATGAGAACAACCTACGCCCAGGCTATGTCTACCGATCCGGGAACATGGCCGACATTCTAGATGCAGGCAAAACGTTGTTGGTCGACGAGCTGAAGATTACTACGATCTTTGACCTTCGGAATCAAGGCGAGCGAGAACGAGCTCCCAGTCCAGAAATCGAAGGCATCAAGACGATATGGATGCCGTACGGGGCCAGACCGGCTTCTCTGAATCTAAAAGATTTCGCTGGGGAGGATCAAGGCGACAATGGCTTTGTGAAGATGTACACGGGTATTCTCGAGGCCGCAAGCCCGGCGTTCACGGAAATCTTCAAGCATATCAGAGATAAGCCTAATGATCCGTTCATATTCCACTGCTCTGGTGAGTTGATCCCAGGCCACATACTCCGTGGCCTTCAAATGTTTGAACTGGAGCTGACCAAATTTAAAATATTCAGCCGGCAAAGACCGTACTGGAGTTCTATCAGCATTGATTCTGCTCCTCATCGACCGACCGCATGAGGAGATCATTCGCGATTATATGCTCACTCGCGCTGCATTGGAGAATGTACGCGAAAATTTGACCCAAGCACTTGCGCTTCATTTTGGTACCGACCATCTGAGTCCCGAAGCGATCGGCATGTTAGAGCTGAGTGGCGTCCGGGCGCACGCCATGGCGGCATTTCTGAAGACGTTTGAATGTTCATACGGCGGCGTTGAAGGCTACTTGACCAAAGCGCTCTTCTTTTCGCCCGAGGACATAAAGAAGATGCGTCATAACCTGATGGCTGAACACGAACTCAATTAGACAGCATATAGATTAGACCAAGTATTGTACAGTATTTCACACGAGCATCCAAGACTTGGACCTGAACGGTCAGTGCGCTAGAATGCAGGGGTTTTTCAGGGCGTTTTGGGGATTCAGGGATTCAGGGATTTGGGAATCTATGCTAGTGTCTATAGTTAGTTACTGCGCTTTAGATTAACAATTGAGATTAACAACTCGTTCCTGGCTACGGCAATTTCTCGTTATTTGAAGCAAGGTTCTGGACTCTTGGAAATAAATAAGCCAAGGAGCTCTACCTTGAACTTCACTCTTCCCCCGGTCTCGACGTCTCCTCCCCGATTTCTACCCCTCTCGCTCTCCACTCACTCCACATTCAAGCCTCGCCGATCATCGCGTTTTCCCGCCACTCAGCCTAGACCCGGTGAATCCCCGGCATCAATTCCCAAAGGATCAACCTTGTACACTACTCAACGCTGCTACCGTTGCTTTCTTCCCCGCTCGTGGGGGTCGCTACTGTTGATGAGATATGAAGCCCATCTCCCTGACGTGGGGATCAAATGGCACAGCCTACGGCCGACTTCCAGCCTCATCACTTGATTGGAACAATCGAGTTTCCTTTTATTCATTCTCAACCGGTGTGCGGCTGTCGTGATCCTCAAAGGTGGGACCCAGAGAGCGTCGAGAAGATTGTTCCCACGCCGTTATTATTGTGCGTGAATTGCCTCAATACTCTACTCGACACAGCTTTGGGCTGCTTGCGGTGACATCATGCTTTTGTCGAAGAATCTCGCCTGGGCTGCGCTCCCATCAATGTTCCACATTGCACTTGGCCAGCATGTGGTGAATCTCGGCGGCGATGGCTGGACCGTCAGTAGCAAAGAATTGAACGTGTCGGCCCCTGGGCACCTGCCTTCCCAGGTTCATTTGGATCTGTTTGCCGCAGACATTATTGATGACCCATACCATGGTCTCAACGATTTCGACTTGCGTTGGATTCCCGACAACAACTGGACTTACACAAGTGAGCCACTCAAGGGGTTGGTCGAAAATGCTCAATCTTCTTGGCTGGTATTCAACGGCCTGGACACATTCACCACAATTGAGTTTTGCGGCCATTTCATTGGTACCACAGATAATCAGTTCCGCCAGTATACCTTTGAAATCTCCAAAGCCCTCAGCAACTGCAAGGGCGATCCTACTCTGGCAATCAACTTTGGCAGTGCTCCCAAGATTGCCAATGCCATCGCCGACGATCCAAACTCAGAGCGTACGTCCAAAAGAATATGATTCGCCGAGGAGATAGTCTAATACAACGTTTTCAGAATGGCCCTATGGTCCTCAGCAGACCTACGAATTCCCTAACCGCTGGTACATCCGGAAAGAACAATCTGACTTTGGATGGGACTGGGGCCCGGCGTTTGCTCCAGCTGGCCCATGGCAAGATGCTTACCTTGTTCAATTTGAGCGCGAAGAAAGCGTCTACGTTCTGAACACCGACTTAGACATTTTCCGCAAGGGACAAATCAACCATCTCGCCCCTGACCAAAGCCAGCCTTGGGTGGTGAATGCGAGCATTGACTTCCTCGGATCTCTACCACTCGGGCCCTCCATGATCATTCAGGTGAAAGACATTGAGACTGGAGAACTCCTTGAATCGGGCCCTATCGAGAACGTTGTCTCCAACAGCCAAACTATCACTGGTAGCGTCACAATTGATGCAAATTCCCCGAAACTTTGGTGGCCAACTGGTCTAGGCAAGCAGAACCTGTATAATGTGACTGTTGTAATTGAGGACAGCAGGAAGCATGCAATGGCCAACGTCACGAAGCGCTCTGGATTTCGAACCATCTTCCTTAACCGACTTGCTATCACAGAGGAGCAGCTGGCACAGGGCATTGCACCCGGCGCGAACTGGCACTTTGAGGTTAATGGCAAAGAGTTCTATGCTAAGGGCTCTAACTTTATTCCTCCGGATGCATTCTGGCCGAGAGTTACCGAGGCCAAGATGCAGCGATTGTTCACCGCTGTTAAGGCGGGTAACCAGAACATGCTCCGTGTGTGGGCATCCGGTGCCTACCTACCCGACTTCATCTACGACATAGCTGATGAATACGGCGTCCTGCTTTGGAGCGAGTTCCAGTTCAGCGACGCCCTTTACCCCAGCGACGAAAGATTTCTTGAGAATGTTGCTGCTGAAGTTGTCTACAACGTAAGGCGTGTTAACCACCACCCATCGTTGGCCTTGTGGGCTGGCGGCAATGAACTTGAAAGCTTGGAGTTACCTCTTGTTGAAGACGCAGCTCCTGATCGCTACACATTCTATGTTGGCGAGTACGAGAAGCTGTTCATAAGTTTGATTTTACCACTTGTCTATGAGAACACTAGGTCAATTTCCTATATGCCTAGCAGTACAAACAACGGATATCTGTGGGTCAACACGTCCGCTCCAGTTCCCATGGCTGAGCGCTACAACAATATCACGTCCGGCGAATACTACTCTGATACAGACCACTACAACTACGATAGCAGTGTGGCCTTTGACTATGGAAGCTACCCAGTTGGCCGTTTTGCGAACGAATTTGGTTACCACAGCATGCCCAGTCTCCAGACGTGGGAGCAGGCTGTTGATAAGGACCAGCTGCATTTCAACAGCAGCACAGTCATGCTCCGGAATCATCACTATCCTCCAGGTGGCACAGAGACCCGCAACTACAAAAACACATCCATGGGCATGGGTGAGATGACTATTGCGGTTGAACGTTATTATCCCATCCCCAACAAGACAAACTCTGTTGCAAACTTCAGTGCGTGGTGCCACGCTACTCAGATGTTCCAAGCCGATATGTACAAATCAGAAATCCAGTTCTACCGCCGCGGCAGTGGAATGCCGGAGCGTCAACTTGGATCTTTGTACTGGCAGCTCGAGGATATCTGGCAGGCCCCTACCTGGGCCGGGATCGAGTATGATGGCCGTTGGAAGGTTCTTCACTACGTCGCTCGCGACATTTACCAGCCCATCATTGTCTCACCTTTCTGGAACTACACCACCGGTCACTTGTCGGTCTATGTGACTTCTGATCTCTGGGAGGCCGCTCATGGCTCGGTGAACCTCACCTGGGTCGATCTATCTGGGAAGCCTCTTACTGGTAATGCGGGCACTTCCAACTCCAAGCAATTCACCGTTGGTGGTTTAAATACCACGCAGATCTATGCAACGCAGATCGCAGATCTGACCCTTGAGGATAAGAAGAATGCTGTTCTAATCCTGTCGCTCGAGGCAACTGGTATTCTACCTAACTTCGAGGGCTCCCAGATCACATTCACCCACCGTAATCAGGTCTCTGCCGCGTTTCCGAATCAACTCGCTCTTGTTGACCCCGAAGTTGAGGTTTCTTACGACGAGAAGGGAGGTACTTTTATCGTGGAAGCCAAGAAAGGTGTCTCACTCTACACTTGGCTGGATTACCCGTCTGGCGTTGTGGGTTATTTCGATGACAATTTCTTCACATTGCTTCCCGGGAGAAGAAGATTGTTCATTTCACTGCTCAAAAGGATGACACACATGGCAAGTGGGTGAAAGACGTTACAGTTCAGAGTCTTTGGGATCAGACTACTAAAAATTAATTCTCAAACGCCCACTGACAAATATCAAAAGTTCTTTCTGTGCTTGTGAAGGACTTTGATATTTTTTTCTTTTGTCTACAACGTTCTGTAATGAAGTTCAAGATTTTGAAAGAATGATGATCAATTATCTGTCGAAATAGTAATTTTCTCTGTAGGCATTGAATTCTAATATTAAATCTATACTTTATCACATGAGTCCTCTATACTTTATCAAATGAGACCCGCCAATCAATGCTCCAAAACTTCCATAATGCAAACAAAAAGCAAGAAAAGCATAAAGACGAAAGAAAATTCCCCCCAACGATTTTCATCGAGTTTCTCCACCATTCTGCGCAACATTGACTGGGCCCCAGTCATTTCAAGCCCGGGTTAATTTGGCGCGAAGTCTTGCGCCATAGATGTAAAAGACATAGGGAATTAAAACCATGCCAACACCAATGAATGCAAGAAGCCACGAGGCCCACTGCAAGCCGAGACGATCATACATTTGGGTTGTGAACAACGGGAAGGCAGCACCACCACCTGAGCGCAAGAAAACCTTGGCAGCTAGCGCAGAAGCCGCGTATTTCTGATATGAATCGATGATATAGTTGTTCACGGAATAGTAGCACAGAACCATACCGAATCCGAATGCAATACCTGACGAGGCAGGTCCCACCCAGATAATATGCTTGAAAGAGGTAGCGCCAAGCAAGAAGAATGCAATCGGGATGAATGGTGCACCAATTAGTGCGGCGATGAGCCGGTCTTCGGGGGTCGAAGCTCGTCTCTCGCAGATTTTTCGGAAATTCTTCTCGATGGCTGGGGTGATCATGAGAGAGAAAGCTGCGCCGATCAGAATGGGAATAAACATCAGCCCGATCTGACCGTCGTTGTAGTTGTACAGTTTGCCAAAGATAACAGGGTAGGCGAAGAAGAAGGCGTAGAGCATGGAGTAGATCAACACAATGTACATGCACATCAGGTCGAGGACGGGCTCCGTCATGATCATAGTGATGGGGCGAATCAAGCTAGTGCGAGCAATATCACGCATAGTAAGTTTCTTCTGCTCCTGCTCCGTGATAATGTTGGGGTTGCCGGTTTCTTTCCGTAGCTTGGCTGCGCGGCGCTTAAGGATGACGGGCGCATATGTCTCGGGGACAAGACCAATGATGATCATAACAACACCCGCGAAAGCCATATTTGTCCAGAAGAAGAGATCTAGGCGGCCGCTGCCGACATTGATCCAGCCGGTGACGATCGGGCCGATGACAGGACCACAGTATGGAGCGGCAGCAAAGTAAGCGATGGCCTCTCCTCTCTCTTCGATTCTCCAGATATCGGCGATAGTTCCACCCGCTAGTGAAAGGCCAGAACTTGAAAAGACACCGCAGAGGAAACGGCAGACCAGTAGACACCCGATGTTGGGCGCTAGAGCACAGGGGATGTTGAAGATAACATAGAGAGCCAAGGAGATGATGTAGACGGGTCTCCGACCAATGATTTCGGAAAGAGGTGACCATAGCAGAGGCCCAACGGCAAATCCACACACCATGATGGAGCAGGTCAAAATAGCGACCTCTAATGAGACGTTGTAGCGCTGTTGAATCAGGCCCAGGCCACCAGTGACGATAGACGAGCCGTATGCGATGCATACTACCAACCCTGACGCAACGAGGGTAACGTACCAACGATAGAAGACCGACCAATTATGCGGATGTTCGGGATCTCCGATGGTGAATGTCACAAATTCAGTGGCTTCTTTAGCCTTTTCAACGTCGGTGTCCTCGTCGAAGCGGGGGTGCCTGAGCGGCAGCTGGAGAGCGGACTTGCTCCAATGTGGTCTGGGGAACGAGACCAGTGTTGGTTTCGAGGACGTACTCGTCCGGGAACATAGGGTTGTCATTGCGTCCAACATAGGGGTAGTTGATATCAAGTGGTAAGGGCTGTTCTGGAATTTCAGAGTTGGGGCGATTATCTCGTGGTTGAGATTGGGGCCTAGGTTCGGCCATCTTGAGTTGAATAATGTGCAAGTATAGTACAAAGGTAGTACAATAGTCTATTTTTCAGGTACAAAGTGTCAGGGATTCACGGGCTACCGCGATATTTATAAGTAGACTGAATGTAAGGAGAGTCGCCCGTGTATGTGGTAGTATATACGTAATGCTTGCACGCCGACCAATCTCCGAGATAGACCGTGATGTATCAGATCTCCAGGGCGCTATTTCCAAGTGTGATAGGCCAAAAGGCAGTTGCATAGATGCCAGAACCAGCCTTGAGTCATTTTTTGCACATAGTTCAGCGGTAGCTTTGCTGCTCCCAGGGGCGAAACTCGGCGACAATCTCGGAGATGGTTCGGTACCGAGCAAATACCGAAGAGTATAATTCTTCAACACGGCTGCCAGTGTGATTGAACTATTCCAAACCATTGAGTCATATTACTAGACTCTGAAAACTTCTTGCGCATCTTGAAATGGCCCTTCCATTATGCGCCATTGCTTGTGCGATTCGCAAAAAGTATGAAAGATCTTATAGTGCATACGGTGCCGGGGTATTGCCAAGTTCTTTCATCGAGCGAAACCTGACAATTAAATGAGATAGCCATTCAAAAGTCTCCAATTAGCTCGAAGAAGAACCGTGCAACTTTCAAAATTGGAACACACAGTCTTGAGTCTTTACGAGCCACCGGAAGGGAGATCCGTATGGACCCAGGCTCTCCTGGGCTCGGCCTGGGTGGAGCTACAAGCATGAGCATCGGGCCGGTCAACTAGACCATGATAGGCAAACAACTAAACATCTGGGTCTACATACTGAAGATCATCTAGGGTTGAAGTATCTCAGAGACCTTATGCAATTGAGTACTGAATACGAATTAGGGATTGCGATGGCGGGGCATCGTGCAAGAAAAACCCCACCCAGGCAGTTCAATGTACAAACACGTGACAGTGGAAGGTCATCAACACCAATGAAGCTTACTGCTAACATGTATACTGTAGCTTGAAGAAGCGAAGCATCACCGAATACTTTTCCAGATTCAGTGCTTTTTGATCTAGCTCAAGATCTACAGAAATTAGCGTGAAGTCTTTGGCTACCGCGGTTTGAGGCGATAGAAAGGCTTATCGGAGCTTATCGCCACTCCGGGTCGACTATCGCGTCATGGCAACATCTTCAGACTCCCCAACAATGGCATCCTTTCGGTCGCTTCGTGCGAAGTACGCCTCGCTTTTGAGACAATTCGCGGCTTCCACCAGAGATTTGGAAGTCCTCACCAGTGTCTCTACTGAGCCAAATTCTCCCGCAAAGACCCTATATGTGTTGGACTCGTCCTTCAACCCCCCAACATTCGCCCATCTCCGCATTGCCAGCACAGCTCTCTTAGAAAGACCCGACCCAAGCTCCCGATTGCTCCTTCTTCTAGCAACACAGAATGCCGACAAGGCGACGAAACCTGCGCCTTTCGAAGACCGGCTCGCCATGATGGAGCTATTCGCGCACGACTTGCGCACACACCTGGCAAACACAAAGGCAAACATGGCCTCTTCCGAGCCCACCGAGGAACTAGTATACATTCCCTCAATTGACATAGGCGTGACGAAAAAACCCTATTTTGTTGATAAAGCTGCGGCAATCGAGGCATGCGATATCTACCCCTCTCCGCTGGAACAGGTCCATCTTACAGGATACGATACGTTGATTCGTATCCTCAATCCCGAATACTATCCTCCGGAGCATAACTTGGAGCCTCTTGTTCCTCTCTTCTCGAAACATCGATTGCGTGTGACGTTGCGACCGAGTGATGAGTGGGGTACCAAAGATGAACAGAGAGAGTTCGTCGACAGCATTGCCCGTGGTGATATGGAGAAGAACGGCGTCCGCAGAGAATGGGCACAGCGAATTACACTTGTTAATGGAAGGGCTCCAGGTGCACCTTCCGTTAGCTCTACAAAAGCACGCCAGGCAATGCAGTCTGCTGTGGAGGATCTGGATTGGCTTGTTCCAGAGAACGTGAAGCAATTCGTTTCGTCCGAAAAGCCGTACTCTGAAGACCCAAAGACCTGAAGACTCTCGATAAGTCTATTGTTGTAAATAGTCAATTGTATAGTATACTCCACCGCGTAAGCGTCACCAAAACAAGACAATATGTTACAATAAAACATTTAGATAGCATGAACGCCTCGTATATCGATGTCGATACCGTTTCATCACCCCCCTGCGCATTCGACCCAGCCGTTTTTGATAAATCATACACTCCGCGATGTGAGAGGAGCATCGCGTGACCACCGTGCGTATACTTATTTCCGGTCTTCCTCTTCCTCGCGCTTGCCAAGCGTATAAGCCAGACCACCTCCGATCATGTTCACCAAGCAAAGACCCATAGTCATGCCGCGGACAATTCCGCGAGGTCCGAGCTTCTTTGCGAACGCCTGTCGTCGCCGACCGGCTAGGAGCAGGTACAATCCGGACCAGGCGGCTTGAATCCCGGCACTGTCTGTCTTGAATCCTTGTATATTCGCGTAGCTGGTGAAAAGCAGGACAGGAGGGAAGAGCATGGGGAACAACTGGAAGGGACGGGCATGTTGCGCGAAGATTAGCGAGGCGAGCACCGTGGGCGGGAATGAGTTTTCTGATCGCAAAGTGTTAGCTTTGTTCGGCATCTCGCAATTCGCTAGGACTCTTGGACGCGCATCGCTGGACATTGAGGTCTGAAAGGGCTGAAACAGCCGAAGACGTACCGCCCCAGGCTCTAAACCGCTGCACGAGCGTCTTCTTGGTCTCTTCGATAGAGGAATCCGCCATGTTGGATCGGGTGTCGTTCAAGTTTTGACAGGCAGGAATGAATGTTTCAAGAACAACTGAGTGGATTGAGAGTCTCTCGCTATACCAGGTTCAGGTGGGTTGTCACGGCGAATTGGGAGGGGGACGGATGAAGTTGAAGTCCGTATACCACGGATAAGCGCAACTGGCGTTTATCCGCTTGGCGAAGACACCTAACCTTTCCCTTTGCGCCTTCTCCCGAGTCAACCACGCTCTTTGTTCGCATTTAAATCTCCACGCCAGCGATTACTTGCTTGAATTTTTGCATCAACTACTTGTCTGTCGTGGGGGATCGGGCTCCCCTTTTTGCGCCGCCCTACGCCACCCTTCCAATCTCATCCTCGCTCCCTCCGACCCCTCAGCGCCGTCTGCGATATCTTTTCTGCATCGTCGACCATAATGCCATCTGCGAAGGCTTCGGGATCTGATGCCAATGGTGCGGGCTCCGCGAGATCGCGCGACCACAAGCAGGGCAACCAGAACGCAACTTGGACACCCGAACAGGAGGCGGCAGCCCTGCGAATCAAAAAATGCTCCGCGAGCGCTTTCTACGAGATTCTGGCGATCGACAAAACTGCAAACACCGCACAGATAAAGAAGGCGTATTATAAACAAAGTCTGTTGTCACATCCAGACAAGAACAAACATCCAGACGCGGCGGAAGCTTTCAAAAGTGAGTGTTAATTAGATTGGTGAACACTCGAATCGACTTTTAACATCTCGAGGCAGAGGTTGCGTACGCATTCGAGATCCTCAACGATGACAATAAGAGGAGCATATACGATCAGACCGGAGTCGACCCCAACGCCAAACACGCCCCGGGCCCAGCGGCCGGTTCTGGATTCGGCGGTGGGCGATCAGCAGGAGGAGGAGGAGGTGCTCAGTATGCTACAGAAATCTCACCAGAAGAATTGTTCGCTCGCTTTTTCAACGGAGGATTCGGAGGAATGGGTGGTGGTAGTCCGTTCGATGGGCCATTTGGTATGATCTATCCCGCATGATCCCGGCACTTTTCTTAACTAACCTGACGTCCCAGGTGGTCCTCAATTTGTGTTCAATATGGGAGGTGGCGGCCCGGGCATTCGTATGCATCAGTTTGGAGGAGGTGTTCCCCGCCGCAGACCTCGCCCAACCGCTGACGGCCAGTCCGAGCCTCCAGTTGACGGCTGGGGTCTTGTTCGCCAGCTACTACCTCTCCTCCTTCTTTTCGTGCTTCCCCTTCTTTCCTCTCTCTTCTCCGGTCCTTCGACCACGGCCGGTCCGACATACCGATTCGGCAACCCTGCAACCCCGCACACCATGGGCCGCACAACGCCCAAGCTTGACCTCAGGTACTATGTCAATCCAGTGGACGTGGAGGACTTTAGTCAGCGGAAATTCCGTCAGCTCGATCAGCGTGTGGAGCTGGATTATGTGTCATCACTCAAGCATGACTGTGACCGCGAGGTCAACGCTCGCGAGCGGATGATCCAGGAAGCCCAGGGGTGGTTCTTCCCTGATATTGAGAAGATGAAGGAGGCGCGGGCTATGGAGTTGACGCATTGCCGGATGTTAGACTCACTCAGGGGGAAGTACTAAGGACTAATTCGGGCTTCACGGTCTATCTCATTCTCATTCCACTTCCATTCTCGTTTTGCTCTATTCTTTCCAGGTGTCGATATCACATGTGCGATGGGCGGCGTCTTTGGGTCTCATGATCTTTCTGTTGTACATCGACTCTCAATGCATTTGGTCTCCGTGACTCGTTCGAATACTTTGATGGTGAATCCGTCGGGGCCACTCCTTTTGCTGAGAGTGTATATTATACTGATTTCAACAATGAACGATTTTATTCATAAGAAGTGCAAAATGCAGGCCGTCAAATACGTCGTTCGATAGGACATTGATTAAAGTACCAAGCAGCATAAAAATGTTTGAATCTGATGCCATGCAAATCTGCTTAGTCAAGACGCATCATTCGAACATGCGGGAGAATCTCGGGGACCACGACCGAACCTCCAGTTGCTTCCTTCGTTTCCCCTCCTCTTGCAACGTCCTTTGACCGGAGCTGGAAATTATCACCTACGGAGACTTTCCCTGGGCGATCTCCGCCCTGTATCGGTGTCTGATCGTATCGCCCTGGTGGCTCTCGTTCTCCCCGGCTTTCACTCAGACGCCGCGCTTCTCTGTATTTAACCTGCATTCCACAGAAACACCTGACTACACTTCGCGGTGTGAAAAGCAGAGGCACTCTTCCCCCCAATATGTCGGACAGCCTCTCTGATGCGGAGAAGGTCAGTAAATTACCTTTTCCACTACAGAGTTAAAACGGTCTACTCCGCAGCTGCTGATCAGATATATCTCGTGTGCTTCAGATCCGCAACAAGCGCCTAGCAAAGCTCTCCAACCCAACGCCAACTTCACCAGCTGATGGCCCTGCCGACTCGTCTGCGAACACCTCGAGCCCCTCTCCTACCCAGTCGCCTTTGTCCGCACCCAATTCATCCGAGCCACAAAATGGGCCAGCCTCCACGACACAGACACCAGGATTCTCGGAAGGCAAGCGGATAAAGATCACTCCTGCGGCTTCTGCTTCCGAGAAACCTCGGTCTCCTGCGCCCTCGTCGCCCGCAACCCCTCCTCCGATAAAGCAGGAGAGCATCGAGTCTTTTGAGGACCGCACATTGGGCGCAGTTTTCAGGCTGGCCCTGAAGCAGGATTCACAGCGTGATATAAATGGGCAGCGGATATTCCTCCCAGGGCTGCAGAGCGAGCTGCAGAGTGAGGGTAAGGAGCTCCTTATCCAAACGTCTATCCTGGATCAGGCACTGCTGGAGGCTGCATCGAACCAAGAGCAGCGGCGTCCGCTTGACTACTTGCTACCGTGCTGGAAGCGCATCACAAAACTTCACAAAGGCTTCCGGAAGGCACGAGAGGATGACCCGAAGTTCCAGGTGCTATGCGAGGCGCGACGCCTTTGCATGAGCTACTGCATTTTCGCCATCACGATGCCCGAGATGTTTGGGCTGGACTCTCCCGAGCGATCTCCATTAGCGCAATATCTTTTATTGGATCCAGAAGATGACAAAGGCATTGATTTTGACTTTATCAGCGAGGCTGTAAAACGGTTTGACGAGGACGAGAGCGTTAAGCCTGCTTTCATTGCGGCAGTAGAGGAATTAAGCGCTGAGCTATCCTCAATGAACGCCAATGATGACTACAAACCCTACTGCACGGCGCTGCGCAACCTTGTGCGTCATTCGGCTATTGCCGCCGCTATCACAGAGTCCTCCATTTTCAACGCTTCGAGAGATTCAGCTAAGTTCGAGAAGGAAACTCTTCTGGGACCGTGGTTCCATCTGTCGCCCCTTCAATCCAACGTGACCATGTCATTCTTCTCCAGCCCAAAAACTAGAGACCAGGGGTATATCTCGAATGCCCAGCGATCTCTTCGCATGACACAACAAATAATCAGCTCGGATCTTCTTGATGTCATCAATCATATGATCCGTGCTTCCAAAGAAGCCCGGGATCGAGTCTTGGACTGGTTCGCTACCGCGTTGAACATCAACCATAAGCGACGGGCTATGCAAGTCGACCCTACGCAAGTCTCATCTGATGGATTCATGTTCAATATTACCACATGCCTGGACCAGCTCTGCGAGCCGTTCATGGACGCGAGTTTCAGTAAAATCGATAGGATCGACGCCGAGTACCTCCACCGGAACTCTCGAGTGGACATGCGTGATGAAACCAAGATCAACGCAGATCAACATGCTTCAGATGCCTTTTATTCCAACAAAGCCGAAGGAACCTCTAACTTTATCACAGAGATCTTCTTCTTGACGGTTGCCGCCCACCACTACGGCAGCGAATCGTTGACTTCCAAGTTGGAACAACTCGAGAAGGATCTGCGACACATGGAATCTACCGTAACTAAGTTCGAGCTCGAACGACACAGGTGGATGAGCAACCCCATGCAACTTCGAGTATATGAACAAGCCCTCAAAAAGTACAAGGACAAACTTGATCTGGGCCTCGCGCTGAAGTACAGTCTGCAGGGTGTGCTCTTTGACGACCAGTGGCAGGGTCGCTCAATGATGTTCATGCGGTACGTCACCGTATGGCTACTGAGACTTGTTTCGGGCGTGAACTTCCCCAAGCAACAGATCGCTTTGCCTCTGCCCGAAGAGCAGCCCGAGGTCTTCAAATGTCTGCCTGAGTATTTCCTGGAGGACATTGTCAGCAACTTCAAATTCATCATGTGGTGTATGCCCCAAATCATCACTGCCACGCAAGGTGATGAGCTCGTGATGCTCTGCATTGCATTCCTCGAAAGCTCAGCATACATCAAGAACCCATACCTGAAGGCCGGTCTGGTTTCCATTCTGTTCCGCGGAACCTGGCCCCGCCCTGGCGGTGCAAGTGGCGTTCTTGTAGACTTGCTAAACTCGATGCCATTCGCCAACGAATATCTATTACATGCTGTAATGAAATTCTACATCGAAGCAGAACATACTGGCACGCACACTCAGTTCTTTGACAAGTTCAACATTCGTTACGAGATTTTCCAGATCATTAAGTGTATCTGGCCCAACACTCTGTACCGCGAAAAGTTATCCATCCAGGCAAGCGAGAACCTGGACTTTTTCGTTCGGTTTGTCAACCTGCTTCTCAACGACGTGACGTATGTGCTCGATGAGTCTTTCGGTGCATTCAAGACCATCAATACCACCCAGATAGAGCTTGCGCGGGAAGGCAGCTCGATGGATCAGACCACTCGGCAACAACGCGAAGAGCACCTTTCATCTGCGCAGCGAAGTGCCAAGTCATACATGCAGCTTACCAATGAGACGGTTGCCATGCTCAAGCTTTTCACAGAGGCACTGGCAGACTCATTCACCATGCCGGAGATTGTCCAGCGTCTGGCTGACATGCTGGATTATAACCTCGATGCCATGGTTGGCCCGAAGAGCTCCACCCTGCGCGTGGATAACCTGCAAGAGTACGGGTTCAATCCCCGAGCTCTTCTCAGCGAAATCACCGACGTGTATCTCAACTTGATGGCCAAGCCAAACTTTATTACAGCAGTAGCCCGTGACGGACGTTCCTATAAGCCCGCGAACTTTGAGAAGGCTGCTGAGATCTTGCGCAAGTGGTCGCTGAAATCACCGGAAGAGATGCGCCGCTGGAGTCAGCTTCAGAAGAAAGTTGTCGAGGCCAAGGCACTTGATGACCAGGCCGAGGAGGATCTTGGCGAGATTCCTGATGAGTTCCTCGGTGCGTTAACTCTTATTGCCTCTATCCCTGAAGCTATTGCTAATTGTCTGACTAGACCCCCTTATGTACACCCTCATGGAAGATCCCGTCATTCTGCCCAACTCCAGGATGTCAATTGATCGGGACACCATCCGCACACACTTGCTCAGCGATCCCCACGATCCCTTCAACCGTGTTCCCTTGAAGATGGAGGACGTCATACCCGGTAAGACCCTAGTCGCAGATCCGCCCCAAATGCATTGCTAACCTCACCAGACACGGCACTCAAGGCTAGAATTGACGCATTTGTCAGCGAGAAGACTGGCAAGAAGGCATTGGAGCCAATGGACACCTCGGCTGGTTAGGAGTATTTGCTGGAAGTAAATAGTTTTGAGATCCAATGCAAACCGATAGATGTAGCCCATCATGACCGCCTTCCTCTTTGGGCCGGTTACATCACCGTCCTGTTTACGCTTTGCCCTTTGACCCGGGCAGTCCTATATTCACTTGTAGATTTCTCTTTCTTCATTGCTCTCTCCAATACTCCTATTTCATTTTCGGATTACCATGGGAGCATCCGTCTCTACCATTTGGGCCTCACTGCCTCCACCGGCTGAGTTTTTCCCTCCTAGCCCAGCAGCCTACACAACCCTACTCACGACCTTCCAATACTTCCCCGTTGTAAGTATCACAAAAGTCCCAAAAACCTCATCGATACCTTACCTTAACAACATAATAGTGCACGATCTTCCAATGGCTGCTCTCCTGGCACCCAGCTGGCAAAACCAGTTTGAAAAACTCAAGCTTGAACATTCCAGGCCGGATTGCATGGTCGGCAATGGAGATTGTCGGCCCTATCAATCTAATGTACAATCTCTCACTTGGCTCGCCATCATTCTCTGAGCTTCCAGCATCAAACCAGCTCATCGCCGCTCTCTATTGCATCCACTACTTCAACCGGGGCATCATCTCCCCTTTCTTCTCAGCACCCAGCATGTCCCCTATCCATGCATCCGTCATGACTAGCGCCATGGTATTCAACTGGCTAAATTCCTCCTGTATTGCAGGCTGGGTGCGCGGATATGCCATCTCGATCCCAGGCTTCAAGACAGATGGCACAGGCGCATTGGCTACTTCCCTCTCCTCCCCCCCCCCCCTTGCTTGAGACCCTCGCCCTCATTGGCATTGTACTCTTTGTCATCGGCATGGCAGGAAACATCTACTCCGAAACCGCTCTCTTCCGCTTCAGACGAGAAGAAGCTGAGAAACGAGCCGCTAAGAAATTGGACTCCCAGACTCCCGCTGGCGATGGCAAATACCATAAGGTTTACGTGATCCCACCGGTCCAGGGCGTGTTTCGGTATATCTTGTACCCGCATTATGTCTTTGAGTGGATTGAGTGGACTGGATTTGCCTTGGCTGGTACAGCTGTGTTTCCTCTGGCTGCGTTTGCGAAGACGAATGTTGCCAGTGCTGGTGCTAGCGTCGGCGTTGCGCCTCAGATGTATCCTGCGCCGTGGGTCATGCCTGCTGTCTGGGCTGCTGACAAGTATGGCTTGCCGCTCCCATTACCTGCTGTGTTGTTTGCGATAAATGCAGTTGCAAATATGCTACCTCATGCTCGCTGGGGACGTAAGTGGTATGTTGAGAAGTTCGGGGCGAAGGGTGTTGCGGGGCGTGGGGCTGTTGTGCCGTGGTGCTCGTGGATGTGAGCTTCAAAGACGATGTCTTTTGAAAACACCGTAGCCTGAGAGCAAAAAAGTGATGGATTCGAGGCCTTCAATTTTTTTCCTCTCTCTGGATAGAATATACTGTGTCGCAAGTCTCTCAACTCCAATTCCCTGATCTTCAGCATAACTTGGCTTGTACATTTGATGTGTATATGATGATCCCATTCCTCAACTGAGGAGTGAATTTCAGTCTTACTGTTGAGATTCAATCTAGGAAACCTTTCATGCACCTATTGTAGTCATGTCCGCTCTTGCTAAGGGTTATTATCATGAGGATCGGGGTAGTCGCCATTGCCATGGATCCCAAGACAAGGGAAGTGCTACATCATCTCAGCAGCTTCTTGTATTTGCACAATCAACTTCACAGTTGGTTTCGGCCCAAAGCAGACAATAAAGTGACATTAATAATCAATACTTGAAACAAAGTACGCGTCGACACCACCACCCTTTCTTGGCCAAGGCTTGGTACCCTCGCGTTCCGAATAGTCGAATAATGTTGAATCACTTTCCCCAAATTATTATTAATCCTCATGTTATTAATCTGTGGACTGATATGAGAAGCCCTCCACTTAACATTTCCAGACCATTTGATCGCATCGTATGAAAAGTATGACCGGTCATCTTCTTTCGATTGATCAGTCTTATCTCAGTCTTGTTTTTCATGCGTTCCAAAACCTATGATATCTATATTGATACCATGGGGCTCTGTTCCAACCACTAAATATCCCCGTCAAATGTGTCCTCTTTGCGTTTCTTACCCCTAGGTCACGGACCGTTTAGGAAAAAGAAAAGAAAAAGACGCAAAAAGGAAACGTCAGCTGCATGATTCGAACATGCGCCCGCGAACGGAATTGATATCGAGAATTCGAGTCAATCGCCTTAACCACTCGGCCAAACTGACGGATTTATTCATCCAAATTCTCAAAAATAACAATATGAAAGTGGGCCTAAATCACCCAATTCATGCCCCATAATCTTCCTCAACATGCGGGCGGTGAAGCCAATCCATCACACCACGTGATCACTACGGATTTGCCCGTATCCGCCCTCGAATTTCCAGCCCATCGATTATCCAGACCATTCACCCCCGGGACGTCGAGCAAAATGGCGAAGAAAGGTATAACATTCCGCATCGTAGCCCTGAAATCTTCCCCTCCAGCACCCCATCATACCCATTCGTGCCCACGCTCATGCCCTGACGCCGCAACACCCGTTCCCCGGAGCCGACTGCTAACACCCTTTCCCTAATAGCGAAGTCACGCACCATTGCCGTCCGGCTGATTTCAATGGCCATGACGGGCTACTACCGCACAATGATGCGCCCCCGTGTGCACCGACCCCTCAGCATGCTCAAGTACGACCCCGTCGTGAAGAAGAAGGTGCTGTTCCTCGAGGCGACCAAGGGTGGAAAGGCGAAATAATCGACGTTATCTTCTCTCGCTTGGTGTCGACGATAAAAGCCGGAGGAACATTCAATTCGCACTCGGTTTTCGCGGCCTCAACAACGACTTGTGCCTTTCGGAGGTCTTGACCTCTGCACCCCCGACTACGACCCGAACTCGAACTTTGGAAACGGCAATCGTTGCACAGGCATGTGTGGAGCCTGTATAAATTCTTGTGTACATTATATCCTGGGAAGAGTAGGGCTGCATCCCTGCACTTGACTGCTCTGCAGTGGACTTCTCTTTGATGGAGCATTACGTCTGGCGTTTTAGAGCATAAGTGCTTTGGGTTTCGCAACTGAAAAATCAAATTCAATTCCACTTCATAATTGCATTATCTTGGATATCAATGGTTGGATCAACATAAGGCGCAGCGGTAAGACTGAAGGGACATGGTTGGATCATCTGATAATGAGACTTGGACAAAGCAAAATAAGGAAAACATGTATACTATCACATGGGCCGGATTGCTGCTGTTAGTATTGTACGCTTCAGGGTGGGTGCTGACGAAATAGCGATATGCGAAAGTCAGTTCTTGTCTTGCATCGTTGGCCTAAGTGGTTTCAGCCCTCTTGGCTGAACCGAGCATCATAGTGTTCACCTGGTGATGCTTGTCAGTATACAAGGCATTAGTGGGGCAAGTGGATCAGCTCGCATACCTCGTGAACGGCGTCGGCCACGACTGCGGGTGTTTGGCTTGCTAGCAAGATGAACTCCGCTGCTCGCAGAGACAAGGCCCTTTGGGCTAGTCGACCGCTCGGTGATGGACGGCCGCGCAGGACCAGTGGATTGCTCCTGTTGAATTCTGGTAGATGTTGTGTGAACACGACTGTAAGTGAATTTGTGGAGGTGCTTAGATGATTTGTTACGGTGGTTCTCCACGTCATCCTGGGCTTGTAGCGGACCAGAATTTGTCCTGGTAGTCGTTTTGGAGTCTTTCCCGGAGGGCACTGCATCAAAATTGACGGCCTTTCGCTTCCTGTGCACTCGAGATTGGCCTGAATCTCCTGGAATGTCAAGAAAGCGCTGTTCGTCCTTCCCTGACCGTGGCACATCATGTGCTGGTGGGGTATTTTCAAGATTGACCTGGGGCCCCTTGATGCTTTTCACAGCAGGCGACGGCGGGGCTGATTCGTCTGTGATGAAAAGCATTGCAAAGTCAGTCGGATCATCGTACGGCCACGGGTCTATATCTGGAGATATCCTGTTCTCAAAAGCTGCAAAAGGCACAATATTGGTGGGACGTTCCGGTGGGTTGTTTGCCCCGTCCTTGGATGCCAATGCGCTCTCAAGTTCTTGAACCTTGTCTTCGGCTTGTTTGAGTTGCTCCCGAATATCGCTTTTCTCGGTTGCCGACGCGGTCTCCAATTCCTGATACTGTTCGATGAGCATTGCTTGAGAATCCAGCTTAGCCATTGCCTCGGAACAGGATGCGGTGAGCTCTTGAATCTGCTGCTCTGTCTCCTCAACCTGAGTTTGAAAGAAATTAGCAGAGGCCGAGAGAAATGAGGCGCATCATGTACTAATGCCTCACGATCTCTACGCTGCGCATCAACAATACTTTGAGCTTCCATCTGAAAGTTGTGAGCGCAATTATCAGCAAGCAATCCAATTTAGCGCTCACCAAGGAATCACGAATAGCCCCGAGCTGGGCAAGGACCTCTTTAGATCCATCCTCAAGATCATCCTTCTCCTTCTGGACTCTCTGAAGCTTTTGCTTGTATTCTTGGTTAATGCGATCATTTGATGCGGTAAATTCCGCGATGAGCTCATGTCGAATCTTCTGTTCAGCCAACGCGGCTTCGCCTTGCAAAGCAAGCTTTTCGGTTTCGATTGTGCGGTTGAGGATTTCGGCTTTTTGACATTCTGCAGTGGCTTCTGTCAATGATTGTTGGATTGCAAGTTTTTGTGCTTCGCTTTGATCGAGTCGCTGAAGGAGAGATGTGGTCTTGAGTGAAGTGTCTTGAAGTTGAAGCTGCAGCTGAGTGTTCTCGGCGTACTTGTTCGACAGCTCCAATTCCAGACCAGGACTGGATGGTTGAATTTGCGCATCGGCTAGCTTCTCACAAAACCTGCGAAGGTCCTCGAGTAGACTGCTTTCAGTGGTCGTCAAAGACTGGACGGAAGCATCAAGGGTGCTCAGTGTAGGCTCTATGACCGCGAGTCTTCCCTTCAGACTCTCAAAGGAGTGCTTGCAATTACCAAGCTGGTGCAGCAGAGTTGATTCAGCACCGAGATGTCGCTCAATCAAATGCATGTGTTCTTGGACTTTCCCAGACACATTTGCGTTGGATATAGTACCTTCCTCGATACTGGAGGCAAGTTGAGTTGAGATTGTGTCCAAGCTGATTCTCAAGATTAATGTATGACTACCGGGGTCGCTGGAAGATAGAACACTTACCGAGAAACTGCATCATGCACGGTATTTGTGAAATCTTGGACTTCCATCCTCTCAGCGGTACATTTGTCACTCAATGTTTCAACCCATGTGCAAAGTTGATCGGCACATGTTCTGACCTCCGATAGAAGTGCATCTTTGGAGGCATTTGATTCCGCAGAAAGAGACTGGATCCCCGAGCTGACACTCTCTATCAACTTGCGCTGATCTTCTCTGATCAGAATTAATTGTCGGGTCTGACTTCGAGCATAATTTTGCACATAGAGCTCCAGGGTGGCAGATCGTTTTTTCTCTTTGGCCAACTCCGACTGGCTCAGGTCCCTCAAATCCTTCGCAGACTCTAGGCTTTGTCGAAGAACAGCAGCACGAGTCTCACTCTCTGAGAGTTGAAGTTTCTGTTCATCGATGATACCTTCTGCCCGCGCTGTTTGAACCCGAATGCCATCAATTGAGTGCAGAAGGCCGGACTTTTCTTTATCAAGCGACTCAATGGTGGCTTTGAATTTGTTTGACTCGTCGCGGAGAATCTCATGCTCTTTACCCAAGTCATTGACCACTTCCTTGAATTTACGAAGTTTTTCTTTCCAGTGGTCCATCTGGGCCCGACGATCCTTCGACTCTGCAACTGATTTTTGTAGCTTCTCATGATTCGCTTCCAATTGTTGCTTCAGGATTTCATTCTCATCTTTCAACCGAAGGTTCTGTTCTTCCATCAGACACTGAAGCTCGACTGTTGCAGTTTCTTGCTCTTCACGCTGCCTGATTCTCCGAATGAGAAGCTCGAAAAGTTTTTCTTCAGATGGCGGATTGGAGCCTGGCTTGCCAGGAAAAGAATGCTTTCGAGCAGGTCCGTCATCCTTCTGGTATTGTTGACGAGGCTTAGATACTCGATAGCGATTACTAGGGCGAATCGGTGGTTGCGAGGCTGGCGGAATTGAAGTTTCCGAATTGGTTCCCTCATATTGACCATGGGTCGGTCGAATTGAGCTTGCTTGGGATGTGTTGACCTTCGGATGATGAGCAGGAGAATCTTCTGGGACATGAAATGCAATGAAGGGACATACCTCAATGTTCATTTCAGCGCTGGGGCTCGTGGTAACTACGGTGTCAGCGAGTATTTTGTTTCCCATTGCCTGCTTCAATGACGGATCCTTCTGCGGGGCAGCCATTTCAGCAACCACCTTTAACTGGCTGTCAGAATTCGGTCTTGAAGTCCATATGGGATCACCCTGCCCCAATTGTAGCGCACTGTTCTCACCAGAATGTGCAAAACCTTCAGGCTGATGCTCGACGTTCGGCCTCGCAGGACTACGCACCAATGTTAGTCATGCCCTCAGCGAGTCTGAGTAGCCGTCACATACTGTTTCTTCAATACAGGAAACTGCGTTTCCCGTCCACTGTCCGCAATTGGGTCTTCGACTGTGGCCAAAGGCCAAGTTGAGTTGAGATTGATCATACCTTGCTTGGGAGGAGCTCGCACTGAAAAGCACTTCTGATTGGCAGGGGGGTTTGGCAAATGAGAACCCCGCCGTATCAGTTCCTGAGCTCTGAGGGCGTTGCATTAGCAGCGGTGGTCTTTGGATGGGTTGACCATGGGGCGCTGGGCCCAGCCGAGGTTTGAAGTATGGTGAAAAGCTTCCGGTTTCCATTGAGCTCTGAGACTCCTTTTGCATCCTGAATAAAAATCGAGGTTTGGCAGAACAAAATAAAGATGTCGCGAGGTGAGGAGCATGAATGGAAGGAAGGTACGCCTCCCGTGACTTCGATACCACCAGCTCGAACGAGGTGAGCATCAGGTACCATCTTCGCGTCGCTTCGTATGTTCATGATTTACTCTTGAAGATTTCGATCTCGATCTGTATCACGGTCGCGACAAGTATTCACTTCCTTTGAGACCATTCAACCCGGCAACGTTTTTTTTGTTTTTGTTTTTGTTTTATTTTAATTCATTTTTGTACTTTTCTTCATGCCCTGATACGGGTCTTTCACGGGCATATAGTATGGATTATGGATCGATTGAGACACCTTTTCGAGGTATGTAGGGGATGACCGCTAGATACACCGAACCTTGAATTTCATGACTAAATCTCTTCAGTTCGTGGATCTCTCCCCGGCGAATCGAAAATCCAGATCTGTGATTTTGGGCCTGTATTTTCAAGTCGACACTTTCGAGCGAATCAAGTAAGATAATTTTGGCGCATCCCTTGTATAGATGCAGAATAAGCTAAGGCCAGCGGCGACGTGGTTCGTAGCGTGGCAAACGGATGTCAATGCGGGTGATGAAGGCGCAGACAATTACCGATCCTCCAATGACAAAGGTCACATATTAGACTGTACTATCGGGAGATCGGTGGCGAGCTACTGCAAGCGAGCCCACTTCATTAGCTTTGGAGCTTTGGCGTCACAAGCTGGCGCAGATCGACGGAAAATAAATGACAAGCCCTTCACAACTCCCAAGTCTCCGCCTTTCCCCGATTCCTGACTCGGGTAGTTTAAGGCAAAAGTCCGACTATGAAACCGCCAGGGTCAGCCGGGGCCATCGCTTCTTTGTCCGATGAAACAGCCAGGATGATGCCGAGTGCTTCACGCCCAGTGGGCCGTGGGTCCAGCCCAGTAACTTTAATGGCCATCAGGGGTATTGGTGACATTTAGAGCATTTGCTCAATGCGCATTCTGTGTCACAGGCGTGCGAGCTTGCGACGCTAGCCTTGGGGACGTGATCTCGACACGCTTTACGGAGTGATGGGGTACTGTACGTTCACAGGGTTGTCCACCCCATTGGGCAGTGTCGGTGTGGCAATTCAGACGGGAGATGGACTAATCACACCGTGCCAGCGTGTAAGGACGTGTCGAATGTTCTACCGCAGTTCCACGACCGTTCCTGTACGACAGAGCCCGAGACATTCCCTCCCTGCAGCTGCAATCTCCTGCGTCTCAGCCTAGGGATAAACGTGGCGACCACGAGATACGAGCTGTGCCATGGACCATGGTGAGCAAAGCCATGACAAGCCAGACGCCAATGGCATGTAGCCCGCTGGTTGGTGCACTTCGGGCCAGTTGATCGAGGATGAGCGTCGGCACCGGCCACTCAGAGGAGGCATAGAGTTTCGGAGAGACGAGATGGCATTCCGGCGGAAACCGCCTTGGTTCACGTCTCCGAGGGCCTAGGTCGAATGAATTGCGATTGACACGCCTTGCCCAAACGATCACGACCGATGCTCATGGCCTCCACTGGCCCGCTTATTTCGGACGCGACCCTCTTTTTTCTCCCTCCCTTCTTCGTGTCCGTGGGTCCGTGGTAGAACTTGAACTTGTTCGAGGCAAGGCCGAGGGGCGCGGAGCACCGTTAAGACGAGACCCAAACCCAGAGCACCCAGGCCAAGGGAAAGGATGTCGATTGGTACCAGGTAGAGGATTAGTTCAGAGAGTCCAAGTAAGAATAGGGAAATCATAAAATCGTAAAATCCAATTAAATCCTAAAATGGTACAAAGCGACCAAATTCCTCCCCCCTTTCCTTTACACCTGATGATTGGCCACGGTACTGCCGTTTGGACCTGACCGCTCGACCTCCCCTTTCTTTCAACCGTCCGTGAGAAAGACGACAGTTGCGAGACGAGACACTTTCGGTTCTCTTGTGGGAAAGGATTTCATTCAGCTTCGCAGTCTCACCTTATCCGTTCGGCGTGTTTCTCCCTTCCCGTCTCAGTACCGCTGGGGGCGCTCGTTAGCTTTCCGGACCATCGCCTTATTTTTTTCTTTTGAGAATTGGAATATACATACCCTTGCGATTTCCTCATATCCTTGTGAATGCTTGCATAATCTTGTCGCATCTCTCAGATCCCTCGATTTGCATTTTCGCCGACCTGCGAACCCTCGAACACGCGATCCCTCTATCTCGACCCCTCCCGCTCCGCGATTCTGCCCTGCGGATCCCTCAATTGCCTATGAACCTCGTGATTTAAGATCGTTAATTGCATTTTTCTCCATCTCTCCGCTCGTGGCTTGATCACTCGGCCTGGTGGACGCGAGCTGTCTCCGTGAGCTTTTTGGCCAAGTGGGATGTTGCTAGACGTCTAGTTCAACACAGAATACTCCGGTTCACACACTTCATCCATCCCGATGGGCAACTCCCAGGGAAAGCCCGTGGCTTTCAATGAGGCAGGTAGGTTTCATTCTGCGTGGAGCTGGTGAAGTGCGGATTGGGCTGGTGCTGATTGTTCCTAGTCAACCTCAACCACTTCCGCCTCCTTCGGGTGGTCGGAAAAGGTGCCTTTGGAAAGGTTCGCATTGTCGAGAGGAAAGACACAGGCTTAACGTTTGCCCTCAAATACATTCGCAAAGAAGAAGGTATGTCATCCCCCGCACAGATCCAACTGAAACACCGCTAACTTCATCTTTAGTGGTACGCTCGGAAAGTGTACGGAACATTATCCGCGAACGCAGAATGCTCGAGCATCTCAACCACCCCTTTCTTTGCAACTTGCGATACAGTTTCCAGGATATAGAGTACATGTACGTCGTGGTCAATTGGGCACCAATCTGAGCTAGCTCGCTAATCCCTGCTCCAGCTATATCGTGGTCGATCTCATGAACGGTGGCGATCTCCGGTTCCATATCTCACGCAAGTGTTTTACAGAGGAAGCAGTGCGCTTCTGGATGGCAGAGCTTGGTTGTGCCTTGAAGTATATTCACTCTCAAGGTATCATTCATCGGGATCTTAAGCCCGATAACGTGCTATTGGATTCCGAAGGGCATGTCCATTTGGCTGACTTCGTATGTTTCAATACCCGGGTCCCCTTTTTCCCCCTCTTGTTGGAATGCTACTAACTCCATATGCTCCAGAATGTCGCTTCTGATTTCCGACCTGGAAAGCCTCTCACCAGCAAATCAGGAACCTTAGCTTACCTGGCCCCGGAGGTCTACGAAGGAACTGGGTACTACAACGAAGTTGACTGGTGGTCATTAGGTGTTACATTCTACGAGTGCATCTATAATAAGGTATGTCCTCTGTGACAGTCAAAATAGTGTCCGGTCTAACATGTCTTTAGCGACCATTCGAAGGCCGCAGCCAGGAAACTCTGAGTGAAAACATCAAAAAGGCACAACCCAAGTACTATGTCACCAATCCCGCTGTATCAGTCCCCTGTCTACGAGCCTTGGGTGCATTAATGGAGAAGGATCGGAGTCGCCGTATCGGTGCGATTGGCTGGGAGAGCTTCACCCAGCACGTGTTCTTCGCCGACATCGACTTTGAAGCGCTGGAGCGCAAAGAGTACTCTCCAGTCTTCCGGCCGTCTAGTGACAAGACCAATTTTGATGCGACGTATGATTTGGAGGAGCTGCTGTTGGAAGAAGCTCCGCTGGAAGCCCGCGCTCGTCGGCAGAAACCCCGCGCCGAACTTCGAGATGATGCTACTGCCAAAGAAATTCGCGAGGATGAGCTCCATCGCCTGATTGAAACAATGTTTGAACCTTTCGACTACACCACCGTCAGCTTCCAAGTCACCGCCGCGGAAGCCATCGCTGCAGCAATGTGAGCTCAACTTTCATCCAAAAATATACGCAATGGTGTTAACATCCTCTACAGAAACCCCGAAGACTGTATTCCTATCGCGACCGCCACCTCCACAAACCATGCCCGCCATCCTTCGCAACCTGAATCATCCGCCCGAAACGTTGCTACCCCGCAACACGATGGATCTGTCCAACGCATGCCCCCAAACGAGAACATGACCTCAGTCAGTTCGAATCTCGACCCGAATGATTCGGCCGGCCCGCAGCCATCTTCGCCTTCGAGTTCACGCGTATCTCCCTCTCCCATTCCTCCTCCAGCTCCATCCTTCCACCGTCCGTTACCTCAAAACCCCCAGCGCGGCGCGACACGGAAGACGAGTAAAGGCGGCGGAGTACAGATGGTACTTGAAGAGGCCGGCAGCTGGAGTGAGCTCGCCAATCACAGCTCAACTCTTCCCGCTGAGGGGCTGCAGGGCGAGGAAGGCAAGGGCAAGGCATCCAACAGTGGCATGCTGTCCTTCCTCAGTCGAAAGAAGGGCCGTGATCGCAGTCCCAAGCCTACCGAGCCCGGTGTCTTGGGTAAGGAGGGAGCTAGGCAGATCATCAGCTGAGCATATCATCCGAGAAGAATATGCTGTTGGTCATAAGGATTCGTTATTACTGTTTACTGTCGGTAGACACCGCTTGCACCGGAGCAACAGCTCGCCTTGCAAATCCAGCGCAATGCTACCATATCTGCGCTGCTGGATGTCCTCTGGCTCTTCCATTTGGCGCATCCACATACACTCCACTGACTCGGCTCGGATCGCTTTCGCTATCTCGACATCTTTCAACCTTCAAAGCTCCACTGAGAAGGAGAAGCCATGTCCGGACCATTGATAAACTGTTTCATCATACCGTCTGCAGATATCTGCAGAAAACGACGGGTTGCCTGTGGCATCTCTATTCTGTTCTTCTAGATTCCCCGGGCTCAGCGACAATTCATTTGTGTTCTATTTCTATCTCATACTCCCTCCATCACAAAGTTGTACAGATCGACAGATTTTCCCTGTTGTCATTATGGAAAGCACCTCTGTTCATTATATTCGGTTCACCCGTCTGTGCTTGGAGTTCTTTATCCCTTCATTGATGAACACACGACAATTTATTTACGTTCCGGTCTAAGAAGGACTGGACCTTGCATTGACAGGCAGCAGAAGAAGTATATGTAATGTCTTTAGTGCTATATATCCATGAAATACCATCTCCATCCGATCTTTCCAAGTTTGCAATACCACAATGGCCTGGATTTCGAACTTCGCACGACATTTATTATACAACCATCCACCTGGAACCCACATGTGCGGGTGACATTGGTCTCCGAACTCGCGCCCCCTCGAGATCCACCCGGCGTCGCTCCGCACATTCAGGACCCCACCAAGATCCAAGATTAGAGAGTACTTTGGAAACAAGGAATAGTATATATTCAATCGGCACAATCCTATATCCCAAGACTATTGGAATCGCTGAGGACTGGGCATTTCCTGGGCATTACGTGTCCTGCATCCTGTTTCAGACACCCTCCGCACTAACGCGCATGGGGCAAAAGCAAAACAAAACCCCCGAAGATTAACCAGCTCCAAGAATTCAATAACCAAGCTCCAAACCACCGCATTCCGACCTCGAAACCACCTGTCCAGGGCATACCAGCCCAATCGCCTTGATCACAATCTCTACGGGCTGAACTCGAGCGCCCAATACCTTGTCCCACCACGTTACGTTCCGCGGGGGGGACAACGCCGCGGTCGCATTCCACGTCCCCCCCCATTCCCCCTTGAAACGAAGTCCCCTCGAAGAACATAATCCCACATACCTCGGATCGGCTCAGCCATGCGGGGCCAATCTCACAGTCGGGACCGTCATGGCGGGTCGCGCGATCGGGCACGCGAGCGGGAGCGGAGAAGAGAGCGCGATCGCGATCGCGACTATATCGCAGGCCGATACGAAGACGAAGGCGCATCCAGCCCTGGAGCTTCACGTGGGAAGTACAAGTTCCGCGGAGATGCATATGATTCTGGGACGCCTGAGAGCGACTACGAAGATGAACGGCGGCGCGAACGACGAGAACGACGAAGAAAGCTCGATGAAGAGCGGGCTTATAATGAGGCTGTTGAGGAGAGAAGGAAGGAGAGGGCATTCAATGATGCTGTGGAGGAAAGGAGGAGGAATCAATCGAAGGCGAAAGAATCACCAGCTACGTCGCCAATGAAGAAGAGGGATCGGGAGCGGGATCGCGATGGGAGGAGGCGAGATAGGGAGGGGAGTCCGAGCAGAGACGTTAGGGAGAGGAGGTCGAAGGCTAGAGGGGAGGGAAGGGAGAGGTCTTTGGATCCTGATGCTGAGGCGAGGAGACAGAGACGGAGGGAACGGAGGGAAAGGGAGAGAATGGAACAGAGGGAATTGGAGGCTGCTGCTGCTCTTTCGGCGGCGCGCAAGCATAAGAGTACCGAGTCGACGAGCAGTGCGTCTCATCTTCTTAGTGCGAATGCGCTGGCTAGGCTAGCTTCTGAGAATGATCTTGATGAACGTCCTGAGCGTTCTCGACATCTGGATCGGGAACGTGGACGGTCCAGAGACTATTATAGGGAACGTTCTCGAGACCATGATGAAGAGCGCAGAGAGCGCCGTCGGCGGAAGAAGGCCGCATTGGCAGCTGCTACTGGTGAATATGGGGAGGAGCTCGCCGAGGGACGGTCGAGGCGCAAGTCTGGTGCGCGAGTCGCATCGGGCTCCTACTTGGAAGAAGGTCGCAGTCCAGAAATGAAGATGCGGCGTCGTGGAGGTGGTGGGGCTGCCATGGAAGAGTGGAAAGAGGAAGACAGCTGGGAGGGCAGCTATGAGAGTGGCGCTCGAAGGCCATTCTGGAAATTCTGGGCAAATTGGTCCAGGAAGAAGCGCATTGTTATTGGAAGTTTAGTAGCAGTGATTGTTCTGCTTGCCATTGTCATCTCAGTTGCTATTGTTGAAGCCCAAAACAAGAGCAGCAGCTCAAACTCGGACTCAGGCTCGTCCGATTCATCTTCATCCTCACCTGCTAATTCGAATCTCGATGGCATGAATGAAAAGGATATTCCGGTGAGTTGCCGTCCAGAATCACTATGTCTAGGAATTCCTTACTAACTTGAACATCTCTAGGCTTATGCACGGGTACTTACCTGGATCCATTTACATGGTATGACACCGAAGGGTTTAATGTCACATTTACCAACGAAACCGTCGGTGGCTTGTCTATCATGGGCCTAAATTCCACCTGGTCCGATACTGCCAGGCCGAATGACAACGTGCCCCCTTTGAACGAGAAGTTCCCTTATGGCTCACAGCCGATTCGTGGAGTGAATCTGGGTGGATGGCTGTCGATTGAACCCTTTATTACACCGTCCTTATTCGATTCGTATTCATCTGAGGATGGTGTCGTTGACGAGTGGACATTGACCACGAAATTGGGATCTGCCAAGACAACCACCCTGGAAAAGCACTATGCAACCTTCATCACCGAATCAGACTTTGCCGAAATCAAGGAGGCCGGACTTGACCATGTCCGTATCCAGTATTCGTACTGGGCAGTCAAGACATACGACGGTGACCCGTATGTCGCCAAGCAATCCTGGCGATACCTCCTTCGTGCAATCGAGTACTGTCGGAAATACGGGCTTCGTGTCAATCTCGACCTCCACGGCCTTCCAGGTAGCCAGAACGGGTGGAATCACAGTGGCCATCAAGGCAAGATTGGCTGGTTGAACGGGACAGATGGCGAATTGAACAGGCAAAGATCTCTCGAGATCCACGACCAGCTGTCCACATTCTTTGCTCAAGACCGATACAAGAACGTCGTGACAATCTATGGTCTGGTTAACGAGCCACTCATGCTCTCCTTGCCCGTTGAGAAAGTACTTAACTGGACACAAGAAGCCACCGAGCTGGTACGCAGCAATGGAATTAATGCCACAGTTGTCTTTCACGACGGATTCCTTAACCTCGAAAAGTGGGATACTATGTTCAAAAGTCACCCCGACAACATGTACCTCGACACGCACCAGTATACAACCTTCAACACAGGTGAAATTGTTCTCAACCATACTGCCAAGATCGACATTATCTGCAACAGCTGGAAGCCCATGATACAAGCCATTAACATCACTAGCACAGGTTGGGGCCCAACAATCTGCGGCGAGTGGTCCCAAGCTGATACCGACTGTGCTCAATACGTTAATAACGTCAATCGCGGCACGCGCTGGGAGGGGACGTACGATACTAGTTCGACGACAGCCTACTGCCCCACGGCCGCTGATGGCACCTGCAGCTGTGCCAGTGCAAACGCCGACGTAACTGAATACTCAGATGCGTATAAGAAGTGGCTGCAGACCTACGCCGAAGCCCAAATGGCTGCCTTTGAGACCGCACAGGGCTGGTTCTACTGGACCTGGCAAACGGAGTCTGCAGCGCAGTGGAGTTACCGCACTGCATGGAAGAATGGTTTCATGCCCAGCAAGGCTTATTCGCCATCATTTACATGCGGCGATACAGTTCCTGATTTCTCCGCCCTCGGACTAGCAGAGTATTATTGAGATAGGATATGCACGAAGGATGTGACGTGTTTCCTTTCATGCTTGCATTTGATTGCGATCGTGGTCTGTTTTTTTTTTTTCTGGTGTTTCTTCCTTTTCATTTTTTGTATATCAGACCAAGTTTTAGATCGAGATTCCCCTCGGAATGAAGTCTGCATCATCGTTCCCTAGGAACTAGCTTCTTCCTCATCAGCTTGGAACCAGCCTCCCTGCTCCCACGTGCTAGGTTTGTAGAGACATGACTCGCGGTTGTTTTTGTCCTCCAATCCCTGTAGCAGCTCGTCCACGCGCTGAAAATCAATCGGCTTCATGATCCAGCCGTCGAAGCCAGCGTCAATGTAGGCTTGTCGATCGCTCTCTTTCAAAGAAGCGGAGACTGCGAAGATGGAAATGCGGCAGTTTTCAAAGAATTGGGCTTCGTGATCCCGTATCATTTTCGTAGCTGTGATCCCGTCTACGATGGGCATCTGGGAGTTGGGTTAGTCTGATGGAAGATCCTAAGGAAGTGAAGTGCACACCTGGAGATCCATCAAGATGGCATCAAAGGAGTGGGGCCATTCAATGTAAAGAGAAGCACACTGCTTGCCGTTGCTTGTCATTTGAACCATATAATCGAGTTTCTCCAAACGCTTCTTCACGATCGTGCTGTTGATGGGATCATCCTCGGCGACGAGGATGCGTAGTTTGGAGATCTGAGGCATTTCAGCGGATTCACTTGACTTGCGTTGTTTCTGATCGGTGGATATTTGATGCTCAGGCTTGGATGGTCGTTCGGCTTCGTCCTTGGAGCGACTGAGGTTTCGGGCCTCCTTAGGCTTGAGGGAGATATCCAAGTTGCAGAAGTTGCTCGGAGAAGTGAATGTTTCATCGCCACAGTTACATGTCACGCCTTCGCCTTCGCCTTGAGCTCCTTCCCTTGCTGTCCGCCCAGGGTCGTTCTTGCTTATATGTGTCTTACATGATACTTGATCTTTCCCAACACCGTCTGGCTGGTGAACAACACCATTCTCATCCCTCGACAGGTCTCCTTTCGAACATGCTGAGATGCTCTGCTTTTCTTTTCCCGACAGCGGGAACTTGAGTCTGATTTTGAAACAGCTGCCTTTCCCTTCCTCGGATTTTAGACTCAACTGCCCATTCATATTGCGAACGATGCGAGCAACGAGGGCGAGACCCAATCCTAGGACGCTCCCCGTCTTCATCGTCGAATCATCTGATTTCTTTTCATACTGAGGGTTCCGCAGATATCCCGAGTTGGAGACTTGTTCTAACTCACAGAAAAGCGTTTCAACGCTCTCTGGCGACATACCTGACCCGGTATCGTGGAACGCCACTTCCACTGTGATGTGGTCGGATTTCCAGGCTTCACGCGGAACACATGATTCGATGGTCACAGCTCCAGATGGAGTATGTCGGACAGCATTGCTAATGAGATTGGTGATAACTTGCCGCACACGACGCTGATCGCCGAGTACCTGGGGCAATGCAGCGTGCTGCACGACCTGAAGATCCACATTTTTCTGTCTTGCTTCTTCCCAAAAGATATCGGTGGCCTCGCAAAGAGTGTCAGAGAGACTGAAGACTTCGTCTTTGATGAGATTCTGCCCGTTCTCGGCGTTGGTGAGATCAAGGAGGTCGTTGATAATGTAGACGAGCGACTTGGAGGCCGAATGTGATCTAGATAGGTTTTCCCGGGTTTCCTGATTAAGGCTTCCATCTAATTCAATTTCCAGGTAATTGATGATTGCATTCAGTGGCGTGCGGAACTCATGTGCCGAGTTGGCGAGCAGTAATCTCATCAGTTGGTTGTTTTGCATCGCGGCCTCTTTCTCTTGCCATATCTCGCTAAAGGTTCGATAGAGCAGAGACAACATTGATGCTTTTCCGAATTCCGCAGCAGACCATTCCGTCTGGCGGCTTGGCTTGTCGCGGTCATCTTGCCGGGTACTCGCTAGATTTTGACGGTTCTCGTGGTGGGTATCACTCCGAAAGAATATTATAAAGTCATGGCCTTCAGCTGATAGTGGTATATACAACAATCCCGACAGATGCCGGAAACCGGGTGAATACTCCAGGTCCTCGAAATCCGACAGAATATCCGTTGACCAGAGCACAGTGTCGAGCTCCTTGGAGCGCATATACTTCAGAAGGGCGAGAGCTTCCTGAGAGTCGAATGGTTTGCCCAAGATCTTGATTTCCTCCAAGATGGAGGCGGCGGCATAATCAGCACCGAACAGACAGAGAAGATCGCCAGATGGACACTTCACATTGCCTTCACTATAACCACATATCGGAGATGCACTCTTTACTTGCGACTGAAATGGCAGTGTATAAGAAAGGCGCTCGATATTACAAGAGACTGCCTCGCTCATGAACCAACACACCTTCTGAAGAAGTGGATGGGGTTGTACATCAGCATTGTAGGATTGACACAGGATCAAGCCCCACAACTTTCCGAAGATATTAATACCAATGGAGATGCAGGCTTGCATCGGCCTATCCGTCCTAATAGACTCGGCACGCACAGGTAGGTAGCAGTGTGACAAGTCCTGGCTCGATCGATTTGCCGACTCTCGATACACCAGCTTGGCAGTCTCATTCCCTTTCCGATAGGAGAAGGACACTGGACTGCGCAAATAATTTCTCTTCAAATCTTCTGGGAATGCTGACTCTTCGAAGTGAATACCTTCATACGACTCCAGGCCTAGTATTGGGTCGGCAGTATCTGCCATGACAACCCCGTTACGATTGCCGTCGAAATGAAACATAGACAAGCGGTCAAACTGGGTCAATTGCTGCAGACATAACATGGTATGCTGTATAAGAGCCTGTAATGTCTGCGCGCTGGCTATCCGTTGCAGAACGCGAGGAAGGGCATTCAGAAGCTCGGTTTTAACAGTTGCTGGCCTCTGATCCACGACTTCGATGTTTTTGTGATCGCTCATTCCCTTATTACAGTTTGGGTCTTCATGAGCATCGCTTTCGTTGACTGGCTCCAGTTCCATCTCGCAAATGACATAGTTCTTACACGCATTACTTGTATGCATAGTACACCAAAGGCGCTTTATTTCACCTGTCGCGGTCATGAGGGACAGATCGAAGATCTCGGGCCCAGAGACCTCAACATCATACTCCTCGTCTAACACACATCGGACATGCGAAAGAAAAACGCTCCGCTCACGTTCAGGCAGCAGACTGTGAATTGACTCGAGTCCGAACAGCTCCTTGGGGCTGTAGCCCAAGATATCAGCCGAATTGCTGCTGGCAATCTGGACAGCAAAGGTATCGCCGGATCCGCAGATAACAAATAATGCACCAAATGGCTGGATCACGGTGCTAGCTTCATCTTCGACTAAGCTTTGCATCCCTTGGGTCTTTCCACTAGTATTCAAGATTCTCCCACCTTCGAGAATGGTGCTGTGTAAATGCTCCTGAAGAGTAGGACGCTCTGGAGAACTGCGAGCGTTGAGTGGAAATGCTTCTGAACTTGGAAAAGGATGGCCAAGAGTCGGAACTATTGGGAGTAATGGCGATACTCCAGAGTAACTCCCTCTTTCTTTGCGCATGCGAACCAGATAGTTCGGCCGCTTCTTGGATGCTCCAATCCTCTCATCGATCGACCCTTTTATGAACACATCACTGAAAGGAGAAAACGGAGTCTCAAGTTTATCCAGCGATGGTGTTTGGAGAGCCGAGGAAGGATTGGAATCGAAAGAAAGAACAGATTGGATGGGAAATACGCGTTCTGTGGTCTCGTTGGCAAATTGAGGAAGCTTCAATTTGGAGCGAGGCAGCTCGGTCACCGTGGATATCTCGGTCTTTACATCGGACAATATGCACATCGTTTTCGGCTCTGATAGTGTTCGCGCAAGGACTTTTTTGTCATCCGACTGCTTCTTTCTATCTTCGGGACCGTGGTATATGACCTTCCAGTGGTGATCACCAGTGATGCCTTTCATATCACTTGCGATGTTGCAGATTGAGTCCTGGTCTCCAAGACGACCTAGCTGGTGCATGGAGGTCAGTTCTTGAGATCTTTCATATTGAACGGCAGGGTATCAAGATCCGACGAACCCACTGTTGAACACCTTGCAAATGGAAGCGTCTTCACATCCAAGCTGCGTCTCCGAATTCTCCGGAGAAATAAAAAGAGAAAGTATCGACACAAAATATCGGCAAAATTATAAGAGTAGCGGGACGTTCGAAAGCAATCGAGCCTTCTCCGAAGTTTGAAGTTTGAAGTTTGGAGTTTGGCTTGTGCCTCGCCTCCAGCAACGAACCAGATTCAAAAGGCTATCTCCACGGAGATGGACCTATCCAAGGTCATTTGCCTCCGCACGAAACCTCCCAAGGCACATGTGTCTCCGGTTTGGCCGTCCGGTTCGCTAGAGACTCTCGCCGAAAATGCTCTCGCGATGCATGAACCCACACCCCCCGAACCGCGGCTCAAGCTAAATGATGTAGATGTTCCAAGCAGGAGATACACAAAAGTTTCGCCTATCTTGAAAACCCTCGTTTTGAGTAGTTATCGATTGAGCTTTCGTTCATCAGTTGCCATAGATCGGATGCCAGATGAGCAGCCATTTACACTCAGCTTGGATGAGCAGCTATTAGCTATGAGTGGATAAGAGATACAGTGCGGGTTTTACAATCAGGTCAATTTGCCATAATCACGCCCTAAATTGCCATCCTAGACTGATCGGTCCGGAGCTGATAGAAGCGACTTACCAATTTGCGACTTTTACAGCAACGAGTTAGGGCATGACCCATAAAGGCTATAATGGGTCGACGTGGTCTGTAGCTGGTCTAGACAAGCATTGCGTTGCTTTGAGCCATGGTCCTCATGCGGACCCATCGGGAGGGATAATTAAGCGGGATTGACTGAGGATAGGCAGGTCTATGTCAATTTAGTCGGATTTAGAAATGCCGATTCCATAGAACGGACTACTTTCAGAATTCCGCACAAGGGGCAAAGAATAGAGAGAGCATTGAGATCTACAAACGGACTTTGTAAGTATGACTGTGAAGAATAGACGCAGTGACTCTTTCTCGGTCCTCAATTCCGGGCATGTTTGCAGATGCTACCATAGGCTAAGATTGGCCCCTACAATCTGACTCGTGGGCATGTTTCCCGGGGTTCCAGTCAACCAGAAAATGGCCGGCACCCACACTTGGCTGTGACCAGGCCGTCTGTCCTCTAGAACTAGTGGTTGATCAAAGAGCTAGCCTTTGGACCGAGTGATGGCGGAGTATATCTTCATGGAATGGTTGAAATAAATTGACAAGAAACGAGATGCAGAGGCCTAAGGACCAAGTAAATAAACAAGAACAAAATCTAAGAATCTTCCGGCCAACCCCGTCCTTCGCCGTATCCTCATGCTGTAAGATTCAATCAGAACTCCACTAGTAATGCCTCCTTTCTATATCCCATCGGTCTCAAATGCATGAATTGTCACACCATTCACCAACGTCGACCATACACCGCATCCTCGGCTCTCGATCGATTGGACCCCGGTCGGCGGTTCGAATCACGCGAATCCGATCGCTTCGGAGCAACCGTAGGCTCGTCCGCAGCCCGCAATAACCCAGTAGGTGCTTTGAAGTCCAAAGTACCCTGCTTGTCTTGGAACTTTGACTCGGCATCTCGGCCGAAGAGGGCCATCATGTCGCCCATGGTCAATTTCCCGGCAGCAGACTTGCCCTCGATGGTCATTTTGGCGAGCTCACGTTTACGTTCTTGTAGGTCGACGATTCGCTCTTCAACGGTGTTCTTGATAATCATACGGTAGATCTTGACGTCAACTGTTTGGTTGAGACGATGGACACGGTCGATAGCTTGTTCCTCGACAAACTGTAGTTGAGATGTTAGATAATGTGTGATAATAACTGGGTGGGGATTACTTACAGGATTCCAGAATGGCTCCAAGATGACGACACGGCTGGCAGCAGTCAAGTTGAGGCCGAGCGCACCGGCGCGCAAACTACAGAGCAAAACTCGAGTGCTGCTGTTGTTCCGGAGCTTGTTGAGACTGGCTTCACGATGGTCGTTTCTCATCTGACCGTCGTAACGTGCGAATCCAATGTTGGCGCGCTTCAGGAAGGGCTCAATCTTGTCAAGCATGGAGGTGAAGACCGAGAAGACAATGAACTTGTAATCCGCTGACTCCTTGTGAAGAATCTTCATCAGATGACGAACCTTGGTCGAGGGCAGCTCTCCATTTTCACCCTCATCGATATAGATGTCGTCGTCCAAGTCGGACTCATCCTCGAACTTATCTAGAGCAGCGGGCTTGGATTTCTTGCCAGTCGGAGAGTCTAAAATATCGTCATCGGTATCTGAATCATCAGATCCAATCCAATCACCGCCGCCGTCCGCATTTTCATCGTCAAAGCCGCCGGCCTTTTCTAGGTCGGGCATCTTGCGTTGTCCTTCGGGGACAATCCACTCGCCATCTTCTTCATCTTCGTCGTCGCTATCAATCACAACTCTCCGGTTCCTCCGAGGCCGAGCAGGTTGATCTTCCGCGTCATCTCCACTGTTGTGTTTCGGTGTTTTCTTGGACTTGTGCTTCTTCTGATCTTTGCCCATGAAATCGGTGTTCAAGTCCTTTTCACACTCACTGCAGCGGGTAGCACCGCTCTTGCCTTCTGCCTGGCTAAGTTCGATTTGGCAAACATCACACTTCTTGGTGACAACACTAAGCGCGCCAAAAAGATCGGCAACATCATCCAGGTCGCTTGCCTTAGAATCTTTCGACTGAGTAGAGGAGTTTCCATTTTGCAGAAGAACGTCCTTGTCGGCGGCTAAATCACTTTTGACCAGATCGGGATGGTTGCAGGATTGACGTAAACGCAAGAGTAGAACCAACGCCCCAGCATAGTCAAGTTTAGAGCCCATCATCTGCTCCAGGCTGTTCTCAGTCCTTGCCTCCAGGCGCTTGTAGAAGCTCATCTCTCCCGGCATGAATTCAGCATCTACTCTGATAACTTCACGCTTCACAATCTTGAAGCCGTTGGAGCGTTTCTTTTCGCCACCCTCCGTTTCCTCATCCTCGTTATCTTGGTTTCCTTTCAAGACGTCCTTGGTGCGGCGCTTCATGAACGCCTTCAAGTAGACTTGCAGGCGCTGAATGGCTAGACCGCCTCGGCCATTGGCGAGTGGACGGCTAATCTGATCTCTCCACACAGCTAGGTCGTCAAAGGGTTTGATTCGAAGGAATTTGATCAGACTCTGCAACTCATCAAGGTTGTTTTGCATGGGTGTTCCGGTCAAGCACCAGCGGAACTTGGCGTCGAGTGCACAGGCGGCTTGTGTGGCCTTCGCATTACGGTTCTTGATAGTGTGTGCCTCGTCAAGAATGATACGGAGCCAGTGTAGGGCGAAAATACCCGATTTCTTAGTCTTGTCCGAAGCCGCCGTGGCAGATTCTGATGTGAGAGTGCCGTAAGTAGTGATTACCACGTCGTAGTCGTCTAGTGAGCGGGCCGTCTTGGCTCTGTTGGTGCCGTGATAAACACAAACGCGGAGTCTGTGGGATTTCTCGACTTTGTCGAGAATCTTCGCCTCCCATTGTTTGATGAGAGCCAAAGGGGCAACAACAAGTGTACTCTTGCTGAGAGGAGTCGAGGGATCAGTTTTCTTATCCTTCTTAGCGTCGTCGTTTGCTTCGCTGTGTTCGTCGATTTCGGATTTGTGGTTCTTGAGGAGGAGAGCAATGGCTTGGACAGTTTTACCAAGACCCATATCATCGGCAAGAATTCCGCCCATCGGGAAGATTCCTTTGGTGGCTCGGCGGCCAGTCTCTTTGTCACACATCCACTTGACACCATCAATCTGGTGAGGTAGAAGTGTGACCTTGAGGCCTTCCACGATGCCACTGTCGTCATCTTCATCGCTATCACCCGCTTCATCGTCGTCATCTTCCTCCTCGGCCTCCTCTTCGTTACCGCCTTGGTTTGCAGCTTCATCCACGATTTCGTTCTCAGGTGCGTCTTCACTTGCCTCGGCTGCCTTGTTATTAAGCTTCTCGGCTGGCTCCTGCTCGGTTGACTTCGTGTCGTTCACGGTCACACCCTCAAGCTGAGCAGCCAAATCATCAAGATCATCGTGATTCTTCTGCGAGGCCGAATCCGGTACAGCTGGTTCGGCTTTTCCTGGCAGCTTCTTCTTGCTCTTGCTCTTCTTCTTTCCTTTGCTCTTGCTTTTGGATTTTGAGGCCATCTCTTCCTCCTCATCTTCGAAAGCACCCTCAAGGAGAGCTTTGATGTTCTCATTTGCCTTTTCTGTATCAACATAACCATGCATGTCCATAGAACCAAAGCCAGGCGCATTACTGCTTCCGAAGGTCGTCGCATTGTTGCTGGACGGACCCTCATCCTTAGTCAGATCAATGAATGCCTGAAGATTCTTTGACGCATTCGATGGCTTTGGTGCCGATGGTTTCGATGTGAAAAGTGGTCGAGGGGCACGAGGAGTTGTCCACGTCACATTTTCAGGGCGTTTGATCGGAGTCGCGCCAGGAGGCAACCCTGACGGGTACCCTGATCGGTGATCATTATAGGCTGATGGTCGTACGGGCTGGAACGGATCGAAAGGACCACGCTTAGCCGGAGTTCCAACAGCCGCCGAGTGGGGGCGATAGCTCTGAGGAGCTCCATGCTGCTGTCCGGGGTACTGTGGCCGAGTTTGTTGTTTCGGTAGGGACTGCTGGGGCTGCTGCACGGGTCGGTGATGCTCTGCCCGCGGCCGATTCGATTTGGGGATGTTGAATAGGTGGTTCGATTGGTTCCTGGGCTGGTTTGGCTGGTTGGAACGGTACTGGGAGGGGCCGATCGGGGAGGGTTTGCCAAATTCCGGATGTTGAGTGGCTGAAGGCCGAGATGGTTCATTCTTTTTGCTCGGAGTGGGGGCGTCTAACGGTGCGTTGCTTTCTCTGGCCATGGTTGCGAGTTGAGTCTTCGGTGAAGACGTAATGACCAAGGCGCTCGGCGGTTACTGGACGGGTGCAGGTGATTCTCGAACCAATACTATCGAGATTGTAGAATGTTCCCCGCGGTCGCAAAATCTACTTTGTAGAGACTGGCCGTACAATGCAAGGGAGGGATGGGACAGCTGATGACATGGACTTCAGTTAGCTTTGTGTGGAATCCTAGTGGGATCGACCAGTCGATTTCTGACCATACTGCGCTTGCACGCTTGATTTGACGCCTTGAGGGCTATAGACACATGGACGCAAGCATGAAGAAAAGACGAAGGGCATGACTTACCTCTGATCAGACCATCATAGACCAAATTTTTGAAGTCTTTGACGCGGGGAAGTGGCAGATGCGGAAGAATCGCGGGTCGAGCGTTATCGATAACATTTCAATTTGTTTTGGGTTTCGCCCTAGCAACCGTTCTAGCCTTAGGCACCAAAGCACAGAGGATGTGAGCAAACCCAAATTGCCATCAGGACCACGCCTTGTAGCTTGATAGATCCATGGGTATGACCCCAAAATCAAGGAGACCTTGGCACTTGAATATGTCAAGTGCCGTCCGTATCATTAGAGTGACCTACATGCAAAATGCCTGAGAATGAAGTCAAGGTATATTGCTGCGCCATCTGCACTTCAGCCTACGCTCAGGATTCGAGTGAGATAGAGACGTCATTCTTTCTGAGATCATCTCAAATATTTTGAAAGTACAGAGGTAATTGCGTCGCCTAGCATATCAAATTTCCCCAAGAACACTTTCTAAGATTTTAGGGACAATCACACTAGCATCGCCTTGGAAGAACCAATCACCCTTCGTCGAATTCATCACAGCGACGTCGTTTGGATCCATATTGATAACAGCAACCCGGGCGCCATGACTGCGAGCAATCTCCGTATAACCCGCAGCAGGCCAAACGCGAGAGCTCGTGCCGATGACCAGCATCAAGTCAATAGGCCCAGATTCAATCCACTCGTCCACATAATTCAGGGTGTCTTTGGGGAGGGCCTCCCCAAACCAGACCACACCAGGACGGAGTAAACCGTTACATTTGGGACACCTTGGCAGTTCCTCAGGTCTCAAGTCAGGAAGCGGGTTGCTCGCGTCAGAGATGTCGACTTCATTGGCGACACCGGAGCTGTCATCCCCAGAGCCGGCGGGGAACAGCGCCTTCTGAGGAATCTCCAGCGCGGGGACAATGGGATCGGTGAAGTCATTGCTTCGTGTGTAGTCACAATAAAAAGAAGTACATTTGAGGTCGTAAAGAGAGCCATGGAGCAATTTTAGCTGTTCCGCGGGGTGACCTGCGCGCGGCGATAGACCTGAAATTGAGGTGTTAGCAGCGAACAGACGAGAAGATACCTAAATTAGGATGCAGAGGGTTGCTGTAGTACCATCGACATTCTGAGATATTGTCAAGAAATCTTTATTCATCCGCGAGAGTTTTGCCAGTGCATAGTGAGCTTTGTTGGGCTGCGCCTGCAGCGCCATGTGTCGGCGGTAGCTATAAAACTGCCAGACCAGCCCCGGGTTTGTCTCAAAGGCCCCTGGTGTTGCGAGGGCGGTGGCATCGAAAGAGCGCCATAATCCTCCAGCACCTCGAAACGTGGGGAGGCCCGAGGCTGCGGAGATGCCAGCTCCTAGAAGGGCTAGGATTCGGCGGCTGCCCTTGAGACATTCGGTGAAGGACTCCAAGTCCGCCATCGGAATGGAGCGAGCAGCTTGCTTGACGGATGCCATCTTGTAGGATGGAAAATATACGAAAGTGAAGGAGCGAAAGAGAGGGACAAGAAGAGTTTGTTTGATTATCGGATGAAGTATTGCGGGAGCGGGTGACGTGGGGCCTGGGCAGCCGATCCGGGTTGCGGCTCCTTCACTTTGGGCATTACTTGGCTTATTACTCTTGACAGACATACTCTCAGGTCTCTTCATTCAATGTATCTCATATGAGTTCCACATGGCAAGCAAATAGTAGTACGGACCTGCAATTGTTGTGAAAATGCTTATTAAGGAGCTAAGAGTCCGGAATAGATGTCCCTGTGTACACTCACTGTTCGATCCCTATGCCCCGCCCCACCTTGAAGCATATGTGATCACATTTAATGGCTTGAGGTCGTTGAACTGAATTGTAAATTTTCCTTCAGGACTAAATTACTCGGTCCCCCGATGTTTGTTACTACGAAGCGAGACTTTGCGATAGCCCGGGACAGCCCTGTGGTACTGAAGGTAATTTACCAGAACAGTGAACTAAAGGGGTTTGGTGTAGTTGCTTCCCTCTCAGTCGCCATCAAACTTTAATGCCACCAGGTTAAAAAATCGAGAATTGAATCAGCCTCAAATCGAAGCATACTACGGAAATGAACGAGTGGAGAGGCGCTATCACATCTGATTGAAGCTCTTCGTCTCAAGAAGCTCCAGATTAGTGAAATGGGGGACTATGCAGTGGTAATGCCCAAGAAAGACTGTCATCTCCCGGACAATAGAGGTATTCAAAGGTAAATGGATGGCTTCTCATGCAATCTAAGCTAGGAACTCACTTCACTGATTTTGGTTGGTTGAGGGCATTGGCGTCGTCTTCACCCTTGCTTCGGTGGGCTGCCAAGTCTACCCAATCTCCGATCCCATTACCCCGAGTAACAAGCCAAGACATGTTAAATGGTGAATTTTGGGCAGTTCAGCATATCTGACATCTTTTGACATGTTAGCCGAGTGTTGTCCTTGGGGAATGACGCCCACATTCCAACTGTTGCCAACGCACCTAGCGGGCACTGAATAACAGGAGTCGGCACCCCAGGCAGGACGTAGATTCTTTTGCATGACAAGATCATTGTTTTCACAAAGAGTGACTCTCTCGTTGTTACTGTTCTCTTTCGCTTCAAGTGAGAATGCTCGCGCCGTTACTTGTCTTTGCGACCCTGTTGTTTGGTGCGGTGGAGGCGAAGGATCAAGATGAATCATCCACAACATACGACTTTGTTATTGTTGGCGGGGGTACTAGTGGCTTAGTCGTTGCTCACAGACTTTCAGAAATGGCGGATGTGACTGTCGCTGTTATCGAAGCCGGAGACTCGGTTCTCAACAATCGCAACGTTACCAATGTTCAAGGTTACGGCCTGAGTTTTGGGTCAAGTATTGATTGGGCTTACCAGACAGAAGACCAGAAATATGCAGGCGGAACGAAGCAGATTATGCGCGCTGGGAAAGCCATCGGTGGCACCAGCACCATCAATGGCAAGCCACACCTTTCCATGTCTACTCATGAAAGCTGCTCATGGATCTGTTCAATGCTAATTTTGCGTAGGAATGTCCTATACTCGAGCCCAGAAAGTGCAAATTGACAATTGGGAGCAGGTAGGGAACAAGGGTTGGACTTGGGACAGTCTTCTGCCTTACTATAAGAAATCGGAAGCATTCGAGGTCCCGACCCCGGACCAGATTGCTCACGGTGCTGACTACTACATCAACTATCATGGTGAAAATGGCCCTTTGAAAGTCGGCTGGCCTAACATGATGACCAACAGCAGCATGCTTTCCATTCTCGATGAAACTTTCCAAACATTAGGCCTCCCGTACAACCGCGATGTCAATGGCGGCAACATGGTTGGACTCACGGCGCATCCGGATACCATCGACAGAGAAGCAAATGTGCGCCATGATGCGGCACGAGCTTACTACTGGCCTATCGAAGGGCGATCTAATTTGAAGATCATCTCGAATACTTACGCGAACAAGATTATCTGGGCTAACTTGTCTAGCTCCGAAGCTGTCGCAGTTGGAGTTGAGGTTACGGGCCCAGATGGAGGTGAGATAATATACGCTTCGAAGGAGGTCATCTTATCGGCTGGATCCCTTAAATCATCGGTTATACTGGAGCTTTCAGGCATTGGAAATCCAGATATTCTCAACAAATACGACATCCCCGTCATGGTCAACATTTCTTCAGTCGGGGAGAAATTGCAAGATCAGACGAACAATGGCCTCGCCTACGAAGGAACGGAATTTTGGCTCGGCACGCCGACTTTCTCTGCCCTACCATCGGTAGACCAGCTATACGGAAAGAACGTTTCCGCCGTCGCCTCCGCCATCAACTCCAGTCTCGCTACTTACGCAAAGTCTGTCGCCAACGCCTCAAATGGTGCCGTCCAAGAAGCCAATCTTCTGTCGGCTTTTCAGCTACAGCACGATTTGATTTTCAAATCAAAAGTGCCGTTTGCAGAGATTGTATATCTTCCTATTGCGCACTCATTCGCTAGTGAATATTGGGCTTTACTTCCTTTCTCGCGAGGCAGCATCCACATTAGCTCAGCAGATGCCATGCAGCCCGCCTCAATCAACCCAAATTACTTCATGTTTCAACCGGATCTCGACTTTCAGGCTGATGTGGCTCGCTATATTCGCTACACTTTCGCCACCGCGCCCTTGAGTGACCTTGTCAGCGATGAGTTTTCGCCAGGTCTGGATCACGTTCCCAAGGATGCATCCGAGGATGTATGGACTAGCTGGGTTAAATCTACTTGTAAGTTGTCCTCTTTTTTGCTTCCCCCCCTCTACCCTAATCATTGAACATGTCTAACCGTCTCTCAGATCGATCAAATTACCATCCAGTCGGTACCGCAAGCATGCTTCCCCGGGACAAAGGAGGCGTTGTCAGCCCTGAGCTCAAAGTCTACGGTACCAGGAATGTCCGAGTCATTGATGCTTCCGTTCTACCATTTCAGTTGTGCGGGCACTTGACAAGCACGCTCTACGCTGTAGCCGAGATGGCATCGGATTTGATCAAGAAGAAGTATATACCCAGGGCGAATACGCCGAAGATGGCTGCTGTAAATAAAACCATGCCTCATTAGACATGAGGACAGCAAATACAATGTACCAAACTGAAAGTTCAAAAAATAAGATGAGAACTAGATAAGACGACCACGTAAATAGACTAGATCTCATCTCTACCATCTTCAATGCTGCTCTTCAGGAGGAAGCTGAACCTCAACCGCACCCTCCGCCAAAGCACGATTCTGAGCATTCTTCTTAGCAATAAAAGAAGTTATATGCTCAGGAACCTCTGTCATTTGGCCATCACCACTGGGCACAGGCTCACCGAAGGTCTCCCAAATAGGAACCACACCTGTCCAAATCCTATTCGTAATCTCCTCCTTGTCTGTGTCCTTGCGCTCATCTGAAACACCACCATCACGAATCTTCCCGCTCCCATCCACAACCTTCACCTTCAAAATTACAGTCGAAGACATCTCCGCCTTGTCAGGCGGCACGCGAGTGTTATTCCAGCGATCAGTAAGAACCGAGTTGGTGATCAACTCCATGGCCCAAAGTTTCTCTGCTTCGTCGGTGACAAGCTTGGCATATCCGTGCAGTATAGCAGAGCGGTAGTTGTAGCTGTGCGAGTTGGGTGTCAGGGATAGAATCAATCCGTCTATTTTGCTGGCTGCAACGCAGATGGGGAGTCCGTCCCCTTCGGAATTGCGGGCTAGATTCATGATACGCGAGCTCACGTAGCCGTGTAGGTAACATTCTAGGGGCTCATCGATGCTTGCTGACGGATACTCAAAGGAGCCCATTTGGCCGATCATCGGGAGGATGGCGGGGAATGGGTCCTCGGGTCGGGGTTGAAGGATACATGGAGGACTTGAGAGTCGTTAATGATTGAATGAATTGGGCCCAGATCATAAGTAGCTAAAGGTCTATTGTCAGTAGGTAAGCTCACGATTTATGAAGCCCCTGCATACCGCGATGCTTATAGCGGTTGGCCGTATTAGACGTCCGCTTGGGATAGGTGAGTGTGCGTCCCATGGTACGTAGGTATACACTGAATGAATGAATCAAAGCTCGGAATATCAAAACTAGACAGTTATAGTTCTTGACGGTAATATATACAGACTCGTTGACGCCCTTTCAATCGAGATAAGACTCGCTTTCCACGACCCTATTGAGCAGGTCCATCCGTGTCAGGGTTCCCCGCGGTGCGCAATTGGCCGCCACGACGGAGTTCTCGACCAGGAAAGTCGCGCGATGAGTCAAAGGTTCAGTATTGGAAGCATGGATAGGTGACGCTAAATCTTGATGTCGTAGTTCAGAAGTAAGCTTGTGATGCGAAACATGTGCGTAGTGATTGGCCCACACCGCCGAGGCCGTTATTGAACCTCGCGATAACATCCATTTGCCTTTATCAACCAATATTTTGGCTTTCGATCATGGCATGCAGATCTCTCGCCCGAGTCTGCGCGCAGTTGCGCCCTTCATGTCGCTCTATCGTATCGTCGCGTGCGAGCCTTGTCTCGAGCAGAATCCCTCGGAGGGCGTTCGCTACCTCCGTTGGCGCCGCGGAGCTCAAATTCGGCCAACCGCTGCACGAGACACATCCCCACCTCCTCGAACCTGGTGAACGTACGTTAGATAATGTCGCATTGGACTATTGAGTTGCCTAGCTAACTATGATCGGTGAATAGTTACACCCGGTGTCACCGCTCTTGAATATGCCCAGCGCCGCTCGCGACTCGCCAATAAGCTCCCCAAGGGCGCAATCGCTGTCCTGGCCGCCTCGGAGGTGAAATACCGCGCACCGGGAATCTTCAATGTTTATCGACAAGAGTCCAATTTCTTCTATTTGACAGGTAAGAGCCCGCCTGACAACCTTGCAACGCCATGCAGGGATATGAGCTTATCATACACCTTTCCACGCGCAGGATTCAACGAGCCGAATGCTCTGGCAATTATCGCAAACGATGGCTCCGGCGATAATCATATCTTTCACCTTTACGTACGGGAAAAGGATCCTCAGGCGGAGCTTTGGGATGGAGCGCGCTCCGGCACCCGGGCGGCTGTAGATGTCTTCAACGCCGACGAGGTATGTGAACTTGTTTTGCCAAAACTTCCGGGAGCTTGATACTGACTGTGTATGATTTAGACTGGCAATATCGAGCGTATTGGAGATATTTTGCCCAAGATCGTCACCCAGGCCACCGAGGTCTACTCTGATATTCCTGGCTTCGATCCATCCAGGTCTTCCTTGCACCGATATCTTTACGGCCCTACAGTAGCATCGGAGAAGTTGAAGAAGGTTGTTGATCACCGCAAGGTTCAGCCCTTGAAACACATTCTCAACGAGATGAGAGCTTTCAAGAGCGAGAACGAGGTGGTGCATTTGCGTCGACTTGGACAGGCTTCCGGACGTGCATTCACCGAGTCAATGCGCCAGAATTTCACTATGGAGAAGGACTTGTGTTCGTTCTTGGAGTACCAGTTCAAGGTGAATGGTGCGGACGGCAGTGCTTTTGTGCCTGTTGTAGCCGGTGGCCAGGTAAGTATTTTGCAATTTCATACCCTAGTTGCCTCAAACTGATCATTTCAGAATGCTTTGGCTATTCATTACACGAGGAATGACGATGTTCTCCAGTCAGTATAGCTTGGAATGTTTCGCGAATAGTGGCGCTGATACTATGGGCACAGGGACGGTGATTTGGTTCTTGTCGACGGCGGCGGTGTAAGTACTGCACATTGTAGCTGATGACCCGGAGGCTAATGTACAACAGGAGCTTGGAGGCTACATCTCCGACATTACCAGGACATGGCCGGTCAACGGCAAATTCACAGACCCCCAGCGGGATCTATACAACGCTGTACTCAATGTTCACCGGTCCTGTTTAGCCCTCTGCCGCGAGAACGCAAATCTCTCCCTGGACAAGCTACACGGCATTGCCGAGAATGGCTTGAAAGACCAGCTTAAGCAGCTTGGATTCGACCTGTCTGGCAACGTAAGAGTCAACCATCTTCAACGCGCAGAAGATGTAGCTGACTGTGACACACAGGCCATCTCCACATTGTTCCCCCACCATCTCGGCCATTACATTGGCCTCGATGTTCACGACTGCCCCGGCTATTCTCGAGGGTACAATCTTAAGGCTGGTCAATGTATTACGATTGAACCGTGCGTCCCGGACCCCGATTTCAGAAGTTGACAGGAGCTAATCTATCCCAGCGGCATTTACGTTCCTGACGATGACCGATGGCCTGTACACTTCCGCGGCATTGGCATTCGTATTGAAGATAGCGTCTGCGTAGGAGATGAGCACCCGATTGTGCTGACACCCGAAGCCGTGAAGGAGGTATGTTTCGCCAATGATTTGTTTACTTTGGGTTGTACTAAGTTCTCTTCAAGGTCGTTGATATCGAGGCACTGCGTCCTTAGGCCTAGTCAGTGTATAATAGTTGCCAGATACCCTTTCAAAAGCCGTGTACAATACATTATCATTACCCTTCCAGCCGACGTGACATGGTTTCAGTAGGTTGGCTTTGTGAAAATTTGGGGGCTGGTCCGATGCGGGGGTGGTTGGGAACGGTGATATTCTTAGAGGGTCTGTACATCCGATGAATATTTGCAACTAATCGAGACCAGGAAGTAGAGATAAAATAGAAAGAAAGAAGTTGGTGAATGGAACGTCGCGCGGGCAAAGAATGCAATGTTGATGTTCATGCTTCGCGCGACGGCGTTGGTTGTCCCGGCGCAGCCAAAACAAACTACCAAAAGGCTCCACCACACGACTTTGCCCTTCAACCTTCAACCTTCGACCTTCGACCATCTTCCGTCTCCACCCACTACTCCCCCTTGAACTATCTTGCCTTCGTTTAAACGTCTTTGTCAGCCTCCTCCATTGTGCTCTGTGTCACCATGTCCAGCCTCTGAAATCACCCGAGCCCTGCAAGACGTGTAACACGTCGCGTGCTCGACGTCGAATACCCCTCTACTACTGACCTCTCTCATTGACTCGAAGTACGCGTTTAACCCCCAAGGGAGAGACCCTATGGCCGCTGTGTTCATCCCACCTTCTCCTCGAACCTCCGTGAACATGTCGACTCGACGCCCTCTCGCCAACGTGCCGAATGCAACCAATTCTCCCCACAGGGCAGGGCTCCTGCCGGCCAAACGAGCTCGGTCTGGACAGCTTGAAATTCCCTATGGCCAGCCTCCGCCCAAGAAGCAGGTGATGGACGCGGTGGATCAAGAAACTCGGTCCCCTTCGCGAAACCGGTCGACGGCCTACCAGAGCACCGAGTCGAAGCTTTTCTCGAGACGGTCCAACAATCCCAATCCTAGTGCTTTCGAGAAGAAGCTGGTTGCTGCTCGTGAAAAGGATCGCACTTCGCAGTTAAAGACGGCCAGAGGCGAGAAGCCCTCCACGGACACCATGGACACAATTCGACAGTGGCAACGGCATTACCGTAAGGCATTCCCGCAGTTTGTCTTTTACTTTGACAGTATTCCGGAGGATGTGCGTCGGAAGTTCTCTCGTCAGGTTGTTGCTCTAGGAGCTGTAAGTGTTACCTCGCTTGGGTTTCTTCGCGTGATCTTAACTTGCCACATCTGCTGGGTTGGCAAGATACGTTCGGCTCCTGTTTGTCTTTGCTAACATGTTGAATCGTAGCGTGAGGAAAAATTCTTCTCTCGTCTGGTCACTCATGTCGTCACTTCGCGTCCAATTCCACCAGAAGCCTCTACAACCCCGACCGAGGAGACGGCAACTGGAACCGATGGCGAGGCCAATATGCAAACAGTAAACCCTTCTTTACTGGAAAAGAACGGTGACGCCCACCTGCAGCCTTCACTAAAAAATGATACGCGTCGGGATCAAGGGACCATGGATGTTTTGCAGAGAGCTCGGCAGATGGGTATGAAGATTTGGGCATTGGAAAAGCTTCAGCGCATGATCACAACAATCAATGACAATGACATCGGTGGTCAGAATGATGCCTCCCGGAGTAAAGCAGCCGCTACGGCCAACGGGCGTGGTGAAAACGATCTGTCGCGTGTTCTTCGTCAGGAGGCTCTGAATGGACCCTCTGACCGTGATCCATTGTCATCGATGGAGTTGTGCATGTTCAAGGGGCCTTTCGTCTACATCCACGACATGAACGAGAAGACGAAGCCGGTTATGGTCCGAGAGTACGCCAAAGTTACCCGACGCCAGGATGGAGTCTGGCCACAGTTCCGAAGTGCGCCCTTGGGCAAGTGTCCATTCATCGATGAGCCTCCGAGCCGCAAGGAATTTGACCGTCACCGCATGCGCCAAATCCAAAAGGAGAAGAAATCGGCTCTGCAGAACATGGACGATCATCGCACCAAAGCATCGGCTGCTGCCGCCGAGCGGGCTATCGACACCAACTTGGTGACTGAACTGCACAAGCCCAAACGGTCGGAAGAGCAACAGCCCCATCAACCCGAGGCCCCGGCAAAGGCTTTGACCGACGAATCCCACGAGCGCAAGAGCTCAGAGAGCTTCATTCCTCCTCATTTCCCCGAACCGGCCCCTTCTACACCGGCCGTGAGCCTGCGGCTTCTGGAGTACAGCCATCCAATGTCACATCCGCAATTCGGTCCCAGATGATTTCATCAACCGCCGCCGCACCAGGAGCGAAGGCAGGTCTGAGTAAGGAAGTTCACGGCTTGAAGAGGAAGGTCCTCGAAAAGGGCAGCGGCATTGGATCGATGGCTGCTCCGCAACGTCCCATCAACGGGTCCGCCGTCCCCGTTAAGGCTCAAACCTTGACCAAACCCATTGTTCATGAGAAGAATGGCCGCTCCCAGGAGGACAGTGGGAACCAAGTAGACGCCGCTGGCACGAAGCGTCGTCGGGATGAAGATCAGGACAATGAGCAGAAGAAGCCAGAGCGGCGTCGAGATCCAAAGCCTGGCTATTGTGAGAACTGCCGTGATAAGTTCGATGACTTTGAAGAGGTTGGTCTTCTCCATAACCAATATTGACATAGGCTAACAAGGAATCCACAGCACACTCTGACCCGAAAGCACCGCCGCTTTGCCCAGAACACGGCCAACTGGGCCGAACTTGATGCCCTGTTGTTTGAGATCCAACGTCCTTTGAAGGAAGAGTACGAATTTGACGATTGATTTGGAGACACCACAATGATCCGGCATCGAGTTTCGGCATTTGGCTTCTTTCGACTGCCCTACATAATGGCCTCTGTCGGATTTTATTTTTATTTTCTCTTCTCTTTCGAGCTTCTATGTATTCTTTTCTTCGGTGATGGTGCCATGCCTTTGGAAGTGATGGCTTGCATACACATACCCCGGCATCGACATATTCGCATACTGTGGAGTTTCTCTTTTCGCCTCGCATCAGCAATACGCAATCGACAGCACTGCATTCCGATTGCTTCCTGCTCTGACCTCCCTTGGGCGGAGGTTGTCCACTCGTTACGACCTTTCCTACCACTTCATTTCACTTCTCCCTTGTATTTCTTACCCAACATTTTGCATCCAAATCACAGAAACGCACGTCTTTTCTGCAACGGTAGTCGAGATCATCCCGGCTTATGACCTCACCCTTTTTTCTTTTTTCTGACGGCCAGGTGGTGGAGATTGCCTGCTTGTCTTTGACCCCCCCTATCCGACAAGTCAAGCACCAGGCATGGCATGTGGTATATGGATGTTGTAATCGTGAAGCATGGAAGGCGGAAGGCAGTGCATTGATTTTATTTACATGGCTACATATGTCAACGAAGCTTGCGGGCCTAACTGTTTCGTTTATCTAGTTGTTTCTTATCTTCTCATGTTTGATGCGGCGGTGTCCTTTCCCCAGTGGATGGTCATACCCGGCGCTGGTGGCGGAGTTTGATGTCCGTTTTTGTTTTGACCGCAGTATTACCCAATGAACTTGATCATCCCATTGCTTCTACTTATCACTTCGTGTATGTCTGTGTCAGAGATCGCCCGTGGGGTAGAATTTGAGTCAGTACTCGATGTGAGGATCACCGAGTGTACCTTGCAAGTTGTCGAGTCCTCACCGACACCTACAGGAACCGGATGAGAGACCTACAGGGAAAGTATGAGGACCAGTAAGTCGCCTAGGCACCGTGTGTTGTTGCTTTCCAAGTATGAACCTGTTCTCAGTCAACTACTAAATTCAATGACTGGAGTACTGATCCGCAAGTAGGTCGTCGGGTATGTCGCTTTGGCCTCTGCCTTCTGGTGGTGAAATAAAAACCTCCGAGCCTAGAATCAAGCAGAGAGATTTTCCCTGAAAGTTTTCCTTCTAATGTGTAAACCTCATCACTTCCGGTCCGAGAATAACTACGACTCAAACATGTACACAGTCTTGTACCCCTCCGCACTTAGCCCCAAACGGCAGGAACCTCGGCGCAAATTGGAGGCGGTGAGTCTGCAACAGCGTCAATCGCATTCTGCATTAGCACCAGGCTATGATTCATTATAGGACGAGATAGAACACATGCTACTATGCACAATTTGAAATTAAGAAACTTATTTACATGTCTTGGAATGACGTGGTACCAGAGCTGCGCAAAGCCGAACCTCTGACCCAGCTGTTCGGCGATACTCTTCAACACGCCCTGGCACTATTTTTTGTTTTTCCCCGGAGATGCTCCCGTCTACGCCGCATAACCCAGCACGAAACATCCGGACAGAAGGAAGTGTAATGAGCGCTGGTGTATATAAGAAGTGTACTGCGCTGTCGGGAAAAGCTGACTTTGCATCAGTCTTTCTTTTGGGCTTTCGGCTCTTAGCTTTCGTTCTGCCGCTTTGCCTCGGCCTGTTGAGGTCATCCCCACGACATTGCAGCTTCTCGCAGCTCCGCCGACCACCAACCCTACTAGGAATTGCCGTGAGAGGTCTTTGAGCCTGATTTCCGATTTCAAGCTGGGATAAATACTTCGTGATCCTCCTGTCCGGCTCTCCATTCCATATCACAACGTCATGGCAAATCCAGCCCTGCGGTCGCTTTCGCGGTCTGTCTTGACTTGCCCCTCGGTTCTTGGTACGGCTACGCTGCGTGTTGCGCCTCGACAACTTCGATCCCTTCGTGGTTCTCGATCCATCCTGCCCTCTTTTCCGCGTTCCCAGGTCCGACACAGCTCGTATCACTCACCCGAACCGACTACCAATGCGCGCAAGAAGGTGACCATGCAGACGTTGAAGAACTTGTACAAGAAGGGGGAGCCGATTGCTATGATCACGGCATGGGATTTCCCTAGTGCTCATGTAGCCGAGGCGGCGGGTATTGATGTTGTGCTGGTAGGAGATAGCTTGGGGATGGTGGCGATGGGGCTGGAGAACACAACCGAGATGGTAATGGATGATATGATTTTGCATTGTCGCAGTGTGGCTCGTGGAGCGAAGAGCTCGTTTATTGTAAGTTTCTCCACCATGCTTTGAGAGGGGTTGTATTGACTTGTGAAGGTTGGTGATCTGCCCATGGGGTCCTATGAGGTGAGCCCCGAGCAAGCCGTGCAATCGTCCATTCGTCTTGTCAAGGAGGGTCATGTCCATGCGGTGAAAATTGAAGGTGGCGAGGAGCTGAGTCCGACGATTAAGCGCATTACTCAGGCTGGCATTCCGGTCGTGGGCCATATTGGCCTTACACCCCAACGTCAAAATGCGCTGGGTGGTTTCCGAGTCCAGGGCAAGACCTGCAAGGGTGCTCTGCAGCTTTTACAGGATGCCAGGATTATGCAAGAAGCCGGTGCTTTCATGCTTGTCCTTGAGGCAATGCCGCAGGAGGTTGCAACCTTGATCACATCGAAACTCCAGATTCCCACGATAGGCATCGGCGCCGGCAACGGCTGCTCCGGTCAAGTGCTTGTCCAGGTCGATATGACCGGCAACTTCGAGCCCGGCCGGTTCATGCCAAAATTCGTCAAGCAGTACGCTGATGTGTGGAGTGAAGCGGCCCGCGGGATCACACAGTACCGTGACGAAGTCAAATCCCGCGCTTTCCCTTCAAAAGAATACACCTATCCGATTTCGAAGGAGGAGCTAGCGGAGTTTGAAAAGGCAGTCGAGGAGATGGATCGTCAGTAATGATTTATATAATGCCCTGTTGTCATGTTCTTGGATCAGGCCATCTGCTGTGCATAAAGCTTGTTCATTTGTTCGGATTTGGCGGTGATGCCACCTGTTCAGCCGAACGCCGGCGTCATTGAGTAAGCGACGATCAATTGATCATCTGTTTTGAAGCACTGTATTTGTGATCAGTAGAGTTCCGTCAAAAATGGAGAATGTGACGTGACGCACTCGCCATAATCCGCCGACGCCCTCGTCTAGTCCTGGAGCGAAGACACTATTCACGTAGCAAAAGACTGAATCCGTATCCTTGCAGTCCAGCTTCTTTCGAAGGAATTTGACCACGGTTTCAAACTTCTGTGATGCGCTGATCTTGAACACCCGAGTCTTGAGTATCGGGGCAGATGGCAGCGGTTGGAACCGCACAGTGACTGCATAAGTGTTACTTGACTAGTCGAGGGACGGAGTAACTAAAATTTGACTCTTGCGCAAAAGAAAAATACGCAGATAACATGCAGGGGAGACTTTTGGAGAAAAAAATGACACGAAAGTGCAGCTGGACGTACCTTTGCCAGCATCGATAGCTTCCACGTCGGCCAAGGCCTGATGCGCATCGCGGGGGAGGCCTGTCAGCATCACCGAGGCACTCATGTTCATTGGTAAGTCGGCACCGTGATTATCGTCAGGTATCGGCCCATCTCCCCTGCTTGGAGAGTCCGAATCTGTCCGTTGGCTTTGGCGGCCTGGGCTGGGACGATGTGAGAGAGTACTCGATCCGGGCTGGTTGCCGGAAGAGTTTTGCGCGGAGCGCTCTAGAGGCGATGAAGGATCCATGGCCAAGAACTTCAATTTTTGAGCCTTCTTCGTGTTCCTGATCTTGTGGATAGGTTGGGTGGATGAGTAGTTGGAGAAAGTCGGGTGGGAAAGGAGCGCGGAACCATGGCTGATTTGCGTCTGTCCGAGTCCAAATCCACCCAGCACGCTACATTCCGTGCTAGATGCGCATCTGTATTTGTCCTTCATTTGCTTTACATGTTTATGTCTAATTCACCGCTCCTGTAATTGGGCGATATCAAGTAAAATTGAAATCCAGCCAAGAAGAGCTCCGCATCCGCCTGAGGCTATTGCCCCGCCAGTGATAACGTGAAACCCGTCAATCAGACCAATAATGAATGCAGAGATCCCCACTACAAGACCGGCGTCAATGAAAGCCTGAGACCTTTTCTCGGAGAATTGGCAAATGCCGCGAACAACGAAGAGCAGTCCAAAAACCAGAGCAGTCCTCAGAGCCCACGAGGTTGCAAGCCCTGTAAAAGAATCTCGATAGTCCACGATAATCTCTTCACGAGCACTTTTATAATAGATACGGGCCAACCGAGTCTCCAAAAATGGTCTGAAAGTCAAGGGCTGAGACTACTTGGAGCCCCGATCGAAAGTCCACTCCGCGGCCCAAATGCCCCAGATCGGCGATGCCCTCAGCAAAACCGAGGTCGGCATCGTGTCTGGTTGTGAGCAGTTTAAATACGTCGGCGCGAACCTGCTTGTGCCCCGCGTCAGGCGGCGGGAATGGTGACATTACACAAAGGAACCAAGGATACAATCATGAGTGAATAGTATATGTACTTTAAGAAATCAAAAGCATAGGAACAGCGGTTTCCATGGACGTGCCGTCGAGCGCTGAGTCATCCAGCCATCATATCACCACTCCAACTCCCCCTCTTCCTTCCTTTCCTTTACTGTCTTTTGCGGTGATCGTATTACTTGCTACCCTGCTTTACCGTCCGTTCCTCGACATACCATTCTCACATACCTTTCGTGTCGACCCTGACCCGGCTCCCTGCCCCGCTTCCTTACTTCCCCGCCTCGATTTGGGGGTAATCTTTCGACCAGTGACCTCATTCTACGATACCGCTCCGATTCTTGCAATACCAGCTCTCACATCTGAAAACCACTCAGTCCACACGAGAACTCCACGCCGGTGACAAACAGCAAACATGTCCAGTCCTAAGCGAAGAATCGAGACAGATGTGAGTTCCCCATCAGCTAGCTCCGATAAGGCACCAGGGTCCCCGCAAATGCTAATACCGAGGTTTTTGTTGCTCGCATAGGTCATGAAGTATGCTTAGAACTCTCACTGAGCTTGTGAAGCTCCTTTTTGCTAACCTTCTCTCAAGGATGTATGCCCGCCAGTTCCCCTCCTCTCTCCCGACCTGATCACACTCTACGGCACCAAAGACCATGAACTCGACCCACGATGTTTGATTGTTGGAACATGTCTGATGATAGGGTATAGGCTCATGAGTGACTATGAAGTGACTTTAGTGAATGACAACAGTAAGGAGTACTATGGCCTCACGGACAACTTGCTCAAATGCTAATCGAACACTAGTGTATGTACTAAATCCATGTGGCGAATTCCCTGGCGCATTTTAATTCGATTCCCCCTCATCGCAGGCAAGAATTCTATGTGCGCTTCAAGGGTCCCGAAGAGAGTACGTTCTTGCTCGTCCTTGATTGGAATCGCATCATATTTACCCTCTCTTAGCACCATTTCAAGGTGGTCATTGGAAAATCCACGTCGAGTTGCCCGATCAGTACCCATACAAGAGCCCCAGCATAGGATTCGTCAATCGCATTTTCCATCCTAATATTGATGAGCTGTGAGTTGAATGGTCCCGGCGTTCCCGAATGCCTACTCATAATATCACCCAGGTCCGGCTCTGTCTGTCTCGATGTCATCAACCAAACATGGTCACCCATGTACGACATGATCAACATCTTCGAAGTCTTTCTGCCTCAACTACTCCGCTACCCTAATCCCTCCGATCCTCTCAACGGCGAAGCTGCGGCATTGATGATGCGGGAACCAAAGGGCTACGAGGCGAAGGTGAAGGGTATGTAGCGCAATCGGCCATCATCGCTGCCTTGTGAAACCACTAAATATCCTATGCAGAATACGTCGCCAAATACGCTAGCAAGGAAGCCGTTGACGAAGCAGGCGAAGATACTGAGTCCGAGGACGAGCTCAGTTCCGCGGGCAGCTACGATTCTGGTGGCGAAGAGCCCGCCGGCGCAATGGACGATGTCTAAAGGTCTCATCTGCAGCCAGTAGTCTGGTCAACTCGGATCTGCACGGACATATTGCATTCCCCAAGTAGTTCTTATACCTTTGTTGCCTATGGGAGCAAGATCAGCGGGCGTTTCATTTCACGTGGCGTTTCTTATTTCCCCACTCTTCTTTTTTGGTTTGTGGTGCAGCTCGGCATTGTTATGCTTATGGGTGGAGTCAGGGATGGATCATACTGGTATTGGCGAGGCTGTTGAACCAGTGGACTAGTGCTGACTATCTCGGTATTGTCCGCTTTTTCACCAAGTGGATTGTTTCTTCTTGGGTCACTTCCGTTTAGAGAATGCCGGTGTTTGAGCCTCAAGAGCCGCAAAAACTTTCACTTAGGCTGTACAATCGTGTAATCGTTTATCAGATCAGAATAGAGCCTTTAAACAAAACGCTGAGGTGATATAATCCGAAACCTCGAAATAGTACATCTGATATACCAGCAAAAAATGGAAACTCTCGAAGCACCATCTTTTCCTCGATCGGATCAAGAAAGTTACGTCGTAACATGAGGATGACTCGACCGAAGCCTCTTGACATCACCGTTGCCGACTTGACCAAGCAGCTGCTAAGAAGCCTTTGCAGGACCCAACTCTCTAGAAGACAAAAGCCGAGGTTCTGGCGTTACAAGAGTAGAATAGTTGACAGATGTCCTTCTTACGGGCGGTGCATGTTGCACCCCTGCAAGTGAAGGCGGATCTTTACTGTCAATGAGACCCTTCCGACCGTGAGCACTAATGTTCGCACCTCCTTAGATTGCTCATTGACCCATAGCTGTCGAGGGGGGTTTACTATGTTGCATGCTGAAGGCAGATCTTGGATATCCATTCATTCAGGCTCTACCCAAAGACCAAGGAAACGTCAGGAGATGAATGTTTCTGAGAAATAGAACCAAATTATTGACCAGGGCAAAAGACGCATCAAAATATGATAAGAATGCAACGAGGGAAACGTTGAAAAAAAAAAAGAGCAGTGCTTTACTACCTAGCCTCATTGAGACCGCTAACCAAAGAATCTCGACAGTTAAAGGAAAAGAGATCTGACTTAAGAGAACCTGCACCATGGGTATTATCAGACCAAGACGAAGGCAAGTGAGCGGCTATGTATGTGCGAGCAGTCGACCGGCGATCCATGCATGAAAAGAAAAATTGAAAAAGCACCACCAAAACAAAGAGAGTCAAAAGTACAACGGCGCAAACTCGTCCTGGCAGGAAGTCTTGTGAAGTATGTTCCTCTGCATAATAAGTCCCCCAAACCCTTCATGTCCATCGTTGTCATGCGAAAGAGTGATTCGCATTGAATGTCAATCTTTAGTTCACCTTGAGCACACCGAACACATCGCGGACATCACGGACATCGCGAGCGGAATCGTTGCCGGTGTCCAAGTTTTGGCGGGAGCGCTTCTTGCTTGGGTTGATGACGACCTCACCCCAATGTTTGGGTACAGTGCCGCCAGATGTCGGCCGACTCCGTTGAGAGATGTTATCGGCAGATACGGTGAGCTGCGAGCCCTCTTCGGGGGTTGGAGATGCAGATGCGGAGGTCGGGCCGTGAAGGGTTGCCTGGGGAAGAAGATGAGGTTGTGGTTGCAGGGACCAAATGTCAATGACGGAGCTACACATGAAGTAATTAGCAAAAAGAAACTTTCTCATTGGAATGAATGAAGAGTTCGAAGTACTCACTCAGAAGTCCGTTGGCAGATAGCATCCAATGCCTCCCGCTCGCGCCTCACGTATTCCGGATCCGGCTGGTTGGCCTGCTGAGCATGGTTGAGGGCTCCGTAGCCGTACCCCGCCTGGTAGGGGTCATCTTCGAGAAGTCGCGAAGATTCAGGCTGAAGAGTCTTGTTAGAATATCTCTGTATCCGACATGCGTTCCAGGCATCGCGCATGAGACCCCGATAGTACGCATTGAATAACATAGCGTCCAGCAGAGCCGTACTCAAGCCAGAATTCAACTCAACTCACCTCGGGAGATTCGTGGCGGTTGCCACCTAGACATGAAGCACAGACACCCATTTATGAAGGGTTGCGGTATAATGGCGCACGATGCGAATGGGCACGAGGGATTAATCACCCCAATTATCGAAGCCGAGGTGGGACCATTCCCCTTCAGAGTAGGGGCTTTGATGAAGTGCGACAACGGACGCTCAAGGTGGAGGGGTAAGGAGTGTGGGTGCAGAGTGAGCAACAGAAACGGCAAAAGAATAGCGTAAGTAGAAGTTTGAGGCTGGGAAGGAGAGTCCGTGCGATGTCATCGGACGTTGATAAGGTGGTGCGTGGCCGCTGCGTGGAGTTAAGTACTGCAACTTTTTCGTCCACTTGTCAACGACTCTTCGCGGACTGGAGTTGACACACACGAACCCACCATGTTTGACTTACCGAATGCGAAACGGTATATTGCATTCAATCCCCCTATGGAATGACGAAAGACGCTCATTCAATCTTTTAGCGTACGTCGCGATGAAGTTCAGTCGCCCTCCTCATCCCGCTCTCCGTCCCCGGTCGACGAATCCGCCATCCAAGATGCCCAAGCTAGACTCGGTCAACTTCTCAATCTCGATGCTTTAATTGGAACCACCATTACTCAATCAGAAACCAAGGATGCCCAGCAGCCTGCCGTCGCCGAGGATGAAGAGCAGGAGTTCGAGTTCCGCTTGTTCAGTGCACCTGCCAAAGCCAAGGATACAACCACCAAAACTGAGGTAGAAGATAAATCTACAGAGGATAAAGTCGAAGAAAGTGGCAAAGAAACCGGCGGTACCCAAAAATTGCGCATTCGATTGCGTTCCCCCTCGCCCGCAAACCCCTCCGAGGGCCGTTTCGTCAAGGCCTTCCGCGGCTGGCAATATTACTTCTCTACCCCGTCTTTGTATGGTTTCAAAGACGTCGGAGATCAAGAACAAGAAGTGGAAAGGAGGCGACAATTCGAAGAGATGGCGGTGAGCGGAGAGCATATCACCACATGGGCCAAGTCCCAGCCTTGGGTAAGTCACATCCAGACCTCCCGACCTAACAACCGGGAGTCAAACATTGTATACAAGCTAATACAATCCCATAGCCTGGATGTCATCTTCCATGGCGAGTGACCCGTCTCAAGCGGCACCAAACCAAGCTCCCTCCCAAATCCACAGACATCCCAATTTACGTGGTGGAGGGCGCGCCTGTAAAGAAATCACCATTGACACGCAAGAAGCCCGGCAAGAAGCGTCGCGTTCAACTGCGTAAGAAAATCGAAGCGGCCAAGAAAGCCCAAGAGAACGAAGCAGAGAAGCGCACGCGCAAGAACCGCGAGCGCAAGCTCAAGCGCCGACAGAAGGCGCGTGAAGAGAAGGCCGCGAAAGCTGCTGCCAACGGTGAAGATGTTTCCATGGTAAGCGCCGATGGAGATTCGTCTGGGTCAGACGAGTGAGGGCTATGTCTATAGTGATCGCAGCGAATAAACAATCCATGATACCCCTATGACTCAGAACGCTCCAGAAACGAAAATAAGTTAATTGTGCGAGTGCACGGCGATAGCCCAGTGCAACGGGGTATTTATTAATTACAAGTAGAGGGCCATGGTCACTCCAATAAAAAAAAAAGTCAACGCAAAGAAAGGAGACAAAGTGATGGTAGCTGATGTGGGGAATTTGTTTAGCGGCCTTGAAGGCGCGCTGAGAGAAGGAAAAGAGAGTGTGTTGATTCGTCCTAAAAGCGGCGTATGAGCACCTTACTTGGCCGGTTCCTCTTTGGTGAGTTAGTATTGATTCCTGTGTCATAAATATCACATCACGCACCAGTCTTGGCTGCGGTGGCCGGCAAATCGGTGGCCGCAGGAGTCTCCGGCTTGGAAGCTTCGACCTTGGGCTCTGGAACTTCGGTGGGGGCAGTGGGCTCCTCGGTCTTCACCTCGGATGATGCCGTGGCTTCTGAAGTGATGGCTCAGTTGTTGTTCATTGAATGTCAGACACGGTATTGCTTACCAGTGGACTCCTGGACAGGAGCCGGGGCCAGAACTGGAGTTGGCTCCGCAGCAGGCGCCGCGGCGGTGGTGGTCGTAACTGGAGCCTCTGTGGTTGCCGGAGTCTCCTGAGGGTTGGATTCAGTTTTCTCTTTCTTCTCTTTCTTCTCCTTCTTGCGGCGGAATATGGCCTTGAGCCCCTTCTTCAGGTTGGCAAACGCGTTGGGGGCTGCGGGGTTAGAAAGACGATATTAGAAGAATAAGGGGTACCAATAGGAAACTTACGAACACCAGGCATGATGATATTGGTCGTGAGAATCAAACCGAGAACGAAGTGGTTGGTACTATCACGGAGTGTAGAAGAAGTAAATAGACTGGCATCACGGCATTCTTAACACCAGCGCAGGCCAGACCTCAACCACGTGACAGTCTATCAGTTTAATCCATGCTGCAAATTGATTCATTATTGACTTTACGCCCATTCGGGTCCGGATCATGGTCAGGGGCTGTGATAAACACGAGTCGAGGTCAATAGTAGGTATCCCATGGATCTGATTGGCTCCGGTGGATCCTTCTTGGCCCCGCCCAGTCTCATCTTGGCACTGACAGCTCGCGTGGCTGTGCTGCCTCTAATAATGGTTGTGAAACGTCACTATAGTGTCCCGGGGCCTCCACTTCGCCGGCGCTTAGTTTGATCCGAAAACGCTAGCCAATGGGTTCGAATCAATTCTACAGCTGCCTCGAAACAACAGTATCATGTGGAGACTGCAATTTCGAATGAGTACCCATGAATCTGAATCAAAATAAAGTATTAATTGGGTATCATATCCCTATAGGATAAAAATGCACTCGCTGTGAAGAATGCAACCAGGCAATAAACCGTGAATAGCAGATATAAGATGTATATCTAGAGTAAACGCAGAAATAATGCTACCATTAAATGGCCTCCAATCCTGTCAGCCAATGATCGCATGGGTTGTTAAAGAGGGTGCTCACCGAATACCAGGAAAAAGAGACTAACGGCAGCTTTCATATTGTGGGCTCCAATAAGGATGAGAAGAGCACCGGCGAGGGTCCAGGTAGAGAGACCGCCGAACTGCAAATCCGGGATGCGCTTATATTTAGTGGCGGCTTCGTCGATGAGGGCGTGTAGATTGAAAGCAGCCGTGGTGGCCTGGTCCAGCAAAGCTTGGGAGACTTGCGAGTTGTGTTGCATTTCCTTTTGAATCTGCGATTGAGCTGCGAGCGCTTGGACCTGCATAATCTGCGCATTTTGCAGCTCATTGGCTTTCGCTTGCGATTGTTCCATGGTCGTTTCTAAAGTTCGCAGTCGCTTTTGACCTCAGTAAAAGAGCAATTATGGCACCTGAAGAACTCACTTCGGCTATCTGGTTCTCTTGCTCGAGGATCAGAAGAAGTCGGCTTGTGAGCCATTCCTGTTGTTTTCAGTGTCATACCCCTGAGACTTGAAGATTGAACATACCAAGGAAGCATCGAATCTGCCTATACTCTGGGAGAGTCCTGCTATATCTGTCTCAACCAGCGACTCAAGTGATAGTTGTAGTAACGAAGCGAGTTCTTGATAAGCATGAATGTTGTTTTCATGTGTGCGGAGAGCCAGCTCGCTCCTGGATAGGGCATCTTGGTGCGCAAGTTGCAGCGTCTGTTGGAGCTTGTCGACCTCACTGGAGGCATTTTGAATGTTCTGTAGAGAGTGAGGTTATGCAAATAGGCATGCAAAAGGAGCTTTCTCACCTCTTCGAGCACCACCGTCTCTGCCTGCACATAACCTAGGGCCGAAGCAACAACAGCAGCGACTCTTTCAATTCCAAGTTCAATCTCACGAAGGAAGCCTCCAAGTGTTTGCTGGAAAAAAGATTGACTGGCCTCCATATCTGTTAAAAGCTTTTTTTGTAGCAATTGGACAGCCTGTAGAAAGGCATCATGTTTTGAGGCTTCTGTTGCGGCATTGTGCAAAGCCTGGTGAATTCCTTCATCCAGCTTGATGCTACTTCTCAGTATAGAACGATGAAGATCCAGCAGCTCCTCTTTCTCAGCCTCGATCCGCGAAGCTTGACAGATGACCATTGCATTCTGCCTACTGTTGCTGTAGGAGGTCCACCATTGGGGCCGTGATTCTAATGCCTTGAGACACTGCTCAAGGAGCTCCTTGGGCACTAGATTTGTACCGGTGTCAGGAACACTCGATGATTGCATGAACCCGAATCGAATCTTCGATTCTGGAGGTGAAAGTGTCACTGGGAGGCAAGGCGCGGGAACAGAGGCACCTGTACCTTCGAGTTCACAAATCGCGAGGCGGGCAGCGTAGACAGACCGAATGCGATCCAGGGTCTCTTGAGGCTCATCATTCCCATTTGCTGTGCCTCCAAAAGACTGACATGAGGTCACAAGCCTCGTTGCTGCGATACGAGTGCATGAAGACGATATAGTAATGGATTCGAGGAGCTGAACTGCCTCAGAGTATATTGAGTCGCGTTGTGTTGTTTTAGATATCAGGTAGGAAATAGCGTTGCTGTCATTGCACCTGTCCAGATAGCCTGGAAGATTGACTGGAAGCGTCAGCAGAGCCTGGCGGTTTGTTTTCGCAGCAGAAATTACCACGCTCAGATAAGTTCACCTGACCGGGGTCTCTGGAAGCTTGTGTGAGAGCACTCAGGAGCAGAGCAAGGCCCAGCCAAGTTGATGAGAGCCTCTTCATTTTTCTGGGTTTTTCAAATGTCGCGTTGGATGACGAAGCTTCAGATTTCGATCTCAGTCAGCGCCCGCGCTCTTCCTGAGGGTCGTGAGGGAATGAGGAATGGGTAGGGTACGTTCATTGAGAGTACTTGTGGAAGCCAAGGGGAAAGAGAGAGTGGAGGTTTCAATGTCCCTCGAATTACTCAACCATATGAAAGTCACCATCTGCCACAGGGACTACCAGGATGGTCACGCATACTATCGGGAATATGAAAGGTTCTCTCATTCTACTGTCCTTGTGGGTCTCTTCACATATACAAGATATTCATTACTTTCGGATTGACAAGTAAGAGGTCAATCGGATGAGCCATTCCAGTGCGTCAACAGGTTGCGCTGTACAACCAATTCACCTTCGAGTTCGACTTCTTCACACTGCGGCAGTCAGCTCTGGCCCAAAGACTCGATGATTTCAGATTGGAAAAACAGTGTACTTGACGAGTCAAATTGACTGTGAATCGAGATATATCACCTTTTCGAGTCAACAAGTCTCAACCTTGACGATGCCGTAAAGGTGTTCGTGAGATCACGACCTCTCTACTGGTTCACGCCCACGAATGCCATATTGATTTGTAATCCACACCCTCACCTTCATCGACAAGGATCTTCTAGATGAATACACAGTCAACCGCTTGATAACCTTCTTGTGACCAAGAAAAAAAATATCGCATGAAGTTGAATCTCTCCTGAGAAGCTTTCACTCACACAGTCCAGTGTACAAGGGCAACTCGCCACCCTCCAAATATCATTCACGTCAATGTCCGAATACAATGCACCCAGGTCAGGTAGGTTACGAGATTAAAGCACTGTGATGATTTCTCCGGGTATTGACCTATTTCTTCCTTCTCTAGATGGCCAGTATCATTTTGTCACCATTGACAAATTTAGATGATCCAACAGCCAAGCGTCGGGCCCGATCGCATGCTGTAACAAGAGGCCTTGCAAATAAAGGAAAGCTCCAGCGAAAATCGGGTAGTAACTTCCTATTATCTTGTTCAGGAAGTAATCTTGGCCCAACGTTGAGCAAAAAGACACAGGAACAAAGACTTGTCATGTCATCATGTTCCACATCTGAAGGCGAGCCTGGTCCTTTCCAGATGCTGGCTGCAGAGTCGCCAAGATTGCGAGAATTGCTCAGTTGCCGTAGGATACCCATGCCTGCTTTCAGTCATCAAAATCACTTATAAGCTATGATTTAGATAAGTCACAGCATGCCACGGAGCCGATCTTAAGCGTTTCAGACGAGCTGGTACTCCAGGGCTTTCGCTCAATTCTACGAAAAGGGCTTGATGATCATGCTCTGGTGAATGCAATCATGCTCACATTCGCATTGAATACTACTGCTGGTGGCTTCAATAGACAGTGTCTCCAGTATAAGGTCGAGGTTTTGGCCTCCCTTCGTCAACGCATGACCTCTTCGGAGACCGCTACTACGGAGTCGACGCTAGGCGCCATTTTGCTCCTCGCTGGTGTAGAGGTAGGTTAGCATATTTTAGTTCCTCGTCACGGAACTCGTTATAAAGGCAAAGCCACCAAGGACTGATATCTAGTTCACATAGGCTCGGATTGGAATGCCTTGTCAGGTTCAACTTCATATGGGGGCAATATATAAGCTTCTTGACATTTGTCAAAGGAAAGGTGTCTATTTGAGCGACGGCATCAAACGTGCCATTTTTTGGTAGGTGATTTATTGTTGTTGATCGCCTGTTACTAAGATCAATGAAAAGGTGAGATTTGAATGCCTCGGTCATGACAGGGTCTGGTAGATTCATCGATCACACAACCTTTCCTGAGCTTCAATGGAAAAGAGATCCTTTCTCTCCAAAGTTGTTTACCCTGCCATCTGGATTTCAACCACAGGCTCATCTATTGGGTGAGGAATTCGTCGAAGTGCTGAAAGACGTTTTTGCATTGCAATGCATCCGCGACTCTACCTTTTTCGGCAAAGAAGATGTGATAACGATATCTTATATTGACAACCACCAAGCGTCAATCCAACCAAGGCTTGTGAGTTTGCCAACGGTCTCGCTTGTCTCAGATTTTTGTCATTTAGCAGCATATCTATGCTTAACAATGCTGCGCTGCAAAACTTGGCGTACCTCGACCATTCCCGTAAGTCAGTTCGTGACTTGTGTTCTTGCACCTTTGTGTCTTAATGAATCTTGCTGAGCTCAAGTCTCCTAGTCTCATCTCTCGTTTCAGCTTCTTCATAAGCTTCAACAGGCGATCGATGATCTCGTCTGGAATGATCGGCCTGATTTGTTAGCATGGCTTTTGCACATTGGTGGAGCCCTTGCCCCCAGCGGGGCTATAAGGTCCGTTTACGTGGAAATATTGCAATCAGAGCATGGAAGCAGGCTTCAAGATCTATATAAATCATGGCCAGAATTACTTGAACTTCTCAGGCAGTTCATTTGGTCAGACAAGGCATCCAAGTCACAAGTCAAGGCATTTTGGAATGAAAGTCTTGTTTGGACTACTCACCTTTATTTTCGGCTCACTCAAAGCTTTTCTTTACGTGAGTGGAAGTTTGGAAAGACTTTAAATAGCAGCTGACCAAAACTGGGCTTATCTGCTGAGAACTAGGAGTCGTCATCGGCGGCAATGACCAGTAAATGCATGGTCTCGAAATGATTTATGAGATCTGATTGCTTCTAGAATTGACCAAAAAGGGGTAGATCCTTGTCTGGCGGCGGCAATTATTGCCTCAAGTTGTAAAAGAAAGTCACGGAGACAATTGTCCCCCCCCATACCTAGATAAACTTTTTTGGTTAGTAATATGAGGCTATTGTTGGCATCGCGGAACTTAATCATCCTTTCGCAAATTGGAAGTATTTGTGTTCCCTTTTAGGAAATATCCCAATGACAATCTTACTGAACGCATTCGACCACTGTAGCAGGGCCCAACACCGAAATATGGCAAACCAAGTATTAATAGGTGGACTTCACTGATGTCCAAGTAGCAGAGTCTCTTCTTATTATATATTCGAGAACAAAGATCTAGATATTCGAGAACAGAGATCCAGATATCTTTAATAATGTCTCAGTCTCGTCTTTTCAAGCCTCTGAAGATAGGCCCTATCGAAATTGCGCATCGTATAGCAATGGCTCCTCTCACTCGTTTGCGAGCGACTGAAGACCGCGTACCAACACCCTTGATGAAAGAATACTACAGTCAAAGGGCAGCCGTTCCCGGCACCCTGATCATCACTGAAGGAACTTTCATCTCAGCAACCTGTGGTGGATATCCTCATGCACCCGGCCTCTGGCGAGAAGACCAAATCGCCGCTTGGAAGACTATAACCGACGAAGTTCACGGCAAAGGATGCTACGTATTCTGTCAATTGTTCGCGATGGGTCGTGCTGCCAATGCCGAGGTAGCTCGAACGGAGGGCGTACCCATCGTAGCACCTTGTGCCATTCCGATTGAGGAAAGCGCCGTGGTGCCTGAAGCTATGACTGCGGATGAGATCAAGCAAACCATTCATAATTTCGTGTTCGCTTCGAAGAACGCCATCCGAGCGGGATTTGATGGTGTCGAGATCCACGGTGCAAATGGGTATCTGCTTGACCAGTTCATTCAATATGCCAGCAATCAACGTCAAGATGAGTACGGGGGAAATGTGGAGAACAGATCTCGCATGCTCAATGATTTGATCAAGTCTGTTGTCGATGCTATCGGTCCTCAACGGGTCGGCCTTCGTCTAAGCCCCTGGTCTACATTCCAGGGTATGAGAATGGAGGATCCTATTTCACAATCTACGGACATCATCCAAAAGGCTATCCAAGCAGATATCGCATATCTTCACCTCGTCGAATCACGAAGCGCAGAGACTTGTCGAAAAAACTATCCTGACAAGAATATCGTGGTCATATTCGGACGTTATTTTATTTCCAACCCGGACCTTGTGTACAGAATGAAGGAGGGTCTGGAGCTCAGTGTGTATCACAGAGATACATTTCTATGCCGTCAATTCAGCAGTGGGATATTGGGATTATCCATTCAGCGAAAGGTATCTGGCAAGTAGACTGGAGAAGACTTGTTGAAGGGGTGTATCTATACTTTCCTGACTAGCAGGAACCCGTGTGTGGAGGGTTCAACCAGGCAATTCATCCGCATTCCGTCTGTTAATTCTTGCGCCGACCCGCAATGTTCTCAGAGTTACCAATGCTCAATGTAGAAGCCCAATACGTAGATCTCAGAGGTTCCTTTCCTATGAACGGCTAAAGGCTGCCCGAAATACCAGGCCATCATGGCGACAGTCACGTGAACGCTAGCCCAATCGGGGCCGCATTTTACTCCGACAAAATCATCGAAGCCGCAGCGCAACGAACCAACACGCCAAACATCATGTCGTTCTTACCCCAACGCTGCGCCCGGCAGCTTCTCCGGGAACCTTTCCAGCGCGCCTCATTACCGCTCTTCCTCACTCCCGCATTTTCTCACTCTCGCGCACAATGCTTCTCAACAACCTCCCCGATGCAATCCCGAGTCGGAGGCGCCCCCATCTCCGTGCCCCCGGATGTGTCATTAACTCTAGTCGATCTTCCTAAGTCGCTTTCCCGCGCTCGAGGAAAGGATGTCCCTCAGTTTGCAGCTCATATCAAGGGTCCCAAGGGTATGTTTTGACTCCCCGAGGCGTGACGAATTAAAAGCTAACCTTCCCGACTGGCTTACAGGCGAAATGACCCTCGAGCTTCCCTCTTTCTTGAACGTAAACCACGATGCAGCTACCTTGAAGACTACACTGTCTGTAGTGGATCCGGAAGTTCCTACTCAGCGTGCCATGTGGGGTATGTGTCGAATCCGAAGACTCGTGCGCGGTTGCTCGTCACTAACGACTTTCTGATGCTAGGCACTATCCGCGCGCTCCTCCAGAACCATATCACCGGTGTCTCCGAAGGCCACATCTGTGTTTTGAGTCTCGTTGGTGTCGGTTACAGGGCCACCATTGAAGATACCGCGACTACCGTCAGCCCCAGCTACCCCGGACAAAAGTTCGTCTCCCTGAAGGTCGGATTTTCTCACCCCATTGAGCTCGGTATCCCCGAAGGCGTCCAGGCTAGCACGCCCCAACCGACCCGTATCTTGCTAGAGAGTGTCGACAAGAGAGCGGTGACACAGTTCGCGGCTGAGATCCGAGAATGGAGACGGCCGGAGCCGTACAAGGGCAAGGGTATCTTCGTCAACGGCGAGACTATCAAGCTCAAGGCGAAGAAGATCAAATAGTCTGTCGGCGCATTGGTTGGCTTTTTCAGGAACATTGCATTCATTGGTTCCGTGTATTCTTATACTCTATTTCAAATCATATATGTACTTTTCTCTTCCTTTAAATTCCTCCAAGTGGTATCACAGATGTACTTTGTACGCATCAAGCGTGATCCTCATAAAAAGACCCACGTAAACCCAAGGCAGAGTATAGGACAAATTAAAAACAAATTCGTTCAACATTAGAGCTTCAGCACAGTCTTGACCGCACCGATCACCTGGTCCTGGAGGGCCTTGGGGGAGGCAACGACACCGGTGTTGGCAGCCAAGGTCCGGCCCTTGCTGAAATCCAAACGGTTGCCGTAGATATCGGTCACCTGGCCACCAGCCTCACGGACAAGGATGTCACCGGCAGCGTGGTCCCAGATTTTCTCCTGGTAGTCCTTCTTGACAGGAAGACGGAGGTAGATGTCTCCGGCGCCACGAGCGATCGAGCAGTACTTGGCCTGCGAGTCCAGTCGCACGCTAGGAGCAGTGATACCGAGGAGGCTGGCAACAGCGGCATTGTCACCCTGAGCGGAGTGAGCGGCCTCAACACCCTCACAGAAGACAGCATCGGCGATGTTGGCAACAGGGCGCATGGAGATGGGCTTGCTCGGGGCTAGAGTACCGGTGGACAGAGGACGGCTGGTAGCGCCCTCGCCTTGGACGGCTGAAAACAGGACACCGTTGGCAGAGGAACCCTCTTGCTGGGCACCAGTGCTGGCGTCGAGGGTGGCATTGTCGTCTACGGGGAGGTTAGGGGTACCAATGGCACCGACCTTGACGTCACCGTCAACAATCAGGCCCAGGCAGACGGCGTACTGGCCGCCACGGAGGAAGCCCTTAGTGCCGTCAATGGGGTCAAGAGCCCAGATACGGCCCTTGGGGCCACCGGCACTGTTGCCCTGATCAATGAGGTCCAGCATGCTCTCTTCACTGGGAATGGGTCCACCCAGCAGATTGTCGCTCTCCGCATCGTCCAGCTTGATATCCTTAGCGAGACGCCAGATTTCGGCGCTGAGGTCCTTGTCCTGTCGCAGGGAGCTGGACTCCTCTTCGCCGACGATCTCGTCGTTGGGGAAATTCTTGCGAATGGCCTGGATGATCAAGGCCTGGGCGCCGAAGTCGCCAATGGTGACGGGGGACTTGTCATCCTTGGAGACAGTACCCTTGGCCTTCTCGAAAAAGACCTTTTGGGTAAGAAGACAGGCTCGCTGAACGGCGAGTTCGGCAATGTAACGTTCTTGCTGGTAAGACATGACTGCGGGGTGGTGTGAGAAGGAGGGAAGGAAGAGGGACAGACGGGAGCGGGTCTTCAGAGCCACGCTGAGGGCCAGGATGAGGGTGGAGCAAAGTATGAAGCGGGACAGGACGCGCAACCAATTTGACCTTGAGCGGGGAGAATCCGTCCTGGTCGGGGAGATCATGAACGAGGTTCAATTGAATAGAAAGATATGCCTCGTATTGATTACTGTGTTCAGCGCAGCGTAACTTGCGTGAAATGGACTCAGTCCTTCCCCGCCCTAAACCGCATTGGGTTGCAAGAGTCACGGGGAGTCAAAAGTCAGTACTCTGAGTTTTGGTGTGCGATGTTTCTGTGTTTCATCTTTGCTCGGAATCTCTGTTCTGGTTCTGTGTCCAATTGTGCTCCATGCTTTATGCGCCCGCTTCTCACTGAATCAGGGGCAAATTTGCGCATCCACCTCTTGGACCGTTGATCGACCTCCCGACTCGCGCTAACATCCCCCCTCCGACGTCACCATCTGCCGATAACACCATTGACCAAGACCCGCGCATCATTCAGCACAGCTCGAGACTGAGGTTCTACGGCATATAATCAGCTGCAACCCGGTGTCACCCTCTTCGACGCGACCCCTCCAATCCCTGTGGAGCCCTGGACTATTCCGAGCCGTGCGGGGTTCTATACGGACTTGTCGTTGTTCTGGCGCGGGGAGTGTAACGGACTGAGCGAGGTTGGTAACCAAATTGCTCATCGCTGTGGAAATCCATTGAACTCACTCTGTGTATCGTTGCCAGACCTTCCTGACTCTCATCCACCATGTTTCAGTCATCGGTAGGTTGACCGAGGCATGATAAGGGGTCTCGTGACCAACAGGCTAACGTGGGCTTCTACCACCAGAAACCCTACTCGGCGGTGACCGTACAGATCGAGGTTCTCACAAGCGAACAATATGAAGTGGAAGACTCGAGCGGTATCGTCGATCTGATCGATGTCGTTCGTATCCAAGCTAGCGGTCCGACAGAAGCCAGTCGGGCTCTGCGCAAGAAGCTGTGAGCTATGAAGTACAAAAGCTATGTTCGTAGAGCTAATCGAGCCTCAGAAAATATGGCAACCTTCATCGACAGCTTCGAGCCCTTACAATCCTTGATTTTCTCATCCAGAATGCAGGTGATCGGTTCCTGCGCGATTTTGCCGACGAACCGCTGCTCGAACGACTACGTATCGCAGGAACAGACCCCGTCTCAGATCCACTAGTTAAACAAAAGTGCAAGGTACTCTTTGGGCAATGGGCTGCGACATACAAGAATACTCCAGGCATGGCCAAGATCACAGCACTATACCAACAGCTTCCGAAACGCAAGCAGCCTGCCGTCCAGGCCAGGAGCAAGGTCTTACGCGAGGGTGCCAATAGCAATGAGCCTCCGATGGGACACACCGTCTCGATCTCAGCTGGCAATGGACCCGCCAAGACCTTGAGCAGCCCCAAGCAGAAACCCAGCAAACCCAAGAAGGACAAGACCGAGAAGAAATTGTCGATCAACAGCCGCAGCTTTAACCTGGAACGGGAGCGCCCACAGATTTTAGAGACGTTTGCATCCGCGTCCGTTGCAAGTACGAATCTGTTGAATGCATTGAAACTTGTCAATCGTGAGACAACTCGTATCAGCGAAGATGCAGAGTGCATCAATCGATTCGAGACGTGCAAGAAGCTTCGACACCAAATTCTTCGGTACATCCAGCATATTGAAAGCGAGGAGTTCTTGGGCGGATTGATTCATGCGAATGAGGAGCTAGTCACAGCTCTCATGGCATTCGAGGTGTTAGATAAGAGCTACGACTATGACAGTGATAGTGACGACGACGTCTTCTCCGGCAACTGGCGGTCCAAGGCCGAAATGGAGGAAGAAATGAGCCAAAATTTCAACGGGCTGAGTATCAATCCTGCGAAGCCGCCACGGCCAGCTCGACCTGTCAGCCTTTCTCTTGCCTCTGCATCGCAGGGCACGCGACGGATTCTGGATAGCGAGAGTGAGTCGGAGTCGGAAGAAGAAGATGATGATGATGACAACCCATTCGGAGACCGAAATGCCATCAAGACCCCTGCAATTGGGAAGAACGGCTATACTTGGTATGTATTGCCAATGGCCATTTGTTAATATGAGTGCTAACGCATGAATAGGAAAGAAGTATAATATAAGTCGCCTTCGCGTATGGAATCGCGATGTCTTGCTTTCTTGCACTGGCCCCGAGCGTTGCATACCCCAATGAGATTGTTTCCCTCGTACGGAAGTGATGCGCACATGTGTGATCCTTGCGTTCGCTTCCCGACGATGTACATAGTTCTCAACGGCAATTTGTGCATAGCTTTCAATTCAACAGATCCACAGAACGGCGTTCCTGGAAACGTCGTGAACGACGAGTAAGAACCATGCAAAATCTGCATCTGTTCCCCATTCTCATTAAATCAGCCTTCCCGACCCTTTACCAAACTCCCTTATAACATCCTCATAATCTCCAGTCCATTTAATGCTGTCCATAACCTCAGAGAGATATCCTCTCGATTCGACCAAATATTGTGATTCGGAACTCAAAAAAGACCATCCCGTTACGGCAAACACGCCTTGAATTCCTAGCACCTTATATCAATTGCACTCAATACTATTCGGTCAGAGAAAGTCTTACCATCTTTTCTCGATGTTAGATTCCTAATATATAGAAAGTTCAGCTTTTGAACATTGGGGATACTTCCTGAAGCGGATACAGTAACTAATCACTCAACGTACGCTGGTGTACTCAGGGGTCATTATCACATTCTCCACATAATCGTCACACTAAGGAAACTGTCTCCATGGCAATCGGTCAGCGGCGCATCGATAATGAGCTAATTATATACAATTCGGCTCTTTAGCCCTCGAATTGAATAACACACCATCCAGTGACCTCTTTTGAAGCCATATAGGGATAGGCAATCGTAATCAAGATGTTTCAAATTGGTCGGAGCTTGTTAATTATATAAATCGCAATGTATTATGGTTCAATCGAGCGATAAAGAGCCGAATTGGCCACAGAGTCCAGACTTCTTCTGGGACAAATTATAATCAAGCAACTCTTCAAGTGGATCTTCAAAGGCAGCGGCAAATCTTCGAAACGCGCATTCTTGCGCAAATTGGTTGGCAGAAGCGTCATACATTTCCTCCAAAGTCTCACTACCAGACCTCGGCATCCACCTGTAAGAAAGATTCAGGTCGCGAAGTAGGCTATAGAATTTGTTCTCAAGTCGCTTTGATATTGGATTTGATTGAGCTGATGTCATGCCCAAAAGTTTTCGATGGCAGTAAAATCCACTAGAGCTGCCCAGGTTGTATTGGAACTGAACTTTTGGCCAGGCTTTTTGGCACCAGCCTTCAAGAGCATCCAAACATTGCCACGGTACTTCCGCGCGCTCGTAATCCTCTCGGCTCATATTCTCTAGGACCCATCGATTGATGGTGCCTCACGAATGATCCACTGCAACCGATGATCAATGGGAATATTTAGGCACAGCATGTTCGTGGGAAAGAAACTGGCAATAATCAAAGAATAATTAATTTGGAGGGCTCATCTGCGAAGAAAGAGAAAAGTTTGCTTCAATTGTTGGCACCTATATGAGTTTAAGCCCCTCCTTGGATTGACGATACATAGTGGCAGATTTCAGAGGGAAAAAGTCTGCTTATCTATCTCAAATGCCCCATCAGCCATGTGTCAGGATACGGAAACAAATCACCTTTCGTGCACTCACGCTTCGTGCCTTTGACCGTGGCTGAAACCATCGTCATTCGTTCCAAGCATACTAGATCGTATCAATTATACTAGGTTGTATATAATGCTTCTCAAATGCCTCTCTCAATTTAGATCCAGTGCTTTACGTGAAGTATGTCGTTTCACTAGACTCATGATTTACGCTTTTGAAGTTGATTCTGCAACCCAACGCGGAGATCTGTGTAGACCACGTCAAGAAGTTTGTCACAAACGCCGTCCTAAATACTGCATATTACTATCTTTCTTTTCTTCTCATCGCCGTGGCGAGTATACTCGTTGAAAATCTGGTGTATTCAGATCAGAATGACAACGAAGGGCATGGCATTGCAGAAGACATCGATTATGAACGCCGAGATCTAATCAAGATTGGGCCTGTATTGCTCTTTTCAACAGCCGAGCCCAACGATACGATGTCTCTCCGAACCCAACTCGCCTTGCAATCGTCTATATCTCGCAACATCCTGGGATGGCAAGTCTTCTTGGACTTGTTCCGGATACAGGCCTTTTAGAAGATGATGAAGCGAGCCGAATTTCTGATGATCGCATTTTCTGCTAACTACAGAGTATACTAAAACTATCATCGTAGAGATTTAATTCTGAGAATCAATCGTTGGAGTGTAACAAATTATTTTCAACATGACATTGCCGGAACAAATCCACAAACACCGACTCTCTGGCAAGAAATACACCGTCTCATGGCTCAGCAGCTGTGCATCGACAACCAAGTCCTCGTTGCATGTCGACTTCATTTCTTCCGGCTTGATCCATTCAACATCCCATGCAATTGGTGCTGCAATGGCCTGTGAAGTTGGCTCATTTTCAAGTTCAATTGAGATTTCCAAAGAACGTGCAACAAATAATGGGGATGTTTTTCCGTTTTGAGGGTGACCAGACATGGGTCGCCCTTGTTTGAGCGAGATCACGGTCTTCGTCGAGTTAACAGATGATGCACAGCTGCTGGGAAGAGGGGTGGGACACTCTCTGATACTTGCTACTATGTCAGAAACATTCGACAATGAGATCGACTGTGGGGTTAACGCGACTGTCTCATATTGGTTGGTGGTGCTACTGCCTTCATCGACTTGCTTTATACTCATCGTAGTATCCGAGTGTTGGAGCGGGAGAAGAGTACTCTCATTCGGCTGGTGATTCATAATTCTCTTTTGATTCTTCAACATCGCATCGGAACTCTCTTGGATTTGATGAGCAAGAGTGGCATTGAATTTCTTCTCCAATGCTTGAATTGTATGATATTTGGGAGCCGCCAACCGGGGTATAGCCTTCCATGGGTCCTTGGCGTATGCATTTTCCCGTAGAGATGGATCAACCGATCACAAAGGTAGCAAGCGTCTTTGATGGAGCTGATGACTCGAGGGTGTAATTTTGGGGCCTGAATTGCACACCAAGCAATAATCTGCACTTCTGCGTGTACCTTGGCATTCTTCAATGAGTCCTGGACCATCAATTGGAATTGATTTTCGAGATTCAGTCGCTCGGGCTTCAATTTGGGGCATGAAATGGGATATAATGCCGTTTGTTTGCGTGTTGATATGCCAACGCGTGAGAGAGCTATCCCCAAGTCGGGCGAGTATTGCGGTTCTGAGACTTAGTGAATGCTTCTGCAGGAAGATTCACAGTCTCAAATCTCATATGGCGGACCAAAGGGTATTTCTTTGCCATTCGATAAAGAGCTCTCGCGGCCTCTCTGTATCTCGATACTTTTTCGATCATGTTGACGAGTCTCTTCTTCAGACTAGGATCCATGTCTTTGTTTTGAATCAAGTCAAGCAATCACCCAATATTCTGTGCCTGGTTCATTTGCCAGATCTGCTGGACCACCTCACTTAGGCGATGATCCTTTGGGTAATTAGACCACGCTTTGACTAACTTCGCAAGTTTGTGTTTGTTCTGAGAGAATGAGGAACATAGATCCAACACATTGGGGTCCAGGTTTTCGCATTTGATTTGTGCAATATATCGTGATACCACTTCGAGTGCCTCTGTGATAGATTTCTCTTTATATCTCGCGACTTCTCGGGAAATCCAAGGCGGCAGCGAATCCGAATGGAACACATTTCGATGATCCTTTCGAAGAGTGCGTGCTAGGTCTCATTGTTTCGGCCTTCCATAGCAGAAAAAGTCAGCTCACGCTAGTGATAAATTGTGAACGACTGACCATAATGTGCATGTTCTAAGAATCTGAAGAGTTTCTCGAACTCTTCCCGCAGCGTACGAAGTATATTATTCCCGCTATTGTGAGCAGCTTTGTTAATGGCAAGTACAACGGTCAACTAGGTTCCGGTTGGATCTTGCAATGCGCAAACTGCCGGGATATATTCGGGGCCCTCTATTGTCTTTGAAAGAAAAGCCAGCGTCTCCACAAGGTCGCACTCCTTTTGAAGTGGGAGAATATAAACTTCCTTCGCAATCGGGGACTCGTTGACTTCATTTCGGCCTGGTGGGCGAGGTACCTCGTGCAAGAGATGAGTGACAGCAACATTCTCAGCGCAAATTATCCCCGGGACTTGATGAGGCCGAGACATTATTATAAAGTACTAGACAGCGACAAACTCGGGATAGAGAATACGTCGAGGAGAACAGAGCCACGGGGTGGAAGGTGTTTGCCATTTTAATCAACTAAATACCGCACTTGAGGGTAATCATCTAAAGTTGACACAGGCAAGAATTAGAGAAAAGATCGAAGATGATTGATGGGCGAGGAGCACTTCTATCCCAAGCCATCTCTTTTCTTTTTCGAGGTCAGCCTCACTCCGTCTGCATCTTCTGGTGGCCAAAGATTTCATCAGTCTTGGTGGTGGGTGTTGGGACGAACCCCCGCCGCAGAGTCCCCTGTCAAACCCGGCGTCTGCGGCGCAATTAACACCAATGATGCCTGGGCACGTATTCTCGAAGGGCGACATACAGCTGGTAGGCGGGGAAATGCCATATCAAGTAACAATTCGAGGCAGAGCATGTCCTATCTAGAACCAAAGGATAGGCCTCGTAAGCCGTAACGTGGTTCAAAGGTGGGATGCTGACCATCCAGCTTCAAGACATTCTATCGTTGAACCCATGTCCAAAGATACCAAATAAGGAGTTTCATCAAGATAGCAGCCATTGTTTCTAATGACTTTTTGTAATTTTTCACTCTGCCTGGCAAATCCAAGTTAGAGAGGAAATAAACGTGAGACGCGCATCAACGGCTGCCTCGCGGCTCCACCCCTCCATGAATTGAAGTACGAACTGTTCCCTAGTGCTAATCATGTCTCAGGGTTATGAAAAATCTCATCCTCACACGAATCACCATGGCTGTCACGGAAATTGCACTGCTCCGCCTCAAGACCCCCGAGCTTTCTTCTACTCGAAGAACATCTTCAAGCAGGTCCAACAGGCTCAATCCGAATGGTCTGGCTATCCCGTTCAATGTGCACGGCAACTTGAGGACTCGAATTATTTCTACATCTTCGATGGATGGGAATCTGTCGCACACCACTGCGGAGACTGGATCAAGTCCGAGACGAACCAGAAGTTTCTTACGCAGCTCAAGGATGATATTGATGTAGAGTGGATGTTCCATCTGAGCATGGAGGTATGTCCATACCGAGATTCAATTCAGCTGAAGGAGCTGCTCAACTGACATTCTAAAGCCTTCGACATGTACCGTTCCTCTCAAGGCCCCTATCATCGCTGTGAACAGATACTTCGTGGATCACGAAAAGAAAGCCGATTTCGACGCGGCGTTCAAGAACGTTGGGCCCTACCTAGGTGCTCATACTGCACCGTTCACCTACACCGGCGGATGGAGAATTGATAAAGAAGGCGGTGACGAGGAATTTGTTGTTTTGAGCGGATGGAAAACGACTGAAGACCATGACGGCTTCGCAGGAGCTGAAGGATTGAAAGAGTTTGGTGGTACCAAGGATGCACTGAGCGCGGCAGAGATAAAGCACGCGGAGTTGGAGAGGTGGGAATGATAACAATTTTGCATAAAAGGTAAATACATGCAACAAATATGTCCACCGGCGCCAAAAGCCGAGCACAGTGTCATTGACAATTAAGATTTTCAAATGGGTATTATAGTTCATAATCTGGGAGTCATGAGTGCAGCAAAATAACAGAAACGCGAAAGATGACTGGCAAAACCAGATGCAATTGCGTGAGAAGTCCGAAACCGAAAGAAAGCAACACCTATAACCCCGATATGCTGGTTCAAAGAACCTTTGTCTTCATCCACTCACGGGTGCCGACGCCAAGATTCAGGCCATTACGTTCCCACCAGGCACGCACGCGGCCGTCGGCTCCGGAGACGGCGTCTTCGAGTGCTTCTTCGATGTCGCAGGTTTTGAACTCGACACGTAGACCACAGTCTTTCCACCACTGTAGCACATGGTCATGACCATTCTTCGTGGGGCCGACGAGCACTTGATTGTCGAAAATCATCTTGGGGCCTTTCAGCTTATACCAAAAGTCGAGGACGTGAACGTGACCATGTGTGCTGGCAATCCGGGCGACGCTTTCGGCGTGACTGTACGGGATACCCGAGGCGTCCCACCAGGCCAAAGACGAGGCGCGCCCCGACTGTGCTGCCAGCAGAACAGACTTGCCCACTTTGAGTGGAAGAGGTCTGAGGAAAGGTGCATTGGCGGATGCGAATTTCCACCAATCCAGGACAGCGACACGACCCTCGGCACTGGCGGACTCAAGTGCGCGCTCGCTGTATCGAAGCGGGAGACCAGAGTGTAGCCACCAGTCCAGAACATGGACGAAACCGGCACGAGAGGCGCCGTCCATGGCATCGGCCTTGTACTCTTTGTTGGGTAGAGCCGGGGCATCGCGCCACCACGTCAACACTGTAGGGTTTCCGTATATTGCAGATGCACGGTATGGGATATTTGTGAGGCGGGAGGTTGTCCAAAGAAGATCAAGGTGATTTTCAGTGAGGTATGAGAGAATATCGGTGCGAGAAAACTTTACAATGAGGTGACAGGCAAGGTCTGATAGTGGTTTCCATCGAGGCAGCGCATCAATGCGCTTCTTTATAGCAGCAAATGAACCACGCAAGATCGTGTATTCCAAAGAAGCTGGTGTGGACATTTTAAGTAAATGGCTCTGCCACTCTTGGGGTACGGGAAGGTTGGTCGGAAGGCCCACTGCTTTGGCAGTTTCCCAGTCTCCTAGCTGGTCCTCAAAGATGTTCAACCAGATTTCGAAAGGCAGCGAACAGACTTTGGTTTCCGCGTTGGGCCAATGCGTTTGAAGATGCCGGAGCGCCTCGGCGGTGGCACCGCTCGAGGTTCTCTCGGACGCACGAGGTCGTTGTAAAGATTTTGCTGCATTCTGATCGCTATCCTCTGTACAGCCTTGGGTCGAAGAATCGTCCCAGTAAGGTAAATCCAGACCGGTCTTCAGTGATTTGTGTAGATCCTTGAGGCCATCCCAGGGCAACGGTGTCAAATCTTCAGGCCCATTCGACTTCCAGAGTACAGGCTGCACAATGCGAATGCACGGCCAGAACCGGTTGATTTCGTCCAGTTGCCGAGAAGTCAATGCATGATCCCACTCGGACACGGTCATCCCAGGAATCAAAATGACGGGTTTGACTGAAACCCAGCCGCGCAGCAGTGCCAAGGTCAAAGTGTTGGTCAAGCCCGCCAGCATCGATCCCAAAGCGCCCGCGTCAATGGGCGCAACCAGCAGCATGTCGGCCCACTCGCAGAGCTCGGCTGTCTTCGCCTTCAACCAGTTCCTTGCCCCCGTCTTCTTATCGAACGTTGTGCTATCCACGGTGTCCATATAGTGCGGAATTTTGTTCGTGCCTGCCAGCAGGGCGGAAGGTTCGTCGGTGATCAAGCGCAGTTCGAGGTATGGGTTTTGGACGAGGGAAGGGAGCACAGTTTCGGCGAAGGCACTATCCGTCGATAGGAGTAATCGCCTCCGTCGCTCACGAGGTGGTGTCGCATCGCGCGAGTATTTGCCAGAGCCGATCCGATAACCTTCTTTGCTGGCAATCACCGTCTCCTCGCTGTCGCTGTCCACCTCCATCTCACGGGCCCACGTGCCCTTTGTATTGCTCCTCTGCGTGGTAGCTACTATGTCGGTCCGATAGCCAACTGCCATGCCCGAGAGGGTCTGAAGAATCAGCGCACCGAATGTGCCGATAAAATACCCACAGAGTAAGGCTGATCGGGAGGTCGAGGATGAGGTTCGAAGAGGTTCGGGGGGTGAAAGAGTAGATCGAGAGGCAAGTCAAGTAAGTAGACCCAAAAGTGCTTATCTAGCGGCACCAAGCTGGTTGAGGATCAGGCCAACGATCCAGCGGTGAAGCAAAATCCAGTCACAGTTCAAATCCGCAGATAATTGCAATATTCGTGGTAAATGCGGTGTTTCTAAAAGACTTGGGACTGATTGCTGTGGAACCATTAGGCCTTTTGTCGATCTTGGCGGTGAACCGGCTGCGCTGGCCGACTTGGCTTGGCTCGACTTGATCTTGGTGGGCCCTCGCCACGTCTCGCCACTTTCGGCCCGTCTTTTAAGTCTTTATAGCTGTAGAAACTCGCGGGATCAGGAGATGCAGATGGGGAGACCTGCAATGCGATGCCTAGTGCATCCCAAGACCAATGATAGGACCAGAAAAGACCCTTAGTACAATGCGGTTAGAGGCGGAAAAGCCGTGCAGCAACACGCTCGTGTGATTGGGCGCGGTCAAGGTTGTACCAAGACTCTGTTTCTATCATGCTAAGTACATTTAATGCATTTATATACAGTCTACTCTTGCTCATCGCCGAGACATATTGTTATGCAGTTTGTGCTCTCGCATCGCAATGCTGGCCAGTGCTCCTAGAGCCGTCAAACCCAGGAGCGTCAGGAAGACGCCGCGCAGAGAGACCATGTACGCGTCCAGCACGCCGGGTTTCCAGTCTGCGGGGAGGTTCTTAATCTCGTCCAGGCTATCTCGAATACGTGAGATGATCTCCGCCGCATGCTTGCGCCCGCCAAAGCGGGCCCAGAGCCCGGTCTTCAGCGTGTTCTGGAATACCGCCGAAGCAATGGTGATGCCGATAGTACTTCCAGTGCTACGGAAAGCATAGGAAGCCGATGTCACGACCGCATGATGTTGATGGTCCACAGCCGAGATCAGTGCCACCAGAGTCACAGTGAGCATGCTGCCATAGGCGGCTCCGGCTAAAAAGAAATAGAAGAAGGGCAGCCATGCAGGTGTGCTTAGATTCAATGTAGAGATAAGCCCAACCGCTACCACCTGCAGAGCCATGACCATATAGTTGAGGGTCATGTAGCGGCCCTTGGCGCGCATGATGATGCCGCTACCAAGCGATCCGACAGATGTACCGATCGCCTGCGGAATCAACCGTACACCGGCCGCGGTAGCTGAGAGGCCTTGCACTTGGAAGAAGAGAGGCAGGTAGAAAAGAAGACCGTACGTTGCCATGGTGGTGAACCAATTAGTTAAGCATGCTGAAGCGACAGTCCGATCCAGCAAAAGCTTCACGGGGATGACAGGTTCGGACGCGACACGAGCCTCGACGTAGACGAAGATGCCGAGAAATACCGCGGACAGTAGCAATGACGCGAGGACAAGCGGGTGTGACCATGGCACCTGATTACCTCCGGTGTTCAGTCCGAGTAGTAGTGTAACCAGTGTGAGAACCAGAGTAATGGCACCCAGGAAATCAACACGCTTGATACGCGCCTCATCTGTCTCTTTCACAGGGATTCTCACTTTCAACATGACAAGGAAAGTTGAAACCACCAGGAACGGTATCTGAATCAAAAAGGCCCATCGCCATCCAAGCGTATCGTTAATCCATCCGCCGAAGACCCCACCAAGGCCCATTCCAGCCCCAAAACAGATATTACCGATACCTTGCCAGATGCCTCTTTTTCGAAGAGGCACCAGATCGGAAGTCACGAAGGTTGAAATAGCGGTTAGACCACCTCCACCAACCCCAGCAACCACGCGTCCCAAAATAATAGCCCACTGGGTGTTCGCCAAGCCGCAGATCAAGTTGCCGATGGCGAAGAAGACGTTGGAAAACACCAACCCCCAGCGACGCGAGTATATATCGGTCAATCGGCCGCTGAGAGGTTGACAAGCGGCATTTGAGATCAGGTACGAAGTGGCCAGCCATGATAGCAGTGAGAAGGAATTAAAGGAGGAGGAGATAGGTGCTGAAAGGGTCGCGACAATCGTTGAATCTGCAACCAGCTTTGATTAGAAAGCAGTCCATTTTTCTGGGCGCTTTAACGTACCAAGAGCAGCAAGGAATACTCCTAGCCAGATGCTTCCCAGGGTGATGACCAGCTCTTTGGTGCTGATTTCGTCGGGCTCCTGGCCGTTCGGGCCCCCAGTAGCGGGGTCAGCCTCACGAAGCAGAGGGGTCTGCTCCGTGGCACGAGCTCTCTCAGCGTCTGCTGTAGACATTGAGGTTTAGTCGTGACCGGTCCACAGAAATTGAACCTCTACAGTGTCTTGTCGGAGGGGGGGGAGTTGGATTGTAAAGAGACGAGAAGCGCAAAACACTCGGGCAGATCCCGCGTGGAGACCCGCATGCGGAGAACTCGGCGAACTGAGCTCGAGCACAGACCGTCTCTTGCTGTGGACAATAAGCTGAGTTCAAGGGTTCAATATACTTTAAAAACGTTAGAATAATCTTTACAGCTTGCTTTGCCTGATTTGGTAAAAAATACAAACATTTTCTGTGGTGGCAAGTTAAGGAACTGCAATGGGAGAAATTGAGGTAACTCCATTGTCCATCCGTTCACAACAACAAAAAGGATACACATCTAAGAAGGGGTTGGCAGGGATTCGTGTTGATCTTTTTATTCAGTGGTAACATTTTTGGTTTTATGCTTTTTACCCAACTTGAATGTGGAGTACTTTCCAAGGTGGAAGGGGGGCTTCTCATAATCACAGACTAGTTCCTGCATGCTAATTTAGTACATCTTGGGCAGAATGCATGAGTGATTATTTGCGGACACCCTCTGATGCTAAAAGAAATTAAATGATCTGCAGCTTTGTTATGCGTCATGATCAATAAGCACTAACTTTTGGCCCCCGCAGGGATACGTTGATAGCAGGGCTTCTGTTTGTCTTATATGGTGCGACACCCCTCCACCCCGCCTGTTTCTCCCACCTTCAACCCCCCAAATAATGTCTACCCACAGAAACCCCCGTCAGCGCAGATTATCTGATTATTGGTGGTGGAACTGCTGGACTGGTTGTCGCATGCCGCCTGTCTGAAGACCCAAATTTAAGCATTGTTGTTTTGGAAAGTGGACCTGATCGCAGCAATGATCCTCAAGTCCAAGATCCAGGCAGCTGGCATAGCTTGAGTGGCTCAGACCTGGATTGGAAAATGAAGATTATTTCGCAGGTCAGTGTGAGAACATTTTGGATGTGAGCCTGGACTGACAACTTCGAAACCCAGGCTGGCCTCAACAACCGTGGCCAGGATCACCCGGCTGGAAAGGTTCTGGGTGGATCTTCCGCTATCAATGGATTGGCATATGCTCCACCATCACCTGCCGGCATAGATGCCTGGGCACGGCTCGGTAACCCGAAGTGGAACTGGAAGTCTTTACGACCATACCTCCAGAAGAGCATCACCGTGACACCTCCCAATGGTGGGCCGATTCCGAAAAGTGAGAGGCATGAGAGCATCAAAGTGACATACCCTGCCTTGCAAGACAAGGTCGCATCGCCACTGCTCGAGGGATGGAATGACGCTTTCAAATCTCAAGGATACGACTTCATCAGCGATTTCCTGGCCGAAAACAAGACCATTGGCTCTCGTGCCTATACTGCCACGATTGATCCAGAGTCAGGTCTCCGTAGCAGCGCTGACAATGAATATGGCGCTGTAGCTAGAGCTCGTGCTAACGTGACGATAGTCACTGAAGCGACCGTGCACCGAATTTTGTTCGATTCAAAGGGAGCAGATGTCAATGCAGCAGGGGCAAAAGTCACTTTTAAGAATGGCCAGACAGCAGATATCATTGCAGTCAAAGAGGTAATAATGGCAGCTGGTGCTTTCCACACGCCCAAAATACTAGAACTTTCTGGGATTGGTGGCAAGGAGCGATTGGATAAGCTGGCAATTCCAGTGGTGATTGATCATCCCGGAGTTGGCGAAAATCTCCAAAACCATCTGATGAGTGTCCTTCCAGCCCCTTTGAGCCCAGATGCTGGTCTAGAAGGTGTCAAGCCGGGGCTCAAATCCATTGCATTCGTCAGAATTGACCCAGAAGAGCAAAACAAGCTTTTTGCGGCCGGCCCCGAGCCCAAGAGTGCATCTGAAAAGGTCATTCAATCAATCATTCAAGACCCGAACGAAGCATCTGCGTCTATCTTCCTAGCCGTGAGATCCGCAAGTCTCGCTCTCTTGGGCGCCATCACAAGCTTCCCCTTCTCACGAGGAAGTACGCACATCTCATCTGCGGAATTCGATACAATGCCCACTGTCGATCCGGGCTTCCTGTCGAACGAATTGGATCTTGAGATCCTTGCTCGACATGTTCAGACCCTGCATGAGCTGCCTACCTCCGACTCCTTGAAGAAATTCTTCCAACAGACCGGGTCAAGCAGTCAGCCCGATCTGGAAGAGATCAAGAAGAAGTTGCGCGCCTCAGCTTTGACGACTCACCATACCTGCGGAACTACCGCCATGCTTCCGCGGGCCGACGGCGGCGTGGTGGATCAAGACTTGAAGGTTTATGGGACCACAAACTTGCGCGTGGTTGATGCTAGTGTGTTTCCTCTGATTCCACATGCGAACCCAATGGCTACTGTGTATGCTGTGGCAGAGAAAGCAGCAGACATTATTCGTGGAGTCTAACTATCTCTCACGACTCTGTATCAGCCAGAGCAATATTGAAGCCGATCGATTGTGCAGTGAATGACCATGGCGGAAATAAGTTCAAATCAGTGAATGCATGGAGCTAGTATTCTCAGTCGAACGAGCGAAAACAGAAACCGTCGGCGGCCAATGATTAGGTAGCTTGATTGGAAGCTTAAAGTCTATGAAGATAAAGGACTAGTGATCTTGTTCTACTTCGAATCCCCACAATCTTTTTTGACTATTCATAGTCGCCTTTTCAAGAGCATCTTCTACGTCAATTTCTATAGACCAATTGTCTTATGTAGAGCGCATGACTGGGTCTTCACAGGTTTCTGTATTCAGTGTTGTTCGTCATTTGCAGATCTTTACCTTCCTCGTGGTCTTGTGCTGATTACGAGAGGATGTTGCTTCAAGATCTTCGTGATTGGCGATATTTTATCTTTCTTCATGGAAGCGTCAGGTGATTGTTCGCTCCTTTCCGCTTTTTGCGGACTTAGACTGGCCGGTTTACTTGAAATTCTTCACAGTGCTAATCGCTTGACAGGTGCGGGACTTATAGTCACAGACAGGAGCCGCGGTAGTACCGGCGAAAAGTGATTGTCGCTGGTCTCTTCGTGCAGATCACGTAAATATGTTGCTGACTCCGCCTCAGGAATTATCGGAACCAGTTGAAGGATTGAAATGTAGCCCAGGATTGATTTTCTTGGCTCGGACGGAGTTTGAAACAATTTGATGGCCATGCATTCTGAAGAAGAATTGAAAATCTTTTACTTGTTCTTGTTGCTTCAACATCTTTATTACTATTTTTCTTAATTTGTAGGACTCTTCATAATCGCTCTACTGTAACTTTACGCAAATTTAAATACTAGGAACATCTTCAATCAATAAACGTAAGGCCTTACTCATTCAGTTCTTACGCTATAGCGACACTCACTACAAGATATCTGGATGAGAGGCATTTCTTGGCTACTACTTTCGCAATAGAAAATGAGTCTAACAACTACCTATCCACCAAATCGACAAATTCACGGAAAAATAAAAGCCATACTTGTAATCAAAGTCAATGGATTTCTGCAAACTTTACATCGGATTCGCCGATTCCATAAGAATCTCCACAGCCCAATTAGTTGTTTTGAGTTTCGTGCCGGCCCGTGTTCCGGGCCAAAGTCTTAAGTGGGACTCGGGCGTATTTTCCATAGTGAATCGGTGCCGCCACTGCCGCTCACGAGGTTACTGAAACTGCTTACATTAAACGTGGTCTCGGGGCTATTTGAATTCCCCGCTTTAAGGTATTGCAAAAGTCGTGAGAGTATTTTGAGTTCATAAAAGATAACTAAATCGATAGGCCGCTTTTTGCCCCATAGAATTGTTAATATATACTTGACTAAGAGAAATGACCTGAATCCCGAGTGTGTCTGAAATGTGAGAATACTTCTCACTCGTACCGGCAAAGTTGTCCATCCCACTCCTCGTACCACGACTCGCTGCCGACAGCAGTGCGAGCGTAGAAAACATGCTCGGGATCGTACTTCTCCTTAATAGACTTCAGCAGCGGATACTTATAGCCATAAAAGACCGATTGCCAGTCAGGCTGCTTCCAGTCCGCTTCATTGAGGTACGCTCCACCACCTGGACTCAAAGCGGCGAGGCGAGGAATAAGCGAGTCCGTCATTAGGGACTGACATTGAACATCCACTTTCGGGCTAGTATAATTGTAAGTGCTTATCAAAGTGTTAGTGCTGTTCAGCAGTGGCAATGGGAAGTGAGGGGTAGTCATGACGTACGTGCCGAGCACGAAGGAGATAGCTGCATCACGCCAGGCGGGATTCACTGCGTTAAAGGGAAATGTGGAACGAGACACATTGAGCGAGACACCAGATACAACCACTCCCTCTTCGGCAATGCCCCGGATAGCTGATATTAGCGCAGCGGGGTCGGATTCAACCGTTGAACGCGGCATCAGGCGTCCTCCAATTTGGGCTTCTGTGATGTTACTGTGGGGATTCATGGCTTGGAAGCTAGCCCAGAAAGTGGGGAACTCCTGAGCATCGTAAGCTGCGATTGTGGTTAGCTCCTAGACACGGGCCATGGATCCACTTGATTTTGGGGGCGGGGACTTACAGTAGCTTATGTTGCTCTGCTTGAGCAGAGCCAAGGTCGGCGCTAGTGCCTTCTGCAGCTCATCCCGACGGCCTCCCGGGAGGGCTATAGGTGTCAAACTGAAAGTTGAGCCGTAAATTGCCCAGATTGCAACGGCTCCGGCGTCAAGGAGAGGCAGGGTATCCACCACAAATGTTTGCACGGCTTCCCAGAATTCCGTTACCATCCCAGACCCATCGAAGGTGAGAGTTGCAGAAGATGTAAATAATTCCGGATAGGCCTTGACTGTAACGCTGAGTACCACAGCGTAGGTACCACCGCCGCCGCCGCTCAGAGCCCAGTACAGGTCGGCATTTTCCGTCGGTGAAGCTGTCAAGAGCTTTCCATCGGCGGTCACAACTTCCCATTCAAGAGCTTGATCTGCAGCAAGCCCAAATTGTGAGGCAAGCTGGCCATGGCCCCCGCCCTGAGTGTACCCCCCAGCAATGCCAACGCTTTCGCAATTCCCGGTGACGACCACCTTGTCCTGTGCATGAGCGGCAGCCATTGCATCAAATCCTTGGATGCCCGCACCTAGCCGCATAGCAGAGCCATTGTAGTGGGCAGAACTGTATTCGAGATGCTGTGTATCCTTTAAATGGTGGGTCCACAGGGCAACTGCACCGGGTGCCGTTGATTTGCCCAAATAGTCATGTCCGGTGTTGCGAACCACAATACGAATATTGTGCTTGTTGGTAAATCGTAGAGTGTTCTGAACATCCTCAGCGGTACTAACGTTGACAGCAAACCACTGCACTGGGCCCAGATTGCAGGGATGTCGGGTGCCAAGAACGGGTCGCAAGAGAAATTGGCGAACCACGAGGCCATAGGGGACGAGGAGGTCTCATAGTGCGTGACAGGATAGGCCCAGTCGGAGATCAAATCAGCACACGCATCCGGATCATAGGCAGCGTATTCCCCGTGAGTGTGACAGACGCTCCCGATTGGTACCGTGGAAATCAGTTTGCCGCCGAGGGTCGCGTTGAATTCGCTCCACTGCTGCGGCGAGGGCCAACAAGGCTCATTGGGGAAACAGCGACATGAGGGGCTGGTCGCCTGGATGCCGAGCACCAGGGGGGCCAGGACGAAAAGACCCTGCCACATGTCGAGGCACCGTTGACGCTTGTGTAGCGCTGAACTTTTGGGGGGGGGGAGGGAGGAGTAAGACACGGAAGGATCTACAGGGAGTCTATATACCAACACCCTTGGACTGTCCCCCCCCCCTAATGATTCCTCCCAAAAGGCAAATTGACATGAAAGGAATTAAAACCGAGGGATCTCATTACTCGCAGGATTCCCGCTTAGCTTGCAGTTATCATTGGGCCAAATTACAGCGGGTCGAAGGTCAGCGCCAAATTTCGAGAAGAAAACTAGCGCTGTAACCAGACGAAACAAGGCAAGGTATATACCACCACTTGCCAGACACACCAATACTTCCACGCCGCCACATCGTTTTGCTTTTTCACCACGTGGTATCCCACCCACAGTCCGACGCACATGGGGACTGCATATCCCCACAGCGGAAGTTGCCAGAACCAAGCGCACGCAATGCTCCAGAAGAGAACAAAGCCTGTGATCATCCATCGGGAGACAGAATCTCCCAAGACAAGAGGCCAGGTCTGCCGGCCACGAGTGGCATCTCCCGCCTGATCCTTCAGGTCTTGCACTTGCATGGTGGTGAGAATAATGCCACTCATCATAGCAATCCAGCGGTATCCATGTTCCGTAATATGATGGTAGGGGCCGATGGCGATTTGGAGCGAGCTGGACAGATAAAGACCGTACCCGATGGCGATGAGCAAGTCACGAATGATCTCGTCGCCACCATGCAGATCGTTGTACAGCCAAGTGACAATCAGGATGAAGGAGCTCTCCGTCCCCACTCCGAGCAGAGCGCTAATCAACAGCACGGCCGGAATGGCCCCAAGCATCAACCTCCGAGTGGACTCCGGGCTGATTTGCTTCGTGAGTATCGGGCGCCATGGTTTATTCAACTGATCCTCCACTATCGACTCGGGCAGGCGTTGATTGGCCAGGTCGAACACGAAGACGTTGGCCCAGTTGAAGAGCACCACCTGCAGGCCCCGGAGAAGCAGGTCACTTGGCCGGAGAGGTTCCAGGCGGCTGGTGAGGATTGGCGCCGCTAAAGCTGCAAGTAGCCCAAAGCCAGAATTGGGGAGCACAAAGGTGGGAAAGTTGCTCTCCGTGAACTGCCAAATGAGCAGCGGCAGATGCGCTAGACACAGGCGATCGTCTTGATCCGGATTAGGCTTCGACATCTTGGGCCAGATGAGCTGAACAGTGGAATTGCCGAGGATGCGAGACCGTTGACCATTGAAGCGAGACGACGACCTCCTTCTTATACTGCGAAACTGTCAATGGCGGCTTAGCTCTGCGGCCGTTTGTGTACCAAGGGATATCTCGCTTCCCCCACTTTGTCATTTTCGTCACTTCGGCTCTTGAGCTTCCCCCACTCTAATTGTTCTTTTTATCTTGCTCGAACTATCATTATGGAAAATATCATTCAATTCGTGGTTGGAGCGGCTCTTGGCATCGCGATCCATCTGAATGTCTTCATTCACGGGGAATGGCATGTCCGTGCACCGCAGATAGTTCTATATCACCTCGCCTACTTTGCATTCCACTTCCTCCTCGTCAAGGCCTACTGGATCATTCCAGGGTACATAATTGGGATATTCTCGAGCATCACTATCTACCGCCTCTACTTCCATCGTCTCAAGCATTTCCCTGGTCCCATCTGGGCCAGCATCAGCAAGATCTGGCACGCCTGGCAGGCCCGCCACCGCACCAATTATCTGGTCTTGGAACGGCTTCACAACGAATATGGAGATTTTGTCCGAACTGGTATCCATTTCCAAGGTTCAGATAAAGATGTTGTGTCATTACTAACGCATGTCTCTAGGTCCGAGTGAGATCACAGTCTACCATTCAGATGTTTTCATGGCCATTGACGGCCCATCTGGCAGCTGCGTCAAGTCAGAATGGTATGATGTGCTTCATCCCAAGATGTCCTTGGTGACTGCGCGTGACAAGAAAGTGCATGGCGCCCGTCGTCGACAGTGGAATAGAGGTTTTACGTCTCAAGGTGAGAGCTTTGTCCCATTGCCCGCCGTTTGATATATACTAAATCAGAACGATAGCTTTGGATGATTACCAAGAACGAATCATTCCACTGATTGATCAATTGGAATGCTGCATTGATAAAGATATGCGCGCGGGAGAGGTTTCTGATATGAGGGACATGTTCTTCTGGCTTGGGTTCGATCGCATGGGTGACTTCATCTTCAGCCGTACTTTCAACATGCTCTCCCGTGGCGAATGGCACCATATCATCTTGCTTCTACAGCGTGCTTTGTCTCTTCTAGGCCCGTTGAGTCCACTACCTTGGATGGTTCACATTGCTTTCAAACTGCTCCCCCGTGTGTGGGTTTTGCGCGACTGGTTCCGCATGGTTTCGTGGTGCGAAGGGCAGATGGTGGATCGATTGAAGGTAAGTCTTTCTATCAAGTGAGCTGAGCTGACTCGGGATCTATACTAAACCTGTACACAGACCCCCAAAAGCACTTCAAAGGTGCTAGATGTGGCTCACTATCTTCTTCAAGATGCTCGAGATGACCTGAAGCAATTTCCATGGCTGACAGGCGACAGCATCCTAGCCATCGTGGCAGGGAGCGAGCCTACAGCAGCTGTCCTTATTGGACTCTTTTATGAGCTGGCCAAGGCTCCGCACCAAGCAGATATGATCGTCGAGGAGCTCAAGGACATCAATATCAAAGACTCTCGAGCACTGGCACAGTGTACCCATCTCGATGCTGTGATTTCAGAGGCTCTGCGCCTGTATCCCGCCTTGCCAACCGGAGGAAATCGAAAGACAACTAAAGATGGTGTCACGATCGGGGGAGTCTACATCCCACCTGAGACCACCATCGTCGCCCCCCGATATGTTATCTCACGCCGTAAGCGACCCTCATCTCCGGGACGACCAATATTAATTTAAATGTGACAGGCGAGGACTGTTTCGAACAACCACGAAAATTCATTCCCGAGAGATGGTACAAGCACCCCGAAATGGTCCGCAATAAAGCGGCATTTGCACCCTTCGGCACAGGTATGCCAACAATCCACCGAGACAACCCTGCAAGGTCCCCATTTCCTGACCCCCCTTCTAATCTTCCCAGGCCATACCAGCTGCCTCGGTCGAGCGCTCGCAATGAATGACATGCGTCTCATAACAGCCCGCCTGGTTCGGAAGTACCGCTTCCGCATCCCGCCCGGCGAGACGGGCGACTCAGTCTGGAAAGACCTCAAGGACCAGTTCACGTCAAATCCCGGCCGCTTACGGTTGAGATTCGAACTACGGGAATGAGTCAGGTGTCTGAGATGATTGGACTACAGCGACTGTGCTACCCTGTTACCTTGCGAAAAGAGTGAGTGCTGCAGGGACGCAGATAAGATGGCAAGGATCAAGGACCCACTCTTGAGGAGGGTGGTCAGCACTTGCTAAATTCAGGCATTGCAAATCCCATAAGCACTATAATCTGCTATTCTTTCGAGTGGATCCTGTAGTCCTTGATTTGATTGTCAAGCGATGTTGATGCAGATGATAGGCATTGTAAGACGCTGCAAGTAAGCACAATAGCTTGAGGCGAGGTGCCCTTGGCTGGTGGAGATGGGTGGGGCAAAGTGGGCATCCTCTACATTAACTCAAACCACATCTATACTCCGCCCCCAAAAGAGCACCTGCTTGGGGGTGTGTTAGGAAACATGTACAGTGTGATTTCTTGGTGGATTCACCATTTCATCCACCAATGCCGCATTACTTTACCTAAGGCGTGTGTGACATCTTTTTATGAGCTAGGCCTGCAATGTAACCTTGCTGCAGGCATACTGGTCTCGTCGTACCACCTTGATTGCTTCTAGCCCAGGCCTAATGAATGCCATTGTTGTGGAAGAATTTCTTCACGATCGACGTCGAATACATTGTTCTTGTCCTAGCTATGTGGCGATGTTTAAAAGTGATTGCGTACATCAAGGGCCAGAGGTTTGAGTAGTTTGTTTGTTTTTGGTGGGGTAAAATTCACAACCATGGAAACTTGCATTGGCAAAAGAAAGACTATGGTACCGCTGCATTTACGACAGCTCACACGCGCGCAAAACAATGAAGAAAACAGATATCTAGTCCGAAGTAAAAGGCCAGCCATAAACGCCCGAAGTCAAAAGCAAGCCAGACTTGATTTTCTCTGCCTTGGCCTTGAGTTCTTCAACGTCCCAGTTAGCCCATGCACAGCGACCATTGAGGAAAGATGCTTCAGAGCTGGTTAACCAAACCATGAACTCTGCAGGGAGATCCACTAGTGCACGCGATTAGCCTAAAGATAGACACTGCAGAATGGGTACTGCTTACCCGAGTCGATGGGAAGCTTGCTGGGATCCGCGCCCGAGCTCCGAAGAATGCTGGTGTCAACCATGCCGGGATGCAGAGCGACTGCAAAGACGGTCGGATTCTCCGCGGCCAAGAACTCCATCAACTTGATGAGGGTAAGCTTAGAGCTAATGTAAGCCGATAGGTTGACGAGTCTGGCCGCTGGGAAGACCACGGCTGCCGTCAGCGCTACGACGGCTGCATGTGTCGGGTTGGCGGTCGGTAAGAAGGCGTTGGATGCGATCATTGTCCCTTTGACGTTAGTCTGGAGATCATCGTTAGTATCGGGATTCGAGAATAATGGAATTGAGGCGATTTTGGGGCCAAGGGGGATCAGCGACCTCGAAGCTTTTCCACCAGTCGTCCACTGATGATTCCCGGATCGATGCCGGCCCCGCGACGTAACCTGCGGCTAGGATCAATACATCCCATGTTCCTGTGGCAGCGGCGATTTCGGTAATGGCCTTTTCATCCGTGACGTCGGCCGCGTGGACCGAGCTGCTGCAGTCGATGGTTTTCTGCGTTTCGACGAGAGGCGCTTCGTTTCGTCCGATTAATACGATCTTGTTAGCACCAGCTCTGGCAAAAGCCACGGCTGTGGCGCGACCAATTCCACTGCCCTGAGAAGTGTCAGAAACGTCGTCATGATTAAGAGCTTTTTTATGTCCCCCCCCCCGCCCCCCATGGATCGGCAGTCAGATAGAGGGCGCATACTGCACCAGTGATAATGACCGTTTTGCCGGTCGCGTTCAGCTCGGGCCGTGACGGAGAAATGGCCTCGTAGGGCGCATTGTGCCAGACGGAAGTGAATGATGGAAGTGGAGGGTTCATTGTGTGACTTTGAGGGAAGGAATGGAAAGATGTGAAAGAAAGACAAAGTCTAGTAACGATTTGAGTTCAAAAAGGTTCCAACCACCAAGAACCAGAAGAGGATACAAAGGTACCGGGGATGAGCCAGTAGAATTCGCCCCCAAATCTGCAAAGTACCTATCGTACACGCGTGGTTGCATGGTCCAACCCCTCCTGTGAATTATGCAGTGTGCCACACTGTGAATTGGGGCTGGATTCCCGGCTGATCATCCGCCTTGCTTATTTCAAGCAGTCCTTTCCCTTGGAATGTCGCTTCTCCATCATCCGCCATGGCTGTCAGTCAGGCCGGCGTCAGGCTATCCATATGGATGGCCGTGTTTACCAGCCTTACCACGGCCGTGATCGCCTTGCGCGCCTGGGCGATCCATCTAACCCGCAAGAGTCTCCAGCTCAGCGATTATCTACTGTTTGTCGCCTATGTATGTCGAAACCACTCCCCCCGCCCTTGTTTCCAATGCTCATTCATGTTTTCATGTCTTAGATTGCGACAAACATCATGGTCGGCTTGAATTACTGGGCGGTCGCGAATGGATTAGGCGCGCATACCGCTACGCTGTCGGAAAGTCAACTCCATGTGCAATTCAAGGTACGCGGAACCGACCATGTTTTCCCCAGAGATATGCCAACAAAGTCTAGATGATCGTCGGGATTAGTATGACGTGGCTTACGGGCACTGTCTGCTGCAAACTCTCGATCCTCGCTCTGTATACGAGTCTATTTCGCACTTTCCGCCCCATTCGCATCCTCGTATGGACCGTGAGCGGCCTCGTCGTCGCATACTTTATCGCCTTTCTACCCATCTTCCTCACACAATGTCATCCCATCTCCCAGCAGTGGGCTCCGGTCCCAGGAGGTGGATGTCGGTCCTTGGCCATCCAGGAGATCGCTTCAATCGCTCTGAACATCTTTTTGGACACGACTATCGCATTGCTTCCAATTCCCGCCCTCTGGCGACTCCGCATGGCACTCCGCAACAAGCTCACGATCGGCGTGATGTTTGGAATGGGCCTCGTGTAAGTCGATTCCTCTCACACCACGTCCATTCCAAGTTAACCATTTACTAGCGTCGTGGCCGTCATGATCTGGCGTCTCGTCATAACGCTCGACCCAAATACAAACAAAGACTTTGTGTTTGGTCTCTACCAGATCGGCCTCGTCAGTTTCCTCGAACTCTGGCTCAGTATGATCATCGTCAGCCTGCCCGCGCTGGCCCCTCTGTTCCGCCATTACATCGAGCCTCTGTTCTCGCAGAAGCGACCGAGTGCCGGCAATCTCCGCGAAGCCCAACATACTATAGGAAGCGAGCCTCGTAAGCGGGGGGAATATATATTCTCGGATATCGAGATGGGAGGTGGGAATTACTCGGCGCATGTGAAAACCGGAATGAGTTCCTCGCAGAGTGAGGGTGAAGATACAATTGGGCTGGTGCGAGATATGCAGCCCAATGCGATTGCGATGAGACGGGAAGTTGTTGTGCATGAGGATCGCAACACTAGCCCGCTTTGAGTGGGCCCGTCTGGTTTTGGGTTTGTTTGAGTATACCATGGTTGGCTTGGTCGGTTTTCAATGGGAAAAGGAATGCTTGTATCATTGTTTCAATATTGGTCAGATCGATCGCAACTAATAACGATTCTGTCAGTCCGTGGTGCGTTTGTAGGACCGGCTTTCTCTACATCAAACGGCAAGGTGATGGACGCGCTTTCTCTACTTGAGGTCGTAGACCCTCAACAAGTCCATTCCACTCCCAATTTGCATCTCTCATTTGCGTCGGGTGCATTTATCTATTTCGTTTGTTCAGTTCCTCCATCTTACGTCGATCCGGTCTGAGCCTCTCGAGATGTTACATTCTCAGTCCTTCTTTTGTGGGACTCCATTCCGCTTTTGGAGCTTAGTTCGCCGTTCAAAAAGTCGAAGCTCGCTCTCAATGACACCGACGCACTTTCTGTACCTTACCAGAGGTCGGATCTTACAAACAGCGTAAGATGCCTGTCATCCAAAGAAGGGACACGGTCGCAAAGCTGTCATCAAATCGGCACTATTAGTCCACGTATGGACGCACGCAAGGATTGTCCGTACTGGACGACGTCTCGATTCATGAGATGCATGCCATTGTGGAGAAATATTCACGCTGTTGGTCATGAACAAGATTCCGCGAAAGTTGAACATTGTGCTCTTACAAAGCAATTTGGGGTTACGAAAGAGAGAGTGCAGTCGCATACTTTGATAAGAACATAGCTCGGTGTTTTGAGAACCGTCCCAAGCTTTGCTAACCTCATCTGGACTCTTGCCCACGCACCGAGGCATCTCGACCAAGGGAGATGCAAGTGCCGAGATCACTAGCCTGATACTTGCAGGATTCAAACAGACTCCGCAAGTGCGGAGTCCCCGGATTCTTCATTCGTGATCTCCACAACCCACGCCTCTTGCTGATTTCACTGATCGTCGCTTGACCTGCCACAAGTTGGGCTCAAATAATTCCGCCACTGTCTCACCCCGGCCCACTTCGCTGCTCATCATCCAATTCCCACCCTCGCATCTCTACCATACCCCACCAGTATCCGGCTTTTCTTCGGAACATCCTTGAATCTTGTCGCTCCTTGCCTAAATTGCGTACGGGAAGAGTTTGCTTCCCACTTGCCGGTCCTCGGTAGGCCTATCTCCCGAGTAAGACCACAACGATGAGGTCGATAGGGGGTTTTAAAGGGCTGGTCCCAGCAAAATACCATGGGAAGTCTGTGCCTGCTGATCATTCTTTTCATACTTAAAGCAATTGTCTAACATGACTCCATTGATTGGACTTTTCGTTTTGGCTCTGGGTCAAGTGGTTCTCGCAAGCCAAGATGCATTTCAGACCAAATGTGAACAATTCGCCAACAAAATTAACATCCCCAACGTCAAGGTCAACTTTGCCGAATATATCCAGGGAGGAACGAATCTATCCCTCTCTGACAATGCGCCCAGTTGCGGCGCAGCCTCACAGTCGGTTGGAGTTGACCTTTGCCGGGTTGCAATGGCTGTGAAAACATCCAACAGCAGTGAGATCACGTTGGAAGCATGGTTTCCGCGCGAGTACACTGGTCGCTTTTTGAGTACTGGTAACGGTGGTTTGTCTGGATGTAAGTATATCTCAACAAAATGACAATTGCACCGAGATTAATGATCAGCAGGTATTCAATACTATGACCTCGCATATACAGCCCAGTTGGGCTTTGCCACGGTCGGGGCCAATAATGGTCACAACGGCACATCTGGTGAGCCTTTCTATCGCCATCCGGAGGTTATTAGGGACTTTGCCTACCGCTCTGTTCACACCGGAGTTGTCGTTGGCAAGGAGCTCACAAAGAAGTTCTATGACAAGGGTTTCAAGAAAAGTTACTACCTCGGATGCTCAACTGGTGGTCGTCAGGGATGGAAGTCTGTCCAGAAATATCCCGACGACTTCGATGGCGTAGTGGCCGGCTCTCCTGCCATCAACTTCGCGAACCTGATCTCTTGGAGTGGCCATTTCTATCCTATCACGGGCCCATCATCTTCAGATACCTTTCTTACACCTGCGGAGTGGAGCATTGTGCACGAGGAAATCAACCGTCAATGTGATACCATTGACGGGGCAAAGGACGGGCTCATCGAAGACCCGTCCTTATGCTACCCTATCTTCGAGACCTTGATCTGCGCGTCCAACGCATCGAACACAACCGGTTGTTTGACCAGCGCGCAGGTTCAAACTGTCAACAAGGTCTTCGCTCCACTCTATGGCATCAACGGCACTCTGTTGTATCCTCGCATGCAGCCCGGCTCCGAAATCACTGCCGCGTACATCATGTACAATGGCGAGCCTTTTACATACAGTCAGGACTGGTTCCGATACGTTGTGTACAATGACCCTTCCTGGAATGGTACGAGCTTCAACCTTCAAGACGCAGCCGCCGCACTCGCCCAGAATCCGTACAACATTCAAACATTTGATGGCGACATCACCCCTTTCCAAAAGTCCGGCGGCAAGGTGCTCCATTACCACGGGATGCAAGATCCAATTATCAGCTCCGAGGACTCCAAGCTGTACTACTCTCATGTCTCCGACACGATGAAACTGCCTCCTTCCGAGCTAGATGAGTTCTACCGTTTCTTCCCCGTCAGCGGCATGGGTCACTGTGCCCTTGGCGATGGCGCTAGTGCCATCGGTCAGGGTAGCGCTACTTATGCAGGTAGCGATCCAGAAGACAATGTTCTCATGGCTATGGTCAAGTGGGTTGAGGAGGGCGTTGCGCCCGAGACGATCCGTGGCTCCAAGTTTTCCGATGGTGTCGGGTCGAAGGTGGAATATCGACGCAAGCACTGCCGCTACCCGCGACGTAATGTGCACGTCGGACCTGGCAACTATACTGATGAGAACTCGTGGCAGTGTATTTAGATTGAGTCTTTGCCGCGACTCGTGACGGTATATCTGGCGTAAATACAATCATATCACATAAACGACTTTTTACGATTAGCGACGACAAAAAGCAGCATATGTAAGTGATTGATCCTCGTACAATTTGAAAATGGCCTAGCTAGAGAAAAACTATATCGCATGAGATTCGATCTGGTATGAGCCATCGAGTAAGATTACTGCGGTGCTAGATACTTTTCTAGGACTGGTCTAGGGTCAGCGACTTGCATGTGCTTACTATCACTTTCTCGTCAAGATTGATAGTCTCTACCTAATCTAAAATATATTCCAGAATTTTGATTCATTCTCCATTCCCGATTTTTTAAAGTTGAGCCCCCTAAAATGGCTAATTCGCCTTCGCACGGTCCACAGCACGTGCCACTAGCGCGCAGATTGCTACCGGAATAGGAAAACAAGCCATCCCTAGCTCAAAAACAAGATCCATGAAGCTTCCGACCGTTCTCACCCCAAATCACCCAGAACACGATATTCAAAATTAAAGCCAAGATGCCCTTCAAACTATCCGACATTCCAATCCTGACCGATAAAATTATCCTGGTAACAGGCGGCAACGAAGGTCTAGGCAAAGAATCCGTCTTCCAACTCGCCACCCGCTCCCCAGCAAAGATCTACCTAGCCGCCCGCAACCCATCCAAGGCCGAAGCAGCTCTCTCCGAGATCAAGGAGCGTGCCGGTGAGAACTGTGCCCTTATCCAGATTCTGAATCTTGATTTATCCTCATTCGACTCCGTCAAGAAAGCTGCTGCGGAGGTCATTGCGAATGAATCCCGTCTTGATCTGCTCATCGCCAATGCAGGCGTAATGGGCGCTAATGGTATCACGACGGAGGGCTATGAGATTCAGTTCGGCGTGAATCATATGGGTCATGCGCTATTGATTCGTTCCTTACTTCCGCTTATGCAGGAGACTGCGAAGAGGGAGGGTATCGCTGTTGGCGAGACGCGATGTGTCATCTTGTCTTCGGGCGCAGAGGCGTTCGCGCCAGCATCCATCTATCCGTTTGAGGGATTGAAGGGTGATTTGGCGTCGTCGGGCATGTGGGCGAAGTACGGGATCAGCAAAATGGCTAATTTGCATTATGCTTCTGAGCTTGCGAAGCGGTATCCTGAGTCTGAGACGGGGATTCGCTTCGTGTCGGTTCATCCTGGTGGTGTTGTTACTAATCTTGGGGATACTTTGAGAAATTGGCCGAGGACGGAGTGGTTTATTAAAAAGGTTGCGGCGACGCTTTTGATGCTCAAGCCTGTGGAGGAAGGGGTGAGGAACCAGCTGTGGGCTGCTACTTGTCCTGATGGATCTGAGGTGAAGGGTCCGGAGTCGGGTGTGTTTTATCATCCGGTGGGTGTTGCAGGAAAGGGGACTAAGATGGCGTATGATAAGGGAAAGGCGACTGAGTTGTGGGAGTGGACTGAGAAGGAGTTACAGCCATACCTCGAGGGGTAGATTGTATTAAATTGCTGAATGGTGTTATTTGTCTTTCTATAGCTAGGTTGATTTACAGTTATTCGGTGAAGCTGGTCTGGAAGATTTTCAATTGATCGTACGATCGTCCCATAATACGATTATATCTTTAAGTGGCGGATGATTAAAAACAAGTTGATGCCAGCATCCACGACATTGAAAGAGTGCATTGGTTGGTCTAGTATCAGCCGCATCTATAGTGGATAAAGGGGCTGAAAAAGCCTCTAAATATGCTTCCCTTCTTCCTGCTCACTGCTCACCAACCTACTCGACCGCTCAATTTGAAATAACCCGGCTGAAGGGTGCGGAATACTTCATCGGGGTCATATCTGTCAGCTATCATACGGAGACGGTAGACGTTGGCCGAGCCATAGCTATGTATGACATCCTGGAATTGGCTGGCGTAGTTCATGTAAAGAAACGGTTCATCGAGGCCCATCTCACGGGCTCGTGCATTGACCCTGTTCACCAAGTTCATATTGGCTTGCAAGATTTTAAGATCGTCTTCTTCATTTTGCCATCGAAAAGTCGGGTTCAGTAGCATGAGTGGATGCTTCAGGGTGGAGATGCCCAGAGTGTTACCCCCATTCTTGCCCATGTGGCGAAGAATATCCGTGGTTATGACCTGCATGATGCATCTCGCTTCCAAACCATCAAGATCACCCAGTTGGCTGGTCTCATCGTTGAGCACTTTCTGAACAAAGCCGGCTAATACCCGATCAAGCTTATAGGTAGCAGTCCAATAGGTCTGACGGAGACCATCAGGCTGTCCAAGAGCATTGATCAAGCTAATATTTGACTGTCGATTTATAGAGGTAGTATCGGCATATGGTCGAGCTTCGTCCAATGACTGAAAAATGGACGGATTTGGCTCAGGCTCTGTATTGTATAGGTCGACTGTGGCATGGTGTTTGGCATGCGTATAATACAGAGTGGTGATTTGGTAGGCCGATGGGTTTTCTGACGCCCGCAATCCGAATTCAACGTAGGAATCAAGGATAGTATCGACCTGATCGATGGTATAATTCCGGATACCTTCCCACATCATCTCATGCGGGATACTGTAAATGTCAAATCGGGTGACAATGGCGAAGTTCGCTCCCCCGCCACGTAGGGCCCAGTACAGGTTCGGGTGGGACGTGACATTTACATTCACTATTGAGCCATCAGCCAGAACAGCCTTAGGTTGTTTTATTAGGTCAACTCATCGGTATCCAGTGAATGAGGCGCAAATCGAGCCTGGTAATTGGCGACATTATCACAGACGAATCCATGGCTGCCTGAAAAAAAGATAGGCCGCCTGTTCACCAGCAAATTAGTTCCTATAAGCAAACACAAGGTCAGAAGAACTTGCCCCCAAGGGTTAGGCCGCCTACGCCGACCGATCCCGATCGGCCTCCAGGAATGGTAACATTGCTTTTCTCCAAATCGCGGTAAACATCATACCACCTGTTTCCTGGGCCAACGTGAGCGATGGATCCATCATTTACCAAGGTGACCGAATTCAGTCTCTCCAGACTGCTTGTCAGGCCTTGATTAATGTTGGATGCGCCTTCAAACGTCGCATGTCCACCAGCTCTCACCGCAAATGCATATTTCGTAGCACCTACTAGACGAATTGCCCGGGTAGACTTCGAGACCGGTGAATTCAATATCAGCGGCATGAAGGATCACATGTTCTACCATTCGGGGATGCTAAGAGGTAATCACTCTTTGCTAAATGGTAATCGTGCCGTGCTATGCTAATTATGATATGTTCGGTGAAGTGAGCCGTCCGATGACCACAGCGGAGCTGTCTTTCCATGGTGCGCATCTTCTTCAGGATTGGATCATGAACAACACAAGTCTGTCGCTGCCAGCCATTGTGCACAGTGAAGGCACCAACGACACTTTATGCCCTATTGATCAAAGTGCGTCAGGCTAACCTATTTGCTTACAGGTCTCCATGGTGTGGGAGTTCCTAATGCAACGATCTTTACATCGCCCATTGGATTCGGTGCTACGTGGAACCTGGAGGTACCAAGCTCTCTAGTTCAACGATCACCTTGTGAGGAATACTCTTCTAACATGATAAAAGCCCGTCGGAGAAGCCGCGCGAGTCATTGGACAGGAGGCGCGGGCTTTGGGAATTACCCAGGTGTTCGCCCCGTCTGCAGATTTGGCTCGAGATCCCAGACACGGCAGGGTTAGTGTGACCTTGCTCGATTTGAAGCCTTCAGGGTAGGGTAAAAGCTCATTAACCCTTATTTTAGGTTGAGGAATCTATGTCGGAAGACCCCTACCTCGCCGGTGAAATGCTTGCTAGTTTTGTGCAAGGTCTCTGGAAATCCAAAGTTGCCTCCACAGTCAAACACCTGGTGGCTTTTGGCAACTCCGAACAGGGAATCAACATGGGCCCTGTTCATGGAGGCGAGCGAGAATTGCGCACCACCTACCTTCCTCCATTCAAGAAAGCTATTGATGCGGGTGCCTTCACTGTGATGAGCTCATTTAATTAGTATGTACCAACTTCCTCATGGTGAGACTAGCCTCCTCTTAGGCACCAAAACTTCACTGCAGACATGATGGCATTCCCTCTGTGATGAACAAACACCTCTTGACAGATATCCTCCGCGGTGAGTGGGACTTTCAGTATTGGACTACAACGGATTATGGAGGTCCCAATCGGCTGTGCACTACATTCCGAATGTGTCAAGATGATCCAATTGATGCCTCGGCTATCACTATGAAAATGCTACCAGCTGGAGGCGACACTGAAGGGGGGGAGGATCGTTGTATGTATCAAGTTTTCTTCTCCCCCCTCCCCCTCTCTCTACACGAAAGCGATGCTGATTGATTCTTTGTGAAACGGTAGCAACTTTGACACAATCCCTGATCTAGTTAGTGACGGGACACTGGATGTTTCTCTTGTTGATGACGCAACACGGCGAGTTCTGCGGGCAAAGTTTGATATGGGTCTTTTTGAGGATCCTTTCCCAGCGTCCGCGCCGGAGGACTGGCACAAGTTGATTCACACAGCCGAGTCATTGCAGACAGCGGCACAGTTGGACCGAGAGTCTATCGTTCTGTTGGAAAACAAGGACAGCATCCTGCCTATCCAAGATAACATTCGAAGCATCGCCGTTATCGGTCCGTTCTCAGACACGGTCAATGTAAGTGAAAGTTTCAAGTCCCCTGCCGAAGCTAACGTGATTGTGTATCCCCTACTGACCATTGGCAAAACCTCAGTACGGCGGTTATACAATCTCCCCACCTTGTGGGATTACCCCTCTGGACGGCATCCGTAAAACAGCATCTTCAAACGTCAGAGTTGGACACGCGAAAGGCTGTGACGCCTGGAGTAACGATGAATCGAACATTCCCGAAGCGGTAGACCTGGCGAAATCATCAGATGTCGCCGTCGTGATTGTGGGAACCTGGGCGAGAAACCTTTTGGACCAAGAGAAAGGACTGAATGCTACGTTTGTCGCCTTGATACCTACATACTGAGTAGTCCCACTAATTTCTTTTTATTAGCACCGGCGAGGCCTATGACACAAACGATCTTCGACTAGTCGGAGCTCAAAGAGCTCTGGTGCGCGCGATCACTGAGACCAATGTGCCGACCATTGTTGTATTCTCTTCGGGGAAGCCTATTGCTGAGCCATGGATTTCGAACTCCTCTGCTGCCCTGCTTCAGCAGTTCTATAGCTCAGAGAAAGGGGGAGAGGCACTGGCTGACGTCCTCTTTGGCCGCTATAATCCGAGTGGGCGGCTACCCTTGACGTTCCCACGCGACACGGGAAGCTTTCCAGTAACATACGACTACCTTGACTCAGGTCGCGAGGCCCAAGACGCGGGCTATATCAATCCTGATGGTAGCATTCACTTTGGGCGTAGCTATGTGACTGGGACTCCAATGCCATGGTACGAGTTCGGATACGGCCAAAGTTACTCCAACTTTGAATATTCGAATGTTCAGATCGATAAAAAGCGTGTGAGTGCAACAGATGACATAAAAATCACTGTCCAGGTCAAGAACACGAGCTCGCGTGATGGTCAAGAAGTGGTGCAGCTCTATGTTGTGGATCCCATCAGCTCTGTGGTCACCCCAAACAAGCAGCTCAAGGCCTTCAAGAAGGTCCATGTGAAAGGAGGAGAGACTCTCACTGTGGAATTAGAGGTCAGTGTGGGGACCTTGGGGCTCTGGGATGTGGACAAGAGGTATACCGTTGAACCAAGAGAGTTCATGGCCCATGTCGGGAGAAGTGCCGGAGATATTCGAGGTAACGCATCGTTCTATGTGTTGTAAAAGACTGGCTGTTGGTATCAGATTGTTTGCCTAGGCTGGATCTCATAAGAGGAGGAACACAACACTTACTCTGTCCCAAGATACGATAGGGAAGGGTTCAATGATATATTTTACACGCGATTCATGTTGATCATTTTCCTAAGTAGATTCAAATTTTCTCGATAAAGAAGACGTAGCGCTGACTCCAAGTGCTTACTGGCTAATTGTTCTCCTGTGTCATTGAATAGATTATGAAAAGAAATGTATAAGAAGATTGAAGGCAGACGATATTTGGTTTGAATCCTCCAAATACGTGAGTCATCTGTATTCATAGACAGAAAGCCCCAAATGACGCACAAATGGGTAAAGAAGTAGATAGTCGTAGATGATAGATTAACCGGAATAGATGGATGAAGTAAAGAAAGAATTCTTTGTTGAGGTGGCGTCATCCTATTTGCTTTTGCAGACGCGATATTTCTGTTGACTGCGCAGCAAAAAGAGCTCAGATGAGGTCCAGTGAGTTATTTGGAATGCTGAATTGAAGATCAGGTACTGTACCGGAAGTAGATCAAATCATTGCCTCATCATGCTTAAGTACCTTGTTGTTTAGATGTAGTTTCACTCATAACGTCATATGGCAGAAAGCAGGCGGCTATCATCGGCAGAAAAGCCCCGCCTCCCAAACCGACTCCACACCGCCTGTGTCCAGTCTAAAGTGAAGCAGAATGATTGACTCTGAGATCGGTTGTAATTGTCGTTTTTGGAAGGCTGGATCACTCCTTTATTTCACTTGAACAACGACCAGCTTTGCGCTCACCTTTGCGCCCCCATTTGGTCCGCTTTAGTCTCCGCACGGACCACCTTTGCTCGCCTTTATTGAAGCTACCCCTCGGAGCGCAGTCGCGTCAACTTGCAGCTAAGCTGTCTCATCGATCTGAAGTTTTGACGCTTCGGATTGTTGTGTGAGTCTCGGTTTGCCCTACGAACATAGCTCCAGCCATAGCGATGGACGAGTTTGCGCAGACCCGCGGCGCGGACGACTTGTTCGACGATGAAATCATTCCAGTTTCAGCAGAAGAACAGCATGTTCAAAATGAAGTTGTAGCTCCTGAACCAGAACTGAAATCTGCTCCCAAAGAGGAAACTCCAGTGATTGAGAAGCAACCTTCTCCGCGTGGGGACACACCGCAACGGGGCCGAGGCGGAGAGCGAGGCCGTGCTCGTGGTTCTGGTCGGGGACGCGGCCAGGGAAAGCCGCGCGGTGGGTTGCAGGACTCTAGGTTCGCTGACCCTAAGCTCGCTCCGACCCCTCGGCGAAAGGGCCCTACGAAGACGGCAGAGCCCGCGGCGACTACAGAGGCGAAAGCTTCATTACCGGAGAAGCCTCAAGAGGCAGCCAAAGAAGAGATTGGGGAGGAAGAAGAGAACAATACCACCGAGGCACCGCGGGTACCGGCTGTTCGCGGAGACCGAAGTGCAACCGGGGGTGTGAGAAAGGTAAAACCGCTTCAACCAATACTCATAACAATTGATCAATATTGCTTACACTGGCCCAGCCTAAACTTACCGAAGAACAACTTAGCAAAAAGATTGCCGCTGCCAAAGAGCTCGCTACGAAAAAGGCCGCAGCCCATGCTCGAGCCGAGGCCGATCATGCTGCTTTCCAAGAGCGAGAGCAGGTGGCAGCCAAAAAGCGACGTGAGGAACAAGCAAATCGCCGTTTAATGGACAATGAGCGTGAGCAGAACCGTCAGCGGAAATTGAAGGCTCAAACCGGTCGCGAATGGGACTCCGAAAAACGTGAAGAGGACTATAACCCCCGCGGTGGTGGTAGCCAATTTCGACGAGGCATGCACGGTGGAGTATCTGCTGAATATACCCGGAACAACTTCAATCAAGGCGCAGCCGATGATGATGCTGGGGCTAACGGGACACCTGGTCGAGGACGCGGCCGTGGTGGTCGTGGCCGCGGCCCCTCGCGCGGGCCACGGGGTGAACGTGCATCCTCTAAGGAACCATCCAACAAGGCAGACAAAAAAGCGGCTCTTGGAGTCAACAATGAGGCTGATTTCCCCTCGCTTCCTGCTGGAAAGAAGCCCGAAGACGCGTCAGAGTCTTTATCTACCAAGAAACCGGTGGCACCGGCCATCAAAGCGCCCCCGTCCATGGAAAACCTTGATTCTACCTTCTCCCCACTCACTGGCACCTGGGCCGACTCTTTGGACGAATAGCCTCAGTGAAGGTTTCTACCCTACTTATGCTTGACAATTTTTGACGAATTCTTTTTTTTTTTTTGCAATGCCCACGACATGAAAAGATCTAACTCGCCTTTTTGCAATCTGATATCCCTCATACTTCGCATGTATGGCACGAAATCTACTCTGTTCATCACTTGCCTTTCCTCGGGGCAATGAACTTGTCCAATTTCCTGGGGGAATGAACCTGATGTGGAGACATCACGTCGGAATCCCCACTGGCTGTGAATATGACCTCACCAATTTCAAATCTCCGGCATTGCGCAACCAGTGTATTTGCCTTCCGTTCGAAGATATAGGCAGCATCGATTTGTTCCATCTGTGGCCCCGGGAGCCAGCTGGGCAATAAGTTTTCAATTCGAGTCCTAGGTGCGGCTCTCTTAGCATCACTGGTAATCGAATGATATATCCCATGAGATTGATATCCTTTGCATGTTTCCCATATAGCTTGTTGCAGCTCAGAACAATAAACTGCCGTAGTCTTTCACAATGTTGATTGGGTGCTTAGATTCTTTTGATGCGGCACGCAGCATTTCCGCAACAAATAGATCTTTCAGGTGGTTTGGGTGCTTGTGGCTGATACGTGCGGTTATAATTAACAGTAACGGAAGGCGGTGAAGGCTCGGAATTAACGGTGGACCTCTTCCAGGCCTCTCCTAGTTCCTCTTCGAGACCTTCTTCGTGCAGTGGATCTCGGATTTGGCACGATCGCGGCCACAACGCGCGTACAAAAGGAGAGAAGGCCTCTGAACAGGATGGAAGAGGATTTCCAACGTCAGCCACCACTGCCACCAATGTAGCTTGCGTTGGAGGCACGTCAACGGATCGAAACCAGCCGCAATCAATTCCTATGACGATTCGGCAGTGGCGTGATATTGAACGGGCTGTCCTCGGATGGCCGACTCATCTGTTACAAGGAGGTTGCAGCATTGAAATGCCAAGCTCGCTTCACTGCGCAGTTAAGATTGCGTCTCCCGCATTGATGTTTAATCATGTATGAAGGGGCCGCTGTCGGAGAAGTTTCAGAACAATATGTAAAATGATCCTCACCTTCCACTGCTTCACTCGGATTCGTGGAGTAGAGATCAGGGAACTAGCTCACCTTGCATCCATACCAAGTTCCAAGGTTGCCATCAAAGCCACCGTCGGTGAATGACCGTTCAATTCTGGTCCAGCTCTGTCTACGAGCAGGGGAGGACATCCACATGTAGGTCCCAGGGGCTTCGATCCACTCGACGATGCTTAAACCCAGCAGATGACGCGGTCTCCCCGGGGTTTGGCACTTGTCTCAGCATCTGGACGCAGATCTTGCGCCCAGGCGGACCAGAATTTAGCCGTCGTGTGCCATCTGCACCGCCATTGAAGCTCAGTCTGATTTCGTCAGGAAACAGATGGCCCGCTCTTAGCATCCCTAGTACGCCCATTATTGGTCCGATTTACATCATCATGGGTCTAGTGTCTGCCAACTCGAGCCTTCTTGACTACGCAACTTCATGACCTCGATGGATATGGTGTGGCAAGGACCAGGAAAGCGGCATCGCCTATCCTGCCAAACGTCTGGCCAAGATCTTTATGTCAAACATATGGTTCATTTTGGTGGGCCGTGTCAAGAGAAGGGCTGACGACGCACCTGGTGTCCCAACCACTCTCACCGGTCATGGGAGCCCCATGGAAACGTTAGTCTCATGGTTTGGTCTCATCCTTTTAGGGAGATCAGCGTTTGATCTAAAAATGCCTTCACCAAACAGGAAATACAGCCGGCCTCTTCGATTTTCCGATTAGATTAATCTAAGGTTTCGTGGCCATTATTTCTTATTTATAAATAAGCTATGTCCCAGTCATTGGCATACACATCTGCTTCTGTACAGTCTTTCGTTTCTGCCTCTCTTGCACGTCTCATCATGCGTCTCCAAACCGGCGCATCGATTTCGCTCTTGGCGGCGGCAGCCAATGCCAAATCACTCGCCGATTTGTGCACCGTCTCGCACGTCAAGTCTACTCTGCCCTCGGACGGCACTCTGTCCGGCATCAACGTGATCCCCTCAGCCTCCACCGCCAACATTTTGTACAATGCTAGCACCGGCATGGGTAGCTCCAGCAGCTCGACCTACAATTACTGCAACGTGACTCTCACCTACCGTCACCCCGGCAAGACCGCCAATGTCATCATCAACCTTGGTTTGCCGTCTCCTTCCGACTTCAAAAAGCGGTTTTACGTTGCAGGTGGTGGTGGCTACTCTTTGAACGCCGATTCTACCGGTGGTCTCGAGTACGGTGCTGTTAGTGCTGCTACCTCTGCCGGTTATGATGCTCTGAGTGGCACTACCCTTGACGAGGTTAATCTAGCCGGGAACGGCTCGATTAATTGGGATAATGTCTACATGTTCAGCTACCAGGCTCTAGGTGAAATGACCCAGCTTGGAAAGTATGTCACCAAGAACTTCTACGGCATGAACGACAGCAAAAAGCTCTACACCTACTATGAGGGATGCTCCGATGGTGGACGTGAGGGTATGAGCCAGATCCAGCGCTATGGTGAGGAGTATGACGGTGCTATCACCGGCGCCCCGGCCTTCCGTTACGGCCAGCAGCAGGTCAACCACCTCTTCCCCAACCTTGTTGAGCATACTATGCACTATTACCCTCCTCCTTGTGAGCTTGCCCAGATTGTGAATGCTACCATCAAAGCTTGCGACCCTCTGGATGGCCGTACGGACGGTGTCATCTCCCGTACCGATCTCTGCAAGCTCAACTTCAATATGTCCTCAATCATCGGCGAGGAGTACTACTGCGCCGCTGAAACCGCCACTTCTCTTGGATTCGGCTTCAGCAAGCGGGCCGAGGCAGCACAACTTCCTACCAGCCCGCTCAGAGCGGCAAAGTCTCGAAGGAGGGTGTCGCCGTTGCTCAGGCCATCATCGACGGTCTCCACAACCTCAAGGGCGAACAGGCCTACCTTTCGTGGCAGATCGGTTCCGAGTTCTCAGATGCTGCGACGCAGTGGAACAACAACACCAAAGCGTGGGAGCTCGATATTACCTCCCTTGGCGGTGAGTTCGTCACCAAGTTTGTCGAGCTTGTCGACCTCGACAACCTTTCCACTCTAGATGGCGTTACCTATGACACTATGGTCGGATGGATGAACACTGCTATGATCCGCTACATGGATAGTCTACAGACCACTCTGCCCGATCTGACTGCCTTCCAGCAGGCAGGTGGCAAGCTCATTCACTACCACGGCGAGTCCGACCCCAGTGTTCCTACTGGGTCCTCCATTCACTACTGGCAGTCCGTCAAGTCCATCATGTACCCCGGCGAGTCCTTGAGCAAGGCTGCTTCCAAGATGTCTGACTGGTACCAGCTTTATCTGATCCCTGGTGCCGCCCACTGCGGTACCAATACCCTTCAGCCCGGCCCTTACCCCGAGGACAACATGGCGACTATGATTGACTGGGTCGAGAACGGTATCAAGCCCCAGCGTCTGAACGCTACGGTTTCTTCTGGCACTTACGAGGGTGAGGTTCAAAAGCTTTGCCAGTGGCCCAAACGCCCTCTCTGGAAGAGCAAGACTCACTTTGATTGCGTCTATGACCAGAAGTCTTACGAGAGTTGGACTTATGAATTCCCCGCCTTCAAGATCCCTGTCTACTAAGCGAGTCTTAGTTGCCGTGGTGTGGGCTTTTTGAATTCAGCAGGCCGCTTGCTAGTTGAGGTTGGTTCATAGCCCCAGGAGTATTTCCGTTCGACATGTGCAAATGCAGTGCAGTTCAAAGTCACATATATATGACCACTTAAACTCTTCGCTTCAACATTTACTTATTTTTCTATGCTATTTCTCAAATGTCAAGTCGGTGTCTGTACAATGAGCACAACCTCACATGTTCAGAGATGTTTTTTCAATTTTTCAATAGTTCAATTTTTTTTCTACTCTAACTTCGTGATAATTTTTCGATTTCTGATTCGCTCTTCGTGCAGCAGATATAGTCTCAAATTTTGAAGATGATTTCGAAAGACAGAAATGTGTTCCTCTTCGCAAAGGACATGACTCGTAAACTGAACTCCACCTAGTCTTTCAACCCAGGGTCATAGTGAACGCAGCACTAGACGAGCAACTAAGGGTATCCACATCATCCGACTTCTGATACGACTCCGCGCAATCAGTATCCCCAGCAGCACAAGTGGCATTCGAACAACTGGAGTCATCAGTAGTAACGCCAAATCCAGCAGTAATGAAAGTCGAGTCGGAGTCCAAGTTGATGGAAGAAAGGTCCCACCACAGAGTCTCGTCACCCTTGGTGTACTCGAATTGGAGGACGCTCTCCTCGCTAGTGCTGGTGGACATCTTAATGGAGATACCGCCTCCGTCGGAGTTGGTGCGCCAGGTCTCGGCGTAGGAGTCACCTGAGGCGACGGTCTTCATTTCGCTGGCTGTGTTGGAGGTAGACCAGATGTAGACCGTTTCGCTCAAGTTGTTGACGATTTCAATGCCCTTGCCGCTGGCTGTGGAGGTTGCAGTGGCGGGAGCAGAGGTGGAAGGGGCGGAAGAGGTAGAAGTAGAAGTAGCCGTGGTGGCGATTGGAGAGAGAGTCACGACCTTTGTGACAGTGGGTTGGAGGCCCTGGGGCAGGGCTGAGATGGTTGAGGCTATGGTTGCCAAGAAGCCGAGGGTCTTAAAGAAATGCATTGTTGGGATGTTCTGTGGAGAATGATCGACAAGATAGCAAGATAGATTGATTGAGATCAATGATATGTATGATATCAAGGATTGAAAAGATTGAGGGTCTTTCTGCTCGACAGAGAAGACAAGAGGATTGGAAGGACTGGAATCGGAGGCACAGCCTCGACGGAGAAAGAGTGAGAAGATGGGTTGAAAGGACCGTGGTTTGTCGGATAGACAAGTATTGATAGCGAGAAGAAAAGGTACGAGGGCAGACATGGCCTGCTCTTTATGAGTCCTAGTGGAGCATGTCCCCATCTTGCATCGACCATTCTGAAACACGCGACAGGTGCTTAAAAAAAAGGTATACGCTATCCTCGGATAATGTGTCCCTCAAGTCTGAGACTAAAGTCTAGAGCCTATGGGTATCCATCGAGCGCCTGGCCATTGCGCAGGCTAGAAAATCATCAGTGACTATTGGACAATATAGTCGATCAGGGTATTGAGACACCGGAATCTCGTGCATGGATTTTCAGGAACAGTCCCAGGAAATGCACAAGTCGACGAGTACTTACCTGAACGGGTAAGTAACCTGGCTCCACCGTAGCACTTCTTAATCGTCCATGAGCCTGTGGCTCTACGATTGACGGAAAAGGCCTCCCGGTTTTGGTGTATGTAAAACAAAACATCGAACTGGAGATCTGCTATCCACCGGGCCGCTGTTGACTGGACAGTCAACAGCCACGGGATTCCGCTTGGTTCGCGGCTTGTGGGTCCTGACCCAGTCCAGACCTCGGCGTCATCGCGTTACGTGTGGAGGCTGAGGTTGGCTTAGTTTCTCCGCTGTGGCTCTCTGTGAGGCCTAGACAGGGCGCATTACGCATCAGGGGGGTGCGCAACATTAGGGTTAATGAGGGTTGAAGCCCCAAGACCTTTGTGAAGACCAATCTCGGCCTGGAAATTCCATCCTGGTGGAGAGGAGTGGCAAGAGTTGGATCAGCCGGCATGAACAATGCACACATTCATGGGAAGGATTCAGTTGAGGGCAGAGCATGATCTTCAGGGTCCCTGGTGGTGGTCTTGATCTCCAGTCGACAGAAGTGTGTCAATTCCAGCCAGGTCAGCTGATCGCGGTGTACCCCATCGCGATCTATTTTTATAGCTTTGGCTTCTTTTCAATTGACGCTACGTCTCCTGTAGTTACTTGAGACCCCTATTCTTGGCTTTGCACCAGTCCAGTATCTCAAACCCCGGATCATCTTCAATAATGTACACAATTTTGTTGCTGTTGTCAATCTTTCTTTAGACCCCGGCCTCTTCGATTCGTGAGACCTTTCGATCCCTTTCACTTAGTCTAAGGACTCGCAGATACGAAAGTCTAGGACAAGAAATATGATATGTCCTCGGAACTTGTTGTCTGCTTACTGTCAATGAAATCGATACAACTTCAAAGCACCCCGACGCGTTCGTGAATATCCGGCGGATTATGTGCAAACTGTATTGACTATGGGGAATCACACTATATGCAGAACGATGACAAAAGTACACGGCATAACGCGGCATCCTTGGAAATAGGCAAAGACGGAAAGGGCGAATAAAGAACCGCAATATATCAAGCATGAGCAGCTTTTTCGCGAGCCTCACGCTCGACCTTCTCCCGCTCTTCGTTCTCCTTGACCTCGCGCACCTTGGCTAAGACGACCTCGCGGAAGATAGCACCGCGGGCAATCTTGCTCAGACTACGCTTCTTCCTGGTACCATCGGGGCTGGGCTCACCCTCTGTCGGGGCCGCAGCGCTTTCCTCGCTGGCATCGCCGATGTTCATGGGGCTGGGAATGTCTTCCTCGCCCTCCTCGCCCTCTTCTTCGTGCATCTTCAAAGCTTCGATACGGTTGGCCAGCTTGACAATCTCGATACCGCGGCGAAGGCGAGCCTTGGCAATGTAGGCACGGATCTCAGGCAGCAAATCGCGGTCGCTGGCGGTGGTACCGGTCAGCCACACGTGCTTCAAAGCCTCTTCAGAGGTGACGCGCTGGGTGGGATCAGGCTGCAGAAGGGTAAGAATGAAGTCCTTGGCGTCCTGAGAGACGCCCTTCCAGTAGCGCTCGTGGAAGACGATGCGGCCTGCCCGGCACTCTTCAATCAAGTCGGTCAAGTTTTCAGAGCGGAAGGGCGAGTAACCACACAGAAGAGTATAAGTGATAACGCCGAGCGACCACATGTCGACAGGCCTGCCGTGGCCCTGCTTGAGCATGACTTCGGGCGCGGCGTATCCGAACGAGCCTGCCATGCTGGTAAGCTGTTCTGAGGGGCTTTCCAGCATCTTCGCGATACCGAAATCTGCCAGGACCAGCTGGGAGTCGGCGGCACGTGTGAGGTAAAGAAGATTCTCGGGCTTCAAATCTTGGAGTGTATCAGTGAACCGGCAATCTGCATGTTGAATGGTATCATAACGAACCTCGGTGCACAATGTTTTTCTTGTGCAAGTAGTTGACAGCATCCAACACCTGGCGAATAGTCTGCGACGCGTCCTTCTCCGTAAATTTGCCGTATTCGCAGATTCGGTCGAACAGCTCGCCACCAGTGGCTAGTTGAGTGACGATGTAGAATTTGTCCTAGTGCGTAGGTCAGATAGTATCCTGCCAAGGTGACTTGGCAAAGCTTACTTTGGACTCGAACCAGTCGACAAAGGAGACAATGTGAGGGTGCTGAAGCTTCTGCAGCATCTCTAGCTCATCGTAGACCATGCCCTCGTTGCCGCGAACATTCTTCTTGAGAATGATCTTGATCGCAACCTTGGTACCATCCTGGGCCTCAGCCTCACGGACGATACCATATGTACCCGCACCGAGCGTTCGTCCGAATTTATACAAGGCCCTGAGGGAAGAATGTGTCTTAGCGTATGGAATTCAGGGTCGGGCGAGGGACTCGTACTTTTTCTCGTAGCTCTCTGGCTGCCCGGAGAGCTTGTTAAGCATGTTTGCGACTAATTGAAGCCATTGTCAGCAGGGTCAAACACAATCAGGAGTAGAGGCCCAAGCAAATTGCGACAAGGCAGCAACATTAGGTGATTCAAAAGGAACAGGCATTGGAACCAGACCATCACACCACAACGCGTTGAACATGACAATAAAGTCAGCGATATAGCTTCCAACCAACACAAAGAGAGCGAATAAAAGCATCCCGACCCTGATCAGCCCAAGATGTTGAAGATTGGGCATGTGAAAGGAGCCGAGGCCAGAATTCACCAACACGCGTCTCAGGGCAGGAGCCAGCGAGCTTCTAGTCACAGCGAGAAGAACCGACTTACAACTCATTGTGTGGGGGACAGGGTTGTAAACACCCTGGGAATCCGGTCTGAGTATGCGATGGGTGTGAATGGACAGAGGGGGCCCGTCAGGAATAAAAGCGGGCTGGTAAACCCCGCAGCCAAGAGAAGAGCGGGTCGAGACGAAGAGCGAGAGATGGGAATTGGGATTGAGGTCGCACGGTGAAGTCTGCAAAAGCTATCAGGGGGGGTGTCAGCGAGCTGAGAAAGTAAAAACGAACAAGTCTCAGCCGAAGGTCGATCCAGGCGGGGGTGGGCGGCCCACGCCTATCGCGGAAGAGGGGGAGGGGGGAAGGTATAGAGTCCACCAGGAATGCCTCGAGATCGAGGGCTATAAGATCAGGTCCCGAAGAAAGTCGAACATACCTGAGACAGCCAAAGAGGAACAAACAAAGAAACAGGAGATATGTGGTCAAAGGAAGGACGAGAAAGAGACCTCGAGTTCTAAACGCGCGATAAGGAGAATCGGGGCTGTAGGGTTTAGCGGGCCCTTGGCGTGCGTGTCCTTAACCGCTGCACCGCCACACAACACACGGAGCTTTGAGCGTTGCCTATTGCCTATTTTGGGATGTCTCTCAGCCTCACCTGAAATTTCAAAATGTGGAATCTGGCATCAGGCACTTGCCCTCGGCGACTATACAGTTGGTTGGATTTATATGCCCTATGAGGCCCAAGCAACTTCACAAATACACCAAGGCTGCAAGTCATGGCACAGGACTGTGTCTCCGGTCGGCAAATTGAACGTCCTGTCTTTGTTTCACCACGTCTCACTTGGGCAAGGGGCACCTTGAACGCCCTTCCATAAGGTATGGCGGTCTTCAATGCGATCTTCACAAGCATGGCCCTGGCTATCCATTGTCTCGATAGGGCAACCCGGGAGGTTTGCTGATCTTGGGATCGCCTTTGGGACCTTCTCAACGAGTGATTCTCATGTCCATAGCGCAAAAGTAGAAAGGACAGATGCGCACGGAGATACCCTGCGGGACTTCATCAGAATTAATATCTTTACTGGGTTTTATTTGTAGCACATCAGGGACAATTACCCCACCTCGCGGGCATTGTTGCGCGGCAGCGTCATATCCCACGCCCGGGACGTCATAGGCTTGAGAACACAATCTGGTCCATAAAAGCACCTGGAAGGGCCACGGCATCATGATTCATCATCCTGCGTCCTGATACCCCCAGAACAAAATCACGAACTACGAAAATGATCCAGCTCGTTCTTTACCTGGTGTTGCAAGTCATTCTCTTCTTAGCTTGGGTTTTGGGTTATCTCGACCCGTACCAGAAGAAGATGCAGGAAATAATTCTCGATGCTATGGGTGAAAATAAGGTCTCCTATGGGCTCAAGAGTGAGTGATGATAATTCCATGAAAATGAGAGGATGGAATCAATGCTGACCAGGTCTGTGTGTAGGGAGCTTGACTGGCAAGAAGCTCATTGAAGACAAGAACTTTAGCAAAATCCAGGACCAGCTGGGAAGTGAGCTTGCAGGAACATTTGGAAAGGGCGGAATCGGTGAGGGCGTGGGCAACGTGTTAAGCAAGAGTCTGTAGAAAAGATATTGCTTCCTAGTTAGAGCTCGCTGAGCCCATGACAGGATTGAAGGGAGCTATATCCCAGGGGTGGCTCGATGATACGATTTTGTCAAGGAATGAAATTAGATCATGACTCATGAACAAGACACCCGCAGACCCTTTAAACGCCAGGCCGTCAAGCTCATAGATCCAAGAAATCTCCACAGCAGTCCTAAGTAGCAGGAAAAAACCACAACAATCCCTCTCAATCGTCCAAGCCTAGCTCGGTCAAAACCATATTGCAGAACTCCTGGTAGTAGCGTGCCCCTTTCCAGGTGCTATTGACGGACCGCAATCCGATAGTATTCCATCCGTCGGAGCGCAGACGAGCAAGTCGCTGCTGCTGGGTTTCCTTGTGCAGGATATTGCCGAACCCATCCATGAACAACTCCGCCTCTTGATCCTTATGCTTTTCCACATGTTCCTCCTGCTCAATTCCTTCTTCGGCAACCCTATCGGTTATGGGACGGAAGCTCCAGAAAGAAGATGCTCGCTGCATCTGACAAGCGCGACGCGTACGCTGGACTTCCTTAACCTGGGAGACAAGCTGCTGGATTTCGGTGATGTTGGTCGAGATTTGCTCGCGCAAGAACTCTACACTACGATTGAATCGCACAATCTTGGCTGCATGCGCTGGGGTGATGTTAATTGCAATCTCTCTGTTACCATTGGAGCCTTGTGAGTAGATCGAAGAGGGTGTAGAGATCTTGCATGGAATCATAGCTTGGCAACTTCCCAGCCACGTTGACCACAGTGCTTTTCCTATCCATGATGTTCAATCTGGTGGCTGCGGTTTCTTGCAAAGGTAGTCGCTTAGAGCGAGGACTAGCATTCAATTGACCGTTGCTCTCATCTTCATAGATGACTCCGCCGTGCTTCATTTGACCAGACTTGTGAATGCGCAAGGGGGAGAGCGCAAGCCGAAGCCTCTTCACTGGACTGATGGAACTGCGGGGTGTCCAGGACGGGGCCAGACTTATTCTCTCCTTGTCGATTGCACGTCTAGGGGAGGCATGATGCCTTGGCAGGGTCAGTGCGAAGGGCAAAGTACGGTCTGACTGGGAGTCTGAAACGAAGGGATCATCATCCTGATTTGACAGCGATAGGTCAATCATCTGAGTCATGCTTCGAATGAGAGCCGGCTGCTCAGGCGTAACCGGCTCAGGACTATTATCCCAGACGACAAAGTCCTCTGATGTATATCGGGGGCAGTGATCAGGGGTATCTAGTGGGGTGAGATAGGCCGCACAATCGGGATTGTCTTGGAGCAGGTGAAGCTTTGGCATGGGAATGAGTTGTGGTAGAGCAGCTCCACTGTCCAGGAACGAGTCTAGGGCCTGGTGGAGTAGTGGCAATTTGTTGCGTGAGTACAGGTGTGCTGCCCGGCCGAGAAACTCGTTGCTGATGGCGGAATAAAAACAAAGAAACGCTTTGCACATAGATTCAATCTATAATGTAAAATTCAGTCTCATGAATCAACTGGAAGAAAGTAGAGCATACTGGCTCATTGGCCGCTGTGAGTAGCTCAGTGCATCGGACTGCACATTGTCTGTACTGCCGCTGGAGGTACAGACTCTTCACGCCGTTCAATGTAGTGATCCACTCTGAGATATTCTGAGGGGCCGGAATACTAGCTGGAGGGGCAAAAGACGCCGGGCCAAACTTGCTCGAGAATCCACCAAGCATGTTGGATGGTTGTCGGTAAGCGAGTAAGAGAGAGATGATGCTTCGGACCACCTTGGCGGCCAGAGCTCAATAATGAAAGAGAGCAGAAGCATAAAAGAGGCCGAAAGGGGAATACAAGACATGTGGGAAGAATCAACACGCTTTCAAGTCTTGTCACGTCTCACGTCACGTCACGTCGCCCTGACGCTCTTTGTTTCTGATATGAGAACTTTTAGTCTGCGGATCACAAGAATCGAGATAGTCGTCATATGTCTTTCGCTAAAATTGAGATTACAGATCTACCCAGTGGCTATAAGAGCAACTATCATACTTCTATGGCATGAGAATATCACTGGCCTACCTCCGAGGCACGCTTCATTTCTTCCGTCTGCTGTCCAGGGCCTGCCCTCGAGAGTGCATCTCCTGTAGCTGCCAGGGCATCGAGGAAATCATCGAGCAGACGATCCAACTCCGTGGTGACAGTATTGTCATCGATACCTTCCATCAAGCTCTCCACGCAAGGTGGGACGATATGAGGGAAAGATAGAGCATCTGACTCATCTTCCTTGGCGGTGTCGGTTTGAGACATTTTCATGGAAACCACATCACGACGAGCGGTCTGCAAAGGCTCTTCGTATACGGGAGAGCCTGGCTCCGAGGCAATGATAGGGCTTTCTCCCGGTCCGTCGAGCACGGGAACAGCCGTGGGAAGCGGTACATCATTCAGGTCGATTACTGAAGAGGTCTCGCTCCACTCGGGTTGATCCTCCTCGTCTGGTCCCGGCCCATCGAGAATTCCTGAGGAGTCATGTTCCACTTCATCGGAGGGATCGCCTAGGGCCGAGCCGAATGATGGATTTGGTTGGTGTAATGATGCTTGTGGGGCTTTTGGTCGATCAAACCGGAAAGGGTCGGAGTCGGAGTCGGACATAGTGGATTTGTTGGAGGCTGAGGTCGATGGTCGAGATTCAACAGGTGTGTCATGATTCTGTTCCTGAATACCGGGCAGCGGTGCTCGCAGCGTGTCATAGCGATCGGAATTGACTGCATCGCTTGTATCAGCGCCCATGACCGGAAAGGTCCACTGCATAGTTGCACGCTTTTCTGCCTGGAATGGTTCCTCGGATGCCGAAGCAGCTGGTGTTGGGGTCTCTACTGCCTTTGCTTCGGGCTCATCCTCGGGCTCTGGAGGCGGCGCAAATGAAGGGAACTTCCAATCCATTGTTGGAGGGCGTGGGCCAGTCTGAGGCTGGAAGTTCTCCTCTTGTAGTTCCTCACTTTCGTGACCACTGTTGGATGACTGTGAGCTATTTTCATTCGAGTTCCGGTGACGATTCGCACGGATCGTATCAGCATTAGCTAGCTGGAAAGGCTGTGCAGTCGGAGCACCAGCTGCGTAGTGTGAAGAGTCAAAGGATCCAATGTCAATGTCGATCAATGTAGACATAACGGAGGACCGATCCGTTTCAGTGCGTAAAGGAAGATCAGAAGTCGGCGGAGCCGGCTGTATGGGCACAAAGTCATTCTTGGTCTCGTACTTGTAGCTGGGCATTTCTTCATTGAAAAGGCCCTCCATAGCAGCGGCACCACGGCGTACACGTTCATCAAAGTTGGCTTGTTGTTCGGGGTCCATGTCGCTGATATTCACATCTTCGCCAGAGTCATTTTCAGGACTTGGTGTGGTAGGGCTGACAGGTTCTTCCATCTCAGCGAGAGACGCGGCAATTTGATCCAGATCAATGACAGAGAACCTTCGCTCAAATCCATCGGTTGTGCTGAAGTTCCAATCATCGACTGGCTCTTCGGCATCTGGCATTTCTGCTGCCTGAGCACCTCCAGGATTGAACAAAGAAATACGTTGACCTCCTCGTTGCGACCATTGGTAGTAATTGCGAACCAGCTCGCCTACGGATGACGTAGGATATTCTTCCTCGGTTCCAGCAATGTATGGATGTTCCAGAACGTCTGCCATTGTAGGACGATTCGCAGGGTCGGGCTCAAGGACAAACGCAATAAACTCTTGGAGACCCTGACTGTAATTGTCGTTGTTGAGCTTGGGGGCAGTCCTGTTTAATTGGCGCCCGATTTGCATTGGCTCCCGAAGACCTGCATTGGGCGGACTTCCATTCGCAAATTCGTAAAGCGTACATCCATATGCCCACACGTCGACCTCACTGCTGTAACGATGTGCTGGTCCACGACCGAACATCTCCGGTGGCATCCAATGAGGTGTTCCAATCCATGTTGATCTTTTGTCACGCTGGGACTGAAGGATACCGGCGACACCAAAGTCACAAATCTCTAATCGACCTTCCTCATGCACCAAAATATTTGCAGCTAATTCAGAATTTTTAGTATTGAAAAATGTATGAAACGAAGCCGAGTCGATTACCTTTGACATCGCGATGAATAATTCCGGCTTCATGAATAGCGCGTAGGCCAATTGCCAGTTCTCGTGCGATAGGAATGATGTACTTTTCGTCAAGTCTATCGCCAGTTGCACGCATCTTTATAAGGTCAGCAACGGCGGATTGACCTTCATCAAAGGTGGGATCTTACCAATGTTCTGACACTGCCACCTGGACAATACTCACACACTAGCCACAGTTGGGAGTGAATGGAGATAGCTTCGATGAGTTCGTTGATGTTTCGGGCTCCTGAGTCCTTCACTTGCTTCATGACCTTGGTCTCGTGGATGAAATCTTTGATGGACTCGTCCCTGAAGTCACGCTGGGATTTGTAATCCAGCGAATCAATGTCGAGAACCTTGATGGCGACAAGGCGGCCCGATGGCATCTGTCGACCTTTGTAGACCCGACCATATGCACCTTTACCGATCAACTCTTCGAATTCGTACGGAGGCACATCTGTCTTTGCACGCCGACACATCTCTTTGACTGCAGTTCCCTGCTCTCGGGCTAATTTAATCGCTTCGGCTTTGTGCCTGGTGATCGCCGCCATTGCGGACGACGGGTCCAGGAATCGAGACCCGCGAGTATCCATCTTGTCTGACCTCGGGATGAAAGGAGGGAAAAGGAAATCCAACAAAGATATGTCTTTCTCCTTTGACTCAGAGTTGATCGGAGGAGGGTCGTCTCTTGAATAGTTCCGCCACTCGAGCCTTGAATTTTGAACTGAAGCCGCTACGTTGAGTTTTTGCAAGACTTAGCAAAGATTTTGATGGGAGGACTGGAGAAAACGGTGATGGGAGATTGAATGGGCAAACAGGCGACTGGAAACCAGGAGAGAGTAGAGAGTCACTGGGCCGAGGGAAAACAACCCTGTCGGAGGAAGCAAGGCGTTCTGAGCTTCCTTCACGAGCGTCTAGTGAAGACTGTGAAGTTAAAACGCTACCTTTCTCCCGGTTGAGAATGGCTTTGCAATTCTGGTCCGACTTAACGGGCGGCTCAAACTCTTCGTATGAGTGAGTACAGCTGGGGCTGGGAGTGATTTTCTCAGCAGAAACTAGCGAATTTGCGTTTTTCACGATCAGATGATCGCGGTCGCTTACCGTGCTCTCAGTATCACTCGCAGAACTGTAATAGGTGGACAGATAGCGCGAGTTAACGATGGGAGCCCGACTATCGGAATAGCAGGTGGTATCTTCCCGAAGCAGTTCAAGTAGTTCGGCCAGCAGGATACTTGATTCGACGGAGGCTTCCAAGCAGGGACCGTTGAGTACTCGATCCAATGATGGCTCTTCGGGGTCAACTTTAATGTCACATACACTGTGATCCAGAGGCTCAATTCTTGGCAGACGGACGCGGGTCGTATTTTTTCTGTTCAAGAAGCTTCAACAACGATATCTCCTCATTCACTATGCGCATTACGTACTCTGACGATCGCGAAACGCCGTGGTAATCCTCACTTCTCACATTCAGTGGGATAAATTGTCCGGCACTTGACGAAATGGGCCCTTTATCTATCTCCTCTAGCAAGTGAAATAAGAGCTCACGTTCAGTGCTAGAGAGAGAAAGACTGTCTATTCGGCGCCTATCTGTGGATCTGCAATTAGCCATGGTTCTCGGAATGCCACGCATGGAAGCCCGAGCTTCCTCTGATGCGAAAGTCGCAGCAACGAGAAGAGTAAAGAAGTTCAAATGTGTCCAGTCGCCATATGCACGAAGACGAAGAAGAATGAAAGCACAACGCGGGGGTGAGAGTCCAACCTACGTTCGTAGAACAAAGAAGCAGTCGGGGTACCTGATATGAATTTCGATGGGATTTCAACTGCGACTTCTCCCTCCAGCGGAGTTCTGAAGTCAGTGAAATAACGTCGACGCTATCTGCAAAGGGCAATTAAGATCATCCCTTCATCATGAAGATAGAATTAGACGCTGTTGCCAGTCAATGTCGGATTTGACCGTCAACGAGGTGGCCACGATCAAGGGGCGCACGTGATATTGTCGCCTGAGGCCGCAATCGACGCACGTTTTAGGGGCCTTGGGGACTATTCTTGTGCGCACGTCTCGTTCTCGTCGCTTCTTTGTATTTCCTGAACACGCTATCATGACGCTAGTTTATGGTCACTTAGAAATCTTCCCACTAAGAGCGCCTAGATCCACGCCAATCCATCTAAGCGCAGTGCAAGCGACTCCATCTAAGCGCAGTGCAAGCGACTCCATCTAAGCGCAGTGCAAGCGACTAGAGAAAGAAAGAAATCAACTCTCTGCATGCGAACACCCACCGAGTTCATCAAATTGATGCCGGTGTTGTGGTCAAACATGGACTTCTTCTATTCGCGAGAGAGTTCGGAAATAGGATGATCGCGGCTCAACGTACGAGCATCTCGGTGCCCAGTGTGCTTGCGTACGGCATCTTTGGTCCATTGGCTCGGGGCTCTCGGGGCAACGTCATTCGCCATGGCGACGTCTACGAGGATTACATTTCGTTGTGCGTGTAAAAAGCGAGAGCGTCGAGCAATATGGGACTGACCTGAAGTATCATGGTTCACGAGGGTATAGTGGCCGGCAGTTTTGATTGGGCACTTCAGGACTACTAGCGACAAAGATATTGGCGACAAGAAAACATCCTTCATTTTAGCCACTTTCCCAACAAGTACGCTCTCGAATATCTCATTTATCCTTTTGATGACAGAGGTCCTGGGGTGAGACCAGGGGCTCATTGGATATCGATGATGACTGAATCTCCATTTCAGGAGGGCAAATTTCTTTCTAGATTTTTACTTGGTTGTTCTTGGCTTTGTCATTCACCAAGTGACGTACATGAAAATCAGAGCCATCCTCGTCGGAAAACAAAACAACCTATGGTGGTTGCATTCATTGATGCCATAGTGTGCACGCTATGTAAGATGTGAGTCCTAGCCTGCTCATTTGATGACCGGAGCTGTTTCATGCAATATGAAAATCAAAGTCGAGGAGTTTCCAGCAAAGAGTGAGCTCGCAGAGTCTTCCAACCATCTAAATTCTAACAATAAATACACACACCAAATGCGTAGACTCGAACTGTTGACAACCTACCTAGTCAAGATTTGCGGAGTGCTGGCTCCATTTTTACAGCTTGAATTGATCTCGCAGGCACTCAGCAAAGCGCGAGATGGCCTCGTCGATCTTCTCGGATGAGGCAGCAGCATAGGTTGCACGGAAGAACATCTTCTCCATTACGGCCGAGCTGTCGGCCTTGAACCAGCTACCACGGGACAAGAGAACACTGTGGTCGACGGCGGAAAGGAAGATTTCTTCTTCGATTTCCTCCCGTGATTTGCCTGCGGCGACACCGGGGTGCTTCTTCCAGTCGATCTCGATCCAATGCTAGGAGTATGTTAGTAGCATTTCTGGGTGAGTTTCTGGGTGGTAATGAGCATTCAACATACGAACATGCCCGCGGCCGGGGGTGCCCAGTGCGCAATCTCGGTAGGCAGGTGTTTCTCGCACGAGTGCAGCAATGCGTCACGGCGGTGGGTATATTCCAGGCGCAGGTTGATGAGCCAGTCCAGATAGCCCAGATGGCCCCAGTGCTCATCCAGCAGCTTGTAGAGGAACAGCTGGGAGATACCACTGGGGTTTTGCGAGGAAACCTCGAAGTTGCGAACAAAACGCTCTATGATCTGCTCAGAGGCGACAATCCAGCCGACTCGGCTACCGGGAGCGACGACCTTGGAAAAGGACTCCAATCGCACCACTCGGCCGTCGACGTCAAGGCTTAGGAACGAAGGGACAAGGGATTTGATGAATTCCTCGTGGTTGGCGGGTGGGGGCGGGCAGGAGCATCCTGGCCAACGTAGGGCTGCATTTGCAGGAAGTAGTAGGGCTCATCCTCGACGATGATGACATCGTGCTTCTGTGCGACCTTGTATACAGCCTTGCGGCGCTCGGCCGATTGGGTGGCTCCGGTTGGGTTCTGACCGGTAGGGATAGTGTACAGGACGAAAGGCTTGCGAGCACCGCGAGTCTTTTCGTCCCAGTTGCTGAGCAGGTCATCCATGGCCTCGGGAATGAGACCCTGCTCATCAATCGCAATGGCCGCGGCCTTAAGACCCAGGGGCCAAGCGGTTTCGGCGGCACTCGCGAACGTGTACTCCTCCAACATAATATAGTCTCCACGCTCGCAGAAGAGACGGAGAGCGGTGTCCCAAGCATAAGTGCTACCAGCAGTCAGGGTGCACTGCCAGTCTGAATAAGGCGGGTGGTGGATAATCTGGCAAATATTAGATATGACCTATCAATAATTGAAACTGCTGTAATCATACCTCAGTGTGCTCAGTGACGAATCGGAGAAGCTGGGCAGCTCCGGTAGCTTGGCCATAATTGAGAGAAATTTCAAGGTCTATGACAAACGTCGTCAGTCATACTCTAGCCGGGTCGAGTTCGGATCACAAACCATAAAGGCTTTTTCCTTCTTTGATATCATGCTTTCCAGCGTGCAGGGTAGTGCCGCTCTGTTTGGTAGCTTCCGGAGAGAACCCGGGCGCCGTGGGGACCTTCATGTCGAGGCTCTCCAAAGGGAAATAATCGGCGGAAGGCAGGCCACCACCAAGGGAGATCATTCCTTGAGAAATTGTCAGCCTCCAAACGATACTACTTCAGTTTTCAAAAGGCATACCAGGGTTCTTAAGGTATTGCGCCGCGGTCTTCAGCGTAGAGGCCTAGTAATAGGTTTTGGTATGAGCATTGGGCAGACTTATGTGGCAAAAAACCAGATTACCAACCTTGCGAGACTTAGCCTCAAGAGAGAAGTAATCTTCGAGTACAATTAGCATAATACTACCAGAAGGTATACAATGCGGCGCAAACAATGCCAGTCGCCCGCCAAAGGAACCACACTTACGATCGTAACGTTTAGCCTTCGGCTTGGAATAGCAAGCCTAGAATGTCCAATAGTGTAACTGATCAGTACGCATTCAACGCACCTCTTCCGCATGTAGATATATCGCAATCTTCAGACTCCGCCACATTCAGGTACCATACCGGGCTTTTGAACATATCGCTGCTGCACGCCGCCGCAACCCCAGTAGGCATTTGGCCCATCTTTTCACGCCATGCCGGGACACCATTGACAGTCAAAGGATCCGGAACAGGCACAGCAGAGGTATCGGTGACCCCCACCATATCAACCTCCAGTGGCGCGGGCGGACTCATGGCGATGGCGAACTAGTTGGGCGGGTGTAATATCGGTACAGGTAGTTTGGTTACGAGAGGGTAGCGGGCGTCTCGGTCTTGGGAGGGAGTACGGGCACAATCGAGTATTAAAGGCGAAGTGTAGTCACGAGAAGACAAGAGCGAAGGCGAATTGGAGCCAACGGTGGAATTGACAAACTGCGATATCCACCCGGCTGCGCGGTTCCGATTGGAACCACCATGACTCATCAATGCAGCCCAAATCTCAAAACTTTGTTGGAGAAAGCGTGGAGGAGCCAGTCGGCATTGTTGCGGTGAGTTTCTGTTATCTAAGAGTCGCCAGTACAGGGGTGCAATCGCAACCTTGTCAAAGGGCGTGGCGTCTATGCTTTGGAGGGGTTTGGTATCGGTACCCTGGATACCCGCAAAACCATCGCTGCTCGGCTAATCTGGCGGTGTATGGACCGCCGATACCGAAAGTTGATTACGACCCCGCGTAGATAAGGCTATCGCCGGCATCGGCGCGATAAGCTTATGCGCTCGGACTACACATGTAAGGCGTAAGGTGTAGGGTGTAAGGCGTGTTCTATTGCATCTTCTGTATAGTCTCTTACGAGCTCTCGATGTACTTGCCCGTGGTACCATCTAGTTGCGCCTCCAGCACGGCACCCTTTCCATTGAGGACACTCTGAATAGCTTCGGGCAGTTTCTGTGCCAATTCCGCCACGGTCGAAGCGCGGCCTGCCCAGATTTCTCCACCTGCTGCGGCCTTAGCAATGCCTGCATAGTCGGGTGTTGGAGCGAAGGAGATGTTCAAGTCTTCGTTGGTAGCCCGGGAACCATCACCATTGGGGTGGACCAACAACATGCTGCGGCGCGGGGCATTCCAACCCTTGTTGTTCAGTACAATGGTCAAAACGGGGATGTTGTAACGGCGCGAGATCCAGTAGACAGATCCAGGCACAGAGAAAAGATACGTGCCATCTCCAACTACCTGAACGACAAACTTGCCCTTGCCTTTGCCGCCATGTTCCACGTCAGACGCCAGCTTGATTCCCAGCGCACCACCACCAGACCAGCCCAGTCCGCCTCCACCACAGTTGATCCAAGAGTTCGGCAAGGTGGCTGAAACTTGATCGGCAACGAAATGGGTGAGGGTGACAGCTTCAACGGCCCAGATGGCGTCGTCTGGGCATCCGCTACGAACCTGTGACATGAGATAGTTGATGTTCAGCGAAGCACCATCACCACCTTCTGGTGCTACAGCCAAATCTGCGATCTCCTGGCGTCGCTTCCGATACTCCTTGTCTCGGTCTTGACCCATGTTGATGTTCTCCTGAGAGCGAAGGAACTGCTGCAGCTGCTCATTGCTCGCAACATAGTCATTAATTTGCTTGAGCGATGTGGCAGAATCTGCGCGGAAAGTAGCCATAGAGTGAATGTAGTGAACGGGAATCTGCTGCTTCAGAGGATCGACATCAATGTGAACAATCTTGGCCGACTCGGACGGCTTGAACTGAGTAGGAACCCAGGGAACATCACAGTCAATGACCAGGATTAGATCAGCAGTTCCCACAAGATCATGGCCCGAGTACCGCAGACCCAGCCATCCTGGGTGATTGGCTGGGAAACACATATCACTGCCGCCGGTGTCCAACACTCGGATACCCTTGAAGCTATTCGCTAATGTGACCAGCTCACTCACCGACTGAGACTTCCGGCCTGTATAGCCGACCACTACCAAAGGGTGCTTAGCCGCGGCTAGCTCCGTTGCAATAAACTCGACTCCGGACGCGGGCAAAGCGGCTGGCGCAACAGGCACCCAATTTGCCTGGTTTAGCTGATAAGGCTCAATTTCCTCCTCCATAACCTCCCGCGCACCCAGCAGATATACCGGTCCCTGGGGATCACTGGTGGCGAATTGCAGTGCTCGGTTCACCATCTGCTTTACGTTCTTGCCGGATTTCAATTCCCCCGTGAAACGGCAATACTGCGAGACAATCTGCTTCTGATCGGGTACATCTTGGATCCAATGGATATATTCCGTACGGGAGCCTCTCATCTCGCCTTCAATTGTGTAGGGGGAAAGACCAGCGAAGATCAGAACAGGAGCGCGTCCGCAGGAGGCGTTGTGAACGGCGGCGCCGAGTCCTTGTGTTCCGACATCGACGTGGACAATTACGGCTTGTGGCTTTCCAGTCAGGCGTGCGTAGCCATCGGCCATTGAAAGGGCGACCATCTAATAAATAATGAGTGGGGGTCGTATAGTCTCTGGGAATAGCCGTTTAAGCGGGGGTTAGAGCTTCGAATGCGGGGGTCATGCACTCTGGGACAATGGTGTCATGATCGACGTACCTCATTGGGGCAAGTAATGATCGTGGGGAATCGGTCTTTGCTCTCCCTCTGACCCTTCACCATGGCCTCGAGGATAGAGGGATGGTCCGATCCCAGATTGACAAAGACATGGGTGACACCTCCCTGTACATTGTAAGTTTTCTCCACTCAAGTGAATTGGTCGAGGAAAAAGATTCCTTGTACCTCCCAGAGGGCTTCGAAAAAGGCGAAAGATGCAGTGTACACCCTAGCAAAAATGAGATCTTGCAATTCGATAAGTGGAATGAATGCACAGCGCGGACGTACATGACAGCGTTTGATTTTCGCACTGATGGGCTCACAGGCTTACACTTGTCGATGTAGAATGGTGATGATAAGGAATGAGACTCGGATCAAAACGTGACAGTGAGGAGAAATTCAGAAAGTAGAGTCCTTGATAAAGCAAACGATTCGGAGAAGCGCGGCACTCCTCTCCCATCGGACATAACGCCGAAAGTGGAGAGTTCAAGTGGAGGCGCGGGGGGTATCCCCAACTCTCAGCCCACGCCACGTCCTGTCCCACCATCTTCTCCTTGGTCATGCAAGAGCCGAGGGTAACGAGTACGGCATTGAGATTCTAGTGGGGAAGGTTTCCTGTTTAATTGCGCGAACTGGGCATTTCGCGTCACGGGGACTTTGAAGGAGTTGTAATGAGCCGATCAGCTTGGAGGTTACTGTGTTCCTCCAAGGTAGTACATCAACGTCGTTGAGCTGTCTTTTTCCGTGTGCATATAAGAAAACGAGTATCGCTCAAAAAAAAGTTGCGCCAGGCCAAGCATTAATGCTCTTGATCTCTACCTATTCATGGCGCTTCCATATGACCGGTCCATTGCCGATATTGCCTATTATGTCTTCCATTATGAGATAGACGACAACAACAATGCGATATGGAAAAGAGCACGGATGGCACTACTCGACACCCTAGGATGTGCCATCGAAACCGCAGCCATAAGTCTCGAATGTCGAAACCTATTGGACGCAGGACTCGGCGAGACATCGACGCCGCATGGGTTTCGGGTTCCAGGGACAGACTTACAAGTAGATCCCGTTGAAGGCACCTTTGCCTTCGGTGCTTTGATTCGGTACTTAGATCATAATGATGCGCTTGGTGGTGTAGAGTGGGGTCACCCTTCAGGTAATGGCTAGTTCAGGAATACTGATTCAGCTCATGTTGACTTTCGCATACAGATAACCTCGCAAGTATCCTTGCCGTGATGGATTGGCTGTCGCGGGCATCGGTATCGGGAACATATATCCACAAGGGACCACCTTTGACACTGCATACGCTACTTATTGCATTGACCAAAGCCTACGAGATACAAGGATGTTATCAAATGGGCAACTCGTTCAATGCTTATGGCATCGATCATGTCGTACTAGTTAAATTGGCATCGACAGCCACGGTCTCCTGGTTACTTGGACTCACTGAAGAGGAAGCTATGGCATCGATTTCGCATGTCTGGTTGGACGGGCAGCCAACCCGTGTCTATCGGTCCCGCGATAACACAATTCCACGAAAAGGTTGGGCGGCAGCCGATGCTGCTCGGCGCGGAGTGCAACTCGCATTGTATGTTCGGGCAGGTCAGCCCGGTGCTGCACAGGCCCTAAGTGCAAAGCCGTGGGGGTTCTGGTCGAGAACGTTTGGCGAACAAGGCTTCCACTTTCCCCAGCCGTTTGGAACATGGACAATCCAAAATGTGCTGTTCAAGACGGTGCCAGTGGAAGGGCACGCAGTTTCGGCCGTTGAAGCAGCTCTCATTCAGTTGCGCAGGTTCCAGGGGAAAGCTTTGTCGAATCCAGCGGCGCAGATACAAAGGATTGAACTGCGAACCACTGCGGCAGCCAACTTGATCATCAACAAAACGGGGCCATTGCGAAATGCTGCCGATCGCGATCACTGCCTTCAATATGTCGTTGCTCTGACCATCTTGAAGGGTGCCGCTCCCGACACCAGAGACTATCTAGATACAAGTCCATGGACGACCTGCGAGTATCTGACCCATCTCCGGGATAAAATTCTTGTTGTCCCTGATCATGATCTAACCCAGGACTACCTGAATCTGGACAAGAAAAGTATCGCCAACGGCCTGACTGTCATATTCAACGACGGGTCAGTCTTTCCAGAAGTTTTGGTCGAATTCCCTGTTGGACACATGCGACATCCAAAGACCGAGACCGCAGTCGAAGCAAAATTTCAGCAAAATATGGCACACATGTTTTCCCGAATAGAGACAGCACATATTCTGGAGGAAGTCCAGCAGGACGATATGCTAGTTCATGACTTTGTGGACCTGCTTGCTCGTCCGACAGCCGATGCGAAACTGTAGAATCAGTAGGGATTACCGTTCCACCTTGCGAGCCATAACTTTTTTAAGCCCACACATCAATCAATTTTTCCAACTCCCTGCAATGTCAAGTAAACATCCGTACCCCATCCCCAGAGACTCTGAACTGCGATGCTGCCGCCAAAGTACTCGGCATACGCACGACTCAAAGGTAATCCATATCCAAGGCCTGCAATACTGCTCAGATGACCACCACTAGCAGCAATAGTATTCAAGGCATCCATAGAACCATCTTCTGAGCCACGAAAATCCATATCAGAGAATGTGGTGAAACTGTATGACCAAATGTGAGGCAGAACCTCAGGCGGGATACCACCACCACGATCGCGAATGCGTATTGTGATGCTCTGTGATGACGGATTCGGATATCCCATGGCCTCATCAAGTTCGTATGCCGCATCACCATCTCCTTGAGTTGGACGCCCATGGCCGGGAACGTCCGGTGCGGCTGCAATCGTCACCTCGATAGCTTCGCGCTCATTGCCAGACTCGATGGTCGCCCGAAACGCATTCTTCAGTAGTTCTGTGATGATGTATTCCACGTGCACTGGGATATGGGCAAAAGCAGCTTCAGGTTCGCCTCCAATCTCAAGGCGGGGACGCACCCCGTATTTGAGCTCACAGATCTCCCCAACAAAGTCCTCGCATAGCCGGATGATACGTGCCGGCTGAAGCGCGGTGTCGATCACGCCGATATAATTCGAGGGGATCGCTTCTTTGGGCTTCGGCGGCTCGGCGCTGTTCTTCGGTTGCTCGCCAACTGGCTGTGAGGCGAAATGAAGAGCCAGGTGTTGCTCGGCAATCAAACGGGTGCCGATACGCGCACGTAAATGAGTGTCCAGAAAACTCGTCACGTCTTCTGGGCTGACATATTTCCGACATTCGAGAAATCCACGTGCGAGAACAGGTATTGTATTAGTATGTGTCTGTACGAGATCGGCTAGCACGTCTCCGAATTGGCGCTCTTCCTCTAATGTGGTTATCTGGCGTTGCTGGTAGGGTAGGAGGGTTGACAGCGAATGGAGGTAATTGTGGTAGATCTTTGACACATGTGGATTAGACACGACGATAAAGGGGAGGTTTCGTAGAGCTTGGATTCGTGATGCCAGTCGTGCCGGGAGGAGTGAAAGGGTGAAATTCGCCGAGGCCAAAAGCGCATCTCTAGACAATGGCGGGTGGCCATGCCTAGGAAAAACAATTTGTCAGTCTATTTTTCTCTCTTGATAACCTTTGGTTGTCTTCAAGCTCACTTAAGCAAGTCTGCAAGAGTTAGTGGTCGGCGAGGGCTAGCAGCGAGCGTAGCAACCTCATCTTTGGCGACGTCTGGAGTCGTCTGTCGGCCACCCCAATTGCTGTTGGTCTGTGTCGACAAGTGGCGCACTGAATGGCAATGTGCTGTGAGGAGCGATCTTTGAGCTCCGAAGGGCTGGGCTCGAGAGATCATGGCTACCATTGTGCCGTTCAAGGTTGTGTTGAGGGAGTGGGGAGGGTTGGAGTGCGGAGATAAGAAAGATGAAGGAAGCGGTGACATCCCCGGGATCTCCATGCGCCATGGTCAACGGATATCGTCGGCCCTGCGTGCAACCAAGATGTCGCGGTTCAATTACCGGTTTTAGCCAATCAACTTGATTGTTAAATACTTATCCCGAGCTACAATGAATATTTATGTAAGCCACAGCTACAAGACTTGGCCTTGTAGGTACATCTATATGGTGCCAGATGGTGTCCATGAAATTCGTTAACTAAGATCATCAACTATGCTGGGGGACAGCTCCCACTGCTGAAAATCACTACGGATAATATGTACAGAACGTAGCAGATGACAATTGAAGGTAATGGTATCAAGCCATCGTGCTAAAGCAAAGAGCCCCCATTTCCTACCACAGTCGTACTGTACTTTGGCCTAAGAGAGACTAAGGAAGGAAAGAGTGTCTTCGGTCGGGATCAGTTGTCTTCTTGTGGAGCCGACTACTGAGTTGAGACCTTGGAATCCTCCTCGACGTGAATGTGTTCGGATGACTCGAGAGCGTTGACCTGGTCATCGGGGTATTCGACACTATTTGAGAGCCGATTAGCCTGGCACGGAGTAGAATGAAAGTGAAACCCGTACGTGAAACCCTTAATGAGGCTGTATTCATGCTTGATGACTCCACCCTTAGCCTGAGCGTCCTGCTTGGCCCTGTCAAGATATTAGTTGTGATGTTTGAATAATGGGTGGCAAAGACGACTTACTTCTCGAGCTCCTCCATGGGAGACTCCTCCTTCAGGGTGACCTGTGTACTATTAGCATCAGGGTTCCTGACAGACACCGGATTCACCTACATTGTAGAGAGGCATGTTTGACGAATTCCGAGATGAAGAGCAAAATCTGATGTAGTGTAGCGTTGAGATCAAGGTGTGAGTTGAAGCTAGATAAGAAAAGCGGAGGTGGATGAGAGGGGAGGGGCTCTGCTTTATACTGGCGGGACGCGCCGTCTGAAGCAAGCTGATAAGAGGGGCTATGGTCTTACGCCATTTCCACACTTATAAAGTACCTTGGACACTGCCCTGCCTTTTTTTGGACGTCCCCGGGCCATCGCGTTGGTTTCTTGACATTGCACTACGGAAATTACACTACCGTGACCGGGTCTACCCATTTGTCCGACCTCCAAAAATTGTAAGATTCTCTTTGACCCTAGGTTACAATGTTATCTCACAAATATAGATGCCTGGTCCGTCTCGCTGCGCAGTATGCCACCCGCGCCCCTCGCGCTCCTCGCGCCCCCGTACGCTGAACAGTCCTCCCTTGCATCGATGATTTGATTCAGCCTATGTTGATGTAACAGTGCAGCATGAGCCCCGATGACGCTATGCATGAACGCGGGGCAGGTCACGTGGAGATACTGCAAGTTATGGCGCTTTCCTTTCGCCCTTCATCCTTTTTCAAAGCGAGATATTAGAGCCCGACGAAGCCATCATGCGCACGAGGTGGCATGCTCATTCCGTGCAAACCCCGGTACTTGGGGCTCTGCGGTGCTTTCCAATCGTCCAGGACCTTCTTATCTGCCAGCTCATATACTTCCACTCCAAGCGGACGGCAAGTAGCTCCCATACCGCCTTCCTTGTCGTCCCATCCCCAATTGGAAAGATCGCCTGCATTAAGCGTGATTAGTCCGTTTCACAATTCGCTCTTGTGGGGTTGAAACATACCACCGGGGCATGCAGACAGCGCACAGAGGACATCGACCTCGGCAAAGAACTCAAAATAATCTCCGGCCTTTGCGGGGGAAGTCTCCATGAAGTATTTTCCTTCTTCGTCCAACCCCGTAACCTGGAATACATTCAACACGTCGTGAACATCCAGTTCCGTCAGTCCATAGGGGGCCACCGAGCGCGTGAGGTTCGAGTGGCAGTGAAAGTCGAAAGTTTCGCCGCCCATCAGAAGATTCACATAGGGATCGCATCGGGTACCCATCAAGTCATGGACTCGTCCTCCGAATGGAGTGCTACCAAAGACAAGATCCGGCTTTCGCTTCCCATCTGGGCCCAGTACATCATATAATTGCCCGCCGCCAAGCGAGTCTCCAGTGATGGTCACAAGTGGCCGCAGATAGGGCAGATTGGACCACAGGCGATCACCGACGGAGACGTGAGAGGCGTGAATCTGTCGGGTGCGTGCAGCCCACATTCGCTCCCGAGGGTTATTGGCATTCCAAATGTTGAGATCACCCACTTGCGGGCCCTCGGGTGTCGTTAAGCGGCAGATGTGGCCCGCGGGCACCAGCCATGCCTGTCCGGAGCATGGCCGAATTGTAAATGAGTCCCTGGAGAGGCGTGCTGCGGGGTCTGTTGCGGTCTTCGAGATAGACCGGTAAAGCTGCGAAGTAGCATGAATTTCCGAATCCAGAGGCGCATCATAGGCTGGGGGAGGTCGACGAGCAGTCATTTCGTATTCGTAGTATACACTGGAGAGATTGAGACGCCAGGATGTACTTTACAGGGTCTTCTTAGATACTGGGACAATCACCATTATATAGCCTACATGGCCTCGGGGGCGTCCGTTATCACCCATGGATGGGACTTGCCCCGCATACTCAGTTGATATTTGATAGACGGTGTTCGCGAGACTCCACACGTGTGTCACTTGATATAAAAAACATTGAATTTACGGAGAAAGTCCCGATAATTGACTAAATAAACCAAGTCATGACAAACCAGGTCACCATTCAGCTAATAGCTTCCAGGTAGAAGCGTGGTTTGCAAATACATCGGCCCGAGGAGAGGGGTAAGTTCTTATCGAGGAGAGACCGGCCCGGTCCACTGTTCATGATTGTAGCCTTACGGCCCTGTTGCCTTTGTGCCTTGATGCCTCAGGGAAGCTCTTTCACGCTAAACCCAACCAATCCAATCTTTTTTTTGAGCGGCTCCATTTTCTTCCGATCCCCGATAATAATTTTGGCCGAGCAAGTTCATGTCGCCGCTGCACAGCTTGCCTTTGTTGCTTCTTCACGTTTAATTTAGCAGAAGAGCAGCTGTGAGGTCCGAGGCCTCTTTGCTTGCAACATGGAGCAGCAATCGAACAGGTCTCATAGGCCCGCGAAGGAGAAGAAGAAATACGAGGGTACGACACAAATCTGCGGAGATTGCTTTCGAGCCCCGATTGCGAAGCGCATGTCTTGCTGACCGTTCTGAATCATTCAGGTAACAACCCCAAGGCCTTCGCCTTTTCCAAAACAGGGAAACTTAACAGACAGGCTGCGCGGTCGCACGATGTAAGTACGGACTTTTTTTGCGGATGGTATATGAAACCTAACTTTGGTTGCTGTTATAGGTCAAGGAAAAGAGACTTCATGTGCCTCAGGTGGATCGCATGCCTGAGGAGGCTCCTCCCACGGTCGTCGCAGTTGTTGGACCCCCAGGTGTAAGTTGGAATTCTGGCGCTATTTGTTCTGTGAAGCCTGAGCCTAATCTGTCATCTTTACTACTCTAGGTCGGCAAGACCACACTCATCAAGTCGTTGATCCGCCGCTACACCAAGCAGACTCTCAGCTCGCCTCAAGGTCCCCTAACTATCGTTACTTCGAAGAAGCAGCGCCTCACCTTCATGGAGTGTCCGTCCGACTCCCTCGCAGCCATGATCGATGTGTCCAAAATTGCCGATGTCGTCCTCCTCATGATAGATGGAAACTACGGATTTGAGATGGAGACTATGGAGTTCTTAAATGCTCTGTCAACAAGCGGTATGCCGGGTAACGTTTTCGGTATCCTTACCCACTTAGATCTTTTCAAGAAGCAAAGCACTTTGAAGATGACCAAGAAGCGCCTTAAGCATCGCTTCTGGAGTGAGCTTTACCAAGGTGCCAAGCTCTTCTACCTCTCTGGTGTGATCAACGGCCGATATCCTGATCGCGAAGTCCACAACTTGTCTCGATTCCTGTCTGTCATGAAGACCCCTCGTCCACTTGTGTGGCGTAACTCCCACCCGTATGCCCTGGCAGATCGTTTCCTGGATGTTACTCCTCCCACCAAGATCGAAGAGAACCCCAAGTGTGACCGTACCATTGCGCTGTATGGATATCTTCGAGGAACCAATTTCCCAGCTCAGGGTGCACGAGTGCATGTTCCCGGTGTCGGCGATTTGACCGTATCCGGAATTGAAGGACTGCCTGACCCGTGCCCGACTCCTTTTGCCGATCAGCAGATGGCCAAGGCGACTGGCAAGAGCAACAGGCGTAAGCTTGGTGAGAAGCAGAAACTGCTGTTTGCTCCGATGTCCGATGTTGGTGGTGTTTTGGTCGATAAAGATGCTGTCTACATTGATATCAAAACCAATACCTTTAACAGGGGCTCTGATGATGAGTCAGAGGATGAGGATCGTCGGGGTCTCGGTGAGCAGCTTGTGGTCGGTCTTCAGGGCGAACGCCGATTGCTTGGCGAGGCTGATCAGGGTGTGCGTCTTTTCCGCGGTGGTGAGGCAATTGACCAGGCGGACGAGGATGACGAGACTGGTCGTAAACATCGCAGACATGCTCGGATTGCTGACGCCGAGCGTATCCAAGCCGTCGGGGACGACGAGGAAGAGGATGATGAGGATGAAGAACTTGATGGCGAAGAGGACGAGAACGACCTAAGCGACGAAGAAGATGATGTTTCTGCACCCGCAGACTTCGAGAGAAGCTTCAAAGAACGCCAGAATGGAAACTCTCGTCAAGAAGACGGAGACCTTGCCTTCGCGGACAGTGATTCTGACCTCGGCTCCATATCCTCAGTTTCAGACCAAGAGCTTGAAAGCGGGGACGAAGATGAAGACGAAGACCATGAAGAGGACGACGACGAGGAAGATGAAGAGGGCAATGTCAGATGGAAGGACAACATGCTGGCTAACGCTAAGGCTCTCCATGGAAAGCGCCCACCCTTCCGCGTCAATGACCTCTCACGAATGCTGTACGATGAGTCCATCACTCCCGTCGACGTCGTCCGAATGTGGCGTGGCGAGCATGATGAGGATGATGATGATGAAGAAGAGCAGGACGAGGAGGAAGGTGACGACTTCTTTAAGAAGACCAACACCGAAAAGGAGGACCAAGCCGACTTCCGCGCGGTTCCTGAATATGACTACGACGAGTTGGAGCGAAAGTGGCGTGACGAGGAACTGATCGAATCTTTGAAACGTCGTTTCGCGAGCGCCAGGCTTTCGGGCGATGGCTCTGATGACGACCTTGAGGAAGGCGATTTGGATGACCTTGATTCTGATGACGAAGGCGATGGAGCATTCGAGGACCTCGAGAATGGCGAAACCTTTGATGGATTCGATGGCGAGGACGAAGAAGACAAGGACGATGACGAGAAAGGCGCAAATTCAGAAGCTCCTGTGGACTTGGAAGCTGAACGTGAGCGCAATGCCAAGAGAAAGGAAGAGCTGAAGCTTCGCTTCGAAGAAGAAGATCGTGAAGGTTTCGGTAATGCGAAGGACGGAGTCCGAGACAATCTCGAAGGGGAGTTTGGCGAGGACGACTGGTACGATCTCCAAAAGGCCAAGATGCAAAAGCAGATTGATATCAACCGCGCCGAGTTTGACACGCTAGACCCATCCTCCCGTGCCCGCGCCGAAGGCTTCAAGGCCGGCACTTACGCCCGCATTGTCCTCGAGAATGTGCCCTACGAGTTTGCGTCCAAGTTCAACCCTCGCTTCCCCCTCATTGTCGGAGGTCTGGCCCCTACTGAGGACCGCTTCGGATACGTACAGGTCCGTATCAAGCGTCACCGTTGGCACAAGAAGATCTTGAAAAGCAATGACCCGTTGATCTTCTCTCTTGGCTGGCGTCGCTTCCAATCAATTCCCATGTACAGCACATCCGACAGTCGTACTCGAAACCGCATGCTCAAATATACTCCTGAGCACATGCATTGTTTCGGCGTTTTCTACGGTCCGCTCGTGGCGCCCAACACTGGTTTCTGCTGTGTCCAATCGTTCTCTAACAAGAACCCCGGGTTCCGCATTGCCGCGACCGGTGTTGTTCTCAACGTTGATGAACACACCGAGATCGTCAAGAAGCTGAAGCTTACTGGTGTGCCTTATAAGATCTTCAAGAACACTGCCTTCATCAAGGACATGTTCAACTCCTCCCTAGAGATTGCCAAGTTCGAGGGCGCGTCCATCCGGACCGTCTCGGGTATTCGCGGTCAAATAAAGAAGGCTTTGAGTAAGCCTGAAGGTCACTTCCGTGCTACGTTCGAGGACAAGATTCTGATGAGTGATATTGTCTTCCTGCGCGCATGGTACCCGATCAAGCCTCACCGTTTCTATAATCCCGTGACCAACCTCCTCGACCAAGAAGAGGGTAGCACTGAGAATGGCTGGCAAGGAATGCGCTTGACCGGTGAAGTTCGCCGCGAGCAAGGCATTCCCACTCCGATGAACAAGGATTCGGCCTACCACAAGATCGAGCGCCAGGAGCGCCACTTCAACCCCTTGCGAGTGCCGAAGCAGCTGGCTGCCGACCTGCCCTTCAATTCTCAGATCACTAAGATGAAGAAGCGCAACGACCAGACCTACATGCAGAAGCGCGCTGTCGTCCTCGGTGGCGAAGAGAAGAAGGCCCGTGATCTGATGCAGAAGCTGACCACGATGCGCAACGAAAAGTCCGCCAAACGTGCAGCGAAACAGGAAGAGCGGCGCAAGGTTTACCGTGCTAAGGTTGCGGACAGTCTAGAGAAGAAGGAAGCCCGTGAAAAGAGAGAGCGCGACGATTACTGGCGCCGTGAGGGCAAGAAGCGCAAGAATACCGATGGAGAGTCCGGTGGTGGCCGCGGTGGAAAGAAGCGCAAGTAATCGTGACTGTTCATACTGCCCCACGTCGTGATGGATAATGGGGCTTGTCTTGCATAGATGGCGTTCGTACCAAAAATTTACTTGTACCTTATCTTTTGACTCAGTGGATTTCCCCCTTATCCTCCCCCCCCCGGCATGTATACCATACATCTCGGCCAATCCACGATGCCGAAGTTCTTCCGGTGTCCATCACACTGATTCACGCCAAGAGTGGATCTTTGGCCAGCAACACAGGATGAAACACGCCATGCGTAGCCACCGGTGGAACTAGCGCGAAGGCTGCGTCAAGATGCCCGGGAAAGATCAATGTAATCAGTATGGGCTCGACAATTTGCCAAGCTCATCACTGAAGACTAGCCTCAAACCGACCCACTCAGGACCTACTTTTAATTGAACACAGACACAAGTCCGAAACATCCCCCAGTGCTTGCGCTCAATATGAAACGATGATCTAGTGACATTAGTTCACCCCTGAAGGACATGATCCGAGCATGATACTATCTAAGCCGTCGATTTGAGCTTTGACGCGCTCGTGAATTGGAGCTATGCTTCAATGTACCCAGGTCATGACCGTGTCATCTTCGAGGAGGCGTCTCACGTTCCAGATGCAGGGGTACCGGAACTCATTGGTGGATGGAGGAGGCCGACGCTAGTCAGTTTAGTTGCAATGGCGTATACAACAGACGGTTCTTAGTGTATTCATCGAGGTTCGAGGTCGAGTTCTAGCTCCAGTTCCACCAGTAGTATCAAGCCATATCCACGCCTGCTTGGCCAAGCCTCTATGTCTATATAAGAACATTTTCAACCACGTCTAAGTAGACACAGGGTTTTTGTTCATGTCACTCATTTCCATTTCATTCTTTCATCATGATGCGCAGTGCGCTCCTACTCTCTTTCGTTCCCCTGGTCTTGGGATGCAACAATCCTGCCAGCCATGCTTGTGCTTCGGTATACACTGCTTCTGCTGCCGAGGCTTCCGCGTTCTGCGCTACCTTCACAGCGAGCGTCGTGACGGCGACTACCGGTCTCCCAGCCTTCGCCTCGGCCTGCGACTTCAAGCCAAGACACCTCTCGAGCGCCTGCAACTGCCTCGATACCGCCTGGGCCACTGATTCGCCTGGAGTAAGTCACTTTTCCCATGAAAGACGACCTTATTTAACAACAATCAGTCCGGATCAACTCCTATCACAACCAGTGCTGCTGCTCTGACTAGCGCCACGCCACTTGATACTAGCCCTGCTATAACTAGCGCCGTCCCCGTCGTGTCCATCGAAACGCCTGCCGTCTCCCAGACCACTTTAGTCAAAAGTGTGCGTCCGGTTGTCAGCGCATCCTCCGCGATTGCTACCACCGAGGCACCCACCTCTTCCTTCGCTTCTACCGTTGTCGATGCCGCTGCTGCTACTGGCTCGGCCTGTGTTGTGTCCGAATACGAATCACTCTCCTCTGCCGTCGCATCCTGCACCAATATCATTCTGTCTGATCTTTACGCGCCTGCCTCTAGCACCATTGATCTGCAAAGTCTTCAGACTGGTACCACCGTTACCTTTGCTGGTACTACTGTAAGTACAGCACATGATGTCTGATCGTCTCCGTGCTGACTGTTGTTAGACCTTTGGCGATACTTTTGACGATGACTTCGACCCCATCATTATCTCCGGAACTGATCTTACCATCACTGGTGCTTCGGGCCATGTGATTCAGGGTAACGGTGAGGCCTACTGGGATGGCAAGGGTTCCAATGGAGGACAGGACAAGTATGTATCTAATGATCGGGACGGGTCTCAATTCCATTTACTAACTCGAATTGCCAGGCCCGATCACTTCATCGTCATCAAGCATACCTACAACTCCAAGATCACCAATCTGAACATCATGAACTGGCCAGTCCACTGCTTCGACATTACTGGCTCCGAGCACCTCACCATTTCCGGAGTTGTCCTGAACAACACTGCCGGTGATGAACCCAACAGCGCCAGTGGCGATGACCCAGCTGCTCACAACAGCGACGGTTTCGATATCTCCTCCAGTGACTACATTACCCTCGAGAACATCGAGGTCTACAATCAGGACGACTGCGTCGCTGTCACCAGTGGAACCCAGATCGTTGTCGACAACATTTACTGCTCTGGAGGCCACGGTCTGAGCATCGGTTCCATTGGCGGTAAGAGCAACAACACCGTCGACGGAGTCACCTTCAAGAACTCCCAGGTTGTCAACAGTCAGAACGGATGCCGCATCAAGTCCAACTCTGACACCACAGGCAGCGTAAGTGCGGTTCATGATCCATAATCGCCATGGCCATCAGGAAGAACAAATCCTAACAATGTGTACAGGTTAGCAACATTGTTTACCAGAACATCACCTTGTCCGAAATCTCAGATTACGGTATTGACGTCCAGCAGGACTACCTCAATGGTGGTCCCACTGGCGAACCCACAAACGGCGTCACCATTAGCGACGTTACTTTCACCGATGTCACCGGCACTGCCACCGATGATGCCTACAATTACTACATTCTGTGCGGTTCTGACAGCTGTTCCAACTTTACTTTCACTGATGTGTCAATTACCGGAGGTGGTGAGACTAGCAGCTGCAACTATCCCTCAAGTGGATGCCCTTGATCTTGGCCCCTGGATGTCCTCTCCAACGATAGTCAAGTGTTGGGACCGGGAAATGTACTTAACTATACATTACTTTCTATGCAGATAACTGTACCGACGCCGTATAACGGCTGATTCATTGACCTGTGAATTGATCTCACGCATTTAGATCTCAAGTGTCTTCAAACGCCCGTACGGTCTGGCCAAGGAAACAACTCAAGAAATCCAGGATGAACCATATACAGTATCTTTTTAAACATACTGCAGAGGTCTATCGAGGCCTGAGTAATATAATGCATGTGACAAGAGGCAAGAGTAAGTCTTGAAAGGCTTTCATCAGATTGTCTAGACAGAGGCCCCGCATAACCAAGAGGATAATGTCTGAGCCCCCTTAGGTTACTCGGTCGGACTACAAAGGATTGACTTGGAGCAAGCCTCAATTAAACGTTCTCTGTCAAATCTCCAGTCATTCCAAACCCCTCATCACCAAAAGATAAAGCAATCAATTGCGCATCTGCAACTGACACTACCCCACGTGACCGTGTCTCGCACGCGTCGCCGCAGATGGAAAGCCGACGACGCCATCTCTCTCTTTCGAATTTCCAAAACCAGTCATAACACGGTCTTTCGCTCTTGACGACTCTTACATTCTGGCCAATCTTGATTATTATACGTACTGCTCAGCCCATCGGGTTCTTTATCGCGGAAGCTGCTACTTGACCGGTTCGCCTCGTGCTCAACACTGCGCGTGCTGGTCGATCGACACTGGATCGGGCAGATGCTCCAGATACCCGCAGCACAGGAATTGCACCCTCCCGACAATTCTTGAGGGCCTTAAGATCCTGATCGTTGGTATTGCGACCCTCTGCTCCGTGTCGGACTTTCTCAGTGTCGTCTAGATGCGGTGACTCGGGGCAAGCAGTAACGTCTCGCGTGTTTAGATCGCTTGCGCGGTGGCCTCATCGCGCTTCTGAAGCGTAGACGCGTATCGCTGGATTTGTCCTTGGTTCTTTTGACTGCATCTCCACAGTGAGCCCACCTGATCATGAACGACCCTTATGGCGCCCCGTCAAGACGCGGGGTTCCCCATGTGGAGGCCAATGCGAACATCCAGTTCGTAAGCAATTCGATATCACCAATGTCAGAAGAAACACATCTGTCAGAGGATATCCAGGTCCCACGATCCCCCCAACAACTATCCCTGCAGATAAATGGGTCGAATGCCGGGTCGCATGAGAAGGACTGCTCGAATGTTTACGTTGAATCGTCAGAACGCGGTAGCGATACATCGGGCGATAGTCGGCAATCAGAGCTGCAGTCCGCCAGTGCTTTCACCGAGTCCTTGCCCAGTCTACCCTTATCCTCATTAAACGATTCCAGCCGATCTATGGAGGATAGCCTGCGCGTGCGGGATTCGGATTCATCAACACCTACAACGGAACAGAGGATATCGCATTCTCAGGATACATTCAAGTCACTTTCAATGAATGGAAATGAAGGGTTGGATGGCTCTCATGCAGATGTGAAGCTAGAGAAAGAAAGCGAAGACTCCCTAGGGCCATTGCGCTCATGGAGGCAATCAAGTTCGCGATTTGGGGTTGGGAAACTTACGCCGGGCCATAAAAGAACCGCTAGTGGGGATATCAAGCCTGTCTCGTCCAATTTGGCAGCATACCAGGATTCCGATGCCAATGGGGCTACACGCCGGCGTTCAAAGAGTACAGGCTCGCCGGCCCATGGAACTAGGATTGCACAAGTATTGAATACCTCGAAACTCCTCCATGACGAGCACTGCTAATGCATATCCAGTTATCCATTCATATTCGAACCCGACTTTCGTATGCGGCTGCCAAAATAGAGAAGGCCCGCCAATCGCGTGAAATCGCGGAACTTCCACTGCGCGGGCTCGCAACCCTTTCTTCATTGAGCTCACCAGCACCGAATGGTGCCATATCAACAACGGCCTCAAACCCAACACGGCCACCTGGTTTAGAACCATCACCGCCAGACACACCCCGCTCCTTCCCCTCTCATCACCGTTCACAGTCAGCAATAACCTCCGGCAAACTTCTTGCCATTCCCAAGCTGGCACCTCCTGTTGATATTATATCATCAAATGGGGACTCTCGTCGCCGGCGACCTAACCCCAATTTGGTCCCAAAATCATTTGAGCGGAGCCAATATGGCCGCCATCGACGACATCATTCACATCAAGAACATTTGATCACTCGACCGTTGAACGGCTCCCCATCCGTAGTGGGACCTGGAACACCGTCGATTGCGCCCTATAGACAAGCACCTACATCCGCACAAGATGGATACTACGGGTCCCGAACCCAATCTCAGAATAGTGCAATGGAACAAGACGCAATTGAAACGCTCATGTTCATGTCCAGTCCTGAAAACTCTGGGTATCGCTCCAGTCCTCGGCCTTTACAGCCACCCGCCGCACAAAAGAGCCTGAACGAGTCACTCTATTCCAAGCAAAATGGAATGACAACTCACAGCCAAAGCTCACAAAGCACAGCATCTGGAGGGCGAGGGTTCCCGTCAAAAACGCACGGATTGGGCCTTGAAGCCGGCGCAGGGGATGAAATTGACCGCCTTCTTGACCAGATGGAAAGTGACAGTGACGATGATGCACACTTTACAGCGCATCGTCTTGGGCTCAGGGGACAGGCTTCTAAAGGGGATCATGCACAGTCGAGGTGATTCTTAATTCTGCGGAAAATTAATTGCAGAGATTGCCTTTGTTTTGGCATGAATATATAGGCATTTCCCCCGAGGTGATGAATGCATTTGAAAAAGCGAAAAAGCGATCCGTTACTGATGTTGGAGACTTGACTCTGAGGTCGCTGGGCGTTTGCATGCGCATCTGTTTGCCCTGCACAAGTGTGCACTACATAATGAATAGTCCTGTGGAATTTCATGCTATCATCACTAGTGCCTATGGCCCCGGGCCAGCTCAAGATCAATCCTGAAGGGCTGGCAGGGCACATGCCTCGACCCATCGTAATCACACATCTGCAACAGTCTGATCGAGAAGACAATCAGGGGCCACCACACTTGATTCTTCCATTGTTTCTCGACTTTCACGTTCCTCTTACACTTCTTGTTGCTTTTCCATGGTACCCTTTTACATGTATGCGAATAGAAAGTAAAGTAAAGTCAGAGCGGCTTCTTGAGACCTATGTGAATCATACTTCTAGTTCGGCGGTAACACAAGAGTAACTTTATTTGCTTCGTATGCTTTGTTCTATACATTAGTTTATGTCTATGTCTAAAAATCTTTTTTTAACATGAGGTCATGATCACATGCAATTAATGAGCAAGTTCCTATCACGTAGTCAGTATATAAAAATGCAGGCATACGGAAAAGCAAAACTTACACTCGCCATCTTACTTCTAGCCCGAATCTTGGGTCCGTAGAAGGCAAGAACCCAGGGGACCAAAGTGAGTAGAAGGCCCTACACAATCATTAGTTAATGTTTCAATCAAAGCTGACAGTGACGAACGTACAATGCCACCCAAGAGACTCGAAGCGCCCTGGAAACCAAGATTATTAAACATAGCAGCCGTCACGAGCGGGAAGACGCCACCGAGCAAGTTCCGGCAGCAAGACTGGGCTGCAATTGCCGAACTAGCGTACCGGTGGTATGTGTCTGCCAGGTAATTGAAAGTGGCTAGATAGATAGAGAAAATGCCCATGGTCGCACAGCCGACGGCGATCGCTGGGACAATCCAGGGAATGGAGGAGTAAGATGTCCAACCAAACCAGAACAGGCCGACTGGTAGTAAGATCGACTCGATGCAGACATAATAGAGACGCCCTTCGGCGGAGGAGGAGAGCTTGCCGAAGTGGGCGGCAATTTTCTCTTGCCAGATGCTGATGCAGGTGATCAAGATGACGCCAACGCACATGGCTGATCGAAGTTAGCTATTATGAATCTCGAGAGCGGGGTTGTCTGTATTGACTCACAAGCAAATACGGCGCCGGTCTGCTCGATGTTGAAGCCGTGGCTTTTCTTGAAGACAAGGGCACGGATCCGAATTGAAGGTATAGAGTAGCCCAGCTAAAAGATACCCACACCGAGAAAAAGAAGACCACGGGCTCAGTGAAAAGCATGTCTGTAAATTGAGTTCATTGTCAGCGATGTTTTCCAGCACATGAAATTTCCGGCATCACTCACGGAAAGGTCGATACACCGAGATCCGGATCATTGTTGCCAGAGAATCTCGTTGCTCGTCGCTCTTCACCTTCCATCGAATACGGCGAGTCGACTTTTCGTCACTGGACTCTTCACTCGACAGGATCACGCCGACATGACCGGCTTCTTCGAGCTGCTCGTAGTATTTGTTCAGCTTGTGGGCCTTGCGACTCAATAGGACACTTCCACGGGTCTCCTTGAAGAAGAAGTAGATGATAACGACGAAGAAAGCCGAGACAATGGCGTGCGAGTAGTAGATCCAGCGCCAGGTGGAATGTGTCACGATTGTGCCGGCGATCAGAGGCGCTAGGCCGGTTCCGAAGAGTGCGGCGCCAGAAAATAGGGCCATGGGAGTGTTTCGGTCTTGCGCGTGATATATATCACTAATAACTCCGCCAACCATGGTGGAGAACGTCGCTAGAGACATGTTAGAATGGCAAGTATATCAAAGGGAAGAAGTGACCGTACATGCACCAATGCCTTGGAAGAATCGGGCAGCCAATAGCCCGCCAAATGAATGTGTGCCTCCACATGCAATCAAAGTCGCTATTTCAGTCAGTAAGAATTACCCAGATCTCGAGAGCAATTGAACATACCGACAAAGAGAATACCACTGGCAATGAAGATCGGCCGGCGTCCGTTGATCTCGGAGAACGGAGCCAGAACCATAGGTGCCAGAGCAAATCCAATGCAGAAAATCGTAATGCTCAAATTATACACCACGCTGCTCACGCCCCATTCTTTACACAACTCCTCTGATGCTGGACTGACCTCACCAGCGGAATAACCAGCGAGCGCAGTCACCGCGCAGGCAATATAGGTCATCATCGACTTGCGCCATTTCGGCCACAAAAACGGCGAAATGTATTTTTCCAAGCTCGGAGCATTAGGAGGCGCCGACTGACCGGGGCCAGGAGGTAGCGTAATCGCTGGAGTGGGTAGCGGAGTGTCCAGCTCGAGGTAACGATATTCGATCTCCATGGGTTCGGCCAGCGAACAATCTGAGCTGGGGTCGCTATGATCCATTGCGGGAGCAAAATGATCGAATGTGGTGGATCCCCTCCTTTTGGGGGCGCATTTCGTGCTTTATAGGGTTCCATGGAGTTTATGTTGATAAGCCGTGGGCCCAAGAGTCATGAAAAAAACAAGATAAATTGGAGAACATCTCCACTGGGGGGTCGGGATAGGGTGGAGTTGGGCTTTATCGAAACCGCAACACTTGCTAGGGTAAGCGGAAGGGCGTGTTTTTGGAGAGACGCGTCAGATGAAGCCGGAAGTAGTGCCGAGGTGTCTACCTCGTAGCCGATTGCGCTGTCCGGGCCACATAAGTCTTAGTTCCTGGGCTAATGACAATATGTGAATGTAATTCTTTGGCCGTTTTGGGAGTAAACTTCTCCACTTTTGAGAATCCCCAATTTGGAGAAATTCCCGAGGCATCGAGATATTGGGGAATTCCCGGCAGAATAACATCAATAGTGTGCAGAAATTGGAAAATTTATAAAGTAGCCAAAAGAATAAAGCACCGAGTTTCGCTAGCTTTGTCGATCAGACCCGCGCCTACGAGCATCTTGTAATCAGAACGTATGATTCAAATCGTCGCATAATGCAAGCGGAGCTGGAGTTGCGCCGCATCTCCCCGAAACTTCACCTTCGTCATTCAACGTCACACATCACCTAATAGATATGAGCGATGAGCAGCAAGCCCTATCAATGCCAGCGTTGCCCGCGGGCTTTTGCCCGTCTAGAGCATTTGCAGCGCCATGATCGATCGCGTAGGTTCTATCTCGTGGTCCGTGTGTATATAGCCACTAATCCTCCGCAGACACTAAGGAGAGAAGCCTTATGTCTGCGCGCAATGCCCAAAGGCCTTCACGCGCAAGTCAGTGAATCTCTGAATCCGCCGCATTCCATCCTGACAGCATTCTAGAGACCTTCTGGCCCGTCATGAACGGCTTTCCCATCAGGGGGCCAGCCCTGCCCGGCAGCAATCGCCGTCGTCGGCTCATCCAGTCTCCGATGGACTAGATACTCTCGCATCGGTAGTGGCCGATCATGCTCATGTCAATGCACTTTCGGGGAACATAGAGCAGTTTCAACCCCCCACTTTCCGTACATCGTACACCGATGATGGCCCGGATGCCAAATCCCGATCCCCAATCCGCAGAGCCGGCAAGTCCCATGCCGGGAGCCGACTTTAGCTATTCACTAGGCGGAATCCCGCCTGGTCCATTCGATGGGAACGACTTTACTTCGTTTCTGGATAGTGTACCGCTACCGAGTCACCCTTTTTCCCCAGCTTTTCAGCCTTTGCCACTGTTCCCGCCCGTGCCCTTCTCTCCAGTCACAGACTATGCACAGTCTGAAAGAGACCCACCGACGGTCTCTACCCCAGCGTCCACACCATCAAGCTCTGTTTTACCTCGACATGGGGCGCAATTGCCATCTTTGCAGCCGGAAGGTTTCCAGCCAAGTTCAAAGACTCGACAACCCACGGGGTTCGTCCCGGTCACTGCTCAATGCCGAGACAGGCTGCTTCATTCCTTGAAGGAATACTCTAATGTAGTACCTAATCCGTCCCTACCTTCACGACATGCTCTATCTCGATGCCTCACAGGATATTTGACAGGGTTCCACGATCACTATCCAGTCGTGCACAAGCCGACTCAAGATGTCGAGTCCATGGGGGCTCCAGTGTTCTTATCTATGGCGGCTCTTGGAGCACGTTATTGTCGAGAGCCAGATACCAGCATGCGTCTCTATCAGCTCGCTAAGCCGGTCACTATTGAGCATTTTCGACGGGTTTATCAGTCCGGGACCACGCTAGCGGCGAATGCAACACTCGATGTCGACACGTTTGAAACAACGCAAGCGCTTCTGATGCTCATCTCCGTGTCCTCTTGGTTCATCAATGACCCGCCCTATCACGAAGCGTTATCGATCAGAAGCATGATGGGAATGCTGTTACGAAAAGACGGGCTGAATTTCTTGCCTGATCATGACGGCTCGTGGGCCAGTTGGGTCTGGCGCGAGCGCGTCAAACGATTAAAACTCATTGTTTTCTGTTTCTTCAACATCCATACAATCGTGTTCGATATTCCACCCGTGATTCTCACGGAAGAGATGACGCTCGACTTACCCTGCACCGAAAAAGAGTGGCAAGCCCCCACGGCCGAGATATGGCAAGCTGAACGCCGACAAGCTTTCGGCGAGCCGAAGTTCCAGGATGCGCTCTCCTCGCTTTTCTCTCCACATAGCGAAATCGAGCAATTCTCGTCGCTCGGCGGCTACGTGTTGATTCACGCATTGCTACAGGACATCTGGCTCATGACCAAAGCCAATCGACTCGCTCTCTCCCGGTACAGTCGCATCAAGCCAGCGATCGCTCCAACGCCCGATCTCATCGCAGTGGAACAAGCCCTCGAAAGGTGGTGCCAATGCTGGGAACGAAACCAAGAGTCATCGATCGATCCGCTTAGTCCTCATGGACCACTCTCCTTTACTTCCGCCGCCCTGCTTCGGCTAGCGTACATCCGTCTGAATGCCGACTGCGGATCAACAAGGCAGTTACAGACCTGGGATCCCGTCCAAATAGCACGAAGTCTCAAAGACAACCTGCACGTTCTCCGCGGAGATAGACTTACGCGCGCCGCACTCCACTGCGCCCACGCCCTGAGCACCCCCGTCAAGCTAGGCATCGGATTCGTGGCCCACTCCCAGGTGGCGCTCTGGTCAAACCAGCACGCCCTTTGCTCGCTGGAATGCGCCGTGTTACTGGCCAAGTGGCTCGAAGCCGTCACGGTCCCACATCCAGATCCCGGGCTGACGGAGCAGGAGACCCGCTTACGGGACTTTGTGCTGGAAATGGTCATGGAGGTGCAGCATGGTGTGTCGCGCGAGTGGCTCCTGGCTACGAATACCAGGCTCAGTGCGGCGGTGACCCGTCTCTGGGCGCGCCTTTTCACGGCGGATTATATCTGGGAGATGGTCAATTTGATTGGGCGGTCACTGGATAGTTATGCGGATTTATTGGAGGCTGATTCGTCTCCGGGGTATACTTAGCACTGGTTACATGGACATGATGAGAAATTACCTCCTCTATTCAACGACTCCATAGAAAAAAATATACTATAAACATCTGCAATACAGCACCATCCAACATGCCAGCCCGAAGCCCCATCACAGCATCCCCTGCCCTCCTCTCCTTCCTCCAGACCTTGCACATCCGCTCTATCGAACAAGACAAAACAGTAGACTGGTCCAGTCTCCGCGACCAAGAATCCTCTTCCTTCGACACTATCATGTGCGACAAGTTCATCGCCTTAGACCAAGACAAATGCGAAACTCGTCTACCACATCCTGCGAGCCATCAACGCACGCACCGTCGTCGAAGCAGGTACCAGTTTTGGCGTGAGAACGATCGACCTCGCTCTCGCCGTGACACAAAATGCGAAACGCAATGGATCCATTGGCAAAGTCATTGCGACTGAGAAAGAGACTACTAAAGCCGTGGAAGCGCAAAAGCATTGGGAGCAGGCTGGGGAGGAAGTTCGAGGGGTGATTGAGTTGAGGGTTGGAGATTTGAAGGAGACTTTGCAAGGGGATCTGGGGGTTGTCGACTTTTTGCACCTTGACAGTGAGTCTTTATACATATGGGAGTGAGTTGGGGTTAATTTCGATATAGTTTGGACTCCCCTTGCGATGCCGGCGCTGAAGCTGGTTCAGCCTTTTCTGAGGCCCGGGGCAGTGATCATGGCTGATAACCCGCTGAAGGCGGGGGCAGGGTATGAGGAGTTGTTTGCTTATGTCGATGCGCCTGGGAGTTTGTTCCGAAGAGTCACCATGCCGTATGAAGGTGGGATGGATATGATCGTGTATCAGTGATATGCCAAACACCCGGATGTATATATAGTTGTCGATCATCAAGATAATACCGAGGTATTCGATCTTTCATTTTCACCCATCAGTTCAAGGCACTGAGAAGACAGAATCTATAAATCTGGAGACTTCCCCCGCTATGTTCCAAGTGGAGACTCGTCGACTTCCCCTCCTTTCACGGCAAACCAGTGCAGCCTTCTATATCTTCTATATCTCACTTCTCTACTCTTGAGATTCAAGAAGAGAAAAGAGAGGAAGGACCATGGATGATTCATTCACCACCGTCCCACCTACAGAAGAAGGCCTCTTCTCTCCAGGTGGCCCAAGCCAAGGCTTCAACCCACCCCAGAACCTCTCAACGGCCAACTACCGCCTGAACCACCTCGCAATCCGCATCAAAGACCCATCTCGTTCCCTACACTTCTACGTCGACCTCCTGGGTATGCGAATCATCTTCACCATGAACGCAGGCCCCTTCACAATCTACTACCTCGGCCATCCACCCCCAAACACAGATCTAGATCAATGGGCGAGACACACGAGTCAAATCCCCGTTCTGACGCGGACTAATGGCCTTCTGGAGCTTTATCATGTTCATGGATCTGACCAAGTGTCGACGGGGAACGTGCCGCCGAATCTGGGATTTGCGCATTTGGGGTTTACGGTGCCAGATGTGCGGGCTGCGGTGGAGAGATTGAGAGGTGATGGGTGCGGGTTTTGAAGGATGTTGGGGTCTGTACGAGGGATTCGGTACCGTTGTCCAAGTGGGAGGAGGAGAAGGGGATTGGGCGGGGAGAGATCCATGAAAATTATGCGTGGTTTTTCGAGAAGTTCGCAATGGTGGCAGATCCGGTGAGTTGGATGTTGGGAAGCTGGAGGGAGATGTTGGCTAAACTGTCATTGATCGCAGGATGGATATTCGGTCGAGTTGATCCCCCAGGATATACACTGACAAAAAACGGCTGGAGGTAGAAGAATGGTAATATAGCACGAAATGGGGATCATTTGTCATTACATCCCAAGTGGTCAAAATGGCCTATTCACAGGTTTAATGGTACATGTTTTGAACGTCTGCAACAATTACTCCATGCCCCAATTATCGTCCTCGGCAACATCATAATCCATGTCGCTGCGTGTCGGAGCCGGAATGGGCGCCTCGGTGGCCGAAGCTGAGTCCATAGCCATGTCCTGGTCCTCCTCGAAGCCGCTCTTCTCGGTGGATGATGCGGGAAGAGTGATGGGTGGGTTAGGAAGCCATGAAAGCTGAACCTCGCCCACCGAGGGAATATTCCAGGGCGAGAACATGAATTTCTCAGCTTGATAGCGCTCCTTAAAAGACACGATGACCGAGTCGGACTGGCCGGGATTAGGCTCAATGGATTCGTATTCGGCAATGCCCTGATACACGATTAGTGGTAGTCATCTTTCGAGCTCGTTAATAACTTACAATCAAGTGTTGGCGGAGCGCCTCATCCTTGTGTGAGTTGAGCTCTACACCTGTCACAGCAATACGTCGTGGTCGGTTGTCCAGACGCAACACACCACCACGACCACGGGGAGCGAATCCTCCTCGGCCGCGATAGCCACCGCGGAACGAGGCATCGTAGCCTCCACGTCCACGGTAAGTACCGCGGCCCCGGTAGCCACCACGCCCGCGATAACCACCGCGCCCAGACTCGGCATTGGGATCGATTCCTAGAGTTTTGGCCTCAGCCTCGAGAGTAGCCAGCTGAGCACGCAATTTTTTGGTCTCCTCGCTCACGTTCTCATCGGCGGTGCCCGCCATGGACTGGTCCTCGGAGCCGACACCGTTGCTCGACTCTGCCCCTCCGAGACGCTGCAAAAGACGGGCTTTTTCCTCCCGTTGCTTTTTCAAAAGTTCGTCCCGCTGACGCTCGAGAGCCTGCTTGGCCTCCTCGGTTTCCCGACGCTTCTTCATCTTCTCCTCGTACGCTTTTTGGGCTTCCTCCTGCTGTCTCTCGAATTCTTCGGGGTTGAATGCAGGCGCCTCGGGTCTCAACTGGTGAGGCTCGCCATTATTCTCATCGTGCTTCGGTTTGTGCCAATAGACCTTGACAAAGCGGTTATCGAAGATCACCTTGGGGCTGGACCATGCCTGCTTGGCCTCGGCAAAGCTCCCGTATTTGACAAGTGCCAGCTTTTTGTACGGCTGTAAAGTGACCTCAACGATGTTGCCAAATTGCGAGAAAAATTCGCGTACTGCCTCTTCCGAGAACTTGTCGTCGGGGATCTGCTCGACTACAATTGTCGTTATTGACTGGTCCTCATTGGGGCCAGCTGATGAGAATTCGGACCGGCCACCTCTGCGTCCGCCGAACGCACCGCGGCCACGGCCACGGCCCCGATCACCACGGCCTCGATCGCCGCGTCCACGTCCACCTGTTTCCATCATTGAGGCTCTTGGGTCATATTCTGCAATACGAGTCAGTGAATATCCACGTCATCCGTAGCCCGAAGTATCAGTCTTACCATCACGACCTCCGGCTCCAGCTTCACCATGCTGGTAAGGACATGCATCGCCCATATAGCAAATACCCTGAGTATCGTAAAACGGACAACGTTGGTTGCTCATCTGCTCAGATCCAGGCTGACCCAAAGCAGGCATTTCAGGCATAGGTGGCATGCCAGGCATCTGCGGAAATCCCATCTGCTGTTGCATGGCCATCATTGTGGTCATCGGGTCATTGGGATCAAACTGCTGGAATCCAGGCATCATGCCCGGGAATCCACCAGGGCCAGTGGGTGGGAACGGACCACCTTGTCCATGACGAGCAGCTCCACGACCGCGTCGTGGGGTCTTGAAAGCCCGGTCCTGGGGGTTGAAGTGGCCTTGCTCCTGGTCGCCCTGGAATCCTTCATTGTAGGTCCGTTTTCGGTTGTTGAAGTCAGATCTTGGTCCAGTTGGGACATTGGCTGCCAGCTGGCTTGTGGGAATGGCTTGTGGGAAGTCCTGGGGAGGCCGTTGAAGCTGGGACTGAGGGGGCGCAGCCTGAGCTTGTTTCGAGCCGAAAGATTTGAAGAGCTCGTCGACAAAGGGAACAGTGTCTAGCGTGTGTCAGCAAAGGGTGGAAGCGTAACGGGTCGGACAGGTTGAGCGCACTTTCGCGGAGGAAATCCTCCAGGTTTTCAACCGAGGTCTTTCGGATCTCGTCGTCCGGTGCATCAGATCTAATGAGCGCAAGAACGTAGTCTGCTAGAACGTCGGAGTCTGCATCCGAGCTACAAGTCAAGCGAACGAAATTAGCCGACGCTGCCTTTAGAATGAGTAGTTGCGATCAATCATCACATGTACTCACATGTCCTCCAGCTTTTTGACCACCCAATGCTTCACGTCATTCGCTTCATCATCGGTGAAATGCATGGTGACAAGCTTCAACAACCGCCAGGCACAAGAATGAACGGATGTTAAACAGGATTGGCGTTCAAGGCAATTGCTAGTCGCACGGATCCGGTGTCACAGTAAGCTGCAACAGCTCTGCAGCTCGGCGAACGCAACGGTGGATGGGTGTGATTAGAAACAAAATTTGGAGAATATTGAATGATAGAATTCACTGAAAAAAATCTACCAACCATGCCGCGAGGGAGTAGTGGGTAAGTGATCGGGCAGCGCAAAATCCGCCGAAAACGCGAAGGCGCGATATAGATCACGTGATGATACGTCAAGGTCCTTTCCCAGGCAATTTTTGGGAGGTTGTCTAGGTTGAGCACAACAGCTACCTGCATTACTTCTAATATTGTAGGTGACATGCCGTATCTGGGCGGGCAGTCCCCTTGACCAAATCTTCTGGCGCAAGTGCTGAGAAAATATGCCCGAGGTGCCTGAGACCTACATCTTTGCGTGGGTTCATTAGCTATGTGTCAACACTGTCAAAATCTAGTATAATACTATGGTGGAACTACAAGACGCTGCAGGGCTGTTCTAGAGGTACATGTATATTGACATATACATAGCTACTAGAAAAGAGCGAAATACAAAAGCAAAATCATCAAAAAGTAAAAAATATGAAAAGAAAGCAACCGGGTCGCATGCAAGGTGCCCGAAGCATCGCTTGGAGCTCCACATTTATCTAGAGTTGGCAATAGCTGGAGCAAGTCCGTATCGATACGGGAGTATAATTTTGGTTGAACCGCGAAGTTGTATTGAATTCATCAATCTCATAAAAAAAGATTCCATTTGACTGGCAGAAGAGAAATCTGGCCGGCCGTGACATTTTTACAGTCGGTCGTAGTACTGTGGAAAAGCAAAGTTAGTGACTGAGTGACACATTTATATAGGGATGCGTAGAAACTTACGTTCTCGTAGCCGGGAACGACCTCCTTGAGACCCTTGCGCTTGCGCATCTCGGTGATGATCTGGCCGGGCTTGGTGGTGGGGTCCAGAGGGGAGCCACCAGGGACGATAGCCCAGTGATCGAACACGGACTGGGGGAAGGCCTGGCCACCAGTGGCGGAGCGAAGATCGGCGGGGAAACCGAAGGACTCGTTGACGGGCAGGTAAGCCTTGATGTTGAACAGAGGAGTTCCGGGGCGCTGCTCCTCGGCGTAGACGTGACCACGGCGGCGGGTAAGGACACCGTAGATACCACCCATAGCCTGCTCGGGGACCTGGATCTCGACATTGAAGATGGGCTCGAGAAGACCGGGGTCAGCTAGCATGGCAGCGGCGTACAGGACACGGCGGGCAGTGGGGATAAGCTGGCCACCACCACGGTGAATGGCATCAGCGTGGAGGGTAACATCGAGGATGTTCCAGCGGACGGAACGCATGGGCTCCTCAGCAACGGGACCCTCACGGGTGGCCCACTGGAAACCGGAGACGACGGAATCCTTGATTTCGTTCAGGTACTGAACGGCCTTGGTCTGGTCAACCAGCAAGTTGGCACCGGTGGTGTCGGGACCGAAGCACCAAATCTTACGGGCATCGGTGACATCCCAGCCGTACTCATCAGCCATGACACGGGCACGGGCCTTGAAATCGTCCTTGGGGGAGATCTTGCCGGACTCGATGGCGAGGGAAACCTCCTCATCAATGGGCTCAGCAGTCATGTACAGACGGTTGTGCTTGTTGGGGGGACTTGGACAAGGCAGTCATGCTGGAGGTACCAGAGACAGTCTCACGGTAGGAGACGACGGGGTCGGAGATGCGGAGGGGAACACCAGCGTGGTCCTCCTCGAGATCCTTAAGACAAATCTCGAGGTGGAGCTCACCAGCACCAGCGACGACGTGCTCACCAGACTCGTTGATCATGGTCAGAACACAGGGGTCGGACTTGGACAGACGCTTGAGACCCTCAACGAGCTTGGGCAGATCCTGGGCGTTCTTGACCTCGACGGAGCGCTGCACAACGGGGGAGACGGAGAACTTCATGACCTTCATGTTGTGGGCAGTCTCATCGGTGGTCAGGGTACCAGACTTGAGCAGGAACTGATCGACACCGACCAGACCGACAATGTTACCGGCGGGGACATCCTCAATGGGCTCAACGAAGCGACCCATCATGAGAATGGTACGCTGGATAGCCTTGATGTACAAATCCTCCTTCTTTCCGGGGGTGTAGTTAGGACCCTGGATGCGGACCTTAACACCGGACTTGACGGTACCGGCGTAGACACGACCGAAGGCGTAGAAACGACCCTTGTCGGAGGTGGGAACCATCTTGGAGACGTACAGCATGAGAGGAGCCTTGGGGTCACAGTCACGGATACCGCAGTAGGCGGTGTCGTCAGCGGGACCCTCGTACAGAGTCTCAGCACGGTACTTCTGGGCAGTGACGGGGGAAGGCAGGTGGATACAGATCATCTCCAGAAGGGCATCGGCAGCGGGCAGGAACTTGCGCATGACGAGCTTGAGGAGAGCCTTACCCTCAAGGTCCTTCTCCTCAGAAGTGAGGGTGATCTCGAGCTTCTCAAGAAGAGTGGTAATCTCATCACGCTTGTTGTGGTTGACAGCGGAGAAGATCTTGAAGATGGGGTCCAGAATGAACTGGTTGAAGGCACGCTCAAGGGGCTTGCCATCGGCCTCACCCTTGTTGGACCACTTCTTGGTCTTGGGGTTGAAGTAGTTGTCGCCCCACAGACGCTCAAGCATCTTCTTGCGGTCAACACCGAACTTCTTGGCGTACTTGACGGCGAACTGGCGGACAGTGAAGCACCAGCCGTGGAGACCGGAACCGAAGGCAATAGTACCTCTGTCGGGGTAAACCTGAACGTCACCGAGAGCCTTGTCGAAGTAGGTGGAGATGATGACGTTAACGGACTCGATGGTACGGGAGAAGGACTGGTAGAGATCCTCCTTGGAGACCTGGAGCTCGAGAAGAGCACGGTCAACCTTGTTGATACACAGAACGGGCTTGATGCGCTCGGTCAGGGCCTGACGCAGGACAGTCTCGGTCTGGACACAGACACCGGAGACACAGTCGACGACGACAAGAGCACCGTCAGTGACACGGAGGGCAGCAGTGACCTCGGACGAGAAGTCAACGTGACCAGGGGAATCGATCAAGTTGATCAGGAACTCGGAGCCATCAACGGCCTGGGGGATCTCCTTCAGGTCCTCGGGATCGGGGAACTTGGCGTAGAGAGAGATGGCAGTGGACTTGATGGTAATGCAACGATCCTGCTCATCGGGACGCGTGTCCATGAAACGGGCCTCACCGGCCTTAGCGGCGGAGATAATACCGGCGCGCTGGACCAGGGAGTCGGAGAGGGTGGACTTTCCGTGATCGACTAAAGAGAAAACAAGGGTTAGCTACCAGCTTTTTTCTGCTCGAGGGTGATGGAGATGGATGCCTACCGTGAGCAATGACGGACATGTTACGGATGTTAGCCCGTCTGTCCATCAGAGTACGGATCTCCTCAATGGTGAAGCTGTCGAAACATGGTTAGCTGAATGAATCCTCAAGTCGAGAGAGATTTTTTGGGCTCTCTCTCTCTCTGTGGTAGTGAACATACTTAACCATCTTGGCGGTTTTTTTTCTTCAATAAGCCTTAGAGGCGGTTTGTGAAGAAGAAGAAAAGAAGCAAGACCACAGATAGATGATCAAAACCGAGCAAATAACTCGATGGTGATCAAATCCTATGTGCAACTGCTCCTGCGGTAAGGGGATGGAGAGGAGAAGAGGAAGGAAGGTGGGAGGGGGGGAAAGTGGGAGAAAAAAAAGCAGGCGAAAGTGGAGACGCTTTTTGTGCCCCGCTCGGTTTTGTGCGTTTACCAGATTACTTGATCCGCACACACCTGCTAACTTACTCTGACATTCATTCTTACATTTACATCGCCGACCACTAGTCATTTCCAGTCATCCCTCGTATGGCTCATTTGATTCTGATTTGAAATACTCATAAAGTATCTATTGACTCATGTCCCGAAACCATCCGTGGTTGTCCGGTGCACATACAAAGGCCCGATTCGGAGCCCGTAAAGGAACCGCGCCTGAAATTGGGCGGAACCCAGATAGTAGAAAAACCTTGCCGGACAGCTCCTAATTGCTCCTAGTCTCCATAGTGATATTCTAGTCCTAACAGAATTTCAACGTTACCCAGGAGATGAAAATACCGAAACGAGTGCAACCAACTAGCCCCGCCATTCACCGCCTACAATCCCTGCGCGGGGTTGTTGATTAATAATGCACGAGGGCCTGACAATAGGAGTTTCTTATACACATGCGCCCCTGAAGAGGCTGGAATGGCTCCCTTCATAAAGTAGCTGTGGATGCAGCAAAAAAAAATTAAATAAATACAACATTGATGATGGATAGTATGCAATTGTAATTATACAGGGAATACCCTTTGAATATGCCCGAAATCGCCTATAGTACATGTATCAAGCTCCCAGGATCGTCCCATACGCATCCTCCACCTCCTTTGCGATTTCCAGCAGAGTCACAATGATGATCTGGTGCGTGACATTGGGCAGCTTGTCTCGCTGCAACCCAATCCACTCCAGCGGCGGTGTCGCCTCTCCCATGTCTCGCAGCTGTGGCGTCTCAATGACCGGTGGCTCTAGCGCCGTGTAGGTGTATTTCGACTGCGGCACGTTGACCACTGCCGTGATCTTCTCTTGCTGCTCTGATCCCTCGCCACCGCCCTCACTGATGCTTCCAGGACCCCCCGTGATCCGGACGGCTGACGGTGGCAAAGGTTTGCCGAGTCGGGTAGCTAGGGCCCGCGAGTGTGTCTCCCACATGTCCCGAATGAAACTGATACGCGAGTAGTTCCAGCCTACATCCACCTTGCCTTCGAACGTACTCCGGAAGATGTAGTCGATGTGCTTGGTGCCGGGCTCTTGCCAGGTTTCCATTCCTGCCACAAGTCGCGGTACTTTGAGAATTGTACCGCCACGGGAGCCGGCTGCCCGTTGGGCGATATCGTGCACCGAAAGCTCGTCAGGTTGGGCGGAAGCGGGGCGACTGATGCCGGATAAGGCAACACGTAGCTGACCCAGAGTGAGACCCAGTGCGCTGTGAATCTTGTTTGATTCCAGCGAAACGGTAAACCTTGCTTGGGCATCGTAGGCCTCCACCTTGAAGATCTGATTGTCGAAGAATGAACTGGGGAACACTCCAAGATCGACGTGACGGATGTTCACCACCACACCCGTGTGTAGTGAGATGGGAGCTCTTTCTGACTCGTCGTCCTTCTTTGCGAGTTCCTTGGTACGGGCTTCCATCCGGTCTGGGACAGCAGTAGACTTGCGTCGCAGGTATCGCTCCACCTCGCGCAGAGACGCCTCGTACGCTGCTTGCTTGTCTTGGACTAGGCGTTGCCAAGCCTGGAAGAGTGCCAGGGCCTGCGATGCTGTCAAGGAAGTGCAGAATAATTGAACCTTATCGCCCTCCAAAATACTGAAGAGTCGCTCGCTTTCATTTCCGGAGGCCTCGCGGACATTGTACATCAAGAAGTCGAACATGGCAATGTGTGCTGCCAAGAATGGCTGGTAATCGAACGAAACCTTGGCTTGAAGATGACGGAACGCAATAGACGCCTGAATGAGCGGCGTGTGCCAGTCCTCTCGAGTTTGCTCGGGCCATTTGATAGATGTGCGAATCTTGAGTCCCCTGAGCTCAACAACACCACTCAGGCGGCCCTTGCTTTCAATGCCAACGCTGTCGAAGTTGATACACATGCTTTGTTCGCTATCCGATGTCTTATTCGAGGACACCCAAAGGTTGTCGATGGCAAACGCTGCCTTGCCCAGTGTCGAACCCAGGTCGAGCTGGATCTCTAACTTCTCAATGGCAATGGTAGTATTCCAAGGGAAGGCGGAGGCGACAGCGACCTGATGATATCGCTGCACAATGTAGGTTTGGGCTTCCGGTTGCTCTGGCTGGGCATTCAAGCTAGCGCTCGACTCATCGCCAGACGGTACCCAGATTTCCTGGAATAGCAGCGAATCTTGCACTTGCTTGGCGTTCAACGAGACCTTCATGGGACTGACCCGCAGGATAGCGGACATGCCGCTCATTCGGCCGAGATGCTTGCTGTTCATCAGAGACAATATCATAGACTTGACTTGGAAGCTTGCCGTTGACTCGTTGGAGTATTCGTGCTTGATCGAGGCCTCTAAGCTGTTGAACGCCAAGGAGAGGGCAAGGAAGCGGCCCTGCTCAGCTGACTGCACTGTATTAACGGTCACATAGACACTCTCGAACCTGGCCATGGCTGCCACTCTGGCAATGGGCTGACAGCTCAGACTGAACTCCTGCTTGTAGAACAGCAGTCCAAGGTTCACTTTGCACCGTCCAAGAATGGAAGTTGGATCAGGGGCGCCAAACGGAGTGTCTTGTACCAGCTTCTGTGATTGGAGCTTAGCCGCGGTTGACGCCCTCCGAGGTTTGTCTTGCTGAGGAGCCCCTAATTGGCTCTGTTGCTGATTTTGCTGCTGCTTTCCCATGATTTCCTTGACCGTGGCGCTCATTTGTTTGACTAGTGGAACAAGAGTCGGGAACAATACGTTCGTAGAGGGGTTGACCTTGAGCTCTGCATTGAGTGCCGGGTCGTCGGTGCCGTTATCTTCAAATTGAACCTTCAAAGCCACTCCAGGCGCACGTAAAGTCGCGGTAGTTGCCGGTTCGCCTTGCACATAATCACCGTATTTCGCCTCCGCAAGGGGATTGCCTTTCATTCTGGCTGTCATCAAGTTCTGGGGGTTGCGTTGCTGCTTTCCTTGGAGCGTAACAGTAGCACCGGCGAAGTCAACATCCACGAGTACGGACCGAAGTCTTCTCTTGCCGAAGAGACTGCGATCGTCGGCAGTATCATCAAGCGACGGCTTCGTTGCCCAGGCTACCTTGCCCTCTCGTAAAGCCTCAGTGGCGGATGCAATTGAGTTCCGAATCATGTCGGCTGGAAGAATGAATTCGGATGTTGCACGAATGTCCAGTGACTTTCCAGCTGCCTGGAAGGCGAGCCACAACTCCTTTCCACTTGAGTAGTATGCAACATTGAAGACCAGCTCAGGCATGAGAGCGGAGTTCAGCGAGCGCTTCTTTCTGTCCGCTCGGAAAGGAACCATTTGCAATTTCATATCCTCGATTCGTAGTTTGGCGGCGTTTTTCTTCTTATTGGATAGCTCAACCTTGTGGATCGAGAATACCAGATCTTCAGGTTGGCGACCAGAGCCACTGGAGAGTGGCGTCGACATGTTCCATGCAACTTGGATGTCTTGGAATTGCAAAGAGTACAATGCATTTAAGAAGGGCTGTGCCTGGGCTTCATCATTGTCCTCTATATGAATCTGAGGTACCTCAGAGGCCGGTGTGACTGCGTCATTGTGATTGCGGCGTCGAAGTCTTCGGAGACGTTCAACCTCATGCGACAAGTCCAGCGTCTTGATGCGTTCCTGTGTGTAGATAGCAATATCCACCACCAAGGCGGCTGTTTCAGCAAAGAGCTCAACATCGAATTGATCGCTTGTGAAATGGTAGGCACGCATCACTTCGCCATTTTCGCGAACACTCGAGGTCCCGAGTAATTTGATACCTGCAGTAAGGCCACCATAGGGAGTGGCCTTGGTTCTCTCTTGCCTTCGCAGCTCAAATTTGATTTGGGAAGCGTCGATACTAAATTCAGGGTACTCCATTGAGTAGCCTCGGTCCAAACCATTCTGAAGTCGCATTTGCACCATTCCAAGGCTAAAGATCATCTCCGCAGAATATGCCTTGCTGTTTAATCCGGGGGCAATGGCATGGATCTCGAACCCAGCCATTGTGAGGCGAGACTTGTAGAGTATCACTGTATCAATCGAAGACGGTTCAGGTTCTGGCTTGGTCTTTGGTAGCGAGAGTACGTCGCCCAGATGAGACTGTAGAACCTCCACGTTCTGCTTCAGATCGGACAGCAGATGGGCAATGTCGGGCCCTGTCAAAACAGCCAATAAGCCCCGCACAGCGCTAGCCTCCAGACGAATAAGTTCGACACTCATGTCAACCTCCAATTCCTTGCGGTCAGACTGCACATTCGCAAGGATCCGACCGTTAGTAGGAGGAAGTTCAATAATCGACAGAGCATGGCTTGTTTCACCCTCTCCGGACATGAACATATGTGAATTCTTCTTCAGATCAAAGTCAACTTCAATCTTAGATGATTCGGCCGGCATGACGGACATGCGGGCTACCTCGCCAGAAACAAGATAAGTCAATGACGGCAGAAGACTGAAGCTAAGTCGATAGTCCTCTAGGAACATTGCGACGTGAATGTCATCACGCGTCGGCTTCTCCGCCGCTGGCATCTTGAGTTTCTCGGATTTGAGCATTTTAACGTAGTCAACGAGGTGCCGAATGTATTTGACTTCATCCTCAATCACACGATCTGCGGTAAGAGCCAAGCTGACTGGGTCCTCCTTCATCGCATAGCGGAGTCTCCTAGAAGACCCAGCGACCTTCCAGTCATGCTTACACTCCACCTCGTCTTCGTCGGACACGAACGAGAAGTAGAGATATGGGTCGGTGATTTTCGACAACATGAGACTACCAGACCGACTCAAAAGCTCCGACGAGCAAGCTTCAGCACTAAAAAGCAGAGCAATACATTCCTGGTGACTCTTCATGATGTTGCAAGAGCTGTGCACAATCGAGGCCCGCAGAGATCTAGAAATCAAGGCCAATTTGACATTGATGGCATCAAGAGTAATTGATCCGAAGTCAGTGCCAAAGATTATCTGCAACTCTGTTGGCTTTGTGCTTATCGTGGACTGATCTGTCGAAGATTTCAGCGTGACAGTCGACATGACCTTGATTATTCCTTCAATGAGATCGACAATCTCCCATCGCAAGCGAAGAGCCGCCGAGGCACAATACGCGTGCGCCGTGACAACTTCCTTATGCCTTTCCTTGCCGCCTTCTTGGAAAGTCTGATTTGGGACAAGAGAGGTCACTGTCGACAAATTTTCGACAATAAAATCACTTTCTCGGGGACCTGGATCCAAGGAAAATCTGATTATTTTCACGGTGCATGACAAGGTAATCATGGGCTCCGGAGTTGACGGCTGAGGATCAGGAGTTGACCATATTTGACGCATGACATAGCTTTTCTCGACATGGGCAAGATCCCACGCCCGCCATTGGTCGAAGCCGGTCAGAACAGTCGATCTGGCATCGGGTGGTAAAGGGATATTGTCGCCAGAGCATTTTTGTTCGAGTTCTCTCTTCTGGTGGTCAGGTAGGTTCCTGTAGATATTGCGAATACGAGAAATGATCTTCCACGAGTCATGTTGCCGCAGGTGGGTTGAAGCAACTCGAAGCACATAAGAGATACGTGTTAGGAAGATTGGGTCCGGGATATCAGAGGATGAATGTGTGGCGAAGTAGATGAGGAATTGCAGCCGTCGTTTGCTTAACGCTGAGACATGCTTGAAAGCCGATGCAACAGAATCAAACATCATTGTGGCTCGACGGACAAGGAAAGCTAAGCGTTCCACCGATCTTGCTGAGGTCACAGTATTGACGTGCCGCATCTGAATGTTCGTGCAAATGCTGGGAGCAGTGACCAGCCAGAAGTTCAGGTCACCCAGGTCGAAATTGAAGACAGCTTTCTCCTGGAAAGCATCTGTACGACTTCCCTCCACAGAGACCGACAGGCGATCGGCCGCCGCATGAGCCGTGATACCTTGGTTGAGACCCTCAAGTAGATCTCCCTTTTTTCTTTGCACTCGTTTCTGGAATTCTGCCCGCAAACGATAGATCCCAATGGAGTATTCGTCGCGAAACTCAATACGCCTATCTTCTGGTGATTCGGAAAGATCAACCATTCGAAATTGGATGAGCGGGATACGAAACGCGATGGCAGTGGTTTGCTTGGGCTGGTTCATAGACTTCTCGTAGCCAACAATGTCAGATATGACATCCTTCTGTAATGAGTCTATGATTTGCACCGGTTGCTTCGGCTCAAGCCCTTCCATCAGAGAAGCCAAGCCGAGAAGGAACCGCGGTGTACAAAATCCTTTAATGCCCAGCGGCAGGTCCAAGGCAAGGTTAGTGTATGAGGTCTGATCATCCTCAAAGGTCAGGAACATGGACTTCTGGTTGACTTCATCATCGTTCTCTGTTCCAGCAGTGTCGTTGTCACTGCTTGACGATGGAAGCTCAGACGCGTCCAAAGAAAGCTTGTAATAAGAAAACTGTGGAAGAACCCAAGGGTTCGAATCTCTGATTGCAGCAGACGAGTACGGACTAGTCTTGGGTCGACCAAAGCTCTCACTGTCCTTCATTCGGCCGGGAGGTGCCGTGGACCAGCTTCCATCTCGACTTGGTGGGACAGGTCTGGAATTTTGTTCCACGCTCGACAACGGACGGGAGGTATTCCTGGAGGGTGACTTAACGCTTTTCAGGCTCGAGGTCTCAGAATGCACAAGGAAGCTTCTCACACTTCCATTCGCTTGAGCTCCCGAAAATCTTCGATAAGACGGGATGTTTCCCAATCGCCCAAATATAGGCTCTGGCATTGAGGGTATCGCCATCGTTGGGGGATCGATATCATCACCCCTCGCAAAGGATGAAGTCGGACCTATCTCTTCCCAGTCAAATAGTAACCATTGGGATCGATGTGTACGCTGATCATGGATTCTGATGTGCTCTTGCTGAAGCCGTCGGTGTTCTGCGATATCATGCTTGCGCATAGCCATTTTCAGGCCGATGGTCAATTTCACAAGGCCCAAGGGTGCAACAGTCTTCCCAGGTGATCGTAAAGCCTGGGCGACTGCATGACGATCAACCACAGCAATTGAGACGTTGGGGACCAGTAGACTCATGCGTTTCGAGAACTTAGAGTTTGTCCAATCATTGAATTGCGTCGACAACGGTTTCGTGCTCAAGAGAATCGCATCCTGATTTAAGAGCACAGAAATGTGAATCGAGCCGATCTTGGCTCTGAGGAATGTCACATCATGGAGAATAGGCGGGAAGAGTGGAGGTAATGCATTTTCCTCGTTATCAAACGAAAAATCGAAGCTCTTGAGACTGGATGCCAGGCATGCCAGAAACTCCGTAGAGCATTCACCAATGATCTTCCCCACGTCAAAATCCCAATTACAAACGTAAGTTGGCTCTGCTGGGGGTAATCCAAACAGACGATGCCCATGAACGGAGATACCGTCGATGAATAGTTGGGTGCCAGAGATGCTTGATGACCCATCCGGATGGGTTGATTGCAAATCTAGCTTGAGTGGGCTGACGGAAAGTTGCATGTCCATGTAGTAATTGGTGAATCGCAGATCAATGTCGAGCGAGGGACCAGAGAGTCTTGAGCACCTCATATTGTCATAAATGCTCTCAGGTAGCATGATGCACGGGTTTTCCACGGTGACGTGGACCAAGACATCCATGTCGTTCGATTTTCGGTTCGGATTGATGCCTGTGGGATTTGAGGGTTGCTCTTCCGCATAGGCCAGCTCTTGGTACTCCTCCAAGGTTTTGAAATGCATGTCATCGCCGAAGTAATTTTCCTTGACGGTCATGAAACTTTTGATCAAAAACCCGTAGAGATATAGTCGCGGCGAAGAACCATCGATGTTCAGCACAAGCGTATCAATCAGATCAGGGGCCGTCGAGCTGAAATAGTTGTAAGATCCGTCAATGAAGAGGCTATCAAGGGTAGCCATGGAGTTCCCTGGGAGGAAAGTGTGCAACGTATCCCACGCAGGAGTCAGATAGTCCACACCGCCATCCTCGAGGTTGACTTTGAATTCCACCGCATTCTGGTCTGGTTGAAACTTATTCAGTGGGATTATCACATTCGATTTCAACTCTTCCGCCTTGATAACAATGAAACAATTATCTTCAAGGTCAGATGGGTTGCTAATGATATTTCCATCATTAACGTTCACGTATAGTTGGATGTTGGAAAAGGAGAGGTCGATGTTGTAAATGAACGGCACAAACGTGTAGTACTCTGACGGTGGACCTGAAGTCCAATCGCTCACCAGATCAGTCAGAAGGAAAATGTGATCTCGCAGGATGAAGAGTTCAAGGTCATTGCTGTGAACGGAAAACCTCCATGAACGAAGACTATTCCAGGAGATAGGATTGGATAAGTCGCAAGTTACCAGCTGTCGTGGACATTGCCAGAGCAAAGCATGATTCACACTTGATGACAACCTGGATTTGCGCAAGTCAAGAGAGAGCTCATTGCGAAACCCGTGGCTCGATGCTACCATGTCCATGGCATAGCTGATAGTTGAATCAGGGCCTATGGCGAGTGAGAGCCATCCAAAAGGCCGAACATCTGAGCCAATGTGGCTTTTCTCGGTTTCCTTAACCCGTGACTTTCTTCGTTCCTGTTGCCTCTTTGCTCCGGCAGATCCTCGAACGGCATCTGCGCGCCCTTTCCAGGTCCAATCCTTAGACTGCTCCCTAGTTGGGATCCGAATTGTGAGCTCTTTGTTGACTTCAATACGTAAATTGAAAGATGTACTTTGTCTCAAGACACCCGGAGCCAATTGCTCTGCAGGTTCAGAACTTCGGTAAAAGTTGGGGAAGAATACGTTCTGTAAGCCGACCCGCTCCCTGTCGGACCATGGCCCGTAGTTGATAGCGCCCCCGTCAATTCTGATGTCCATGCCCCATTCTGGAGGAATAGTGAGGTTGATATTGTTTTGTTTCCCTTGGGTAGACTCAACAGACGCCGGATGCTGAGAGAAAACTCGTCCCGGAACGTCCCAGTAGTATGTCAAATCCAAGGCTGGACTGTCGACAATCGTTGGGAACCTGGCGTACTCGATTGAGTTCCATTGTTCATGCTCATCTTCATAATATTCATCCAAATATCGGGACAGGCCAGTCCAACGAACATCAGGAAATTCAGCCTCGCTCCTTGGCATGCTGCCACCCTGTCCATTAACCTGGAAAGATTCCACAGATGTTTGAAAGTAAGGAACAAGGTCACGAATACTGTGCCATACTTTGTGCTTGTGCACCTTCTGCTTGAGAAAATCCCGTTTCAGATTCGGAGAATTATCGTGCTCTTGCTCTGCAGCCAGCACTTTTGCAGTCGACACCTGATCTTGCTTGAAATCGGGATTTGGCCGCATCTGAACCACTGGATGCTTAAACTTGAACGAGAACAGCTGCCGATACAAGTCCATGGGTCCTGAACTGCAGGCGGCAATGGTCCCTGCAGCACTATCGAATGTCGTCGTCAAAACAGATCGAGTGTTTTCATTTCCAATCACAATGGCGCCTTTGCTGCAGTCCAGCTTCACCGGCAGGAGCTCGAGCATACTAGAGACTGGGTCAGAAAGCTCAGCTTCGCGCAATTCGGTATTCCTGGCTCCAAGAGCTTCTCCACCATTGGGACTTTGCTCTGAAAGAGTGTCGAAGGTCGTTTTGGACCTCTGGAGATTCGATTGTGGTTCAGTCGGAGAAGCAGGCCCAGGGGTGTTTTCTCCGTCGGCGCTGTCCTTGTACCCGAACCCAGCAAGAATACTGTCATAAGCAGGAGTACGGTTATAGATGAACCATTCTAAACCGTAAGCCTTGATTGATATGCGGCATGGTAACTCGGCCGTCTTCTCGACTCCACCCTGCTCCTCAACATTGTCGTTCCTGCTTGTCGCACCCGTGCTTTCGCCATGGGCGGAGTCATTGCGGTCTTTCCCTAACGCATCTGGTCGGCTGGGATCGGGCTTTATGCCGGAAAGCTTCGTGCGCTCAACCTTGCGCTTCCAATATCGCCATGTTATGAAACCGCCATGGATGAAGATTGTCTCGTTCGCGCCATGGTACCGAATCCCCTTAAAGAATATTCGTCCACCGAGGAGGGAAATTTGTAAGGCATTTATGTCGACGTAAGCGCGGTAGTAATGCCAGGTGTATGATCGGATCGCGTAGGAGAGGAGGGTCGCAAACAGTCGATTGAAATAGAGTAGAAAGAATAGAACACTTTGCGCCGTATGAGCCACAGCAAGGTACTCGGGACCCTCCAGGGTACTTACAGAATACAAGAGACAATGAGTTCTAGGAGAAAGAACCTAGGTAAACCCCAGTGAGTATTTCAAACCGCAGACGGTCCTGGATTCAGCATACCAATTGAAGCTCGGGTCCGGCGTCAGATAGGAGGCCGTCAAGCTTGTACTGGCCATTTCTCCGTGAAGCCACCAACAGGCGCAAGCATGATCGACGCGCGACAAGCCCGCGAAGAACGAGTCCCGAGTCCAAGCTTGGAGAGTCGTCGCAGCTGTTAAAAATGGTCGCGCGAATGTGAAATGCGGGCGTCGGGCGGTGTCACGAGAAGATCGTCATCAGCCACACGCCTCCTCACAACAATTTCCAATCTTGTCCTTCTGAGCTGCGTCCCCACCTGAACCGATAGGCGACCATGTTTTGTGGCTACGAAGCTGCGGAATGACTTGGTGCCCTCAATAACGCGGCTCTCCGAACGCGCGACTATCTCCCATCATAATGGGTTTTCCTGGCGGAGGCACTGGCTCAAGCCTAGCTCGCGCGATCATTATCACCTCTGGTGTCTCATCACTCGTGTCTTCACTGCTGTCTCTGGCGTATGTCCTATTGCCACTGGTTCCCGTGTTACTATGTCTCTGGGATTGTTTTTGGGCTAACTCGTGCTTCTTGTCTCGTAGGTCCATATGGCTACAAACGTACGAGCTTCAACAGGATACCGAATTCTCCGACAGCTACTAATCAAGTCATATTAGTAAAAACTACCGAAAACCATTGCTCCAGCGATATGTCGTCCGTATACTGTTGATGTGAGTGTTGGATCGAATGGCAGCCTAGAGCTCCAGGGGCCGAAAGCTCGAGGACAAGGCAGCGCTGATAGCACTCAGGGTACCGATATATGCAGCGTCGTCATGGACCAGCATTGTGTCGCTGAAGGCGGCTCAGTTTCTGGACCCGATCCGCGACATCTACGAGGTATCTGGTGTGAATCAGAGCGAGACGGACCCAACACTGACCGAGTTCTGCGCAGGCATTTACCATTTATACGTTCTTCCAGCTACTGATCAACTTCCTCGGAGGAGAGCGAGCAGTCATAATCATGGCCCATGGTCGACCCCCAGTGTCTCATGCGTGGCCGCTCAACCACTTCCTCCCCAAGATCGACATCTCGGACCCACACACATTCCTGGCCGTCAAGCGTGGCATTCTGCAGTATGCCTGGTTGAAACCCATTCTAGCGATCGCCTCCGTGGTGATGAAGGCTACAGACACATATCAGGAAGGGTATCTGGGCGTCAGCTCGGGCTATCTCTGGACGGGTATCGTGTACAACATCAGTGTCACGCTGAGTCTGTACTCTCTTGCCATGTTCTGGATCTGCCTGCACGATGATCTCTTGCCCTTCCGCCCAGTTCCTAAATTCCTGTGCGTCAAACTCATCATCTTCGCATCATACTGGCAAGGGTTCTTCCTATCGATTCTTCAATGGTTGGGGGCCATGGGGAACGGTGTCGCTGGGTATACACCAGACAATCTTGCTGCAGCGATTCAAGATGCACTCATCTGTTACGAGATGCCCATTTTCGCCGTCGCCCACTGGTATGCATTCTCGTGGCACGACTATGCAGACCCGACCATCTCGGCAGCTCGTTTGCCAGTAAAATATGCGCTGCGGGACGCTTTCGGGCCTCGAGATCTGGTGGAAGACACGAGGCTCACGCTACGAGGTGAAAATTATGAGTATCGCATCTTCGACTCGGGGGATAACATCATTGCGCATGAGGACTCTGAATCGCGAGTCAAGCGAGTGATGGACGGCATGCGCTATGAGCGGGGAGGTAAAGCGAAATATTGGATACCCAAGCCTGGAGAGCACAGTAAATCCGGCGAGACCAACAGCCGAACCCCGCTCCTCTCAGGGGGCGACTCAAGCAACCGCAGCCGAAGTGAACAAAGTGGCAGTTCAACTGAAAGATTCCGGAAATACAGTGAAATCGATATCTCACTAGATGATGAAGACGAAGGATTATTTACTAAGGCGCGAGCGTTGGAGTTTGGCGACTGGAATGTACGTGGATCGTTCCGCTACTGACTATTCCGATGCTGACTACCGAGTAGTACCCAGTGATCACAGCCAATGAAGTCCCCAGGGACCAGCGCCTGACCGCTCACCGGAGCAGGAGCTACCAAGGATCGCACCACACTGGCGATGTGAAAAAGGCTCGCACGCACCGAAAAGGTCGGGTATCGGGCAGCGAAAGCCGTCGGGATCACAACACGAGCTCCAAGTCTAGGACTTCTGCTTCGGGGGCGCCGCCTCCGTTGCAGCGCAACGCCAAATCCACTAGCTCACACAACTCTCACAGCTCCCGGTGCGATCCCGACCAGCTGGTTGATCTCGTGGTGGAGGATGTGGAGGCTGAAGAAGAAGACCGAGCTCAAATCCAACGGGAGACTGGCTCCGCATGGGCGGCCGGCGAACCCCGGCATTTCTCGTGAGTATTCCATCCGTCACATTGATTGGTTCGCAGGTGTCATGAAACTGACCCTTATCCTCATTTGCCAGGAGACCAACTGGACAGCCCATTGAGGAAGAGTCGGGGTCCGAGCCTCCAAGTGAATCGCCAGCAGAGATTCCAGATGACCATCGGTCCAAGCCGTGGGCCTATAGTGCCTTGGAAGATGACAATGTTTGGGGTAAATAGGGGGGTGGTGTTAGTGTACTTATGAGATCATCCTCCCATCACCTACTCTCGAGTCTGTATGATATCGTAACCCGGGTAGAGTAAAGCGCTGCATGAAACGAACCCATGGGGGACGGGACATGACGGGGCCGAAACACGACCAATGCACCGTTCCTTTTACGCGCCCAACCCGTGGAACAACCCTACCGCGACCCGCTGAACTAAGTATAACACTTGCCAACACTTCGATAAGCCAAATTGTGACAGCTCCACCGGCAATCAGCGAATGAGACCCCATAGTCGGCTCCGCAGGAACGATCATCGCCAGCAACTCGTTCTTAATGACGGTAGGTGACCAGGATGGCTGACTTGCATGGGCATAGCTTCGGCCCTGTAGGCCCGTCTTGTCCCTGGAGTCACTTTGGTGGAGGGGGAAAGACGCTGAGTGGGGTCTCGTACCTCGTTCGACTCTTCTTTGCTCCTTTGTCCTATGCCCTATCTTCTGTCTTTCTTTTGTGTACCTCAAACTTCGCCTTCGGAGAAGGTGATGGACTAATTCTTCGCGCGGGCCGCCATGACGATGGCTCTCGAGCAAGAGAGTTCGATGTTTTCCGGCTGGATACGGTCATGCTGGCCATGTTTGTCCCCAGGCGAGATCGGCCAAAGTGCTCTGCGAGCCGAGAACAGAGGTAAATTTCAATGATTGATTCGCATTGAGAACTGCACGATCATCTAACCACTCCTTTTTCTTCAGGTGTCGAACGGGAGATGCAAGTGTGCCATAATCAACCGCACCTCGTGCCTCCCATGAAGCTGGTGGTGTACGAGGACCTTCCGAGCCCGAGTATAGATCATAAACGACACAACTCGCTGTCCTCGTGGATCTCCGATGGCAGGACCCTGGCCTCGCGGGCATCTACTCAAGCAAGCATGTCGTTCAAGAGACAATCTACGGTACCATTGAAGATTGGCGCGCCGTCGGATTTCCGCAGAGTCGAAGGCTTCTCATTCCAGCCTTCTACTCCTCGTACACCTCCTATACCGATCAAGTATCAGCCCCTGGAGCTGAGTATCTATCGGTCCGGTAACCGCTTGTCAGACCTGCCCGAGTTCGATGACTTCGAGTTTGCTGAGGACCGTCATCGCCAGACATTGGCTGTACCACCGCGCACGCTCTCTCCTACTGGTGTTCGAGCCCAACGCTGCCAGTCAGCCAACGCGAGGTTATCCATGTCTCGGAAGCCTGTCGGTTCTGGTAACCGCAGGTCCTTCAGAAAGTCAGACTACTTCCACGAACGAGCTCAGCCGGTTCACATCACAAGTGCTCTGGTCCCTCATTTCACTCTTGTGCAGCCCGTCCAGACTATTGTCTCGGAGGGTGAATTGGTCCCGGTGACTGCACTTGTCGAGCCTATGTTGAACGAACGCCAGCTCAAGCTTGACTCCGAACGGCCCGATGGTGTAACCAGTGAACAGGTGTCTATAGAAGCAGAGCCTCAGACTCCCCTTCCAACGGACCAAGACTGCACATCCGACGATTCCTTCAAGACATTTTCATTTCCTCGGGACTCTCCCTCGTCAGTCAGTTCACGCACAATGCCATCGCGCAAATCGTCACTGCACCGTCCACCGACGTCGGAGAATCGCAATACCATTGCGGAGGCCCCGATGCCCAATCGCGTAACCCAATGGTTCTTCTCCAACGACCCTCCATCACCCCAACAAGTCTCTCTAACTGGCGAGGATGGATTCGCATGGGAGCGAACACGTACATTGAGCGGCAGCACCGTCGCCTCAATCGTCACTACTACCATCACTGGCGGCCCACCGACTCGGCAGCACAAAGCTTCTATCTCTAGTACTTTCACTAGTGACACTACCCCGCGAGCCTCGATTCATACCCCTTCACGAGCAGGGGACAAGGACTTCGAGGCTATTTTGAGCCACCCTGCTATCCCTGAGGGCCGGCCACAACATCATCCTCTCGCACCGTACAAAGGCGAACCTTTTCGATACGACCACTCTACAGTTGGATTGGCTTTCTAGACTAGCTACAAAGGCCTCTTGCAACTACTCAGAGAGTCGAGTCTCTAATTTCTTTGATTCTGTGAATATTTCGCATTGGCTTGGTCTCTATCCGAATATGTGGATGTCGGCCCTGCTTTACTACTCGCGTTTGATTGTTTGATCACTTCACGCTCTTGTATTGGAATACCCCACTTGGATTGCGCTTGGTTTGGGTATTCTATTTGGTCGGACTGGGTAAGGTGGTAATACATAAGGGTGGATTTTGTTGACTGATACATTTCAATTGACTGTATTGAAGTTTGTTTCCGTCGTGAACTCGCAAGAAAGGTTCTTTAGTACCCCTAATTATGACTCTATCTGAAGCGTGACGGGCGGTCTTGAGTCAGATAAGGCTCTTCTGGGCTCATGAGGACTTGTGTACGTCTCTTCACTTCGTCCCATCCCAGGCTGGTATCTAGACTTTGCTCGTTACGAAGCCTTCTGTGTTGCTTGAACGTTGCTGAATCTCAAAACCGTGATTGAATATTTTGACCTCTATGATACTAATTTGTCTCGATTGTGCATCATTCACAACTCCCATCATGGCACACAATCAATCTCCGACACGTTTCTCACACAATACCAGAGAAGGAGCATCGGCTTTGGAGATTGTAGTACTGTAGCTTCTGTAGCTTCTGCCTAAAACAGAGCTGCAGAGACATTTATTATTGGGGAGCGGGTGCATCCAATCTCGTTATCCTGCCGGTCTTCTACTTAGATTTGGCAAAGCAAGAAATGCGCAACGACGGAGATGATGACGGATGAATAATGTATAACAGAGTAAAGTATGAATATGGCAATGCCTGCAGCTAGGGTATCTTGTCAATGGCAATGAGCTGCACAGGAGGTATTAATCAGAAGAAAATTCAACGAAGATGATGTACAGCAAATGGAATCAAGACACCAGGGCCACTGCGACGCCGAGGCCTCCTGTATAAGAAGACAATAAGACTATTCGTCAGACACGATTTCCACTCCGTCTGGAGCAGGTACACTGATTGGCTTGTTCTTGCGATGGGTTTGCATGCCCAGGATTTGCCATGCACGGCCCATCATTCCATGCCCAAGACCTTGAGGGAATTCGACTGAGGCTTTGTGAGCGTGTCTGGGCGTTCGGTCACGTAGCGCCCGTTCCCGTTTGGCAGCAGCCAGACGATCTTGTTCACGTTCGTGGTGCACAATGTCGTCGCGCCATTCGGCCCAGTGTTCGAAGTTCTCACGCTGCTGGAGTACTTGATACCGGAGCCGAGATTTGGAAGGGCGCCATGTAGTACGGTTGACGATGGCATCGTTGCCGCTGGCTGGCGGCACCATTGTAGATTTCAGATCGCACACGCGGGAATCCTTTGTCAGCTTAAGAAGATGGGTCAAAACATCCCGACTCTCCAGAGCAGTGCGCTGAACCTTTTCTTGCTCGGCGGTTGGAGTAGGGCGAGTGAGTGGTGCGTCTAGCCAAGCATGCATTTCCGTTGATCGCTGCACCGAATAGGGGTCAAGAAGGTTCGAGCGACGATGCTCTTCACGCAGGAAACGCACGGCTGCTTGGAGACTTTCGACTTCGGCGCGAAGAGATTCGTTCTCTTGCATCGCGGCCAAGGAAGCCTCGTTGTCGATAACGATGCCATCGCCCGAGGTCGTGACACCAGCAGTTCCAGACATCCGCTTCATTCTTTCGATGCGAGATTTGAGCTCGTCACGCTCCGCCTCGGCCGTTTGAAGCTCTTGCTTCTGCTGCTCGAGGGTCTTCTCAAGCTCAATGCTGGTTGCCTGATACTCTTCGATCTTGATCTCAAGGTCCTTCACCATAGACGCCTTCTTACTAGCCTCGCGCATTCGTGATTCGAGGAGCTCAATCTTGATGCTCTGTTCTTCAAGGGTGTTGTCTTTGACACCAAGAGCGGTAGACACCTCGTGAACTTCATTCTTAAGGCGTCGAATCTCCTCGTCGGCATCTGGCGAAATGGTCTTATTGGACTTAAGCTCCTCTGATCGGGCAATCCAAGGATTTGCTCCTCTCTCGAATTCTGCCGTACGGGAGAGATCGGTGGAGATCGAGTCGAGCTCATCCAACTGGCTCCCAATATCGCGCAGCTTGTTGGTTAGTAGCGATATAGGGTCGTTGCTCTCTGAAGTGCCAACAGTAGACGGCACAGAGTCTACAAAGGCTTGTGACATGCTTTCTAGAATTTCCTCTAGTGTATAAGGATCCGTGCGGCCCTCATCGCTAGTGAGATTTGCAACATTCTCGCCCACTTTTCGGGTTAATTCTGAGAGCTCTTTTGTATAGCTCTCTGTCTGCCTGAAAGGCTCATCGGCGTCTTTCGAGAGTGCGAGAGAGCGTGTACGCAAATCTTCCAGCGATCGAGAAATCTTACCCATGGCAACCTTGTACCCACGCGCTTGAGAGACAAAAGCGTCAAGTTTGCTCAAGGCGAAGGAGTTTTCTTCGTTGCCCTCTTCCGGAGGTGCGAGTTTAGATTGGACCAAAGACTTGAACCGCACAACAACAGATGCCGCGTGGTCGAGGTAGGATTGCGATAGACTTGCGCGCATACACAGCTCATGTGCAAACATTTCTGGGCTAGAGGGAAGGAGAGTCTCTGCAAGGTGTGCAAGCAGTGCAATAGATCGCTGCAGCTCGGTTGCAAACTTCTTCATTTTCACTTCGTTCTTCTTCAGACTCTCGAGCCAAAGATTAAGTGTCCGCTCGACAGGTTCCATTTCGAACAAAGCACCCTTGGTATTAGCAAATTGTTCCGGGAACAGGCACTAATGTAGTTCACAAAACGATCGCATACTGTTGAAATCCAGAGGAGATGCTCAAGTACCTCGTGAGCATGGAATGCCTCATCATAGGTCGAGATGGCAGACTGCTCAGAAATTCGCTCACGTATGGTGTTGTTCATGACGCCAGCCTTGAAACTGACACGCTTGAAGCGAAGAAGGGCCAAGACAGCATTCCGCTCGCCATCGAAGTAGTCAGGAAGATACAGCTTCACAATCGAAAGGTGGTGTGCGGCTTCCTCTGCTTCCATTCGATTGAGTTCCATATCGATGGACTTCGTTTGGGCCTTTGATACCGAGGCCTGGAGCTTCATGTTCAGGTCCATCATGGCTCGCGATCGTGTCGTGAGGTTGGAGGCCTCCGTTTCGGAGATCTGCTGAGATGCCCGCATATCTTCGAGATCGCTCTGCAAATTTGTAACTAGCTCCCTGAAGCGAGACAGGGTATACTCTAGATCCTCAATGACTTCATCCTGCTGAGCAATCTTCCGAACTTGATCGCTGAAAACGCCATCACGATAGTCAATCTCTTCTTGAAGTTGTTTTTCGGTTTCGATATGAGTGTACTCTAGTTCGTCGCTGATCTCCCTCAGAGATTCTAGATCCTCGATCGCAGCCTTAAGCTCATTGATCTCCTCTTGATACCGCATGTTCTTGTCGGCCAGCTCTTCGATCATCTCTTCGGCACCGAGCGCGGTCTCCAGCTGCTGCTTAAGGTCATCCACATTGGTCTCGGCAACCAGCAATTTTTCCTTCGTGGCCTCGTATTCAGACTTGACTGCAGAATACTCCTCGAGATCCTGTTCCAATTCTTTGATCTGATCCCTCAATTCGCTCTCTTGTTGTTGGGTCATATCACGAAGTCGCATGAGCGCATCACGGAGTCGCTCGTTGCTCTTTTCCATCTGCAGCCATCCATGACTGGATCGCTCTTCAGGGCTTGTGATTTGACCAAACTCTTCGTTTTCTTCGCGCAGAACCTCCACTTCCAGCTGAAGCTCCTCCATCTTCAGTCGGAGGGTCTCACATTCATGCTTGAACGCTTCGGCTGTCTCTTCGGCCATTTCCCGGTCAAGCGTCGCCATTTCCATAAGTGATTCGTGTTCGGCTTGTATGCGCTCAACTTCCTCATAACGAGCCTCAGTATCCTTGAGCTTCTTGCGTAATTCATTGATCTCCATCTGTTGCGGTTGATACTTTGCCTGCAGCTTTTGGATAATCGCTTCAAACTTGTCGCGATCTGATTGCAGTTGCTCGAGCATCTTGAGCTTTTCTCGATCTTCGACTCGCTTCTTCTCCATGACTCGGAGTTTAGCTTGGAGCTCCTCCAGTTCACGGGAAAGAGAAGCACTCTGGTTTTGGCGTTGCGTCGTTGTCGCACCGGAGCCGAGTCGATTTGCTGCTGTGCGCGATGAAGTCAGAGACTGTCTTGACGGTTTAGGGACAGGTGCCAGCGTCGCCTCCGCATCTTGTGCGCCTTCTCCTTCTGTATCGAGAGATTCAGCGGTAGTTTGCTCTTCGACTGAGCTGCCTGTTCCTGTGTCGCCAGCGTCGGATGCTTTTGTTGAGGCTGCCTGTCGAAGGGATGGACGTTTGGACAACGCAGAGGCCACGGTGCTTTGGGACCCCGGCCTCGACGTTCTTGTTGTCGTACCGACCCCTGAGGGACGCGACGTCCGAGAAGTTGCGGACTGAGTCGAAGATGGGCCCATCGAGGTTCGGGTTGCGGCTGTCGGCCTGGGGCGGGTAGTCGACGCTCGCGGAGCGCCGCCGATCGATGAGCGAGAAGAAGTAGCAGATAGCTGCTTGGTTGGTGACTTTGTGGGCGACTATGAGATCTATCAGTACTCTATCGACAATCAACGGGAAACTTTACTTCAAACGTACCCTTAGGGAGGCCTGCGGGGCCATCTTCGGCCCCGGTGTAGGTGTTCCGGTTGCATTGATGCTTTGTCGCTTGACCACAGTTGGCGGTAGTCCAGTGGGCCTTTTGGAGCCTGCAGATATCGATTGCCGGCTTGCAGGCGCGTTGGGGCCGGTCCTGGCAGTTTGTTTACTCTCCCGCCGGGGCTGTTGAATGACCGAGCCGATGGCTGTTGGGCGGATGAACATACCAAACCCTGGTTCGCATTCAAAGTATCGTTCGCCCTGAACCGCGCCATCATTCTTGCCAGTAGCGTCGGTCAATTCCACGCCAATCCAATCTCCAACTGCGAAGCTTGTAGTGCCGATGAATCGGACGGTACCTTGGCGCCCATCGGTCAAGGTAATAACGGTACCAGGTGATATCTCTCGGCCAGACATCGTGAGTACAAGGACCGAAGACCCACGACGAGTCGTTGAACGATGGCCGACGGTGCTTGTCGAGGGAAATAAAGGAGGACGGGAAACACTTTCGGATTCCGCTACGCGCGCGCCGCTCTATGGCCTGAGGCAACACATGACTTCTTAGCAAGTGTTTCGCCCAAATGTACTTAGATAAAAGAGAGCCCTACAATCTGAACAAGCTAGTCCTTTGTCGAGATAATTCTCCTCTGGCTTTGAAATTCCATCTTCGGTCTATGCTTTCCGGACAATCGAGCTCAAATAGGAAGGAAACACGGGGTGCCAGACAAGTTCACTCACTATATACAGTCTGGGACGCTATGAATCCATTTTCTAGATCCTCTATAGGGATGAACCAAACAAGGAAAGTCGTCAACGGCGTAAAACACATAATCTAAGCGTTGTCACTCTCCTGGGGCTTGAAGAGGTGGGGGAAAAGGACCCGAAGCTCCTCTAGGTTAGAAACCATGTACTTCGAGGCGGGAACTCGCGGGACGGGAATGCCTGGTTCTACCAGGTGCACTGTATTCCAACCCCGTTGCTGTGCGTGAGTGCAGTTGAGGTGTGAGTCATCTGTACGGTTGACATGGTCAGCATGAAAGTGCCTGTTATGTGTTGAAAAAAGCAACGCCGAGAGACGTGACAGCAAATAATTTGGCAAACGTACCGACAAAATAGCACTGTTCCCTGCTCGGCGCCCCGGCTTCCTTTTCTGCCTTTTCATACATTTCCTGGCTGGGTTTGCAGACTAATGGCAACTTTCCGTAGTCACAGTAGGTGATCCCCTCGAAAATACCCTCAAGTTCCAGCAGTTTGATCACTCGCTTTCCATGGTTTACGTAGGCATTGGTGAGTAGCCAGGGCTTCACTTTGCTGGTGTCCAAGCTCTCGAGCAGCTTTCGCAGCTTGGGATCAGGTTTCAAAATTGTATCGAGAGGAAGAGCATCGTCAACCTCGTAGTTGAACTCGAGTGGGTCAATCTTGTGGTGGCGGGTAAGACCCTCAATGGCGAGACCGTACTCCTTATAGTATTTCTGGTGCAGCATATGCGCATCCTCGGTACTGAGATCTAGGTGCTTGCAAAAGAACTTATCTGAGGCGCAAAAAATATAATTAGCGAATGGCGCTGTGCAATGGGGTGAAGGCGTTGCTCACTGATCAATTTCCCCATCTCATCATGAATGTTGCATGCTGCGTGCAATTGTCAGTATAGCTCCGTCTGGATCATTCCAGGAAAACCATCCGTACCCTTAGAATAGAGCTGCGAAGTAGATCCTAGTATTAGCTGCGAACACAACTGGTTTCGGTCGTCTTGAACATACACAATTGTCAATGTCGAAGAAGAACACCGGCCGTGAATCGCCGTTGGCGCCGTTGGTGGCCATTGCGAGATAGCGCTGGGGTGGAAAAGACGGCGCGAATCGAGACAAAGGCGGGCGGACGAAGCGAGTAGAAAGAGAAGAGAAACTGCGATGCATAAGGACCTTTTATGTGTCGAAGGGGCAAGTCGGGAACCCTTCTGGGGTCAATCAGACAGCGCCGCGATGACACGAGGTTACCTAATCGGCATTAGCGCGCGCGGCGAAAAAACGGACTCGCAACGGCTTCACTTTTCCTTTCTCTCGTGCCTCACCTCTTAGTGAACTAGAGTCCCCTTCTGGTATATTCAAAGCTCTGCTCACTTCAAGTTGCTATGAGACTGGTATTACACCAGTAATTCCCTTTTGCCACCCCTGGCCTGGTCTTAGACCCCCTTCTTCAAGCTCTCTAAGATGATGGCTACTGCCCATGGGGTTTCGACTCACCTTCAGACAGGTCCAATGGCTGCCTCGGCACCAATAACAGTGAACGAAGTACAGGAGTACGAGCGAATTCTCAGGATCAGCGATGAGATTTTCGCGGGCTCTCATCCGCGTCTCAAGGTTCCGCAGCAGTTTATGCGCAAACCCGCGGTACGCAATAGTCACGGCGGCTCATCTGCCCAGCAGCAGGTGAAGAACAGGTCTTTGGTATCAGAGAATACACTGCTACAAGTAGGGACGCGTTCTCCGAAAGCCCAGGCCTCTGGATCCGGGACCGCACCGTCGACTGCCTCCGCAATTCCCACACCTCCCTCAGCCCGCTTGGCTTCCAAGCCTGTTTCAGAGATCGATCCTATATTTCTGACTAAGTCCGACAAGCTAGTCAGGGCCGAACTTCAGCTTCAACGGCAGAGATTGGAAAGGATATTGCGCGATAAACTGGAGCAGAAAAAAGAAAGCAAGCAGAAACCTGCGCTGTCAGATACACGACCCGAGTTTAACGTTTCGGAGGTTTTTCAGAAAGCTCTCCAGATGGTGGCACCGGTTTCGCTGAGTGAGCCATCTGAGGTGAATGGTGACTCTTTGGACGAGAATTCTCTCTACTCTAGTAGAGCGCCTGACTCTCCAGACGGAGGCCAGCAAAGGTTTTCTCCAGTCGCACCGGCTCGGCCGGTTGGTCTCTCCGCGCGTGTTCCTGTAGAGACTTACGCAGATGAGTTACAGCGACTCGAAACTCTGAACCGACCTGAATCGGATCAGGAAATGCACGATGCTTACCCTGTTGCTGACCAGCGTGCCCCCTCCTCTCAAAAACAGCCATCGTCCGCTCAAGCAGATATTTCCCGTCGACTGCATGAGTCCCAAAAGACGGAGACACTAGAAGAACCAGAATACTCCCCACCGGCTCCAGTAGCACCGCCAATCGACTCCAGGTACTATGAGCAGGGAGCAGCAAATGGTGAGGGCCGAGGCAGATACGCTGATCGAAACCTGGCCACGCAAGCACCGAGATCTCCCGCAGATGTGACCATAGTCCGCCAAAATCACATTACATCACCCGCAGCCCCACGTCCGTCGAGAGTCTCGCCTTTGGCTGTAGCCAAGATGCCTTCTGTCCAGCAAGTTCCTGCCCAGCGACGTCGAAATGAGAGGATGGAGCATGCCCCAGCCCAGGTGATTTCTGACCCAGACTCCGGCCTTGAAAGTCCCAATGGACAAGCACCTCATCTCACTTCACGAAAGCGAAGAAGGTTACACGAGACAGGGGAAGCTGCTCGTAATGTGTCTTATAGACGAAAGGATGCGGAGCCGTCCGATATTTATATCAAAGAGGAACCGATATCTCCTCCGCCATTCGCCGATGATCCCAGCTCCAGCGTGGTTCGAAGTCGGCACCCTGATCAGCAGCAACCCGTGTACATCGACATCGCATCGCCTCAGTACACGCCGGTACTTGAGCGGCAGGAACTCCCGGCCCGCAGGCCAGTCTATGAAAGTGATTCACATTACGAATTTCCTCAGTCCCGTACAATCTCTCAGGTTAGCACCAGGCGCCCTGCTCGGGAGGATGGTGATCTTCGAAGAGTAGCTAGCTTGCAGTTTGCCAGACAGACGGACTATCCTCGCGAGTACATCGAGGCCGATCCCCATAGCGGTCGCGGGGCGTCGTACGCTGTGATGGAACGACCTCAGGAACGCTCCAGATACTACGAAGAAGTACCCTCTGGGTACGGGCCTCAGTATGTCACCCTGGATGACCCGCAGCAGCCTGCCTATCGTGATCCGTATTATGAAGAAGCGCCCCCTCCACGAGTCATGCCTGCGCCTCAACGTCGTTTCGTGGTCGACGAGCATGGAAATCAATACGAAATGGTGCCCACCTCGCGACCTCAGCCAATGGCCCCTCCTCCCCGCCCGATATCTCAACTGCCGAAAGACGTGTACGACGACCGAGGACCTGTTCGCACTGCCAGCGTCCGCGCAGCGTCTGTCGTCCATGATCCCTATGTTGAACGCCGATACATGCAGGAGATGCCCCCTCCCCACCCAGTCTACCGACGTGTCGCTTCGGACTATGCGCGCCCTGTTGTCGGTGAAAGACAACAATACGTCGCCTCAATGGGGAGTCATGATCCATATGGCCGCAGTGGCAGTGTTCAAGTCGCTGAGTATCTTCCACGACGTCAAACCTACGTAGATGAGCAGCCCATCCACCAGGAGAGAGTGATCCGAACAGCCAGTGTCCGGCCCCAGCAAGCTCGTTTTGAAGAACCCCACCATGAGATGGTCCAACGGGTCGGCAGTGTCCGGCCAGCTGGTCCTAGTCGCGATGTCAGCGTCTTCCTTGACGACAGGCAGATGGGCGAGTACATCGAGCGACCATACTACGTCCGAGAGCGACGGTATTTCGAAGCCGATGGTGGAAATCGCGTGGGAATGGACGGTACTGAATCGGTTCGGCGTGTTCCGCAGCATTATTGATGATCTTTATAAATACGTTGAAATCTGCATACTTGCATCTGCATGTCGTCGGCGCATCTCTTTGAATAGTTCCAGGTTTCGACCTTACGAGAATCTTAATCTCACGATGCTGTGATACCACAATCTTAAACTTCCACCTAACTCTAGGGCACGAGCATTGGTAGTTTTCGGTGACCAATTGTTCAGCAAAACTGCCAAGCCGAAACTCAAGGCCTTGGCTAACCCTCCATGAGGTATCGCTTCCTCAGCAGTGGTCTTGCAGGATACTCCGTTACAAGTAGCGCCAAATTTTAGCTATTCAGCTCACTCCATTGATCACGCTCAAAAAAGCCACTGATACTTCTCTAAAAAATAGGCTGTGATTTTCAAGGAAGAACTTCGTCTTTTCCTTGGAACAACCTTCAGGTCGGCTCCGGTCTCTCCAGTACAGCCAATGGTATAACGAGATAACATGACCCTTCCTCGAGTATGATTCTTGATAGGTTTTGAGTTGTCGACGGAGAACGATCAATCAATATGTCTGTCTGAGAAAGCTAAGTGTCAAACGAAGTAGACCTGACATCCAGGCCCGCTACTTCACCCACATGGGCCCTACTATCTTTTTAGATCCTACGTGCTTCGACTAGGACAGACGAAAACATGCATGAACTGGAGGATAGCGCCTTGGTAGATTTCTCATCGCTTTTGGCGAAGGAAGCTGACAGTATAAGTGACTGAAGCAGTGTTCTATTTCCCACTCCTCAGTGAAGGTATCAAGGTGGAAAACACAGCCTCGCGTATGCGCAAGTATACCTCACTAATCTACGCTGGAGTGCCGCCTTGAAATAGAGCCTTACCAAATGACTACAGAAAATACTGCGATGACACGCGACAAAACGATCCTGCGGCCTGGAAGAAGTCGACTTCGTGCAAGGGAGTTTGATTGATGGAGTCACCTCTGAATAGCCCCCCAGAAGGGCTAATGAGTAAAGTATGTGAATGATGATGAAAGCAAGCTTGGAAAATTGGGAAGACCCACGATTTGGCAAGCTAATCAAGCATGTCAAATGGCAGTAAAATATGGTCCATAATGCAGATGCACGACTTCCAGGGATAATTAATCCCTACGCTAATTTGCAAGTGCTTAAGCAGCCGCGATGTTCATCACGTGGCCCGTGTGTTGAATTGAACGGATGTAAACTGTATGCTCTGCGGCGAATAATGAAGCTGATGGAGACGGACTTCGAAAGATCAAGTCCTTGAGCGAGGCAAACGCGCCCTGTTCCTCTTGTTTGTCAGGTATGTCCTTTGAACATGTTCTTTCAATTGCCACAGTAATTCGGGTAAGGGTAAGCCGGGACCGCCCCTGTGACGCGGGGGCTGGCCGAATCAGGGAAGGCCCAGACATTCCTGCTTAGAGCGATGGAACGGAGGCCTTATCGATCAATGTCCAGACTGATCGTACTTTCATGAATGGGTCTAGAAGGAAAATGGCTCCACTCCCCAATGATGTCCAATGCATTTGGTTCGGCAGTCCTTTCTGGGAATCATCTTCCGTACTTAGACAGCTTTGGGGCTTGACAGGCAAGGTGAAGTCTCGTGGGAATTATATATTCACATTCCGCTTAGAGATAGGACCCATTGCTTGAAAGTTGGGAGGGGGCGGTACCCGCTGTTGCGAGACTTTCATCCAAAGCATAGATCACGGCCCGCGAATACTTCGCTAGTCCCAAGGTTCTGGGAGCTGTCTCGTTAAATGTGTATCTGTGTATCTTAGTTCCTCTAGGCTGATTATATTGTTTTGGCCATTCGAGCACAACGGCCCGGGCGGGACCCTGGGAACGCCTGACGGCGCTTCGACCCTCCAGATCTACCTGAAACATCATCTGTCAGCTACAGAACTACCACACCCGGTTTCAAGGATGTTGAGAGCATCATTATTGAACTCTACAGGTCAATGGCATCCTCAAGTCCGGGGCTAGTACCAACTTTCGGGTAGGCACTAACGAGATAACGACTCTACCCAAGGTACTGCATCCCCCCACCGGGGCCCCAGAGCTGGGGGCAAAGTGGCGACAGCACCTGCAGTCAGCTTGGCAAGCAGGCGTGCGGTCCAGTCGGAATTGGTGAAGAGGTATCGAGGCCTCACAAAGCTGAAGAGCATTTGACCCACCCTCCGCCTATACGAGAGAATGACGTCGACCACTTGAGCCTGTCAAACTCGGGCCGTGTGAGTGGCCATCGATGGGAGGGAAAGGGTGGACTTTGGGACTTTCACGAATAGCGTACTTTTGTTGTAGCTTGAGGATTTGCCCCGTGGTCATGGCACATCACTGACCATCACTGATCACCACTAATCACTACTGATTATTGGGCAGACGCGTGAGGTCCCCCTAGGCATCAGTGGTATTCTCACGATCCACATGCCGGGGATCATGACCGCAGCAGCGACAGGCTGGGCCGGCGGCCGTGTCCGGGCCAGCCGGCCCAGCAATGGGCGTCCTATCACTCTCGCGATTCCCTGAAAGTGGATCCGGGGGGGGTTCAGATACATGCGTCGTACAGGGCTCTTCGTCCCGGGGCCTATGAGGGGACAAGCCCGTCGTTCGGGGAGTACGTGCATTTACACACACGGAAGGACTCGGATCCCGAAGATTCACGGCCTGAAACTTGGATGGATCTGCGCCAGAGAGCCAGCTGCTTTTGCCCTTCAATCCCTCGTGGAAAGCAGGTTGGACCAGACTCACTGGTCTCACGTGACGCACTCGCTTGAAGAGAAACCGACATAGACTCTCGAGCTTACTAGGGATGGGAGAGGAGAATCCAGGACACAGGTGAGATGCAATCAAAGTCAGAGGCATATCAGGTCTGGGATACCAGGATAGAACAACCCTTGCGAGGGCATCAGTCGGATCGACTGCATTCTTCTGCGAGGGAGGCAGTGCTGAAATGTGGATTCGGCTGCGACACCAGTACAGGAAGAGGACAGACACATTCATCTGGGATGTCATTACACCACGTACGAATATAGGGGGCACTCAGATGAACAATGAAAAGGGGCGAGGTCTTCTCAACAATTCATGTCAAATATAGTCCGTAGGGTCTGGAGGGTCGTGAAATGACCCGCACAACTGACGACAGACCATGACTGTGCCATTTATTTACTACGATGTACCAATGACTATTTACTGTTTTCTCTGAAGGTTAAGAGAAGGAAACGGATTGAATGGATTAAATTCACTTTGATTTAAGCCAAGTCTAGTTCGAATTCTAGCCCGGTGTGTTGGTCCGTTCCCCTCATCGATCGATCTTCGTTTCCACCATTCCCGAAACGCCCACACAGCGCCATTCCTATCCCTGTCAAGACCTTTGAACCCTTCCACTCCCACCCCCCAACGCTCCTCCCTCTTCCCCTCGATATCATAGGGGCGAGAGTGTGAAATCCTCCCCCGCTGGTCATGCACAAGATCTCCAACTTCACGGGCCAGGCCCGTCATGGTTGGGAACGAATGACGCCGACTTTCGGGATGTCCAGACCTCACACCGACATGGCCTTTCGCCGGCCACACGGTGCGCCGCCTATGACTCCTCCGACGAGTATCGATCCTACCGTCAATCTCTCCTTCAATATCCCATTCTCCTCCACCCTTGCCGGTCCCGATGTCGAGGACGTGCTCCACGCTAGCCCCGGCGCCCTGCAACGTTGGACCTTCCCCGAGGGCACCCCAGAGGGAACGCCGGTGCATCAACTGCCCGTGCACACCAGCAATGTCGATGGCTTGCATAGGTTATGTCGCCAGATAACAGAAACCAGTGGTGGTCGGATCGAGGCCTCGTTGACTTCCTCAGAGCCCAAGGCCTCGCTATCGTTGCAACGGCGGCCCAACGGCTTGGTGACAAATGTCTGTGTGACGGGCGATGGCGAGACTGTGCGGAAGATGCGGGCCAAGATCTTGAATGAAACTCCCATCATGCTGGTATGTGGTTGAATTTTTTTTCTTTTCACTCCCGCACCGGTGGGTGTAAGCGCCTTGAAGTCATCCCTTGCTAACATCACGCCAATTACTAGCGATGCGCGACCGTTGATGTCGATATGCACCTGATCATGGACGGATCTCCAAAGGGCATTCGAGCTAGCGTGCTTGAGCACATGGACACCTTGGCTGCCTACACCGGCACAGACATTTTCCTACTGACACCCAAACTTCATGATGCTGACAGTGCGGTGGTATCGTCTTATGGCTATGCATCTGATAGCGGCCTCGAGCAGCGTTTCCGAGTTGCCATCTATGGTGATATGGAGAGCTCCGAGCATGCCAAGACGCGGGTTCTGATCATGATTGATCAAATTGTGGGTTTTGTGTGTATCTAACTCGACTGATTGTGAGACTGACATTGAACTAGCTCAAACGCCACGTGGACGCTATCAAGCTGGAGCTGACCATGCACACCTTGGTCTGCGGCCGCACCCGCAAAAATATCAAGCTCATCGAAGCCGCGACTGGCACCGCCATCTACTTCCCCCCACCGTTCCCACGAATCTTCGGCTATACGCCTCCCGGTGCGAACCGTCGAAGCGAGGATGAGGTTTATATTACTGGCGAGACTCCGGAGCAGATCGCTCGGGCTAAGCAAAAGCTTCGAGAGCTAGTGATGGGTGTCAAAATATACGTCAAGGATGTTGTGGTCAACTCGAGCAAGATCGACAACATCCTACTCGACCGGCTGGACAAGGTTCGCAAGGTCATGGAAATGAACGGCTCTTACGTCCTATTCCCGCAATTGGGCAGCCAGCGCGGCCTTGTTCGGATCCAAGGCACCGAGGTGTTGCATGTCGAGCGAACTGTGCGGGAGATCATGGCTCTCGTATGTCTGAAGAATGTACGCAACTTGTGGGTATTCGCTAACGTTTACTTCCCAGGCTGGTCAATTCTATAGCGCCTCATGGTGGATCATCATGCCCGATCCCGCTCAGGGCGGCGCCCGTGCCCCTTCGACTGCCGATGTTAGATCAATGCTCTCGGATATCTGTACTAACTCTGAAGCCGAGGTCAGCTTTGACAATCTGACTTTTACCATCAATGGATCCGACGATGCCGTTAAGGCTGCCATGACCGTTGTCAACCAGATTCCCTTTGTCACGCGAAGCCAATATCAGATGCGGGTCAAGATCGAACTGGCCAACGAACACAAAGAGTTTGTCAGTGGCAAGAAGAACGGCAAGATCAACAAGATTATGGGCCAGAGTGAGTGGCTTGGCGGATCAATACTTTTTGTGACGGATCACTAACAATCCCAAAAGGCAACGTACAGATTATCTTTGACGGTTTCAACGAATATAACTTCTATATCGACGTGTGCGGCAACCAATACGAGTCGACCAAGAACGGTCTGGATTTGGTCGAGCAAGAAATGCCCGCTTCCATCTCTTTCCACGTCCCCGACCAGTACCACAAGCGAATCATCGGCATCGGAGGACAACATATTCAGCGGATTATGAAGAAATATTCTGTCTTCGTCAAGTTCTCCAACGCGATGGACCGCGGTGGAATGGGCAAGGAGGATGACGATATCAAGGTTGATAACGTGATTTGCCGCACACCTGCTCGCAATGCCCAGAGCCTGGATCTTGTCAAGCAAGAGATCATGGACATGGTCGAGAAGGTTGACGCCGAGTACGTCTCGGAGAGAGTTGTCATCAATCGCCTATACCACCGCGAGCTCCTGGCCCGCATGACTGAGATTGACGAGTTGGAGAAGAAGTGGAACTGCAAGATTGAATTCCCCAGCACCGAGCTCGCCAGCGACGTGGTGACGATCTCCGGTCCGGAGTACCAGGTCCCTCAGGCGGTTGATGCTCTGCTAGGCATGGTTCCGGAGAGCCATGAGCTTCACTTCCAGAGCTCTGCGGAGCTCCGCGGTTTCTTCAAGTCGCCTGATTTCCTTGCCGACATTCGCACCAAGCTCAAGGAGCAGTACGAGGTCGATATCAACGTGGACACTACCGCCGACCTTCCCGCCAAGGAGGAAGGCTCTGGCTCCAATTCCGGCTCCGGCACATCATCGCCTGATCCTGCCCCGGAAGACCGAGTGGTTCTCGGCTATACCCGCAACAACGCTGGCGGTCTTAAGGATGCCATCGACTTCCTGATCTCCCGCCTTGTTGCTCATGGTCTCAATGCGAACACCGTCAAGGGTGCGATCCCTCGCCCCAAGTCGGACTCCTTTGAGGAGTCGCTGCCCTTCTTCGACTCGAAGCTGCTGCAACATGCCCCGGTCCCGCTCATGACGGACTCGCCCACGCGACCCAGCTTCGCCGATGAGACTAGCGAGCGCGGCTCGATCTTCGAGCGCCTCCGCAAGCCTGGAAGCATCTCTTCTTTCTCTTCGTTCATCGGCCGGAAGAACCACTCCGCCTCGCCGGGTTCGTTCTTCAAGCACGCCTCGAGCAACGCCTCGAAGGCGTCTCTGGTTTCCATGGAATCCCGGGACAGTGGCTACCGCAACCCGTGGAACGACTCCGGCGTGAACCTCCCGGAGGACGACCTGCCGGTTCTGGGCAGCTCGCACAGCCACAAGAGCAGCAACAGCAATGGCTGGCCTACGCGCTTCGACGCCAAGTTTCCCTTCGGCACGGCGCCAGGCGACATGACGCCCAAGCATGAACCTCGCGCTTCTTTTGACAGCGGTCGCCCTAGCACTTCGAATTCTACTTCTGGATACCCGGCCCCAATTGGGCCACCGCGTTAAACCCAAAATATCCATTTACAGCAGTATACCCTTTTGGTTGATTTGTTTCCAGCGTGTGTGTTTCGGTTTATTTTTCTTTTGATTTATTTTTGGTTCTCTGAATTTTGTTGATTGATACCACGGAACGCAAGCAACGAAGGCGTCAGAAAAGAAAAACGAGATATCCAAGATCTGCGTGACATGGAGCGGGATTCTCCCCCGTTCTTTGTGTATTGTTTTGCTTTTGGAGGGAGAGAGATGTGATACCTCTCTTCTTTCTCTCCCTCCCAATCCTTTGCGTTTGATGATTTTGGATGTGTATGGGAGGAAAGAGATTGAGTCGCAGTCTATACCCGACATGATACTAAGGGTCAGTCTGGTTTACGCGGGAGTTTGCAATTGATCTTCCAATCGATGTTTACTCTTTTGATATCCCCATCAATGAGATTTGACCTGGAGACGATTTCCATCTCATAACTAGCAACGAGCAAGTAGCAACTGTCAGCCTAAGCTGCGACGTGGAAGTCTAACGATTTCCCCGCTGACGTAGCAACGTGGGGTCTAACATCATACCCCGTAATGTAGCTTGAAAAGTTCCCCTTTTTTATAGTTCTACATCTAATAATCCATCCCGTGTACTTATTCAGTTACCAGCACAACATTTGAGAATGGCCTATCCACGCCCCGACTTCCAGCGCAAATCACTCAACTGGGCCTCCCTCGACGGACCCTGGGCCTTCATCTTCGACGACCTTGATACAGGCTTCTCCGAACAATGGCATCACAAAGGCCTGCCATCCCAAGCAGACACCAACAGCAAAAAAGAAATCCAAGTCCCTTATGCATTCCAGACCCCGGCATCAGGAATCAATTTCCTCGAAGCCCACGAAGTAATGTGGTACGAGCGAACCATCCAAGACATCCGCACCGCCTCTGAAAAAACCCACGGAAACAGACTTCTCGTCCGCTTCGGCGCAGTCGACTACGAATGTTCCGTCTGGGTTAATGGTGGTCTTGTCGGATCTCACCGAGGAGGCCATGTCCCGTTCGACGTGGACGTTACGGATGCATTGCACTCTGATACTGACGCTCGACTTACGCTGCGCATTAGAGACTCACCATACGACCTGGCCCAGCCGCGTGGAAAACAGTACTGGAAACCTGTGCCGGAGAGTATCTTTTACACACCTACGGGGGGGATCTGGCAATCGGTCTGGGTGGAGAGTGTCCCGCCTATGCGATTGGCGTGTAGTAGTGGTGGCACTGTGCTTCGGTCGGATGATATTGAGAGAGGGGAGCTTCATGCTCGGATTGCCGTGATGGATCGCAAGGCACGGGCGGAGTGCAGTGTTGAGGTTGAGGCGAGTCTCGGGGGTTACTTTGTTGGGAAGAACAAGGTGACGCTTCCGGCGGAGAGGAATTGGGTGAATGTGGATTTGAGCATGAGGGTTTCTAATGCGGTGGAGATGCAGGGGAAGGCACCGTTTGGTGGTGAAGGGGCCTGGTGTGATGGCGTGGCACTGTGGGCGCCTGAGCATCCGATTCTGTATGATTTGATACTGCGCCTTTATGATGCTTCGGGAGAGGTGGTGGATGAGGTCGAGACGACGACGGGAATGCGGAGCTTGTCATGGACTACGGGAGACGGGACTTTCCGATTAAACGGAAAGCCGCTATTCCAGATGTTATTCCTGGATCAGGGCTACTGGCCTGAGACCGGAATGACGCCTCCTTCTTCCGAGGCGCTCAAGGCGGATATTGAGATGGCGAAGGCTGTGGGATTCAATGGATGCCGCAAGCACCAGAAAGTTGAGGACCCGAGATTCCACTATTGGGCTGATCGACTCGGTTTCCTCGTGTGGGGGGAGATGGCCAATGCCTATGAGTTTGGAAGTGACTACATGGACCGGATGAATAGCGAGTGGACCGAGGCCGTCAAGCGAGATCTCAACCATCCGTGTATCATCACCTGGACCCCGAACAATGAGAGCTGGGCCTATACGTCGCTGAAGGATAACATTGACCAGCGCAACCACATGCGTTCGCTATACTACCTGACCAAGTATGTATACCAATCATCCAGGATCAACCGAGAAGTGAAGGGCTGACGCGAAAAAGAACTCTGGATCCAAGTCGTCCAATTAATGACAACTGCGGCTGGGAGCACGTCTTAACCGATCTAACCACCTACCACGACTACGCCGACTCGTCCGAGCTTACAGCCACATGCTCAAAGATGGAGGGAGGGATCCTCGGCCCAAAAGCAGGCCACGACTTGTTCACCAAGCCCATCTACTCCGGTTTCTCCGGCCACACGCTCCTCGACCCAGGAGCCCAACACAAAGCAGGGGCCCCGGTGATCTGTACTGAGTTCGGAGGTGTCAACATCGCACCGGCAAAGGATGCGAAGGCCGGTGATCGGGACTGGGGATACACGACTGCCACGGACCAGGAAGATTTCTTGAAGCGGTTTGAGAAATTGGTTATGGGTATTGTCAAGGGCGGACATACCTGTGGCTTGGTGTATACGCAGCTGTAAGTTCGGCTTGGCTGTGGGTAGCTTTGGCGGGATGCTGACTCTCTCACAGGTGTGATATCGAGCAGGAGGTTAATGGGTTGTACTCGTATGATCGCAAGGCCAAGGTACCTATTGACAAGGTCAAAGCCGTGATGGACGCTGCCAGTGATTACTATCATCAGCATGTCCAAACTCATGGACCGAAGGGGTTCAAGAAGCTTTTGCATTCTTTGCACCGAAACTGAGGTAAACTCCTTCCGGGAAAATAAGAGATCTATTGACCTTGTAGAGATGCACATGATCATGAATTAAAGGTTCTTAATGTACTGTGCAACCTTTACAAGAATCAAATTTGAGAAATACCAAATGGAACCAGAATCTTGCTTCATCCTCATTAGAACTACGAGTCAGAAAAGACCCGGTAAGTTTGATTCGCTCAATGTGCAGGCTCAAAGGAAAAAGAAAATCAAAGCACAACCAGGCGATCTAAAGCCCATAAAACGCCAAACATGCCAAAAGACCATTTTCTCGGAAATTTGGTGCGCTGTAGATATGCATAGTACAGGAGAAATTAGTAGCGCAAAGGAATGTTGGCACATCACATGTTCGCCAGCTCGTGGTCAATCTGGCGGTCCAGGAAGGCTCGTTTGTCACCAGCGAGTGAGGTTTGGAGACGCTGTTCAACGAGGACGCGGACTGAGGATTTTGTTAGCTATTCGTCTTTTGATGGAGAGAGGTGAGGGAACTGACCCTGCTTCTTAGTGACTGTGTCGAGGTCCACCTCTGCTAGACATCCGCGAATGGCTTCGGTGATGGATCCCTCATCGGGACCACTGCCACTAGCAGCACGGAAGTCAAAAGCGGTGCTCGCAGGTCGCGAAGGGGGGTATTGAGCCATCGGACTACGAGCCCGTCCGGCCAGGAGGTTGTCAGTGCTTACGACACCAAGACTGTGACGGCTCTGGTGGCCCGGGTGGTCTTGGTAACCACCGAGGTTGGCGACAGACATCGGGCGAGAAGCTGGTGCAGCATGTCCGCCACCCATTTGAGGTAGATCGGTGTAGCGGGAGAAGTGGGACATGTGCGAATTGCGGTTTCCAGGCATATTGTGTCCTGCATAAGGCGCAGGTGACTGCGGAGGCATGTAGAGACCAGATTGACGACCATGGCCAGGGAAACCGGTCAAAATTGTCGAGGCTGGCTTGACGGACGAGTACTGAGAGTGCATGTCGTCCATCTCCATGGCCATTTCATCGTAACGACCGGTGAAGCCCTTCTCTTGGCTAATTTCACCACGGCGGCCAGGGAGATTGTTGGCCAGCGCGTAGTCGTCCCAACGCTGCAAAGGAATGCTGCGAGGGTCGAAGGCTTCATCCTCCACTGCAATGACACGCTTGTCCCCCTTTTCACCGATGACCACGCGGGTGCTACCCCAGGTGAAATCGTCCTGCTTCCAGAAAGAGTACAGCGGTAAGACGAAACTGTAGATGGGGAAGGCGAGGAGATAAATGATCATCCATCCAATGTGCTGCCACTGGCGCTTAATGAGGAAAATTATTGCTTGAAGACCGTAGATAGCGGCAAGCATAATGATTGAAATCAAGGGGAATGGACCAGTGTCGCTAGCGACACGGTAGACCAGGTATCCCAAGTAGACACACGTAGCGGGCAAGATGACTGTTCCCAAGAGATCCACGAGTACGACGAAGCGCATACTGAAGCAGCAGAAACCGCAAAGATCCTTGAGAGCAGCCAGCTCCACCAAATTGTGAATGGTCGAATTAATCCAACGACGACGTTGAGACATAAGCACACCCCATGTCTCAGGAGCGGCTGTACTTGCGTAGGCATCCGGGAGGAACTTATACCGCATAGTCGGGAAGTGCTTGGTCATTAGAGTCGTCAAGAATCGATCCTCTCCCAGCGACAACAAGTTTTTCTTGTGGAGAGTGTCGACATCAATATCCGCGTATTCCTCAACAACCTTGTCGGCAATGATCAGAGGCCGGCCCTTATCCGCGGTTCGAAGACGGTACATAGTAAAACTAGATATTGTTAGCGACAATAGCGCATGTGAAACCTGAAAAAATTACTCACCATCCGGGAAGACAAGTCACACTGCCGAACAGCGACTCGAAGGCTTTGGACAAATGATGCGAGATGTAGTATTCGTAGACCTGAATCATGGTCCACCAAGTGCGCTCCTCGTTTGCAAGACTGGTCTCACCACAAATACCCGCAATTTTAGCATCGGCAGCGCAAGCCGCCACCAAACGATTCAACGAATCTTCCTTGACAGTGGTATCGGCGTCGACCATGAAGCAATACTCGTACAGCTCCGGGTCCACACCAATGACGTTGTTGATTTGATGGAAGATCTCGAGCTCCATGGGTGACATTGGGCCACGGTGGTGAACGCGATTCAAGAAATGCATCAGAAGTACTTGCGAGTCTCGCTTACCACGGTTACCTGGCTTCGATTTTCTTTGTTCGGATTCTTTGCCGACCTTGACCACGACGATGTAGGGCACAACATTGCCCTCATATTCGTATAGGCCAGAGTAAATCTTGGCGTAGTTGAGCTGTTCACTGCCCTGACCGACGGATCTGAAAGGCAGAGCAGGCGGGTCCATCTTGGGATCTACTCCCAGAATGTCAAGGACAATCTTGGGTGTCGGACGGTCATTTCCACCACCGACAATCATACCGTCACAGATGACGAAGATCAGCTTTCTCTTGTTGTCGTATTGAAGGGCAGTGAGGGAGTCGAGACCCTTTCGCAAAGAATCTTCTCCTTCTGTGTAAGCGGGAACCATGCAGATGACGAACTTGTCCTGTGGTGAGGGGCGACGTTTAGATCCCAATTGCAGAGCCGCCAAGAACTTCACACCGATAACGCAACAAATCAGAATAGTGAAGGTCAGAAGAATCCAGTTATTGACTGTGCAGCGAGCATCTTCTCGGAAGTCGACCTTGCCTTTGTAAAAGACATAGTCCAGACACGTCTGGACCTTTCGAAAATCTTCCGTATCCGGCCACTTGTCTGTCACATCTTCTCCCATGTTTTCCTTGAAGAGCTTGGTCACCGCGTCTGGCAAGAAATCATAGGATGAGAGATTATTCTCGAGTGAGACTGTGTAGATGTAGTCTGTGAGATCATAGATCTTTTTATCTTTGATGACCCAATAACGAGAGTCATCGTTCGCTTGTTTCATGACAGTATCTCTGGTCCAAACCAGCTCGCCCTTGTAGTATTCCGCGATTTTGGGCAGGAAAATATCTTGATACCAGGTAATTTTGTGCAGGGCCGTGGTAGGACTTGGTTTGTTGACAGGTCCAGACGAATGTACAGCGCTGACGTCCGAGACGGCAGTGGTGTCATTATTCGACAAATTGATCGATTCACTCTTGACGTAGTCCGAGCAATACACTGTCAGAGGTGGGGGGAAGTAGGCATCTAGATTCAAGCCAGCAAACTGTTTCATGTTGGAAGACGTTGTGTCGGTCCCGTCATCACTGTGTTGCTGTTTCCAGAATTTGGAAATGTCATACACCCGGCCATGAATGCTGACGAAGAAGTTATTGTCTTGGGTATGCCAGCTAACCTCCTTGTTGTTCCAAACTTTGTTCTTGTTGGGACAGAGAAGGTCACCGAAGGCCATGATATAGAAGCAGACAACAGCATTGAAGAGCAAGATCAGGAAAACCAAGACAACTTTCTCTCTCCACGCCATTCGAACGTCAGGACGCTTCATACGACCAACGTAGCGAAGCAAGAAAGACGGAATCCAGAAGGTCATGGCCCAGACAAAAGCAGTCCATGCCCGGCGACCGAAGGTGATCTTCTTTTTCTCAATGTGCTTCGGGTCACCGAATTCGGGATCGAGGTCACCAATATACCGACCATAGTCATCATAGTAGGCAATATCTCCTTTGTTGTCGTCACCTTTGTGGCCAAGACCGTAGTCACCAGGACTAGCAGCATGCGTCAAGGGTGCACTAGGAGCAATAGACTTGGCGCCTCCCATGACGCTCGGGGCAAGCATCGATTGTTGCATGAGGAGATCGTTCTGGCTTCCCAGCAGATTGGTGCCCTCGCCAACGGCATGGCCGTCTGGAGTGAGACCCGGCTCATACATGGCAGCGCCATAGATGAAAGGATTCTGGAGGGTGGCATCCGGTTTCAGATCTAACATGGACTCTGCTTCCCACCACGCACCCTCTCTCATCCAGATTCGTTGGTGGCCAACGACGGCGTCGCCGTTACTCCAGCCTCGTTCAATAATCCAGTTTTCAACGCCATCTTGGCCTTCTGTGCAGCCAAGCCGTTCGTAGCGAGCTTCGAACTCCTCAATATCGAAATCCGCAGTAAAGTCAAGCTGCTTGAGACGACGATTGGCCCACTCAGGGAGTCGCCAATCCCGCAGCTGGCGCGACACAGCACCAGCGGACCAAGCCGGAGAGGACAAATTGAGCTGACCCGGTAAGTCATCAGTGGGGTGAATGGAGAGATGGTACCAGACACGGCTGCTACCGAGAGTAGTGGCAAGGTCGAAGCGCCCATGCTTGCCGAGAGAGATTTCCTCGGTCTCGTCTGGGAACAACAACTGGCGCAAGAATGAATCCGCCTCGACTTCGACTCCAACCTTTTCTAAGACTCCTTGACGTCTGTCAAGATCATGTTCCCGCTCCCGCCCAGCAGCCCCGGTCGTGATACCAAGATCTGTCTCGACTTGGGCTACTGCTGTGTTCATTTCGTTAATGACCGACTGGCCGACAGGCGGGATAGTGATTCCATCTTCTTTCATCTCAGCATTCAAACCAAGGTCATCATCAAACACTCCTCTCATTGCGATAGCTTTACCAAGAGCTGGGCGCGGGACGTCGACCACAGTCAGGCTGACGGTGTCCTCGTTAGCAATGTGAGCTGCACCAGCACCACCGTTGCTGGAGTCATTTTCTAGTGCAATCTGGATCTCAGCTGCAATGGCATCGTTTGCCTTGCCAATCACCCAGTCCACGAGAGCTTCATAGATCCCAGCAATTAGGATCTCGCGCTCATCAGTGGAGCACTTGTGCAATAGTATCTCAGGGTCAACCCCCAGAAGACCACCTACATCTTCGCAGACTTCCTCCAGCTCTTCTTGGTCAACCTCCAGTCCAGCTGCGTTACCGAGCTTGAGGAGACCTGCAAGGACCGTGAGCAGACCTCGCTGGGAGGCTCCCTTGATACCAAGGGCCTTCAAGTGAGCTCTGAAATCTTCAGCCGAAGCTGTGTCATCGGCTGTAGGCAAATAAGTTGGAGGTGAGTAGGTCCCAGATCGATTTAGCAAGGCATATGTTGAAGGATCTTGCAAAGCCAGGAATTCACGCTCAGCGGGCGTGGAAGCAGATGTCAAGAGGTAGTAAAAAACGTCGAATGCACGGAAACCCGCCTCCTTGGGTATTTCCAGTAGACCCTTGCGCACATTGATGCCGGAGCTAGACAAGGCCAGAGAAAGACCCACGACTGTACCCTGAAGGGTCAAGGTGTAGGAAGCTGATAGGGCGGAGTGTAGCGAATATGACGGGTTAAAGGAGGTGACAGCGGATAGGAATGGTCGCAAAGCGGCTAAAGCAGTCAATGCCACATCTGGAGTGGGGATAGGGAGTGCCGTAATAAATGGTTCCAGCAGTGAGGGGGTAGACTGGTGGAGTGAGCTATTAAAGTGTTAGCGCATGCTACCGAGCAAAGTAATTCAGAGGGTGAATTGTACCAAAGAACCACACAACCATCCTCAGCTCGCCTCCGGGCGTGTTCCCAAGCCCGGACGGCCAAATCCCGGTCAACAGTCGCGCCGCTGCGGCCATCGGGGAGAGTTGTGCCGGCGGTCACCCAGGTGTTCACCACCAAGCTGGTGCCCGCGTCGAGCTGGTATGACTGACCAGCGCTGTAAAACGAGTGGAGGGCATTCAGCAGCGTGGTGGTCGAGACCTGCGTAGCATGTTGTGAGGCCGGCCGAGGTCCAGCCGAAAGTCCGGCGGACTGGTTGGAAAAGACTGAGTAGCGGTTCGACATCGCGAACCCGGTGTGTGAGAACGGTCCCAGCGGTCACTGAGTCCCCAGTGTCCAGATTACCACACCAGCATTGAAGGGGGAACGTTCTTGAAAAGCCGTGACAGATCGCAGATTGCGTGTTGGAGCTGGAATGCGAGTGTATACGAGGGGGAATGGCGCAATAACAAAGCGAGATTCCCGGGGTGTATACTCCGAAGGATTGAGCGAGCGACTGGAGAACAGGGGAAAAGTTGATGAAGGGGAAGCAACAGAGGAAATCGAAAAAAAAAAAAAAAGGAGAGAGAGAGAGAGAGAGAGAGAATAACGGAGATAAGGTCAGTTGGAAAGTGATGGGCGTGGGGAGAACAGGTGAAAAATACGGGGGGCCCCTTAGGTCCTACGCAAAATACCGTCGATCACCAGATCGCCGTAAGAGCTGACAAGCTTTCCACTCTTGTACAATTTTTACCACCCGGGTATCCGATGCACAAGGTTCGGCACAGAGGACTAACACTCGGTCTTATAGTATATTGGATATTCCACGATTGAGTCTATTGTAATACTCTGTCCCCAGCGAGATGAGGAATTTCCTGGTGTTTACTTTTGCTTCACCCTGAATCTGTCAGGTGATGGCCTATACTTTCGACCCAATCAGGCTATACCAGATGGGGCTCCCGAACCGGCCTGAAGCAAAGTCTTGCCCACGGGTCTATATTTGGGATGTCTCACAAAGGGGCTGTACTGTACGGACCGAGTTCTAACGCCGCTCGCCACCTAGGGATACTGTACAAGTGAGAACACCCAGCTTGGTCATACGGTCAGAAATGTTCAGCCACGAACCCCTAGTTTCACGGGCCCGTCCATTGTAGAAGAGATCGCTCCACTCGGCTAGGTTCGATGTAGCCATGAGCGGGTTCCAAGGTTTCTTGATTTTTTTTTTTTGACATGTCGGAAGTTGATATTATTAATGCACCACTTTTAAAAAAAAAAACACAAACAGTAAGGGATGCAAGAGATGAAAGGCACGGGAGCTTTGATGCATATTACATATTACGGGGCCCAAGAGGGGAAAACAGGGACTAGACCCTCACCGGGTGGCGCCGTGTTGATGTACTTGAGACCCCAACTCGATTAGCGCGTGAGGTGTAACCAGCGGTTACCGTGGCACTAGGAAATCGCTGTGTTTGAAATGGCTTCGATTATGATCCCTAGGTATCGAATTCAATGAGAGTATCAAGTTTCTAGCGTTATTCGACGAAGTAGGTGTCGCTTGGAGCTTGGCCGGTATTAGCGTGCTAATCCACACTTGTAAAGGGGAAAAAAAAAACAAAGTGGATATACCCGAGACACCCAATCCATCCCCTTCGATTGCCATCTATTTTCGGTCCCTCTTAGTGTTCTTACGGTTCTTAGTGCGTAACTGGTATCAATACCTAGCTACACATCCCCGGACCGTCTTATCTCTTTTTTTGTGGTCCAGCTTGTTCTTTCTCTCTTTCTCTATTTGAATTAATACCCTGATGAACCTTTCCCATTGCTAAGGGGTTTGTCATTCCTCTTCAACATTCCAAAGTCCACGTTCATCTGGACAAACCGAGACCCTAGTGCTCTCGACTTCCTAGAGGACCGCCCCTGATCGGTGGTCTTCGTACGCTCGTTACTCCATCCCACTGAAGCCTCAGTGCGGATATCTCCCACCATGGCGGGCAACATCACCGGCGCTCCGGCCCACGCCCAGTCCTCTTTACCCTCACTGCCCGCACATCTTCAATCCGATACTCATCTCACAGCACATCTCGCCAGTCGGTACGTTTAGAAGCTCGGGTTCCGGGAGAAGGAGATGCTAACACAGCACAGTTTCCATGTCGGCTTACCAACGGCACGCCTCTCGTCCCAGGCATTGATCTCGCTGAATACATACACTTCGGCATCCAAGGGTCCGGATGGCGCAAAGGAAGGGAGTGCCGCGGGAGAGGCCGACGATCTCGCGCGTCGGGCTTTCACTCGGCTGGGAGCGCGCGCGGAGAACCAGGCGGTGGTGTTCTTGTAAGTCGACCACCAGGGGATGTCTATGAATTACAGCTGACTCCGGATTCCAGAGGAGAGAGTGGATCTGGTAAAACCACCATTCGCTCACACCTGCTATCATCTTTCCTGTCGTTCTCATCAACTCCACTCTCCTCTAAACTCTCATATGCCGCTTTCGTTTTCGATACCCTTACTACCACCAAGTCCGTGACCACTCCGACTGCTTCCAAGGCCGGTCTGTTCCTCGAATTGCAGTACGATGGCTCCTCCTCCCTGAACCCCACCTTGATCGGTGGTAAGATCATCGATTACCGATTGGAGCGTAGCCGTCTCTCTTCCGTGCCCACTGGTGAACGCAGCTTCCACGTACTCTACTACCTTCTGGCTGGTACGAGTCCTGCCGAGAAGACTCATCTTGGACTTGACAACGCCATTAATGTTCAGACGAGGGTGGTGGCTTGTCCTCTGGAACGATTAACCATAAGCGATGGCGCTATCTCGGCCACCCCACCCAATTAAAGGTTGGTGTCAATGACGGGGAGGGTTTCCAGCATTTCAAGACCGCCCTGCGTAAGCTTGAGTTCTCCCGTGGCGAGATTGCCGAAATCTGCCAGGTCCTGGCCACTATCCTTCACATTGGACAGCTGGACTTTACATCTGGACAGTTCACTACCACGGGTGCCGAGGAGAGCGGTGGCTACTCCCACGAGGGGGGGTGAGATGGTGACTGTGGTCAAGAACAAGCAAGCTCTTGAGACCATTGCTGCATTCCTGGGCCTCAGTGTAGGATCCCTAGAGAATAGCCTTGGCTATAAGACCAAGACCATCCACCGCGAGCGCGTCACAGTCATGCTGGATGCCAAGGGTGCTAGAGAAAATGCTGATGCTTTCGCCCGCACTCTTTACTCGCTTCTGGTCACTTGGGTGATCGAGAATTTGAACCAGAAGATCTGCGCTGCCGAGGATAGCGTTGCCAACACTATTTCCATCGTCGACTTCCCAGGATTCGCTCAATCCTCAGCGACTGGCTCGACACTGGATCAGCTGCTGAGCAATGTAGCAACTGAATCTCTCTATAACTACTGTTTGCAGTCCTTCTTCGACCGCAAGGCCGATGTTCTTGACCGCGAGGAGATTTCAGTCGCTGCGACATCTTATTTCGACAACGTTGATACTGTTCGCGGGCTTTTGAAGCATGGCAACGGTCTTTTGAGCATCCTGGACGACCAGACGCGCCGTGGGCGATCCGACGCCCAATTCCTTGAAAGTGTCCACAAAAGATTTGACGGTAAGAACCCAGCCATCTCAGTCGATTCCGCTGGCGCGACCAGCACTGGCTATGTTTCGCAGGCCCGCTCAGCATTCACCATCAAGCATTTCGCTGGTGAGGTAGACTACTCTGTCCATGGCCTGATCGAAGAGAACGGAGAAGTTGTATCAGGCGATTTGATGAACTTAATGAAATCCACCCAGAGTGACTTTGTTCGTGATCTTTTCGGCCAAGAGGCATTGCAGACAATTTCCCATCCGCAGGAGAAGACTGCCATTATGCAGGCACAAGTCTCTTCGAAGCCCATGCGCATGCCCAGCATGGCAAGACGCAAGTTTGACCAGCAAGCACGCCTTGCTGCTTCCCGTGCCGATAGCGAAGAGGCAGAAGATCACGATAGCCAGCCAGCCAGCTCTAAGCGCGGCGCAGGGACTAGAAAGAGTGGTATGATGGGTCCTGCGCAGGGCGCAGCTGGCCAGTTCCTGTCCGGCCTCGACATTCTTAACAAGTGTTTGAGTGCACCAAACCTGAATCCTTACTTTGTCATCTGTCTCAAGCCCAATGACCGGCGTATCGCAAACCAATTTGACAGCAAATGTGTGCGTATGCAAGTTCAAACTTTTGGCATCGCCGAGATCAGTCAACGTTTGAGAAATGCCGACTTCAGTGTCTTCCTTCCATTCGCAGAGTTCCTGGGTCTAGCAGAGATTGGAAATGTTGTGGTCGGTAGCGACAAGGAAAAGTCCGAGGTGGTGTTGGACGAGCGACGGTGGCCCGGCAACGAGGCTCGTGTGGGAAGCACAGGTGTATTCTTGAGCGAGCGGTGTTGGGCAGATCTGGCCAAAGTTGGCGAGCGTGTAGTCCCATCCTACGGACTCCTCGGTTCCGAGGAGGGCGAAGTCCACGCCAGCGGCAACCCGGATGCCAAGGTTCGTCTGCTAAACCCGGCTAGTCAATCCCCCTGGCGCTTTCATCTATGGAGATGAAACAAAAGAAGGGTACTTTGGTAGCCGTGAGCTGGATGGACGCTCTGATGCCGGTGCTTCTGCATTCAACTCGGGTGACATGTTCCGAAACTTCGAAACAAAAGAGCAGATGCTGGAGAAAAATAATGAAAAGAAAATGGAGGAGGTTGATGAGATCCCAGTTTCCGGCTCTCGCAAACGCTGGATGGCACTGGTCTATCTATTGACTTGGTTCATCCCAGACTTCCTCATCAAATTCGTTGGTCGCATGAAACGAAAGGACGTCCGGGTGGCCTGGCGTGAAAAGCTTGCAATCAACATGATTATTTGGTTTTCTTGTGGTGTCGCCATTTTCATGATCGTTGCCTTCCCCGGATTGGTCTGTCCGACTCAGGATGTGTACTCGAAAGGAGAACTCTCCACGCACAACGGAAAGAATGGACAAAACGAATTTATCGCTATTCGTGGTGTTGTCTTCCGTCTAGACGATTTCGCGCCTACTCATTACCCCGATATCGTTCCGCAGAAGGCGCTCAAGGCGTACGCTGGAACTGACGCGACCAACCTCTTTCCTGTCCAGGTTTCGGCTCTATGCCAGGGTGTCGACGGAACTGTCAACCCTGCTGTCCCTCTAGATTACCGTTCAAATTTGAATACCTCTGCGGAGACCACAAGTTCAACGAGTTTCGATATCAACGCCAAATACCACGACTTCCGTTACTGGACAGGGGACTACCGACCGGACTGGTTCTACGAGCAGATGGTCATGATGCGTGCCAATTACAAAAAAGGCTACATCGGCTACACTCCCGACTACATCAAGACGTTGGCGTCAGACGGTGACAATATTGTTAGTATCAATGGGAAGGTCTACGATATGAGTTACTATATCGCTGGACCCCGTGTGGCACGTGAGCCCGCCGACAAAAACGTTTCCACCAGCAGCATCAATACGGACTACATGAGTCCTCTCTTGGTTCAGCTCTTCCAACAAAAGTCTGGCTCCGACGTCACTGATCTCTTCAACAATCTCGGCTTAACCACGGAGGTGCGCGATCGGATGCAGCTGTGTCTTGACAACTTGTTCTTTGTTGGTCATGTCGATACGCGTAATTCTGTTCGCTGTCAGTTTGCTCGGTACTTCATTCTTGCCATCTCGATCGTGCTTTGCACTATCATCACCTTCAAATTTGTGGCTGCCTTGCAATTTGGAAAGAAGAACCTACCTGAAAACCTGGACAAGTTCATAATTTGCCAAGTGCCTGCATACACCGAGGATGAAGACTCGCTGCGTCGTGCCATAGACTCCATGGCTCGTATGCGTTACGACGACAAGCGCAAGCTTCTGGTGGTGATTTGTGACGGTATGATTATCGGTCAGGGCAACGATCGACCGACACCTCGCATTGTTCTGGATATTTTGGGTGTACCCGAGTCTGTCGATCCTGAACCACTCAGCTTTGAAAGTTTGGGTGAGGGTATGAAGCAGCACAATATGGCCAAGGTCTACTCGGGTCTCTATGAGGTCCAGGGTCATATCGTCCCCTACTTGGTTGTGGTCAAGGTTGGTAAGCCCTCTGAGGTGTCTCGCCCGGGTAACCGTGGTAAGCGTGACTCCCAGATGGTCCTCATGCGTTTCCTTAACCGTGTCCACTACAACTTGCCCATGAGCCCCATGGAACTTGAAATGCACCACCAGATTCGAAACATCATTGGTGTCAATCCCACCTTCTACGAGTACATCTTGCAAGTGGACGCCGATACTGTGGTTGCGCCAGATGCTGGCACACGATTTGTCTCCTCTTTCCTCTCTGATACTCGTCTCATCGGTGTTTGTGGAGAGACGGCTCTGTCCAACGCGAAGACGTCCATGGTTACAATGATTCAGGTTTACGAGTACTACATTTCTCACAACCTGACGAAGGCGTTCGAAAGTCTGTTCGGTTCCGTCACTTGTTTGCCCGGTTGTTTCAGTATGTACCGCATCCGCTCAGCAGAGACCGGCAAGCCGCTCTTCGTCAGCAAGGAAATCGTTGATGCCTACTCGGAGATTCGCGTGGATACGCTACATATGAAGAATCTGCTTCACCTCGGTGAGGATCGTTACCTGACAACGCTACTTCTCAAGCACCACCCCAAATTCAAGACCAAGTACATCTTCCGAGCCCATGCTTGGACTGTGGCACCAGAGAGTTTCGCCGTTTTCCTGTCCCAGCGTCGCCGATGGATTAACTCCACAGTTCACAATCTCATGGAACTCATTCCGTTGCAACAGCTGTGCGGTTTCTGCTGCTTCAGTATGCGTTTCGTCGTCTTCGTTGATCTTCTCAGTACCGTCATCCAGCCCGTCACCGTCGCCTACATCGTCTACTTGATCTACTGGATTATCACGGACACAGGAAACCTTCCCTGGATCTCATTCGTCCTTCTTGGTGTCGTCTACGGTCTTCAAGCATTTATTTTCATCATTCGACGCAAGTGGGAGATGATTGGTTGGATGCTGATCTATATGGGAGCTATTCCCGTCTTCTCACTTGCCCTGCCCCTCTACTCTTTCTGGAACATGGACGACTTCTCCTGGGGTAACACTCGTGTCATCACCGGAGAAAAGGGCCGCAAGGTTGTCATCTCCGACGAAGGTAAATTTGACCCTGCCTCCATCCCCAAGAAGCGCTGGGAGGAATACCAGAACGAGCTTTGGGGAGCTGAAACCTCGCGCGACGACCGCTCCGAGGTCTCGGGTTACTCCTACGGCACCAACATGGGTCCATTCCAACACCAGCAATATCAATACCCCTACGCCAATTCTCGCACGGGCTCCCGCCCTGCTTCCCAGCTGGATCTACCTCTCCTCAACTCGGGCTCGCGACTTTCGGTTGCACCGTCTGAGATGATGAGCCGCCACATGGACATGGATATGAGTATGGAAGACTTGAGCCACCTGCCCCCGGATGATTCCATCCTGAACGAAATCCGCGAGATCCTCCGCACGGCCGACTTGATGACCGTGACGAAGAAGAGCATCAAGCAAGAGCTCGAGAGACGCTTTGGCGTCAACCTAGACCTCAAGCGGCCTTATATCAATTCTGGTATGTTTCTTATCTCTTGTTTCCTCCAATTTTCGACCATCTGCTAACTGTTACCTATAGCTACCGAGGCCGTTCTTTCGGGACTGCTTTAAAGGGCCCGAGTTTCTCTTCGAGTCTACACGTCTCCTCCATATAGAGACGAGTCGAGCCTGTGTTATTAATGCCTTTTTGATCTTTATCCTGGGTCATTTCTCATTTACGAGCGACTTTTTGCATTAATGAGGGCTTTTTCAAGCGTGTGCCTCTTTTTCGGTTTTTTTTTTTTCTTTTTTTTCCCCCCATTACGCTTCAGGTTTCCATTTCTTCTAAGTATGTGGGTGTTTGTCGATAAAATCATCCTATCCCGGGGCGCATAGCATTCGAATATGATAATGCCCAGAAGCAATCTCTGGTGTTTAATATTTATAAATTTATCTCCACTTTCTCGAGGACAGTATCCATGGCCTACTTTGTCCACTAGTGTATCTTGCCCGGTTCAATCATGTCCGAACGACCTGCATGTGCCGCCTTCAACGAGAGGCTGACAGCACGCCACGCCAAGTGGGGTTGCAGATCGGCCTCCGCAATATTTATATCAGTCCATAATCTACGTGTATCTTCAGGCCAGACCTTCCATTTAACACACAGAAACATTTTGGAACATTCAAGTGGACAGCTCTGAACCATCGAGATTCAGGATCCTCCTTCCACAATATACAATCCCCCAACCCCAGCCAAACCCGCACACTATGGACCCCACCACCGAACACACCTCTACGGAAGAACAACAAAAGAAAGAAGCCCTGGCCGCCTTCACCGCAACCCTCCACTCCGTCGGCGCAAACCTCGAAGCGCCCCTCCGCGACCGCGCCGCCACAATCACTTCTAACACAGCCGCGCTGGACAGACAAGAAGCCGAGCTGGCAGAGCACACGGCGCGACTGGCGAAGCAGAATGCGCAGTGGAGTGGATTCGCAGATGAGACGCGCGAGGGTCTCAAGGAGATTGGGGATGTGCAGAACTGGGCGGAAATGATTGAACGGGATCTTCTGGTGTTGGAGGAGATGATGGATGGGGTTGAGGCTACGGAGGGGCGAGAGGAGGAGATGGGTCTGCGTGGGCGTGGGCGTAGGCTTGGGAACAGGGATGGGGATGAAGATGGGGACGGAGATGGAGAGAGAAATGGGATGAATAGAGTGGTGAATCGAGTGAATGGGATGAGTTTAGGAAATGGTCAGTATGGGCTGTGGAATGGAAGTAATGGGAAGAAGAAGGAGACTAGGAGTTGGTTGCGGTGGTGGTGATTCCTTGATTGTTCGAGTGGTTCGATTATATACTCAGTTATCACCCTTCCTCCACATATTGTCGCCATATACTGAGACTATCTCTTTTCCCATCTTCATCTGTGAATTCATCCCATTCCTCCCATTGTCCTAAACTCATCAGATGGCGCATAGTTGGTCGTCCATGGGGGCAGTTCCATGGTTTGTCGATGGTTCCCATGTTTTGCACCACCCGCTGCATTTGTTTCGTCGTCAGGGTTTTGCCGATCATGATGCTTGAGCGACAGGCGCGCATCGCGAACATCTTGCGTACCTTGGTCGGTCGCGGTACGGAGATCTCGTTGGTGACGGGGGATTCGGATAGAAGCACGATCAATTCCTCCAAATCGCGCGAGCCGAAGACAACTTCCTTACTCAGGGGCAGTGAGACTAGCTGACACCGGCGTCCGATGGGCTCGTCGCCGCTTTCGTCGACCGTCACGATGAAGCCATTCTTTTCGAGGGATGCTCGGTTCTCGAGCACGATTTCCTCCTCGACGGCAGTCAGGTCTAGGCGCTGTGGCCGCACAAGCCGCTGGTTCTGGACGACCGTCTCAGCCTGTAGCCGTTCAAAGTTGAACTTTTCATCGGAAGCATGCTGGTCGATGATGAAGAGCTCGTCGTGATCTACACCGGGCCGGACGGCGATGATGAAACCGAGATTGAACTGTCCGATGATTCGCATCCGCGCAAAGTCTGTTTTACTCACTGTAAGCGAGAGTCTGTCTTCAGCGCTTGTTCCATCTAAGGGACCCGCTTGATCATTACGCGACGACGCATCGCGTGGCTGTAGAGTTTCCTGCAACATGGCCATCTGCGACTGGAGTCGGGCCATGGACGCATCGATGGTGCTGACAAGGTTGACAGTAGCGTCACGATGTGCGGCGCCCTTGTTGATTTTTTTCACGCGGCTAGCATTGTTTTCAGAGGGAAGAACGGCTTTTTCCTCAGCCTGGTTGATGAGGCGCTGGACGAGTGCGTCCTCTTGTGCTTTCTTCTCGGCGTCGTCAAGCGAAGGCCCCTCTGCACTGACAGATTCCTCGTAAGCTTCTTGAGCGCTACGAACATCACCGTCGTGACGGTGTTCGTGCCCTTCTGGGACGTATTCGACATCTTCCTCTTCTTCGTCCTCTACCTGTTCCTGTACCCCGTCTTCCTCTTCTTCATTCTCCGCTTCCTCGGCTTCATCGTCAATTGTGTCCTCTTCGTTGACTTCACTTCCCGACTCTTCGGCTTCCTCCTCCTCCTCCCCTTCAGGCTGCGTCCCCGGGGCCGAAAAGGCTTTCATATGTTTTCCAAATATATTAGGCCGAGACGGCGTGTGGATCCGTCGTCTCCTCCCTGGATGTTCCTTGGTCGAAGTCCCCATTTCAGAGGTCCGCTTGCGTGGAAGACCACCACCGACTATGGATGTCACCGTGAGGTCCCCAATGCTAATGGTAGCCATTTCAGCTGGCAATCGACGGGGGCGCATACGATCAAATGCGTTTTGAACAACATTAGGAGTATCTTCGGTGTAATGCGACTGATGGGAAAGGGGCTGGTCATCTTCAGATCGTTGAGATGGAAGCTCCACAGGCGAGTCGGTCATTCGTGGACGTCTCGCTGGCTGGTCTTGCGGCCTTTCCTGACCCTCCGCAGCAGGCTCAACAGGCGTGGAATCTGGCTTTGGCTCTGAACTTTCGACTGGTAGTGACGGCTTTGATGCTTCGCGAGGTGCCCTGGATAAGGGTTTGATTGGAGATGAAACATCAACTTGGCTTGAGGTGTCTTGTGAGCTCATGAAATGCTTCGTTATGCCCCGTACCGTCGACGGAGGTATTGATGTCTCTTCTTCGTCAGATTCATCCCCGCTCTCTTCTCGACTGCTTTTTGAAGGGGTCCCGGAAGCGTTGCGACTAACTTTCCTGGCAGAAACAAACCCTGGAAGTGACGCTAATGCCTGCTGTTTGGTCGTCGGCGCCTTGGAACCCAGCACTTGTGACTGGGGAACCGTCTGATCTGTCGTCTCAAAGAGCTTTGCAAGAGAAGTCTTCAATGAATCAATTAGAGCCCCAGCATCGTGAAGTAGAATGGTCCGCTTATCCGGTGACACATTTACATCATAGGCATTCGTATCCATCTGGAAGTCCGCAAAGATGAACGGCGACTGCGAAACATTGAACGACTTGTAAACCTCATTGAAAGCCTTTGCGATCTGTGGCAATCCACATGGGCGAGAATTGACAAAGAACATCTGTCGATCCGGAGTCTGACGCCCTTCTCCAAAGACAGGACGTGATATATGACCGCGAACCTCCATGTGATTGATCCGCCCAGCGTCACCCGCCCAGCGGGTCGCAGCCGAGGCCTCGAATTCCAACTTCAGGTCAAGCGTAATCAAGGCAGACAGAGTTTTGGCGCCGTATACATTGGCAATATTCTCCTTCGTCGTGCGGTTCCCATTCGTAGAGAAAACCACCACGTTCTTCGTCTTCCCGACGGTGTTTCGAACGCTGAAACGTACTCCAGCACTGATGCAGGCATAGGCGTGAAGCAAGTTCAGCACTTTTCCATACTCTCGCTTGATGTTCTTCTCCAGTTCGCGCCGGCGTACGGGAAGTCGTTTGAAGATCCCCTCCACGGATGCTGTTGTCCCCTTCTGTCCTGCCACGATTTGTGTTTTACTGAGCTTTCCGGATGGTTCGAAGTCGAGTCTATTGGCACGGGGTACTTGATCTGCTTTCGCTGTAACGATGTGGAAGTCGGAAAGTGCGCAGAGAGACGACAAAGCCTCACCGCGGAAGCCGAACGTGTGAAGACGTGTAAGGTCATCGTACGAGGATAGTTTCGAAGTATAGTGTTTCAAAGCTAAATTGAAATCGCATGTTAGCATAAATGACTCGAAAATCACCAAAAGTGAAGATTCCAAGCTCACCGACGTTCTCATAGTTCTCTGGTGAAATGCCACTTCCATTGTCCTGCACCTCGATCAAATCCAGTCCGTTGTTCCTAAAACGGATCTCTAGAAGAGCAAAAAGATCAGCACTGTTATATACTGTGTACCAGACAGAAAACCAACCGATGGTCGTCGCGCCCGCATCGAGACTGTTCTCGACTAGCTCTTTCGCGACGGAACATAGGTCAATGATGACCTGACCTGATTGAATTTGATGGACCTGAAGGATGCAACAGTCAGTAACAACACACTTCCGGTGTAAGTGAATGGAAATACGCACTGAGCGAGCCTCGATGGGCTGGATCGTTGCCATGTTTTACGCCATGATGTCGGAAAAGAGGCGCGTCGCACTTTACGCGTGAAGCTCCGCCAAGAACTTCTCCACTTCCCCTGTTCGTTACGATACTTGCCCGGGCTTCAAGTCTTTTGCCTACAACTTGGATAGTAAATTTGCTCATTCAATATTGATAGTAAATTGATTTTAGCTAATGGTTCAATGTACGTTACATAAACAAAATATCGCTCAGAACGCGCGGGGATTCAAATCCCTAAGCAGCAAAGCGATCGGGCAGCAGAACAGGTGCGACCAAAGTCCACATGTAGATAGCATAGCACACCCAGGAGCTGACGATCTTGACCCAGCTGGCCCAATAGGTCCGACCCACGGGGGCAAAGTCGGTGGTTGTATCAACGGTCAGTCCCTGGGTCAATAAGGTAGCAACCCAGGTCGTGGCGAGGGAAAAAGATGATGTGGAAGAGGGAGTAGTTGTACTGAGTCGAACCACGCTCATCATCTTTGCTGCTGGTCTCGAACTCATCCTCGTCGTCACTCTCATCCAGAGCACTGGCAGGCAGACTGCCGCTTTCGACGGCCGCTCGGAGAGCCTCGGCGCGCATTTCCCGACGGCTGTTGGGCTGCTGGGTGACCAAGCCATGCTCGTTATCATCCTGACCGAGCTGGCTGTAGTTGTGGCCACCCTTGGATCCCAAAGCGATGCCTTGAGTAGCCGCGCGCGTGGTCGTGTATGCAATGGTGGCCATGGTGACAATCGCACCCAAAATGATTGTGGCGGTTCGAGTACCGCGAGAGCGGATCAAGGGGTTGCAGTTGTTGTCATCAGGCTCCATCGAGACAGCAGACAGGGTGAGGTATGTACAGTAGACAGTGACCATAGCAGCCTGTGCCAAACCCGCACGCGGATTGGACTCCTGTACAGCCGGCTGAACCGAGATGAACGAAATGATCAGGAACACGATCAAGTTGATCGAAATGGCGGCCTGGTTCATAGAGCACCCGCTCTTGGCGAAGAAGATGTACATCAAAATCGTCATCACAATCGAGGCAACGTACATGCCAAGCGTGGATCCAATGAGCAGGCTTCGCCACAAGCGGGAATCACTGTCCTCGATCTTTTGCAGACAGAGTTCCGCCCAGGAGTGTGCTAGGTCCACCAAAAGGATCAAACCTAGCAGCAAGAAGAGCATAGCACAGAAGAACGCAATGTAGTTTCCGTAAACGAAGAAGAAGCTCTCAGGAATGAAGAACGACATTACGACAAAGCCAAGCCAAAGCAGGATTTTGGGACCCCAGAAGCCATTTTGCATCGCCGCACGGCTATCTCTGGATGTCTTGACACCAAGAAGCAAGAGAGCAAAGATCAGATGGAAGAGACCGAGACCGAAATTGATGCGGTGGACAGCCACCCAGCCGTAACATTCCTTCCCATCACATTTGATATCCATGTAATCAAGTGTAAGGCCTTGCAGTTTCTTGAGTGCCCAGGGGGTGAGCATGATCCACGATGCGATCGAGTTGATTAGAAGGACAAAGGCGTAGGCGATTCGCGTTGCCATACTGTGTGAACGTTAGCAAGTCGCCCGCTTTCCTTCTTGGCATGGTCGTGAGATACCTGTTCTGAAACTTCCCACATGCACTGCAAACCGCAGAGCAGGTTGCGGCTCCGCAGCATGAACCGCCGAGGGTGATAAGCTGCGCGAAGGCATCAGCGAAGCGCACTTCGGAAGACTCGGTTTGGAGAGGATCCTTACCGTGCCCACACTGGGCACTGCCAGTAGTGGTAGAGACAAGAGAGCGCCCATGCTGAAATCAGTCAAGCTCACACAGGACGTTGAAGTTGATTGTCGAGGCAGAAGCGCGCAAAGCGAAGGTGACGATCGCAAAGATCCCAAGCCCGTCATCACGTCACATGATCGGACCCACTTTGACCCACGATCCGCAAACAATGCCTTGGTGAGAATGCTATCTTCGTAATCGATCTAGCTGTCCTGCAAAGGATTTCCGGTCTTGCTTGAACAGTTTGCTATAGTAAGAAGCTATTGCGTCTTTTTGATGGGAGCTTCGATAGTGTTACCTGCTTTCTTCATGATACACTATGTTTCTCTCGCTTAGAGATCTACTGAGCCTAGACCATGAGATCATACGAAGTGGTCTGATAAGCAGTTACATTATTTCTCAGAACACAGCAGAAATGTTGTTTCTGAAGGGGGGTTACCGAAGGGTATCCAAAACACTATCGGAAAAGCCCTATAGAAGACCTTGGAAATCTTCGAATGACCATCAAGACATCATGGGACTTCACGGAGAAATCAATCTTCTTATCTTGTAAAATACAGAAGGCCATACCAGGGAAAAACAATATCATGACAGAATAGCTACGCCCATCTTACTATAGATCTTAGGGAGGTCTCGAAGCGTTGCTCTCTCTGCATCAAATTGACAAGAGGACCTGGTGCAGACTTTTCCATATTGATGTTGACTGTCGCTCGGTTCTTTGCAGAAAGCGCCAGCATCAAAGTCCGTTTCGCTCTCCTCTGTGCTGATCTTTGTATTTCGTGATCAAACTCCAAAATGCCCACTCTTCTGAGAAGATTGAGTGTATTCTCTCTCTCTCTCTCTAAAGAAACAAAAGAAAAAAAAACCATAGAGAAGCCGCAGATGAGTAGATTGAGTCCTTCATCGATGGAATATTTGCACAAAAACTCTCCAATACCCAGTGGTCACTTTTTCGAGGCATTCCACTTTCTGTCTCATGACTACAGAGGAACGAGGAGATCCCAAATCGACTATATGCCCTTACTGGAGGCGCTCACCACTCGACCCGCCTGAGCTGGATGAAGCCTTCCCTGTCGGAGCTCTCAATCCCCATTAGATAATACAAAGCATGAAGGGAAAGAGCAACGGATGCGGGGAGTCCAAACAACGCGAGGTTTACATGGTTCAAAGTGCTCAGGTGAATCCTATAAAGACAACACTGCACCCGTGGGGTTCGTGTCCCAGAAGCAACAACCTCTGATTGCAATATGTAGGATACTTAGAGAAGAAAAGGATACAGGTTCGTTATCTTGATCAGCGTAGAATTCTGGGGTCGGCGCGGGCCGATTAGACTTACCAATCAGGTCAACAGATGGCCATAAAGTGGATCTCATGTCGATGACTCTTTACTTCAAGTCATTTTTGGCCTTCTCGCTTTCTTCTTCTTTCTTTCCTCAACAACCTTCACCATGGATCACCTTCGACAGACATTTGCCCAATGCCAGAGGGAAGGCCGTCCAGCCCTGGTCACCTATGTGACGGCAGGCTTCCCTCGCGTGCAAGAAACTCGTGACATTTTGCTGGGCATGCAAGCCGGAGGCGCTGGTGAGTCACCTTCGCCGCACAATCCAGGACGTTTCTTGATGAGGATTTTCCAGATATAATTGAGCTCGGTCTGCCATTCACAGATCCAATTGCCGATGGCCCAACGATTCAAAAATCCAATTTGAAAGCGCTCGAGAATGGTGTCACCATTTCGTCAATGTTGGACATGGTCCGCGACGCCCGCGGAAATGGACTCAAAACGCCCGTGCTCTTTATGGGCTACTATAACCCGATCTTGCGATACGGAGAAGACAAGCTCCTCGCGGACTGCAAAGAAGTAGGAGTCAATGGCTTTATCGTGGTCGACTTGCCCTTGAAGGAAGCGATTCGGTTCCGTAATGGCTGCACAAAGGCGGGGTACGTTCACTACGCTCGAATACATCCATGGTCAATGCTAATTGTTCTGGAAATAAAGTTTGTCATACGTCCCTTTGATCGCACCTTCCACAACCGAGGAGCGCATGAAAACGCTTTGCACAATGGCAGACTCATTCATCTACCTTGTTTCTCGCATGGGCGTTACCGGTGCTACTGGGACACTCAACACAGAGCTCCCTGCTCTCATCAAGCGGGTCAAGGAGCTCTCGGGCAACGTTCCTGTGGCGGTTGGGTTTGGAATTAGCACACGCGAACATTTCCTGAGCGTGACATCTATCGCTGACGGCGCTGTAATTGGCAGCCAAGTGATCACAGTCCTCGGTGACGCTCCAGCAGGGCAGGCTGCACAGGTCGTCGAGGATTATTGCTCGCAAATTACGCAGAGAAAGGTCATTCCGGATGGTTCGGTCGCTGCGGCTCGCCCAGCTCCTGAGGCGAGTGCGCTCAGCTCGGGCCTGGACTCCGAGGCAGCTATGTCTACCGATCAATCCGGCCTATTTGGTACTTTCGGCGGTCAATATGCCCCGGAAGCCTTGATTACATGTTTGGATGAATTGGATGCCGGTTTCCAAGCTGCGGTGAATGATCCGACCTTCTGGGAAGAATACAAATCCTATTATCCCTACATGGGCCGTCCATCCAGCCTGCATCTAGCTCAACGGCTTACTGAACACGCGGGCGGAGCAAACATTTGGCTGAAACGCGAGGATTTGAACCATACGGGATCTCATAAGATCAACAATGCCTTGGGTCAAATTCTCATTGCTCGTCGACTCGGAAAGACAGAGATCATCGCCGAGACGGGAGCAGGCCAGCATGGCGTTGCTACCGCCACCGTCTGCGCGGAATTCGGTATGAAATGCACTATTTATATGGGGGCAGAGGACGTCCGTCGTCAGGCGTTGAATGTTTTCCGGATTCGCCTGCTAGGTGCCACCGTGATTCCCGTCGAGTCAGGATCGCGTACCCTCCGTGATGCAGTCAACGAAGCCTTCCGCGCCTGGATTGTACGACTGGACACAACGCATTATATCATCGGCTCGGCAATCGGGCCCCATCCGTTCCCGACTATGGTTCGCACTTTCCAGAGTGTGATCGGAGAAGAAACAAGGGCCCAGCTACAGGACCTAGGCAAAAGCCCTGACGCCGTGGTTGCTTGCGTGGGAGGCGGTTCAAACGCAGTGGGCATGTTTCATCCATTCTCGAAAGACCTGTCTGTCCAGCTAGTTGGCGTGGAAGCTAGTGGAGATGGGCTTAACACCGCTCGTCATTCAGCGACGCTAAGTGGAGGCTCCGTGGGAGTTCTGCATGGAGTTCGAACTTATGTCCTACAGGATCAGCATGGCCAGATCTCCAACACCCATTCTGTCTCTGCGGGTCTTGATTACCCGGGAGTCGGACCAGAACTCGCAAATTGGAAAGAGAATGACCGGGCTACATTCATCTCGGCTACTGATGCCCAGGCACTACAGGGCTTCCGCCTGCTAAGCCAGCTCGAAGGCATAATACCGGCATTGGAAACCTCTCACGCGGTATGGGGTGCCGTCGAGATAGCCAAAAAGCTGGGCCCTAACAAGGATATCGTCTTGTGCTTGAGTGGCCGCGGAGATAAAGATGTGCAAACTGTGGCCGATGAATTGCCCAATCTAGGGCCCCAGATTGGATGGGACTTGCGATTTTGATTGATTCTCAGTTTGCATAGACCTTACATCTGATTCAAGCGTGTCTCATTACCAATGACCACAGCCAAAAGATAGAAATATAATGTCTGGAGAGACCTTTTAAAACACCAGTACAAAGAGGACGAGAAAGAGCAAATGAATTATGTGTATAGAGCCCATCTACAATAGCTCCTTTGTTCAGCCGTGGCCGTAAAGATCCATCGAATTTTGATTGGTCTCAGAATAAGTCTATGTACAATCTGGATTTGATCAAAGCCCACAGACCCGACTGCCCACAAGCCAAGAAAAAAACAAAAGGAAATGCATGGAGTATCAAAGTCTATGTTGAGAAAAGAAGAGCGCAAGGAACGTAGATACATCTGAAGGCGAGACCAGACCAGTCTGAAATATCCTTGACCAGCAAAGAACGACATACAAGATGTGCAAACGATCTAGCAAGGAAAGGCCCGCAAATGGAATGATGAGACTGCATTGGCTCGGGTCAGTCTATGAACGACCTGACCAACAAGTCTTGTGTCCCGATGGATAGGCTCATCTACGCCAAGCGGTGGCCGCTTTTCCTGTGCATCGCATTGATCCGCCTCTCGCGAAAAATGCTCCAGAGGCAGACACAGATACCGGCGAGGCCAGAGAAGAAGGTCAGATAATATGCGGAACGGTAGCAGGCCAGCCCGTCAGGGCACTTGCGGTCGCCGTCTTCGCCGATCACAGAGTGACGGTCGTAGACGGTGCCGTAGAGGAGGTTGAAGATATTTCCACTGAAAACCGGGGCGAGGGTCATCACACCCCAGTTCTGAGAGAGACCGCCAATGCCGAACGTTTGCGCGACCAAAGACGGGAAAACGCCAAACAGGAAGCCATACGCAACGCCTGTCAAGCCGGAGACGACGACCAACGTATGTGGGTTGGAGATGGAGGATCCGCAGAACTGAGTTAAGGTGAAGACCACGGACGATATGAGGAGACACCAGGTCCGGGACATTCCGAGCTTTTTAACCAAAACGTCGGAGCCAATGCCTATGTAAAGCATATCGTCAGTGAGTTGAGGTTTTGGGGAATCAATGTATATCTCACCGCTAGAAAGACGACCCAGGAAGTTTCCAAATGACAGAATTGAGACCTGCATGACCTGGTGCTGCTGAATGAATTTGGAAGTAGCGCTGTCGTCATAGTACATCCACAGAGCTTTGGCCTAGTATGGAGTCAGAAAAGATCCGGGAACATGGGGACATAGTTCTCACGCTGTTACCAATGTTGCTGTCAATTTAGTCAGCATTATACGCTAATTACTTGGAGCTTCTGAACTTACTTGATAGTCATCAAACCAATACCTGAGAGAAGCGCCATCGTGAGGAAAAGCTGCCAGAACTCGACATACTTGAGCATGGCCAGGCCTCTGATATCCGGGTGGTGGGCTTCAACAGCCACTTCGTCAAGGAAGTCATCATCCATAGTGTCAAATGACCGCCTATTATCGGACTTGGATACCAAAGATGAGGTCTCATCAGTTTCGTGAGGATGCCCTCCTTGTCGGTAGTTAGAGACGACTGATTGTGTGCGTGCGTGAGCCGATTGCCCATTCTCAAAACCAGTTGAGTTGTTGTTGGAATCGGAAGCTTCTGGCACAGATTGTCGGCGAAGTAGTTGAGATTCGGAAAGATCTCCGGCGTCAAGGTGTGATACCGACGAGTAAGGCTCATGGGGGAAAATTCGAAGGAATGGAATTGAGCAGAAGGAAAGAACGGATGTACCAATGGCCAGGAGAAGAAGGAAACGGCCAGTATCATCCTTGAAAACGAAGGTGGAAATATTGGACCAGAACAGGGCGCTCAATCCGAAAGCAGCCAGTGGGAAAGCCGTCGCGGTGCCGCGGTGATCGGGGAAGTTAGAGGCCGCTAAGAGTCAATGAATTAGTTTCGTCTCTGCAAGTATGGATTGAAGATTCAACCTACCTGTCTTGATGGCGGCTCCGAAGGCTGAACATCCACCGGTACCAGTCAAGAAGGCGAAGAAGCATACAAAGATAATGGGAACCGATCCGGGTCCACTCTGATAGGCTGTTGACGGTCAGAACACCTTATCGCCGAAGAGTTGCGGGGAAGGCCCTCGTACCCAGGTATATGGGGTAATATCCCAACGCCAGAAGAACTGAACCGATTAGAGTGACAAGTCGTGGTCCACGAGCATCCGTCAATAGACCCATAGGGATACCCATGGCGTACATGCCCAGGTTTCCCGCCGCGCCCTGCCAGGCTGTCAATGTCGGTCCACGACACCGCATTACGGGCCACTTACGATCAGGTTGCTCTCGGTCGACGAGAGCTTCATCTGATGGGCGAATTGCGGGGCCCACGCGGAATATGCATACTGCAAAAAGTGTCAACTGCCACGTCGGAAGATGCCAGGAACTCCAGATCACCAACATTTGTGCCGCAGGACAGAGCCACTAGGGTACCGGCGACCACGGAGACGATTCGCGCAGTCGAATGAAGGGGACCGGTCATCTTTGCGATCGGGGTGCTCCCTATATATTCTCAAGGATATACTGTGAGCGCGGGTGCGATGACGCGTATCGCAGAGCGTTGGTCAGGATCTCGGTCGTTGATTGTGTTAGAGTGGCATCGGAGCCCGAAGAAAAGAAGGTCAGGTACGGGCAGCAATCAACAGATCTTGGAAAGAGAAGGGAGAGAAAGAGTGTGATGTTCAGGAGCGTCGTAATCGCCTACGCGCGATAACGGAGACAACAGCGGGCGCTGCAGCTCCACCTCTTTGCCGAGCAACGTCAGGGCGCCAAGCATTTCTGCCGGTGCTTGTTACGTGCGCTGCCTTTTGCTAGAGCCGGTGTGGTTGTGCCGTCGGCGATTTTTATATTCTCTTTGATATTGACTGGTCTTTTGCAGACAATGTGTGTCGATATTGGCGTATGATGTTGGGGAAGAAGCTATGGATCCCTAAGAGTACCTTTGACCAGGAGGGACAGATGCCTTCTCTATGCATGAACTTCCCTTACATTATCTCATTCTGATTGCAGGTGAACATGCTTCGCTCGGTTCTGCTATCTGATAGTCTACGCTGAGATTGTTGACCGACTCCACGAAGGACATCTTCCTTGGATACGAGCATACTTCGTATTCGCCAGCTGGCACGTGCCTTTTAGCCTTGACTGCCGCTTTGAGGTCCAAGAATAGTCGAATGCATGAATATTTAGAAACCTTGAATGTCACAGATCACGATTCCCTCATACACCGCATTGGAGAACAATTAGCTTGCTGACCTGTCAAATGAGCCAGTTTTCAAGCATCCACACTATCATTCTACCGGGGCAACTGAGAGCTTCCTCAGCATCGCAACCTAGAACCGAGGCTTCAAGCAATCTAACAACCAGAGAAAAAGATCCATTTGGTTTTCGTTTCCAGTGTACTGCCACGCTAAGCTGTCCGACCTTCCACTTGTGTTCGCAGGCAGATCAAGAAAAGGGGTGAAGAAGAAGAGGTACTATTAGAAGCATACTGGGAGATTTCGTACACAAACCCGCGGCGAGAAGCAAAATTAAAAGAGAAGGAGACCCGTTGCGACACATCCGACAAGAAAGGAAGAGAGAAAATGAGACAATAATCGAGCTTTTTTGTTGAAGTTCCAGTCACCAAGGACGAAAGTCGGAAGGGTATCAAAATGACCAGGGGAGATCGGACAAGCCAGCGACAGCAACCATACAGTTGGTCGACAGGGCCGACGCAGTGGGTAAAAAACAGAGAGCGACCGTGAAACTGGACGCAGAAACTGATTACTCCGATTTAACTTGCGAGGGCGATTGTTCCGGAGACTGTTCTACCATGTCCGCCAGTCGAATACGCTTGGCATGAGGCTCTGAGCTGTCACCGTCACCGGCACCGCCGGTAGTGATATGGTGCTCGAGTTCTTCGACGCGTCGCTTGAGGTTTTCTTCGCGACGCTGGGACTCATCGAGGGACCGGCGCAGGCGAGCTTCCGAGTCGCGGGCGATCATCTCAGATCGGCGTGCACTAGCGTCGCTCTGTTCAAGCTCCGCGACGCGACCACGGAATAGCTCATTGATCAAGTCGAGTTCGCTAACACGTGTCTTGAGTGAGGTATTGAGAGCCAAAAGGCTCTCGTATGTTTGGGGTGATTCCCCAAGCTGGCGATCAACAGCTGAGGGAGAAGGTTGCCGAAGTGGGAGGGAAGGAAGACCGCCGGACGAGTTCAACGTGCCGTCGCCTCGAGTGACACTATCAAACATGTGCTGTGGCGCGATGTTGGAGTTGTGGCCCTGCATAGCGGCAAACCCAGGCGTCTCCGTTCGCGACAAGGGGGAATTCGAGCGATCCGAATGGCCCGAGGACATCTTACGCGACGCGCGACGGTAGCCATGGGAGCCAAGAGGAGGTGTGACTGCATCGGATTGTCCTGTGAGACCGTTCGCGTCTACGGGGCCGCCAGACTGTGATAGATCGCGATGGTCAGCTTCGGGGAAATTTCTTATCTGGGGACGAGAACGCGAAGGGGGCAGCGGAATTTTTCAGATCGCAAACTCACCTTGCGCTTCGGGCCCTGCCCAGTCTTCACGCGGTTGCGACTCTTGATCACATCGGTCTTCAGGCTTATCGGACGAGCCCGCCCGTGCAGCTTGAGGAACAGACCGCAGGCATTGCACAGGACAGAGCCGAGTTCGTCCCTACGCCACAGGGGCGTGGTCGAGGTGCCGCAGTTCTGGCAAACGGGCTGTAATTGGGGACGTTTGTCATCAGTCAATGTGGTCGCCATAGTGTGAGGTAAAGATGGAGGGAAGGATAGGAGGGTGTGCGATGATAAGATTGGGAGAGATTTGACGGGTTCGATAAGGATTGGAGCGCACGGATCGGGTGGTGCCAAGACCCCAGTCAGTCGCTGATAAACGTCCTGACTGGGAAGATAACGCGATAAGGTGCAAATTCATGAAATGAATCTCGAAGTACTTACCGGGCCATTACCCTGACCGGCGGTAGTAGCCGCTGGTGATGATGTCGCGTAACTCATGTTCGCCATATGCCCATTCACACAAGATTCCCTGTAGATTGTAAGAAAAGAAACCTGGTCAGCCAACTCATCCTAGGCGCTCATTGGGCCCCCCATCCTGCAGATGAAAAGAGGGGCTTTTCGGCTGAGAAGGGAAGAGGGAAAGGCTGCTGCTTATGCTCTGAATGATCAAGATGGTTTCAAGGCCGCCGGCCCCCAATTCCTCTTCTCATTCGAAGGACGTACCGTAGATTCGAGGTGGGCGCGGACGCAACTGAGGCAAGCGCGGCCAATCCTGGAAGCGAAGTGTTCACAGAAACAGAGTCGGGGAAGTTATCACGAAAGTCAAACTTCCCAATGCTGTGCAGATCCGGCAGCGCTGGGGCGAATGCCTTCGGGATATTTGTGCCCGTCGGGGGGCTGGTGGCAGAGACGTCGGTTGGAGAGCCGAAGCGGGCAAGGTCCGGAGTCTGCGCAGACGAGGCAGGTCTCAGAGCCGGGTCGATGGGCGACGCCCGGTAGAGGATGGAAGCCACAATGGAGGGCGAGGGCAATTCAGTTGAAATCCGGCCGCGTGAGACCGAACGGGGGGACAAGAGTTAATGAGGACGGAGCGGTTGGTGGATCGTGCGATACTGTTGCTAGGCAATTGAATACAATTGCAATGCAGGGCAGACCTGGAGGGACAACGAGCAAGTCGAAGTCGAGTAAGGACGACTCGATCCGATTCACAACACGGTGATAAGAGGACCGATGCTCACGGATATCAAGGGCGAACTGACGAATTGGCAAATCGCATTCGACTGAATCGGACCCGAACAAAATGAAAGCAAAGAATCAATGTATCCCAGACAAGGAAAAGGCCCGGAGGTGAAGATCGTGAAGATGGAGAAGGAAGTCTTATCCTTGCCGATTGTTATTATCGCGCGTATCGAAATTTATCACTTATCGCGCGCATGCTGGGAACCGTATTTCATGCCGGAATGTTTTACCTGCCTCCTCGGTCTATGCATTTTTCTGCCCTTTGGTAGCCCGCGTTTGGAAATTCAAGTCTAGGGATCTTTCTCTTCCCAATACTACGGAGCCATGGCCTGTGAGACCGTTGCTCGAGGCTCTTGGCCTAGGTCTGTATGTATTTAGGGGTGTGCAGGTACTCAGGTACCGGCTTTGATAGCTCTGCACATGCTCTTTACTCCGTAAAGGATATCATTTCTCCCGCATTGGGGACTTTTGGCCAGGTCAGCAAGTGGGTCAGCCAGGCCCCAGCTTCTGTCCTCCAATGTGAAGTTGTTCGGACAAGCGCAGCCCCTTTAATGTGGTGGAGACCCGCTTGTTGGCGGTGCGTACTTGTATTACGGCCCCGTATTGAACGGCACCCTTCAGGGCTCGAAGCACGTTAAAACCCCACTGCAATTGGCAATTCTGCCGCATGTCGGCCTACCGCCACGGTAAATAACGGGTCACATCGACCCGAGCGCCCCCTGCCTCGTACGGATCCATAATAATCATCGGTGACGGGTGCAGTTATTTTGTCCTGACGCCTGCTTTCAACTACCCCATTCTTGCCATGGATTGAACTTCTCTTCGTGTCCTTCGTTTATTTTGCAGACCTTTGTCATTTCGTTCAGCCCTTCATTAGATCCCTTCTTCATCATGCCAAAAACCCGCCCTGCCACGTCCGGGTACGCCCGTCTGGCCCAGGAGGAAGAGGAGCGCGGCTACCTCCACGACGACTCCGAAGATGACGACCTCGGCGCTGCCTCTTCAACCGTCTCGACCTCCGCCCCTCGCTATGCTCCTATTACCTCTCGAGCCCAGATGCAGGCGTCCGGTCTCGCCACACCCCCCGGCCATCGGCGCAGACACAGTGGATTTCAACGCCGAGGGCGTCGAAACTCCGGTGTTGACATTAAGGCAATCAACGCGCGTTTTGAGCGCTGGGCAGAAGAGATTGCCAATAAGTTTAAGATCAACCGAGTCAAGGGCAAGACCTACGAGGAAGAGAAGCTGGAGATCTACCACTCCGTCTTTCAAGCCCCTCCAGGTGTTCGACCCGTCACTACAGAAGAATTAGAGTCGGATGAATTCGAGGGCCAGCAACGGAAAGCACGAGCTGAGTATGAAGATATCGTTGAGAGTGTTCGCCTCGCAATTGAGCTAGATGTTCATCCTCGTATGATTGCGCAAGGAAGCTCGGGCAGTTACTTTGCTCGCAACCCTGAAGGCAAGGTCGTGGGCGTCTTCAAACCCAAGGATGAAGAGCCTTACGCTTCTCGCAACCCTAAATGGACCAAGTGGATTCACCGGAATTTGTTCCCCTGCTTCTTTGGCCGAGCTTGTCTCATTCCTAACCTTTCCTACGTCTCCGAAGCCGCCGCATACGTCCTCGATGCCCGCTTGCGCACCAACATGGTCCCCTATACCGACATCTGTTACCTCTCATCGAAGTCGTTCTTTTACGATTTCTGGGATCGGCGCAAGGCATGGAAAGGAAAGAAGACACTGCCTCCAAAGGCTGGCAGCTTCCAGGTCTTCCTCAAAGGATACAAGGATGCCAACATTTTCCTCCGCGAGCATCCTTGGCCAGATCAGGTCAATACCGGCTTTCGTGCTGAAGATGCCCCGAAGCGCAAGAAGCGCCCATGGAACGAGACCTGCCGTCCATCGGGCGTCGAGTCCGACGACGAAGACGACAACGCAAACGGCTACATGCCTTCACCGAACCCGCGCGATGAGAGCCGCGAGCGCCGATTCCACTGGACCGAAAATCTCATGCAGTCTTTCCGAGAAGAGTTGGAAAAGCTCGTGATTCTGGACTATATCATGCGCAACACAGACAGAGGCTTGGATAACTGGATGGTCAAGATTGACTGGGGTACTGAGCAAGTATCTATTGTGGCAGATCCTCCGCAACCCACGCAGACCGCACCCAAGCACGACGATGACGAGCTTCTTCCTCCCAACCGACCGGTCTCCGTGAATTCGAACGGCACACGCAGCCCCCATCCTTATAGACGACATGATCCCATGCAGGCTGTGAGCCGAACGGGTACACCATTAGCATCATCGGAGCAGCAAGCTTCGATTCAAATTGGAGCTATCGACAACAGCCTGTCATGGCCATGGAAGCATCCAGACGCAGTATGTTTTTCCCGCAGGATGCCTACATCAGCCAATACTAATCAATTCACAGTGGCGAAGCTTTCCTTTCGGATGGCTTTTCCTGCCAGTTTCCTTGATAGGACAGCCTTTCTCGCAAAAAACCCGCGATCACTTTCTACCATTGCTTACATCAACTGCGTGGTGGACTGGCACACAAATGGCTTTGCGGCAGGTATTTTCCCAGGATGCTGACTTTAAAGAAAGCATGTTCGCCCGGCAAATCGCTGTTATGAAGGGTCAGGCCTGGAACGTGGTCGAGACCTTGAAACAGCCTGATCATGGCCCACTTGAGTTGACTCGAAGAACTCGAGTTTGCGTCTGGGATGACTTGGTGGATGTACCCGTCGCCATTCCTATGCAAGCGCCAACCTCGGAGATGCAAAGACGTCAGACCGCAGAGTACGATCCGGATGAAGAAGAAATGGATATTGGTGCAGCCAATTCATCCCAGCAAATTCCAGAGCTTGAACACGATCTTCTGGGGCTAGGCTCCGACCTTCCCAATCCGAACCGCTTCGAGCTCTCTCGGGGCCGTGCCGACGATGACAGCCACAAAGCCGCCGACTCACTCGGTAGTCCCGCGACCTTGAACGAAGCCGACTTCTCTCGACAGACCAACGACGGTGCATATGCTAGGTCCCTCGACGGGTGGCCTTCGCATCCTGTCCGACTTGGTAATCAGCGCAAACATGGCGGCTCTCTATCATACCGCGTGCCTCATGTCAATACCTTTGGCAGTGATGATCTTGAAGGTGACCTCGGATATGCCGTCGCCGAGGGAATGGAAGGCAACCAGCGCAAAGTGATCGTTGAGCGCCTTGAGGCCGTCAAGAGCAAGAACCCTGTTTTCACATGGTGCTAAGAGACGCATGGATTCCGTCTCTTCCTCGCTCCCATTTTTATGCCCTCGCACTTGCTCCTTTCACAATTTTAATTCACAAATGTCTTCTTTAGCGTCCATTTTTTTGTGGCCGCCTGGACACAATCCCAGATCTCTAGCACGTCCCTTGTGTCTTTGGTGACAGATGCGAACTGGCTTCCGGTCATTCCGCATGAGCCCATTTTTCTTTCCATTTCATCTTGTTTTCACATGCCACGTTCATGATTGGGGAATTTTTTTTTGTTGTATATAGACCTTCTCTGGTTATTCGGATTGCCTTGGGTGGCGCATTGGTTCAGCGCCTCATGCAGCATATATGACGAGACCTAATTCTATGATACCATCGTCCCTATATCACCGATGTCTGATTTATGTCTGTTTAGAATCGTGGATCTCAAGGCTCTCTGGAGAAGTGCAGGAATCTCGAACCCACTACCCGAATCTATCCCGGAGATATTGGAGGTGATTTGTTCGTTCTACCCGCAGCGAACCCTAATTCCAATGAGGTAATAGTGTGGCGTCACATCACCCTGGGCTTGATTTGCACCGGGACTTAATCGTGGACACACAATAACTCCTGACCATGAGCTCAAACTCCATTGTCCGCTTGTCCTTTTAAGTTGGCTACATCGTAATTGTTCTTGTAGACAGAGTATTAGTTACAGAGATATTGCCGGCTCAAAAGGGTTCCAGACTGAATACACCAGTCTCGGCCACCATACCCCATATGCCCCACCCCGTGATCGCTTACATACGCAGGCTGATAGATCTTCAGATAACATGATACATTCCTAGATACCTCCATTTCACATATTGCGCACACCCGGGCCAGATCAGAGCACCGGCGCACCCTGTGCCGACTGCTCATATCTTTCCTTTACCCAACTCAAATGTCGCGCGAGGCTCAATATACGCGTCGAGATCGCTCACGTCTGCTAGGTCACTCGGATCTTCTTCAAACCCTCTATTCATTCGGCTGTTCTCACTACGGTCATCACGCTTACGCCGCCATAAGATCGCCGCCACCCGATTCGAGGTCTCTCTCTTGCGCCATATATCCAAATCTGAGGCGCCATGGAGTCCCAGGCCGCGATGCTCCTGGATCCCAAAGCCTATAAAAAGCGACTCCAAAGCAATGGTAACGATCCTGCTCCCCCTGTTCTCCCCAGAACTCCTCACCAAGCATACCTGCAACCCTCCGACAACATGTCACGGGCCCTAGATGGAAACCCTGCTTCTACTCCCCTCGACTTCATGGGCCTGGGCCCGGCTAGACCATGTGACTTACCTTCTGCAGGCGCTTCTCAACAAAATATAAACCGATCTCCCCTCACTTCTACGCAACAAATGGCCCCGCCAGGAACTGTGCCTGTTTTCCGTTCCCACAAGAATGAATCTCGGGTTCCGTCCATTGCAACTACTCCAGCAACTTCGAGCCCCGCACCGAGCCAGGCACCCAAGTTCGATTCCGATTTAGCTGTGCAGTTTACCAGTGTGAACGACGATGGCAACGAAAGTGATGCGAAGCGCAGCTATCACGATATCAGTGACGCCGATGATGCTCGTCCACGGAATCTGATCGAGGGCGTCTACGATGTGGAGCAGCGGAGACGGCAGCCCTTGGTCAAGAAACCGAAGCTGGAGGATGAAGACTCGAAGGATGCTCTCACGAAAAGGCCGGTTGCTATTCCCAGTGACAGCGGTCTTGGCCAGTTTATGAAAGAGGGCGAGGCCCAGCCAACCCTGCCAGTCCCCACGGCAGATGTGGTGGACTTGACAGCATCTGTCTCAAATGACGATGACGATCTGCAAGTCACTGGATCCAATGATTTGAGCAACCAACGGGTATGCTTTGGAAAGGTTGAGAATGCCATGATCAACGCGAGTCTGGTGCCAAAGCCGCTTGCTAACCCCATTTTTGGGGATGAAGCGAATACGTGGCCTACCATGAGACTATATGTGCTACGTCAGCAGCGTAACGACTTTATTATCGAAGTCGCGGATCCCCACAAGAAAATCTTTGGCGTGGTAGATGCCAAAACCGCGCAAGCTCTATGTCCCTTGCTGGACTCCCCAAGTGTGCCTTTGGAAATCACGGCTCGCCTCGACATGCGCAAGAAAATTCCAGGAGAAGTCATCTGGGGTGCCACCTCTGGCATATACCGAGCGTCGCTTATTCTCTACGGTCAGCGGCGACATGCAGCGCTTATCGGTAACCATATGGGTCAAAAGAATGTCTGGCTGGGCACACCCCAGTTCGTCGAAAGTGGCGTGCCGTTATTCAACCCACATGCAGAGCGAAGGCAGGCGTTGGCGGCTGCGGCTGCAGCAAGCAACAACTCCCGTGACCGACCCGGACAAGGTATGCGATTCGAAGTTCGCACGGCCGAGGAGGTAAATGATGCCGTCATGAAGATGTTCGATCAACTCGTAACTGCCGATATACCGTCAATGGAGCCTCCCTCCCAGGTTAAGACCCCGCTTCTGCACCACCAAAAGCAAGCACTCTGGTTCATGACACAGAAGGAAAAGCCTCGCACATTTGGACCGAAAGAAGAAGACAACAATTCGCTGTGGCGTGTTGAAATACAGTCCAATGGAAGCAAACGATACAAGGACATCATCAGTGGCGTCGTCGTTGATCAAGAACCCCCACAGGTCCTGGGCGGCCTTTTGGCTGACATGATGGGTCTAGGAAAGACTCTAAGCATTCTTTCTTTGGCTCTTTCTTCGCTCAAAGAATCTCGCGAATGGACCAGGCAGATGCCTGACCGCCATCTTGTTCGACAAACTCCAGGAATCCGCAACACCAAGACGACTCTCTTGGTTGTGCCACTCAGTGCTGTCAATAATTGGGTGGTTCAAATCAAAGAGCATGTCAGGCCGAGGACCTGCACATGGTACGTCTATCATGGTACGAATAGGAAAACTGACGTAGATGAGCTCGCCACCTATGATTTCCTGATCACCACGTATAGCACAATCCTGAGCGAATATTCGGGTAGGGGTGCCAAGCGCGGAAGCCCCTTGAAGAAAATGAATATGTTCCGGATTGTCTTGGACGAAGCACATATCATTCGTGAGCAGGGGGCTCAGCAGACCAAGGCAATTCTCAACCTCTGCTCGCAACGTCGGTGGTCAGTCACAGGCACACCCATCCAGAATCGCCTGGAGGATCTACTTTCGGTCACTAAGTTCTTGGATCTCTTCCCTTACAACGACCGTGCCCGCTTTGGCCAGCACATCTTGAGCCCCTTCAAGACTGGCAACCCCACCGTATTGGCCAGCCTACGTGTGCTGGTGGACTCTTTCACGCTGCGCCGTGTCAAAGACCGGATTGACCTTCCGCCTCGGGAGGACAAGATCATCACCTTGGAATTCTCGGAGAAGGAGCATAAGTTGCATGAATTCTTCCGTAACGAATCACAGGTCATGATGCGCGTTATCGCAGGGGAAAGTAAGACGAAGATGGGTGGCCGCATGTACCATCATGTGCTTAAGGCTATGATGATTTTGCGTCAGATTAGCGCTCATGGAAAAGAACTGCTTGATGTTGAAGAGCGCGAAAGAATCAAGGGCATGAGTGTTCATGATGCGATCGATCTGGAAGAAGGTGTCACTGATGACAGTTTGACTGGGATGAACAAGAAAGCCTACGAAATGTTCATGCTTATGGGGCAAGATGGAGTACCACCTTGCCAAATTTGCAACAATCCCTTGTCTGAGCCTCTCACCGGGTCAGGAGCTGTGGACCGTGATGCACCGATGGCCATTTTCCTGCCATGCTGGTGTGTTCTCTGCCCCGACTGTTTTGCCGGCTGGAAAAATGTCTTTGATTCAACTCCTGAGTCGGAAGCTCAATGCCAGGTTTGTGATGGTTGGATTCCAATGAACTATGCCACCATCACCGCAGGTGGCATTGAAGACCAACAGGTGCAAGCAAGCGCCAAGAAGACAAGCAAAATGCTTGGTGAATACGAGGGCCCGCATACAAAGACTCTTGCGCTCGTTGAATATCTGCAAAGAATTGCCGATGACAGCAAGCTGCTGGTCGGTGAAGCTCCTATCAAGAGTGTCATCTTCTCAGCCTGGACTTCCCATCTAGATTTGATTGAAATCGCTATTCGTGACAAGGGGCTCGGTAAATTTGTACGTCTTGACGGTACCATGACTCTTCAAGCGCGTGGGAAAGCCCTTGAGGCCTTTGCCAAGGACAACGAAATCACCATGCTTCTGGCCACCATCGGCGCTGGTGGTGTTGGTCTCAATCTGACCTCGGCATCTCGGGTTTTCATCATGGAACCTCAGTACAACCCGGCTGCGGTTGCCCAGGCCGTGGATCGAGTTCATCGACTGGGTCAGCATCGCCCTGTTGAAACAGTGCAATTCATCATGAAAGGTAGCATCGAGGAGAAGATCCTTGAGCTTGCCAAGAAGAAGCAGCAGCTTGCCGACATGTCCATGAACCGCGGCAAGCTCGACAAGCGCGAAGTGCAGGAGGCACGCATGCGGGAGTACCGCAGCCTATTCAAATAGTCGTGTCTTTTTTCTCCCACGACTGTATACTCCTTTGGGGGTAATCTTTCAAGGTCCTTTGCGACAACTCGGCTGAGGCTTTTCTATAGCAAGGTATCCTACTTGCTTTTTCTTTCTCTTTTCTTGGATACAATTTCGATTTCGGATGGAGTTTCAATGGCGGTCTTGCTCTTCACTTCATTAGATACCCGGGAATGGAGGTTGATATTTTCGGCGCTGGGCTTTTTTTTTCCCTCTCAGTTTTCTGCTCTTTTGTTACGCACATATACCGGTTGCTCATTATGCTTTATGGCCTATACACGCATGTCCCTGTTTTGATAGAAGATGCTTTTCCGTAATTAGAGTGCACGCGCTGGGCTTCATCTAGATTGAGGCCGGTTCAAAAATAAGAGAGCTTAGTGCTTGCATATCTGAATAGAAATTCTAGATCACCCTGTAAGCCCAGACTATCTGTGGCAAAGTACTTTAAGACCAATGGAGATGAGATGCTTGGAAATCGCTGAATAGACAAGAGGCATTTTTTGGAAACATGAGGGGGGGTATTGTCACGACCATACACAAAGCTGCACATGAATCACTCCTTAGCAGGTCTATTGGCATTGATGGAATTCAGGATGTTGTCAGCACCTCCTTTCACGAGCCTCGCAGCCAATTCTTGTCCAAGCGCAGCAGCCGCTTCGTTAGTCTGCACTGTAACCTCCATAGAATTTTGCACACTCTGAGATCCATCAAGACTGACAACAATCGCCGTGATCCTCAAGAGATACTGTGCCCGATCAATCCATTCCGTCTCAACACCAATCGGAACACTACAACCTCCCTCAAGAGTACGCATAAGAGCCCGCTCCGCAAGACAAGCTAGAGTCGACCACCGATCTGCCAAATTGCTGACCAACGCCAAAGTCTCGCGATCGCCTTTTCGAATCTCCAGCCCAAGCGCTCCCTGGCCAACCGCATGCAGAATACCACCCTCCTTGGAACCCATGTACTGGTTGATACGATCTCTGAGTCCGATACGCTCAAGACCAGCTGCAGACATCACCATGCAGGTATACTCGCTTTCGGGATTATCAACCTTAGCCAAGCGCGTCTCCACGTTTCCGCGCAAGTTTGCAAAGCGGAGATGAGGATACAGGCGACGAAGCTGTGCTGAGCGCCGCACTGATGAAGTCCCCACAACTGCGCCTTCCGGCAGAGTCTGCAAGCTTGTATAAGGCAGGCCAGCTTTGACGATCAACGCATCGCGAGGATCATCGCGGAGTGGAATTGGTGCGAGGTCGCACGAGTCTGGGAGACTAGTTGGCATATCTGAAGCGCATTAAGACATTATTTCGTAAAGAGAAAGGCAGAGAAGTAGTAGCCTACCTTTTAAACAATGAACGACAATATCTACCTCGCCCGAGCTGAGCTTCTCTTCCAATTCGCTGGTCCATAGGGACTTTTCTCCGAATTTGTAGAGTGCCGTGGACTTGTCTTTATCGCCCAGCGTGTGCAGGGTTTCAATCTCAAAGGTCCGATCGCGGGCTATCTTCTGCAAACTGGCGCGGATGCCCTCGGCCTGGACGACGGCCAGATGGGATCGACGAGTGCCAATCCGTACAGGCCGTACAGCTACAATATTCGATCCCGCCATATCGAAATTTGACCGTAATTGAAGGCGGTCTTGGAGGGAGAAAGAAGAAGCAGGCAGTCAGCACAAACTGTTCGTTTCAGCCCCCAAATGACTAGTGGGGCCGTTCCTACTATCTATAGGATTCGATATAACACCAATGTATTCAGATCAGACTCTGCATCAGACCTAGGTTGGATATATTACGGCTTAGCTTATAACTTACTGGGGGGCTTGAATCCTCGTTCCGGCCTCGTTATGCAACAATGCCATCAAGCCGAAGTAGTGGTGCTCTGTGCTTGTCCACGCCACCTCGTCTTTCCCTGGTGTTTGCATGTTCTCTTGATGGATCAAATCAAAGCACGAGTTCATAGAGGATATTATATGGGTAGCGCATAGTTCAGAACTGGCGATACGAGGCCTACAGAGCCTCCGCCATCTATAAGAAATGTTGTCATTCCCATGTAAAAGGAAGAACAGAAATGAGTAAGTTTACCTCACCGGGATTTCCCTTATGATCTTCCGTGTCTTCATAGTTCACTCATAGCCCCGCCATTTAAGTCGCGTCGAATGGTTTCACCAATGCGAGAGTCTCACTGGAAGCGCTCGCTGGAGGAGACATAGCTTCTGGTCCTGAGATGAAGGGCTATCCCGTAGCAGATCGTAAAGCCCAGTCTAAGCAACCTTGGAATGGTGCGGAAGTGCAACCGTAGGCTATGCTATTCTGACGCATATCGACCTTGTAGTTCTTCTGTTCAGATCCACTGAGGAAAACGAAATTGCAAGTCTCATTATTTTGTGCCCATGATATGGTATCTAAATGTCTTAAACGGTCAACTGAACAACGCCTGCATCCCTGCTAGAAAAACTTGATGAGAAAAACCGGGGTATCCAGAGCCCTCGCAATGCAACCATCCAACAATATTTTTTCACTCCTGATATTTCCTATCACCGTAAATTCCCACAGAAACAGCACCGAGAACATTTTCCAACCTGCCCCGCAATTTCTGCAATTCCTGTGCCTTGGCCGTGCGCTCCTTCTCGACATCTCGTAGCTGTGTCTCCAATTCTCGGATTCTGGATTCCTGCTCGGCCTCTGAAGCACCGATGCCGGGGAGCACAGAGATCAGGTACTCGATTTGCTGCTCTTTGATAATGAGATCGCGGGCCAGCTCGCGCTGACGAGCAGCAAATGTGCGAGGTGAGTCAGGCCGGGGTGGAAGAATCGGGTCTCCTTCGACTTCGCCTCCTTCTGCCGTTGTACCGGGTTGTTGTGTGGGTGGAGGGACCGGCGATGTTTGGGCTACGCCGCCGCCTGCTGTTCCTGCCGCAACCGAGGCGGGCACGGGAGGAGTGGATGTGTTCTTGGAGATCGTAGCTAAGGCCGGTGCGGCATTCGGAACATTTGGAGGTGGAATAGCAGGTGAATTGTCGTGGTATGTTGTGAGATAGCCGAGCGTTGCGTAGAATTGAGTCGCAAGCTGTTTTGTGTTAGACATGATCGGAGTCAAATTGTCGCACGCTATGAAGGCTGACCTGGTCAAGACATGTTTGTAGCTGTGTGAGAATATCCGCCATAATGGGCAATCTAAATGCTTGGGAGTGTAGTCGGGAGAGAAACAGAGGATGCGACGTCGAGAGGCCAAGATGCGCAGGAGATGCGGAGAGAAGCTCTCAATGCGGTGAAAAGGCGCACTCTTTCACCTCGACACCCCTCGATGCGACATTTGCGCCCGCGTTATGGCTTCGCTGCCGAACTTATCTTCCAATATTCCAAACCGATAAACTTCGCCCGGCCATTCTCCAGCTCACAAGTCAACAATGACCTGACACCGTTCACCCGGCGGCTCTTCAAGCTGCCTACCGCACCCCCAACACCAACCCAAAACCATACCAACCTGACCACCTTCCTGTCCTACGCTAAGCGTATATCCCTCCCCGAAGCAAGCACCGTCTACGTAGGCACGCACTACGAATACACGGTCCTCCAAAGCCTACGACGCTATGCGCTCTCCCTCGAGCGGATCGGCGGCCGCGATGACGCCGGCATCGACCTAGTAGGCACTTGGCACCTACCGGAGCGCGAGCGGGAACGGGCAGTTCGCGTCTTGGTACAGTGCAAGGCACTCAAAAGCAAACTTGGGCCGAACCTGGTGCGCGAGCTCGAAGGCACGTTCCGCCAGGCGCCTGTCGGATGGCGCACGAACCAGACGGCGGGAATACTGATTAGCCCGCGCGAGGCAACGAAAGGGGTTCGGGACGCGCTGGCGCGGAGCTCGTATCCGTTATTTTGGATGATGATGGAGCGGGATGGAACGTTGAAGCAAGTGCTCTGGAATGCACGGGCGGAGAAGCTTGGGCTAGGACCTCTGAGTGTGGAGACGAGGTATGGGATGGTGGATTCTGAGTCGGGAGCTGTCACGAAAGAGGTCGCTCTGACTTGGAATGGAAATGACATCCCACATATGGACCAGGTCGAGCAAGACTTGCTCCGTTTGGAGAATCAGTGGGTGGCATCTTGGGGAGCTCGTTTGTCCGGTGTTGAGAAGGATGTTCTTTTGGATGCGGTGCAAAATAGCTTCCCTGATGGGCATCCAGACCCTGGACCAAATGGCGTGATGTCTGAATTGGATCAGACAAAACTTCTGCATGAACTACGAAAACATTGACGCTATTTTGAGATTAGACCCAGGCAGAGCGAGGGAAGTGATCCAAAGTGGCATAATCATAACATTAAAATAAAGCTTCAAGGGTATAAAAAGACTCCAATCAAAGATCTCCCAGAAACTCCAGAGACAAAATTCGTTCAGTACCGGTCATGATTAACCCTGCATGGTGGACCAGAAATAGTTGGCGTAGAAAAAGCGGGAGAACTTGGGGTCAATGTTCACGACATGCACATCACCCTTGCGACTATTGCGAATAACCGCTCGATTGAAGTTTCCGGCCTCATCAGGCTCAATATCGACTCCCAAAGAACGGAAGATCTTAAGTCGCAGTCTGTAGAATAATTAGCAAGTAGAACCCTGCGCTCAGGCGACGCCACTCACATTGTCGCATCATCCGCCTCGCGCTCACGGCGCGTGGTCTCATCGCCCTCGAGACCCTGTGATTCCAGGTCTGCCAGCTTTTCCTTAAGCATCTCCAACTCACTTTCTGAGACGCTCGCTTTCGACCTCGAGTTCGGTGGCTGCCTTGGCGATTCGAAATTTCTTGGTGTCCAGCTGGACGATTTCTTCGGCATGTTTGCTGGAATCGTGCACTGCCACGGCCTCTTCGTGTTGGGCGCTCAGCGAGTTGAGCTGGCGACCAAGTTTCCGTAAAGAGGACTCGGCCTCTCGAATGCGCAGGTCGCGCGACTGCTGGAGCGTGGCAAGAGAGTCATTGATGCGTGTGACGGCTTGTTTATCCGGGTGGATATTGAAGTTGCCGATCGTGTGGTGAATGAGCTGTGAACACCATTTAGTTCTGGTTCTAGTAGCCAGTAATCATATGAGCACGTACAGTACCAGGATCCTCGTCGAGCAACATGTTGGGCGTAGTTGAGAAGAGTGAAGCGGGACAAATCGGGGTGTTTTGATTGTTGCTGCCGCAACTGCCACACTGCACCGCCACATGTTGGCTTCTCCGCAAGTGACGTCTGCCTCTAGCTTTTACGCCCATCTTTCCTACTCAACTGTTCAGTCTACCATGTCTAATCTTCCTTGTGAGTTCCATAATAGGTTTATTCTCTTCATATCGCGAGCCTTTCACTGACTCAGTGCCTTTCATGCAGATGCTGCAGATGCGGAAAGGTCCGTTGCCCGGTGGCACGCTCGTCCGCGACCCCTTGTAGATTGCGAACTAACTCGTCCGAATCTAGCCCGCTGAAGCCCGCGGAGCTTCAAGTGCTGCGCGCTCAATACGAGAAAGAAGGCGACTATGTTGGCATCCAAACCAAGTTCAACTTTGCCTGGGTATGGAACCTAAGACCCGAGCTATCGATGGGAAATCCACGCTGACCAGTGGTCTCCGCACTTCGCGGAGGATGTTTTTTAAACAGGGCTTAATCAAATCAAACCAGCGTCCCGACCAACAAGAAGGTGTTCGTCTTTTGTCGGAGATCTTCCGCGGAGCCCCGGAACGCCGACGAGAATGCCTATACTATTTGGCCCTGGGCAACTACAAGCTGGGCAACTACGGCGAGGCCCGCCGATACAACGACTTGCTTCTCGAGAAAGAACCGGCCAACCTGCAGGCGGCCAGTCTGGGGTCACTTATCGATGATAAGGTTGCCAAGGAAGGGCTGATGGGCATCGCGATCGTGGGAGGCTTAGCGGTCGCGGCAGGTGTTGTTGGCAGTTTGATTTTCAAGGGAGCCAGAAGACGGTGAGCGTTGGGAGAACTGGCGTCTGCAAGGGCTATAGCACAGCCGGAACCGTCCTTGCATTGGCCTTGTATAATTTCTACTGTCTGAAGCTTTCCTTATCAGCCTCAGCCTCCGCATTGTCGGCGTTTCTTTGTCCTCCATGGCTTTCTTAGCCTCGTATATAGGTACTGATCTTTGTTCAGCACGAAATGAATGACCTGGAAGTATTTTCCCTTTCTTTTTCTTCACGGTTGCTGGTCTCTTTTCGACGTCTCCTCTACGTTGCCACCTTGCATCATTAAACCTCCGATCCCAGATTTTAACTACGCTGCCTAGAGCACCGTGTTGCTATTTTTGGGCTGCATCCGATGAGACCTGCAGTATTAGTAAGTATAAGTAAAGATGTTAACGGTTTCATCGTGTTGAAATGCTTGGGTAGTCTCTACCTTCAATCTTGCGCGATCGCCCTTGGAAGGCAACCGGTTCCGACGTCATCGCCTACTTTATTTCTCACATTATTACACGTCTGATTTTCGCCTCCGATTAACCTTTGCTGTGACCCGGAAACCCCTGAACAAGGCGACGAAGTCCTCACTTGCGTGTAGTTGCCCCACGCCGATAAGGCCATGACTCGTGACTGTTCCGCGCGTTCGCCGATTTAGTCTCGTCGTGAACCCCCCCCTTCTCATCAACCACCATTCTTGATGCCATGGCGGATACCGGAGATCGCATGTTTTGCCATGCCTGTGGAGGGGTCTGGTCAAAGGACGATAGTGGTTTGACCTGCCCGCACTGCGAGTCCGACTTCACAGAGATCGTAAGTGTTCCTTGTTTCCCATTTCTTTGTATTGCAGGAGCTAACCTGCATAGATTGAAATCCCTCCAGATCCAGATACTCCTCCTCCAGAACTCGAACCTGAACCTCGCACGCCACCGATCAATCCGTGGGCAGATCACCATCCTTGGGGAAATGAGGAAACGGCTGGACCTCGGCCATTCGACTTCATGAATCCAGGATCTCCCGGATACTCTCAGCACACCTATAGGTCTCCAGATGGCCGATTTACCTTTAGCAGCACTACTATCGGCGGGGGATACTCCCCGCAACAATCCAGCGCAAACGCCCCTCCAAACCCCATGCTTCCGATGATGTTCGAGGGCTTAAACACAATATTCCGAAGTCTATCAGAGACATATGATCCCCACCATCCCCATGGATCTAGGAGTCCGGGCTTCGACGACCCGTTCATGGCGCATTCATCCCATTGGCAGACTGCCGACCCTGATGGTCCTGCGGAACCTGAAGGACTATTCCCCCGCGACACAGATAGAGCGCAAACGACAGTTCCCCCGGTGGCCTCTTTAGCCGAGTATGACTTCTCACCTTTCTGCACAGTACATCCAGCTTACCCAATATCTCAATAGTCTCCTGCAGGCCTTCCAGACTGATTTTGGCGCGCAGAGACGGCAAGGCCGACATGGTGCCCGCGGCGTCGCAGGGCCGAACCCGCTCGCCATGCTTTCAGCCTTACTCAACATGGACCGGAACGGCGATGCGGTCTATTCCCAAGAAGAGCTTGACCGAGTGATCTCGCAGTTGATTGATCACAACAACACAGGAACGGCACCGCCACCGGCATCCGAATCCGCAATCAGGTCACTACCCACGAAGAAAGTCGACCAGGAAATGCTGGGGTCTGACGGGAAGGCGGAGTGCTCGATCTGCATGGATGCTGTGGAACTCGGCACGGAAGTGACAGTGCTCCCTTGCACGCACTGGTTCCACTTTAGCTGTATCGAAGCTTGGCTGAGCCAGCATAACACCTGTCCACACTGCCGACGAAGCATCAATTCAGTTGAATGGTGAGTGCCCTCCATAACGCATCGTCCCCGAAACTTGTGAGAGCTGACGGGAACCTTGTTTCACAAGCACGGGCGAAGGCTCCAGCGAAAACCCAGTCGTTATCCAGGATAGTCCGGAGGCACCTTCATCGGGACGACAAAGACGTCGCAGTTCCCCTTTTTCCCTGCGCAGTCATCAATCATCCGGATCCGGATCTAGATCGACTCCGCAATCCCCAACGCCTGAATCCAGCGAACCCCGCAACAGACGTGGGAGTCGGGGCAGTCGAGGTAGTCGCAGTGAACGCGGAGGAATTACAGGTTGGGTTTGGAGCCGATTAGGAGGAAGTAACGAGTAGGATAGACGATTGACGACACACAGACTTGCGCACATTGCGGGGAACATTTGGAGGTCGTGTTTTCTTTTTCTTTTTTATCATCTCTGGCGATCGCGATCGATTTAGCGCTCGTTTCTCATCCATACCCCCTTTTTCTTTCGTTTCTCTTGGCCTCTTGGACAGGTGCAAGTCTTTGGGTCTCGTGGCTGGTTTTCCATGGGTTTCCTTTCAGCCAGTGTATATATTTCCAAACTCATGCCAGACAATGGGTTTTTCTATTACGTCGGTGTCCAATCGAGCGAACCGGTAGCATGGAGTAGTAGCTCAATGTAGATTTTGCTGACTCTAGAGAATTGCAGATGGGGGAAAATACTTCTACAAGCTGATTCTAACTTGATCTCATCGAGTGGACAAGACTATCTATCGGACACACACAGAAAACAAGACCCATGAAGCAGGGCCTTGGGACTCCAAACCTTCATCGCTGGCCACAAATGAAAGATTCTCAGCAATTGGCATGTTGTAAAAATCCAATAACATTGGCTCATATGTATTAATCTTGTAAGCCAAATACCATAGACCTAAACCTTGAGAATCTTGCCCGTCTCAACCTCATACAGATACCCGGTAATAAGAACATCCAAAACCAACGGATTTTCCTTCAACAATTTGACATCATCAAGCACGCTCTGTTTCAGGTCTCCAAACGGCAGGAATGCAATGTGATCGACATTCTGATGCAGGTCAGCGCAGATCTTGCGGCGGATTACATTCGTCGCTAAAGGTCAACATTCCACAATCCGTCTAAGAGGTATAAGTATAATCCTATGGATCAAATATTTCCTTTGCGTGAAAGGTTCTGATACATACGTGGTGCACGATGATGATCTCACGGGTGCCAAGAAGCTGTTGTGAGATTATGATACTGCGAAGAGCATCGGTTACCCGTCCGCCTGCGTTGCGGACTACATGGGCATCGCCCTCTTCCAGACCTAGAGCTCGAGCGGGATCTAGTTCTGTGAGTAGGGCTCATCAGGGAGGAGGGTATAGAGCGTGGACTACTTACCAAGGCGCGGGTCCATGCAGGCCACTATGGCGACTTTCTTGTGACGTTAATTTAGTCTATTTTTTGGTTTTTGTTTATAGGAACATAGCGATGAATGCAAGAGAGATGATGCACCGTCGAGGGGGAAGAGCAAGATCTCCTTTGGTGAATGACGCTGCATACTTGGCGTTGGCGACTTCGGCTTCTTGGGCGACAGACATGTTGTATCCGTGGTTTCAGATAAATGAATCGACTTCAGGTACCTTAGTGACAGTGGGCACGATATAAAGGAACCAAATATAATTCCCCCCCCCCTTCCCCGCGCTCTTGTTCTCGAGATGAGGTGATCGTGGGCTACTTCGACTCTTGATGGCGTGATGAAGCACATCGAGCCCGTGCTCCAATAGAATGAAGAGGCCTTGATAGACCTGAGGTTTCAATTGTTTGCGTACAAACCTAGAATCGTCTTTGAGCGAACATGGTGGTATGGATCTCAAATATCTAGAGACTAGTATGAGACGAGTTTACAAAGTCGCAATGCAGATAACATTTCCAGCGATGCATTGAAAGTGTGCACGGTAGATAATCAATGAACAGCCAAAGTGGCAGTCCACTTCCCCTCCTTCTTCGCAACTTGTTCGCAAAGGTCCCGCAGAATACCTCCCAGCCACTCAAAGTCACTCTTATCCAAATACGTTTGAGCACTCAGCCGAGTCCACAGCCACGAGCCATGTCGGAAAACAGGGACAAAGGTATCATGCTCTTTCATCAGGGTCGTTTGAATCCATGAAAAGACCCCAGGGGCCTCGTTTGGTGAAATCGTCACAGCTGCACCTGAAACAGGCTCATCGGAAACAGCAATAGGCAAGCGCACCGTTGCCATGGCACATTGGCGCATATTGCTCGTTTCTCCGGGCTTCAGGTCCGGCTCTTGCAGAACCTCTGTCCCAAGGATATATGCGACAATGTCGGCGGCTTCGATGGCGAGATCAGTACAATAGGACATGACAGCCTCTTCTCCGCCGCAGACCTCCTTGCGGAATTGCAGCGCGGCTGGTATGCAGATGTAAGCGGAGTCATCGCTTGTGGCAACAAATTCGAATAATCCTTCGAATAAAGTACTTTTCTTAACGGTGTTTGGATCAGCAAGAACTGATTGCCGGGTGTCAGTGGACGAGGGGCCAGGGATGAAGCCCCATGAAGTGGGAAGAGTGGTACGCATAAAATGCTGATTGCGCTTAGGGACATAGAGAACAGCGCAGCTGCGAGGCGTGTAGAGCCACCTGTAGGGAAAGTCAGTCTTGAATGTTTTTTCCGGCCAAAGCCAGGAATAGGGGAGACCGGGGACATCGTACTTGTGACAGTTAGACACCAAGAAGTCGGGCTGTAATTTTTCCAAGTCAAGTGGGATCTGTCCAATGCCGTGGGCGCCATCGATCACGCTAAGAATGTCCTCTTCACGACAGATGGCAGTGAACCGCTCAAAGGGAAAGCGACATCCTGGGTTGCTGACGATGGTATCGAAAACAGCAGCCACGACCTTGAGACCTTCTTCGCGAGTCTTACGGACAACTTCCCGGAATCGGCTCTCGAGCTCGTCTTCCGAGATAGGGAACTGGAATGGCACCTTTCGAGACTCAAGATTCGAGTGCTCTTGCAAGGAAACAATACTCTTCTCCACAGCTCCGTAGACTGACTCGAAAAAGATGATGGCTTCTCCAGACTGAAAATTCAAATTGTACAGCACTGTTGCGACGCCGGTGGTTGCGTTCTTCACAAATACACATTCGTCCTTTGGCGCATTGAGTATCCCCGCGACGGCTACACGCGCCTTCTCCAGGTGTTCTGCGTGGTGGGCCCGGATATACGGGTCTGGTCGCCCATCGGCCTCGTCCATGAAGGCCCATTGAGCATCACGCACGGCGGCGGGATGTGCGCCGAAAGAACCTGGTCGTGTCAGATCTTGAATGACATGGGGACACTTTCAAGGTACAGACCGTGGTTCAGATTCTTGTATGAGGGGGGCAAACAGCCAATGCTTCAGCATCGGTTTCCCGAATGGAGTCACTTCAGTAGCCATGATGATGGAGTTCTTGACAGAATGCTGGGATTGTCAAGTCTGTTGAGGTCTGATATATCGTTATTATGTATCAAGAGGGGCATACGGAGATGGTGATGTTGCTCTGCTATGTTTTGACTCACCTCATCTCCCGAGCCAATGAGTGCCGGGACTATTGCGCTGAAGATCCACCTGAACCTTGTCAAAGGGCGTGCGTATCTTCAAATACTCCGACCGATCGGAGAGATCGGATTCACGAGCTCGTCCGTCGTGATCCCGACCAGTCATGCCAGATTTATACGCTGGAGGAGATCTACATGAGCGGTCTTATCGTCTTCGCTTATCACGGTGAGATGCTTTAACACCAAAGTCTTTCTTACGTCAAAAATCTTGATTTGGAAACAATGCGAATTAGTCCCTTCGTATTCACCAACAAAGAAAATCTTACTGTGGATTTACTTATAGTGATCTGATCAATTTAGTCCTATCTACCGAATCTTCTCGTGGGGAAAAGCTCGGCATTTGCGGTTTCTGTATATCTCCGTGAAAGAAGCATTCCAGACTAAAATAAATTAAAAAAAAAGTAGACGACTTCAAATCACAGATACTTTTTTTTTTTTCGCAAATCTCAGGTCTCCGAACCAAGTCACCTAATGCTTCATCGACTCGCAGACTTCCTCACCCGATCCATCGGATTGCTCCTAGTCTCAACCGGCGTAGTCTGGCAGATCCACCCCGTTGAATGTGAGTCAATCCCATTCTCCAAAATCGGCAACAAACTGACAATGGGCCAGTCACTGGTGTATTTGGTATTGCCGATCCAACGCCGGAGAAGGCCACCTTTGGCCCAGCACTCGGCAGCAGGAATGCTGCAGCGGGGCTGATGCTTCTCGTGTTGAGCTTCAAAGGCCATCGCAACCTCGCAGGGACTCTACTCGCAATTTGGTGCACATGTGCTGGACTCGAAGATGCCTATTTATGCTATCTCAAGGGTTCTAATAAACCCATGCATCTGATCAATACTTCGAGCGGTTGGATTGTGGCCACGTTATTGTGGATGACTTGATTAATGGACTATCGTGCGAAATCATCTTTCCTGGCTTGTTCCACAGCTCAAGCACTGGAATTGGCTTCGGTGATGTCGGGGGGGGGGAATATGGGGAGATCTGTAGAGCTAGATTGCATTTGTTGGGGAAAAGAGGGGGTTTGCACGAGTCTCGGCGAGCTCGGGATCAATGGGGTTCATTAACAAATTATAAAAGTTCAATTTATGAGCTCACGTCATGAACTTTGGATACATAAAGTCCCACGGATTATGCGATGTAGCCAACTGTAATGCTTGCTCAACGCCTGCCTGCGGAATACCGGTCCAGGACCAACACAGATGCAGTCAAGAGATAGAACTATCCCCATATTAGCCAAGATCGGGTCAAGGGCCATGATATGATCCAACTTACTTTGTAAGAAAGTCGAGAGGTTGAATTCTGATGGCGCCTCAATACGCGGAGTAGAGTGCGGGGAGCTGTTGTCGATGTGAATGCCCCGTTGCTGCAGGAACTTTTGTACGCCACTTGCATCCAACCATTCATCAGGTTCTGAATCAAGAACAAGTTGCCAAGATCTTGAAGACCGCAAAAGCATATCAGGAGAGAAATCCTCTCTCTTAAAATCTAATGGGTTGAGCACCTTGGTCTTGAGCTCGATCGCGTCAATCACGTCATCGTTCATGGCCATGTAGAACGTCGATATCAGACGATTCCGCTCCGATAATGTGAGCGGTTGGCCAAAGACCTCTTGGATCTTGGCTTCGTTATCCGGCCGGTTCACCAAGAGCCGGTATCCGCTTTCGCAGCACTCCCGTACAATGCGCTGCGAAAGGGTCCAAGGTTCTTCTTTGATGAGGCTGGATGGAGATATAGTTGCCGGAGGTGTCGGCAATTGTTGCCGTGGAGGAGACAATGACATGGACGGTGATGATAATACCAGTCCAAATGGGAGTATCGGCTGTTCCTGATATGGCGGCGTCAAGGGTTGCGCCACGGGCCACTGGCGTGTATTAAATGGGAATTGTAGGGACTCATCCGGCATCGACATATTAACCGGGTCCAGATTGTCCATATCAAAGTTGAGATTGACATTTCGCAAGCCATTTTGCTTGCGGCTCTTTGAAGGAGGTGTAGGTTCGACTGGTTCGGATGTCTCGTCTTCATCACATCCCTGTTTTGCGAGCGCGACACACTTCCGGGTAATGTTTTGGAGTGCGGACGCAATGCGCGGATATCGCGCAAGTAAATCATTTTGGATGAGAAGATTGCTGAACGACAGGAAGGATTGGCTGATCTCCTCGATCCCCACTTCCATCTCCTGTACCCGCGTCTGTAAATTACTGATCGTATTTTCTTTGCGCCGGCGATAAGCTTGCTGTGCGACGCGGAGCTGCTTGCGACGTCTCTGGAGATTATGAGCGAGTGTGCCTGCAATATCCTCGCGAATTACCCACCTCTGGCAAGTCCTGATCGTCGGTCACGGTTCGGGGACGACCGCGCTTGCGGGGCCCCGGAGTAGTTGACTTCATGTCGGTCATCACTTCAGCCATGATTGACTGGATAAATTTTTAGAAATTGAATCGGTGATATATTACCTCTCGAGGTGATGTAATGCAGAGATAGGCAGATTGTCAGCAAAGAAGCGAACCGTGACGACGTCCATTCAACAGCACTGGGGCTCTCGGGCTGTTGAATAATCGAAAAAGATCGGCCCAGATTGCTAAGCATCTTGGCATTCCACTGACTTTGACCAGCCTTACATCACCATTCTCAGAAATCTTTGGTTCGGCATTGTGATTTGGCAGAGAATCTTCGAGTCGAAATATTGCAGGGATTCATCTGATGACCAATTGAGCCCTACCGCTGAATTTCCCTGTCCAGCTCTTCTCCTGTCCATCTTACGAGTGGTTATAGTGAGCAGTCCGGGCCATACTTAGCGTTAGAGACAATTCAGTAATATGCAACACGTAGACCAGTCTACTTGTCTGTCTTGTATTAGCACTCCACTGATTTCTATTCTCTGAGAGATATACAGAGATATTTCGCAGCTAAACAAGCTGGTTCATCCCAGGTTTGCCCATACCGAGGCACAAGCCCGCAGATGTGAACTCGAACATTGACGGCCAATGAAGCTCCCAAACATAACTTATAGATCATGTAGGCAGATAATTGCTGGTACATTACAAATCACATTTGACACAGATTTGAAATGCTTCAAGTGTGCAAAGCGTGTTCCTGTTGGCCCCTTATACTTTGACCCCTTAGCGCAGGTTTCAGATCTTCCTAACGGACTGATAGTGTCAACAATCGCCAGCTGAAAGCGGTATCACTGCACCCTTCAGCTGCACCCGATCAAAAATCCAGAACCATCTTATTCTGTCTGGATTGATTGTTGACTCAACCAAGGATTGCTCCTATTCCGTCATGATGAGGATGCTTCGTATAAAGGAGTCCCAGTCACCATACAAAGGCTCATTCATCTAATTCACCAAGGCCTCCACTCCCACTTGAGTCCAATACCTACTTTACAAAATAAAACCTCAAACCCCAAAAGACCACCGATCGATCTTCAATATGCCTCTTTGGCAGATCTACCATCCCGCAGGGATTTTCGAGGACGTGGCTTCCAAAGAAGCATTCGCCAAAGACATCACCCAGATGTATACTGAACTCGGTTTACCGGCTTTCTACGTCGTTGCGAACTTTATTCCAGTCCCAAAGGGCGAAATCTTCGTTGGAGGGAAGATTCCCACCGAGCGACCCTTCATCCGTCTGGTCATCAACCATGTCGCGATACATGCACCGAATGAGGACGCCGCGTACCGAGGCACTACCTCTCGGATCGACAAGATTCTGAAGCCTCACGTCGCGGAAAAGGGGTATGATTGGGAATACCATGTTGACGAGACGGAGCGGAGACTGTGGAAGCTGAATGGGTTGATCCCGCCGCCGTGGAAGAGTGAGCAGGAGCAGATTTGGGTCAAGGAGAACCGCGCTGTTCCTTATGATGGGGGTTACTAGGATTTGGAGACACTTTTGTATGTGGCCGACGTGGATTATACTCGCGAGTCGATGTGAAGCTTGCCGGATAATTACCATGGCATATCCGCCTTCGAAGTCGGCTTCATTCCGCCTTGCACAAGTTCCTGGCGATGTACAAGGAGTACTGAGCAAAAGCTTTATTGAACTGAGAGGAAATATATCGATGCACAAATACACTTAAATGCTGCTAAAGACATATGATAGTACACGAGTGAATCGGTTCCACTATTGAAAGACATTCGGAATCACAGAGCTCAAAATCGGAACGTATGAGTGTAGCGGAAGGCCTTTGGAAAAACTCGGACAGTACAAGCACAGTTGACAATGCGTATTTACCGCTTGCCCTTCTTGCGGGGCGCGACGACCTTGAACGCGGCGCTAGCAGCTTCTTCCTCGCGGGCATTCTGGGAGGTAGCACTAACGGTCGATCCCTTCTTGGCAACCTCGCTCCAGCCACCGCCGTTCTTCTGTTCGCCAAAGACGCTGGGCGAGACGGACTCGACAACGCCCTTGTCGGCAAGCTTGCGGCGGCGAATGAATTCCTCAGCAAAGTGACGGCCATCCATGGTTTGCGAATTCGCGTATACGGAGTCGGAAATGATCTCAGCCTCGGCAGGCAGGAACAGCAGCTGCTGGACGAAATCGTCAACTATACGTAGCATTAGTATCGCGCTTGACTTCTGGACAATGTGTCGTTACTCACCATTGATGTTGCTGTTCAGCCCCTTGCTAAGGGTGAGCTTGGCCCACTTGGAGAACTCCTCAACAGCCTGGTTGGGATTGGATTGGGGGACGCTGCCTGCGGTCACAGTGCGGGTAGCAACAACAGGGCGAGGTTTGGGGGCAGTAGTAGGCACCACGGGCACCGATGCACTGGAAGAGCGGGGGCCCAGGGGTGCAGCAGGCGGGGCCTTAGCCTTGCCACCAGCACCAACAGTAGTCCAAGCACCGGAGAAAGTGGGGGCGGCAGCGGTGGCGGAAGGAGCAGGAGCCTTGCTGGCGAGATCAGCATAGCGCTTGCTGGCAGACGCGGGAGGGCTGGAAGTCGCAGTCACGGCAGCGCCGGCAGTTGCAGCGGCCAGGCGCTGCTTGCGAGCCTCTTCTTCCTTTTGGATCTGAGCGAGGGTCTTTTTGGTGGCAGTGTTGGTGGGGGCAGGCTGGGTCTTGGTGCTCCATGCGGAGCCGGTAGTCACGGTAGGAAGACCAGGCGATCCAGCGCTGGCCCAGTTGGCCGACGAGGGGAGACCAGGAACAGCCTGGGCCTGGGCCTGGTTGAGACGTTCTTGCTCGGCGAGCAGCTGTGCACGACGAGCGGCCGCGGCGACTTCCTCACGCTGGGCAGCGGTACGAGCCTCGGCCTCCTGAATTTCCTTCAAAGAAGGTCCCTTGGGCACCTCGTGGGTATCCTTCGCCCAAGGCGCAACAGATGTGGCAGGAGCATCAACAGGAGTTTGGGTTTGGGACCGAGAGCCAGCGGCAAGAGCATCGGCGACGTTCTGACGGTTACGCTGGGCCGCAGGTGCCGGCAAAGGCGAGGCAGAGGGAGGGGGAGGGAAGGGCTGAGGCATAGCACGATCCACCTTGTTTCCCCAAACCGACTCGGGTGCCTGTTCTTCGTGCTCTTGCTGCTGCTGGCGCTGGGCAGAGGCAGCCTTGTGAACCTGCTGTGATAGAGTGAGCGCAGGCTCAGAGGTTTCAGGCTCCGAGGCAAGCGTCTCCGCTGCGACTTCCGAGCTTGTGGCGGCAGCCTCAGCTTCGAATTGCAAAGACGCAGCAGCGGGGTGAGTGGGGAGTCCTTCCGCGGTGCGCACCATGTCACCCTCCTGGGCTCGTAGGGCGTTGAACTGACGCAGTCGCTCCTCGCGAGCCTGCTGAGCAAAGAGATCATCAGAGTTGTTCTTATCGAATTGCTCCTGTTCTTCCTGCAGTTGGGCCCGATCTTGGAGCATCGATGCAACTTGTTGAGCGTGGAGGAAGTTGTCGGGCTGACGGCCAGAGAATGCTGTCCCACCGAAAGCAAATGGATCCTGTCGGCCTACATTCAGACGGTCAACAAGAGCAGCGAGCTGATCTTGGTGACCGATGTCGGTTCCTAGCATCCCAGGGGTGGTGCCTGGGAGCCCACTCTGTCTGAGCGGTCCAGCGGCGTCAAAGAACCCTGGAACTTGCTGGGGCTGCTGCTGTCCTTGGCCTGGTGCCTGAATAGGAGAGGGCTGATACGCGCCAGGAGAAGCGATGCTGCCAAAGCTGGGCTGACTGTGAAGGCTATGGGCACTGGTCTGGTGCTGAAGTGGAGGCTGGCCAGATGCCGGCGCACCAGGGTGCACCTGCTTCATAAAGGCTTGCTGCTGAGCGAGATGCTCCTTCTGACGAGCCATCAGATACTGTTCCTCCTGCTTACGACGCTCCAGTGCATTCTGCTGCTCGGCTGTCAGAGTCGTGCCAAAGCTCGGGAAACTGCCAGGGAATGGAGGTTGAGCAGAGCCGGCAGGTACGGCACCGGTCCACTGAGGACCATTGGGTTCCGGTCCGTGCGGGATGCCAATCTGAGGGACAAGGAATGGTTCACGCGAGTTCCCAATGCGTCGGACCAATTGCGCGAGTGGTTCGAACTCGATATCCTCTTGCTTCTTGATCTGCAATTCAGGGCTGAAGAATCCAGCCTTGAACCAATCGTGCATCTCAAGTCCAGTCCAGGGCCCCTGAATGTTTCCTTGCGGATCACGGTAAATCCAGCGCATTCGATCAGGCATAACCATGGTCCGCTGCTGGGCGGAAGAAACCGAACCACCTGGAGTCTGGGTTCCGGTAATATCATGGCCTATATTTGCAGGAAGAGAACCAACTGCCGAAACTGGTGTTTGAGAGGCTGAGTTCGATCCAGGTTTACTAGCCGATCCGTCCAATCCATGTGTCGGATCTTGTCTCAGAAGATCGTCCATACCCACGGACTCGGGGCGGCTTTGATCATCTTGCATTCCGGAGAAGAGTGCGCCCAATTTGCTAGATCTGCCAATGCTTGCTGTGCCGGAGATACCAGCATGCGGGCTAAAGAAACCGCCACCACCAAGGGCGGACAGGCTTGGAGACTGAAGATCACCGCCCATCGATCCGAAGATAGGATCCCCGAATGCCCCGAAAGCCGAACGCTCGCGAGTGGGAGTGCCAATAGCACCGCCTGCAGACCATGCAGAGGGTCCGCCCAAGCCAGAGAGACCACCCAGGCTGCCCAGGCCGGGATAATTCCGATTGGCGTTGACACTCGAGTTTTGGCTGCGGTCGATCGTAGGCAGATCCATACCTGAACCAACTCTTTTCATGGAGCCAAATGGATTGCCAGGATCACGCAAGCCACGCAGGCCAGGGTGCTGGGGCTGCTGAATATCAGATCCATCAGTGTCCACATCCTCCGCATCTGCTGTGGATTTATCACCGTGCGGACTCTGATAGGGGTTTGTATTGGTCGGACTAGTCGGCTCATGCCCCTGAAGAAGGCTGGGGGTAGGGTTCCGCGAGTTCTCATGGCTCTGCATCAGCTCCCGGAACCCAGGAATACTCGATGTCATGCCGAATGCACCGAAACCAAGGTCTGCCTGGGACGGAACCTCCACATCCTGAGACCCACCGAGGGCAGCACTTCCACTGCGGGGCTCATCGAATGGGTTGGTTTCGCTCCGAGAAGCACGAGTCTTGAGCGCATCTCCCCACGGAGACTGCGAGCGTGAGTGAGCCTCATCTTCAGTAAGACGCTCAAGGTTGCCAAGAGCCTTGTCCCTCGCAGACCCCGCAATATCCTCCGAGCTGTCCTTGGGAAGCAAGCCCTTGAACCTGCTCTCGCCTCTGAGACTTCCGAACCCGGCCTTCTTCTCGGTCGTGGGAGTTTGCGCGGCGTTATTCGATCCGAGGGAGAAAGCCCCAAATGCGCCCATGGGAGAAAAGTTGGCGTTTTGAGAAGCGGACGCGGCTCCCCAGGGAGAGTTAGGTCCACCTACGGCTGTATTCAAAGGATTTGTAGAGCTGCGTTTCAAGGAACCGAAGGGAGAAGCAGCATCTGGCCCGCCTTCCTTCGCTTTTTCGTCCGGTTTAGGATCTCGGAAGTCGGTCTTCCGACGCAACAGAGCTGGGGGGGAGTGGAAGTGTTTGTCTCGTCACGGAAAAAGCGAGGGTTCGAACCGGTAGGAGACATAGGGTTGCCGACAGAGTCGCCAGTCTCTCGGCGTCGGGCGCCCGGACGGGCAGCATTCGGGGAAGAAGTATTGTAGTTATTAATGTGACCCTGGGTGTAGGAGATGGACCCTTTGCGACCACCAGATCCCGGAGCAGTATTGTCTTTCGAGGCGTTCGTGGGCGGCGGCTTGAGAGGCGAATTGACCGAGGCGGAGAACAACTGCAGAGATTTAGCATATAATCACGGCTCGTTGAGATTCAAGGCAATGACCCACCTCTTTCTCTCCATCAGACATATCAGTCAATCCAAGCGGCTCTGCCTGACCATCGTGATCCCAGCACACTTCAGGGCCTGCGGAGGTCTTTTGGTCATCTCGCTTCCCCCACGCCCCATTCACGGGGGTTGACACCATATGAGGGTCCCAGTCGGCCACAAAATAATCCTCCACGTTCTTACCCAAGGATCCGGAATCCCGCTGTGCCTTGTACATTTCCAGGAGTTGCTCCTTGGAGTATCGGGCTTCCCCGTTCCGCATGGCGCTAGACATAGTATTTGAGCTCATGTGGGGAGACATGTAGGCTCCGGAGGCAGACATCGAGGCAGATGCAGGCTGGCTACCGTCCCGGGTGTGGGAAGGGTTGGTAGCGACAGAAGGGCGCCGGAAGGTTTGAGTGGCTCCGTTCATGCGAGTGCGGGACCTAGTACAAGGTTAGGATCGGGTATCTTTCATTGAATGAATTGAAGATCAATAAAGCAGCTGGAAGGTCCAAAGCAAGCCGGTCGAGCTAGTCACCCGGACACGCGGGCATTGGGGAGGGGAAGACAGGGCATGATTGCATACCATTCTCCACCGGCACCTCCATCCCCTCTCCTACTGGGGTCTTGGGTGTTGCCAGCGGCGGCTGACGCGAAGCTCGAAGGAAGAGTTGTAGGCATTATGGAAGGTAGGTTGTTGGGGTAAGATAAAGATCCTCCTCAAAACAACCGAGTATGAAACGTTTCGTCGCGAGACTTTCTGTGGCGGATGTGCGTTGTGTGATGCGAACGGGGATGCGATGCAAAACACGAGAGGTGAGAAGAACGGTTGGTGTTGTAGGTTGACAGCTGAGATGCTAGTCAATCGAGGTAGGTTTGTAAAGAGGGAAATGCAGAATGCGAGCGCCAGACGAACAAGGTCGAGAAGAGAGATCGAGTTTCGATTTCGCTTGGGTTTGGATGGAGCAAAAATGATTTAGCGGGGATGTGGCAATAGGCGCACCCAGCATGTAATTACCGTGTTTTTACTGCCTTCAGTCGCGTGAGCACCACCCGAATTTGGAGTAATACACAATACAAAAATACACCGCCTGCGGCCAGCCACCCGGTTTGATGTCTTCAGTACACACAACACACACTCTGGCCTCCGTCATCGATCACGTCCACGGTACTTTTGCCCTCTATGTCACGAATACAAAGGTATTTTCTGCGCGGTCTTGGCAAACTGAGACCTAGCTAAGAAGTCCCACACTTACAGAAGATGATCCTGACTCAAAATTTAGCAATATCTACCTCCATAGCTGGCTCGTGGCTAGGAACACCTTTGTGTGGCATTTAATTACCTGACGTGTATGGTGGACTAACACCACGCACCGCCTACAATTGGACGATCTACTGCATTCAAAACGGTTAAAGCTGCTTTAGACTGGCCCCATTTTCGACGAGTCGTGCTCCTTTGATGCTGCAGCCCTTGCGCTGATACGAAGGCACAAAGAGCCCTGAGATGCGTTGCACAGTTTGATACGCCCAAAAAAAGACGTCTTGAATGGAAGGGCACCCACGCATAGCTGACATCCCTTCCTACTTCTTTCCAGCCCCCATGGACACCAGATATTGCATCGCCCTTGTTGCAGGAAGGAATCAACCTGCATAGTTCCCGTTTGGGTAAAGACCGGGACTTGGCTGGATTGAAGACTGCATTATTCCTTAACTGACACCTCTATATCAATATTCTTTGTTATTCTGTATGCTTGCTACTACTCCCCACCGTTGTTTGACTCTATGCCGATTGACTGACTTGCTGACTGACAATGACTTGCAAACTTCAAGCTTTCCATTGCTTGCTGTCTTGCCTTGAAACAACACGATGGGTCTGAATTGTTGCAGACTCAGCCTTGACATATTAAGACCTTCATCCGCCCTCTTCGTTGCCTTCTTTGCCCGATCGCCAAGACAGTCTACACAGCGCATAGTCTGTCTCTAGATCCAAAGTCGTGTCTAGGCTTAGTTCTTTCAACACTTTCGGATAATCCAAGGAGACACCGGGCTTTCCAGTTGAATAACTCAATCAACCTTGGAAAATGCGCAGGCGTTCACGTCAGACGTTTTCCCCCCAGGACTATTTCACCGGCAGACCGATCGATAGGTTCGTGGCTCGCGGATTCTCAATCATGCAATTGCCGTTGTTAGTCCCTACTCCCAGTGAAGGCGCTTCAGACAGTCCGCGTTCTTGTCCATCAACTTGCCCTACTACTGTCGGTGGCAGCGAGACGTCTGATTCCAATCTGACTCGCAGATGCTGCAGTACCTTTTGCGGTCAATCTTGCACCGGTCACTGCATCTGTCAGTCTCATAAGATACAGATCACAGAGCGTACTCGGACTAAGAAGGAGTTTCAAGGCAACGAACAAGGCCAGAGGTCCTCCGCTCCTTCTCCGGCCCCATCGGTTTCATCCGGCACCAAGATAGCTACACCGCCGCCACAGTCCCACTATGTGCATGCAAAACCCGGCTACCCGGTGATGGCAAACGGACCGGATCCTATTTATGCCTATATCCACCCAGCTCATGTCCAAGCAGTTCCATATCCGCCTCCGCCTCCGCGACAGCCCGTTGAAACCTCGCGAAAGGCTCCTTCGATAAAATGTACCTGTCAGAACTGCCAACAACATGCGACTACTTCCGAGAATGAGACGCGGACATACCACTGCTGCTGTTGTTGTCACTTAGAGGGATGCTGCACCGAGTTCACCGACTACTTCGATGACGCTAGTTCAGAAGGCTCTAACGATTCTGGGCCCAGGGCCGGGGCTGGAGCTGAAGTCGGTTCTGAGCCTTCAACCATCTCGTGCCAGTACTACCTACCTTGGTATCTGGCTGTCCCATTTGGAACACCCTTTATGGAGTAGTCTTTTGATACTTGCGCTCGTTTTGGAATGGGTTGTGGGTAGAGACCTCCCAAATTTTCTGCGTATTTTACTACTAGACTGCTATGCTATTTCCTTTTTGTATTGGTTGCATCTTGATTGCATTCACGAACATAGTAGCTCTCAAGCAAAATGTACGTGCATGTTAAGCGAGTAAGATGAAAATCAGAATCAATAACACCAAAATCAAAAAATCTAGAGGCGTGTCCTCAAGATTTGAAGTCTTGAAACGTTTACTTGAGCCCCTAAGGCTAAGCTGTCCAATTATACAGTTATCCTGTAACCGTTCAAACCACGATAAACGTGTAAGTCTTCAGGGCTATCAGTCAACTTTCGAGGATGGAATGAAAGATCAAAAATCAGGAATCCCAGTAAGTCCATCGACATGCCTTTCTCGTACTATCGGCTTGTCACCAAAATTCCGGATGACTGTATATACAGATACCACCTGCCCCAAGTCTTGGTCTTAAAGCCACGCCCCCGTGCCTCACTCGACCTCTGGAACTCCCAATGTTGAAAGTTTGCAAAGTAATCAGCATGATAAATAAAGCATAAAATCTACTGATCGAAACTAGCAGTCTTGAACAGTCAATGTGTATTGTAATTATTCATGGATATGAGTAGCTGCACAGGCCGTGGAGATTGCCTCTCGAGGTCTGGGGTGAAGTATTCTACCGATTAAGTTCACAAGCTTATGCTGCACCCTTGCCAGAGCCAAACCCATAATGTGTAGCTCCTAGTGGAATCTCCAATTTGGAGAAGGACAGGGATGCCCTGATTAATCAGTGAGACAATTCAGTCGAGCCGAGGTCCCTGTGAGGACGTGAGTTTAAGCATTCATCTGGGCACAAGTGATAACTCAAACCACACAGGTGGTCTTGCATCATAGTCTTCTATGTATTGATTTATCTCCAGAAACCTCATTCGTCTCTTTCATCAAGAACATTATAGAATCGCAGTTTGTTCGTGCTCAACCCACTTTCGTCACTAGATCCTCGGTTATCGATAAGAGGTTCCCCGCACCGATCATCAAGGCCTACGGCGAGGGCGGGAATTCCTACATCAATCCAGTGAATATGTCCAAGGCAGTGTATATTGAGCCCATCGATGGCAAGTCTGGCAAGCCAGGCCAAGTCTACTACCCGCTCACAATCCGCACTCAACCCCGGCCTGTCCCTCAGGGTCGCGAGTTGCTCGTGAAGTTGTCTGCCGCTTCCCTCAATCACCGGGACCTTTTCCTTCGCCAGCATCTTTACCCGGGTGTGACATTTGATGTTCCCCTGTTAGCTGATGGTGTAGGTGTTGTTGTCGGTGCTGGTCCCGATGTTGCGAACGCAGATCAGTGGCAGGGAAAACGCGTCATCTTGAATCCCGGTGTGGGCTGGAAGGACTCGCCTGATGGCCCGGAAGAGGCCACAGGATACCGAATTATGGGAGGTACCAAGGTCTATAACAAGGGCACACTTCAAGAGTACATAGTTATCGAAGACTCTGAGGTGGAAGAAGCCCCTGAGCATCTGACCGACGCTGAAGCGGCTGCTCTTCCATTGACAGGCCTCACCGGATGGAGAGCGCTGGTGTCCAAGGCTGGTGAAAGAAATTCCAGCGATGGTGCTGCTGTTCTGATCACTGGTATCGGAGGCGGCGTCGCACTTATTACGCTGCGTTTCGCAGTGGCCCGAGGCGCTCACGTCTTCGTGACAAGCTCCAGCGAGGAGAAGATTCAGAAAGCCGTTGAACTGGGCGCAAGTGGTGGTGTGAGCTATAAAGAGGAAGGTTGGGAAAAGAAGCTGCTTAGTATGCTCCCATCGGGCAAGAAGAACTTTGACGCCATCATCGACGGCGCTGGAGGTGACTCAATCGAGAAAGCTGCCAAGCTGCTCAAGGTAAGTACTCGTACAACTCGTCAAATTTCTCGATCGGTATATCTAACTGATATTCGATAGGCTGGTGGTGTCCTCTCAATTTATGGAATGACAGTGTCTCCGAAAATGCCATTCTTGATGCAGGCTGTTCTCAAGAATATCGATGTGCGTGGATCCACGATGGGATCTCGGAAAGAGTTCAAAGACATGGTTGACTTCGTCAAGGCTAAGAAGGTCCACCCGGTTGTATCGCGAGTTCTTAAGACCGAGATTGATGATCTAAAGGGCATGGATGAGCTTTTTGAAGACATGAAGAACGGTACACAATTTGGCAAGTTGGTGATTGAATTTGGAGGGCACCCCTCAAGCAGCAAGCTTTAAGTAAGACAAATAGCTGGTACGAAGTCATGACTCAGTGAATATTCATGGCTATACGCCGCAATGAAACGGAGAAATTCAGATTTGGCAGTTGCCGGGAATCTATCAGTATATGACTGCACCTTCCGCACTAACTTCCTTAGTTCACACTCACCCTCATGGCTTCTGCGCCTTTTGGCGGCCATCAATATCCCTTATTGTGTTCCTAGAGTCTCAATTTAACCGAACAACATCAACTATCCTCGCTCATTCAACCCTTCTCGATATCCAGTTTCATTCTTTTCACTATGCCTGTCATCGTAAACCGCAGTATGCGGATCTCGTCAGGCAAGAAGGCTGGGAACCATGTCCGTCCTTCTGGCCCTGTTCCTGTATCTCAGGATGCTCCGATGCACTATTCTGAGGCGTCTTGGTCCGAGGATGACGAAGACATCACGGTAGTTTCTCCGTCAACGTTTCTCCTTTCTGCTTTCCATCATGTTCATTGCAACTGACTCGGAATTGGCTTGAGAGATCCAACAACTCCCAGTTTGCCTTGAAAGCCACCAATGACTGCATCCAACACAAGATTGCGAAGCTACAAGTTAACACCGCCCGCCTGAAGCGAGAACTGTGGCTCCTCCAGCGACACATCAAGAACTTCAACCACCCACTGTATGAAACATGGGAAGCTGATATTCTCACCCGTCTCATCGAAGTTGCCCATGCGCACCAGCGCCGCTCCAAGCTCCAAGCAGGTGTTGCCATCGGCGATACCACGGCCGCGGATCGTGAGAATCTCTTTCACGCGTACAACACTGCTGCTAAGCACGTTCGTGCGGACACTCTCCAGAGGCTTGGTCTGGATGAGAAGTACTGTGAGGCACTGGCACGCTACAATGAGGTTTGTGAGATACTTCTTCTTGTCTGAAGTGAAGTCCTTGTTCTCTGCTGACATCCATAGGTCGCCCCCTACCGCAGTCCGAACCCATTTCAGACGGAGAATGCCTTCGCCAAGTGGCTCCTCAATGAGAAGGAACAACGACCAGCAAAGTTTGACTTCTGGTCAAGACTGTTCCCCGTCTGCTACGGCCGGACCGTGGAGGAAAGTGCCGCCATTTCATGAGCACCCTCGACAGTGTCTATTCCTCTGTTCCATCCTTGTACATAAAGAGCTCCATCGGTATGGCTGCTTACGTCGCTCGTGATTTGGGGTTAAGGTCTCGGGTGTCAAGGCGTTCGTCATGGGATCGTGCCGGTCGGTTTACTGTCTTTGTGACTTCGGTCAGCTACACTTCCTTCATTGCGGTTTTGAATTTTACCAAACATATTTTTGTCGCTCCGTGGCCACAACGAGCCTATGACTGCATGTTTTACTGTGAGTCCTAGAGGGCTAGTGATGGCTCAATTCCTCGAGCTCGCTGCTCACAACGTAGTTCACATAGGCTCACAACAGTCTGTCCTCTCAAGGAACACGCCGAACTGGACAGACTGCAGGTCCAGTATTTATGTCAAAGGACAATAAGCGTTGGACCAGCTCATGATAGCACATTTTCATAGCAATGAAGGCCAATGCAGGTGTCTGGGCATGACCACTGCCAGCCAGCAGCAAGATCGACCTGATACTGCACGCTACTTTTGGATGTCTCAATTTGGCTACACTAGCGTCTACTCCAAGCCTTCAACCACTCTCACGTTCTTCGTTTCTCTCTAAGGCCTTCGTAATAATGATCTAGTGGTCACTGAGACCTTCTTCTTCACTAGAACGGGAAAGACACGGCATCCCAAATGTGCGGCCTGAAGGACAAGTCTCAGGACCGACTTGCTTACGGTTTGACTAGGGCTGGACTAGGGCTGCGTCAACCAAGCCAGTTGCGCAGTCAACAACTTCCATGGCTGGCTGACCAAAGCTCTCCCAAGAGTGATCCTCCATTCAGTATCTTACAATCTCCTCCACGCGTGAATGTCTCTGTCCAGCTCTCAACTTTCGGGGCCTTAACCCAACCATCTACTGTCACCGTAGCAGATAATCAGCCCATAGAGCATCGCAGAACTACATTTTCCTCTAAGAATAGTATCGTCTGTCTCTTGACCGCTCTTGAGTGAGACAAGCTCTCAGCAGCTCTGCACAGCCCTGTGGCCGACTGATGAATAGAGGGCTTAGTCGATAGCCCAATGACCAGTTGTGGAGCCGATCCAGGGTCTCCGATTCGCTCCGGCTCGGTTAGGTTCCGAAGCCTCGTGTTTGATGATGATGTGAGGGGAGCAATCTGCCACCGTTGGCTTGCGAGCTATCCCAGGTTGTGCCGAATGTTCAAATGCCGTTCCCGGCAAAAATAAATGAAGAAACCCCCGATCATGTCATGACCTAATGACCCATTGAGTTCTTTTATTGAGGCCCCGATTAGTCTTTTCGTTCCCACTCTCGCAAGTGCAAGGTTGACCCATGAGGAGTCCACCTCATAAACATCTTGACGCCTGCCCGATCGTTACATCGCGATGGCGCACATTCAAGTGAGGATCCATGAAATCTGGCGCGCTGTCAAACGCCGGGCTTCCAAACTATGTTAAGCTGCTGCCTACCTTGGCAATGTGTTGATTGGAAGGAATCGAAGAACTTGGCAACAGCATAGAACCATCAAAAGAGGGTCAAGAGAAGAGAATGCCAAGTTCCACCTTTCTTGAGGGGAGAGGGTTTCCGTAGATACCGAGCGCCATTTCCATTTGGAAATTAAAAAAAAAAAAGAGACTAGAAAAAACAAAAGGGTGGATCCCATCGCTTCGGGTCCGACGAGGACGGGGATCCAATTAGACTCCACCGGGGCCCTTGAAAAGCCAGGAATAGCGCGCACCATCGCCGCGCCGGCAAGCTCGATGCGGCATAGCCTGAGAAGAAAGAAGCACAGAGGTTAGAGTCGGAGTGTGATGGGTCCCGAGCTCCCGACAGCGTCCCAAGATGCCAACGTCCTCATTTGTGGACTGTGCGCTCCACTCGGTTCATGAAGGGATCGGTAAGCGGACGAGCACCCACTCGACCCGCATATTGTGCACCCTTCGATTTTTGTGGTGGCGATAGGTTTGACGTGTTGAGATCTCCTGTTTCCTCACAAAGGTGGGTCTTTTACGCTGCAATTTGGCGTTGCATACAGTAATGCTCTTCGGGAGGGAAGGGAGAAAGGGAGAGGGGGAGAGGGGGAGAGGGGGAGAGGGGGAGGGGGAGAGGGGAGGGGGGGAGGGAAGGACGCGGATCAACTTGAAACGATCGTACTCCGGCGGAGGTTTCAGCCTAGACGATCTCAGCGGCCTGTGAACGAATTCTTTGCCCGGCTTATCAATCAGGTTATGAAAAGTTCTTCCAGAAGTCGGTAAAAAAAAAAAAGGTCGGGTAAATTTTCTTGATGTTGGTTTAGGTTCAATTCGGGAAGAAGTATCTCTCCGCATACTACGTGCATATATATATCGTGGGCTGCCATGGATCGTCGCTCTCGTGCAGCTATCCTCTTGGCACAAACTACATCACACCGCAAATTACATGCCACGACATTTTAACTATCAGAATTGTCATTTCAGTTATACACTTAGCAGATCTAATTTGAGTCTCAAAGCCGTGTATTTTGGCCCTCGGAGAATATTTATGCGTTCAAATCCCGCATCCAAAATCAAATCCGCCAACAATGAGGGTATGTTTTCAAGAGATTGATCCTGAATCGTGGATCTGTCTCACAGCCCCTGAGCCATCTGCTTCAGGTGAAACCAACACGATGCAGAACCCAAACAAGGAAGGTCCCTACTATAGCGGCGAGTCCGATCAATACAAAAAATTTTAACTTCTCGAAAACCCACCACCAAGATGTTAGTCGGAAGTTGATTCAAGCTTAGTATCACGAAGGGGCTAGTAACTAGCATCTACAGAGGGGGAGGCCCCCAGGATGTGGGTGGTGCATTCTTCGTCGCCGTCAGGCGCTAACGTCAAAGCTGGACACCGATGATGCTATACGTTGCCGCCATTCCCACTGCGGATGGGATCATCATGCTTGGAGCGGAAGGTGCCCTGTTTAAAGGTTGAAGAATCTCCAGTTCTCCAAATAGTAGTAGTGAAACCCTTCCTATGATGTTCACGCCGCTGAAACATGGGCGCTTTGCGAGGACGGGATCGACTACAGATAGGACATGGGAAGCGACAGGTTGTGAAAGTCAATTCTGGTAGGAGAACATTCGTTCCGTAGACTCGGCTCGGGTTTGAGACCTTGGCTCCCCGGATAATGTTTATCTGTGCTGTTTCTTGAAATTGTGACGAGCTTTGACTGAGTCTACTAAAAATATAACCAGGGTGTCGGGAGGGGCACGTTCTTTACCACGGAGGGTCCGCGGATGTGCTACACGTCTCCGTCCGTGTGTCAGATACTCGAGAGAAAATCTTGGTCTACGTAGTCGAGGGTTGACCGCTCTCCTGACGGCTGACTTCGGGGCACTAGAGCATTAACGGCTAGGAAAAGGAGTCCGGGGGAGGAGAGTGGTGTCTAGCGACCGAAAGAAACCCGGAAGCTGGCCGAGAGAGAGCAGTCGCGCGGCATTGCAGCCGTTGGCCTCAATTTCCGTAGTGGCCCAGCCATGGATACTTAAAACTGAATGGAGGGAGCTTCCAGGACTTGCCGCGATAAAGTAGTGCGAGGTACTAACGCAGTTCCTGGAAGAACAGACAAGTTTGGGCAAGGATGAAGCTAACTTAGGATAGTCCCAAACCTAGCGAAGGATCAGGCCTACCTAACCGTTGATTGGTAGCTGGCTTCGGGCACCAGTATCCCGAGGAAGCACTATCGAAGCAAATTGGATCATTTTGGGTGGGTTTTGGCCAGTTTAGTTCGTCGGACATGTTTTGGCCCCCCCTTTACAGAGTTGTAGGACTTTGATGATTCGTAAACTATAACTTTTTTTCCTTTGAGGCTGAGAGACGAACCTGTAAACTACGGATGATGAACCGGTCCTGCCAGGCCACCGAGTGAGGCTGAGCGCCGAGTACCACTAGCCTCAGGGAGCAACCGGGTCCACTGTGTACCAAAATGGTGTGCATCCCCTCGAGAAAGCCCCATGTGGGCGTGCAGCAATGGATTCCACCGGACACGGGGGTCCAGCGCGAACCCACGGGACGTGAAGGCGTTTGACCCGGGAAGACAGCAGCAAGGGTCCTGAGTCGAGGATCGATTGCGGTTTCAGGTTCATCATCCACATTGATTGACATGCAAGGTTGCCGTGCCCTGGCATTGTTCCCCTTTGGGGCTTAAACCCTGATGTTGCGCGTCTCAGCCATCGTGGAAGGCGCAAACGCAAATCCGAGTCGACCGTGCAACAATAGTACCCAATGGGTTCATATCGACGGCGGAGAAACCTCGCAAGAATTTCTCAAATTGAGATAATAAGTATGAGCCAATATTGATCGGCACATCATCAGTACGGAGACATCTCAAAGAAGGTTGGTGCTCCGAAACCCTGGAAAACCACCATGGCTCCAGTTTTTTCCTTTTTAGTTTTTTTAGGGGGGGGTTTTTTTTGGGCTCAATTCATTTCCCTTATTGTGGTGCCTGGTGAATTTAATATTGGGGCGAATCGGGTCAATTTGTGCATGCTTATTCGAAGGAGGAGGATTATTGAGCAACGGCCGCGATGCAATAGAGTTTTTTCAGAAGAGGATGGGGGGAGTGTGGGCAAGGCTCCGAAGATTACCCCGTTGACAGACGGGCGCGGGTTAGGGTCTAGCGGAGTATCCAAGACCGAACCCTTGAGAAGGGATAAAGGCTTCTGATATTGACTTTAATATTCTCCTTGCCGTGTTTGATTGCACATTGCTATAAGAATGTGAATAAGATTGAGAAACGTAGGGTGGAATACGATAGATTGAAAAAACCGTTAAACGGGAGGCTGGAGAACCGTCCGCGTTGCACTTGATTGGCGATCAAGATTCGAAGCTTCATGATGCGACAGATTCCGCTGATCATCGTCCGATCCACAGTCGCTTTAACCCGAATACTGTGCCTGCTCTGTGGTTCAGTCGCCGATTGAGCCCCCTCCACCCGGAACCATCTGTATCAATTAGTACCCCTTCGAGTATGGGGGGGCCCACCGCAGATATCTTCCTCGTGGCGAAATCGCGGAGTTGCTGTTGTAGGTTTTTATGTAACACTGGATGGATATCAATTAATTCTCCGTACCAAGGTCCTCTTCTCTTTCCTTTGGTTCGTAGTAGGCTCCGATATTCCAAAATTGGGGTGGTTGGAGGTGTAATTACTCGATCGGGATTGGCGTCTTTGCACCGAACCGGCCAACTCGCAACTAAAGTTTTGTTCCCGCGATAATACGAAGTACGAGTTACGAGTTGCAAAAAAAACTTTGATCTCCATGAGGCTTCTGAAGGATCTGCGATCGGAGTCCTTGCCTTCCCATGACCTCATTCGGGTAGTACGTAAAGGTTATGTCCAAAATACCCTTGCACACCCGAATCCCCAAACGTGCAGCCCTAGCTTAGGAAATTTAGGACCAACCACCGACTGCCAACCCCCGGTATCTCGAATACCAACTTGGGTCATGCAAAGAGTGATCTGCGGGTGCATGACTGTTGATGTCCCAAGCAACAAGATCGCTTGAGTCTCGTTATTGGTTACTCGTGAGCCGTTGCGATGGCCATCTGCCAACTAAACGGTGGGACAGGGCCCGTGATGAGAGACAACACGTTCTGGAAATAGAAACCTGGACAGACCAGAAGGTGACAGTGCAGAGTGACGGCTATGAAATGATACCGTCTCTCCGACAGGGATTCATCGCATGGGGGGGCGCGGATACCGTGACTATGCAGGTTTAGCGTGCACCGGGATCATACTGGATCCAGCGTAGTGCTGTCCCAACCACCCAATGAACGTGACGAGCCCTTACATAGTGAGGCCACCAAGTCACCTGAAATGTAAGGTGTACTATGTTTAGCTCCTCGTTTTACGGAAGCTGCCCTATGCGTGTCAAGTTCCTCTTGTACGGCCTACGCTCTTGCGGGTTTTACGAGCGGGATGAAAGACAGTCAGATGACAGCACTCTCAAACCTTCTTTGCTGGTTGAGGGATCCATCTTTCTACTGAAGGGGATGTGTAGCGAGAAAGTGTCGGAGGGGGGACAGTTGTAAGTTTTTAGTAGCCCACCTCGTGTGCGTCGGGCCCTCGAGGAAGTCCTATGTCGTGCGCGTGAGGTACCTGACCCGATGCATGATGTTACACATACTCCGTAATGACACACGGAAAACGCTGGCGATGGCAGGGGAAACCAAATATTGTTCAGAGATCCGCGATGGAGCTGGATTTCCCTGGAGAAAGCATTGGCAAAACGCAGGGTCTTCATCCCGTTAGGGAGAAGGGGGTTCGAGGGTTGGCTCGGTGAGTGGATAGAAGGGGAGGATTTTGAGGGTCGGGGCTTGGCTTTCCTCCACCTGTTTGGCGAGGATGATCAACGGGTCTTCAAATCCCAGCAAGGGGATCAAGTCCCTCTGGAAGATCAGAGTGTAGGATAATACTGGCGATGAAGGGGCGGGATGATTCTCATCCCCGCCGAGTTAGGGCGGAAGTCAACTTTTCTAATTATACCGACGGGACGAACGGCGTTACAGGAGCCTCGTCTTGATTGGAGTAAAAGAGAAGGCTAGGAAACGGTCAAAAGGTCTGACTTTGAGGTCATGATTGGATAGAGCTCATGGTCTGACATAGTTTTTGTAGCGTTACCACTTTCTGATGCCATGCCGCGCCCCCCCCCCCTTCTCTCCCTTCTTGAGTGGTTGGGTTTGGGCTGGGAACTCTCCAATTGCACAAGAGGCTGTGCTATTGTATCCCTTTTCGCGATGAAGTCACTAGAAACAACAGGAAACAACTCGATTCTGTCGCGTCCGCGGTTGATCCTAACAGCCTCGGTATTCTGCTTTTTTTCATATTTCTAATTTCCTTGCCAGCGTGGGGTCCACTTTTTCTTGCGGCGCCGGCCGCCAGATTGGTGCATAGCCCGGATTTTTTTACATAGCGGTCTTGGTATTACATAACTTGTTCCTATTCAGATCATTATACGAGATCATTTTCCAAGAAACTCATTAATAGAGGAGGTTGCGAGAAAACAGAAAGAGATCCGACTAGCAGATCCTTTAGATTTGCCCGGTCGGATACTTCGGAAAGCCTCCACGGGCGCATCTTAGTGGTTTCCGGCACGCTGGACTCCCGCAGCTACTTCTTCGTGCCTATAGGGTGACCAGGTTGAGAGGCACACTTGGGCATCGATCAATTAATTACCTGTGGTACATGCGAGGATCTTAGGTCATGGCTGTTAGGTACTGAGAATATTATCATGTACCTAGGTATGGTAGGGAGGCCGGTTGGATGATCCCCCGAGACCCCGGACCGTGTCACTGCTCTATTTGCTCCGGTGTGGCGCCTTGAATTGGTATGACCAAAGTAAAAATACCTGAGTATGATGATGCCAAGTTTCCGCGTTGTCCCCAGTTCCTCGACATCGATTGCTCTGTGCATCCCCCGCCACGATTTCCCACTAGTCTCTTAGTCTGACTACTTGGGGCTAAGAGTGGGCAAACCCAAGGAAAAAACGAAATATTAATTCATTTGATTTCCAATTTTCCCAAAATGATTTTACATATTTTGGATTTCCCTTTTTTTTCCCTTTTCCTATTTCCAAAAGGGAAAAAGCGTTGAGGGAAAATACTCCACAGCTCGTGGCCCTGTACAGTTTAGGCCCGAGTTGCACTCTGACCTACGACTGCTAATAATAATCACACATCGTATATGACCCTCGTTGCTTTTAACCCTTCTCCATCCTTGCTTCCATCTTGATTCCCCTCTCCCCCCCTCATCTCTCGTTCCCCCTAAGGCCTCTCTACTATGACACCTTGAAAGGTCCACATTCGCTCAACCCACGTTCGCTCTTACGCTCGCTTGTTGCTGCTACGAGAACCACGTTCGCTACGTTTATTTGCTGCCCCATTCGTTGAAATCCAGACATTCCAACGAAAGGACAATACAGTGAAAAAGAAAAGGATAACGATTATATCCCGCAATATTATTAATATTTAATTGTCGCAAGACCTTGCGCCTAGTGACTTTGGACGACACCCTTGATCGGCTACCACGGCCGTCGACCGGAAGAAATACAAGTGGAGCACAGGCGATTCTAATCGGCCTCCCGGGCTCGGAGATTGACGACAATCGTCATCGTTTGGTGGGCGTTTGCAACTCGACCTTGACCTATTCGTCTCAGTGTGCCGTAGAGAGTCCGTTTGTACCCGGCCCGTGAAGGAGGAGATCGGGTTCAAACCCCCCAGGTCGTGCACCTATTTATCGTCCGTCGCCTATCGTCTGCCGCGCTTTCCCTAGCAGGAATTATTGGAAAGTGTCTCGGCTGAAAGCACGAATCTCAGGATCTCTATTGGAAAGGTTTCTTGGTAGGAAAGGACATTGCACCGATTGCAGGCCAATAACTATAAGGTTAGCTGAAGAAACAGAGTTGTCCCCACTCGCCCCCCTTTGCCCACGGTCTCACTTGTCCCTCGTGCCTTGCATTCTTTCCTCTTCCGGGTCATTTGTCGCATCTCCTTGCAGACGGAAGTCGTGCGCTCAGGATCTACGTCTCGGGAGATGACGAGCGTCGATGGCGTCTCTCAAAGCCGTCGGACCCATTCCCCCGTCGCATCTAATTGTCAATAATTGCCCGGGAAGGGAGTGTTTGTTGTTGACGTTCGACTTCTCCTTAGGTGCTCATCTCTTCGCAAATCTGGCATATTAGGCCACATCTGGCAGATCTGTGTCAGCTTGTCTCTTTTCTGATTCACACTGTGAGCCCTTCCCTTTTCTCCTTGACTGTCGATGCACCGATCCGGTCTTTCCCTACTTCCTAGACTTGGGTTCTCATTCTCTCCAGTGTTTCTGTGTTGCTGCCCAATCCGCTTGAAGCTATTCCCGAGACCTGACCCGGGATATCAAAAGAAAGGAAAGCAAAACCTCGCCACTCTGCGTGCTTGTCTACCTCTCTTGTCACGACTAGCGGTGACCGAGTTTTCGGGTAACCCTTTCAGATTCCCGCTGTCGGCTTGATGAACTTTTGGGCACTGTGCGATCTGAATCTTCTGCAGCCACCCTTCGTTTAGTCTCAAGCCTTCGTGGTTCCGATTCCAAGCCTTTCAATCGCTGGATGGTGATTCGAGAGCTTTTATTGCCGACCTTCCTGTGAGACTGCTAGCTTTAATCTCGTTCGGTCTCGGCTCTCTTTTCTTGTCGATCAACGTACAGTCGTTGCGAGAATAAATTCTCAGTCACTCGCTTCTTCCGGTGGTTCTGTCTCGTTGCAGTCTCTGCAACACCTTCAAGCTGGCTTACTCGAAGACACACGGTGTTCTGGTGAGATCAAACCCCCTTCTGTTTCTCCTCTGGATGCCCGCATGTTTGGCCTCCAGTTCCGGCTCAATCTGTTTGAACATATGAGTTTTTTTTGACTTTCAAGCTGTTTCTGCTCTCGCGCATCCTTCGCTGACTCTATTCCTTCCCTCCAGTTCGACCCGGACTTCCAAACGCCTCTCATCCTAGGCGAATCGTTTGACTATTCGGACTCTGAAGAGTCACAGTTTGTCGGTGCGTTTTCAGACGGCCTGTGGGCCAAGTCCGAGCCCATACTTTCTATGTCGGGCTTCCAGAAGCCCGCTGCCGGCGCCATAATAGGTATGTTACTGTGGTCTTGTTATGGTGTTGTTTCTTGCTAAGAGTTACACAGACTTCGCCTCTACACAGTCTTTGCATGATGCTGGCTCTTACTCTACCTACGTTCAATCCCCATATGTGAATACGCCTCTCGTGCCATCGCCTATGGCTGACCAGGCCAGTCAGGTCTCTGACTGTGTTCCTTACATTCCAAACACTGAATATGCCAGCTCGTACGAAGATGCTCAATCCCCCATGATGGTTGCTCGCGCTCGCCAACTGCCAGAGATTGTTTCATATGCTCCTCAGCGTGGTTGTGCGGGTACTCGCATTGTTGTGCAGGTCCAGTCTCCGTTTGACCTGCACAGCTCTACATACGGGGCTTTGTACTTGGTCTTCGGCTCGAAGAAGCGAGAGTGCCTCCCGCATTTTCTTGGCTTCGAGGAGAATACCTTCCAGTATGCCATCTCAGCAGATGCACCTCCCTTCAACTCCACTGGCTCCGCCTCCTACGCAGTGCCTATCCAGGTCGAGATGGAGACCTCAACCGATTGTGCCCCCACCACCTTGCAAGTTGGTGTCTACACATACGAGCACGCTTCTCAGCCTTCCCCTCCTGCTGACTCACGCAAGAGGAAGTTTACCTCACACTCGGACAGCCCTGCCCCCGCTCGCGCCAAACGGGCCACAGGCCCAGTGATCAAAGCCGAACCTCATGAAAGTTACTCCTACCGGGATCCCCGGGCGCCATCTTACTCTCCGTACCTACAAAATATCCCCACTATGTCTGGGTACATCACCCCCTTTCACGCTGCCTCTTCGCCTCGCACGGGACCCAACCACTATTCTGGTGTCTCGGCTACTCCTCCAACTGTCATTCGTGCACCATCTCCTCTGACCCCAGTATGGAGCCCATCCGTACTATCTGTGTCTCACGATGGTCGCCAGGGATTGACCGTGACCCACGGCATTCCCCAACACAGAGGACCGTCTCCGGCACGTATTGGCCACGCCCCAACTTTGATTCGCACCTCTACTTTGCAGCAGGGAAGTGGTCTGGGATCGCACCAGCACTTCAACCCCTATGCCTCGATCTACCCGACCAAGGCTATTTTGAAACTCAATGGGGACCTGAGACACCATGACTGAGGGATGGACCAAGCAGGAACGGGATTCACAGCGTCGCCTCGTGCAATTTACACGCAACCAGATCGGAAGCACCATCCATGCCGACTTCAAGCCTGTTGCTCCGGAGGACCGCCCTCAGAACAGCATTTGCATCAGCTGCATTTCCTGGGAAGGCAAGGATGAGTGCTATGTCACCAGCGTGGACACCATTTACCTTCTCGAGGCGCTTGTCGGCGTTCGCTTCACCGTCGAGGAGAAGAATCGCATTCGCCGCAACCTCGAAGGATTCCGCCCTCTCACTGTTTCAAAGGCCAAAGCGGACAGTGAAGAGTTCTTCAAGGTCATCATGGGCTTCCCCGCACCTAAGCCACGCAACATCGAGAAGGATGTTAAGGTCTTCCCTGGAAGATTCTCAGCCATGCTCTGAAGAAGATCATAGGGAAATACGTGAGTTAATTCCGTGCGACTCTTCTTTAACCTTGCTAACCGTTCTTTGACATAGTCTGCCAGTTACTCCTCCACTGCGGGTACGCTGCCGACCACGATCACGAATTATGCGGGTCATGGCACTGGTTCCGACTCGGGCACTGAGACACACGCCCCCTCTCCCCAGTCAGTATCCGACCATGGCGCGGCTCACAACTATACAACTGCTATTTCGGCACCAGTCTACTCAACAAATTCCGATCAGTGTGCTTCAATGACTGCGCCTCCCGATGTCCGGTCGGTGATGCCTTCAGTCAGCCAGCCATACACCTCCGTTGGCACGTACTCATATCCGGCCATATGCCAGCCCCATCACGTCCACGCCATGGTCGCACCGAGCCACCGAGTAGGATGGAACATGCATGGCCTTGGTGCTCCAGCACCTGCGACAGCTGTCGCAGCTTCTGGGTGCTATTCCTACATCGATCCTGGGTACCCTCTTCATGACGGGGCTATCGGCCCGTGATCTCCCTCAAAACCTTCGTTGTTCTTGATTCTTGATTTGCTTTCATTTCTTTCTATTTTATATTTTCCCTCTGCTCCGTTGATACGATTCTCTTTCCTGTCACTCCTTATTACGCCCAGTTGATGTGGTTACTCCGCGGAGGTTCTCCTCCGAGTCGGCCACTTGTTTACGATTTTACGTCCCTCCTTACACATTTGATGCCTGAATGTCCCTGCCCATATTTTCGCGTTCTACCACGGTATGACACTTTGTTGTTTGCATTTGTTTAGACGGTGTCTTGTTCATTCCTTTCTGGGTTACCTCATTGCGGGGCATTTTGGGCTTTCTCTCCTTACTTACAAACATCTGGGCTTCTGTACGAGTATTTGGCATAGCATGGGCGCTGCAGACATTCCTTTCGCATTCGCAGGACGGTTCTGGATAGATTTTGGGAATTTTGGTTTGGGATTGGGAATTTCGGGTCCGCATTGGTTGCTCCCGACGCATCGGTGATTGTGACTCCTGCAAGTGGCTTCGGCTTCTTTGCAAGAGTCTTGACCTCTGTCTGGATAATATTTGGAGTTTCTCTTCTTTTTTCATCGTTTTGAGCTGAGGGCTGTTCTTGATTGCATCGTTTCGGCGTTTGGGAAAGATGAGCGGTGTTCCCCGCCTCTAGTGTTGTCATCGTAATTGATCTTATTTCAATCGATCTGATCTTGATCTATCTTTCTATATTCCTCTTATCTATCTTTGTAGTAAAGCTTTATTTTTCAAGGACACTGTATGACACGATGATGAGATCTCGGGTTGTGCCCACGGAGGCAAGGTGTACACCACTAATGGCAACGCTGCTTCAAATATGACCACTTCTGCTCTTCTTTTCTTCAAGTCAGCAATAACATAATAGCCTCATCAGCCCGGACACCCTTTTGAACGGGTTTCCGATTCTTCTTTGAAGGACCATCTATACACATTCTTTAGGTCTTAATAAATCACGTGCATGTTGTCATGCTGACTAACAGTACTGTCTTATCTACATGCACGTGACCAGTGGGGCGAAACCGGCGAAGCAGGGACTTGCCATGGTTGAGTCACTCCCAAAGAAACCCATCATATCTTCGCATATCCTTCCGTATAAACTGCTCTGAGTCACTAGAGTGGTTAGCCTTCTCGGTTGTTGCAATTACTACCGACACTGGTCGCCATTGACCTTCTTTCTCTTATCTCCTACCTGACCTCTCTTTTGCCCCGCGCTGTCCTCCTTCCCCACAATGGACGCGATTAAGCAGACCTTTGCCAAGTGCAAGGAGCAGAAGCGGGCAGCCCTGGTGGCTTACATCACCGCTGGTTACCCCACTGTCGAGGAGGCTGTTGATATTCTTCTTGGCTTGGAGAATGGTGGTGCTGGTATGTGTGCTCTTTGCTCCTCTTTGAGTGGCGGGGCAGCCGAACGAACTTCCAACTAACAAGCCGGTTCGCAATGCAGATATCATTGAACTTGGAATTCCCTTCACCGACCCCATTGCCGACGGTCCAACTATCCAAAAGGCCAACACCAAGGCTCTCGAGAATGGCGTTACTGTCACAACGGTGCTGGAGCTTGTCCGCACTGCACGCCGCCGCGGTCTCAAGACTCCCCTGCTCCTGATGGGCTACTACAACCCCGTGCTACGCTACGGAGAAGAGCGCATGCTCAAGGACTGTAAGGAGGCTGGTGTGAACGGCTTTATCATGGTCGATTTGCCTCCGGAAGAAGCCGTCCGCTTCCGTGACCTTTGCACCAACACTGGGCTGTCCTACGTCCCCCTCATTGCTCCCGCAACATCTGATAATCGCATGAAGCTCCTCTGCAAAATTGCAGACTCATTTATCTACGTCGTCTCGCGTATGGGTGTCACAGGTGCTACCGGTACCCTCAGTGCGAACGTGCCCGAGCTTTTGAAGCGTGTCCACGAATACTCTGGCAACGTCCCTGCCGCGCTTGGATTCGGTGTCAGCACCCGAGAGCACTTCCTGACTGTTCAGGAACAGGCTGAGGGTGTCGTTATCGGCAGTCAGATCATCACTCAGGTCGGCCAGGCCCCTGCTGGCCAGGCGGCTAAGTACGCTGAGGATTACCTCTCGAGTGTCACCGGCCGTAAGCTGGAGCGTGACGCTCAGGGTGCCATTACTCGTGAAATTAACGTCGTCGAGGCTGTCTACAAGGCTCCCGTCGCGGCTCAGCCCACCAAGGTCATCACTGATGCTGACACTCCCTCCGGCCCTGGTCTTGCTGACCAGCTTGAAGCCCTGAATGTCACCAAGGACCCTTTGGCCACACCTTCCCGCTTCGGCGAGTTCGGTGGTCAGTACGTTCCCGAGTCCCTGATGGACTGCTTGGCCGAGCTTGAGCGTGGATTCGACGATGCTTGCAAGGACCCCAAATTCTGGGAGGAGTTCCGTTCCTACTACCCCTACATGGGCCGCCCCAGCAGCCTCCACCTTGCCCAACGTCTGACTGACCATGTTGGCGGTGCCAACATTTGGTTGAAGCGTGAGGATCTCAACCACACCGGTTCCCACAAGATCAACAACGCCCTCGGTCAGATTCTGGTTGCCCGCCGATTCGGCAAGACTCAAATCATTGCTGAGACTGGTGCCGGTCAGCACGGTGTTGCGACCGCCACTGTCTGTGCCAAGTTCGGCATGAAGTGTACTGTCTACATGGGTGCTGAGGATGTTCGCCGCCAGGCCCTCAACGTGTTCCGCATGAAGCTTCTTGGTGCCTCGGTTGTTGCTGTCGACGCTGGTAGTCGCACTCTGCGTGATGCCGTCAACGAGGCTCTTCGTGCTTGGGTAGTTGAGCTCGACACTACGCACTACATTATTGGTTCCGCTATTGGCCCTCACCCCTTCCCCACTATTGTCCGTACCTTCCAGTCCGTCATCGGTGACGAGACTAAGGTCCAAATGCAGGAGCTTCTTGGCAAGCTCCCAGATGCTGTTGTTGCTTGCGTTGGTGGTGGCAGCAACGCTGTCGGTATGTTCTACCCCTTCTCCAAGGATCCTAGCGTCAGGCTTGTCGGTGTTGAGGCTGGTGGTGACGGTATTGATACCGCCCGCCACTCCGCTACCCTGTCCGGTGGCACCAAGGGTGTTCTTCACGGTGTTCGTACCTACGTTCTCCAAAATGAGCACGGCCAGATCTCCGAGACCCACTCTATCTCCGCCGGTTTGGACTACCCTGGTGTCGGTCCTGAGTTGAGTGCCTGGAAGGATTCCGATCGCGCCACATTCATTGCTGCCGATGATGCTCAAGCCATGAGCGGCTTCCGCGCTCTTGCCCAGCACGAAGGTATCATTCCCGCCCTCGAGACCTCCCACGCCGTTTGGGGTGCCATGCAACTTGCCAAGACGATGAAGAAGGGCGAGAACATCGTACTGAACCTCAGCGGCCGCGGTGACAAGGATGTTCAGAGCGTCGCCGACGAGCTGCCAAGGCTGGGCCCAAAGATCGGCTGGGATCTGCGGTTCTAAGCTGATGATCTTTTCATGATCCACTATATATGACCTTCACACATTTGAACGGCTTTGTACTGGACCATATCATTTCCCATCTACTTTCAGCTGGCCATCGGGTCGGCGTAGAGATTTCAGTTTTTCGGATCATGGTGTCGATATACGGGGCTTCCACAAAAAGCGTTCTACTACTTCTGGGGCTTGTTCTTCTTTCTTTTGTTCTCCTCCTAGATTCCGCTGCATGTTCATGTCAAGCTTTAGATTTATCAGAATCGAAACGTCGTACATTTAAGCTGCCTTTCCTTTTGCAATTCTTATTTACCATCTACCGAATGAAGCCTGAAGCTGGCGCAAATGCCAAGACACAACGTTCACCAAATACTTACATTTAGAATATACTCAGAAAAGAGAAAACAAATGGAATTGAGTCGAATGTCAAGACAAGATCATAGCATGGTACAAGGAAGACAAGTGAGGCTACCGGCGAATTGATCATTGTCCAACAGCGGTACATACTGCGGTACATACTGAATTCGACAAATCAAAATCAACATTCTATCCAATAAGTGAAAAAACCGAAAAGGTCAGTTGAATGAGTGGACGAGACTCGAGCCAATCTCCGACAGTATGCAGGGAAGGTTTAAGCGCGAACCTAAAGGAAGATCAACTCGTTAGTTGTCAGCCTTCAAGAGGTAATGCGCCAGGTCGAAACCTTACATGAGGATTCGGGCAATTTAGTGTAGGGGCGGACCCGTAAAGATGAGACCATCCTTGTTCGGGGCTAGGAACTCAAAGGGATCGGGGGTGTACATGGGTGAAGGACGTTCAAGAAGATCCTGTCGCTGGAGTGCACTGACCTGTAAGGGTGTTCCATTTGTATAGCTCGTGGATATCCCGTTGGAATAGTGGTTCAGGGAAGTATCGTTTGTGTAGCCGTTCGTGGAAGTGCTATCGGTATTGCCATTCGGCGTTGGAGTGGAGGATCCGTTGGACTGGTCAGCAATATCCGCGAAAGATCGTCTTCTTCTCAGGCCTTGGCTCGGGACAGCTAGAGCTGATTCGGAAGCAGAATTTGTCTGGCTCAAAAGACCCATCACAGTGGGGGCAAGGGCATTGATGACGCTGGGGGCGTATTTGAGAACATCTTTGCTCATGACCTGTACTTGAGACTTGATCACGTCGAAGAAACCGAAACCCTCGGCATCATGGGACTCGATTCGAGAAGGCTGGGGAAGGTCGCGCTGCTCGAGCTTCATGACCGCGCGAAGAGCTGCCTCTGCCATTATAGCGCGCTGTGTAATTAACTTGGTCGCGGCAAGGTCTTCTCTCTCGGTAGGCTGGGAAGATTCCATGCTTTCGATTCTGATAGATGAAAGTGCATCGTTGATCAGCTTCAGAGCAGGCGGCTCCTGAATATTGAAGGTATCAGCCACTTTGTTCACAGCTTGATCAAGGACGTCTCCTATTTTGCTGAAGAGACCTTCTGTGGCCAAGACTGGTCGGGTTGGACCAAAGAGGCCGTTCACAAAAGCAGGGCGAGAGGGGTCAAAGGAGTCCAGACCACTAAACAAGGCCTGGGGGTTACCAAGACGGACGTTTTCGCTCTTTCTTAAATAGTCCTGGTTCACGGCAAGGCGCAACGCGCAGTCCCTCAGAGCAGGGAACAACTTTGGTACCATGTTGGTGACATGAGGCGCCAGCTGGAAATAGGTGACTCGCATGTCACTCATGAGCTTTTCTGACAGCTCGTGGTCGGTGATCTGCAGGACAGATTGTAGAGTTGCTTCAGCTAGAATAGCCCGCTCTGTCGCACCCTGTGTCGCCTTCTGCAGATTCATCATCGATTCGGGGCCTCCGAGTTTCGCGATAGCTTCTAGAGCAGCACCAGCCAGAGCAGAGAGGGGTCCGCCCAGTGGGCCGAGGAAGGGAGAGAGATCCAACATTTCTCTCTTTGTAACTCGGGACACGGCCTTGACAAGCTCAACGAAGTTTTCCTCGACCATGCTGTCCTGGTAGATCGAGACAACAGGTGGGTTTGGGGCAGCTTGAGTTTGAGTAACAGGCTGTGACTGGACCATAGGTTGAGACTGCGCGATGGGCTCCACAGGAATGAGAGGCTGGGTCGGAACCAAGGGCTGGTATGGAACAACAGGTTGAATCGGGACAGGAAGTTGGACAAAGCCGATCCCACGTACGGTCACAACTGTTGGATAGGAAGACGAGAAGACCTTGAGGTAGGCATCGTAGTCGTTGCCATTAGCTCCAATGGGACTGGCAGAGTTCTTCTCCTCTCCTCCGTAGCAGTGAGCAGCAATGGACACGTTTGGTGTCTTCTTGCGAATGACGGGAGCTCCAGACTGGCCTTTGATAGAGGGTCAGTCAAGTTTGGGAAATAGGACAAGATTTGACTTACCACCAAAGGTTGAAAGCTTGTACTGCAGCATCTGTAAGACGTTCTCATTGCGGTTATACATGATTGCTCCGAATAGCTCGTACATTTGGGCGCCCTGCTCGTCCATACCATCTTTGTCGGAGAGGGTCCTATCCCCAGGGTATCCGACGACACCAATCATCTCATATCCCTTGATGGGAGTTGCTTTGTAGTTGAACAGACGCAGGTTGCCAGTGAAAGGCCTATCAAGTTGGACGAATGCCACATCCTTGTGGCGGTTGTTGCCAGAATCGACCCATTCCCCGGTTGTGACGATTCTTCTTGCGGTGCGAGTCTGTACATCAGGAGTATTCAATGAGTCACGACCATTGTAGCCAATGTGGCACTTCATAACATTCACGCGGCCATAGCCTTCCCGTTCTTGGTTTTTGTGGTCGTAGACACAGTGTCCCGCCGTTACCAGAAGGTCAGGAGTGATCAGCCATCCGGTTCCCATGGAACGACTGGCCGGCCCTCCTTCATAAGACATCTCGAGCTTGACAATTGCTGCATACTTTCAGTCAATTTTTTTTTGAATCATATACTGGTCATTCTTTAATTACTCACAGCGGTACTTCCCACCATCTTTATAATCATACTCTTCAACCAAGGTACGGCAATCGGGTTGAAAAACACTCTCTTGTGACCCAGTGTTCAGCATGACAACCTGCTCTGACTGAAGTTGGTCCTCTTGGAGGTTCCAAGTTGCGGCCAAGCCGGCATATTGAGATGGTACTGCCATGACTGGGCTATAATGCTTGAATCCTTCTGGTGATGATAGGAGATTGAGAAAGCCACCGTGTGCGCTGATCAAAGAGGAACTCTGGAAGGAATTGGAGAATAATTTATACTTCTCTTCGGCTCAAGTTTCAATTTCATCGTCGGCTGGATTATCCCGTCTCTTCTCATCAATTCCTCAGTTTGTAAGAATAGATAGACCTTCTTCAATGTGTACATTGCTCTCAGCTCACCACATTCGGCCAAGGTCCCAGTGGCTGGAACGAGACTGGGCAGTGTCTGGGGTGCTGCATTGAGGTATGCTTGACAAAAACAACCCGCAATGCATGGCGCCTTCAAAGGTTCGGCGACTCCGTGATCTTTGCTGATGGGTTCTCATGATATTTGTGATATTCTTGACCTGCATGACAAATTAACGTCACCTTCAGTTGTTTCAGACTCCCACTATTGTCGGTGAGTATCTAGAATCCCGGTGTGAGCCTCGCAAATCTCTTCGCTCTTTGCTTGCATCTCTCATGCTCCCCTAAGCCAGCATCCCCCAAGGAGAGATTCTCAATGAGTTGAGACTTGGACAACAACAAATCTAGGACGAGTCCACTGCTCTGAGTATGCACGTCGAGCTTGAAACAGTCCCCACACCCTCGTGGCATCCGGTTGGCTTCCCTCCATACTCCTGCCAGGCACGAGAATTGAACGCCACCGGCAGCAGGAGAGAAAATCTTGGGCAGTGATAGTGGCTGTCTGGCCTGCATATGACTTGTATCTCGACTGATGAAAAGAAGCTCGATGTGGTGAGATAAAGCGAGGAGGAGGGTGTTCTGAAACTCGCGAGATGAGATCGTAAGGTAGCTTTACCGATGGATTTCCTTTCCATTCTCAACAGCAAGCCTTTCAAGTAACGATTACCATCCGTACGACTTGACGTTTTTGTTCGGTAGACACTACCTTGGTGGAACTTGACCGTAGAGAATTACGAACAAATCGCTCGAGAGGATGTATTGGTAAGTCTTTCTCGGGCTCTACATACTGTCTTGATAAAAGTCGATTTCAAGGCAATGTCCTGTATTTTTCACAAGTGCCTGTATGTGTAGGGCAACGGCGCCATAATAGTGGGCATCGTAGTCTTTTTGCTGTGTCTGAAACTGTGGCGTTGCTTCTAGCCTCTGGACGTGCACCATGAGGCGAGGTCTCGAATGGGGAAGAACAACCAATCTGTCCCAGCAGCATCGGTAATCATCCCATTCGTTTCTCTTAGAGAAGCTGCATTAACGAGGCAAATCAGCCATTTCGGGCATAGCCATTCCAGCCACGGATCGGGCCGAAAGGGCTGGCGCCAGCGAACCAGCTAGCTTCAAAGTCCTCGGTACGCGTAACCCTGCCAAATTTCGGCGATTCCCACCATGCGTGGAGTCTCAGACCGAGACTTGACACGTTCTATCTGAACAGTCTTTGAGCCACTTTTGGGGCTATCTTCAGGCTGAGTCCATCGTCGAGTCAATGAAAAAGAAAATACGAGCAGGGGGAAAGGTCAGGCGCCCGGGAGCTGATACTTGTTATTCGTAAATGACTTCGTTGACGGCTTTTGTAACTCATCTGTGACAGCTTCCAGTCATTTCACACCGAGAGAGAAGCCCGATAGATGAGGAAGCCAAGGCTCTCGCTCTCGGCATTTCCTACTTCACCTGGGTGAACAGCGGCGCTAATCTCAGGAACTTAAGGCTGGAGCTTAGGGAGCTTGATGATGTTTCAAAAATTTTTAGAGCACTATATATATTCCTCGCTCCTTGAAGTCCAAGTCGATTCGAAGTTTGTCCTATATTCCTTTGAAGAATCAGCCCACGTGATTGGTTCCTTGAATAACACGACTCTTCTACAGCAGAAGATTAGTTTTTATTTGTCTAATTATCACTAGTTAAGTAGGAAGGAGACAGCAGTCACCAAGTGCTGTCCAGGGAATCGAACCCATTGCTAGCCGCTCCCCTAAGATGACTCCTCCAGTATCCCAAACGAAAACAGACAGTAAGAATTGAGAATGAATCGGGCCAAAAAAGAAAACAATCTCTGGTGAGAGATGATACTGACAAGATCACTCATGAGCTATGGTTCAAATTCGCTACCTCAAGGTCAAGGGGCTTCAAAGAGAAAGAGGGCTCATATGTATAGATTCAAAAACTGTGTATTGAGTTTGACCAGAACAGACGCAAGACCAGAGAAAAAACTTAGCAACAGGTACAGTTGCACAAAGAGTATATGCAATTGGATAGGGGACATGCAGGGATCGGCTGAGCCACCCACGCGATTTATTCGACCACCCTCAGCGCTAAAAACCCGAGACTTCAACACAACCACCTTTACGCATCGACAAGGTTCGTAGTCTTCTGTGCCGAATCCTGCTGCGACTCGCCCGAATTGTCCCGGGTGTCCTTATTGGCGACCTTGCGAGCGGAGCGGGCATAGAATTCGTCCAAAACGCGCTTGGGGATACGGTTGAGCAGCTCCTTGGGATAAATACGGAGCAGGTTCCAGGAGATGTCGAGAGACTCAAAGATGCTACGGGCCTCGTAGGGGGACTGGCTGATGAAGGTTTTCTCGAACTTCTCGAGGAACTCCAAGGAGAGCTTGTCTTCGGAGGAGAGGGCCTCCTCACCGACGACAGCCTTCATGGCGGCTGTTTGGGAAGAATCCGTTAGAACGGGGATGAAATTGAAATTGCGGAAAAGAACTTACCGGCGTCACGACCAATGGCGTACTTGGCGTACAGCTGATTAGACACATCGGAGTGGTCCTTACGAGTGCGGCCCTCACCAATAGCGGACTTCATCAGACGGGACAGCGAAGGCAGCACATTAATAGGAGGGTAGACACCCTTGTTAGCGAGTTGACGATCAATGAAAATTTGACCCTCGGTGATGTAACCAGTCAAGTCGGGGATAGGGTGAGTGATATCTTAAAAAAAAAACTGGTCAGTCACCTAGTCAAGAGCTCTGGATCGGAGGTCTCTTACCATCGTTGGGCATGGTCAAAATGGGAATCTGAGTGATGGAACCGTTACGGCCCTCAACACGACCAGCACGCTCGTAGATGGTGGACAAATCCGTGTACATGTAACCAGGGTAACCACGACGACCGGGGACTTCTTCACGAGCGGCGGAAACTTCACGCAAAGCATCACAGTATGCCGATAGATCTGTCATGATAACCAGGACGTGCTTCTCAAGCTGGTAGGCGTAGTATTCGGCGGTGGTCAAGGCCAGACGAGGAGTAATAATACGCTCAATGGTGGGATCATTGGCCAAGTTCAGGAACAGAGTGACACGCTCCATACTACCGTTCTCCTCGAAATCACGAGTGAAGAATCGAGCAGTCTCCATGTTGACACCCATTGCAGCGAAAACAATAGAGAAGTTCTCCTCGTGACCGTCGTGGACGTCCTTGGTAGGCTTGTTGACCAAACTGGCTTGACGACAAATCTGAGCAGCGATTTCGTTGTGAGGAAGACCGGCGGCAGAGAAGATAGGAATCTTCTGTCCACGGGCAATGGAGTTCATAGTATCAATGGCGGAGATACCGGTGGAGATCATCTCCTCAGGGTAGACCTAGGTAATCCATCAGTTCACACGACTCCACATATAAGATCAGCGGCGCATACTCGCGAGTAGGGGTTAATAGGCTGTCCGTTGATGTCCAAGTAGTCTTCAGCCATGACCTTAGGACCCTTATCAATAGCACGTCCAGAACCATCGAAAACACGTCCCAGCATGTCCTCGGACACACCAAGCTTCAAGCTGTGGCCGCTGAACTCGACTTTGGTCTAAACCTCAAGGTCAGCGAAACAATAATCACATATTCTCCATTGCTGAAAAACGATACCTTCTTCACATCGATACCGGAAGTACCTTCAAAAACCTATGGAACGTGCGTGTTAACACCATCGCATTGGGGGCATTGGAGAGGCACCGGTCTCGGTCGTACCTGCACGACGGCTCTGCTTCCTACAATACGAATAATAATTGTCAGCAATCCATTCAGTAAATCTCTAGTGGCAAATGCAGCGGCATAGCATTCGGGAAAGCTTACCTCTGGCCTCCAGGACCTGACCAGAACGCTCCGTGCCATCAGGCAGCGTCAGGGACACAATTTCATTGTATCGGGGGAACTTGACCTATGTTGCAACAGAATTTATCAATAAAAGGCATCTTCTCTAGTGTGGGTCTGTGTCCGGGACTCACATTGTCAAGGACGACCAGCGGTCCGTTAATGCCTCCGATGGTGTTATAGCGGATGCGGGGCTTGATGCTGGTCATCCGGGGATCGACGAACTCGGCCATAGCGGGCGAAACGGGTCCTCCACGGTCGCAACGCAGAATAGAGAAGGTCGTTGGGAGGAGAGCAATGTGGGATGAGCCGGGGGTTGGCTAAGCTGTCCGGACGCTGGAGCTCGGGCGGTGACGTGGCACGTGATGGATTACGACTCGGCCTATGGAGTCTGGGCTTTTGGACGCTCTTCGCTCTCTGAGACCATTAAATTAGTTGATCATTGACTCTTATTGCATAGGATACGGTGTCATTTGAGAGGGTATAGTCCTTTTCAGGATGAAGCAGCCAAAGCCTGAAAATTTCATTCCTGGTTGTTGGGAACTACAGAATGGAATAGTGGAGACATAATGATATTTTGAGAATGCTGTGCAAGAACAAAGAGAAAGCGCAAGAGGCTCGATTTGCGGTGCTACTCTAGAAGTAGATTCACCGTATTACAGGCGAATGGCGGGAGATATCACAGAAGAGTACAAGAAAAAAGCCAATGAAACAGGGTCTATCGACCGTCGAGAAAGGGTATCAAATAAGTTGAGAACAAAGAGTCTAAGAGTATCGTGATTCCGTTCAAGCCCGTGTCGCCGGAAAAGAAAAAAATAGAGACCTCGCGATGCTTTTAAGAATATGCAGTTGTAAGGAATTTGGATGCGCAATGATATAGCGACATGGACCAATTTTAATCCACTTTGGCGTCGATTAGACTCTTGGGAGTTGGGAGGTTGTTGGACAGGCGAAGTTTTGATGCTGGGGATCCCTTAGATGGGAGACGCTTGAGTTTGCGGCGTGCGACCATCACCGGGACAGAAGAGTTAGATAGCAAGTAGTTGGAGAAGGAACCGAGAAGAACACTGCGAGTTGTGAGCTGTTAGAACATTGAATGGATGTATGAACCTCTTGACTCACCCTTTCAAAGCACTCTGGCCACGAGCTCCAACTACCACCATCGTGGGTTCAAGCTCATCAATCTAGAACAAGGTTAACCATGAATGCCTTGCGATGGACCAGACACGGCATAACTTACAGCTTCGGTGACCATGAGCTTGGGGCTCTTGCAGTGAATCACCTCCACAGCAATGCGAACTTGAAGAAGGGTCTTGCGCAGCAGGTGAATGCAGGTTTTGGAAATGGACTCGGCAGCTCTGACCCGCTCTGCCTCTGCTATAGGAGAAGCACGAGAGTCGGCAGAGCTTGACTTACTGACAGCCACTGGTCCCAGTCGGCCCAGGAGATTGCGGGATCCGACATTATGGCCCTGGCTGACTTCCTTCGTTTGGGAGCCAACAACGGCATTGGCGTCTTTCATGGCCTTGGCTCCCTCGCCAACCTGCACCGAGGAGATATTGGCGTCCTCGTGCATGGCGTAAATGGCATACAATGTATCTCCATTTCGAAGAACTGCACCGATGGTCCATTCGAGAGCGTACACTGATTCTTCACTCAGGTCAAGTGCTACCAGATACTTCCGCTGACGGCGGCGACCGCCGTCTGCTTCCTCCTGCATGCTTGCGAAGTTCTCGCGGACGATCGTCCGGATGGATCGGTTAGGAACACGGTTGTCGATGGTAGACATGAAAATACTCAATTGTTGGGCTTTGTGAACATCCTCCTTCTCGGCCTCATCTTCTGATCCATAGGGAGTGCCAGCAGCAGACTGTGAGTGCGGGGTTGGGATATCGAAGCTCGTCTGGGGGTGAATGACGGACTTCAAGGCCGACTTTCGGGGCTTCTTATCCTTCTCCTGGAAGCTGACGTTTTTGGTTGGTTTTTCTACCTGAAGGTTAGTAGAGATCGCATGGGGTACAGGGGTGACACGAACTGTCGTCTGGTGGTGGGGATTTGTGTTCCTTTGGTTTAATAAAGTCGCTGGGAGTGATGGAGCTGATGTCTGCGTCCTTCTTTCTCCGACCCCTCCACTGACCCAATCCAACGTTGTCATCCTCGCTGAAGGATTTATCACTGTCCTCGTCGCTACTTTCGATCATATTCTTGTCACGATCAAATACGTCCTTAGCCAAGCGTACGCCAGCTTCCTCGTGGTCGACGGGCTTCACGTAATCCGGGAGACGACCAGAAGGCTTGGACAGGAGTCCATCAGACTGGTTGTCAGAATCTTCCATATTGAGTGCTTTTCCTTTTTCAGTGTTGCTGGAAATTGGTTTCGGGGCAGATTGTTGTAGACGAGTGGAAGGGGAGGTTGAACGACCAGCTGCCGATGAAGAGGGAGTCCTAGAGTCCAATGAAGAGCCACGTCGTGTTGAGCTTCCACTCGAGTCTCTTCCACGTGAGAAACTCCGGGGAAACAATCTCGATTCCAAGCCGGACATCATAGCCGCCATCCCACGCTTCCCTTGAATTTTATCCCGTGATTGTCTCTTCGACCCCACCTGCTCAATCGAGACCTCCGACGTTGTATCGTTATCTTTGTCCATGCCCGGCTGTGTTAACACTCGATGGACCTCCTTGCGATCAAATTGGTGGGACGATCTCCGAGGGGTGTCGTCGGAGTCAGATTTGGGTCTTTCCGGAGAACTCGGAGCAGAGGCCATGACAGAAGAGCTGATGCGCAGCGGCGAAGATACCAAGGGTTCGACCGGACTACGACTCCCACCTCTCAGAGGTTTCTTAGTCCCGCCGAGACCAGCGCCCGCACTCCTTGCAGACTGCGGGGTGCTCAACAGGTTCTGTACTGCGCGACCGAGGCTTGAGGGTTTCTGGCCCTTGGCGGATGGATTGGATGGTCGGTGTGTGTTGAGCTCTGCTGGATCAGGAAGTCTAGGGGAGATGCGACCAGTGTGGTACGACATCGCGTGTGGTTCCGCCTCCGGCCTGACCTGCTGTGGGGAACTTAGCCGCTTAGCCAACGAGGTGAATCCAGGCGGAATGTGGAGCAGATCGCCAACTTTATGACGATTATGCACTCCGCAAGGGTCATTCGATGATTCCGTGTCACTGCGCCTCGTCAGTTATGGTTCCAAAACAAGGCTGTTGAGTACTGACAGATGCTGCGCAGATATATGGTACTGGGGGCATTCACGCAGACTAAGCTCTGCTCAATGCAAACCATGAAGAGGAAACCATGGAGGTATTATATTGATGCGAGAACCAGGGAAGGTGCCTAAGGTGAGGCTTCCTTTTACAGATCGGCAAGGCTGCGAGGCTGCTCCTTCATCTGGATGGGGCTGTACGGCTATGTTTCGTGAACATCACGCCAACAGCTACAGTCACAACTACGGATAGCTCATATGCAGCGTGCATGAGCGGGGGACGTCGCTGTTCGTCACATTGCAGCTCAGGGCTGTTTTACCATTTGTGAAAGCTGCACATCTGCCCATACACGTGGCAGAGCTGCCTTCTGCAATTGACAATAAGATCAGAACAATATCGCAATCAAGACTGGGTATTGAGAAATAAAATCTAACTTATTCAAACCAGATTGCCAAGCAAAAAACACACGTATGAAAATGTAGAGCGAGAAAAAAAAAGAAAGGAGATATGATGTTATCAACCGGCCCAGATGCAATCTCAGACAAAACTCCCAGCTCCAAGCCCACAAAAAAAAGACAGCGCCTCATAAATGACAATACAGATCATCAGTGCAAGGGAACATCAAGCCATGGCTTGCATTACACCTTTGATCCCTTCTTGGACTTCGTCTTGGTATCCTTGGACTTCTTGCGAGCACCAACGGCAGCAAATGCCTCCTCCGGAGGCTCATCGACTGCACCGCGCTTTTTGCCCTTGGCACCATATTTTTCCTCCAGATGTGCCATGAAACCCTGTCCACGATCCTGCTGTCTCTTGCTGATCATAGCAAGCAGATCATCCTCGCCGACCGTAGGGCCCTTAGATGTTTTCGAGGAAGCAGCCGCTTTCTTCTTCTTGTCAGCTTCAATCTTCTTAGCATGTTTCTCGGCTTGCTTGGCTTCTTTTTGTGCGCTCTTGATCCGTGCCTTTTTAGCTTCCTCGGTCTCATCCACATATTTCGCGAAAGCCTCAACCTCCCCTCGGCAATAGCTTTGTCGATAATCGCGCGGAATCGAACGTCATCATCCAGGACATTGGAGAGCATCACGGATTCATAAATGTGATCCATACTACCTTCGAACTTCTGATAGGCCTCCAAAAGATCCTGCTTCTCCTCATCGGAGCTCTGGTATTTCTTTTGGAAATCGGATATCGCGCGTGTATCCAGCATAGCAGACAGCTGTTCGCGGTAGAAGTCCATCCAATCGAAGTCTTCATCGTCGAGCGACTCCTCTGTGCGGCCGGTACGATCGTAGGTCTTTCGACGGCGCTCATCGGACAGAACGGCGTATGCGAGGGCAATTCGTTGGAACTTGGCGTTGGCTTCTTCTCTGGCTTCCTCACTGACTTTGTCTATGGCAATCTATCAGCATTGATTGAAGCAGTGTTATGGCTTTGACGTCTTACCAGGGTGGTTCTTCAGAGCATTTTTCTTGTATGCTGATTTGACTGCTTCGGGTGTCGCATCCGATTTGACGCCCAAAATCTCGTAAAGATCCTCTTCTACTGAGGGAGGGTGCTCAGGAATATCGTCGGTCTTTGAGCCCCTTGCCATTTTGGATAAATTGAAGCCGCTTAGTTTGATGAAACGAAAGTAGTGGCGATATGCGGAATTGAGGTGTCGCAGCTCGCAAAACAGCGCGGACCGAACAACGCGAAAACCAACGCGCCTGGCTGCGTCATTGTTCTGCTGCTGCTCCCCGCTTTCACCTCGACTTGCGTTTCAACTTCCACTCTCGCCAGCTTCATATCCGAGCTTGAAATCCGGTCCAAGCCGAGCTGTTCATATTTGATCTCAATTCACAAGATCTGGTTCATCTACGACATCTATAAAAATATTGCTTTCCCGCCACCGAAAACGAGCTACACCCTACCCCCACCATGTCAACCACTTCCCCTCACAACGCCTATATGCAGAAATGCATCTCCCTCGCGGAGCAATCACCTCCCGACCGACAAATTTTCGCGTTGGCGCAATTCTCCTCTCCCGTAAAGACGGCGATGTCTCTGGCATCGACGACAGGAACCTCTCCACCGGTTACACAATGGAATTAGCAGGAAACACGCATGCCGAACAATGCTGCCTCTCGAACTACGCCGCCGTGCACAGAGTTCCCGACGATGAAGTATCCACCGTACTCCCCGTTGAAGCGGGCCGGAAACTCATCATGTATGTGTCGATGGAGCCATGCGGGAAGCGACTTTCAGGGAACGCGCCGTGCGTGCAGCGCATCACGAAGACGCGAGAGGGTGGTCGGGAGGGAATCCAGAAGGTTTATTTCGGAGTCAAAGAGCCTGGAACTTTTGTGGGAGAGTCGGAGGGGTGTAAGATGTTGACTGCCGCGGGGATTGAGTGGGAACATGTGGCCGGGTTTGAGAGGGAAATTCTGTCGGTTGCATTTGCTGGACATGAGAATGCGGAGGCGAAGGTGAAGGCTGCGCTGGGTGAGCAGGGGACCAATGTTGATGATATTAGTGGAGAGGAGAGGAAGAAACAAGAAGAGGCTCCCAGGAATCCGAAGAAGAGAATGATGGAGGGGGAAACGATGCTCTATTAACTAAGAGCTGTAAAAATAACCGGATACGTGACTCGAAGTTTTCCTATAGCTTGTAACTGTGTCAATTCGATCTGGATAACCCAAGCGAGAAATCAAATTGTGCCAGTCATGAAGAACGATGCACCGAGACGATTCACGGTCAGGCGCGCGTCTTGTAGCACCACGTGACCCCGCGCTTCATGTGAAGTCGACACCACGGCGTTGCACTCTCCATTAGCACGAACTCGGCAAGACCATCCACCGATGAAAAGATGACCCAATGGAGGCTGCAGATGATGCGGAACCCGTTCTATACCCCGCGTTCTGCTTCAAGGCGTCGCCAACCCACTTCGCCTGGGTGAAGATGGCCGCTTCGGATGTGCATCGACTGAAGAGACCAGAAGGCTTTGGAGGTGGGTTTTGTTCGCCTTTGCTGTTTTCAACCTAGTCTGTCTCTCATTCTTTTTTCTTTCTGGGCGTGTGGGTTGGATCTCTGCATTTTGACCTGAGTCAAGGCTACGGCCAAGGGTATCAACCGTCCTCGGGCCTGAATTTTGACCATTTCTTATGAGGGGTCGTTGCTTTTGATTCGTTCTCAGGTTAACACTGACCACAGGTCAGAAAGTCTTTTTCTATCATAATCACCCTATTCGCTTCGTCTGCATTGCGGGCGTCATCGTGGCTCGGAACGAGATTACTCGGCGCACGATCTTGACATTAGACGATAGCAGCGGCGCAACGTTGGAAATAGTCATCTTACATGCCGATCCAACTGGATTAGTGAAAAATGCGTCTGTCCAGCCACCGAAGAGCGGACTTGAACCCGATGAGGTAGCCCTCAATACCTCGGAGGGGCTACCGGGTATGCAATCCAACCAGACTGTCCATGTTTCGGCTACAGATCGGACCGTTTTGGACATTTCAAGCCTGGTCCCTGGTACCCCGGTGAAATTGAAAGGCACATTGTCAATGTACCGACAGACGATGCAATTGCAGTTAGAACGGTTCGTTCTAGTTCCCGACACGAATGCCGAAATGCAGTTCGTGGATGAGCGCGTGCGGTTCCTCGTCGATGTGCTTTCTGTGCCGTGGATTTTACTCGAGGAAGAGATTGAGCAATTGAGGTTAGAAGCTGAGCAGGGAGATATCAAGGCCTTGGAAGAGAGGAAACGTGCTGCGAGGAGGACTAAGAGGCGGATGGAACGGGAGGAGAGAGACCAACGACATATTCAGAAGCGTTATGAGAGGGAGGAGAAGAGAAGGGCGAAAGAGGCGTGCGTTTGTAAAGAGGATGGAGCGAGACTCATGCATGATATTCGGCGGAAGAGAGAGTATTCAGAAACCTAAGATCGGCGACACTCAGTTTCGAGGACTAGTAGATAGACGAAGTTGATTATGGGTGAAATCAGATCGAGAAACTTTTGCAGGCTAGAAACGATATGTAATTGAAACTTTGAACAGTCGGACATGAGACATCATCATTCGTCAAACAAGGAGCACTTTGAGGTATCTTCATGCCATACAGAACGCCGAGCTAGGTAAATACAACACTCCAGAGCGCGAATGCCAAAAATACAAACCCATCAATCAGTGATAATACTTCGGGCCACCACCTTGTCCACCCAACATGCCGCGGTAGTACTCGTCCTCAGGGGCGGCCCGGCTGCTCCGGTGTGATTTGGTATCTCTGTACCTCCGACTATCTTCCTCGGGTAGCATCGAAGTCGGCTCCATGTACAAGTCTTGAGCAGACACCCCGTTGTATTGGGAGCACGGTCACGATCCAACAAATCACTTTCCGAGTGTCGATACTCGTGACCCATGCCCCGGGACGAGCTGCGCGAGCCCCTGGAGAACCGACGAGCAGGAGCCGGGCCAGATCCAGAACGAGAAGAGTACATGGAGTCGAACTTGTCTGACGTTCTTGGGATATCGGGTGGCCGGCTTGTGATAGAGTCCGTTCGGCTGCGAGTATGGCCCGATTCTGTTTTATGGCTTGGCTCGTCATATTTCTTACCGCCCCCTGGCTGAGCGGAATAGGGTTTTCTTTCGCGTTCAATGGGAGCTGGAGGGATTGGTTCGTCTTCGTCATCGATCACCACTGACGAGGACGAGGCCGAGGGCGGTGGTCGTCCACGCTCATATGATCGGGCTCGTTCGCTGGACGAGGGGACGGAGGAGGGCGAAAGTTTCCTCGAGCGCTCAGCCTGCGAACGCTCTTCCTCGGTAATTGGGGGGAGATCGACACCGCAGTGTTTCATAATATACTCCTCGATCTCCTCTCTCAGGCTGATATCTGCGAACTCAGGGAAGAGCCGACGCGGAATCTCCTTCGGGAAACGCTCTTTCTTGTCGTCGGGGTTGCTGATGGGCATATTGAGCACTGCCTTTTGCAAGCGCTCATATTCGCGTTCCGGGTGCGCCTGGATCATCAAAGTGGCCCAAAGCTCAAATCCCTGGGGAGTCAAGCCTGGAATATCTGGACGTTCCTTGAGATCTTCGGTTTGAACGAGGTGGTGCTGCGCCTTGACATCACGGAAGAGCCTAGAAATCGAGGATGTGCGGTCATCGAAAATGTCTAAGCGTTACATGTCAGAAGGATTCTCATTTGCAGTTCATCCAGTTCCACTAACCTTGCCATGGATAAGGGTCCCACGACACATCCGTATCCGCATAAAACTTCTGCAACTTGTCCGGGACAATCACAAGAGTGTTGCCGGGAGGATAATCCTCAATCTGAGCCAAGAAGTATATGTTAGCCACGTATGCGAGGAAAACCCCATTTTTATGGCCTGGATCTTACCAAGTGCATTGCAACTCCGCGCAAGAATTGGCCAAGCCTTTTTGTCGGCTTTCCATTCTCAAACAACTTCCCCCAAATTTTCTCGAGTGTGGTCATTTCCATAGCCGTCGCATCGCGCGATGGAGGCTGGGAACGGGTGACATCCGCTTTCTGACTACCGTGACTGGAGATGGAGTCACGTCTGCGAGGAAGCGGATCTGGAGTCGGCTTAGGGTTTGGTCGGGAGTCACCTGAATAGCCCGAGTGAGCGGGGAATGTTGATGGGTCATAGCTGTTCGACATGGGGTTGGGAGTTGGCAGCGATCCGCTTCTCTGCGCGCTCGGGGGGGGATTCTGAATGCGGTCGAGGCGGATATTCCGTTGCTGAGAATGGGGGCTGTTGCGACTGTGATCGCGGAGGGGGCACAGATGCGGGGGAGGGTGCGGACCCTTGTATGTTATCCAGACCAGATGCTTTCAGCTGTTGGATGACGGTCGCTGTAATCTGCGATAAGACATCGGGGGATAGATAGGAAGGTGAAGAGACATTGTTGTGGACGGCAGAGCTGACGGCGTCGTTGAGGTTCTCGGTGCTTTGCGCATATGGGGATTGAGAATACGGCTCCATATTTGGGGCTACCGAGGTGGCCGGCATCTGAGGTTGCGGCATATCGATCCGATCGGGCTCATGATGGAATGGGTACGGAGGCGTGGGTGAGTAGCCATGAGAGTCAGGATCGGCGTTCATGTTGCCCATCTGATAGGGATTGGGACCTTGATGATACTGGTCGTAGGTCATGGTTGGGCCGAGAGATGAGCTACGGGTTGGCTCTACTCTCTCTGCCTCGATATTTCGAAGTTGCCCAAGCGAATGTCTATCAGAGAGGAGGAAGTTGGACAAGGCAGAGAAATTGTGAGAGGATGAGGGGCTGTGGGGAAAGTGGCGATCCCAAACACTGGCGTCACTGATTTCGGCCAACCTTTTGGGGGGCGACAAAAATAGTACAGGGAGTACAGAGAGGATAGAGTGAACAGCGTGAACAAAGAATCTTTGAAGGCTCCGCAAATATCGAGAGAATCGAATGTATAGAGAGTAGAGAGGGTTAGGGAGGGTTAGAGAGAGCACCAAGAGCACCAAGACGCACCCGAGACTCGAGAACACGACGAGGGGTAAGGCATATCCGACGTCACAGCCATTCCTCTCCTCGTGGTGTGGCACTTTTTTAATCTATTAAGGTGCCACAGGGCCGCGCTATCAGGTTGTCATATCACATCTCCGGCGTCATGATCGTCATTTGAATCTACGGGCCATCGCTCTCTTACACTGCAGCGATTCCCATTCCCCGCCTATCAGAGTTGTGAAAGCCACGTTTCGCATCTTATGCAGCAAGTCAGTCATGCAAGGAGGTCGATCCCAGCAGTTGGCAGAACGTTGACGGGATGGTGCCGGATCCGGATTCGATGTACACGAATATATTGTTCGTGCAGCCTATTCCATCATCTCACACTATCGAAAGTAATCACCATTAGTGAAAATGCTGGCCGAAGTTTGCGCGTAGGGTTTAGTCGCCGGGTGGCGAGAAGGGAGACGCTATTGAAACATTTCGTTCTCTTAGCGTGAATCCATTTATTTTTGGAAGTAGGTGTTAGGTACATAGTCTCAGATAGTTCAGCTTGTCTGAACCATCTAAACATAGCTAGTTCCATGGAAACGTGAACTGGGAAAGGTGGGCGCGCGGAGGCGGAACCGATTGAGGTCATGGGATCGAACCATGGAACATCCTCCCTGTGCCAGTTGCCGCCTCTGACATGTCTCGGCCCAAGAAGCTATGGAGAATCGGCCTACGTAAGCAGTTGCAGCTGAACTAGGTAGATGCTCCAGTGATTTGCAGAATCCTTCCCATCTTTCCTGACATTCTGTCGGCGCATAATATTTCTAGATCTCTTCCCAAAGCCTTCCGGCAAAACGAGGGTTGTTGGCGGGGAGTAGAAGGGTTCGACCACAAGGATAGGATTCTAAGGTACCTTGACGATATGATTTTGTTCAAAATGAATTTTACATTCCAGATGAAGATCTAGAATAAGTCAAAGGTCCGTCGTAGCATGCCCCTCGGCAAAGATGCCCGCCGTTCCCCAGATCACAGAAAGGTTGTCTTGTGCAAACTTCACCGCTTGACTCGTTTATGTTCCTCCTGCAGGAATGCGACTCACTTAGCGGGATGCTTGATTTAGTGCTTTATAGTATCATCAATAAATCCCCAAATATCGCCACATGCGAATACACTTGCCAACTCATCTTCTGAGCAGAATCACTCTGTTGATGGGTCATCAAGGTCGTGTGACTGCCATTATCCTGAGAGTGTAGAATGTGCAGGCACAGATTCATTATATCCTCAATGCAGGAGGGGGCTTGCTCAGGGATCGCAGATCATACCCTAGTTCTCATCGACCCAACTGTTGATCCCTTCAATCACTGCTAAAGTAGAAAAGGGCTCCGGGATCCTGAGAATGAGTTGCATCCGGTTTTGCTCTTATTGAGACGCGACGATGAGGGGGGCCATTTCCCATGGACCGATTCATGCATCGCTAAAATACCTAAGCAGTCTTTAGCATTTGTCGCTAGTCCAGGGAACTCGTAAAGCAGACAATTTTGAGTATACCCATTGGCTGACCTTGCTTGACCTGGACCTTCAAAACCCCGGCTGCAGGCCTCGGCAACCCACGGCATCAACACTTGCGCTCCTCGAGTCACTTGCAGTCACCGGTCTAGTGAAATAGGGACTTTAGACTACCTGCCCAATTTTAATTGAGACGAAGCACGTTTGAATTGTGCAGTGCACAACACACCTTGCACTTAGCCCCGAGAACCCCGTTAACACATATTTCTTTAGCGAGGGGGAGCGGGGATATTTCAGATACCTGGAACTTGTTGGTTCTTCTAGGGAAATGGATACCAACACAGCCTCGACGCCCTCCTGGAGGCTTCCACTAACTGTCTAGACGTGAAATTTCAAACACTGCCCGGCGAGGCTCCGCTGGGTAGTGTGAGAAATAGGACGGAGAAAATGCCTGAGTTTCAACCATCTGTGGCTCAACCGGAAGCCTACGTGGAGAGGAGACATGCAATGAATTCGGTATCTGCTTAACAGTAGAAACGCATTCGCTGGCGCCCCAAGCCAAACAAATCATCTTCTCCAAGCGCCGCACGACTGGCTACTTTAAGAGGACGTTCCAAAATCAGTTTCAATTCAGATTGAAGCAACTCGGCCCCGAACCACGGAGCCTGGCAGGGATGAGTTGAGGCATGGGTTATCCTCGCTTATGCATCAGTTGCTAAGATGCTGGTATAGAGCCTCCAAGTGGAGACCGTAGACTACAGACTAAGACTCTATAATCAACAGACTACCTCAATAAAACACCGAAATGCCGCGCCAGGATCAGAGTCAATTAATAAAACCTCTACGGATCCTGATTGTATCATGTCATGTTTTCCAGTATGCAAGCCCTCCATTGTCTCGAAGTATAAACCAACCCACCAAAGTCAAAGCAAGTGCTGGCTTCGGTGCGACGCCCTCCCCCCAAAGGAAATGATGATTTTCGCACGGCTAGCCGAGCAACAAAGGAACAAGCTCCCACTCTACGCCCTAATGCACGCCAGAGACACGGGATATGGCAAACCCAAACCTAGAATGTCCACCGGGAGGGAGATTATTGGTCAACAGAGACGGAGTCCGGGAATGACAGACTTCCAGAAAATTCCCGAGCTCGTCGATTAGGGGCTGACACGCGAAACTTGTCGGAAGTAGACTAGCCATGGTCATAGCATGCTCGATATAGATGGATGAATGTGCCAAGCGGCGCAGTCAAGAGGCCGCACATCCTTCGGGCATATCTCCATAGGACTAGGGTTGCGACCTTCCAGAAACGCTAAAGCGTCGAATAGAAGATAGGGTTCCTCTAGTGACGGTGGGCCACTACCCCAGGGGTGACCCGGTTTCCCGAGCATGAATTTAGTGCCTCCTGCTGTTACCCGGACACTGGATGTCATCAGCGTTGAATCTCGCATGATCTGTGGGCCGATCGTGTAGGTGAAAAGGGGTAAATTTTTGCCACTTTGATACGTTGATGACACTCTCTGACGCATCCAGTGTCCAGAGTAAAGGGGACCCCTGTTATGTTCGGCGTCCATAGTGGGGTCAATGTTAGCTCTGGTGTCGTCGGAAGGGTTCCTACCGGCCAAGGAGTCTGATCATGACGAATGGCTGGTGGAAATTTGGAGGCATTTTCCCATTTTCCCGTTTTCTCATTTTCGAAAAAAAAAAGGCGGAGCCAGGGCTGTGGGATGGGCCCTGGGGATAACGGGAAATGGAGCCAAAAGTGCAAAAGGCCCAGAGGGGCGTGTGTGTGCACCTTGCGCCCCTCTACTGTACACTTTCAATGCCTTTTTTGATATCATCGGTTGATGTTTAGGACCCGAATTTTTTGTTTGGCGAGCTTCGTAGTGCCCTAATGGCCTAGTGCCCTGGTGGTACGATCGTATTTGCTGACCTTCTCGAAGAGCGAAGGAAGAGCCGGCGCGCGCCGGCACTTTGGCAACGGTCTGATAGTTCGACCCCTCTGACAAATGGTCGGTGGCAAGAAAGGGGGGCGATCCTCCCATGCTCAACACTACACATGGCCGCGGCCCTCTCGGGTAGGAGGGACGGGCCTGGATGAGGCCCACGCGGTGGAGAATCCGTCATCCCCCGAGTGCACCAGCCTTCAACTAAGTACTGTACATTAGCAAGCCTCCCGGTCCACAATGCCTGGAAGCTCTCAAATTGAATGACGGCGTAGACCAGGAGGCGAAGGCCCCAGTGAATCATCCGAGTCCACTCCGTGCTTTTCCAGGACGGCGCGAGCCTCTGCACCAATGGTATTGTTGGCGCGTAGTCGGCTCCATAGCACTATGGTCTTTTGCTGCTTCTTATTGGTATAACGCAGGTTATGGTACCCAGTACCCGCGAAGCACTCTCCACTGTGCAGACAAAATGCATGAAAGGGTTGCTGCGGAGGCGCGTACTCCATCGGTATTGTGTACTCCGTGTACGGAGAACACACCGTGTACGGACACTCGACGCGTTGTTGTTCCTGTGATGATGCCCAAGCTTCTTGTCCACTCCTGGACAGAGTCTCATTGGACTCTTGCTTACTCGAGTATGAATGCGGGCTCCACTGGTAATTAATGGGATGCTCGGTAACTTCTTTGTACGGGCCATGTTCCACTTCAAGAGACTCGGTCTCTCAGATCGGGGGGAGAAAAGGGGGGTGAACGCCGTCTCCTGCTCCTGTGTACTCATTGCATCAGATGTAGAGATGCATGGTAAGCTGAAGATGAGTTACAAATACCGATCCGACTCGAGAGGGGGGTGAACGGGAAGGATCTCAAACGGTTCAAACAAAGCAGGGTCAAATCTTGGTACGGGCCAAACGGTTGCCCCAGGGTTCGTCGGGTCTGACAGGTGCGTTCCATCCATGCGTACTGTAGACTCGATGACTCGATTACAGTACTTGATTATTTACACACTCGTATTTTGATCTTCCCGTGGCGTGTAGAATCAGCTCCATCAGCTCCATCTAATCCAAATAACCGGGAGCTCCATCGACCTGATCGACGGTACTAATCATTTGCCATCGAGCCGGGACAGTGGAGAAGGTCCAAGTCAAACACTGACGCGGTACGGGCCCGCGAGTAGGGATCCTGATCGCCCGTCAGGACGAGACTTCGGCACAGGCACGAAACACTAATTAGGGGAGCGATCGGAGATGAGAGGAAATGTACTCAAAGAGAAAAACACCACCGGGTTACTTCCGGTGTTTGAATCCTGCGCCTCTTCCCAATCTGTGAAGGCTGTCCGGACAACCCATGTCCCTATAGTTGCGGTAGTAATAGCGACCCAAGAGGAGGTCGGGCGATGGCATCAAATGGCACCTCAAGCTTACTCTATGGGACCCTATGCGAACGCATCCGTCCATCCGAACCTAATTTGCATCTAGTCACGACCTAGCCATGCTGGGCCCAGTCGGAGTCCTGCACCAGGGAAAGTTCGGATCCATGGAGATCATGTGGCGAGATGCGGTGCCCGGTCAACCAAATTCAATAAGTCAATAAGCCCGAGTGAAACAGGGGGAATGCGTAGAGACCTTGCGACTGAATCCGTAGGACATGACATAACAGGCAGCTGCGCGAGCAGGATTCTCCTTGCTGTCGAATGTCTAGCCCGCTGGGCCTATCAGGAGAACCCGGGGGGAGGTGATGTGTCGGACAACAAAATGATAGATAGGCTCAGCAATGAGATGAGTGGAAATTGAGTCAACGTCATCTATTCATCTATTCTGCCCTTTGGACTTTGACTTTGGACTTTGCGGATCGAGAAGGAGAGTTCCCTGTAAACTAATTCTATGGGGCCGGGAGGGAAGGGCGGGTGCGGCCCAATTTCGCTCGTGAGCGGTGCCGGTCGCCGCCCCAAGAAGGCTACGGTTAGGGCTGCGTGGGCGACCGCTACAGGCCACAATCCATTGTATGCCCAACCTTCCAATTATTAAGGCGCCGTGCAGCTATGTACATGGCAGCAACAAATGATTTCCCCCCTCTCAGAGTCTGGGGAATATGTGAAGTGAATGCCCCCTCTTTTTTTAGGGCGTAAGAAGCGAGTCAATTAGTTTCTTTTGCACTTTTGCACTTTTGCACTTTTGCCTCTTATTTTTGGGTTTGTCTAGAATGGGGCGAACAGTGTCTAGCCCACCAGGCTTAGTGTGTTTAGTGTGTTTACGTTGAGTATTTGTTTACCGTAAGTAAACTTCAGGAACCCGGCTGCCGTTCCCGCTTGCTGCGTACCATTGGTCCGCACGGGAGCTCCCCATAATTCTGCTAAGAAAAACAAAGAAGTGAAATTAATTTAATTTGATGTATTGGGGTGTCTGCGCGGTATATTACCGTCCCATTACTCCTCTGATGTGTTCCTTGTCTCTTCTCATCCCCCCTCCAGGTGCTGCCCTCGTGTCCACGCATTTACCCCCATTTTACATTTTGCGGGTTGCATTTCACATTTCACATCTCACATTTATCATTCGCGCCTCCCCAAGTCTCCCCATTCTGTTCCATCTCTCATCCTTCTACCCACACAATACTCCCGAATTATTGACTCAGGTAACTCTTTCGGGGCCAATTTACCTAAGCCTATTTGGTCTGGTGGACTGATCTGCACCGTCTTAACGTGGTTAATTTACCGTCTCCACGGCCCCGTCTGGGAGGTCAAGCTGTCAGCGCGTCAGGGGTTTCTTCCTCGGCCTCCGATCGACTGTTCCCACACTCAGAACGGGTCCTCTCCTATTCTGGGTGGAATTCCTTTTTATTGCATCGTGCCCGTTCTTTGGGATCCGTGATCTCTTCCCCCCCCCCCCTCTCCCCTCTATACATCCCTATATCCTGCGTCCCAACTATTCCGTCACTCTTTACTCGGCAACCCCCAAATCGTTTATATCCCTTCCCTGCAGATGATGAACATCTGTCCCAATTGAACTCGTCCCTTTGGCTATCGTGGGCAAGCTCGAACCCTCTGTAATGTAAGACTGCTGCATGACGCATCGAGGCCTGGCCACTGACCCTCCATCTTAGATCCCACCGCTCTTCTTCTGCAGGCAGATCTGAAGAGACGCACACCATGACTGTCACATACGACTCTCCCTCAAGGAGAGCCCAAGCCTCAATGGCGACACTCGAAGAACGATTCCAGGTGATGAAGGAAGTTGGTGATGGTAGCTTCGGTAGCGTTGCTGTTGCACGGGTACGCACCGCCGGATCTCATATCGCGCGGCGAGGATCGATGGTACGTAGCTACGTCACCGGTTGACCTGGGCATTCAACTGACTCGAGACCCCAAGGTCGCGATCAAAACGATGAAGAAGACCTTCGACTCATTGCAACCATGCTTGGAGCTCCGTGAGGTTATCTTCCTGCGGACCCTTCCGATTCACCCGCACCTTGTTCCTGCCCTCGACATCTTCCTCGATCCTCTTTCCCGCAAATTGCACATCTGCATGGAGTATATGGACGGCAACTTGTATCAGCTGATGAAGGCCCGTGACCACAAGTACTTCGAAGGCAAGCATGTCAAGAGCATTCTCTTCCAGATTCTCTCTGGATTGGACCACATTCACGCCCACCATTTCTTCCACCGCGACATCAAACCCGAGAACATCCTGGTGTCGACCTCCACTCCCAATGACTCTACCTTCAGCCGCTACTCCAACCTCGTCACTCCTCCCTCGACTCCCCCGACGTACACCGTGAAGATCGCCGACTTTGGTCTCGCTCGCGAGACCCACTCAAAGCAACCGTACACCACCTACGTCTCAACGCGCTGGTACCGCGCCCCGGAAGTGCTTCTTCGTGCCGGAGAGTACTCGGCGCCTGTGGATATGTGGGCCATCGGCGCCATGGCAGTGGAGATCGCTACTCTGAAGCCCTTGTTTCCTGGAGGCAACGAGGTCGACCAGGTTTGGCGTGTCTGCGAGATTATGGGCAGCCCCGGCAACTGGTACAGCAAGTCTGGTGCCAAGATTGGTGGTGGTGAATGGCGCGAAGGTTCGCGATTGGCGCACAAGCTTGGCTTCACATTCCCCAAGATGGCGCCGCACTCTATGGACTCCGTTCTTCCTCCGACGCATTGGCCTGCCGCTCTGAGTGAGCTCGTCACTTGGTGTCTGATGTGGGACCCCAAGGTCCGTCCGACTTCCACCCAGGCGTTGAACCATGAGTACTTCGCGGATGCAGTCGACCCGGTACGACCCAAGTCGTCCACCTCGTCGCGCTTGCTGGGCCGTAAACAATCCGAGAAGAGCTTCAAGTCCACAACTCTTTCCCCTAATGACTCTCCCACTTTGTCTACGAAGCCCTCCTGGTTCCGCCGATCATTGATTGGACGCTCGGAAAGCCCTGTTCCGGGCGTTGAGAATGACAGCCCCGCGAGACCGCCCGTCGTCTCGTACAATACCGTTCCTGAGATCCAGCCGGTCAAGGCTCGTCCCGCGAACATCAAGCGGGCAACCTGGGCCAACGGCGCCCCGATGCCTATTCTCCCTTCTATTCGCCCGGTCTCCTCTCTCCAACTCGGTCACGGCACAGGCCAATGCGACCGTGGCGCACAGCGGAGCGTCCAAATCGTCCCAGTCTGATGCAACCCAAGCAAGCAAAAAGATTGGTCGGCAGCTGTCTGTCAACTCGAACGGCAACCACTATTCCGATGTCCACCGTCAGGAGGCTGAGAGGATCTTGAATGGTTCTGGTAATACCACACCGACTACCAAGGAAAGCTTCTTCTCGCATTTGCGCAAGCGCGCTCGCAGACTTTCTGGCCGCAATCAAGTTGCGACATCGAGTGACGACATTGAAGCCAATGCCGGCTGCATCCCCTGGTCTAACCGCTCCTCGATCGCCCTTGATGGTACTAATGTGCATGAGCCTAAGCCGCATTCTGATCTGAGCGAGCTTGACAAAGCCCTACAGAGTGTGAAGTACACTTTGGATTCCTCGACGCACAATATTCCCGTGCACCTGAACGCAGGTCCCGAGGGAAGCATTATCAAGCGGCAATCGATGCCTACCAGCAATCCAGCCCCCATTTCCAGCCGAACTCGACGTGCGATGCAAATGACCTCCCACCCGGTTCACCGCTATGAAACACCGGAGGAGGAGGACGAGCTGCTCGATGAGGTGCTGCACTCAACACACAAGGCCGCCCGACGCCTGGCACTGACCCAATCGCTGGCTGGCAATCCTACCAGCAGGCTTCACCGGCCAACGGACAACTCACGCGCATTGCCGAGCCCTTACCCTACCCCTTCACCTACGGCCAAAGCTGATGGGTACTTCGAGACACCCGTCAAGCAGGTCACAGCCAAGACGGACGCGAACTCCAACCGCCAATGGCCAACTCCACCTTACGAGGAGTCGGAGTGGAATCACAAAGCATCTACTCACTTCTCTGGATCCAACTACATCTAAACAAAAGCTATACTCTCTCTACGACAACTTTGAAACTTCCCCACCATCACACACTCTCTCGGCCGCGCGAGGCTGCTTTAAAATCTGGCGAAATTACGCAAGAAACGGATACAAACCGAGCTAGGCGTATTGGTTTTCTTTTCTCAAGGTCTGGTCGTTCAGGTTCTGAGTTTTCGGGTCTTCACTTTTCTGCCCTTTGCATATTTTTCTGATCTTTTTCACATTCTCAACATTTTCACCATTCATACCCCCTAAAGGCCTTCGCTAGATGGATCCGGCCTCGCACCCTTGTTTTTATTTCTCTCGGAAAATCCTTGGAGTCCTTTCACTTGTCTGATCGTTTTGAAGGGGCGTTGCACAGAGTCTCTTTGTCACTTTGATACCATCACGCGCAAGCCGCATTTATATCCCAATCCCTTTTACATTGGCATCTACCCATTTTCTATGGAACATGGCGCTCATTTCTTTTGTCTATATACTTGTTCCCCCATTGCACATTATACGGCTACTTGCCGTCCTGTCTATCATTTCCTGTTGACTCCTGCATATTGTTCCAAACTTCATGTTCGCTCTTTCGTGTATAATTTTCACCCCCTACAGGTCTCTGGGCTGGCTGGGCCCAGTCTCCAGATGTAATATAACACAGCTTATGGCTACGCGCTATTTATAAATATATACTGTCATACATAGTTATAAGGTTCTGATTCGACACATAAAATCTTTCCCCGGTAGATCTTTCGTGTGTTATTTGTCAGATTGACACTTGACCTGTCTTAACTCATTGTCAGGCTGAGTTGCAGCGAGTGCCCCGGAACAATGATAATCCGGCGGCCATCAAGATTTCCCAATCGAGCATGCTACTCTTCCACACTTTTCCCTCAATTGCAATTCCCCTCAACATTCGTCTCTAGCTTTTGACTGGGGCCGTGTTTACATCTGACTCCCAGCCTCAGGTCAGGTTGGAAACTTTTCTCCGAACTTCTCGACAGCAGGTTCCCTTCTCCAACATCGAAACTGCCCATTCCAACTCTATCAAGCGACTATCGCAAGTCGCTTTACGATCTCCAAGCCTGAGAACACCTCCGCGCACCAATCATGTCAAACCAAAGGCAGGCTTCATCAGCCTCCCAAACACCTCACCTTTCTCCCGCCGAGCTCTCCTACCTCTACACCTCCCTCTCTCTCCCAGGAAGCCCCATCCGCCCCGATGGCCGCTCACCCACGCAATTTCGGCCCTTAACCGCCGAGACCAACATCCTACCCGGTACAAACGGTAGTGCGCGCATCGGGTTTGCGGACGGCACGCAGGCTATCGTTGGCGTTAAGGCGGAGGTCGAGAGAACGACGCTATCGGCGGATACTCTCGATGCGCGGGAATTCGATCCCAACGATGATCGCGAGAGCCAGGAGGGGTCGGCTGCTGTTTCGGGACATGGATCGTGGGTTCAGATGTCGATTGAGATTCCTGGGTTCCGGGATGACGATGCTTTGCCTGTTTTCTTGTCCGAGATGATGCGCGAGTCGCTGGTTGGTTCAGTTGGCGCCGATGAGAGTGGTATGGCTGGTGGGCTCAAGGGCAGACTGGTCATTAACAAACGGTGGCATTGGCGGTTGTACATTGATGTAAGTGGAAAATCCTTCTCCGTCGCAGGAAACCGCGATAATTGGGTGCTGAACTAATTGCCTCCTGCAGGTCCTGCTTCTTTCTCAACCTCTTTCATATCCTCTCCCGCTTCTTTCTCTAACAACCCATCTCGCTCTTTTGTCCACCAAGCTTCCTAAGCTCAAGTCACAGGGCGAGGAGGATCCTTTCTTCGACGATGACTGGGCTGTTGCGGAGTATCTCTACCCGCGCTCTTCTAGCGCGTTGAAAAAGTCCCCTTCACAACATGTCCGCCCGCCGGTGACACTGCTTGTCATCTCAGTAGGTGACAATGTCATCTTCGACCCCAATCGCGAGGAAATTGCTGTTGCGGACGCCGTGCTTGCTATCTCTGTGACCCGCGGCGAGGGCGAGGGCTTGAAGCTGCTTTCGATCCGTACCATCGACCCTCCATCTCGTCTGACGCAACCTGGTATTCCTAACTCGGAGAACGTGAACATGCTTGGTGCTACGCCTGCCGAGGAGATTGTGCTCACCCAGGCTACCGGCGAAGAAGAGGTATCGGGCGTATGGCGCCCCCGCCGTGGCGGCGTCAAGCGCAGCGTCGTTGCGAACATGGTCCAAACAGTGTTGAAAAAGGGCGGTGTTGGCGAGGAAGTGCTTGAGGGATTAGAGGGCGTTGAAGTGGTATAATTCATATCAACGAGCTTCCTCAAGCTCCGAAAGCAAAGCTCTTATATACCCACAACATACCAGAGAGGGGGATTCATGATCATGTAATACTAGAGTGTTAATGTACACACCAAAATGAGATTTTACTATACATTGCATTGTCCATATCCGCACATCATTCACTTCGAGCTCTCCAGCCTTTAATCCCGTACCCTGTGACAGACAGGGACGGTTATACAAGACTTTCACCAAATTCCAAGCCACTTCTTAACAGGCTTCCTCTTTCCCTCCCAATCCACAAACTCGCCTTCACCCACAGCGACAGGGCTCTGATCATCCACCTCCACCACCTTCCCGTCCTTTCCTTCCTGTGCCTTCTTATCCGACTCATTCGGCTCCTCTAGCCCATGCGCAACACGATACTGCCTCCTCTTCTCCGCATCCTCGATCCTCCGATGTCTCTGCTCCCTCACACGCAGCGAATTATGCTGCACGTCCATCCTCCACACCTGCAAGAATTGCGAAACGGTATCAATAGGATGCGAGAAAAGACCCGACCACGCCGGAAGCAGGTGCGCAAAGGGCGACCTGGCTTTGAAGTTCGTAGAAAAGACAAAGACCGCGAGCGAGGTCAAGATGGACATGGCGATCCATACGTGGATCCAACGACTCGTGAGGAACTTGAACATGACTGTTCCCTCCGGCGGGAACATGTTGGGGTATTGCTTTGTCTTTTGGGCTTCGCGTTGTGCTTCCGTCAGGCGGGGCCCATAATTGATTGGTTGCCCTGTTGGCGAGGTGCGCGCCGCGACCAGGCGGGCTGGATGGGATGGGGGCCGAAACTTGTCTGGTTGGGCTAGGGTGCGGCCTTTGTCGGATTTTTTGGCTGATGCTGGGCTGCTCGAGGTGAAGCAGCGGGCATTGTTGATGGCGCGTTGCTGCTGCTGCAGGGTGCGTAGGGTGCGGGCGGTAGGTAGGCCTCTCGGAAGGAGGAATGGCGGAACGGTTGGGGCTGGCATGGTGGGCAAAATGTCACCAGTCCAGTGTGGTGGTCGCTGATAGCTGGTAGATGATCTGGAGCTTGAGGTTCGGTATGCGCAGTGTTTTTTCCCGAACGGGATTTTCTCGGATATCACGTGACTGCGATTGGAAGTTTCTCGGACTGCGCGAAATGACGCTTGCAGTCTCGGCCTGAGCATGCCACGGCTAAAGGGAACTTTTTAATGAAAACGACCGTAGTACATACGTAGGTCTTTGCTTTTTCTCAGATAGTTGAAGTATTTTCTACATGATTGAAGTCTACATAGTTTTAGGGGTTAGTGTCTTCACAATGCCATTTAAGCAATCCATCTAGGTCCTGAGCCGACCAGCGTTGCGTAGTCAGCATTGGCATCATCATTCAATTGGCGGAAGAAGTGCAGTGACGCAAGTATCAACGGCGGTGGCTCAGGACCCACGGCATCGGATCAGACCCGGTCCTGCGGAGCAGCACGGGCGAATGAAAGTGGATGCATTTCGCATCCGTGGTGGACCGGGAGAGACGCTTCTCCAGTTCTCCAAGGGGTGAAAAGGGACGCGCGGAATAAGAGCGGGATCGGACGATTCTGACTGGCATTGATCAATGGAATCTTGTAGATTGTTAAAGGTGTTCTGGCCCTGTCGATTAACCGGAGGTGAAGCAGGGATGATGATGCATGAGGTCATCAGCAGAATAAGTATCGGTACGGCAGAGCCGGTGGCGGTCGCGCCGGGCGGTACGAGGAACAAGTTGGGGCACAATAGGGTTGAAGGACAGGGATGAACAGGAAGGTCAGGCTCGATCATCCGGAGACAGATGCGGTATAGAGAGAGAGAAAGAGAGAAAACAGGAAAGCAGCGACTCACCGAAAGATCCCGATCTTGTCCGCAATACCGAAATACGTGGACGCTGATTGGCTGCGACCCATGTCACGGGAGTCGACGGGGAGCGGCAGGTACAAAACCGTGGGAAAATCTTGCTCGTCGTCCCCTTCTTCCGTTTCGAACTGTACAGCTGTCGGATTCTCTCTCTAATTCTCCTCTAATTTACACATCATTCAAAATGGGCAAGGACGCTTCTTTCGCTCCCGGTAAGCTATCACTCCCTATCTAGTTTCACCCCTTTGCGCTATGGTCTGTCCGGGGAGCCTGGGGCTGGGTGTCGCGAGAGAACGGCGAAAAGGAAGGAAACGAGATGAAGACAGAAGCGAGTCGAGCTCGACCGCGCCTGGTCCATTGAGAGCACCGGCTATGCCTAGCGCTTATCTCCATCGTGCTCTCATCACTCGCGACGTCCAACTCTCACTTCCGACCTTGGTTCCATCAACATCCACGCTCGCGCAACCGTTGCAATTGCACGTCCAGACAATCGCGGCCCAGTCTCCAGAGCCCAGACTTCCTCCCCCTTCGCTGTCACCATGACTGGCCTTGATGTAGTTGGGACCTTGCCGGCCTCGTACTCAGGGTCTAGGAAATGGAGGCAGTTCCGGCCGGACCCTCAAGCCGAACCCCAACCATGATCGAAGCCAAACAGCTATCTAATACAATCCATTATTCAGGTGACTCTGCCAAGGGTGCCAAGCTCTTCCAGACCCGTTGCGCTCAGTGCCACACCGTCGAGGCCGACGGTGCCAACAAGGTCGGCCCCAAGCTGCACGGTCTGTTCGGCCGTAAGTCCGGCCAGGTTGAGGGATACTCCTACACCGACGCCAACAAGGGTGCTGGTGTCACCTGGGACGAGAACTCTCTGGTAAGGAACCTCAGCTCCGGTTCATTGACCGCAACGGCCTTCTAACCTACACCCTCTACAGTTCTCCTACCTCGAGAACCCCAAGAAGTTCATTCCCGGCACCAAGATGGCCTTCGGTGGCCTCAAGAAGGGCAAGGAACGCAACGACCTCATCACGTATGTTTGCTCTTCAATTCAGTTTCGATCTCAGATCGTCCGCTAATCCATCCCTCACAGCTACCTCAAGGAGTCTACTGCTTAAATGACCTGATGAATTATTCCCCCACGGCATTATGTTCTCGTTCTCACACCCGTCCCTTGGAATGATAGACGTCTGGGATTTGGTTGTCGCCGTGGGCTGACTTTCCGGGCATCCAAGGGACGGGGCATGTAATATTATCGGAGATTATCATGGTTGACTAGCAATAGATTTGGAATCTTTTCTCTACTCTTCACAACTTCCTAGGCTGTTTGGCGTAGTGGCTGCAGGGCTGGCATGCAGGTACTAGTAGATGGATCCGATGGATCCGTTATCTGCAGAGACTCGATCCTCCGGCACGAACGGCCGTGGACACTAGGCGACTCCAGAACCTCCCTAAGGGGGTGGCTACAACGCCCCGAAACGGAAGAATGTGTTTCAGGCGTTGGGGGCAATCAGACACATCGATTGGGCGACAATGGCGGTCAGGCACCGGGGGGCGGGTACCTCGAGGTCTTTCCACCACTCAAGTTGTATGCATAAGTACACAAGAGGTACCCGCAGTGACTTTGCCAGTGACTTCGTCCCTTCTGGCACACATGACTCGGGCTGATTGGCCCAGCCTCCTCTTGAGATGTGAGGCCTCGCATCGTGGGGACTGTAGTCGCTTCTTCAACGAGTTCCTCGATTCTGGTCCTGTTTAACATCGTTGATGCTCGATCGCAACTGTCCCAGAAACTCGATTATACATTGATATCGCGTCTCCCGAGTCTTGAAGCCCTTCAACTACTCTCGTCGCATCGCATCCTGTCGCATCGCATTTTAGCGCGCGGGGTCGATTGACTACCCTCTACGCTCTTCTAACCGCACAGCAATACCCCCGTATCATTTATCGTGTGAGATCATTGCAGGGCGCTTGCACTAACCGCCCTGATTCCAGCCATTGAACCAACAAGTGTCGCGATCGCAGGCCTTGGTGCACTGCATCGCTGCGACTCTGCCCCGCCTTGGAAGCGCAGGCATCGCCAAACGCCGTCCACCATGTTGGACGAGCTGGACCACGTCTTCGACGACCATCCGTCGCTGGATGCTTCACTGGAAGACTTTGAGAACAACAGCAATGCGCACCGCTCCCCGCTCTTCGGAATGCCGTCACAGCACTCTGGCTTTCGTTCGGAAGAATCGGATGGCGAGGAAGATCCCGCCGAGGACCGCTGGTCGCCGCCAGGTTTGCGCCAGCACGATCATGTCCAGGGCAGCGGCTGGTACCGTCACCAGCCCTACTTGCGCCAGGGCAACCTCCACGAGCGCTTAGAGTTGAAGCCGACGGTTGGTCTGAGCCAGTCGCCGTCAGGGTCGCGGGACCCTAGTCCCCAGTATGAGGATGCGTCCGAGAGTCCCACCAAGGGAAAGACAGACGAAGATGCCGAGTCAGGCGATGTCACAGTTGCGGCCAACGTGCCCCTGCCTATGGGCCCAGGTACCCCACAGACAGGACGATCCCCCAGCCCCCAACCTTTGCAGAAGCCCGGTGCCACTCGCAATAGCCCTAACGGTCCTGAGGACGATGGGATGGGGTTTGGCCCCGAGAACTTGAGTAACTGTAGGCATTGCCTGATTGGGGAATATACCCTTCTCTGCATGCACAGAAGCACTGACTTGTTCTTGCAAATGACTTGAAGACATTCGATTTGCCGTGCGCGCCGAAGTTCAACATCGAGAGCCCATTGCTGCCATCTTTGGCTACCTGCGCAACAAGTTTGATCGCATTACTAGTTCCAAGTCCAACACTACCCTTTCCGTTCTCATACTCTTAGTGTCCATTGCGTTTATGCGCGCATTGCTTCTTCCTGGTCTACCCCAGTCAATCCCGGATCTGGTAAAGCTTTCTGGCTTTGCGCGCTCTTTTGAACCATTGATATACTATTCGGAAAATGGTGTGCAACAGATTGGAACCCTGCAAGAAACAGGAGTGGCTGTCTGGGACCTGAGCGAGTCGGTGCGCGGGACCAACATGACCAGCGCGCCTATCATCGTACGCCAGCTTGATGAGCTTTCCGACTCACTGAAGTCCCTATCTCTCGAGTTGACACGATTCTTCGCCAATGTCGACTCGGACATCGACTCCATTCTGATCGTGATGGACTGGGCCAAGCGCGAATTGGAAACCTTATCCGCGCAACCCCCTAGTTCCCTCCCCACCATTGTCTTCGACAATATGCACAATATGCTGTCGCGCCTCGGCGCATTGGAGCGCACAGCCGAAGTGGAAGGTGGCATTGCCACCGCTGCAACCACAACTACTCTCGGACACCTGGTGATGGCCGTGCTCGGGCCAACATCAGCACAACGTACCCGCGCTACTCTGACGCGAACATTCACCGAGTTCCTTTCTGTGCTCGAAGAATCCATCAATAGTGAACTCACCCACTCAACGGCTCTGTTTGCCCTCTTTGAATCAATTGACCGCCAGTTCCTTAACCTGCAACGTACAGTGGTGCGTGAATCAGATGCTCAAGAACGCGCCGAGGGGGAAATGCTCAGCTCTCTCTGGACTCGTGTGCTGGGTCCTGATGCCGCTGCCGTTCGCAAGTATGAGAAGAACAAGAAACTACTCGCCAACGTGCGCAGCCGAACTGTCGCAAACAAGCACCTTCTCGTTGACCACCGTGGCCGGTTACTCACGCTGAAAGTTAATCTGGAGACTTTACGCCGCAAACTCGTGAGCCCTCTTGTGCGCCGCAACGATTCAGTCAGCTTCATGGGCGTAGACGGTAGCGCGGGGTCTGGAAGCTTTGGCGCAGCCGGACGAATGCTCGGCCCCGTCGAGGCCGTCATCGACGGCCAAATTAAAGGTCTAGAAGGAACATACGATTACCTTCGATCCGTTCGCGAACGGCAAAAGGCCAAATTGATGGAACTGGTCTACGGAGCCGGGCGGAAACCTTCAACGTCAATGTTAGGATTGAATGGGCAGGAGGAGGAAGTATAAGCATCCATGGGAGCAGCTTTCCTTTTGGTTCTGATCCACACACTCTCCTCTATCTGTGATCATCTAGCATTGAATCCGGTGTGGGATTTCCGGCGTTACTCTATCCAAAGGTTCATGGTCCCGCTCGTGGTGTCTCGGCTTATTGGGGATTTCAACGGTCAACCCTAATTACTCTGGCGTTTCCGGTCTCGACTCGTCGGGCCATATTGAGGCGCATGCAAGAGAAAAGGAAATAGGGATAGACACAGGCGGCACATATTTTCAATCTTACCTCGTTTCTTGTTTAGCAATACAATATACGCTCCTTTTTTTTTCAGGTCTTTTGTTTTTGAGTAGATCCGAACACTTGCAGGTGACCAACGACCTCCAACCACATCACTTCAGAGTCCAGACATCTATCCCGAGGTTCGATTTTCAGGTCACATATAATTACCCGGGCGTCTTGCCACTTGCGGGCTGGCCTCGAGTAGGACTCACGCACTCTGCAACTAAGTGGAGACCGCGACCAGATACCATATGATCGTGCCTTGTTCCCATCCGCCAGTCCGCAGCCATTGGGGATGTACGCGTGGAGCCAGAATCATATCAGGCAAAGCCAACCTTTCCATGAGAAGATAAAGAACCTTCATGCTGCCACCCCCCCCCCCCCTTCTTCTAAGGGAGGCTTGTCAGTCCCACCAGCAGAGCCTGTCTTCTCCCCTCGGGGGGAAATTTGTCTAGGGTTTGGCCGATGCCGAATAGATCCCGCAAAGATACCCAATCAAGTGCACATTGCATGCAGAATAATGCACGTCAATACAGATTGAGAAGAGCTAGGCCCAGCGTCGGTCAGCCATGCGTCTACTGGGAAAATCGATTACATGCCTAGGTCGATGCTTTACAGGGCCCAAGCAGGAAAACACAGTCTACTTATATTGTCTAACATCCCGTTTCCCAAAAGGTTTTCAGAGTGTGTCTCAAAATCATCATGTTCGGTCATCACTTCCTTGCGCTAGGACTTATACTTATGCAGACATGGGCTATGCCCAATGTCCTGCGCAAGGTAGGTCAGGGCGATTCGCCTCCTTTGGTCTTACCCACTGCTGCATCAACGTCAAATGCTATCGCGGCTTCCCAGATGGACTATCTTGCGCGGGTTGCTCTGGGTGCTGCGACTGATCACATTGCTCGGCATCAACAAAAAGGATGTACCAAGCAAAATTTACGGGTTCGGAGGAATTGGAGAGCCTTTTCAGATGAAGAAAAGAAAGCCTATATCAAGTCTGTGCGGTGTTTACAGGAATTGCCAGCTAGAACGCCCTGCAACTCTTGTTGCTGGAGCCAAGACAAGATACGATGACTTTGTGGCTACGCATATCAATCAGACATTGGAGATACATTTCACGGTGTGTGACTCCCGATATGTGTAGGCCAAAATTGATAAGCTAATCCCACCCAGGGTACCTTTCTAGCATGGCACCGATACTTCATCTATGGTTTCGAACAAGCTCTCCGCGACGAGTGCGCCTATGCTGGCGACTACCCGTAAGATCCCCATCTCAACAGTCTCCACAGACGACCTTTCTAAAACTCCTCTTTCTCCAGATACTGGGATTGGTCCGCCGATATCGAGCACATAGAACAATCCCCCGTCTTCGACGGCACCGACACCTCAATGTCCGGGAACGGCGTCCACATCGCCAACGAAGCCGACATCCCACTCAAACTAGACTCTTACCCAGCACTTATTGTCCCCGCCGGAACAGGTGGCGGCTGCGTAACCAGCGGTCCTTTCAAAGACTACACAGTCAATCTAGGTCCGGCAGCTCTAGTTCTCCCTGGTGGAAACGTGACCGGTGTTGCAAACCCATTCAACTATAACCCGCGCTGTCTGAAATGAGATCTCACATCCACCATTCTACAGCGATACAACAACTACACCGCTGTCGCGAACCTGATTCTTCAGAACCACGATATCTGGGACTTTGAAATGACCATGCAAGGTGTTCCCGGATCGGGCTCTTTAGGCGTGCACGGCGGTGGACACTATTCCATGGGTGGAGATCCCGGAAGAGATGTCTACGTTAGCCCTGGTGATCCTGCGTTCTGGCATCATCATGGAATGATCGATCGGGTATGGTGGATTTGGCAGAATCTAGATGTGGAGAATAGGTTGAATGCTATCTCTGGGACGGGGACTTTTTTGAATCAGCCGCCGTTGGCGAATACGACGTTGGAGACTTTTGTTGATCTTGGATTTGCGAATGGGGCTCCTGTTCAGATGAAGGAAATCATGAGTACTACTGCTGGGCCATTTTGTTATGTTTATGTTTGAGATGGCAGTTGGGAGATGGGGGTGAGTTCGTGTCTATTGTTAGGCATTCGGTCTGTTATGTAGCGGATGACATGCAGTGTATACGGATGGCTGTCATTATTGTATAGAGCCGGATACAAGGACTGACTAGAAATCATGGGATCTTGAATCTATCGCTTCCCAGGTTTTGTATGTGCCAAGAACAGGATTCGATTGTTTCTTTTTCTTCATTCCGTCATTTCATTGCTAAGAGCCGAAAAGTGATGCGGAAGGAAATGTGGGGTGCGGTATGTGATTTCTTTCCTACAGTCATGGTGAAATGTCATCAAGGGCCGAGACGAGAAATACAACAATATTCCTGCTTATTTGAACACGCCGTTGCCACCGCATAGACCGTGTAGATCTATTCCTGGGTCTATAGTAAACTCTCATATAGCATCCCGCAGGGTGGCTGAACCTTGTAAACGCTCGTTCCTCTTATGACGTGTGATAAGCGCGCCTTGTAAGATTACTTGAATGGGTGAGAGATGAATTTAGGCGTGTGTTCTTCGGACCATTTCAGCTCATATCTCGACATACAGTGAACAGATCGCTACCAACGGCCCATTTACTTCGCGCTATGCATTCTTCAGTCGAAAAGCACCACTGCACTATTCTTTACGAGATTTGGGCCCAGGACTGCAGCCAGCTCGGCAATGATCCCTTTCAGTGATTGTGGGTTGTTTATGGGCATGTCTTCCCAGCCGACCAGATCCTGGATAAAGTCAGTACGGTTACTAAGAGAGAGAGAGAGATGAGATTGTGATCTGACAATCATATTCACGAAAGTTCCGTGGTAGAGGAGGTGCCAGTGATCCAGGTCCAAGGCTTTCACCTCGTCCATAGTCAAGACACCCGGCATATGAAGGTCGAAGAGGGAAAGCTCTTCCTCATTGACATCGCTGTCGATTGACTGGCTCGGACTCGAATCCTCGACTTTGGAGGATCGGTCTCGTGACAGAGACACGTAGGAACGCTTACTGAGCTTCTCCGTAAGCTCGCCGGCCAACGGATCCCATCCGTATGTCTCGGGGTCTGCAGCAGACTCGTTAGAATAATAATTGACAGGAAAGATCGAATCAATGGTATAGCTCACCAAGGATATACTGGGGTCTGAAATCGCCCTTATAGCGCATCTTTACGCAACTGTGAATATAGTATCCTGCAGTCTATTGTTAGCAGGGCACATGTCATGGAGCGTTCGTAAATTACCCATATAGTAATAAGGATAGTCATTCTCGATGCAAAAGGCAATTTCTCGCATGGCACTGAGCTTGCCAAATTGCCAGTGCTCGTAGTCCGGATCATAGCTATCATTTGTTAGCAATGCACCAAGACAATTTAAAATAAAAAGGTACCCACAAGACATATACTGAGCTTACGCCACCGGGAACCAAGTCCAGGACTGCAACAGCGATCAACTTGCCGTCAAGGCGGTAGCACTGATGCCATGACCCGAGCTTTTTCTCGTCTGCATTGGCCTTGGTGGGTTTGGCAGGAGTTCGCTTGATGCCAGCGCACAGGAAGCGTTCAAAATCCTTAGTCTTCCAGCGGGAGACGTCCTCACGATGGACTTTGGTCTGATACTTGGAGAAAAGCTCAAACTTCGTCTGCGAAACCGAGTCTCCTTCGATGTTAACCTCGAAGCGATGCGCCGGCTCCAGTGGTCTTTTCGTTTCAGGGTCAACTGGCCGCTTAACGTTGCAATACTCCGTTTCATGAACAGCAGACAGTAGGTCGAAATTGCACTTTCGGTATTTCTTTTCCCTGGCCAACTTGTCAGCAGTTAATAGCCCATCAGCAGACTGACATACTTACTCTCGAGTACGGGGACATAATCGAGCTGCCTTGCGCATATACTCTGGACCCAGTACAAATTTGTTCCAGGCGTTGATTGCCTTGCGTTGGTCACGGCGAGGTTGGTAAGCCGAAGCCTCCAGTCTCAGCGTGTAGTGAGGACAGCATGACCGCTGCAAGTTCTGCTTATAGTATAGCGAGCCGGATCTGTATGCAAAGCACAATTAGGCACCTGCATGCTAAGACAGGGGTAGATCGGCGATCAATACCGTCTCCAACCCCGATCAATGAGCTCCCCATAGTGCTCGGGGCGCACGGCCACCGAGCTGGCGTAGTAGGATGCACCTACAAATGACGTGTCAGGAATATCGCATAAAGAGAGAGAGAGAGAGAGAGAGAGAGTTAGAATGACATACTTCCATCGTCTGATTTACAGTAACCGCAGGAGTTCCGTTGGTAGCCTGCCCGTGAATGGTTAATATTTACCTAGTGGGAGGGGAAAACCGACAGAGCTGCAGGAGATTGACGAGTTACCCCGCCAGGGTTGCCCAGCTCGCAGCCACCAGGGCCAGTGGACGCCCCACGAGGACGCAGCAGCCGGTCTCAGTGGCCCGTCATCGGGGTCAAGTGGGACGTTACCTAGTGGCCGGAAGAGCGACAGCTGTCGCGCGCGTTCGGCGTCAACCGGTTCCATTTTGGCCCTCCAAAATTGAGGGTTCCGGGTTGGTTGGCGGTCCCGGCGGGAGTGAAAAACTAGGATGTGAGATGCAGGCAAATACAAAGCAAAGTGGACCGGGGCGACAATGAAAGGGACATGTGTCGAAAGATGAAGGGGAGGGGGGAGAGTAAGAAGAAAGGAGAAATGTAGAAGTGGCGGGGGGGTTGTTGGTAATTATACTACATCTGTATACAAGGAGGCTCTTCGTGACCACATATCGACACGACGCTGGAGGCCTACGAAAAGAAAAAAAAGTACCGGTAGTCCACTCCTCTATCGCTAGCTATCTCTATCCTGGATGCTTTTCTTAGGTTCGATCACCTGCCCGCTTACCAAATTGGACATCCATCGCTCCGACTTTCCTCTCGGTACCAATGTTCGGGGCCGGGGCTATACATAGTAAGGTCTAGACAGTACGGGTCAAGTACGGGTCAATTGCGGTCTCCCCTACCCGAAACACATAATTAAGGTATCTCTAATTGAATCCAACCGTAGTGTAAAGTACCTGTACGGTTTAGTCAGTTGCCTTCGCCGGACTGCGCCGCCGGTTCACTCTGCCCCTCCAAGCCCACTCTCCCCTTCAACTGCCTCATTAACTCATTTCCCTTCTATTTTCCCACCATGTCTCTTATCAATACCCTTCGTTTTCCCACGGGAATGAATGGAGATACCTAATTCACCCTCTTCTGCGTGATCATCTCTGCGTTGTTCCCTGGGAAGAAAATTTCCCTCCGACCGCCCGCCTGAAAACCGTTGTACACCGGAAGCGACAGCTTTCAACCTCTCCACCCCCCAACTCCCCCCCTTTCAAGGGCTCCCTGGGAGTTTGAGCTGAGAGCTTTCTTCTCTTGGACCGTCATTTTTTTTCCTTTCTCTTTACCTCCAATTCCCGCTTTCCGTCGGTCCCTCCACATTCTTTTTTTTTTCGTTTCGCCTCTCCAGTGTACTAGGAATCTCGGTAACTTGAACGGATCGGGAATTAGTGTGCATGACAATGGCACAGAACCGGACCATGGAGGCTCGCGTCGGGCGCAAGAACCAACGTAAGTCCCATTTTGCGCACGTGGGGAGGCGATCAATCTGGTCATGACTGATCCCGGACTTCCCTGGCAGGTTACGGTTCGAAAGGAGAGCGCCTGGTGGCTGGAGTCGTCCCGCTGTCCGCCGACAAGACCAAAGTCCTTATGATTCAGTCCGCGGGCCCCGGTGGTTGGGTCTTGCCCAAGGGAGGATGGGAAACCGACGAACAAACCGCTCAGCAGGCTGCATGTCGTGAGGCCTGGGAGGAAGCCGGCGTCATCTGCACCGTGTTGCGAGATCTGGGGTTGATCCCCGATATGCGCCCCTCCACCCTCCTCACCGCGCACACTCCTAAGGCATCCTACCAATTCTTCGAGGTCAGCGTCGAGCGCGAAGAATCCGAATGGCCCGAGATGCACAAAAGGAAACGCCAGTGGGTGAGCTATTCTCAGGCTGCGACTGCGTTGGCCAATCGCCCTGAGCTGCTGGAAGCTTTGAATCGCAGCTCGCTTAAGCGGTAGTCACCGCTCGTACATACTGTGACAATAGGCTTCGTATGCACGAAAGCCCCGGGTGTTGCTCCTCACCTGCTCACCCGTTTCATGACTTGACACGACCCCAGAAAAAAAAGAGATCGGTGGCTTTCTTCCTTTCTTGATTTTCTCGAATTCCTGAACCTTCTCAACTTCCGACTTTTCCCCTGTTCCCAATATCTTCCATTTTTGCATGACATACGTCTCTGCGGTCGGGCTGCTGTATTACCCGTCCTTCTTCTGGCGCACGATATCGGTTCTTTGCTTTCTCGCCTCTATCCTTATAGACGCCCTGCGCAGGCTCTGATCAGGGTTTCAACCGGTCAGGAGGGCCTGTTATATCAACTGGTCAGATCTTATGGAGGCTTCTTGCTTACTCTATCTCTATGGAAAGGGAAGACGAGTTTGACTTGGAAATGGACTGAGGATCATCACAGTCCTCGCTAGCAGTTGAATTTGATTCTGAACCACGCCCGGAATTTTCAAAATAAATAGCAGTCAATTTGTAGTTACGAAACATTCCTGTCTTAAATGAGCATCGGCATTTAATGGCCGTGACGTTGAATTTTGTGCGAATCGGCGGCTCAGGGTAGTGTCCCAATTAGGGAAAGTGCCAAGACACCTCCGAACATGCGAAGTCCAGCAAATCATTCGCTTGCCTCAACCTCAACTTTCTCCATCTCCTTCGACCTCATAGCCCCCTCCTCTTTGCGTGAATATCTGTCTGGAGCTTTCATTCCTTTGACATTCAGCAGTCACACGCGCACTTTCGGAGATTCGGCTCGCGGCGACAAGCGTTGGCGCAAGATGGATTACGAGATGGACCTTGAGCCCCAAGGGCCGCAGGTGACTGTTCGCGAAGTAAGTTGACGATGCTCTTGTGGCTATCAAAGCACATGATTGTTGACTCGCACCACGCAGGTCGAGCCTTATCGCGTCGACTTCAAACTTTCCTCATGCGACTTGGCATTTGCAAACTCCCTACGTCGAGCCATCCTCGCCGAAGTCAACACCGTCGCCCTGGATTTGGTTGAAATCGAGAGCAACACGTCGGTACTCCCCGACGAGATGCTTGCCCACCGACTGGGCATGATACCTCTGAACTCGAAGAACTGTGAATCTGATTTAGAATATACGCGTGAATGTGATTGCGAGGACCATTGTGTGCGCTGCAGTGTGACACTTTCTCTGCACACCAGGTGCAGCAGCGGCATTATGCCTGTCTACGCGCGTGATCTCATCGTCCAGGGCGAACGGATGAATGACACAATCGGCGATCCTGTCATCACGGACAAGGAGGGCAAGGGAGCTCTCATCTGCAAGCTGCGGAAGGGCCAGGAGATCAAGCTCACCTGCTTGGCTAAGCGGGGTACCGCTAAGGAGCACGCAAAGTGGGCACCTACCGCTGCTGTAGGATTCGAATACGACCCCCACAACAACTTGCGCCACGTAGACTACTGGTATGAACAGGACGCCAAGAGTGAATGGTAAGTACTCTTTTCGATCGACTGAAGAATCGTACTGATCCTGGACCACAGGCCTATCTCCGCCAATGCGCAGTGGGAACCCGCCGCAAACCCCGATATGCCCTTTGACTACGATGCCGAGCCGAACATCTTTTACATTGACGTCGAGAGCATCGGAAACCTCGAGCCCGATGTCATTATCCAGCAGGGCATTAACATCCTCATGAAGAAGCTCGCCACCACCATCTCCGAACTCTCGGGCGAGGGTGCGCACGGTCATGAAGATGCGGAGATGCTGGGCGCTGGAGATCCGGACGCCTACGAGCCTCCAGAGGGCGTTGACGGCAACCTGACCTCATACGGAAATGGTGGTGCTGGTGCATGGGGAGCCAGTGCCCAGACTCCCTACGGTGCTACGCCGTATGGACAGAGCGCCTACGGGTTCTAAGCGGACCAAAGGGGGATAAAAACATCTAAGACAGACTCTTGCATGCAGATTGGAGTTCTTTTTCATTTCTTTCAGTTTGTGCTTTTTTTTTTGGGCGGCTGGCGGCGCATTGGAGTTCCGTGATCTTACGCCGAGGCGGACGATACTGAGATCCCGCTTGTTCATAAATCTCATCACCTTGAAAAAAAAGCTTACTGATCTACCTACACTTGCAATCGGAATCAATGTTATCAACGTACTCTTCTTTTGGAGTCATTCTCGTCAATGGCAGGTAGTCTTCTGCGACTCCAGGCAGTACCATGTAATGTATCTGACTTGTATGCTTCCGAGTCAGATTGATCTGGCTCTTAATTACCTCTAACCCACCCGACGAGCCTAACTTTGCAGTAGTTTCGCTTTTTGAACCTTGCGTATCCACTTCGTACCGACGGGATACATCGGCCCTATTCCTTTTTAACTTCATGCAAGCTTCATTGTCTGAAAATTGCTATTGTTGTCTCTTCTAATGGATCGAATGAATGTAAGTAGACGCCAAGATATGCTGTTCAACAATACCACACGTCAATCTTTGCGGACGAATTGATCAAGAACGAGTGTCCTGGACCCCAGTACCTCAAGGAAATGGGATGCTTGTCTCCTTTGCGATCAAGAATTCTCAAGGTACAGCAAAGCTTAGTTCAAGCGAGTACACAAGGCACGAAGATGTCAAACTAACTCCTTCCAGGCCGAGCTATAAGGTCATCCTCAAGTATCAAAGCACTTAATAGGACCAAGTTCTCCACGATATCAATATGCCGCTTCACTGCAGCAATCAGAGCATCATTGTCTCTGAAGTAACCATCCATCTCCATTGAAAGGGCCGACGCGGGAGGTCCACCCTATCCGGATATTTAACAGTGATCAGTCCACCAGGCCTGCTCAGCGTATCAAAATATCCATAGGATTCCTTTGAAAAAAGTAAGAAAAAATCATCCGGATCCTGTATAAAAAGGTAGTTGAAATCCGATCCGATCCAGTGTGCTTTTACTTTGGGACGTGTCGATCTTTGGGCCCGGTAAGCTTTTTGTCTACATTGAAAAGCTGACTCAGAGTATAAAGTCTATTCAGCGGGTGTCGATTTCTGAGAAGTGTGGCTGCGAACTAGGATGCCTTAGATTTGCGGCAATAATAGCTCTGGACTGATATCAAAGCCTCTGGGTCTTCATTTTGGGTAATTGGCGGGGTTGCAGTGTGTGCATCAGCGAAGCTGACGGGGTAGATTATGCCTTTTGGACATTCTTGATGAACCTGATTTCCATACGACTTTGCTGGCGCACCGCCTGTCTTGGGCGACCTTTGTCAGAGTGCTGATGAATCTCATGGAATATGAATTGAATAACAACTAAGCTTGATTTCAAGTCCCTGATTGAGTTGATTTATTGGACTATATGCGTATTCGAACCTCGGAAAGATTGATACTGAGTCTTTGTGAATGATGGACTTTGAGACGCTACTATATGTGCCCAGACAAAGAATCTTGACGAGACAACCTCTTATAGTTAGACACATGAAAGAGTCTGAACACCTCTTCAAGAACTCTTCGTATCCCACCTTACCCAAGGAATATCTCAATCTTCATACTGTAATTAAAAAGTATAAGCGAGATAAACGACAATTCTTAATCTGATCCTCGGCATTAACTGTCTCAAGTCCCATAGCCACGTCTTTAACCTCCCATCGCACCTTCCATGCCAGAACTCACTCATATCCAACACACACTTCACCTCCAAACATGACCTTACTTTCACATCTTCACATCCGCCATGGCACCCCCAAGCCACGAAGCCAATCCTCCATTCATCCATCAACGCGACAAACTATTCACCCAGCTCAACGAACAAAGCCTCCTCCTCAAAAAATGCCCAGAAGAATACCTCGTTATCGCCGCCACCCTGACTGACCTCGCACAGCAAATCGTATCCTTCAAGCTCGACGCAAACTCCCCTCTCTGCTTCAGCGCAAAGTGCAATGCCCTCACCACTACACTGCTATGCCATAGCGACGTCTTGAAGTCCCACCCAAGTCGACATGTCGCGATTGCTGCGTCGATCGATCTCATGCAGTTGCAGCTCGGTCGACTCACCATGAAGGCTGATGGGGATGATGAGTTCGCAATGAAGATGGATGCGCTGGCGAGTCGGATGCAGACATCCTGGATGCCGAGTGATGGGATCGATGGGAGGGAAGTGGGCGTTCAGGAGCATTTGCATCGTGTTTGGTGGGAGCTGAATCTCAAGGTAGCGGATTGTGAATGTGCGGATTGTGTCAGGGAGGACAAGAGGTTAGTTGCGAAGCTGGAGGTTGATGGTTTCTGTTAATTGAGTAATTCTGTTTCTAGCTTGCATTCGCTGAGGGACTCTTGAATTGCGATGTGCTGCGTTCATTTTTATACGAGGTCTCGCGGGTCTAATACTACGGGTTTCATTGCCTCTGTCGCCTCTGGAAGGGCCAGGCCTAGGCTTGTTGATTGCTGGGAGATGTTGAACTGACCATGGGGTTGTTCATATGGGAAGACGGGACTCGACACGTGGATGAAAAGAGTGATCAAGCGAACCACTTGAAAGCTCTGGAGTGGACTTGAGCTAGGTAATGCTACGAATAATACGACATGAGAAAGAAGCAGTGCGTAGAGTATAGTAGAATATTATTATCAATAGGGACTCTTTTCAAGCCGACAAAGTCAACATGTAGACCGCATCGAAAATGCAAAACAAAAGAAAACCAATCCCAACGCCAAAGAAGAGCACCACATTGGATGATCTATGCAAAACCGTCGCTAAAATTGCACAAGAACAATGCACCTTCAAAAGCAATGAATTTACTCCATCAGCTCAACCGGAGGCCGCGCCGTCTTAGGCGGCATCTTTTTCAACGACATCTCAGCGGGACTCAAGTCCAGATCCATATCGACATCCTCATCCTCGACATCCGGCAGACTGACATCCTCAACCATAACAGCCGGTAGGTTAGGGCTGTGGCCGTGGTCTTCCGGATTGAAATAGGATAGTGCTGCTGCGGGAGCGTTGGTGGGAGCCCGCAAGCGGCCAGCTGCTGGTACGATTATCGGAGGAGATAGACACCGGCGTAGCGGGATCAACGGGCGCAGGCTCGACGTGATCGGTCTTGAGCTTAGCAAGAGCGGTGGCCAGATCACTAGCGTGTACTTCCTTATTAGGTGGGTCCTCGTTGCGCATAGTCCAGCCGTGGGGGGGGACTAGGTGGCGGGGAGATGAAGAAGAGCTTATCGAGTTGCGGAGCCTCAAGGAGGCGCTTTGGACGGTGCAGTTCCTCTTCGCTGAGAATGGGCGTGGGTTCGCCGAAGTAAATCCGGGGCCGCACGTTGCGGTTCAGGAGTCTGGTGCCTTCAAGATGCTTGCGGACGGCGATGGCGTCGGCGTCGGAATGGAATGAGCAGACGATGCGCCGGAAGGACGGAAGCGGTGAAAATGAGTTCAGACGAGCAATCACGGTGATCTGGGCGCGGATCGCATCAAGCGAGGACGGCTGGAAGACGAAGAGGTCGTTGAGATCAGTGATCAAGAGAGTGTTTGATGGTGGTGATGGCTGCGACAGCGCGGGGATGTTGGATAGGTCGATGGAGAGCGAGGGCCGCGATGAGGAGCGGCCGTGGAAGGAAGGGGAAGAGGGCAGAGAGCGAGGAGGAGAAGCGGATTCAGCCATGATGGTTCAGGTGAGTTGGTATAGCGATTGCTTTGATGGTGAGAGAGAGTCGCGGAGGATAAGAGAATGATAAAGGGGGATTTGCCACCGGATAAGGTAGAAGGGTCTAGACGCGTGGAGGCAATTCCGGGTTTCCAATCTTGATTTTCAAAGAGATAATGGGAGATGATTGGAGGTGAGTTGGAAGAGAGCGGAAGACCGGAGCTACTATTTAAATCAGGACCTGATTCTGCCATCAAACTCTGAAGGGGCGCAGCGGATAGCATCATCCTCGCTGACACGGCCATCTCTGCACAGCCGTCGCCCGATTGGGAATGGCTTTGTGTTTCTGGGGATCCACTTGCTCCTCCATGCGCCACCGCTAAATCGCAAACAGGGCGATACCAATTCTACCAGTTCAGTAGTACCTGCATCAGCCACATGTACGCCACATCTTCACTCAAGTGTCGACTCCACACTCCCGAGTTGCGCCTCCGCTCCGCCTCACCCTGCAAAGGACACCTAGCGACCATGTGACTCCTTTGTAATTCGTCTGCCTTGGTTCACAGGGCTTGGCCGCACTCCGCCCTGACAATGTCACCTCGGCATACCTGAGCCTTCCTCTTGCGGAGATGGTTCGTCGGTTTCGGAAGTCTGCGGCACGGAGACCTTAAGTCCTACTGCAAGGCAGCTCTATTCCATGCTTATTTACTTTTACTTTTTTTTTCTTTATCTTCATTTGGCTAGAAGGTGAAGGCCGCCTGCATTCGATTCATTATAGCCCTCATTGATGGTCACAGTGGCGCAATGGTCTCAGATGCATGGGGTCGGCTCGGATAGACATACGCTTCTACCCGGATGTTCGCCTGCATTGAAGGTGAGGTGTACACTGTGTTTTCAATGAGGAACACGTCTAGAGTACCAAATTTAAAATACCTAGGCGGTAGACCCCGGGATTGGCCCATGCGGGAGTCGTTTACAGAGAGATTGCGGTCGGTGTCAAAATCAGTACTAGATAACTGAACAGCTTGCGACATTGGCTTCGGGCACCAACGTTGCAAGTCCCATACAAGTCCACAAGGCTAAGGCCTGGAAAATTTCAAGTCTCGCGGTTGTCTTGCATGGAGCTATGGAGTTATCGAGGATTTGCTTCTCCACGGGTGAAGCGCTCGGTCGCCGGCCATCAAAGTGATGGTCGTGGCTGGGTTTGTACCGGCTATAAACGCATGCATTGCTGTTGTTCCTCTAGATTGGGGGACGATGGGATCGTTCTTTGGGGTCCAGGACGAGCTGTTCTTGGGCAAAAAAAGAGTTCATTGATTCATGGAAGGGATATGAGTGCGAAGTCTTCAAGTCTTTGGGCTTTCCTTGGGACGTGTCTGGAAATTTCTAGATCCTCGAGAATAGGGAAGACTCGCGGCTGTAAGAAAACATTCCCCAATCAGGAAAAGATTGTTCATGGACCCCAAGGCAGATACTTTTTTATGATCAATTCCGACCGTTGTGTTGGACAGATTGTGGCGTCTCAGTAACTAGAAAACTTGATCAATCAATAAACAACCCCCCAGAAGCAATAATATGCGCCCCATTCACCCACCGCGCCCGCTCCTCGCACAGAAATGCAACCGCGTAGGCAATTTCCTCCGGCTGTCCCATCCTCGGCCCAACAGGAGTCTGATCAATAATCGGCTGAAGGATCTTCATCTGCTCCTCGCCAGCAGCAGCGAAGCCTTCTGTCAGAGTCGGACCAGGACTCACGGCATTGACAGTGCATCCGTATTTCGGAGGAAGTTCCTTGGCCCTGAATCCTGGTTTAACACTGAACTGCAATATGGCAGAAGAAAACTTACCAGCACTTGGTGAAGGAATCCACCATACCCTTCGTGCCAGCATAAATAGTCTGATTCGGCGGAGGACCTCGAGCTGAAATACTCGCAATGTTCACAATACGTCCGCTTCCTTTGGTTAGATGTGGTAGACAGGCTTTTGTCAAGAGGAATGTTCCGCGGCCATTTATGTTCACAAGCAGATCCCAGTCGTCGAGAGTTTGTTCCTCCAATGGCTTGTTGACGGCCAAGGCGACGCAGTTGATGACGATGTCAATACGATTCCACTTTGTCAACGCTGCGTCAACGAGCTTTTGTGGAGCTTCTATCTTGGACATGTCGCCCTCTACGGCGATGGATGGGGACTGTAGAGATGCGATGACCTTATTTGCTTCCGGTTGAAGCTCGGGAAATGGGTAGTTGACCACCGTGTTTGCGCCGCGAGAGGATAACTCTCGCACGATGGCGGCGCCTATACCGGAGCAAGAGCCGCTGACGATTGCGACTTTTCCGGATAGTGTTTGTTCTGTCATTATGAATTGTAGAATTCTAGATTCGGTTTTGAATGAGATGGTCCAGGGTATTGATGTAGCGCGCACACAGCTAGAGATACTTTTTGATTTGATGGAGTAGAGCTGAAGGCAATATGGGAAACGTGATGTTGAATATTGAAAGCAGCTGATAAAATTATTGACTATCTTATGAGCTTCGTAAATTGGGTCGGAGACAAGTTTTCACATCGTCGATCCCCACATCCCGATTGTCGACATTGCGCATCTCGGACGTCTCTTCCGCACCCGGCTCTAGCAACACGGATATTTACAGCATGAAGTGCCCTCGTCAAGCGGGGAAATGACCTGTGAAACATTCTGATGAATGTGAACTTGAGAATCTGTCATGTCAACGGGGTCCTAAAATCTGCTTCAGGAGCCATATCGGCAAGTGGACCACGAGGAGATCTTTAAACAGCGAGAGTACATCAGCCCAGGCTCCTTCCCCGCACTTGATGATCTTAATTACGCCCCATGAGAAGAAGCCCCGAGAAATGAATCTTCGCATTCAGGAACATCCCTTGGGCGTTATTAAGGAAGTTCGTTTCGAAAAAATAATGGACAGGCCGTCCCTAGGCCTCGCGAAGACAATCACAAACGCCATGAATGTGCCTGTCTCGAAATTCAAATCATGCTAGCGTCAAGAATATTGGGAGAAACATCATAGCCTTGGCGCTCAACACATTGGTGCTCTCCCAGCCGGAGTAAGTGATCTTGGGAGCTCTTCAAATCTTGAGTGTTATGCAAAATGCAGAGTTTGCGCAGATGCATATGCAATTCTTTCAATTTGCATTAACGAGTTATTCAAAATACGACTTACATATTCCTTGTGCAATGCCGGCTTCTGCTTTACATTACCGGGCCCATGATTGGTGCAGGAAATGGATCTCGCCGACGCAATAGTCCCATTTCTTTGAGAAGAACTAGCCCTAGGATTGCTCCCGCAAGGTATGGGATCTAGGCGTTGGGTGATTACCAATTCGAGGCCCACTCAGGTACTGAGATGAGCGAGTCTCTCATTCTTGAGCGAAAAGGAAAATAAGAAGGAAAGGGAAAAAGAGAGGCATCATCAGCAGAGAAAAAGTCTAGCTACGTCCCCGCTCCCATCTCTTCTCCAATGGCACGTCTGGTAGATTTGGCAGTCGTGTTTGGGTCCTCATATACTCTCAGTCTCGGCAACGCGGAGAACTTGGAAGATATCGTTTCAACGGAGGTCGGGAATAGCAGAATGAGACCGATGCATTTGCCAAGGAGTCAACACGGGAGGAAAAAAAGTCCTTGAAAAGTCCGAAGAACAGGGACCGATCTAGACATCAAAGCTGTTTAGCTCCGAGCCCTAGCATCGGTCCTAGCAATGAAGGCCACCAATCACAGGTTGGTGGAGCGTCGATCAAAAACAACATCCAATCACAGCGATGGTAATGGTCAGCAGTTTAACATTATCCAATTGGAACCACTCGATTTGTGAGATTTTGAGACTTTAGGCATGCATCACTGGAGCACGGAGCGCGTTGAGCGGTGTTTGGCATTTGCTCATCGCTGACCGTTGCTGACTTTTAGAAGCCCTTTGATTGGTGCCGGGCCACGCCTTAACGAATGCATCGCTGGGTTTTCGCTCATTGACTTCGCTAACTGATGGGGCGCACTGCTGGTCTAGCTGCTTGCTGGCGGAGACTTGTGGTGGTGGATAGAGTTATAAGGGGGCAGCGATGTTTCCTGGAGTTCAGGATTTCAAAAAGATTTTCACTGATCGTCATTTCGCTTTTATTCTCTTCTAACGGCAGTCTCACAACTCTTTGACATACTTTTGCTACCTTACTCTCTCAAACGGGTTCCTCTTCGTGATCGCTCAGATTGGCCTGGACGCCCCTGGTCTTCTTTTGCCATTCGATCTTTTATCTACTCGTATAAAAAGGAAAACGTCGTGGCGTCAGTTGGGCTTGCCACTGCACAAACCCTCCCGAGACCGTAGCCTGCATATCATCGAGAGCCATGGCCCTTCTCTTTTTCAAGAAGAAGCTGTTTCCATCTCAGGAATCAAACCTATCGAGTAAGTAGCAAGAACAAAAACCTAGACTAAAGCAGATACTAATCTCAAGACAGGCAAGCCTCTTCTAGCTCGCATCGACGACGACGATACTATCCGCGGCGACTTGGAACCCGACCTTGAGTCCCAGACCGGTCAATCCTACAATACCTTCAGACGCTGCAACAGCAATGACGGATCGACGGTCGGAAGCATCAGTAGCGGCAACAGCACACGAGCACGCATCAACCCGCGGATCATCTCAGATGCCATTCTCGGGTTATCAGATGGATTGACAGTCCCCTTTGCCCTGAGCGCGGGTCTCTCCGCTCTAGGAAACACCAAGGTGGTCGTGCTGGGTGGGTTGGCTGAATTGGCAGCCGGTGCCATCTCCATGGGTCTGGGTGGATACGTCGGAGCAAAGAGTGAAGCGTGAGTTCCCTCGGGCTCCATCCCATCGCCTCGAAGAAAACCTCTAACCCGAAATGACAGTGAATCATACGAAGCCACAGTCCGTGAAACACAAGCATTGATAGACAGCGACTCGCAAGAAACACAAGATATGGTGCGTGAGACATTCGCGCCTTATGGACTCTCCAGCACCGCCATCGAGGATATTACCCGCGACCTGCACGCCTCGCATGAGCGATTGTTGGAGTTCCTGTTGACCTTCCATCACCGCGAGTCTGCGCCCGACTGTAACCAGGCTTGGATCTCAGCTGTGACACTTGCCATGGGTTACTTCGTCGGTGGCTTCATCCCGCTCATTCCCTACTTCTTTGTATCTCAGGTCATCACCGCCCTGTACTGGAGTATCGGCGTGATGGGAGTCACCTTGTTCGCATTTGGTTATATTAAAACCTGCATTGTGCGTGGGTGGCATGGTCGGGATAACATCACTGCCGGTATATGGGGTGGTGTACAAATGTGCTTCGTGGGAGGTATTGCTGCCGGTGCTGCGATTGGCCTCGTCCACCTGATTGACACCGGCGGTGCCAAGTAGATGGGAGTTCACCCGTATGGTTCATTCTGTGTTTGCATTTCCTGCGCAAAAAAAGCATTGGCGTCTCGGCTTTCTCTACTCATAATGATCGGACGATCTCATATACTGGCGTCTATTAGCGATCTCCCTTGCACTGGCAAGATGGATACATCAATGCATTCAAAATTCATGTATCATCCTAACATACCTCCCATTCAATTCTGCATCTCAAACCAAAATCCTCGATGTGATGTGTATAATAAGTATGTTTTTCCAAAGTTCTGGAATTTAACCCGCCAAAGCCCTCGTCACCAAAGCCGTAGCCCTCTCCGACATATTCAATTTCAACGCCTCCGCATGCCCCGCCTCCGACATCTTCCCCCACGTCTTCCTCAAGATATCCACCATCTTCTCCTCATCTCCAAGCTCCTTCTCAAACTTGTCAAACTGATCATCCAGAAAAACCAAACACGCCACATCCTCCAGCGTCTGCGTATCCGGATCTCCTTTCTTCAAATCCGCTTTGCGCACCATTGCACCCACCTGCGCCGCCTCCTCCGCGCTGTACCCGCTCTCAAAGCAAATCTTCTCGACGAGCTCCGCTTGTCTCTTCTGTAGCCCAGAGCGCCAGGAGTGATACCCGATTTTAGTCGCGGGATACGAGCTGCGGGGGACTTCCCAGCGGCGGAGATGCTGGGCACGGATCGCGAGACGGAGGAGGTCGGAGGCGTTTGGATTGATGCGGTCGAGGTAGAAGGTCATTTTTTGGGCGTAGTGCAGTTCGTAGGGCATTGTGGCGTTGTTGACTTCGATTTGGTTGGGGTCTTCACGGTGCGCGGAGTCGATGCGCTCTAGCGCAACAGAGTATTTTGACATGATGATGGAAGAGGCGAGGAAGTGGATGTATTATGATTTGTCTTTCGCTATTGATGCTGAGGGGGTGAGACTGGAGGGTTGTTTACTGAAGAAAGACATCTGGTGAGTCGGGAATATGTTCAAATCCGATAAGATGAGGCGGGGTTGTAACAGTACGTCCCTGATTGGTTCTTACGAGAACTATAAGTTGTATTCTTTCCACGAGCTCGAACAGAGTCTGGCCTTCAGAGTAATCGATGCTGGACATTTGCTGTGGCTTGTAGATTCCTAGGAACTCGATAATTCCTTGAGCATCTTTCTACATATGTCCGGAGTAAGTACCAGTAGACTGCACGGGTATCGAGCTAGATGAAGTTGGAAGGTTGTTGCCAGTAATGGAAGATGCAAACGTAAAAAGTAAATGTAACGAGCCACTTCTCTCTCCATTCCTCTAAATTCTTGTCATTGAGGCTGCTTGCCGGGAGAAGCCTTGTACAACTTTGAAAATTCGTCTTTCCCTGGCAGATGCTCAATTCACATTGTTTGATTGTGTTGGATATGGATGTCATTTTGTGGTTTGACCGTATGTTATCAAGAAGAGGGAGGGTAAGGGGGTTGATCAATGAACTTTCGCTTCCATTGGTTGATCATATCTTTGCTAAGCATAATACAGGAATTTAGGCAACCACTGATAGATACAGTAGGCAAATTGCCAGGGTTGCCCGTTGCGGCTCTTCCCTCCGCACACAAACGTGAGATAAGGCGAAACGACCCCTAAAATTTTTCATACGGACCTCTGTCTCTCTCCGTCTCCCCCCCCCCCAACCAAAAAACACAACCATCTTCTCCGTTATGATGAACCCGTATAAAGCGGAACCAGAAAACATCCCCGTAACTGATATGTACGCGGATGTGCCCTGTTATGGTCGATACTACCCGAAAGCTAATGACTTTCGCGTTGATTTCTAGTATGTCTACTCCCAGACCATAGAGTCACTGAAATACTGGGCCTCGGTTATTAAATTCTGTACTAAAGAGATCCGAATTTATCCGGCTAATAAAGGCGGCCGCGATATATTCGCTCTAGGTAGCGTGATCGTGAAGTCTAGCTATCTCTACGCATGAGATAGCGCTTAATATACGGAGATTGACTTCTTATACGCTAATTCTAATAAGATTCGGGCAATCGCTCTAGCAAAGACTGTCTTAAAGAACGTTAAGATTCCAGAAATCTACTTTATTCGTAATAATGGTCATGGTAAAACTGCCGCCTCGGGAAGTGATCGGCTCCCGGAGCACAGGGTGAGTTAGTCACCCCGCCGCCCTGAGCTGCTCCCTGATCAACCTGATCGCTCACCCCATTGCTCAGGCTGGTCGGCCCATTCGGTTTCATCTTGCGTCTCTGTCATTTCACATGCTCCGACGATAACCGCACTGCTGCCTACTGGTGTTCCTGGGGGCGAAGGCCAGGAAATGACGTATTTTCACGTTGCTACAGTAACTTTCAACTCACTCTTCAGACTTCCAGTTGGTCGACTCGACTGGTCTTTCAACTTGTGTGAGATTGAACACCTCATCACCTATTCTGTACCATCCACTCTTTCCTTCATAATGCAGGCTCTATCCCGCCGTCCATTCAATAAACCCTAACAGAAATTCTCTCATGATCTTTGATTCTTTATATCCGGGCTGGCTCGATCCCAGGACCATCATACACTGCCACCATAGGGCAAACGCTCTCGCGTGCCTTGCCATAGGCCTCGACTGCGTCACCACGCCGTGCTACGCAAAGTGAGTACAAAAATCATCGGTCCAAGTATAAGTCCGAACAGGAAGTTCGCCACACGATCTATATCACGCTAGTGTTCCTGGGAACGCTTCCTCCAGTCGATCCACTACGAGATTAAATGGGGTTTCAATTGGTTACACCAAGCGGCCGAGGAGCTGCGCCAATAACATATATGGCCTCATTACCATATTGCGTGGGCTACGGAGCAGAAATCTATGCCGATCTTCTTTCATTTCGCTCTCATAGTGCGATGGACGAAAAGAGAAAATAAGGTCTGAAATATAAGAAGCTCCAAGGATCCCTTCTTTACGATTTTTCTTGTACATCTTGTCAAATTCAATCTCGCTATCTCTTACTCCAAGTCTCTATTTAAATATCCTTGCTTTCACTATGGTAACGCTGAATCATTAAAATTTCTGGCAGCCAAAACCGAATCCCATAAAGGTGGACGTCAATTGGCTCCGAAGCCCAGACTGTGGTTGTGACAGAGCAATTGAACGGCCCAGGAGAAAGTCGTGAAGCAGGCTACTACAGCCTAGAGAACAATGTGCCATAAGAAGAGCACAGGGTAGAGGACCCCAGTAGGTTACATTCTTGATATTGTAGTGGGAGAATTGGTGACATAATGAGCCTATGTGTGGCCTCAGGCATGATTTAATGTCTGCAGTGCATAGTACATCTCCAGACACACTTAGAGGGAGAGAAGTCATCTACCCAATTCATTCAGGATTCACCCAATTTCTTCTATCCATAATGCAGCATTAAGATTATCCCGCACGGCCGCAACAGGGCATCAGTACGGCCTCATCCAGCATCCTCTACACCAGACAGGCAGTGTATGTGTGTGTTGTCCAGTCTGTATCGCCAGATAGCCATCGAGCCGTTCCTATTTCATATTGGCGTCCCCGGGAAGGCTCTTTTGTCAAGGTATATCACTATACGAAGAAACACACACCTAAAGGGTGGGGATCGCGTTTGACCCTAAAGGCTATAAGACTGTCTGAGACCTCAAGCGGGAGACCACATTCACTAGTGATTGCGACGGTATATAGTCGGTGCGGACAAATAAGTGACTAGCCGAGATACAGTATTCTCCTAAATATACCTAGTTCCTACGAGGAATACTGTCGGACTAATATACGGGAGATACGGCGGTGCTTTAGATATTACTGAAGATATAGCCTATCCAATTAAATGCGGTGGCCGAGTAGGGGTACCTAGGTATCCGATAGCTATAGTACTCCACCACACAGATAATATTAATATAAATAATTCTATATTATAAATTATAAGAAGAGGAAGCGGCCTTAATAAGTATTGGAATATAGACCAATGCTACATAGAAAGATCTATCCTTATATTCAACATATAAGACCAGATTGCATTAATCACGTGATCAGATTTTTCTTCTATCAAAATGATGTTTTGACCACTTCTGATTCTGGTCCGCGGCCCTCCCCCGAACGATAGGCGGGACCATTTTCCTTGAGGGGTAAATGGTCCGCCTTCAGGTATGAATGGTCCGTTCCTTCGGGGGTGCCTTCAGGCATGCCTTGCCCGCGGACTTCGACTATGGTCTTCGTACCCCGGTGAACAGACTTCGACCCTCGGTCCCCTTAAGGATAGGCGGACCACTTTCCCTTAGGGGTAAAATGGTCCACCTTTAGGCATGCATAGCCTGATCCTGCGGGGGTGCTTTTGGGGTGGCTTAGACCGTCGATCCTTGACATCATTCTTTTCGCTTCTCTTCGGTTCCCTTCTTTGCCACCTTCATTATGTTGCTGCCTAGTGTTTGTACGTCATTTGTATGTTATTCTAGACGTCATTTCTAGGCTATCCTAGCCCCTTCTTTTCTAGCAGATAGAATCAAGTCAGTTCTACTTTCCTGAAGTCAGTTCTACTTTCCTGAAGTCAGTTCTACTTTCCTCAAGTCATTGTCCACTTTCCAAAGTCATCTCTACCTTCTTCCTTTGATCCTCAGGACTGTGGTTCTGCCTTCGTTTAGGCTATATCTGCTTATAGTCTATCCTACGACCTTTGACCTTCCACCTTTGTCTGGCACTGACTGACCCAGCCGGACTAAGGTTGATCCCACGGACTTAAGGGGCCACGATCTGCTTCGTGGTAGCTTTCCCCTTATATCCCAACAATAAGAAAAAAGGAAGAAAAAGAAGAATTATTAAAGAGATACGATTAAAAGTAAAGCGCATAGAGTTAGTATTTCTTTTTGGCCAAAAAGCTATCTCTTTTCTATAAGTAAGTAATAGCGCACGATATATAAGGTATAATAGCTCCTAAGCTATCGGACCCTAAGGGTATTCTAACCTTTATAGATTACCGTGAACCTATACTAAAAAGATCCGAATCGACCCTAAGTAATAATAATTATACGGATAATATAGATTATAAGCACTAGCCACTATTATCCTTAGCTAAACCGCTTAGTAGGGTATAGGCTATACCTTATCCTTATATAGTTTAAGTGCCTTATTTCTCCGTATTACTAGCTCTAGGATCCCTAGGAGCACTATACTTTAATAAGACCGATATCTCTGAGTTTTCCTAGAGAAGCTATAGGATATATATTTTAGATATAGTGTTAAAAGCGATAAAGATATTATAGGTATATTGCCTTAGTATTACGCGAAGGTTACTAAGTCTTAGGTAAAGAGATAAGCCTCTTAGCTAAGAAAGGACTAGGATACCTTTAAGGAAGCTTTCTTAGAGCACTTCTATAATAATAATAGCGAGTAGCAAAGATATATAAAGATATATCTTTAATCCCTTATATAGGTTAAGCGGATAATATAGGATAATATCCGCTTATATCTTAATAAGTTCGATAATATCTCTGGCTATATCTACTTAAAAGGCGAGGTTAGCGATATAGATAGGGTAAGTCTCCTTATCTAAGGACTTTCGTAGTAGCTTAAGAAGAAGGTTATTAGAAGGTATTCTCGTAAGTAGTTACTAAGAGGGACACTAATTACTTATTCGGAGATATATATAATAATTAGGTTATATATTAGAGAGAAAACTAATATTTAGAGAATTCTTTTAACTATCGAATCTTCTCTAAGTAACCCTAAGCGTAACTAATAACTTTATCCCCCGTAATAGTCGCTTACTACTATTACGAAGCCTTAGGAAAATCGGTAACCGATCGCTAATTAGGTCTAGTGTTAGGATAAATAGGATAGGAAGCTCAGAGAAATATAATTATAAATAGAGG